TAACCCTAACCCTAACCCTAACCCTAACCCTAACCCTAACCCTAACCCTAACCCTAACCCTAACCCTAACCCTAACCCTAACCCTAACCCTAACCCTAACCCTAACCCTAACCCTAACCCTATCTCAAGATAGTATTGCCAAATCCGGCCGCTCCGGATCTGTAAGCGTTCGGCTAGAACCTTATCCCGGCCAAGAAGTGATTCCCCGAGCTTTATGCGGCGCCACCACTGTCCCAGCCCATCCGGGGTTGTTCAGACGCTTTCCGTCGCTCATGCCAATTCCCTGCTCGTGGTAGGTCTATGGGAACCTCGTCTTCATTGCGCAGAAGCCCAAGGTCGACCGGGGTGAAAGGGAGATGTTTGCGACCGGCCATCTGACAACTACACTGCCGCACCGCTTGAATACCGACTGGGCTGCACAGCTAGCTTCATGTTGTTGCTACTGCAGCCTTTCTCCGTTAGCAAGCACTCACAGTAGCTGTTAGGAGATGCTACCGTATGCGACTGTATGGAATTCGGCCGACGGATAATCTCCGCCGTCAACGATACTACAGCGCAATTAAAGCAGGTGCCGGGCATCCTTTGGGCTCTGTTATGTCTACCGGAAGCTGTCTTGAAGTAGTGCGCCTACGTGGCCGTCGGAAAGCGTTGCTACATCTTGAGAATTCGAGCGCATGGTTGATAGCTTCACCTAGCGACACTGTGGCGTGTCCGAAGCGGCTGGCGGGCGTTCTCCATACCCTTATACGCCCCCTGAAGGTAGTCCTGTCGCTGCGCCGTATGGCTACGTCCAGTCCCGCGACGATGCGGTGCAGCTCAGGCGCGTGGGAGAATGTGTCGGCCGTAATAGAAGCCTCGTACTCTACCATCGCAAGAAGGCTTCCTTCTTGGCGCAGATGATCCACCACTCTGGCTGTCATGTACGAGCCAACTGAAGGCTTCTACTCAAAGTTCCAAGCCTCAAGATATGCAAGATACTCTCCGTACGTGACAATGAAGTCGGCAACGTCTGAGACAGAGATCAGCAACCCTGTCAGGACTTCATATTCGGTCAGAAACTCACTCCAATGTAGCGACTGCCCAGTTCCGGCGAGATAGTGCTGCATCGCTAAGAGCGCTTCGAATACGAGCGCACCGTCATATTCTTGTCCGCAGTTTTGCAGGAGCCTCTGTTGTGCCACGGCACAAGCTCCCACTTCTGCCTCTGTCGGTGTTCGAAAACCGGGTGTCTCGTTAGGTGTGAGAAGCGCACGGCATGTGAGTCGAGGATTATCAGGATCGAGCAAGTTGGCGTAGGCGAAGCCAGGTTGCAAGAAGAACAGGCAGTGGAGAGGCGCCAGTGTTGCGCGAATGGGAAGCTCCCTCAAAGGTTTGATGAAGCGGTGATTTTGGACGTCGGAGCCCAACGTGAGGCATTTCAGCTCTCTAGCCAAGAGAGTGTCATAAAGGTTGAACTCTTTGCACCATGCTACGTCTTCCCGCGCAACATCGGTGTTATCAGCCAGGATGTAGGGAATCTTTTGGCAGGCACTGTCTGTGACGGCGTATACAACAAACGTTGGATGGTTTGCGAGAACACTAGCAGCTGTGACAAACAGGTACTCTGGACACATGTCAGTCATCAGATACGCTGGAATCGGGAGTATGTCATTACCGGCCATCTCAACAATACTCATCAATGTGCAGTGCGATAATTTCTACAGCTGTCACGATGTTTAGGACTGATGGCGGATGGCGAAAGTTAGGGAAAGGGCAAACCACTTGGTGCACGGACGTAACATGCATTCACGGGCGTAAGGCGCAGTATCTCGGCTATGACCGAACTTAAACCATGCAAGCAGACTCCGTCCACCTCGCATGCGAAGGCGCCATATACCGTTTCGCGATCTTTGACATCACATCCTGCGCTTCTTAGGAATCGGCAGGTAGGACGGGACGTAGGCCGCACCCGCCGCAGCGTCGGAGTCACCAACGAATTCATCCACATGCTCCGCTCTGTGGGCCCGACGATGATTGATACCGCCAACTCCGCCTGGCACGCCCGGTAGTTCTTCGATGCCGTCAGGCCTGTATCGCCATCAGTAAATCTCAGCATGCACGGTAAGGAAAGCCACGTACAAATCCAGCTGAGTGATCTCTCTACACTTGCCCATACTGCGCCAGATCTGACGGACTTGCCAGTCGCAGCGGTCCCCGTCTCGCTGCGACACGATCCATGTCCATCTGCAAAGAATCAGCTTACATACGAGGATGGCGACGGCGCAATAGCGGTCTACTTACACTGCTTCAAGCATACGAAGCACGACGATCCTGTTACGCCTACGAAGCTTGTCCATCAACTCATCTGCTGAAAGTCAGTTCTGGCCGGCGAAAGATGACGTTGTCGAGAGACACATACTGTCGCGGACGGCATGTATGACCTCGAAGTTGATGGACTTGGCTTCCTCGCTGAAAAACAAGAGGTCGACCCATGGTGCTATGGTGCCGTATGCGGAGCCCCAGCACTTCCTGCGTTGCTCTGCGGTCGACGCGAGCCACGCATCGAACCCGCCACCGCGATTGACGAAGTTGACCACGGCGATGGTTGCCTCGCGTTTGACCTTGGCCATAGCGGCGCCCTGTACCGCCAGAAGCTTAACCTTGTGCTCGACATATTCACTGCCGTTGAAGTATTTGAGCGCCTGATGGAGGTATTTGTTTGACAGTTCTCCATAGCGGTAGATCATGGCACGGGCGACCTGAGAGTTGGATTTGTCGACAGTCAGCAAGGTTTCCTTGATTGTGTCCGGAACGATCCAGTGCATGCGGCGAACATCATCCTTCAACACCTGGGCTGTCTCGAGTTCTTCGTAGCTGCTACAGAAGCCACTGAGTAGAGGGCGATGGATGGTGACGATCGCCGTCAGGCTTGCTATGGCACCATGCTAGTCAGCGCCATGTTGGGCACGAGAATACCTGATACGTACTGTCGTGCTGCTCACAGGCCCGTTCTAATCTTTCGATTGCATCCCAGATGGTTCGCTGCGCCATTGCAGTGTGTAGTGAGTTCGACGCTATCATCGGTGACTGCGGAGGATTGCGAAGCTTCACATGCGACTCGGATGGCTGGGAGGGGACCCACAACGGGCATTGCCGCTTTCACGCGCGCTGTTAGCGTTCTCAAGCGCTTCTCGCACCCCCGAAATCACACCCAGGAAACAATCGAGCTAGTTGTAGGGATCAGCACCATAGGGTTTCAGCCTCATCATGGACCCGAACAAGGTGCACAGACGCTCGAACGTGGTCTCTTTGCCCAGCAACAAGACGGTCAAGGAGGAAAGCGAGCTCAAAATCTACGGGTTCAACAAGCTGACTACGATGTACGAAGCAGCAAGAGTAAGTGCATGAGAGATCGAGACCTAGAGGCGCCACTGAATAGCAACACCAGAAGAGAACAGAGAGTTGGAGGGAGAGCTCCACCTCCTCCAGCACGTTACCCGGCGCATGATGGGCGCTTGCAAGCAACCGAAGGAGAACCCGTCGGATGCGGCTGCCAAGGTCGTTGCAACACCCTCCCTCGCTTCCGTTCCAGCAATGTAGAAGAAGAGCGGCGTTGAGTACGACTTTGTCGCGCGTCACATGAACCTGTCTGCGAAGACGAGCCATGCTCGATGGGTCGCATACGCGAAGAAGTCGGATGCAGCATTCGAGGGCAAAGGCACGCCTAACCCAAGAGAGGCGCCGACGGCCAAGGCGGCAGATGCTGGGAGCGCTTGCGGCAAGGTCGACAAGCTCTCACTGTTGCCCAGGCGAAGCGGGCCATCGAACTCAGAGTCGGAGAATAAGGACTAGGGGACGAAAGTGAGGTGTGGTGAACCCGCCGGAACCCTGCCGATGCAGGCATGCACAGTTGTGGTGGGTGCGGTGCTGTGATTCGCAAGCACTGCGGTCGACGGCATTGACGGTATGGCACATGCATAACTTGTAGCGTAGCAAGCACATAACGAGAAACGTTACCGAACCATGAAGTCCCGAATTTCCCTTTATGTCGCTTGTGGCTGGGGCGGGGAGCATCTCCCAAGCGGCGCTACCGACCATGGCGCGAAACCCTGTTCATCTATGAACTAACGACATTTGACCCTAAAACCATCTTACAAAAGCCGATAGCGCACAACATCGGGAGGAGTGAAGAGGCGGGACATATGTAGGGTTTTGGATGTAATAGCAATGACTGCACAGCAGAAAGACTATGATAAAACTACAGCAAAGTGACGTCAACGCCGTAACCCACGGTCATCTCAATGTAGTTGTACCACCTGCCGCATGGGGTAGGGAGGCTGCGGGCGCCTGAAAGATCTTGACGAGCTGAAGGCGAATGCTTGGACTACGAAGTTTCCACGTCAGCGCTGCTCGTCCTTCGCAATCTCAATGAGATTCCGTAGCACCTCTTTGGCGTGGCGGACCTCGCGCACAGCCTCTGCCTCCGCAGCCTTGACAACCTCCGTTTCTCACTTTTCACCTTGGCCTCCAAAGCTTTCAAGAGCTCGAACTTGGCCTTCATCTCTTCCAATGTAGCCTTGTGCTCCGTGGCATGGCGCTCCGCCTCATCTGCTTTGCTGTCCAAGGCAGCATAGTAGTTCGCGTAGTTTTTTTCCGTCGTCGGTTCGTCATTGGCAGCCTTCCAGAACCGAGTCCAGTCATCCGACGTGAACATCTTTTTAGAATTGGTGCTCAGCCTGGCGGCGGCGTGGCTGGAGCCGCCTCTCTTGTCGACGTATCCTTGGCCGCAGCGGCTCCAGAATACTTCCGACAGCTCAACGAGAGGAAGTGCTTGCATCAGAGATTTGGTGCGGGAATAGCGATCATCAGCGAGGCTGACCGGGCGACACAGCCTCCATCTCCTGGGCTGCTAAGTTTCATAGCGGCTGCCTTGATGCTTTACCACGATGCAATGGTTCAAGAGCAGCTCGTACGAGACAGCGCATTTATCAACTACAATCATCCTCCATCAGCAAGTTGCTTTCACGGTCCACCGCACGGACTGCCTACCCAAGCTAGCAACATCCGCCCATTGCGTATTGGCACAGCTCTGCGTCTTCACACAATGTCGCTCTGACGCCACAGCAGCAGCGCCCGTTCCTGAACAGTGGTAGAGACGACAACATCATGTATCGATCTGTCCCTTTACCAGTAGCAGGCCCACCTCATCAGCTCGCCCATACCAGGCCGTGTCCCGCCACACTCCATAGCAGCCTTCTCAGCCGCGAATTCATCCACAGCTCACCCCTCGTCAAGTTCCGTTCCGACAAGTTGCCCGGCGTCAAGATGTCCGGCGACAGCTCGATCTGCAAACCCAGCAACAACAGCAGCACGAGCAGCAGAATCAGCCCCAGCAAACCCAAGATGCGCGGAGCCGAACTCAGCAGACTGATGACCAGGAGCCTTAAACCGAGCCTGACCTGCAAAATGACGAACGGCCGGAGAGCGGAGATGACGAGCGCGGTATGACCGAGGCAGTCAGGCCAGCATCGGAGATAATTGCTAATGTGTTGTAGGCAGAAGGATAGGCCTGGATCAAACAGCGAATGAAAAGCGGCGGTGATGTGGTGAGACTGGTGACTGAACGTCTCGAATTGGAAGACACAATGCTTCGCTGAGGATTGCAGCAACCAGCGGGGAATGCATCGCAAGACTGAACATCCTCTTCATTGTATATGCAAAGCAATGACCAACAATTCCTCACACATCCTCCACCCCAATTCCACTCCCCTGCCATCTACGACTAGGCTTCAATACCCTTATCTTCTTACTTGGACTCCTCACCGATTCCCTTTCCCTCCGCATCAGCGCCACCTCCTCCCTCAACCGCACATTTTCCTCTTCAAGCTCTGCATACTTCGGCGTGAGATCACCCCCAATGCCTCTCACTTGCACTCTCTCCTTTCCCGCCTCCTTGTCGGACGGCAACTGCGAGTCTGAGATGTTCTCCTTGTCTGCCGTGTCGTCCTCGTACACGCTGAGCTGGTGCGTGAGGAGCTCGAGTTTCCGATCCAAATGCTCATCCTGGGCATCCATCTCCGCATCCCTCGCCGCCCTCCATCGTCTCTGCTCCAGCGCTAGCTTAGCCTCCATCTCCGTCCAGACCTCCTCCCTAACTTCCGCCTCAATCTCCTCCATCCTGCCTTCGGCGGCTTGCCAGGCATTTTCGGCATCCTGCCTTCGTCGCGTTTCCTCTTCCAGCAAGAGCTGGGTGACTTCCAGCTCCTCGCGAAGTCTCGATATGTCGGCGAGAGCTTGCTCCAGCTCCCCTTGCAACGCGGCTGGAGTGGTGCAACCGCTTGCCTTCAATGCTACCGCCCCGGTACCAGAGAGAATCGTCGAAGTGACAGACGGTATCCGCGGCACAGTGACTTCTCGGGCCAAAGCGGAGTATCGTAAGATCTGGCTCGTGGCGTTGAAGTCTCCTAGCGGATCTGCTGTGACGATCATGACGGCCTTTTGCTGCTGCTGGCCGCTCCTACCGCCGCCATTGCTGGCAAAGCTGTTGCTGAAGAGGAGTTCGGTGAGTTTGCACTGTCTGAAGGGCACCATCTTCTCGACTGCACCCGGGGCCAACGAGTTGCGGGCGTTGTCTGATTGCATCTGCATACACTGACCCAGATACATCAAGCTCTCGTTGATCTTGCCCGCCTCCGCAAGCGTGGCGCCAGCGGTCTTGGCTGTGCGTGCTCGCTCAGATCCGGCTAAGTCGACGATGGTAAGCGTACTGCTCGTCCAGGGGCTGGATATGGGGAGTGCTTGCGAAGAGCGGCGGCGCTTCTTCACTTCCATGCAGAAGAAGCCGTGGCTGCGTGAAGATACGGCATTGGAATTCGTATCCGCAACCCTGCGTCCTTGCAGGCCTGTTTCTAAGACCATCAATGCTTCGGCAAGGGAAGAGCAGATTACCTTGCACAAGCCGGCGACGACTTTCCGATCGGGAGATGCTTCGGTGGGCTTGAAGAGGAGGGCACGGCGTTTCTGCGGAGTCTTCGTGGTCGAGGAGGCGGCGGTGAGAAGGTCGTAGATACGGTCATTGTACACTTCGTACATGCTGATTATGATGGCGTACTCGGCGTTCGTTTCCATGTCGAGGCTGATGTCGTCGATGGGAGGGTACTGTGGAAAAGTGGAGACGCGAGGGAGGTGGCGTTTCGACGCTGGAAGGGAAAGAAAGGAGGTTTCCTGTTGGAAGGCAGTTGTAAGCTTAACGATACTGCGTGCAAGCGGCGCGAACCTGCTCCGCAATAGAGTTGATGGGGAAGATGAAATGGTAGCAGAGCTGTGCGCGGACAAGTCCGGATAGAGACGATCAAAGACCGCAGGAGGGACTGCACCGGTAGACGTTCGGTCTACCGGCTGTGGGTATGACCCTGGTAATTTGTTGAGGTGGGAGGGCAGCATGGAGTGGCGTACCAGCGCGGGCGTGGTGGCTCTGCTAAAGCCGCCGCTATCGCCCGGATAGACCGAATCGAAGAACTGTGCGGCAGTAATCAAATGTGCCTCTGAGACATCGGCACTGCAGAGCGACTGTATGGCAACGTGGCTAGTCTCGATGTCGACCAATCCGGCTTCGACACGCTTGAAAAGGATATCGAGCGTCAACTGAGTAATGCCGCGCTCTGACTTCGAGCCCAAGATGGTGTGAGTCTAGTTCGCAGTCAGATAAGCTCTATAACCTTTACACAGCCCTTGTACTTACCTTGCCGCTACCGGTGACGCCCAGTGTCGCCACCAGGCCATCTCTGCGCTCCTTGCCATTGCCGCCCAGTACGCCTTCCACAAGCGGTAGTATGCCGGTGCTCTCAAAGATCTCACGCTGGCCAACATGCTCTTCGAAAACCGTTGTGAATGCGAACTTCTCTACGGCGCGCTTGCGATTGTCGTTGGCAGGCGGGTGAATGGTGATATGCGTGGGCGCATACGGCTCGTCTGTGTGCTGCTTTTCGCGCTCTACGTCTAGGAAGCGCTCTCTATCCACCGCGGAGGATGGTCGAAGGCGCAAATATACGTCAAACAAGGACGTCGTAGGTTTGTGGTTGTCCATGCTGCTTCTCTACTCTGCACTTGTGGATTGTATTACTTAGTTGCGATGCAGATGTCATGTTCTCGTCCGTGTTGATGTGCGCGCGTTTACTTTGGTCGTCTGCGCAGCAACGCTATCGATAAGTCAGAAGCTGAGTCAGCCACTTTTGCCGTCTTCCACTTCGGGAGACTCCAGACTTCACCGAGCACGCGACAGTTCGAAACATGTTCGAATGCAGCGCGTGTACATTGCGCGCATTGCGGACATTGATTGGGGAGACGAGAACAAGTCACGGCCACCGACTACTCCTTACACCACACCTTGGCCGCCGACAAGCATCTACTGCCGCCGCCACAACCAGCCATGGCAACGAACCGTATCTCAACGCCGCCCAGCTCAAGCACCACCGTGCTCATGACAATGACTCCTTCGTCAAGTTAGACCTCACACCGTACGATGCGCCGAAGAAGACATCTCCTCTCAGCATGCCACCCTTGCGCGATACGGCGGAGAAGGAGGGCGCCTTGTCCAGCAGCGACCTTCGCGCCTTGAGAATGGAGCTGCAATACCTTCCCGACCCCGCCAAGCTCGCCGATCATGTCCACTACACCCTGCGCTGTGCTAAACCCGAAAAAGCGCTCGAGCTGTGCCGTCTCGCCAGCAAAGACATGAACTGTGTTGTCAGCTGGAACCATGTCGTCGACTGGCATATGAAGCAAGGCCTTGTGAACGAAGCTGTCAAGGTCTACAACGAGATGAAAAAACGCGCTCAGTTTCCGGACTCGTATACCTACCTGTTGCTTCTACGAGGGCTCATTGGCACGCAAGCGATGAGCAAGAAGACCCAGGTGAAGGAGGAAGATGTGGCTAAGGCGGTCAGCATCCATGCTTCAATGCATTCTCCTACGAGTAGAGTGACGCCGAGCATCATGCATACGAACGCCGCATTGCAGGTTTGCTCTTTCGGGCATGATATGGATGCCTTTTGGGGCATAGCGAGCAAACTCCCGGAGCACGGGCCTGGATCAGCGGACCATCGCACCTACTCCATTATTCTTAATGCCATCCGACAAGAAGCACTGCGAGACACTCAAGAACTGGAAAGCAGCAACGCAAGCATCAAGCGCCGCACAGCCGCCAATGAAGGCCGACGACTGTGGCGCGAAGTGATCCAGAAATGGCGCAGTGGCGTCATTCAGATTGACGAAGAGCTAATCTGCTCGATGGCCCGAGTGCTGCTCATTAGTGACCGGCTGGCAGACTGGGATGACGTGCTTAATCTGATCAAACAGACGATGAACATCGACCGTCTGCTCGCACAATTGGGCACCGCGCACCGACAGACAGCCCACGTGCCGCAAACTGACCCCTCCTCGTTGGACCTGGATGCGGAAGAAGGCTCTCACGAACTGTCACTCATCGACCAGAAAGAACATGACACTTCGAAAGACAGCCCAGCAGCCAAAGTCTTCAAACCCATCACCGTCCTCCTGCCCAAATCCGATATTAAGCCCTCCAGATTCAGGCCTTCACCCCCGGCTTCACTCCCCTACGTCTCGCCCGGTACTTCAACGCTCTCCGTCCTGATCCAAGCCTGTACCTCCATGCGTGTACCCAAGACCGCGCTCGCTTACTGGGACCTTCTCACACAGGCTCCGCACGAGGTAAAACCAGATTTGGATAACTTCCACAACCTCATCCGTCTGCTCGGGAAGAATCGCTCCTCAGCCCGCGTGGCGCAGGTTCTATCTTCAAACCTTCAGACTGCAGGGGTGAAACCGACACCGCTAACCTTCCGCTTGGCGATGGATGTGTGTGCGAGGGACTGGAAGAACGTCAATGTGCTCGACAGTGCTACTACGATTATCGATGTCATGGATGAGACGCAGCGCCACGTCGATATAGAGACCCTAAGTAAGTATCTCTCACTGGTCCTCAGGTCCACCTCGGAACGGAAGGTTCTCGCCGCGCTTGGGCGGGTGCACACTATGATCCCGTCCCTCCGCGAGCGCATCACTAAAGCCGTTGAAGCGGAGGATCGGAAAGCGGTGCTAGTGTTTATGAGGGAATACGTGGGTGCTATAGATGCGACGAGAAGGCGTGGGCTCATTCCGAAGGAAGACTATGCATATTGGGATGGGAGAAAGAGCGAGGTAGATCGGTTCGTCAACGCGGAAGCTCGGAGAAACGAAGGGCCAGCGACGGGTGGCCAATTCGGTGCCCCGGAAAGAATTCCACGTTCTGGAGGGAGTGACGCGAAGAAAGGAATTGCGGTAGGGGCTAAGATTGTGAGGCACCTGGCTCAGCGCGAAGAGTACAGGAAGACGGGGCGTTTGGACCGTTTGTCCGGGTCAGGATTCAAGTTTACCACCGCAGTGAAGCCGTCAGGGCCGGCACGGGCAGTGGAGAAAGAGGTACCTTCAAGAGGGAATGCAGAGATGGCATACATGCGGACGCCTAAGATAAGGAAGCGCGGTGTGAAGTTGTAAAAGCAGTACAGGGCATAATGCGAAGACTGATGTTGTAATGGCGCAGATGCTCAGAAGAAGGCGGAACTGAATAAAGAGGTTAAGGTGCTGTCCACAGGGTGACTGAGCCGGACACCATAATCTACTGGTTTGAGCGAGCAGCGTCATACGCAATGCTACACCATGTCTGATCTTGCGCTTCGCTTGACTTACCGTCCTGATTGGCGCCGCCCTCGAAATGAAGATTGGGTCATCTCGCCGTTACGATCTTTGCCATACAAGCTACAATATAGGTTCCGCTCCGGAACGCCGCGCTCGTGGCCCGGTGACGGCACCACCATTTTGTCTTCCTGAGGAGAAGTCTAGTGCCTTCATGGTGCCCTCGCAGTCGTCGTAAATGCATCGGAAGACGTCCCAAGACCGGCACTGCATCAACCTTATGTGCGGTAAATAGTCCCAGAGCCGCATTGCTGCTTCATCCGAGCCGTCTCCCTCAATATCTCGCCAACTGTACGCAAACCTAGATTCAGATCACGGATTGGTTGTTTTTGGTGCCCATTGAGCAAGAGATGCCGGCTGGTGAGGTGGTCACTGAAGATGCCCAGACGTATCATAGCATTGGAGGATAATCCGGTCACCGCGGGCATGCCTTGCTCAATGTACTTCTGCATCTGAGCGTTGGTGAAATCCGTAATCTGGCGGAGCAGACTCAGTATATCCTTCTCATTCGTAACTACGACCTTGTCAGTCAGTACGCAGTGCTAGTAAAGGAGTGAAACGGTAGCTTACCGCGCACGGTAAAACTCCTGTCAACGGTTTTCCACACGCGTGCGAGAGTGCCCGTTATGACGGGCCGGTTCCCAATCAGCTTGGCGACATCGCCTTTCCGTAACAGCTGCGCTGCAGCCAGCAGGACATACAGGTCAGCGAGCACACCTTGCTCCAGCTTTCGATACACTGTCGCTCCGAACGTACGACGCGTAGCGGAGAATGGTGGACGACACCTTCAAAAAGTACATGCATGATCCAATCAGCCACAAGCCCGGACTGAATTAGGAGTTGATACCGACTTGACGGTGGGATCTCATACTAGTGGAGAGTCCTCGGTCCGCTTGCAGTCTTCTGTTACATCATTTATGTCCTACGGTTATTGGCAGGCCAGCCGGAACATGGGATTTTTTGGCTAAGTCTGCCGACAGCACTGCGCAGTAGGCTTAGACCACACAAAGGACCGTCTGCCCGGCTACCTCGGCTCGGGATGGCGGCGAGGAATACTGCGCAAGCGTCCGCAAAGCCACACATCATCCCGAGTGAGAAGGGTGAGTAGGCGAGTGTCGGTGAGGTGGCTGTCCGAGTGTAGCAGTTCGGATTGGCGTCAGTCTCTCTGCGATCTATCTCCGACAAGATTGTGAGTCAGTAGCAAAAGCAAGACACTGTTATTCAGTCGGTGGACGCAAGAGGTGGTTGGTTAGTATAACCTACCTTTCTAGCTAGTATCACTGAACGCTGTGCAATGCTGAGGCATATTTGCGCCTCAACGCAGCTGCTGCCAGCCCTGCGAACCTCTACTGAGCTGTTTGTCGTTCTGTCACCTCCACGCGTCTCGATACTGCCGAATGCATCCGCAACTAGCCTTGACCATTATGACCATGTAGGGTTGGCAAGATCGAAGCATCCGCCAGCTCCTTCAAAACCTTCGCTTTCTCAATACAGCTGATGGCCGATGCGCTCAGACTCCGCTGGTGCAAATAAGCGCAGCAGCTGCGGTCGCAGAAGTCGGGCTGTGGCAATGCCTCAGGATTCCTCGAGCAAGTACTTGAGTCGCTTAGGGTATTGATCAAGTCTGTCAATGAGTGAACTTGTGCTGTTGTCAGTCAGAGGAAATGTACCCTCAGACAGGTACACAGAGCTTCGAAGCGCATATGCCAAACCACGCGGCAGGTGTTGCAAGGATTGTTCCCGTGCATGGCTTGCTGTTGTACCTTGCCCACAATATATCCGCCACGCTAGGGTGTAATGTAAATGCTTTGTATTGAAATACAGTTGTTCATTGCTCTCGGTGTCAGCTCCTTTCCGTGACGAGGTTGTTGATATCGCTACCTACTGCGAAGCGGCTGCGCCAGCTCGTCGGCGTAGCCGGAGCTTTCCTGTAAGTCAACCAATACTTCCAGCGAGGCCTGCACGCCAGCTTGTCTGATCATAGTTGCATTGCGTAGGCTGTCGGCTGCGTTTAAGCACGAATATGTCGAATGTGGGTTCATATCTTGCAATAGACGTGGAAGCGCAGCCTGGAAGGTAGCCTTGACTACCCCGATGTATTGGTATCTGTCTGCGAGCTGGCAACGGTGATCAAGCTATCCGTGTCAAGCGAGCAGGGGTCATGATGCATGTGAATGATATGACAGAGTTGAATGGGCGTTCGGTCCTGTCGTGAGCAAGCAAGATATGAATGACCGACCTGGTGCGATGCGCGTTGCCTTCATGGGATGGTGGGCAGAGCATAGCTTCAAACACGGGTGAGTGCGTAGCTGAGGACTATCGAGGAAACGCGGATGTGGAACCTACTGTACAATTAGCGAAGTGAGGTGCGGATTACGAGGAAAACGGACATACGTCTGCGGCGCGTCGGGTTTGACCTTCGACTCACACGCCGGGTTTACATCCACCCGTGGATTGCAATTGTGCTTGAAGACGTCCATCGCGGGTGTGATTGCTCTGATGATGCTAGAGTGTTGGATGAACATGATTAAAGATGTATGAGCGCTGCAGACGAGCTCTCAAATGGATGTTCGCGCGCAGTTGCCTAGACATGCAGCGCTAGTTTCACGTGCGGCACGCGGAGGGCACGATCCGCCGCAACATCGGCGGTCATATCAAAAATTCGCAGGGAGGAGGTTACAGTTGGCTGGTAGAGTTCTCATTCATCGCCCAGCCTTCCCAGCAAACTTCCTCCTGACCCACCCCTCGCCATTCTCCGCATACTCCTCCCTCGTCACTAACACCTTTCGGATAGCCTCTTCACTCCGCGCCATCCTCCCTCCACCCAGCCATGCATTTTTGATCGGATCAGCCACCCTCGCCACCCGAACCACCAAGTCCGTATCAACCATCTGCCTGATTTCCGTCTCCAATCTTTCCACAAAGCCGGGCAGCTTGCTCGTACCGCCTACCGCGGCGATATTGGCGAGGTAAGCCTGCTTCAACCCGGCCGGTAACACGTCGATGGACTGAATGATTGTACCGGCAATGCCTTCCTGCTGCATCCCGATATCGCCAGGTGAGAAGAGCAGCTCAGGGACAACAAAGCGTTCGTTCCCAATCGTCAAAACGTGCTCTCGTCTGCCTCCTTGACCCTCGACACCTATTGCGCGGCTTCTCAAGCTGAGACTGGAATCATGTGGTCGAGGGAAACCTCGCTTGATGGTCTCATAGTCCGGTAGTACATAGTCCACAACAATACTCGGGTCAATAATTCGTGCATCGTATCTACCTCCCTTCCACGTCTTCTCCAGATCTTCATTGAAACAACGTGAGACGTAGCAGACGTCTTCTTTTATCTCGTTGACGATGTGGTCCTCCTTGTGGACATCCAGGGTACGGGAGATGAGCTCCTTGAGTTGGTTCGTCAAGGTCTTGCCACCGACTTCGAGGCGGCGGATGGCGGATTGGAAAGGTCGACCTTGGTAGAGCGGCGTCACTGTCGTGTGCGAGTGGCCAGCATCAACGAGCAGTAAACACTCTAGTGGTACGCCAGATGGAGAGGCAGCCGTAGACGGGAAGGGTGAAGGAGCGTATGCATTAAGCACCGGCGCTGTACCGTCAGCATCCATACATAATCCACAGGTCCATAGCGCAGCCTCACAAACCTATGCACCTATAGTAGCTCCTGAACCCAAACTCCTCGAACACCATCTCATCCGCATTCCTCTGCAGCGGCGCCGGCGCATTCGGCGGCTCCGTCATCACCAGGTTTGTCTCCTCCGGCTCACACCTTAGCGCCTCGTGCTTCGCATTGCCCAAGAAACTCCTCTCCCAGATCGCCTTCTCCCCTTCCCAATTGACAATGCATCCTTTCTCCACCGGCCGCCGGTACGCCAGCTCGGCAAAGTCGTCGCATTCTTCCAGCTCGGGACCGATATATGTCCGCTTGTCACGAGCAGAGCGGGCGATGCAGTTGGGAATGGCATAGCAGTCACTCGCTGAATTAGGCTCAGTAGAGGAGGTAGAGGCGTGGGAGGAGAAGCCGGCTTTAAGGGTGTGGGCGCCGTTGTCAAGGATGAGGGTGCGCGAGGCAATGTCGCCAATTCCGAGAACGTTCGGCAAACTTTTCTGTCGAGCCATCGCTGGGTTCTGTATGTAAAACTAAAGAAGCATGAACAGTGGATATGCGTGGAGTCTGCGGGGTCGACATGCCAAGATTTCGTAACTGCCCTTTTCGCTGATCACATGTGCCTGACACATTACATACCTTGCATCCGCGACACCAGCCATGTCATCTGCTCCAGATCAGACAGCAGCTCTTGACGGTCTCATCGCCTCCACACTCGCCCTGCTCAGCCAGTTCGCCGCCTTCCTAAACCCATCCACTCCCCTCCACCTCGATGTTTCCATCAAGGATCCACCCAATCCTCTCCACGTTCTGCGCGACGCCGCCACCCTGGTAAAAGCGCACACAACCAAGATCAGCCTCTTAGCGATCAACAAGCCCTTCACGCCTTCCGCGATCCGCAAAGTGCTCAACGAACTTTCTGCACAATGTCTTCCCGCCATGATGAGTGCGGTGCAGATCTGCGAGCAGGAGAAAGCGACATGGGCCGGCTTGATGAGCAAAGAGGTGCAAGCGCGAGTACGAAGGGTGTTTCGGGAAATGGAGACGCTACTCGAAGAAGTCAGAGCGGTGGCGCAAGGTAATGGCAACGCTGGGCGAAGAGATAGTCTCAGCTCCACCGGCGTGGTGTGGGAGAGTTGCGATGCTATCATTGAGCTCGACAAGTTAGGCATTGCTGGACTAGCAGTGCTGAAGGCGCAACAATACCGCGACACACTCAAGGACGCTATCGAGGAGTTGCGGGAATGGAAGGAAGGCGAGGATTTGGAAAGTGAAGGGCATGATGCTCTGCTCGCCGACGATGACGAAGGAGTAGAGGGCGATCGGGATAGTGTAGAGGATATCTTCAATGCGGCCAACAGCATGCCCAAAGATCGACCGGAGCTGAGAGCGCTAGTAGAAGAGGCAGACGGGAAGTTAAAGAAAGTGGTGCTGCTATACACTGCGTTGATCAAGCGGCGACTGCGGACGTTCACGGCGGAGAACGATGATGAGAGGACGGAGACGAAAGTGCGAAGGCTAGACGCTACTTTGATGAGTCTGGAGAAGATACCTCATCTCGTCGATGAGCTAGCAGGCTGCTTCTACGACCTTAGCGAAGCTAGAGCAAGCGAGATGTTGACGCGGTGTGTGCAAGAGGCAAAACTTGCTGCGTCTGCTATGGGTGAAAGCTGGCAGGGCGAGGACGACGAGTTCACAGCTTGGAGCAAGAAGTGGCATGACGCTGTTGGGTGAACTGCTGCGAGCGTTCGCATGTATTCTGCGTGTAACGCAAATCACCTCGCGCCTACCGTCTCCCAAGATCAACGTCAAGCACCATCGCCATCTCCGAAGCCGCTTTCGCTCCCGCTAATTCTTCGTCTTCGAGCCCAAAGAACGGCTTAACCGCCGCCTCGACCACCTCCTCGAACATTCCCTTCACCAAACCCTGCAGCTCCTCCCCCGTCTGCGCAAAGTCAGGAAATGCATTCACCTCCAAAAGCCATGCCGTCCCTTTGGCATCGACAAGAAAGTCTAGCCCGAAGATCTCAAAGGCATTCGGCAGAACTTGGAAATGAATACTCATGCTCCGAGCAGCGGCTTCAAAGGTCTCGGCCGTAACGGCGCAGATCTGGGCGAATACATCACCGCGCCATTCATCTGAGAGGCCTGGGAGGGAGGAGGGCAGAGACCAGAAAGCGTGCACACTGCCTTCGCGCGCACCGTTCTGGAGACAGGTATTCGTGAGATGGCTTGCTAGCTCCTCATTTGGGTCGGCTGTCGAGGCTTCCGCGGGCGCGGTGTAGGGTTTTGCGGCGAAGAGGGCGAGCATGGGCCTGTAGACGTAAACTTTCAGCGCTCCGACCGCGAGCACATACGTCCGTATGTGGAACTTGCGGCCTGCGGATGGGTGTGGCGGAGGGAGAAGGAGGGGTGGGTGGATGTAGGGCTGGACGATGAAGTGGCGGAGCTGAGAGGTCATGATGCCATTGCCATCGTGGCCGTCGTCGCCACTTGCTGAAGGCTTCTCATCGCTTACAGAAACTGCATCATCCTCGTCATCTGAAGAAGGATCCCAGCCCTCGAAAATCGACGTTAGCTCCTCTTCGCTACTAAATAGCCGGATACCCTGCCCACGCTCGCTCATTCCAGGCTTCAAAATCCACCACTCCTTCTCCGCCGCATCCAACCCTTCATTCTTAGCCCAAGCTTCCTTGAGCTCAAACGCCTCAACCAGAGCATCGTCCAGGAACTCTGCATAATCGACCTCGAACTCAACAGACCCCTTAACATGATCCTTGAGAGTGCTTTCCGGGCGTTTGATCAACCAATGCGATACTGTCGTCGACAGGTAGTGCTTGCGGATCAGTGCTTTCCGAATGACGTAGCTGTTTGCCAGGTTTGTTTTGGGATGCTCGAGAAGATGCTCAAAATCAATGTTCTCATATTGGCGCCATTGCAGCAACTTGCCGTTGAGCGGTGGTGGCTGCTCGCTTTCGTGGACGAAGACTAGCAGTTCTGATGGCAAGCGGGCTTTTAGTGCGGCGAGGAGCAGTGGTTGCACGTATTGGTCTTCGTAGTCGACGTTAAGATAGACTCTGTCTCCTAATGTAGCTCCCATGCTGTGTCGTTGCTATATGGTGGATGCATAAAAACCGTTCTTCTGGAAGGAGAGTGAAGTCCAATCTGAAAGGTTCGATCCCGCCGGGCTGTTGCCTGAGGCTTGCGCATCAGGACATGCGCAGATCGTCGAGAAATGTTAACCCACACAAGCTGCCTTTCATAAAGAGAATCTTTACCTCAAGCTGTTTCATTCTGCGCTTATGCTCCCGTTGCCTTTGAGCGTCTATGAGATCAAGCTTCCTGAGACGGTACTGATGCTGCAACTCCATCAATCCTTCGACGAGCATCGTCGTTCCTGCTAAGAACACCATCGCGGAACGCAGTCTGGCGAGTTCAGCTAGCGACTATCAGTGGGGAATGCTTGCAGTGACGACGTATTGACATACTGGTTGGTATCATTGAATCCAGCTTGTAGGATCTGTAGGATTTCAAAAAGGCAGGTTGAGTCGATATCGAGTCGGTTAAGAGCGTTTTCAGAACATGGACCTGAGTTCCCGAAGCGCAAAGAATATCACAGGTGCTTCGAAGCTTCAGCGCGCTGCCTGAGGTCAAGCTTACCTCTGAGAGCACCAAAGCACACTTTCTATGCCACAGACCAACTCCCGAGTCCGAGCTCACAAAGTATTCGTCGCAGTAGTGGTCGTTCTTTCAGCCCCCTTCGGAGTTTTCCACTCATTCTCGGGAGCCGCCACAGGGCGAGCATACCGTCGCGGAGACCGTCGGCTAGAGGGCGGCGATGGTGACCGCTCCGAGAGCTCTTGGGGAGATGTGCACTGTCGACCTGCCAGCCACGCTCCCTCTTCGCGATGGAGACTGTTGACCTCAATCCCTACCGCCCGCTCTCTGAGGCGTAAATGTACGTCGCCTGACGTAGGGTATCAACAGCCAACTGCGTCTAGACGTGGACTTGAGAGCCAGCTCACTTCTACGCTTGACACGATCGGCATCCTTTACCTCATAGCTGACTTCTTGACCTCCTTCTTCACGAAGAACGAGCTCATCTTCTGCATACCACTCGTGTCAGCCTTCATAAGCTTTTTCACGCCCTGACTGACGTTCTTCTTCTTTGCCTCCTCCTCTTCCTTCTTCCGCTTCCTTGCATCAGCCTTCTCAATCGCTTCATCATCATCCAGACCTCGTTTGCGACTAATGTTGTCGCTGATAGAGCGCAACGCATGTGCTTCAGCCTTGAGTCTCATGATCCGCGCCAGATGCTCGTCCAGTGGGGTCAAGTCCGTCTTCCGCTGCAGTGTATACGTTCGATCGGCGTACATGGCCTGCACGCGCGTCTCTAGACTCGGTGGGAGGTAGTTCATGCAAAGATATCTGATGGCGGTGCGGAAGCGGAGCAAATCGCTTAGCTCAACATTTTTCTGCAACTTGGGCCCATGCGCTTGCACGTCGCGTTCTTCTGCAGCGTCGGAGGTCATCTGTATGACAGAGCTGTCGGCAGCCTTCCTCCCCTCCTGTACAGCGCTTATTGTGCTATCTTCTCGTCGCACGCTGACTTCCGGCAATTCCAAAGCTTTTCGAACAAAGTGCTGCTCCATGCTGTACGGCAAGCCTACCTTGCCCATTGACGCAGCCTTGCTCCATACGATATCGGCAAGCATCAAGACGTTCAGCTTGAAAAGGGTGTCCTCGCCTGATCCCATTTGTAGGATATCGCAAACGGCTCGCATTCGGTCGTTCAATAAAATTTCGATCGCTCCACTCATGTCAGATCGTAGGATAGCGAGCAGATCTTCATAGCCCGGGTAATCTGACAGCCAGTCTCCTAACGTCTTCCATTCTTGAGTCGCGACTCCCCATAACGCTGGTAGGAGGACGAAGAGAGGGTCAATTGGGGTTGCCACAAGGAGTTCAGGCTGCCGAAACACATAACCAGCCTTGTCATTGCCTTCGCTCTCAACCGCAGCATCCGCAGAATAATCAGGCGCCAGTAACCAGCTGTGGCACGCTCTACTTGGCCCAGCAACCCGGGTGAACTCGTAGAAGCCACGGCTGGGATCGACAAGGTATCGGCAGGGTTTCGCATTCACGGGATGTGGCAATCTGATGATGCGCGCATCTGTTGATAGGTCCTTGGGCAATACGAACAGCTTCGGTGGGTCGTCCTCGCTGATGTCCAGAGTATGGATGCTTCGTGGCTGATTGTCATCATCTTGCCACTGTGACTGTGGCTGCGCCTTCGAGGCTGTTGTCTTCTTCGCTCTAGTCCTCATGACTTCCAAGTCAATCACTTCCGAACTGTCTTTGTCGTTGTCATTGTCGCGAGCAAACGAATAACGATGTTCAATGGCAAGTGGTCCGTGCTGCAGGAGACGCGTTGCGGACGCGACTTCCCCGCAACCACTTTGGCAGTTTCACATCGAGCAGGCCCGACCCCATGTTGGTGCAACAGCGCCTCTGTTGACATTCAGGACGTTGCGGAAAACAAGGATACATTGCTAGTGGGGAAGTGGATGAAGTCAAAATGGTGGTTGTCCGAGAATCTCCTCGGGCCAAGGTATCGCCAGACAAGGCCGCCGCTCTATGGCCGCCAAAGTCTCCCTTCCAGGCGCTGCTGTCATCCCCGAACGGCCGGAAGAAGTGGCAAGACCACACAGGCACGGGCGTAGAGCGGTCGCCTTCACCTTCGCCAGTCAAGCGGCCATTGAGCAGCGCCGGTATGGTCCAAGCACTCTCTGGCGATAGTAACGTGGATATGGCGGACAGAGAGGACCTGGACGAGGAGGAGCACAACGCCATGCTGGAGCTGGAGAAGGTGAAGCTGGAACTGCGGCTAAACAAGATACGAAAGCAGAAGCAGAAGAAGCTTGCCGAAGTTGATGGGCGGGTGAACTCTGCTGTGCGCAAGCAGCCAAATCTGGCGGATCGACCGCATATACTTGCTCGTGGAAACCTTCCGCGCCCAGGTGAGCAGCCTTCAGCTGAGCAGCCGAACGTCGAAGTACCGACGTCGCCTGTCAGACGTCCAGCAGCACCTATTGAGCAGCTTTCACCGGCTCGGAAACGTCTAGGCCTGGCCAGCGTTCCACGAGCGCAAAATGTGTCTTTAAAGCGGCCCCGAGACGGCATACAGAGCAGACGATCAGATGTGATGAATACTGTAGCCAGCTCTGACCCGCGAAATGCACCTTTGAGCTTTAACGAGCGACTTCGCGCCTCGAAGACGGAAGCGGACGTCAAGGATGCCAAGTACGCCCGGATAGAGCGATCAAGAAGCAAAGCCTTCGATTTCAAGCCCGAAGTACAAACGCCGCTACGAAGTGATACAACACGGCGCGAGCAACCTGCAACCGATGGCAAGCGACCATCATCCGCTCGTGGCACACAAAGTGCTCGGTTGAGCGAGCATACTGCCATTCGAAAGAGCAACTCTGTGCGACTTCCACAACCCAAGCCCAGGTCGCAGGCTGAGCCATCGACAATATTTCAGCGCGCCGAACTTGAGCCGACTCTCGACCGAGCCGATAGTGGTCTGGGACTGGCTTCCACCACAAAGCTCAAGCAAGCCTCAGCCGCGAGTTACGATCCTTTCTCCGAAATCCATCTCAGCAAGCGGCATGTCCCACACGTTGACGTCGCTCGCGCCGTGGAACAAAACGAGATCTACATGCTTCCTCGCCTATTAAAGGAAGTCAAGGCGCCAGACTACGACCCACCTGACTGCGAGTCCGACTTTGTGGTTTTCGCCATTCTAGCCTCCAAGTCATCGCCCTTCGATCAGAAACAGAAGCACAAGACCAGTGACGAGGGCAGGCCGCAAGAGGATGCCACCGCACCTCGCAACAAGTTCATGGTACTCAAGCTGTGCGACCTGAAGTGGGAGATTGACTGCTTCCTCTTCGGCACAGCCTTCGATCAGTTCTGGAAGCTGACACCGGGCACTCTGCTTGCAATTCTCAACCCAGCCATTCTTCCACCCAAGGGTAACCAGCAGAGCGGCCGCTTCAGCCTCAAGCTAGGCAGCTCCGAGGACTGCGTCATGGAGATTGGTGTCGCGCGCGATCTAGGTTACTGCACGAGCGTCAAGAAGGACGGCGAAAAGTGCGGCGAGTGGGTTGATAAACGTTCCACCGAAATCTGCGAGTTCCACTTAAACCTCTTCATTGAGAAGCAGCGGAAGTCGAGGATGGAAGTCAACACTATGTGGCGTGGACACGGCGGTACGAGTTCCAAGTCTAACAGCCGGGAGCTCGGAGACGGCGAGTTCGACCGCAGCATGAAATACAAACGCGGCATGACTGTTGACCGAGAGTGCGGGAGACTGTATACAGTCAATACAGGCATGGGCCGCTCCGCAGCTTCTCTACTCGACGCAGAAGGCGAGGCATGGCTGGATCAACGCACCGGGTCGGAGATGAGTCGTAAACGCATCGCCGCCGCGGAGAAAGAACGCGAGCTGCAAAAGGAGCTGAAGAAGCTTCTACCAAAAAGCGACGAGAGCGTTGGAGCGGAGTACATGCGCGCCTGCAACCACGTAGAAGCCGCACCGCCGTCTGATGCTATGGACGAAAATACGCCCTACTTCGCCAAACCCTCCGCCGCTGAGCTGGGGCTGCTCTCCAACCGCGCCAGCGCCGTCCACATGAGTCCGGCCAAAGACCGAAAGGCGCATTTCGGCCTCGGCGCACTGTCAACAACCACAGGTCGAGACGCGGTAGGCTGGGGCGGTGCGCGGAACGCGAAGCTGTTGCAGCCCAAAGAGATATCGAGAAGCAGTCCGGCGAAAGGACAGACGAAGCTAAATCCCGCCGTCCGTGCGCGGTCGCGAGACGGGACTGTAAGTCCTTCGAAGAAGCGAGCGAGGTTCATGTTGGCGGAGAAGGGGTTGAGGGAGCCTGGGCGGGAGAGTGGAGGGGTGCGGGAACTGAACGTCAAGGGTTTGGGTGATGACGATGATGATGACCTGGATATTGTATAGTATGCAGTGTAGAGAATGCGCCTGTACGGCTCATTGCGTGGCAGGTAGATACTGTCCGCTATGGATGCTGCACTCTTGCAACAACCGACGCTTCATATGACGCTGATACAAGTTGAGCGAAGCTCTCTTTGATGGTTCGGACCCCATGTGTTCTATCCCGCTGCGGTGATTGCTTCCTACCGAAACGCCGCGCTAACATCGAAACTCGCCAGACCAACCGCCTCCGCTCAAGCACAGATAAATAAGGAAGACATTACGCAGCCGCCTCAACAATAGCCGCACCACCCTTTAAACTCGGATCCAGCTCCGCCTGTTTCTCCAACGCCCTTGCCCGCTCCTCCTCTGTAAAGTTAACAACGGTAATGTTAATCTCATCCACCCTCTCCTCATCTGTTTGCGTAACCGCCTGCCTTCCAATTTTCCGCTTCGGCCGTATCGCCGTCCGCTGGATGATAGGGTAATAATACGCCGCCTTCTCCAGCCTCTGTTTCGCTCCCGGAGTAGTGCCGACATCGCCTTCGGTATCGTGCAGCGCCAGTGCGACGGAGTCGTTGTACAGATCCGTCGCATTGCCGTGCTGGTTGTACGTCTCGTAGGTACGTAGACGCTCGTACTTGAATGCTCGTCCCTCGGGAGTGTCGTCGGTGTAGAGTTCCGGGTCGTCATTCTCCGTATCATTGACGTCGAATTTGCGCTTGATGCCGCGGACGGCGGAAACCTCGGAAGGCACGTAGTAGTCGTATTCGTACTCTGGTAAGGGCTGCGGCTTGCCAGAGTTGGGATCCCATTCGGCGAGGCGTCGTTGGTATTCAGCTTGCATTTGCGGGTCGTCGACTGGTCGGAGGATGGCCGTATCTAGACGCTGGTCGTAGCCGTCCGTTCCAAGTGGATTTGAGATGAATTTGGCGACCATGTAGTAGCCGCTCGTCGGAAGTGCTTCGAGATCGGGCAGGACTGGATAACTATCGAGCAGTTGCAGTTCAGGCTTAGTCGGGTGCTTTGGGTTCGACCACGCCTTGACCTCTGCGTCGGTGACAGCTGCCCCTCGGATATTGCTAGTGCTGTCGTCGCCTTTGTACGCATCGCTTGGATATGCGAGATCAAAGCCCTTGACTATGTTGCGGATGATGTTTACCGGATCGTCTTTGTCGAGATTGTTCGGTTTGCGCCGTTTCGGATCGTTGCGCAGGCGCATCATGTCTTTCGAAGTGTTCGACACCATTTGCTGAACATTCGAGGACGCCGTGTATTCGGTTCTTCGAAGGAACGATACGGCGCCGGCAGAAGCATTCGACTTTCCAAGCGCAGAAAGCGGCTTGAGTAACTGCTTGTCCGCGGGATGTATCTGCGCATTCGGTCGCACGGAGATAGCTGGGCAGTATTAGTACAGACATAAGAAGTCTGCCACCGCGCTTCTTCATACCTCTTTCGTCTCCATCAAAGACACCTGGTATTCCAACCAAGTCAATACGCATGCCGAGCTCTGCATCCGCTTCGATATTAAGAGGCTGCTCTCTCGCCAGCTTTGACGCATATGCGGCGCTTGTGTACTGTCCGCCTGCAAGACCGGTGCCTGGTATCTCAAGCAGCTTCGGCGGATTTGGGGGCGGTGGTAGAGCGTTCGAGTACCGTATTCGCGCGATGTAGTCCTGGTGTACCACACGCTCAGGGCGCTGGCTGGACGACATGACGAGTGCAGTATCACACGAGACTACACGCTACTTTGGAGTTGGAGCCAGTTGTTGAAGTGTAAGCAGAGAGTGTTCCTGGAAGTGAAGTGCATTTGTTCAGCACGCGAGCAGTAGTCGTGAACAGCGGAAGTGCTCCGGTCGCAAGGCAGGAGGTTGGATGCCTTAGGCAGGATGATGCTGCCTTGGGCTTGCGTAGAGTCGAACGTCAAGTCTCTCAGGGCCGTCAATATTCCAAACTCCACGCCATCGTAATCCGGAAGCCGTTCATCAGTTTTATCCAATAGGCTTTGCGGATAGATCGAACAGTGACTCTGCCGTTGTGGTCTGCCTTCGAGCTGATGAGGCGGAGGAAATGTCGATTGACCTTTGCAGCAGGGCGTTTGGCGCCCTCTCATTGGCAGGGTCCAGAAAACGTGTCGGATGCAGTGGCCGTCGAGGCAGCTACAGATCCCAAGCCACGTGAGAGATGGAAGACATGCAGACGGCCTCACTTCCGGCGGCTTTGTCCGACCTCAGTACCTCTCTAGCGCATACGGCTACAGCCTCGTTCGCCGGCGCAGGTACGGATCCTACTGCTGCTCTACATGCTCACGCTGGGCCTGACTCTACTCTCGGCATGCTTGGTGGTCTCTTTCTGCGTCTCGTCTACTTCATACCGAGCCTTCTGTATTGGATCATAAGCTTTGTCACCCTAACACTCCCGAGATGGCTATTCAGATTCCTGTCAACAAGCTTGACATTCACCATGAACATGACGACCATTCTGCTGATGTTGCTGTTGTTTGCGTCTACGGTTGCGTGGTTTGTTCGGTACAGGTTTCTGAACATGTACGCTCGACTGCCTCCCAAGCCGCAGATGAAGGACCCTCAGATCGAGATCTTCCCGGACACGCAAGAAGCAGACAGCAAGCCTGGGCTCGCCAACTACTTCGATGAGTTCTTGAGTGCTATCAAGGTCTTTGGGTACCTGGAGCGGCCGGTCTTCCATGAGCTTACTCGGACGATGCAAACGAAGAGGCTCATTGCAGGTGAGACACTGCTACTGGAAGACGAGAAAGGCTTCTGTCTGGTCGTGGATGGCTTGGTGCAGATCTTCGTCAAATCGAGGCGCCCTTCGGATCCGGATGGCAGCGGTGATTCAGCGATTCCCGAGGACGACATCGCAGAGGAACGGCCGAATGCTAACCGAAGCTATCAATTGCTCACGGAAGTGAAGAACGGCGCTCCTATGTCATCATTGTTCTCGATCCTTGCGCTATTCACCGACACAGTCAAGCTCAGATACGACGACGAAGACGAGCCTGCTCTTGAGACAAGCAACTCCGTACTCAACTTCAAGCATCACAGTCGCTTCCCTTTCCCTCACATTGACGGCTCAAGCACTCCTATCTCGGGTGCAGAGAGCCCTTTTGTTGGTGGAATGTCACGGCCGTCGCCGAGGCAGAAGCAGCTGTCAAAAGAGCCACCGCCCCTCAATCTTGATGGCCCTATCGACATGAACCACCTTCAGCCGACCGAAGGTTTCCGACCGAGCATGTCTCGCACAGATAGCTACATCCCAAGGCGGCACCGGAAGCGAGACTCTGCTCATCCGGATATTGTGGCAAGAGCAACCGTGGACACGACCATTGCCATCATACCAGCAAGTGCTTTCCACCGCATTACGCGAATGTACCCGAAGGCCACAGCACAAATTGTTCAGGTTATCTTGACCAGACTCCAACGCGTAACGCTGGCTACCGGACACGCATACCTAGGCTTGACGAGCGAAGTCTTGCGTACTGAACGCCTGATGGACAAGTACACATCGTACGATCTGCCGGACTTCCTGCGTGGCGAAGCGCTACAGCGACTGAAGGACAAGTTCCGGAAGGAGCAAGAACGGATCGATCCCGAAGACGGTTCGAAAGGCATCGCCTTGCATAACCCCCGGATTGCACAGCGAAGACGAACGAGTAGTAGTCTCCGGCGAGGCACAGCGGCGAAAGCACGCTTCGCCGTTCGGAATGGCAACACGCAAGCGAAGGCAGCTGATGTCGAGTACCATGGCGTCAGCGCAGGCGATCTACTCACGAACATGCATGCGGCACGGTCTAATGGACGGAGCCGGAATGCTGGATCATTCTCTCAGCCCTATTCTGCGCCCAAGATGGTCAATGGCGACATACTCACTCCGGTCCACGGATCGCATCACGAGCAATTCGACATTGATCAGACCCCGCGAGCACACATGCAACGACAGGAGTCAATGGATGAAGACCTCCTCTTCCGTGAAGCCATCGTCGAGTGTATGGCGAAAGCGGTCGGTCTGTCACACAAGGTTGGCGTCACTAATCAGCCATCAGCCGCGCAATCACCCGCATTAGTGTCGTATGACCCCAAGCGTCAGAGTGCCGTCTTCAATAATGCTTTTGGTTTGATGGACCTCTACGATGGCTCAGCAGATGACTCCGACTCAATAGCTTCCATGTCCGCGTATAGCACCAATGGCTCCGTGAACATCTTGGAGGATCTGCGGGACGAAGTGGAAATCGTGTACTTCCCGAAGGGCTCCGTCCTCGTTGAGGAAGGTGAGCGCAATCCGGGCCTGTACTACATCATTGATGGCTTCCTCGATGTAAGCGCTGCCGTAGACGGCAACGAGAGCAACATGGACATCCTAGGAACGAAGGGTGCACCTTCGCGGGTACCGGTGCCAGATATGCTACGACCTAGGAGCGACAAGCTCCGACCTGGCTCGCGTTCCCGCTCTCGGGACGCGAGGTCTACAGCCAACAAACAAAGCCTTTTCCTGATCAAGCCTGGCGGACTGGCGGGCTACCTTGGCACTGTATCCTCATACCGTTCGTTTATTGATGTCACAGCCAAGACGGATGTCTATGTGGGCTTCCTACCGCGGAACGCTGTAGAAAAGATCGTCGAGCGCTATCCAATCGTACTGCTGACGATGGCCAAGCGTCTGACAAGCCTGCTACCAAAGCTGATACAGCACATTGATTTTGCGCTAGAGTGGGTGCAGGTCAATGCGGGCCAAGCGATCTATCACCAAGGTGAAGAGAGCGATGCTATCTACATTGTGCTCAACGGTCGTCTTCGGGCAATACAGGAGAGTGAAGACGGCGATATGAAAGTCGTTGGCGAATACGGCCAAGGCGACAGTGTCGGCGAGCTCGAAGTGCTTACAGAGTCTGCTCGTCCGGGTACGCTGCATGCGATCCGTGACACGGAGCTGGCAAAGTTCCCGAAGACTCTGTTTAATAGCTTGGCTCAGGAGCATCCGGGTATTACGATAAAGGTGTCAAAGATCATCGCCTCACGGATGCGAGCATTGATCGAGAATCCGATGACTGAGCCGGCAGCGCAGGAGAGCAAGCTCGCCGTGTCCCGTCCAAAGGTGACATCCACCGTCAATCTACGCACCGTGGCGATCGTGCCATGTACGACAGGAGTGCCGATCATGGAGTTTGGCAATAAGCTGCACGCTGCGCTCGTTCAGATTGGCGCAACGGGCGGCGTTATCACGCTTAATCAGTCCTCGATCCTCAGTCATTTAGGCAGGCACGCATTCAGCAGGATGGGGAAGCTGAAGCTGTCCCAATATCTGGCAGACTTGGAAGAGAAGTACAGCCTTGTGTTATATGTCGCAGATACAAGCGTCAAGTCGCCGTGGACACAGACGTGCATAAGCCAGGCGGACTGCATCTATCTTGTTGGTCTTGCCGAAGGCTCAGCCGCCATCGGCGAATACGAGCGCTTTCTGCTGACCACGAAAACAACGGCCCGCAAAGAGCTGGTCCTGCTACATGCGGAGCGGTATTGTGCGTCAGGTACTACACGAGCATGGCTTCGCAATCGGCCTTGGGTAAACGGTGGCCATCATCACGTCCAGATGGCGTTCCGCAGCGCCGAGGAGCCGGTGCATGCTCGACCAAAGCGTTTCGGTAACACAATCAAGCAGCATGTGCAAGTTCTTCAAGCCGAGCTTCACAAATATACCTCTCGCAAAGTGCGACAGATTCCGCTCTACTCTGCGGAAACGCCGTTCAAAGGCGACTTTCACCGGCTTGCTCGACGGCTGTGCGGAAGGTCGGTAGGTCTCGTACTTGGCGGTGGTGGCGCCCGTGGTCTTGCTCATGTTGGCGTCATTCGTGCGCTGGAGGAGGCCGGCATACCGATCGACATGGTCGGCGGAACCTCCATAGGCGCATTCATTGGCGCTGTGTACGCCCAGGATGCGGACGTGGTCCCGATGTATGGGCGTGTGAAGAAGTTCTCTGGTCGGATGGGCAGCGTCTGGCGCTTTGTGCTCGACGTCACATATCCTTCGGCCTCTTACACCACCGGCCACGAGTTCAATCGCGGCATCTTCAAGACCTTTGGCGACAGCCAGATCGAAGACTTCTGGCTGGACTTTTACTGCAACAGCACTAATATTAGCCGGTCACGCTCGGAGATACACACCAGCGGGTATGTGTGGAGGTACATCCGCGCCTCGATGAGTCTAGCTGGCCTACTACCGCCAATGTGCGACGAAGGCAACATGCTGCTCGACGGCGGCTACACCGACAACCTCACCGTCTCGCACATGAAGTCCCTTGGTGCTGAGATAATCTTCGCAGTCGACGTCGGCGCGATTGACGACGACAGTCCACAGGCATACGGTGACAGCCTATCCGGCTTCTGGGCCTCAGTCAACCGATGGAACCCGTTCAGCACCTTCCCGAATCCGCCTACACTATCAGAAATCCAAGCGCGGCTGGCGTACGTCAGCAGTGTGGACGCGCTGGAGCGGGCCAAGAACATACCAGGATGCCGGTACATGAGGCCTCCGATCGAGCCGTATGGGACGCTAGAGTTTGGGAAGTTTGACGAGATCTATCAGGTTGGATATCAGTTTGGCAAGCGGTATCTGGAGAAGTTGCGCCAGGAGGGGACGCTGCCTATACAGGAGGATACGGAGGAGAGGAAGAACCTTAGACGTACGATGGCGCCAAGGCGGGCGAGTATTTGAGTTTGTATCAACTCGTACCTTCCTCGGTTACCCGCTCACTCGACGCTTTCACGTGACAACTTCACTTGACGCTCTCACTTGATCAATACTTTACTTCACGGAAACAGTCGAAGGCCCACTTGCAATCCTCTGTACTTCCGGAAGTTCAAATTCACATCCTGACTTTGTCCAGACATACTCATCATCTTCCTGCAGTAACATGGCACGCCCACAGAAGACGGAGGAGGTAGTGGTAGAGGAGTCAGTCGCAGTGACTCTACCATCGCCAGCAGCAGCACCTAAGAAGCGGCGGCCGACGAAGGTGCTCGCCGCCAAGAAGGTCTCAAAAGCCTGCGAGGAGCCCTACAAGGCAAATGCGACAAAATCGCCACTCTTGCGTCTCCCTCCAGAAGTGCGCAACCGTATCTGGGGCATCTTACTTGCTGGCAAGACTCTTCATATCGAGGCAGTGAAAGTCAAAGGCACCTGGAAGGTTCATCATTCAATCTGCTGCTCCTCGACCAATGATGTGGCGGAAGCCCAGCGCATCAGCACTATCCACAGGGACGTGGGTTTCCGCGCGTTGGACAGCTACGCCGACCGACACAACAAGTGTAAGCTTCTCTATCGGTCTAGAATCATTCAGAGGGCCTTGCCGCTGCAGATCCTTGCCTCCTGCCATCAAATCCACTGGGAAGCAGCTCTTCTGGCGTACGAAACGAGCACGTTCTCCCTTGACCATATCGTATCCCTTGCGCCGTTCCTGCAAGCGCTGATACCAGCTCAGGTAGGCAACTACAGTGTGGAGCGCCTCAGCTGCCGTTGACACAATGACTAACGGTATCCATGTACACTCTGCAGGCCTACGCCATCAAGTCAATTGTCATAACCAACGGCTTCCTTTACCACACTCCCACTAAGACGCTCCAAAAGGTGATCAAAACCAAGCTGCGGGGACTCAAACAATTCACCTGCTTCGTGCGATATTATGGAGGCGTCGGTGGCCAGGGAAGCAGTGGGCGGCAAGAACGCATCGCCGAGGAGGAGAGGTACATGACACAGCTCCAAGTCTGCCCGATTCAGTCTGCGAACGTGGCCGTCTTTTGTGCGTACCGCGGCTCCCACAATTTCAATCACAAGGCCGCGGGGAAGTGGACATCCGCGATGTCGAGGCGTGTCGAAAATGCAATCACCTCCACCGACACCATCCAGTCATAAGGCACATCGCACCACAGACCAAGCCCGCTGTAATCAAGACGTATGTTGGATTGCAGGCATGGTGGCAGTATGGAAACCTTCATGCGCGAAGCGAACGACAGATAGCAAGGAAGTGTCAAACCCACGCACATATTGCTTGCGCGTCATAACCCTTCTACAAAGCGTTTCGAACAGCCTACGATCGAGTAACAGAGAAACTAAGTGTACGCCACCGCAGCCAAAGCATGCAAATGCGTGCCCTCCGCCCTCGCCTTATACTCCGGCCACCTTACAATAGTATCACGCATCACATCCGTGCCCCACATAAACTCCTGAAAGACGGTGTCCGCCCACAGGTCCGGGTTTTCTCCCTCACCCTTCGCAGCCTGTCTGATCTTGTCATCGCGCGCTTGCTGCTCCGGTCCGTCAGGTAGATGAAGCGCTCTGCGTGTTGTGGCGGCAGAGCCCTGGACCGCTTCACCGCGCGCTTTGCGCACTTCTTCGTAGACTTGGAGTGCTAGCGGGACGTCGGTTGATGATTTGGCGAGGACGGCCTGCAGGACGCCGGCGTCTTCGATTGCTTGGGCTGCGCCTTGGGCTACGTAGGGCTGGGAAGGAGTCAGCGATCGATCGAGCAAGTTCGGACTGAAACGAAACTTACAAGCATTGGATGGCACGCATCACCCATCAACACCACCTTGTTTTCCACCCAGCTCGGTAGAGGCTTATGCGAGTTGAGCGTCCACTCCATGACCTCGCCTTCTGGTACGTAGGACAACAAGTTGCGGACTTCCTGACACCACTCCTTGTAGAAGCCCATCATCTCCTGCTTATCGCCTTTCCGAGTCCAGCTCTCGCCTTCATGATGATCGACGTGCGGTCGCTCCGGATGCAGCAAGACCATGTTGTAAACTTGATTGTTCTTGATCGGGTATGCCATGATGTGCCCGCCGGGACCCATCCACCGCATGCCCACGTCCGTGTTCAGAAGCTCAAGGGCATACTCGTCATGCTGCATCTTCTCCTTGGGAATGAGAATGCGGTATGCGGCGTCACCGGTCGGGCTGGCGTGGTCGACGTGCTTGTGGTACTCCGCAATCTGCCTTCTGATGTCGGACTTGATGCCGTCGGCGGCAATTATCAAGTCTCCTTCAACCCACTCGCCATTCTTGAGCTGGACTCTCGCCTCGAACTTGGGGTCTGCACGCACGACTTTATGGTCTGTCTGGATGTCCACGCCAGCCTTCTTCGCCTCTGCAAGCAAAGTCCGCTGCAAGTCACCGCGGTGGATCACACCAAGCGGCGCACCGTACTTCTCCGCGATGGCGGGCATGAGAGGCGCAGTGCCTAGCTCTTCATTATTCTGCCACCGCCGAAGAGAGTTGCGCTTCAGATAATTGCAGTGCTTGGCAATTTCAGGGAGCACGCCGAAACGACCCAGTATGCGCATATTATTGGGTGCCATTTGGATGCCAGCGCCAACCTCAGCAATCTCTCGCACTTGCTCGAGGATAGTAACATCGTGGCCGGACTGCTTCAAGCCGATTCCAGCGCAGAGGCCAGCGATACCAGCGCCAACAATGATCACCTTCAGCTTTCTTTCAGGCTGCAGTCCCAGCTTCCAGGTGTCGTGATAGTACTCCATGTTTCTGCAATAAGGACTTGCGGACACGAGAGGAAGGAAGTACGTGAGAAGAGAAAGTTCGTAGAGAGGCAAGTGAAATGGTTTAGTAGGTACTGTCAAGCATCCTACCTGGCCTAAGAAGAGCTCTCCTAATGTACTCAATGGCAAGAGTGACGTGGTAGTAGCAATGACATCAAACCACGCGGATTCATGTTACGGCAAAAACGTTCAATGGGCCGCCTACTGACATCTCAGGGCCAGTTGAACAGTCCACTTCGGATGCTCCGGAAGCGTTGTTGGGCACGTTGCGCATCGATGAAGTGACGGGGGCGAGAAAACGAAAGATGAAGGTTTGCTCTCGGATCAAAAAGCCGTTCGGCATTCGTCGTCGGAGGCGCTCCCGCTTGCCGGGAGTTTGAGCCGCAGTCCAACGCCTCCCCGAGTTTTGAATGGCAAGCTAACCTAACCCTCGAACGGAAAGACACACTGCCAGAACAGACACGATTGTCCTTGCCATGAACGTCCGGCGCAAATGGATAGATTCAGCTACTTCACTAGAGTAGTCCCGTTTCTCATAATTCATCAGTACACTCGTACCCAATCCGCCGAATATCCGGCGTTAGGAGGTTTGTGACCATCTCCAGCGAAGGAAGACAACCACCTTGGCCCCAGCTCAAACCTTTCCTACATGAGTCTGACATGTTGTCTCAACAGGTACAATGAGGCCTCAGTCGCTCCTTCGGCACTGTTAGTAGCTATCCGATTGATGCTACCACTGCCAGCGTAGGGAGCGTCCACGAACTCCAACGACTTGGGGCCCTACGCTACCCATGCTCTCACCGCCCGCTTCATCATATTCTGGCCACTCGCAGCAATGACCGCAAATTCAGCCACGCTCGCACCCGTGCCATTGAGTTCATTCGGGGTGCCAGCATTGCCTTGATTACCCATGATCGTCAGCGTCGCATACCGCCCGCTGTACACCGGCGAAGCGAGGGTGACATTCGTGGAGTTCGACATGTACGGCACAATCACGTACGCTGTAGCTGCATCGTACTGACTCGAGATGGTGATGTTACTGCTGCTGGTTACGTTAACCGATCCGGACGACCCATCTGAACTGTTCGAGAATGTGACGCTGTAACTGACTGGCGGTTGCTGTGCCCAGTCGAAGTTGATGGCTGTGATGGGTACGAATGGTTCCGGAAGCTCTACGGTCAGTGACGCGCTGATATTCGACTGTGTTGGTTGCCACTTGGTCGAGACCGCGCCGTCGACAGCCGAAAGCGGGAACTGGCCAGGCTCGTAATCTTGTGGCGATGCTACAGACTGGCATTGTGCGATGTTTCCGGGCACTGTTTGGATGTTGCCGATTTGCCTGTTCGTCAAAGTAATCGTGCCATTCGGCTGAAGCTGGTACACCGTAGTGTTTCCAGACAGCGATGCGCCACTCAGACTGACAGTGACCGGGATGAAAGAGTTGGCGAAGGTGGAGTTCGCACTAGCTAGCGGAGTCGGCAGCCTGGTCAATGTGGTGTGTGTCTGGTTCGAGAAAGCCTTTATCGGCCACCCTTGCCAGTAGATCTGCCGGTACGCAAGCTGCGGAATCTGCGGCGGAAGCGATGGGTTGACGTTGAATGAGTCGAGCATAAGGCGCAGACCGAGGTAGCCGAATACAGCAACTCTATGTGCACCGCCATGACCAGTCAAGAAAGGGTACGCTGGATGCGTTCCACCATTAGCAGTAAAGTCATCAAGTAGCTGCTCGCTGAATTGGAACCATGGGCCGCGAGTGTACGGCTGGGAGCCATAGAGATCATACGTGTACGATGAGCACCCTGAAGGACTGACGTCGTTCGCGACGATGCTAAACACGCCGTAGGTCATGCCCGGACCGTTGAGAGACTGCTTGCCGGCATAGTAGTCCAAGTCGCTGAGACTGTACGGATTCGGGAAGTCTAAGAAGTCGTCAACGAGGATGACATCGGCTTGTTTCACGGAGATGGTGTTGTTCTGCGTAGCGTATTCGAGGATGAGATTGGCGTCGTAATCGATTGGGATGTTGATCTGCGAAGCAATCGAGCTCCAGTTCATGTTCGGCTCCATGCCAAAACGTTGGCGAAGTACGTTCGCGGTGTTGACGTGGGTCTGTATCAGGGCCATTGTGTAGCCGATATCAGTCTGGAAGTTCGCGTACTCGTCCGGATCCGTGCCGTTGAGCAGCTGGTACTTTCCGGTGGTCTGGTTCAATGTAAGAATGTCGATGTAGAACTGTGCGATAGCCTGGTAGATGGGGAACAGCTGGCTCTGGAAGAAGCTCGTGTCGCCAGTAACAGCATAGTAATTGTAGAACTCAAGCCCAATGTCACCGTTGATGTGATACTCGTAATCGAAGCATGGTCCGACGCCAGTGCAATTTCCGTAGCGTGCACTTGTCCAAGAATACACAGCACCGTCAGGTGAGAATCTGCCTGTCTGGTTTAAGCTGGAAGTGAACGCGTCGCGGACATTAGCTTGAGCTTGTGGGAACTTCTCAACGCGGTACAGCGCTATCTGCCTTGCTGCGTCTGGGTGAGCGACTACAAGGCCAGGTGCCATCCAGACCTCTGCGTCCCAGAAGATTTGACTAAGTCATCGTTAGCTTACGTTTCGTCGGAGCCGCCACGAAGCCGTACGCACCCAGCATAGCTTTCGCTGCCCAACCCACCGACAGCGATGCTGTTGACAGCCAGCAAGGTGTTGTTGCCTGCAGCATTGATTGCATTGGTGCCGACCGTCTGTTGCAGCAGATGGTATGCGTTCGTAATAGCGGTGATCTGCAGCTCCAGTATATTCGCATCATCAGGAAGCGTGTCGTTGCTCAAATGGTAGCTATCGACACTGTCATCCGTCATGATGCTGGCCCACTCCGCAATCTGTGACTCGAGCATGCTAGTGAAGCCTTCGTGTGAAGCCTGCCAGGTCGCATTGATCGCAGTGTTTGCCGGGTCCGCGAAGGCATCAGAAGATGCTGCACCAATGTACTTGGTAATGGTGCTAGTTTGGCCGGCTATGAGCGAGACATTCATCGCTTGCGCAATCGATGAGCTGTTGCCGCCAATGACCGAACTCATGGTGTAGTTCATCCGACTACCAGAGTCGCAGTACTCGTCGCCTACCATTGCAGAGACAACGTATGCTGTTACATTGCTGACACCATTGGGACTTACTGCGGTCCAGATCATGGGCAGTACCGGCTCGTACATCTTGTCGACGAACGTTGTCCGCACTGCACAGTCTCCGTCAAGCACATCGATGACCGACGCATTCACGTCTCTTGAGGCTGTGACTTTGAGCTGCACTGCAGCTTGATTGACGTACAACTTGTGCACAAGCATAGTGTAGTCGACATCGATCGCCGGACCGTTGCTTGGAGACCAGGTGTAATGCCATGTCATGACTCCAGCAGCGAAGTCGACTGTCGAGCTGAAGCCAGAAATCTCATCTGAAGGCACACTTGCATCCAACACCTCGCCACCAACTGCCAGGTGCAACCCACTCCAATGAGGGATACCGCTGATTGCACTCTCACCCCCGTATTGGTTTAGCCACGGAAAGTTCGTTCCGTTGAGAAGAGGCTGCGAGTCGTAGAACCCAGCAATAGTGGCGAACGTCTGTCTCCGATCAAACATGGGCCAGCCATTGATGTTGTCGCCGTCGACCGGTGTATCGACCTCGAAGAACGGACCGACTGCCGCAACATTTATGCCAAGATAGCCATTCGCGAGCGACATGCGCTCTTGGTATTGGCCTTGAACGAGGCTGGTCGTTGTTATGCGCCAGTTCTCATCGTCCCATGTCGTGCCGTTGAAGCGGGTTTGATATATCGCTGCCTTCACAACTGCGGACAATAAGAGCCAGTGCAACGCACACATAGTTGACGAAGCTGTTCTTTCTGCTCAAGGTGTCAGTAAGCACCTTCCCTTCGTAGGAGGCTATGCAAGCCGACTCCGATTGTTATGGTTGCCACGAGTTGTTCAGTTTTAGAAGGCTCAACTTACTCGCCATGATGCTGCAATGCTACGAGACGCTCCAGCTCCTGGCAAGGCAACGCTCGACAATACCAACAAGCTCACGACGGACAACCGCGAAACCACGCGGCGGCCACGCTCTCTTTACATCATATTATACAACCCGTCTCATACCACTGCGGAGGACGCATAAGCGGGGTTGATTATGACGTTGCAAAGAGAGTTTCGCGGGGTGCGTCTCCGCAGCGATACCGCATACGGTAGGCACAAACGAGCTGCTGCAGATGCTTACGGCAATGTGCCTGACGATCTTGGATCGCTGGCGTGAGACGGCCCGCTATCGCGGAGTAACCCAATAAGCCAGCAGCGAACAGTCGTGATGAATGCAAGTCCCCATACACTAACCTGCACGGCGCCCAGGCTGGCTGCGCTCATGGCGCGGCGACCTTGTGGTCTTGCACAAGCCGACTGGTCCCGCTGAGTTCTAATGTTGAATGCACGTTGAGTGCTGCCACCAACGCCTCGCTTCGAACGCTTATGGATGTCGTTGAGTAATCATACCATCCCTTCGTTTGTGTCTTGAGAGACAGCTCAAGTGGGCATCGGAGCCGCAGCCCCAGTCATCCCATCTTCAGTCTCAACCGGAGCACAACTAGGGGATAGTCAGCTCCATCGCCACGACCAAGACAAACACCACCAAGTCATTGCGGACTCACCTGCAAAACAAATTCATGTCCCCATACGCATCGTCCAACCTCGTAACACTCGGCCAGAATTTCTTCTCCTTCAACCAGCCCAACGGATACGCCGCCTTCTCCATCCCGTACGACCTTTCCCACTCCCCGCACACAATATCCTTCATACTGTGCGGTGCCATCTTCAACACATTACCCTCCTTTGGCTGCTTGCCTTCCTCGACCTCCCTGATCTCTTCACGAATCTGCACCAACGCTTCAACAAACCTGTCAAGCTCCGCTTTGCTCTCACTTTCGGTCGGCTCGATCATAAGCGTGTTCGCTACCGGCCAGGACATGGTAGGAGCGTGAAAGCCGTAATCTTGCAGGCGCTTCGCTACATCGATGGCTTCGATGCCTGCGCTCTTCTGGAAGGGTCGCACATCAAGAATGAACTCATGTGCGCAGCGGCCGTTCTCGTTGGTATACAGTATTGGGTAATGCGGCCGGAGCCTAGACAGTAGGTAGTTGGCGTTCAACAGCGTGATCTTCGTCGCGTGCGTCAGGCCACGGGCACCCATCATCTTGATGTAAGCCCAGCTGATGGGAAGGATACTCGCACTGCCCCATGGTGCTCCAGAGACGGGAGCGATACCTGTCTCTCCTCCGACTCCGGCCACGAGCGGATGGCCGGGTAGGAAAGGGGCGAGATGTTCCGCGACACCAATAGGACCGACGCCTGGCCCTCCGCCTCCATGCGGGATACAGAAAGTCTTGTGAAGATTGAGATGGCACACATCCGCGCCAATCTCGCCCGGCGAGCAGAGTCCGATTTGAGCGTTCATATTCGCGCCATCCATGTACACCTGTCCGCCATACTGATGCACGGTTTCACACACCTCCTTGATATTGGGCTCGAAGACGCCGAAAGTGGAAGGATAAGTGACCATGATCGCGCCCAGCTCGTCGCTGTACTTCTCACACTTGGCTTTCAGGTCGTCCATGTCCAGATTGCCGGTCAGGCCATCACACTTTATCGTCACAACCCGCATTCCAGCCATCGCCGCACTGGCCGGGTTGGTGCCATGTGCCGAAACGGGAATGAGGCAGATATCTCGCTTCTTGCCGGGTTGTTGTTCTTGGTATTTGCGGATCACTCTCAGCCCCGTGAACTCGCCTTGAGCGCCAGAATTGGGTTGAAGAGACACAGCGGCGAAACCTGTAATCTCCGCCAAGTCTTCTTCAAGCTCATGAATCAGCTGAAGGTACCCTTTCGTCTGATCTCGAGGCGCGAAGGGATGGATCGCGGCGAACTCTGGCCATGTGATAGGAACCATCTCCGTTGTGGCATTGAGCTTCATCGTGCATGAGCCCAATGGGATCATCGAATGCACCAGTGACAGATCCTTCGACTGTAGATGGGTCATATACCGCAATAGCTCCGTCTCCGAGTGGTGGCTGTTGAAGATCGAATGCGTCAGATAGCTTGACGTCCTTCTCAAAGGCTCAGCCAATTGCGCCGTAGCGCTTTCTTCCAACCCTTCCGCAAGCGCAACAACATCAATATGCTCCGTCGTGAAAGCCCGCAAGATCTCCTCAATCTGCTTCTTCCCAACCGTCTCATCGATCGTGATGCCAATCGTGTCTTGATCCACCACGCGGAAGTTAATGTGCATCAATTGTGCAATCTTCTCCGCGAACAACTTCGCCTCCCGCTTCTTGACAACCACCGTGTCAAACGCGACCGGCTGCTGGACCTCCAACCCTGCCTGTTCCAAGCCTTTCGCAAGCACCTGCGCCATCTTCGCCACCTTCTCCGCGATGCGCTTCAGGCCATCCGGACCGTGGTAGACGGCGTACATGGCGCTCATGTTCGCCAGAAGCGCTTGGGCTGTGCAAATATTGCTCGTGGCTTTCTCGCGACGGATGTGCTGTTCTCTTGTCTGCAGCGCCAGACGTGCCGCAGGGTCTCCTAGACGGTCCTTCGAGAGACCGATGAGCCGGCCGGGTATCTTCCGTTTGTGCTTCTCGCTCACGGCGAAGAAGGCCGCGTGTGGGCCGCCAAAACCGAATGGCACGCCAAAGCGTTGCGCATTTCCGAATGCGACATCAGCCCCGAACTCACCGGGTGGTGTAAGCAGCGTCAAGGCCAACAGGTCGGTCCCTACGGCAAAGGTACCCTTCAAGCGATGCACTTTCTCCGCCAGACCACGGAAATCTTCCACGCCACCTAGAGTGTCCGGATACTGCGCCAACACTCCGATCAAATCTTCTCCAATTTCATCCACCTTCTTACAGTCTTCAGCCAGCACGTCTGCAACTTCAATCTTAACGCCAAATCCTTGCGCCCGAGACTCCAGCACTGCAATCGTCTGCGGATGGCACAGATGGCTCACCAAATACACTTTGCCGTCCCTCTTCGCTCTAGCGGTCGGCAGGGCATTGAGACTCAACGTCATGGCTTCCGCCGCCGCCGTAGGTTCGTCCAAAACGCTCGCATTTGCAATCGCCAGTCCAGTGAGATCAGTCACCACTGTCTGAAAGTTGAGCAGACTCTCCAATCGTCCTTGGCTGATCTCCGGTTGGTAGGGAGTATAGCTAGTATACCACGCCGGATTCTCTAGGACATTCCGCTTGATGACTTCCGGTGTTCGTGTACCCGCATACCCGCAGCCGATGTAGCTCTTGTAGACCCTGTTGTCCCTTGCTATCTCTCTCAGCCGGTTGAGGAGTTGTGACTCGGAGTAGCCGCCTTCGCTTGTTGGCATGGAGCCAGACTCCGGCATGGGACCTTCGATCTTGAGGTCTTTGCTTGACAGGATAGTACTGGGTAGTACACTCTTGACGAATTCGTCTAAGCTCTGAGCTGGAGGATCGAGAGCTTGCAGCATCTCCTCAGCACTTATGGCGGAGGGTCCAATGTGGCGGCGAGGGAAGGTGTCAAGCGGTGCAAAGATGGAACCTTTCTGCTCGACTTTCGGCTCGCTGGAGCGAGTGTCGTCGGTCGAGCTGGAGTAGAAGGGTCGTGTAAGTGTGCGAGAAGGCCGAGCAGCGGCTCTTTGCTGAAGCAGTAGACAGCGGGAGGACAGCGGCCTTCGTGTGGCTAGCCATTGTGCCCGTAGGCGGGTGGCAATCGGTATGGTTGACATGTCGACAGCACTCTTGCCAAAGGGTAGTCTGAAGGTGTGTCGTATAGTTATTCTGAGTCGAGTAGCAGTCCCTAGGTGTTGTGGGCGGGTATTGCGGAGAAGCTTGTCATTGTTCGGCGTTGGGTAGGGGAGTGAAACGCAACAAGCGAGGCGCGAAGGCTCGCACAGTATCGTCCGTCGGACACCGGACTCGTGATGCGTACGACAGGGCTAATGTCTGCTTTGGGTCACTCACTATATACTCCGAACACGCAAGACTTGTCACCCGCAGCATTCAGATCTGGTTGTATCTTGCAGCTTATCGCTCGCTTATCTCGGCTACAGTCGGCGTACCAACTCAATTTGTCTCATTGGCTCGCATTCGGCCGCCGCTAAGGAATGCTCGAGCAGGGCGGCCTCATCGCTCAAGTCACACAGCCCCAGTGGCCTCGTCGTATCGTTCCGCTCACAGCCAAGCAAAGCCAGAGGCTGCCTCAATGTGAGAGAGCAGTGAGGGCGGCGGTTGGCAGACTCAATTAGGTCTATAGCGCGAGAAGCATCTGCACGTCGACTCGACGCATCTAGACGCCGTCAGAAGGCAGCGGGACGAAGGGAGGAGCAGCATCGAGCAGAACGGAACGCTTTGGGGTTGCATGTCAAAAATGCAGCCTCCACACCATGCCAACTATCGTGGCGTGGCCGCCACTGGTTCATTGAGGGCTGCAGGCTAGTGAGCGAACGTGCATGAAAGCTCACCGGAGCTCGAGGCGGGCAGCATGGGTGCCGGGTGGCCTCCGGCTCAGCCTTGTAGAGAGCTTTAACTCAGCGACGTCTGTTACGTCCATGTAGGGCATCGTCAAGCACGCTGATACTCGCTCTCACACGATAGCTGCCACTCACCACCACACAGGCGAATAGCAAATTAACAGCCCACCCTCCAACACCGTCTGTAGACCTTGGAGACAACACATCTTTCCCCACGCCCTACTAAACGAGGACCGCAAGACTCGCATACTGTCAATCAGACGAAGACTCCGACAAATTAACAAGTCTCAAGTGCATTTTGCGGAGGATCTTGGGCCTTCCGCAATGCTCTGCGAAGTTTGCTACCATGCAGTTTCCGATTATTTGAGAGCACATACCAGACACAGGAAGGCTGTCAAATACCATCCAATCGAGTATCCCTACCACGTCTCACTAACGAGTCTGAATGAGGCTCGCCAGCAAGGTTGCTATGTTTGCATGACGGTGTTTGTATTTCATAGTGAAAGCTATGTTACTGGCAGCATCAGGCTACGGCATCATCATGACAAATCGATGATAGCATTCAACGTGATCGTGATTGGCCCCGGAACCCGGTTGGGTGAACACTTCAGGCAAGAGTACGTGTACGAAATCCGCGAAGTGTCTGAGAAGTTTTTGGACTTCGGCCGCTCCTGTCAAGACGCGAGCCATCCTGAAATTGAAGACACAATCGCCGACCGGGCGCCATGTATCACTGGAAAGGAACGTATGCTCGATCTTGCTGCGCATTGGCTTGACGAATGTCAGTCAGGCCACGAAGAATGCAGGAGATACCCTGCGCCGTCGTGGTACCCAACAAGACTACTTCGTCTTGAAGGCGGAAAGGCCCATCTGATCAGGACTGCCGATGAGAAGCCATCCGGACCATACGCGACACTCAGTCATTGCTGGGGCAGGAAGGAATTTTTGATCTTGACGCGCGTAACCGAAACAGTGTTCACTTCTGGACGTCCGATTTCGGATTTCCCTGCTACACATCGCGAAGCAATGCAAGCTGCACAACGTCTCGGATTCAGCCTCATCTGGATCGACTGCTATTGTATCGTTCAGTCTTGTGGATGATGATAGAATTACAACTCCCGATAAGCTGCACGAGATCAGTCGGATGCAAGATGTCTATGCAAACACAACTCTGAATATAGGCGCAACTAGCGCCGAGAATGCGTACAGTGGCTGCTTCTCAAATGAACAGCCCATATATGACAAGGGAGACATGGAATCAATAGGCAAGAAGCTCTATCGTATTGACGAACGTCAGAATCTCGATGACGGCTATACCCTTTTCCGGGGAACGAAGTTATTTTCACGAGGCTGGGCCCTGCAGGAGCGACTGCTCTGTCCAAGAATGCTACATTTGGCGGGAGGACGGGTTTACTGGGAGTGCTCACAAGTCCCGTTCGTGTCTTCGACAATACCCTTTTCTAAGGTCTCTTGTCCGGATATATTCCCTTTCGCTATAGCTGCCCTGGATGACAAGAATCTCTTGCAAAGTCGTGGTTTGTGGCTGGAGCTGGTCGAGTGTTACTCCACCATGCAGCTCTCACATGCGCATGAAGACAAGTTCGCCGCTATCGGTGGTATTGCGCAGCGTGTATCTGAGCTTACTGGCGACGAGTACATCGCTGGGCTGTTTAGAAGGGACTTTATCAAGCAACTTCAGTGGTATGTCCCTTACCAGACTGATTTACTAAGGTATAGGCCCACCAAATGGCGAGCGCCATCCTGGAGCTGGGCTTCCCTAGATCGGGGCGTGATCTATGATTTCCGGAGAGTAGGTCGCGAAATGGTTTCGCTAGTCCGGTATGATTTATCACACGTCGACCTCAATAATCCTTACGGTGCCATGACCGCCGCCAGCGTGACCCTTTCTGGCCGTCTGATCGAAGGTAGCGTGGCAATGATTGGTTTCCGGGCCGGAGAAAGCGTGCTAATGACCCTTTCTGGCCGTCTGATCGAAGGTAGCGTGGCAAAGATTGGTTTCCGGGCCGGAGAAAGCGTGCTAAGGCTTCAGTTTGGTGCCATACGGATGGAAGGATCTATTCGTGAGCTCTCGGAAGATGTAATGGAGGGCCCGGTATTGATAAAGCCTGACACAACCAATTTCGACGGCGTAGGCGCTGGGTCTGACGATGCGATCTTCTTGCTGATACTGGGATGGCAATGGCGGTTCGGAAGAGGACCCGATTCCGGTGAAACCCTTTCGGAAAGGGCAGTCCAAGATTGCGAAGCTACAACGGTGTTTCCGGAGGAAGATCGTTGGGCCGATATCGCTTTGTCCGGTCTAGTGCTGCAGCGCTCTGGGCCAGATGCCTATTCACGATGCGGGAATTTCCGGACGTACCCTTATTCGCGGCCATCATCGGTTGAGGTACCACAGCTCTTGCGTCAATGGACGCAGGCAAGAGAGCAGAAGATCCTACTAGTATAAGAGACCATGGGCACTTCTCGGACGCTAGCCGCTACAGGCGTACATTGTATTATTGATGATTTGTGTTCTAGCGCTCGTTGCTGATCACGGGGATGATGCTCTAAGCCTTACGTGACCCGACGAGGAACAGACGGCGTGACGCAGCCACGCGGAGCTGAGTCGTGCGCGTAGTCTGCGCTATAGAAGGACTGACGGCTGCTCGGCGGGGTGGTTCTTACCGACGTTCGGCTGCATAGGCAGCCCAAATTTTCGACTTATCAATCAGCCCATTCCACCCTCTCACCCCTCCTCCTGATCCATTCTATCCTCTCTTCCCTTGCTCTTCCCACCACCCCTTCCCTTCCCACTCCCGATCCCAACCCCCTTCCTCCTCCCCCCTCCGCCTCCACCCCCCCTCTCCCTCTCCTTCTCATGCAACCCCTTCATCTCCCCTACCGCCACCCTCTGCGCCGCCCCCACCCTCTCCGCAAAAACCATCACCTCCTCCCTCCCCACCGCCCTCTCCTCCAACTTCCGCCCCAACGCCTTCTCAATCCGCTGGAAAACCTCCACATCATACTGAGTAACCACACTAACCGCCACCCCGCTCTTGCCCGCCCTGGCCGTGCGGCCGACGCGGTGGACGTACGTTTTACTATCTGGTGGGAGATCGAAGTTAATGACTAGATCCACGCTTGGGATGTCGAGACCGCGTGCTGCTACGTCCGTGGCTACGAGAATGGAGCGGGAGCCGGAGCGGAATTTATTCAGGGCGCCTAGACGTGCGGATTGGGGGAGTTGGCCGTGGAGCGGGATGGCGGAGAAATTGAGCGCTCGCAGAAGGAAGGCCAGTCGTTGTGTTTCGGTTACGGTGCGGGTGAAGAGGATGCAGGTTTGACCGGAGAACTCGGTGAGGAGGTGGATGAGGTAGACGTCTTTGTGCTTGTGTGGGATGAAGATGTATTGTTGTAGCAGATTCGCCACAGTCTGGTAGGAAGAAGTGGATATGCTGACTCTCACCGGGTTTCGTAGAGCGGCGCGGGTAAGATTGTCAAGTTTCGTGTTCATTGTTGCACTAAATAGTGCTGTTCGCCTCTCGCGAGGAAGGACTTGCAGAATTTTGTCAAGGATGGGCCCGAAGTCAAGGTCTAGAAGGCGGTCTGCTTCGTCCATGATTAAATACTTCAGGCTCCGTAGGGAGAATCCTTTAGTATTCTCCAGATGATCCAGCAGGCGGCCGGGTGTGGCAACGACGATGTGTGGTTTCTTTGCAAGTGCGATAGCTTGAGGTACCATATCCATGCCACCTACTATTACGGCGCATCGGACTCGGATCAGGCTGCCTAGGGCTTCGAATTGTTGGCTTATTTGGTACGCCAACTCTCTTGTAGGGGCTAGAACGAGGCCGAAGAAGGGTTGTGGATCGTGGAGAAGCGCCTGCAGAATCGGTAACGCGAATGCTGCTGTCTTGCCACTACCTGTTTCCGCCAGGCCGATAATGTCGCGGCCACTGAGGGCGAGAGGGATGGCTTCTCGTTGAATGGCGGTGGGTGTCTTGAAGCCTAGCGACGTACACGCATCGCATAGCGACTCGTTAACGCCCAAGTCTGCGAACGACTTCTCTTCTTCTGCTTCCGCTGAGGCTTCTAGCTTGTCCACGATAGCCTTTCCGTCTGCGCCATCTTCTGCCTGGCCTTTTCCTCCGTCCTCGTCCAGTTGCGATTGCGGCTGTTTAGATGTTGATATGTCCTCACCTCCGCGCTTCCGTCTCTCCGTCTTTGCCACTCGCATTGCTGCCGATTGATCCGGTTCCATGAGGCTCGCGCTCTTGTCTACCGATCGACGCTTCTTCACCGCTGATGGCTCGTTCTCGTCATGCTTGCGCTTCTTCGTGCCTGCCACCTTCTCCGCCTTCATTGCCGCCATCTCGAGTCCCGTGATTTGTGGAGCAAGGACCGGCAACTTGAACGTACAAAATTTGGCGCGAACCCAGCAAAACGCTCAGACCATCTCGAAATCTTGGCTGCGCCGGAGGTACGGAGTTAATGAAAATGTTCCCTTACCAACGATCCAACTTCTGCTCTGCCCATTGAGCATACGCCCTCCCTCTCTGTAACAACACCACTACCATGGCCAAACGCCGCATAAAACGCCGCACCCACACCGGCGCTCCCGGCCGCCCCTCCGCCCCCGCCTCCACCACCGGTCGAAATGCCCCCTCCAAACCCGGCTCCCGCGACCCCAAATCCATGGTCATCCGCGTAGGCGCCAACGATGTCGGCCCCAGCATCTCCCAACTCGTGCACGACGTGCGCAGCATGCTCGAACCCTCGACCGCCTCTCGGCTCAAAGAGCGCCGATCGAACAAATTGCGCGATTACACCACCATGGCCGGTCCACTGGGTGTAACGCATTTGCTGCTATTTAGTAGGAGCGGCAGTGGGAACGTGAACATGAGATTGGCGTTGACGCCGCGAGGTCCGACACTGCATTGGAGGGTGGAGGGGTACAGTCTTTGCAAGGATCTGTATAAGTCTATGAAGAGGCCAATGAGCGGAGCAAATGAGGTTCATCTGACGGCACCGTTGTTGGTGATGAACAACTTCTCCTCGCACTCGAAAGATGGTGCGGAGGGTGGGCAGGAGAAGGCGAAGGCGAAGGCAATACCGAAACATCTCGAAAACCTAACAACAACCATTTTCCAATCCCTCTTCCCGCCCATCAACCCGGCCACCATGCCCTTGACCAGGATAAAGCGCGTCTTACTCCTCGATCGTGTCAACTCCCCCTCACCATCCACCACAGACTCCGACTCCGACTCAGCAAGCTACATCCTAAACCTACGCCACTACACCATAACCACCCGCCCCACCAAATCCCTACCCAAAGCCCTGCGCCGTCTCGATCCCTCCTCACACCCCAGCAAACACCACGGACGGAATGGGATCCCCAACCTAGGCAAACTGAACGACGTAGCCGACTACCTCCTCGACCCCCACGCAGCGGACGGTTTCACCTCCGGGTCTGAATCCGAAGCAGAAACAGACGCGGAAGTCGAAGTCCAAACCCTCACGCAAAAGCCACGACAACGCCATCCAGCAAAGTCCTCTGACAAACCCGACCGAAGAAACGGTTCGGGACCGCGGGTGGAGAAGAAAGCGATCAAACTCCATGAACTTGGTCCAAGGTTACGACTGAGGTTAACGAAAGTAGAAGAAGGCGTGTGTGGTGGTAAAGTGATGTGGCATGAGTATATCCACAAGTCCGCTGAAGAAGTGCGGGAGATGGAGAAAGTACATGAGCGGCGGAGACAGGAGAGGGAGGCTAGGAAGGCGGAGCAGAGGGCTAATGTTGAGAGGAAGAGGGCTGAGCGCAGAGCGAGTGGGAAGGCTGGGGAGGGTGAAGAAGACGGGGAGGAGGAGGATGATTTTGATGAGGATGAGGACGATGATGTGTGGCATGATGAGGACGAGGATATGGATGGGATGGAGGATGTTGAGCCTGGCGCGGAGGACGAGGATGAGGAGATGAATGGCGACGAATGAGACGACGAAGACCCCGAAGCAACGTGAGGCGGAGGTTGCGTCGTGACTGTGAAATTATGATTGTTTTGCTTCGCACATGAGATACCCGCTCGAACGCTATCAATAAACCTTTCAGTTCGAACTTGATATGCGCACTCATACCATATCTTCAGCTGCTCTCCTCCTCTCACCGTGGGCACGGCTACCTTCCGCTCCCGCCGCCGGACCCGCAGACCGCACGATCTCATCCACAAACCTCTCCGCCGCAGACGAAGGGGACGCATCGCTGCCCTTACGTCCACGGTTGCGAGACTCCCACGCGCCCTCCCCATTGTTTGCCTGCTCCGCAGTGCCGTCCCTCTCCACCAAATTTTGCTGCCACGACCGGCTTGGCGGCCGCTCGCTAACCCTGCCACTCCCACCCCTCCTACCCTTCTGCCCAAGATCAGCCTTCTCCGCCCCACTGTTAGCCCCTTCTTGCCTCCAGCCCCCCTCATCCCTATCCTCCTGTTTCTGCGGCCAAAGAATGTCCTTCACCACTACCGCCCGAATCATCATGACGAAGATGACGATCCACGCGATCACAAGCGCGACCGTCATAACACACCCCACCACCTGAATCGCCCTGCTCTCCAGTGCTTTCCCAACCGCGAACGTACTGGTAGTAAGCGCCGTGTTGGGGAAGATGTAACTCCAGAACGTCATGGCGAACTTCCCCCTCCCATGCGCCACCGTGGACCAATGCGCGCCGACGGAGACAATGAAGAACCAGATCGCCAGTCCCCACAACCACAAGCCCATCCAATTCGCGCAGATCATCGACACTTTCCCCGCAAAGTCGCCCAGACCAGGTCCCATGAAATCCGGCGTGACGACCCGAGGCAGATTCGCACCCATGGTAATCACCCCCGAAATCGTGAAACCCGACGGACCCACCGAGATAAACATCCCCGGCCTCAGCGACTCCTGCGGCAACTTCTGCGTCATGAGACGGTAAATGAACGCCGCGTAGATCATAAGCGACACCAGAAAGCCGATCCCTTGGAACACAAACCCGCCGATGATGACGTCGAGTGCTTTGGGGCCGGCGGGGAGTTTGGAGGCGAGGACGCCGGCGTGGGGGCCGATGATGAGGAGGGGGTAGGCGGGGAAGATCCAGACGGGCGTCATTTGGGCGATGGTGAAGGTTTGGGTGGACCACATGATGAGGTAGATTGTGCAGCTGAAGAGGACGGCGTGGGCGCAGTAGATCTGTCATTCATGATTATAGGTGTCAGCGCTGGCACGGGCGAAGGGAAAAGTGGGAGGCGGTCGGTCGTGCTTACCCAGAAGAGGACACCCATGGTCGCCGTAAGCCAACGTCCCGTTTTGCCCTCAACAGCACCATATTCGGTGATATTGAGCAGGATAATGCCGACAGAAACCAGGCTTGCAGGAATAAACAGCGATTCCGTCGGATGGAGGATAGAGGCCCTGAAGGTGGAAGGGTAGTTGTAGAAGCGCAGACTGACCATGACGACATTAAAGAGGAAGAGGAAGATGTTGAGGAGGAAGAAGATGCAGCCGATTGTGTAGAGGCCCGGGAAGCGGTAGGGATCAGGGACGGCGTGGAGGACGTTTGATACGCCACCGGTTGCCATCTACCAGCCAACCATATGTTGTCAGCATGGAAAAGCAGGAACGGGTTTGACGTAGGGGGAATGGCTGAGAGGTGGGAGCGTACCGTCATGCAAAACCAGGTCCAGGTGAAGTGCCGAATGCGCTCCTTGAAGTGGAGCGGGGGGACATGGTGCTGGAGCGGCTTGAGTTTGCTCACTGCGATGCCGTGTTCGTCGCTGGAACGGGTCGAGTGGGGTTGAATGGGTCGGAGTGGCGTTCGCGAGTTGACGGAGGAGGTGTGATTGTCGCGAGTAGTATGGACTGGTTTGAGCGCGGGTTTTAGTGTGGTCGGACGTGGGGCTGAAGTCATGTTAATGAATATTTGTTTAATGGGTGTTGTGGGTGAAGTCCAACATACTCGGTTTGCGTGGACCCTCTCCTCCCGTCGCCATCAGTGCCTTCCTTATCCGTTCAACATCAACCGTCGCAACGGCCAGGGAGTGTCAGGTCGTTCAGCGTTGTTTCCGGCGCCGTCGTCTGACTGACAACTGACTCTCGCCCGCATGACAGCAGGAGACAAGCATGGTGAAGAACGAAAGACGTTGCAGGACAGTAAGGAAAAGGTGCGGTTGACTTGCCGATAGAGCCGTGGTGTGCAGTTGCAGTGGAAGCTGTAATCGCCAAGCGCCGACAAGATTGGCTCGCGTGGTGAAGCTTCCTCGGCAAACGGATTGCCGATCGCGACGGGCTGCCGTTCTCATCCGCGTAGTGATTGACGTACAGCGCTATCATAAATATCATAAACGACAAGGTAGCTTTGTTTTCAGAGGCATCCGTGTGGGCCTATCCAAGAGCCGTAAGTCATGGATCACTATACAACCAGGCAGTCGCCTCGGCGAGTCCCCAAACAACACAGCAACGCCACCAACTCCACGCAACCACATCATTCGAAACACATGAACCAATTCTAGCTTCGCAGCGCCCTCAACCTCTCCCCCAATCGATCCTCCCTCTCCTCCTCCGCCGCCGGTGCAGCCTTCAGGTCCTTCGCAGGCGTCGCCCCTTGCATCTCCTGACTCAACTCCACCCCCGCCTCATCCGCCACCTGATTCATCAACTTATCCACATCCTCCTGCGGCGTCGCGACGGCCGTGGAATTCGATGTCGCGTTCTCGTAGTAGCCCGTCGCGACGTCCAGATCTTCGAACTGCGTCTCGAAGCGGTCCATTACTGCTGAGATCTGGCCACGCCGTTAGCGAAACAAACTCGATGGCGGTAGCATCCACCTCCGTGATGTACACACCTTCTCAAGATCCATACTCTTCATCGCCTGATCCATCCCCTTGACCACATTCGCCATACTGCCCGTGACCTGCCGCATGGTCACCGCCGTCTGCACCTTCGAGCTCACAGCGTCGATCCGCGACCCCAGCCGTAGCAGATTGAGCTTCTCATTCTGTTTCCGTATCGCATTCTGCGCGTAGATCTTCGCAATATCGGAGTGGCCTTGTTGGATTGCCTGAGCGGAGCATCAGAAAGCCATGGTCATTGCAGGTCCTCTTCCTCGTCCCACGACATCCCCAGCTCGCATGGTGGTGGGTGCATATGCGTACCTTCTTCAACTTCGCCTTCTCACTCTGCTCATCCTTGCCTGCCTTCGCTGCTTGCCGGTTTAGCTGTTTCGCTGTGAACTATTCATCGACCCGTCAGCCGCCATTCCATAGCCAGCTTGCGCGGTATCAGGCCGCAGAGTGACTAGCCTTCAAGTTGAAGAGCGCCTTCTCTAGGCCTGACATCTCTGGTAGGAGTCGGAGCAGCCCAAGCTCGTGCGAGTAAGGGAAGTGTCAGGTCACACGAGCAGTAGTTGTCGCGCTGGCTGTCGGGCGGAGGCAGATGCTGTTCGTTCGCTTCTTGTGGTACTGCTTTGTGCAAAGGCGAGTCCGCGACGATCAAGGGCTGAGACACGTTCTCCGATTGGTATAGAAGGTTTGCTGTATGTTCAGACAAGTAGAACTCCAGATCTGGGTACAGGAATAGTACCTAAATGGAGGGACATGGTTGCTTGGCGGGGCAGGTTGCATGACGTGGGAGCTGCCGCCGTCTTCACCTTCTACTTCATGTTTGAAAATACAACCATATTTGCTACATACGCTTACTCTCTTCCCAAATAACTTACGGAATCATCGATCGTTTTGTGAAGGTGTGAATTGAGCGCACGCGATCTGTGCTGCACAGGATTCAAGCACATAACATCAATGTCCCGACTCATCATTACAGCCGCTGTAGGTAAACACGCATATGCTCGCCATTCCATTAACCCTCCCCTTATTCATCCTTCCTGTTTGCCCACGCATGCCTAACCCCGTACTGCTGGGTCGTAAGAGTGTTGCTGCAAGTTGTCAGAGCTGTCACTACTATCCACCGAACCATGCTGCTGTGGTTCCACAGCAAAACCTTCCACAGCAGCATCTCGACACAACTTCCCAGTAGAGGGAGCCAGACCTGGCGGAAGCGGCAGTCCATGCGGTATGTGGTCTGTATGTGGTTGCGGCGATCGCAAAGCCACCTCGGGTATCAGTCCGGCTTGCTGCTGCTGCTGCTGCCCCTGCTGCTGTCCCTGATCCTCCCGCAGATGCTGCTGCTGCTGTTGGTTCACCTGCTGCTCCCGCTGCCGTCGCTCTCTGAGCGCTTCGAGCGCCTGCTTGGCCGCCACAATGCAAGACGACAGCAGCGGGGGTCTGTCCGGTTGCTGTATGGTCTGAGCCTCACGGAGAAGAAGAAACGCCGCATGATACTTTTGCTGGGCAGGTATCTGCACGTTCCACATTTGATTGTTGTAGTTGTTGACCCGCGTTAACACTGCAGAGAGGTCTTCCGGGATAGGTGTAGGGCCAGATTCAGGGCCAGGGTTGGTGATGCTAGATCGCTCGTTGGGATTCATTTTGGTTGGAAAGGTGTCCTACATGCTGAGCGGACGGCACGGAATGAGTATATAAGTTGAAGCCAGAGAAAGAGACATAGTCTCTGGAGCAATCCGCACACATTCAGCGTTTGCTGCATCTTGCAGAGAGGTTTCTCATCAGATTCCTGTGTTGTGAAGCCATCGCATTGCTTCCCGTCGTTCTTTGTAGATTGCCGGTCCGTTCTCTGGCAGCCATGCATCTGTGGAAGCGCATCTACCAGCAGGAGCAAACTTTCTTCTGCGCCGCTCTTGCTGTGTCTGTGGACTCACGTCGCGCCCGAACATGTCCCCATCCTCCCCTCGCCCTGTGTCACACTCCCACACACTTCGAGCAATGAGCGCCCGGCGTGCTCGAAGTCATCCAATGTCAGATACACCTGTGCGCTGAGCCTTACCCACCAAGCGTCGCTGTGTACGGTGACACTGACTGCCGTGTTGTGTTCGAGTATCATGACACGCATGATTCACGCACCGATTCCTGCCACGGTGGCAGTCATTCGACCGTCCAGACCATCGCCTACAGTCTCAGCCGGGTGAGGCGGTAGCCGCACGTCTGTCATGCTACAATCTCCTTGCGTACCTCCTTCATTCTCCAGCACCTTCGTCTGCAGAATGGCGGCCACCGTTGCGCCTCCTTTCCTTGCCAAATTCTGCATCCAGCTCATGATAGCTTCTTCACCCTTTCGACTCCGCCAGGTGAGCATAGTCCGCCAAGCCAGAGCGGCCGGGACGCAGAGGCAGGGATAGTCATCCAAAGTGCCGAGAGATGCAAAGTTAGCCACAAACCCGTCGTGAACACCGAAGCTCGTTGGCAGCGTAGATCGTAATATCCACTGATTGCGTTTCGGCACGTACAGCACAGCGCATCCGCGTGGCACGTAGAGCCACTTGTGGCAGTTGGTTGCGAAGAAGTCTGTGTGCAGCTCGCCGAGATCCAGGGGAATCTGGCCGATGCCGTGCGCGCCGTCGACACAGGAGAACAGCCCGTGACGGCGGCAGATCTCAATCATTCGCTCAAAGGGCATGCGTACAGCTGGTAGGGAGTTGATGCTGTCGAAGATTGCAATTGGGGGATTTAGCCCACCCTTCTTGAGCTCCTGGATTGTACCTTCAATCAACTCGCAAAGACGGGCATCCGAGATGGGGAGTGTATAGTCGATTGTCTTGACCTGCACTGTGGTCGTCTGGGAAAGGTGCTTGACGGTGTTGGCGAATGCGCCGTAGATAGTGCTGAAGCAGATGATGACATCTCCAGGCTGAAAAACCAAGTTGCGAAGTACGGTTTCAAGGCTCGTCGTCGCATTGGGTACGAAGAAGCAGGTGTCGGCTGGTGCATGAAGTTAGTCGGCAATGGCTTTCCGGGACTCGTCGAGTAGCTTGGTACGGTATTCGTAGCGGATGCAGACATCTGGCCTGGCTTCTGTTCGGCTTGGAAGTTGTGGAAAGCCGATCTGATTTCGGTTGGACATGTTCCATATGAGCCTTACGAAGGTCCTGTCAGAAGACTGATGCTCGCCCAGGCCCTCACAGTGACACTACAGGGCCTCCAAAACGTGCTATATCGCAGAAGCGAACAAACAGAAATGTGCTTGTGGAGGTCAGCAAGTGAGTATAGTACCTACCGTGGTCCAAATTCCTGTATCCTGCATTAAACGCAAAGTGCATTGCAGCATCCTCGTCGCACTCTTTCATCTACATCGTCGCGCGTAAGTCTGCCACGTCGCAACGATCACTACAGAGTTTTGATGGCGAGCCTATGACCGTAGCTGGGGTTGGTAGTCAGGGCAGACCTTGGTCTGCAAAGACGCGGTACACTTTTGCGCCCATTAGCTCAAAACCCAGGAATCCGATGTGGCTCCATGGCCGGCAGTCAGATTCTGAGATGAGAGGTGAGGGCAGTGGGACAGATGCATTAAGGACACGACTTCGGCCACCATTATGTACCGCAGACACGACTTCTGGCCAATTAACCAGGCGCGCTCTCCAAGGTACCTAGTCAACCAGTCTATAACATCTTACCTGGGTATAACGTCTCGAAACTCTCAGCTCCGCAAGTACTCCTTAACCTTCTCGCCCCAGACTACACCTCGCTTGTAGAACGCCATATCTGGCACGCTTCCAGTACCCAAGCCGTCAACAGCATCCGCCAGAGCCGGACCCAAGCCCTCATCTTTGACCTCGGACAGCTTGTAAAGATACGTCTTGAACGCGAAGACCAGTGCATTCGTGTTCGGCAAGCGATGCAGCGTCTGTCTCTCGCACCGAAGCCTGCAGTCTTCAACAACGACTTCAAGCTTCTGCTTTGCAATCTCGTCTTCAATATTCGGTCCGCTGGCGTCCAGCGTCTTCGCATTCTCCGCTGGCTTGGGTGGTTCCTCATCACTGTACATATGGTTGCCACTTTCAGAGAACAGCCGATCGTTCGTCGTGATACTCCAGTTGACCCGCTTCACCGCTTTGCCTACCTCAAGCCTGGCAAAGAACCGATCCATAGAGCGCTCAAGTTTGCTTGCGTATCCCGGGACTGGATTGTGTATCGCTGCGAGAGGCTTGCCACACTTCTCACGCGTGCTGAAGCCCGAAGGGAAGCATGTCACAAATGCCTCCAAGTGGTAGACCGGCGATCCATCTGCCGCCTTTGAAGAGGGCAGAAGAACGAGGAAATCGGTATCCACGTTCTCTCCTAATAGCTCCAAGGCGTCGATTGATGAAGGTGCTTGAAGCGGTATCAGCTTGTCTGTAACCAGATTACGTAGGCCAGACCCAGTCTCTGCCGAAGTGAGTTTGTACGTCGATGGAAATCGCTTGGGAAGATAAGTTGAGATTATCCACTCATAGAGTTCAGCTACGGCCTTTTCCGCGCAAGGATTACACTGTCGGGTCGATGTGGGATGCTCGCTGATGAGGTTCCGACGTAGCTGGATGCGGTCGGCATAAGTCTTATCCATCTGTATCAGCTCAGACAGCGGCATATTCTCCAGGCCTGCAAAGCATTAGATAGCTTCAGCGTAACCAGAGAAAGTTGGCAGATACCCATCGTAAGGTGATATTTTGGTTTGAAAGGCCGGATCTTGATCGGCGCAGTGGTGAGCCATTCGAAAGATGTTGGCATAGATTGGATGTCGTCGTATACATCAATTCCACTCGGCTGTTTAGCATCTTCGTAGAATTGCTGTGCCCTAGGTCTTCTCAATCTTCGTTTGAGATGGTGATAAAAAGTTAGAGTGACAAGGATGATAAAGGCGCCTACGAGAAAAACAGGATTCACTGCGAAAATCCGTGAAGAAACGTTGAGATACATAGCTACTACATCCGTGTAGACAACCGTTACGTGTATAGAGAGGACTGTCTTTAGTAGAAGATATAGATACGACACTTCGAACGTACGCCTGATGACAAGCTCCTGCGGTTCGGCCAATCTCAAGGTGCGGCCGTCGCTAGCGCCTTCCGCATTCGGCAAACCGGTCCAGGAAAAGATATCGCGCCTGTTTGGCCCGAGTCTTACTGTCGTTCGAAAGAAGAGATGGTAGGTCCATCGTCCGCATCGCTTGGTGCCGCGAGACTGGAAGGCAAGGTCACCGTACGCGGCGGATTTGGTCAACGAGTTGCCATGCGCCAAGGTATTCGAGCAGAGCGATCAGATTGCGGATACGCTCGCCTTGGACACCGTAGAACATGTCGTCGTCGTCGTATCGATCGCGAAGGTAGCCCCGGTAGTACCGTCTACGGTTCGTACCGAGGTCGTAGGCCATCATAATCTGGTCGAGCTCTCCGTTGCTCATGCATTTGAGCTGCTCGAGACGGAGAGGCTCGCGGAAGAGGGTGGGTAGACCCCCATCCATGGTCAGCATTGGGTGTAGTTGTGCATTCGGTGTGTATCTGGATATGCGACCATTGACCTCAGCCGCTTGAAGGTTAGTTCTGGTTAAAGTATGGTTAGAACAAGTTTGTGTATCATAGCAGAAAATCTTACATCCGGATATGCTCACTACGACCACGTCGGCTCTCAAAGTCGTATCCATAGAAGTCGCGATTATATCTCTCGTCAACGCCGTAAGGATATGCCTGACCAGAAAGCAAGGTTGGTAGATGGCGCGACGTCGGTGGCAGGACAGCAAGATCAGTCATACTTGCTCCGATTGTGGGAGCAGTTCGCCATCTCCGGTCATCCATAGGCTCATACACGCGGTACCCGCGGGTCTCTGCCAACATGTCCATGGTGAAGTTGCGTGGTGTTCACAAACGCTTCGGACAGTGGCAGGAAGATCGGCATTATATGACTTCCCTTTGAGACGGTGAAACGTTACTCGAAACAAGATTCTCGAGTCCGGAGGGCATCGGGTTTGATGCGAACTTGCGGGTCAGCGCCATCGGAGACCGCCTTCTCGTGTGTCCCACGCGACCGTTGAACCAGACATTCATCTTCGTACGCACACGCCAGGCGGTGGACAGACAGGAAGTGATATGTTGATCTACCGGTACGCTGTGTAAGCGCCGGGGCGAGTGCCGGTATGCCGTGTACAACATGGTGAGCCGGAGCCGAGGCCGAGGACCGTCGTTGCCTCTGATGCAGCAACACCCTTGCAAAACCCGCGTAGGAATACACCTGACGAGAGGTGATTGTAGGGGGATCGCAAACATACCAGCAGCCTCGAGAGCCGAGGGTGGCGGACTCTTCCGCAATGGCTATAGGAGCGCCCCCAAGATTGCTGCTGAAGGGGACCCACGCATCTCTTGGGCCGCAATTACCGGTTACAAAGGCGATTGTACAACCTTTCTTTAGCGAGTATGCGTCAAGATACCTCGGGTGCGTTCCCAAACATGCTCTGGTACCTGCCTAACTGAGGCGGGTTCGGTTTGCAGAAGGCTGACCCGAGAGATGTCTCTGATAAGATCCACGGACGCGTGACTCACTCCTCGTGCTCGGGTTCCATTTGGGATTTGCTTTTCGCGGAGTCGCCGGGCAGGCGGTCACCTTCTGTCGTGCCGGCCTGGTCGGAATTCTCAACGCTTTGCGAGAGCATACCAGTAAGACTGAACACTCTACGGTGTCCACTCGGCCTCTCTGTCAGACTGCAAAACAGAATGTTAGTGAGACCGATGCAATGCAGGAGAGGAAACAACGCATCCGCGGCATAAGGCTGCGCATAGAGATTCCGTTGCTCGGGCTTGCGAAGTTGTGCGACCTTCGCCCTGGTTCTACAATAGATTGTTGTCTTGAAAGGTGTCACAAACCCTTATCAAATCAGCGCGTTGTACACTGTCATTACATGGCCGGGGCCACTTACTTGGAGCTCGTGGCCGGCGTCTACCGCGTGCGCGGCCACCCTGTAACTCAAATGTGATGAACCGCCACGCGTACAGTAGCACATCGTACACGAGAAGTAGTAGCCACGGTCCCACCGTCAAGAAAGCAAGGAGAAGCTATCAAGTCTTAGCTCGCCCTGTACCATTGCGAGACTGTTCGCGACGTACGAAGACCCGAGCCGCCCACAGCTCGATAATGGCGAGGTGAGGTGGAAGGATGGACCACAGACTCATGGTGAACCAAGGAGTCCGTACGTGTCAGACGTGTGTTGGCTTCCGAAAGGAGCTGTATGAGACGACTGCAGTTGGATACTCATGTTACATGCACCTGGTCATCATCTTGATGTTGGCGACGCGATTCTACGCCACAAGTGAAAGACGCCACAGTGACGTCGGCCTGTGCAACGATGAAGCTCGACAGCGCGAAGGAGGGGCGATTTGTTTGGTGATCGTAATCAACAACCCATCACACTTTATCTTCTCCCAGCGTCTGCGGCCTAGTGTTGACGCAAAGCCTACACCCAGCTTGTCCCTAGAGCACTGCGGAATACAGCCTGTGTATAGCAGCGACGAACGTTCAAAAGCAGTTTGAGGTCCCCACGAACGACAGCAAATAAGACACCATGGCCGAGCAAGAGGGCGCTGCTGTGCCGGCGCAGAGCAAAGGCTCATGGTCGTCGTTTTTGAAGGCAAGAAGAAATCCAGGGATTTTCACGCCATCAAGCTGACCTCGCTACAGTCGATAGCGACGTTTAATGGCGACCTGTCGACGATGACCGCTCCTGCCTTTATCCTTTCAACAACATCTCTCACCGAGTTCTCTGCATACTGGGCGGAGATGCCCCGTCTACTCGTTGCACCTGCCAAGGAGCCTGACCCGCAGAAGCGGGCAATGCTGGTCTTGAAGTGGTTTTTGAGCACATTGAAGCAGCAGTACGCGAGCAGAAACGAGAAGCTCGGAAGTGAGAAGAAGCCACTCAATCCGTTCCTTGGCGAGCTGTTCCTTGGCAAATGGGAAGATGAGGAAGGCACGACTCAGCTTGTGAGCGAGCAAGTCTCGCATCACCCTCCTGTGACCGCGTACAGCATCTGGAACAATAAGAATGGCGTCAGATTGGAAGGCTACAATGCCCAGAAGGCCTCCTTCAGCCGGACGATTAACGTTCGTCAAGTCGGCCACGCCATCCTGCATATCGATAAGTACGATGAGGATTATGTGATCACGCTGCCGGCTCTACACATTGAAGGTCTCATTACAGGCTCACCTTACGTGGAGCTCAACAAGAGCACCTACATCGTCGGCTCCAATGGCTTCACCTCGCGGATAGACTACTCTGGGAAGGGTTGGGTTTCAGGCACGAAGAACAGCTTGTCAGCAGTGATGTATCCTCACGGCAAGGAGAAGGATAAGAATGCCGTACTCTATACGGCAGAAGGTTCGTGGACAGATTCCTTCACCATCAAGGACGCGAAGAAAAACACCGTCGAGACCTACAATGCGAAGAAGGAACCGAAGACGCCGCTGAAGGTGGCGCCAATCGAAGAACAGGATCCGCTTGAGACGCGTCGCGCGTGGAAGAAGGTGGCTGAAGCGATTCAGAAGGGAGATATGAACGCCACTGCCCACGAGAAAACCCTTATTGAAGAGCACCAGCGCGCGTTGCGGAAGAGGGAAGCAGGCGACAAGCGTGAGTGGGAGAGACGCTTCTTTACCCGTGCGCAGAAACTTCCGGTCTTCGACAAGCTCATCAAGGAGGTTCCTTACGGCAGCTTGGAGGCGGACCAGACGAACGGTATCTGGGTGTTCGACAAGGACAAGGCGCTGAATGCTAAGCCGCCATTCTCTGCCCTTAGTGAGGAGCTGAAGGGCGGGTGGAAATGAGCGACCTTGTCCCGAATTAGCGGTGGCTGTCGACTGGACGATTCGTATGAGACAAAGGCGATGATACCCGCAGGATGAGCGAACGTCGGCGTTCGGTTTTCTGGGGGTTGGCATGATAACTGCGCTGGTGCGGCTAGGAATATTATCCTGTAACTTCAAGGCACTATGTCACACGCAAAAGCTTACACACCCGCGACGTTCTAGACGTGCTGCCAGCCTGCCTTCAAATCGAGGCCGGTCCCGACCCTTCGCCGGCCATGAGTTGCATATGATACCTTAGCCCACGGCTAAAGCGGAAATAATTCGCTCGACCATGTGCAGTCGTTGTCGCATGGCCCGCTCGAGCCGCCCCCGGTGGAGGCAAGTGGAGCACCCCGCACCGATCGCGGCAAACGCTTGGCTCAAACAAGCCCTCTTGTCACCTTCTCCACTTGGAGCATCGCGCATCCATGCGGTCTCGCTGACAGTTGTGCCGCAGGATGCAAGCTTAATGGTGTAGGTAGTGATCAACGTTCGGGTGTAACGCTGTAAGCGTGTGCCGTTGAGCCGTTCAAAATGCGCACGAGGTGAGCTGCGTTTTGTTCGAAAGCCTGTCGGTACCTCATATCTCAATTTCTTTGTCGTCCACTCATCGTCCCGCACCTGACCGTCTGTGATCCCACCATGGCCGACTATGAGAAGAGGGATCATGTGGTGGAAGACATCGTTGACCGAGTTGAGCACTTGGGGGCTAAGGAGGCCCGAGCCAACTTCGTTACGCCCACGCCTGAGGAAGAGCGAAGGGTCATTCGCAAGCTGGACAGCAGATTGCTGCCACTGGTGTTCTTCCTGTACATGCTTGCGGTGCTTGACAGATCCAATCTGGGGAATGCAAAGCTAGCTGGACTCACCAAAGACATCAATTTGGCCGGGCTGCGCTACAATTGGCTGGGTACTGTCTTCTAGTATGTCAAACGAAGCCTCATATGCGAGATTGACCGAGGATTACTGATGGTAGGGAACAGCATCGCGTACATCCTCTCCCAGTGGTTGTGCATGGGCTGGAAACAGTTCAAGCCGCACTACTGGTGTGCCGGTGTAGTCTTCTTCTGGGGTCTAATTGCTACTGTGCAGGCTGGAGTCACCAGCTGGCCCGGCCTAATGGTTTGCCGCGTCTTTCTTGGTATCGCAGAAGCCTGCTATGGACCGGGAGTGCCTCTCTACCTCACGTTTTTCTACCCACGTGAGAAGGTCGGTTTTAGGCACGGTATATTCATCTCTGGCGCTGCGATGGCGAACGCATATGGAGGGGCTTTGGCCTACGGCATCACGCAGATCAAAGGTCATCTCGCACCGTGGAGAATCTTGTTCCTTATCGAAGGATTGCCGACTTGCTTCTTCGCGATCCTGGTCTTCTTCCTACTGCCCGATGGTGTAATCCAAGCAAAGTTCTTGACCGATCGGGAGAAGGAAGTCGCTCTTCACTTCGTAGCGCGTAACCAGAGACTGGACGTCGGCAAGCCACAAGGTCTCCGATTCTCGGAAGTTCTTGAGGGGTTGAGAGATCCAAAGTCGTTTATCCCTGCCTTGTAAGACGTTCTCCTTCCGCTAGCAGATCATTCGTGCTGACTAGCAACAGCTGCTATTTCGGCTGCAACGTTTCATATGCCTCCTTGCCGCTGTAAGTCGAGCTCCACATGTGTTCGCAGACCCTGCAAAGGATGGCTACTGACAGCCAAGCAGATTCGTGCCTACCATCATCAGTGAGATGGGGAAATTCAGTCCGGCCACCTCTAACGGGCTATCTGCACCACCATACTTGGCGTGTTTCTTCGTGATCATCATCCTCTGCTTCTTTTCCGACTACTTCAAGATGCGAGGGCCTTTTTGTGCGCTCGCTGCTTCGCTTGGAGCCATTGGCTTCATCATCCAGGCTACCTGCACCACGACCGGAGTTCGCTACTTTGGCATCTTCCTCTCCGTGCAAATCTTTGCCTCCGTGGCATTGCTGCTCGCTTGGGTGGCGAACATTCATGCGACGGAGAGTAAGCGCGCGGGCGGGTACACTGTGCTTGCGACGATTGGGCAGTGCGGCCCGTTGCTTGGTATGCCTAGCGAGCATGATCACGATATGCGAAGTGTTCATGCTAACCGATGTATAGGCACGAACGTCTTCCCAGCTTCCGAAAAGCCGTACTACCGGAAAGGCATGTGGATTTCGGCAGCATTCTGCCTGCTTGTTGCTGTGCTCAGTGGCATTCTCAGCTGCTGGTTGATCTACGAGAATAGGAAGATGGAGAAAGAAGGCGTTCCAGAAGTGGAAGAGTTCGAGGACACTTCGATTGCAAGAGAAAGTGGAAGGCACGAGAAGCACCGTTACATCTGGTAGAGGGCGTGTATGGTTGATACCGAGTATGTAGGTGTTGGCCGAGTGCAATTTGATGAGAGAAATGCAGATCGATATGAACAGTAGCTGACAGGACTCTGTGCAAATTGTGCTCTCAACTTTCACTAATTTGCAAATACAGGTGACCTCGATCAACCGTTCGTTGAGTACGAGGATCCAGAGCGCTCTACAGCGATGGAATGCACTACACGTAGACCGCTGCGCCGCACCATGGAGTACAGAAAAGCAAGCACAGAACCGGCCACCGCTTCGGCGTCAGAGTGCATTGCACAGACAGACACTGTCCGCCTTTCCAATTGCCAAATGCGTTCCCACCTGTGTTGGGAATACCTTAAGCGCCGGAGCCATCTGTCTCAGGCTGATGTGAAGACAATACATCGACGACACGCTTCTCGGATAATAGTGTGGTGGGCCGGGGATCAGTGCTACTCGAGAACATCCTACTCCAAGCCGTCGCGGGAACAGACTGTTCACAAAGCGCACACGATCGAGCCAGTCAACACGTGACCGCGGCCTGTGTGCCTGCCCGGCAGAAGCGACCTTCTGTACCTGGAGATGCACTCTCTCAACGAAAGCCAGATATACTACCCAGAAGTGGTGAACCACAATGGCTATGTCATACCAAGCATCCCACATCGGCTGGCGGACTGGTGCATCAGGTTAGGACCCTCGCCAACTAACATTTCGAGCCCCCACCCGTCGCTCTATTCTGGGGCAATTGCGACTTTCTTCAGCTTCGGCGCAACATCATATAGATTCAGATAGGTACTTCACTGACACGCGGCAAACCTTCTTGGTACGTTCTGACGGTCGCTAACGTTGTTTCCTCCCGCCTCACAGGTATCCCATTTCCAGTTCAACAACTGGGCTGTTCTTAGCTGGTCAAGCCCGTATGCGGATTCACAATCGTCTGTAAATGCCCGATCGCCATCAGTTTACTCTACGCTTGGCAGATAACGTGGGTGCGAACCTACCAATAACGGACCCGGCAGCAGCAGTAGTAGCACAACCACTACAACGATCTCTACGGGTGTCAGGGCCTCTACCACTAGCAACATCAGCTCTTCACGTCCAAGCGCCAGCACCACTACAAGTATCGGCTCGTCAAGCTCGACTGTAAGCTCAATCTCTACCACGATCACTACGATCACCAAGGTGTCATCGAGCATCATCAACTCCACACGCACCAGTCTGTCGTCCGCCGTGGGCGGCTCGCCTGGCAGCAGTAGCCCGTCAACCTCCAGCAGCACCACCTCCATCTTGTCAATCGCAACCGCTTCAACCGCGACAGCCGCGACCTACGCCGAGCCCGCAGCCTATCCCGTTGTTAACGGCACAAGCTTCATGGACAACAACGGAGCTGTCTAAGACGTTCTTCGCGGTACGGAACCTTCGTACACACGCCCTGCTGGGATCTGAATCTCATTGCTATTGCGTCAACTTGCAGGCTACGATGCAACGACCGCGCCAATGCACCTGTATTCGGGCGTAGTGTTTCGATATTGCATCGCGACCTGTGGCGCTCCCGTCGGCTGCATGCACGTTTTGTACAACGGCGACTGCTACCTTAAACCTGTGGTCAAGAGTTACATCATTGCTAGCGCTTCGACACGGGTTGCTGCTAGGGTGTCATCGTAGAGAAGAACATGAGACACGAAGGAATGACACAGCGCATATTAAGAGCGGCACGGTTCGGTTGATATGCATTAGACTCCGCTTCCTTGAGCTTGGCATGATCGAGTCTGGTGTCGAATTGATATGACTGAGGCTGGTATCATTAGGTTTGGCATGATGAGCATGTCCTTGAGAGTATCAAGTAGTTGCAATCTGATGAACATGCAACCTTCGCCTGTGACCCTCTTCCTCCCATAGAGCCACGTAGCCCTCAATGCGAGCTGCTCATCCACACTCGTTGTCCCATGCTGACCGTCCACAACCGCCGTCTCCGCTTTGCAATTTGACTTATTTCTTCTGCATCAAGATGTTAGCTCGGGCCACAGAGTAGCACTCCAGTATGAGACTCACGCTGCATTTGCAATTGCCAGGGGTGCAGTTGCACGAAGTGCAGCTACAGTTCGGTTCGCCGCAGGCCATGTTGACAGGGCTGCTTGACTTGATGATAATGTGGGTTCGGTGTGGATTGCTTGAAGTCGTAAAACCGTTTGTGAGTTGACCAGAGCTTGGTGCTCCTTATGCTGATCGATGTTTTCAAGAAAATTATCGAATGAACGAGCTTCGGCGCCGTTATATAAACAAAGAATGAGCGACTTGTGCGGGTGGCAAGTGGGTCTGGTCAAGTGTCGCTGCCAACGGAACCCGCAAAAACCGCGCATCGGGCACAAAGCGCGCATAGAGCTACAGAGAGCTCTCGCGACGAGCTGTAGTATTGGTCGGTTTCCTCATATGCACTCATGCTGAGCAAGTTTTACACCAATCGTCAGTATGTTGGATTATCGTCGAGATCTAGCTCACCATTCGTTCGGAAATATTTGATGGTTGGTAAACTCGATGAATATGTACATACGAAAGCAAGCTGAATGTCACGATATGGCCGTTACGTATGAGTAGCATACCGCGCTGCTCCTTTCGCAACCTTTGCGGCAAGACCCACGCCTGCCTCGAGCAAGAATATTGCGGTCTTCAACGAGAGACCGATAACCGCCACGGCACCTTGTACGGGGACCGAAACATCGGCCGGCAGACCCACAAGCTCCTTCTGTGCTTTGCTGATAACCCTGGAAGACCTTCTTGACCATTTCTGCGACCTCTTCCGCGACAATCTCCTGCCCGGCTTGTCCGTGACAAACGGTGACTTCGGCGGAGGCTCGAAAGTTATGACTTCCTTCTTCAGCAAACCGTTTTCGATTGCAGCGGCGGCGAACAAGGCGCTGATGACTGTATCGATGATGAATGAGCCGTCGAGGGCAAGAATGCTGGGCAAGTCGATGACGGCAGCATCCCGTGCGAAATTTAAGGAGGCGAGTACCAGCGTCTCTGCAACGACGGCTGCTGAAGTTGCGGTGGGATGGTGTATACTGATTTTCGCACGCACGTCGCGGCTGGATTGCGACCTCAACGACTTCATGACGGTGATCGCGAAAGCGCCCAAGGTAGGATGAACTAGCTTATACCTCCCATCTTGCTCACCACTTGTCCGCCTCAGCTCGCAAGAATGCCATCTGTGAGCATGAGAGACAGCATCCTGCGCAAGCCGAACAGCCTCAGGTGATGCGGCAGTAGGATCGAAGGTCGCTATTTCACGAGCGATAGGTGAGTTACCCGCTGCTTCGAGTGCATTGACCGCTGCGGCTTGCGGGAAGATGGTAGTAATTTCGCACCCTTGAATCATGCCCGCAGCAAATCTGGGCTGCTCTGCTAGGCCGAAGTGAGCCGCCAGAGTGGGCGCGCCGAGCTGACCATGTTTATGTTTGTTGACTGTCAGGTACGTTGCTCTGTCTACCATTTGTGACGGCGACTGAGGGATCGTCTTCTCCATCGTAAACAACGGCAGTTCTTCCGACAAACCGATGCTGAGCGAGACGCCTTGTTCGTTAGGCTGATGTAGTACAAGTCGAACCTTCCTACTGGCCGCGGGAAGCTGGCCCGTTGACGCAAGCCAGATGGCTCGAATGTCGCCAGAGTCAGCAGTCGGTATGTGCTCATAGCCATCAACCAGGGCAAGGCCAGAGTCATAGCGTTTAAGCACAGGCGTCTCGACAGGACTGCTTTGCTTGCTGACCTTCATGCTCGACAGTGCCTGCGCGTATGCTTGCGGCGTTGGGAAGTAGTTCTGTTGCTCCAGTGACTTCGCATGGTCGTATTGAGGGAACATTGAGTGCATGGCGGCCGGCGAAGCTGTACCGGGAGAAACAACGCGGGTGACGCAGCTCTTGGAGCTGGCCGGGGCGGAACTCTTCGTGCTGATGGCAGAGCTCTTACTGCGGGTCAATGGCGGAGTGGGCGGCCGCGGTGAAAGCGAGGGCGGATACGGTAGTGGCGCTCTAGGTGAGCTGATGAATGTGGTCATGTCAGGCAGTGGCGACAACCGATCATCATCTGATGCGAACTGTGAGTCGGGAGTGGCTGGCGTTGGAGGAAGTTTGATAGCAGCAGGCGCGTCTCTTTGCAGACGCCTTGCTGACTGAGTTCGACGTGGAGATGTAGCGCCAAAGTGCGTGTTCGTCGGGAGTGGCGAGAGCTTGTCGTCTTCGTGGCCGGCAGTATGCTCGCCATACAATGCTGAGCTGCGCAGAACCAAGGACTCCGGCCTGCTGAGACGCCTTCTGGCATGCTGACGGCGTGGGACAGCTGCATTCCATTGCTCGAAGCCTGGCGAGGTCGGTGGTTCACACAGCATTGAGTGCTTGAAGTGGTCTGGCACTGGTCGGACCTGGGGAGTCGAACCGGTCATGACCTCCATAGCCACACCTATAAGACAGTTGGGCGAGTCGACTGCAGAAGGCTGTCGCGGACATCTAAGACTGCTTTTGCGAGTGGGTGGCTTTTCTGGCTGCGGAAAGAGATGAAGAGAAGCCGGAGCGGCCATTGCGAAACACTAACACGTCTTGAGAAGCGCAAAAAATGTGCAGACGAGAATGACAACTTTGGTAGTGAGTTGTGGGAAACCTACTGTGCGGGTGCAAGGGATCACGGAGGTCTTGTAGTCGGCCGGCATAGGCTGGTGAGACGGCGGTCGCGCATGGGTCGGGGGAGGATGTGTGGCGAAAATGGCGGTGAGGCACTCCACGAGCGCTTCGTACCATCTCCGTCAGGTTCACTGACTAGGGTGAGATGTGCTTCCCGACGAAGACGAATAGCGAAGGCAGATGGACCTCCACTCTAGTATGCCAGGACCGGACGTGCAGATGAGGGGACCTGTGATCCCTAAGCGCCGGCCTTTACGCGCTTCATCTGAATCACCTGATTGGGTCTATCCATCTTAAAACCCGAACAGTAGCCCCTGCTTGAGTGCACAGAGGCTTTCATGCCTCATGTAGGAGAGACGAACCCAAAGCAGGCGACCGCACGAAGGACAATCATTTCCATAAGCGCTGTGGCATTCGACAGCAGCGAAGTGGATGCAATGTTGCGACGTAGGTACATTTTGGTGCATGTAGGAAGAGTATTGACACTAGCCGCAGTAGACCAGGACGTTTACTTCTAGCGCAGCGGTATGTTTGGAGGAGATCGACAATTGCGGAAGGTGCAATGGAAATGTGTGGAAAGGAAAGAAAGAGTGAATGATGAGAAGCGATGTGAATGCGTTGCCGGGATCGTACTTCCGCTAGTGTACGGAGATCCCGCTCTATGCTCATTGGTTGGTCGCAATGCGCTGGCGGTGGTTCAAATTGCGATGACAAGTTGTTTGCTCGCGGTGCAACGAGCAACCCGAAGTATAAGAAGCTATTATCGTACACGAAGTGCCCGTCGGCTGGTCATCATACGGCCGCGCTGTGTATCGATCCATATCGCATGGCGACTTGTTGTAGTCATACGGAGTCTTAGCCACCTTCAAGGCGAGCTGAATCCCTTAGCAGCACACCCTTTCTCCTACAGGTCTCTGTGGACTCGCTGCCATGACCGATCTAAGCATTAAGAGACTCGCCGATAATGGCTCTATCAGCCACGTAGCCAGTGACAGCTGCAAAAATCGCCTTGTGCATCAGATCGATAATCTGCTCGCCGACAGGCCACGTCCTAGACCACAATCGTTAGCACTTACGCGTATCCAGAGAGCATCAGTAACACTTACCATGGTAGCGCTCCGACTCCCGTGTAATTTTCGAGCGTTTGGTCTACAAGCAACCGGATGCCCATGAAAATGAAGCTACCAAACGGTCCCACAATGCCGTAGTACGACATTACGCCTCTAAGTGTCGCAGCGGCCGCAGCCTGTCCCCAGTGCATTGCATGGTTGAACGTTTCCGGACGTTGACCATAGTACGATGGCGAGACTCCTAGCAAGGTGGCGAGCGTCTTGCCTGGGACGTGCGAGTTCGGGCGCTTAGTGATCGCCTGCTCTGCTTTCTCCGCGATGGTCATACATTGAGGTTGTCAGCTAATGTGCTGGAAAGATTAAGGATCAAGGTGACTGTGCATACGCAGCGACACCGACGATGCCGGCACCGAAGCCGATGGCAATGCATTCGAGCGGCGAGAAGCGGACCTTTGGCCGAGCTGGGTTAATTGCTGGTGGAGGCATGTTGGTTATGTGAGACACAATCTGTGATGTACGTGTGGCAGTTGTGGTATGTCTTTGTGTCGCTCTTCGAAGTGATGCGGTCCAAGACTCTTGAACGGTCGAACGTCATACTGATGCTTACCAGTCATCACTGTGGTGGTGATTTACTCGTCTACATTCTGTTCATGCTGAGTCGCATCCGTCCGTCGCGTCACCTGTGAACACCAGATGTTTTGTCAATCATTACGCGTAGACTGCAGCACAGATTGCCTGACCATCTACTATTGCGGACTATGATCGCTGCGATCAGAGCATACGATACCTGTGCAAGGTTACTTTGTCCGAGGTTTTCAATGACGGAGCAGAGCTATCTCAGTGGCTGTTAGAGTATCCGTAATGTTGCGCAGGCATTGTCATAACCCCAAGGCCGTGCTCCGTTGACTGAGCAGAGGAATACCGCATTTAGCCGCCATTGAGCAGCAGCAATGAAGTGAACGCAGTCCGGAGCGCTGTCATTCTGTGCTAAGCCCGACAGTGACGTCGAATGAACCCCACCGTGCCTTCCCTGGCTGCTGCCCCTCCAAAACTTTCAACGGAATACACCACCATATCTGAGCTCATTTCAAGCACGAGACGAGCATTTAAACGATCACATACACGCACCTGATCAGCGTAAGGCTCGCAGTAATCAGCTTACATTGGGTTTACGCGCATACTGACTACTCGGTCAGTCCAACACACTTCAAGCAAACCTCAACAATGTCCGCCCCCAACGCCGGCCGCCAGTCGCCCGACCCGGAGCGCCAGAGCAAATCTCAGCTCCACGAGCCGACTGCATCGAACCCGAACGACCAGGCCAAGGAGGTGACGCAGGACCAGAACAAGGAAGCGTTGAAGAGCCTTGAGAGCAACCCGAAGGGTCCGTTGGAGGACTTTGCGGAGGAGAAGACGAAGAAAGACACCGGTGTGACGAAGGGTTAGACCGATCTTATCAAACGAAACGGAACATCGAGAGATGTCGCGGCAGTTGTCGCATATGAGGTTTACGTAACTTTAATGGCAGCGCAGCTCGCATAGCCGCGACTGACGGCGAGATCTGTGCATCTGGATTGCGAAGCAAGAGCCACTTGTACATGATGTAAAGCCTGATGCTGTCTAAGCCTGGGCTCCTCCTCTTCTCTGCTTTTCTGCCAGTTCAGTATAGGTATATTGATTATCTTGTCACCCCGTAAGCTTTCAATGCCTTCATAGACAAGGAGCCAAGAGCGTGCCTTCCTTCTGACGCGAAGCCAGCACGTTGTCGTCCGCAATTTTGCTGACGCTCGATGACAGATGTTCCGACCTAATACCTTTGGTCCGGGGACAGCGAACGGACACGAAAGCTTTGTCGGTGGTGGTTGTAAGATTGCATGGGATCCCGAAGGTGCTTGAGTCCACTCATCCGACCCCTCTACCCCTGCCTCTCCCCATACTCGCACCCCTTCCAATACCGCTCCCTCTCGCGCCCGTAGTCCCTCTCCCTCGTCCCGTCTGCCCGCCGACTGTCGTATACGCTCGGCCAACACCGCTTGACCCTCTTACACTCCGCACTTTGTTCAGCCCGCCTCGACTGGAAGATCCAGCAGCAAGACTCCGCCTCGTCTCTTCCTCCTCTGCCCTCCTCGCCGTCTCCTCCCTCCGCCTCTGCTCATCCGCCGTCCTCTTTTCGGCCTCCTGCTGCCGTCTCAAGTCCTCATTCTCCGCATCCTCTAAGTCCTGAGTCGCGCCCTGCCAATTCGGATCCAGTATCAGCCGCTGATTATGCTCGCTCTGGCTCAATATCCGCGTCCAAGTGGCCAGCAGCGTACTCGCATTCTCTACCGTGCGTTGAACAGTGCTCATATTGGCCTTCGCCTTCTCTAGGCTCGCAGTCACGCCCTCAATGACGCGGTTGATCTCGTGGACACGCTCGAGTTCCGCCTGTAAGCGGGCTTCTCGTGCTTCGGATTGGCTGCGCGGGCGTGCTTTCTGTGTGGAAGAGGCGTTGGAAGTCGGTGTTTGCTTTTGGGTCGTTGCTCCGCTTTCGGGACTTGCGAAGAGGTCCTCTCCATCTTCGTCTTCTAGCGAGAGCTTGGCCACGTTGGGGGTGTCAGTGGGCTGGGACATGGTGATCGCGTGAGTCCGCAGACGGTTTCAGTGCTGCGTGCTCTACGCGTCAATAGTCTCCAGCATCCATAGGCCGCTATCGATTTGGCCTCGCTCGTTGATATGTGCCGCCATGTGACGTGTCAAATGTTGATGTTCTGCCGCAATGGGACGCGCTTGGGCGGCGACGCTCGGATGCCGCGAGGGTCCAGCCACATCCATTCTTCCCGACCACCACAGTCTCTTTGCTACTTCCACGCGCTCATACACTTACTCTCAACACCACATCTGTATTTGAAGACATAGCAGAAGACGGCGGACACCGTTGGCTTTGCGTCCCAACGTTGCGCTTTGGATTATCGAAGGGGTTACGCATTGGACAAGAACGAAGACAGGGCGCTTGCAAGCGAGTCAACTTGGAAACGCATCTTGTAGGCTGCAGGGAGTATACTTAGCGACGGATCAGGACCTTCAGCGCGTCGGAGGAACATACTGTGCAGGGATACGACTTGTCTTGAAGGAGCGTTTGCGGCTGGTCAGCACCCCGAATCACCCTCACTTCACGGAGACACCTGTTATGGCTTCCACCCCGGAACCCACCTCCGCCCGCGCTCGGACCCCGCCAACTCCTCTTCACGGCCCACGATATGACAACTATCAACCATACTCACCTCGTCGCTCGAACAGAGTTTCTGCGCAAAGTAACCCTTACAGCTCTGGTAACATCGATCGCTCTCCGCGAGCCAACCTCCCACGCCACACAACACCCCCTGCGACAGCGAAGAGGGCCCGTATAACTCGTCAGCCTACTCAGCTCTCATCGCCACCGTCTTCACCCGCTTCACCCGTCCGGCAGCGGCAAATACCGCACGTTCACAAGACGCCAAGGAAAGCAGCTTTCAAGCCGACAAACGGCACTAACACCTTGTCCGATTCAGACCACGTTTCTACATCACTGAGATTACCAAACATTGATCCCGTTACGATGCTACCGACGCCATCCAAAACGCCCAAGAAGCGCAATTCAGCTGCCATCAACGCTACGGCGCGCATTCTCAGCTTCCAGCCGGAAAACCCTAACGATGTCATGCCTTCGCCGCGCAAGTCCAGGAAACATGCCCGCATCCACTCTGCGAACGGCTTCGACCTTTATGATGAGGAGCGTGAGCGTGCCAGAGATCAAGTTCATGTCTATACTGATGCTAATGCGCGCGTGCCGGAATTGGATGTGAACGAGGACAATCCCTTCGTTGGCACTAAACACGGCGCAACTAGCAGGCCGCAACGCAGGAGTCGTGGCCCTACTGTGGCGGATGCAGGGATGGAGGAGGCGGTCCAGAGGGACGAGGGCATTCTCTACGTCTTGTAAGCGCGCCGTCAACCTTCTCAAGCACTTTGAAGCTAACGCGACGATAGCCGCGGCAAGAAGGTCTTCCGTCGCTTCTCCGATCCGGAGGCAGAGCACCCCACCTCCGTCGACAACTCAGAGGCCGAGGTGGCGCCCGGACAGCGCACCCTCAAGCGCCAGGCAGGTGCTTCAGCGCAACGTCCACTCACTCGCAGTGCAATCAAACCGCGCTTACTATTTCCGTCAGACGATCAACTTCGTGAACGGGAGGAAGGCGCGGACGATGCCGATGAGGAAGCCACGACCGACATTGAGATGGGCAATGACGAGGCGCCTATTGTGGTTAAGCCCAAAGTCGCACAGACTCCGACGAAGGATCGCTTCAAGCCCGCCACGATAGCCACGCCACCAACGACTGCTAGAGTGACAAGATCAATGAACGTCACGGTTTCACCGGTCAAGCTGACTCCGCTCGTGGAGGAAGAAGAACTGGGCTCGTCCATGTCGCTGGGCACTGACGATTCGTTTACCGCCGTCTCGAAGCGGGGCCGCAAGAGCCCGTTCGATTCGTGGCAACGTACTAAAGCTGGGAAGAAGCGGGTGAGCGAGGAGGGGGAAAAGGAAATCGGGGCTGAGAAGCGGACAAGGAGCGCTGCTGTGGTGACCAGTCCGGCATGAGGTGCGACTCCGATTTGTGATGCCGCCGAACACGCTATGATTGTTTCGCAAGCCGTTCGCCCAGGACAGATTGCGGACCTATGGGATCGGCTCGACGGCCCAACCCCACCAGGCTGTCTCCGGTTCGGGATGGCAGCCCACCAGTCACCAACCCTGGCGTTTTCTGATGCCATTGAAGGTGTACTCATTGAAACCATAACGGTTCGGCGAGTGGCCGTTATCAGAGCGCAACAAGAGACGGACGAATGTGCATTCTACGCTTTCTTGGCTTATCAGGACTGCGTGAATGTTGCACTTTTGACGAGGTACGCTACTACACACTTACGACGATCTGGCTGGACAATGATACTGTTGACATGGATACCGGGCGCGGAGTTGCTGGGCATTGCCATAGCGCCTGGTATTGCATGCGTTGTTCAAGAAATACAACGCTGCGATCTCTCCCTGCCCGCGTCTCAACTCTCATGTAATATGATATTAGTGCACTGCGGTGCTGTTGCAAGTTCAACAAACTGGTAGATCGGCACCTATCGGCTCCACCTGCTCGCTTACTTATGCATACTACCGACGACACCCCTGCAAATTGAGGTACGAAAGCTGTTCGATGTTCGTGAACTTCGGCCTTAGAGCACCTCCACCACGCCCACGTGGTAGAAAATGCTATTACTCGCAATGGGCTTATCGAGTCCACTCTTGCTGTGACCCAGCCCGCCGTTGGCAGCGTGATACGCGTAGTGTACAATTCATCCTCTTTGCCTCGACTTGTCCTGTTTACAAGTTTTCAAGCGACTGATCGTTCAACATGATCATCCTCGTTGTATTGTCTACAGTGTTCGCACTAACGAGTGCACTGCAGAACAGCACCACATGGCTCGTAGCCCCAAGCAAGCTATTGCAGGCCGGCGTCTCTACTACCGGCGGTCTGCTATCCTACACCGTCCGTTACAATGGGACTACGGTATGCGAACATGTAAGCCTCATACTACACCGTCAACAGCTGACAATCTAAGCTTGTTGAAAGCAGCACGCTCGGGATCATACGCCTCGACGGAGATTTCTCCCGCAATTTGACCCTCCAGCAATGCATCCATCAAGGCTATCGCTTAGAACAGTACGATCTTCTTTATGGCAAGCAGCAGCACGTCCGAGCGGAATACGCTCAGATGACTTGCTATTTTATGAACCGAGATTCAGAGCCAATGCACCTCGACCTACTTGCGTCAGACACGACCTTCGCGTTTCGGTACCATTTCCCGACGTCCAGCAATATATCGGCCAAGTACATCGTGGCGGAGAACACTACGTTCAATATTAGGCAGTCAGCGAACGACTTCCAACTTCTGCAACCTTACGACAGCCCGGTACCGAAGTATCAAACCTTCTATCAGCCACGTAACAACCGTACCAAAGCTCACATTGGCGAGACCTACTCGGCTACCGGCTTCGGACTACCGGCTTTCTTCTACACCGAGGCGGACGATCAGAGTTATTTCGTGCACCTCAAAGAAACAGGGTTCGACGGACGGTACCCCATCAGCCATATCTCCAACGCCACAGGCGCAAATATCACCCTGGCTTTCCCAGATCCAGCAGACGGCAACGGTATGATGGGGTCGGCCATACCACACTCTATTCTGCCCTGGTCCACACCGTGGCGGGTGCTGACTATTGGTACCACTGCTCGTGCTATTGTTGAGGATACCAGTGTTACGGATCTCGCCCAGCCAAGCGAAGCGAGCAACGCAGCATTCGTCAAGCCTGGGGTCTCCGCCTGGAGCTGGTGGTCCAATCCCAATGGTGACACCAACTACACGGTGACCGAGTCGTATATCGATCTTGCTGCCAACCAGAGCTGGCCATACGTGTTACTAGACGCCTCATGGGACCAACAGACCATAGACGGCGTCCAGGTACCGCTTGCTGTCATTCACCAACGCGCTGAGTCCCGCGGCGTGAAGCTTTGGGTTTGGATGAACTCGGCAGGCGTCAACAACAATGCCTCGGTGGTAACATCAGGCCCCAAGGACCTGCTCTGGCAGCCAAGCATCCGCCGCCAAACCATGGCAAACCTCAAAGCAAACGGCGTTGTTGGCTTAAAGGTCGACGGCATCCAGAGCGACAAGCAGGAGATGGTATCGTATCTCCTTGATATTCTCTCGGACGCCGCCGATGCTGGCTTGATGATCATTCTCCACAACTGTATGCCGCCCCACGGCTGGGAACGAAGGTGGCCTAATCTGCTGGGTCATGAGGGTTTGATCGCTTCAGAGTACTACACAAACGCGGCGACGGACTACGGCTCGCAGATGCCGGAGAACAACGTCAACGAGGCATTTGTCCGCTATCCCATCGGACCTGCAGATTACTCTCCAGGAAGCTTTTCGCAAGGCCTGTATCCCAACGACAGTGTCCCTACCACGGACGCCCACGAGACGGCGCTTAACATCATCATTGATTCAGGCTTACGCATCCTCCCGGATACAGTGCAGGCGTACGAGCGCACCGTCTCTCCGCTGATCATGAGCATGCTCGGCGCAATCCCATTTGCTTGGGACGAGACAACTTTCTTGGCTGGTGAACCAGGGAAGTACTTCGTGGTCGCCAAACGAGCTGGGTCGGTACTCTATCTGGGTGCTATAAATGGCGAAACAACCTTCATCTCGAACCAAACCCACGCTGCGTCCGCCGATTGGAAGCCAGCTCAGGGCGTAGCTCGAGATTTGACGCTGGATCTCTGGCAAGCGGGCTACCGGGTTTGCGGCAACAGTACTGTCATCGCAGACAGCGCTGGCTCGAAGATTGCCAATGCTACGGTAGGCGCAGGGTGGAATGGGTCGAATATGATCCATGTGCACATGGAGCCGTTTGGAGGCTTTGCAGCCAGGTTTACACTCTGTTGAAAATTGGTGGAAAGGGTGAGTGGTCTAAATAATAGAAAATGACCGCCGCTCAAGGCTATCAAGATCAGGATGCCTGGCCGGGTGGTCATCCAGAATGGTTGCTGGGGATCTACTCCGATCAAACGACAGTATGTCAGACGTCCATAGACCCGCGCGCTCATACGCTCCGCTAACGCCATCTGCTGCGGGCCGTAGCAAAAGACCAGCATACATGAACCAAAAGTCGCCGGTCTCGCTTCCGTGTAGCTTGCCGATAATAAGGAGGACTACTTCTGCTGGTACGTCCGCAAAGTCGCCGTCAATGAGGGTCCGTGAGCCTTCCATCCATGTGTGCGGTACTGTGTCCGGCAGGTTTCGAAGGGTAGCTGCATGGCTGCTGCTTGCTTTCGCCCTCGGATGCCAAGACAGAGCCGCGACTATATCACGACTCAAAGGCAGGCTGGGTCCGGTGATCAGCAATTCCGCATGGTGCGACATTGTCATCGACTCAGGATGGTGCGAATCTAGCTTGACCCCATTTAATTCAGCAACTGGATCGCGCAAAAAGTCCGAAGTGTGGTGCTGAAAGTCTGTTCCCACGATGTCCCATGCGGCCCAAGACCATGTAGGTGCACGGTAGACTGCAGCCTTTCGCGTGGAACAACTAGGGTAGACACACCACAGCAATTGGCCTATGAGGTTTCTGCGCCAATGACCGGCTATGTACGTATCACCAGTCTGCTGAGCGAAGTGCTGAGCGAGTCCGGCAACGGCTATCAGTAGATCTGAACATTGTGAGAGTGCCATATTCCGATATGCACTCACCAGTCTTTCCCAAGCCACGTTGTAGCTGGCGGAATGGGTTGAAGGCTCCTTGCCAATTTGTTCTGGTGTTGACATGTCAAACCTTCGCTTCATGGAGTAGATAGCCTAGTGTTCCGAATGGCTACCCTCGACCGCGGTTACCGGATACGGCTCGATGCTGTCCTGTATCATCGTCCCACACTCCCAGTAGACCTTGTCATTGGCAAAGTACAGGGTTCGCGTAGAGAGCAAACGTTCCTGGAGCACCTAGTCGTGAGAAAGCATACGGTTAGCGTGTTCCAGGCGAGAAAAGCGGCATCCATACCCAACCACGCTGATTGATGGGCATTGATTCGATGGTGGTAGGCCAAATCATAGCCGTGCGGACAGAACGGTGGCTCTTCCGATGGTGTAATGGAAGGCTCGTGTTGCTAGTGTTCAACAGCGTTTCATGGCTTTCAATCACTAAAGGGTCTACGCTCGAGCTAGAGGTAGGAGACAGCAATCCCAATGTTGAATCGTTCGCCTGTGCTGCGGATATCGTCAGATATGCGTGTCGATAGACATCATGCATCCTCGTCGCTTCTTGCAGCCAGTCCAGCTGGTCCGCTCCTGTCGCTCCTTGTATGATGCAGAGAGCATTGATCCAAAGATACCGGATACCTAAAGACCTAGTCACTTGCGCCGCATGACGGAATGTCAGTGGCAACGCTTCAAGCTTGATACCTTTCTCGAAAGCTGGGAGGTTCTCGCGAGTAAGCTTTAAGTCTGGGCCTGCTGCTCCCCAGCGGTGGCTCAAAGTGGTATACTTCTCCCAAACCCCTAAACACCCTCCCGGTACTAGCTTGACGCTCTCCTCATCGCCATCCGCAGAAATCTCGAGCAATCTCGTGGGCTTGAATGATGTGGCTTGCCATCTGCAGCATGCCTTATGGCTATCGCACTCGACGCACCAGCGCCGAAGTTTCTCAAGCACAGGTATCTGTTGTAGCTCGGGCACGACGTGGGCCGTTTGAGCGTCGATCCTCACTAGATGTTCTCAGCGTACAAAGACAAAAGCTGCACGTGAATCCGAGCGTACCAGGATCGACAGTCAACTCCGGCAGACTGTCGAGACTACGGGCTTCGGTGTCAGCCAGATTGTCAATGACTGCTGTGCCGTCCCACAGATATTGGCGTGCTCGTCTAAGGTCAAGCCATGCCACCGCACAACAATCTCATAGTTTTGCCGTGCGTCTCTATCACGGTCACCTAAGAAAGAGTCAACATCTGCCGTGTCCTGTGGCGTACTGCAGAGCCGGTTGATGCGAGACTCTGTTCCGAAGAATGTGTCGGCAATCAGGCGGCATAAACGGCATCCTACTGCCGCAGCACCTTGAAGGGCGGCAATACGACCGTGATGCTGATGGGTGATGTGAGTATTGCCCGCATCGTCGACGGGGTCTACTTTCGCACAAGGAGCTCCGTCAATGTCGTCGACAACGAATGTAACGTCCTGGCTCGGCAGGCTACCATTGACGTACAGTTTTGCGCGGAAGAGCTTGCTACATTGGGCGCAAAGCGTCGCTAAATCTGTATACATCTTGACGATCTGTTACACAAAGGCTCTCAAGCGAGCGAGCTCGTCGTCCTAAGAAGTGAACGACCTCTGCAGCGAGCGACTGCTGGTTGATAGAATGTACTCAGCCCCAAATCCATCTTGACATCAGTCATACAAGGCTGAGTGGAATACACTGGTACATCAGCGTCGCTAACAGACCTTGAACGAACCGCGGACGGAGACACGAGACGAGCGAAGCGAAGCGCGGGCGAGGTCAATATCATGACATATGGTAGTATGGTTAATCATGCTTGGACTTTCACCGTGAGATGGGAGAGTGTGTCGTCCTCAGTCTGCGACAATTGCGTTCAAACGCCGCAGCCATTAGTCCGCTCCGCACCAGCCGCTGGTTCCGGCCGAGGTTGAGCTAGACACGCTCGCAAGCTTCCACCTTCGAGCAACACACGAGCACACGAACTCTCAACGAGCGCCTGTGTTCTGTTCTGTAGGCTTCGCAAAGTGTAGGTCTTGACACTTCCAAACACTTGCTCTCCTCTCACATATCTCGCTCTCCCGTACCTGCACAATGGCCGCTGCAACGGCAACCAGACCCCTCCCATGCCTCACCCTAGAAGCCGCGCGCATCGCATCCGCAGCCGCAGAGGAGAAAGCGAAACAGATGGGCATTGGTGAGCATTACCTACTATGATTGCCTCCCCAGACATCATCTGAACTTGGCGACTCTGCAGACTTCAACATAGCCCTAGTAGACAGCACCCTCCACCTCCTCCACTTCACCCGCATGCCCAACGCCAAGCTCACCAGCATCCAAATCGCAATCGACAAAGCCTTCACCGCCGCTGGCCATCGCGCGCCGACCTCAAACTACTCCAATGCACCTGCGGCTAAGAACTTCCTTCCGGGAGGACCGGCGTACGGCATCCATAACAGTAATGGTGGCAGGTTTACATTAATCGGAGGTGGTGTGCCGATTGTGGTTGATGGAGTGGTCGTGGGCGCCATTGGAGTCAGCACAGGGACGCCGGCGCAGGACGAGGAGGTTGCTAGGGCCGGGGTGGAGGCGTTGAATAGACGGAAGGGTGGTGCAAAGCTTTGAGGATATCGTGCGGAGCTGAGATATGTGTTGTAAGGTGTTTGGGCGCTGTGCTTCGCTACGCTATGCTACGCTACGCTGAACTTATGACACGTACAAAACAAGATGTCTCAGGCCTTCTTCCTCTGCCGAGCTTTGCTACGCGTCGAGGCTGCTGGCGGAGTGTGCTCTGTCACCTCCTCGAGCGGCTCGGCCTCGTCTTCACCTCCGACCTCTTCATCAATGTGCTCAAAGTCGCCGTTGTCGTCATGTTCAGTCTGATGGTCATGGTCATGGTCATGCTCCACTCCAGACCCACCAGGCCGCGGCGAATGCTCACTTCCTACACTCGTTGGCGAGATCGGTGACCGCACCTCCTCAGACTCATTAGCAATATGCCTCAGCATCTTCTTTTCCTCGCTCTCCACCCCGTTCCAAGCTTGACAGCTACTACACCTCCACCGCCCCACATCTTCCAACGTACGTGCACCAGGCGGTGCTTGTCCGTTGACCAGCCTGCAGTTCTGACAGATCAGCGCAATGCGGTTCTTCGCTTGCGTCTCGTCCTCGCCCAACACGACATCCATGATACGATCGTACCACTTCGGACCTTCCGAGTACTGCTGTGACGCACTGTGACGCATCGCAGGAGGCTGTCGTGATGGCATCGGAAAAGCGTTCGGCGCGAACTCCTCTCCAGGTCCATTTGGCGACTGCATCAACGCTGCCGCGTCAGGTGCGAGTCCGGTCATCGTCCGTGGGAAAGCATCCGGCTGTGGCGCGGTTGGCGGCCGTTGGATGTTCGCAGTAGGCGGCGGCGCAAAGCCTGTCCTTGGGCCCTGCGGTGCACCCTGCCGTCCAGGCCCAACATCTGACTTGCGCTTCTTGCTTAGTTCAGGAGGAGGCTGGCTCTTCCTTGCCGGCGTGCCACCGTACTTGTCTAGCAACTGCTGCGTCCGGTCGTACTTGGTCGAATCCTTCAGCTTCCTGATGGCTTTCTCTCGCTCCGCATACAGGCTCTCCAACTGCTTCTGCGACGCTGCGATCCGCCAGCTGAACAGCGCATCCAGCCCAGTCCGAATTCCGAAGATGAGCACAGGACTGCCGACAATGGCCGTGTACTCGACAGCACTCCATCGCTGGTAGCCGGTCACAAGCGTGAGGATGGCGGCGACGAGTATGTAAGCGAAGGTGGAGTAGAGTGTCCAAAGGACCTTGTAGCGGCGTTGTTGCTGTCGAAGACTGTCGTTGGTGGCATTGGCGCGGTTGATCTTAGTGGAAAGTTGGCTGAGGACCTTCTCGAAGGAGGCGGCAGAGGAGTCGTCTTTGGACCATGGCCAGAATGAGGGCATGGTTGTTGCTATCTGTCAAGCACCATGATGAAGAGGGAAGGGCAAAATACTGTTGTCACTGCAAGCTTGCTTGATGCACACTTAAGCTTCTCAGCAGTGACGCAGCAGGGCCGCCATACAGCGAGCTTTGATTGATCAGTATGCACGGACGCTAATGGATGTGCGTTCTTGGCGGTGTTTCTCCCTCTTTCAGGTTGATTTCACCCCTCTCACCTGTTCTAACCTGCTCTCACCTGCCCTTACATGCTCTTGTCCATGCTTTACCATGTTTCACTTCACATCTGCCTATGTTGATCGTCATCACTTAGCAACTAATAAGGGACGTACAGATTGAACACAATCCCTATGGCTGCTTCACGCCCGCTCGGTGCTCCTTCATCGCCTCCGCGCAAGGTCTCCCTTGCTTAACATCCGCCGCCACCTTCTCATCTGCCTCCACCTGTGACGGTATCAAGTCCAGCACTTTCTCCGCCATCGCCTGTGGAATGCACACAACACCGTTCAGATCACCTATCAAGATATCTCCCGGATGAACGATGGCATCTTGCTCCTCGCTGTTCAACCGGACAGGTTCATTAATCTGCGCTACCCGCATCGTTTCCGCAGGTGCAGTGGTTCCGACACTGCGAGCGAACACCTGATGCAATGTTAGCAAGCCACGATGCCGAACCTCTTTCCTTGAACGTAACACTACCGGAAAGTTGAGGCCACGATGCTCCTCAAGATCGCGTACCCGTCCATCCACGATCGTCCCCACAGCGCCGTTGTATTGTGCTTTCGTGCTCATAAGCCCGCCATAGCAGGCATTGATCGCTTTTGCAGGCGCAGAGATGAACAAGACTGCACCGGATGGCACGCTATCAATCTACTGTAGTGTCAACAAACCGTTTGCCCGTTCTCGCAAGTATCAGGGTACCGACATAGTGGCCTTTCGGCTGTGGCTCGTTCTCGTAGTTCTTCCGCACGTAGCGGACAGTGTAAGCCGGCCCAACAATCTTGGTTGAGCCTTCTTGTCGTTTTGGTGACCACCTTTCACCGTGTGAGCCAACACTACATTTTCAAGGACATGTGGTTGTTACGTTCGACGTACATGGTCAGATCTGCAAGGAACCCGCCATGCGGTACTTTGAGCTTTGACAAGGCATCGGCGACATCGCAACTGATGAACAATTAGACGATAGAACATTGATGCGCTTACACGAGGTGGCACTACGTAGTATATCGCTGCAGTGCCTTTACGACAGTCTTAACATCCATTGTAGAGGCTCGTCAGACCCCAAGCTCGTCCGTGCTACTCCAGCAGTGAGAGGTGGTTGGAAAGTCATTCTCGCAGCCTGTTGTAGATCATTTCTCAGGTACCGACAGCCGAGACCCACGAATTCGATGACTAATAAGCGGAGAGCCAAAGGCACATCACAACCAGTAAATGCGAGGTAGTCGTAAGGTACACTAACGGCTGTTAAGAAGCGTATCGTACGAACCACTCTCTGCTTCCATCTTGCTTTACATGTCAATGCTAGAGGACAGAATTGCAAATAAGCAGCCACTAACGCAGAGGGAAGCATAGGTACGGTGGCGAAGTTACCCAGTAAACTGTACATACTTGTTGTCAGCATGACCATGGCTCATATTGTTCGCTGTCTTGCTTCCTTGAGTGTTGGCCGACCAATGGTTCAACCAGCGATCGTGACATGCAGATGTGGCACATTAGCAGATGTCTATACATCCATCTGGTCAGAAGCTCGTCTATTCTAGCCATGTTAGCCACAACCCACTGGAACACACAACCATTATCCTCATTACGTTGCTGCTTGACTAAAGCGAAGTTGGGTATCATATTCCAACATTGTCCGGTCACTCAAGCGCCCTTGCCCATCACAACTTGCTGATCACGCTTCACAATCTCGTCTTCTTCCGGCGGAGTCAGTAACACCTCTCTGGCAGAAGAGAAGCACCACCGATCCGTCCCCGGCACGCGGCCCCACATCACGGGCCAGAGATGCGCCGCCTCGTCCTCAAGCGGACGATGACAAGCGGCGCTGATAGCAGCACTGCAGGTCGAAGCCAAGGGCATTTGTATCTCTGCCTTCGTGCCGTCGGACATAGTCATGGTCGCGCCCGTGAACCGGAATGATCCCATAGCGACAGTGCAGATTAGAACCACACCTGCTACGAACATGGTGCAGATAATGCCGATAAGTGAGTAGCCGATAACGGTAGAATCATAAGCCGAGTCGGTGACGTAGGGCTCCGCTGCCAGCGTCCCGGCGTAAGCGAAGCCTCGAATGTCGACGACGAAGAGACTTTGCGAAATGAGCCAGTGTAGGATGCCGCCGCCAACCAGCAGCGGAATGCTGAAGCGGTAGGGTAACGCAAGGAAATAGCTCGACCTTTGGATTCCATGTGGAGATGATAGGCGTAGTGTCTTGCGCTCGCGCGCGAACCGGTTCCACTCGTTCGAGATAATCATCGTTGCCACGAGTCCATTGAGAAGAAGGTACAGCGCCGAGAGAAGCAGCTGTGGGAAATTGGCAATGAGCACGGCAACCCAGAACTGCAGGTACACCGGGAACGCCTGATGGAGAAGCGTTGTCATCGTCGTGGCGTACGGCTGTGCTGTGCCCAGGCCAGCCTTCCACAGCGAGACGAAGTCCAGGGGTATGTTGTACACTTTCTGGATTGCGAAGCCGAGCGAAAGGAGCACGGCGACGACGATCAGGGTGGCGATGACGCTGGCTCAGAGTTAGTGTGTGTTCCGATTTTCGTATACGAGAACGACTTACGCAGCCACGGTAAGCAGCCACCGCTTGACAGACGCTGCTACGAACCACCGGCGGCACTCCAGAAGTCTGTTATACCGAATCGTTACTAGAGCGTCGTCTTTGACTGTCTCCCAGTCCTTCTTATTGAAGTCTTCCTTGGCGGCAAGCGGCATGCCTGCGGTTGTCTCGTCGGGGTGTTTCAGAAATGTTGCAAGTGCATCTCCAATAGTAACTAACGACTTGCTCTCTTCCCACTCGGACGGCGCCATTTGATCACTTCCTTTGTTGCCTCTGTGGAACAAGATCCAAGTATACGCAATACATAAGGCCTTGATGATGTTGAGACCACAGGTAATAATGAGAATGCCAAGGCTGTATCGCACGGTACATTGGTTGGTCCAGGGCTCGGAGCCAGCGCTCAGGCAGTGGTCGACTTCTACAAACACGGACTCTTCAGTGTTCCGGCCGATGTCAAGTGTCCATGCTCCCTCCTTCGCAACGGTGTCTGTGCCGCACCATCCATCTCCTGGTGCGAGGATTGCCGAGCACATCCAAAAGTGCCCATAGATCCATCCAATGCCGTTCGTCTTTTGAACACCCGAGTTCCAAAACGCATCGAGCAACGAACTGTTCTTGCTATATGAGGTGGTATCGTTGTTCAGCATCGCGAGCCCATCGCGCATGGTAACGTTCTTTGCAACAACGACTACATCCCCGAGCGCGGAAGACAGATCCATGTATGTGTCGACGCATTCCTTCGGAGTCTTCCGGGTAAGATTAGTAAGATCTGGAGTATGGATACTTTCGTATAGATCCTTGATTTGATCGGTATTGGTCGGCCAAGGGACTGGATCTGCGGCATAGTCGCTTGTGACTATCGCAACATGATACTGGTTCCGTGGGCTCGTCAAGAAGACAGCCGAGTTCCATGTCAGGTGCAGTAGCGCAGAGCTTGAGAGTAAGATGAACCAAGCAAGCTTCCTTCTTCGGGCTATCCTTTTGCCCCAAAGATTTCTGAAGCTTGGAACACCAATGTCTAGCCAGTCTCCTTTCTTATGTGCGTCCATCACCTCTTTGCGAGTCGGAGCAGACAGGATCTGGGCGCAGTAGTTGCTCGCACCGAGCAAGAGTGTGGAAAGAATGTTGATGGCAAAGTGCAACCCAGAGTTGAGATTTGCGGCCGTGGAGCAGTCTCCGGTGTAGATCTCGCCAAACCCACGTGATGCACCATATTTGATGGGTCCGTAGATTGTGACAGCCATATTGATGCTTAGTGTTAAGCTTGCCAAGCCAAGCTGAAGCAGCAGCGCAAGATCTCTATCAGTACGGCGCCTGGGTTTCGCTTTGGGGTTCTTAGGATCAAGCTTGGGAAACCAAATCGCAATCTGGTCCAAGGGAAGGTATTGTAGGCTTTGCCAGGTCAGCCTCAGGCGACACTCAGGTGGAAGCACAACATACCTAGATAATGCGGCAGCTCCTTCTTGCGACGAAGGATTCCCGCCTCTGCCATCCAGAGGTGTGTGTGTCAAACCGGCGGTAGAACCGCCGCCAGACCGGTCTGTCCCATCATACTCAGCCCCAATGTGAGAGCCTGAGGGCTGTCGACCATGCCCGATCAAAGGCGCCGTCTCCTCATCCTGCTCCGGTGACTGCGTGATTGGCACAGCATCTGTCTGTTGGCTCAAGGAGCTAGAGATAGAGATTTTTCCACTCTGCACGCGCCCACGGTGTTCGGGCCTCGTGTGAGTGTCGAGTCTCCCCAGTTCAATCGGCTGGCTCTGATAGTTCAGCTGTAGGACGGGCGGTCCTTCCTCGCTGCGGCCGCGGTCCCGGCGCAGTGCATCCATCGAGGCATACTAACTCTTCTGACAGGCATGAGGGAAGAGAAGAGCGCTGTCTGTGAGGCAGAAGCATAGCGAAGACAGAGAGCGGGGAAGGATTGGTGAGGTGGTAAGGCTGCGCATAGCGCTCCATGGTTGGTGTGACTGATAAAGCGACCAGTACCGCAAGCTCGCGAGTCTAAATCTTGCTGTAGCAGAAGGGCGCGGCGGCGCGCCAGCCATGCATCCCGATTATGCAACCAGCCCGAATGGTACCAGTCCGTTCGGAAATATATGACTCGACGAACCTACTGGTGTGGAACGGAAGGCTAGGGTTTCGACCCTGACGATGAACATCGCCAGCACGACGATGCCAAAGGCTCGTCACTTGACCATACCTTCTATCGTCTTCGTACAGCCACGTGGAGACTTCGCACATGTCCGAGCGCAGACGCCTCGCGCCAACATTATTGATAGAAAGGAGGCAAAGATCTCTCAGTCCAACACAACGCGGCGTGTGAGGCCGCACACGGCTGTGGATCGGGCCTGTTTGCGTCTCGCTAGGCGTCCAATCGAACCGGTTCGTGTTGACGTGGCGGCAACGGCGGCGATCTGGACGCGCATCTTCCTGCTATCCCCGCATTCGTACTAGACGCTCCTGTACATTAACCACGAGTTAGAGCTGACCATGACTTGAGACTGATATAGATATTGCGGATGACATCGGCGGAGCAGGACGTAGGGAGTAGCATGAATTGATGAAACGCAGAGCGCGAGAGGAAGGTGCAATGTGCCTGACATAAGCAGCTCCACAAGCCAGGCCACTCCAGGCCTTCGACGCGCTGTCTCTCCCACGTCCATCAGCGTTTTGATTCATACTCTGAGCATGCCAGTGCGCGGCTAAACAAGTATACTATCTGATGATCGAGGTGCTCAGATTCGACTCTGTGCTCCAGGTCGGGTATCAGGACGTCAACTGAATAAGTGTGGGAAGTGCTTTCTCATCGACGGAAACGCAGGTGCTCCATTGCTCATGTTTTGAACATGGCATGCGAAAATCGAACGCTCTTCTTCCACCCTTGGACAATCGTACCGCTCGTGCTTCGGATGCTCAACGCCTCAGACCCGCCCTTATCCTCGACCGGCCGTGACGCCTGGCTGGGATAGTACTTTCCTGCGCTCGGAAGTACCTCGTGTGGATTAGTCGTCAGATACAGATGCAGCCTCTCATTCATATCTCTGTGACGTCGGCCGCGCTCGCTTTCCGTGCTGCCCGAGCTACTGTGTCTCGAAAGTGTGCTGAGTGTGCCGATGCTTGCACTACGATGCGGCCTCGTAGGCTCATGGTCGAGTGAAAGTGGCGAACAGGCTGATGACACAGAAGTGGTGGATGAAGTGCTGCCGAACAGTTGATGGGTCGATGCGAGTGCAGCTGGCCCCGTACTGTCGCACCAAGGGCAGGTATCGTTACGCATCTCCCATCCTTCGACCTGCAGCCGTCCTGGGCAGTTGGCGAGGTTATTGGCAGGATCGCATGGCCTGACAAGCTGGAACCAGCGATGTTGACATGGCTGCTTCGTCACATGCAGACGTGCCACGCACATGGCGTACGTGAAGTACTGGCGTTGCCCGATGTGGGTTTTGTAGGCCGCAGGGGCAGATGTTACGATAGTCTGCGCAACCTCAGTATTCAGGCCATGGCTGACGTTTTCTGGGATATGTTGGCTGTCCGAAGCTGAAGGAAGTGTGCGTGTTACCGGTCCTAGTGTTGCAGATGCCTGCTACGAGACCTGTCGTATCTCTGAGACTAGCGTACCGGTGCGTGGCTGTGAATCCTGACTCTGGGAGGAAGTCCCCGAATATGAGCACGACCTTCCAGAGCGGTGGCGACAGTGGTTGCCTTCAATATTAATTCCGCGAGAGCAACTCGACCAACGACTCCCATGTCAGTGGCAAGCACGACATAGCTGTAGCTTCAGGTTTTAGTTATGAGTGAGAAAGAGTGATCTTTCCATGCGTGGTACGCGACGAAAGGATTCGAAAGACACAGGTCTAGCTCCCTGTCATCCCTACACCGCCATGTCGCACCCAATCCACCAGTCGTCAATACCTCCGTCATCTCCACCAGTCTTTCGACACAGCACAACCGACTACCGAACAAGATCACCCATCCGGATCATCGGCGCGCCGGAAGCTGTCTGAACTTACAGGGCAGATGTCCAAGGATCACATTGCCGGCAATCTTCGGGCCTTCGCCGCCTGCCATCTGCCACGTTGAGCCGGCCTTTAGCCTGATCCTGCAACCATAAGTTCAAGCTCACGTAAATGGTGTTGGTTGCTTGGCTGCCGATGTGGCACATCTAGGTGGCTTCCCCGGACAACGTGGGTAGTTCTTGCATCGTGAAAGGACCATAGGACCTCCGCAATGTTGCTGCATTAGCCAGGTGGAAGCACGGCATGGCTACCACATCGACTCGTAGCACATGAGGTGAAGGTGTAACAAAGCTTGGTGGTACCCGATGGGTTAGTGCCCGCAGCGTACCACAATGTTGGGCTTCGGTGAGGTCTCCGAAATGTTGCTGTAGTAACATATGCTCGATCGAAGCATGTTCGCGTCGAAGACTCATCCAATGGTAAATGCACGGCAGTGAGAAGGAGTCGAGCAAGTCTTGTTTTCTGCTCTCAACGCTTCGTATAGTAAATACACGAGAAGAACTTTTGGCAAGTCCAGCACCAGTTGAACGCTCAGCAACGATGTCCACCCTCGCCCAACGCCACGCATATGCAAGCGAAACAACGAGCCGCCCATTTACCTGCCAGATCTTTCTCTGGTCCTCTGTCTCCGCTCCTTCTCCTTCACTGCATCGTACACAAGGAACTCATGCAGAGCGCTTCCACCAGGCACCATAGGCAAAACCGGCACCTTCTGATCCGTCACAACCTCGAGGAACGCCGGGCCCTCTCCCGAACCCTCAATCAGCCACTTCAAATCATCTTCCAGAGTCGCCAGCTTCGTCGTCCGTCGCGCAGGTACTCTCATCGCCTCGGCCAACTTCACAAAGTCCGGGTTGCGCTGATGCGTGTGCGCGAAGCGGTCACTGTAGAACAAGGATTGCCATTGAGTGACCATGCCTTGCTCCTCGTTGTTCAACACCAGGACCTTGACGCCGATGTTGAATTCCGCTGCCGTGCTAAGCTCCGTCTGCGTCATCAAGAACGAAGCGTCGCCGTCGATGTCAACGACCAACTTCTCGGGCGCGGCGACTTTTGCACCAATTGATGCCGGCAAGCCGTAACCCATCGTGCCAAGACCGCCGGACGTGATCATTGAGCGCGGTGTTCGCCAACGGTAGTGCTGCGCAGCCCACATCTGGTGCTGGCCGACGCCAGTGCAGATGATGGTGTTTTCCTTCCGGTCCGCAGTGAGGTCTGAAAGCATGGTGACGACAGTTTGAGGCTTGATCAAGGCGTCTGGGCCGTCTTCTCTCTCGAATGCCCACGGGAACCGCTGCTTCCAGGCATCGATCTGTCCGAACCACTCTTTCCTATCAGATGGCGTCTTTGCCTCGATGTGAGGCATCATGAGCCCCAGATTGGTTGTAACGTCTCCCTCTACAGCCTGAGTGGCTTGCACGACTTTGTTGATGTTCTTCGGCATAATGTCGAAATGGATAATGCCGCCACGGCCTTCTTCGGCCGCCTTCCTGGCTTGAGGTGCGAAGCGCGCTATGGCTCCTGTGATGCGATCGTCAAAGCGCGCACCGAGCGCAATGATGAGATCCGCTTCCTGCATAGCCATGTTGGCATACGCTGAGCCGTGCATGCCGAGCATGTGCAAAGACTTCGGATCTAGTTCGTCAAAGCCTCCCAAACCTTGCAATGTTGTCGTCACCGGGATCTGCGCCTTGTCGGAAAGTTCCCTAAGTAGCTTCGGGCCATCTGGATGACCAAGGACACCCTGACCGGCGTAAATAACAGGCTTCTTCGCAATGTTGATGAGGTTTGCAGAGCGTCGGATGCTGCCATCAAGCTGCTTCGATGCAAGCTCGCGGGCTGCCACAGTTGCTGCAGACGGGTGAGATGGCAGGGTCGAGGTCATTGGAATAGGTCGAGTAAGCTTGCTGGCTGTGACGTCCTTCGGCAGATCGACCAATACCGGGCCAGGTCTGCCAGATGTTGCGATCTCGAATGCTTCGTTGATGCGGCGTGGTAGCTCTGCAACGTTCTTGACCATGACATTCCACTTTGTGCATGCCCTCGAAATGCCCACAATGTCTGCCTCTTGGAATGCATCTGAACCAATGGCGGATGTGACGACTTGTCCAGAGAAGACGACCATGGGTGTGCCGTCCATCAGGGCATCCTGCATCGGCGTAATGACGTTCGTAGCGCCTGGTCCAGACGTCACGAGGACAACGCCAGGCTTGCCTGAAGCCCTGGCATAGCCTTCTGCCATATGTCCTGCGCCTTGTTCATGACGGGGCAAGATGAACTCGAAGTGTTTACTGTTGTAGATCGCATCAAAGACAGGGAGAATGGCTCCTCCCGGGTAGCCGACTAAACAGCAACTGTTAGCTGTGGCAAGCGTACCGCTATCAATGCTGCCCACTCACAAACATGCTTGACACCTTGCCGTAGCATCATCTCGTGGAATATCTGACCGCCCGTCATTCCCACAAAGCTGTGATCCATCTCGGGCTGCCGGAATGGTTGCAATGGCTGAACGTCCCGGTATCTGGTATCATCGCGGTTGAAGGCGGGACTAGGCATAGTTCGCTGCGGCATTGCTGCCGCCGCAGCTTGAGCTGATCGTTTCGCGGTGTCTGATACATTGCGCCTCGCTGCTTGTTGTGCTTGAGGTGGTGCTGCCTGAGTTGCTCGTCGATATGGTGAAACAGCTGCTGGTGCTGGAGTGGAAGAGAATCGGCGAGCACGTGGTAGGCATTGGGCCGCCTTCTTGGCCGGTTGCGCAGTCAACATTGTCGTCGCCTTCATTGGTGTCATCCAATGACAGTAATCTCGGGTTGTAGGTGAAGTTGGAATGCCCTCAGCAATGACTCTTCGGTTTGACTCAAGAAGAGCAAATTCTTGGAGCGTCAGTGGCACTCCGAGGCACGCCACCCAATAAGAACCCTGCATTGCTGCTTCCCCGCCATAATGTTCCAGACTCGCAGCAAACAATCTGCCGGCCTTCCGACACCGGCACAGCATCAGATCTTCGGCTACATCGTCCGGGTTGCTTGACCGCGGGCAAAATCGGACGATTGGCATCAAGCATTGATTCTGTGAGTTGAATAGAGTTGTGGCCATGGACTCGCCGCAGTCACCAGGTGGTAACTCCCGCCGCCAAGGGAGGAATGTTTCGCAGCCACTGGTGAGACGAACCACAAGGGGACCACTTGACGCTATCGACGGGTATGGCAGGACGCTCTAGCATTACTGCCACCAAACTGAGACTGATGTAGTCCACTAGCCGAGTCAGTCACGAGCCCATCTATTACCTCGCCTCTTGAGGATGTATCACCCGCAGTTTCAACCGAAGACTTACAGCCGAACCCGCAACTCCCTGAGCCTGCACTGACGGAGCGAACCAAGACAGAGGTAAACGTGGGCTTCCTCCTAGACCCGAACATCTACCATGCATTGCTCACGGACGATGTTCATCCCGCTTTCTTGAGCTCAGACCAACAGCCACCGCCGCAAGCACGGCTCGAGGAACTTCTGCAGCCAGGCCATTTCCGCCGAGCGGCAGATGCTGCGGCCAAGGAGCTCCTCCGTTGTGACCGCACGGAAGCAGACAGCATCTTGCCACTGCTGTACACCAGGCTTGCCTGCCTTGTGCTGATCTCAAGGTCCGACATTGCAGCACTCGAAGCCACGCCGCTAGCAGAGTTCCTGGCACGAAACACGCCTGGTGCAAGGGATTGCCTACCACATGTCCCATGGGAGCTGCGATTGCTCATCGTACGGCTCCAAGCGCTCGGTACCGCTGATGGCGGGCGTAGATGTATCATGTCGCTGTATTCGCTTGCGAGCGAAACCAGAGCCATGATAAGGCAGGCGCTTGACTATGGCAATGAGCGTGAACGGCAAGTCTGGTCAGACAGGCTCCATGATCTCGGTCTCCGCGTTGCTGATGCTCTCGTGGAGATGGGCGAGCTCGAAACCGTCGAGAGGCATTTAGACACGCTGATTGAAAGCGATACCGACGAGATCGCGTATCGCAAGGCACTACTGCGGATAAGGCTTGGTAATATTGTCGGTGCTCGCCGTTGTTTGGAAAATGTTCATGATGGCAGTCGAAGGGAAGCACTCAGTGCACTCTTAATTACCGCCGACGGAGAATACACCAAAAGCATCAGCTTGTGGAGGCAGCTCGTAGATCGAAACCAAGATTACGCCCTCTCAGCAAACAATCTCGCAGCGTGCATGCTCTACACTGGTCACATCACCGAGGCGCGCCAGATACTGGAACAACTGGCAGACGAACGTCCTGGCTTGGCTGCTTCGCTATTCAACCTCAGCACCGTGTATGAGCTGTGTACAGAACGTGCTGGCGAGCGCAAGGACATGCTTGCGCAGCGACTTGCTACCAAGCAGCCATCTGCTGCGGTGGGAGGGTGGGAGAAAACGAATTTCGACCTCAAGCTCTGATCAAACACCGCTTATTATAGAAGCGCTCACGCTGGTTCTTGGATCCTTGCCAGCTCCTTCGCGTGGCCAAAACTTCTCGCTTCGATTGATCATACTTACATCGACATGGAGAAACCCTTCGACTTCCGCGCACGGCGAAGAATCACCTCCGCATCGTCCATCTCCTCAGCATGCCATCGACAAGATCGTCATCTTCGTCCCAGAAGGTAGCACGGCCCGTCTTCGCGGAGGTCATCCAGCCACACACTCCTTCTTGAGTAATTCCCTCCACTCTCCGACCCGGACTCGATAATGTCGATAGTCGTGCACAGGCACAACCCTCGTCTATCAACCGAACCCACGGTCTCAAGTATCACTCTCGACTCTGCCGTACTCAAAGGTGGTGCAAACACCTCGTTCGCGTCATTAACAGGCTGTATGAAGCGCCGGCGAACTTTCTTCATCGAGCACTATTCGCATGCGGGCTGCTTGTGACCCGCCGTCTGCAAAACGCTGCTCTTGAGCGGCCTTTGTCGTTTACGCAGCAATAGCCAAAGCCATCGCAGCTGCAGTACGGTGTCGGTGTTGGCCACCCAAGTCTCACCGCTGTCGAATGCACCGATAGTGAGACACTGCAGCGGGTCGCGACAAACGACGTTCTTCGCCAACGACTTGACCGAGCAAATTCTTGGATACGACCGAGGCTTGGGTGCCCACCGGTCGTTGTATGCGAGCTGCTGCATCCTCCGCTGCTCATACAGTACACCCCGGGCTTCTTCATAGACAGCGCGGCATGTCCGGAGCGATGTTGGACGGCCTTGTGCGTGGTCGTCGGGACCGACACAACCCATCGCGTTGTCACGTCCGACGAACAGCCGCGCAGGGTGATAAACCCGCAAACACGTGACTGTAGATCTTCATGGCGAAGCTCACGTGTCAGTTAGAGGAGTGACGAGGATGCAACAGCGTCACATGGAGGTGGTGGAGTGATCCAATGTCTGATGAGTGGGACCTTGTGGAAGTGCCTGCGTAAGGAAGCTGACTTCGATTCCATATGGGCGTCTTCGAAGTCGTCCACGTCAGGTCTAAGAAGAGTGGTAGATCTCATGCACACGAACTCTGGTGCAGAACATAGCGGAATAGAAGCTCCTCAACAAGGGGAATGTCCACTGCTTCCAGAAAAGTTACAGTCAGCGCGAAGTGCACAACCAGTGACCGCCACCCTGACGATGCCAATCCATCAACATTGAAGGGAGGATACGGAAACCTCGAACTTTCGCGACCGGGAGAAAAAGAGTTGGCGTATGATCAGCACAATCCCAGCCGGATATACTCCCTATATATCTATATAGCAGTCCCGCCTCGACGAGTACACGGAACGAGCTCCCGCCGCGGACTTGTTATGCGTCAGGAAGCAGCGGAGTGAATTAGGCCGCCATTTCCATCCCTTCGGGCTGGACTGAGCGGCGTCCCCAACCAGCTACGTATGCACAAGCAGCAAAGCAGAGGACAGGTTCACGAAGAATAGGAGGGGTGCAGTTCTCTTTTGGACACGAGTTTGGCAAAACCCCGAAGGCTCTTTCGTTTACCCCGGCCGACGCTATGCAACAAGCCAACAAGCCAACAAACGAACAAACAGATAAGTAGGCGACCCACACCTCCTTCATATTGTCCATGGAACCCGCGTTGTTGTTGCCCCCGTCTATGCATATACATCCATACCATCAAGACCATATACTCATAGCTCCCCGCAGAATCGCCAACTCCCCAAACTGGGAACCCCCGACACCATGAACTCTACATCCCCTTGCCAGCACCACCATCACCACCACCACCACCACCACCATCTTACCTCCTCACTCCCCTCCCCCCTCCCCCTCCCCCTCCTCACCACACTCCCTCCCCTCCCTCCGCTGCTCAACAAGCCACTCCATAACACTCTCATAACACAGCACAAATTGGCGCAGACTCTGCACCATACTCAAGCGCTGCAGGCGGAAATCCTCGACCGTCTTCTCCACCAAATCCACATCCCCACCCAACACCCACGCCCCGTCCACTTCCTCCCGCTCGTGTCCCACATCCGGGGTCGGCGTCGCGGTCGCGGTCGCGGTCGGGGCGTGATACGCGGCGAAGAAATCGCCCCGACTCTCGTCCCTTGGCTTTGGTGTCCGCGCCGGGTTCTTGCTCAGTGCGCCCTGTGTCTGTGTCTGTGTCTGTGTCTGTGTCTGCGCCTGCGGGGCGAGAGCAGGCGACTTGAGTGGTGTGCGGGCCTTCTCGTCAACCTCCATCGGACTCCCCACCCTCTCCCTCTCCCTGCCGGCACCACCACCCTTCCCCTTCCCCTCCTGCGAGATACGCTGCCGCTTGAGCATATCAATCACACTATCGACCGTACAAAACGTCCCCGTCCGTCCGCACCCGGCCGAACAATGGACCAAAATCGGCCGCTCGCCTTCGCCCTCTGGCTCCCTTTCCCCTACACCAGCACCACTACCACCACCACCAGCAGCTCCACTCTTCTGCCCCTTACTTTTATCCCGATTCGAAGCCCGCACCACCGCATCCGTCTGCTCGACCAACCCGAGCAAATGCGCCGGGTGCGCGGGCGCGCCAAAGTCCGGCCAGGAGGAGTATTGGAGTTGGGTGATCTCGCGCATGGGTTCGAAGGGATGCCGCTCATGCGCCAGCGTGAACTTCCGCACGATCACGTACGGTTGCTCGCCCGCCTTCTCCTCCTTCCCGTCGATAGTCGCCAACGGGATCTGCGGATGACTGGATCGAGTCGAAGCCCGCTTGACCGTCCCCGGCCGTTTGGCGGCGAGGCGCTGGCTGTTATGGATCCGCGCCGGTTCCAGAGACGCCCGTTTCTCGCTCAAGAACTCGAGGCGTAAAGGTCCGTACGTCTTGGCATCCCAGTAATTATGCGCCTTCACCTGCGCGCCTTCCTTTTCGGCGGTCAGCATGACGATGACGCGGACGTCTTGTTGCCAGATGACGTTCCAGAAGTCCTACACCTCCTCATCAGTATGCGCTAAATCATCCCTCGTGCTTGATATTGCTTGAGGACTCACGTTAAAAGTGGCAGGGATAGGCGCCTGTGTACTAATATACCTCTTATGACTCCACCCGGCCTGGACAAACGTGCCATTGAAGTAATCACACCCGGCCTTCGGCACGCCCTGCAATTTGACCCGCGTGTGCTCAAAAGGCCAGATATTGTTATACCGGTTCTTATTCCCCTTCTCGATGCCCGCGATCTGGTGCACGACACCCTTCTGCTGCTGCTGCTGCTGCTTATTACTGCCATCTCCACCGCTGCGAGGTCGAGGGGAGGAAGTGGTGGTGTTGTTGTACGAAACGTTGCCCGACAGCGCATCCTCCATCCGCTTCTTCTCCCTCCGCTCAATCGCCTCAAACTTCTTACTGACCTTCTGCCCCTGATCGCCATCATCCGCCGCGCTGCGAAGCCAGTCCGGAAAATCGTCTTCAGCCGATTGACTAGTTTTGGTAGGATGTTTGAGCGGTATCTGCCCGACCCCACCAATGAGATCCATATTCTGGCGGATATTGCCAAAGAAGGGATTGGCGGGTTTGTCAGTCGACGGCATCACACAACCGCCCGCCACAGGTAGGGTGTCGAGCTCATCAGCGTTCTTGGCGGAGTCGACACCCGCCTCGGTGTAAGCGGCAAAGGCGGTTCTGAAAGCGGCAAAGCCTCCCTTGACGATATGTAGCGTCCCCTCGTATCCCTCGTTCTGGAACTTCTTCACCATATTCAGGCAGATCTGCGCGTCTTTCAGTTGCCCCGATGAAGCGTCATAGACGATGATGTAGCCACTACTCCGCCAGTGCTCGAACTTGCGCCGCTGCTCTTCATCCTTGAACGTCTCCGCCAGTTTCTGCACATTGAATGACGGTCGTTTGAGTAGCGTCGTCGGTATACACAAATTCAATGCCCCAGCAACATGACACACAGCGTACTGCGTCGACACCCGCAGATCAAGCAATAATATATCCTCCGTCTTCGAATCCATCAGCGTAACGACATGCTGCGGCGTGACCATCAACTGCTCCGCCTCGCTCGGGGTGGACGCAGGCAACGTCTCCGACCGTTTCGGCTGATGCGAGAAGCCCTGCGGGCCACTCGGATTATCGAGCGGCAATTGAAAGCGTGGTTGACTGGACGGCCTCTCCGCATCGCCAAAGTTCGCCGGGGAGCCCTTCCGCGTCGGCTCCAACTGCGCCGCCGAACCGGGGGAGAGGACCCTCTTGGGCGAGCGTGCCAGCTCGGCGGTGTTCGGGTCCAAGAGTTCTTTCGAGCGCACCTTGGTCACGGGCGGGACATTGCGCGGCTCGGACGGCGTCTTCGCCGCCACCCCGCCCTCTTTCGCCATCAGAACCGACATCTTGCTCGCCGTTCGACCCGGTTTCGGCCTCAGGCCGCCAGCAGCAGCCGGGGGCGGAGCGTTCATCTTGAAGTTCCCGCCCAAGCCGCCGAGGTTAAACGCTTTTCCCTCCGAGTGTCGGCGGAAGGCATCGAAATCCGGGTTCTGGTCGACGGGGACGATGGACGGGGAAGCGGCGGCGGTGGAGCGGACGGCGGAGGAAGGCGGGCTCCAGTTCGTTTTGGTGTGGTGGGGCGAGTCTCGAAGGAAGGAGCTGGTGTCGTCGCCTTGGAAGCCGAAGTAATTGGGGCTGGGCGTCTTGGGGTTGGTGGTTTGCGAGGAGGAGGAGTGGTGGTGGTGGTAGGGCGTGGAGAGTTTGGGTTGGGTGAAGTAGGGGGGCATGGCGGTGGTCATGGGATTTGGGGTGCGAGAGGCGACAGGGTTGGATGCAAGGTCGTGGTGGTGGTGGTGGAGACGGGGCGAGGTTGCGGTTGTGGTCATGGTGATGATGATGATCCTCGCGTTGTTATCGTGCACGATGGGGCATGTCTTGTCCTGTTCCTTCCTAGTCTTCGAAAGATAGATGGACCGATCAGATTAGAGCGACGGCAGTGGGGACGTCGCGTATCGTTCTGGAAGGCGCACTCCAGAGAGAAAGAGTAGACCCTGGGCCTATGAGAATTCGCCCATTTCACCCTGACCCGTACCTGACGACGGCTCGACGATGACGTAGTGGTTAGGCTGTGCTGCGGCTGCTGAGATTGGCGAACAAAGCCTCACCTCACCTCAACTCCACTCCACACAACTCAGCCGGAAATGTCATGCACACACACACACCCTCCCTACGCTCAGCAGGTCTAAAGGTCAGCTGAAGGGGGAGTCACGAGTACCTGTAATTCCATTGATGACTACTGCACACGGGAAAGACCAGGAGTAGAATAGAGTCGTAGAGTCAGTCGATTATAGATAACGGGGCACCGGCATTGGGGGCCAGAGTGTGTGTCCCCGTCGGCTTACGTGCTTACCGTAGCAAATGCAGGGTTCAGCTTGTGCTCGCGTGCGCCCATGACGCAATGCTCAGGGTGTCAATCAACGGTCAATCAATGCCCACGCGGGTTCACGTAGAACAATCCCGTCTCCTTACCTGACGTATTTATTAAACGCTTAGGTCACATCCTCATCGTCTGAGAGTGTCAACGTTTAGTCACCTCTAACCAAACACCACCCATCTGAAGGTACTCTACGACTTCTCCCCCAACCTGCTCTCGTTATCGCAAGCGGGCGTCAGACTTTCACGCGCCATTCCCTTTCCGTCCCCGTCTCCACCCGCCTCCACCAGTCCAGACTGTCTTGGCGGTCTTCATGCGACAACGTTGCGATCACGCATGCATAGCACAATTAGCGACTCTGTGCGCCCTCATTCCCAACGATCACACTAGTACAGTGAAAACGATAATGAGGAGCTGAGAGGGCGCCCTCAAACGAACATAACTTGCGCTTGGCAGAGGCTGAATTTGTAACGCTCATAGCCAGCCCCCGCTAGCCAGCCTGACATGCTATCCTCCTCACAGCACCCCGGTACAGTCACTCGCGCCCAGGCTGCGCTCAGCGCATTCCTGCCTTATTGACCTCATAGCTTTTATCAACCGACTCCCAAACACCTCGCTCAATTCACTCGCGCACACCAGTAAATCAATCGATCAACCAACAACTCCCTCAACAAGAGCAAACATCACCACTTCCTCCTCCATCCTCTTCCTCGGCTAAACCCCTATCACCCGTCTCTGCAGTCGTTCCATCACACCCCCCTCCCAACCACAATCCCACCACTAACAGCACTCTCCCCAACCCTCACCTCATCCTCCCCCGCAACCAGCCCGCCACGCCGACTACTCGCACTCGTACTCTGACTCTCGCTCCGCTCCCTCGGCGGCGCAACCCCACCCACGCCTCCATCCCACGCCGCCACCATCCCACCCCCACCCGCATTCAAACCCGGACTCGCGCTGGTCATGCTGTCCCGCGCACCAGCGCTCGAAGTGCGCGTGTTGACTTCCGACCCGGATTGACTCGAGTCCCTTCGTCGGGCCCTCAACGCGCGTTCAAGTGCCCGCACGCGCTGCCGCAGGATCTCGTTCTCCGCTTTCACAATCTCCATCTCTGTTCTGTAGGCGGCCGTGTCCGCGATGGGGCTGGGTAGTGGGAGTGTTGAAGGAGAGAACGCAGTAGGCGTGCCCGCTTGGGCAGCAGTAGAGGACATGGTATTGTGCGTCGACGCGTAAGAAGTATCCCGTGACAGGGAAGGTCGGTGAGGCAGCGTGAGCGTATGCCGTGAAACGTCCAGGGAATGCCGGGCTGGGGTCGACGTGCCAGAAACGGAGGCGCTCACCGAAGGCTGCCGCGAAAGTGTCGTGTTACTCATCCCCGTCCCCGCTGCTGCTGCGCGCTCGAAGGAAGCTTGCGAGATCCCCGCACCCACTACACTACCCGTATGTCCATGTGTAGAGGAATTCGTCACCGTACTTCCCACCGCCGACGCGCTGGTGGTGGAAGGGGTAGGGATACTCCTCGAGCTCACAGAAGACGAGGAGCGATGTCTGCGCGAGGGCGTCGGATGGGTAGCCCCCATCATCTGATGCGTCGGGTTCGGGTCGGAGATATCTACGGGCAGGAGTGAAGCAGAGGTCGAAGTAGACGAATGCGAAGCATTACTCGCGACCGAGGCGGACTGCGCGCGGAGGGCGCTAAGTTCGCGCGTGAGTCGGTTGACCTGTGCCCACTTACTGTTAGCCCCACACCCACACACACACAACCCTCCTCTGTCACGAGCGTTTTAGAATGGATTGGATTGGAGGGGAGGTGGTATGTGACGTACGACCGCCTCCTGCTCCTTCTCACACTCCAGATACAACTCCGCCGCCGTCAGCGGGCGCGGATGGCGTAGCGGGATGCCGAGTTGCTCGTTACTGCTTATGACCGGGCTGCGGTGGACCTGGTGGCCGTGTATTGTCGTCGTCGTTGTCGTCGCTAGTGCGGCCGGGGGACCCATGGTTTGGGAGGCTCGTCGTGAGGCGGATGTGGAGGTAGGGAGGGATGATGGTGGTGGTTGTGCCGTCTGGGCTGGTGGTGGTGGTGGTTGTGGACGGTCGGCGCGTGGGGAGGAGGGGAGGGAGTTGACGTCGGGCGCCATGCCGAGGCTGGCGAGGTGGTCTCGATGTTTAGGCACTAGTGGTTGCCCGTTGTGAAGTACGTCGTCGGCGAAAGAAATGTAAACCGCGGCATGGACTGAGAAGCAACACCCAGATGGAACAAGAGAGCAGATGGCAATGAGAAGAGTGTGCAGCAATGGGCGAGGTCGAAGGAGGTTAACCCGAATTTGTAGGTTAGAGTGGACAGTGTTGAGGGTTGACGAGCACGTGGGGCAGTAAAGTGATCGGTGCCAAAGCTTGCCCATTGCGGAAGTCACAACTTTAGGGGAGTTTGACACGTGAAAATGCGGGCTTAAGCCGCAGACAGAAGTTCCTTCTTGGAGAGCATGGAAGAATAATAATTCTTCTCTCATATCGTTGCACTCCCTTCCAGTATTTGGCGTTGCGATGCGTCTCTAGCAAAGCAACCCGGCCAGCAACTACCCCTGCAAGCCCTCAACAACCTCCGCAGCCCGCAGCACCCGCTCATCGTCCCCAAACTGCCCAATAACCTGCAAACCAACACTCCTCACATCCGTCTCCTCCATCCCCGCCCTCTCCTCGTCGGACAGCCGCACAGGTACACTGACCGCGGGCAGTCCGGCCAAACTCGCCGGAACGGTGAAGACGTCGTTCATATAACTCTCCACCGGTGACTGCCTGCGCACTTCCTCCACGGTAGGTGGCAGAGTGGGCGCTGTAGGCGTGATGAGAACGTCCACGCCAGCAATCTCATCGCCGCTTTCCGTCGTTGTCGGTGCGTCCAAAAGTGGATTGCGCAGGGAGAAGGCTTTATCGAAATCCCTCTGCACCAGCCTCCGTACCTTCTGCGCCTGGATGAAGTAGTTATCAATTGCGCCCGAGCTCAGCGTGTACGCACCGAGCAGGATGCGTCGTTTGACCTCATCCCCAAAGCCTTCGCCGCGGGTGGGCGTGTAAAGTGGCAAGCCTTCCTTTGGGCGAGCGTCTGGGCCAAAGGTGCGATGGCCATAGCGGATGCCGTCGTATTTGGCTAAGTTCGAGGAGGCTTCGGCGGGCGCGAGGACGTAGTAGGTTGATAGTGCTTGTCGGGTGCTGGGTAGGGAGACGGGATGCAGCGTATGACCGACTGATCGGAGATGTTGCAATGCACGGACGTAAGCGCCTCGGACGGTCGGGGAGAGCTCTTGGATGTTGTATTCGACGGGTATGCCGATCCGTAAGGTTTCCGTTCGCATACCAGCGTTCAACGCGACACGTCTCCGTGTAGAGCTTGACAGCGAAGTCGGGTCCATCGCATCATACACATCCAACACCCCAAACACCTCCCTCACCACCCCCACATTCCCCGCCAGTATACCCACCGTATCCAGCGAGTTCGCATACTGGATCACGCCCCACCTGGACAGTAGTCCATAACTCGGTTTAAACCCCACCACGCCCGTATAAGCAGCAGGCAAGCGCACAGAACCTCCGGTATCCGTCCCGAGCGCTGCCCAGCAATCTCCAGATGCGACGGTCACGGCACTTCCTCCGCTGCTTCCGCCCGGGCTGAGTGGGACGCCCCCTCGGCTGAATGGACTCAATACCGCTCCGTGGGCTGAGTGTTGGGAATGTGACCCCATCCCGAACTCGTCCAGGTTCGTTTTTGAGGTGATGGAAGCGCCATGTTCGCGCAGGAGTCTGACGACCGTCGCGTCGAAGGGAGACTGGTAGCCGGACAGGATCTTCGAGGCTGCGGTTGTGGGAAGATCCTTGGCGACGATGTTGTCTTTCACGGCGATCTTCTTACCAACCAATGCGCCGGTGGAGAGTTCGGGGGAGCCATTGGCGCCTTCGCTGACGATGGCGTTCAGGGCATGTTGTCGTCGCTTATGTGCCGTTGCATGGTATAGTTTGACTGTGCGCCTACTTCTGCGTGCGAGGGGACTGCAGAAGCGCGCTGAGTGCATTACATATTTCGTCGTTGTCAGTTAATAAAGTAGCAAAACCAACAAGAGGTGAAGCTACGAAGCGGCAAATCTTCGGCGGAAGGACAGATACTCACCACGACATTAGATCGGTCTGTAATCACACCGGTTACTCTCTACAATTTCACACGGGAGACGCTAGCGATTTGACAAAGCTGTCTAACGAAAGCGACTCGTTCACGACTGTGCTCGTAGTCACTTAGTATATATCTCATAGCATTCAGGTCTAGCATCATGCAATCCCTAATGGATCACTGGTAACCTCAACGAGAGCATGCGGCACTCGTAAGAATCGCCACACCCAACAGTCCCTGTGTAACTCGTAATATGAATATGCTCCACCCTAGCAACACACCCAACGTAGCCGCACGCAACGCACTCCCGTCCTCAACCATGCCCCCCACTCACCTATACCTCACAGTAAACCCGGACCAAAGACTAGTCATCGTCTCACCGTTCACAGCAGGCGTCTCCGGACTCTGCGAACTCTTGTCCGCAACATACCCACTACCAGGTGTGCTCATCACCAACGTATCGACAGTCTCGTCCTCAACCCCTCCGACCATCGTCACCCCTTCCGTAACACTCGTCGGACTTATCTGTTCTTGTTCGGAAGGCGACGGAGAAACCATTTCAGCAAGCACCGCAAACCGATTACTCACCGGCGTCGAGCGAAGCGTAGGCGAGAAACCCGTCGATTCCAGTCCGCCAGTCGGCGATCGTTCCATGCGTTCAGCGAGCTCGGTCGAGGAAGGGGAGGATAATCCCTCCCTGTCTGCAGCATCATTCTTCGCGACGTCGTTGGTACCCATGTCGACCATGCCGCTAGTAGCGACCTGCAACTCCTGCGCCTCCCACTCACACAGCTTCAACGGCAAGCTCGTCGGCATGCCATCGTCCGCGTCCACGAACGAGTTCCTCATTGGGGTAGGAAAGTCTTCATGATGGAAACTAGTTTTCGACAAACGTTCAGCTAAGCGTTCCGTTTTCGTTATCTCCGCAGGAGTGACGAGATTCAACCCTTCCTCCTCGTTCAGAGCGTAGAGTTCCATGAGATGCTGCGCGAGATTGTTCTGACGCAAGGCAAGCTCAAGAGCAAGTGCGCTGTTGTTCTCGCTTTCGTGGCTGTGTTCGCGCGTATGTCGTTGCTCCTGCTGTTGTTGGTTCGTTGACAGCTTCGTTGATGAGCCCGATGTTGGCGACCCAGCAAACGCGCTCTCGAAATCCGCGAGCTGGAGCTCTCCATCGTCGCAGAGGATGGGCGCTTGAAACGTGAAATCTGAAGATGAAGGGCGGTGGAACAACTCCGCGGATACTTCCGAGCCACCAGCGTTTGTGTTGAGCGCATTGTACCGCGCATTTCGATCCGAGCGCCTGAGCTCCCACTCCAACCTGTTGCCCATACTCGGCGTACGGTTTGGATCGGTCGATGACGGACTAGTGGGCGAGCGTGCGCCGTCTTCGTCGACAACGTCCTTTCCAGAAGCATCAATACTGTCACCTACGCGAGAGCCTTTACGAACTGCCGCGAACTCCGCGGTAATGCTGTCTTCCGAGCCCCGTCCAATCCAGTCACTGGCACGGAACTTGTAGAATAGCCCACCAACGTCCGTGTTGCGAATCCTGCCGCCCGTACGCGCATTGGAGGAGCTTAAAGACTGCGAGCGAGCGACTGCGCGGCAGAGGGTTGGGACTAAGGGTGCGATGCCGTTCGGACTGCCGGTGGGGCTGTTATTGGCGGAATGGTATTCGGGTGAGTCTTTCTCTTCATCGTCGTCGATGCCGAAGAGATGATGCGTTTTGAACTCGTCGTAGTCCATCATGACCGAGTCTGCGCCGCTCGCGACGGTGCGCTGTGGTGTCCTATCGTCGTGGCTTGGCTCAGGCTCATCGATGGCCCCATCGCCAATAAGCGGACGTAGATATTGTATATGTCGAGTAGCCGTGAAACCGTCATCTAGGTCGACATTATTAGCTGAGTACATCTTCCGCTATGCTGGGTGAGACGTGGCCTACCAGCGTTGTGCACCCACCCTTGGTGCGGGAAGATAGGCGTGCACTGCTCTGTATCAGGCTTAATTGCATCTCCAGGCGTCTCCGCATCTACAGACGTAATGACATCGCCAGGCGCCACCTCGTCCCCAAACACCGTCTTGAACCTCACATTCGCATACCGCGGACGAAGCGGCAACTTCGTCAATTTGCCCGGAGAAGGTGGTCCGGAGCTCGCTGCCGCCGCCACCGCAGCTTCTCTCTCATCGGCGGCCTTCTGCTTAGCTGCGACGTACTTGATTTGGTATTCGATGAATCTGCTGCCCTGGAATGGGTGGACATTGCTCTTCTGCCATTGACTCGGATCGTGATCGGTCGGGTCAGTTGAGCCATCGTTCTGCCAGCGCTGTATGTCGCCGTGGTCGACGCTTTGGCGAGAGGTAGGGGTGGATTGCGGTGATAGCGGTTGCATGTTGGCTGGTATGCTGTGAACCGTGCTTCCAGAGTACGCATCACAGTGGGGTGGTGGGATACCCGCGGGGGTGGAGATGCCGGTATGCACATTGGAGATAACCGCTGCCTCTGTGGCATTGTTTATGTGGAGTGAGCGGACTTGACCGGGGAGGTTTTGGAGATCGGCTCCAATGCCAGAGTCACGGGCAGTCTTCGATGCGGGAGCTGCGATGTTGTCCACCTTCTGCATGGCAGCGTCGGCATTAAAGCCAGTTGCAACCATCAGATGTGTTGACGCTTCAGCCTCATCGATACCATGAGCGACAGAAGCAGCCTCCGCAATACAATCAGTCGAGTCCATCGCACGTCCAAAAATCGGCCGCAGCGGTGCCGCAGAAGCACCTGCCAAAGCATCGATCGACCGCATATGCTTGACAAGCCTTTGCTTCGGAGAAGACTCAGGACTCTCACGCTGCGCTCAAAGACTGCGGATTTCTCACCATTATTGCCGTCCACTTCGAGCGACAGATTGGTACCGGGCATCGGCGTTGCAGGACGCCAGCGGTGGAGAGGAGTGTTGAAGAGGTGTGGATGTGGAGTGAGGCTGTCGAATGGATTGAGCATTTGTTGAGCAGGCGTGCAGAGTCGTTCGCGTATTTCGGGTGGGATGCAAGATTGGCGGACATTCGGCATGCCGGTTGTGATGTTGTCCGGGTTGGTCAACTTGATGGCGTCTGCTTTACGCTCTTGTTCTGAGGCGGTCTCGAGGGTGGAGGCCATGAAGTTGGGAGGTCCTAAATCGATGGTACCGAGTGCGGGTGCCGCGGATGCTATGGCGATGGGCGATGAAGGCCGCGGGATACCATGCGGTGGTTGCTCGTCTGGAGCTTGCGTGCTCGTGGGGAGAGCAGAGCGCTTGAGGCTGCCCTTACGATTGATGTTGCGCATGCTTCCGATGACGCTGCTTGCAATGCTGGCACTACGTCGGTGTTTTGCGGGTTTGTCATCGTCAACGAAGCACTCGGGACCGACGGCACCATTGTGATCGTGTTTATATAGATCTGTGATGTTGTCGATGCTGCCACGTTTCTTTTTAGTAGAGTGTCTGATGAAGACATGGCGCAAAGTTGCAGTGGCGGTGTTTGGTGTCGTCGAGCCAGTTGGTCTGCGTTCATTGTGCGGCCCAGCAGGGGTAGCGGGACGCTTCACTTGCTCTGCAGCCTCCTCAGAATCCGTGGCTGGAAGTCTCTCATCTCTGTAGCACGTCAGTCACGGATCTGTCGAGTCACAAGATCAGCTTACCCGTCATTTATCAAAGTGGTCGGGTCGCCGTTGAGTGCTTGGCTCATGCGATCAAACATTGTGGCGGCTTTGCCAGCCATGCTGCCAAGCGTGCCAAACAAACCGGATGACTTGGGCTTGACATGCTTGCTTTTGGGTAAAGCACTTCTGTCGAGGCTGCATTGTAACGCTTCACGGGCTGGCGAAGGGCTCTTACGAGTGAGCTCCCCGTCAGACATATGGAGCAATGGCGCTCTGCTGCTGTGGGACTGCATGGTTGGCGAACATCCGTGTCTCATCAATCTGAACTTGTTGCAGGAATCATGTCCTCAAGGCATGCAGCATAAGCGTCGTGGCAGTAAACATTGAGAGAGTGCAAGAAGGTAGAGAAGTCAAGCATGGAGGTAACAGCATCGTGCTTGTCTTACCTATGTACCTCAGAGGAGGGGTCTGTCCCAATGAGCGACCGGTAAGAGCATCAGCCGAGTACCGTCAGGTTAACAGCGGTGGTCGCAGGTCACAGCTCTGTCACCCAGATGCAGAAGGCCAGACGCTGTCCTGTCGGTGGATCTTCCCGGCAGTCTGCATGTACATGTGCGTGTGCGTGCAGGCGGTCATGACGTCGCCGCACAAACGTAGACATCTCGTATTGAGTGGCATTGGAGATGGCGTTCCTGGAGAGACGCTGCGGTCCATGTTCATTCTGCTGACGGAGCCCGTGAAGTCAACTTTACCCTGTCCTCTCAGAGACGACAATCGCAGTCAAGCGCCATTGTGAGGGAGAGATGTATCAACCTGCTCGTCGGCAAGATGAACCGTCACAGCTTCTCTCATATACATCCAAGCACCCACACTCTACCTTTACGTTCTCGCTGAATTCTGGACAGTCACCAACATATAATCACACAATGTTCCGCAGTAGGAAGCGATGGTCGAGGTTCATCGGAGTCGAGCCCGCGGGAAAGGGCGGCAAAACCCCGGCGCGCAGTAATACGACCTTCTCATTGGCCAAGCAGCTCCAGCGTCCATCGCTTGACCTGCCTTCACAGCAACGCGAGCAGGAGAGTCTCCGCGAAACGGGAGAAACAGCAACAGCACCAGCACCAGCACCAGCAACAACACCACCACCACCACCACCACCTCAGGCGCGAACTGCGCGTCGCCCGCTTGCCAAGTTCGCACATCGGCCGAGAAGTCGTGTAGGATATTGGCGTCGAGTCTTTTCCGGCTTCTTGCGTGGTGTTGACTTCTCGGGTTTCCTTGACGGTACGAAAGCAAATATGGCTTCTCTCTTCGACCGCATCACGCCGAGGGATCCGGCGCCAACAAACACCGGCGCAAGCGGCAGCAATCTATTTGGAAACCTTGGAGCTGCATCGACGCAGGCGTCAGGCAGCAATCTCTTCGGCACCGCATCCACGCAACCGTCTGGCGCGAGTCTGTTTCAGCCAGCAACAACTCCTACCGCTGGCAGCAGTTTGTTCGGCGGTGCGACATCTCAAGCCGCGCCATCTGGCAACAGCTTGTTCGGGAACACTGCAAATACCACCTCAGGAACAAGTCTCTTCGGGAACAATGCCGCACAACAACCGGCTACTGGTGCCAGCTTGTTCGGCAACACCAACAACAATGCTAGTAAACCTGCCGAGCCAGGTGCCTCACTGTTCGGCGGTGCAGGCCAGAGCAAGCCCTTCCAGCCCGCAACGTCACTCTTCTCCAACAATAACACCAATACCAACACCAACACCCAACAACCTCAGCAGACCGGCTCTAGCTCCGTCTTCGGCAACAACATCTTGCCGTCGCAGTCACTCCAGCAAGCAAGTGCCTTCGACCGCCCCATAAACCCCAACGCGCCTCCTGCGCAGCCCGCCTACTTCCAAGCATTGCTCGACAAAGGCAGTAAGAGGATGGCGGACGATAACGCCGGCCTGCCGCAGCTACAGTACAGCTTGCAGGACATCCAGCGCAAAGCGCGTAACATCGGACAAGGCAGCCCCTCAAGAAACCTTGCCAAAGCTGCAAACAGCACACGCTCGCAGTACATACTCTCCGCTTCAGGCGTCAACGTCAGCAATTCACTCCGCGACATTGAGGAGCTCATGGACACCACTACTGCCGCGCGACCGGCACCGCAGATGGATATGCCAGATTATGGCTCGACGTCCGGTGTCAAGGGCTTCCTCGACCGCTATCATCGCAATAACTTTGAGCAGTCAATCGAGCGTCACTTGCAGGAAGCCAAGGATGACTTTGACAGGATGGTGGACGAACAGCTGCATATGGACAAGGTCGATTGGGAGAAGTTCCACAACCGCATCTACGTGCATTTCGGGCTGAAAAAGCCAGAAGAGATCGACGATGATGCGGCGGACGGAGCTCTGGCAAGCAGCGGCGGCTTTGGACGCTCGCGTCGCAGCAAGTTCGGCGGCAGCTCTACCCTCCGGCAATCATTCGGCCTGCCAAACGCGACCAAGTCCGTCATTGGCACGACCAGCGTTCAAGGCATGCGCCAGAGTACCTTCAGCGACGTTGCGGACCGTCTGCCGGCCGACGGTCTACGACCCGCTCCGGAAGACCGCAAGCAACGGGCTAAGCAAGACAAGTACTCCGGCAAAGTCAAGGATCTCAACGTCGCTCGGATTCAGGAGAAAGCATACCCAATCTTATCAAGCTTCTGCGAGGTAGAAACCGAACCTTCCAACGACGATACAACCATGCTCATCAATGCGTACAAAGCACTTATATCGATCACAGGCGAGGACGCCAGCAAAGACAACCTCTCCGAACCCGGCGTCATAAAAGAACGTCAATACGCCCGCGACTACCTGGACGAGACACCGGGCTCCAAACCCCAAACTGCCGTCCGCAAGCGCATAATCAACGGCTCGCGTGCTTTCCTCGAAAACCTCTTCCACACCCAGCTCGAAGCGACCGTGGCTAGAAGCCCGCGCGAAGCGAACGTAGGCGGCGTCCCCACCGCCGTGGCCAAAGCGAAAGGGTACGTCCGCGTTCGCGCCGCGCGCAAAGAATTGGGTCCGGATATCGAGATCTTGCAAGAAATCAACGGCGACTATTGCTGGGCTGTGCTGTTCTACATGCTCCGTAGCGGCTTGCTGCAGGAATCCGTGCAATATGTTGATGAGAATGCGGGGGCGTTCAGACAGATTGACCGCAAATTTGCGGGATACTTGCGTGCTTATGTTAACAGTGCTGAGCGCCGCCTTCCGCCTGAGTTGCAGACGGCGATCAGTAATGAGTACTCTGCCCGTCAGCGCTTGGCTCCGGAGGATTCGATCGATCCGTATCGCATGATGTGTTACAAGGTGATTGGGCGCTGTGATCTGGCGAAACGAAACCTGGACAATATCACGACTGACATGTTTGACTGGTTATGGCTGCAATTCGCGCTTGCGAGGGACTACAACCGTCAAGACGAATTCCAGCACGAAGCGTTCGGCCTCGTTGAACTACAGCAGTCCATCAAAGAAATCGGAGACAGGTACTTCGGCCCCAGCAGCGAAATCGCCAACGCCCCGACAACATTCTTCTTCATGGAAGTCCTCGCCGGCATGTTCGAGAAGGCCATCGCAGATCTCTACCCGCACAACTACGTCTCCGCCACCCACTTCGCCATCGCGCTCGATTTCTACGGTCTGCTAAGAGTCAGCAGCGACTTGAGCAACGACGACTTACTCAGCCGAACGACGCGCGACCAAGCGCAGATCGCATTCGGTAGTATGGTAGGCTTATATACGCGCGACTTCCGCACCGCAAACTCCACCGCCGCAGTCGACTACCTAACCCTCATCTGCCTCAACGCCGACTTACCCGGTGACATGGGCAGAACGCAACGGGACCTCTGCCACGAAGCGCTCGTAGAAGTTACCCTCGAAACCCGCGAATTCGCACAACTCCTCGGCGATATCCGCTCCGATGGTCAACGCATCAAAGGCGCTATCGAGCAGCGGCTGAAACTGATCAAACTAGACAATGAACGGGAGTTTATGAAGACCATCACCCTCGTCGCCGCACGCACGGCGGAAGAACAAAGTCGCGTCACGGATGCTGCGTTGCTCTTCCATCTTGCCGAAGACTACGATAAAGTGCTTGAGGTGATCAATCAGGCCGTTTCCGTCTACATCACGACGGAGCTGGGCGATCAACCGGCTCGTTTGACGCCTCTGAAACCGCGCGGACAACAGCAGGGTCAAGAACGGGATGAGCGACTCAGCAGTTTGAGCTTGACAGCTATCGACGACCCTGCCGAACTGGCGATGAGTATGCGACAGCTGTATATGAGCCACGACGTCTATCGGACGAAATGCAAGGCGGATAACCTGGAGATCACGGAGCGACTTATCGCTCTCGCCCGAGCTCGCGCGCTGCTGGAGCAGGGGAAGTGGGCGGAGGTTATTGACGTGCGTACCCCACTAACGTCCTCCTGCCCCTACCATCCTCAAGCAAACACTGACACGACCATGCTCCAGACAATCTCCCAAACCAACCTCCTCCCCACCACCACTTCCGGCGACACCTCCGCCATCCGCGCCCAAGTCCTCGCTTTCTCCTCCTACCCCGCCGTCCTCGCCCGCACAATCGGACACATCATGCTCTGGAGCGTCGTAGCGTGCAGCAACCAAGTCGCCCACCTCAAGCAAGCGGAATTCGAGACGGGCGTGCAAAGGGCCACGATTGGTCGGTGCGTGCAGATGGCCAAGGATGTCGTCGTTTTCGCCGGCTTGATCCGGTATCGCTTGCCGGGCAGGGTTTGGGAGGGCTTGGCGAGGGTTGCGGGGGAGATGGGGGAGTTTTAGTGTGTAGTGGAAGATGAGAGGGATGGGAGGGTATGATGAGGGAATGGGGGACAGGTGGGCTTGTATGGTACGGTATGCTTACAGGCTTACTCCGGTTGGGTGGGTTAGGCTTCGAATGTGCGTGGATTGGTAGCAGGCGACTTGCGCGCGCTTGCTGTTTTGCTAAGCATGGCGGTTGTGCTGTAGAATGGCGATGGATTGGGAGCATCGGCGGGCTGCAGTAGGCACGAAACCATCTGTCACAATATCTCAAAATATTGTCGTCTGGGACTCGTTGATGGTTTGAACAAACGTGACAAACTTCCCGATTCTGTCAAAGCTGAGAGAAACGTGAATATGCCTGCGAAAATTGAAAGACAAGCGACCCATGCATGTTTGTCGATGCACAATCACGGTAGCGGCGACATCTGCTTTCTTCGCATGCACCTCAAAGCGCTTTGAGTTTCACATCACATGAGTATACATCATTGCCACCGCTGCCATCCCCACCACCTCGCACAACCCGTGCGACAAGCCCCAGAAGCACCACCAAATCCTCCATCATGTCTTCACCAGGCTACTGGCCCGCTTCTCCCGCCTTTGGCGAGACTCTGCAGAATGTCGCCTGGCATTCGGGAGGGCAAGCATGGGGCCCTAACGTCGAACCCAAACGCACCTTCCCCGTCGAAACACCCTACATAACCTGGCTCCCCGACCGAAAAGGCTGGTACCAAGGCCGCGAACGCCTCCGCAACTTCACCCCAAACTACTACTTCACCCGCCCGCACGACGGAAAACGTCCCGGCTTCGTTGGTCGGCTCACCGACGCACTGAAAGGTGAAGGCGGCGATGTCTTCGTGACGAGCAGCGGCGATAAGAGGACATTATTGCGTGATCGACCGCAAAGGTGGGAGTGGGGAGGCTGGGGATTGAATCCGTACGAGCTGTGGGAGAAACGGACGTTTGATCGGGATTGGCGGCCGCAGGATGAGATGAAGGCGGTTAATCACCCCTTCACGGCGGGTAGGAAGAGTGTGCCGTTGTATAACTTCAAGTCGCGCCAATTTGAGAGTGAGCAGGAGGTGAGGAAGCATCCGTGGGAGGTGTGGACGAATGCGCAGTGGCCGCAGAGGGGGGAAAGGGGTGGGTCGGCGGCGTGGAATGTGAGGGACTTGAATGGGCAGTGGTGGTCGCGTATTCATCCTTCCGCGAGGATCTACCCGGGAGCTCGGCCACGACCGTGAGGTAAGGATGGCGATCAGTTTCACAAGGTGGTGAATGGTAGGGTGGTGGTTTCGATGATGGTCAGGTTCAGTCTTGCGCCCATCCGTACTTCGAAATATCAGCTGCACGGCTCAGATCGCCGTCTTCCTTTACACTCTCATTGCTTCGTGTCAGCAGCTGTTGCGTTTGGTCAGAGCTCCATTCCTTTCGAAACCGATCCAGGTCATCTGTCGATTGCAAAGCCGCTTTCTTGACGCTCGCAAACATTCCACCCTGGCTTGCATCTTTCTGCAGCAGAGGCGCAACAATAGTGGGTAGTACTGAACGTAACCCATCAAGCTATGTAAGTGTTAGTCGGATGGCCGCTGATAATCTTGGCAGATGGACAAACCTGCTGTTGCAATCGCTCAAGGTGTGCCAAAGCGTCGTGATACTGCTGCTCATTCCACGTCTCACTGGACATGTCACCTTATAGAGTCTGCTTAGCTTCAAGATGGCGTGGGTAGTGGAGACGCAAATGCAAGTGCAACTGTTCTGTTTGGAGATGTGTTGTAGACTTAGAAGTGGCGCTCACGGCGGCAAAAGCCGACTTCACTCACTGGTTGGAAGCAAACAGCAGAAGGTTACCAATCACCAATGACACCGGTTGTAAGCATGGTTCAGGATGAGTGTAACATTAGTCGTGCATATAAGGAGTTCGGCAATTGTCCTTGGCCTCTACATGGAACTGCTATCAATGACAGCATCTCGATAAGTTGACTCGGCTTCAGTCACCCACGATATGACCTTCGCCGCCGATGGTCTTCCCCACTGATGTCGCTAAGGTATCTCAGTGTGGATACGAGCATAACCCCAACACCAGCATCTTTCTCCAGCAATCATCGATCGCTAAGGAGCCTGCACGCTAGGCGGCGAAGGCGAATGAGTCAAGAGCTTCCCGTAGTGCAAGCACTCCCGCATATCCATCCCTTTCAGGTTTCGCTCCTCTAGTCGGGGTTGAAGGAACCTTAATCGGGAAGACTCAGGAAAGGATATATTGGTTCCGGAGCAACTCTGTCTCTGGGCATGAGTCAGCCGAGATGTTGCCTTGCAACGTGAAATCCTCCTGACAGGCGCCGGATGGTTCGCCAAAAGCTAGATGCTCTTCGGAGGCTTGCCTCACGACAACGCTGAAGTCGTCACCAAGATTGATCGTGTGATCTGTGTCGATATGGTTCGATCCTGCCCCGGAAACCCGTAAACTTGGTTCCTGAGGAAAGTCATCGCTCAGAGCCTACAAGCCATACTAGGGCCGATAGCTCTGCGCGCCGCCACGCCTCATGCGATCCGAGTATAAACGGCCCTCCTCGCGGAACCTGCCTGGCCCACCGCCACCGCGTCCATACCTATTGTCTCTATTGTCAAAGCCGTACCTTCCGTCCTGGAACTCTGGCTCAGCACGTCGTGGCTCTCTCGGGTAGCCGCTCTGTTGCTGTCGGCCTGCAGGCCCGCTTGGAGGAGGACGGGCCTCTCTTCTCCGCTCCTCGCGCTGCCGGTCCTCGATCGCACGTGCGTCTGCGTGTTCGTCGACTTCCATTGCTACATCACCGGTTGTGTCGACGACGAACGATGGCTCCTCTGGTTGAGGCTGCTCCTGGCGTCTGAACTTGGTATCCGAATACGGTGCGACACCGTTTTCGCTGTGCATGTGGACGTAGAGGGTGCAGCCGTCGGCCTTGCAGCATAGTGTCAGCAGTCTCCGCATCACAATGATAGAGTTTCCGTACCTTCTTCCCATTGAACGTCTCTATCACCTTCTCCGCACCCAGCCTCTCCGGAAAGCTCATCTCCGCAATGACAGAAGGTTGACTTGTGATAAGCTTGCAGTAGCTCATCATCCCACCCACACTCTGCATCACGCTCTCAATATCTGCCGCCGTGGTGCCTAATAGGAAGCCTTCAGCTCTGACCACAAACTCTCCTCTCGCAGCTCCACGAATGCTAAGTCCAGGGTCGCCGTTCGCTTCTTGGCGGCCGTTCATCTCTTGCCGCGGGACGTGACCATTGCTCTTAGCATCGCTGGGTGGGTCGGACGAGGAGATGACGATCGGATTGCGTGCGGGTGAGGGTCGGTAATTGTCTGCTGCTACGGGCGGTCTGCTCAAGTGGAGGGGCGTCCGCGAGTTGCGGGCTGGAGGTGCGCTTGATCGTGGTATTGATGCACTTCTCTACGTATCATGTTAGCCGAAGTCTGTGTTGAACAACAAAGTAATGGCCTTACCTTCACCACACCCGCCCGGCTCGCTAGTGTTCCTGCTACTGACATGGGCGGTCTGGGAGTGCTCGTGCGCCTGCCTGCGCCCAACATCTGGTCCACCAGCTTCTGCGGGTTTGTTCCGAGCATGTTTTGTGCGAGCTGTGCATTGCGCTCTTTGCGACCTTCAAGGAGTCAGTACCGTTTATGGCCTCTAAGCCTATGGTCATGCACATACTGGCTTGCAAAGCGTCGTCCAGCGAGATAGCCATCTTAGTCTTGTTGTCGCCCATCCTGGTGCTTACAGCTCGCAAGAGGACACGGGAGGTGACACAGTGTAATAGCGCACACCCAGACGCTCGCCAACTAAGAGTATTGCTCGCCCAAGATACTGTAGGACACACGATCTGTAAAGGCGCGTCGTTTCATACAGCGAGCTTTACGGAGCGCGGCCCGCTCCGAGGCAACCCTTAAATTGAGACAAAGAAGGGAGCTTCCGACTGAAGTGAGTTAAACATCCCCATCGAGACTCGTCCCCTGCCATCTAAGAAGGACCTAACCTAGTTGCCACCACGGTCATGCTTTCAAAAGCAAGCAAGTGCTTTCCAGGCAAGCAAAGCTCCTCTGGAAACACCACGCTCTCAGAAGTCCCAGTCCCAATCCCATTCGCCCTCAGCTCCATTCATGATAGTGCGGATCTCTTCCGTCGCTTGCTTGCTGTCCCAATTTGTGTCTGTCGTTCCAGGCATACCAATGTCACACATAAGCCAGTCATCTCCCGTTGTGTGATCCGACGAAGGAGCAGGCTCCCCTGTCGCAGGAATGTTGTCGGCGTCCCAGTAAACCACCCAGTCGTCATCAATCTCGGTGAGCTTGTCAACACCAACAAGATCCGGTACTTCATCAAGACCGCAGTCTGAAATGCCACAATCGACGCACCAGCATTCCTTCGCGTGACCCATTTTGAGGAAAGCAGCCACGTCGATGACGCTTGCAGCAGGAGAGTCCGGCAGTGAAGGCAGGGTGAACAGCTCTTGCTCGCTCTGGAAGTGAGCGTCCGAACTCTCCAAGCTGTAACAACCACCGTCCGCCTCCTGCTCTACAACGCATTCCACGGGCAAGATATCAGCCAGGATAATGCTGTGGCTGACTGACGAAGGCGTAGGGTACTGCAGTGCAGCGTGGCTCACTCTGCGAGGCGAAGGGCTTGCCAAAGGCTCGCCGAAGCCTGCATCGACCATGAGCTCGTTGAGACCGAAAGGTGGACTTGGCAACGGCACAATACGGTGGCAGGAGTCGTGCAAAGCCGGGTGCTCGTCTGCATAAGGAGAAAGCATGATGTCATTGGAGTAGCCGGTGAGACTGTTGGCATGAATGTAAGGCACCTCTCTGCCGTCAAGCTCTGCAGGTTCTTGCTGACTGTTGATAAACTCTTCCCAAGCGCGGAAGTACCTGTCGCTGTCCTGGCAGTTCTCCATGATTGCGACCGGTGTACGGACGGTGTTGTATACCAAATCTGTTGGGTGCGCAAGATTCTCGCTTCGGAGGGCTGCGGAGGATCGGTACAGACTCGCTACAGGCGCACCAGACTCGGTAAGATCCATGTCACCCATACCGCCAGCGAGGATGTGCCAGAGATTTGCAGCCGTTGGGACAGCAGGAGACGTAGTCACTTGATCATCCGGCTTCTCGAGCACAGCAATTTTGTCTGCTGGGCGATCGTTGACCAACATGCTAGTCTTGGCAACGGCAGCGTGCGTAGGTGGGACTGGGGGCACCGCTTCCGGAAGATTGCATTCCGAGGCATGCAGGTTGCAGCCTGTTGAGGGCAGCTTGATTCTAGGCCTGGTCGGAGATGGCAATGGTGGAAAAAAGCGTGACTGCTTGGGCTTCAGATCAAGCTTCCTGCGCCAAAGCTGAAGCTCCTGCGAAATACTTGGCTTATTCTCAATTACCCTATCCACCGGCTCTGGCAGCGCGGATAGGTCGTAAAAGCCGGGAAGATGGTTGAGGTTCTTGCAGTCATGGAGCAGTGACGGCAAGGCAGGGCACCAGCTAGGCAGTGAAAGTGGCGTGAGCGGTGGCGAAGGACTACGGCGAACTGCTGCGAGCTCCGTGAAGCTCGTTGGGTCGAAAGGCTGGAAGTCCAGCTTAGGTAGTCGAGGATGTGGCAGGAGCAGAGGCTGGACGCGAGGCTTTGGTGGAATCGTTAGGGTAATCACCGGCGGTGGAGGTGAGTGACTCGGCGAGCTCTGTGGCGGAGTCGGAAACGGGTTGCCTATGCCAATGGCAGCCTCAATGTCATGTGCAAGCTGCTCATCCAGCTTCTGAGCAGCCTTTCTTCTGCCTCGGCGAGCGTCACGGCGTCGTTTCGCTGCCTTCGTACCCCTGCTATTGCGAGAGCGGCGATGATGGCTGGGTACAGGGAAGTCTCTGCTAGCCATCGACTCCGCGGGCGGCGTTGCAAGGACGGAGAATCGATTGTCTAGTACGGTCAGACTTCTTCGCTACGATCATTGTATGAGTACAGGACGCACGGGAGGGCTGAGCAGGTATGTGGATGCCCAGGTCAAGTGGCGGCTCCCAAACGCCGTCACCGAACGGTGCAGAGCTCTGGAAGGTATAGGTCGGCTGACCCAGATACTGCGCATGCCGTGAGTGTCTCTGCCACAAGGGCACATGGGTCGGTGCGGTGTTGTGGTTACGAAGCATGTCGACGAGTCAGCTCTGTATGATGAGTAGAGCCTCTTAATAGCAATAGGTTGAATAGTGGCAAGCTCAGATGGGCAAAGAAGGACTTAGGTCAATATGCAAGTCTTGTTAGGAGACAAGATGAGAAGGGAGAGTTTAGTGATGCAACGACATTCTCGGTAGCAAGGTGTGACTCTGGGGTGCCTAACCAGGGGAGGTGCGCTTCGGAATGCCGAGAATGAGAAGTAATAATTTTTGGGTCATGGAAGACACTTCAGACCGTTGACTGGCAGGAAACATCCGTATCCTGGCGCAGGTTGGCATGAGGGTGTTGGTAAGTTGAGCCCACCTGCAGAGTTGCAAAAGCTGTACAGGAATGGACGACCTGAACCGGAAGGCACGAAAGAGCAGGACATACGAGCGTCGATTCTGGTCTCCGCCACACCAAGCTTTTTAATGTTGCCGTAATGATACTCCACCCTGGCTCGGGTACTGTTGGGACATTCGACATGCTAAGCTTCTAATCTTCAGAAGTTCTTAACCCAACTCATAGAGCAAAGGCATCGCCCTCGACGTCTCTGAGCTCCGGCTAAACTGCCGTGGTTTTGCGTGGAGGCCACAAACACGCGAAGGCGAAGACGACGGGGCTCAGATCGAGAGCAAACCGAAGCTCATTGGGCTCCAAGTTGTTGGCCGGTGGCCCAAGATCTCGCCGTATCGCCGTATGCTTAATAGGTCAGGTACATCCATATTGAACTTATGGCGGAGCATGGTGGCAGCGAGCGCAGGCTCAGTCGGAGTCCCTGGGCCTGCTGCACACACGTTTACTGTCCTGGAACGGAAGGCACAACATGGAAGAATGACCATAAACCTTTCGCTCCACGGTAGTTGTCAGTTGGAGCATTTGACGTATGCTGCCCGATGCACGCTTCCCAGCGCAATGTCATGGAATGTGGAGGAGATGTTTCGTGCAATATAGATCCATTGATCTGACACTATACTGCATGTGATGCAAATACAAGACTTCTTGGTGGCTTGTGAGAACGACGATCCACATGACCGAGCTTGGAAGTTTCCTCACGATCCCCACACCTGTCTCCGCATTCGCTTCGTCAGTTACCAAACTTACAGACCACCTACAACTTGCACACCTTCTTCTGTCTCGTGCCTTTGACAGTCAAGGCCGGTCGTAGGCGCTCCAGGAGTACAGTCAACATCGATCACTGCAGTCTCCTGGAGACGCTGAATCGCCGTTCGCCCCGAGCCTTTATTAGGACACGTGCGCGTTGCAGCCGACTGAAGCCGAGCTAAGGTTTTCTGACAAAAGGCGACTGAGGCATGTCACCGAACGATGCGTCGAACGGAACGAACGGTGCGGCCGCTCAAGCGAATGGCCGCAAGAGACCCTCTCAAGGCAGGATAGTACCTGCAATACCATTGGCCTTGACCAAGTCTAAGCCTACCAAGTCTCCTCTAAAAGCCGAGGCAGACGCAAGAGCTGGAGCAAATTCGAAGTCGCCGCCAGGGGGCCTTGCGATCAGCGACACCAAGGACGGGGAAGTATCGGCAGCATCGACAACGTTATCGGACCTATCTACAACCCCAGTCATCAGCGATGACCAGACCAACTCCAATGGCGCCGACTCGGCAGCACCAGTGACGAACGGCGTTCAGGTTCACGCGATAGAAACACCTGAGTCGATGGGCAGCGCTCCCACGTCAATATCGGAAGGTGCTACACCCGAAGCTTCCACTGTCAAAACCGCGGACCCATCAGTTGCAGTGACCCCGACTGTAGCGAACGGTGTCCCGTCAGTCAGTCCACCTTCAACCGGCAGATCGACAGAGGCGTCAGATCTACGACGAACCAGGACGGTGTTGCCACCAGCTTTTGTTCCGTCCGTCGCAAGGCAGACACCTGCCTTGGCCGCTGTAAGCACACAGCGCAGCAGTCAGCCACAAATGCCTAGGAGGAATCACCACCCTAGCGCGAGCAATATCGTGTTCGGTGGTCGTGACTCTGCTCCATCTTCTCCAGCACCTCCAATGTCTGCCGAGTCAGCCCAACCGCCACCACGATGGCCAGCACTCAATGCAGCTCAGCCGTCCTCGTTTGTACCCTCGCCCTACCTGCCAAACGGTCACACGCACCATGCATCGGAGTCCTCTGTACAACGTATGCCGCCTCCCAACTTTGTACCCACGCACTCGCAGTGGAGTCGCTCCACCAGCCATGTCCAGCACGGTCATCCCATCTCGCACTCCCAACAGCCTTCTCAATCAAGCTTTCGCTATCCTCCCCGAGAAGTCTTCACACCAGCTGAAGAGCATCCGCCCAACGGTCACTTTCCGCGATCACGTTCCACCTCACAAACGTCCTCGGCAGCCGTCAAGCCTATCGAGGACTTGCAGTCACCGATAGCGCTAGATGGTGTCTCGACTCCGTCTAGCGCTACTTTCCGGGACCCACGAAACGCATTCTTCCCAGGCCCGCCTCAGCTACGACACCATCATCCATATCACGCACCGCCGTCGTCTCACGTGCCACACCCGGACATGGCGCAACGCATGGAGAACGCAGAAGCTTTGCGGCACCACGTACTTTCTCAGTTCGCGCAGCCCGCGCTTTCTGACTGCCACCTCCATATACGAGAAGTGGACTCCGGCGCGCGACAAGATCTTGACGCCCACAAGATGATAGTCAGCCGAAGCACCATGTTACTAGACTTAATCCAATGCAGCGAGCCACCTTCGTCCGCCACGCTGCAAACGCAAGTCAATGTCAGCCTACAAGGCAAGCATGTACGGATCAAGCCTTTCATGGAATGTGTTCAATATCTTTACGGTGGACCGCTGTCTTCATTGAACCACTTCAGGCAATCACAAGTGTCGACGGACGCAAGTGCCACCAACGAGGAGCGTATGGAGAGTGCGCTGCAACTCGTTGCGACGGGCGCTTGGCTGAAACTGTCCAGCGTCTCCGCCAGAGCGATGGGGTTCGCCCTCAACCTTCTGCACTGGGACACCCTCTCACCCGTCCTTGCCTTCGCGCTTGAGGGAGGCCTTGGTCCGAACTGGGCGGTTGACGATGGTCGTGAGATGTCATGCGCTTCCAGTGACGACTCGATGGGCCGTCCAGAAGGCCCAGCCACGCCTACCTACGAGCCGTATGCTTCAGACCTTTTACACCGCTTAATCGATTTTACAGTGCACATGTTTCCACCAAACTTTTACCTCGACGCTTCGGCACCACAGCTGCCAAGCTGCCCACGTCTACCACCTATGCCTCCATCGCACGAAAGTCGACCATCACGGTCGAACCCTTTGCTAAGCCACATTCGGTTCGGCGAGATACCCGCCGAAGACCACAACCGGCCCTCGGCAGTCACGACCACCATCTCCAGCATGCTATTATCCTTACCATTTGCACTTCTTAAATGCATACTAGAGCACCACGACCTTGTTTTTCAGCTGGGCGCAGACACGGTGGCGAGCATTATGCGGCAGGTCGTAGCAGAGCGCGAAGTACGGCGCAAGAGGGTTCTTCAAGCGCGTACATCGGGACCAAGCGATGACGGTGCGGAGGCTCATTTGGTTCATACCCTTTACTTCGAGGAGGAGGTTGAACCTTCGCCTCAGCATAGAGCAGGCTTTCGCCTTGCGAGGAGAAAGAAAGGCATTGATACACCGCCTTCCTCAGGCGCTGCTTCGGAGCAGAGTAAGTGATTTCAAGCAATTCGGCGGCTGCGACATTAAGTCTTCTGAGCGTCATTAGACGGAAAGCATAGCAAGCGGGTGGCGTTCCGGGACGGGAGCACTGATCTGCCAGTGTACATTCGTAACAAGAGTTGGATGAAAAGCGACGTTTTGGATGGGAGGCAGTCCTTTGGATACCCAAGAAAAGGCGTCAGGGACAATTTTGGCTGTCGCATCTTTGGGGTGGCTGTTGATTACAAAGGCGAACAGGAGGTTGGAGAGCCGTGTTGGACAATGTCCATCGTCCACTTATGGCGCATCATGTCGATATGTATGTGCGTACGGTCATGGGCAATGATCATAACCTCCATATTTGCTAGGTCTTTCGGGCAGTCGACTGAGCAAAATCCGCGTTTGTACCACAGTCCAACAGTTCGCTTGGTATCCCAGATTAGCGAGAAGTAGGTCCTGTCAAGATTACCTAGGTAGTTGATCGATATGCCCCTGTACTTCGTGGACGAACAACTCCATCACCTTAGTCGTCGGTACACTCACTTCCTTAGAACTACACTATTTAGGGCAGAGCGCCCGCATTGCACTTGCCCGAGTGTTTGCCGGACGGCTAGGACGGCAGAAAGGCGGAGGCGTTAGGGGGCATTGCATTGCAGTCTTGTATTGCAATGAATTAGACCTTGCAGTCATCACCAGTACATCGTCTGAAGCTTCCTTACACTCTCTAGGTCTTCGAAGAGCCCTATCTATACTATCTAAAGAACTGTACGCGACTGCGAGCTTGACGCCGGCAGCAGCGGAACGGAGAAGTCAGACAGCGGGACGAAAGCGGGAGGAAAGTTCCGCCCCTGGCCAAAATTTACAATGACCACCGACTCGCTAGCAACTTCATCGTTTGGCGAGGACCCCGAGAAGGATGTCGGCTTAAATTCATCGCCGAAAGACGGCGAAGTGCACCTCACGAAGTACGAAGCCGACCTCCGCGATGCTGCGGAGCCTCCCTTCACGGAGGAAGTTGAGCCTGCGGCAAATGGCTCCGCACTGGAGAGGGTCGCCTCCGCAAAGCCTTCGGTGAACAACATTAAATCTGTACCGAATGGCGGATTGGTGGCATGGCTCCAAGTCCTTGGCTCCTTCTTCATCTACTGGAACTCTTGGGGTATCGTCAACACATTTGGTGTGTACCAAACGTATTACGAGACAGGCCTGCTGGCCTCCTCATCTCCTTCCGACATCGCATGGGTTGGGTCAATCCAGGCCTTTCTACTCATGATAGGCGGTGCGATCGCAGGGCCCGTTTACGATGCAGGATACATCCGGTCTTTGCTGCTAGGAGGCTCTATCCTGACCGTGTTCGGCCAGATGATGTTGAGCTTGTCCACGAAGCTGTGGCAAGTCATGCTCTCCCAAGGCATCTGCATGGGCATTGGTCTAGGCATTCTATTCACACCTGGCGTTGCGATCTTGAGTACCTACTGGAGCACCCGCATAGCACTCGCTACCGGCATTGCGGCGGCAGGTAGCAGCCTCGGCGGCACAGTCATGCCAATCGTCTTTTACCGGTTACAACCCGTCATTGGCTTTGCGTGGGCGACGCGAGTGCTCGGATTCATAATGCTATTTACCCTGATTATCTCAAACCTCACCCTCAAAGTCCGCGTATTGCCCGCCGGACGAAGGAAGATGATCGACTATACCGCGCTGAAAGAAACACCCTACATGCTCTTCACGATCGGCCAGACCCTCGCATTCGTCGGCCTGTACGTCCCCTTCTTCTACGTCCAATCGTACGTGATTCGGACGGGCATTGCGAAGCCGGATCTGGCATTCTACTTCCTGTCCATCATAAACGCGGCGAGCACATTTGGCCGCATCATCCCCGGCTACATGGCCGACTTCGTGGGTCCGCTCAACTTGATCGTCCCATTTACGATCATCGCCGGCATCCTCTGTCTTGCACTCACCGGCGCGCATTCGGTCGCATCAGTCATTGTTATCCTCGTGATATTCGGCTTTTGCAGTGGCACGCTCGTTAGCTTGCCACCGACGATCATCGTCCAATTAACAGCGAACCGGGCGGTAATCGGCACGAGGATTGGGATGTGTTTTGCCATTGTATCAGTGGGCTTACTGATCGGTACGCCGGTCAGTGGTGCAATCCTCGGCGCCAGCAGCTTCACATACGTGTGGGTGTTTGGTGGTATATTCACGGTTGCTGGCGGCCTTGCCATGGGAGCATGTAGGGTAGCGAAAGGTGGTTGGACATTGGTGAGGAAGTGCTAGCTAGCTATCTCCATTCTGCGGGGCATCGCCATCATCCAAAGCCAACCGTACAAATTTCAGCTTGCCTATTGTCCCAGGTTTTGAGATGTGTGAAAAAGGTACGGTTCGATCATCGCACCTAGCTACCGGCCAAGAGCGAATGTCGCCTACTTCCATCGGCGACAACTACCAGCAGACGCACATCCGCATCCCAAGCCGCGGCGCACCCCTGAAGGGGCCGGCCAGCTAAGCCTGGAGTTTGGGAAAGCGTGTACCGTGACGCGCCTTGCATTACAAAGAGTAAGAACTTAAGAGACCAGCCATCCATCTATCCAAGAAATGCCCACTATGCATTCGAATCCGCCGTAGTGCTCACTGCACACGCAGTCCCCGTTCACGGCGATTCCGCAAGTGAAGTAACAATCCCAAACTGGCCACCCGCCGTCGCAAAATTGAGCTTCTGCTCGCGTACAGCAGTATTATCAATCAACGTCGCCACCTCGACATCCTCCGTCGTGCCCTGGCCCGTCTGGTAGTTCGCACTGAATCCCCAACTCCACGCCCTGCCCTCCTTGGTGATGACAATATTGTGGTCGCTGCTGGTAGTTACATGGCTGACCGCGCCTTCGATAGCAGAAACCTTAGTCGGAACGAGAAGAATACGCGGACGGCCGCTTTCGTCGCTTTTGACCTTGTCTTCGGGCATAGCCTTGATAGTGTCTTCGGAGATGCCGATCTGGCCACCATCGATACGACCCCAAATCAGGCAGTCGCCGTCTTCGGTCGCGCAGAGAGAGTGGTGCCCGCCGCCTTTGATGCTGATCACTTTCTTGCCTTGCAGCGCTTCGATGATGCGAGGTTTGAGGACGAACGCTTCGTCTGCACCTGCGTTATCCGGGATGCCGGTCTCGCCATAGTTGTTCAGGCCCCAGGCGTGGACATTGCCGGCTTTGTCGATGGCGAAGCTGTGGTAGCTTCCTGTTTCGATGGCGACGATGCCGTTCTTTGCGCCCTTGGGTAGGCCGAACTCGCGAGGCTTCAGGCCCTCGGTCTTGGTGCGCTCCACTACGCGACGACCGAGTTGGTTTTGTTGGCCCGAACCCCAGGCGAAGACTGCGCCGTTGGAGGCGAGAGCGAGAGCGTGGTTCGCGCCGGCAGCGATGTGAGTGATCTTTTTCAGTTCGGGCACCAGGACCGGGCGGTTAGCGGTAATGGTAGTGGGATTGAAGCCAAAGATGCCTTCGTTGCCGCGGAAGGTGCCCCACCCGTAGACGAAACCGTCGTCCGTCAGTGCGAAAGAGCACGAGTCACCAGCTACGACCTGCACCCAGCGTGTGCCGTCGGCAATGTCAGAGGTGGAGAAGTCGACCTCACCGGGCGTGCTTTCCTTTGGGTTAAGCCCGTTGTCGTCCTCGTCATCATCATCGTCGTCATCATCCGCAGCATCCATATCCTTGAGTCCACCTTCCCACGTGGTATCTCTGCCAAGCGCACCCTGATCGTTAACACCCCACGTCAAGATCTTGTTGTCGTGCGTAAGTGCGACGACATGCATGCCGCCGGCAGACAACTGGACGACACCAACCTTGTCGGCAGCCAGATTGGGGTTGAGACGCGGACGCTTAACATCGATAGCGTTCTTCGCCGTGCCAAGACCGAGCTCGCCTGCGGTACCCTCGCCAAAGACGTAGATGTTAAGGCGTTGTGTGGGTGGTTCGTTGATGACAGCACCCTTTGTCATGGTCTTGGCCTTCTTGGCCGGCGCAGCAGCGGGAGTATCATCCTCGGCTTTGCGCTTCGTAGACTTTGCTTTAGTGGTGGTGGTCTTGTTTGGAGCCGCTGCTGCTTCTGTCTCCTCTGCCTCAGCCTCATCCACAGCCTCGTCCTCGTCCTCCTCCTCTTCCTCCGCACCTTTACGCGTCTTGGATTTGGTCTTGGTCGCGGTCTTGGCCTTTGTCGCGGCTTTCTTGGGTGCAGGTTTCGTGGCGGTCTTCTTCGCAGCTGCGGTTGCCTTTGGGGCGGCTTTCTTCGGTGCCGCTGCCTTTGTCGAAGTGGCGGCCGCTGCCTTTGTCGCAGCAGGCTTCTTCGCCGTCACCTTGGTCTCCCTCTTCACTTCTGTAGCGACGTGTAAGCGCAAGTTTGCGTCACAACAGCATAAAGGGGAAGCCATCTCGGCATGCCTCATAACGCGGTACTGCATGCGAAGGCACGATGATTTGCTCGTCGAGACTTACCTGCCGTAGCAGCCTCTGCTTTCGCCTTGGTCGCCTTCGTCTTCGTTGGCGGAGCCGGCTTGGTCACTTTGGCCTTAGTATTCGCCTTCGGCTTAGCTTGAGCGGCCGGTTTGTGCGCGGCCTTCTTCGGTGCCATGGCGATGTTGATAGCAGTATTGTCAGTCTAGTCGACTCGTGATACGGTCCAGTTGTGTCGAGGGAGTGAAGCTGCGTGGAGAAGGTGGTGGTGTTGCGTGTGTTTTAAATATCGACGCGTGAAAGCGAAGCTTCAAAACATTCATCAGAACTGTGAGCTATGACCACATAGCTGCCGCTGTTAACGCCGTACAAAAGCCGGCCACGAGTAACCTCAACCTGTCTCTCGCGTGTTCTGACTGCATCCCCTTAGCATATACCTTGCCCATGTTCATTGATTTCTTAAACCCCGACTCGGCAGACCCGTCGCAAAACACTTTTGCACCAGATATACCGGAGGTTTTAATTCGGTGGTATTTTCAATCTGTTCATGTTCAACGTCTTGGTGTCATTTGCACACCTCTGCGTGAACAGGTAGCAGCTGCTCAAAGTGACCTACCCGTAACGCCAGTTTGATATCAAGCTGTCATCCTCAGCTCTGTCCCAACAGAATGTGATGATACCTGATTGATGGACATCGTCGACTCTAAGCACGCTCAGATCAGCCATCCCTCTATCGGAAATGGGACGAGAATACTGAAGCTAATCTCGAACTCAGTATTGTGAGACAAGCAATTCACGACGTCAGTCGCGAACAGCCCTTCAATACGCCAGACCTTTTGCAGAACATCATTCGCAACCTGCAAGCAAAGATTGTCATGCTCGAGACTCAAGTGTGCAAATTCTGGCAGCAAGTAAGCCAGTCCGCGCCATCTCTACAAATCCTCCCACTTTTTAAAGGACGTTCGAACAGCATGAAACAGTCCCCACGGACGCGTTACGACTCCACAAAGAGTGAGTCTTCGCAGCGAGTCCCAATACTGTCCGTTCACCCTTCAACATGCTGGGAAATGCGGATTCTATTTCGCCCAGTGTATTCATTTGATTCTGGATCGTGAGTGGCTTTGAAAGAGGCACCGGGGATGCCGGTGGAATCGCATGTTCGTGACGCAACCTCCATGTATGCAGCTCATACTCGAAGCGTGGACTTCGTCTCACGAATGCACCATCTCCAACGCAACACTTAGCGACTCGATGGTTGACCTGCACGAGTTCGTCAAAAAGTTGCCAACTTACGCTCAAGCCTGAGACTTGCTGCTCGTACGATTTAATGGTTATGCGCACGAGCTGTCACCGTACGCCATGAAGTTGCGGAAGCAAGCTGGGTCACGCATGTCCTAAGTCGCATTGAAGCGAGCGTGCTGAGGTGAGAGCGAACAGATGCCCTTCTATCCAGGTTCGCTTTCCATTCGCTGCTCTGGAGGAAGACACGGCGACGAGACTCCGAAGTGGACAGTGAAGGGCCAGAACGTGACAAGAGCTTCTGCACTATCATCGTCTGGTAGAGGCTTCAGAGTTCACCGATGTACTGGCAAATCTCGCACTACGCCGGATCCCAACATTGCTCACTCGCCTTCTCGGCGGAGTAATTTCCGGCCTGTCGGCTTGTTACACGCCGAAACCCTAAGAGACATCATGATCTCCTCTCGAACTTCCCTTGTACAACTCCATGCCTCCACATTTCCTTCAACTTCTGAACAGGCTTCAATCTAATGTCACAAGCAGAGCGGGGTTTCTAGGCTATAGTGTTCTGGCATGCGGGAGTGCTAGCTTCTTTTCTCCTACGTTGCATCACTCATTGCATAGGCCAGTTACATGTAGGTAGCGACGATTCATTGACCTACTACCCTTCATCCTCCCTTGTCTCCAAAGGACGAATTCTTAACAATGGCGACACTTTCATCATTGCTAGCTATTGGCTTTCTTACTGCCTCAGCGTCAGCAGCCGCCCCTTACAACCAGTATATCTTAGCACCCAGTTCTCGTAGACTTCATCCCGTCTCAGTGCACCAGATCAACGGCTCGGTTGTCAATGCTGCATCCGTACTGGGCGGGTCCACTGGAAGTGCAGTTTTCAACAACGCGGCCGCCGTCACGTATGACTTTGGAAAGAATGTCGCTGGTCTGGTAACTCTACAGATTGGCAATGTATCGGCAGGCCAGTTCATCGGCCTTACGTACACCGAAAGCAGCCTCTGGATCAGCGGCGAGGGTTGCGATGCTACCCAGGACGCTGGCATTGACGAAGCCCTCTGGTTCCAGCCATCGGGACCTGGCAACTACAGTGTGTCGAGAGAGCATGAGCGTGGCGGCTTCCGCTATCTGAGCTTGCTACACAACACCACTGGCTTTGTGAATGTTCAGGGCGTCACTGTGCAGTTTACACCGATGCCGCACTGGCGGGATGACCAGTTGCAGGCGTACACTGGCTATTTCCATTCTAACGATGAGCTGCTGAACCGTATCTGGTACGCCGGGGTACGTTGATCATGACTACCCAGAATGTTACACATTATACTAACATTTGCTGGAAAGGCTTACACCAACCAGATATGCACGGTAAGTATCTGCACGCTGATATCTGGAATTTTTACTCATCGCATCGTAGATTGACCCTACGCGCGGCAACAGCCTCGTCCATCTTGGGGTACTGAACTCGACGCAACTGGGCAACGTGACTGGGCCTGACTCATGGTATCTCAATTACACCATTGCGAGCGGCTCCTCAGTTCTTGTGGACGGCGCTAAGCGTGACCGACTGGTATGGCCGGGCGACATGAGCATCGCCGTACCAAGCATCACCGTATCGACCTATGATTTGGTGACCATTGCCAACTCGTTAGACTCGCTGTTTGCGCTACAGAACAAGACGACAGGCCTTCTACCTTACGCAGGAGCTCCGTTTCCGCTTCAGTACTCGCCAACGTACCATTTATACAACCTGATAGGCGTAGCGGACTATTACCTCTACTCTAATGACTTAGCGTACCTCCAAGGTAAATGGTCTGATTGGAAGCTCGGTCTGAATTTCTCACTATCGTTCATCGACAGCAGCGGCCTGTTCAATGCAACAAGCTCGGCGGACTGGCTTCGCTTTGGCATGGGCGGACACAACGTAGAAGCGAACAGTATCCTGTACTATACCATCAATCAAGGCATCGCATTGGGCCAGGTACTCAACGAGTCGTCGTCATTGCTGAACTCGTGGGCGCAGAGGGCAGCCGGCATCAAGGCCTCTGCCAATCGCTTGCTCTGGAACGACACCGCCGGCATGTACCGCGACAACGAGACCACCACCTTGATGCCGCAAGATGGCAACTGCTGGGCTATTCTTGCCAACTTGACAGCCAACTCGTCACAAATCACACGAATCTCATCAGCACTGGCTGCACGGTGGGGCCCATATGGCGCTCCCGCGGTCGAAGCCGCAAACGCCGTTTCACCTTTCATCTCAGGCTTCGAACTCCAAGCCCACATGCTGGCGGGCAACGCGACCGCAGCATTAAAGCTCATGAGGCTAGAATGGGGCTTCATGCTGGACGACCCGCGCATGACCAATTCGACCTTCATCGAGGGCTACTCCAGCGATGGCAGCCTGCACTATGCACCGTATACGAACGATCCCCGTGTGAGTCACGCGCACGGATGGGCCACCGGGCCTACATCTACGTTGACATTCTATGTTGGTGGGATTCACCTGCTCTCGGCGGGCGGTAGCACCTGGCAAATCAGTCCCATGCTGGGCAACCTTACATCGGTCGACACCGGCTTTCAAACCACTCTAGGCAGCTTCACAAGCCAGGTCAATGCTTCGAGCGGTGCTATCACTGGGTTGAGGTTTGCAACGCCGTCCGGAACAACGGGATCGGTGAGCCTGCCCGGCGTCAGTGGTAGCTTGAGAGCTACTAACGGCGCGACTGTTGCGTTGGCGAATGGTATGGCAAGCAATCTTACTGGTGGGACCTGGACTTTGCAAGTCAATGGCAGCAAAACCGTAAGCAACGGGACTTCGACAAGTTCTAGTACCACGACCGCTACCCCAGCCACCTACACCGGGAGCGCAGGATCTGTGTTTGTGAGCTGGTTGACACTCGCGGCAGGCTGGGTAGTGACCTTCATCTGATTGATATTGTCACCATGATTCTCGCCATCGCCAGCACGTAGTAGCAGGATATGCTACTGGGAGATTGACAGGAGTCCGTACGAAAGGGGGACTACTGGGTGACAGGTGCCACAGCTAAAAATCTACGATGCTTACAGAGTGTGACAATAATTTCTACTTCTACCCGTTCCAATATGTACGTTCTAGCACTACTTGGCAGTGTTATGAGTACAGTCCAGGGCGTCGGACAAGCCCGCCCTGCCATGCGCAAAGCAATTGCAAACGCTTACGAACGCCGCTCCGTTTCGGCTGCCTTTCTGATAAGTACATTTGCCCATTTTACAACGCAGCGCAAAACACATGTACAAATAATCGTCTAGAAGGAGGAGATGGCGACTGCAATGACCTGAGCGTCGCTGTGGCTGATGCTAACCGTAGTGGACTTCACGCCAGCCTTCGAAGCAGCGGCCTTGGCGTCGCCGTGGAGCTAGGACGCTGTTAGCACAACAATCATCTATCGGGTGTTCGTGTTGGTAGACTCACAGTCACAGTGGGCGCGCCATTTTCGTCGTTGTTAATCTCGATATCCTTCAGTGGCGCTCCAGCACCCTTACCCTCGACCTTCAAGCTCTTAAACACGGCTTCCTTGGCACTCCACTTGCCGGTGAAACTTGCTTGCGGGCTTGGAGCCTTGCGGCAGTACTCAATCTCAGCGTGGGTAAAGTTGCGCTCAAGGAAAGTGTCATTGTGGATGTCGATAGCGTCGATGCTTTCGATGTCCACACCCGGGCTGGAGTTGGCGGAAGCATTGACTTTCATCAGTGACTCCACCATCTCCGTCGTGCTCTTATCTTGCATCTTCTTTGGCGCGGTCTTGGGATAGGTGAATGCAGCCGACTTCTTGTCGACGGTAACGCGCGCCTCTGGATTGAGGAAGACCTGGCTTCGCTGGGTGTCCTCGTACGGGGACTTGTCCTTGGCACGGAACATGGTGTTGTTGATGAGACCGTCGTGGTAGTAACGGTAGGTCTTCCGTTGCCGTGCTTCGACCTTTTGTTTGTATGTCTGAAATGTCGCATGATCAAGCGCAGCGTAGAGGTACTTCGGATGGATACCGATGGCTTGTGCACCCTTTTGGCCGAAGCCAAAAGAAGTCACCGAGAAGGCCTTGACGCCGTCCGTTTGTATGCTCTGGTTAGGGTAGACGATGTAATCGAACTTCTCCATCACCTTGTCAACATTGTCGGCGTTCTTGTTACCAGGCACAAGGCCAGAGTTCAACACTTGCAAGCAGCCGTTGAACATCCAAGCACCGGCAGCACCCTTTGGATGACCGGTCAAGTACTTTTGGAAGATACCAAGCAAGGCATTGCCCTTCTTGCGGCCGAGATGCTTCATCTGCTGGCAGATAACGTCGGATTCGTTCTTGTCGTTGGCGACGGTAGAGGTACCGTGGAAGGAGGCTACGTCAAGGTCATCGATAGTCAAGCCCCAGGTGGCGAGCGCACCACGGATGGGAGCAATGCGCGGGTCTTGCTTCCAGAAGTTGTTGCCAAGGCTTGCAAGGGCATCCTTCTCCTGTCTCTTCGCCTCCCGCTCAATGTGCGCAGCACGGTCTTCCATATACTCGGTCTCGTCAAAGTTGCCGCCTTGCTGCTTCATCGCAGACACTTCTTCCTGCAGGTACATAAGTTCAGACTCCTGCCAATTCTTGATCTGCTTGCGGCGCAGATCCATTTGTCGCTTCCGGTACTTGATATCCAAGAGCGGCGACGGGAACTTGGAGGCTTGCTCACGTGCAGTCGTGAGCACACCTTGACCCGGTGCGGGTACAGAGCGACCGATCTGATCAGTCGCAGTGGCAGTAAATCCAACAACACCGTAGATCGGTACGCCCATGTCAAGCGCAAGCTTGGCGTCCATGATGACTTGCATACCGCAACCCTGTGACTCCATGAAGCCGTTACGTGTGGTTGTGGTGGGACGTGACATCTCCTTCGGCGTGCGACCGTGTGCGAGCTCGTCTTCCGCATTGCTGGTAGCCTTCATGTTGGCAAATTCGTACGAGCCTTCCTCCGAGAACTCGTCGAAGCCACCAACGAAGCAGATACGCGCCTTGCCTTCGACAATGCAATCGTATCCAATATCAATAGACTCAACAGCCGTTGCGCACGCGCCAACGGGCGTCCTGATGGGACCGGTGGACGAGAGCAAAAGCATGTTCACCCATGCAGCCATGGTGTTAATGAACGATTCCTGCAGAATGTCCTTTTGCAGCGGCCGATCAAGGTAGCGATCCTTGTACATGCCACGCAGCGCCGTCGTACCACCGAGACCAGAGCCAACGCAGTTGCCCACCTCTGAGATATGCACATACTTGTAGAACTCATACGGGTCCGTAATACCGGACGAGAGCAGTGCCTCAGCCGTAGAAACAAGCACATAAAGGGTGACAGGATCGACTTGTGACACAATGTCATCGGGCACACCGTACCGTTTCGCGTCCCAGCCTGTCGGAATCTGACCGGCGACCAGACGGTCGAAGCGGAGCGCCTTCGGAATGATGATGCTAGCACCCTTCTTCAGGCGGACCTGGTATTCACCAGACTCCAGCTCGAAGACCTCGACCTTCTCGCCGTGCTCGCGTTTGAACTCAAGCGCCGTCTCCTTCGAAGCCTCAAAGGGGTCAAGGTCCTCTTCGATCTGAATCTCTTGCAACAGTTGCTTTTTCTTGGGATCGTAGCCACTGAACAGCTCGGGCTCGATCAGGCGGATACCAGAATGCTCAAGGATGTACTTCTCGTACTTGGCCTTGACGTCCTTGTCATCAACAGGCTCGCCAGTCTTGCTATCCACCCAGCCGGAGTAGCTCTGACCCTTGAGCGGGCCATTATGGTTCTTGATCAAGCCCATGATCCACGCCATCTCAACGCACCCTTCCAGGGAGAACTGTCCGTACGCTTCCATCTCCCAGCGAGTCCTCGAGTTACCCCATGGACCGATCTCGGCGAAACCGGTGACAACGACCACCTTCTCAAGATCGACCATACCCTTCAGATCAGCATTGAGCGGCTCGACTTCGGTCTTCCAGTCTGGCAGTTTTGGGAAGTCGAACTTGAGATTAGCACGCTTCTCAACCTTGACCGTCTTGTATAGCGCTTCGCTATCCTCGCCGTTGACGATTTTGTTCTCGACAGCAGTCTCCCGGGTGACAGCTCTGCGAATCTCAGACGTCTCAGTGAGCTCCCTCCTCAGCTTTGTCATCAAGGCATTAAGGTCAGGCAGGTATTGCAGACCGCCGTTGAGGTCGGCGAAGACCGGCTCGACTTGGCATAAGTTGACAATCGACGGTGCCATGAGGCCTAGGAGGTTGAACGCCATCTCTTGCTGGGAGAAAGTCCGCACGCCAAACTTCTCGACACCTTCAGCAACGACATTGTTGCCAGCCATGAGGCCAGTGCCACGAGTCCAGCCGATGATTGCACCGCAGATGGTGAGAAAGTTGCCCCAGCTCTCCGAATGCCATCGATTGAAGAGAGTCTCGAGGCCGAGCTTGGACTCGGAGTACAGACCGTCACTGCCGAAGGTACCGTGGTTGGGTGATAATGGCAGGATGACTTGCGCTGGCCGTGTCTCGATGCTACGAGAAGCCTTGTGCGACTTCACCGCACCCAGCATGCGGAGTAAGTTCGTCAACATGATGCGGTGGGCAAGCTCCGACTTGCTGTCCAGGCTATCAATCTCCCGACCAGTCTCGGAGATGGCGGCGAAAGGCACGATGTAGTCGAGATCCCAGCCGAGACCCTTCTTCTCGTCGTAGATGTAATCAACTAGGGCATTGACGTCCTGTTGGCTGCCTTGGTTGAAGGGAACCACAACGACCATCGAGCCCCGTGCACCGTAGCGAGAGTACATGCTCTGGTAGTATTCGGTCACTTCCCGCGAGAAACGTGATGTGGTCACGATGACCTTCGCGCCACCACTGATCAAGCCTTGTAGCACCTCCGCGCCAATGGAGCCGGCACCGGCACCGGTCATCAGAACGTTCTTGTTCTGGAAAGTGACCCCAGCCCGCGCTGCCTGCTCGAGACCGTCGAGGTAGATACCCGTCAGCTTCTTGCTGTACTCCCAGCCATGCGGCTCTTTGCGCTTGAGATGCAGGAACGGGACTGTCTCGACCTTGCCCTGCTTGACTACGCCATTGATGCGACCGTTTCGGCCGTTCTTCTTGGCGTGGCCGTTTAGCTTGCCGTTCTCGTGCGGGATGATCTGGCCTTCGTTCATTGACAATGAGCGAACGATGTTGCTGTACAGCTGCTTGATCTCCAATTGCGACGACTTCGAAAGCTTGTGCTGCTGGCGAATGAGCCTGTAGACGCGCTGCAGGTCATTCTGCACCTTTGTTCGGTTGCCGTACTCCGAGATCTTGCCACCCTCTGCCATTTCGCGTACGTAGTGCTCGAGCTTGCGGACGCTGGCTCGAGGCGCCTCTTCGTACTTCATGCCGCCGCGTGCGTCGATAGTCAGGTGTGGTGCAGTAGGCATTGCGACATCCTTGTATACCGGAGCCTCTCCAAGCACGTCGCGGCAATTGTCAATCAGCTGCTCGCCAAGCATCTTCGCCAGCTGATACGTCTCGCCTCGCTCCGTTGGGCAGTGGTCCATGTGATACTGCATGAAGTCGAGAAGCGTGGGGTTGGAGCGGTTCATGATGAGGATGCAGCGGCTGACAATCTCACGATCGACCGCTTTCAGTCGTCCGAAGATGATGTCGTAGTACATAGTAAGAGCGTCTTGGCGAGCCCAATTCCATGATGAGTCGTACACACGGGCCTTGAGCGAGCTGAATGAAGGCTCAATGCCCGCAGCGTAGAAGTCGCCGTGCTCAGCGCTCCACAAATCGAGCTGCGCTTGAAGCACAGCTTCGTTCTGCTTCCCAACTAGTGCAGCCTTGTCACCCGCTCTGAGGTCCATCTTCAAGTATCGCGCATACAACTCCAGCTGCTGCTTGAACAGCGCTCGCTGGTCTTTGGTAAGCGCATCGATGGCAGCCGGGTCCATCATCATGCCAGCACCGGCACCCGCAGCGGCACCTCCAGCTGCTGCGCCAGATGAGAGGCTGACACCAGCAATGCCAGCATACTTCTGCGTCACATCGTCGAGCCAAGCCTTGCCATCGTTCTCCGAGCCAAGACGAGCAGCTGGCTCCGTTGTCAGTGCCAAAAGCAGCACGCCGTCTTGCCTACCTGGTCCTAGACCCCATCTAGTCTCCAAGTGCTTGCGCACCGCTGTGATGTTGAAGCCACCAGGCATCTTCGATGAGACCATACGTGCAATAAGCGACGTTGACTGCTTGCCAAGCTGGCCATTGAACGTGGCCTGCATCGAAGCGCCAAGCTCGTCGAGTGGTGTGTCTTCTGGCTTTTCTGGCGTTGAGCCGAACTCTTTGCCAAGATCACCGAGGATCTCGTTCTGCAGTGTTGACTTGCCGCCAACGAGATCCTTAATAGCTTTGCTGAGTGGGATGTCAAGAAGTGGCTTCTTGAGCTTCTGGGCGACGAGTGTGCGAAGGATGTCAACAGCGCCGACCGGTGCATCAGCTACTGCTGCGGCCGGGCCTGCACCAGGTGGAGGTGCCGCTGCAACAGGTGCCGCAGCCGCCGCTGGAGCTGGAGCGGCTGCCGTGCTGCCACCGATTGGAGCTGGCGCTGCCGCTGGTTCATCCTCCATAGGCTCGACATCGTAATAGATCTCCTTCGCGTCCTTGTTGTAGCAGAGGATCTGGCGCTGAACGGACCTTGCAGCGTCATACGCTTCGTACTTGGCGGCCAGTGTTCGCTTGGCCATTCCGCCGAGAGTGTCCGCCGGACCGACCTCGACTATCCGCTCGGTCTCCTTCTCGCCGAGGATGACATCTTGGGTTTCGATCCATCTTACAGGCGATGCGAACTGGTATGCGAGAAGCTCCACAAGGAGGGTGTGTGCAAGTTCCTGCTGGGTTTCGGGCGTCATGGTGGCTAGAGCATAAATGAGGGAGGGGCTGAAGGAGTGTGATATTGGCTCAATCCAAGCCAACGAGGGTTACTGTGAGAGTGGATGGTGTGGCAATGGGTAACAGAAGGCACAGACTCGGAGTAAGGCCACGTAGGGGAACAGGCCTTCGTGGTATGTGGGTTGGAAGAGAGAGGGCCCAATAGGTGACCGCTCGGAGATGTGCCGTCCTGGTAGACGGCTGAAAGGCCTCGATAGTCCAGCGTTGATCAGTGAGCTGCAGGCCGCCGCGATCACGATGGCTGTTGAGGTGGGCAAGAGAAAACGTGAGCTCACCAAGCAACAAGCTCCGATGCCTGCTACCCCAGGATCTGTCGCGCGGTCGGCTCCTCGGGTCAGCACTGAAAAGGCAGGACGCTAACGCAGGCTGCGGTCATATTGCCCTGAGCGCGATTCACTTGGCTGAGGGGAAGTGATGCTACAGCGTTGATGCCAGCTGCTAATTGACAGTATGAGTATATGAACAGGACTTCAATGAGAGGAAGTGTGCAGACGGTTTGGCAGGACTGGATGAGGTGGCAACATCACCGCCTCAACATTGAGTGTGCGCGATGCAGTGCGTTCGCCGTTGATATGCAATGCACCCCACCAGTGCCGGTGGCTGAAGATCCCTGCTGGCTCGTCGACCCAACAGCCCGCGTCCTGCAGCTGTCGAATGCGGCGAGGTACGGCAAAGTTTCCTGAGTCCTCCGTCGAAGCTACGTCGCTTTGAAGAGTTGCAGCTCTTCCTCGGTTTCACATAGCAGTCTGGTTTCCACCGTGTTCATACATTCACTGTATAGACGACTTTGTTATCTGCACGACCAAGCACTTGTGGGAAGGCCCAAGCTTCATCCCGAAACTAAACGGGGACGGACATTCGCAAGAACAAGTGTCGAATGGGAAGCCGCTAGGCATCGCAGTCGCAAGAGCCAGTGAGTGCATCTCTCCCGTTGCGTTACGGCCGTTGTTCAGGCTGCCATATTGTTCAGTAATCAGTAGAGGCGGTGAAGGCTCGAGACTGCAAGACGGTAGAGCACGCGACATCAACGGCTTGAAGCTTGCCGGTATCGAGAAGCTATGGCGGCTAACCGTATTTCTTTCCAGCAGGCAGCGCGACCTGCACCCGGTCGCAGCCAGAGCATAGCAATGTACGGCCAGAACAATGGCAGCCAGACAGGCGTCAGCACGCCCCGATCGCAGGTAAGCATCAGGAAGTGAGACGGAAGGAGGAAGCTTTCAGTGAGGACAAGACGATGGCTGACTTCACCTCCACCCAGGCTGTCTCACGACCACTCACCCTCACTCACGGCTCGCTAGAATACAACTTCCTTATTCCGACAGCGCTGCACTTCAATGCAAATCAGCTAAAGACTCAATTTCTGGCAACATTGCCGCAACCTACAGACGAGCTTGCTCAGGATGACGAGCCATCTTCGGTCCCGGAGCTTGTGGCTCGGTATCTTGGCTTCATTGCCAAGGAGGTAGACGAAGGCGAAGATGTGGGCACGTACGATGAGGTGTTGAAGCTCGTCACCCAAGAGTTCGAGAGAGCTTTCTTGCGTGGCAACGAGGTTCATGCGCTCGCCGCCACTTTGCCCGGCATTCCCGAGAAGAAGCTCATTACCGTCAAGTCTTACTACGCAGCTCGTTCAGCGTCAAATCGGCCGATAAGAGCTCACGAGTCAGCGCTGTTCCGAGAAGTGTCTGACGATGCTGCTGTCGTCTACTCCGTGTTCGGCGGACAGGGTAACATCGAGGAGTACTTCGATGAGCTGCGCGAAATCCACGACACCTACCGATCCCTCGTCGATGACTTTGTTCAGACGGCCGCGGCGCTATTGCAGAACCTTGCACGGGATCCGCAGGCAGAGAAGATGTATGCGAAAGGTTTGGACGTCATGCGGTGGTTGCACAAGCCTGACTCCCAGCCTGACATCGACTACCTCGTATCCGCACCCGTGAGCTTTCCCTTGATTGGCCTTACGCAGCTTGCGCACTACGTTGTGATGTGCAGAGTGCTGGGCACCCATCCGGGTCACATTCGTGAACGCTTCGCTGGCACAACTGGTCATTCTCAGGGCGTGGTCACGGCTGCCGCAATTGCCGCTTCCAGCAGCTGGGAGAGCTTTGACAAGGCCGCAAGAGGTGCCCTCACAACTTTGTTCTGGATTGGTGCGCGCAGCCAACAGGCGTACCCTCGCACTTCGCTTGCGCCGAGCGTTCTGCAAGACTCCATCGACAGCGGCGAAGGCACTCCGACTCCCATGCTTTCAGTCCGCGACCTGCCCAGAGAGACACTCCAGAAGTACATTGACGCTACCAATGAGCACCTGCCCAAAGAAAGGCACATTGGCATCTCTTTGGTGAACAGCGCTCGGAACTTCGTCGTAACCGGCCCGCCCATGTCTCTGTACGGTCTCAACCTCCAGCTTCGAAAAGTAAAAGCACCAACTGGACTCGACCAGACCCGCATACCCTATACCGACCGCAAAGTGCGTTTCGTAAGCCGCTTCCTGCCCATCACTGCGCCTTTCCACAGCCCATATCTGGGCGATGCGATACATCACCTCGAGACTGACCTCAAAGACGTCGTTATCACGCCTCATGAGCTTGGCATCCCAGTGTACTGCACGTATACCGGCAATGACATCCGTCAGGACAAGTCTGATAACGTTGTGCCGGCACTCGTCCGCATGATCTGCAAAGAGCCGGTGAATTGGGAGAAGGCGACCGTCATGCCAAATGCTACACACATCCTCGACTTCGGACCAGGCGGGATTTCTGGCCTCGGCGTCCTCACCAATCGTAACAAGGATGGTACCGGCGTCCGGGTGATCTTGGCGGGTACCATGGATGGTACGAACACCGAGGTTGGCTACAAGCCCGAGATCTTCGACCGTGATGCGGAGCATGCGGTGCAATATGCGGTGGATTGGGTGAAAGAGTACGGTCCAAAGCTCGTCAAGGATTCGGTTGGCCAGACATATGTGGACACCAAGATGAGCAGACTACTAGGCTTACCTCCAGTCATGGTTGCTGGCATGACGCCGTGCACCGTACCTTGGGACTTTGTGGCTGCTACCATGAACGCTGGCTATGAGATCGAACTTGCAGGAGGCGGGTACTACAACGACAAGAGCATGACCGAGGCCATCTCCAAGATCGAGAAGGTCATCCCTGCTGGTCGTGGCATCACCATCAACCTTATCTACGTCAATCCGAGAGCGATGGCATGGCAGATTCCGCTCATTGCCAGACTACGCGCCGAAGGTGTGCCCATTGAGGGCCTCACCATTGGTGCTGGTGTGCCATCGATTGAGGTGGCGATTGAGTACATCGAGACTCTTGGGATCAAGCACATGGGTTTCAAGCCAGGCTCAGTCGAAGCCATCCAGGCTGTCATCAACATTGCCAAGGCTAAGCCTGACTTCCCGGTGATGCTTCAGTGGACCGGAGGTCGTGGTGGTGGCCATCACTCTTTCGAAGACTTCCATCAGCCAATGCTGTCCATGTACAGCCGTCTGCGCCGATGCCCAAACATCGTACTCCTCGCAGGATCCGGTTTTGGCGGCGCCGAAGACACTTACCCGTACCTTAACGGTGAGTGGGCACGCAAATTCGGTTACCCACCAATGCCGTTCGATGGTGTGCTCTTTGGTAGTCGCTGCATGGTCGCGAAAGAAGCACACACTTCGCGCGCTGCCAAGCAGGCCATCGTCGACGCACCGGGTCTGGAGGATAATGAATGGGAGAAGACCTACAAGGGTCCAGCTGGCGGCGTTATCACCGTGCGCTCCGAGATGGGTGAGCCTATTCACAAGCTTGCCACTCGCGGCATCAAATTTTGGGCGGAGATGGACCAGAAGATCTTCAATTTGGACAAAGCCAAGCGCGTCCCGGAGCTGAAGAAGAACCGCGAGTACATTATCCAGAAGCTCAATGACGACTTCCAGAAGCCGTGGTTTGGTCGCAACAAGGCTGGCGAATCCGTTGATCTGGAGGATATGACCTATGGCGAGGTCGTTCGGAGGATGGTCGACTTGATGTATGTCAAGCACGAGAAGCGTTGGATCGATAAGAGTCTTGCACGTTTGACTGGCGACTTCATTCGTCGTGTTGAAGAGCGCTTCACGGGCAGTGACGGGACAGGGTCCATCATCCAGAATTATAGCGAGCTGGACCAGCCGTACGAGACCGTTGAAAAGGTTCTCAAGGCGTACCCAGAGGCTGACGTTCAGCTCATCAACGCGCAGGATTGCCAGCACTTCTTAATGCTGTGCCAGCGCCGAGGTCAGAAGCCCACACCTTTCGTTCCCTGCTTGGACGATACCTTCGAGTTCTTCTTCAAGAAGGATTCACTCTGGCAGTCTGAAGATCTGGAAGCCGTAGTGGATCAGGATGTTGGCCGTGTGGCGATCTTGCAAGGGCCAATGGCTGCGAAATACTCCACCAAGGTTGACGAGCCGATCAAGGAGATTCTGGACAGCGTGCACAATGGTCATATTGAGTTCTTGACGAAGGACTTGTATGCCGGGCAGCAGAACAAGATCCCAGTTGTCGAATACTTCGGCGGCAAGCTCATCGAAGCCAGCGACGAGGTCAATCTGGATGGCGTGACTGCGTCCGAGATGGAGACTAAGACACTATACCGTATTGCAGGCTTGACAAATACTCCTCTGCCAGCCTTGGACAACTGGATGCAGCTGCTCGGCGGCAAAGGCCATACGTGGAGGCATGCTTTCTTCACTGCGGACGTGTTCGTGCAAGGCCAGCGATACGACACAAACCCGATGCAACGAATCTTCGCGCCGTCGCCAGGTCTGGTGGTGGAGATACATTATCCGAATGACCCTAAGCGCACCGTTGTTCTTGTCAAGGAAACGCTACAAGGCAAGTATGTGCAGACTGTCGAGATCGGCCCGATATCAGGCAATGAGATCCCGCTGAAGATGATTGAACACCGCACTGTCACGGGCAAGCCTATTGCGCTTCCGCTGAAGTTCACTTACCACCCTGAGACCGGCTATGCTCCGATCAGAGAGGTTATGGACGCCCGCAACGACCGTATCAAGCAGTTCTACTACCGAATTTGGTTCGGCGACGAAGCTGTCCCCTTCGACACCCCGGTTACTAGCCGATTCGACGGTGGCAGGGCTACTGTTACCAGTGAAGCTATCAACGATTTCGTGCATGCGGTCGGCAACACCGGCGAGGCATTCGTCGACCGACCGGGCAAGGAGGTCTTCGCGCCTATGGATTTCGCCATTGTTGTGGGCTGGAAGGCTATTACGAAGCCCATCTTCCCACGCAAGATTGATGGTGATCTGCTGAAGCTCGTTCACTTGTCCAACGGCTTCCGTATGATCCCGGGTGCCTCTCCGTTGAAAAAGGGGGACGTCCTTGACACTACCGCCGAGGTCAATGCCGTGATCAACCAGGACTCTGGCAAGATGGTGGAAGTCTGCGGTACGATCACTCGTGACGGCGAGCCAGTCATGGAGGTTACCAGCCAATTCCTTTATCGTGGCGCCTACACCGACTTCGAGAACACCTTCCAACGCAAGGTCGAGACCCCAATCCAGGTACATCTCTCCAGCACGAAGGATGTCGCAGTGCTGCAATCCAAGGAGTGGTTCCAGATGGACTCTGAATATGACCTGCTTGGCCAAACGCTAGTCTTCAAGCTGCAGACTTTGACGCGCTTCAAGAACAAGACCGTGTTCTCTTCCGTGCAGACACTCGGTAAGGTCGAGCTGGAGTTGCCCTCAAAGGAGATCATCCAGGTCGCCTCCGTCGAGTACGAGGCCGGAACGTCATACGGTAACCCAGTCCTAGATTACCTGCAACGCAACGGTCAAGCCCTGGACCAGCCAGTCAACTTCGAGAACCCGATTCCTCTCAACGGCAAGACCCCGCTCATCCTAAAAGCGCCATCTACGAACGAGACGTACGCCCGCGTTTCTGGCGACTACAACCCCATCCACGTGTCTCGTGTTTTCTCCAAGTACGCCAACTTGCCTGGCACCATTACGCACGGCATGTACTCCAGCGCTGCCGTGCGCAGCCTCGTCGAGACCTGGGCAGCCGAGAACAATGTTGGCCGTGTACGCAGCTTCCACGCTTCGCTCGTAGGTATGGTACTGCCCGATGACACGATCGAGGTCAGGTTGCAGCACGTCGGTATGGTTGCAGGCCGCAAGATTGTCAAGGTCGAAGCCAGCAAAGCGGAGACTGAAGAGAAGGTGCTGCTTGGGGAGGCTGAGGTTGAGCAGCCGGTCTCGTCGTATGTCTTCACCGGTCAAGGCTCGCAAGAGCAAGGTATGGGTATGGATCTTTACAACAGCAGCGCGGTGGCGAAGGAGGTTTGGGATCGCGCTGACAAGCACTTCCTTGACAATTATGGTAAGCTTTCCGCGTCCTACAGTAAATGCTCTGGTGCTAACTTTCGGAAGGCTTCGCCATCACCAACATCGTCAAGAACAACCCTAAGGAACTTACAATACACTTCGGTGGCGCTCGCGGCAAGGCTATCCGTCAGAACTACATGTCCATGACCTTCGAGACTGTTGCTACAGATGGCACTGTCAAGTCGGAGAAGATTTTCAAGGAGATCGACGACACCACAAGCTCCTACACCTACCGGTCACCGACAGGACTGCTCTCAGCGACGCAATTCACCCAACCCGCCTTGACGCTCATGGAGAAGGCTTCTTTCGAAGACATGCGCGCCAGAGGCCTTGTACAGAGCGACAGCAGCTTTGCTGGCCACTCGCTTGGCGAATACAGTGCCCTCGCCGCCCTCGCTGAGGTCATGCCCATCGAGAGCTTGGTCTCCGTCGTGTTCTATCGGGGTCTGACGATGCAGGTCGCTGTCGAGCGTGACGAGCAGGGCCGGTCTAATTACTCCATGGCCGCTGTCAACCCGTCCCGTATCAGCAAGACCTTCAATGAGCAAGCTCTGCAGTATGTCGTAGAGAACATCTCCGAAACGACTGGCTGGCTGTTGGAGATTGTCAACTTGAACGTGGCAAATATGCAGTATGTCTGCGCTGGCGACCTCAGGGCTCTAGACACCCTGACGAACGTCCTGAACTACCTCAAGGCGCAGAAGATTGATATCCAACAGCTCATGCACACCATGAGTCTTGAGGATGTCAAAAGCCATCTGGTGGACATCATCAAAGAGTGCGCCAAGCAGACCGAGGCCAAGCCGAAGCCCATCGAGCTTCAGCGCGGCTTCGCCACCATCCCACTCAAGGGCATCGATGTGCCCTTCCACAGCACCTTCCTACGGTCCGGCGTCAAACCCTTCCGGTCTTTCTTGCTCAAGAAGATCAACAAGACGAGCATTGACCCGGGTAAACTGGTGGGCAAGTACATCCCGAACGTCACTGCGCGACCGTTTGAGATTACGAAGGAGTATTTCGAGGATGTGTATCGCCTGACGAATTCGCCGCGGATTGGTAATATCTTGGCGAATTGGGAGAAGTATGAGAATGAAGAGGAGCCGCGGCCGAGGATCGGGAGTGTGGCGGTGCCGACTTCGTGAGAAAAGCGTGTACATATTGAAACTGGTGGTTTGGAGCATGGCGTTCTGATCAGAGCATTTGAGGCCTTGTATTGGAAGTGAAGTTAGACTGTACGCCCGTGTAGGGGCTCTTGTAGCAATTGTAGACCATACAAGCTATCTTACATATTACGTTGATGTTATTGGCGATGTCCACACTTTCCGTTGTACCAACTCGACATCTCTTCTCTCTCATCCACTACCCTTGGCGAACCGGGCACAAGAAGTGTCTCAAGTCTTGCGATTCGCATTGCGTCTCTCGGGCGAAGTTGGACTCCCTTGCACTTGCTCCTCAACACTCTTCCTCAAACCCAAGCCCGCCGTACCGCCAGGACTGCTCTCAAGTGGCTGCGGCTCGTCCACAAAGCTCGAAGTCACGACCGGCGAGATAGGCGAACCTGAGCTTCCAGCGTCAGGATTTGACTTCACCGAAGACGGTGTCCTTGGCGAACGAGGCGCGAGCCCTCGATGTCCGTCCATCGCCGGCGTAGCGCTGCTGCCGGTATGGCTTGATTCAGCTCTGTGATGCGCGGCTTCCGGCTGCTTCGGTAGATTGTGCTTCAGCTGCGGGCTCAGCAGCTTCTGTACCAGATTCCGATCGTCGTGTTCATTGATATCGTCATCGTCATCGCCTTCATGGTCTTCGAAGAGAGAGTCATCCCACACCACACTTCCCTCACTATCTTGGCTGTGCTGCCTGCCTTGGCTACTTTGACTGCCTGCCATCCCGACTGAACTATAGCTCCGATCCATTCGCATCCGACCCACGTCTAGGTCTTGGAGTTCGTCGCGCTCTTCGCGCATCTCGCTCATGCTTCGCTCCGGCGGCTCCTTGCTCGTTTGGTTAATGACCTGCTCGCCTGTCTCAGGCAATGGCGCATCAACCGGCTGAGCACGCTCCTGCGCCGGCTCCTCCTCGTCGCGGGTTCTGGCTGTCCATGTGTCCGCAAAGTGAGTGTCGCAGAGATGTTTGATGACAGGCCAGCCGTAGGCGTTGGCAAACATGCGCCGCACGATCATATTGTTGTGGGCGTCGGGCTCGAGGCGGACGAGCACTTTGCGCCAGCTGAGGTCCTTGTGGTACGCGCGCGCAATCTTCTCTTCGACCTTCATACCTCCGGCGTCAACGGAGTCGCTTGTGACGTCAGAGGTCGTCGATGCTGTGTCCAGCTTCTTCACGCTGCTATCGCTTGAGAAGCGTCGCAGAAGGTTTGAGGCTGGTCTCTTCATGGGAGGCGGAGGGATGTCCTCGGGATGATAGACACGATCGTGAAAGATTGTCCGCGCGCGACTGCTAGGATCTGTGATCCATTGCCTGCTCGGCAGCGGTGGGTGTAAAATATCGCCTGCGGACTCAAAGATCGACGTCTTGGGTGGCGCTTGCAGCTCGCCATTCTCGTTACCAGTTATGCTGTCGCCGCGGGAGGCCATCGGCCGCTTAGGCTGCGTTACTACCTGACCCGTGTGGTGCTGATGAAGGTGAGGTCGCATGGTAGGGTTACTAGTCGTGCCCTCTTGGCCTTCTGCAATCTCCTCTGGGAGCTCGTCGTCGCCGTGGTGGATCGTTTGACCTCGGTGGAGAGCTTTGGTTGTCCTTGTCCTCTTAGGTACTTTCGACGGTGTTTTTGTACGCTCGGGCATGCTTGGCCGGAAAAGGTCCATAAAGCTATCAAGCACGCCCTTGTCCTGTTGCGAGGACTTGCCATTAGTCGTGTCGTTCGTCCCATTACTGGTCTGCACTTCCTGTTCGTTCTCTTCGTGACTGACTCTATTAGTCAAGCGCTGGTTGTCCTCGGCAGTCTCGTTCTCCGATGGTTGTGGTACGGTATCGCCTTCACCCGCATGCTCGTCATCGTCATCATCATCGCCACCATAGCGTTCCACGAGTACATTCGGCGTGATCGTGCTTGCATTGGTGCCCGTAAGCTCATGCCACCCCCACTCAGCCACGGTGCCAATAAGACCGTTTTCGCGGCGTGCCTTTTCCACCTTACCCAGTCCTCTCCAGTCCAAGAACAGCAGACAGCTCGTACGCAGCGGGACGATGCCGTCATTGACCACGTTGGAATATACCGTCCGATTCCTGAACATCCTCAACACCTGATGCGCCGGTCCGGTAGGTAGGATTCGCAGCAGAGGTTTCGCGCTTGCGTCTTCCTTAGACTTCTTCTCTTCTTTCGAACCAGCGCCCAGCCCACCGATCATTGCGTTCCAGCCATTCTTGGCGACCGAGTTCGGTCGCCATGACAGACCAAGATCCTGACCGGTGCGTCCTACTAGACCAAAGTCGAGTGCGAATTTGACATAAAGTGGGTTCTCGTTACTCAGACCAAGCATGGGCGCAGCCATGCAGATGAAGTTGACAGGCTTGATTTGCTCGAAGAACGTTGGACTGTGCTTCTGAATGTAGGCAATTGCGTAAGTCTGAATGAGCCCGCCCAAGCTGTGTCCGATGAAAGATATGCTCGTGAAGGTGTAGGGTAGATCGTCTGCCGTTGGTGGTGCTCTAGAGGGATGATGTATGCTGCTGTGTGAGTGCGAAGGCAGGCCATCGCGCTGATTCTTGTTCGCTTCGCTTTTGAACGGATCGGTTAAGGTGCGCGACAATGGCTTTTTGACCGGTAAGAACGGTTGATCCGGATAGGTGAAACGTAGAATGTACTTAGCAAGCCGCTTTCCCAGATACTGGATCCCATTCTCAGTGCGTACTGTATTGCCCATAAAGCCACGAACAATCGTCTGTTCTTCGTCATCATCCTCGTCGGCGCCCTCGATGTCTTCTTGGCCGCCCGAAAGAGGGGCTGTCGAAGTGTCTTGCGGCTTCTGACCCTCGCGCTCTGTCCGAGTTTCGCCAGTCTTCGAGCCATCTGCATCTTTGGCTTTGTGCTCCTCCTCACGATAGCGCTTCCTGCGCTGCTTAGCCTCCACTCGTGCTTGCTTTACGGTGGCGTCGATGGACTCCTTCAGGAAAAGCATGTCAGCACCTACATTGCTATGCAGGCCGTGCGTCACCACGACGAGATGAATCGTCCTTTTCTTCTTCTGCTTAGACTCTGAGTGGGTTTCTGGTGCATTCTCGCTCGTGCTCGTTCGGCCCTTGTCTATTGACGTTCGCGCAGACTGCAGCTCGTGCTCTGATGATGGTAGCGCAGGCTTATCCCACAGCGTCTCGGTATCCTCTGCCACGAGTCTCACAGCTTTTGAATAGACCCCAGCAGTCTGTACGTTGCCGTGCCGTCTCGCCCTTCTTCGCTCCTTCTCCGAAGTCTGTTGCTCCTTGATCTGACCTGGCGAGCCGTGTCCGTGACCCGCTACTGCGGCAAAGCCAAGCTCGAGGCTTCGTTCATCTCTTCCGACAAGCACTTCGAAGTTCACCGACGCTGAAGTACTGAACAAGATTTGCGAAGTAACCTCAATAATCCACGTTACGCTCTTTCTTTCGCGCTTTTGCCCGTCGTCACCTTGTTCAAAGCTCCACCGTCCTCTACCAGCATCCGCACCCGTCTGACGTATCTCCTCCGGGATTGTCAGCTTCGTTTGCCAGCTGCCGCCGGCCTTGAGCATCGGCTCATAGTCCGGCACGCCATACTTCTTCGGTTCTTCGACCTTCTTATGCGGGTTGAATGTTGCCGGGTATGTCGCGACATGCAGCACGTATGGGCCGTGAAGCCAGGCCGCACGTAATGGCACAGCGCATGTGTTCTTGATCTTTACATGCAGATGCGACGGAGTTGGTAGGATGCGGTCGTTGCTCGGGGTGTAGGTGAGAGTATAGCGGACGATCTCGCCGACCTTCACGCTGCCGGCTTGGTGGACTAGAAGCATCCTCTCTGTTCTTGGAAGCACGGCTCTCAAATTCTAATTGCAGATGTTTACGAGACGAGACATGAAATGGTCCCTGCCGCAGTGGTCCGGATGACGGAATTGAGGATGTCAGTCGGATTCAGAGACGAACCCATGTATTCAGCCGTAGTTAGTCTTCCCGTGCTCATTGGGACCCCGGACAAACCAAAAGAAGAGCTCGCGGCTTGCGCTTAGAAGGAGTCGTGCATGAGCGCGCATGAGCGTCCGTTTCGATGCACGATGAGGTAAGAATTCACTGCCGAGGTCTCCGTAACTTCCTGATCCGGAATCCCATTAACCATGGCGGTTTGCGAGTCTTAGGCACCGTATCAGTCACGATGCTGCAAACGACTCATCGACATAAGACCCGAACACAGCAAGGTCGATGCTCACAATACAAGATAGTCCAATGGCGAAGCGAAACCTTCTACTCGGCATCGATGCTTTCGGTACCATCTTCACGCCTAAACGCCCCATCGCGACACAATATGGCGAAGTAGCACGATCACTGGGTCTGAACGGTTTCACCGACGAGCAAGTCAACTCATCGTTTCGGACGGCGTTCAAGCAACAATCGAAGCTGAACCCAAACTTCGGCAAATCGAATGGCATGAACGCGGAAAAATGGTGGACGAATGTACCAAGTTTGATCGTTTCAACAGACGATGTTGAATATTCGCTAACACATCGATAGATTATCTACAACACCTTCGAGCCGCTCGTTGGCCCGAATGAGAAGCTCAACACTGAGCTCGCCCCCCGACTGCTTTACCGCTTTTCCTCCGAAGAAGGTTACGCTTTGACGCCCGGAGCGATGATGTTGCTGTCAGGCCTACGGGCAAGGCCTTTGCCTTCTTTCGACCGGGTCGTCGTCGGCGTAATAACCAATTCCGACGATCGAATCCCGAGCATTCTTACTTCTCTAGGTCTGCGAGTTAGTTCGCTCAGGTTTGGGAGCGACAGCTTGGTTACAAAGCTACCGACTAACGAGCAGTGTGATATTGACTTCACCGTAATGTCATATGATGTCGGGTACGAAAAGCCGGACAAGCGTATCTTCGACGCTAGCGAGGAGATGCTGAGATCAATACCGGTGCCGGGGGCCATCGAGCCCAATTCCTGGAGTAAGCTGTACGTTGGCGACGATTACGAGAAAGACATTGTTGGCGCGCGTGATGCAGGATGGTCAGCCGTGTTGGTTGCGGACACACCTCCAGAGAAGGCTGAGCTAGCTGAAAAGCCGCAAGATGCATCTGAGTTGAGCGGTCATGCCTTCGCCGTCAGAGACCTAGCAGAGCTTGCACGGTGGCTTGGTGTTGATGTAAAAGCCTCAATGGGCTGATGCTTTTTGCACTATTGCTGCTTTCTAAGTGCCAGGATATCGGAGAGCTTGATCTCGTTCTTGCCACCCCAGCCAGCCACACCGTCTTCGACTGCTGGTCGAACCTTAACGTACCAGCCCCACGTACGCTTCTCGAGTTCCTCTGGCTCGAGCACTTTCGCCCAAGAATCGTACAGCAATTCTATCGTTCGAAGTAAGTGACCAAGATTGCTGGCTTTCCGCTCCACACGAGCAGCTGCAGACGGCTTCTTTCCACTTGGGTCGACAGAGTCGAATGACTTCAGGAGGTATGCACGGGCAGATTGCGGAGTATATATGGGAAGTTTGCTATGGTTCCCAGCTGCGATATTAGCAGACGCGATGTCTGATCGGTTTGATTTTCGAAGCGCTTCCAAGTCCAGAGCCCAGAGAGCGGGCGGCCGGTTACTCTGGTCTTGAGTATCAGGCTCATCGTCCGTCTCGTCCGTCTGAGACTTTGACTTCGGTTCGCCCTCTGCTGGCTGGTTCCACTCATAGCCCCATCGTCGGAGCACGCGCAACCCCTTGCCCATGATACTGACTGACGGTTGACCTTCCGCCAGTCGCTCTTCAGCCTCAATCTCTGCCTTGTCAAGAGTTTGTATACCAAGACTGACAGCCCGAGATCGGCTAGTAGTACTTACGTAGGCTTGCGCGAGGCTCAACCTACTCGACAGAGGCTGCTCAGGCATGGTATGCTTCAGCAGTGTCACCGTAAATGCTAACACAAGCGGTGCTCGATTACTATGAACCACAGCATTAGACAGCTCCTCTTCACTAGCAGTGCTGACAGGGAGGGCTATGGACGCTTCGAGATCCAGTGGTCCTGATGGTGGACCCGCAGAGAAGTCATGTCGCTTCTTCTTCGCCGGAGATAATGCTGCATCGTCGCCAGCTGCCCGTTTCTTCGAGACACGCTTCGCGGCACTTATGATTTGCTTGGCTACCTTTTCGTCCGTGAATAGTACTGCGATATCAGTATGCTTCACTTTCGCAAGCTTTTCAGGTGAGTCTAGGCTCGCTTTCTGTAAGTCTTTAACCTTGCTCATCGCCTACCTGCCCATCAGCATGGTGACACCGCGTCTTGGATGCTGCTGAGGAAAGCCTACAGTTGCTAAAGGCACCTTGGCGTCTTGCGATAGGAAGCGCAGAAGCGCTTGTAGCTCGCCCGCACTCATCTCACGTTGGTACTGGCGATTCCGGCATGCCCAGGAATCAAAGCATCGAACCAACGTCTTCTGTTACACTATGTCCCTGTCCTGTGAGAGCACGCAGAGGTCTTCAAGAGCTAGCGTAGAGTAAGATGTCACACTACTTTCTGATGCTGCTTGTTCGGCTGCCAACTACCTAGCTACGTGCCTTCCCCTTGTCCTCGGACATCGGCACTAGCCCCGCCAAGAGAGCTTTGACCACGCAGAAGTGAAACGCTTCAGTCGCGTGCTTGAACATCGCATCGCATCACATCACACCACACTGCTATAACCCGTACACCACTTCCACGCCCACATTCAGCCGATACGACATGCCACAGCACGACAGACATTACTAAAAGTTCCAGCACCGCCATGTCATCACCACTACCCGCCCGCAGCGTTTCGCGCGGCCGCTCACGCACACCAGCTCGACCCGCGACCGCCGCCTCAGAAGACCGTGACCGTCGCGCCAACGGCACCCGCGACCGCGATACCAACGACGATGATGATATGGCCGACCGTCGCTCCCGTACCCGCTCACGATCACGCTCGTACCGCTCGCGAACACGCAGCTATACCCGCTCACGATCTCGCACCCGCACAACCTCCCCTCCACCGCGCCCCCTCTCCTCCAAAATCGTAATAGAGAAACTCACCAAAAACATCAACTCCGCTCACCTTCGGGAAATCTTCAGCACCTACGGCACCATCTCCGAGCTTGAAATGCCACTAAACCCGCAATTCATGATGAACAAAGGCATAGCCTACATCATGTACACCCAGCCTGCGTACGCGGAAGCGGCGATCGCGCATATGCACGAGGCGCAGCTGGATGGGGCGTTGATCAATGTGAGCGTGGTGTTGCCGAGACGGAGGTTCAGTCGCAGTCCGCCGATGAAGAGGCCGCCGCCGAATCGGTTTGGGGAGCCGCACCGGTTAAGAGATGGTGCGGCGCCGCCGAGAGGAGGCTATAGAGGTGGTGGGAGTTACAGGGGAGGAAGGAGTCCACCGCCGCCATTGTCGAGAGGGTACGGTGGACAAGGAGGTGGTGGTGGGTATCGGGATCGGTATGATGATAGGGAGCGGTATAGAGCGAGGAGTTATTCGACGAGTCGGAGTCCGCCGCCGCGGAGGAGGCGCAGTCCGAGCTATGCCGGGAGGAGTAGGAGTCCAACTCGTGCTAGTCGGTCGCCGCCGAGACGGAGAGGAGAGTATGATGCGCCGACGAGGAGGCGGAGCCCGAGCTATGATAGCTACGGGAGCAGGAGTCGGAGCAGAGATCGTGGTGGGAGGAGGCGGTGAGGTGAAGCAGCGGACGCAAGCGCGACGAGACACCCCACTGGTCACATAAGAAGCGGATGCCGACTCACCGCGCGAAGCTGCCAGCGCCGAAGAGTGGAAATCAGCGGCCCACGCCAGCGTGGGCAGCTTTGTGATCAAATGGCATTGGTATTGGATGGAGAACTGCAAGCTCAAGCAGCTAGTGGGGCCCGCCTTCAGCGTTCTCAGACCTCCTGAGACCAATGACGCACAATGAACCGACTTACAAAGAGAGAAAGCTCGAACATGAGATTCAGGCGGACCACAGCCGCATGCTGACTTGCAGCTAGCAGTGGCAGCGGCTGTGCTATGTAGGTTGAGCTTCCACCTGCTGAGAAGCACTTTGCAAGTTCTTCGCTAGTCGGCTGCGAACGCCGCCGCCCTTCTAGCGTGTTTCGTGTTCACATATACACATTGATCAGTCACCCACCTAGATACGCATCTTATCATGCAAGTCCTCCACTTGCATTTCTGCACGGTCTGCGCCACTCGGCAATTGCGCCGACGTCATGCTCGTTGATGTAGGCTTCCTCAGTAGCCCACCTTGATCAGATAGTCACCCAGTGTTTCCACCGTATTTGCTGCCGTCCCGGGCTGCACACTCTCCGGATAATGCGCAACGAGTAATGCCTGCTTCGTCTTGACAATCACAATGCCTTCTCGTCCCTAAGCCTCACACCGTCAGTGAGTCCTCACCCACCAATTCTCAGAAATCACTACCACGGTCCCTATCCAACCCCAGAAGTGACTGCGACTTAACGTACCTTCTTCCCATAAATACTCCTCTCATCCGCCTTCAACACCACAAACCGCTCTCCCGCCACATGCAACCCGGTACTCTGCACTTGCTTAACGCCGTCCTTCCCCGGGTCTCGGTAAGCTGCGACGATCTCTTGCATCTCTTTCGGCTGGATGTTGAATTTGGGGCTCGTTGCCCATGCGGAGGTCCCGTCGGCGGAGAAGATGGCGGCGCGGTCGACGGAGCCGGTGCCTACTAGGCTGTCCACACTGTCAGTGCCGAGCAAAGAAGGAAGGGGCAGGCCTGATGGGCGAGCGGAGGAGGATGGTGGGAATGGGATAGGTTACCTGGTGTCGATGTAGGCTTGCCAGGACATTGTTACGGCGGTTATGGAACGGTCTGAAAAGAGTGTTCCTGGGTCGCAGTCAGAGGGTCGAGCTGAAGGATGTCGTGGAGGTGGTAGGTTGTATGAGGCTCAAAGGCCGACGTTGGATTGTTGAAGGCTGCAAGCAACTTAATGCACATGCAAAGCTGCGGGGCCACCATTTACACCCCGCCATCAACACCAAAATAATTCACTTGTCATTTACAATTCCCACACGCAATTGCATGGTCACCTCGTGTAAGACAACCCGACATGCGGACGACCACAGTTTATGTTCCAGTTCAGGTGGTTGAGCTTGGGTAAATGGAGCGCAAGTATGGAGCAGAAGGAGTTGACATGACATTCAAGGGTATTTAGCTCGGTATCACGCCCTGACAAATTGCCAAAAAGCACTGGATATCTGTGTTTCTGCCAACAAACCGCTGATGGACCCGCTCATGCCTCATATCACATATTCGATCATAACAACATTCCTACCACGCCTCCCACTTCTGCCCACCCATAGCAATCAGCCGATTGAACAGCTCATCCCTCAGCACCATCGCGGTAATCACCCACGAATTGCCCTGCCGATCAGTAATCTGCAAGCCATCCGCCACCTCGCGATCAAGCGCCCAACCCACCACCAACTTCGCCTTCCATCCCAGCCCGCCGACCTTCTTCAGCTCCTTAATATCCGCCACCGGAATAGACCAGACGGGATGCAACTCCTCTGCCGTCCGCTCATTCGAACCCTGCGGCCCGATCGTCTTGTCAAGCGAAAATGACACGCACGGGATAGTGGCTTTGGTGCTGATGTACACATGACCCCTCTTACCGTGGAAGCGACCCTTGAAGTCGATCGGTCCAGTCAGATGATTCTCGCGCTGGTCGGGGATGACGCCGAGTCGTTGCTTCGCACCCTCATCGCCTATTTTAGCCTTAAGGTGATCGGCGCCGAGTGCGGTGGTGATGGTGCCCTTGGCAGCACTCTTGAATAAGGCCATGAGCTTAGCGCCCTTCTTGCCATGAGTCTTGTCTTTGTTGATGTCCACTTCGCCGGTATTTGTCTTGCCTGGAACGCTTGGGTCGTGCTTGATGGCTTCGTTGAGCTCTTCGCGTGTGGCGTTCATTGGGTAATCGGACCCAGCGGCGCGCAAATGCTCATCCGTGACGTGCATTGGCTGCTCCGCCGGCGGCTCGTGCGAGTGTGGTGGTGGTGGTAGTGGCGCTTTGTTGGCCTCTCCGATGCGGAGGAGGGTGAGTGTGAGCTGCGCGTTGGTCGGCACCCCCTTAAGGATAGTGTTCCGCAGTTCGAGCAATTTCTGCCAGTCAGGAAAGGTACGATTTAGCCATGATGCAGCAGGTTGTATAACTGGATCGCCAAAGAAGCCAAAACCAACGCCAAACGATATACCTTTCATGACCATGTAATTTGTGGTGAACAGAGACCCTGCTAGAACAGGCACAAGCAGGGCCGTCAGGCGAAGACGGTAAACATCTTGCGGGAATGGTGGCGTCGGTGATAGCGCGTTCCCAAACCGCTCCCACACGTCAGCGGTGGCGGCTAACCCATGCATGATCGGTCTCATCTTGTTCCACATAGTGGTCTCCATCGGTACTTTCGTCTTGTCATGATGCGGGGCGACTTTGCCGCCGGAGGCACGTACACGGGCTTCGCTTGCTGAGAACGCCATAGCGGTAGGGTCAGGAACGCGATCATTAGGAGTATCGCTGTCCTTCATACCTTCGATTGTCGACGCATCATGCTCAGGATGCTTCCCGCTAGCGCCCGCAATGCTAATGGTTGCGAGACTGTTGACGAAGTTGCTTGCCTCAGATTCGACAGCCTCACCCTTGTGTTTCTCAGGAGCACCGGTTATGGAGTCTGCTGAGCCCAGTACACCGGCTTTCGGTTTCTGCACGCCACCAGTCTTCCCGCTAACGAGGGCAAGTGGGGCTGGGGGAAATAGGATATCGCGAGATGGCGGATACATGATTAGCACGATTAGTGTGCTTACGAAGAGGGGAGTTAGCATGTCGAGAAGCCAGGCGACGGTGTAGGCGGCGCAAAAGGCTGCCGTTCGTTCCCACTCCCGCCAAGACCGCAATCGGGCAATGTGCTTGCCGAAGCCCATCATGCCGACGCCGACAGTCATATACAGGCGCTCAACGTTCGCACGGAGTTTGTCAGGCGAGAACTCTTCCTGCTCCGCATAATTGAGGTCCAGCCCGCCCGGAACTGGATATGGGTACTCCGTCACATGATAAATTTGCTTCGGGCGGTCAGCGCATCTTTTGGCGCTTTCATTGTGCGTAACACACCTTGTTGAATCTTCTAATTAGAATCCATAGATCCGCATTTGACATTCCGCCAATGAGCGGATTCTCGATCTTGTCGTCGGGTTCATTCCAGCCCAAGTCCACGACTTCCGCATTGTGGTCTTGCTGGGCGGCACCCTTCTCATCGTGATCCGCTACCGCCAAGGCATGACTTGCGCTGGGTTCATCGTGGAGTGTATCCGCGATTTCATGTTTGTTGGGATCTGTAATCTCAGGCAGAGGCAAAATGTCCTTAATGCTCGTCCCAGGGTTGGCCGCCGACGCCATGTTGATGACACTTCACAGCGCACCCCAATTCTGTAGGATGTCGAGGCCCAGTCCCAGCGGTGATCAGTGGAGTGTCGGAGATTGATTGGTGTGGTAGATTGAGTTCTGTTACCAGCAAGGCACGCTGCCGGTCAAACGCTAGATTTGCGTCATCGCGCAGATCACACGCTAGGCGGGAAGCGGAAAGCTTCTGTCTACTGCGAATCGGAGAAGGCATCAACTGATGTGGCTGAGTACGCTGTTTACGGACAGGAGAGGCTTCAAATCTTATGGGATCCAGTACGGTTTACATGAGGTGGTATACGAAACCCTGAGCCCACTGCAAGGTTATTGCGCCTTCGGGTAGTAACATCGATTGAGCTTGAGGAGCCCAACCCTTTACCTTCCTCCATGTCCAATATTCAAGCGTCTCGCCTCTATGTGCGGATGTCTGCGAAAGAGCAATCCGGCAGAAGCTCGAGGACGAAAGCGTCGACAATTTGTTCGGTCATTCGAGATGTTCTAAACGAGCCCGAAGTCGAAGTCGAGGCGAAGTCGAAAGAGGCACGCTCACGTGCGTCTACTAATGCCGGCGTAAGGGGGTCAAGCAAAGGGCCAATGACGACGTCGCGGCCCAAGCTCCCAGCCCTCGCGAATCTACTGCCGGCCCCAAGCTTCCACGTTCCTGGCGATTCCCTCGACTACGCTGACCGCCCACTGCAACTCAATCCGTCTCTTCACAGTCCATTGTGTACCAATACAATCCTCATAAGCAATGGCAACCCGGGGCAAGCGCAAGGCTGAACCCGAGGAGGAAGAGGAACTTCAGGAGCTACCGGAGGATGATGACGAGTAAGTCTGACCACTCGCGCTGATACAATGCTGTCGCCAGCCGCACGCAATGATCGCACAGTAGCCGCGTGCACGCAGTCACCGTCGCCGGAGCGCGAACTGTTGAACGTCAATGATCTTTCCATCAATTGGTCAGCGTGACGATGAATGTCCACGTGCGTCGAGCTGACGGTGACGCAACAGAGAGGAAGAAGAGGAGTACGAAGACGATGATGACGTAGAAGATGAAGAAGATGATGAAGTTGACGAAGCTCCTGCGCCCGCACCAAAGAGCGCTCCTCGTAAGTGTCACACATTCCTTGTGCCAGCACTGTCTGACGCATGGCGCATAGAGCCGGCTGCCAAAAAGCGAAAGACGCAGCAGCCTGAGGAAGTAGATGACGAGGACGACGTTGAGGGTGCCGACGATGATGAAGTCGAAGGTGCTGACCTTGAGGATGACGATGAGGAAGCCGTGCCAGAAGATGAGGACGATGAGGTAATTCTCGACCAAGTTACGTTATCACACCGCCTAACCTATTGCAGGACGATGAGGAAGTCGAGACGACTGCAAAGAAGAGTGGACCAACGGCCAGTGCAAAGGCGAGGAAGGGCGGTCAGGTGCCGAAAGAGGCAGACTTGGCAGAGGTTGAGGATGATGACGAAGAGGACTAGCACACCGGCTTGCTTGCGTGCATTAGGTCATTCGTCTCTTGTGCCATCAACGGCGTGTACTAGATTCGGTATTGGTATCGCTAAAAAGAATGTTTTCATCTGCGGCAACGCAGTCCACCCTCATATTGGTGCTTTCTCTCGAATGTGGTTGAGAAGGAATAGAGCTATGTCCCCGGACATGTTGCACTATTGCGCAGATCCTCGGCGCTTGGTGACGAAGTCAGGAACGTCTGCCATCACTGTATCTCCTTGCGTATTCGAGGTTTTGTCCGCAGGTATACCCTGGGGCTCCTGCTCAGCCGGTGAAGGCGCCAGACCGGGAAACATAGGCCTGGGAGATCCTCCGCCATCCACTTCTTCGCCCTGCACAGAACCCTCATCGTCGCCGTCCTCTTCAAGCTCACTTAGCTCGCTCTCGTCATCAGCAGAGTCATGTACGCTGCCTGGCATGCTGTTGTCAAACGAGGCGTCACCTGCAGCAGACCTGTTATTGTCAATGACGACTTGCACCCTGGTTCCAGCTGTCGCCTTAAAAGCAGTGGCGGCCGGAGCCCGCTGTTGGCAGGCTTCCGCAGCCGTACGGATTTCGCGGCGACCCACTCCGATTTTCTTGCGCTGAGGCGCTGAGTCGGCTGGAACTGCGGGCGTGGGGACGGCAGGAGCGGTAGCAGCAACAACCGGTTCGGTCACGCCATCGAGGTTCATCAAGTGGTTGAGACTCATCATTGGGTTCCGCAACGGACTGGCAACAGGCTTTGGGCGCACCGCTTCTTCTTCTTCCTGCTTTATCCTCCGCTCGTCGTCCGATAACTGTTTGCCGACTGTACCGAACAGGTACGCATAAGAGTCTCCAATCAGGTCGTCAATGGGACCAGGCTTCATAAGTGACTGATTTACCTTCTTCAGCTCCTGCACTTCACGTAGGACATCGAGTGCTGGCGAGTTGCCCTGGTCTTGAGCCTGCATCCACTGCTCCAGCGGCTCTTTCCGTGCTAGGAAGTCCTCATGCGCAATGTTACTGAAGGTTGAGGTTTCCAGACCCTCAGACAGCTGCGCATAGTTTCGAAGCAGACGCAAGTATGCATTGCAAATCTCTTGCCACACCGTACTATGCTCGAACATATCGTGCGGTCGCCGCCGCACCCTCCGCGCGAGAGCGTCCAGACTCTGGCGATCTTTAAGCTCCTCCAGGACTTTGACGAAAAAACGCGTGTAACGTGTTGTATATACGAAGTGCCTGCCGGCTCTTTCGCATTCTGGTCGCCACACCTGTAGTACCATCGTCTTTGTGAACATTTGCTGCATCAGCTCATGCTTGGCGGCTGCCGCGCCAGTGACTTCATCAGAAACCCTGCCATTGATGACGGGACCAGCCGCCTCATAGACAATGTGCGCAGTTCGAGCAATGATCCTGTGGTGCCAGTTGGACTTGTCGGCGGTGCGGAGATTCTTGATGATAGCCAGCACATGAGCTTGCCAAGCACCGAATTCTTGTGGAAACGTGACGAGGCGAGCATAGGGCGTATGCTGCAATGCTTCCCTGGCCTGCTCGAGACTGAGCTCACCCCTGCTTACAAGCTTGTGGACAAGGCTGACGAGCTTATAATGTGGCTCTAAGGTAGGCTCTCGCCTCTCGCGGCTGTCTTTCTTGTCCGGAAGTAGCTCGATGGCGCGAACGAAGGGCTCTAACACTTGCTGTGCGGTAGGTGCCTCGTTGTGCAGCCTGACATGATCCGGTGCAGTGTGCATCTTCCATAAGATCTTCCCAAGCATGTAGCGCAGAGTCCAGCTCTGAGGCCTGTGTGCAATGGCACGGTTAATGAATGTCTTCGCTAGCTTCCAAGCCATGTATACGCGCAACGGTGCGAACGGTTTGCCTTTATCGAGACCTGTTGGGTGGCTCAGAAATTTCTCAGCGTCGTCTACAGCGAAGGGTAGCATGCTGAACGGTTCCCGTGACGAGCTGTAGAGCCTAAATGCAAACTCTGTATACAGCTCCGTGGCCTTGTCCAGCGTTTCCGGCGCATCGTCGGAAGAGCGATGCAGTAATGCTGTGGCCATTGTGTAGCAGTGGATAGCCGCCCGCTGTAGCTGTACGATCTCTGGCATGTTATTGTTCAGCTTCTCCGCAGACCAGACCACAGATTCTTCGATCTTCGTATCATAAGCCTGAGCCAGCCGTAGCCAAGTTTCCCAGCTCTCCGTACTGTATTCCAGTTCCTGCATGAAGAGAGCTATAGCAATGTCTACATCATCAGTAGGGACCGGTGTGGTGCGCTTTTGCGAACGGAACTTGGTAAGCGCCATGTAGCCCATCAAGAAATACCATCCCCTATCGGCTAATGGAGCGTCTGACCTTGGACATGGCGACACAGAGAGCACATTGCCGGCGCCTCTAAGGCAGTTGTACAAATCGACCGGGTTGATCGGCGAGCGTATGAACGTACGGTAAACCTCCCTGTTCCGCATAATAGCGTCACTTGGTTTCTTCCGCGGGACGACTGCATGTACCCTTTCGAAGGCATCCTTCAGCGGATGCTTGATGAGGTCTCTGATTGATAGCTTGGCCGCCTGTATCAGACATAAATCCACGGCATGCCATGCAACGCCCCGCTCAAGCAGAGGGTAGGCGTCGCGCTGGCAATGGTGCTCTATCAGCTCGTACGAAGGGTCGAGGAAGCAGTTGAGGCCGTACAGATCATAGAACACCTGGGCCTGTTCGCTTTCGTACCCTTCGACGTGCTTCATATGAACGAACTCATCCTTGAGCATACGGACAAACATTTTGTTCGCGCCGCCGCAAAAGCCGCGTATTCCCAGGTTACGATGCACGCAGCGAAGAAAGTCGAACTTGTCTACCTCCAAGGCGGGATAAAGGTCGCTGTTCTGGTAGATAGCTTCTCTAAGCAAGGCATACAGGATCATCCATATATTGATCTGCATTTCGTGAACCATGTCCGTCGCAGTGGCGAACGCAGGGATAGGCTGTCCATTCGCCATTGTCGGAGGCTGAGACTGTCCGACCCGCAGAGAGTCCTCGAAGACATTGAACACTTGCAACAGCTGAAGAGTGCCGCCTAAAGTTGTTATGGCAGACCGTAGGGCGGCATCGTCAATGCACTCAAGCGCGTCATCCGAAGCAAGTATGAACCCTGCAGTTTTCGAGACCATGCTATTCAGCATACGGAGGATGCGAAGCACCATCGTTTGCCGTTCACGCTGCGGCAGCTCGACCGTTGTTTGCGAACCCAGTTCGCGGAGGACGAGGGCCATGATGTGGAAGTAGCATGATACTACCATCGGTATGTGCTCGATTTTCTCGTAAGCGTCGCGTAGTCGAAGCCACAGCATTAGTCTGACTGCTAGCTTACTGTTCTGTAGAAAGCTGATAAGATCTGGAGACACTCGTGCTAATGCAGCAGTGTCTGCTTCATCTTCTAATTCCGACGCCGGCTGACCTTCGAGTGCGAGAAGCAGAGGCTCTAGGCCCTCTATGACCGCTACCGGATCACTGGCATCCTGGCTTGTCACCTTTAGAAAGAAGTCTTTAGTTGTCAGCTTTGACAGCTCTTGGTCGAGGGCAGTGACAGACAGCTCGGACATGACAGCGTTATTCTGCAACAAAATGATTGGCTCGCCTGCACATACGAACTCGGCTCTCAGATCGTGCAAGCATTGTATTACATGGTTTTCGGGTATGGTAGCATCGGCAGCAACGGCGAAGGCTGCTGTCCACAGGAAGCGTAGGAAGAGCTCGTCCCTATGATCGTTTCGCGCCGAAGAATTTGCGCGGAAGTACATCGCTTCTCGTGCAATGTCCGACCATCTTCCAAGCCTATGGGCTTGCGCTTCAACTGTGTCAGTCGCCACTCCACTGTCTGGCTGCTTGATCAGAGTGTAGATGTCGAGATGTAGCTCAAAGATGGTCTGCACTGTTACGGCCGTAGAGTGTATCTCATCGTCATGCATACTGGAAGCGCCTGTAGTTCGCTCCAGATTTGTCCGAAGGCTCTCATAGATGGAATCATCGAAGTTGACCAGTGTACGAACGACGTTGGTCTTTAGGTCGCCGGGCCATGTATAGTCAGTATAGGTGTTCGCTTGTACGTTGCCCATATGATTCGGCTGTAGTAAGTGAAGTAGCCAGTCGTAGGCGATGTCTTGTAAAGAGCACCATCCACTATCCACGCTGACAAGGAAGCGAACAAGCCCATCGTTCGGCAATGGTATAGTCCGGTTGACACTTTTGGAAGTGCTCGTATTGCCGAAGGAGGGTCCCATGCCAATGGCACCGCCAAGGCTTCCCACGTCAAAATCCTCGCCTTTCTGGAGAAGGACATATGCCATTTGTTCGCTGAAAGTGTTGAGGAATGACAGGATGTCAGCTTTGGCGGCAGGGAATGCGTCACTTACGGACTCATTGTCATCGCTGGTACTCGCGGCTTCGGTTACGCTACAGAGCTCTTGCCGGACTTCTTTCGCCTTCTCGAAACCAACAACACCGATGCGTTCGAAGAGGTTGCTGACTGTCTCAAACATCCACTCGTCAGCAGCCTGAAACTCGTTGATCTGCTGATCGTACTCCCATTGCTGGTTAGCTTCGAGCTGGGCTTGCTTGGACGGTCGGCTATCTATCGGCTCTGTAGCATTGGATTCTCGAGCACGCGTACGCCTAGTCTTGGTGCGGGCATCTTCCGGTCCGTCTTGGAGGCCCGAAGCATCTGCTGAGCGCTTTCGAGTCGCAACAGTCATCTCTGGAGATGCAGTGGGTGCACCGTGAGTGTTAATGAACATCTTGCCGCGGACATGCATACTGGCATCTGCAGCTGCTATCTGCGGCTGAACAGTCGGCCTGCCAGCGTCCAAACCAGGAAACTGTTCGCTTATGGACGTCGGCCACGACATTGGCTCAACATCCGCGCGGGTTACGATGTCGATCTGCATCGCTTCCGGCGTAGCGTGGATGCGGTATGGTATATCGTTACTCGTGTCAAAGGCAATAGCTGGTGCAGGGGCGTTAATGCTTGTACCATGCTGTTCAGCCATGAGCTGCTTGAGGAGCGCGTCTCCAACTTCTGCCCAAGTGGTAGGCGCTTTCAACACAATCCGCTGAGGTTGACCGACACCCTTGCCGGGCATCTGCTCATGCTGTAATAAGGTCGTTTCGAAGCGAGTAATTTCCGTGAACACGCTTAATCGATGTCTCAACGCCTTCGCTAGACCCTTCCGCTTTCTTTTTGTCAGCGGAGTCTGGACCAACGAGAGTACGTCATCCAGCTGTACAATCAGTGCTTGCAGCTGTTCGATCACCATCCCTTCTTCGAGTCCAGGTAATGATAGGACACCAGTCAGACCTTCATCGTCGCCTTCGAGCACAGCTTCTAAGCAAAAGCGCGCCACCCGCTTGCTGTCTAGGATGCTGCCAACAGTTGCGGTCTTGCGCCACAAATCCAGATCGGAATCATCTTTATCGAGTGCCTGCACAAAGTGGTCGAGCGCCGCAGAAGCCTCGCCCAAAATCTCACGCAGCGTGACATGCAGAGTGTCTAACCTGACAGTCAGGTACTCCAGCCGAAATTGTGCGTAGTTCTTATGGCTCAAGTGCAGAATCTGCGGTAGCGTGCTGGAACCAGCGTCCAGCCCGCCGTTTGCCACAAGCTGGCCAGTTTGCAAGCTAACATGCTCGAATGGGTTGCCATCAGTCTGCGGCCCATATAAATCGATACGCTGAAGCTCCGTTTGTGACTCTGGATACCGGAAGATCTCGCTCTCGAAGAGCTCGCGGTAGGCTTTTGCAGCCTTTTCGTACGATGCAGGTCCTTCGGCATGATACTGGACAGCAATTTGGTACAACTTCAATGCATCCTCAATTTGAAGTTCCTTCGTGTCATCAATATCGATGTCAGATTCGGAGTCTGACTCAAGATTGAGCGCCTTCCAGCCCGACATGGTAGGGTAGTCTTGTTGTTTCAGTGTAGGATGATGGGACACGAAAGCTGAAACTTCACGCCTGTTCGAGAAGCCATAAGACAAGCTACCACTGTGATCGAGCAAGCCTGACAGTGATCAACCTTCGCATGTGTAGACACTTGAGGGACAACCTTGACTGTTCACATGTAACGAAGTGTCGCGTGCGGAAGACGCGCGCGAGCTACTGCCCAAATGAGAAAGGCCCGTGCTTTAACAGTTATCTGGCCAACGGTAACGCCTCGTCCCAATGCGCCAGCTGGAGAACCAGGGCAAATAGTTAGGAAGTCACCTCGTAACTGGCATTGCCATCCTGATAAACCTCAGTGTCGCAGATTGTTTGGACTTCCTCCACAGTCGTCAGCTGTTCCTTCTTGGCCCTCTAAGAGGATTGGAACTCGACGTTCCAACGCAGCATGGTGCATACCGCCGTGCCCGAGTAAGCCTGACCTAATGTCGTAAACAGCGTGGGGACTGAGACCAGACTGCTAGACTGTACGAAGACGATGCGCATTCCGTAGTCGAGATACGAACAGACAGCCTCTCCTCCCTTCGCGAACTCGGTCCGCCCGACCTTGTCCACATTGTCAAGCAACCCGTGAAGAGCTCAGCGAAGCAGGTACGGCATTCGGGAGTCAATGGCGCGGGTCTTGGTATAGTTGTCGGTATACCAGCTGAGCACAGTCGCAGATTGGTATATATCATCATGTCACTGGCATCGATGCCTCATCCTCGGCAAGCCTCGCGGCATACATAAACACCCTAACCCACCAGCCGCACGACAAGCAAAACAAGGTCATATCAGGCCTTTACTGGTACCTAACGCTCTGCGCTACCTTGGTGTAAGCTTGGCTGACCATGGCAGCTGCTACAATGCCTTTTCGCGAGTGGACATGCGTGTTCAGGTGCAGATCCCAGGCACTGTGGAAAGCTACTGTGTCGACGAACGGGGCAACAAGCTCGAAGCCACAGAGGAGCATTGGCTGGAGACATACCTCTGTAGTGTGTTGAGGGCGTACTCGTACGCGGACAATGGTTCCGGAGACTCCATCAAGCGAATAATAGGCGTAAGACGGTTCAATCCCGTAACGAGCACGGAGCAGGAGCACAAGTTCTTGGATGCGGCAGAGAAGCTCTTCTTTAGCGGTAAGCTACGCAGTGGCAAGTTGTGAGTGGCATGTGCTCACGTAGCACAGGCTGGCAATTGGGCTCAGACCCAGAGATACAAGTACCCAACCTTGTCGCGAACCACCTGACTTCTGGACTATTGCACTATATCAGAACGAGCGGACGTTTCACATCGGGTATCAATCTCTTCGAGAAGCTACGGACACGTGACCCGGAGATATCGTCGCTGCTCGCGAAGGTATACATCATGGGCGATGAGGAGGTCAAGGCTATCCAGTTGCTGCATGAAGCGATTGAAGAACTGCCGATGGACTACTCGTTACTGGACTGCCAAGCGGAGTTCTGCATCAAAAAGGGAAGAGGTGATCTGGCGCTTGAGATTGCGAAGCGAGGAGTAGTCTCAGCACCGAGCGAGTTTGGCACCTGGGCGCGGTTAGCGGAGATCTATGTTGCGTTGGAGCAATGGGATCATGCATTACTTACCCTCAACTCATGTCCCATGTTCACATACCAAGATAAGGATGCGCCGAGGCTACCGGAGCCTGCGAGGGTGTCTTTGCCACTTGCACCGGAGACCATTTGTGACGAGATCGACGATGCAGGAGCGGCGCCGGAAGTCGACATGGTGCATCCAACCTTACGGCGACTGGCTGCTGGTAACTACAAAGGCACTTTCCACAAGGCGTACATGCTCCTAACCGAGATCACGAAGAAGATCGGATGGGATCAACTCCTGAAGATCCGAAGTCAGGTATTTGTGATGGAGGAAGAGTATCGCAACGAAAAGCAGCATCAGCCTGGCGATCGCAGTAGGAATGCAAGCACCGTTGCCTTGAGAGGAACGGACACGCCACAGCCGAACGGTCACGGCGAGCCAGAGGTCCACGAACCGCCTTCATCCGCAGACTCTGACGGCCCGCCGCAAGCGAACGGCGAGCCTCAAGCAGCAGCATCACATCTCGATCCCGACGTCTCCAAACCATCACAATCCGTCACGGTCCGTGCAACGGAATCTTCCACACCCGAGCCTCCTCATCCGCCAGCACCCCACGCCAACTCCTCGTCTTCTGCCACGAACAACACTGAACAAGACTATACTCAGTTTCATCACAAGCGGCTCTGCGAGCGCTGGCTCGACAACCTCTTCATGGTTCTATACGAAGACCTGCGCATTTACACCATCTGGCGGACGGAGGCGGCACAGTATCGGCAACAACAACTGGCGTACAAGAAATCCGCGGAGGAGTGGGAGATCCTGGGTGAGCTTGCTGAGCGATTGCACAGAGATGATGAAGCGACTGAAGCCTGGAGCAATTGCTTGGGAATGCGTTTCAGTCCCAAAGCGATGAGGGGCATGCTGGCCGCTTTTGAGAGCAAACGCGACGGAAGGAGTGTACTAGACAGTCTTATTCGGTTGGTGGCGTGGCAGTATCGGTGGTATTCTGAGGTGAGCAGCACGCTTTCGTGTTGCGGCCATGATCGTTGCGCTAACGAGCTTCCAGTTCTCACCCGATCTGCTCTTCACCACGCGGAAACTCATCGAGCAAGAGGGCGCGGTCAAGGTGCGAAGTATCATACAAGCTACATCGTTGCCGCAGCATATACTGGACCTTACCCATCAGTACGCTGGGCTTTGCGCAGCGTTCAGTAGTAGCGGGACCGACGGATGACCGGGGGGGGGCAATACTATAGCACTTCGGCCGGATTTGTATCCGAAGGAGGTGTTCGGCGAAACTGGAGCTGCAGCGATGCTTGCACGCGGAGGAAGAGCGACAGGAAGCTTTGTCGGATGAATGGCAATTTGACCCTGTGGCATTTGCGCCCTGTGAGTGGCATGTACTAGAATAACGTGTTAGCTGAATACCCTTTGCGCAGGCATCATCTTGCCGTGTTTGGCAATACCTAAGCGGTCAAACTCCCGTACGCATTCACATTATCTTCAACACGCTAAACGCGCTAGCATCGCCTTGGGTTGCGACGTGAAGATCTCGACTCGACTCGCATCGGAAACGGAAGTTGCGACTGCTTTACGCTCCTTCCGGTTCAGCTACGCACCGTTTGCCACCCAGCCACTTAATATTCATTGACTACTTCTGTTCTGAGCATCGTGGCAGTCTCATGAGTTTCGCAGTCCAAGCCGTGTGGCAAGGTTAACTCTATGAAGCGCAGCGCATCACCATCACCACTAGGAGGAGAAGAGCGGTCATCCGCCAAGCGGGCGTCGATGGCGGCCACTACGACAGCGACGTCCATGGCGGCTACGCCAATACCGATACCCAACATCATTGAGATTTTGCCCGCTCATTCCACTGGAATCAGCCATTTTGAAGGGTTGGTCCATGTGACCAGCGTCGCTGGCACGAGGGATGTTACACTCCAAGTGTCCATGTCCATGCTGGCAATCGCCTCATCAGTGCTGCGCGTGCGCTTCGACCAGTCAAAGACCAGTCCACGCAGCGTCTTACTGCTTGACGAGGATGGAGATACAGTCTACCTCCTCGTCAACATCATCCATCTCCGCAATGACAAATTACCGGCACGCCTCGCCGCGGACGCATTATGCAAGCTGGCAAATCTAGCGCATGCGCTACGCTGTGTCGAAGCGGTCAAGCGCGCCTCCACGGGCTGGTTCGACTGGTTGTACACTATGGCGAGAGCCGGAACGATGCAGATCGACACGTGGCGGATGATACACGCAGCGTACACTCTCGACGAGCCAGTCTTCTTTGCGCGGTTCACGGAGAAATTGGTCAAGGAGGAGCAGCTGCTAGGCAACCCAATCGGTACCGGCCTTAAGCTTGAAGATATGATTATGGAAAAGCTCGCCGGTATGTCCATCGCTTCCTGCCGGTACACCACCGCTGACGGCCACAGGCGAACTGCAGAATCGCCGGCTAGCACATCTGCAAGCTCTTCGCGCCGACTTCGACATCATTATCGAACCTTGCTCCATCGCTTTATCAAAGGAAGGTCGCCACCATTACAATTATGCACCCGGCATGGAGCCGGACGAGCCTTGCGGCCTTTGCCATGTGGACGACCAAGGCGCCACTCTCTACCTCGGCACGCTGCGTGACGAAGGCATCTGGCCGCCTACTGTTTGGAAGAACAGTCTAGGCGAAGTGATTGACAAGCTGCTAGCTTTCCGCATCCCGGACTATGACGACTGCGACAAGTGCGATTTCTGCGCTCACATCAAGACGAAGTTTGCCGTGGCGGTGGGAATGGTGAAGAAGCTGCATCAGCAGAGGCTGTGGGGCATGTGTTTGGACTGCTTCAAGGCTGATGGGAGGTTTGAGGGCGACTGCAGGGTGGAGCACATAAAGGCTAGAGCTGTTTGACGGAGTGCTCGCGCGCATTAGGCGATTCGGCGGATGTCGTTGTGCTCATGCCCTCTCACAGCAGCTTGCAGTGTGGCTTGCAGCTGCTAGAGCAGACAGCCAACAGCTGCCGGCAGAGTGTGAAAAAGGAATGATCTGAAACCTACAACAACCCTCAGATCCGGGTTACAACAACATATAGGAGCGGGCGAAGCTGCCGAAGAAGCTCATTCCATCACTGTTCAGATTTCGAAGGCTCGTCGTGCCGTTTTGAAGGTGGTAAAGGCCAAGCATCTTTGGATCGACCTAGCAACACAATCTGTGGCGGCACACCCCGACTATCGCCGGCTTGAGGAATAGCTACCACATCCGTTTGCGAGTTAAGTGGTGCACCGCAACAGTCTTCAACTGGCCGTGGCCTACATACATCGGCGTCCATGTCGCTTCTTCGCCTCTACATCAAATGGCTACGGACCAACCTACACCGTGGCAGACAGTAACTGCACGATACGCTTACCCAAGGCCCAACTTTCCAATATGCGAGCGAATACCAGTACTTGGCGGTGACACCTGGAAACGGTTTCAGGAACCTCGTGCACACCGGTCGGCTCAGCCTTGCTGCAAAGCGGGTTACCGACAAAGAGCTGACATCACGATGAATTCCAATCGCAACGATTGCACGGCTCCATAGCGACCATGGAGTTCAAAAGCAAACATCTGCCCATACATGAAGCTAGGTGTAGCCGAAGCTGGACAACGGTATAAAGGCATCTTCATCTGCACATCCAAGTCATATCGTCGTCAATGAAGAGCTTTAGACGCCTCTGCGAAAAACCATGACAGGACATCGATCCTAGGTTGCCAACCAACGGAGAACTTCAACTTGGGCTTCCAATGTTTTGATCAGTGCAGCGTTACTAATTGCTACAAGGACACATACAAAGGTTCATCATACTGTTCTGCCCGTAAGTCTTGCTTCACTTGGCCGTCCTTCCTTGTACCATTCCGACTGCTAAAACCGGTATGCATGTGGTCCAAAAGACGTTTGTTCAGCCAGCGGCTGCCCTAATAGGACGGAGAGGAACGATTCTAGGTACAGTCGCAAGCGTGAATCTGTCTCAAATTCCATCGTACAGAGAGCGGATCAAACCTTCCTGAAGACAGTGAGTGATGCTACGGAAACGGTGCAACAGGATACGCTCAGCCGATGCAACTCTGTGTGTGCCACGTTAGTGACGGTATTAAGCCATTGGAGATAGTAAAGTGCAATCAGGTGGACGAATAACGATAATCTTTCGGGTCTCAACCTTGGTCTGCCTCGTAGTACCTAGACACGATCAACTTCTGTTATGCGCCTAATTCGAGAAAGTCTGCAACCTACTGCAAGCCTTATGCCTCGATAATCCGTCGAAGACATTTTTCGTGGGAAATCATAGCCATCAATACCAGACAAAGATTGATTGTAGAATTGTCAAGAAGCCAATTACAGCTCAGCGGCTTGATGTTCCGACCGATACTTGCCACGTAAGGTACAATGAGGATAGAGGTGAGCTGTATATGCAAAGGTAATCCATTCTCGCCGAATGACCCCTATCAAACGACGAACATCTCTCAACCAGGTTAGGAGGCATGGTCTGGTATCAGGTCATCGTTCACACTTCACACCACGGCCGTGGCGTCCGTTTCCAGATGGTGCGATCGGAGTGCCTAGATTCTGTGAAGAAGCCGTACAACTGTGAGGCAGCAATCAGCCACGTTGAGGTTGCACAATTCGAAATTTACGGACGATGGCTGCCGCCAAAGGTACTGCGACCCAAGTCGTATAGCCCATCCGCCGGACCACCAGACCAGCGGAAGACGCGGCGCTTCGAACAATTCCAGTAGGTAAGGGGCTCTGAAGGGTACCAACAGGCAACGGTCCGCTGCAGTTCATCAGAACTCCGTCATTCGTGCAATGTGGCGGGACATCCTCGAAAGCCGACCGTGAATCACCCATTACGTCGGTCAGTTTCGGCGCCGCAGTTGTCGTGCTCGCTGCAACCGGTTGGGGTATCGTCACTGCGTAGTCCGGCGGTTGACTAGCTCCGACATAGTTTGCGAAGAGCGCCATCAATGCGTCCGCTCGTGCCATCTTGTCGGTAAGCATGTAAGCTACCGTCACCAGCCAGAATGCTCTCAAGACCGGAGACATACCCAGATTAGCTCCACCGCCAGTAGACTCCCAGCCGTACCGGACTTTGCAGTCCTCACCGACGCTGCTGTTCGGGCACAGCTCCTTCAACACGTTTCTAGTAGTCGCTTAAGCTATCTTTGCAATGTGTCCGGGCGCGTAGTCGGCCCATACATACTTCGCCAGGAGTGGCATTGCTGCCAATGGCTGAAGTCCCGTTAAGTGGAGTCCTCGTAAGTAAAGCATTGTCGTTATCGTCAGCGTAGTATCGACGTTAAGGCACCATCAATGAAGTGCCAGAGCTGCAAAGATGCGGGTCTGCCAAAATCTGACCGCCGAAGAAAAGTATGACAAGAGCGGCTGACCATACTATAGCTCTCAAGCCTGATGCTTTGACTGTTGCAGAAGCCCCGGACGTAGCGGACCGAGCTGGTGGTTGCGTAGGCGAGGCTGCAGCCTGGGAATGGGTGGCATTCATAGAAGTTGTCGAATCAACCATGACCATAGCCGATGAGGTCGCCGATTGGGCCAACGAGGTCGTAGTCTGCGTACTGGGTGTCTCCAACGACGTCGAAATCACCACGACAGTTGCCGAAGTGGACGCTGACTGGTTGACCGAGACCGTAGACTGTACAACCACGCTCGGCGCGCCGCACAACACTACCGCGTTGCCGTTAAAGCAGAGCGCGGAAGTCACGACGGCGTTGGAGACGGTAGATGTCAAGACTTTGGCAAGAGTGATCACCGATATTGGCGTGGCGTGTGCGATGCTGGCGGTATCGTCGGCGTATGCACCCCGCCTCTGGTTAGGCGGGTAGTCGGCTTGAGCCAAGCCTGTAGAGAGCAAAAGGAGCAGTGGTATACTCATGTATTTACCAGTGATCATTGCGAGGACCGTGGTCAGAGTAGCGAGGCCTGGGTTTGAGCTGTCAAGCTTTGCGGATCGAGTGACTGTATGTGCGCCAGAGCTTGTGGGTTGGGTTGGAAAACTCAGACCCCAGAGGAAGAACGACGTCCCAATGCGGGTCTTCTCGTAAGATGATGTTGATGCGCTTACGGTTATCCGGTCTGGTACAACAGGCGATGCCATCGTCGTGATGGTACTAGGTGCCGTCGTGATAATGGAAGTAGTGTTGTATAGCATCATGCGTGACGACGACGGCGAGGCGATAGATGCAGGCGTAATCGACAGAAACATGTCTGCTCCGACTGCAGACCCGAAGGTGCTCAGAAGAAGGCTCGATGTTGAGAGCTGGAGAGTCCTCATGGCTCGTAGAACAATCTCGGTGCTTCTTGTGAGGTCGAGGTTGATTGGCTGATTTGGTTGAGATTGTGCTGGCGGGATTCTGCAGCTGCTAATGCCTGACTGTGAGACGGAGTGGGATGCAGGAATTGAAAAGCAGAAGTATACTAGTAGCAAGAAGAACAAGCTATGGTGTGGATTACGAATGTTCTGTGGTCTTACAGCATGCTCGACAGTCACCGGGAGGATATGGGGATCATGGTGAAGGCAGCCTGCTCTAGTCATTACAACTGCCCAAGCACAATACAAACGCACCTTAGCAGAGACGCCATTATCGAGCCTTCGCCTTGGCACCCACCCACCTGCTGCCCTTAACTGGCAGGTCGCGTCGCACAAGCTCCTCTTCAATGACTTTCCATCTGCCAAGCTCCTTCTCCTTGTGAATGGGTGTGCGCCGGTTAGAGTAGACAGCTACATTGGGAGCTATCACCTTCAGGCGCTGAATTTGCGGTGACTGAAAGAGCTTGGCTGGCTTGTCTTTGGTGCGAAGATGGTTGTAGAGGTCAGCGATCGTGGTGGAGGTGCTGATCACCGGGTCCGGGATGCGTTTACCGGTCAGCTGGAGGATGCGTTTGTAGAGCTGCAGTCACTGTTAGTAAGTCTCATAACGAGGTGGTGGCGAGCTGTGCGTACCGCCATCTTGATATTGGCATCCTTCAGTGGCGCCTCCATCCATCCTCGAGCAGGTGAAACATTGCGAGTCGCGTCAAGCGCTCCGTTCCCCGCAGACGACGCGCTCTCGGCTACGGCACCTTCCAGTTCACTCATCAATGCCCTTTCATCCTGCAGCTGCGACTCAGACAACGACTTCGGGATTGCAAGGAGTAGTCGCTCTTCGGCAAGTGGATCCGCAAATATGACTTTGATGCCATCGCTCTTGCTGCCGGTCTCGATTGTACCACTCCTCGTGTATAACCAGCTGTAGGAGTTTGGGTCTTCTAAGCCTTGACGAGGGTAGCAGACTTGGCCAACCGGTCTCCCAGCCTTCTGCAGCACTAACAGTTCGACCGTGATGTGATGAAGCAGCATCATCCATTGGCTACTGCCGAGCTCTATGCGCTTCTTCGGCACAAACCCAACATACTGCTCCCCCTTGTCCGCTCTAGCCCTGACCCATTGCTCGCTTCCCACCGTCTCCAGTCCATCTAACGAAGTCGCCTGCACATACTGCCGTTCACGAGCTGCTTCTACCACTGCAGCAACCTCATACGTCTGACCATCCGGACCGACCTTGGTCCGTTGCTCGTCATCATAGATTGTAGGAGATGCACCCTCCACCTCACGTCCCCTCTCCTTCTTTTCTTGCGCTTCCCTTCTATCACGGGAGGCTTTAGTGCCGAAGAGCGTGTCCTGCATTCGCTTGAAGAAGGAGACACCTTCAGCAGATTGCGCGTGTGTCGTGGAGAATGCACGGATTGCTTGAGCACGGCAAGCCTTGCAGACGTAAGACTGCCTTGAGAGTGACGATGCAAGGCGCAGCGCCTGCTCAGTCGAACGTACACCACGTGCGGACGACATGATTCCAGGGGAGTGTAGTGGAGCGGATGCTAGTAGGTCTGGACGAAACGGCTACCATCGGAGGTGAACGTTCACTCCGCAGATTCAGGCATCAACCCCGTTCGCCTTAGGCAGAGACATTGGAATGCTGGATTGCGGAAGAGCCACCAACGTATTCACAAGTGGGACAAAAAGATGGTGGATTAGTGGGCAAATGCTACCTATGGCGACCCGCCGCACTCTCGGCGGCATTCCCTTTACCCGCTTTACCCTGCCTCCTCGTAGCTTCCATTGCAGCAATGGCAGTCACCACGATCTCATCGTATCGTTCTCGGCTGAAGTTGCCTCTCCGAAAGCTCAGTAAGTCCCCTTGGACCATAGCGATCGCCCGTTCGTGCTTGAACTTCGCCGTCTCGAGCGTCGCACTGCCCACTTTATCCGTCTTCCAGTATAGACGTTCCGCGCAGCTGCCGGTTACTGACGACTGAAAGCCCCATCTGCGGTGGTGTCCAAGGCTATAGCTTGACGATAACGTCAAGTCGCGGCCGTTTACTATGATATCGATGCTGTTCGCCGTGAGATGGTGGAACTTTATTCGACCGGCGACTGTTCCATCTGCAGTTCGGACCATCTTAGCTATGTGTAGACTCGAAAGGAAAGACGGCGCATGATGGGCCTCGCGCTTGATCGTGAATAAAGTGAAGCCTGTATCGCAACTGTATACTTCGTCCTTGCTGATGTGGACAGATGCGATTGGCTTTGCTCCGGAGAAGGCTTCGCTTTGTCTTAGAGTTAGGCTTTGCGGGTTCGAGTGCGGTGGTAGTGCATCAGGCTCGATTGACAACTCGGAAACTGGTGTCGACGGGATGTCGATGGATTGTGGGCTTGAACCGGACTGTGAACTGCGCTGTGAATTTGGAGGTGATCCGTAAAGTGTTGACTGCGAAGGAGTGTCTGATTGTATCGCAAGCTTGTAAGAATCGTAGCAGTCTTGATATGGTATGTATGCAGATGGTGCGATTGAGATTGCGGATCTAGGTTGTTGCTGTAAGGTGGGAGGTGGCATATAGTAACCCGTATAGAGCTCGGGTGTCTGATGTGTTCCGTAAGGTTCGGTTTGGCTATCGGCAATACATGGCTCCCATGGTTGGCGGTAGGCTTGGCGAGGTGGCTCCCATGAGCGTTGATGAGTATCACGATGTGATTGTGCAAATGTAACCGCCATGCTGAGGTCAGCAGCTGCGCTTTGCTGTGCGAGCGACTGGTTACACCGGAGGCGAAGTGGTGGAAGAAGGAAAACACGGAAATGGATACTCTACCGTCTTGACATCGATGCCTGTCACTGCTTAGAGGTGCATGACGAAGGGACAGTATACACTCAGCCTCGTGCGGTGCAACAGCTAACCATTTCCGTTCGTAACATGGTGCTTCTTAAAGTTGCAGGCGGTCCCACGGAAGATCATGGAGCTTGATGATCATCAACACGAGCGATGATCATCAGTTGGACGACGGGAAGCAAAAGTTGGGGCGGCAGCAAGCCTTGGATATCAACACTTGCTGAGGAGGAAACTGGTTTTTGTGTGTTCGGCCTACGATAACACGTGGAGCACACAGGCTGAGGTGAACCATCTGTCGGCCGTCCGACTTGAACTCTTCGGAAGGAGATGTGCGAGCATCCAGTCGATCCAGAATAGAAGGCATATTGGCAACCCTCCATGTGCGGGAAAGCAACGTGAAACGCAGGTTTGCGGCTTGTTGGCGCGGGATTCAACGCACGAGTGCTGATCGCTGAGAATCCTTCGAACGTGTGATAAGAGTCGACCTACACGCATACGACGCCCATATTGACATTCACTTGTGAAGAGCAGTCATTTAGGTCATGGCTGGTCGGCAGTGCCGAGTAATAGTTTGCCCTTCAGCCCGTTCCTGAAAGGTACTGAACTTTGTCGATGGTGGGATGCAGCAGTGTGGTGAAGAGTAATGTCCTGAGGCACCTTGCATTCGAGAGCTTACTGTGAGAGCTTGCCTGCGCCGGCACCGCAACAGCTCGAAGGGCGTAATTGCCGGCTCAAAAATATCTTTGATATGTTTTCAACACAACAAATACATTACCGTTAAGGGCGTGTGGCTCAGTGGTAGAGCGTCCGCTTTGCATCAGCTCATTGTTGCGTGTCTGCGGAAGGCCCTGGTTTCGATCACCAGCCCGTCCATATTTTTGCGTTTTGTTGCTTCCAGTTTCCACCAACACCACCACCCTGTTGATTGTGATCTTGCAAGGGATCCCGCGGGTGAAGCGACGCGCTTTCCGAGGAATGCAGCAAATCCGTGCTCACTGTAAAACTCCGATGGAGTTCTGCTTCGTATTGCCGGGCCAAAATATGGAGTTTGGTTTTGGTGACATGGGGAATAGAAGACACCAAAAGAAGTTGTTGTCTGACTGTACATTTATATGTTTGCAACACTTCGGAGAGTATATTCACATTCTGTTGCGGAAGCTCCTTCAACAACCCTCCTCGAGCGGCCGAATTCGCTTGGAACACAATGGTAAGTAATTACCGATGGAGGATGACCAGCTTGGGTGCTTAGCGCCATCAGCGGTCATTGTCGGTACCGGCAATATCGATATAGCCGCATCTTATGGACTACTCGTTACGCTGGAGTAGCCGTGTGATTGAACCAGCAGGAAGCCCATCGAACACAACGTTCTACCGCATATTGTTAACACCAACCGCGGTATGAACCGACGTTACTCTAGCGATCAGATTCTACTAGAACCCCGGCCCGTCACCAGAAAGGAAACAGAACCGAAGCGTGAGTGGACAATAGTACCAGCCACGGTCTTTCGAGACCGGCCTAGCTCTCCTGTGTCTCTGCCGCGGTAGTCGTTGCAAGTTACCAATCCGCTACAAGCAACTGCTCTGCGTTGTCGTTAAGGCTGTGCGACGGTTTGTCAACATTCTTGCGCCCAACTACGATCCAGTCCTTTACGATAGCCGATCCCTCAAACAGCCAGTCCTGCTCCTCCTCACTACACTTCTCTGTGTCCCAGATATAGCACTCTCTTGGTGTCGTCGGTAACAAATCGCTTCGCATCCACCAAGTATTGTCCAGGCCTGCAGTGGCGTGCTGCTCACCTCTCGCAGCAACTGCCTGGATGTCAACGGTGCCCGTTGCAATGTCTTTGCCTGTTAAAGCGCGCATGAAGATCGTATACGCCGTCTCTGGCTGGTACGACGGAACAAGGTGACCGGCTTGGTACACTCGCGTGAACGATAGGTTACCGTACTGCCTAGTCAAACCACCCGAATGCACCGGCGAAATCACCAAGGGAGTATAGCCCGCAGTTGCAAATTCCTTCTGCGAAGCCCACGGAATCTTCAACGAAGTGGCTTCGCCCTGAACCCAATTACAAGCGTAGTCACGATCTCCATACAGCAATGCAACTTTCACGCCGTGGTCGAGGATGTACGCGATGTCGTCGACAAAGCCTCTCTTCGCATGGTCTCCGGTCATGGCGAAGGCTTGATACACGGCTGACGATGCAAAGGTGAAGTTGACAGGCACACCAAGTGCCTTCTGCACCCAATGCTGATTCAGGAAGCCCATATTATACAAGGGCGGGAAGGGATCGGCCGCGGGATGTGTGATGTCGAACCAGCCCGCCTTTCGTCTCGAAATGTAGATGTCTGAAGTGGCATTCTGGCCAGCACCCATTGCAGCCAGACAATACTTGTCGACCTCATCAATATCTCCGTATCCGTGCCGATCAAGCTCCCGCTGCTTGCGCCGGCAGGCTTTTATGCGGTCAACGATACCGTCTTCGCGTGTCAGCTCGTACATCGAGCGATAGTACTCGGCATCAGTGAAAACCTTGATGCCGTATGTGTTGTTCACGGCGAAAGTAGCGTGACTCCAGACTTGTTCGATCATATCAATGCAGCCATTGACTATTCCAAGAGTATTCATACGTAGATAGTGCACGCCGGGGCCTGTAAGCGTCCCATTCTCAATCAGTGCATTCTGGTGCATGAAGTACGAGACGAACGCTGGACCATAATGGCCTCCGTAAGACTCAGTAAACAAGCTGATTTGCTCGTCAGCAGGCTTGTAATACGGGAATTCCGTGAACCATGTTTGTGCGAAGTGCCAGATTGCAACGGCGGCATGGTGCGTGGAGTTAGCTGTGTACGTCGTGTTCATGCTGCCCGTGGTCCCGGTCATGAAGGTCAGGTTACCTTCAGGCACGTCGTCCAAGAACGAAGTTGGCTCATACTTCCAACCCTCGAAGCGCTCCCTCGTCAGGTGAGCGGTAACGTTGGTAAGCGTGTCGTAAGAGAAACCGACCTGGTTCGGCTGGTCAATATACAACATGTTGACTTCATTGTTCCAGCTCCACGGATTCAAATATGTCGAATTCGAGTCGTTTCCTACAAAGCAAGGCCCATTCTCGACTAATGCACCCATCAGACTGCTGCCTCCGGGTCCGCCATTAAGCCAAATGGTCAGTGGAGCATGGCTAGGATCTTTGCGGGCTTCGAAGAACCAGAAGAAGGTATTGATCGGGTAAAGATTGTGCTCATGGCTCTCATTAAGCGCGTTGGGTGGGAGATGGATGTAACCTGCGAAAGAACGGACCCCAGGCGTTGTCTCACATATGCCAGGTTCCTTGTATGAGATAATGATACCGTCGTGAAATTTGGACTTCAGAGTGGTGATCCCTTCAGGCTTTGGAGGAAAGCCAGCGGCTGCCACAGAGAAGAGCGTGAGCAGGTTCGTCAAGTAGAGCTTGGGTACCATGGTGCACGATGAGATGAAGAGATGTACACAATGGAAAAGGCACCCAAACCAGACTTACGAGGCAGAGGGAACGTTACTACTTAAAACCGCTAAACACACCGTTGTTGTTGGTGGAGAGAGGAGACTTAGGTTAGCCGCAGAAACCGAGCAGATAAGGAAGTATCACGGAGTTCGGCGTTCACAAGAGGCATGTGTTTGAACGGAAGGGAAGTGGGACAGATTTGCAGAGCACAGGTTCATGATCATGCTACGGAATCACAATGCTTCATACATAAACGTTGCCAGCTTCCCAGAGCAGCCTGTTATCCCTTGTCCCATCACATCATCCCATCGCGGCGGGATCGCGCCAAGCGCCAGCGTGCCAGCATGCTAACATTGTGTTCATGCGCAGGCTGGCCTGCAGCAAGCGGTGTTCCGTCTCCTCCGTAACCATATCCATGTTCGCAATACTCGCCCGTGGTTTCGGTCTCCGGCTGGGAGTAGCGGCTCGATGGAGCTGCGACACTGCTCGTCTAACCGCCAGCTGGCTAACGACTTAGCTAAGCCGTGATAGTCACTCTCCACCTTGAGTAGATATCTGATTCTGATATCATTGGTGCCGTATTCGAGCTGAGCAGCTTGTGCTCACGATCGAGCTGTGGCATGTGCTCTTCTTTGCATGGATACACTGCTCGGTTGTCGATGTTGGCGTCGATATTGACTGTTCGAATTGTTCTTTTGTATGCCATCCACAAATGGCCAATCAATGGTCGATCTGATCACACTGAAAAGCACGAGGAAGGTGACGACGGAGCCGAACCATAGGGATCTGCGCCGACAGCACGCTCAAAGCCGAAGCTCCTACGTGCGTCCACGTACTCGTCGATAGCGTCGACCTTCTCGCCGTTGAAGTGCAGCCGCATAACCGACGTCTTGTCCAGTGCACCTGTGCGGTTGATCTCTTGGAAGCGGACAGCGCAAACGTTCTCACGCTGCATGATGCCCATGATGCGTTGTTGACACATGATGGCAGTGCCGTACGCATTTTGTCTTGTCTCGAGAAGCTCGTCGAGCGTTGTGTTCGAGATCGGTGACCAACCGTGAGCGGCACGACCTTCTTCATTTAAGCCGACGAGCTGCTTCATTCGCATAATAGGCGAGTCCGCCAAGTCGTCAAGTGCTGGCATTCTCTCGGGGCTCAGGAAAGCGGAGTAGTTGACATGTTGGCGGCAAAGATCCGCAACACGCTCATCTTGCCTGAAGACGAGAGCTTGGACGAGCTCAATGGCGATATCGCGTTGTTGGATTTCGTCGATCATGTTTGTGTGATTCCTTGCTTTCCGATGTATGTTAGGTCAAGTCTTCTAAATAGTAAAGTCGCTGGTCTTGAAGAGGATCCTTAGGCCTTACGAGGGTAAGGGAAAGTCTTCCTTATAGTCAAACAGCAGACATGTCTCATGTCGGGCAGTCGGCGTCGCCAGACTTGCAGCCTCTCCTCAGTGGTGCAGGCACCGCGTAAGCCTGCCAAGCCTAAGGCAGTTCGAGGCGTGCTGGTAAGCGCCACGCATGCATGTCGATGCCCGATGAGGCCTAGCCAGGTGAGAAGGACTGCTGATCTCCAGTCTTGCCGCTCTGAAACATCGGCCAGCGGCAGCCGGGGCGTACGAAGACCGTCTCGCCGACTGTGGCCGCCTGCGTAAGTGGTCAGGTCCGAGGGGGCGCAGGAACGCCGCAGGCCTGCAATCATTCGGCTCCGGTTCGCTCACGATTGTTTTGCAGGGCAAGCGCTCTGATTGCGTGGCAGGGGAAGTTGCGTGTTTCGTCGTCGCAGTCTCAAGTAAGCTGACGGTAGCCAACGCCAGCCAGTCATTTCGCTCGACACCAGCTGTCGACCAGCCTCCAACACTTCGTTGAACAAAGCCACAACCGTTGCCGTGAAGCAGCGACAACAAGTCCGGAGTGGCCTCGCCTCCCACGGCGACGGCGACAGAGTGACGCCAAGGTGGAGGCTGCGCAACGCCTTCTCGTGGGGTAACAGTTGCCAAGTGACGCAGGTGCAGACACCGCGCAACTTCGGCGCCAGCTGGAGAGACATGGCGACAGCCAGTGACGCTGCGTTCTCATGGTCAAAAAGTCAGATGCTTGAGGCTGATGAGCATGGTCATGCGTTCGCTCAGGCCCTCACTGTCTATTATGGCGAGCGTCTCGAACCAAGAAAGTCCTGGTGGCGAATACTGTATCCCACCCACGTCCCCTCAGTCCCTCGTCACCTTGGTTTCCCCGCTATCACACGGCATTACTGTCTCGTGGTGCAATGGTGCAACGTTGATTTCGCTAGTCACCAAGACCTCTCCATGAGTGGAAAGCGCTCCTCGAAGCGTTGAGTTTATCTCCTGCAGATTAACGCAGATCTTTCCGTAACGATCGAAAGGCTGTTCCTGTTGATCTATGTAAATCTGCTACTCACGGTACCTGCCACACCTATGTGAACCTCGTCAGTAGTGGCATTCACCAATACATGCAAGACCGGAGATACCCTATATAGGCACCTATAGAAACCGGTAGTGGCAAATGTGCCGTGTCCTTGAAGGTCCAGAAGGTGTTGCCCAGGCTCGGCAGCGCAGCTCATATAGCACTTGCAGACTCCTGCATACATATACGCTAGTGTCGCGATTAGATTTAGACATGCAGTGAGAAGACATTGCCGACAAATGCACATCTACCGCCTATATCACCTGATTGTGCGGTTGCTTTCATTTCGAGCGTGTACAATTTCTAGAACTCAAGTCTGGTTGATCCTGTGGCAGATGATGAGCTCAAATGAACTCTGACCCAGCGTAGCCAGCCTCTCCAGGCCGCTTGTAGTGTATTCCATCAATCAGCTCCATTGAATTATACTCGCCTTCTGACGCTACGCTGGTTGCAGCTTGACTGAACATTAGCTGATCTGCTGCGGCGGCTGAATAGTTTGCGGGCGTACTACCGCCGGCGAGTGCCTATATAACAATTAGCACGCAATGCGCATCTTGGTAGCGAGCGTCTGTCTTACGCCTGATACCAAGCCACCCAACGCTCCCGCACTAACGGCGCCTGCCACAGCGCCAGCGACCTTCTTTCCAAAGCCTCCTCCCATAATTCCTCCCACCACCGATCCACGTTGACCGTGTACCGATTGCGGTTGAGCCGGAGGCACGCCTGATGTACCGAAGATGGTTTGATAGGCCTGTGCTTGGGCGTTGAGGATGAAGGCGTGCTGCTGTTGCTGCTGGTACGCTTGCTGAGCACCCAGCTGTTGCAAGAAGTTCTGTGTCTGTTGTGCTTGTGCATACTGATGTGAGGCCGGTAGTTGGTATGTTTGCTGATATATTTGCGGCGGCTGTGGGTACTGCTGCGTCTGTGGATATTGTTGCGGGTGCGGTTGATACTGCTGCGGTGGCAACTGATATGGTTGAGCTGATTGCTGGTATGACTGAGCTGTTTGCTTGTATGACGGAGCTGGCTGTTGAAAACTTAGCGGTGGCTGCGGAACGTTCTGCGGTGATTGAAAGCTGGGCGACTGCCCAGCTCCCGTGGCACTCATTTGCTGATGTCCAGGCTGAGTTGGGCCGACTCGAGCGGCATTTGGATGCTGTGGTGCAGCCATCGGCACACCTTGCTGACTCGTTCCTGCATGCTGCTGTGCGGCCTTCTTCGCCTTGTGATTTTGCATGTGGCTGTAAGTCGTCGCCGCATCTCTGAGCGGATCAACACCCATTGCCAGGCCGGCGACCTCAACAAGCGCAGCGCCGCCGATAGCCATCTTTGGATGCTCCTTCACCCACTTACCGAACCCTTTCGACATCTTCTTCATCTTGGAATCTTTGTCAGTTGTTCCTTGGCCTTGATCCGCAGCCTCAGACGGTGTCGGCGGTGGCTGGAAGCTCTGCATGACTTGCGGAGCACTGGCGACACTGTGGATATCAGGTCGGTGTTGGTACTGGACTTGCTGCAACTGTGGCGTGCTCTGTACGGGATAAAGCACCGGCGAGCTAGAAGTATCGGCTGGCTGGAAAGACACTGCAGAATCAGTCTTGGGCATTCTATCGCCAGCCGGAGGGTTTGGTGCTGTAGCAGATGAATGTGCACTTGACGCTGCGTGATCTGACCACACGGGCTGGGTTCGATGCATGAAGACCGATGGTGCTGCTGCAGGCGCAGGGTAAAAGACTTGCTGCTCGGTTGAATGTAGTGTCTGAGCACCGAGTGGCGATGGACAAGGGGACGCCGTGCTTGTTGCTGGCGTAGCAACCGGTAACGGCGGCGCGTCCGTCTGCGCCAACTTCGCCGCCTCTCGTGGCATTGGCATGTCAATTGCGACAGGGCTGGGTGCATGGACTTGGAGAACCGTGGATTCTGGAGCAACGCCCATTGATACAGATGCCATAGCCGCTGTTACGCGGGCGAAGTCGGTCAGGTCATCATCGCTTTTGGTCGGCTGAGAGGTGACTACAGTGGTAGTCGCAGTGACTTGGCCATGCAGAGGTTGCTGACCTTGCAATAGATAGAATTCTTCGCTGGGTGCTGCTGCGAAGTTTGCCTGTTGTTCGTCTCCGGCATTTGGAAAATTTGTTTGCTTGTGACCCGTACTAACGTGCAGAAAGCACCATCGCTGCGAGGCAGCGTCAAAGTCCCACTGCCAGCCGGGGGGAAGCGGTGGCATCGCCATTTCCTGTACGTGCCTTGCAATTGTTGGAAGATAGGGAAGAATGGTGGGTCAACAGTTTAAGGGAAGACTTGACGGAACCTACCTGTATAGGCTTTGAGGGCACTAAAAGAGCTTGAGCCAAACGGAGACGGATGACAAGTCTGGTCAGCCACGAGCAATGATGGCGTTCCGGGCTGTCTCACGGAGCACTCGAACTCAACAAGGTAAGGTCTGTCGGTAGTGCTGCATGCTCCCTCAAAGTTTTGTATCGCCAAGCACCACGAAGCCGAATCAAGCAATCTTGTCAGGCCACTGTATCTTCACCGGTTCATGGCTTAACTAGCTCTCGGCTGCGCAACGGAGAACTGACTGACTCAATACAGCTCTGCGTTCACTTGCCAAGTCTATGCGCTGACCGCATTGAGCTGCCGGCAGGGAGTACAATCCTTGGCGGCGTCGGTTGGCTCCGGATAACGAGCTCGAGGCCTCGCCCCGGCCGCCAAAGTAACAGAGTGGTGATACGGGAGTGTCCATGTTCCGATCTGTCCAGTGTGCTGTTCTTGTTGCTCCAGATGAGGCCGTAGTAAATTGCTCACCGAGTGTGTTGAGGTGTTGGTGTAATGCATTTCGTCCACATATCATGGCAAGGAGAAAGCTAAGTGGAGACGGCTGACTAACGATTTCACCAGGTCGGGAAGGTACACCCTGCATATAGGGCCATTGGATTGTTGTCTACCCTTCTGTTCGTCTCAATGCCACATCAACAACCATGAGAACGCTGGCGGTGCTGCTATGTCTCAACTGTGCTGCAATCCCCTATGTAGTAGGCTCGGAGGGTGGTAGGCCACGAGGGGTGGGACCAGAATGTAAGAAGACCAACCTGCAGCATCCGCTTAGGAGCATTAAACAGCCGAAGCTGTGTCTACCAATATATGCACGACCTCACTAATGCTCTTCCATAGTCGCCAAGTTTTACAAGGATGCCACTTCCTTCACTTGCATCTCCAACCCCTCGATAAGCCTCTCTATATCTCAGGTCAACGACGACTACTGCGACTGCCCAGATGGATCCGACGAGCCAGGTACTTCCGCATGTTCGTACCTGTCGCCCCTCTCGCCGCACACCCTTGCGCATCAGTCCAACGCCGGTGTCAACACAACACTGGCATTGCCTGGGTTCTACTGCAAGAACAAAGGCCACGTTCCCTCCTACGTCCCATTCGAGCATGTGAACGATGGCGTCTGCGACTACGATGTTTGCTGCGATGGCAGCGAGGAGTGGGACCATGTGGGCGGCACCAAGTGTGAAGACAAGTGTCAGGCGCTCGGGAAGGAATGGCGGAAGCAGGGCGAAGCTAGGCAGAAAAGTCTCGGCAATGCGGGCAGGAAGCGTAAGGAGCTTGTTGCTGAGGCAGGCAGGCTGAGGAAGCAGGTCGAAGATCGCATACAGAGTCTAGGCACTGAGATTGAAGGTGGTGAGCTCAAGGTCAGACAGCTGGAGAGCGAATTGACGGAGATTGAGCGAAAGGAGAAAGGCAAGGTTGTCCGTGCCAGTGCTGACAAGGAGATGGGGAAGATGGGTGTGCTCGTTGGTTTGGCAAAGCAGCGGACGGAAGAGCTCCGGAATGCTCTTACGCGGGTGAAATCTGAGCGTGACTCGAGCCGGAGCAGGCTACAAGAGCTCGAGGGCATTCTGTCCACGTTCAAAGAAGAGTACAACCCCAACTTCAACGACGAAGGCGTCAAGCGTGCTGTCCGAGCATGGGAAGACTACGCCGCTCGCGACAAAGGTCCGGAGCCCGATGCGGCCCACGACCGTGACTTGGATGCCTTTACCAAGTCGGACAAAGAGAACGGCCTGGACTGGGAGGAATATGAGAGTGACGACGAGGAGTCGGACACGGAAGTTTGTAAGTCGTTCACGTGAGAATGTTGGCTGAATTCGAATACTGACACAAACGCTCAGTGTACGCTTTCGAAGCCTACTTACCCTCTTCTCTCCGCACGTGGCTGGACCAGAAGCTGCGTGACTTGCGCCTTTGGATGATCGACTCCGGCATCCTCGCCGGCACCGCTCCGTCCACGGGCGAAAGCAAGGGCGTCACGGATGCAAAAAATCGTGTCAGCTCCGCCAAGAAGGATCTCGACGGCCTGCACAAGTCTCACCGTGAGCACCAAGAAGACCTCGAAAAGGACTTTGGCCTCGACGACGTCTTCCGTGCAATGAAAGGCCAATGTGTCTCAACAGATTCCGGCGAGTATACGTACGAACTTTGCTTCCTAGACAAGACAACTCAGATGCCGAAGAAGGGCGGCGCGCATACCAACATGGGCAACTTTGTTCGGCTCGAAACGATTGTCGTTGACGAAGACGTGCCGCCGAACGGCAAAGGTCTCGGTTCTGGCGAAAGGGTGGCGATGAAGCACGAGAATGGCCAGCATTGCTGGAATGGGCCGAATCGGAGCACCATGGTGGTATTGGCTTGTGCGGAGGAGAATGAGATCTGGAAGATTATGGAGGAGGAGAAGTGTGTGTATAGGATGGAGGTTGGTACGCCGGCTGTTTGCGGAATCGGAGGTGAGGGGAAACCTGCGCCAGCGAAGGATGAATTGTAGGACTAGAGTCAGCATAGATGAGATCTGCATAACATGACGCATTGAGACGGCAACGGGGAATTGGTTGACCTGACGGGAACATCACGCGACCAGGGCGATGACTGAGACGGGAAGGCTCTTTCGAACTTGCACCATGAGAGCGTGGCGCACATTGTGGTCACCATGAACACGACCATCACACGCGACGCGTGCTAGGATCTTGGAGGGCGAGTGTTAATGAAGATCAACGGCCGGGTAACCTGGTAACGGAGCCCTGGCTCGGTACTAATTGCCGCACGCGATAGCGGTACGAGTCGTTCATGATGCGATACTTCTGCTGCTTGCAAGACATTGCAAGCTCATCTTGGTACGATCGACATCGATGGATCAACAGCCGTTCAAAACAATGCAGCAACGCTTAGTTTTGTGCTTGAGCGACGCTGCAGAGCAGTTAGGCAGCCCTGCGACTCCACCAATTGAAAGGATATATTGTGGCAGATTATGAGGTCTGCGCCATGAGCACGAGCGTTTGTGTGGCGAGCGAAGAACTTGCACTTATTGTCGTAGCGGCCTTTCGACGTACAAGGCCAGAGTCTGCCTTACTGGCTGCAACTGGTCAAACACAGCGCACCACGATGCAGCAAGGTATGCACGGTAGTAAGCCAACGGAGTTGAGCCCGCAAGTTCCCTTTGATCGAACGTTCCCCAAAACAGCCGTTGATTGTCAAGATCTGTCCGCCAGACCGATGTCTAGCCTGACGCCGGAAGTGCACCCGGAATGAATGCTCGATGTGAATGGCGTTTGCTCCCCGTCCCGCTTCATCTCAGGGGCTGCCTACCTTGGCCGATTACACATTTTGACTCAACGGTCCCCCTTCTGTGCAGCCATGTGACCGACGATCATTTGCCGACAGGTGGACGACCGCTCGTCAATGCTTCCAAGTTCCGAGGCTTGAAATACAAGCCAGCTGCGGATCTGCTCGCCGCGTTGTCAGAGACTGACGAGCTTGTATCACACAAGAACGAAGAGCATAATCAGCGTCGATGAAGCGTCGGGCAACGGTACGCTTGTAGACTATAGCTGGGATCGTCAAGCTACCATCGGTAAAGTATCGTGCGATGGAGATAGGATGAAGATGCTATAGGGCTACAGTACTCGTTCGTCGAAGCAGTTTCCGCGCTATCGATAGGAGACAGCACTAAAGTGAAGCTTGTTCCTTTAGATAGTTCGGTACCTGCATAAAAGCTCTAACATGAAACGAGACTTCTGAAATGGACGAAACAAGTCGCTAACGAAGCGTATCATGATCTAGATAATAAGAACATAGTACAGCGCGTTATGCGGCGACTGTTGGGCTTTAGCCATGATCCATTTGACCAGGTATGGTGCAAGTTGTGGCCACTGCCCTCCACCATAGCGACCAACCCGGCACCATGGCGAAATTGGTGTGGATGCAATGTCGCACGAGATCCCTGCATGCGGGTGCCGCCTGTGCTCTAAGCCGCCGGCAGCCCGTGCTGGGGCACCAATGGCGGCGAGCAGCTAACGCCCAAGCGTGCCCTTTGCCGTCCTTGCACCTGCTCCCCCATGCTCATCTCCTGAAGCGTTGGAAGTACACCGGCGTAGCACGCCCGCGCACAACCTCTTCCGTCCTTTTCTCCAACGCTCTTGTATGAGCGTAGGACGGACGCGAAGCGACAACATTGTTACGCGAGGCGAAGAATCCAACAACAGAGAACGGACGAAGCTGTTATCGATTTGAAGCTCCTTGCATCCCCAAGGCTGCAAGATCGAGGTCGGTCATCGGGTTCCTGCATGCGCTCCCGCAAGCACTCTATACCAACCGTCGCATCGTCCGCGAACGTACAGCACCGCTTTCGTTCAGCTGCCGTGTCAGCTGCGGGATCCTGGTCGAACGGTCCACGACACCATTGGCAATGCTGGATTCTGATTCTACGACACTCGGAGAACGATTGCTAGGAGGGAGATAGGCGATCTTGCGCTGTCTCGAGGCTGCGCCTGTCGGCAAACGGTATCCCTCAAACGCACATCGAACGTGAAGTGAGGTTGAGTAAAGGTGAAGGACTTCGCGCATTCACAGCAGGAAGCTCGGATAAATAGCGCACCTTCCTTGGAATCTCGCGCCGGCTGCAAATAGTATGTCATGTCCACTACATCCACCTGCTGCGCAATGGCGTCAACCAGCAGTCCGCCTGCGCGCGACAAGAGAGCGACTGCTAACCTTTTCAGACTCACCATGAAGAAGATCTTCTCCAACAAGAAGGGGCCTGAGCCCCTCAACACCAACACCGATAGTTTCGGGACCGCGAACACGCCACCACCGCCGCCAAGATCGCCTGGTCTTAAGAAAAGCGGAACTATGAGATGGATGAAGAACAGAAGAGCGGCGGAGGCCAGACCGGAGCTCAACATCGCAGCTGCACTTCCTGCAAGTGAAAACTTCCGAACAAGTCTACTCATGCCGAACCTCTCTGCCCGTTTCAGCATGCTTCGTGAACAAGACGATCCTAATTCGATCCTTGGAAAGGCTGCCGACGATAGTGTGCTGCAGCCTTGGCGACGGTCACGGTTGATGGACTTTGGATTTGGATCGAACGGACTGAACGACATTGCTGAGGTTGCTTCAATCAACAGCTCGACAAGGCGACCCTTTGCCGCCGCACGGCAGGACTCTCTCGGCTCCGAAGAAGGCTGGGCTAGCGAGAATGAGGCTTCACATGGCGGCAGCGTAATGAGCCGTTCAAGACCCGGCGAAGGTAATGTACTATTTGGCGGCCGGCAGAAGATCTACAAGATCCCGCAGAGCGGCTCATCGTCGACTACCAAGCTCGGCAGAGTACTCTACGAAGATGACATCGGAATGTCTGCGTTCCAAAGGTATCGCAAGGAGCGAGAAGTTGCTGGAGACTGGCGTCCTGAAGACGAGCCAACATTTGACTTTGGCTTGGACCAACCCGAGGTCATTGAGCAGGAAGACACTGAAGTGCCTACACCGAATGATTCGGCAAAAGACTTGACGCATTCGCTGTCGCTGTCGCTATCGGAAAAGAAGCGGTCCACGGCGTCTTCCACAGCACATTCAGAAGCTCGATCATCGACCGCAGCAACGTCTATCACATCGCAACCAGTCGCAAGTACACCTTCACCGCCGATTCAAGCTGCGCCTGTCACAGCTCAGCAACCAGCGGCTACACTAACCATGCCCAGCCTGAAGAGGTCCGATACTAAGACCCGGCGACTGTACGAGCAAGGCCTGAATGAGCACATTCACGAGCAGCAAACGTCTGCCTTGTCGCGGCTCAACTCTCTACACCGTCAGCGATCAGTGAGAGCGGCGCCCGGATTGTACAGTGTTAAAAGCACCGGCAACCTCACCGAGCCGAAGTCGCAGCAAGTGTACGCTTTGAACGATCCACCTCTCATGACTCCGCTCAACACCTTGGGCCTGATCCGCAAACCGAGCTCTGCTCAAGGCAGCCCGCTGACGGGCGTTCCACAGTCGCCAGTGAGCCCGCAAGGAGTGGAGTTTCCGGAAGAAATGACGCAGGCGCTTGAGCCTGCCGACCGTGGCAAGGCGACCGCCATGGGCGTTTTCAATAAGCCCAAGCAGTCGTTTGATGAACAACAGTACATGGAGCGACAACAGCAGCTTCAGCGTTCGCAGTCTAAGTCAGGAATGCGTAAAGATCTAGGCGCACAAAGTGCCTTCCATCAGCGCTTTAACCGCTATGAGCAAGCTGACCGTGAGCGGAGTGCCTCGAATACGTCTTTTCCAGAGCACGCTGGACGGTTTGAGCAGACAGACCGTGAGCGCAGCGGCTCGGTTCCATCGATTCAACCGCGGTCAAGGTCAGCATCGAAAACGCAAGAGTCTGCAAAGGCGTTCAATGTCTCTCAAAACACACCAGCTCAAGCACCAGCTTCGGCAGGAGCTCAGCAATATGATACGCATCGCACCTTCTTTGGCAACATTAGCGCAAGCGATGACGAGGACGAGGAAGATGTAGAGGAGGAGTCGCGCCACCAACCGCACCACATCCAAACCGAGTTCAACTTCGGCCTGCCGTCAAGCCGATGGCAACCGACAGCGCTCCCAGCGGTATCAGAGCACCCGGCCACGCGCGGACACACTTCGAAGCCTAGTCTTGCAGAAGAGGACGAGGAGGAAGAGGAGAAGCTCCATCCGGAGCCTTTGCGTCCGTCACCAACAACGACGCGGAGCGACCCACTGCCCCCGCCTGTCAAGCCTGATATTCTGGATTCTCCCACTCTTGGCCCAAGCAATCTGGAACCACTCACAGGCATGGTCCACCATCTCCGGCAGAAGAGCAATCAGTCATCTATATTTCCAGAGGAGAGTCCCGCTGTTGAAGATCCTCCAGAGCTGCCAGAACCGCGATTGCAGGGTCAAAGCTTGGAGGCTTCTCACGAGCCTGTACGTAGCAGCAGCAGGCTAGATTCAGACTCTCGCGTCGAGTCAACGTATGCGAACTCGAACCCTTGGGATCTCGACGATTTCGAGAACGCATATGGCGGTCAAAGCGGATGGGACCGGCAATCGCATGTCGAGGGTGCTCGCCCTCGATTGCACCTCACCTCGACATCGCCCTCACTCCAGACGGCGCAGCAAGAGCGTACATCTGAGATGTATCCGGAGTCCGACCCGCCCTCTGCGTCACCTTGGCAGCAAGAGCTGCGAAAGCAGCACACTCGCGACGCAAGCACTGCCACACAGCAGGAACGCGAGGCTTTCGCAAACGAGCTTGCGGCACGCAGTAATGCCATCCGTGAGAACATGAAGAGTCTCTACGAGCGAGAGGCCAACGGCAGCAGAGGCGTTAGTCCCGCCCGGAGCGCTAATGGTACCTTCAACAAGGCTCTCGGCATGCTACGCGCGAAGTCGAGCAGAGAGTCGGTGATGCCGATTCCGGGCAAGGCTTTGAAGATGCTTGGTCTTGGCAATAATACGAGCACCAATACGCTCCCTTCGCAGTATGAGAGGAGTGGGTTCAGCTTTGAGTTCAATAGGCCTCGCCAGGACTCCGATTCGAAGCCGCCGCCTATCCCTGGCAGCCAGCTGCATCGAGCAGAGAGTGATCTGGAGAAGATTCGAGCCCGTGGAGAAAGTGATGCAAGCAGGCTCAATGGGCAATCACCAACTCCGTCCCAAGAAAGCAGGAACCGCAGTCGGTCAAATTCCGAGTTGACTCATGGCCGTTCCCGAAGCAGACCTGGCCAGTATCGCGATGAGTTGGAAAAAGCAATGGTTGAGGGTACCGGCTCCAGCGCTGCGTCTGTGCCTGACATTTCGCCACTCATTCCTCACGAGCTTACACCACGCTCATCACCCGACACCGTGCATACCCAGTTTGAGGGCCAACCCCGAGCCAGGAGCAACAGCCGTGCTGCCGGAGCAACCGGGTACTTTGACGCGAAGACACCGGGCCACATCCCGCCGCAGCCACAGCGCTTAGCGCCTGCGATACCAACGCCTACGACGCTCTCGCCGAACATCTACAGCATAGGAGCTGGCTCCATACGCACCCCACCGGCTGTTTCACCCACCATGCAGAATTTCACGCCGCCACACTCTGGCGCAAACACTCCGATCGGAGCACATTTTCCACCTCCCAATATGATCAGTCCGCCGCCGAACATGAACTTCATCCAAACCCGACAAGGCATGCTACGCAAACGGACGGTTTCCAAGGCAACAATCTCCGAGCCTACCCTCATCTCGATGACCTCTACCGTGGACACTGTCGCACTTCCGGCAGGTGCTTCACTGAAAAACGGCATGGACGAGATACCAGCGGTACCGGCGCTTCCGAAGCGGAAAAGCAATCGTAAGCTCTTTACCCGGACCCGTACGGAGGATACGATGAGCCAGGCCGCGAAGAACTACAGCAATTACGGCCGATCAAAGACTCCGGATCCGTGGATGAGAACGCCGCCGGAGCCGGAGTTTGAAGTCGTGCGCGGTCCTCGTGGCTTTAGACCTGGTTTCACTGCACCTTACCAAGCTGTTCAGCAGGCTTTCGAGAACCAGAGCAGCCCGTCTCTGCCGCAGTACGCACTGCGACAGGCGCCGACATCGCCTGAGCGCATCGAGCGGTCACCGCTACCACAAAACCGCGTTGTGGTCGAGGGGGGCATGTTTTGAACGAGCCGTCGGCACGATTGAATAGTATACGAGATGACGCGGCGCAAGCACCCGAACTTCCATTATCACGTGGTTTTCTATTCTCATACATACTTTGCGATACCATTTCAGGTGTTTTGCTTGCTGGTATGGCTGTCATGTAAAAGTACGTTTTGAACGGCCACATACACGGTTCGGGGCAGCAGTCGGCGATCAAGCATAGCGTAGGCAGCCTGTAGGAATAGCACTACTTGTAGCATCTACTGTTCGCAATGTACATATTGTAAGCAGATGCGACTATGGTTCCTAATGTAATACCCTAAAGCTTGCACGAATCAACCACATCCAGGCCATTCGCGAACCGCTTGCTGCGACAATCACCTCTTCCTTTTGGGCTGTGTCTTTTTCAACGCAGCTAAGAAGTTCGAATCCTCCTAGAAGGCATTGTCCTCTGCATTGTCTTTGTGGTCAGCATGTAGGCGGTCATTGGGCGGTTAAGTGATCGCAGCGCGAGCAGCGACACGCCGACACCGGGTTGCTAAGGCAGTCCTTCGTGAGCTGACAGTGTCGGCGGACTATCAGTTGGTGACACACGACGTGATAGTTATGTTGCGTGGCTGTAGATGGTTGGACCTTAAACAACTACAAGGCAGTGGAGATGAACCCGGGCTGGTTTTCGTGCTCGGCATTCCATCCACAATTGACGGAACGTTCGAACTTTTCGGCAAAGCATGTTGACATGGACGAGTGGTAGATAAGCTGTTGCGCGTCTTATTGAACATCCTTCTGCCATTCGAAAGAACGCCACGATGCATGCATTAGAATAGCTGGATTAAACGAGGACGAGGTGTCGTTGGGTGTGAGGCAACAAGGCACCCGATTCTGCTCCACATAACTAGAGCCTTGATGAGCACCACTTACAGTCAGAGCAAAAGGATGCAATAAACAGCTGGTTGCGACGCGAATATGGCCAGCAATGGCGGGCTAGATGAAGCCTTCGAGAAGCTATCCGCGTCCACCGCTGGTCTTGACGTTAACATTGATGACGTTCTCGACCAGTTTAAGCCGCGCAAACGCATCCGCAAGTCGCCCGAGGATGTGAAGGCGAAGCTTGAGACCAATTTCCTGACACCCTCGACATCGTTCAGTCCACAGTGGCTAGATCGACTTCAGCAACGATGGGAGGTCAATACGAATTACAATGAGCTTTTCTCGCTAGCTCCGACGCAAACACGGACTATTATTCGCTTCACACGGGAAGGCCTGGAAGGGCGCGTTACTGGCTACAGAGAAGTCACTGTACCCGCCAACAGCGCAACTGCGAAGAACTCAACATCTTTGCTGAGAAAGCCGGCTAACCGTGCGGACTTTGTCAGAGGTGCCGCAGGCTTCTACCCATTCGCACCTGGCGGACTAGATGCAGTAGAGGCAACCGCTGCGTACGAAGATGAACTTCTTGAGCAGGGCCGGAACGCAGCAGGTGGCGCTAAGGTCAACAAGCTTGACAGAGTCATTGACTTCGCCGCTGAAGGCGGCCTGCTTGAAGTGCCACCTGGCTTTAGCCGCGGACTCCGTGCCCCGGAGAAGTCCGTTCAAGATCAAGAAGCTGCCCAAGAGGTAGAAGACGTGCTGCAGCAGTCGTCAGACCAGCCTCAAGCGCTCGCGAACGGCATTGAAAATGATCTCACGAACGGCGAGAATCACGAAGGGGACGAGCTGGAAGCTGAGGAGGAAGTTGATGCCTTACTACCTATTGAGTTCCCTGCCCTTGCACCACACGGTCCGCTGGCCATCGCGCGTAACAAGCATGGAGGCCGCGAGTGGGCCCACATGGTGGACATTAACCGAGATATCTCCAACTTCAAGGAGCTCGTACCGGAGATGGCGAGAACTTGGCCTTTCGAGCTTGACACATTCCAGAAGGAAGCTGTCTACCACCTTGAGAACGGCGATTCAGTCTTCGTCGCCGCTCATACGTCGGCTGGAAAGACTGTGGTCGCCGAGTATGCCATCGCATTAGCCGCAAAGCATATGACGAAGGCCATTTACACCTCGCCCATCAAAGCGCTCAGCAATCAAAAGTTCCGGGACTTTCGGACCACATTTGACGACGTTGGCATCTTGACCGGAGACGTGCAGATACGGCCAGAAGCGAGTTGTCTCATTATGACGACGGAGATTCTCCGAAGCATGCTCTACCGTGGAGCGGACCTCATCCGTGATGTGGAGTTTGTCATCTTCGATGAGGTGCACTATGTAAACGATCTCGAGCGTGGTGTAGTGTGGGAAGAGGTCATCATCATGCTCCCGGAGCACGTCACCTTGATCTGCCTCTCTGCAACGGTGCCGAACACGTACGAATTCGCCTCCTGGGTCGGACGGACAAAAAAGAAGGACATTTACGTCATCTCCACGCCTAAGCGTCCGGTGCCCCTTGAGCATTACCTTTGGGCTGATAAAAAGATGTTCAAGATCGTCGATGCGAACAAGAACTTCATTGAGAAGGGCTGGAAGGACGCTAACGATGCCATGACTGGCAGAGACAAAGTTCTAGCCGCCGAGCAGAAAGCGAAGGAGAAGGAGGACGCAGCAGTTGCAGCAGGCCGAGGAGGACGCGGCGGTCGTGGTCAAGGTGGAAGGGGCCAGCAGCAACGCGGTGGGCCCAACCAGCGCGGCGGCCCACAGCAGCGAGGGCGTGGTCAAGTTGCAAACCGCGGTCAAGGTAACATTGCTCGTACTGGCAGAGGCGGCGGTAGAACGACAGCGGCGCAGGACCGCAACATCTGGGTGCACCTAGTGCAACATCTAAGGAAAGAGGAGCTCCTACCGTGCTGTATCTTCATCTTTTCCAAGAAGCGCTGCGAAGAGAGTGCTGATGCATTGGCCAATCTGGACTTCTGCACCGCAAGCGAGAGGAGCGCAATCCACATGATACTGGAGAAGTCACTAGCCCGCCTCAAGCCCGACGATAGACAGCTCCCTCAAATACGGCGCATCCGCGAATTGCTCAGCAGAGGTATTGCTGTCCACCATGGTGGCCTTCTGCCAATCGTTAAAGAGTGCGTCGAGATACTGTTTGCGAAGACACTGGTTAAGGTGCTGTTCGCCACTGAGACGTTCGCCATGGGCCTGAATTTGCCCACACGAACAGTAGTCTTTTCTGGCTTCCGCAAGTACGATAATAAAGCGTTCCGCGACCTACTGCCAGGTGAGTATACTCAAATGGCTGGACGTGCGGGTCGCAGAGGTCTGGACACGGTCGGCTATGTTATCCTGGTTAGCCCTGGCGCAGACGAAGCGCCACCTGCTGCTCGCTTGAGGCAAATGATGCTCGGTGATCCAACGAAACTCCGATCGCAATTCCGTCTGACGTACAATATGATACTCAATCTGCTGCGGGTCGAAGCACTGAAGATCGAGGAGATGATAAAGCGGTCTTTCTCTGAGAACGCTACACAAGCGCTGTTGCCCGAGCATGAGAAGCAGATTAAGCTCTCCGAAGCCGACCTTGCAAAAGTCAAGCGCGAACCTTGTGATACTTGTGACAAGGATATTGAACGCTGTCACGAAGCCGGTATAGAATATGACATGCTTACAAAGCAGCTACACCTTGCCATGCTTGCCACTCCGGTCGGTCGGCGCATGTTCCAGCCCAAGCGGCTGATCGTCTTCAAAGGCGAGAACGACATTCGGACCGCCGGTGTTTTACTCCGCGAAGGCGCGAAAGGTGGCCCAGCTGCAAATCTACTCGTCATGGAGGTCTGCCATCGTACTAAGCGTTCCCGGCAGAATGCAGACTTCCTACCTTACCTTCCACGTTTCCGCAGGCGCTTCATTCCTCTCCCGCAGACGGAGAAAGATTTGCATTTGCGAATCACTATGATTCGCTTGGAAGACATCGAGGCGCTTACGGGCAGTCATCTGCAGTGCGACGTGAATGCTCTCCTCGGAAAGGATACAAATGCTATGGTTAGCGCAAAAGCCGAGCTTCTGGCCTCTTACTCATCCTGGACCTCTTCAACTTGGAATGAGCTGGACTACTACAAGTGGCTTAAGGAGATGTCAATCCGCCAGCTTTTGGATCAACGCACTGAAGCCGCCAATATAGCCCAAGGGCGCGACTGCATCCACTGCCCCGACTTTCCCAAGCACTACGCCATGGCTCACGATGTCTGGGTCATTAAGGACCAGATCGACTCTATCCGGCAACTAATGTCCGACCAGAATCTGCAACTTCTACCCGACTACCAGCAACGCATTAGCGTACTGAAAGACCTTGGTTTCATCGACGAAAACTCCCGGGTTGAGCTGAAGGGCAAAGTTGCGTGCGAGATACACTCTGCGGACGAGCTTGTACTCACTGAGCTAGTACTGGAGAATGTTCTTGCAGAGTTCGAGCCGGAAGAGATCGTTGCGCTGTTATCCTCGTTTGTCTTCCAGGAGAAGACGGAGTCAACGCCTAACATGACGCCGGCGCTTGAACGTGGTCAAGAGACCATCGTCAAGATCTCGGAGAAGGTCAATCATTACCAGACACTCCACCAAGTTATACTCTCGGCTGATGACTCCAACGACTTCGTGAGTCGACCACGCTTCGGTCTGGTAGAGGTGGTGTACGAATGGGCTCGCGGCATGCCGTTCAGCCGCATCACGGACCTGACAGACGTACTGGAGGGCACAATTGTACGGGTTATTACACGGTTGGATGAGACGTGTCGGGAAGTGAAGAACGCTGCGAGGATTATTGGCGACCCTACGTTGTTCACGAAGATGCAGACATGTCAGGAGCTCATCAAGCGAGACATCTGCGCTACAGCCTCGCTTTATATGTAGGCGAAAGGATCGCAGAAACTGTAACAAACATAGCAACAAGTGACAATGAAGTACACCAACACAGTGGGTTGGTGAGTCCAGAAAACCAGGTCACAGCTCAACTCCACCTCGGCGTCGACTGTCCCGAGATCGGCCAGCTTTCTCGTCTCCACTCCATCTTCCGCAACCTCATCTTCTTGTGTAAGGGCAAAAGCTAGGCCGCACCTTGTAGGCTTGACATCAAGGTAGGAAGTCTGTATTTCTCTTTTCTTTTCAACCCTCAATGGCGGACAAGATTCCCAAATTCTCAGAGCTTCCTATTGACAAGTCAGGTCCACACCACAACGCTTGGGGCTTGTATGTTACGTATAGGATACCTTGGTGATAGGAGTCATACTGAGCTTCGTAGGTACGGCAAAGATGATCAACTTGGCACCCTTAACCGCCTTACGAACGATGTCGTTAAAGCTGCGTCAAGCGAGATTAAAACTGGCGTAAGGATTGGTCTTGATTGGCCACTTGACGCTCAAGGGGACCTTCCTTTCTTTGGTCGGCAGGCATTCCACAAGAACGTCTATCAGAAGCCGCCTCGGATAGTCAACGACGATGTCTGGACATTCAACACTCAGAGTAGCACGCAATGGGACGGCCTGAGACACTTTGGCTACCAGAAGGAAGCCAAGTTCTACAATGGCGTCACATTGGACCACATTCACGGCACCAATGGTGTGGAGAAGAGTAACGTGAACGGCATCGGCGAGTGGAGCAAGCAGGGTATTGTTGGTCGGGGCATACTGCTGGATTATCACGAATGGCGCATAAAGCAAGGACGCGACCATACTGCATTCGAGACGAGCAGCATCTCCTGCGCAGACCTCAAGCAAGTGGGGAAGGATCAAGGCACTGAGATCAAGTTTGGAGACATCTTGCTCATTCGCTCCGGCTATATGGATGCATACAACAAGCTCTCCCGCTCCGAAATCGAGGACATGAGAGGCAAACAGCCGCTCACCTTCGCCGGTGTCGAGCAGAGTGATGAGATGATGGAGTTCCTGTGGTCGAACTTCAGTGCCGCTGGTGGTGACCATCCCAGCTTTGAGGCATGGCCAACGCAGAAGGACTATGCATTACATGAGGTGATGTTGGGTGGCTGGGGTATGCCGATTGGTGAGCTGTTTGATCTAGAGGCGCTCGCGGCGCATTGCAAGAAGGAAGGCCGGTATAGCTTCTTCTTGACAAGTGAGCCATGCAATGTGCCGGGTGGTGTAGCTAGCCCCCCGAATTCGCTTGCTATATTCTGATAGCAATTAAGCTGCTTGGTTATTTTACGAGCGCTGGCGAGGTGTAGTACGACCTTACATGTGCCAGCTTCTCGCCTCGGCCTCCTGAAACCCCGTAGGTGCGTATGTCATTAACCCGGTGAACGCAAGATCGACAAAAACCTGCTGCAGCAACGCGCTCTTTGCCAGCTGCTTGAACTTTCGACCACTAACGTGGATGCGAAAGTGGTCCACTATGACAGGGCACAGAACTGATACCCCTGCGGTCCGCTTGTCAGCCGGTTCGATGGTATGTTTGGCGAAAACACCCGCCGACTTCGGATTCCAGCACGAAGTCAGTTTCAGCAACCTCACGATTTCGCCTATGACCGGGTTCGAAGACTTGACATCGCCAAGATTGTCTGCAATCACATAGGTCCGGAAGAGATATGACCTGTGTTCATCTCCGTGGAGACTGATGTTGTCGTCCGGCCTTTCCAGGACCACGAAGTCATTGGTGTAGAGAGTTTGCAGGTAGATGGCAGATATGTCCAGGTCGTCCTCGGCCAGGCGTACAATCTTGTCGAGACGTCCGGCCCATCGCTCAGAGGTTGCTGCGGCGAAAAGGGGCGAGCAAGCACAGAGGAGGTTCTTAGATACCACGGACTTGATGGCCTCCAGACCGACTGCGATTGGAACCGTGTTCATGAAGTTTAACCTGTCTCAGGATCAGCAGCTGCCCTTCGTAGTCGGCTGTGGAAGACCGTACTTCGTTTCTTCGAGTGACCTTCTGAACTGCCATCAACCGCGCTCAAGCTTCTCTGCTGCGCCATAGCAGCACTGAGTGGTAAGGCAGCCGATGGCTTAGCGTATTCTCTACTCTCTGCTAGGCTTGTTGAGGACTTAGGAGAGATCTAGTGGATTTGTTCTGAAGGTTTGAGGAAGTACATTACCAGCCAGGAGCTAGCCTGTAGGCTTTTAGCAGAGGCAATTTTCCACAAGCCTGCAAGATGAGTGATGCCGCAATGGCGGCCACATAATGGCAGTCGGAGTCAGCAAGCACGGGAACTAAATGGTCAATGATACGTCGATTCATTCTCGGCACAGCATTGAGTGTCTTCGCGCTCGCATGTCCAAAGACCGTCTATCGGACCCATGTGCATACGGCCGGGTGCCACTCCGTGATTTCCTGAGTGATACGGGATGGACGGAAAGAGAGGGTATCAGTATGCTACTTGGAGCCCGCGACGGCCGGAGTCCATTCGTTTCGTACGTCGGCCGCTGGCAAAGCAGGTCTCACCAAGATAAGCCAGTCTCGAAGCCACGTCCATGTGAAGGCCAAGACGGAAGAAGAGAGCATGAGTGTGGAAGAAGTTATTGCCAATCAACGTTGACCTATCATGGTATGCGCTAGTCGACGGTGAGGGGATTCGAAAGCTAGCTTCCTGATCGAAATACGTTGCAAAGCTTCGATATCTCATCATCGCTAGGACCTCCATGCGCGCGACCGCGGCATACGTACTTGCAACAGCTGCAAGATGTCGTGGTTGGGACGTGTTGGTGAAGAGTCGGCGATAGGGATTCGGACTTTGTGGAACGAGTTATTGCACCCTGTCACCTTACCTTTACCGGACGGTTCTCGTTATTCGATACCGAGATATGGTAGGGCTGAGGACGTAACAGTACTAGCTCCGAGCTGCCTCTGGACATAGACCTCACCTCTTCCGGTCTGCTTGCCTGCATGCGCCGTCGTCCTTGTGTTTGACTGCTTAGCAATGGACTTGGCCTTTGCCTGGTGGGACTTGCAGACCCAGTATTTAAGCATGTCGTCCTTCCACCCAAGCACTGAGCCAAACTTCCAGCATTTCCCTCATCATGGCGACTATTGCCGTCAGTGGCACGTCCCGTGGCATCGGCCTTGAACTTGTAAAGCAGCTTGTTGACCTTCCCCATGCTCAGGTCTCAAAGGTCTTCGCCCTGTCACGTGGCAAGCCAACAGACGCTCTCCAAGCGCTCATCGACAAGCACATTGACCGGGTCACCCACACTTCTGCCGCCGTGGACGATGACGCCAGTGTCCAGCAAGCCGCCAAGACCGTCGAATCCCACCTCGGCGACAGGGGTCTGGACATTCTGGTCAACAATGCCGGCATTGCCCCCTGGAATACCAGTGGCAAGATGGGCACATTGCCCGTTGAACTGCTGACTCGATCCTTCGAAGTCAACGTCGTCGGCACACATCGTGTGACCTCCGCCTTTCTGCCTTTGCTTGAGAAGGGCAAGATGAAGCTGGTCGTAAACATGGGTACGACCCTAGCCTCCATTACGTGGGCTGAGCGGTACGCATTCGCTCCGACCCAGGCCTACAATATCTCCAAGACTGCACTCAATATGATGAACAAGCAGTACGCGATGAGCTACGCGGATCAGGGGTTTACGTTTGTTTGTGTTTCCCCTGGAATAAGTTCTCAGTCGCAACTCAGATCTTTCCTGACAAGCCAAGTCATCACTGACCGCACCGCAGTGGCTCAAAACTGATCTTGGCGGTCCGCACGCGGACTTGGAACCAGAAGTCGGTGTTGCGGAGGTCAAGCGCATCATCTTCGAAGCAACCCCGGCTCTGAATGGCAAGTTCATCAACATCAACGTGCCCGGCTACGAGAATAGCGCGGCGCAGTACGATGGTCAAGAGGTTCCATGGTGATTGAGAATGCTCGAGTTAGGAGCTTAGGTACCTTGCCCTTGTAGCTTTGCCTCATACCACAGGTACCTATGTCGCTCACAACGCCACGCCGACAGCCAAGTCGACGGCCTCTTCGATCCCCGCTTTCCTGCCGTAACAATCATCAGCACTGCCTGCTCGTCAAAGTTATCGTCAAGCACATTACAACTCTTTCTTCCCCTTTGCCGCCTCATTCTCGTCCGGCATCGTACGCTCAATGAAACCCTTGCCAACCTGCGCCGCCTCCTTCCAGCCGCGCTGTCTGGCCCAGAACCGCTCTTCAGGCGTTGCGCCACCTTGCAGGGTACTCGCACGTGCTTCCTCTTCGAGACTACTCCTAGTAATCTCTGCACCTTTCTCGGCGAGCGAGGGAAGCTTATGTGTCTGATCAAGTGACTCTTCGAACAGCTTCTGCCGCGTCAGGTAGCGGTCGCGACGTGACTTTTGTCTGCCGGGGCTATCGAGCTTGCTGATGGCGGTCGCTACGGCCCATCGGGCGATCAAGTATATGTGCTCTGAGAAGAAGATGGCAAGTAGTAAACCCCAAGCCTTGATGTCGGTCGGTGTGCCGTCCGGACCGACGCCGTCGTTGCTGAACATATACACTAGAGCGGACATTGTGATGCTGCCCATCCACGTCAAAAAGCTCAGCGCATCCAGCCAAGGACCAATACTATCGGCCCTTTCCGGCGTCGGCCTTTGCATCTCAACGCAGATCTTGACAGCATCACCACGCAGTTCGATCCAGTTGTTGATCAAGAAACTGACCGGCACCAGCGGCCAGATGACGGAGAACAGCGCCAGATAGCCATACTGCACGACCATTTCCTTGAGGTCATCGTTGACATTGTAGATGTCCATTTCCGCTTCGCTACGCACGCGCGCAAGAAACTCCTTCTCGTCCGGCGGATCGTCGGCACCAGCCGAAGGAGCAATGCCACCGGCCTTTTGCGCACGCGAAGATTGGTATTGCTTCATCCTAATAAAGCCTTGCCTCTTAGCGTACGGCACGATGACCTCGAGTACGAAATTTACAATCTGGCTCGTCACCGCAAAGTAGAACATTTGGTTTCGCAGGCGAGCCGGGTTAATCGTAAACTGGCTAGGGTGTTTGGGTGCCTTGAGCTGCTTTTCATTCTCCGCAAACGGTCTGACAGTCAGGCTGAAGATGTCCAGGTACGGCACGATGAGACTCCCGAAAGGAACGTAGACGAAAGCCGTCAGGCAGACTGGCAGGTATGACGTGATAAGGTTGAGGATGAAGAGTTTGCTGGTCAAAGCGCTGTTATAGTGAGACTCGGTCTCGTAGTTTTCGAAGTCGTTGAGTCGGGTCGCGAACGTGGTGAGCATGCCTGTCAGCATAGGTAGACCAGTGGTCAGCAGGACCGTGGGCAAATATACAAGCACACTTTTCAGCGGGCCGTTGTAGACTTCAGAGATGAAGATCTCGATGCCGAAGCAAGTGACAATCATGGTGCCGAGGACGAGAACTGCGGCAATAGCGAAGGGAACTTGCAGGAGCTGTCGCTGCAGTCGATCCGTGGCCGGGAATGTTTGCTGCTTTTCACCGGTGGCGGAGTCAACCGACATGATGGATGGCTTGAACTTGTGCCGTTTCGTCTCGATGCTGCTCACGCCTCGAACGCCCCACCGTATTGCTAAGTCGTGCTCTTGGTGCTTCCACCATTCGGTGAAGACCACACACCACAAGCTGCATAGCACGGCGTAGAACGAGCTGTAGTAGCCCAGGAAAGCCCAGGCGAAAACGCCACAGCCGGCCGGGAAGAGAAGGAAGGTGAAGTAAGTCTGCGTAAAGGCGAAGTAGAAGGCAATCTTCTCGCCGAGTCGATTGCGGATCTCGTCAATGTCCTCCATGGTCAACAGCCATTGCGTGGACCATTTCGTAATCCACTCCTTGTTGTAGACATGGTCGTGCAACGCAAAAACGGACTCCACATTTTCCCACTCGCCTTTCCTGGGTGTGATGCCCGCTCCGCCCTCCTGTTGCGGGTTCGTGATGAGCTGGTAGATGATCCGTAGACGCTCCGCCTCGGTCATAGGGTCGTGCTCCAAAGCTTTGCGCGTTTCCCTTGTAGGTTCTGCTGACCTCACGCCGTGGACCCAGTCTTTCACGCGAGAGCGGTAGATCTCGCCGAACATGTGCTCTTCACTCGAAACTCGGACGAAGATGAGGATAGAGTGGTGCTCGCCATTTCGAACCTCGGTCGCAAGGCCGACAGAAGCAAGCCGTCTTAGCAATTCTTCGAAGCGCTCCGTCGCCTTTACCTTGTCTGCAGCCGATCTGTTAACGGTTGCACAACGCTTACACCTAGCGGGCCGGCATACCTGTTGTGGCAAAGCGGAATACCACGACATAGTCGATGCCCATGTTGGACCGTAGAGCATGGCTCTTCGCCATATTATGCTCAGGTACTAATTGTGTCGTTACCAGCTCGCTAAAAGTTGTAGGGAAACGTGGCCGGGGGCGTGAGTCGGCCAGTATGACGGTGGAGCGCTGCTCGAACACTGAGAACCAAGAGATAAGGTGAGGAAAGGCCTACCTAGCACGGTAGGTGCTATACAGAGCTGTCTCTGCCAGGTTTTGGCGCGTGTATGTACGTTGTTCTGGAAGCCGGGCCCCTCATCGTCACCATGCATAAGATCGCGTGGCGCGTCTTTCCCCCCACCGATCTTGATGCCAATGGCGAACGTTCGAACACATATGTATATCTCGTTATGTACCTACGTCTTCAATGATGCACCTCAATTCAGGAAGGCCAGATCGCGTAGTGGAGAGTAGAAACAGCGCGAGAGACTGAACAGTACGGCAGCCAACAATGTTTGACTTCCTAGCTCCAGCCTCGCCGTTTGATGCTCCGTCGCTGCTATACCAGCTTCTAGACCAGCCCGTCAAGACGCTCATCCGTGTCATTGATTTGTTTTGCATGTGGCTACAACCTGCACCACGGCCCGGCCGACATCCTATCCGCGTGGTCTGCATATCAGACACACACTGTCTCAAAGCCGCTCATGTACCAGACGGTGACCTGCTAGTTCATGCAGGCGACCTAACCAACGCTGGCACACCAGCAGAAATACAAGCCCAGGTTGACTGGCTCAACAGCCTACCGCACCAACACAAGGTCGTCATTGCTGGTAACCATGACACATACCTTGACCCGCGGAGCCGGCAAACGCTATCTCTCCAGGCCCGAGAAGGCGGCGTTGACTGGAAAGGGCTATGGTACCTGCAGCAATCTTCTGTCAGTTTGAAATTCCACAGAGGCCAACGTAAATTGAAAATCTATGGCGCCCCTCAGATCCCAGCCTGTGGTGGCGAGGAGTTCGCCTTCCAGTACTCGAGGGGCGAAGATGCTTGGATAGACAGCGTACCATTGGACGTAGATGTACTAATCACGCATACGCCTCCAAAATACCACCTTGATTTACCTTCTGCTCTTGGTTGTGAGTACCTGCTGCATGAAGTGTGGCGAGTCAGACCGACTCTGCACGTCTTCGGCCACATCCATGCCGGCAAGAGCGACACATTCGGCTGGCTGAAGGGTGGAAGGGAGCTTGTCTGCTGGGACGAAGGGCAGAAGTGTCTTGAGCGGGCAATGAGCCGGCCGGATGGATTGATGAGAGGTCTTGTTGACCCACGAGGTTGGCTTGACGTTGTTCGAGTCACTGTCTATGGCGTTGCGAGAGTGCTGTGGCAGACTGTCTGGGGTGGCAAGACCGACAGGACTTGCGTGGTCAATGCGAGCTTGATGTACTGCAATACTGGACAGCTGCGGAACGCAGCGCAGATCGTTGTGATATGACACGGTGCACGTTCTCATGCTCTGTCCTCTTCTGAGACCTCCAACTGCGCTCATATTAGCCTGCAGTGTTTGCCGCTCAACCATCTATTTCAACCGATACGGTCCTCAAGGTACCCACACTCTCCTCACAAAGCTCTTCGAAGCTCGTCCCTCTAGAGATCGTCCTGTGTTACTCGCCGTGATGGTCTAACTACATGGCTCATGAACGGCTGTACAATCTACATGGCCTGGAATGAAACGTGGATTCCGACTGACCAGTCGTTCGGATCTGTACGAGCCAGACGCTACGCATTCCCCTGCAGCACCTACATATCGACTTTATTACTGTTCGGGTTTCAGACCCTTTCGGAGCAAGAGCAAAACAACCCCGGTAGAAAAGAGCACCCGCGACGGTGGTATAATTTGTGTAGGTTATACTGGCCAGCGCGGCGGACGTCATGGCAAACACTTCCTGTACTTCGGGACATGAGGATAGAGCTACTTTCAGTATTGTCTTCCAGCCGCCAATGTCATAGGTCCCAGTAACGGTTTCATTGTACCTATGCCAATGCTGGAGTTTGCACTATGCGTCAGCGGCTGTCTATCCGGTGCTGTCACCGAACGCTTAGCGAACAGTTCGAGATGAACTGCTGTCCTTCACTTGCAAACTGTGAATCAGTAAGCTCTGCGCTGTGAGACGAAATTCGCTTACATGCCCAATCTTGGAATTCGTAGGATGTGAAGTCGCTGTCATACGTCGTAAAGTCTCCATACACCTTGACCATTGCTGGTGTGAGTAACGCAGTGTAGCCAGATGTAAGCGTTCCAGCCAGAATGGCGAAAACAAGCGTGGCAAGAGTGAATACACCCTGCCTGCGCGACAGCTGGGAGAGATTTCCATGAGACGAATTGACGGTGAATGGGTAGCCGATTTGTGCCAAAATTCGACCGTTACGATTGTAGCTCCCTGGCGTAATAGCTGCTGGCTGCTGATACGGAGAATATTGTTAAACAGTGTGGTCGTGCAGAGTTTCGAGGAGCGTGCCAAACAGGGTCCATGCAAATGTCGCGAGTTTAGGATGGTCCTGCAGTGTGATGGTCGCTTTGGAAGAGTATAAGAGTGGACTCAGAAGGCTTCCGGCCCAGAAGCGAACTGAGGCACAAAGGAGACACAGCAGGCCGAGGCCGTTGACAGCGTGCCAGAAGACAGTATCAATGGCGCTGGTGTCTATGTAAGCCAGAGCCACAGGACTTTGGACCGAAGTACTTACTGCGAGACCTCTGCTGCTGACTGCGTGCGTCTAGAGAGCATCAGAAGTCGAGAGTACGTAGGCATGGTAAGACGATTCGTCGGCATGTCAATGAGATGGGACCTACATCGCTTCGAAGTCGAGTTGTCGTGCAGGTGGGTCTTATATGACCTGACCGCAGTGAGCGACAATCATCTTGCGCTCTCGACTGATATCTTCTGCCAAGCTTGGGCCGATACTATAGAAGCGCGTAGGGAGGTTTCAGCCACGTCGTTGCGCAGTGGTAATTGGAGAGCCTTGTCCTTCATGATACGCCTGCTCCCACAAATAGCCGGTCCAGTATATTGATTCTCCCAGGCGAAAGGTGCCCACCGAGTGTACCTGCGTATGCTACACATAGCCGCATACGGTTATCGAAGGACGACGGGGGTTGGAACGGCAAATTCCGCATATACGCCGCGGTCATCGAGCCAGCACTCAGGACCTCGGCTTAATGCTGCGTTGTTGTCTTTAGCAGACTCGTTTGAATGCTATCGATGATGGATCATTACAAGCAAGACCCGGCTTCGAAGGCCTTGGTCGCAATCGCAAGAGGCCTCTCAGCTGTTTCGGACCACGATTTCTCGAATTACTGTCACAATGAAGGCCCCATTGACCCGCGACGAGGTCGCTAGACATACTTCGGAGGATGATCTCTGGGTCATTGTTGACCACAAGATTTACGATCTCAGCGACTTCGTGGAAGCCCACCCTGGAGGTTCGGTCGTCCTCACACAAGTAGCCGGACAAGATGCGACTACGGCGTTCTACAACCTCCATCGTCACGAAGTGCTTCAACAGTATGCCTCATTATGCCTTGGCGCGGTAGACGGCGAGAAATCTGAAGTGATCGATCCACAGCCTGGTGACCTAAGCAAGGTCCCTTACGCAGAGCCTCTATGGCTCGCACCGCAGTTCAAGAGCCCATACTACAGCGAGAGCCATCGGAAGTTGCAGAAGGCTATACGTGTGTTCGTCGAAGAGCATATCACGCCGGAAGCCATGCAGAAAGAGAAGGATGGGACTTTCATCTCACAAGAGCTCATCGATAAGATGGCAGAGACCAACATTCTTGCAATGCGACTTGGCCCTGGGAAGCACCTGCACGGCCGCAAGCTACTGGGTGTTATGGATGGCAAAGACTTCGACTACTTCCACGATCTCGTGATGGGTCAAGAGCTTACAAGACATAACCAGCGAGGCTTCCAGGACGGGAATATGGCTGGCATGACCATCTCATTAACAGCTGTGCAGCAGTGGTGCAACGACGAGGCCCTCAAGCAGCGCATAACAGAAGAAGTACTATCTGGCAAGAAGAAGATGTCTTTGGCCGTCACAGAAGCGTTCGCAGGGTCGGATGTTGCAGGCATTCGGACGACTGCTGAGCTCAGTGAAGACGGTCAGCATTGGTTGATCAACGGCACGAAGAAATGGATCACCAATGGCATGTTCTCCGATTACTTCGTTACCGGTTGCAAAACGAAGAAAGGGTTCTCTGTCATTCTTGTCCCTCGTACGGAGGACGTCGAGACCAAACTTATCAAGACGAGTTATTCAACGGCCGCAGCGACTACCTACATTGAATTTAACAACGTCAAGGTGCCTCGCAACCATCTACTGGGTGAAGAAGACAAGGGTTTCACCGTGATCATGAGCAACTTCAACCACGTACGTGCGAGCATGATTGAGCTTGACCAAAGCAGCTAACCCCCTTGCAGGAACGTTGGATGATGGCATGCGCCGTCATTCGCTGGTCACGTACTGTCTTAGAAGAGTGCCTGAAATGGTCACACCAACGCATCGTCTTCGGCAAGCCGCTTATCACCCAGCCCGTGATTCGACAGAAAATTGCACGGATGATCTCCCTCGTTGAGTCTAACCAGGCATGGCTCGAACAAATAACGCACCAGATGAACCACATGACCTACCACCAGCAGTCGACTCTGCTGTCGGGACCGATTGCGTTGCTCAAGACCTTTGCCACACGATCTGCGCACGAAATAGCGGATGATGCGACAAACATCTTCGGCGGGCGAGGGTTAACGCAGTCTGGCATGGGTCGCGTGGTGGAAATGTTTGCCAGAACCTACAAATTCGACGCGATCCTTGGTGGGGCGGAGGAAGTTCTGGCAGATTTGGGTGTGCGGCAAGCGATGAAGTACATGCCGAAAGCTATGCTTTAGGATGCATACAGTACAGTGTCCTCACAAGGCATGTTGATAGTGTTCGGGAGCCCCCGCCGCTAGTGCTGAATGCGGCCAGCAGGCATTAAAACGTGCTACGAGAACGTTGTTGAGGTGTATGCAGTTTCAGTATTGGTAGTTCTTTCGCAGTCGATAAATGTCGCTTTGCCTCAGAGTAAGACTGTTGGGTAATTCAGCGAAGTCCCGGCGTATCTATGATCGCGCAGAATGGCAGCGATGATGGCGCCAGTGTCTCGGACTACCTCCAATGAATCCGCCTAGTCTCACTCCTCCCACCCTCTGTTCGCTATCTCCTCTTCGGAGTCCCTGTCGAAGAAAGGAGGGCACGCAGATGTTGACCTGAGCCATGGTGAAGTCGATCGAGCTAGCTTGTCATTGCCGTCGACGGCGCCGAAGCTTAGTTCCCGGTGCTTGAGTAAGAGTATGTCACGCAGAAGCTCGAGAATTTCCGATAACGGCTTACTTTCGGCTACCTGGAGCTGGCTACAACAGGATGAGAATATGATGCCCGCACCGCATGCTTCAAATAGTGCAGCCGAGAATGCGTTACCGGAGAGCGCAAGACTGCCAAGCACTGTATTGGAATCTACAAAGCGAGGCAGTGCTGTCTCACGAGGCAGTGTCTCTGGAAGCAGCGACACACCAATTGCTGTAGGACGAAGCGATCCGGATGTGAAGAACAACAGAGCGTCTTTCTCATCGCTCTACAACTACGCGCGTGTTCCGAGCGGTCCTAGCTCGGTCGCTGGGGGCTCAGAAGCAGATGTGCGCTACGAGCACGGTGATCGCGGAACGACAGCATCGCATCCGGTCTTGGTAACGACGGCGAGTCAGAACGGCGCGCTCTCTCCATCTATGAGCGGTGCTCACCTGCATCAACTGCCGGCGGCAGCCACCTCCGCCCCAACCTTGCCGTCTCCAATAGCCGCTCCATCCTCGCCGACGCCAAGCAGCTCGAATCGCAGTCATGCAGGGCGTACGATTAGGGGTCGTACACTTGGAGACCGTCGGATTTCGAGCGGTACGCCAAACTCGGCTTCACCGTCTGCGGACCGTAGCTTGATGAGCAATGCTCACAAGATTGGCACGATTGGTATTTGTGCTCTGGACAGCAAGGCACGGTCAAGACCTTCCCGGAATATCCTCAACCGCTTGGTTGGTAAGGAGGCCGAGTTCGACGTCATCATCTTTGGTGACAAGGTTATTCTGGATGAGGATGTAGAAAACTGGCCTGTTTGCGACTTTTTGATCAGTTTCTTCTCCGATGGGTTTCCACTTGACAAAGCAATTGCCTATGCGAAGCTGCGCAAGCCTTTCTGCGTGAACGATCTGCCTATGCAAACTGTACTTTGGGACCGCAGATTGTGTTTGAGGATCCTGGATAGGCTTGGTGTGCCGACTCCGGAACGGATAGAGGTCAGTCGGGACGGCGGACCTGTCATTCTGTCGCAGGACATTGCTTGGCGAATGTATGAATTAACCGGGGTACGACTGCATGGTAACGATGAAGTTAGCACTGGCGGCGCGCAGGCCGCGCCTCAGGATGTGCACATGGAAGACGATAACGACACCCTTGTTGTAGACGGGCAACGACTGACGAAGCCGTTCGTGGAGAAGCCAGTAAGTGGCGAGGATCACAACATCAACATCTACTACCCGAAGTCGCAAGGTGGCGGCGGCAGAAGGCTCTTCCGCAAGATTAACAATAAAAGCTCTGAAAAGGATGACACTCTGGAAGTGCCGAGAGCTATCACCGAGCCGGCCGAGAGCTACATTTACGAGCAGTTTCTTAAGGTGGAGAATGCAGAGGACGTCAAAGCTTACACAGTAGGTCCAGACTTCTGTCATGCTGAAACCCGGAAGAGTCCGGTCGTCGACGGGATCGTGAAGCGGAACCCGAACGGCAAAGAGCTACGCTATGTCACAAGTCTCTCGAGAGAAGAGCAGACCATGGCCGCGAAGATCGCGATGGGCTTTGGTCAGCGAATCTGTGGCTTTGACCTCCTCAGGGTCGGCGACAAAAGCTATGTAATCGACGTCAATGGATGGAGCTTTGTCAAGGACAATAATGACTACTACGACAAATGTGCGTCTATTCTAAAGGCAATGTTCGTTCGCGAAAAGATGCGATGGGAAGGCCGTTCCACACCAACTGCTTCTGAAGATGGCGACGGTGATGCCTCGGCAGGTCCGAGTGACAGAACGGATGGACACCGCAAAGGGCTGTTTGGCCGCGATAAAGAGAATGTTGGCCACCACAGCGCATTGAAGGGTGTGTTCCGCAGCCGCAGCATTAGCCAGCTTAGGGACAGCGTGTCACAGGCCGCCCAACGGTTGGGCCACCCACCGACTATGAAGAGCCCGAACGGTGCGACAAGTCCGCTTGCGAGCCCACCAGAAGCGCCGAGAGAGCCGTTCTTCGCTGGACGTACGCCGACGATCCCGCTGAGCAAAGACGACGTGTTACCACCTCCTGCCGAGTCGCGACAGCTTCGACAAGTGCGAGATCCGGAGGCTGCACAGCGTGCTCAATCTGATGAACATCTGGCCTCAGAGTATCGGCCAGATGTGCCGGCGGCCGTGCCAGCTCCAGCACTCAAAAGTCAGTGGAAGCTGAAGGGTATGGTAGCCGTCATTAGGCACGCTGATCGGACGCCGAAGCAGAAGTTCAAGTTCACATTCCACACTAAGCCGTTTGTGGATCTACTGAAAGGCCATCAAGAGGAAGTTTTGCTCGTTGGTGACGCGGCACTTGAGTCGGTGCAGCGAGCAGTGGCGGAAGCGCTCAATGCCGGCGAAGAAGACATGAGGAAGCTTAGACAGTTGGACAACGCGCTGAAGCGGAAGAAGGGTTTGCCTGGCACGAAAGTGCAGATCAAGCCATTATTCAAGAAGCCCACGAATGAAAACAAGGCTAAGCTCCAAGGTGGTCATGACGAGATACCGAAAGCGAATGACGCTGCGGCTCACGCACCGTCTAGCGAGATCGCCGTACATACTCCACCGCGCAGCCCAGGAGCTGATGAAGCCGAGAGGCCGCACGCGAGGTTGCAGATGCGGAGCGACTCCTTGTCGGGCGTTACAAAGTCCCGCGCAGCAGCTGCGGAGGAGAACCTTGTCCTTGAAAAGCTGCAGCTGGTGATGAAGTGGGGCGGAGAGCCAACACACTCCGCACGCTATCAGGCGGCCGACCTTGGCGAAAACATGCGCAACGATCTGCTGCTCATGAACCGCGACGTACTCTCTGACGTTAGCATCTACAGCTCGTCCGAACGGCGGGTTACCACTTCCGCGCAGATCTTCGCATCAGCGTTCCTTGACGAGCAGGATATCGACCCAAACTCCATACGCATACGGAAGGACTTGCTGGATGACAGCAATGCGGCGAAGGACGAGATGGACAAGGTTAAGAAGAAACTAAAGGGACTGCTGAGAAAGGGCTATCAAGCGCCGGAACAATTTGCTTGGCCGCAGGACGGCACGCCAGAGCCGTACGTCGTGGTGAGGAATGTTGTCGACCTGATGAAGTTTCACCGACGAGTCATGAAGCACAACTACAAGAAGCTTCAAAGTTCGAGCGCTGTCAGCTCGTTGGAGAAGCTCAAACATCCACCAAGCCAGCAGCTTTCGCCGAGCGAAGACTCAATGGCGGAAGCAGAGAAGGTGAACCAGCAAGCATCCTCCGTGCAAGCGCGTTGGTGTACCGGCGAGGACGCCGACCTTTTCCGGGAGCGGTGGGAGAAGCTCTTCGATGAGTTCATCGATGCAGAGAAGGTTGACCCCAGCAAGATTTCAGAACTTTACGACACGATGAAGTTCGATGCGCTACATAATCGACAATTCCTGGAGTGGGTGTTCACGCCGAGCAGGAGTATCCTGGCGGAGATTGAGCAGATGAGGGGAGAGAATGATGAAGGCTTGACGAGGACCGAGAGCCAAGTCATGAGGGAGGAGTTCCAGGGTACGCACGAGCGAACGGAGCCTGTGAGGGAAGACGTCGGCCCAGATGCGCAAATGCAGGAGCCTGTGATCATGTCGAATCGCACAAACACCGGAATCGGCAGCGAAAGCATTCGTTCAGTGGACAGACCTCGGCAGACTCTCAGCGAAAGAATGGGCCTACGACGTAGGAGTCAAGATCTGATGACTGTCGCTAAAAGCGCTATCACGGCTATGGGCGCCGACACACTCGCGAGAGAGTCGTACTTCAACCTGTACAAAGGGGACGTGAACGCACCGGAATCCAAGGCGAAGAGCGATACGCGGCTGGAGAAGCTCAATGAGCTATATAGCTCCAGCAAGATTCTCTTTGACTTCATCGGCCCGCAGGAATACGGCATCACGGAGACGGAGAAGCTTGAGATTGGCCTCCTGACAAGCCTGCCATTGCTGAAAGAGATTGTCAAAGACCTTGAAGAAGTGCAGGCAAGTGATGATACCAAAAGCTTCATCTACTTCACTAAAGAAAGCCACATCTACACCCTTCTAAACTGCATCCTAGAGGGCGGAGTACAGACGAAGATCGCACGCAACGCCATCCCGGAGCTTGACTACCTCAGCCAGATCTGCTTCGAGCTGTACGAGTCCGCGGACCAGGACAAGACCGAATCTTCGGTAGATGGCGCGGAAGACGGCACGACGACGTACAACTACTCCATCCGCATCACTATCTCCCCAGGCTGCCATACCTTTGATCCGCTCGACGTGCAGCTGGACAGCAAGCACTGCATCGGTTGTGCGCCACGCCGGAGCCTGACGCCGCACGAAGATTGGAAGGTCGTTCTCGAGACGCTAAGGGCGAAGTTCCACACGGTCAAGTTACCTAAGAGCTTTACGGCGATCAATCTAAGTGAGAAGATACCAGAAGAGTTCACTGACTGTGCTGACGGAAAGGCTGCGGTTGAGGAGATTAGGAAGGAGGCGGAGGGTGCGGGTCAGGTTGCGCCGCAGCATTGATACAATAGGACAGCACCCAATCGCAGCAGCTTCCGAAAGCTGTTTGAGCACTTCGGCATCCTGACGTCGTCACAGCACCTCCTTGTATGAGAAGTGTATGTGGGATCGTCAGCGGCTCTCAGGACAAGTAAGCCACTACCCCACAGTCGTTAGGCATGTCATAAGCTCCTACCACGGCGATGAGAGTGCGTGACCAGACAATGCCTTTGGGATATGACAAAGACCTTCCAAGGTATCGTCCACCATCCCAACGCCATCGCCATGCTCACGCGATACTTTACAAACCATGGTATCCTAACACCAACCGAACAATGCCCTTGAGAAGCCCCCAACCTCACCCCCTACAACTCCATCGTCCCAACACTCCCTCCCACGTCACTCCTCCTTCCCCAAACTCCCTCCCCCAACCTCCTCCCCATCGTCTCCACCATCTCCTCAAAGCCCTCCCCCGGCGTCTTCTCCGCTTCCGCCGCCAACCGAGACCGCAACGCGGCCAAAGCCTCGAACTTCGCCACTGCTACCTTATAAGCGGCGCTCTCAGCATCCCCGACCCCTCCCACCCGTTGAGCGGGCGATAGCAGGAACGGCAGCGTATACTCCAGTGAAGGCGGGGAGAGGATGGCCAAGGGGCCGCTGGCGGGGGTGGCCAGGTTGGTGGGGAGGGTGGGCTCGGACTCTGTGGCGGTGGTGGACCAGCGCGCGGTTATGACCGCTGTCAGGCAGTTTACCGCTGCCAGGGCTTGGTCGAGCAGGGCGGGAGTACCCGCGTGGAGAGTCAGGTCCTCCCAGAAGCGGCGGTGTTCGGAGAGGTAGTTGTAATACATGGCCCGTGCCGCGGTTCCCTCTACGGTGCTCTGCTCCGAGCTGGCTGTGGCGGCATCAGGTCCGTGGAAGATTGCCGCTAGCGTGTTGAGAACGTCGGCGTTGGTTATCCGACCGGACGGGAGCAGGGCAACGGGACTGCTAGTGTATGGTAGCAGGGTTGTGCGCGGGAGGCGGGCGAGGAGACGGAGATCGTGGCTTGGCGACTCCGTGTGCGCCCAGCGGAGCGGCGTCATCTCCGTTAGCACGTTGCGCAATCTGCTGTTCACGTCGAGATGGGTGGAGCTGCTCGTGTAATGGTGCGAGAATAGGGAGGCGTAGGCGGCAAGGTAGTTGGCTGCTGGGCCGTAGAGGAAGGCTCTGTCGACGGCATCGACCGCATAGGGGTCGAGGTAGATCTTCGTCGTCCTGTCGTGCAGTTTGTTGTCGATCAGGAAGCGCAGGCCAGGGCTCACCTGCTCTCTCCGCGCGAAAGTGTCGAGTTCCTTAGTCTTAACCAGCAACTCGGTATAGAAATCGATGAGGCAGCGGTGCATAAGCACATCATCCTTATAGTCCACCATTCTCAGCGCAGCAAAATCAAGCAAACCCGCACCAGCGTTAACCCCATACTTCTCCTCGATACCCCGATGGTGACTCCTAACAAGCACACTCCAATGCAACGCCCCAACCCTCGGCAACCACTCCATCAACCTCGCCTGCGCAATCGTCTTCTGACCCTTACTCAACCCCGCCGCCCCATGCTCCAACGAGCACGACTCAAAAAACACAACATACACATCCCTATCCCCAAACAACCGCTTCGCCACTAATCCCTGCCCACCGGCCGTAGCCAACTCCTCCATTCGTTCTACCGTCGGCGCAGCTTCCGGCGGTAAATCGATCCTAAGAAGCTGATACAACAATTCCCCCGCTTGCGCCGCAACGCCGGAGTCCTCAGTCGTAAGCCAAAGCCGTACAGTCGCTTGCATCGTCTCCAGCATTCCTGCCGCTTGGGCAGCATCATTCGGCTTCGTGATCGCCTTGCCCAGCAGCGTAAGCATAAGCTTGTTGAACGGCACCATCCAGGGCCCCACGGCCAGGCCGTCCCGGTAGGGAATACTGCTTGTTCCGAATGCGGAGACTTGATCCCAGGTCCAGCCGTCGAAGAGGCGGATTAGTAAGTTGACAACGGGAGTGTGGTCAGGACGGCGGACGTCCATCAGATCTGCGGCGAGGTTGCGCATGAGGGTTTCGCGTTTTGTTTGGAGGTCTTGAGTTCCCATCAGGTAGGTTGGGAGGATGAGTTCGGCTTCGTCGAAGAGCTTGGTGTCGAGGGTGGTTGTTTCGGGTTGCGCTTGGAGGTTTGCGTAGATGCGTTGGAGCAGATCTTCGGCCATGGTTGTTAGCAGTTTTTGTCCTCAACGGACTATGCAGAACTGTGTGGAAATAAGCAAGGCAGTATGCAGTAGCAACGGCAAGCTCTCGGTTGTTGTACTTGTTATGAAGTTGGTTGGGTTGTTGGCCGGTATTCTGTATCCGGTATCCAGCGGGTGATACTGTTGTTCCAGATGTGGTTGCAAAAATTCGAAGCAAGGAGAGTGAGAAGGAGTGTATATGGAAGGCCTGCGAAGGTAGCAGCAGTGAATGTGAGTGTGAACTTCGCCAGTGGCGCTAGCACGCTAGCGCCATAGAAATCCATGGTTTGTTTGCCGCTTTAGGCAGGAACGGGTGACGTGGCTCTATATCTATCGCACTGCACCTACTACGATAGACAAGAGGGTGAGCAGGTTGGGGCCGCCAAGAACAGGGCTGTACTGGCATGGTCACGGTGAGATGGGAGGGGAGAGCATGTTACAGAGTTAATGTGGTCCTCATTATCGTATCACTATCTGATTTACATTGCTTTTTTGGGTATCATTTGCCTCTGGCAAGCTTTTGTTCAAACGCAGACTCTGCAGACTCCCTCAATAGCGGGACCAAGAAAAGGCGAAGGCTCCTTGACAGTCTATGCCATTCGCGTCCCGTAACCGCGCTGAAACTCTATCAAGCTGGCCACGATTGTCTTTCGACAGTCCATGCGCTTGTTGTATACAGTCTGTTTGCGTAGTTGATGAAAAAGGAAATGCTGTTGGGTTGCCATGGAAGTGGTCGCAGCTTGTTCTTCAGAAGGATAGCGCGCCGGCGCCCCTCAAGCGACCGAAGCGACTGAATCATTCCTCTCATGCTTAATCCACTTGTCCTCAAACGATGGTGGCTTGAGCATCGTAAACCAGCTGACTCCCTAAGACGGCCGGGGTAGCAGCTCAAGATTGCCGCCACGCTTGAGGATGTCCTCGGTGATGATCTTCTCCTTATCCTGATACAGGATCTTGTAGGCATGCCGAATTGTGCTGTCGCTGACGTGCGCCGCATTCGAGATGTCCTTGGGGTTCTTCGGCTCGCCCATGAGGTACGAAGCCATGTAGATGCACGCGCCGGCGGAGGAGAGTGGCGAGCGACCCGCCAGCACGCCTGTGGCTGTCATGCGCTGGGCAAGGGCGATGGAGACGTTGCTCGCCGTGCGTGACATGCCGAGCGCATTGCAGAAGCGGTCGCACAACTCGGCCGGGTTCGAGTTCTGACTGCCAGTGTACGCCTCGTTGCTGACGAGTTGTCCGCCAGCGACTGTGCTCACGCCGTTCTTAGCAAGCTTGGTGTTCTTCATGTAGAACTGCTCGAGCAGCTTAAACGTACGGCCAATCTCCTTCTTGCTGACTTTCGTCAGCTCCATGACCTCGCGGAAAGAGCGTGGTACGTTGTTGCGCCGGCAAGCAAGGAAGACGCAGCCGGCGATCAGCGCTTCTTGACTTTTGCCCCTGAACAGCCGGCTCTCGTCGGCGTCCTTGTAGAGATGCTTGGCGGTGTCGGAGACGGAGGAAGGGAGCTGCCAACCATCACACAGAGCGCCAATCTGCTTGTAAGCTTGCAGAAGACCTTTGTTGGTCTTGTCCATGTTGGACTTGTTCTGCGCGCGGTGAAGCTCCCGGCTACGGATGCCATCACCGAAGGCGATGCCAGTCTCGAGTTGCGCGCCGTTGAGGAGTGTGTTAGGCCCTTCACCGACACGCGATGGGTCGTCGTTGCCTTGATCATCATTCGAGAAGGTACGCCACTCTGAACCCATGTCGATCGTGCGCTGAGCCAACACCAAACCGCAGTTGGCACACATGAGATCGCCACTTGCGTGGTCTTCGTACAGCTCGGGTGGATCATCACGGCAGTCCTTGCACATCATTTTGACGTTGAGATTCTCCACCCACTCTTCATCCTTGACTGGATGCACCTCGGGCTCAGGCACAGCGCCTGGCGAAAGTACCTGCTGCATTGCTGCGAGCGGCTTGCGCGGCGCGGCGGTGAGCTGCTTCTGGTTGAAAGCGACCCCAAACCGCTCGGAGTTGCGCTTCTTAATGCCTTTGGAAGTGATTCTGAGCTTGTGTTGTTTGGCGTAACAACGGATGAAGAGTGGCGAATACAGTTTGACGGTGTTGCGCGGTGAACGCGGACTACGGTCGCTGGTTCACGAACGCTGGGCTTCTACACCAGGTGTAACAAGCGCAGCTATTGCATCAGATACGGTCAGCTGGACGATTCTGCTATCGAGACGAGGTGTTTTACGAGGAGTGAAGCGCTTTGTAGTGCATGTCTCGTTTGCTGAACAGGCGTTTGTGCGTAAGCGAAACTACTCACCCTCTCACTCCAAGCGACCGTAAGCGAGTACCTCTTCTGAGGCGGGTAAGCGACTGTTTGATAAGTCGAAGCAAGAGGGCTGGTCGCGATGACGAGGAGTGAGTAGATGCGTCTGCAAGTGTCCGGCCGGCAACCAGTGAAGGTGTCCCGTGAGAGGCAGCGAGTGTGCGTGTCTCGTGGAAATCAGGCCGTAGAGCGCGCTTTGGTGACGGTCGCCAGAGGGTGTCTGAGAGTTGCCAGCAACTTCGTCCGACGGTCTCTGATGGATGGCGATGTCGTTGAGCGTGATCTGTGACTTTGCAGAGCAGTGAGGGTGGAGGTGTAGAGGGTGTAGAAGTCGTGGTTGGCGAAGAATGTGCGCCTCCTCAAGACTTGCACGCTTTGACTCAGCCCGCGCTAACAGAGCACGTGATGGACTCGGATGGGTCGTCGATGGCCTGAGGCAGAAACACATGGAAAGCTTCGGCTACGAAGAGTGAGGAGCTTCAAGGAGCGAATAGCCATTGCAGCGTCACTTTGCGCCCAAATCACCGCAGTCATGCTCGCGCAATCATTGAGGGCTTCGGTATGCGTGGACAGCGAGTAGTAACGTATACACAGCTAACGTGAATAGCGCCAAATGCTCGCAAGAGCCGCCCGGCAACAGCATGCCACCACCCTCCGCCGCACCCTCATCACGCCCACCGCTGTGCGACAAGGTCCGCTCATCACAGACTATACCATTATCCATATATACTAACATAGCCCAGCGGACCTCGTCCAAGACATGTACCTAAAAGAGCTCAAAGCCTACAAATCCCCACCCGTCAAGGCCTCCGACGCCGAGGGCCACGTGCAAAAGTTCACCATGCCCAAGCCGCCTCCATCGCCCGAAGAAGCTGACCTTGCGAACGACCTGAAGGCGTATGAGGATCAGGTTCCGGAGGTTGAGGGGCAGGCTGCGGAGGGTGGCGCGAGCGCGGCGGAGGATGATTGGTTTGTTGAGCCGGAGGAGGAGGAGGAGCATGCGCACCATTAGGCGTGCGAATGAGGGAGATGGGTAGTGTGTATACTATGAGCGTGTACGGGGATGTGCGTTGAACACATGGCGCTTTTCAGATCCCACTGCTGTGAAAAGCCGAATAACCTTCTCAAGCCCGATATGAGCGAAGGCCGTGTAAGTCGTTTCCATGTATGTCACAGCTTGCTCACAACAAAGTTTAGATGTCCATTACGAGGGTAAGCACGATCTCTCGGCATCCCGTACTTGACCAAAAATAGGGTGTGGCAAGGAAGAAACACACCTCCAACCTGCCCGCTTCCGCTGGTCATATCCCAGAAACATCGCGGCGGCATAGCAGCACGTTAATTACTCAACATGTTTTCATCTAAATTTCGAAGTGGGATGCCTGCATTGCCTACTCAAGAAACATGCGTCGCTCGAAGAGCAGACGAACTGTCACGACTAACTTGGCTGTGAGTACGACTTTCCGTCCGTTCGCTCTTTCCATCGATCTTTCCTTATTCCGCAGCTTCGCAAGCCGTCTCGACAGTGGAAAGTCTGCACACACATTTGCAATACGTCTTTACCTTCACACCTCTATTAGAAACTCACCATACGCACCCCCTCCAACACATACAACTTCCTCCCACAACCACAAACATTTCCCTTAAAATCACACGACACCTACTCCTTCAACCCTTCCGTCATCCCAAACCTCACCATGCCGACAACCGTCCACGCCCTAATCCTAACCCACATCGCCCGCCACGGACATCTCACCCGCCCCACCGCGCTGGAAATGCACGACACTTCCGTCCGCGCCGCCGGAGCAGCAGCTTACTACGACTCCCGCGGCCTGGACGGGACGGAGCTGGCGTACGATGTTGTGGGGCGGGCGCTGAGGGCGGAAGTTCACGCGCCTTCGCCTAGACGGCTGTGGGGGAGAGGGTGGATGGAGAGGATGGAGGGACTGGTGGACAGTGGGGTGCCGCGCGATTGGTTGGAGCAGGAATGGGATGAGAGAGATTTTGATCTCGATATTGAGGCGATTATGGCCGAGTTTCTCAGTGAGGTTGTGGGGGAGGAAGGGGATCATGGATGCTGTAGGAAGCTCACGGCGGCATGTCTGTGTGGTGATTGCGTGCGGGAGCGTCCCACCGTCGTTATCGAGGACGAAACGACTCATCGCCGCTCTCGCGAGCCGATAGCGACGACGGATGGTGGGGAGCGTGACAGCTGCAGCCGTGCGAGTCCACCATCCCAATGCGATACATCGGTCGTTCCTGGGGTCCCATCGGCGCCACAGTACCGTATGCAGCCGCAATACGAGAGGGATGCCGACTTCGGGTTGGAGGAGGGGTTTGACTTGCCGCCGGCGGAGGAGTGGGAGGAGTATGACGCTGACGACGAGAGTGAACCGGATGAAGAAGTGCTGGAAGCAATGGAGTATGAGAGGGTGTTGGAGGAAGGCTTGAGTGGAGCGGAGTCCGACGTTCAGCCGGAAGAGGAGGACGAGGAGTTCGGTTGGAGGGCCGAAGATGAAGATGATAATGAAGATGAGGTCCACGTTCCCCACCCGGATCGAACCTCGAAAGTCCTCCTCCGCCCTATAGCAGCAAAAGGACTACCGACCTGCCGCTGCATCCTAGGCAGAGCCGCCCGATCTCTGGACTGGATTAACATAATCCTCAGCTACCTCCTTATAATCCTCGTATACATCCTCGTCCTTTTCGGCTCTACCTTTATCGGATTAGTGCTCGCCTTGCTCTGGATAGGCGTTCTAGCGCAGGACGTCGGCTTCGTGGTGATTGTGATGGTGTGCACGGGCATCGGCTTTGCGGCCGGTTGTGGCGCTGTACATGTGCAGTTGCGGCGGCCATTATGGGTTTGAATGTGTGAGATGGCACATTCCCAATGATACCGCACCGTGTGAACGTGAGGAGAATGCTATGAGGACGCAGCGCTACTTGATTATGACGTTGGGATACCCAGCAGACGGCCTGGTCGTCGGAGCTACTCGGCAGATGTCCAAGGCAATCGCGCAACTCTCAGCAAGATGCAACGGCGATGGACGTTGATTTGGCAACGGCACTGGCGTCGGAATGACCACGAGAGTGAGAAGCTGTTCGGCGATGCTTCCTTAGCAGCTTGAGCACAATGTGTCTATATCTCTCTGTACAAGCCTAATTCATCATACCACTCACGGCCTCCACCCCTCCCGACAATGCACCAACCGCCCTTTAACCCACACCGCAACCGTATTCCGATCATCCCCCGTATACACCCACTTAGCGATCTTCTCCTCCCACCCCTCCCCGCCAAAAACCTCCACCAACCCTTCCCGCCCATCCAACCCCACCGTCTCCGGCACCACGGGGCCGAGAGAAACCATCTGCGCATCCCAGTCCTTGCCCACCTCGAACCCGCCAATGCGATCCTGCAAGCCAACGACTTCCGCCCCGCCGCGAGTGGCGAGGTACAACGCCTCCTCCACAGACAACTTGGCGTCGTCGCCGTGATCCATGGCGACGTGGCGGGAGACGAAGATGGCTTCTCTGCACTGAGCTAGTAAGGAAGGAGTGTAGCCGCCGCTGACGTCCGTGCCGAGTCCGACGGTCAAGCCTTCGTTCAGCATGGTTCGCACTTTCGCCGTGCCGGAAGTGAGCGCTGTGTTGGAAGCTGGACAGTGGCTGATCTTCGCTTTCCGTTCTCTGATCAACTTCCGTTCGTCGCGCGAGAGGTGGACTGCGTGAGCGAGGATGGTTTTGGACGTTAGGAGGCCGGTAGAGTCGTAGACGTCGGTGTATGATGCGCTGTGCGGGAACAATTCCTTGACGAGTTGGCATTCGGATTTGTTTTCGGAGATGTGCGTTTGGACTGGCAGGTCTGTCTCATGGTGAAGCTTGCCCAGCGCGGTAAGCGTGGCGTCCGTACATGAAGGGGCGAAGCGAGGAGTAATGATTGGCGTGATGAGCTCGTATTCCGGATCGATCTGCTTGATGTGGTCGATAGAAGCTTTCGTGTCATTGACAGCTGACTCGGTACTTTCATCACGATACCACTCCGGGCTCAAGCGATCCATGCACACTCTGCCCACGAACGCTCGTTGACCTCTCGAGTGGCAGATGTCCGCTAGCAAGTTTGTTGCGGGGACGTGGACGGTGGCGTAGTAGCAGGCCGTCGTCGTCCCATGCGATAGCGTCCGGGCGACGACACGGTTGTAGATGCGAGCCGCTTTATCGAGGTCCTTGAACGAGGATTCCAGCGGGAAGGTATATGTGTTCAGCCAATCCAACAGCGTCGACTTCCCAAACACGCCGGCGTTGGGATATTGCGAAGCGTGGATGTGCGTGTCTACAACCCACTACATCAGCACATCAATCTCCAATGCTGCATCCGTAACCCCATCGGAGTTTATAAGTTTAGCACACGCACCTACAAACCCGGGGAAAAAGAAGCAATTCTCCCCAACACTGACAACCTTCGCCTCCTCCCACCCCTCCTCCACCGGTAACTGACGACCCTTCATATCACGACGAACGAAAGCAATCTTGCCATCCGCGCCCACACCAATCATGCCATTGGGGCAAACATCGAGCTCGGTCAAACTCTCACAGTGGATGAAGGGAGCAATATAGATCGTCTTCTCCATTATTGCCCTTGCTCGCTTGGCTCAGAGACGGGAAACGCGGATGTTAAGCAAGGGAGGTGCGCGTGTCTGCCGAAGACGATGAAACGCTGCGTGACCTACCGTAGTCCTACAATAAAATAAACGGATGGTTTGTTCTATATCAATTGCTAGTGCGTGTGGGAGAGATTGCAGAGGTCGAGCAGCGACTCTCGTGATTGGTCGCACCCCAACCCGGGCCGATTCCGGCAAGCAGACATCGGCCGGATGCGAGCAGCAGAGCAGCAGAGCAGCAACAAGACCTTCCCATCTTGCATTCTCCAAGCTCCTGCATTGTCACCACTGAAGCGGCTTGTTGCCAAGGGGCCCAAATGAGGGTCCGTTTTCCATCGAATCCTCTTGAGATACACAATTAGTGCCGTTCCTCGCGTATCCGCACCTTTCCTCCTTTCACTCCACTTTACCCTCCCTCATCACTGCTAGAGACAAACCTCATGCACACCCCCAGGCCCTTGCTCATTGTAGTCCGTCCGACTCATATATCCCTTACTCCCCCCTCCCCCTGCCCCTCCACTCGCAGCCGGATCCACAACAAACAACACCCGCCCCGCCACCTGCGCGCCCAAAAACTGCGCCTCCTCATACCCGACCTCCTTCCACTCGGGGAAGTACTCGGGGATCTTCGCGAGTTTGATGCTCGTGGGCGTTTGTGCGTGGGAGGAATGCATGCTGTGCGGGTGTTGCTGAGGCGCTAGTAATCCCGAAGCCGATGCGGACGCTGACGACGATACTCCGCCGGGGTGAAGTAGACCCGGATTCTGCGCCGTCGTGGCCGCAAGGAGTAACGGGTTCACACCCCCACCACCATGATGCGAAAGTGGCAAGGGCGTACTCGTCCCCGTCCCGCCCGGCGTACTCATCCGACTCGGCAATTCACTCACAAACATCGTCGCACTAGACGGACTGACCAAGAATTTCCGCATCAACACCTCCACCAACGCCTCCTTGAACCCTCGTACCTTCGCTCCATTCCCCACGACAACCAGATTCTCCCACAACTCGCTCCTCCGGTGGACATCAATGCAGGACTGGATTGTCCGGTGTATAGCGTCCGCAAGTCGATCTAAGATCCCTCCCGAGGCGGCTTGGAAGCGTTCGGGGCCGACTTCGATCTCGCGGCGGAAACCGCTACCGTTGGATCCGGGACTGGCGAGTAGCTCGGCGTCCGGGGGTGGCTTGTCGGAGACGGCGCTTTGGGGTTCGGGAGTCTTTTGGCGTTTCGCTGCGTTCGGTCCCGTGCCGCCACTGCTGTCGAAATCCATGGCGGATTGCATGTCGGCCATGTTTTGATTGCTCATCCCGGCCTTCTTCATCGCGTCGTGGAGGGCGAAGTCCTCATACACGAAGGTATTCCGCGTGCGTTTGTTGTTCGGTAGGCGTATGATCCTCGCTGCCGCTGCGCCTGCCGCTCCACCACTGCCGCTACCAGACTGTGCCGCGTCGCCCGTCCCACCACCTGCGGCGCCACTGCCGGCTTTTTTGGCCTGTCGCGCAGCAGCCTTCTCCTGCTTCTCCCGTTCCTTCTGCGCGAGGTACTCGCTCATATTGCCGCCCGTGACGATGCTGGCGATATCGAGCACGCCTTCTTCGTCCTCTAGCTTCTTCTCCTCGCCGACTTGCGTGTTCGGGCCCGGTCCTCGTGGTAAGTCCGCGACGACGGATTGTTTTCGTTTGCCTGGCGGTACACCATCTGCGCCTGTCGACGCTGCGGCTGCTGGATTGGCGGAGTGCGCGTCGCCGCCGACCGAGTCGTTGGTAGGTATATCGAAGTCAGAAGGTAGTACTTCGCAGATATTGCTTTTCTTTAGCTGCTCGCAGACCTCGCGTGTAAAGCCTTTCCGCAGGTTAAGCAACTCCATCAATCGCTCCGTCATCGCCTCGCCTCCACAATCCGGTACAGCGATCGATCGTCCGATATCCTGCAAAACCGAGTCGCTGATACACGTGATATCCGCCTTACTCAACCCCACATCCACCACCGTCGCCGTCGTAAGACCATAAGCGTAGGAAGCCGCCATGGCCGAGTCCACCATCGTGAAAGCGGGGACTTTGAACTTCTCGAAGAAGAACTGCGTCACCTTCTCGTGCTCTTTGGGCGTCCATACGGGTTGTGAGACGAGGAGGATAGGGGTGTGGAAGGGCGGGTTGACGTAGTTGTAGACGTGGGTCATGAGGGCGTAGAAGCAGGGCCAGTCGACGACTTTCCCGCCGCGGATGGGCCAGACGGCGCCTTCTTCTGATACCCGATCTTCTTCCCATTCGTCGTCATCGTTGGGCGCGGTGGTTTCTGGTTTGGAGCCTGCGCCATTGGGTGCTGGAGCGAGACCGTTGACGGGCGCGGTGGGTGCGGGTGTGGGTGCAGGGGGCGCTTTCTCTTTCCGTCGGATCTTGATGGGTTCGTATTCGCCCGCCTTTTCGGCGCGGAACATGCGCGAGCGTAGGCGGTAGCGGGCGGGGGTGAACGACTCGGGGAGGCCGAGTTGGGCGAGGGTGGTTTCGGAACCGGGGGCGATGATCTTTTATTGTCATATTGATTTAGCTTAAGTTCATTGAGGGCTGTGAACGGTTATGTCGGGCTTACGAAGATCTGGTCATCACGGAAGGGAGGCATTTCCTGAATGAGTGCGGGGTGAATGTGAATGTGAATGCTTCACCTCCAACTCCACTCAATCAATGCTTGACGGAGAAGACGCGAAACACGCGATTCTGCGCTTGAGTACTGATTGGCTGTGAAGGGAAGGGCGCTAGCGGTCGGCCGCAGCGTGGAAGAGGCTCGAAAGTTGAGCCGTTGCGTCTCTATCGCATTTGAGGTATCATTCAAGAGGTAAGAGCCCACCGTTGCAGGCCTTGTCATTTTCTTCAATCAATTTGGGCACATGGCCGCCCTTTGCAACGCTGCAATGGGTAGAGTGCAGGGACGTGTGGAGAGGCAGAAACGTCCGCGGGGAGGGGCCATCCTGACTCGTGAAGCTGTCAGTGCTGAGCCACCGGCCGAGCCAAGCGGTGTGGCTTGGCCAGTGTCATTCCGCATACTGTAGTGTACAGGTACTGCATGTGAACGTCCACATGGATTTGTGGCAAACCCTCACGCGCTGTTGTTGGCTTGCCGGCTACAATCACGCCCACACGACAACAACATACTCCCGCCATCGTGAGGCTTACTGTCGCTCAAGGACATGCGTAAGTGCTCAGTTCATGTTCCCCCTTTGACCGTCCCGCCCCTGCCCTCGTGCTTCCACCACATGCATCGTCCAAGGAACGCCACGCAAACGCCCCACCCGCGTGTAGTCAGCGATTAGGCGGCCCTGCACGCTTGGCCACTTGGCTCGCTTTCCGTACTCCGCGCCTTGCCCCGGGCACTCAGATGACTTGAGACATCATCTGTCTACCTCCTCCTTGCACACTCCGCCCGTTTTCTTCTGCTTACTACACCACTCCGCTCTCTGCGCAAGGGCTCCGCCACACGCCGATGGGAAAGACGTCTGACTTTCTTCGACCAGACCGATACCGTTCCCAAGCGAGACTTCACGCTGGACGCACCCTTTCATCCTCAGCACCCGGAGATAGCAACGGAGGCGCGATCCTACCCTTGCACAACGCGTCACGAGACACTTCTCGTCCTGCACAAACTGGCGGACTAAACGATCCACAAGATGCTGGGCTTGGAGGACCATCGTCTGGACCCTCAGCCAGTAATACCCTTCCCCACGGACGCGATGGAGGCGACGGGGATGGCGACTATATTGTTAGCGGAATCGGAGAGCACAAGGGCATGTCTGAGAAGTCCACGCACAACGACACCGAAGACGCAACATCAAAGTCCGTGCCTCCACCAGCGCCCCCTCCGCATACCGCGCCTTCGAGCTCTGGAGATTCCGCCATAAAGCCCACCAAAGGCGAGGTCACGCTCGCCAAGAAGGAGAAACCAACCATCGGCAAGTACATGCTTGGTCGTATCAAGCGATTCTACATGCACACCAAGAACGCCATCTTCTCAAGCTGGGTTAACGTTCTGCTCATATTCGTACCGCTCGGTATTGCCATGGACGCCGCGAAGTTGAACCCCGCGCTCGTCTTCTCCATGAACGCTATCGCGATCATTCCACTCGCTGGCTTGCTCAGTCACGCTACCGAAGCCGTGGCCGCACGTATGGGCGATTCACTCGGCGCGTTGCTGAACGTCACTTTCGGTAATGCGGTCGAGCTGATCATCTTCATCATTGCTTTGGTGAAGAACGAAATCAACATTGTTCAGGCTTCCTTGATCGGGTCAATGCTTTCCAACCTCTTGCTTATTCTGGGCATGTGCTTCTTGCTTGGCGGCTTGAGGTATCGGGAGCAGATCTACAATAGCACGGTTACGCAGATGAGCGCTTGTATGCTCAGCATCAGCGTGATGAGTCTGCTCTTACCCGTACGTATTCAAGTACACCGCTCGATGGAAGACTCGCTGATTACATTATAGACTGCCTTTCACGCCTCTTTCAGCGACGCCAGCACCGCTCAAGCGGACAGGGCCGTGCTACGTGTCAGTCGCGGCACCAGCGTCATCCTTCTCCTCGTCTACATCCTCTATCTCGTCTTCCAGCTCAAATCACACGCATACATGTACGAGAGTACGCCACAAGAGATTATCGATGAAGAATCCCACCCGGGCGTCTTGGCCGACATAATGAACTCCTCCTCATCCTCCTCGGACGACAGCAGCTCCACCGGCGACTCCGATACCGACACCTCCGGCTCCATCATGACCAATGGACGCAAGATCCGCAAGAAACTCTTCCGCAGTCGACGCAGACGCAAGTCCAACGCCAGTGCTAGCAGCACCACGCAATCCGTCCCGTCTGCACTAAGCTCACCTCTGACGGAAGAACGGCAGGGTAGCTACTGGGAATCGCAAGTTGGTAGCCGCGCGCCTTCTCGTCGCGAGTCTATGCTTCATGTCATCGCTAGCGCGGACGAAGGAGACGCGGATCAGGAGGATGGTCGTCACAATATCATGCCTCGTATTCGCGATTTTGTGCAGAATGGTGAAAGCGTAAATCAGGGCGATGAGTCTAAGGTCGTGGAGAAGAAGAAGTCGAAGCGGAAGCAGCATAGGAGACATCGCAAGAGGCATCGGCGTTCGGATGCGGAGAAGGAGGCCGCGGAGCAGCAGCAGGAGAAGGAAGCCGCAGCGATCGAGGCCGAGAAGGACAAGTCGGAGTCAGCGGCCCAAGGACCTGTCGATCAGCCTAAGGTAGGCTTCGCGGATGATGTCGAGTTCGTTCAGAACAACAACGAGACTCGTGATGCGGTACCCGACCCCGCGACCGCGGGCAGAGTGGCGTTCAATATGCGCCAGCTCTCCTCTCGCGTCAGTTACCGGCCTGGTCTGCCGAAGATGCTCTCGAACACCGTCTTCACGCAGCCGCCTCCACGTCCGGAACCGAGGGCTGGCAATCCTGCGCTCGTTCGTCCGGTCGGCGCTGCTACGATAGCAAGTCGCCCAGCCAAACCAACTACGACCACCCGCACCCGCTCCGACAGCCACGGGCTGCGCCGAACCAACTCTCTGCCGGACCGCCTGAATCACCGTCCGCAGGTCGAGCGAACCGCAACACCCACTCACGTCACCCATACCGACCCCTTACCACCCTTCCAGCATCAACGTCAACGCCAGGACATCCGCGCCGCCAACCCCTCCGACACCCCGGGTTCAGACAGCGACGAAGACGAGCACGAAGTCACTCTCTCCCGCACCGCAGCAGTAGTCATGCTCCTCCTCTCCACCGCCCTCGTCGCCGTCTGCGCCGAATTCATGGTCTCCGCCATCCCCGGCATGCTCGCCTCCACCTCCTCCGTCAGCGAGGCCTTCATCGGCCTCATCATCCTCCCCATCGTCTCCAACGCTGCCGAACACGTCACCGCCGTCACGGTCGCCATGAAGAATAAAATGGATCTCGCCATTGGCGTCGCGATCGGAAGCAGTATTCAGATTGCCATATTCGTGACCCCGCTTGTGGTTCTGCTGGGCTGGATCTTGAGGACGGAGATGAGTTTGTATTTCAATTTATTCGAGACGATTAGTTTGTTCGTTACGGCTTTTGTGGTCAACTTTCTTATCTTGGACGGGCGGAGCAATTACATGGAGGGCAGCTTGCTTATCGCCGCGTACGTGGTTATTGCGGTGGGGGCGTTCTATTATCCGGGGAGTGATGCGCAGAGTGCAGTGGGCGGGGCAGGGACGTCTTGAGGGGCGTAACCTATTGGGATGGGAGTGAGACAGTGTGTGTGGGGATGAGGTATGAGAAGGAGTGTGGGAGGATGCAGGTGGCGATGAGAGGGTGGGCTTCGTGCTGGAGGGTGTGGGGCTGAGGGTAGGGTCGAGTAGAGTAGAGGATAGAGGTCGTTCTTCGGAAGGTGCTGGGTCAGATATGCGACGGGATGACCGCCCGCTTAGCGGCAGTGATCTTTCTCTAGCAAGGCAGTAGAGACAGTCGTTACAGCATATTTGTGTGGACGCCTGTCACTGATGTCTATAGCCTTGTGGGTAGAGTATCACGTGAAGCATATCCAACCGTACTGTCAGCGTCAATAGCCCGCAAACTCAATCGTGAAGGTCTCTTAGGTCACAACCGAGATATGGAGAATGGTATGGCTCGACAGGGTGAGTAAGATTGGAGATGGTAGGATGAGTGCAAGTCGCAGCACGAGCCATCCAATGCATTCCCCTCGCTTCGACGCAGTCACCTCAGTGTGTCACCCATCTGCAACAGAATGGCTGGCCCACCTACCCTCGCACTTCGAAGACAGCTAAATAGACTATGTCGTCTGAATCTTCCGCGCGCCTACGCTACCGAAACCACAAAGCCAACACCCACCCCCGAAGAGGCAACCCGCTTCCTGCAAACCCAAGACCAAGCCGCGCTCCGTGACTTCCAACAAAAGCTCGACACCCTCACCGACCACGTCAAAAAGATCTCCGAACACCTCTCCACCCAGCCCACGGCCCTCCCAGGCATAACAATCTCCGACCCATCCAAACACCACGCCAACACCAGCACCAACACCAACACCCACAAACGCAAAACCCACATCACGCCCATCCCAACCTACACCCTAAGCCACACCCGCACCCAAACCCACCTCGCCCACACCCTCGCCGACAAAGTCCTCGCCCAAATCGAGCACGTCTCGAAGCACAACGACGACCTCCTCGCGCAACCCTACGCCAAACCGAGCAACATCGCCGGTCTGGACGAGTGGACGCGCGATGTGGCCGCCATGACGGAAGGGGAGATGGAGGATGAGTATCGGAGTTTGTTGTTGGAGGAGGAGACGCAGGTGAAGCGGGGGGAGCGGGATAGTGTGGCGCTTTTGGAGTTGGTCAAGCAGATTGAGGCGATGGGGAGGAAGGGTTTGGGGGTGGAGGATTTGGAGCGGGAAGGGAAGGTTAGGAATCCCTTTCGGAAGTCTGATGGTGGTGGTGGTGGTGGTGATGGTGGGGAGAGTGTGAAGGGTCGTGCGAGCATTGCCACGGGTGATGGCGCGACTGAGGGCGGTGGAGAAGGTGCGAAGGGTCATGGAAGGGCGGTGACGAGTGATGAGGGGCTGCGTAGTGAGGTCAAGATTGCTAAGCCAGCTCCGTCCAACACACTGATGGAGATGCAAAGAAGGCTGGAGGAGGAATTGAAGAAGTCGAAGAAACCCGGCTGAACACGACGAGGCCTGGACGACTATCCTGCTACCTATTCGAGTGACAACTTATATGTACATTCCGGGTATACAAGCCTTCCTCATGGCCCGCACCTTCCTGCACTGCAACGACGCGGCCTGACCTTCCATCGCGGATGATAATAGATAACAGACTCGTCGTCGGGCTTGTCACTGGTGCTAAGCAACTGGTCCTCACAACTTGCTTCAAAACCCCAACTCTTCGTTCTCCTCCACCACACGAACCGCAAGATCATGAAGCCTCTGCTCGACAACACGTCTCGCCACCGCCCGGTCAACCGGATCATCCACGCGCCTGCGAAGGCCTTCCAACTCTGCATGAACCCTATCAATCTCATCGGCCTGCTCCTCCGCCTCGCCATCTCCATACCCGCCGTGCTTCTCGTAGAGGTGATTGTAGACCGCGTCGGCATCACCAAATATCTGCATGCAAAGCCAACACATGTGAGACTTGCAGCCTGCGCACGTCATGTGGTTGCAACCTAGGTTCTTCTGGATGATGGTGTCGCAGCGCTTGCATCGCTTCGCGTTGCCTTGCCGGAGATACTCCTCGAGCGCACGCATGTGGCCTTCCTCGCGGTACTTGCATTCGGCACAAGTCTCTCCATCGTGCATCTCAGCTTTGCAATTGGTGCAGCTGACGGTGAAGCAGCGCGGGCAGATGTGTCGCTCAACAACTGCGCCGACACGGAAAACCATGTCGCAATCTGGACCTGGACACTGCGCGTGTTGGCCGGGGTGCTTGGCCACGTACTCTTTCACTGCATGTTTGGCCAGCTGCTGAAAAGCGTCTTCGCTGAGCGCAGAGCGTAGGAGGCGTACCGGAATCAATGTGTTGCAGCCCAGCTGGAAGCAAGTAAGAGGCAGGCGCAGGCCATTCTCGTTGCGACAATAGCCGGAGAAACAGTCTGTGCAGCAAACATGATCACATGATGGAAGCTGCACGTGCTCCTGGTCGTTGGTACAGCAAATAGTGCAAGCCAATTCTTCTAATTGTTTGGCGTACTTGTCATTGTTTGGAAAGAGCGCCACCTGAACTTTTCGTAGCGTTGCAACGCCTCCCTGCACCTCAATAGCTGGCGGATTTGACTCCTCGTTAAGCCTGACCTTTCCTGGGCCAACAGCGCGTTCGGCCACTGCAAGACCTTCTGTGGTAACATGGCGGTAATTGCTCGTCTTCGTGAGGCGAATACGGTGTGATGGTGCTGGCTTCGGTGCAACCTCTGTCAATGTCCGCGACATGGCAGGAGCGTTAGCGCAGACGGTAATGACAGCCTTGGCCTCCATTACCACTTCTGTTGGGGACGGTCCGATAGTGATGCGAACTGGTTTGAGGCCATCGATCATGCTTGCATCGTCAATGTGAATTTTGACGTGATCATTGTCGTACTTCTCTCGAGCCATTGCTTTGAGTTGGCCTGGTTTGTAGCTGTGGCGGTCAAGAAGGACGACAACCCGTACACGCTCGGTCACGAAGATCTTGGTTTGCCCGAACTTTGGAATCTGTTCCCTCTCAAGCTTCCGAGCCAACGATCCCAGATTAGGCGAGCCTTCGAACGTGAAGACTGCACGGCCCTTAATGTTCTTCTTCAACGGCACAGTCTCATCACACCTTATCTTTCGACGAGTCTCTTGCTCGATGCGCTTAGTGATTGTCGCCACTGGTGAAGAGACTTCCTCGTACAGAGCTTTGCCGTGCACAATCTTCGCTGGCTTTACCGTGTTGGGAGGGAAGAGCGCCTTGAGCTGTTTGTCGGTTACTTCTTGGGTGATATTCGCAATCTGCACGGACCATGCACCTGCTTTATCCGGTGCTTTGATAGTACAAGACAGCAGACTCCCGTTTACGTTAGCGCGCTGTAAGAAGCTCATCGCCGCATCAGCATCCTCTTGCTTTGTAAAGTGCATCCAGACATTGTGACTGGGCTGATACCTTGTCACCTCGAGGGAAGTGGCGACATCCTGCACTCGCACTTTAGTGTTATTAGAGTCACTCACTAACAAGTCATTAACGATGAGTCCATCCTCGAAGCTGACTTTAGCCAGGTCGAGGACAGTATATTTGGGGGGACCAGGGTCTGGTCGGTAACTTGTCGCTCGCATAGGCTGTGGCCAACGGCCGCTCTGATCCTTATTAGCTGCAATGCCTAGAACGTATGCCAACTCTCAGCATACCTCGCCCTTGGTGGCGGAATCTGCAGGTACTACCGTTCTTGCAGTTGCCCTGGAGAAAGAATTTGCAGATCGATTTGGAAGTCATACTGCTTCTAAGTGGTTATGGTAGTGTGCCGACCCGCCTGTCCAAGTCAATTACTCTCGCAGACGCCGAATACCATCAAAATGCAATGCGATGTGTATTAGGACGACAGGTTGGCTGTCTCAAACAAGCTGCTGCGTTGAGGTCGGCAGCTTGTGCAGGAATCAGTCACACTTGGCCTGGGAGGCTACCCCATCACCTTCAAGGGAGCTGGTCGCCCACAATCAAACTACTTGTTGGGGGTAGCTGATGAGATAGAGATAGTGCTTGCGGTGCAATGGGTGTGGAGCTGTGGAAGGTGTTGTTTGTCCGAGCAACGAACGCGCAGGTGGAGTCAGATATTGTTGAGAGTGCCTAAGGTGTCAAGAAACTTGCCAAGCCTGCGAGCGGAAGAATCTCCGACCGCACGCCTTTTCAGTGGGCTGGCGGGCAGCGGCGAGTCATAGCTGTGTCAAGACTCACAAGTGACCCACGCAGCATCTAGCACATATTGCAGCAAAGCCATCACTGCAACTATTCGGAAGTGACATAGTAATCATGACTTCTCGATTCTTCCACGGTGACAGCTCGAGCGAGAGCTCCTCGGAGGAAGAGGAAGAACTCTACGGACAAGCGGCAGCGGAAGACGAGTCTGAGGAGGAGAGTGAGGAGGAAGAAGACGATGAAGATGAGGACGAATCCAGCGATGACGATGACGGCAAGACAGGCGCCGCTCGCTTCATGCGGGACGCTTCAGACGATTCGGACGAAGAGGATGAAGACAAAGTCACGATCGTAAAGTCTGCGAGAGACAAGCGGTTCGATGAACTCGAGGGCACAATACGGCTGATCGAGAACGCGGAGAAGATCAGCGACTGGACTGCCATTAACGAACAGTACGACCGAATGAACCGGCAGATACCGACTCTGCAGCGCGATTTAGACGGCAAGGCACCGAAGATGTTCATCAAGGCCATCTCCGAGTTGGAGACGCTAGTTATGGAAGCGTACGAAAAGCAGAAGGTGACTCCGAAGAAGATGAACCCGATTGCGCAGAAAGGCCTAAATGCGCTACGGCAAAAGCTTCGGAAGAACAATAAAGAGCACGCATCGGACATTGAGGCGTTCCGCAAAGACCCGGACGACTTCATGAAGGAGGACGTAGTAGAAGAGACGGCACCTGCTCAAAAGAAGCCCAAGAAGAAGCTGCTTGACGCAGGGGAGAATGCGCTTGACGCGGGTGAGGATGGCTTCACGATGGTTGGTGCGGGCGGCAAGGCGATGGTGTACACCCCAGAAAGCATACTCAAGCATCTACGATCAATCGTTGAATCACGAGGACGGAAGAACACCGACAAGCTGGAGCAGATTCGCATCATGGAGCGGTTACTGGACGTTGCTGTATCGGACTACCAGCGTGTGCGGGTGCTTCTAGTCCTCATCGCTACGCGCTTTGACTTGACTTCCGGCACTGGCTCGCAGATGTCCCAGGAGCAATGGAAGTTGGCACAGCAGGAGCTCGCTCAGCTACTTGGCACGCTCGAAGGCAACAAGGAGCTCGTTGTTGTTGATGTGGCTGAGGAGTGGGAAGATGACGAGAAGCAGCCTACAATCACGGCTGGTGAGCTATTCAAGATCCCAGGCACTGTCATCTCTCTCGTTGAGCGTCTTGACGACGAGCTTACCCGCGTCCTACAATCGATCGACCCACACACTGCCGAGTACGTGGAACGCCTGCAAGACGAAGGCGGCCTCTATACCAACATCGTGCGCGGCATGCTCTACGCTGAGCGCCTGAGAGCGGAGCCGAAGCTTGACTACTCACAAGACAACCTGAATCGGATAGTGATGCGCCGGCTACAGCATGTTTACTTCAAGCCAGCTCAAGTCGTCAATCTCCTCGAAGACAACACATGGAAGGCTGTGCCCGAAAATTTAGACTCGAAGATAACACCTCGTTCGGAAAGTCGGGATGTCAACCATCTCGTGCAAACACTCGCGGTCTACCTTTTCAAGCACTCGGAGGGCATCCTCCGCGCCCGTGCTATGCTGTGTGAGATCTACCACCTTGCTCTGCACGATCAGTACTACAAGTCTCGCGATATGATGCTCATGTCGCATCTTCAAGACACCATCAACAGCTTCGATGTGGAGACGCAGATTCTCTTTAACCGCACGCTTACCCAGGTCGGACTCTGCGCGTTCCGCGCCGGCCTTGTCTATGAGTGTCAAACCGCATTACAGGACATCTGCGGCTCGCAACGCCAGAAGGAGTTATTAGCTCAAGGCCTGCAGATTCAACGGTATTCGCAAATCACACCCGAGCAGGAGCGCATCGAGCGGCAACGACAGCTTCCATTCCATATGCACATTAACCTCGAGCTGCTCGAGTGCGTCTACCTCACTTGCTCCATGCTTCTCGAAATCCCAACGCTGGCCCAGGCCGGCTCCTCTCCGGATCTCAAGAAGCGCGTCATCTCCAAGTCGTACCGCCGCATGCTTGAGTACCACGAGCGGCAAATCTTCACCGGTCCGCCGGAAAACACGCGCGACCACGTTATGCAGGCTTCCAAGGCGCTTGCGGCGGGCGAGTGGAAGAAGGCGTGCGAGTTCATAATCAGCATCAAGATCTGGGACCTGCTACCAAAGAGCACCGAAATTAAGCAAATGCTGGAGCGTCAGATCCAGGAAGAAGGCCTGCGCACGTACCTCTTCACCTACGCGCCCTTCTACGACACCCTCAGCGTGGACAAGCTGGCGGGTATGTTCGACCTCAGCGAGCAGAAAGTCACAGCTTTAGTGTCTAAGATGATTCATCATGAAGAACTCGCCGCAGCGCTAGACCAAGTCAACAGTGCGATCATCTTCCGCAAGGGCGTGGAGCTGAGCCGCCTGCAGAGTCTGGCTTTGACGCTGAGCGACAAGGCGCAAGGGCTGATCGAGGCGAACGAGCGGGTGCTGGAGCAGAGAACACAGGGTACGGCTAACGCATTTGAGAGGCAGGGTCCCGGTGGTAGAGGAGGTCGTGGCGGTGCGAGAGGTGGTGCGAGAGGCGGCCGAGGGGGTGGAGCATTCAGGGGAAGGGGTGGCGGTGGGTTCACTGGTGGTGCGCTTGGGAGTGCTATTCGGGCGCAGTGAGACCTTTTGCTGGAGTGGAGCATGGCGTCTGCGTGATTATGAGCCTCTTGTGGCTTCATACGTCCAGGCCGCATGCTGGGGAGGCTTGCTGAGTATTACATTATTGCAGTAGGATGCTTCGTATGCGTATGCACCTCAAGGGAACCTCATCATAGTCAAAGCTTCATACCGCTTTCTTGGCAAGGCTGGAACAGTCCATCCGCGTGGCTGGTTTAGATCACTCGCCATAACTGGTTGAATGTCGTTGCATAGTTGGCAGAGACGATAGGCGATCAACTACGGACGATTACCCTCTGCGAAGAGTCATACTGTGCTCGCAATACCCTGTCTCCGGGTATCCCTCTGCTATTGATCTAATGTAGACCGGTCATCTTGCCAGGCACCAGGAACAGGACCTCACCAGCCACTATCACCCGTACTCCGAGACTACTATTTCACGATCGCGTTCTACCAGTCGTTCTCCTTATACTCTCTTACACTCTCTTAACGATGCACTTCTCCCGCATCCCTCTCCTGCTCGCCTACCTCCACCTCGCCTGCTCCTCTCAACCTTCCGCCCCTGCCCCAATCACCGCGACACTGCGTCCACTTCCTTGGGGCCAACTCAACTTTCTCCACACGACCGACACCCATGGCTGGCACGCAGGCCACCTTCAAGAGCCCCAGTACTCTGCTGACTGGGGTGACTACATCTCCTTCGCTCACCACTTGCAGCAACGAGCAGACGCTGATGGCTCAGACTTACTTCTGATCGACACCGGCGATCGCGTGGAAGGCAACGGACTATACGACGCCAGTAATCCGAAGGGCAAGTACACGTTTGACATCATGAAGCATCAGCGGATTGATGTGATTACGACGGGGAATCATGAGCTCTATGCTGCGAATACCAGTGTAAGGGAATTTGAGGAGGTGGTGCCAGACTTTAGAGATGCGTATATTGCGAGCAATCTGGACATCTACCACCCGAAGACGGGCAAGCTGGAGCCTCTGGCGCCGAGGTTCAGACAGTTCACGACGAAGAATCAAGGCATCCGGATCGTGACGTTTGGGTTCTTGTTCAACTTTCACGGCAATGCGAACAATACCGTCGTGCAGCCTGTCGAAGATACGGTCAAAGAGCAGTGGTTTCAGGACGCAATCAGGACGGAGGACGTAGACCTGTTCGTCGTAACCGGCCATGTACCCGTAAGAGACAGTCAGGAGTTCGATGTTATTTACAAAGCGATCCGCGACGCGAAGTGGGATACCCCGATCATCCTTTTCGGCGGGCACACGCACGTCAGGGACTACAAGAAGTACGGCAACAAAGCGTATGCCATGGAAAGCGGACGGTATATGGAGACACTTGGTTTCCTGTCAATCTCTGGCTTGAGCACAGGCAAGAACGATGTCGTACATCCGGAAGCGAGTCTGACGTACCAACGCCGCTACGTCGACAACAACCTCTTCTCCCTCTACCAACACTCAGACACTGACGCCTCCACCTTCCCAACACCCCTTGGCACGAACGTCTCTGCCGCTATCGCCTCTGCGCGCAAAGATTTGAATCTTGATCACGCCTACGGCTGCGCTCCGCAGGACTACTGGCTTAACCGCGCTCCGTACCCTCATCCTGACAGCCTTCTTTCACTGCTGAACGAGCAGATCATACCAGACGCATTCGAGGAGGCCATTAAGAAACCCAGTATCGTCATCACGAACAGCGGCGCGTTGAGGTTTGACATATTCGAAGGACCCTTTACGATCGATACCACGTTTCTGGTCTCGCCGTTCACGAGTGGGTTTAGGGTGTTGAGGGATGTACCTTATGAGGCGGCGGCGAATGTGTTGAAGCTCTTGAACAATGAAGGACCGATAATGCTTCCGGATTTGCTCGCGTTAGCGGACAATGGGAATGTCGTATTGCATGATCTGCTACCACCGCTGCCGCCGGCAACCGAGCATAGTCTGCGCGCGCAGCAGAGAGTAACGGGTGAAGGGCAGATCATGCTCCATGCCGATGATCCTGCGCTAGTACCCGGCTACACAACTACAGACGACGCAGGTAAAGATGGAGACGACACCCTGCACGCTCCCATCCAATTCTACAACGTGCCGAACTGCGTAGCGGCGAACATTGGCTTCACACCCAAGGCGAACCCGGAAAAGGTCGATATAGTGTACAACGAGTTCATCCAAGACTGGGTGTTGTTGGCGCTGACGTATTTGGGTGAGGAGCGGAGCAAGGAGGAGACGGAGATGGTGTTGGGCGGGAGGAGCATGACGGAAGTGATTAGTGGATGGGTAGGGGAGAAGTGGAAGTGCTGATCGCGACCGTAACAGAAAGTCTACATTCGTTGTATGCTTTTACTGAGTTCGTTGTCCTCACCAAGGTCTTCAGTCATATTCAAGCTGTTATGCCGTGCACTTGTGAGCGTGGCTCATCCGGACAATGTAAGGACCGAGCTTGTACAGTCTACATTTGCAGCCTCATAACCAGAATGGAGTCCACAAGCATCTCATCACTTGCGCAAACGCATGACGCCTTTCAGTTGTTAGTCGCTTGTCAGCCACCTCTTTCTTGATTAAGACTCCAGATCTCTCATCCGCTCAGGTCTCGGCACTTCCTCGGCTTAATGTCACCATGGATCATTTTCTCGCCAAAATCCCTGCCATCCATCAACAGCCTCTATAGCTCAGTTGGTAGAGCGCGGTATGTTTCCGCCAACAGACTTCCAACAAGCGAATCCCTTCTAATTCTCAACAGACACTAGTACTACATCATAGTTCGTCATGTCGAGGTCTACGGTTCGACTCCGTATGGAGGCAAGGTTTCGATCTTTCGTTTTGCCCCTGCAGCCCTTTTGGCTTGTTTCATGGCAGTGACACACTCTCAGATGGATGTACCGCCTCCGCAAAGCTACTCCTCTCCGGGCCTAGAGGCAATCGAGTGTGTTCGAAGGTTGTGCTGAAATGAACGCCTTGGGATTCTCCATGGTTGCTGCTATGATTCTCACAAACCCCACGACTTTATTGCGCAACACAGAGCCCGGTCTCATTCCGACATTTCTGCAACTCATATTAAACGCTCAAACATGTAACTGACAGCACCGATGCCTTGATACAGAGGATTCGTGACACTCCTTCGTCGGTCTTCTGAACCTTTGGGCATTATAGCGAGTGCAGACCTTATTCTGTCTTTGCGTAAAACTGCGGCGATCACGGCGTTCAGCCATGAGAAAGTCAATAAATGCTCGCAATTCCTCTCCGACCACCAGCTGCTGCCAGCCAGCATATCGGTGAGAAAGGATCCTTTGAACCGCTTTCGCAGCCCTGAGGATGTTCAGTCGTGCGGCCACCGATGCCGTAAAGCAGGCGTTGACACGCACGGCCGAACTGAAACTCCCAAAGAAGCATAAAGCCAACAAAGCTTAAAGGCAGCGAGCGCTGCCTAGTCGACATTTTTTCCGCCTCTCGAAAGCTGCAGGCGCTGTGTAAATTAGTATGTTAAGACCAAGGATGTCTGCCGCTAGACGAAGATGGAACGGGGTAGATCAAGTGAACCGCTTTCGCTCCAGCAACGGCAGGCACACGTGGCACTGCGGATTGTCGACACGAGTCGCTTCGCGCAGTGCATCGATCGTGCGCCGTTGATCCTAAACGCAAGCTACTTAGTAGTACAGGGGTATCTTAACAGTCAATAAAAGCGCCACGTTACCGATATATCGTGCGATTCTGTGGTCGCCGTGCCTTCGCTCTCCGTCCAGCATCCCGGATCCATTTTGGACGGTGGAAAGCTCTCACGAGAAGCCATATCTTTTGTCCAGCTCCTTGTACTGGGCCTTGGTGAGCTCATCTCCGATACCTTTTATCCCCGGATGCTTTGCCTTCCATGTACGAGCTCTATCACGATCATGGTGGTGGTTCTGGCGTTGTGCGTTTACTTTCGGTGCGGGCTTGCTGCTCGAATTATGTTTGTTGCTGACCACGAAACTGGTCAGCTAGTAGGTGGTCAGCGGCGACGCGCCGAGTTGGAGTATGGCTGCTACGAGAGACGAGATGACGGCACAGAATCCGTGAAGACTTACCGAGCAAGCTTCGTCCCTGGCTGACCTTGTGGCTTTGGTGGTAGGGGGTGAGCCATCGCCACGTTGCCTTTGCCGCTCTGGGAAACGAAGCGCTGGCGCTTCCCAGCCGGCATGGTATCTCCAGAAGCATCAGTGTTGAACCGCTTATCACTGAATGCTGATGGCGGATGCGACAAGGTTGTTGTGCGAGGGCCGTGGAGCTTCCCGAGCTTCTCCCGCTGCGCCTCGAATGAGGTGTAGTTGCCGCCCCATACGCACTCAAGGATGCTGCGGTGATCCTCTCCTTCCTCGACGTCCTCGAGCCGGTTCTCCAGAAGGGCGTACGCTTGGCGAAAGCAGTCGAGCACAGACTCAATCTCCCGCGAGCCACCAGAAATGTCATTCTGTGAGTTGTTCGGGTCAACCACCGTCAGTCGTTGCCCATTCTGCTTAGGCATAGGCTCACGCTGCTTGTCGAAGTAGCGGGGTGGACTAAGTTCGATGCCGACATGTCTGATATCGAACCGGTTGCCGTATAGATCGAGGAAGTTCATTAGGAGTTCACCATAATGCAGATTTGGGTCCATGCTTCCGCTCTGCAACTCTGGCATATGCTGCATCATACTGACGACCAGGCAGATGGTGGTGAAGCCACCGATGCCGCCACTGAAGACTTCGTTAAGACCGCGCATCGCCAGAAGCTGCTTGATGAGCACCACAATCGCGGGCATCGCGGGATAAAGTACCTTCCATTCTTGAAACGTCTTGTTTGCTACGATACCGGTCCTGTTCTCAAATGATATGTCGACTTTGATACCGGTCTTCTTGTCGATAAATTTGACAATCGGTACCTTTGCGTGGAGGACGACCTGCACAGACCCTGCAGCGGCGACTCCGCTTCTGGTCAGGTGTGCACTGAGCCTATGCATTTGGGTTCCACTCTGGCCTACGGTGCGCAAGCCTTGCTGCTGGAATGTCGACGAGATTGCAACCAAATCCATGTCAGCAGTTGGAAGGTAGAGGCCTGCCGCAAAGGAGCCAAAACAATGGATTTTGGTGCCATGGCTGCCCGCGATGTTCGACGTCAGGATTGCTCTCTCAACACGTGAAATGAGGTCACGGCGAGCTTCCTCTTCAAAATTCTTGGGCTGGACATAGTTGAAGAAGTCACAAATTTCTTTGTGTAGCCTGCATAAGTATTAGAAATTGGGCAGCACTCTGAATGGATGTCACTCGGCCTACCTCAAGCCTGCATTGCCGTGCCGAGCTGGAGCGCTTCTGCACCATGGAGTCGGATCCGTCTCATTCGGCTCCCATTCGTCGATAATGTCCCCCAACAGCTTTCCTTGGTGCGCTTGACGCTTCCGCTTTCTGGTTCTGCTCTCTTTTACCATGCCGGCTACAAGCTCCGCGTCAGTGGGCATTACGAAATCAGGGGGTGGAGCTGGCAAGCCGCCGACACCGTCAGGTCGGGGCTGGGGATCAGGAGGCCATGAAGCGGGCTGGTGGCCGTTGATAGATGTAACAGATGTATCAGCGTTTGTGTGCTTTCGTCGGGAGCGCTCGGTCGGCAGCGGCACGACGTCTACCGCCATCGAAGTCCTTTCTAACCCGCTATCACCTGTGAAGTCAAGGTCAAAAGAGATAAAGTCGACATTATCCTGGATTTCGTTCTTGTTTGAGGAAGTTGCTTTTGCTTCGTTTCTGGCTTTGCGAATGACCTCTACGATGTCCTTCTTTGGAGCCCCAAGTGTCTCTGGCGGTGGAAGTGCCGTGTAAGGGTCAGGGTTCGACCATTTCGGGACGTCGTCCGCAACGGTTGCGTTGAGCTTGACACGCTTTCGCGGTAGCTGGGATTCGGCGTCGTCATTGGCAGCCTGATCAGCGATTTCATCAAATGAGCCATTTGTAAGGTCGATGAGATCGACTTCTCCATCGTCGTCCTCATCGCTGCTCGAGTCAACCTCATGAAAGCGTTCCTGGCCATAAGCGTTCATGCCTTGGAGCTGCTCCGGCGTGGTCTCGCGGCGAGGTGCGGTCAACAGGTCACGCGTATGAGCCGGTCTCGCGACAAAGCGGCGCTGACCATTGAACCCATTGGCTTGGCGTTGGTGAGGTCCGTCATTGGACTTTGGACCCAGATGTCTCCTTTCTGGACGCATATGGCGTCTTGCTGGGAGTGAATGTTGTGGCACAAGCTGTGGTGATGTGCGAGGCCAGTCACGGTAGTCAGTATAAGACGCGGCGCTTTGTTGGGGAGGGAAGCGCGGTGCGCCTGCTTGTGGACGGAATGTAAACTCCTCTGCAGGCGGCCGGTAATGATCATGGGCATTGTGCTCCGCAGCCCCTCGTATGCTGTACCTCCGGCTTGGGGCGTATGTGGAATAACCAGGTTGCTGGTAATGGTCGGGTGCGCGGGTGGCGCGATGACCAGTTTCGTAGCGATCTTGATCGCCACGCCTATCAGCGCCTCCGCTAGGGCGGTAACTGTCCCTTGTCCCTCTTGACATTGCAAGCGCTTGCGATGCAATATCGGTTGACAGAGGTCGAGGCGCCAAGGGAATTGTGGAGGTGATGGTACACAGGTGTCTGCGAATGTTGTTGAAGATTTCCCGCTCGCGACGCACCTGCCGAATTGAGTTCGATGACGCATCGGCCCGTGCGTACTCACTATGATGTCCGACGGTTGCCGCAGTCAATTCCAAACCAAACAATCTCAGTTTTCCTTGGTAATTCGGCACGCACGGTGGAAACCTCGCTTGAAAGCTGCCGCTATGGAAAGCGTGAGACGTCGTCCTTATAATGCCACACTGGCGTGATCACGGACCGCTCATGCCGCCGACTTCAGCGACGAGATGTGGTAAGGTGGGGAAAGGCGCCCTATGCCGCACATCGCACTATGTCTGCCTTCCATACGGCGTGAATAGACGAGCTTCCACAGTCCTCTCACCATCTATCCTGATAGTCCAGCGTTGAGCAACTGGCCACTTGACAAGCTGATGAGCTTCAACTATGGCGGATGACATTGGCACCGTCAGAGCAAGCTGCCTTTGCGGCAACATCAGGTACAATATTGACCTGCCTCGCGCAGACTACCCTTTGAGAGCTGGCTTTTGTCATTGCAACTCGTGCCGTCACGTGTCAGGAACATTATGTATGACCATGGTTTTCCCACCAAAGCGATTCCAGCCTTCCGCACACCTACTGAACCAAATGCACTCGTTCCAGTTCTCGGAGCGCTGTACCCAATACTCGTGCACAACTTGCGGATCAAAGATGCTTGAGCGACAAGGCAGCCACGATCTTGTTGATAGCCAAGTCACTTGGGGCATCATGTCTGGAACGCTTGAGAAGGCAGATGGTGTGTTCGAGGTCAAGTATCACTGCTGGATTGAAGACACTCTGGACGGTGGATTCAGCGACTTCTTCCAGCCTACGAAAGGAGATCATCCCGAACGTTGGCTTCGTGGCGAAGGTCAGTCGGAGAAGTCGCCGTTGTTCTGGCAGTCGCCGACGTTTCTGAACGCGCAGCCTCCACCTCAAGACCGGCTGCATGCGCACTGCAAATGCGGCGGCGTGAGCTTCTACATTGCACGCCCTTCCACACAGTCTGCACTTGGCAAGGCACCCTGGCCGGATGTACTGATTCCGTTTCACTCTATGGCGCCCAAGCCCCAGGATGGGGCATGGTGGCTGGCGGCCGGAGGGACCAAGTTTCTCGCCGGAGTCTGCAGTTGCGACTCTTGCCGTCTAGCATGCGGCGTTGAGTGGGTGGAATGGGCCTTTGTGCCTGTGTCCGACATTACGCTGGACGCAGACGGCAGGACTTCTTTCTCGCGCGAGTTTGGCAAGCTAAAGCGGTACGAATCCTCACCTGGAGTTCGAAGGTATTTCTGCGGCGGATGCGCAGCTACGATTTTCTGGGACGGGGATGAGCGTCCGGACGTGATAGACGTCGGTGTTGGCTTGCTTGATGCTGCGGAAGGCGCTCGCGCTGAGAGCTGGTTGCAGTGGCGATCCCAGAGGATTAGTTTCAGGGAGGATGCTATTCCAAGGGCGGAGTCATTGATACTGGCTGCTGAAAATGGAATGAAGCAGTATGGGCACAAATATCAGGGTATTCCATTCAAGTAGTAATACAGTACGCTCGTGAATCAAGCTTCTTGACCCACGCTTTCGAAGGCTACTGTTCATTTCCTTACCCCTTTATCTTCCTTCAGGACTTCGAAATGGCATGCTCATGCTGGTCTTTCAGCTAGTGATGATCCTGCAGCCAACTGAGATAGAGTACTTGCAACTTGCCGTCGTGCAGCGCTTAGCTTAGCTTCGATTTCGGCCCCAGGTGGCCCGTTCGCCGACAGACACGGTCGGTAGATGCAAGCACGGCATCGACGGCGGAGCGAACAACTGCAATACATTGCACCTCAGCTGCCAAGAATCGGCGCGTCAATCATGGTCCGACCTATACTCGCTTGCTTGAACGAAGTGAATCTCCGCAAGATGTTAGGTGGGCTTCGGTGAGCCTGTTCGGACATTGTGTGGGTCCCTAAACCGAGCGGCACCGAGTCGGTTCCTGACCTGCATCTGACTGCGCTGACACGACGATGTCAACACCACCGGCAGGAGATGCGCCCGGCACTGGGAAACGGGACAACCATACGCCGAGCTGCACCGTTTGCCAGAGACGGAAAGTGAAATGTGATCGAGTCTTTCCCTGCGCCCCCTGCAAGAAAACCGGCCTGCAATGCGAATTCAAGCCTCGCGACTCGAGAGGCCGAAAGAGAGTCAAGTATACGCATGACGATGACTCGCGTATTGGCGCCAATCGAATTGGAAGGGTGCAAGTGGACGATCCGGAGGGACAACGATACTCGTCTGCGACAGATGAGCATGCGCGGAGACGGAAGAGCTCACAGACAGAGCATGATCAAGCTGAGAATGCCCGGCTTGTGACTCATGATGGCGCGGTGCGGTATGTGAATAACCATCTTTGGGGCGCGATCTCGCCACCGAAAGCAACCAGGAATGATGCTGCTGCTGGGGCCACCACTGGAACCACGCCGAGCGCGAATAGTGGCTCCCTACACCGCTCGCCCAGAGGCGTTACGGGTAACAGCATCTACGAGAATGCTGTGTCGTCTGGGTATGAGCTTGCGAAGGAGAAGCCTACGCGATCTCCGCAGTACGATGGAGGTGCAGAACGTCACTTCTTGTTCTCCGAATCACAGCGATTATCCGTTCCTCGACAGATACATCAACCACCGGCGAACATTACCATACAGCTGTGGCAGACATATCTGAGCAACGTCGATCCGCTCATGAAGGTATGCCATGCACCGACGGTACAACAGACTATTCTGGGCCAGATTGGAAGGCCTGCGCCGCCGCCTCCTCTCCAAGCACTTGCGAGCGCTATATACTTCATTAGCGTTGCGTCGTTACAGGACGATGAGTGCCAGGCGCTGTTGCACATTCCTCGCAGCGAGCTTCTAACAGCGTATCGACGAATGACCGAGGACGCGCTGTCCGCTGCTGGGTTTGTCACGAGTACAGAGCTTGCTGTGCTGCAAGCATTCGTTCTGTACCTTGCTGCGCTGCGTAGCATAGGCGACAATGCCACCGTGTGGTCTCTTGCCGGTGTAGCGATTCGCGTTGCAGGCACGATGGGTCTGGCGCGTGATGGGAGTGTACTGCGCCTACCACCGTTTGAATCAGAAATGCGCAGACGGCTGTGGTTCGCTCTCGTCTATCTCGACGCTCGTACGGCAGAGCTTGTCGGACAAGATGGCGATCTGTTGGTGCAAAACTACGACGTGCATCTTCCAGCCAACCTGAATGACTCCCAGCTGTTCCCGGATATGCAAAGGTTGCCGGAGAGCAAGCCTGGAGCCACGGAGATGGTCTATGTCATGTTCCGAGCCATCGTTCCGAGCACCATCAAATCAACCATTGGGCTGGCAGGTGCCGGTGGCACTTGGAAACAAATGCGAGCGAGCGGCATCCCAGCGACATACAAAGCCACCGTCGTCGAAGCGCTTGAAAGCATGTTCAACGAGGAATTCCTCAGTTTCTGCGACCCTACAGTGCCACTACAGAGGTTCACGATGAACGCTGTGCAAACGATTCTGACAAAGTTCCGACTTGTCGGAAATATCTCGCCCAGCCGCAGTCCGGTCAACGCCGACCCCGCAGATGTGGTCTCCGAGAATGAGTTTGAGCAGAGTATGAAAATGATGCAGCTGCAACTGGATCTCTTCCTCGACCCAAGCTTGCAAAAGTGGCGATGGCACTGGCAGGGCCAGTTTCAATGGTATGCATTAGCCGTGCTGATCCGTCAAACGAGGCTTCGTGAGCCTTCTGCGAAGACCAGCAGAGCCTGGGGCATCCTTCGTCAGGTCTTCGACACCGTCATGCCGACGCTGGAGCTGGCACCACATAAAAGTCCCCTTTTGAGTGCTATTCGCGAGCTCTTCAACTCCGCTGCACATGGGCAAGACACGTCGAATGCGACACCCGCTACCATCAAGTTTGGCAGCACACCAGCGAGCGCGGTTGCGACGCCCAGTACGTGGCGTCCAGGTACAACCCCGCACAATGCTCTGCTACCTGGGATGAGCGCAAGCGTGTCGACACCCGCGCCGGCCACCAACCTTATAAATGGCATAGGCGATTTTTCGCTTAATCTTGACTTCGATGCAATTGACTGGGCGGAGTTTGACCGATTGACAACCGAGCTTTGTGGCCAACCTACAGGGTGAGAATCGTTCAGTCTGTGAATCTCAGACCCCATGAAGTTGCTGGCTCTGGTCAACTGGTAGCCCTGAGAAGACGAAGTGAGTATTACAATTCCGTAGCTACTGAAGACAGTTACCACCAAAGCAGTATGGTCTCCGCGAGTCCAATGTATCATATGCTTATGGGCGACGAAGACGGCCACCTGATGGGTGAATGTACGCGCAGGCTGGTCTGAGTGACCACAGCAAGGCTCCCCGAGCCAGCGATCGCCATCTGAGGAGCATTTCGTGGGACGTCTTCAGCATTATGGTGAAAGTGCGGCCGACGCAGATGAGGTATCGTGCTTGTCCATGGTTATTGCAGCGTGCTTCCTCTGACATAACGTCGCTTGAGACAATCATTGGTGTTCACTGCCATCGGTACAATTCATCAGTATTAATCCGGTCCACTCGCCACTACCGACACTGTTAACCTTGCTGTTTCACATGCACTCACCGAGAAAGCCTCCAACGTTCAGCATATCCAGCAATACAACGCATCAGTGACCTGGATATTCCTCATAGTTCGTCGCCATGAAGCGCCTAGCGAAGACTCGCGGCTACGGTACCAGGCCTGTTGTTCGAGCTGTACATGGCACGGCCTCGATCCTCCTTTCGGTGATGTTATATGATATCGGACACGCCGGCCGAGCTCCGTCGAAACAGCACCCACGTAGACGAAGTCGTTGCAGAGTTGGCCGTCCTAACCTCCGGAGCCGAGCAACGAGCACAGGGGTGCAGTGCTCTCATACTCGTCAATGTATAATGTCGCCCTTGGCTTGGCGAGCGTCTTGAAGAACGTGGTAACTTTCCTACCCGACCATATGTGAAGCTGAACGAGCTTGTAGGTGCCGGGCACGTTGGACGCATCCAGTAGACGTCTTTGATACCTCTTAAGGCACCCAGTTGTTGAGGGTCTGGTCGTGGTCTGGTAGGCAGCCAAATTAACAGAAAGCTTGGCAGATCCGCTGAGCTCACGAGGTAACGTCAATGTCAGCAAGGTCGTGCTTTGTCGCCAGAGCACTAACGGTAGGGCGAGAGCCCACATAAGCGAGTCCATGACTCTACAAACTCTTTGCCGTCTGCTCATAAGTTAGCACCATTTCCAGCTATTAGGCCAGGTCAAAGTACCCTCAGCACTGCAGAAGTGCAGCAGATACTCGCCATCGCGGCTGCAAGGAATCTCGTGACCGGGTAGAAAGACATAGGGCGGTGGCTTGATAGCCGCCAAGCTGACCACGCCGTCGCTACAATATTCAGCCCACGCTGCGTCACCTTGTCGAGCATACTTTGTCACAAACGCTGTCCAGAGCGGCACGTCGCTCCTGGGCCCATGATAAGCACAAGCTTCTAGGCGAACAACTCCCGAGAGGCGGTCCCGTAGGAGACGAAGAGCGTGCGGCATGCGGCGGTGCATGATGACGCCGCCAAACTCCTCCATTTCGAAGCGCTCGTGCTCGCCTTTGAGCTCATGACAATCGAGAAGGTTATCGTGCGGGATTCCACGCTGGTCCTGGTGCTTCATCGCGACAAAGGTGCAGTACAATAGAACCATCCCTGATCATCGTTAGCGCACCTTCACGTTAATAGGACTATACATACTCTCGTAAAGCAGGAAGTTAAGCTGTGCCCAAAGGTGGTATCTGCCGTGAGTCCTAGCCTTACATAGCTGCAAGCTGGAGTCCTTCCGGATGATCTTCAGATTGGTCAATGGTGCACTGTAATATTCGACCCGTCCGAGGCTATCGAGTGTCATGATCAGAATGCGAGCTCGGCCATCCGGAGGTCGCCAGTATAGCCTTATCCACAAATGTTCACGGTCGAACGGTCTGAGATACGGATCAGCAGTGTACTTCGTTCGCTCTAGGTACATCAACGGACAATTGTAGGACACGCATGAAACCATCTTGGCCAAGATGATGAAGTGCGGATTCGTCAGAAGTACCGTGGCAGACGGATCGGTCGTCACTGGACGTAAGTCAGCCTTGGCAATGTATCGCCGGGTCCGGAACGCACGTCACGTAGTCTGCCCGGAAAGGTGTACGGTCATGTTGTCCGTCAAGAATATGTTGGGCCCAGTGGACGAGCTCCGTCACTCGATCAGGCTCCTCAGAGTACGAAGTCTGACTAGACTCGAGAGTCTGAGACGAGCTTGAGGTGAACGTTGGCGACAATGGTGACAACGGCGGAGGTTCCGGCGCCACTGGTCGTGCATAGTCGCTGTCCCAATCACTGTAAATGTCAGTCGGCGAGATGGGCGTGTCTGTTCGACGCGCCGATAGGCGTCTAGGACGAGGTCGCGGAGTGTCTGGCCCTGACTTTCACTTAGTCACTCACTTGTTGGAGTAGAACGGTTGCGCATACTGACCAGGTATGGTCAAGATTGGTCGAGTCGGTCGTATCGTATTGGCTTCTTGCGCGTCAAGGAGCGTCATTAGCTGCCTTCTCAAGCCGAGCAATCCGCGTGGCTGGTAGCCATAGTTGACGATGTCGTACTGAGCCTGGAGGAAGGCGCGGTAACACTGAAGGCGTTCCAGAAGTCCCAGCCCTTCTTCAGTCGCCATGTGATGCTGTAAATCATCCCAAGCTGTCTCCCGCGGCCTGATCCTAGACCGTCCGAACATGTCGAAAACATCCTGGACAGTGGACCCAAGGCTACTATACAGCCTTCCCACATCGTCACGTACCCTGTAAACCGAGGGTTCCAGCTGTGGATCATGTTGAGCTCGATCCAAGTCGAGAAGAATTCTGCTATTCGCGAACAGTTCGCTAATCACTGATGTCACATATGGAGCAGAGCGCGGTAAGCTGTCGCGAAGCGTGTGTAGTCCAGAAGCGGCGTCTTCCACATCTTGCGCAAGCCGGATCAGGGCGCGTTCCGCCATTGTTGAAGTGTCTATCAAATTGACACTTCTGCAAGACCTTTAGGTAGGTCGACCCAATCGCAACGAAACCATCAAACTCCGGCCAATGGACTCGTTGTCTGGAATGTAGAAATAGTAGAAAATTACACATGAAGGTTTAGCTGGTCGCGCGAAAGCCTGCCAAATTGCCTACCTTGTCCGCGATATCAACCTGATGCAGCCCTCAGAGCTCGAAGCAGCTGTACCAATAGCGCTCACTTGCAGCTCACCGGTCCCGAACCATTGCGTTGTTCACCTGCCGCACAATAGTATTGCTTACTCATCGTGCATATTGGTTGAAATTGAGAAAGTTGTTCCTCCTATCTACCTTTGGTACTTTGCCGTCCTCGCTGCTAAACGTAGGTGACATACACCATGCTCGGCCTTGCCGCAATGTACACCGCAAGCGGCCGGTCAAACCTGAAAGATATCGGAGTCTGGACCTCGTCCGGTGCACCGCCGGAGACACCTTTTTTCAAGGGCTGTGTCGCCACTTTCGAAAGGACAGACTGTGATGACTGACCGTCTGCTGAGCGCCAGTTGTGTAGCGAGGTCTCACCGTTGGCGCAGTATGCACAGTTTTACTCGTTGTACGAAGGAGAGACAGGACGAAGTCTGCGGTGGAGCGCAGCCTTTCCCTTCGACGACGACCGGTGTAGAAACTCGATCCTCAGGCAAACGGAGCGCGAAGCATCAGCAAACGGAACCTACACTTGACAGAGGACATAGACATAACGAGACCCTCGAGCCTAAGAGTTGTACTGTTTGCTAGCGGACTCCCTCACAATCAGCACTGTTAAGCTGTATCTGTAGGATGAGAGACACGTGCAATTCCTTATGCTATGCGGTCAACTGATCACACACAGTCTTCGTCACAATCCCGTTGAGCTAACGAATAGGTGATATCACAGGCACTAGGGTAGCGTAGCTCATGTCCTCAAAGAACGCCGATCGTCCTTCTCATGATCACAGACATCCAATGCAGTTAACCTACGCAACGCCAATATCCAGCAGCAACATTCGAACACCATCTCGAAGAGGCCGAAAGAGCGTCCATCTGGTGCCATGCGTTCACTGTGTCCAGAACCCGACATTCTCAAATGCACTCCCAATCCCCGTCGTCAGCGTCCATAAGTACGACAGCCGGCTCAGCATGAACCTTGGCCTTCTTGCCCTTCTTGGCCGGCGTCACCCCGATCGACTCGCCCTCATCGTCAAGGACTTCATACTCGTCCTTGATAAGCTTCACCGTTTCGCGATCCTCATACTTCTTAACAGCCTGGGCAAGAGCAGCGTTCAGGATCTGACTACCGTGGGATGGCGAACGAGCGGCGTCGAAAGAGTACACGACACTGGCGTCGGCCGGAGGCGAAGGAGTCTCGTCGTAGTCGGAGGCTGAGCTGTTTGAGGACTCGTCAGACATGGCGGTGCCCTCTAGCATGTCATGCCTGCGAGCGACTTTGGTGCCGTGGTGGAGAGCCGCTACGGCACCTTTGACTGCACGGCGCTTGAAGTTGAAGTTGCTGCTAGCTGTCAGCATGGAATCTGCGACGAATGGGTATAACGCACGTCTCGTGGGGACGCTGAGGCCGAGGATGGTCCTCTTCGGCTCTGCCAAACGTGGCAGCGCTGCCGAGAGCCCATTTGCTTTTGCGAGCAGCATCCCGCTTATAGTCTTGAGCAGTGCTGCGTAGGTCGGAAGTGGAGAAAGTCTGCTCAGAGGACATGGCTAGACGAGGACTACAATACTGCTTGGGGAAGAGTTCTGGATGCTCTTGGGCTATTCTGAGCGGACTGCAAGAGCTGAGCTATCCAGATGCCGGTCTGGACTCGTTTGGCTTTGTTATTAGCGGACAGGTGTGCTTAGGATCCGAAGCGGGTTATTCGGCGAACAAAGGGCACGGGAAAAGGTGCTACTGATGCGGGAGCAATCGATGATGACTGGTAGGAGCAGTGGGACAGTCGAGACGTGACTCTGCTTGCTGAGTCACTCGACCGTGCTGATTGAGGCGCGGTTGCTGGAAGCTGATGTCTGAGACGCGTCGTTGCCTTGTGATGGATCACCTTTCGTGGGGCTTCTATGCTGCTTCACTTCACTGCGGGATAACAAGGAGAGAATGACGCCAACTAGCCAAGGTTATCAATGGGCTTCTGACAACAACGCGCCTTGATCTCATCTCTCGGCCGCGTGCAGCCAAGCTCAAGCTATCGTAGCTATGGCCATGCAGGTGCACGAGCATTGGGGGCTTGGAACGTGGGGAAAGCATGATAAGCAGGATAGAGCCGCCATGCCGCACGAGGCGCTCGCACCTGACCACTGCCCTCGTCACTCCGGATATAGACCCTGTCGGCAACGTGGTGTGCCCGCCTGATTTCTGACAGGTTCCTGATCACTCCGCGAGACTTCCAGGTTGAGCGAGGCTTTGTTGTCGTTTGAACAAGGCGGAGTCGGCGTCGGAAGCAGGAGATGACGTGCGTTCAAGCTTGTCCGCGAGTAGCAATCGAGCCTTGGCGCCCGGTGTTTCTCGCTTGGACACCGATGCGCTTCGTCCCTCGTGACTCCTCTTGCAACAACACGTGCGAGAACTGTTCGTTGCTCTCACTCGCATTGATGTGAAACGTGTGTGATTTCGAGGCACGAGCGGCAAACGCGCGATAGTCTGCGGGAGCGTAGACATCCAGGCATCCATCGTCGCCCATTTCGGTGCAACCGCCAAATGCAGGCAGCAATATCGAAAGAATACATCCTAATGGCCATAAGGTACGAACGACTGACAAAGTTCTAAAGCGCGATGTTCTCCATTCATGACATCAGTCTGCACACCATGATGGTGCACTGGACGCAAATTGCTTGTGAAAGGGATCAGCTGCAGAGTCGAGCTTCTCACAAAGAAGAGACTCACGAACCATTCTGTCCCTTTGCCATTCACTGCATTCACCTGAGCAAGGATTGTACTGATCCGCTAACCATTATGTCGATCCGGGCGGAGCAGAAGATGAAGCCATCCACTTATAATTTGACAGGCAATGCTTTGGCACAATGAACCATCTCAACCTGCGCGAGATGCCGCGAAAATCGACCCGAGGAATGTCCTGAATGTCGCTAAGTTACAGTCGCTGGCTCTAACACTGGTGCGATCAGATGCGAGGGCCTGGTGTACCTTTAACAATGGTGGCTAATCAAGTAGGGCTCGTTGTGGGCGGAGTTGCTCCTGCCTTTCAGCCTACAGGCACATAAGACCATACTCGCTGAGTGCTTCGTCTTTCGGCAATGTCGACCAACGTTATGATCGGACAGGCCCAACTCGGTCTGGGGTACAAGTTCCCTCGTCAGGTGTTCATGGCCAGCTCTGTGGCACAGGCAAGTCGGATACCTTTTGTGGTACACCAAGCAGACGCAGGTAGACGGATTGTCATGGGAGTCAGCGCCCGTCCTCGCAGCTCATCCGAGTTCACGTATTCGTCTTTCGTGATTTGTCAGCATGTCAGATTGCAAGATGTCGTTGAATCACGGTCGCTTGTACCAGGCCGGAGCATCCCAAATGCGACTACGAGTTTTGCATTGGCACATGCGGCCGCAGTTTCCGCTTCTCGGCGGAGTCACGCACATTGTTGATGCACCTCATTTATCGAATATTAACGGAGTTTGTACACACACTCCCGTGAAAGGGATCTGTTGCCCAAGCTGGATTAGCGCTGTGGAAGCACCGGCACGACCGGATCCCGCCGCTCGTCAAAACTCGAAGGTCCGCTGTATATGACTAAGTCAATGATCAGTAAGCACATCAAGCACCCGCCGCAGCTTCATGCAGCACCAGGTATGTCCAGGTCACCCAGCAGTATTCGGCGCAATACCGTTTCGAAAGCTATGATGTCGACATTTGGGCTTGTCGCCGCCGGCTCGAGCATTGCACCAAGCTGCAACAGGCGTGATCTAACATCCTGTGGCAGGTTCTCTATCACACCAGCCGCAACCGGTCCAGTAAGGCGACGGCGTTTGGCCGGAGTCTTTTCGTACCGCTCCAGATACAGCAAAGCACGTGAGATTTGAAGTACTTCGCAAACACGAGGGCATATCATCGGATTAGGACCATCGCGCCTTCGGCCGCAGTATTGCCATGATGCAGCATGCCGCTCAGGTAAGCTCCTGGCTGTCCAGACCATACCCGAACCTTGCATGCTGACTACGCTGGCTTGTAGGACCACCCGCAGAACCTTGAGATGAGTTCGTAATCCCCGCGCAAACCTTTTCATGATTCGCTCTTATCGCGTTTGATCGCGCCGTTCAATCTCCACTACGTATTAGGGATGCTAATTACTGTGTGCCCGTCAAGACTTACGCGAGCAGCTCCTTGCTGCTGGACCACCGGCTACACACCCTTCGCCATACCCACCACCGCCTAATGCCGGCGCAACAGATCCGAACCTCCCATACCATCCATCTGATCCGACCAGCCCACACAACCATCTCGATCCTAACGTGGCGCAATCGCAACAACAAGCACCGTATGCGCCAATGGGCGGCGATGCTGGCGACAGTCCAGGCGAGGATGGAATGAGCCCTTCAGGTTCGAAAGGAAAGCGTGAGCTATCACAGAGCAAGAGGGCGGCGCAGAATCGAGCAGCTCAAGTAAATCTACACTTTCTCAAAGTACCGCCTACGCGCGTGTAAGCTATGCTGACGTCTGTAAGCGCGCATTTCGACAACGGAAGGAAGGCTACATCAAGAAGCTCGAGGAGCAAGTCAAAGAGTTCCAAAACATGGAGTCGAACTACCGCCAACTCCAGAACGAGAACTACCAGCTACGCGAGTATATTCTGAACCTGCAATCACGGCTACTGGAGAGCTCATCAGACGTACCACCCGCACCATCACACATCAACTTATCTGGCGGTCGTAGTGCCGCAGAGCCTGCCGTTCCGCACGACCAGCGCTACCAAATAGAACGGCAACGGCCGGATGAGAGGCGAAGCGAAGTTCCGGACTCGATGAGTCAGCTCCAGGCCGCGGCTGCCCAGGCCGAAGCTGCATCGCGGCAACCACAGCACGAGTCACCGTACGGTTTAGGTGCTGATTCAAGAGCGTATATCGGCCAGCAAGGAGCGATCGACGGCGAAGGGAAAGCTTCGTCGTAGTATAGCGCCGACCGCAAAGACTCGTACTGCGCGGAAACACTCCGGATGGTGGATTGCTGTCCTGGTAGCATGGAACGTTTTGCTATTATACCCATGTACAGCGCTTTAACTGGGACGTACGTCCAAGGGGTCGCTCATGGCGTGAACGGATTAATTTATGACATATGTATATGGCTTCAAGCTCACTGCAGCAGTCCAGCCGGGTCCACTACTGCTGTAACATTAACTTCAATCCAAGTCTGGGAGAACGCCAGCTTCCAAATAATCTCAACATTCACCCCCTTCAATCACCACCACATGCGTACTTTGCCGATTCTTCTGCAACTCTACCACTCTAGGTCGCAAAGGCTGCTTACTCTCCACCGCTCTCTGCACTCGGCTCCGTGCCTTGTTGACGCTAACTTGTCTAGCGACGCTCACCTGCATGATCTGCCGCTCGAGATCCTCCGGCGACCTGACCCGCGGGTAGAGCGGGTTACCGCCCTGTCCCGACACGCTTCGTGGGGACAGCTGAGCAGCAGCTGCGGACGTGCCAGGCTCTTTGCGCGTTGCGGCGGCTGAGCGGGGCACGCGTAGAGCCGAGTCGTGCAATGATGTTAAGACGCGATCGTTCTGCGCGCTAGTCTCTTGTACACTCTGAAAGGTATCCGGCGTCGGTGGCAGTGAAATGTCGTCTGTTGGGGCTCGCAATGCGGGAGAGACGTCTGGGTTCGTCGCTGCGTGGCCGTCAGTCACCCGCTTTCGACTGAAGTTCCGAGCGATGGGTGAAACCGCGCCAGACGGCGCCGTCTTCGAACGCTGCATCAAACGCGGACGCTGCGTTGTTGGCGCGATTTGCTTCGGTAAGCCATTCTTGTCGAAGACATTAATGCGCAAAGATGGCACGTTCTTCAGGTGCGGCGATGTAGCACTTCGTTGCAATGGCAGCATGGCGCGTGCACTATCCACCCGCAACTCGACTGGACTGGATTCGCAAGTTGCTTCTGCAATGGTTGTGGTGATGGCTTGCTCTTTGTGCTGTACCGTGGGTATTCGCCTAATCTTGCTCTGTCTCCGTTCCAGTATACTCTGTTTCTTGGGCTCCAGCAGCTTTTCGAACATGACACTGTAGCGCTCCAGTTCGCCGTTCGGGATGTCAAGATCCAGCTTCGGTGTCGTCGGAACAGCTCGCGGAACCGATTGATGCGTTGATGTAGTCGCGCTGCATGACGTTGTTGGCTTCATGGTTCCAGCCACCTGGACGTTGGTAGTGGGATTTGCGTGATCTACCGTCGCCGTCTGCGGATTAACTACCTGCTGACTAGCCCTTGGAGACTGATGCATCTTGCTCTCAATGTTCGGCCAAAACGACTGCCTGTCCGCCTCCGCCCGTGCTTCGAAACGCGCTATTCCGCGTGTAATCGAGGGCGTTCGTTTGTGATGTGCATTTATGGATCCCGGGCTACGTGCCGGCCCAGGAGAAGGAGACGGCGTGTCAATGAGCGGACGCGCAACAGGCTGGACCGGTAACTGAACTTTATAGAAGGGCTCCGAAGCTGAGGTTGTGGCGGGCTTCTTCTGGAACAGCGCACCGAAAGTCTTCCAGCTGGACTTTTTCCTCCTCAGTTCCGGCGGCTTCGGATGCTCGCAAGAGACATTGTACTGAGGGATCGCAGTCATTTCGGTATTACGCCGTTGTAGCATCGCTGTGGGTGGCAATCTGTCGACTATTCGATCCGTAGTATACGACCGTCCCCAGGTTGGGGGCACCTGGGATGGTGATCCTATGGCAATCCCAATCCTTGGCGATCCTGAAGCCATGCGCAAAGGCGAGGGTGCGACTTCAGTAGCTTGGCTCTTATGTGGTTGCAGCCGAGGTGACGGCGTTGGGAAGCGGAAGGTATCGCCTCCAGTAGAGATGTCTATAGTCTCGACCATGGAAGACAACATCTTAACGCGAATCCCTGCTACCTTGCTTCCGGTCCGTGGTCGAGAGTCGATGCTCTTTCGTTCGTCTGCAGACTTCGGACGACCAAAGAGAGATGTCCGGCGCTGCGAGCGACTTTTTGCTGGTACTTGCTGCACTAGCTCATTGCGCGAGAGCGCGGTTGTCGGAGTCGCATCGTATGGTCGTGTTGTGCCGAGCAGTCCATGCTCCACCGTACCAGGGCCTCGCACCTCGTGTTGAACCATGTGCGACCTGGACCTTTTTAGGAACGGCATGCTGGGCTCAGGTCTTGCCCAATGAGTAAAACTTGAAATGTAAGCTGGGAAAGCTTGGCAGGAATGATGGTAATCAAGCCGTTTTGATTCGCGAGCAATATGTGGTAGCTTCGACAGGCCTTTCCGGTACGATGGAAGCCCGTGTGCCTCGCACTTCCGTGAGCGATAGGCTGGGTTTGTGGAAAGAATGAAATGGTTCCGGGGGAGAATCAGCGAATGGAGAAGTGCGGACGGCACCAGGCCAGTAAAGTCAGGACAAGAGAAACATTGCCAGCAATTATATTCTTTCCGCAAAGACGAGATCGAAGAAATGAAAGTTACCTTTACCTAAGACAAGGCTGATTGCTGGGCGTGCCATCTTGCCGTTCGAAGCCGGCTACGGCGGCGAAGGGCTCAAACCCACGCGGCATCAGATTGCAGGTGCAGGATTGTGTCAAGATGTTGGCGGTGGGTAATGATTGCGTGCAATAAAGCGTGCAGCCACTCATATGCCGTAAGGGTCTCTTCGCGTTTCAGACAGACGATGCCGCGCCGCGCTAGCATGTTCTAGGGTGTCAAACACGAGCTGAGGCAAGGCATTCCTCGTCTTGATCCGAGAATCTGTACCAAGAGGAAACCATAAGTTGACCTGAGATGCGACGATGGAGATGTGCCGTCGCCAATGTTGATGGTGGAAACATGAGGAGTCTGTCGCTCGGGATGAAGTGGATCGACGGCGGCAAGAGCCGCTGAAGTCTTCCCATCGCGACGCGGACGGCCTCCTTACATTCACCAATATCCAGATCCGGTTGGATGGTGAAGCTGCAGTGACTGGATTACTACACTCCCCACCACAGAGCGGCGCGACTTGACAAGTATCCCTACGCCTGTTGAAGCAAGCTCCGTATGACTGTTTTTCAGCTCTCGTAGTAGCCACGGAACAACGATGACCGTCGGCCGTAAGGCGAGCGATAAATGCATCTCCATCAAAGGATGACTTCCGTCTGAGACCGCATCGCCACAGCGCGACTGTTCCTGAGGTATAGCAACCTGACTAAGGGGCCTTAGGCATACGACGATCCAGTCATTATTGACCGACTGACCGATGGCTCTCCTAGGACTCGTAACGCTGACATTTCTGCAAGGCTAAAAGGGGATCACCTTGCCCGGCTGGTCCATGGATGGACGAAGACGGACTGAGAGATGTATGGATGGCCGATCTGTGCTCGATCTGTACTGGCTTGGGCGAGTATATCTATGTGTTTCCATCAGGCCTGCCGCGAGACTAGGCAACCCGTTTCGCTCTTCTGCTCAGGCTATCGAACACTCTACGCTGGTCATGGACGGAAACTAGCGTCTCTGAACTCTAGCCGTTTCGCTTTTCCTCTACTCGAGTATACAATGCCCAGACGAGATATCGAGTTCAAGACATGTGACAATGTCAAACTGCGTGGCTGGCTCTGTCAGCCTGAAAGGGCAGAGGGCGAGCTGCCTTGTCTCGTCATGGCTAACGGCTGGACTTTGTCTAAGGAGATGGGTCTCAATACTCTCGCAGAGCACTTCAGCTCCAATCTGCCTATCTGTTGTCTTGCTTGCGACAATCCATACTTTGGCGCATAAGAGGGGCAGCCGAAATACGAGATTAATCCCGATCTGCAGCGGAGCAACTATACAGACGGGGTCACCTACGCGCGTCACTCACTGAATTGAACCTCGACCGCATCGATATATGGAATAGTTCGCACAGTGCTGGCCACGTATTATACGTTGGGGCGGTCGACCGCTCGAGGCTTTCGCTCGTGCTCGCGAGCCGAAGCAACTACGCATGACCGATGGCGGCCATTTCGATACTTACAGCGGTCCTGTTTACGGGAAGTATGCTGCCCAACAAGTGTTGTTCTTGAAGGCAAGGCTCTGTGCTTAGGGTTGGACGGAAGACTTGCTGCGAAGTGCCAAGTGACTCGCAGGTGCTTTCCACACTAGCATAGAAACGCTTTGCCATTGTGCTCCTGTGCGCCCGCATGGGCAGTCTTGAGCTACTTATACTAGGTCGCATGCACGGGTGTTCGACCATTGAGCGGTACCTACAAAGCACGCATCCGGGCATGGGCGCATCTACATGCAGACCCCGCATATTTCCTCCCGGACCGCGAAGGCAACCAGAACGGCCTCCTCTCGCCAAGCGGCGAGGCTGAGTTTGTACTGCTGTGCACACCTATGACTGGTAAGCAAAGGTGAGATTTCCTAATGTTCCTCCGAAGGCTGTCCTCACTGCGCGTTCCGTCAGTCATTGCTGTCAGTCATTCCCTCCTTCGATGAGGGTATATTCGTAGCTGTGAGCACCATGACCGGCCTGGAAGTCATTGGCTGCGTGGCTTCGGTCGTGTCAGCCTTCCATGGCGCCGCAGAACTGATTCAAATGCTCAAAGAGCGCAAAGAGAAGAAAAAGAAGCGGAAGCAGGAAGAAATCGAAAGGATTATAGAGGCGAAAATGCTACATCAATCGCTCGTCCAAGGTGAGCAAGACTGCGAACGATGCAGTGCGGAGGGCCAGCAGCGTTTCGGGCACGCTTTCAACCGTGGTGATGATATTGCGGTGTCTCAGCTTAAAGACGTGGTCATTCATCTGCAGGGTGAGGTTATCCGCGCATTGCAGATTGCTATGGCGGTAGAATCCGCTGTACTTAACGTTCCTCGCCTTCACGAGTCATCGATCCTCGACCGGACGACTGCGGTCCGGAGTATGCAAGATCTATGCCAACGCATAGCCATGCGCATGCCGCCGCAGAGGTACCTTGGAGGCGAGTACGCAGATTTCGGTATGGCGACGAGCGGCATTACATTTGCTGGTGTTCACCGCAGCGAGTCAACAGCTTCAGCAGACTCATTCCGCACAGCCAACATGATCCTGCCGGCCGCTGTAACCATACCCGGTCAAGTGAGCAGCATCCCTCAGCGAGCGTTTTCGCGAATGCAATCTACGAGATCCATAGCACCCTCATTCAGCTGGCTAGCGCCGGAGATTCGAAAGGACGATCGAGGTATCCTCATGCTGGGGACTGGTCGGGAGGTTGGTGAGGATGGAGGCCCCAGCACAGCAGAGCGAGCTGGTAGACTGTCATTGAACGACTCAGTACGACTGGGAAGCGAAGCTGGGTCTAGCCACCAAGCCACCGAAAGCGTCGGCTCAATGACGGATCGAGATGACCACGCTGAAGGCGAGACCGGGCCTCTTAACCGCATACCGACGACACTGTCTGGCAGTAGCGCTGTCAGTCCAGAGCCTCTGACACCGTCGAGCTCTGCGGCTTCCACTCGGTCTGTCCATCTGCAGGAGCCTGACCGTGAAATGGCACGTTCGAGTTCAGCGCCAGAGGTGGTCACGAAAGGATATGAGTCGTTGATGTCTCGACCACCGAGACCATCGTTACATGCTCAGCCTTCATCAATTCCACCGAGAGCAAACTTCGCGTCATTCGGGGACTTGCAACCTGGTTACGCAGCACCCTCTCCGGTCGTCGAGTCTGAGGAACCATGGCTACCATGGGACCGCCCAACTTCGCTCAACAACTACCACGGCTTCTGCAAAGGCGCCTGGCTTGTCCGTTCATCCCCGCAATCAGGCCTGAGTATCGCTATGTTGACCGACAACAGCGGCCAGCAAGCGCCATATTGGAAATGCAAGCATTGCGCCTTCCGATCTAAGGCCACCGCCGGCGCAAACCACACTCCAGACCAGATCTACTTTGCCAAGTCCGGTATACGGTATCGCTGGCTCTTCCTGGCTAAGTCGCACGTTCCGGCTCAGGAGTCCTTTCGCAGGCCAGAGAACTACGCTTACGCTTGCATCTTCTGTGCCGCACAGGGACATAGTGGTGCTGCTCATGTTGACTTAGACTCGCTGCTTTGGCACATCACCGCCAAGCACAAGACTACCATGATGACGCCGGAGGTGAGGAGTAAAACTAGGTGTATCGTGGGCGGCACCGCTGACCGAACCGACGAAACCTGGGATATCAATCTGCCGGAGACGATCAAGCGGAGCATGGGGACTGCATTTGGTGGGTTGGTTATTGGTGCTGTTACTGGCATTCCGGGGTACGGAGACCGCATTTGAAACGGCGCATTGTATGTTTTAATTGGCGTTAAGGATCAGAGGCGTTTCCATCGGACGCATCGGCAGCGAGCCGTCGGGAGGATGCACAGGTATACCCAAATGCTTTCTCTGCTCAGCTTGATTTGTTCATCACTATTCATACACTTTCCAGCGCATGCAGTTTCGTAAGGGTACAAAAACTAAGTCGACCCTTCCCAGACCAGACGGTGGTTCCTTCGCATATGAGCTTTCATGGCGCGCATTCTGCACATTTCCAGTGCTTCTTGCAGCGCTCAACTATATTCGTACCAAGCATTGAACCCATGCAGTATTGTAAGACAAATCGCTATAACGCCTGGAGATCACGCCATGCCGCTAACACGCACACCTGGACACTGTACAATCATTAACAACATTTCGCCTTTCGCTTGGGAGGGTTCTCGGTCTCTGCTTCTGTATCGTCGCCAGTCCATGCAGAGAGCCCGCCGGGCGTGGTGGGGAAGCCCAACCAGCTGCGCCGTTTATCACCGTGCCCGACCCTGAAGCTCCCATTGCCATTCGGCAGGTCGAAGTAGCTCGGAGCACCATTGCCATCCAAGCCGGGTGTGCGACCGCGGGAGAGCGACTCCTCCAACAATCGCTGCTTCTCCGTCCGCAGCATGTGCTGCTCGACCAGCTTCCGGGTGATGACGCGAAACACTTCTTCAATGCCTTCGCCGTCTTTCGCACTGATTTCGTGACAACAGTCCCAGATTGATTCTTGGCCCCAGAAGCCAGACGAGCGGTTGCTGTTGGGACTTGACATGTGCCCCGTAGTTGGAGCGGCTAGACCGTGAGCGCTAGGTGGGCTACCTTGGCTGCTGGAATGCACACCCGGTGTCGGTACTTCGGGGTAGAGCTGCTCTGCAACGTATCCTATGCATCGCTCGAATGGAACCTCCCGCGTTTTTGGGTCGGACGCCACAACATCACTTTTGGTTCCAACGACATGGATGATTAAGTCGCCTCTTCCGGCCTCTATGCCGCAGTTCTCCTTCAGCTCCTGCAACCACGCTCCCATCTCTTCGAAGCTTTTCTTGCTCGTGACATCGTAGCAGAGAATGGCTGCATGTGCACCACGATAGTATAGTCGGGATATCGAGCGGAAGCGCTCTTGCCCTGCTGTATCCCAGATCTGAAGTCGAATCGTGGCCCCCGACTCTGGATCATTGACTCGGGTGGTGAGGAAGGAGGCGCCGACGGTGGACTGCGCCTTGTCCGGTGGGATGAAGGCGTTCTTCACGAAGCGATGCACAAGCGAGGTCTTGCCGACGCCTTGCGAGCCGAGAACGACAAGCTTAGCTTCCAGCGAGTTTGGAGGAGAGGCAGAGGTCATCGCGGCGCTTATGAGGACTCGTCATGTGGCCAGCAGAGGCACCTGCTATGTTGGTGTAAGGGGAAGATCTCACTGCGGTCAAGAATAGAACGTCTCTGAGGCGTTGCTGGGCGGCGCGTGAGCTTGTGACGCTACTGTCATCTTGGCCACACGTGTTGACGACACGTTCGGCGCACGTCTTTCGTGGTGCTGATGGTTGACTGTGGTTGTAGGATTAGTAACTGCGACGCGACATACTCTGGCCAAGCAATTATAGCAGTTTAGGGGACGTACAGGTACGCGGAGGGGCTTATGCAGCGATCGTCATAGCGTGATTCCGGGTCCGAGCCTCGCTGAGGTACATCTTCACAAACTGCACCTTGAACGTTCGGTTGCAGACAAACAAATAGTCAAGCGAAGTTACTTGGCCCTTAGTCTCTTGTGTGCTACCTTGCCCTGTCACTTCGCCATATGCCCTGAAAACCAGTCCTGAGCAGCGAGGTTGCCTGCATGGTTGGTGGAATTTGACAGCACTGTGTTCCGCTGCCTCACCCTCAGCGTCTGTACTACACCGTGGACTTGTCACATTCCCAGTAATCCGCTACTCTTCCCAAAGGCTTATAGCGGCCACGCAACCTCCGAAGAAGTGAACGACTAAACATCCCCCAGCCCGCGGCATAGGTCACACTGCAGTTCTACGCAGCGGGCCGTTGTTGTCCTTGTGGAGTAGCGCCACTGCTCTTGCATAAGCGGCACATCGGGGCACACTTCCCTGCCTTAGCCGCAGATCGAGTGCCGACGGTCGAAGCAGGTACCAGAGACGTCAAGCCGACGCAATCCTTGCAGTGGGCACGACATCCCTCACCGCTCCACATGTAGCCATATGGAAGCAATCGCATCTTGTTAAAGGTAGAGTGGAGGATAGCAAGCAGACGTTGACGAAGTGAAGGCGATCACCAGCCGATCGAGCCGATCGCTCTCAGTCCGAAGGCGCGACGAATCACATGCGACCGCGAGAGAATTTCCCCACCCAGGCTGCACTCCACATTGACCGCATACAAACCTTCAGTTCTCGACTTTGCGTCTTGTTCCACATCGCAAAGACATCGACACGTCACATACTATTCTCTACACCACGCCGTAACGCAGCCAGGCGATACTACAGAAGAGCATAGGAGTCGAACGCTCACGGGCATTGCTCGAGATACCAACACCTTCATTAGCCGTCCACGGTGCCCTCGGCCTCGCATCGGAGTGGTGGGAACGACGTAAGATTGGAAAAGGCCGCATCGGAATGGTACTTACACGGCAGCAAGCTCTTCGGCCTCTGCGAGATCCAAACAAGTTCCCAACGGTACAACTTTGCTTGCTTGGTAAGAAATACATCGTCACCTTACCGGCCCTCCGTGCACACATACTAACCGCAAACAGCGCTTGTACGAGCCGCCGAACCGATTGCCATCTTCTCTGTCCTTCCATACGCCTGGCAATATGTCCGTGACTTCCACGTTGGCGACCCTGCCAATGCCTCCTTCTACGCAGGCGTCTTCGTCTCCACCTTCAACCTGGCGGAGGCGATATCTGGCATGTACGTCACAACATTGTCCTTCTGTGCGCTATTATTTCTCCGCTGACCTAGCTGTATAGGTACTGGGGAGGAATATCAGACAAGATAGGACGCAAGCCCGTCTTGATCATGGGCTGCTTTGCCACCATCGCTTCACTGCTCATTGTCGGCTTCTCCATCAACATTTGGATGGCGTTGATAGGTCGTCTCGTTGGCGGCCTGTTCAACGGAAATGTCGGCGTCATTCAAACCATGGTCGGAGAGATTGTCATTAACCCGGAACATGAGCGTGAGTTGCCGGCGACCAGCTTTCACCCCTCGATTTAAGGCTAACAGTACCGCAGCCAAGGCGTATGCCGTCATGCCCTTTGTTTGGTCCGTGGGCATTATTGTTGGACCTGCCGTGGGCGGATACTTCACTGCTCCAACCAAGAACTTTCCGGGCACCATTGTCGACATCGACCTTTTCCGCCAATTCCCGTATGCGCTGCCGAACATAATTTGCGCGCTACTGATGCTGATCTCGATTCTGGGTGCTTACTTTCTCTTAGAGGAGACTCATCCGGACATGTCACCGTACGGTGTTGCACCAGCAGACCGGAGAGAATCAGTGACGCCGCTTTTTGTCACTCAAGGAACGGCACAGATGCCGGCCTCCAACTTGGCCAACGAGAGCTACGGCACTTTTAATGAGGTCAACGAAGATGCTGTGGACGAATCGTGGAATGTGCGGGAAGATGGAACGAGCCGTCCAGCAAGTCTGATCAGTGGACCAGAGAAGTGGCTGACGAGACGCATTGTCTTGCTGATGATTGCGCTTGGTATCTTTACATACCACAGCATGACGTACGATCATCTAATGCCCATATTCTTCCAGGACGACCGCAGACCACTGGGTGAGGAGATGGTAACTGTCGCCTCCACAATCGGGTCGAAGTATGGATCTTTTGCGGGTGGACTAGGCTTGACCGTGAAGCAGTGTGGCATCATTCTGGCCTTCAACGGCATCATCGCTCTGTTCGTTCAAGCCGTCATCTTCCCACTGGTAGCCGGCTGGCTCGGAGTGTGGCGTACGTTTGTTGTCGTCACAGTACTGCATCCCATCGCTTACTTCATCGTGCCATGGCTGGCTTTGCTTCCGGAGAACATGGTTTATCCCGGGATCTACATCTGCCTCACAGTCCGCAATCTGGTCTCTATCATGGCGTACCCGACATTGCTCATACTCATCAAGGAAGCGTCACCGTCCAATAACTGCCTTGGCAGAATCAATGGTCTGGCTGCTTCGACTGGTGCAGGGTTCCGCACGATTGCTGCACCGATCACCGGCGCTGTGTACGGAGTTGGACAGAAGATCGAGTTCACCGCGCTTGCATGGTGGCTGAGCGCGTTGGTAGCTTTGACCGGCGCCTTTCAGGTCTTCACCATCAACCGCTTGACCACGGGTCCACAGCATTCAGTGTGTGGTGCCGTTCCTTGCAAGCTCGCGCGAAACCTTGAGCATGGTCGGCGCAAGTCCTCGGTCGTCAGGATTAGGGTGCACCAAAATCAGGACTCAGGGTACCATTCGGAAGATGACGACGAGCGGACACCGTTCGCTTCGCGGGTACCGAGATGATGAACAAGCCCTACTACCTCACGGGAACAAGTGCAGGAATCTGCATGACGTTTGTAATTATCAGTCATGACAGCGTTGGTTCAAGGCGTTTTCTGACGACTTTGGCGCAATGGTTGTTGCGGCGGTGCGCTCGTTTGTGCTTTAGACATCCATTCTCAGCAAGGCGTTGTGGGCATGGATGGCTTACGGTCCAGAAATACGATGCCATGACATGCGTTCGGCAGACGTTGGAGAAGGGTGGTTCGGCAGAAGGAATCGTCGCAATCGCAACCTTTCGTGCTTGTTCCAATGCAATGAGGTACATACGATAGTGGGGACACCCACAGCAAGAACATCTTTATTGTGTCCTCTATCCATCCTCCCGTAGTACTCCTACTGGTGTTCGTGCCTAAATTTGTGTAGTTAATTTAGCCACGTGCGTCGTGCATCTGTGCGCTGTGAGCTTCGAGCTAGCGAACTCTATCAGGCAATCTTCAACAATACTTCAACTGCGCTGAAGATCGGAAAACATCTCACCTGAATCAAGCACATCGTGACCATGGCGAACGCTGTTGAAGATCACCCTATGCCAATGCCGAAGCTGGACGACACGACGGCGGGCATGTCGCACAGCGAGGTGCACTACTTCAATTCATACAACCATCACGGTATCCACGAGGAAATGTTGGTTCGTCGAATATATGAATTGCGCACTCCACGCCAACTGGGGTTGAATTAACATACAATATAGAAAGACGAAGTGCGCACAAGGTCGTACCGCGACGCCATCTACAACAACCGACACATCTTCAAGGACAAGGTGGTGCTAGATGTGGGATGCGGTACATCCATCCTGAGCATGTAATTTATGATCTTCCTGCCGCCTGTATCGCGCTGTCTCCCAGCCGTCTCATCAGACGAATCATCACGAACACAATCGCTGACTTTCGGGTTTGCTCAGGTTTGCGGTGAAGGCTGGCGCAAAGCATGTCATTGGCGTGGACATGTCAACCATCATCCTCAAGGCGCGGGAAATCGTTGAAGCGAATGGCATGTCAGATAAGATTACGCTCTTGCAAGGAAAGATGGAGGAGGTGCAGTTGCCGTTTCCAGAGGTCGATATCATCATTTCGGAGTGGATGGGATACTTCCTGCTGTACGAGAGTATGCTCGATACGGTATTGTGGGCGCGAGACAAGTACTTGAGGAAAGATGGCAAGGGTTTGATCTTCCCGGACAAGGCGACCATCTTCATGGCGGGTATTGAAGATGGTGATTACAAGGATGAGAAGATCGGCTGTGGGTATTCCTCTCTCCGCGATGGCTATGACTGCCTTATTAACATTCATGTCAGTCTGGGACAACGTTTACGGCTTCGACTACACACCGCTTAAACGCACTGCGCTCACCGAACCTCTCGTGGACACAGTCGAACTCAAAGCCGTCGTCTCCGACCCCTGCGCTGTCCTAACCCTGGATCTCTATACTGTCACACCCGCCGACCTGGCCTTCTCCCTTCCGTTCACCCTGTCCATCCGCCGGACCGACTATATACACGCCCTCATCGCATGGTTCGACATCGAGTTCTCGGCCTGCCACAAGCCAGTCCGTTTCAGCACAGGCCCGCATACGAAGTACACCCACTGGAAGCAGACGGTATTCTACATTGCCGACGTACTCACGGTGGAGGCGGGAGAGAACGTAAGTGGGAGATTGAGTTGCAAACCCAACTCAAAGAACCGGCGGGACCTAGATATTGCGATCGATTACAAGGTGGAAACGGACGACCCTGGGAGGGTGGCGGCAGGGCATTGCGAGTACAAGATGTGCTAGTGCGCAGCCACTGCCGAAGACGACCATTGTGGCGATAATGACTAACGACCAGTAGCATAGCGTTTTGGGTCGCAGCTTTGGCTTCGCTGACCGTGTATATTAGAGCCATTACGCGAGTGCGACGATGAGCATGCATTCGCCGCGCGCCTTCTCGTGACTTGGAGCGGGTGCTTGCCCAAAACGACAGCACCTCACCTTACCTCACCTCACCCTCTCCACTTCAGCCCATAACATAACCTAAATTTGCACTATATGCAGTGACGGGGTATCGCGCGTTTTCGATCACAGTGTACTAACCATTCTCAATCACACCTTGACACGTTTCAAACCCAGCTTCCGCCGTTCACGATTCATCACACGTCTCTCAGTGGGCATGGCGCCTGAGAAGGAACACTCCGTTGTGGGGGAGCAAGCAACACGCAACGAAGTGACTCTCACCGAGAAAAGCGATATCGTCCTCGAGTTACAACAGCCGGTGGGAACGTGTATGCGGGTATCATCAGCGGTGCTATGTCTGGCCTCTTCAGTCTTCACTGCTCTGATGGGTCCACGCTTCGCAGAAGGCCAGGTCACCGGCAGCTTTCTCCATCCCAGAACAATCGCCCTGTCTGACGACGACGCTGTCGGCATCACGTATCCTTGTGCGTTGCTACATTTCGGAGATATTGAGCGCGGTTTGAAGGTCACCAAATTCAAGGACTGCTACGATGCCGTTCGCTTGCTCGTCCGCCTCGCTGTTGTTGGCAACAAATAACAATGGCATAAAGCACTACAGCTGGCGACTACTGCGCTCATCACCAGACGCACTGGGGATGAGCATTTCAAGGATCGAAAGGCTGACCTCGACTGCTTGATTACGGCTACTTACTATCTTCAGCACACCAAGCTCTTTGCTCACTTCACAGGACTCATGAGTCGCAACTTCACGACGGGAAACGGCACCGACGACGCCAGGTCGGAGTCTGAGGTTGTTACAAGATTTGAGGGATTGAGGCTTGGGCCGAGTCGCTGTCTCTACGTGACCGACGTGAGACCGATTGGTGTCTCCGGTATGTTCTCATCTGTTGTGGTGGTCGAACGTCACAGTCACCTAGCATCTGACCAACACAGCTGCGATAGACGAGAAACGTGCCAAGGTACAGAAAGTTTACGCCGCAGCTGTCGCTAGAGAGGTTGATGGGCGCTGCGGTATCGCCTACTGTAGACAGCTACCTAGCAACCCACACAGCCTCGAGTGTGATTTGGGGTGTGAAATGTCCTCTCGACTGGGCTTCACAAGCTGGCCACCCAGTTGGAGTCTATGCACAATCCATGAAGTATTGAACAAGCTAGAGGGAGTGAACACGTTCCATCTGCACGATGACAACCAATGTGGTCACCCCAACCGAACCCAAGTACCCGATTATCGCTGGAAGCAGATCCGCACCAAAACCATGGAGCGCTCCCACGGTCATTGCCTTACCTGTGCAAGGCAGGGTAAGCTGTAAGCGAGGTGCGACCATGTCGTCACGCCGAAGCCTGCCTCTTTGTGGAAATTATTATCGTCGTACCAAGGTGAGCAGTGTATGTCGAGATGCCGGCGAATCTCTATGAAGGTGCATTCATAGCTTACCTTGGCAGGATTTGTGTTTGGAAGATTGACCGCGTTGTGGAGAACGCTGGGCTACGGCAGAAATGTACTATAGTCTCGATCAAGTAGGCTGCAGACTAGCTCTCATAACAATCAGACCTCCCATCGGTGGTCTAGTAGCGCGTCCAGGCTGCATTACGGATCCCAAGTGACACCTCCGTCCTGCTCCCAACACTGCCACAACCTCTCCAGCAGCCCATCGTCCATAACGTCTACCCATGTCGTCCTCTTCCTTAGACGATCCCAATACCCACCGCCCATCATCACATCCACATCGTCACTCGTCGCCAAATACAGCCCGGTAGCCGCGCCTTGCTCCACAGGGATACTCAAGGACGTCGCAACCTTCAGAAAAAGGAACACCGAATCCAGTGCCCATGCTGTCTTGCCGAAGATTGGCGTGAAGACGAAACCGGGCATAAACGCATGAGCAGTGGGACCTTTGTTGCGCTGAGTGGCGTACACGTCTTTCGTGCTCTGCGGATTGCCATCATTGCTCGGAAGATACGGAGCTCTCATGTCCCAGCGTTTCTGCAACAGTCTAGTGAACGCGACTTGCATGAGCTTCGTATTATTGTAGTTGCGGCTGTCACGCCCAAAGGTGCGTTCGAGAAAGCCTTCTTGCTTGAGGCCGCGAGGAGCGGAGAGAAGATAGGTCAGGTCGCCAGCGTACGCGCCGAACGAGGCAGTGAAGATGACTCGGGCTTTTGGTGCGAGGTGCTTCTCAAGCAAGGCAGTGAGGACAAATGAGCCGAGGAAGTTGGTAGCGTAGAACATGTGCAGGCCTTCGCCGGTGACCTGCTTGCCGTTCGGAGCGGAAGAGATGCCGGCGTTGTGAACCAAAATGTCGACTTGACGTCCGCTGGCTTGCCACAGCTTTGCAAATTGGCGGACTGATTCCATACTCGACGTATCGAGATGGAGGACATGGATGCGAGAGTCCAGCTTTTCCGCCCCGCTCCCTGTACCTCCAGTGACTTGCAGTCGTCAGTCGCCTTGGGTAGAACGGTTTGCGCTTGAGAACTTACCGGGCTTCCCCGAAAGCGTGCCAATGATTCTTTCGGCAGCCTCTTTGCCCTTTTCAGTGTTACGGCAAGCCAGATATACACTTGCACCCATGCGGGCGAGGTCGAGGGCGAGCTGAAAGCCAATACCACTGTTGGCCCCCGTGATTATTGCTACTTTGCCGGTAAGATCCTTCGACGGGACCTGCATGTTGGGTAGGAAGCCGCCAAAGATAATGTAAAACATGCCCACACCCATAGCGTAGGCTAGACGTATGTACAATATGGCATTGTTGAGCATGCTGCCGGCGATGGAGGGCAGCGTGCCCAAGAATGCCTCAACCACGGCACTTATGTACCACCAGATGCGATTCCACAGTCCAGCCATGGCTGTAGGGTTCGGATACCCTGGCTGTGGAACCGACGCGTTTGCTGAAGTTGAGGGCGCAGGAATGTTGACATGAAGTGCAGTGGAAGCGTGAGAGTAGTCACCTCATTCCCACCCCCTACCTAGACTGGCCGTAACGTGCCTTCCTTGTCCGTTCGATGTTACAAGCAGCCTGCCTTGGAGCGTCGTTCTGCCAAAATGCTTGTAAGGAATGGAGTCCGTAGTAGACCCTCTAATGAATTCTACGTCACTGACCACGACCGGGTTTCAGCGCTGTTTCGGATAGCAAGAGCTATGGCTTAGTGTCCCCGAATAACAGCATAACAATCAACGGAGCGAAGTGTACTGCTTGTCCCGCGGCCTCGGTTCGTTGTGGAAGGCAAGCGCGTCAACGATCACGCCGGTGCCGAGAGTGCCGCATGCTGCATGCACGATCTCGCCAAGCATTTGCCGGATTGGACGACGAGAAGATCAAGGAACGCAGTCTGCGGCTCTCACGGATCAGCGATCCTTATACTTCTTCGAACCGCAATCTCTCCGTTCGTTTTCTCTCTCGTTTGCTGTGCATTCGAGTGATAGTCCTCGGGCATGCCACGCGACTGGTGCGCTGACTGCCAAGATGCTGCGCCTGCCTAAGTGACTTGGAAACTCTTGTCTTTCGCTTTCGAGAAGGGGCGTCGGCGGGGTTGCTTGGGGTTGGAGAAGAGCGTGAAGAGTAGTATATGTACCTGGTGAACGGGCCGGAGTGAGAGGTGTCTTCACCTTGCAAGAGTTGTAAAGGTACATTAGTGGCGACAATGGGTCTCTTCCGAGGGCTATGCGTCGCTTTGACGGCAACATTGCTGGTCGTACGGCGAGCAGCCGGGCAGACAATCACGCCGCAGAACTGGACGGCCGCCGATGCGAATCAGGAGAACACCAATGTGGTCACGGTGGCGATCTCGTTTGGCCCGCGTATAATTAACCTTCTCAACGCCATTCCTATCGCTTCCGGTGCCATGCAGAACATACAAGTGAGTACTGGAAGTCGAGAGCGTACTGCAGGGGGACGGCGACTGACGTAAAACGCTCTTCCAACAGTGGTCTGCGATTCAAGGAACGGCAGTCGAGGTGTCGAATAACAACCAGCTTTCGATATCAAGACCCGATGTCGCCGTACTGGCTTGCGACCCTTCGGCGTACCCGGGTAACATCGGTCCCCTCGATGTCTTTGCCAATGTGGTGCAAGCCAACCCCAGAGCCATTGTGTGGTATTCGGGATCGTCGGATTGGTGCAATCTGCAGGGCTACACTGGGTCTTATCAATCAATCTTCAGCACGAGGACTATCAACGATGGCTCGAACCTGACTGGACATCTGTATACAGGGTCGGGTCAGTTGTTGACCATTGGTGCGTCAGCGTCGACGGACCAAATCGTAAATGGCACATCGTCAAACTCGACTGGATATGGACCACCGCACAATCAGCAGAACAACAACCCGTTGGGTCCAAGCCCGACTACGGCCGTTGCGATGATCATCCTTTACTCGATCACTGGTATCATCACGGCGCTCTTTTTGATAATTATCATTACTGGTGCTATCAGGGCACATCGCCACCCTGAGAGATATGGACCGCGCAATGTAATTGGTCGGCCACGACAGAGCAGAGCGCGCGGTCTCGCCAGAGCCATGCTCGACACGATACCCATTGTGAAGTTTGGTGAGAGGGAGCAATCGAAGTCTACGGATGTGGAGCTTGCGGAGCACAACAACGCTGATGTTGTGCGAGAAACACGCTCCGGTGAAGCCGAAGCTATCAACCAACATCCGAAACCTACCACTGTCGGCGCAGATCCCGCTACTGGACAAGCTTCTGGGAAGCAGGATCAGACTCCGCCGGAGTTGACACAGGGTGGAATAGCAGCAGCTACAGTGAACGAGCCGCCCGCAGCAGATGCGCAAGGCTGCAGTATCTGCACCGAAGACTTTGAGCTTGGTCAAGACCAGCGCGTGCTACCCTGCGATCATCGTTTCCACCCAGCCTGCATCGATCCTTGGCTTCTCAACGTTTCTGGAACTTGCCCGCTCTGCCGTATCGATCTAAGACCGCAGAAGCCAGCGGAGGGCGAGCTGGACGAGCAAGGCAACCCATTGCACCGCCAGCAGAGCGCAGACGGAGGCGAGGTTCTTCCTCCGCCCCTTATACCCGAAAATGAATCAAGGCGAGTAGGCGTCATGCGGAGCCTGGGTGTACTAGGTCTGTTGTCTAGGCCTGACAGCATGTCACGAGAAGATCGCATCATTGCGCTGCGGGAGCTGAGGAGACGCCAAGCGATCGCAGCCGCCAGGCAGCAGATAGGACGAGAGGCTGCCATAGCCGGAAATTCAACCGAGCCGTCGCAAGCGCAAGATGAAGAGGCGGGCCTAAGGGCGAGACTTAGGAATGCTTTCCGAGTCCGCACTCGGCGCACGGGCCAAGAAGAAGCTCAGGCGCCAGCTGGTGCTGAGAACGAATCTACAGACGCGCAGGCTGCGCGACAAGGCGCGTCCGGAGCATAATAACTTGGTTATACTCTGCACATAGGATGGCACTGAGTGATGGCGTTAAGCATACGCCTGGGACGGCAAGGCATGGACACATACAGAGGCGTTGCATTGCAGGGCGTTTTGACGGAAGGCATGAGGCACGAGGAACGATGTGGAGGACATGTATGCTTACAGTATTCGCAGCGTATTCGCGAGACTTGCAAGACGTTTGTACCAGGTCGATTGCCTTTTCGCTCTCAGTCGCAACCAATTGCACCTGGTACGCCAATCGCCTCACGAGACCGGGTTTCTTTCGTGTCCATACTCGACCCGCCTAAACGACGTGTGAATGGGGTGATGGTGTGACCCAAATCGCCTTCTGCAGCAAACAATGCCGGGCATATGGCTTCTTTGTCTGCACATGCTCAATATGTGCGAAGAAGAATGGCAAAATATGCCCGCTGCTCATCTCCAGTCGTCTTTGTTCCGGTCAGACGACCGCTTTGCAAGGCTGAAGCAAAGGTGATCAGGGAACCGCGTATCGTTGCACATCGAGATGAGACTGATTTTTCAACAACTTTCATATACTTCATGCAGTACTAGGTACGAACGAAGAGCGAAGCTCGTGATGGGACCGAAGAAGGTGAAGAAGAGCAAAGCAACAGCGAAGACAGCCGCAGCAGGGGAAAGATCGAGGCGTGCAACACCAGCACCACCACGAGAACCGACGAGAAGGTCGGGTCGACGTCATGGTCAAACGCAACTGCAACCGCACTTGCAACCGCAACGGCAGGTTGCGGAGGGCAACCCAGGTGACGCCGAAGAGCCAGAGACCGCAGAAGCCCAAGATCAACCGGCCGCAGCGCAGGATGAAGCTGACGCTATCCTCCCAGACGCACAGATCCTAGCTGAGCTGAGTGAGACGCAAGTTTGCCAATACCAGACCCGCGTCGCCAGACTGACAACAACACTCCAAGTCCATCCCGACCCCGAGAACACCACCACCAGCCGACTAGGCTATCGCGCGCTCCTCCATCTCACATACCAACCTCAAGATGGTGACGGCGAAAGCGGTGAGCAGACTGACCAAATAGGCTACATCGAGTCCTGGCGCATCGACAAACAGACCGCCGCTCGCCGCGCAGCGAAGAATACTTGGCTCGCAGAGCTTCTGAACACGACTCCGGATCGCATGCCGGATAACTCGCGTGAGACCGGGTATTGTCTCCAAGCACTCTACTTCAAGAAAGGGACGTTGAAGCAGAAATTCCGCAATGGTGAGTTCGCACAAGCACTTACTAGTAACAGTCTCATCTTCATCGGGATGATCTTCATCGAGCCCAGATTTGGCAGGAATAGATTCGTCGATGTGGCTTTGGCGAGCTATCATACCCTGCTGACGCAGCTCCCGGAGTGGTATGCTTTCGAGGGTACGATCGTTTTGGTTCCGGGTCAGCCTCAAGGCAGGCGAGGCGAGGCGTGGGGAGAGCTTGAAGAAGAGCAGGTCCAGGCGATACTGACTCGTGTGTATCAGCGCAGTGGGTACGCTGTCTGGGGCAAGGACTTGAAGGCCGGAGACAAAGCCATCACCGTGATGGGTCGTACCGTTTCTACTCTGATGGCCGTGGAAGAGGATGGAGATAAGCAACAGTAAGTGCACTTCCTGCGCGACCGGTCTTCATTTGCTATCGAACGCTTTGCGCTTCTTCACATTCATCGCTTCCTAGTTGTACAGCGCTAAACTACCTCAATACACACGCGCGCTTCACAGCGCACTGCTTTTGCTTCATCTCTCAACACCATGCTTGTTGCTTACGTCCGCCGCGTCATTGGCATGCATTACCGCTTCTGGTCCGCGTAACACCTAGTGCACCGGTCTATTTGCTAGCTTGTTGCTTCGACTGGTTATACAGATCCTCATACTTCTTAGCCTTCTTCTCCAACACCTGGCCGATTTCGGAGAGAGTCTCTTGCGCGAGCTGCTGAGCTTGCGGGCCCTGCTGCTCGGCGATTGACTTGAGCTTCTGAAGCTGCGGTAGGATCTTGCCACCTTGTGGGATCATATTCAGCCACTCGTTGAGTCCACCGGACGAGAATTGCTGCTGTGCTTTCTCCTTTGCGCTGTATGTAGGTTAGTGTCACGTCTTAGGTGAAGCGACAATACGATAAGCTTACTTGACGATGTACTTCTCCAGATCAAGCGTGTTGCCACCCGATACGGCGGTCTGGATCATGGGGATGACCTGCGATACATTGCCTTGGCGCAGCGTGTCCATGTTATTCTCCACGAGCTGCTTGAGTTGTGGGTTGTTGCCGAGCATTGGCTTGACCTGCTCGAATCCCTTGTCGAACGCCTGCTCGCCCATTTGGCGGATTTGCTGCTGCTTATCCTGTACGAGCTTTCGGATCTTGTCAGCGGATGAGAAGCTGATGCCCTCCTTGAGGATATCGGAGACCTGGCTCCACGTCTCATCGATCGACTTCTGCACTTCGGGACCCATCTGCTGGCCGAGTTGCTTGAGCTGGTCAATTGGCACGCCGAGGCGCTCCTTCAGCTCTGGGTGGTTGTTCAGGATGTCTTCCGTAGCGTCACCAGCCAGGCCGGCAAGACGTTGCAAGTGCTTTTGCAGGATCTGCCATGATCCGCTGACAGTCTCTAGGCTCATCCCTTTCTTGCTCTCGGAGCGCAGCTCACCGTAGGCCTCAGAAACAATGTTGTCAACCTCCTCCCCGTGTCGCTTGCGGATCATCTCAAGATCGTCAAAGATCTTATCGACGTATTGCTTGCCACCGGGCACCCATCCCGCATACTTGTTGGCTGCATCCTTAAGGGCCTGGAGTGCCTCACTCGGCTCAGGTGTGTTCTCCTGGAAAGTGACCTTGAGCTGGGAAGTGGCCTTGTCGTAGTAGCTCTTGGCTTGACGGGCGGTCTTGGTGGCGGCGGCGAGGCCGGAGGTCGAGTACCAGATATAGAAAGCTATGCTACCTCCAAGTAGGCCGGAGACGGAGCCGATAACCCACGGGTTTTGGGCGACGGAGGCGGTCTGGGAAGCTGCTTTGCTGGTTGCGCTGTCTGACTGAAAGCGGACATTGCGGCGGAGGGCGGCGTTGTTGATGCGCACTGCTCTGGAAGAGCGTGCAATTGCTCTGGTGGTGTACATTTTGACGCGTGAAGGTGTAGATTCGAATAAAAGAGGTGGTTGTGGCTGTATGAAGAAGATGTTGATGCAGGGTTTTTGGAAGGTTTACTGACACTGCGATGACAAGCTCCCAAGCTTTCGTTCCTCCGCACGACAAAGTGACGTCCACATGACCAGAGTGGAGGAGCGCCACACACGCTTATGCAGGAACCCGCAGAGCCGCGCGAGAAGGCGCTTCTTCGACGATGAGTCTGTAAGGTAGGGAATTGTAAGGACTGCTCTCTTTCTGCGACAGTAATGCTACTGGGTCGCACGGTACCCGTAGGCTCGGTACGACGGTCAGAGCTGTCTCCGACGCCTATCTTGATTATTACGAAAGGCATAAGCCCGGGTAATGGCAGACCAGGTGGCTCTGCTTACCCAGGAGACTAATTGGGAGCTCGCATGAGACTTTCGACGGCAACAAGTGAGCTTATCGGGTTTCGGCAGATTAAGCGAAAGATGCAACATGGGCATGGGCTAAGCTAGCGAACAGCAGGAAAAGGCGCCTTGTCTGCCTTGCTCACTCTACCAACATGCTGGCGGTGTAGTATCGCCAGCATCTAGGCTGAGCTTGGGAACATCGCTCCCGAACGGAAGTGTTGCATCACGCTTGCGGTAGCACATCTTGACACCCATGCTTGACTGCAAACGGGTCGTCCTCGGGACCTTTAGCACGGATCCATTCCATTGTATCAACGACCTTGTCTACGACCTCCGACCCATACACCTCCTCCATCCAAGCCAACATCCCGTCAGCACCAGCACTAACGCCCGAAGTCGACCAGATGTTTTCACTGTTGGTCCATCGAGCCTGCGCGATCCAATGCGTCTTCGGCCCAGACGAAGTGACTACGTCCCAAGCGTCCTTGTTGCCAGTCGCGCGCTGGCCGTCGAGGATGCCCGAGCGAGCCATCAGCACGGAGCCGGTGCAGACGCTTATGATGCTGTGGAGCTTCTTATAACCGCCTTCGCCACGGTAAGCTTTGCGGATGTAGTCCTGCAGCTCCGGTAGATCTCCAACCATGCCCATTCCGCCGGGGACTATGAGGACGTCAATCTCCGGCTTCTCAGCGAAGGTATGCGATGGCAGATATCTACGTCATAATATGCAGCGTCAGCAACGCCGGGATGGTATGCAACACCGACCAGCCGACCTACTGCTGCCGTGCTCGGAAATTGTCCTGTGTACTTGGTCCTGGCACAATGACGTCCTTTGACTTCGCAACGTAGGAGAACGTTAGGTCCTCAAAGCCCGGGAAGCGAACAAGACAATTCAGTGCTTCGATCGGTCCGGCTGCATCTAGGACTTCGAAATCCTGATCTTTGATCCCGTCCGAAGAGTCAGCCCAGAGCCATGGTTCCAATGGGAAGCACCTTAATGGTTGACTTACAGAGTAGGACGCCATAAGCTTTGGGCTTTGCGTTTGACATCTTAGCCGCGTCCGCTTTGCTTCACTTTTACGACCCGAAGGAGAACAGTAGTACCTGAGCTAAGTAACAACCCTTAAAAACATTACCTACCTGCTATTTGTACGTCGAGACGTTCATACTTCGCTTGGGGACCTACCGCTTGTAACCTTTCTTACAAGACCTACCTACTCATATCCACTCAGAGTACCCACAAATATCACGCCACAAAGTGCTCGCCAAGCTTTATGCAAGGGCTGATCCTTCGAAACCTGCACGCCGGGCGAAATGGCTGCGTGTTGCAGGTTACTGCTGTCCGGCGATAGCAACCTACACGAGACACATAACGATTGGTCTGCTGAGCGACCATGTCAAAGTGTCATCCATCGACGAGCGGCTCATCTCTAAGCAGCCGCCGTCTCCTCGTAGGTGATGGCGCGGTGTAAGACAGCCTCCTGGTTCACTCTACTTGCAATTGTTTCTACGCGACACCATGTTTTGGGCCAGGCTGGGAAGCTCGGAAGCAACGCCTCTCTGGGACCGAGGTATGGCTCCTGGGTCTGGTCCTGCACGCATTGACCTTGGGTTTGGCCAGCTTCTTGGCATGATGGCTAGGGTCTATCAACTTGGTTGGAGATATGAAGAGCTAACATGAAGATTTCCTGCTGGTTTGCATTGCATGCAACCCCAAACGAAACGCATGTAAGTCGTACCCAGCCGAGGTGACAACCCTAGCGTCACTGATGGTCAACAGCGATCTTGCCCCACACTCTTCACCTTAACATAAACCCGGTGTCTCGGACAAGGCTAGAAGTCTGCATCACCCGCCAAGCAAAGCCGAGCTTACCATGGAGGACTCCAAACCATTCGATAAGATGGCAGTTATGTTGCGAAAGTTCCGGCGAGGCAGCAAAGACACCTACCCATACCCAACGCCACGCAATGGCAGCGTCGCCACCCTACCATCAACAACAGAGCCGGCACCCTTAGTAGAAGGCAAACTCACGTTCTTCGATTTGCCAGCCGAGCTCAGAAATGAAGTTTACAACGTTGTAGCCAGCGACACCCACCTGACCCTCCCGTCTTCGGAGCAGAGAAGCAAGAAGCTCTTCATCCGTCCCACCGGCCTTTTACTGGCATCGCGACAATGCCGGAAAGAATACCTGCCCCTTCTCTTCTCTACCGCCACCGTAATCTTGAACATCAAAGACTTCGACTTCCAGAATCTCCTCCGCGTAACCGGAAGTCTTTACAGCACTGAGCTCAAGTCCTTACGAACTAACAATAACCTCCTGATCCGTCTTCGCACATGTAACTGCACACGCGAGAATATGCAATCGCTCCGCCGCTGGCTCATTTCACGCGCGAACGGTCTGGATCGGCTGCCATGGCAGTACGAGGTCTTGTTGGGGGATGCGACAGGCAGGATGGGCTGTTTCCGGCAGAGTAGGGAGTTGGCTTATTATGGAGAGAGGTTGGCGAGGCTGCAGTGTCAGTTGGAGGACTCGCTGCAGTGGGAGCTGGGCGTTATTGTGGAGGCGTTTGAGAGGAAGGGAAGAGAGTTGGATGCGGTTTTGCAGGGGGTGACGAAGCCGAGGCTGTTGGCCGGGAGGGAGGCGAGGGGGTTGAGTGGTGGTGGGTTGATATGAAGGTGCTGTGTGTGGTATGGCTGGTGATGCTACAGACGGTTGAGTTGCAATGGTGAATCTTCTTTAGAACCTTGACGCACCACTTCACGTAACCTGAAACGGTACTACAGAGCTTCTGGCGCTGCTGGTAAGCTTCGACTCAGTTTGCGCCAGAGATGGCGGACATGCAGGAAGCATGCCAACAGGATGCCAGCGACTGCCGCAACCATACCGGCGACCGTCCAAGGATTTGTTGGGTGGATCCACCCAACATTTCCGTTCAGCGCGCTGATAACGACTACCAGCCGCAGAAGACAATTAGCATACCGACCGCATACCCTGGGCCTGATGGCGTAACCACTTACGCAATACCATATTCAAGGTCCCATGATACAGCACACTCGGCCCCAGAACCTGCACAAGCTTTCCGACGCTGCCCGCTTTGCCGGCATACTTCGCAGCATTGACCGCGATCAGCGCCGCCGTGAACGCATGACCAAGCCCACCCACCACCGTCCGCTCGAGCACCGTGATAGCGAGCCGAGACGGACTCTCCCCGGCCTTGACCGCCGCGCGAACGAAGGCGATGTTCTCGCTCGTGGCGAACCCCAGAGCGGCCGCGACAGCGTAGTGGAGGTACTTCCGCTTCGATGCCGTTACTTTGTTCGCGTCCGCTCCTTCAGCGCTGGACGCTCGACCTTCATACCAGGCAATAGGCGCATACTTGATCGCCTCCTCCAGCGGTGGGCCGAGAAGGTAGTTGAACAGGAGCAGAAAGAGGTAATATCGCCAGCTCGCGGCCATGCTTGCCCGATCAGCGAGCTGTGATGCGCTTGAGCCGGTCACGCTGGTACGGGAGACCTCTCGGAGGTAAGCGACCAGCTGATCGCCAAAGATCAAGATACCAGTTCCGTAGGCGAGCAGGGCTTGGGCTAGCATGTCCAGGACCATGCCTACGGTGGCGGAGAGGAAGTAAATGGTCGTTAAGGTATCGAGCTCTGCTCGCTGGCTGTGGATGGAGTAGTGCCATGAGTACACAGCTCCTAGGGTCGGTAGGAGGAGGATGGGATAGCTGAGAGCGGTATGGGGTGCTCCTATGCTTGCGAGGGCGAGGAACGCTGGCATGCCGAGCCATCGCAGCGTTTGGGCTGTTACTGGCATGATGGATTCAAGATGAAGAAGGGAGAGAGCTGTGTAATATTCTACCAGTCCGCAAATTGCTACCATGTCTTGATGCTTCCGTCGTCGAAAGCGCCTACCTGCGCCATGCAGTCAGCTATCTAGGTAACAGGTTGTGTGACTCATGCTACATCATTGCGCATCGCTGTCGGGGAGACACGCGTGGTACAGGATGACCTGCTCGCTTCCGCGTCGCAAGCGGGCAGGTCTCGTCCTCCCCACGGCTTCAAGACAACCTCGCGCTTAGCGGGGAAGCACGCGTAGGCAGGGGAAAGTTGATGCTTGGAGTAGGCCTCCATCCTCCGCAACATGATGTAAATATACAAACGCTATTTCTACATTCCTATATCTGCTCATCCCCACCATGCCTACGCCCATGCCCGTGCATCTGCAATTCAGGAAATCATGGCCTACTTCCACAGCTTACTCAAACTCATCTCCTTATCATCGTGTCTCTGCAACACCTTGGCAGTGGCCAACTCAAAGTCCTCCTGCGTGACGTGCACCCGCCTCTCCCTGAGCGCATACATGCCCGCCTCAGTACACACGCCCTTCAACTCCGCTCCACTGCACCCGCCCATACGCTCTGCAATCTTCGCCAGATCGATCCCGCGGGTCAAGTTCATACTCCGGCTGTGAATCCGTAAGATATCAGCTCTAGCCTCGGTAGTAGGTGGCGGGAACTCGATCTTCCTATCTATACGTCCCGGACGCAGGAGTGCAGGGTCGAGGATATCGAGGCGATTGGTAGCCATGATGACTTTGATATTTTTCGTAGGTTCGAAGCCGTCGAGTTGGTTGAGGAGTTCGAGCATGGTGCGTTGGACTTCGCTGTCGCCGCCGCTGCTTCCTTCCACACGAGAGGAGCCGATGGAGTCGATCTCGTCCATGAAGATGATGGACGGCGCGTGCTCGCGGGCCATGACGAAGAGTTCACGCACCATTCTGCTGCCCTCGCCGATGTATTTCTGGACTAGTTCACTACCGCTTACTCTTATGAATTTGCAATCTGTGTGGTGCGCCACTGCTCGAGCTAATAGTGTCTTCCCCGTGCCGGGAGGGCCGTACAATAGCACGCCTTTTGGTTGGGCGATGCCGAGTGATTCGAAGAGTTCCGGGTGTTTGAGGCCGAGTTCGATGACTTCTTTAATCTGCTTAATCTGTTCGTCAAGGCCGCCGATCATGTCGTAGGTGCTATCGGGCACCTTTTCGACCATCATGAGGGAGACGAGGGGGTCGACGGAGGAGGGGAGGAGGGAGGAGAGTTTGTAGGAGTCGGAAAGGAGGGTGACGCGTTTGCCGGCGGTGAGCTTGGCGATGTCGATGGAGTCGGCTACATCGACGACTGCATTTTTGTTAGTATATGGTGTTATAGTTCGTTGTGTAGAGTCGACTTACCGTATTTGCCTTCGGGATGTACCTTCACGAGCACCTTCTTTGTGCCCATGGCCTTGACCACCTCGCCTACATAGCTGCCGGGTTGCTGTAACAGGCCCAACTCTTCTCGTAGCAGTCGCACTCGGCTGTTGTATTCGTTTCGCTGTGCTTCGAGACGCCGTAACACTGCTTGGCCTTGTAGAATCTCCAGCTTCATCGACTCGATCTTATTGTGAAAGAAGGTATCGAGCGCCATGATGCCGGTCACTGATGGACTGACGGCTGGTTTGCGCACAAGACGAGCTCAGATCAAAGATATACTCGGCAGTGGAGGTATTTGCGGTGTTCGTCTCTCGATGTTGTTCGTTGTGGATGGTATCTAGTTGTCTTGTGCTGGAGTGAAAGCAGACACGCGATGGCGTTTCTTCGAGACGTATCGCCGGAGCTGGGGTAGCCCGTCACTCGCCTTCGCTACGGGACCAGCCGCTCTACCCGCCGCCGATCAATCAATATCTGACGAGTCAAGGCCGGAGACCCTTCGCATGTAGCAATTATATCATAATAGGCGCAATTGACAACGGTATTTACTCTGGCTCTAATGTCGCAGTGCTTGACATGCCGTGTGTGCAATACGGAGCCTGACGTGCCTGCCGTGTTCGGACTTAGCGCACTGTCGGCGACGGCACTCATGCCCGTGGAGCTAAGCTTCTGTGGATGAACGAAGCTTGGAAAGTGGTGGGCCTGCAATGTTACGTAGCGTATCTGAAACAGCTCGTCCTTCTCAACTCGACTCTCGTCTTACACGCAGTTGTTCGAGCATGTCCCGCCATCCGTGAATGACTGTCGAAGATTTGGGGTGCTCCGGTAACGAATGAACTGGCAGAAAGTGTCACCAACCCAGCAAAGCAGATGATCGAGCCAAGCCACGTGCGAGCAGATCCGCTGCAAGCACAAAGTCAATAAGACGACATCCCGCCCGCCTGCATCACACTCTTTCGTGGTGGATGGTATTGGCGGGGTAGATATGGCGGACAATGATAGACCTAGCGTCGGCGTCGTTGCTGTCGACCACGCGCCAGACATGCCGGCGCTGGAGGAGAGACGAACGAGCACCAGCTCAGCTGGGCACGACTCAGCGACGCACATGCACGCGAGTCAAGCCAGTATACACAGTGAGGGGGCGAGAAGACAGCGACCGCGACCACTTGACTACGGATCAACACTATCAACACAATCCATCGCGCCCAATCGATTGCACCCTTCAGCATCACAACCGCCGACGCCTCGACGACCGACAAGCAAACGCGCACCTTCCTCCGTTGCTCCACATCGCGGGCAGGAGTTCTCGGTAGACGACGACCCGGATGAGGTAGACCACGACTTGCGATTAGCGCGGACCCAGACAACAGAAAACCGACAGCGGGACAGCCGGGTGCAGCAACTACGGCGGAGAGAGAGCACACTGCGACGAAGGCCTACCGCGCAGCCTCCAGCACTCCACACTGTAGAGAGCGATGAACGGGAAGAGCAGGCGTTAGTCACCGGCAACGATGCCGCAGCCACCAGCATTCCACCGCAAGCCGATAGCAACGGCGAGCCAAGTTCCGAGGAGACACTGCAGGGTGAAGAGGAGGAGGAGGAGGATGCATTAACGCCAGAGAACGATAATATAGAAGATGAAGACGACGTCGAGGATGACGACGATGCAGACTTGAGCGACGCCGAAAGCTTCACGCTTAAGGATCGGCAGAAAGCCATCAATGAGACCCATCCGTTCGGTATCCGGATATGGAAGCCTGCACTATACAAGAAGAACCGCTCGGTGCAACGCAACGCTGAAGGCGACATCCACAGCGCCCCAGGCGGCCGTGTTAGTCGCTGGCTCTTCATCTTCAACTGCCTCTGGACTATCGTTTTCGGCTGGTGGCTGGCCTTACTAGCCGGCCTGGGCGGCATTATCAATCTCCTCCTCGCCTTTCTCCTGCGCTGGCAAAGCTGCCGCGAATACGGCCGTGTGCTCATCAACCTCTCACACTACCTCTTCTACCCCTTCGGCAAGTACGTCAAACTCGAGCGCGATGAAGCGTACCTTGAAGAAGACGAGGGCGAAGGCCGCAGCATCAGCGAGTACGAGCGCTGGCAGACCGGCGATCTGGAAGAAGGCCGTCTCTTCTTCGGCCCAGCGGATATCAACCGCTCCATCATCGGCCGTCGTCGCGACGAAGTGCCTGACCTCGAACCTCCCGCTGAAGAAACGGACAGTCTTCTCGGCCGCTCACGAGGTCGCCAAAGCTCCGCCGCCCAACGCGCGCGCACTAAGACGAAAAAACGTCTCTTCGGACGCGGCAAATGGAACTTCGGCCGTGTCATCTTTTTCCTCTCCTTCTACCTCCTCATCACACCCTCGCTCTTCCTCGTAAGCGGTATCTGCTGGTTCCTCGTCTTCACCATCCCCATGGGCAAAGTGACACTCCTGCTCTTCTACCACCTCCGCCGACATCCGCTAGCACTGAGTTTCCACACCGACAGTCACTACGCCCGCGGCTCCACCCAAACCAGCGGCAAGGGTGGTAAGGGAAGCAGCATCTTACTCTGCACCTACCGCGCCGTCGGGCTAAAATACTGGAAATACACGATCGACGGCACCAACATCTTTCTCATCAACCTCCTCGGCCTCGTCGTCTTCGCCATCTTCGACTACTTCATCCTCTACTCCGCCCTTGGCATCCGCACATGGCTCACCGCCCCCGGCTTCGTCTTCGTCCTGGCTCTCGCCTCCATCATTCCCTTGGCGTACTTCATCGGACAAGCCGTTGCCTCCATCTCCGCTCAAAGCTCCATGGGCGTTGGCGCCACCATTAACGCTTTCTTCTCCACCGTCGTGGAAGTCTTCCTCTACTGCGTCGCTCTAAAGGAAGGAAAAGCGCAATTGGTGGAAGGCAGCATCATCGGCTCCATATTCGCCGGCATTCTGTTCTTGCCAGGGATAAGCATGTGCTTCGGCGCGCTAAAACGGAAGACTCAGCGTTTCAACGTCAAGTCCGCCGGCGTCACAAGCACGATGCTCCTGTTTGCCGTCATCGGCGCGTTCGGACCTACGCTTTTCTACCAGATCTATGGTAGTCACGAGTTGTTATGTCATCAGTGCACCGACAATGGGCCACCCGATGATACGGATCTGGATCGAGACTGTCGACGGTGCTATTTCGCGCAGGTGCCGGCAGTGCACGATCCGTTCTTCACGCAAGCGGTGCGACCGTACATCTGGTTCGCGTCGGTATGCTTATTCCTCAGCTACGTCGTGGGCTTGCTCTTCACGCTACGCACGCACGCAGCGGTGATATGGAACAATGAGCCAGATGAGAAGAGAGAGGGAGGGAAGGTGGATGAGGCGCATAGTCAGAAGCATCATAGTATTGTGCCTGGCACGGCGGGGATGATTATACAGGATTTACCGCCGAATAGTGCAGGGGGTGATGGTACGAGTATCAGTGGGAAGGGCAGACCGGGCATGGCCAGGGGCGAGACGAGTTTGAGTATGTTGTCGCCGCAGCACATCCGGGAGAGTCAGCTGTATAAGCGGATCTATAGCCAGAGTATCCGGCAAGCGGGGTATGGAACGCAAGGGCAGCCGAAGAAGGACGCCCCGCCAGGACCTGGTGTAGAGGACGGTGGCAAGGCCGATCAGCAAACCCCTCCTCCTCCTCATCTCGTCCCGCCGAAGAGCGCTCCGCACCACGACGCCGCCGAAACGGGCAGCGTGAAGAGCGTCCGCACTACCATCCACGGCTTGAGCCCGGAGGATAACAGAGCGTTGGTGCAGCAGATGAGCGAGATAGCGGCCACGGCCGCCACGGTGGCGGCGCGGGATGCGACAAGAGCGCCGAAGAAAGCGGCGTTAATGGCGAGTGTGCCGAGTTCGGTGCGGATCCCGCAGCATAAGGACTCGAAGGAGGGTCTTCGAAAAGGTGATCACCCGAATGCTACGGAGAATGCGCCGTCGACGCCAATGGATACGGCACATCCTACCCTTGTCCCTACGACGACGGCGGAGAAGGAAGCTCCTGCGGCGGGAGCTGGGGAGGGAGGCCACGATGCCCCGAATTGGTCCCGGACGAAATCCGCTATTATTCTTCTCACCGCCACCCTGGCGTACGCCATCATCGCCGAGATTCTGGTTGACACCGTCGACGCCGTGTTATCCGGCATCTCGCTTTCGCAGAAGTTCCTCGGCCTGACTCTCTTCGCACTCGTCCCCAATACGACCGAGTTCCTGAACGCCATTAGCTTCGCTATGAACGGCAATGTGGCCCTTTCCATGGAGATCGGGAGTTCTTACGCTTTACAAGTCATGCTCCTACAAATACCTTGCCTGGTGTTGTTCTCGGCGGTATACGGAAGGTTCATCGATGAAGAGGACGTGATCGATCATACTTTCACGCTGATCTTCCCACAGTGGGATATGGTTACCGTGATCTTGGGCGTGTTTCTCATGGGTTGGGTGGTGGGAGAGGGGAAGAGCAATTACTTCAAGGGCTCGACGCTGATCCTTACGTATTTGGTTATTACGGTCGGGTTCTGGTTCAGTGGGTACGGAGATTCGGTGAGTACTACGGGAAGAACATGGGTAAGATCGTAGTGCTAATGTGGTGATTGTTTACTAGGATACTATGGGCATCAATCGCTTCGACACGCTCGCCCTTGGGTCTGTAAGAGGAGAGACGTTCCGTACAGTCGGCCGGCCGAGGAGCGGGATGGCTTTCTAGTCATGGTTTGGATGTTGTTGCATGGCATTGCATGTCTGGGTTTGTTTAAGTCTTGGTTGAGTTTGGAGCGTTTGAGCATGGCGTTGGGAGAGACGGCGGACTTAGTGGGGAGGAGCGTCCTGGGTTACATTGGACTGTTGGCGCACTAAGCTGGCCAACTCTACTTCAAAGACTGATCAGAATTGGAAAAGAATGCTCTCAGGTTCAGCATGCTCAGTGAGTCGTGATCTGTTGCGGTTAACGGCATGTGTGCTACCTCTAGCGGCAGGTGCAGTTCCAGAGGTGAGGCAAGCGCTCAGATGGAAGTCACTACCTGCCGGTTCCGCCTTCGACGCTGGCGGTACATCATGATCACGCTGACAAAGTTTCCGTTTCGAGCACACACACATATCAGTTTGAGAACTCACTGGTTTCTTGCATGCAAAATGGCAGACGCAGGCCAGTCGATGACCGCTGAACGTTCAATGCATCCTTCTCACGCCGTCCAGGCTGTACCATCAATCCGTCTATCTCGTGCCGTACAGACCGAGCTCCCAGCAGGACACAAGCCGGTCAAGTGCGAGGCACATGGCGCAGAATCTGTCGCCGGGACTCCGGATACGCACGCGATGCAGCAGCATGACCTGACTCTCATACCCAACCAGGGCGAGCAGAAGCTGAAAACGAGCGTCTCGCAGCTCGACGTCTCCAACACAAGTGTTCCGAACAGACTGCAGCCGGTTCAGGATGGCGTGACGGACTTCAAAACGGCGTACCTGAGCTTGAAAGATGACCTGATGTCTACAGCGTCTGAAGTTGTTGCCTGCCACGCACTCACGCAAGACCTAACCAAGAAGTTACTGCAAGCCGAGTCGAGGATTGATGAGCTTCAGAGCGGACTGGAAGCTGCAAATGAAAAGGCTGCAATCACGGAGATGCAGCAGATGACCCTGCGCACAGATCACGAGGCCTTCAGAAGGAGCATCGCCGCCAAGCTCAAGTCCGACCGTGGTTTCTCCCGCAAGTCAATTGGCAAGATCAATGGGACCATCAAGCACATCCAACATGGCATGAACCCGACTGGCACGGCGAACAAGATTGGCAGTGCGCCACCGGCTTGGGCTCCTGCGGCAATGTTTGGGAAGGAAGAGATCAGGCCAGAGCACGAGAAGAAGGTGGAAAACCTATGGGTGCCGCTTCCTCCTGGAACGGCTTACGCTTCAGTACCAGCGGACAAGTGTGTGGGCACACAAACTTCCACTTCCACTGTCGGCGTCAACCCTTTCTGCAACCTGCCCCAGCTTTCGCCGGCACCTTACGGACCTCCTGCAAGCTTGGCTCAACCCTTGTCAGCCAACAATCACCGCAAGCGCGAGCTATCGCCACCAGTTGCCCGTTCGCTGTCTACGGAAGAGCGTCCCTCAAGTGAGTAATGAAATTTGAGTGAAGCGATCGTGGTTTGGAGTAACTTCTGCTGACTGACTCCCAGAGAAGAAGCGCACGCGTGGCCGTAGGCGTGGACGCAAAGGGCCCGAATAGACGGATGATATTGGCAACATCGTGGGCGCGGGGATTGCTGAATATGCGATATGCATGAATCGTGGTATGCGATGTTGTTGATGTATCGTAAAGGACTTGCATGCCTTGTTTGTGCCTTCTTCATGATGCGCGGATCGTTCCTGCCAGATCCGTTGTGTTAGCGGCCGGCAGCAAAAGCCAATAACAGAGCCAAAGCTCGATACGGAGGCATCTTATAGACATCACGCCACGCTTTCAAGCATCAGCACCAACTTGAGACTGTACGCCTAGCCCAATGCCATCAACACCCGCAACATCTCCTTCGCCCTCACAGCATCCTCCTCCTATCTGCGAGCATTGCGGCACTAACACAGGGCTCGAACGCATCGACGCCAGTAAGCTGAACGACCTCCTGGAATCAGTCAGAGGCCGACTTTCGCGCGACATCCATGGAAACTTCTTCATCAAAGGTGGCAAAACCGGTCACGACACGCGACCCGGCCAGCTTAGTGAACTCTTCAGTCTAGTCCACCGCCTCGAGGCGTTCAAGACAACAATGGACAGATACAGCGCTCTGCACGCTCCCAAGGAGGTCGTCAAGGTGGAGAGACCGATGGCTCTGACCGAGAAGCAAACCGCCATGATCGACGAGCTGATACAGAAGCGGACCGGAGATGGCTTTCGTGATCTGAGGATCCGCTGTGACCGTCTAGAATGCGAGACGGCATCTTCTCAGACGAGGAAGAAGAAGGGCGCCTTAGCAGGAGCAATGGCGACAATGAGCTTAGAACCCGATGGTACGACCTACGCCTCGAGCAGCTCTTTGGTGAAGCTGCAGACGAGAGTGAGAATCCTGGAGGAGAACCTCAAAGCGGCTCAGGCGAAAGATGTCAAGCGCGACGAGGAGGCTCACGAGATGAAGGACGCCCTGCATAAGCTGCAGAACGCTCATATTCGTGTTTCCAAGAAACAGAGCGCTCCGATTCTGGTCGGCTCGCATGGACGCGCGAGCCAATCTGCGCTTGCGACCCTGACCGAAGATCTGTGGTCTGAAGTTGCTCGTGCGACGCAGGCCGAAGAGGGACTCCAGGCTAAGATTGTGGACGCAGAGCGCTGGTTCGATGTCCAGCTTTCCAACATGCAACTCCTAGCGAAGGCATGGACGGAGGAGCCTTGGGGTGACGAGTACAACTCGTACCAGTCGTACAAGGAGGGTGACCAGGAGCCGGAAGTCGCATCCCATGAGTGGTGAGGGCCGGGAAGCTGCTAAGTAGAAGCATATACTACTGCGAACTGATTGCAAGATGGGAAAGCTTCGTGGACCTGGCGCAGTCTGTTGACGTGACCCAGAGCGGAGGGCAGAAGCATTCTCGCGCGAAAGAGCTGGGTGCTGTCCACATGAGATTGTATGTCGAAAGCTACAGAGGACTGCAAGCCAGCTGCTCGATTTGTCCCTCCTCGTAAAAGGGACACAAATTTACCGGGGTATAGTGCATCAATGGGAAATGTTGCATGGTGCATTCACTTATCCCTCTTCTCTCGTTATGAGCCTGCCTCTCCGCCTCCGCACGCTGTCACGCTTGCTTGCACTACTGCTTTCCAGACTCGTACCGAGTCCGCTGTCGAAGAAATCCACATCTTCGTCCTCGTCCTCAATGTCCGCATCCGCCGCTTTAACTATATGATCCGGCACTACTACTGTACTCTCGTCTTCCTCCTGCTTAATGCGCGGCTCAGCTTGGTACCGTAGCGGTTGCTGTCCGGAGGTAGTTGGGAACGTGCGTTCAGTGTCCGACATCCTCATGGCCGGCTCATCGTCCTCAGGCTCGGCCTTGACTCGTGCAGCAATCTCATGCACCCCCTCCGCCTTGACATCCTGCGTGCGTGGCATGATGAACACGCTCACCACGAACCACGCGATGCCGGCGAAGATCATCTCCGTCATCCAGAAGCTGCTGATGAACACGAAAGCGCTGAGGAAGCGGTAGTTGTACATCAGCCATCTCAAACCGCGGAAGCGTGCGCGGAAGATGGCTTTAGCGGTGTATATTTGCAGGCGGTGCGTGCTCTGCACCATCAGGTTGAGCGTTGCGGGCACGTTCCGCCAGCCTTTCGCAAACTCCACGCCTTCAAAGATGGTGATGCGGAGCTTTTCGGTCTCCGAGCGGAAGTTGAGAAGATACCAGGGCAGCTCAGTGAGCTTGTACACCAGCTCAATCCATGGCGAGCGGTACTGCAGGAACGCCGGCCGCCGTGAGCGAGCCAGAAGCGCAGAATCCGTCGAGGGCACCAGGCCGGCATGCAAAGTCTCTTCCGTAGTAGGCGAGAGCTTTTCGTTCGGAGCGAGCAGCGCCACCTCAAGCATGAAGTTGCCGGCGTCTACGTTCTCCGGCGTACGTGGCAGCGTTAGCTCCACCACTACATCATACGGCTGCACGCTGACGATGTCCGGTCTCAACGCTGCGACACCATATGGGTAAGGGTTCGGCTCTCTTGTAGCGGCATAGCCTTGACCAGCCGCAGCTGCAGTGTAGACGTTATCGTACTGCAGGTGTATTGTTCGCTCGAAGCCGATGCGCGGGATGTAGGACCAGTAGAACAGGATGTAGGCTGTAATTGCAAAGCCGAGTAGGACGAGGCCGGTTGAGATGACGAGGAAGGTGGTTAGGTAGGCTTTCCATGCTGTCTTGGAGAAGACTATGCGGAACGGGCTGAGAACGAGATCCTACCGCTTCGTCAATAGAGCCTCTTACACCGTTGCAGTAGGCATTCTGACCTTGACAAAGTCTATTAGACCACCCGACGGAGGCTCCTCATCCCTCGTCTCGTATTTCAAGGCCATGCTGCCGCCGTTGCTCCGCTGGCATGTTGTTTGTTTGCTGGTGAGCGCAAGTGACGTCGGAGACGGAGGTTCACTCAAGCGAAGCGTCACTTCTGACTCGTCCACGACTGCCTCCGACTAACGGATGTCCTTCCGAGCGGACAACAGGGCGATCAAACGCTCCGGGTATTGGTCATCCGTCTACGCTCAAGGGTTCTATGCTATCTCATATATTCTCTGACACCACTTGTGATCGTGAGGCTCTAACATGGACAACATCGTTCGACTTCCGCCAACACTAATTGACCTGCTTACCAACTCCGTGATACTGCGGCAAACGGCACCGTACATACCAGTTCGGTCACTTCTTGCCCTCTCAGCTACCTGTAAAGTGCTCAGAGACATCGTGAACACGCAACCAGATGCTTGGCGTTACCTTGATCTTACCAGTATCCGCTCGGCCCAAATAGACAGCTCACCGATCGATTCGGGTGGCATCGCATGGCGTGCGGAACGAATGGACGAGTCGCTAACGGAAGATGATTTCTATGCTGGACCTCTGCGAGGCATTTTCGGCCGATTACATGCGAAAGGTGTCCTCCACCATGTGCAGATTCTGGTACTGGACGGTCTGTCTGTTCCAGCCGATCTCGTTCGAGAAATTGTAGCTGAGGGTAGGTACAACGTCAAAGTGCTGAGCATCCGAGAAGCCAAGCATCTCAACCAAGGCAAGCTACAACAAGTGTTGCGGTATGTTGTACGACCGACACGAGCCGCCGACACGCCGAAGCTGAAAGCACTGTATTTCTTCGGACCGAAGGATGCAGGCCAGTCCGTGCTGTATCAGCAGCAACGGCTTGAAGGCTCACAGCCCGTTGTGGGTGGCGTGACGGCTTCAGAAGGGGCTCAAATCGGCGCTGAGTGGAATCAACGCTCGACTGAAGCACTTACGACGTGTTTGTACGATGAGGAAGTGAAGTGGTACTCCGCCACTGGACGTGCACTCAGACGACCGCAGAGTGACTGGCCCGAAACCCTACAAGCGTGCAAAGGCCTCATCACGTTCGATGCCGTGCTGTGCAGAGGGCCGCGACATGACATCACCAAGGTCGAAAGTAAGGACTTCTTGCAGCCTGCTATTGCTACGGTAGCGCTGGGCTCGCATGGCTGTGAGACCTGCCGTGCTTGCCCCGAAGGACCTGCCGTCTTCGGACAGAGCGAGAATGCGGCGCTCCCACTCCTTGGGCCAGCGGCATTTCATTCGCCTACCGTCCGAGGAGCGCAGTATCCGCAGCTTCGCTCGTCTGACAGTACTATGCCGCGTCTTATTCTACGATGTGAGGAATGCCTGCGTGGCCGATGGTGTGAGCGGTGCAATCGGTGGTGGTGCGAGGACTGTTACGATGAACCTTTATCCCGCGTTCATCAGCGTAGCGCGATACAACAGTCAGCAGTACAGACCGATCGGCAACATGCCAGCTGGTGGTTCGGCTCAGATGCCGGAGGAGGCTCTGGCCCTGTCACGGGTGATGCAGTAAAGGTATACTCAAAGCTTTGCGTTGAGCACTGTCTGGTATCTGAAATGATGTCTGCTGGCAACGGGCCGATGTGGGGATGAGGCAAGCACGCGGAGGGATGTTCTGGATTTGATTCTACGCCGCACAGCCCTTCAGCACGCATGCTGACGAGCCTGTCACACAGGGCGTGCACCGTGATTGCTTTGGCTGCGGCAGGACCTGCGCGAGTTGTCATGACGTGCTCATACGGCGGTGTCGAAACTGCAGGACAGAGTACTGTCTGATGCATGATGAAGGATGCTCTGGGATAGAGGTGGGTAACCTCTGGTCAACACTTCTTTGCTGGTCTGCTCACAAGGTGATAGTGCGCGTGGTGTCATTTCGGTGGCAGGCGGACAAGGGAGCTCTTCTGAGCTCGCGCACGCGACCAACCGTCTGTTTTCCGTTCTCACATGCGTCGTTGCTATCAACTCCGTCCTACTTCGCGATCGTTTATCGAACAACATTCTTGAGCACAGCACCAGTCTCCGGTCAAAACGAAGAATCTCAGCACATGCAAGTAACGCCGAGTCACCGACGTTATTCATTCAATCATCCTTCCTTGCCCTTCCCACTCCAAAATTTCTCGGACTCTCGCATCAAACGTTGCCAGGCTGGCCTCGCCCATGAATAGATCCTAGCACGCTTGTCCGAAAGGTGTCTCTTCGCTCTCTTGCGCAAACTCATTTCTGTGTCGAGAGTACGCCACTCTTCGAGGCCAATACACACTGAGAACGCCCGCCGCAGCGCCTCGTCTGTGGATGCTCGGACAATCTTGAATCCGAGATTTGCAGTCCGGAGCTGGTCCATAAAGTGGCAGTAGTCGACCTTTTGCACGTCTTCAACCTTGGGCAGTCGGAATAAGTCGGTATGTGCGACATTCTTGTTGACCTGACCGTGCTGGGACGGGCGCAGACGTTCCGGGACTTGTCCGATGGGCTAGAGTGACAGAGGAAGCGGCGGAAAAAGATGCTGCGGTTACGTTGTTTAGTGAACAAATATGAAGCCTAGCTGGAACTCTCGCAAGTAGAGCGATCGATTTCGACGTCGCCATCATACTGATAGAGATTGAGGACAAGCCTCGCAAGAGCACAACGCCTTGGCCAAGCTAAGAACGATACTGGTGCAAGTGTTTAACCTTGATGACCTTTCTTCGACTACGTACCAGAAGGCGTACATTCCGAGGATGGTCAAACGTACTCCTCCCTGAGAGCTGACCTGCATATTGCGAGGATTGAGCATTGAATGGATGACAACTGGAGGAAAACATGACTCGACCGCGGCATGAGCATGCCCTTGTGTGATGAATCGACGAACAATGTGCTTTCGGACACAAGGCACCGATATGCTGTACTCCTGATGCCTAATACAATCTGGGGCTTTTCTTCCTGGTGCTCTTTGGGCTTAGTCAGTGTTGGCTTTCCGTCCTTACATGATGTACGGCTCGACTGCGAGCAATGTTAGTATACGGTCCGCAATTGCAGCGCATGCTGATGGCATGATGCGCTTGGCTTCTGTGGTCGCCAAACGACAGCTTAACAGTCGGCCTGCAACGACTCGCCGTGCCCAACTGTAATTTGCTTAAAGGTTGCACAAAGGTGTTTCGGCACTGCGCCATGTACCACATATCGCTCATCTACTTCGCTTCAAGCGGTCAACACGTCCAGAAACCCTCGACCTAAAAGTTGTCTTGGTATTGGTTGCGATCGACTGTGGCAGAGCAAGACATCAAGGCCAGAGCATTGCCTCTCGCAACAACCGCTAGCCTACCTTTATGGAATATTCCGCCAATCGGATCACCTTCGCACGCCCCATTTCCACCACGATGCAGTTTCTAGTAAACTTTCCTTTCTTACCGTATTTGATTCGATTAAGCGTGATTCTGTTTTAAGACACCTCGCTGACAGGAAGGACTGTGACCGTAGCTGAAGAGGAAGGCTATAAGTTCACAGATCCAAGCCAATCAGATAAGCCGCTGCCGCCCGTGTGCTGGGTGAACACGATGGCCAATCACGCCAAGGTTAACAACGACCGAGTCGCATAGGCTGCGTCTGCACCAAGCAGTCCCCAAGGTACGCCGCTTTGGCGATGTACTTCCAGAGCGAAAATGGTGTATTGACATGGTATTGAGGTTCTATTGGACAAGGATGTTTCTGGTCTTGCTGGTGGGTGTGGGTGGAATAGGAGCGGTGATATACGCAATCGCTTTGCTGCTCAATCTAGGCAGCGTGACACCGGGCCTGCAAACGAGTGCCGACAATGACTACACGAAATATGTGGACCCATTGTAAGTGTCAACCATAGTGTATAGCAATGTAGCGAACCAACAAGCTGCAGTCTTGGTACGGAGAACGGCGGCAACATGTTTCCCGGTGTTGTTGCGGCGCCCTTTTCCATGGTCAAGCTCGGCCCAGATCTTACGAATGGTAATGCAGACGCGTATAGCGGCTACCTTCCTGAGGGCCAGATCTGGGGCTTCAGCATAATGCACGAAAGCGGAACCGGCGGGGCTCCAAAGTATGGCGTGGTCAGTCAGATGCCGGTGTTGGGCGACGTACCCAATCCCCTGATCGATCTGAGCCAGAACCGGAGCGTTAGCGACTCAGCTAAGGTCGGGTACTACAAGTCATCACTTGTCTCAGGGATTGATATCGAGGTCTCTGCTACAGAGCACGCCGGGTACTATCAGTACACCTTCCCATCAGGTAGCAGCTCGTCCGTGGTCGTTGATGTCTCGCATGTGCTGCCATCGTTTAGGGGTCTAGGTTGGGGCCAGGGCTATGCTGGAGGCTACTTTGGCATTAGTGATGATGGCAGCGCCTATGAAGGCTATGGTGTTTACAATGGTGGCTGGAATCTGGCTCCAAATTGGACGATCTTCTTTTGTGGCCATTTCGACCAAGCTCCAATGAGCAGCAAGACGTTCATTGGCGAAGGAACTACGATACATAGCTACGGCGACAACTTGTCGACAAACACCACGTACCGTCACGGCGGCGTCTTCTCCTTCAGCCAGTCGAAAGTAGCATCAAGAGTCGGCATCTCCTTCATCTCTTCAGCACAAGCTTGCCAGAACATTGCCTCCGAGATTCCACCCAACACATCAATCCAAACCCTCGTAAGTCGCGCACAAACCCGCTGGAACCAACAAGTCTTCTCCCGCGTTACAACATCAGAAACCAACCTCACCATTCTCACCCAACTATACACCTACCTTTACGGCATGATGCTGATTCCCACCAACCGCACAGGCGAGAACCCTCTCTGGACCTCCAATGAACCATACTACGACGACATCTTCACATTCTGGGACCTCTTCCGATGCGGCACTGCCCTCATGCATGTTCTTCAACCCTCAGCATACGAAGAACAGATTCGCAGTCTGATCGACATCTGGCGGCACGAGGGCTGGCTCCCTGATGCTCGGTCGTCGGACTACACAGGTCGAACGCAGGGTGGCTCGAACGCCGACAACGTCCTTGCCGACGCCTTCGTCAAGGGCGTAAGAGGAATGGTCAACTGGCTAGATGGCTTCAACGCGATGAAGACGAACGCCGAGATCGTGCCGCCCAACAACTTCGACGCAATCGCTGACGACTCCTCCACGAGACAAGGCCGCGGCGCTCTTTCCGACTGGAAAGATTACGGCTGGATCACCCCTGCCTTCACGCGCGCCGTCACCCGCGCCGTGGAGTACGCTGTGAACGACTTCTCGCTCTACCAAGTCGCTTCCGGCCTCGGCTTCTTTGCCGATGCAGACAGGTACCTGATCCGCTCCCGCAATTGGCGAAATCACTGGAATCCGGCGCAGACCTCCTTCAACTCGTCGGGCTATCTAGTCCCGCGGGACGCCAATGGCACATTCGTGTACCCTTAAGATCCGACCAGATGCGGCCGCTGCTATTGGGCTGAACCATACTACGAGGATACGCCGTGGTCGTATTCCTTCAATGCACAGCATGATATCTACCACCTCATCGCCCTATCCGGAGGGCGCGAAGCCTTCATTGAGCGACTGGAGACGTTCTTCACCCCAAACCTCACCAGGAAGAATGCGGCTTATGGCCACACCTTGTTCGACCCGGCGAATGAACCGGCGTTCAATACTCCCTATCTCTTCAACTTTGTCGGCCGCCAAGACCTGTCCGTAAAGTACTCTCGCTCCATTGCGATGAATTTCTACAACACTGGGCGAGGCGGCATACCGGGGAACAGCGACGCCGGATCTATGCAATCTTGGATTCTTTGGAATATGATCGGTCTATATCCCATGACGGGTCAAACCACGTTTCTTGTAGGCTCGCCGTGGTTCAAGTACTTGCGTATCGCATTGGGTGATGGGAAGACACTGACGATTACCTCGAGGGGAGGGAACCGGAATTCTGCATACTACGTTCAGAGCCTCAAGGTGAACGGCCGGAGCTGGGACAAGGCGTGGGTGACGTGGGAAGATGTCTTCGCGCATGGGGGCACCTTGGACTTTGTACTGGGCGACGAGCCGGCTTTGTGGGCTACCGGCACGTTGCCGCCAAGTCCGGCTTCTGATGAGTCGCCCTCTGTGTTCTGGTGAAGATACACCAAGCCTCGGTGGGAAAGTCATAGCTTGAATTGCGAACGGGAGTCCTAACTAGTAGCGAACGGTAGTCTTATGTATTACTATGCCTAGGAAACGAGGCCTGGCGTGCGGCGGCGAGGTCACGATCGGGGCGCAAAAGCAGATGGACAATCACCAACGAGTTGCTCGAGTTGCAAGCACTGACAGGAAAGCGGGCGATCAGTCACAACGTTAGCGACCTGCTCTTGCGATCCTGGTTATATCGCATTGTTAGAGCATACACAGCCTAAGCTTGTCAGAAAAGGAGTGTAATCTCGTCGTTAACGTTGTTTCAGGGTCACGGCTGAGCTTGGTCGACCGTTGCTCCCACCAGTGCTAAGAATTATGAGACCTGAGATGCCTAGAGCGAGAAATGTCTGGGCATATGAGAGGCAGCCTCTTGCACTGTTCCCTCTGGCATCAAAGAATGTCAAGTCTGATGCTTGAGTAGATCTGTCGACGATCGCGTCGCATGCGTGCCGCGTGCTCAACGGCCCTCGCGACGGTGGATCACGCCACAAAGCACCCTTCCGTCTCTCCCGCCGCCTGATTTGGTTCGACTACCCCATGATTTGGCGGTTTTAGGAGAAAGGCTGAGGCGCAAGCGAATCACGGAAGAGGCTTCCCCTGCGGCGCCTCCTCAGCTCCCTGTCATCTGCTGCTCACTTTGATTGCACCCTTTTGATTGATCATCCCGTCTGCAGGCACGTTGCCGAAGCTTGCTTTTTTCCATTGCTTGATTGACTGATGGACTGATCACACACTTTGCGTGTTTGTTGTCGTACTTCTTTTGTACAGAGCGATTGAAGGGACGTCACCCGCACGCATCCGTCTTCCGCGCCGCCGGAGCCGAGGGCAGCAGAAACGTTCCGCGCGCAAGGCAGGAAGATTCCCCTTTCGCGACCTGTGCGACACCTCCTGCGAGCAGCACACGAAACAATATACACCATCGCCCAGCATGCGGCTGCGGAGGCCCTCGCCACTGCTGCTGCTCCTTTTGGCCACTTTCGCTTACGCCGACCTTGACTCTCCCCGCAGTGGCCGGTTACAGAAGCGCGACAGTGAGCGGCTCACCAAGGAGGAGATACTTGCGCTTAACACAGTGCCTGGCGAGCCTATAGGGCGGAGCAAGGGTCAACTGAACGTTGCTGTGCCCGCCGAGCCGGAGGCAGCTGTGGTAGATAGCATAGACACCACGGCCACCCAGCAAAGTTCGAAAGCAACATCGTCTGGCAGACCGTACGTTGGCACGGAAGATGCGCCGGTCGACGGTATGGACGGCAAGCCGCATGCCGGACCATTCGTGGACACGACACCTGACGAGAGCACAAAGCAAAAAGGGGACGCTAAAGCAAAGACGTCATCCGCAAAGCCTACGCCGACGTCCTTGGAGAAGTTCAAGAGCGGCGCTTCGAGCAATGAAGGCTGGAAACTGGCGGACATCCCGGAAAAGATTGACAGCGTCATGAACGATGAGAAGCGGCCGGTGCCCAAAGAAGGCACGCGAGGCACCGAGGGTGGCATCAGCGAGAAGACGAACCAGCAGAAGGCGCAAGGCGGCAATGCTGAGAAGAAGCCGCAAGAGCCGAAAGAGGCGCCGCCACTCCCGCACAGCGAGCAAGAGATAGTGGACGCGGCGCAGCAAGGCAAAGACGGCGAGAAGACGAAGCAGAGCGCACCAAAGAAAGATGTTAAAAAAGACTCCAAGGCTGACAGCAAGGAGGCCAAAGATGCAGCCGCAGCGGACGCGGCGGCAATGAAGGACACGGAGAACGCAGTCGTGGGTGCCGGACTCGGCAAACCCACCGATCTCCCAGACAAACCGCACAATATCCCTCACCCGGACCCGAAGGGCGGCAGCAAGCCCAGCGCCATGGACGGTGACGAGCCACCCGTAGCCAAGACTAATTCCGGCAGCCGGGAAAGCTGGCTCAAGGAAACCATGCCCTATACCGAAGGCAAGACGAACCCGAAGAAGGCTCCCACTTCCTCCGATTCCATTACCGGTGGAGGAGATGGTGCCGAGATGGAATGGCACGAGTGGTTCCACTCCTTCGTCCTCTCCCTCACCATGATCCTCTTCTCCGAGATCGGCGACAAGACCTTCCTCGTCGCTGCGCTGATGGCGATGCGGCATCCGCGCCTCATTGTCTTCTCCGCCGCGCTCTCCGCCCTGGTAGCGATGACGATTCTCTCCGCAGTCCTCGGCCATGCGGTGCCCACGCTACTACCGAAACGCTTCACCACGTTCCTCGCAGCGGTACTATTTCTCGTCTTTGGCGCCCGGATGCTACGAGAAGGCCTCGCCATGCCAGCCACTGCAGGCGTAGGCGAAGAAATGAGAGAGGTCGAGGCCGAGCTGGAAGAGAAAGAACACTCCCTCGCTCGCCGGGCATCGCGACACGGCTCCGTCTCACCCTACGCGCTCGAGTCGGGCAAACTGCCCTCACCTTCTCCGTCACCTTCACGTGATACGAGTCCCTCCCGGACACCGCGCGATCGTTTCGCAGGTCTTTCCAACCTTCTAGGCCTGATACTAAGTCCCGCGTGGGTACAGACTTTCATCATGACCTTCCTAGGTGAGTGGGGTGATCGGTCACAGATCGCCACCATTGCGATGGCGGCAGGGCAGGATTACTGGTGGGTCACGCTCGGCGCGATCACAGGGCATGCGATTTGTACCGGTATCGCGGTATTAGGAGGCCGGGCATTGGCGGGGAGGGTTAGTATGAGAGTTGGTAAGTCACGTTGCCCGCGGGAATGGACATGTGTATGGAGCAGTGCTAATGTGTGTCCATAGTGACTATTGGCGGCGCCCTGGCCTTTTTGGCTTTTGGACTGATATATATCTACGAATGCCTTGTCGAGAGGTAAGATGGGCATGCGATACTTCTGGATTGGCGAACAAAGCAAGCAAAGCGCGGCGTAATGTGGTGAGCGAATGGTGTCTGGCGCCAGACACATCTTGTAGTGGCGGTGGGCTTCGAACACATCGTGTAATCACGCGGTCTGGGCCTAGAGCTCTTTCGGTCGGCATGGGCGGCGGTTTACGATTTGCATAGCAAGCGAATGTGGCATATTTAAGCAGCACTTCTAACACGTCACTGGTTTGGCTTGACGACTATTGCTTTCCATCTATCTGCCACAGAGGTAGAAGGCCAAGGGCCGCCAGTGAATGTTACAACCGTCACAAATAGTCAGGAGCAATCTTTGCTCCTACTGGAAGGCTGTCCCGTATGCAAGATCAACGCCACGCGGTCTGTCAAATCAGCACAACTATCCCAACGAACGCCATTACTTAATTATACCTCTCGTACGCCTAAGGGCGCCTTTGCTGAATATAGAACGACCAAGTTTTCATCCTTCCTAAACTCCATTCCAAACCGTACCGCGCCGTTACTCCAGAGGCGCTCTTACTGCGCAGCCTCGTGCATAATGTGCGCGTGCTCGTGACCGAGCACCTTGACGTTCCCATATTCCTTCTTGTCGTCACCGCCATGCAGCATCCTTACCGGCGCTGGGGTAATCTCATCCCCATCGCTGGTTGGATGCTCGACGTAAATGGGCGGCGGCGCACTCGCGCTCGAACCGCCGCTATCGCCTCGACTGCGGGTGCCGCCACCGGCGCTCTCTGCCTGTGGCGTGGTCGGATCTGCTAAGTGTTTCGGCCCTCCTACATCTGCGGTGGAGGCAGGAGGAGCGTGCTCGATATGCTCGCTTTCTTCTGCCTTGTGCTCGCTACTTCCTCCCTCTTCCTCGCCGATCATGGCAGCAAGGGAGCGGAAGTTGAACATCGGTTCTGCGAGTGGTGTAGTGCCTGGTTCCGGCGTCGCGAGTTTCGCGTCGTGACTTGTCCCGGCGAGGTCAGGTAGATGCGCTGCGGCCATGAAACTGCCAGGCGCCGAGTCTCCAAACGAAGATGCCGCAGAGGAAGCGTTAGATAGCTGCCTCAGATGTGGTGACCGAGCACCACTCGGAGTTGGAATGGGACTGGAAGCGAATGGTTGCAAGTTCGCCCGCGAAGCTTCGAGGTGGCGTTGCGGGTCATCGATGGGATTGACGGGTATCGTTTGTGGAGAAGGGGTTTCATCGTCAAGCATCTCCGTATTAAGGGTGGATGTCGGCTCGGTTAAAGGATCAAAGCCCGCGAAGTCCTGCACTGGAGCCTTTCCTTTGCCTTGCATCTGCTGCTGTTCCTCGGGTATCGAGGGTTGTACGCCGAGATTGCTCGTTGAGCGGCCCATGCTGGTGCCACCCCACGAACTCGTACTTTCATTAGTACTAGCTGGGTAGAGTGAGCCACTGCTACCATTGCGTTGCTTCTTCGCGAGCTTCTGGTCTTGCTTAGCCTGCTTCTTCTCGTCCTTGGCTTTCTTTTTGGCTTCCTTCTTAGCTTCTTGTTCTTCTTTGCGCTTGCGCTCATCCTCGGCGGCGAGCGAGAGCCGGATGGCTTCCATCATCATGAGATCTTCAAGGTCGTCGACACGAGTACGGCGAGAGCTCGAGCGCCCTGGAAACAGGTCGCTGTTGCCTTCTATATCATGTCCGTTAGCACGTTCAAACACTTCCGAATATGACATTTGAGACCGACCTTCTCCCCCGCGCGGCGTGCCTGTCCCGCTACCACTCGGACTGTCGCCAAAGAGCGTTCTGCGCCGCCTGCCAAACGTCATGCTACGTATCTGACCGTCACCCTGATTGCCGAGCACATACGCAGCATTATGCAGTGCTGTGGCTGCTGCCGATCTTCGCATCGCATTTGAACGTGCGTCTGCCAGCTTCTTCGCCCAGTCCGGTCGTACCTTATCTGTAGTGATGACTTGACTGTCGCTGGCAGACAATGATGTCGCCCGTCGGCGTCCGCCTGAGGTCAGCGATGACGAGGACGACATTGCCGAGTTGAGACTACGAAGCGGATGTTGCCTCCCTTGGTTTGGATATGCAAGGCCGCGCCGGAATGGTGGCGGCTCGTACGTGACGCCAAATTCGGGTGTCACGCAGAATGGGCAGGCTGCAATTTCGGACACGAGCAGCTCTGCTTCTTCCTCTGGCAACCTTGGCTGGCCGGGCTGTTCATGCTCCGGCGGGTGCGGCTCAGGCCGCTTGATTTGTACGAAGCATTCCGAACAGATCGCTTGGTCGCAGCATCTTGTGTGGTTGAGATAAGGTGGGTAGTAAAGGAAGCATATAGGACATTCGGCGGCTTCTCTGTATAGATACGCTTCGATGGGGAGGCCGTTGACGTACGGATCCTTTGGTAGCTGCATTTCGCGTGGCGTTGCGTCCGGGGAGTGGCTTTTAGATCCAGTAGCCAGCGAGGCAAGTGTCTTGGCGCGGCCTCGAAGCACAGAAGCCGTGTTGTTCGGAGGTGATGCAGGAGGAGAGGCGCCGGAGCTCGCAAAGGCAGGATGAGAAGCAGACAGATTCGCAGATTTGTCGGATTGGTAGGACTGAGAGCGGGCAGTAATCGGTACGGTTAGGCTGTTGAGGTTGACGTCGGAACTCCGCGGGTTAGAGGAGGCCATTGAAGCAGTCCTTTCCATGTCAATCGGAATCTCGTCGGCCGCTGGGACGGGCAGTCCTCGCACTGCCGCTACGAGCTGTGCTTCTGTCCACGAGTCCGAGTGGTCGTTGAGGCCTTTCCAAAACGGGGCCAATCGCCGCTCAATCTGCAGTTGCCGTACGATGCCCTTGTTGAAGTCTTCTGGGCCTGTATACGTGCCCAGCGTCACAAGGTACCCGCCATCCACACCCTCCTCCCGAATACTCCGCTCCCTCTCCTTCGCCCTCAGCTGCCGCTCGCGCTCCGCCCGTCGTGCATCGCGTTCCTGCTTCGTCTCGCGCACTCGCTCGGATTGCGCCGCATCGTTGCTGCGGTCCCGGTCGCGGCCTATACTAAGGAATGCGAGATCAGACCTGCTGCCTCTGCCACCACCGTTACTCCTCGAGCCATAGACTTGCTGGATATGGTTCGCCAGACGATCAGCTGGTGTTGGCTCCGGCGCAGGAGATGGCGATGTTTGTTCGGCAGTAGCAGTAGCAGTAGCGGTAGCTGTAGCAGTGCGACTACTGCCACTCACATGCCGTGTGCTCTCCGGTCGAGGAGGCTTATGCTCGTCCTTGGATGAGCTGTTTCCCATTGTGTTGCCGCGGAGCGCTCGCTCAACCAACAGTGCTCAGCACACAGATAGTCGCTCTCGTATTCGCAACTTCATCGAGCCTTCACGCAGTCACTGAACTCCCCGCCGACAAATTTGACAAGCACGTGAGCGGATGTCAAGACAAGCAGTTGGTGCTTACGGATGTCGGCAAGGTCGGAAGGTGATGGATGGGTTGTCGTCACAGATGCGAGGTCGCGAACTGCCCCGCAATCAATCACCGTCCGTCTGCTTCGCACTGCACCGCGGTGACGGCAGTTTATCTTATGGGGAGAGAATGAGAGCAGCCACGCGGCTCTACAATTTGCGAAGAGCTGCCAAGCTACCTGGTCACCACAATCAAGCTCTCTGCTGGCTGCTGGTGTCCGTCAGCGCGAGCGTAAATGGCGCGGCGTGAATGCACGATGAGGTGATGCTAGCGCTCCTTCCTATCGGTACACATGTACACACATAACGTTGTCGCAATATTCAGATCGAAGGCACGCGAGTGATGAGCATATGATGAGTAGGAGCGCTGACAACAGCGCGGAGACTTGTGGAAATCTACAGATCTAGTACCAAACGCTCAGTAAGCCTCCCACACCAACTAGGTATCTTCAATCATATTAATCATGCTCGCAACCTCATCGCAAAGGAAGTGTAGCATCTGCTGGGAGCGGAGGCTCATCGGGCAACGGACTGGCTGCCGGAGTGAGCCATGGCTCATCTTGCGCAACAGGCTGAAGCTCTTTCCTTGCGCGCTTGTTGACAAAGCCTTTCGGCGGGCTGTCCCAGACATAGTCAACGTACTCGTCCAAGTGCTCTACAATGCCGTCCGCAAGAATCTGCACGGCCCTCTGCCTATTCAGACTCCACTCGTGATCGCGCTTCCACCTCCCGGCCCGCCGAGCAGTTTCTTCGCCGTTTTCGAGACCATCCAGGATACTGCGCCAGACCTGCATCGTCTTCTCAAGTTCGCTGAGCTTGCTGACGCCCATTACACTGACGCCAAGCCGAGTACCGCCAACTTGCTCGTTTGACTCTCGTTGCCACGGCACGCCTGAGGCTGGATCTCCACGTGAGCCCACTTCGGCACCCAGCCTTAGCCACTGTTCGAGCGCGAATCTTATAGCGACAACCTCGAGCTTCTCGTCGTGCCTGTCGCAGAAGTCGCTTGCCCGCTTGACCGCGGTGCGGAGTCCGTTACTTGAAGGATGCCAGTTACCCATGCTGCCTACTGGCACCCCTTCGCGACGCAGCAAACCCATGCTGAGTGGTGACGCATTAGGTACAACGTCCACGCCAGCGGCCTTCAACTCTTTGACGCCTTGTGTGGCGAGGAGAGTGTTCTGTACTGTAAAGTTCGAGTAAGACATCACTGCATCCAGTGGCTCTCCGGTCTCCTTTAGCACGCGGTGTGCTAAAGAACAAAGTACCGGCAGCGGATAGCCAGATATGCCAATGTATCTGATGCTGCCTTCTTCATCCCGTATCCGCCGTAGCTCTATAATCGCTTCCAACACCTCCTCTTCCGAGACGAACTCGACATCATGGCAGTACACTAGGTCCAAATAGGACGACTTCAGTCGCTGCAAGCTGCGGGCAATGCTCTGTCGCACCCACTCAGGCGAGTAGTCGAATTCATCACTAGCGATCCGACCGCACTTCGTAATCAGAAAATACTCCTCACGTGGTAAGTACCGGCGCACAAAGTCTGTATCCAGTGCATCACCGAGAATCTCCTCTGAGGGGCCGTAGTATGGCGACGTGTCAAAGGCGCGGATGCCGAACTCGACGGCTTTCTGTACCAAGCCCTTGGTGTCCAACTCATACGGATCCTTGTTATACTGATAGTTGAACGTTGCCGTTCCGAAGACAAGCGGTGGAAGAACGGATGACAACGGAACCTTCGGGTGCCTGGGCCCCATTATGTCCTTACAGTGCTTGACACTGAAATGATTTTGCGACGCCGAAGGCGTTGTGGGTTTAGGGATGTCACCTTTCGGCCGATAGTATCTCAACAACCGTTGCGGTCTGGAAGTGGTGGGCGCTGAGCTTACGTGGGTGTATCGATGGTGGGAGACCTGAATATGAACGCGTGAGAGAATGAAGAGAAGACCGTCCCTTACCGCCTGAGCACCATCATCGCCTACGACAATACCTAGTAGGAGCTTGAAACATGGTCCATAACGGATTACACACACCGTCGGTCGGGGGCGATGGGTGAGTGAGATGCGCTAACGAAACTTGGCGAGATTGAGAGATTATTCGCCGCTTCCAGATCGTCGCCATAGAAGGCGTGCTTATCGGAGCCTCAGCTTCCGTCCGTCTCCGCAAGGCAGCAACGCCAAGGCTAGATCATTGCGCGGTCGGTCGCGCTTGCCCATTTCGGCGAACAACAACAGTCACTTTGGAGCTTGAGGTGCAGTCGCCTTTCAACCCTAACCCTCTGTGTACAATTCGTACATTAATCCGACGATGGCGAAGCTGTCATCGACACAAGCTGGGAGTCAGCAGACATCATCTGTGCCTGCGCAGGACGTCCCGTCCGCCAGCGCGCCCGCGAGGGTGACGCGCTCATTGCGAAGCAACAGTCGTGAGCCCAGCGTGCCTCTGGCGGAACCCAGAGATGCTGCGACGCCGAAGAGACGCGGGCGGAAGGCTCAGAATCAGACACAAGGTAAGTGAACATTGTGTGACGGGAATGTCTCATTTGAACACGAGCGCACCTGAACCCACGTCGCCGCTCACTGCCCCCTAAAAAACTACAAACGCGCAACTTGCGCGGAAACACCCAACTACAACCCATGACAATGGGCCATGTTGGCCCGTGCCTGGCTAACCTCGTTGTCAGACTTGACGACAGTTGAAGAACATGTCGTCGACGATGAAGAGTTGCAGGCTCAAGCGCTCGCTGCTCAGCAGATGGCAGCGGAAGCGGCCGCAGGAGATATTGAGTTCGACGACATGAGGCGCGCATCACAGCATTCCGTCTTCTCCGGCACGACTGCGAAGACGCGATTCTCGCAGGAAGAGATTGCGGACCTTGACGCCGACATCATGATCGACCGCTTGCCCGAGCTAGCCAAAGCCGCCGAGCAGATGGCCAACTTCCTCATGCCTGCTAATCCGCAGGAGCGTCATGTGGTCTGGAAAGAGATCCGCCACGAAGGCTCTAGGTTTAACAAGCTCTATGTCAAACGCCTTAGCTCACTCCATCACTACAGAACCGACTTTAGTAGCCAGGATTACGTGCAGCCTAGCATTGTGCTACGAGCCCTACTCGACAAAGAATCTATGGACGGGGTGCCTGCAGGCTCCTGGCGACCTGATAGCATCATTTACAGGGTCAACCTTGCCCAATTGCTGCTTACCATGCTGGTTTTCGTGCGCGACAGCACTGAGTTTACCGAGGAAGGTTACAATGCCTTTGCGGAGTTGGACACACAGTTCGCCACTGCCATTGCAGGTCCCGTCTTCGATCCCGAAGCTGTTCATTTCTGCTTTGAGCTTCAAACTCAACTTGTGCTGGCCCGCCTCCACGTCTTCCAGCATGATCCATCCTTTGACCCCTTGCATGTTATCAATGGCACGTTCTACGCGCAGGACGCTCCGGAGGGCGCGGGTCATGTCAATGCCGACGGTCTCCACATGTTCGACATCTCAGAAGACGAACAGACTGCCTGGACCGAGAATTTGAAGCGGCGTGCCGACGACTTGCGAGCGCCGTTTGCAGGACGCTTGCCCATCGAGACTGCGCTGAACCAGCTACGTGGAAAGTACCCTTGGGAGCATTTTGTAAATCATGTTCAGCGCTACTACGAACACCGCAACGCGGACCTTGAACGCCAGATCGCAGCTGCTGGAGGCTACGAACCCATCATGACAGCGTTGGAGAAGGAGGTACAGCGTCACCAAGGCGCTCGTACGGCTGACAACTTCAGGCAGAGCATTGGCAAGCCTCACAGCACACCTTTGCCTGCATTCGGCAAGAGCGCGATTGCTCAATTGCGTGACCGTGAGCAGCGACTATCTGGAATGGGCATAGCGCCCCCGGCGGCCAGCGAGCCTGCGGTGCGAGCGCCTACCCAAACCGATACTGTACTTACTGCCGGCATGCAATCTGGGGCGCAAGCGGCTCCAGTTGCCCAGATGGACCCAAGGCTCGTTGATCCTGGCTACCCTGACGTGGGGGCCAATGATGGCTTTGTGCCACCACCAAACGACGATGTAGTCGTTGGCCAGCCCAGTGCTCAAGAGCGTGCAGTTTCGGCGCTTGAGCTCAGCGGTTTCCAGAAGCAGCAGAAGCAGCGACAGAAAGCTCAGAAAGGCAAGGCTAGATTCACTGATCGCCAGGAGAACGCACAGCGCGTCGTATTTGATGAAGCAAGTCAGCCATCCCAGCAAGTGGTCGGAGGGGAGGACTCTGAGTTCCAGACGCCTGGTCGGGCATCCGCAGCAGGACCGTACCATGTGGGCTCTGCAGCCAAACGACCTTTCGAGAGGGTTGATGATGATGAGCTGCCCGACTTTGAACCTACTCAAGATGAAGGCTTTGAAGTTGATCAGCGCGGCACGGCTGGAGCAGATGCCAGACGCCGACAAGCTCCCGCTGCAACACCGCGAGCGTCGTTGCGGGGTGCTAGCAGCTCGAACACCGTGGCGTACGATATTCCGGCCTCGCAAGCTCCAAGCCCGACAAAGAGACATCGCAAGAACCCTGGCTCTGCCATCCCAACTCGCACGCCATATGCGCCGGACGACGATCCGATTCCGCACGGCTCCTATCAGCACGCCAGAGCGGTGGCCAAGCAGCAGCGCATTCTCGCTTCGCAGAATAAACCGCCTCAGGTTCGTAAGCCTTGGTCTAATGCGGAGGAGCTTGCGCTCGTCAGTCTCATCGAGAATTACGGCGGGAATGGTGTGAGCTACGCGGCACTCAAGAAACTCGACCAGACGAACGATAACGTTCTCAGCGCGCGGTCGGCAGAGGATCTCAGGTTCAAAGCGCGGAATATGAAGCAGACATTCATACTGTAAGTCCACGAGCGGGTCCTGTGCAAATATATTTCCAAAGCTGACGCCTTGCAGTGGTGGAGCAGACTTGCCCGAGAATTGGGATCAAGTGGTGCTGGATCGAAAGGCTATCTTGAAGCTGGAGGAGCGCGGCTTCTCCTATACTCAAGAGCCGACCCGGACAAGACATGACATGGGCGAGGAGATTTAGGGCGTACAAGATACGCAATAGAGCAAGTGTCCGTTATTCCTGTTCGTCGTTGGCAAAGAGGCGTTGGGCGACGGTCAGGCTGCACCGTATAGCGGCTTGGTAATGCCTCCATTGTATCGTACAGTTCATCGAATCCTTCCACATTATATCGATTCATAGCTTGGCAAACACCGTGGCCACACTTCCACCCATTTCTACGAGCGTACTTTTATTTTGCACCCAGTTCTCCAGCCCGCGCCGGCCATTCTCGACGCCCAACCCGCTCATCTTCCACCCACCAACAGGCATCTCCGCCGGTGACTCGCCCCATGTGTTGATCCACGTGATCCCGGCCTCCAACCGTGCCACGACCCTGTGTGCCAGGTCAATGTTTTTCGTGAAGACTCCAGCGGCCAAGCCCATGGGCGTGTTGTTAGCCCGCCGTATCAGGTCGTCGATGCGATCGGGTCGGCTGTCCGCATAAGGTAAGATGCACATTACCGGCCCGAAGATCTCTTCGCGCGCGATTATCATGGAGTCGGTGCAGTTGGTGAACGCTGTCGGCTTCACCCAAAAGCCGTTCTTGCTTACGCTGTCAGGTAGTTTGGGGGCTCCGAGTCCGCCGTAGAGGAGTTTTGCGCGGTCGACTTCGATGCCTTGTTTGATGTACTTGGCCACCTTCTCCCAATGCACTTTGCTCACTAGCGGACCGAAGTTGGTGCTTGGATCCATAAGATCTCCTGCTCTGACCTCAGACATCTTCTCCAATAGCCTGCTTTCGAAGGCAGAGAGCATGCTTTGCGGTACGAATACTCGCGTGCCATTCGTGCAGACCTGACCGGAGGAGAAGAAATTCGCCATCATGGCGCCGTTGACGGCACCGTCCAGATCCGCGTCCGGTAGGATGATGCAGGGGGATTTGCCGCCCAGCTCCATGGTAACGTACTTCATACCCGCCGCCGCAGCGCTTGCGACCCTGCAGCCTGTCGAGACTTGCCCGGTGAAAGACACCTTGGCGATACTTGGGTGGCTCGTTAGTAGTGCTCCCACATCGCCAGCTCCTTGAACGACGTTGAAGACACCGGGCGGTACGCCAGCTTCGGCGTATATCTCGGCGAGCGGCAGCCCATGTAAGGGTGTGAACTCCGAAGGCTTGTAGACCATGCAGTTGCCTGCTGCGAGACAAGGTGCCGATTTCCAAAGTGCAATTTGGATGGGGTAGTTCCAAGCTCCAATACCCGCGCACACGCCCAGCGGTGCCTTGGTCGTGTATAGCCAGGCGTCAGACCGTAGTTGGGTCGTCTCGCCATTCAAGCCGCCGGAGGCGATGAGGTTCGCATAGTACTCCAGCACATCGGCTCCGGTGATGATGTCGACTGTGCTGGTCTCGGAGAACGGCTTGCCAGTATCCCTCGTTTCAATACGGGCGAGCTCGTCGTTCCGTTCTCGAAGGAGTGCTACTGCTCGTAGTAGTATTCGAGAACGTTCAATAGGAGGTGTCGTGGACCATTTGGCAAACGCTCTGCGGCCGGCCTCGACTGCGGAATGGACGGCTTGCTTGTCTGCTTTGCATATATCCGCGAGAGGCTTATTGCATGATGGGTCAATGCTTTGAAAAGTCTCGCTTGTGGTGTGCCGCTTGCCGTCGATGAAAAGTGGTTGGGTGTCGTTTCGCTTGTGACTCTCAGGTTGGCCCATGGCAAGCAATACCTCGGGCCTGTTGCTCTGGGCTGTGGTTGCAAGGATACTTTGCGAGCAGCGCGGCACAGAACCGGTGTAGAGGAGTGCTATACTACCATACTACCCGACGGTATGATGCTACAGGTACGGTCAAAGCGAGCCTTGGCCAACAGTTTACGGGCTGGAGCTGATGCTGCGATTTGCCTGTCACTGTTCAGTGATAAAGTCTGCCAATGCCATACGAGTGGGCTTACGAAGAAGTCTAATCGCAACTATGACTTTCAGTGGAATGTGTTGCCGGATCTGGAGAACCCTCACGGTTGCCAAGGTGCAAGTTGTCGGCCCGGATCGATCGTTGCTTTACGCGCATTCACATTCCTCTCGCCGTCTTGTGTTCACATTCAAGCTGCAATCCGTATCGAACGGCGGGGCGAGTTTGCCTCTTCGCCGCCGCCTAAGTCACACAGCACGCCATTCGTCCGCTTGGCAACTCTGTCCCGATCCGGCGATTGCGTGTTCTATCTTGTCATCTTCACCGACCCCACATAACAGACCCTCTCGGGGCGACTTCAGGTGAGGATTTTTACCACAGCCTAGTGGTGCGGCACCTTTCGTTTGCCTGTCTGTCTCTACATTCGGCGCTGCCGTTCACACTCTCATTTCATTTCTCCTGAATATATTCATTGCCGGGACTAGGATGACGACGCCTCAGCTGCCTTCATCTGGAACCACCACGAAGCTAGCTTCGTCCGATGTTGACAGCTACGACTTCTTGATTGTCGGAGGAGGCACTGCAGGCTGCGTGATTGCCTCACGCTTGTCAGAGTACCTACCCAAAAAGCGCATACTCCTCATCGAAGCTGGGCCCTCCGACTTCCTCGATGACCGAGTCTTGCTACTCAAGGACTGGTTAAACCTACTTGGAGGCGAGCTTGACTATGATTACCCTACCACCGAGCAGCCGTTAGGCAACTCCCACATCCGACACTCTCGCGCCAAAGTGCTCGGAGGATGCTCGAGCCACAACACGCTGATCAGTTTCCGCCCTTTCGAGCTCGATTGCCAGCGGTGGGTGGAGCAGGGATGCAAAGGCTGGGACTTTGGGACGTTTACGAGGGTGTTAGATAACCTGCGGAATACGGTTCAGCCAGTTCACACGAGACACCGCAACCAATTATGCATAGACTGGGTTAAGAGCTGCTCTACCGCTATGAACATACCAGTCATTGATGACTTCAACAAGGAGATCAAGGAGACCGGCTCCCTCAAGCAAGGAGTAGGCTTCTTCTCCGTATCATACAACCCTGATGACGGCCGTAGAAGTAGCGCTAGTGTAGCCTACATACATCCGATCCTCCGAGGCGAAGAGAAAAGGCCGAACTTGACCATTTTGACTAATGCGTGGGTAAGCAAGATCAACGTGGCGGGCTCGCGAGTCACCGGCGTGAGCGTGACGTTACAGGATGGAACGAAACACAATCTGCAGGCCAAATGTGAGACTGTACTCTGCGCAGGCGCTGTGGACACGCCGAGATTGATGCTGTTGTCCGGACTAGGGCCAAAGCAGCAACTTACAGAGCTTGGCATTCCGGTGGTACGCGATCTGCAAGGCGTTGGCAAGAACCTTCTCGACCACCCCGAGAGCATCATCCTGTGGGAGCTCAAGAAGCCTGTACCGATCAATCAAACAACCATGGACTCCGACGCTGGTATCTTCTTGAGACGAGAGATGCCAAATGCAGTAAATCTGGGTGGCGACATCGCAAACATCATGATGCATTGCTATCAGATTCCCTTTGTCTACAATACCTCTCGTCTCGGCTATGAAACTCCGAAGGATGCCTTTTGCATGACGCCGAACATTCCTCGGCCGAGGTCGAGAGGAAAGCTTTACCTTACCAGCAAAGACCCAAACGTGAAGCCAGCGCTGGACTTTAGGTACTTTACAGACCCGGAAGGCTACGATGCAGCATCGATCGTGGAGGGCCTGAAAGCGGCGCGAGAGATCGCTAAAGAGAAGCCGTTCGCCGACTGGATCAAGCGGGAGATCGCACCTGGTCCGGCCATACAGTCCGATGAGGCCCTGAGTGAGTACGGGCGCCGCGTAGCGCATACAGTATATCATCCTGCAGGCACCACAAAAATGGGTGATGTCCGAAGGAATCCGATGGCTGTGGTGGATCCAAATCTTCGAATCAAGGATTTGGAGAACGTTCGTATAGCGGATGCTGGTGTCTTTCCAGAGATGCCGACCATCAACCCGATGTTGACAGTACTCGGCATTGGCGAGCGGGCGGCAGAGATGATTGCACAAACTTGGGGTTGGCAGGGCATGCCGACCGCCAAGCTATAGATGGGCTCCTGTGGGCGCTTGAGTTTCCGCAAGCCGGTCGATGTGCTGGCATAAGCGTCTGTGTTTAGCCTGGCGTTTCTGGCAAGGTCTTCCGAACCTGGCGGTGTTCTCAATAGACCGAACCATCAGCACGGCGCTAAAGCCATGTTTGCGAGTTACGAAGCATACTCGCTTTCACCACATCCAGTTGCGTTAGACGTCCGCAGTGCGCAACGCGCAACGTGCAAAGCCTTCTTACAAGATTTCACCCTGGTTCAAGATCCTCATCGCTTCGCTGTAGAGGGCACACTATACCCTCTCGTCATAAAGTCCGTCTTGTTGGCATGTTGCTCGTTTTGATTGCGTGAAGAGAAGAGGCTGCGAACCGTCCCGCTTTCGAGCCTGCGCTTCTTGATCCTTTCCTGTTCCTCCAACACCTTTGCAGTGAGCGAGGCTGTGGCAATGTTCTTGATTCCGGCATTTTCAGTAGCGGCTGGCGCATCTCTGACCGGCGTTGCAGCGTAATGCGTCTGGTTTGCCTTGTCGGCAACGTCGTCTACTTTGCCAAGCGCGGTCACAGTCTGGCTGAGCTCGTCCTTCTTCTTGCGCTTCTTACCACCTCCGGAAGCCTTCTTGAGCGAGTGGGTGAGACCTTTCTCCTGCAACGTCTTCACCCGTAAAGATAGCCGAGCAATGTCCGTAGCTACTGCGGGCAATATAGGGATGATATCGTTCGACGCGTACTCGGTCTCACAGGTAAGGCACCGTTCACCTGATACTTCCTTGATTGCAGTCGCGGAGAAGGCGTGCCCACAAGGCACAAGATACACTGCCTTCGAACCGGGACCGAGCTTGTCGCCAGTGACCGGGCAGACCCAGGCCTCTCTGGCTATCTTGGTTGTGGCATCGGCGTTGACGGTAAATTTAACTTCGACAACGTCCTTGAGGCTTTTGATCGAACCTTGAGTGGCATTCTCCGCTTCATCCTTCCGAGCACCTTCAACCAGATATTCGAGAATAGTATCTTTGTTGTACAGCTTACCAGCTGAGTCAGATACGATAGGTTGCGCGAGCGGCTTCTGTGATATCGGGTCCGTGGTCCAGCAATATTCTTGTTGCTCGTGTTGCGATTCCCTGAGTTCGGTGGCCGTCGGGTTCCGCGCTGCTTCTTTCACCAGCTCGCGGCGCTTTGGTATGCTGCCACCATCGTTACCCATCCCAGCTGATGCTTCAGGCAGCGTACGGTCACAGCAACGTTATTGTTCTTATTGCCGAGGACGAAGTTGTAAACAAGACTGTATAGGCAGGCTTGGCAAGTGAATGACTTGCAGCGCGCTCGAGCCACCCGACAGGCCGAGCCGCACGTTGGACCGAGACCCTGGGATTTCCACAGAAACCGAACTAGACCTCGGCGCAGAAGGTGGGCCTGACTTTCTAAAAACCGCAGGTCGACCGGCTGACAAAATGCGGTCAGCTAGAGTGCTCAACGAATGTTCATGTCCGGCCGCGCCTGTCAGCTTAGCTCGAGCATGTGAAGCTCTACGTGTGTCCGAGAAGTGTTACCCTGCAATGCCCCCTTGACGCCGCCTTCATATTCACTTCTATCCGATCTCCTGCCAACTTAGGAAGCGGCACGTGCTCGAGCTTCAGACTTCACAGAGGCCTCCGACATTCATCACCGGGTCCGAGAACATTTCTGCCAGCATGGCAGAGATCGAAAGACCAGCGGTTAAGCGCCGCAGGATTTCAACGTCCGCCACTGACGTGCAGTCTGCTATCTCCCAACCTGGTACAATCAAGATCAACGTGACTGGAGCGTATATTATCGACCATGAGGATGAGGATGCTTCGCAAAGTAGTGGCGGCAGCTCGCCTTCTAGCAACCCGGAGAACGAAGAGCAAACGTACCAACACCACAAGCGAGACATTCGCTTACCGAACCATACAGCAGTTGTCAGTCATGTCGCCGCTGACATCGGTGGCTCTTTAGCCAAAGTGGTCTATTTCTCGAGAGAGAACGGACATGCTGAGTCTGGTGGCCGCCTGCACTTCATCTCCTTTGAGACGGAGAAGATCGACGACTGCATCGAGTATCTCCGTATCCTACAGGATCGTCATAAGCAAACTAATGGCGCGAAAGCTACTGAGCTGAGCGTCCAAGCTACGGGTGGCGGCGCGTACAAGTTCTATGATAGGATCAGAGAGCGGCTTGGCGTTCAGGTGCAACGGGAGGACGAAATGGAATGCTTAATCATGGGCCTGGACTTCTTCATAACTGAGATCCCGATGGAAGTCTTTACTTACGACGATACTGAGCCAGATAATCCCGTGACTTATCAGGATGCTCGCTCGGACATCTATCCGTACTTGCTGGTCAACATTGGTAGCGGTGTCTCCATGATCAAGGTCTCCGGGCCGTCTCAATTCCAGCGTATAGGCGGTACGTCGCTGGGTGGTGGTACGCTGTGGGGCCTCCTATCGCTGCTCACAGGAGCGCGCACGTTTGACGATATGCTTGCGATGGCTGACAAGGGCGACAATACTTCTGTTGATCTGCTGGTCGGTGATATATACGGCGAAGGGATGGGCTACGAGAAGATCGGGCTCAGCGAGAAGACCATCGCAAGTAGTTTCGGCAAGGTGCTGAAACGGAAGCGAGAAGCTGAGCGCAACGCAGAGGATGGCGGAGGACTTACGAATGGGGACGCAAGTCACGCCAAGCCAGACATTGCTACAAGCGGTTCGGGTGCAGGCCTGGTCGGAGACGGTAGGATGTTCAAGCCGGAGGACATCTCACGAAGCTTGCTATATGCGATCAGGTGGGTCCCTATCTGGCCTGTGCTGTTTGGTCGGCATGCTAACATTGTTGTAGTAACAACATCGGTCAGATTGCATATCTGCAGTCGGAGAAGCATGACCTCAAGCGCATATACTTCGGCGGTTCCTTCATTCGAGGTCATCAGCAGACTATCCACACTCTCTCCTTTGCCATCAAGTTTTGGAGCAAAGGCACAAAACAGGCGTACTTCCTCCGCCATGAAGGTTATCTTGGCGCCGTAGGCGCCTTCATCAGACGCCGACCTGCTCGCTGGGGCAGGCGAGGCAGCGTTGAGTTCGTGGAAACCTGAACGTCTGTGCGGCTGACGCCGCTTACGGCAGCAACGCAGAGCATGTCGGGGTGGACGAGCTTCGTGCACTCTTTAAGGTTTGATAGTGGCTGTGGGTTGAACATTCACGTTGTGACGCTACTGCCTGCAAGCGCTCCTTGTCACAAAGGCCGCACGAATCCTTGCGATGCCTGCGGTGAGACTGCGGCTTTCTTCCAAACCGATCAAAATGGGGCACGGGGCACGATGCGGACCATGGCCCCAACATCGGCCATCAAACACGCAGCAAGACCGGCAGGGCCACACAGCCGCGCGAGCCCACAGCTGCGTGGGCGCCGTGGCCCGACGACGAGGAGTCAGAGCTACCGACGCCGCCACCACATGACTTGCCACGCCACACGCCAAACGGCGAGCCATCAACTGCGGGATCCGGCGACGGCAATCGCACGCAGGCACCGGGTAACTACGGCAGTGACGAACTGTCCCACAGGGGCCACACGACATCTAAACACCGGGCCGGCAGCGCTTCACGGTACGATAATCTTGCCCTACACAACAGCGGTGCCAAGCATGATTCCAGCGGTAGCCAGGTCGGCTGCCCAGTTGCCAAGTGCCCCAAACCTTGCCAGAACGACCCGGAGAACGGGCTGTTAGGAGCTTTCTCACCCCAAATCGAATTCTCGGGACGAGTTGGCAACAACTCTTATGATGCAGATACGCGCGATTTATTGCCATCCGACCAGAGTCTGGACAGAGAAGAAGGTCCAGCTTATGGCCTCGCCCCGTGTCCCACGGGCCTGACCGGCCAACTTCACGCCTAAGCACAGCTCCACAGTCCGGTAGTGGCATAGTCCACGAAGACACGGTCGAAGAGCCCACGATCAACCTCTTCAAACGCCGCAGATATGATGACGATGGTGACGAAGAATCTCATGTTATCGTGAAGCAGCGTCGGCCACCTCTACATGCTACACTAAGGGACATAGATGAGGATTATGATCTTCCTCCGCGTGCATACGGCGTCGCCAGCGGCAGCGTGGCAAACCAGCCCCAGGTTGACCGCAGCACACGCATGAGCGACAGCCACTTCCCTTAATATGAAGCTCACTCAGGGGATGGTGGAATGGCCACAGCTCGACCAACACCATCAAGCGACGAACGTCAGGCCACCACTCCCTCAGACAGCCGCCCTGTTGATGGGTCTGGCTTCAAGCCGAGAAGTCCGCTTCAGCCGATGCCTAGCAAAGAGACGGTGCCCAACAACTTGCGTATCACCATGTGGCTGAAACTCGAAGACTTGCGTGGGCGCGTCGCGATCCACGTCGGTCTGACAGATAGCGTGCAGGAAGTATTTGACAAGGCCCAGCAAAGCTTGGCACGGCGGATACAGGGCAGCGCCATACAGGCATTCATCATAACGTCCATTAATGGCAAAGAGGAAGAGGATCCAATGTACATTGGAGCGCACGATGTCACCACTTGGAAGGAGCTCCTGGAAACTGTTACGATCGCTGCGACAGGGGTCAGAGTCGAAATGAAGGCTGATGTGGAAGTCCACCAGAAGGCTTAATGGTATAACGAGCACAGGCCGAGCTGGAATCGTTGTCCTGCACTTCTACGATACCTGAGCTGTTAAGGGCGGGCTATAAGGCTGCAGACACGGAACGCGCTAGCAGCTTATGGGTTGTCCAGGCATGGAGTAATGAAGCAGAGGCAGAAGCTGTGCGCTGGAATGGTGTGATCGTCCTGACGGGTTGTTTCAACGCACTTACAAGCCCCATGTGCTTCGTGTCATTAGACGAAGCGCTCATACCCCCTTGAAACGTGCAGGTGTGAGTGTCAAGTCTGACCTCACAAGCATAATTTACTTTCCCGAAGCATTTAACCACCCATGCTCTGAATGGCCCCCACAGCGCCAGTCATACACGGCACATATAAAATGTTTGTGACTTTCACCTGGGCGCTAAGGTCGAGGAGCTTCCCTGCACCCCAGCCCGTCGTGCCGCGCGGTGCGGAACAAAGCAGGCTCCGCATTCCGATGGCAGAGCACAGCCCCCTTGTGCGAAAAGGACAACTTTCGCTGACCTCCAGGCATCATTCTGGCCAACAATCACCACCTGTCCTCATTTTGCAGCAGAACAATGTAATCTCGCCCATGATGGAGGCCCTTTCGTACCTCCATCCCACAACTTCAATCTCAGAGATGGACTCCCCACAGCAATTTCTCCGCCTCGAAGATCTCCATACAGCCTCCTCACCTTCTGCCACTCCCGAAGATGACTTAGGGATGGTTGACTCCCAAGCATCACCGCCGCCAGTCATCATTCACTCTAAACCGGCCAAGAAGCGGAAATCGTGGGGTCAGACCCTACCGGAGCCCAAGACCACTCTCCCGCCACGCAAGCGAGCCAAGACCGACGATGAGAAGGAGCAGCGCCGCATCGAGCGCATCAAGCGGAATCGCGCAGCCGCACACAACTCGCGCGAGCGGAAGCGCCAAGAGACCGAGGTGCTAGCCGTCAAGTGTGCTGAGCTACAAGCCGAGCTCGCCGCCTATCGCAAACTGCATGGCCCGCTCCCAGCTTCCGTTGTCCTACCCAAGGTCACCATCTCCAATGATGAGTTTGGCACGCCAGCTCCATCCATTGCTCAGTCACACGATACTCCGCAGGAGACAAGTACAAGTCCCATGGACACCACAGACCTCGCGCCTATCAAAGAAGAACCCCTCGACCTCGTACCAACCTTCCCACCAGCATTCGACAACCTCGATGTCAAGTCATCGCTGTCACAGCACCTCGACCCGACACAACATTCTGCAGCAATGTTGTGCGACCTGCAGTGTCGGTCGAGCCCGCTCACGACTATGATGATTTCGACTACAGCACGCTGGTGGGCAACGCTCATCCTCACTCTGATGACGTCCCAAATCCAAGCTTGCTACCGGAGCCTACTTTCGGCCCTATGGACACTTTCGCCTTCGCGAATGGAGCGTTTGATGCAAGCCTCTCGACTTCGCTTGACTTCTCGTTCGATGACTTCATCCAGGACCCCGTTACTGTTGCGGTCGATGGCTATGGCGCAGCTTAATGCAGCGACTGGCCGTCCGACCCAACAGGGCGCTCTAGCGCTTACACGGGTATCCGGGAGTGAGGTCACCCGGTTGAGGACGGCGGTCGTGAGGCCTGGTCATCATTGCGTTTCTCAGCGAACGGCGTCAGCGGAGCAAGGGCAGGGTCAAAAGCGTGAGCGTGGCGATGAAAATGAGTTTGGGAATAGCTAGCTTCGATAGATTACTGATGAATCTTATCACTTTGCTTACATTCACTGCCCGTGATTCACGTCCTCTCAATCCACACGTCGCTCGCACGATTCCTGCACGGTGCGCCGACGAGGAACTTCATGAACGCCACCTTGTTTGGGAGAAGGCTCGTCAGTCACTAACGTAGTATATGCTTCCCTTCGCCATACAGCCACAAGCTCTTCGAGAGTGTTTCAATGTGCTACATCGCGACATGGGCAGCATTTTGAGACGTACTGAAGCTTCAAAGGTGCCCTTTGATAGCAACGATACGGAACCAGTTGGCGAAGTAACGCTTAGAGAGGTGAGTAGGCAAGGCGACTGCCAGAACCGCCTTGGGATTACTTCACGGATGGTGGTGAAGAAGATGTCATATACGGCTTGGGGATGGCGTTAGCGAACCTGACTGCCACATGTGGCGATGAAGGAGCCCGAGCAGAGAATGAAGTCGATGATTTGGCCAGGGCCGGCCGATGACTACAAGGCAGTGTTTGGAAGGGAACGGGCACCCGCACTTAACCATCGGTGCACGGCCGAGCCTACTTCTCACCTCCTCTATACTCCTCCTTCAGCACCCACTTCCCTCTCCCACCCCTCGCTCCACTCTTGTCCAACTCGGCAATCACCTTCAGCATCTCCTTGAACTCCGCCGTCCGCTGCGGCGTCCCGCAGTACCGGTTGAAGTGATCAATCAGCATCTGCGTATACGCCTGCCCGTTGTGCGCGAGCAAGAAGTCGCGAATCAAAACCAAGAAGTCCTTGCCCTTTGGCTGCGGAGCATCCTGTCGGCTGCGACGATGCGGCGCTGTAGGCGTTCCGGCACGACTGCCACCGGACGAAGCCGAAGCGGCCGGTGAGCTGAGTTGGCGGGCCTGCAAATTCGCCAGGACTGAGGCGGAGGAGGGTCCACCGCGGCCGCCACCGAAGCCTCGGCCGCCGCGGACAGAGGGGGTGGGGCGCGGCCCCTCGTCCGGCCGCCCGGCGGTGCCGAAGGTGCCAGTCCAGGTCGGCACACCAGCCGGCACCGTCCGTGCGATCTCACCAGCCCTCTGGAGCTCCTTGGCCGCCTGAGCCGCGACGCGCTTCGCTTCCCGGGCAATGGTCTCCGGGTCCTCTCGCGCAATCTTCTTGCCGGTGAGGATAGCATCGTGCTCAAGGGCGCTCTGTACGCCAGTGCGGGCGAAGATGGATGAGAGCATGCGATCGTTCTTCGCTTCTGAGTCCTGCTCTTCGTCGTCTTTGTCTTCGTCAACGTTGCCGCGATAGTTCTCCTGCCGGGACACGCCTGCAATGCCTTCGCTGACACCAGCATGACCTCGGTCCTCGGGTGGTGTAGGAAGACTCTCCTCATCTTTCACTCGGGCCGTCTTCTTCGCGCCACTCAGCTGCACCTCCGTGCCTTTGAAGATACTGCCCGTCTCTGTCTCGCCGTCCCTGCTCTCGCCCAGCGTGAACAGGTCATGTAGATCTCGCAACTGAAACGTCTGCCTTTGCCTCGGATCCCGCAAGATCTTGTTGGTTAGGAACTGCTTGAAGATCTGCCGATGATATATCTTCTCTTCAATAGTACCGGCGGTCATAAGACGATAGATCTCCACCTCACGCTTCTGGCCTAGCCGCCAAGCTCGCTCTCGCGCTTGCACGTCAGTGCTCGGGTTCCAGTCCGGGTCGTAAATGATAACGCGGTCGGCGCCCGTGAGATTGACGCCCAGCCCGCCTACCTTGGTCGTGAGGAGAAACACGTGCAAGTCCTGGTCTTTATTGAACTCATCGACAAGATCTTGTCGGTCCTTGATAGAGGTATTGCCATCCATGCGGCGGTAATTGAAGCCGTCCATGCCTTGTATGAACGTTTCTAGAATATCTAGCATGATACGATGCTGTGCGAACAGTAGTGTCTTGTGGCCGTCCCGCTTCCAGATCTCAAGCAGTGCTTTGACGACCTGCATCTTGCCGCTCTTATGGCCGCTACCGTAATTGTAGCCTGCTTTCTTGCTCAAGGTCTTGTGCTCGACCAGGTCCGGATGGTTACAGATCTTGCGCAAAATGTCTACGCCGTAGAGAGCCTGACGCTTGCCCGAAAGGATCGACTTCATCTCCTCGCTTGCCAAAAACCACTCGTATGCCTCACGCTGGAGCTTGGTAAGCTTGCAGAACAGTACACGCTCGCTCTTTTTTGGCAGATCGGCAGCGACGTCGACTTTGAAGCGTTGCAGCAGGTACGGGCTAATCGTGTCCTTGAGCGTCTCGGCGCATTTCATCGCCGTCTCCACCTGCAGATTGGATGCATTTGCGTACCCACCTTGCTTGATCGGTATCTCGAACTGCGAGCGGAAGTTGACAAGCGTGCCGAGTCGCATCGGAAAGACAAAGTCGAACAGCGACCACAGCTCGGTGAGGTTGTTCTGCATGGGCGTGCCAGACAGAATCACTCGGTTATGCGTGCGCAACTCTTTGCAATAAATGGTAATGGCGGTATTCGGATTCCGAATCTTGTGACCCTCATCAAGCACGGCATACTCCCAGTCCGTAGGTATTAGCAGCTCCGCATACGTCTGCAGTCCGGAGTACGTCGTGACCAGGACATGGCCATCTCGAACCACTCTGTCGACAATGCGCTTGGCGGCCTTGTGGCCTTTGTTCATTGTTGCCTTTTTCCGACCGTACATGTCGACTTCCAGGTCGTCCTCGATGCGTGCCTCGCGCTTAATGTCAAGCATCCCGCTGCCGGAGGTATGCAGGATGGACACTCTGAGGGGCGGCCACCAGCGGTGAAACTCGTTCACCCATTGCTTCATGACGGTTGCTGGGCAGACCACGATGATAGGCTTCGTGAGTTTGTCGGAGTAATGCAAGGAAGCCAAGAAAGAGATGATCTGGATCGTCTTCCCAAGACCCATTTCATCGCCAATAATGCCCCCGACTTGCTGCGAGTATAGCTCCCACAGCCACTGCACGCCTGTCTTCTGATAGTCGAATAGCGAAGGGTAAATGTCGCCGGGCACTCGGAGGCCGCCCTCGAAGACAGTGTCTGTTCGCGTGGGATGCGGCATATGCCATTCTTCGTGCCCGTCAACACCTGACTCCTCATTGTTATGCAGGTCGGCCGCAGCGCGAACCTCGTCGGCCACAGAGTCTTGGCCAGCATCGCTGCGTTCGTCCCGAAACTTCACCCTTGCAGCTCGCCGTCTCCGTACCCAACTTTTGAGCCGCTCTTGGTATACTGTCTCGTTGCCGTCATCGATCCCGGCCAAATCCTCTGTCTCAGCAGCAGCGTCTTCGATAGCTTTCTCCTTCTTGTTCTTCCGTTTCTGTTTGATGCCGGGTGTGGTAGCCAGCGAGAAGTCACCTTCAGCATCTTCATCCTCTGGCTCCAGATCATCACCAGTCTCACCCGCAGCAATTATATCATCTTCATCCACATCGGGCACGTAAGCGTCCGAGTCAGCTGCCGGCGATCCGCCACTCTCGGACTCTGCTCGCGCCGGCCGTCTCGTGTGCAGTCGTCTCCGCTTCGCCGGTCGCTCTGAAGCGAACTCTTCGTCCTGCAACCGCCGTGCAAGCTGTTCATCGCCTTCCGTCTCGGCTGCTGAAGTCAATGGTGAACTCGCCTCTTGTTGGTCGAAGCCAGGCGCAAGCAGATTGCGATGTGACCGTGGCGCTTCTTGTCCAGGCTGCTCCTCGACGATTTCAGGCTCTGCATCTGCTTCACCTTCCTCTTCAGCATCCAGTAACACATCCCCTAAGCTTGAAGAAGCCCTCAGTAGCTGCCTGCCCATCTTCGAAAATGGCGTAATCTTGCCAGTCCGGATCAGGAAATCACGCTGACTCTCACCCGGCAGGCGCTGATTGCCCGACTCCTCCAGCAGCGTCTCGCCATCCTGCGCGGGCTGCTCGTTATGCCTCTCATCCATGCGCTTCTGTATCTGCTCAACATCGCGGTCCAGCTCAGCAATTCTGTCTTGATGGTCCGCAAGCTCGCCACGCCACTTCTCCTTGGTTGCATAATTCCCGAAACCTTTCAGCTTGCCCTCGAGAATGTGGATCTGGCCCTGCAGCAGCTCCTTCGTCTTTTGCGTCTTCTCCAAACGCTTCTTGTCACGTTCGTCGGCCTGCTCAATGAGGAGCCGGTCGGCTTGACGACCGATGTCGCGCTCGAGGTCATCCTGATCGCGGGTACCGGCGCCGAGTCCAGCAAGCACTGTTGCCTCGTCTTTGCCGTCTGTGCCCTCGGTAACCAGATGAGAAGGCGCATCTGCCTCTTGCTGTTCCACAGAAGGCTGCTCGGCATTACCGTCTGTTGCCTTTGCGTCGGCCATAGCGTCGTCGACGGAACTTTGTTCACGGCTCGCAGCCATACCTTCTGCGCAAACGACTAGCAGTGATCGAGGGTGTCCAGTCTACCCATGTAACCTTTGTGATACTTTCAGGTTTCCCCCCCCCCCCCAACGGACCACTACAAGACACGGGCGCCGGCGCCTTAGCGTTGATGTGAAGTTCTCGCTTTCCAGCTATCATATCTCCACAATAGGATATTAAGTGAGTGTTGCCAGTAAGGGAAGGTCTACTATGACACGGCCTCGAGATCGCGCACGCACCACAACTCTACTTGCGGTCGATCAGATAGTGCCGGACGCAGCCGTGAAGCTCGGCTCCACATCGTATCTGACATTCGTCACCGAAGGCGATGGTGCTTGACTGAGTCGCGTGCACAACCTCAATACCTGGTAGCATCAATTCATGGTGTCACTGTCGAACATCGGGACGTCAGTACTCTCGCGTCAGTATGCATATGCTGTAGGACACCGACATACATGAGTGCAACACGCTTAATTCATCATCACGTTTAGACAAGCGCAGCCTGAAGACCACGCGGAAATGGCTTCACTCCCAGCGCGCCAGCAGTCGCACAGGCGGACTTCTCCAGCGCAGAGTGACGCGACTCAGCGACAAGCACAAGAGCAATCGTTGGACGATGCTGCAAAGTCAACCGCATATGGAGACCCGCAAACACTCTTCACCAAGGGCCAGCAGACAGAGCAGACCGAGCAAGAAGAGGAGCAGTCTCCACCGGTACAGCAAGTCCGCCCTAGCAACCCCGATGATGATCCGTCAATCAAGAAGTGCTGGATCTGCTTTTCCGACTCCACCGAGGATACACCAGAGACATCGCCATGGCGTGACCCATGTCCATGCGCCTTAGTAGCACACGAAGAATGCTTGCTAGACTGGATCGCGGATACGGAAGCACCCAAGAACCGTCGCAACCAGTCAATAGCTGCGCCCAAGATCGAGTGTCCGCAATGTAAAGCCGAGATCAAGCTTGCTAGGCCGAAGGACTACGTAGTGGAAGTAGTCCGGGCGCTTGAAAGGCTAGGCACGCAAGCAGTCACTCCTGGTGCGCTTACTGTGTTGTCTGGGAGTCTGTATCAAGCAAGTCTTGCGTGGGGAATGCACAGCATATATGCCATCTTCGGACCGAATGATGGCTTCCGAATACTACAGCCTTTGATACAAAACAGTTTCCGGCCGCCGGTCGAGGTCTACCTCAACAACCCACAACAAGCGGCGCAGAAGGTACTCGATCTATTTCTTAACAACCTCGTACACTGGCGGCTATACCTCGGAGTGCCGCTAATTACACCTGTTCTGATTCTTTCGCGGACCAAGTTCGCAGACTCGATACTGCCCGTTCTACCTGTCTTCTTCTTCGCCACTCAATCTCACGGACCCGACGATCCGCTTAACTACGGTGACTGGCCACCTTCGGCGAGCATGTGCTTTGCCATACTGCCATATCTGCGCTCTGCATACAACCTCTACTACGACAAGGTGTGGGCGGAGAAGGAGAAGCGGTGGCTGAAGGAAATCCAACCGCGGAGTTCGCAGCCTCAGGAAGCAACAAACGAAGCGGTCGCAGACGCTGGTCTTGGAGAAGCCGCGGCGAACGCCGACGATGGCGGCAACATCTTCGAGGTTCGTATCGACGGTGGAATCTGGGAGGAGTGGGAGGAGGGACCAGAGGAAGCGGCAGAAGCGCTCAATCAGGCGCCCCCACTACGACAACCTCCACTACCGGACGATGCTGCACAAGCGCAACCATTACCGAACGATGCAGCGGGCAGACTAGCAGGTGTAGCGAACCAGCAGCCGCAACCCAACGGGCCTCAGCCGGCTGCCGCACAACCAGCAGTCGCGAACAATGAACGACGCCTCTCCTTCTCGCCCACCGCCATCGCCGAGACGGTCCTTGGCGCCATCTTATTCCCTACCATCGCCGGCCTGTCCGGTGAACTGCTCAAACTCATTCTCCCCCGTGCCTGGACCGTCGCGTCAGCGCCTACAACTTACCAAGGCTTGCGCCGCATCCCAGGAATGCGGACATCCATTCTACAGGAGAAGTGGGGTCGGAGTCTTGTTGGGGGATGTCTGTTCGTCGTGGCGAAAGATGCGGTAATGCTGTATGTGCGGTGGAGGATGGCGGAGATGCACCGCCGGAGACGAGTGGTGGATTATGACCGGGCGAGCGTGAGACGGAGATGAGTAGGGTTCGGTTTTAGCGAGGTGTTCAGGCGTTCTACCATACGGCCATAGCTCGATAATCCACCCGGCTCCGTTCTATGTGCGTCTCATAACCATACCACTATGTCTACTGTGTAGTTGCTGATAAATCGATTCTGTTCGTTCGGTGCAAACTTTTCTCCGCTGGGGCTGGCCCATGGCTAATGATACATGTGTAATGAATGTGCCAAGACCGGACTTTGCGACTTCGTCTGGGGTTATATAGCGCTATCATGACGGATGAATAGCGGGTCTTCGTGAATGTATTTATATATCACGAGTTACTTGTGTTTCTGCAGTGTCCGAATACTACAACCCTTTTATCAAGTGAATTGGCAGCCGACATGAGCGAAATCAGCTCGAAACGCTTGTTCAGCGTCGATGGCATGGTCGTCTGCATTACAGGTGGTGGCACAGGTGCATATCGTTGTCAATTCCCCGAGGGAGCCGCTGCTAACTATGGTCTTTGAAAGGCATTGGAAAGATGATGACGAAAGCGTTTGCCGAGAACGGAGCTCACAAAGTCTACATCATCGGACGACGCAGGGAGAAACTCGACGAGACCGTCAAACTGAACCCCAGTGTAATCGTGCCAATCGTCGGCGACGTTACGTCCAAAGAGTCACTCTGTGAAGTCGCCGAACAAATCGAGAAGGATGTAGGCTACATCAACCTCCTCTGCTGCAACAGCGGCACCATGCCACCTCCCCTCGGCGCCGATTCCTCTAAGATGTCGATCCAAGACTATCGCAAGAAGTGCCTCGAGTCCAAGACCGAAGACTGGAATCAAACGTACGCCACCAACAGTGCCTCTATCTTCTTCACCACGATGGCCTTTCTCGAGCTTCTGGACGCAGGGAACAAGAAGGGAAACTGCCCGGGCCGCAACAGCCAGGTCCTTGTCACAACATCGATTGCGGGCTTCCTCCGCCAGCCACAGACACTGAGTGCTTATGGCAGTAGTAAAGCTGCGGCCACGCATTTAATTAAGCACCTTGGCTCGGCACTCATTCCGTACTCGATCAGGGTCAATGGACTAGCGCCGGGACTCTTCCCGTCTGACCTCGCTGCGGGTTTGATCAAGAACCTCTCCTCAGAGCATGATGCGACAGAGAAGGGTGCGGTGTCGAAATCGTTCATCCCGGAAGAGCGACTTGGGAAGCCGGAAGATGTAGCTGGGACGGTGCTGTACCTTGCGTCGCCGGCTGCCGCTTATATGCACGGTAACATTACGGTCCTTGACGGTGGGCGAGTCAACATGCTGCCAGGTAGCTATTGAGTGGTTGTGGGCAAGTCCGTGTAGACGTTAGAGTAGAGCGTGCTTTCAGCCGCCTTCGTGCATGCTCGCTGAGCTCCAAAACTCTTTCTCCTCTGCTTGCTCGTCAACCCACACCAAGCTGTCAGCGACCAAGTCATCAATGATAGCGATAGCCCGTGCTTTCTCCCAGCTGAGGTTGGCTTGAAGCATAGACACGGTCACGTAGCCTAGCACCTGAATGACTTCCAGCACTTTGCTCTGGTCTGGATTAAGCTCCTTGGGCACACTGCGAATGAAATTGCTACTTCCCAGCGTCTGCAGCTTGAACATGCCGCCAAGCGGCTGCAAGCTTTCGATTGCTCGCAGGACGTCGTCTTCGGTGACATCCATGCCGCCACCAACCAAGCCAGTGCGGCCTTTGGCCACACGTTTCTGCACTTCAGAGACGGCAATCATGCCGCCGTTTTCATTGCGTGTCTCTCGACAAACCTCGACGACACGAACGCCTAGTTCGAAGTAGAAGTCGTTGACACTACTGCCGAGCATCTTCGCCCAGACACTGCCTTTGCCAACTCCGCTGGCAGTGCCTGCGCCTTTGACATTGCTCCCGGCTAGTGGGTCCACGCCGATGGCGTTGCACATACGCGCGAACTCGGCTCTGAAGGTCGGGTTAGAGCGAATGTCTTTCGCGTGGGTCAAGGAAAAGTTATGCAGCGCGGCCTGAAAGACGGAGAGTTGGTTCGCTAATGCTTCAGCATGAGTGCTGCGAAGCTGTTGGCCGTGGCGTGCATATTGGTCGGAAGAGATGGCGGCGTTGGAGAAGGCGCTCAGACCTACGCCACGCCTTTGGGATGCCATGACTGCAAGCCCTCAAAGTCACATGGTGATGGTATTGAACCAGGTGATGATTGATGTTGTCGTCGACGATGGCGGGCCTTCATTGCCTAAGGCATGAGACAGCGCACAGACCTCTCGCCAAGCCCGCACTTTCGTCTTCGGCAAGGAAACAAATCTCGAGACATCCGCATTGTGAAATCCACTTCTACCTTACAACACTTCGCCATCAACCTTCGCAATGGCTCCCCAGAAAGGAACGGCTACTGTCAAGACGTATGTCCACAACCCGTATTTTGCAGGGTGAAGAAGAGTAGCACAGTCGGTCCGCTCGCAAAGCTCGAAAAATTCACGGTCCAAGCAGCCATGTACCGACGCACTTATCCTGGCTCAGTCCTGCACGTAGTCAGTAATGGCACGTCAGAATGTGAGACCATCGCAAAGCCTCAGCCTTTGTGCCTATCTCGCCTGGCGAGGCTTTGTCGCTTGAGGCGCCGCTTCAGCGATCAGAAATAAATGTGCTTGCGGAGAATGCATGAGAGCCAGCAGACCACTGTGCCGCACTTCTTCGCTCGGCAGCTATCCATGCTGCTACAGCGGACCGACTAACCTGTGATAATGTAGGAGCGTCCCAACCAAGGACCAAATCCTCGTCCCGGAGACGCTGCTCAAGAAGCGCAAGAGCCAGGAGAAGGAGCGTGCCGACAAGGCAGAGCAGCGCGAGGCCAAGAAGAAGGTAAGCGCAACCCTGCATGCAATCGCTCTGTGGTGATGATACCTACCCAACCTCGACTAGCTTCGGCAATGTTGTCGTTTGTTAACCATCTTTCGGGACTGAATCTATCCTGCGCACATAGTTTCCCTCTGCTACTTTAAGAACGCCCGCCGCTAACCAGGGTTACAGGAGAACAAGCAGAAGCGTGAGCAAATCTTCAAGCGCGCCGAGTCATACGTCAAGGAGTACCGCGATGCCGAGCGCGAGAAGATCCGCCTGAACCGTGTCGCAAAGAGCGAGGGCAGCTACTATGTCCCCGCTGAGCCGAAACTTGTCTTCGTTGTCCGCATCAAGGGTATCAACAAGATCGACCCGAAGAAGCGCAAGACCCTCCAGCTGCTCCGCCTCCTTCAGATCAACAATGGCGTCTTCATCCGCCTTACCAAGGCTACAAGCGAGATGCTGAAGATCATCGAGCCCTTCGTCGCATACGGCTACCCAAACCTCAAGTCCGTCCGTGAGCTCATCTACAAGCGTGGATACGCCAAGACCACACAAAAGCAGCGTATCCCGCTGACGGACAACGCCATCATCGAGGAGCACCTCGGCAAGTACGGCATTGTCTGCATGGAGGACCTCATTCACGAGATCTTCACTGTCGGCCCGAATTTTAAGCAAGCCTCCAACTTCTTGTGGCCCTTCAAGCTCAGCAACCCAACCGGTGGTTTCAGGCCGAGGAAGTTCTTGCACTTCGTGGAAGGTGGCGATCTCGGTAACAGAGAGGAGTACATCAATGCGCTCATCAGGCAGATGAACTAAATGTTTGCTTTGTACTGAGACGGCGAGTCTGCGTGCGGAGGGACGGTGGAGTCGGGGCGTGGCATTGCTGTTGTAGTTGCTTAGACAGCATTGCTGAAGCGCCAAACATAATATGGACGCCTTTACAATTCAAGTCACTTCTCATTCATCCCGTACTCCAAGTATGAAGCTCTAAGCTGTTTCCGAAGATCATTACTGGAACAGCGTTCGAACCGAGTGGGTCGATCTGATAGCAGATAAGTCCGATCTCGGAAAGCACGCATCCTCCGATAGCGTCACCTAGTCTCCGTTATCAGGCAGTATCCTCGAACCTGCAACACTATGTATATTTCACGACGGTAGCGCAGCATGGCAGAGACGTCGCCGATGGTGTGGCGATATCTTGCAGGAACCACACAGCACTCATCATCTGCAGTAGGCACCCTTGAGAAGCTGGGTGATCATCAGACAGAGCACTTCCGGCGGCTCATCGAAGGCATTCGGTTCTCACAGCGTTTTATCTTAACATACCAAGCGGTATGCTGTGCGATCATATTGCTCTTCGCTATCTGGGAATGGCATGGCAAACTTACGCGACGGAGACGGAGCAATCCATTGGCGCACGGCGAGCGGACTCTATCAAGCTCATCAAGCACATCAAGCGGCACCGTTTCGGGTAACGCGACGCCACCGATCCAATCGAAGTCGGCCAGCGAGTCGACACCACTGCTCCATAACCAGGACCAAGGGGCGAGCGATGCGAACCGATGGCAAATGCTTGCGCGCCGCGTCCGCGCCATGGGCATGTACCAACCGCCAACCATCCCCTTCATCAACGTCGGTCCACCCTCAAATGCGACGACATACCTCGTCCTACTGCTCTTAGGCCTTAATATATTCTATCTCCTCTTTAACATTCGATACGAATTCGAGCTCGTCTTCGTCTTCGCGGATCGTGCATCGCTGCTGTTCGTAGCCAACCTGCCATGGCTATACATACTGGCAGCGAAGAATCAGCCCATCAAGCTCTTGACCGGATACTCTTACGAGAACACGAACATCCTGCATCGGAGACTGGGCGAGTGGATGTGCCTACTCGCGCTACTGCACGGAGCTGGTATCCTCGTGGCCTGGTATCTTTTCTTCGGGCCAAATGGCATGAGCTTGTGGGACTTCCTCACCCGCCGGATCATCATTTTGGGTATTGCGGCGTTCGTCTGTTATGAGCTACTGTTTGTCACATCACTGGCCAGCTTCCGTCGGTGGTGGTACGAGGTCTTTTTGGGCGCACATATCTTATTACAGGCTGCTGGGCTGGCCTTGGTGTACTTTCATCACCGCGGTGGCAGAGTGTATACGCTCGTGGCATTGGCTATCTTCTTGGTTGACCGCTTGGTTTTTCGCCTGGCGATGAAGACGCGCTTCTTCAGAGCTGATCTGACGGTCATGGAAGATGGCAAGACCGTGCTTGTATCTACGGACTGGCCTAAGAAGGCACGATGGAGCAGCATTCGGAGTGCTCTGACCGGCATTGATGTCAAACACGGCTGGCAGCCCTCGGAACACGTCTTTCTCTCTGTTCCGGCCTTGGCGAGGAAGCACCTTGTTCAAGCCCATCCGTTCACCATTGCTTCTGCGGCTCCGGAAGGTGACCAGCAACATGCTTGGTTCAGCCTCATCATTCGCGCTCACGATGGGTTTTCATCCGACCTTCTCCGGTATGCACGAAGCCACGCGTCAGCAGACATTCGCCTTGACGGTCCCTACGGCTCAATGCACGCTCTGGAGATGTTGCGGAGTAGTGACATCGCATTGCTAGTTGTCGGTGGGTCTGGCATCGCCGTCGCATACCCCATACTATGGACGCTGCTACACGAGAACGATGCGGAGACGGTACGGTCGAGGCGTAAAGTTGGTCTAATCTGGACGGTGCACGAGGCATCCCACCTTGAATGGATTGGTCATGAGCGACTGGACGAACTACGCAAGAAGGGGTTGCAAGTCTGCATACCGGCGCCTACATCTAACGCGGGCCGGCCAGACATCGGCACTCTTGCGCAGAAGATGTTGGAAGATATGAGTGCGAAGCAAGACGCTGACGGAGGGCGTGTCGGTGTCGTGGTGTCCGGTCCTGATGGCATGAATAGTGACGTTCGGAACAGGTGTGCACGTTTAGCATGGCAGGGCTGGGACATCCAAGTGGCAGTGGAGAAGTATGGGTGGTGAAGCTTCTGCCCCTTCCAAGCAGATCAGGCCTTGTGCGAGTGAGCGCCACGCTCAGAACTCTCAGTCACGTTTTATCACTTGCACGCAACCGCCTGATTCCGCACTCCATTCCGTACCTTTGGCACATCGCAAACCATAATGCCTAGAATAACTTCCTCTCTAACGATATGCGGAGCCCGCGTGCCTTCGCCAGAGCTTCAAGCAAGGGAAGCGCCAATCCCAGGCCACTTTCTGTTGGATATCGCTCCAAATTCCTTCCTGGTCTGCTGTCCACTTTCCTCGGACAAACTTCCCTTGGACGAAGAACACCAGCCAGCAAACGAGTTGGGCTTCCTGAGCAGAGTGCAACTCTCCCTTTCCCGGGCAAGAGGGCAGTCCACAACTTTATGACGCTGGAGATCATGTAGTGAAGGTGGAAAGACGACCTATAGCATCGGCGCCCAACGAAGCTAGCGTCCGGCTTGAGAACATTCTCTCCTGAGGGAACGCTTCGACGGAGACTTTGAGCTTTTGGCGAATAGCCCGCATCATTAATGGCCATGGTGAGCCTGGCGCAGGGATTCACCTGGGTATGGGGGTCGAGTATCATCGTCCCGTTAGTAACGCCGATTTTGATGACCATGTTGCGCAATGCGGCGCCTATGGGCCATGATATTTGTTCCTACAAGATCAAGGATTTCACGGTTAGCTGCAACTCCGACAGCCGCGAGCAGGTCGACACATCGCTCTGCTTACCAACCAGCATGAGACTCCCTCGAGATCGTCACGACCTGCGCTTGTCGTTGTGAAGGCGAAGCGATTAAGATAGAAGTAAAGGTGCAAAGTCTCAACACGAATCCGACGGCAGGTCTGAGTGATGGCAGGTCGACGTTCGGTGGCGATGTCGATGTCGCTCGGGTCGGTGAGCGCGAGCTCCTAGATTCTCTTGCGCGCGTTCGGAGGTGGGGTGTGAAGCAGTGAAGGGAGGCGAGCAGCACGCGCCGTACCGGTCGCCAACCACACCCTGTAGCTGGCGTCGAGATACTGCCCTGGTGCTGTCGCCATGGTCCGTCGTAAGCGGTGCAGGAAGAATGGGCGGATTTCGAATGTCTGTGGGAAGCCAGAGTGAAACCTGGTAACTTCAGCTAAAGAGATGATGCTGTAAGGAAAAGGCTAACTGACCCTCACTTACGGTAAGGGAGGCGCAGTGTAGCTTCTTCTTGCGAACTTCGTCTGGTAGTAGTTGCCGACTTGCTTCCCTACCTGGGCGGGCGAGTATGCGTTTTACCGCTGACTTGTATTTGTCCCCTCGAACGAGGGCCACGACAAGATCCGCCGGCCCAGGCCAGTAATGCCTAGAACACCACGCTCAACCGATTATGGCGACCTATCATGGTATCATGCGCCACGGGGGTGCTGCGGCGCCCAAAGTCACGCATCAATGGCATACATTCAGTAGTTCTCTTACAAAAGCATCCTAACTACCTCCAACGCCACGCTGAATGACCAATCAACCATTCGCCTTCTCCACCGGATTCTTGTCCAGACTCTCATACCACTGAATAGCACTGCCCACCAAGAACGCCCAAGAACCCCAGAAAGTCGAGCAACTAGCCTGGTACTCCCGCCAGTACGACGTGCCGAAACCGAAAATCGGACACAACGTAAAGCCAATACCCCCGACCAAATTCCAAAACCCAATGTGCCACCCCAGCACGCCGAAAGCGGGTTGCCACCAATGCTTTTGCGTCTCGAGCATGAACAGCGTACCGGAGATAACGAATCCTGTACCTCCGACTACCTGAGGAACCCAGTAGACTCCGTTGAGCACGCTGATAGGTGACAGATGGTTGAAGATGCCGGGCAAGGCGGTAAAGCCCGAGATCCAGAAGACGGTCGCGCCGAACATTTGCCACGAACACGCGATGAAGCCGAGGTCGTGGAGGTAATGTGTGCGCAGTTCGTGCCATGATGGCCACCACACCCACGATTTCGCACCGGGTGGCGTGCCGTCTGTGGAGACGGTCGGATTCTTCTCGTCTGTCGTCACCGCATGGGAATTTGCTGGCTTGCCGACGAGGTTGCCCTTGTTGGGATGGTGATGCGTGCAGTTGTCCGGCTTCACGCGACTAAGGTGATCCTCGTACACTTCCTCCAATGCCCAGCCGAAGCAGCCCGTCCGGTTCTCGTTCACCGCTTCCAACATCAGCAGCACACTGCCTATCTCGAAGACGGTGGCGCCGATGAAAGCGGTAATGCCGCCACCGTAGAGCGTCTCGGTGGGAAAGCTCGTGCTTGGGTTGGTGAAGGGGAGGAAGGCGAAGAAGGCGTTGATGACCCAGATTACGGAGCCCCAGGTGAATACCACGGCGACGAGGTAGCTGACGTCCCATATAGGGTAGTACCAGAACATTCGCCAGATGCCCTTGAGGACCTCCTTAGCAGTGTTGCTGGGTGGAGGCGTGGTGTACTGCGCACTGGCCGCACCGGGAGGCTTGACCACCAGCGCGTGCCTGCCTTTGCGGTTGTTGCGTGACGTCCAGTTGAAGCCCACGTTTGATGCTGTTGCCTTGCCTGCAGAGCCGGTCTCTGCCCGTCGCTCCGCATCGTCGTACTCTTCCGCGGTGGTGAAGGCTTGTTTTGCAGGGACGTGATCGTAGCGGGCTTGTGTCGGATTAAGAAAGGTGACAGGACCGTGGATCTTTCTGTTGTCAAGTCGCAATGACGTGTCATTTTTGAGTGGTTCGCGTTCGGGGTGGAAGGCGGCATTGCGAGCCATGGTTTTCCTACCGTCCGCTGGACGCTGGTTGTTTGTTGATGTTTCGGTCTCGTGACTCAAAGGTATCAGGAAGTACCATCAAGGAAGGTGGATGACAAGCAGATTCTCATAACCGAACCAGCGGCTGCTCAGACATGACGCACCTCCTCTCCACGGCGGGCAAGCGAGTCGTCCACTTGCCTTGTTCTGCAATTGCGACTTGATTTTATACCTTACGCATAGCGGCAATTCGACGTCATTTTCCATTGGTTCTCAGGGCCTGCGCGGATGCACGTGGCGTGCATATCCGCCTCTGCCGTCGATATGAACGGCAAGCTTAACCGCAGTGATCGAAGCTAAGCTTCAGGTTGCAATGCTTGTCTGGGCTATACCTCGGGTGCTCTGACACCCTCTTGTACCACGCGATCAAACATACTGCAGCAATATAACCCCACACGCTCATATGTAAGCTGGAGACACCCACGGCCCAACCCATCATGGCCCACTCCCGCACCGAGATGGTAGGAACAGTACCTACCGAAGACCGCTTCACGCGTCTTCTGTTCCGGCTGCCGGCAGAGATCCGCAACGAGATCTACTCGTACGCCGTCCCCAAGCCGCCGGCCTACATGGCGCTGGACCTTCGGCACCCACACTCGGATCCGAATCTGCTCTGGACGGCATGTTCCCAACGGCTATTCGCCGAAGCCGGGCCACTCTACTACGGCGCAATCGTGCTCTACACGTGCACCACCTTGAGCGGCGAGGCCATGTACTCGGGTAGGTTCGACCACGGAGATACCAAGCTTACCAGCGCCACACGCGGGAAAGACAATGGCTATTCGCGTTCCCTCAGTGATCCACGGAAGACATTCGACAAGCATCTGTTCCACTACGGTTCCATGGCATATCCGTCTCTCCGGCCACTCATCTACAACATGCCCTCCACCCTCGCAATCGACATTCGTGTCGACACATGCCAGTCCAGCCAAACCTTGTCCGGGCCCGTCTCGCAGTATTTCCGCGACTTGCTCGCCGCCTTCCCGAGACTGAAAACGATATATGTCTTCTTCGGCCCTCCCTGGATGTTGTACGACCCGGCAGGCATGACCGGGACCCGCCACCTCTTCGAGAGCGATCCGCCCTCGCCGCACGCGAGTGACGATCATTTCAGAGGCGAGAAGGACGCAATCAGGAGGCTGGTACCGGCTGATTGTGAACTACGCTGGCGAGTGTCACCCTTGTGGGCGAAGATGGACGGTCATGGCGCTGCGGGAAGGCAGCCTGTAATATAAAGTGAACCCTACACCGCCGCCATGAAGGTGGTCGACAAGGGCCCACATCTACCCTCTCGTCTTACTCCTCCACCTCCCCTTCCACCTCAACATCGCCCCACCCTGCGTCCTCGCCACCCCCTCTCGAACCAGCTTCCGCCGCTCCTCCCGCCTCCGCTCAATATCACTCTGACTAACCCCGCCAAACCCATTGCCCCTGCCCCTCCGGAAACTGACCTCCATCAACCCATTCACATTCAACATTCGCCTCGGGATCGCCTGCACGACCTGAAAAATCTCCATCGGATCGTTAACCGCCAAAATCTGATGCTCGCCCGCTTTGAAGATGGCAAGGGCGATGCGGAAAAGCGTCTTACTGCCCTCGAAGAACAGGCAGTCCCACACACGAAGCACGGACTCGATGGGCAGCGTCCCCACGAAAAGCGACATGAACCACGCGGTTGTGGCGAGACTGACGGTAGGCAGACGGAGCGACTGCGCGGCCGGATCGCCGACGACTCCACCGCCCTTGTCGTCCAGCTTCGTCCAGACGGGCGGGAGGAGATCCTTGAGCAGGGACATGAGCACGGCAATGTCGATATTTGCGCCCTCGAGCGCGATCCCGTGCGTGCCGGGGAGGTGGACCGACGTCACGATCTCCAGCAAGACGAACGCTTTCTCTTCGTCCTCGTCCAGGAACAGCAAGAGTAGTCCCGCGATGAAGTTGAGCGACTGACAGTACCCGATCCCGGGGTTATGCACGGCAAACGCCTGCAACACCCGCCTCAACGCCTTGACGATCGGCGTCTCAGCCTCGCCAACCGACCGCCGCTGTTTCTTCTTCTTCTCATCCCCACCGCCCGCTCCAGCCTGCACGTCCGACATACTCGCCGCATCCGGCTTGAACCTCACATTATCCGGGAACGTCCGGTTAAGATCCCGCTCAATATGCTCCCGATCATTATCGCTCAGCGCACCCCTTCCCACCCGCTCCAGCAACTCAGCATACAACCCCGGCTGCTTTGCCAACCGACCGGGCCCGCCCGCGTACCAATACCACGCCGCGCCGCGGAGGTGGGCGGGGATGCCTTTGCGGACGTAGCGTTTGATCTTGTCGCTTTTGGGCGGGAAGCGGAAGGGATTTTCCGTATTGAGGCCGTAGGATTTCATGAGGATGTGCCATTTTTTGCTGCGGCGGGAGAGGTGCTCGGTGTAGAGGGCGTTCCAAGCGTCGTATTGTTGGACGGAGATGTGATGAGAGGCTTTCTTGAAGCCGTAGCGGTCTCGGGCGATGGGGTTGGGGGAGGAGGAGGATTGGCTTGTGGGGCGGTGTTGCTCGGTTGGAAGCATGCTGTCGCCGTTTGCAAGCTGCGTCGACGGGTGTGTGAGTGGTGCGTGTTGTGATGCATCCGAGCTGATTTCCGGTGGGATCCTCCACTGGTCGAGCAAACTGGCGCTCTGACTGCGGCGGTGGAGAGGGTTGGGTCGAAGCGCGTCCTCGGACTGCGCGGGTTGAGAGACGGGTCGATCGATGTGCAGAGACAGCCTGTGGCGATGGGTGTCGATGCTCTGGTTCGCAACCGAGCGTGAGCTTTGCAGTGAGTGCCGGCCGTACGTGTCCATGCTGTGCTTGGAGCTCTCGAAGCCGTCGGCATACATGCCGATTGCGTCTTCTACACTCATGCCGGCGTCGTCGTCGTCGTCGCCTTCGAGCTCCGTCTCCGGCCACCTGGGAGACAGTTTTCCAAAATCGCCAGGTGAGCTGTTGCCGTCGACCAGACTGCTGCGTTCGGTGGGCAAGCTGCTCGTATTGAAGTAGCTCGAGTGTTTCGTCCAGGCCGACTTGAACGACTGCCTTGATTCATCCGGGGTCATGCTGGGCGTGGTCGGGGTGTCACTGCCGCTTTCAGCGATACTTTTGTTGCTGGAAATGCGCGCTCGAAGCCCACGCAATCCTTCGCCGATCGACTTGGTCTTCCGCGGCTTCTTGCGTGGTGATTTGTGCGGCGACGGCGAAGGCGGTAGCAATGGTGAAGAGGGCGGTCGCATGGCGTTCACCATCTCCGGAACGGCTGTCGTAGGAGATTCATAGTACATCTCTCCCTCTGCCTGACCGCGTCTGACGGCGAGACTGCCCAATGGCAGCTTGGACGGCCGTCGCACATCTCTGTCCGCAAACGCATGCTCCGAGCTAGCTGTAACCGCATCGATATGAGGTAGTGGCTGGACCGGTGTAGGACTGAAGCCACGGACTTGATGTTGCGGGTCTGCGAACAGAGGCTGCGGCGCGTGCTTCGAGCGTAGGTGTTGCGCCGTCGCTTCTCTCAACGGTAGATGCGGTCCCGGTAACTCGCTCTGGCGTAGTGGGCTTTCGTTGTGCGGTGTATTGCTCATAGCCTCGTGAATCGCCTCCGCGACCGCCAGCGTCCCCTCGTTGCGCAGACGCTCCCGCTCCATCCATCTCATCGTGACGGTCCCGTGGTTGATGGCACGAGCGCCGTGCGCGTGGATGGGGGTGGTGAGGGGATGGGGATGGTATGCTCGGGCGGCTGCATCCCCATCTTGCTCAATACACGGACGAGCCTAGACCGCAGTAGCAGGGAGACACTATACTTGGCTATGGAAGCCACGGAGTCCACTCCCGCCGTGGCAGCCAGCCCTGTCGCAAACCCTTGGAAGAAGTTCAGTTGGCAGCGCCGTTTCGCCAACCCCGAAGAGAAGCCGCTTTGACAGCTCCCGAGTCTAAAATAGCACAATCGATAGCCGCCGAAGCGAGTTGGCCCCTGCGTTATGCATCCGCCCGCCACGAGGCACACCCCTGTACAGGCACGTGAGACAACCGACAATGATGGTCATGCAAGAACAAGTGAAATATCTACAAGGCGTATGGTTGTTGCCACCGCAGGAGACATGGCTACACTGCTTGTATATGCCCACCCCAGACGCCCGACGCTCATGCAGCACGCTCAGTCTGATGATCCATAAAAGCATCCTCTGAACGCCGAGCCACAAATGTCAGCCTGGCCAAGGCGTGCCCTTCCCTTCCATGCACATGCACACTTGCTCCCCCAATCCAGCTCTCAGCTGAGCCCTGTCCACCGACAATGGGAGGAGTCTCCTCACTTAGCATACTTGCTCACCCACTCCTTCGCATTCTTGTCAAACGCCCTCCGCTCATTCTTATACTCATTCGCGATCCCCGGCTCCACCGCATCCTCGGGTTGCGGCGCCGCCAGCACCGCCCTCACCAGCTTCAGCACCTCGACGATCTTGTTCGGCGGCTTCCACTCGTCCGCCCGCAGCATGCCCAAGCACATGGACCCGCGCTCGTCGTTGGAGACGTTGGGGTGGTAGATTTTGGTTTTGAAGGAGACGTTGGGAGGCTTGAAGGGGTACTCTTTGGGGAGCGCGACGGCGAGCTTGAAGCGGCCGCCGGCGTAGACGGAGTCTGATGGGCCGTCCATGGTCACTTCCCAGTTTAGTAGGTCGTCTTCTTTGGGGAGGGTGATGGTGCAGCCGGGGGGGGAGTTGGCCTGGATGTCGGCGAATTCCTAAGTGGCTGTCAGTATGGATTGCGAATGCAGTATCAAGTGAGGGATCACACCTTCATGATACGCTTGTTGCCAGCCATTGTGTTTGGATGTCGTAAGATATCTCTCTCAATCGGGCAGCTATGGGTTGTAGGCAGTGGCCACTGCTGCTTGAGTAATCCACTGTTGAAGGTGGAGAGGGCTGTTGTACAGAGTGAAGAGGTATATGGAAGATGTAGATCTCCCCGCGATGGTCCAGTGAAGCGAGCCTTACAACACCCACAGTCACTGTTTCGGCCTGAGTCAGCTGCATGAAATGATCACAACGTGCATACCTTAGCGGCGCCAGGCACACACTGTGCCACTCGTGCACCCACCCCCACACTCTTCCCATCCCCCCCAGCCAATGGGAAGGCTACCATCATGTGCTCTCGCGTGTCTAGCACTGCCTTGGGAGATGCAGGGATTCCCGCCGCGTATAAGTACTGGGCGACCTCCCGCCCACGACGCCCTTTTTCCTTTCCGCTCCACCGCTGCGACAAGTCCAAGGCCGCACACTTCACCAGCGGGGAGTGTGTCACCGCCTTCCATGCACCGCGAGTCGATCCCTACACACTCACTCATAAACGCTCATTAACCGACAACACTCATCCACTCCCTCGAGACGGGAAACGGAACTGATCGCTGATTCACAGCCTGCTTCACCATGTTCAAGCGCTCCTTCGCCGCGTCGAAGGACACGACGAGCAAAGTGCGCAAGGTGACGAAGCGCTCGTTCCGTGATGACGCCAAGCAGAGGATGCGCGAAGCGTTGCAGAACGCGACTACTCCCGACACGTCGCCTTCCGTAGGCGGGTGTTCCCCCAAGCTCAACAGCGCCATCGTCACGATCGCTGTGGGCAAGGACCAGCGTCTCTTCGCCGCGCACGAGGACATACTCGCGCGCTCGCCCTGGTTCGCCGAGGCCGTGCGCGAGCAGTTCTTCGCCTCCCCCGGCCAGCGGCGCATCAACCTCCCCGACGAGGAGCCCGAGATCTTCTCCGCCGTCCTCGAGTACCTCTATAAAGGCGACTACGCGCCGCGTCTCCTGCACGACCGCAAGCGCAACACGTGGTCGCTCGAGGACGGCGGGGCGGGCGGAGAAGATCTGCAAATGCGCCCCTCCCTCTCCCCTCACCCTCACCCTCACCCTCACCCCTCCAAACCCGACGGCCCCCGCGCGAACGAGCTCGCGACCATCTACCATCACGGCGTGGGCGACTACATCCTCCGGGACACGGTCGTCTACTGCACCGCGCTGCGCTTCGCCCTGCCCGACCTCCAGCGTCTCGCCCTCCGCAAGCAAGGCCTGCAGTCCGGCATCGACGTCGCCACCATCCTGCGCAGTGCCCGCTTCGCCTACGCGAACACGCCGGCCAGCGACTCGCGCCTGCGCGCCCACTACCTCGCCCTCATCATCCGCTCCCGCAAGACCTTCAAGCGCAGCGGCACGATGCAGATGGAGATGGAGAAGGGCGGCAGTCAGATGTTCTTTGACTTGTTCGTGGCCATGTGCAACCACATCGACGATGTGGTGGAGATTGGGCAAGTCGAGCCTTTCCCTTTACATACACTGCGCTGATCACCACAATATGTCCTCCGCTTTTTGTAGGCTTGTTGGTTCACTCGTGGCCATCGAACGCCAACTAACATCTCATGGTGCATCTAACAGCAACGGCCGCTCGCCCAACATTTAACGCGTGAACGCACACACACCACATTCGAACAAGACCAATGCAGGCTCGGAGCACATGACACGAAACAGATTGGGAACTTACACACACACTCTCTCTCTCTCCAACCAAATTTGCCGGCATTCTCCCCCCTCCAGACACAAGAAACAACTCAGACTGCAAGAAAATACCACGGCTCCGAGCTAGCATGGCTTTCTCACCTCTCCCGGCGCATGGGGTTATCGCTCCGCTTTGTTCAGCAATGCATTTCACTTCCAGACTGAAAGAACCACTGTGCTTGGTTTGGGAAAACTGCGTAAAACGACAAGTGGTTGGAAGCACAGGGGAATGTGGAGTTCCAGTTTCTTTTCTTCGTCGCGACGAGAACTAAGAATGAACACCTCTCATTTCTGCCGTTCTCCGCTCTAAATCGCTCCAACTTCCGCCCACCATCTCCGACAGCTCCGGCGGGAAGATTGTTGTGGCGGGGTCGCGAGCGATTACCTTCATCAGCTAATGCGACTGCCTTCGCAGGAATTTCATTGGAATTTTGACAAACCGCGTCACAGACTGGCACCACAGACTGGCTATACCGCTCACTTGCTCGTGAGCGAAGGCGGACCGTGCGACGACTTCCACTGGTTGGAGGGAGACAGCGCGGTCATGCGAGTAAATTTGGCACGACGCGCTGGTGGAAGGAGGACCTTGCGGGGTTGGACCAGTGGATGTGAGTAGAGTAGGTAATGGAAACAAACAAGACCGTCGGCCAAGTAATTGTGTGCAAATTGTGTCGTTTCAGCTACCAGTGAAGCAGACATATGTGGCTCCGTCTGGCACCCGGGTTACAGCTCACCGTAGAATGCCAGTGACGATCAGCCAGATACAAACACTCGTCCCCCAACCAACCAACCTCCCTCACAAACCCCCACCCATCCAGTTCCCCCAACCCCCATCTCCCCATCCACAAAAAGACAACACCTATTCGCCCAACGCCCTAACAACACTAAACAGGATACCCACTAAACCCGACCCTCAACTCCCCCCTCAACGCACTGCCGGCCTCAGTCCCCCACGACCTCTTCCACCGCGTCTCCTCCCCCCGCGCTTGCTCAAACGCCGCTCGACACTCCGCGGGGAGTTCTTCCACAAGTTCCGCGGGGATGGTGGTGAGGCCGTTGGAGCCGGATGTCGGGTCGAGGGTGGCTGAGTCCGGGCCCGGGTAGCCGGAGGAGGAGGGGAGGGCAGGGTGGGAGAGGTGCGTGTCGGTTATGACGAAATTGCGGGAGATGATTGGTGGGACGGGGGGGAAGATGGACGGGTTGGGTTCTGCGGCTTCGTGGTCCTCGTGTGGGCCGCCGTTGTTTGTCGTGCCGTTGGGGAGGGACTCTGCACCGCCGTTCGTAATTGAGGCGATAGGGGGCGGGATCTGTTCCCAGCGCGCATGCGTCGGTTGCATGATTTTGGGGTAGAACATCATGTTCGTGTGGGAGTCGTAGACGCCATCGAGGGTCGCACGGCGCATGGCTGTTAGTCTCGCGTTGAAGCGGCTGGAACCCACAACATCAGTAAGAAACTTCTTCACGTTGACAGGAAATGAGATGGGATGTTCATACCTCGCCTCCCGCGCATGCACAAACTGCCAGTTCTCCACCGTCACCGTCCCCCGCTTCTTCCCCTGCCCCGGCGCGCCAGCTTTGTGACTCCGCTCCGCGCCCTGCCCGACATTCCTATACACCTCGCTGGCGCCGAACCAAGCCACGTAGCGGTTGCGGTTATACTTGCCCTTGTCATCCGGGATATGGTCTTCCGGGTCGGCGAGCTCGCCTTCTACTTCCCCTTGCTCCCGCGCTTCTGCTACTTTGTAGTCGTCCACCACTCTCCTCCCGCCTACGATGATGCGGGCGCCGAACTCGCGGAAGACGGATCGCGCGGTGACGACGCCGATGTTGCGACCTTTGTAGGAAGAGGGCAGGATGTCGCGGTCGATGAGGTCGAGTTTTTGCGGTTCCGTGAGTAATACTTTGTAGAGCTTCGGGTGCTTGGCGAAGAAGAGATAACTATCCCTGAACCCACAACAGCGTGCGGGCTCGGTGGAGAGCATGTAGAGTTTGTCGCTTTTGCCGGTGATCTTGAAGGTGCGCACGCGGTACTCGCGGTTGCCGAGGAGGTTGCCGTTGGCGTCGACTTTGGCGTTGCCCTCGGCATCGTCGTCGACCTGCACTTCGTCGTCGACCACTGGCAGTTCGTGGCCGTCCTTGTCCACTACGGTTCGGGAGGGTTCAGGAGCGTGGCCGCCTCGTCGTCGGCCTCGGAAGCCACCGCGGCTGCCACGAGCGCGTGTGGAGCCTTCGAGACGCGCACCTCGGCGGCGGCGAAAGGGAGTGCCGGATTCGGAGGCTTCGTTGTCGTCTGCTTCGTGGGGCTGGGGTGTGGCGTAGTCGAGCCGTTCGGAGCGGGTACTTCTGCGTGCGCCGCCTCTGCCGCGTCCTCGTCCTCGCCTTCGTGATGGTAATTGGGTGATGGTTGGGGCGTCGTCCTCTTCCTCGTCTTCTTCCTCGTCATCTTGGGCCGGAGTCGGAGCGTCCTCTACATCCTCGCCTTCGCCGTCCTCATCGTATTGTATCACCTCGCCGGCATCCTCCGCATCGTCGACATCCTCCATCTCGTCATCCTCGTCATGGGGAAGCCGATGACGTGGTAGTGTTGGAGCGGCGTCTGACTTCCTGTTTCGGCGTCCGCCATACTGCGACTGTTAGCATGCTGCCTTTCTTGGCGTCGTTCTGAAAGTGGAAGGCGCGCACTTTGTTACCCTTCTGAAATGGCTGCAAGAGATGTCAGTGAAATGTACTGGCAGTGTTGATGTGTGTCTGGAGCTCACCATCGTTGCCGACGCGGGGCAGATCCGACGTTCGCAATGGACTACGCGCTCTCGCTGGCGTCGCGACTTGCCCTTTGGCAACCAGCTTGCGCCGGCTGTTGCCGCATCTCGGCCTGAGGCAAGACTGTACGTCACGTGCTGATTTGTCGAGTGCTTACAAGTCGATGGAATCGCTACGAATTGTCGTTGCCTCTGTAAGGTACGTTGACTACATCAATACTACTCCCATCGATGTATGTTGTGCTGACATAGAAGATCCTTCCCAGACTATAGCACGGATCAGATTGCCACGCACTGCGCGATGGCAGAGCAACCGCAACTACAACTACAGTGGTCCGCGCAGCTCTCGGTCGCTGCTGCGAGGACTTCCCTACCCGGCGACAAGATTCTATTGCCTCCATCAGCACTCGAAGCATTGTTGTCTGCATCATCCAACCGAGCCGCCGAAAATGCTCGCCGTGATCTACCAGCATACGATCCATACAACTCCGCCACTTACTCAGCTTACCGCCAGGCCGAGTCGCAGTATCAAGACCAGAAGCAACAACTTCCCTACCCGTTGACCTTTCGACTCGTCAACCCGGAGAGCGGCAGAGTAGTGTACGCGGGGATCAGGGAGTTCTCGGCGGAGGAAGGCGAGGTGGTGCTGAGTCCGTTCTTGCGTGAGACCTTAGGGTTGAGCGAGCAGCAGCATGAGAGCAAGGAGGCTTCGATGACCGTAGATGGCGAAGAGGGCGTCAACGGGGTACATCGGCCGACGATAACTGTGCATGCCAGACAGTTGGACAAGGGCACATTCGTCAAGCTACGACCACTAGAGGCAGGCTATGATCCCGAAGACTGGAAAGCATTGCTGGAGCAGTACCTGCGACAAAACTACACGACGTTGACGAATGGCGCGGTTCTGATTGTACCCGGTGGCAGAGGCATGGGTGGCAAGAAGGAGGAGTTCCGCTTTCTGGTCGATGGGTTTAAACCTGATGTGGATGGCGTGTGTATTGTCGACACGGACCTGGAAGTCGACATTGAAGCCCTTAACGAGGAGCAAGCGCGCGAAACGCTGAAACGCATCGCGGCGAAAATGACTAAGCTGCCAGGCTCAAATCACGGCAGTTCGGTGGGTGGTGAGATGGATCTCTTCAAGCCGCAGGAAGGCCGAGTATTGCCTGGAGAGTACGTGGACTACCGCTTGTCGTCATGGGGCAGAGGACAGCCATTAGAGATCGAGCTTGCAGGCGAAGATGATGGGGAGGTTGACCTGCTCGTGAGTCCATTCTCGGCTACGCAGCGCGCTAAGCCTCGAGTGGACGAGCATGTATTCGCCGAGTTTGAAGGCAGGCCGACCAAGCGCATACGGCTCGAGCCGAGCAATGTTGAGCTGGAGAATGCTGAGGCGCTTTACGTGTCCGTCCACGCCTTTAGCGCTTCTGAATTACAAACGAACGGTACTGCCAACGGCGAGACGCCATCGTCAGGACCCGTGCACTTCACACTCACGGCGCGGCATCAAGACGCGGCTGCAAAAGTCTCTGACACGCAAGGCGTAGAAATAGATGCGCCACCCAACGAAGGCGACGTCCGCTGCAAAAACTGCGGCCAATTCGTACCTCAACGAACACTAATGTTACACGAAAACTTCTGTCTGCGCAACAACATCCTCTGCCCGCAAGGCTGCGGCCAAGTCTTCCAAAAGCGCTCCCCGGCATTCGAGGCACACTGGCATTGTCCCCACGACACCGCCTACGGCAACACCACCCTCTCCCACCAAAAACACGACACCCTCTTCCATCCCACTGAGGTTCTCCACTGCTCCGACTGCGGCACGCGCGAAACCTTTCCATCCCTCCCAGCCTTGTCGCACCACCGCACAACGACCTGTCCAGCGAAAGTAATCCTCTGCCGTTTCTGCCACCTCGAGGTGCCGCAGGAAGGCGATCCGGATGTGCCGAACGCGGAAGCACTGCTCTCGGGTCTGACGCCGCATGAACTGGCGGATGGGGCGAGGACGACTGAATGCCATCTCTGTAACAAGATCGTCCGACTAAGGGATATGGAGACGCACCTAAAAAACCATGACCTAGATCGCTTCGAACGTCCTGCGCCGCACGCTTGTCGGAACGCGAACTGCGGACGCACGCTAGATGTGTGTTCGCACTCCGGCGACACTCGTGCGGGGACGCGCATGGGACAGGGTCCAGGAAATGATATCGGACTGTGTAGTGTCTGCTTCGGACCGTTGTACGTGAGTATGTATGACCCCGAGGGTAAAGCTCTACGTCGACGCATCGAGCGACGCTACTTACAACAGCTAGTCTCCGGCTGCGGCAAAGCGTGGTGTCGGAACGAATACTGCAAAACGGGACGGCAGCATTTGGGTGTCAGTGGCGGTGGCACTGCTGTGAGCACGAAAGAGGCGCTGCCGATGATCAAGCCGTTTTTGGATGCGTTGGCCAAGGGGGTGAAGGAGACCTCGCTGCATTTTTGCGTGGATGAGAAGAGCCAGCGGCAGCGAATGCTGGCGGAGATGCTTGCTGCTGAGGACGGTGGAGTGGGTGGGAAAGGTGGGTATGGGCTTGAGTGGTGTGTGGGTGCGCTTGAGGCTGAGGGTGGAGATGTGGATGCGGCGAGGCTGTGGTTGCGGAATTGGGCGCCGGCCAAAGGGGAGGGGAGGAGGTGATGTCGATTCAGCCGTTGTTTCTGTGGTGCAGTATTTCAGCGTGTATGAATGATATCTTTATTAGACCTATGCTCTGGCAGGATCCACTCCGCCTGCAAATATCGGTTGCATCGTTCCCGACTAATAAATTCTCTGTGGGTTTGTTGCGTCCTGGGAAAAGCAGGAAAAGCAGAAAAGGGTAACTGTGATCTGCTCAGGTCATCCCAAAGCCGAGCAAGTGGCCGCATGGATGCATTTGATGCAAACCCAATCAATAAGGATATTGCTGGAACCTCTGCCCGTGGGAGTGAGAATAATGCACTCCCAGGCGTACGTGAAATCCTTGTCGTTGGAATTGACGGCAATGAACCAAAACGAAGACTGGCAAAGATTGTGGGTTCGAGTCCCATCGGTGTGAATCTGCGCAAAAGTGATTCTTCGACACCGATGGGACTCGAACCCACAATCTTTGCCATACTCCTGTGTTGGTAGACCGGAAAGCAACGCCTTACCATTAGGCCACGGTGCCTTCCTTTTACGGACGGCAGAAGTCCTCATCTTCGGATGAGGGTGGGCTATGCGTAGATCATGTCACGATTATATCTATGTGTATATATCGCAAGGATTTACCGACCGGAGAACAACCGATTTTTGGCCAGTCGATCTGTTGGATCGCGAAAAGTGCAGGTTACAGTGAAAGTAAGAGGCTTCGCGCGAGTGTAAGGCAACTTCGGCGAGTAGTTCCACACGCGCCCATCGACGCCTCTTACCACAATCCCCATTGTAGAACACTCATTGTAGGTACCTTCGAATGTACCAGTCGGATCATCTGCAGCATTGAGGCCCACCATTATCCCTCCGCAGCCAGCCTCAACCCGGCATGCGTGGAGTTGAGCCCAACACATGGCGCAATACGATGTACAAAGGTACGAGAGGGAACCGTCTTAGACGTGGATGGTGACAAGGGACTGGAGCAAGTGTGCCTCTTGCTCACTGGCGGAATTGGTGGAACGCGTTAAGTAAACATTCATTGCTATATATGTTACGGCACCCGGTTCTCCAACATGGGCTAACAACGCTTTGGTTCAGCCGAGACATTACAGTATTCACAACGGTGCGGCGTTGTCCAGTCGTGCGCGAAGCCGTTCACCGCAACGTTGTCTGGCAGTGGGCGGATGTTGTTTGTTTTGCGCCCTGTAAACACTTTGATTTGTAGCGTTGGCATCGCAGACGGAGTGGCGTTGAGCAGGAAAGATCTTGACAGCCATGCAAAATTCGCAGGCGACAAAACGATGCAAAAGCCGGGACGGGTGTAAGGCTCGGAAGTGGTCGCAGGCGAAACTCCGCTTGGTGACGAGCGTGACAGCGCGGAGCGAGGTTGGAACGCTAGAAGGCACCCGATCCGGCAGGGCTCCGCTTCCACGGCTCAGTCTCTGACGAAAGAAACATGCGAAGTCTGCAGCCCAGCGCTGACTCTTTGCCTGACCAACCTCTCTACAATCCTTCCCTTCCTTTACCCTCTCACCCTCCCGTCGTCACGGGGTTGAAACAGTTGCACGCCCTTGCGCCGACGGAGAGTGCAGGTCGTGCCTCCGAGATTCGCCTCCCTTTCACACTTTAATCTCGGCCTCCGTGTGGCCAGTGCCAGTCCCGGCTGACGCCGGCCGGTTGAGCGAGAGGAGGGTGCGCAACGGCCATCACGAGGAGTCCGTCAGCCAAGCAGCCAGTCACCCGTCACTGATCACTCCACTGTGGCCACGTTCATCGAAAGAGAGAACGAGACCCAGCCGGAGTGAATTTGCAATCACAGCGGCAGTAACGACGCTGTTGCTGCGTTGCCGTCCTTCCTGACTGCATCCGCGCGGCCGCCGAACCTGCGCCTCGGATTCTGAAAGCAAAGCCACACAAACCACAGCACGCACCCGCGACATTCCAGCAACCTCGCCTCTCTCGCTTTTGCGTGGAACGGTGTCGCAAGGCAGCGAAATTGTCGCGGATCCGCATCCGAGACGTTCTTCACTTCCGTCACCGCCGCATCCGCTGAAGTGGACTGGCAACCTGTGCGCTTCTTCACAACATACACATCTATTGCGACCGTCATCACATCTACGTACCGGACCTATTAACTTAGACGTCCAGCTGTACGCGTTTGCCTAGATTGCCATTCCTGCCTATTCTGGCGATTGAACCGCACCTGAAACGCAACAACCTCACTTCACATCGAACCTCACTTCACCTGATCTAAGAGCATCCGCATCTTTGTCGAACTGCAAAGATCTTGCGCAAGCAAGCACACAGCATCTGCATACTGCATTGCACTGCACCTAAACAACACGCACTGCTTTCGCATGTCCGGACAACAGTAAGCCTTTGCGCTCTTTGTCCAGCGCTCGCAAGAGCAGGAAACGGTGAGCTGACGCCGCAATCACTCGCGTATGACGGGCAGTCACTGATCCTAGATCTTCAGGTCGTGCCTGCACGCCGTTTCGCTTCACCGCATCTCCTGCGAGCATGCCAGCTTTCTACTCAGCAGGCCCCTTGGCCAACCAACTGCCCATCACACCGCCAGACTCCGGGTCCGGTTACGGCTACAGCAACATGCATTACGCTCAGGATCCATATGCGCAGCAGCAGCATCAAGCTCTGACTCAATCACGGCACGATGCCGCTTATGATTACCAGCAAGCTTATGTGCAGCCATCAGTGAGCGCGGCACCGTCGGCGTACTCATACCAGCAAAGCAACTACCAAGCAGCCAACAGCCTACCACCTATCCAGAGCTACTACGAGCCCATCGGCGCGCCGATCTTACCGCCACTGAGGATTAGTGATCGCATGCCGTATGCTGATGACTACCAGCGTCGCTACCAACAAGAAGCTCAGAATGCGGCAGTCGCACGCGAACAGCAGCAAAGACAAGCAGCCAAGGAGGAGAAGGCGACGGGTGGCGTGTCTGCCAAGCTTGACTACGACATGGAACGCATGACGGATTTTGTCACGGACGCTACCATGACAATGTATGCTCTCCACGTGTCCCCCCATGTCTGCGTCGCAGATGTTGACGTGACCCGAAGCTTCCATCACCGGATGCAAAGCCCGCCGTCCTTCCGCAAGTGGGTGCTTCAAGTGCTGTCGGCGACACGGCTACCCTCAGCGACGATCATGCTCAGTTTGCACTATCTGAACGATCGCGTGGCGCATTTCCCGGAGACGGTGTCGACGAGTGAGAATCAGATCTACCGGCTACTGACCGTTGCTTTAATCCTTGGCAGCAAATTCCTGGACGACAATACCTTCATCAACCGCTCATGGTCCGACGTCACCGCCATCAACGTGCAGGAGCTGAACAAGCTTGAGGTTAAGTGGCTCGAGCTTATCAACTGGCAGCTACACGTGGATGCCGATTCGCCTTCCGGCGTGCAAGTCTGGCTTCACGCCTGGCAGAAGTACCAAGTCACTACAGAGACTGTGCAGCAGCAGCAGCAGCAGCAACAGACACGTCTACCCTCACTCGACACCAGTGTCAACCGTCACTCCGCTCACCGTGAGCGATATTCGCCTTACCCAACACCGTACACTTCTGCTACCAGCCGCAGCACCTACGAAGCGCCCGTCTCGGCGAGGTCGTCACAATACGCCGGCATGACATACGCCACCGAGCCGTGGGTGCCCGCCGAACCGCAAGCGTTCGATGACTTCTACAAGCGTCAGCATCGCTACCCGACGCTCACGGAGATTGACGATGTCAATCGGAGAGTTTCGGAGGAGCGTGCTCGTCAGCAGCAGTCATATTACGGCTACCCGCAAAGCGCTCATCAGTCATACTACCAGGCGCCTGCCTACGGCTCAGCTTGGGACCAGACAGCGTGGAAGACGGCGCATCGCTACGACTGCAGCTGCCAGCAGTGTGCTTATGCTGGCTACTATCGCTCTCATCCTGGTTCGGCTTACCCTGCGCAGACGGTGATGGGATGAGATCTCATCTCATTTACGAGCTGCTATCTGAGTGTTCGATAAGGGCGGCCACGTTGGCTGCAGCGCCTGTTCCTTCGACAGATCAAGTTGCGTCACCTGCAACAAAAGTCGCCACCTGCGGATCACCTTGGCGCGCATACAGCATCTTCGACATGCATATATTCACCTTCAATACACCCGAAAGCGCTTGCTTCTTTCGACACAGGCTGGTTGGTTGGGCGTTCATGCCATACACACCAAGACGGCGCACTCGTCTCGCGACGGCGCCATATCTGAGCCAATAGCCTCAGGAGATGTTTCGACCTATACATCAACGCCTCACATTGCCTCCTTCAACACACTGATCGTTACGGGGATGGGCTCCGACCTATCGGCATCAGATTGCTTCTTACTTATTGCTTGCTTGCTTGCTTTCTATTAGCATGGCGTTGCGGAAAAAAAGATTGATTGTTTGCACGACAACGGGAAAGTTTCAGACATCGCTACTTCACGGCGCGGCGCGGGCGGACAATCGGTGCCAAATCTACTTAAAAGGAGTTCGTTCTTACGATTGCTTGCTTGCTTGCTGTTCACGCGCAGAGGTTATTGGGAAGATCATCATGGTGGCGCATCAAGAGCATTGCTAGAGTTTACTTTGCACGTCTGCTGCTTTAGTGGGGCCAGTATATGATGACCTGCGCTCGCCTCCTACGGTGGGTGGCGGAGAGTCGAGTTGATCTGTTCGGAGTGCCGGCCCAATGACGGTAGGTCTGCCGGTTGATGAGAGCACACACATACACACGTAGCGAGGGTTTTTAATGGCATGAATGGTCGGCTTTCGGGCTGGCTTATAGATTCCCACACCTCCTTCTTATGCGATCGCTCAATCGATTCTCATCAACGGATCACAGTAGATGTACACTGGCTGCAGTCTCACATGCTCAGCTACATGTCGTCGTTGCCGATTCGATAACGCCAGCGATTTTGCTTGCCTTAGGCATCAACTTCACCCGCCAGCCGACCTCGACCCGAAGCTTGACTTCGTGAAGACCCCTCGCCGTCTCGCACTCCCACAGCAAGCCATTGACCCGCACATTGCAACCATGGCAGCCGAGGAGAGAGCACCAGAGGTCAGGAACGTGAGGGAAGAGTATCCCGAGCTCGCCATCACCAAGGGTCGCAAATATGTGCCCCCCCGCCAGCTAGACACCGACTACCCAGTATGCCCTTCACCCGCCCTCCAAACCGTTAGCTAGTACTAACAACCACACTCTTCGCCCAGCTGATTGACTGCGACCCCCACATCTCCCGCGTCCTCCGCTACGGCCGCCCCTCCGACTACGCCTGGGCCCTCGGCGTCTCCCTCTTCCCCCCAACCGCCATCCGCCTCCTGGAAATCGTCCACCCCTCCGAAGCCTCCGCCAAATCCCGCGCCTCGGTGCTGCGCCTCAACATCGCCCTCGGCCTCGCCGCGGGCTTCATAATGTACTACTCCCGCTCCATCAACCGGTTCTACGGCTTCACCGAGAACCGGCGGGAAATCGACATGGATATGCGGGAGATGACGGATCGGGTGAAGAAGGGACAGCCGTTGTATGGGACGAGCACGTTGACGGAGTATATGCAGGGGGTTGCGAGTCGGCAGAGTAGGTACGCGGGGGTGTGGATTGGCGTGATGCCGTGGTTCAATTTCGTCAACCATCCGCATCATGGGGTGGATACGGCGAAGTATTATCGGAATGCTGAGAGGGAGTTGGAGGCGGAGAGGGTGGGGTCGTCGTGAGGGAGGGGTTTTGTGAGGTGGAAGAAGCATCTCAGTCGGAAGGTTAGAGCATGCGAAGAGATCGTAGGGAGGAGTAGCGAGGGACGGTGGGTGACGCTGTACAGCGAGAAGAAATGAAGAATTGTATCTGAAGGTTTCAATGGCTTTTTCTCTGTATCTCAGATGAACTTTTGGCCGGCGCGCTATGGTATCATGCGGTGCGCTCTATACATGCAAGTCCAGACCAGACCGGCCACTTCCAAATACTGTGGCGTATGCTCCAGCTTTTCCCCTCTGCGCCTGTTACTCGTGGCGCGGCAGTGGTAAGTATTCGACACGTTGAAGCGTCCCATCTCCGCAGCATCATCCCCATCCACTCTCAACAACCAAACCTCACCTCTTCTCTTGCTCTACCTCCACCTCCGGCTCAGGCAAATGCACCGTCTTCGTAGCAATCCAAGTAGACGCATACATATTCACGCGATCCGTACAAGTCCCCGGCGGGATCCTCGCAGCAACCCGCTTCGTCGCAAACCCAGTCTCCTCGAAAACACGCATATACCAGGGATTCAACCCCGCCGAGCGTACCAACACTCTCCCGCCGATCTTGAGCGCGCGGTTGACGGCTTGGACTTGGGCTTTGGCTTCGGGACCGCTCGGGCTGAACCAGTCCATGCTGTCCATGAGTACGGCGATGGTCAGGGCTTCGGGTTGCATGCGGGCGAAGACTTCGGCGAGCTCGTCGGTGTGGATGCGGAGGTTGTCGAGGGCGCCCGGTTGGGAGAGCTTGGCGTGGGCTTTGGGGGAGAGGTAGGTTGGGTGGCATTTTTGGGTGTAGTGGCCTGTCAAAGATTATCAGTCATTGAAAAGGGAATTTCAAAACAGTCGTGGATTGACTCACCAAGCAAGCAGACCATGTAGTAATGGTTATCATCGCTCACAAGAGTGTCATTCACCACCGGATCCAGCGTCTGCACGCCATACTCCCAAATCGCCTGTCCGCTCTTCGACGCACCCACCGCTCCTGGCTGGCCCGTCCCGCTCTTCTTCTCCGCCGCACTCGACTCAATCTGCGCCTTGGACGGCGCAGCGCTACTATGCATCTTTTTGTAGTCCTCTTCGATCATCGCCCTCTGCTCGCCCGGCACGCCCAGCGCCTTCCACAAGAACCGCTCGGACCCAATAACAAAATAGGCAAGCAGCTGCGAAAGCATCACCCGCCTTACGCGCTTGGTCCAGATCTCGCGTTGCTCCGCAAGCGTTTCGACCTGGCACAACCGGCGCATGTCATTGCGTACGCCAGTCAGACTGCCCATCCACGCCACTAATTGTAAGGCGTGCCGACTGCCGCCGGTGAAATAGAGCCCATTGCCCTTGGGATCGAAGGTCTTTGGGCCAACATGCAGCCAGTAGTCGAAGGCTTGACTGGACAAGTGGGGAGACAGTTGCTCGAGGAGCAGTTTCTGGAAGTTCTCGTGCTTGCCTTCGCCGAACATCTTCCACATGTCTTGGTACTCTAGGGCACGGAATGAGGCGACTTTCAGCTCGAGCAAGTGGTTCTGCGCGGGGTTGAGGTCCACGGCGTGGATGCGTTTGGGACGCTCGACGGCGTAGGAGAGGATATTGTCGCCTGCGCTGGTGATGGCTAGGATGACATCGTCGCTTGTGATCTTAAGTAGCCGAGCATCGGTACGGCTGTCCTCCCAGGTGAAGCAGTAGATGTACTCGTCGTTGAACTGCGTATGCTTCTGTAGGGTGGCGTCGTAGTAGATACGAGTCTTGTTGTTCTGGTAGTACGCGGCCGGAAGAGGAAGGCTAGCAGCCAGATTCACGACAGCCGTGTCAAAGGCCTTGCTTCTCCGCTCCGTGCTGGAACTCCTACGCTTGCGAGGGTTCAACGACTGGCTGTGCATGTCCAAGGCGGAGATGAAAGGTGACTCGGTGACCGCAGCGTCGACCTGCGCCACCTCGTTGAGCATAGCGCTCGTGTTGCGGGTGCAGCCAACGAAGATGTAGTAGGGTATCCGGAAGCCGAAGACATTGGCCCTGCGGTTCGTGCTGATAATTGTGCCGAACTTGTACTCAATGTAGTCTCGTCTTGCGGACTCGAGCATCACGCGGTCGAGCTCGAACCATGTCCGCCAAAAGACTCGAGAGATCCACATGCAGTGTCTGTCGATCGCGCCACCCATGTAGTTGCGACCAGCAAATTCGACCTGGTTCTGGACGTAGAAATCGACTATGCCCACAATGCCATTCGGAGCCAGGAGGTTTGTGACACTATCAATAGCCGGATGGAACTCCGGAATCATGCTGAGACTGTAGGACATGGTCAAGAGGTCCGCTCCAACAGGGTCACGTGCGTCCTCGTTGTAGGCGGATTTGCCAATGCTGAAGTCTCGCTTGTCATCTTCAAGTCCGGCTTCGTAGTCGCTGAGGCGGAAGGTACGAGCATCCTCGCAAATGACATGCACGTTCTTCCAGCCCAGACGCGCAAAGCGCTCCCGGGCAATCTCGCAGAGGGAGGTACTGAGATCGACAAGGTAGACGGCGTGAAAGAAGGTGGGCACATCGAGCTGCTCCTGCATCTGCTCAATGTTCCAGCCGGTGCCACCACCGATATCCAGCCAAATCGGCTTCTGGCTGATCTGCCCATGCTCGCGTCTGTACTTCACTTGCGCGGCCACCAGCGCCAGCATATCCTCTCGTCCTTGCAAGAGGCGTCTACGTGTGGCGTCATAGATCGAAGCCTGCGACTTGTAGAAGCTCTCGAGGGCATCCTGCTGCCTTCCCGTCCCGTCACCGGTATGCGGCTTCAGGAAGCAAGAGTAGGCGAAAGTGGTGTAGTGGTACAGTCCATTGTAGGCCTTTTGTAGGACGCTGAGATCAGTGAACGACAGGACGAAGTAGGCTATGAGGAGCAAGGCGAGCACGACGGAGGCGGCGGAGACTTGGTTGGTAGGGTCGCTGAAGCGGCGGTAGAGGGAGTCAGCGAGCGACGACATCGTTGAAGATGCCCTATGCCGAGCTCGCGTGCTCAGCTCCGGTAAGGCTGAAGGATGGGAAGGGGGTGATGAGGTAGAGAGAAAGGAATGTAAGGTAGGGCGAGGCAGGACGAGACGGGACGAAAGGGAAATCTTATTCAGGCACGTTACTACTGCCGGCTGCTCAATGGGAGAAGGAGGGAGGTGACTACTACTGGTTGGGCGCCAGTTGGCGTTTTCGGCAGCGGTAGCGAACGGTGGGCAGCGACGTCGACGTGCATGTGCCGCAATAAACATCCGCCGCCTTTTCTGCCATGTGAACGGCCATTGAGCCTCGTGCCCCACGCTCCCCGCAGCGCTCAATACAAGTGTTGGTTATTATATAAGCGGGTTGGACTTGTACCTAGGTAAGTACGTGGACGAACGTCAAGACCGGGCGTGCAGAAGCATTCATTCAAGCAACTTGCGCAACGTATTGTGACCGTTGCTGCGATCGACCAGATACAAATATTTGGTCGACGAATGCAGGGCCGATGGACAGCCCACCTCGCACGAAAAGCTTCTCGACTGCCGTAACGAACAGTAGCGTGCTACACCGACGCCGACGAGCCAATCATACAGCGACAAGGCTTCACGCTTTCGACTTCAGCGTTGCCATTCCTCACCACAGATTGCGCTGCCGAAGTGTGACCTTTTCGCTCCATCTCCGGCGCAATGGAGAGCGATCTCGGGGCGTTGAACCAAGCCACAGCCTCGTACTACTTCAGATTTCAGTATAAGCGTACTGTCGTGCCAAAATGTACACTCAGGTGTCATGTTTGCTGCGGCCAATGGTAAGATATAGGCTCGATAGCAGGTCACCATGTCCAAACGGAGCAGAGGATACCAGACGCAACTCGAGCACGCGACACCAGTATCAGTCTCACGCGACACTCCGGCTTGATGTGCCTTGCTCAGAGCGAAGACTTTCGAAGTCAAGTGTCCCAGGAAGCGCAGTGTAAGCATGCGAGTCCAGTCAGGTCCAAGGGAGCGGGTGGTCGATACATTTGAATTGAGTACATAAGCGCTGCAGAGATTGCGCTGCCTGCGGGCGCGCGCTCGCTGATGATACAATGCATGTCGGAGTACAGAACCGCAGCCGAATCAGAGCGATGATTTGCTAGTAGCGGCATTGTACTTCGCCTTGCCCCAATCCCACGGGACATACCTGCCTCAGCTGTTAGCACAACAATCTGTCAACTCAGATGTCCGTAAAAGCTCACCTGTACTTGATCATACTCTGAATCTGCCTCCGCATCGTCAAAAACACCAATATCAACCAATACACCACCAACACCGGCCAAAACACAGGCAAATTGAATATATCACTCCAACTGCACGCGAATGCCAACGCAATGGCTCGGGTCGCAGAATGCCAGAACTTAAACTCCGGTAATCTTCGCACAAACGGCTTGAACTCTTGATCATTCTTTGTTGGTAGCGAAGACTCGCCAGCAGGCACACCGTCTTCCATGTCTGTGTCTGCTTCGAGGGAAGGGTCGAATTTGGGCGAAATGAAGGCGAGGAAGAGGTTGAGAAGGTAGATGCCAAGGGAGTAGGCGACTGTGAATCCATAAGTACCTAGATCTGGCTCGGTGTCGACTTGCAGACATACCGATATACCATCCTTGCGCGAATATTATCCGTAATGCGAATAGGAGGAAGAGCACACCTGTGCCTATCCATCGGTATGCGACGTAGGGTGTGGATTTGTCGAGGTAGGTTTGGTACATCTAAGACATTCCGTCAGACCACTCCTGCCGTGCTCCAAGCGTCCGGTGTGTCCTCGATATAGCATTGGTGATTGCGACTCACTCGTTGGAATCTGGTCGTCTGGGCCGAAACTGACGCGAACGGCGTCTCTGGCTCTGGTGCGTCCATGCTTGTAGTATATCTCAGTTCTCGTCTGTCATGCGACTCTGATATGAATGTCCGAAGCGGTGGATCTGTTCGTCGTGGACACTACTGCAAGTTTGGGCAAACAACGAATCTTTCTCCTTCAACGTGTCTCTTAGCGAACGCCTTCGCTTTCTCAGGGACTGATACGGCCCAATCACGACCGGACTGCGCGTCAAGCGGGTGATACCGACGCTAACCCTTCTAGCACGAAAACGTGCGTGCAGCTCGTGCATTGATCGACCTCGGTCCGTTTGAGCTTGCACGAGCTTGACTGGCAGCGAGCAACAATGCAGGTACACCACCCTTCATCGTCAGTGCGTGCCGCGGTAGGCAAAGCTCGATATAGAAGATGCTGGCATCCAGGGTGAGACCATTGGTCTCCCGGTCAGGCAGATTCACCATACCATTACGCGCGGCGTACTCGAGCGCAGCCGGGAAGAGCCATGAGTATATCAAGGTCTCTACGCCGCGGCCGGGCGTCGGTCTCAGTACGATGCACACAGTCCCCAAGCTCACGTGCGGATCATCACAATGCTCACACTCTTACAGTCGAGCTCCACCGCCCCAAAGCTCTCAACGCCCTCTTCACGCCTCTCATCCTCGAACTCAACGCTGCCCTCAGAACCTTCGACAAAGACCACTCCATCGGCGCCATCGTGTTGACCGGCTCCCACAAGGCCTTCGCCGCGGGCGCAGACATTAAGGAAATGGCCACAAAGGAGTTTGCGGACGCTTACGGCGACGACTTTATCGAATCATGGTCCGAGCTCCCCAATACCATCAAGAAGCCCGTCATCAGCGCCGTCAATGGTCACGCTTTGGGTGGCGGGTGTGAGTTGGCGATGATGTGCGATATACTCTACTGCAGCGAAAAAGCGAATTTCGGACAGCCAGAGGTCAAGCTCGGCATCATACCCGGTGCGGGCGGATCGCAGAGGTTGACGAGAGCGATTGGGAAAAGTAGGGCTATGGAGCTCATTCTTACCGGTAAGAACTTTAGTGGCAAGGATGCTTACGATTGGGGGCTTGCAGCGCGGGTGTTTGAGACGCCGGAAGCGTGTGTTGAGGGTGCGCTGGAGACGGCGGAGACGATCGCGGGATACAGTCGCATCGCGGTGAAGGCGTGTAAGGAGGTGGTGAACAAGAGCCAGGATCTTGGGGTTAGGGAGGGTGTGGAGTTTGAGCGGAGGGTGTTCCATGGGTTGTTTGGGAGCGAGGATCAGAAGATCGGGATGACGGCGTTTGCGGAGAAGAGGAAGGCGGAGTGGAAACATAGGTAGATGCGAGGAGGCTGTCAGTAAAAACATGCTGTGCTGCTTGGCTGTCAAATTGCGTCCAAGACGGTCTAGTCTTGCTTCCTGAAACCGAGATCCAGGTGGTCCGCAGTCCCTGTCTCTTGGTTCGTGACCTGTTGCGCACCGCTGACACTCTTGCTTTCGGTTGTCGCGCCGCCTTCTGTGTAAGAGCGTCTCGAGTCAGCATGGCGAATCCCTTCCATGTTACTGCAGAAATACCGTACTCTTTGGATTCGCGAATTGGCCCAACGACGTACTGGCGTCATCAGCCTTCTTCTGCGAGCTCCCTCTTGTATCAGAGTTGCTTGCTATCATGTCGCCTACGGATTGGCTGATGGACTGGAGCCCACCTGTACATCGTTAGTGTCATTTTGCCTTTCGCGTGACAGGGTGGGTAGATACCGCCTTGGCCGCTCATGATGGCGTCTTTCATGGAGTTTAGTTGGCCACTCATTTTGGTACTTAAACTGCTCCGACTGTCTGTTCGTAAGGGACAGATTCATACCGAAGTCCAGGCCTCTAAACAGATGCATGTGGCACGCGAGGGGCACCTATGACGTCGGAGGACATGAAAGTTGGCACACTGTAGCTTCGCTACGACGTGTCCCACCATCTTCTCGTGAACATCAACAACCAATTTCCACCGCTGATCTGGCAATGTATGGTAGTGCGTATGTTCTTCCGTCTTGACATGATCCATCGTTCGCGCCTGCTCTCGTTCGCAGCGCTCTTGATCATTCGAATGGAGACGGAGTTCGTTCAATAAAACGCCGCTCCCTTCAGCTGTTGTCCAGCAGTGTGAAGTTACACAAAAGGAGGTAGGTACATTGGACGTTAGCAGTCCAAACATTCGATCCCTGCGCCAGTGCTTTCTTCATGTGTAGATGGGCAGTGTTTGCATACCATGTTGCCCTGTATGTCCACCTGTCATTGTATGTCACTACACCAAGCCTCTACCAGTACCAGTACTTCTTCACGAACAGTCCTGATGAGACTCGGGCTGGTTCGTACAACAAGGGCCCTGGAGTATCACAGATGGGTCCCCGAGGCGGATGCAACAGGGATCCGCGGCCGCTCACCAGATGGCGCAGAGAGCAACGATCCCCCAAAGGTAGGTGCGAACCTGATATCGAAGATTCTTCACTGACGGTAAACAGAAACAACGGCGTGATGCCGCCGCCGATCCGGACAGCGACCACTCTTCCGCAACCCTGGAGAACGCAGTCGAGAACGTTCTCACGCTGGTGGAGTTGCTGGAAAACATCCTGTCCTTCCTACCGATGAAGGACCTGCTGTTCGCACAGCGCGTCTCGCGGAAGTGGGACACGGTGATTCGAGGGAGCCAGGCTTTGATGGAAGCGCTCTTTCTCAAGCCACAAGTGCCCAAGGCCTTCTGGGAGCACGTATCGGGGCCACACGGCGGGGCCAGGCATATCACTCACGCCGAACTCCACGCCAATAAGGTTCAAACACCACGAGAGACCCCTGGAGTTCAGGAGTATAAGTCGTACGCCATGGCGGGCGTGTTGAATACTCTGCTCTTCGAGCGCAAGTCTCCAGATTATCCGCTGGCAACAGGCGCGTTCGACGATCAGCAATACCACTTTCTCCCCCGACCGCTGACAGCGCGCAAAGAGGCTTCCTGGCGACGTATGTTCCTCACTCAGCCGCCCACCACGGAGATGTACCTACTGTGGTCGCAGAAAGAAGAAGGCAATTGCGAGTTATTCGAAGTCTCGGAAGGAGTTACCGCAGGTCATGCCATGGGAGTGCTTAAAGGGGTCAAGGATTGTTATGGTCATATGCCGGAGGACTACTATATTTGTACGCCACAAGTGTTCTTCGCCGGTGATGAGGACTACGAGAAGGGCACTTGGCAGAGACGTCCTCGTCTGGAGCGTACGCTTTGAATGCCCTGAACTCGTGGACGAGGACAGCTTCGAGTAGCCTCGGCTGTTCGGCTCCAGCTGAATCGCCAGTGTAACGAGACGCTCCCCGCATTGTCACTGTTTGTACATGTAGTTGGTGCTCACTTTCTGTATGCTCAACTGCTAAGTGGTCAGTAGGGACGAGAAAAAAGAGGGTAGCACAATCAGACATTCAGTAGCAATCATGAGCGGCGCAGGCGCAGGTCATCAGTATGAACCATATCCCGTCTCCTGGTACAAGCGCGATGTCCTGCTCTTCGCGAACAGTATTGGATGCACAGTCGACGAACTCCACTTCCTCTACGTATGCAATTCAAACACCAGAAAGAGAGCTCCACCCACTAACGAACAGTCATCAGGAACTCCACCCTAGCTTCGCCGTCTTCCCTACCTACCCCATAATCCTACCCTTCAAGCACACAAGCCCCGAAGTCGTCGACTTCTACGCGGCACAGTCTTCGGCGCGAGAGAGCATCCCTGGCGTTCCGAAGCTAGACAGCAAGCGCGTCGTCGACGGCGAGCGACACATCCAGTTCTTCAAGCCTCTGCCCACAACATCCGAGGGCAAGAGTTTCGAAGTAAGAGGCAAAGTCATCGGTGTCTACGACAAGGGTAAGCCGGGGACAGTGGTGGAGACGCAGAACGATCTTGTGGATAAACAGACTGGGGAGTTGTATACGCGTATGACCGGCTCTGGCTTTTTCGTTGGGCAAGGGAATTGGGGTGGACCGAAAGGGTACGTCTCCGGGTGAGCTGAAGCTACAAGCGCCTGCTAACTGTCAGTGTGATAGACCGAAGTCGCAGAACTACCCACCGCCTGAGGGTAAGAAGCCCGATGCTGTTTATGAGCACCCCATCAGCGCTGAGGCGGCCCACCTCTACCGCCTGAATGGCGACTACAACCCTCTCCACGCGACACCAGAACCAGGCAAAGCAATGGGCTTCGGCGGTGCGATCATGCACGGTTTGTACTCCTGGAACACCACTTGTCACGCTCTGGTCAAGCTGTTAGGTGGAAGCGACCCGGCGAATATCAAAGAGTATGCGGCGAGATTCGCTTCGCCAGTCAAGCCCGGTGACACACTGGTCACGGAGATTTGGCGGACGGGGGAGAAGGACGGGGACGGGTGGGAAGATGTCCGGTTTATTACGTCGGTCAAGGGTGGAAAGGCGTGTTTGAGCAATGGGCGAGCCAAGATGAGGGTGGTTGGGCAGAAGCAGAGTAAGCTATAGCTCATGCCACCACCTTTGCAAACCATTTTGCCGTCTGAAACTTCGCTGGCTAGCCGGCCGCACATGTTCCGAAAAGCGTGGACCTACGGCTGATAATCGTCAACGTTCATTGTCTCCCAACCACTGCCGCAGATTGAGATGCTGCTACGTCTTGTCGATTGACTGCATTGATTAGGGCCACGTCATAGAGCATGCCTATGAAACCGTTGGCGGTTGGGTGAGGCTCTGCATTGCCGGTGACGGCCTTGGTCAAACACGAAACGGTGCATGAAGCTGTCCGAGGCGTCGTTCTTGAATGCGGGATTAGCACGCTCATCATTCGTGGGGTCCAAGATCTGCAAAAAGGCGGCTCGACACTTGACACTCTTTCCTTGCTTCACTGTCTGTTCGCAGCTGATGCATCCTCCCAGCTTATGGAGCTCGTTTACTGCTCCCACCTTGACATACTGCGCCATGGCCATTTCTTGCTGACTTGGAACTTGGCTCTCACAGAAAATTCATGTTTGAGGCTTGACCGCTTCCATTGTCCGGGGCGCACGTGGCTGGTATCGGCATTTCCATCCCGGTGACGTCGACGCCGGCGCCCTACACTTCGGAACTTTCACCACCTGCAGTTCTTGCGGGTGAAAGGAATCAATCTGGATGTCGACCGCCTATGAGAACAGCAGACCGGGTCTCGCAAACGACGCGCCGCCGGAAATCCAGCCCCTCCACCATCATACTAGGCCGGACTACCTGCGGGAGGCTGACCGAAAACGACCATCTTCACCGGCGCATGCAGAGGACGGCCAAAAACGCGGACCACGACGACCAGGGCATGTATCGACCAAATCCGCGTCTGCAGTACCGACGCTCAGCACGCTCGTAGGCGTCGCAGAGCCGGGACCTTCACCGCCGGCAAGTCCAGTGAAAGCACGCCCGGTCTCACGAAGCTGGCTCAACCGGCCAGTGACCAGTGCAAACATGGCTACGGCCTCTCACAACAACCACCACATTAACCCGCATACAGCAGCCGACCTACTACGACAGGCCATGATGCATGGGTAAGTTTACTCTTGAGTTTGTCAATATTTCACATCTTTCGGCCAATGGTCAGCAAACCCAAGGGTTGCGTTTGTGCGGTTCGTCACTCGCTCTCGCCGACAGCGCACCGCCACATGATTGCGCACAACAGCGAACATTGCCACCGGCCTGAGACTCACCCGGCGCTCAGCCCAAAGCAAAATGCACACTCGACTCGAAACATTCGCGTACCTGCGCTTGGCCTTCAACAAGCTTTCCGAATCTCTGCAATCGAATTGGTGGGACCCAAGCAAGAAAATGCTGTCATGCATCTTCCCTGTGGCATCGGCCATCCATCGGTCCGAGCGATCAACCCACCTGACCTGGACGTGTACCTGACTTTTCGTACTGTTACACCAAATCTCTGCACATCACAGCGTCTGTTTATAGTTCAGCTTAGACATCTTCGATTCGATACGCTTCTCGTCTTGCTGCCCATGGCCCGGGTGACAAATCATGGCGAACGCTAATCTTCTTCATCCTCACAGCAAAGCGCACCACGACGAAGACCACGACCACATCGGCTCTGGCGCGTCAACTCCACCTACAGGCATCGCAACACCACGTCCCGACCCTAATGACAAGCGACTGCCCAGTCTAGTCAATAGCTACTTTTCACAGGTTCGTGACACCTTGACTCGTACACTGAGCAAGAGTTCTACATCTTCATCCAACCCCGCACTTGCGCCATTGGAAGAGGAGCGTGACCACAGCCAGAAGGAACCCGCCATCGACAGCGCGCCCAAGCCGACGATGGCAGGTCCGGCGCAGCTTCCTACTGCTCCGAACTCTCCGTTGTCGGCGACGCCGGAGTCGTTCGCTTCGCCACCGCTGTTACCACACGAAAAGATCCACCCTATGGACCCGCCGAATCAGTCCTACCCTACGCCACCTCTTTCCAGCTCATCTTCCTTCGTCGCCATGGGCAAAGAGAGAACTCGGGAAGACAGCTCGACGCAGCCGCCCACGCGCAAGCGGTCATGGCAGGCGCGGAAAGGGAGCACTGCGAGTACCGTGCCATCTCCGCTGCGTCGGCACACGCTGTCTACCGCTGTCTCCAAGCCCGAGGTCTCCGCGCACATTTCAAATCCTGCCTCTGATGCTTCCGTTCCTGTCCCTCCGGAGCCGTCCATTGCACGTCGTTCTTCGCGTCGTTCTGCAGACAAGGGAAACCGTGTGCTAACTGAGGGCGCTGGGCGCGAGCAGAATACGCCTCCTCTCACACCTCGCTCCGGTTCGCATGAAAGCAGAAGAGGCGAAGATGGCCGGCACGCTCCAAGAGCGGAGAAGTCGAGCCGCTCGAGCTCCGGTAATTCACACGGCGCAACGACAATCGGCCAGCTGAAGGGCCAGTTGGAGATCATCGTCGACGAAGGCAGGGGTCTGCGGCCCAGCATTGAGCCGTATGTGGTCTGCATCTTCCAGCTCAATGAGGACATATCTGGCGGGCCCGAAGAAGATGAAATGGATACGAGTGAAAACTCGGCGCCTGCGCAGGAGGACAACCTTGCAAGAGGCGTCGCGATGAAGAGGATGGGTAGCGGTCAGGGCACGCCGATGGCTATTCCCAGCCTGGGCAGGCGACAAACAAGCCAGACGAATATTGCGGCTCTGCGACGTGGCGCATCGAAGCCGGATCATACAGAGACGACAGACCCCGTATGGAGACACACTGCGACTTTTGATGTTGTTGGCGAGAACAGTGAGGTTGACGTTTCGGTGTACGACCGTTCGAACAATGAGGCTTTCCTGGGCCATGTCCGGCTACCCCTGAACCTGGACGACTACCAACATCAACATGAGGGCTGGTATAAGCTGAGTCCTAGAGAAGGCGAGACGAGCACCATTACTGGTGAACTTCGTCTCAAGATCGCCTTCCACGCCACGGGCAAGAAGTCCTTTGGACCTGACGACTTTCAGATTCTGAAGCTCATCGGCAAGGGCACGTTCGGGCAAGTGTTCCAAGTCCGGAAAAAGGACACCAAGCGCATATACGCCATGAAAGTGCTCTCGAAGAAGGTCATTGTGCAGAAGAAAGAGATCCAGCACACCATCGGCGAGCGTAATATTCTAGTGCGGACGGCTACAACAGAGTCGCCTTTCATCGTCGGTCTGAAGTTCTCGTTCCAGACCGCTGCCGACTTGTACCTCGTGACCGACTACATGTCCGGCGGTGAGCTGTTTTGGCACCTCCAAAAGGAAGGCCGCTTCGTTGAAGAGCGTGCGAAGTTTTACATCGCTGAGCTGATCCTCGCTCTGCGCCACCTCCACCAACACAACATCGTCTATCGCGACTTGAAGCCGGAGAACATCCTTCTCGACGCCAATGGCCACATCGCCCTCTGCGACTTCGGACTGTCGAAAGCGAATCTTTCAAATGACGACACCACGAACACCTTCTGTGGCACTACCGAGTACCTGGCCCCGGAAGTTCTCCTGGACGAGACGGGCTACACGAAGATGGTCGACTTCTGGTCGCTGGGGGTGCTCGTGTTCGAGATGTGCTGTGGCTGGTCTCCCTTCTACGCCGAAGATACGCAACAGATGTATAAGAATATCGCATTCGGTAAGGTTCGCTTCCCACGGGATGCGCTGAGCCAGGAGGGACGCAACTTTGTCAAGGGCCTATTGAACCGCAACCCGCAACATCGGCTGGGCGCTAGGGGCGATGCGGAGGAGCTGATGGCGCACCCCTTCTTCCGCGATGTGGAATGGGATGCGCTGAGCAAGAAGCTGACCCAGCCGCCTTTCAAGCCCAAACTCAAGAGTGAGACGGACACGAGCAATTTCGACCCGGAGTTCACAAACGCACTCGGGGCCGGCGATAATGCGAGCTTGAACGCGAGAGCCGCCGCGCTGGCCAGCGGGATTGGGCAGGATAGTACGCCGCTCAGCCCGACGATGCAGAATCAGTTCAAGGGCTTCACTTTCGTTGATGAGAGTACACTAGAGCAGCAGTTTGCTGATAGGGATGTCGTCATGGATGGTACCGAGAACGGCGCAGCAGCGAAGACGTTCGGAAATGGCCAAGGAGGCGACCGTATGAGCGGTGTGGAGCCCGCGAGTGCTAACGGCGCCAGTGCGGACGGTGATTTCAATACCGGAATGCTGGACGACATCTAGTTGCAGGACTTCGCAGACTATGCGACCAGGTGTTTGTCAAAAAGACAAGGCGCAAACACATTTCTGCACCCAGAGAACATTCACTGTGCAATATCATGTACACTCGCTTCAATTATGCTACAATCTACGTTGGGCGGCACTTCTATGGGTTATACGGCGGGACGACTGCATGGCCTTGGCGCTGAGTGAGCGTGCACGTGGGATTTTAGGGGCGTCGGAAAGTGTTCACGACACACAAAGGTCGTTGTGGTAGTAATAAAACTGCACCCTTTCGCGGATTGAAAAGCTTGACGTCTCCATGCCTCCACCAGACTCGAGCGTGCTATGATCCGAGGTCGATGATATTGCCCGAACTTGAGCTGCTGGATGTGTTCCCATCGCTTGCACCTGAGGCTCCGGAAGTGCACGTGAGGAGATCTAGGTCGATGATTCAGCACGGTCACATCAATTTGGGGCCGAGTTTGGTGGATTGCCTACTGCACTCGCTTGTGCTTGAGCTGCTCGAGTCGCCCGCACTGCCCGAAGCCGCAGAGCCACCGTAGAGGTCTGGCAGCAGACTTCCGCCGTCTGTTGTGGTGGCGCCGGAGGCTGCAGACTGTCTTGGTATAATTGCGGCTGCGGCTGGAGAGGGTAGTGGTGCGGCTGTGACTATGGCCGCTAGGAGGCAGACTGCGAGTGAGAAAGAGCGCATCATTTTAGCTTCGGGTGTTGTGTTGAGGTTCTTGCTGGCTTGATATTCGTCCAAAGGTCCAGTTTCGTCCACCGATAGGCACTACATCATCAGAGATGGGGTGGTCGAAAGTTATGTACTGTCGTGGGCACGAGCCAGTGTCGGAGAGCTTGACTTCGTTCTTGGTTCATCACTCCAGATCGTATGCCGATTCCCGCGGGAGCATGTCAAAGTGCTGTTTCGAGAACGAAGATCGGCACGCTGCATTGAAGAGGTGCAGAGGCGCGGTTGGCATGAACCTTCTCGGATGTCAGTGGCGCCTTGGCGAAAGCAGATGGTGAGGGCGAAGGCTAAAGTGTGCCAATTCCAAGAGCGGCCTGCGTGTTGTTGTCACATAGTAGCTGAGACTCAAAATCAACATTGCCTGACATGGTTGCGGTAAGTGCTCCGCAACGCTGATGAGCATCAATCGACTCTGTCGTCAATCTGCTCGGAGTTTGCGCCGCCGAGGACTGGAGATCGACGTTATACACCTCATACTATCGAACTCTCTTCACTTGCAACACCAACGGTTCCGTGTTTTTAAAACTTCGTCCCCGTCTCCGCTTCTTTCGGAACGTTTAGATCATGCTCTCAGATGTTTTGCCAACCTACCGTGTGTTGGCGTTGCGGGATACCCGCCACGCCGTCCCCACCTTGTGTGAATAACACAGCTAGAAGCTGAACCAACACTACGCCCCGGAGCACCACCCCCTCCCAGATCAAGATTTCGTCGTGGCGACTTCCCTCCAAAGCTGCCATCAAAGCCCGCCAACGCAAGCACACCGGCCACCGACGCAGCGGAAGCGGCGGTGGGCCGAGTTTGCCCGGACGCGTCGAGAACACTGGACGAAAGGCTGCTCGATGCTGCACTTCCGCTGCTACTCAACCTGCTCGGTGTCGTACTTGCCTCGGGGATCAACCACGTGTGTGTCACCGTAGCCTTGGTGTAGAGTGATACGGCTGTCTTGTTCCCGGGCGAATTTGGGAAGGTGCTGGTGACGGTCGAGATTTGATTAATTTGCCATTTAGTCGAAGGTAGAACCGAGGACGCCCGTCTTCGGCGTGTTGGCAACGGCGCAGTATGAGAAACTGACGCTGCTCAGGGTACTAAGTGCAAGTGCGTGGTGTCGCCGTTTGTGTGGCGCACTGTGAGCCCGGAAGCATCGATCGCAAGCGGACCATTGCGGGCCGGATGGCTCTCGTTGATGCAGTTGCACTGTATCACGCCGCCGAACTCGTCTGTTGATTTTGGTGCCACTTGAGGCATTGCTCGTGGTGGTGAAGCTTCTGACGTCGAGATCGAGGGCTGCAGTGCTGTAGGTGCATTCGTAGATCATGGCCTCCAGGCGTTGCACAGGAATGTTGACGTCCGTGTTGGAGATGGAATGTTCTTGGATCCTGGCAGGAAAGTTGACTGTCGGAAAGGCTGGTGCTTCTGAAAGCCGCGTGGAAGTGGAAGAGTATGGCGAAGTTTTGCATCGTTGACTGAACCCACCTCGATGTGCTAGTGGGACCTCAGGTTCATGCGAAGAATATTGACTGAGCGGGTAGGAGGACCTGTGTGGCCTGAAAGGTGTTGCTACGAAGACGGAAGGCCTCTCGGACACCGCAGGCGGAACACAATATATGCTGTGCACGGTTTCGGTTCTGCGCATAGCCACCGCCGTGGTTTGCTGGGCTACCAATCCTGCTACTGTGCGCACAACCTATTGCCGTCGGTAGTGTTTGTGCTTCCAGGACGCTTGTTGTGCAGAGCAGTCGGTGGCTGGAAGCCTGATGCTTCGCAAAGCTGGGCGTTGTGATGCGATGGAAACAGCGTCTTTGACTGCGCATGGCGTTGCCGGTCGTCAATGCAAGGCAGCGAGGGTCAGTGACCCGAGAGTTACTGCGCGACTCCTAGGCAGCTACTGCAACAACAATGCTCCACGGTTCAACAAGGTAATAAGTTAAGCCCAGGGCGCTTCTGAACCAGAGCCAGAGCGTTGCAAACAATCCTCTGCATGATGTTGTCAGGTGGCATTGAATGCTCAAGAACCTTCAGCAGCTTCCAAAAAAAAACCTGCGGCACGTTGGGCGGAGTGCCTTCTTTCAACCAGCTCACAGAGGCGGCTGCAGCTTGCTAGCCGCCGTTGAATGTTCCCTCGGTTGTGGGCTGGAAGCTTGCTCTGGCCGAACAAAAACACGAATGTCGACGGTGATCCTTCAACCAACAGAGTGTTGCGTGTACAGCGGTTCCACCGTGTTACTGATCACATAACGTACAAGAAGCGGCCTGCATACTGTTGATCGCTCCCCTTCAGCGTAACTGGACGATTCGATACGGACTAATTCCAGCACTCCACTGCGTCTGCCTACGCCTCTGGCGTGTCGATAATCTGACTTTCGTCCAAGAGGCGAAATGTTCATGACGAACACGATTTTGACCTCACCTTGCCGGCCCAACCGCTGACATCGCCAACCTCCTTACCATCCAACCCCACAGCATTGTGCAACAGACCGCCAACGGCGATTCTCACTGCTTTAAGCTGGCGTCATAGCAACGTCGCGCAATGGTTCGATACTTGCTCGATAGTGTGGCAGGCGTGTCAGCCCGCCGTCGCCAATTTCAGCTCTTTGTTGACACGTGACTTTGATCGGAGGATGAATCATATTTCACTGGCGGCGCGACAAACGCTGTTCTATGCTCACCTCCAAGCACGGCCGGCGCGCCAACTGCGTGGCGAGCGTACCCATACAGTGCAGTTATTAGCTGTCCGTCGGCTTCACAACAGCATGTTCGGCCACTTCAGGCAGCTCGCTGGGGACCTAGTCGCCATACCCGGCAATATCTTCGGGTGAAACGGCAGCCATGTGTTGACCAACGGCATATCACTGCCCCGTGAGCCCTTGCGAAGCATGTACAGGCCGAACATGGTGACCAGCAACTTTTACTCAGTGGTAGGGTGTATAGGAAATTCTGCTACGGACATGTCCATAGTCAGTCATGACATAAACTGCATAGAACTCCCCAAATCCAATGCTACTGTACAGTCCCAGTGCACACATTCACCCGTTCGAGACAAGCACACCCACCTGCGAACCTCGCAGTCCTCCTACCTTCCGATAAATGCGCACGCGCTTCGGTAACCCTCCGCAGAGAGCTTCTCCGAAGCCGCGGATACTCGCTGCGCCACTTGCTAAGACACTGGAAATGCCTGCTCACGCATAGGGCTAGGCTACGGTTGAAGCCTCTACTTCGAGGCGTGCCGACCAGACCGACGTGGCTCGCCGGACTCCGTCGCAGCCTTCTTCGGCTCACGCTTCTTCTTCGGCTCAGCCTTAGCCTTAGGAGCCTTGTCGCCGTTGGCTTCCTTCTTCGCTGGTCGGCCCCTACATCACAAGTCAGACACTTTGCACTGTTGACCGCACTCAGTACAAATACTCACTTCTTCTTTGGTGGTGCCTTCTCGCCGTTCTCCTTGGGCTCCTCAGCCTCCTTGTCGTCAGCCTTGCGCTTGTCGCCAGCCTGTGCTTCCTTCTCCTCATCTTCCTTCTCACCGTTCGGCTCATCCTTCTCGTCAGTCTTGCCGTCGCCGCCGTCCTTCTTGCCGCTTGATTCTTCGACGTCGAGCTCGGAAGCCTTCTTCACCACGTCTTGGCCGCTGCGCTTGATCTTGACGGCTGGGTTCTCTGGGTCGGCGTTTTTCTTGACCTCGTTGCCTTTCTTGGTAGTACTGCATGCTTTCAGCAAACAGTCTGAGGAGTAAAGTCAGATTCAATGTAGACGTACATTTTCATCTCCCCTTGCTCCTTGACTTCGGCTGCTTCACCGCCTGGGCGGCCACCGCTCCACTGCCAGCTGACTGTTCCATCCTATTAGCAAGTGTACTATATCGGTAAATTGAACGCGCATAAGTCGCGTTTCGACACGTCTATAAGGTCCAAATTTGCACGAACAAGCAGCACTTCCGCGGTTTGCGCTTGCTTCGCGATACTATGTTGCTCCCCGCGCAGTCATCGGCATTGGCCATTGCTGAGAGGACGACAGCGCGTCGTTGGCACCAGATATCGCAGGGCGCATTTCGCGCTGTAATTACGAGCGCGCGTCTCGGTCGCGTTGTCGCATAAGCTCAAGTTGGAATCCGGGGATCGCAGCGCATCAACGCGACTGATAAGAGACATGCTAGACTCACCCTGGTCGCCTTCCTTAATCTCCTCGGGCATGGTTGATGCGGTTGCAGACGCGACGTGGTGCGCTGATGCAGATGACAACGGTACGTAATTTTAGAGAGTCGCAACGATATCGCGTGACAATGGCGATTCTTCCGAAGCTTCAACAATGTTGGAAGACTCGAGGGTGGAGGTGTAGGAAAGTGAAATGAAGCTGATGGATCAAGCTGGGCTGCGTGAGGTTGCGCCAAAGCGGCTGCCGCCGCTCCGACAACAAGACAGGGGTGCTGCGACTAACTCCACATGGAGGGACCGCCAAAAGTCTGGAGAGAGATAGAGGCTTACATAACACAAAGTGTTCAGATGTCTTCAAGCCATACAAGTACAAGCGAACCTGTAGACTGAGAAAGGTGATGAAGAAGACAAGATTTTGACCGGCGCACGTCCTGGCTACACGTGGAACCAGCTGCATCCACATGAGTCCTTCTGCTCGCATGTGCAGGCGGGCACTCCTAATCCCTCTTCGGCACAATCCTGCCCTTAGTCTTCGGATCCTGCTTCCCAACCTGCTTGACCATGGCAATGAAGTCTTGAGCCTTGCCCGCCAAACGTGGCTTGAACTTAACAATTAGCTCGGGGATCGTGATTCCCTCATCTGGCACCGCAGCCTTGACTTCGTCCAGTGTTGGGAACGGACCAGGCGCTGGCGGGGCACCAGGGCTGCCGGCGCGACTACCTGTCGGTGAGCCAGCTGGCGATCTGTTCGGGGTGCCGTCATGCGGAGAGCCAGGCGGACTGGTGTTATGTTTCGGTCGTGGACGGCCGGCACGCGAAGTGTCGGTGTCACTGCCGGAGCCGTAGCCGGAGGGGATGCGTCTGGCGGCTGCTCCGTCGGCTATGGTATTCAGGTCAGTTCAAGTGTGTCAACAGACTGAAAATACGATGAGCTTACGTGACAATGAACGCGCGCCGTTTGGTGCGGTGACCGTGCCATTGAGCTTGGTTTTCTTGCGGCTGGACTCGTTGCCACTCAGCTCCGACAATTCGGCATCGCGCTTCAGCCTCTTCTCTTGACGACCATTTGGCGTATTGTTGCCCCGCGAAGAGGTACCAGACTTGTCGCCATTCTGCGCCGCTTTCTGCGCCTCCTCCTTCTTACGCTCTTCTTCCAGCCGCTCGCGCTCCTCCTCCGAGTCTTCATCATCACTGGACGATTCGAACTGATTGCGCTCATCATCTGAGTCGTACTCGGCTCGATATTCCTTCTTTCGTAGCTGCTTCCGAATACGCTTCTGCCTCTTCCGCTCCTCAGCCTCAGCCTCCTTCTCCTCCCGCTCCTCATCAATCCAGTTGATCTCGTCCGCATCTTTAATAGTCGCATCCGGTAAATTGGCGGTGCGCTGTTCAGCACGCAGCTTTTTCTCCGTCTCTTTGGCATCCTCGTCGTTCTGCTCGCCGAAGATGAAGCCCTCGTCGTCATCGGCAAACTCATCGTTCATGTCGAAGTCGATCTCGTCAACGTCCGCTGTGTACTCCTCCTTGATACCTTCGCCTGACGGGTATTCATCTCGTTGGCGATGCCTCTGAGCCTGTCTCATCTTCTCCTGCTTTGCCTTGATCGCTTCTCTTCTTGCGTCTTCGGCAGCTTCTTGCTCGTTCCGAAACCATTTGGCGGGTCGGTGTTTGGCTGCCATCAACTTTTCGACTTTGTCATCCGACAGGAGCTTGACACGATCAGTCGCAGACATGCGGTACCACTTCTCGACCGGCACCATGGTGAATCCATTTTCACTGAGTTCAAAGAGAATGTGCCGATTCATGAGTGGTTTCTCGAACGAAGCAACCCACTTGTTCTTGCCTTCGAAGTCCTCGAGATGCCACGGCCGTGCCTCTTCGTATCTTAACTGCGACCGCTCCTGGTTCTTGAGGTTCGTCTCGTCGTAGAACACGTCCTCCACTTTCTTCTGCTGTTTCTTCTTAACAGGCTTCTTCCCATTGTCGCCGGTGGGCGCAATCAGCAGCTGGTTGGCTTCTCTCTCTGCCTGCCGTTCTGCGCGTTTAGCTTCTCGCTGCTCGCGGTCTCTGTCGTCTACATCCGAGGCCACGTTAGACTGCTCAGTTGCGGTGGGCTTGTCCTGTGGTCGCCGGCGATAGAGCTTCACCGGCCGCTGAAATTGCGCCTCATCGTACGGGTTGACCCTTTCCAGTTGACCTCGGCTGTCCACCCTGCTCTGTAGCTTGAAGCCGTGCAGGTGTAGACCCCGCATGAGCTCGCTCTTCGAAATCAATATTGGATACTCCTCGTAGAGCTTAGGACCATCCTCAGACGAAGGTACTGGTTGCACTCCATTTGCGCTTGCCTGTGCTAGAGGTACTTGTGGCGCAAGAGCTTGCGTCCCACTGGCAGGTATCTGTCCGCCTGCAGTGTACGTTTGCGCCGGTAGTGGCTTGCCAACGGGTTTCTTCTTTGTCTTTGTATTGAATATGTTGACTGGCGGCTTTCTGCGCGTCACCGGCGCTGTCGCCTTCGCTGGCGACGCTGCCATTGTGAGGGTTGCCTGGGACTGTTCGTCGACGTGGGTTCTGTGAAGTGCTTTACGGCGAGAACAGGTGCTGTCGCTGGCAGAGGGATACAGTGCGTCGAGTTATGAACGGTGTAGGTTACTGGCAAGGACGTAAGGGTTTGGACGCAAGGTGGGTGGATGTGAATTGAATAGGTGCTGAAGAATGATGGCTTGTGCTCCATATGCGTGGAGTATTGCGCTGGGGGACCGGGCCGAGCTCCGCAAACAACGCTAGTAAATGCACCTGCAGCAAGCGGACGACTGCTCATCGGTGCTGGAATACGAATAATTCGGCTAGTGTGACTAGGAAAACAGCAAGTGCTGGCATATCAGACCGGTGGGTGCTATGTTCAAGACTTGCCATACAGCCATCAACAAAGGTTGAGGGGTTCCATGATGATGGCAAAAGCCGCCTCAGCGTAGCTTCCGGATTAGGCAAAGACTCTCATCCTGCGATCATGGCGGGCGAGAATCCTTTGCCATCCGAGAGCTTTGAAGACCAGTTCCGACGCATGGTCATCAATGGAGCAACGCCAACTCCACAGGACGAGAGGCTTTCCGGCCGACCGACTGTTCGTCTACCACCGCCACAGGCGATTGGGCAGCCATCCCAGAACAACGGACAGCCCCTACCCCGATACCCAGCCAACCGACCATCTCAAAACAACCATCCGCATGTTGTTAATGCGCAAGGCTACGGGCGACGTGGCGCTCCTCCACCTAACGGAGATCATGGCCGTCCACCCCCACCGTCTCAGAGGCCCAGCCAGAGGCAGCGCAGAGCGCAAGCCAATCAATCCGTAAACGGCTATTCAGATACCGGCCATCGTCCCATGGGTAACAACGGTCAGCCACCAATGGATCCGAATGCGTTTCATCGCGGCGGCCAGGTAGCGGGCTATTATCAGAGACAGCAGCAATCGGAAAGGCAGCTTTTCAATCCGCATGGCTTTCAAGGTCCGCCTGTGAACACGATGGATCTGCGGAATCGTCAGGCCAATCACCTCGAGAACATGGCCTCGTCTGAGGTTCCATCTGTCATGATGGGCGAAAGCGAGAGGGCAGAGAAGGAAGCCTTCCGACATAGCCTGGAGAAGGTTATAATTGAACTCTGCGACAACGAGCCAGAACGCCTGCCACGGGTGTCACTCGAGTCTTTTGGCAGCTTCAGAAGCGGTTTCGCAAATGCAGGGTCGGACATGGATCTTGTAGTAGTGTTACAGGATGGGACTCCATACACTGCATGCTTCTCCCTCCTCGAAGACGACCTGCCCAGACTGCTCGAAAAGCGGCTACTGCAGCTTGGCTATGGAGCACGCTTACTGACCAGGACGCGGGTTCCCATCATTAAAATCTGCGAGAAACCAGATGAAGGTCTGCTTGACAAGCTTCGCGAAGAGCGAGAGAAGTGGGATGCACTGCCTATTGACGAGAAGTATCCCCACCTGCATGCAGAGGAAGATGCGGTGGAGGAAGAATCACCGACCGCTGGAGCAGATGATGCGAAAGCGGACCACAAAGTGGCGCTGAATACTACTAGCACAGAAGTACGTCCACCTGGCGGTTCAGCATCGCAACTGGATAGCGACGTGGAGAGTGCTCGGCTCGCAGAAGTCGAGGTGTCAGCACAGCAGAGCTTTCACGCTGAAAACGTTAAGCCTCAGACCGAAAGGACCAGCAAACCAAGCGTGGAAAAGTACACGGCATTACTACCTGCAGGGGCAGATGGCGGCAATCAGGACGCGCCGGTCAGCATTAATGGGCAGGCTACGAAACAGCTCCCTGCTAGACCTCACCGTTCTGGGAACCCAAAACCATGGACTAGAGAACGCAAGGCAGGCCTTCTCGACTTCCCCAAGAGCGGTATAGGTATACAAAGCGACATCAACTTCTTCAATCCTCTCGGTCTCCACAACACGCAGCTCTTGCGGTGCTACTCGCTCTGTGACCAGCGTGTCAGGCCGATGGTTTTGTTCGTCAAGTCGTGGGCCAAGCGGCGGAAGATCAACAGCTCATATAGTGGGACCCTGTCAAGCTACGGCTACGTGATGATGGTGCTGCACTATCTTGTGAACGTTGCGCAACCCCCGGTGCTACCAAACCTGCAGGCACCTTGGCGACCGAACCGCTCCTGCACACCTCCTGGAGCGTCCACCACTGAAGTAGATGGTTGGATCGTCGACTTCTGGCGCAACGAAGATGAGATTCTAGGCGCCGTCCGCAACGGCCAGCTTTCTCAGAATCGGGAGTCACTTGGCTCACTTTTGCTTGGTTTCTTCGAGTACTACTCCTCCCAAGGGTACGGACCTCGTTTTCAGTGGATGCAGGATGTGCTCTCCCTGCGCAGTCCTGGTGGCTTGCTTGGAAAAGCAGAGAAAGGCTGGGTCAAGGCTATCACGGAGGAGGGAGAGGGCAAGAAGGTCCAGCATCGGTACCTGTTCTGCATCGAAGATCCATTCGAGCTCAGTCATAATGTTGCAAGGACGGTAACGCATCAAGGTATTGTGGCTATCAGGGATGAGTTCAGGCGAGCGAGGAGGATACTGTTGGCTGTCGGTCACGGGCAAGATCCCCCCGACGGGCATCTGCTCGATGCGCTCGTGGAGTCCGAGATACCTGAGGACTCTCGGGCAGCAAGTGACAACAAAGCCACGCACAGCGACAACGCTGTGAACGGCAGCGTGCACGACATCACCCAGAAGCTGGACGCCATGAAGCTTCACAACAAGGGGACCGTCGGGCAGAACAAGCGAAACCACTCGAATGGCCTACGTCCGACCGCACCGCCTTCACAACCTCTCAACCTCGCAGACAACGAAGCATTTCCAGCGCTTGGTGGCCGATTCGGGAAAGCGAATGGCAATGGGAAGGTGCAGAAGGCGAACGTGAGTGAGATCTCCGGTGACCGCGCGAAAGCCTACCTGGAAGAAGTGAAGAGGAAGAAGGCGGATGCGGACGCCGAACGTACCGCTACTGGTGCGGCCGAGGCTGTGCTGGGCGATGATTGACAACCGATGTGTATATGCTGTTGAGGCTCGTGTGGTAGAGGACTGCATGGCTGAGTGCTTGATGTAGGAAGAACCTGCACGGTGTTGCAGGTCGTCCAACTTGTCGCAACCCATCGACAACGAATGCTCTATAGTCCGTTGCAAATGACAGCTGTACAGTCAGCAGTCTTAAGTATGCTCACAGCACCTCAACAATTTGGTTTTCATCATCGTCCTCCTGAATCTCCTCCACTTTCGGCGCAGCATCAGCGGCGTCATCCTCCTCCCCTCGCATCAATACCTGCACCAACCGATCACACCCCTCCTGCACACTCTCATCGTCAACATGCATATGCAGTTCGCGAACGATTGGGTACACTTTCACATCTCTCAGCCTCCGCCTGCCGTTCTTAGTTGTCGTCAGCAGCAGCAACGTTTCCAGATGCGTGCCGATGATGTCGGCTTGCTTCTCCCGTTCCTTGTCGGGAGGCAGAAGCTGGCATTCATCGAGCATGCCCTCCGTGTCTTCGTCGTCGTACTCCTCGCTTCCCATCAAGGGCAGGAGAAGGTAGGGCAAGAGTGCGATCCCTTCTGCCGAGTTAACAAGTAGACGGTCGTGATCTTCGATGGAGAAAGCAACGTTCTTGATGGTGTTGGCTACACCCCGGCGTCGGATTGTGGATGCGTGTTCGGTAAAGACTATCAGCTTAGACAAGGGTATAATGGACTCTGAGTCGGGCGTTAGGAAGTGCCTTTGGCCTTCGGGATGTTTGGCGAGATCTGCGAAGAGATAGGAGAGGTAGTCATAGTTGGCGTGTTTGTTATAGCTTCCCGACGCGCCCTTGACAAAGCAGTCGAGGAGTTGATCGACAGCTAAAGGTGAAGTTGAGAGCGGTTGGGGGATGTCACGCTTGAGACTTAGAATCTTGGTGATTGATGGAGCTTTAGCCAGGTTTGCAAGCAGCATGCACTGTTCGTCTGCATTTGGCTCCGTTGAATCCTGGGGCAGCAGTCAGTTGCAGACTCTAAGCGAGGGTGGCAAGAGGTTGGGCGACTAACATACGGTCATCCGTCGCAGCAGAGCTTCCAGAAACACATCGTCATCGACGAGGGTCCCGCGGACCTCGCCATCCTCTGAGATGTTGATAAGGATCGTGAGTGCATATTTGGCTATGGGTTGATAGTCCTTCAGCAACAGCTTGAGATCTTTGACCGGCTCGAACTGGTTGCGCTTGAAGAGCGAAGGCTGTGCAGTTGAGTAGGGAACAAGATTCTCAGCCGCTATGATCGAATTGTTAGCAAGTGGTCATGTATTGTAAATAAGTTGCCTTCAACGATACCGATGCCTCGAATCTGGGTGTTGCCATGATGGAGGAACTCGACGAGCTGCCCGTAGTCTGATCAGTAACGAAATTTCCGTCCATCCACAACCTTGCGCCCACCTCTTCTAGCTCTGTAGGCATTTTGGAGTGATGTACGAGGTGAAATATCGCATGGTCACCCTCTCCACCCTCCACATCAAAACCGATGCGGCTCGTGAACGGGACGGCTATCACTTTGAGATGGCGCTAAGCCGCAAGTAGGTATGGTACAGCTACTGGACGGGGTGACTGCATGTGCTTTCCAGCCATGCCCGAGATCTACTTCTTACCCTGTCTGTATCGCGAACGGTTGGTAGACATCTGGAGGAGTCCGAGAGGTGTTATGATGGTGAGCGGGCCTCTTATGGGCAGGATACCGCAGCTATGTTCAACGTAAGTGCTCTACATATCTATGCTCGATTGCCGAGACATGTTCCAGTAACACTATGGTCGTGTGCAGCGCCTCAAGGGGTTCAACCTTGACAACTTCCTCGATGGGAAGATAGCCGAAGAGCAGGCGAAGCAAGCGAAAACCTCACAGTCGCCGAAGAGAACAGCAAGCAATGCCGGACCTAGGAGGAGCAGTGCGCGTACTGGCTCACCGGCGCAGAGAGCGGGCAGCAGGTTGAGGGCGCCGGAAGGTGCTGATGCAGCTGTCTCAGGTAAAGGCCCGGATCCGGAGGAGTTTGTGATTGGTGATGAGGCTTCAGACCTCTCAAGGGCGCCTACGCCCCGACCTGCAAAGGAGAGTGCTGAGCCGGCGGAAGCTGCGCAACGTGATGGAGGTGAGAAGATCGACGGTCAAGATGCTGCAGCTCCGAGCAGCAAAGGTAAGGAGAAGGCGGAGGATGACGAGCTGCCATTGGAGGTACGGAAGAAGTTGGCAAGACTGGAGACGCTTACGACCAAGTATCAAGGTACGTATACGACTCATGGTGAACCGAGCTCTTTTCGGTCGCGAAGCTAAGCTGGTACCGCTTGCCCAGATCTACTCCGAAACTACCGAACAGCGCACGCGCGCGTCTCCGCAATTGAACCCTTCGAAGCAATGCTAAGGGAGAGCACGCCGCTTACTTCGATCGCCGAGCCCAGCGCACTGGTGGAGTTTCTCAACCAGCGGAAACAGCAAAGTGACATGGTCTTGGACGAGCTAAAGAGATTGTCTGGCGAACGCACGGATCTTCTCAAAGAGCGCGATGAGTTGAAAGAAAAGCTCGACGAGGCGGAGAAGAAAGCTAAGGATGCATTCGACGAAGCAGCTGGCTTGCGCGAACAGCGTGCGGCGGTAGCAAACAATGCAGCAGAGAGCAGATCGAGCCTTGACCCGCTTGGCGCGCTTCAAGACGACTCCGCGAAGAGCGCACCAGGCGGAGAGGACGAGTTCTTTTCGTACGAAGCAGAGCAGCAGAGAGACGTAGAGGTCAAGCTGAAGCAGCGTGAGCACGAGATCGAGGAACAACAAGCGTACATCAATGAGCTGTCCACGGAAAACGCGACCTTGCGCCAAGGTTTCGATTCGGCGCAGCTTGACCTCGACGCTATGCGCAACAAGGTCGGCGTCAAGGAGCGAGACCTCGCAGGCGTACAAGCGGAGCTGCAAGAGACGAAGGCGAAACTTGAAGAAGCCGCTCGTGCTCGTGAAGAGGCGCAAGAGCAGGAGTCAGAAGCGGCCGCACTGCTTGCACAAACGGAGAGCGAGGTGGTACACCTGCAGGACAGGCTCAAGCAGTACAAGGAGAACCTCGATGAACAGGGTAAGGAGCTGCAAGAGAAGGCTGCCTTGGCTGAGGAGAATCTCAAGAAGTACCAGCAGGCGCACGCGGAGAACTTGAAAAAAGGCGTCTACGCACAGCGGGAGGAGAAGGGTTTGGAGGCCTTGCGCAATACCGTCAACATGCTCAGAGACCAAGCCAAGCAGGCGGATGACGATAAGAAGAAAGCACAGGGTCAGATGAACGATCTCCAGCTAGAAATTAATAGGCTAGAGTCCGAGGCAACGAGCCGCGCTGCCCTCGTCGAGTCGTTACGTGGCCAAGAAGCAGCAGCGGAAAGCTACAAGAAGAAGATGGTAGAGGCGGAGAACGAGCGTGACGAAGCACGCCGACTAGCAGAAAGTAAGAAAGGCCATGAAGCTGCCGTAGCAAGCTTGCGAAGCCAGCTCAAGCGCGCTATCGACGACAGAGACGCGGCTTACCAGATGATCATCAACTGTGGCAAGTGCGAGACACCGGAGAAGGAAGAGGGTAAGAGACCTGAGACTCCCACGGAAGAGAGCAGCACGCCCAGCTCGAGATCTCGTGGTGCGTCGGAAACGACAGAGGTGACCGAGGCTTCGACTCAAGTGACGGAGGTTAGCACGCCATCGATAGACGGCGGTGAGGCTGAAGTAGGCGGCGAAGCGAAGAAGAAGGCGAAGAAGAAGAAGTCCAACAAGAAGAAGAAGGCTCCTGGTGATACATCGAGCGACTCACTAGCTCCCGGTCCCGGCCCGTCTATTGACGAGCTTATTGCGGAGCCGGAGAAGGCGAAGGAACTACTGAATCGTGAAGGCGCTGAGCGTGAGCTTATGTTGGCTTTCGTGAAGCGCTCTATCGATAAGGCGCGGCATGAGGACGATGCAAGGGATGATGAGCGTGACGAGGTCATTAAACATCACGAACATATGCTGGAAGTGCAAGATCAGACGATCCGGGACCATAGACGACTGGTGATGGAGAGGGATGAGGAGATCGAGCGGCTGAAGCGCGCAATCACGGAGAAGGAGGCCGCTATTGACCGGATCGCGGCGAAGTTGAAAGGGGAAGAAGACCTGAGAGAGGAGATCGAAACTTTGAGGGAGGGACTGACCGAGACGGGATCTCAGGCGACGGACGCCATGCATCAATTGAAGACTGTGAGAGAGGAGAAAGAGCGCTTGAGGGAGGAGTACGAGGAGTTGCAGGCGGAGAGCGATGGGAAGCAGAAAACGCTCAAGGATGCAGAAGCTCAGCGAGGCTATCTGGCAGCGAGATGCAAGACGCTGGAGAAGGAGGCGGTGGAGCTGAAGCGGTCGATCTCTGCCGCGCCCTCTTCCGAGGAGCTTACGTCGTTGAAAGAACAACTCAGCGCCGCAGAAAACGAGAAGGAGTCATTGCAGCTCGCGAAGGAGGCATCGGAGAAGGAGGTTGAGGAGCTGAAAGCGAAGCACGGTGCTAGCGGCGCTGAGCACGATGCAAAGCACAAGTCCCTCAGCGCCGACTTCGAAGAGCTGAAGTCGAAGGCCGCCGAGCTGGAAAAGGATCTGGCAGCGGCCAACAACCTTGCGCAGACGCGGTTTAAGGATCTGACGGATCTGCGCGAACATCTCAACAAATTGCAGCCGGATCTGAAGAGGCTCAGGGAGGAGTCCGCAGAGCTGAAGGTTGTGAAGGCCGACTTGGAGAAAGCGAGTGGCAGTCTCAGAAGGCTCGAAGCAAAGGAGAAGGATTTACGGTCCGAGATTGCAGAGTACAAGTCACAAAGTGCTATGAAAGACGGTGAGATTACTAAGCTTCGAGAGCAAGCGAAGAGCAGCGATGAACGTAGCAAAGCACTCGAAGAGTCTTACGAGAACGCGCGCAAAGACCTCGAGCAGAGCCAGAGTAAGCGCGACGAGGCGGCTGAGACTCGAGACAGGATACAAGCCGACCTCCAGAAGGCCGAGCAAAGCTTGAGGCAGTCGAAGAGCAGTCTCGACCAACTGGAGAAAGAAGTCAACAAGCTCCGCGACGAAGCCAACAAGCTACGCGAGGAGCTGCAGCTCAAAGGTGCCCAGCAACAAAGCGCACAGAGCATGATGGACAGCCATCGCGAACAAAATCGCGAGCTAGTCACACAGATGCGAGAGGTCCGCGAGCGCAACGAGAATCTGGAGGAAGAGCTAGCGGACGCTCATCGCTCGCTTTCAGAGCGTAGTCGTGAAGGCGAAACTATGCGGCGGTTGCTTGCCGATGCTGAAAGTCGCGCTGAAAGCCGCGTCAAGGAGATGCGGGAGCAGATGAGTTTGGCCATTGAGGAGAGAGACCGAGCCGAGGATGAGGCCAGCGCCGTTGCGAGGCGGAAGGCACGGGAGCTCGAAGACCTAAAAACGAGGGTAAGGGAGGCGGAGCGGGAGGCCGCTTCAGCGAAGGACGCGAAAGACGATGCCGAACGTCGTGAGCGAAGCTTCAAGGAGAAGCAAGAAGAGCTGGAGAAGCGCGCCGTGCAGGCGCAGGAAGAGCTAGCGGAAGTCAGGTCGGCCATGGCGCAGCTCCGCGATGCGCTTGATGACAGTGAGCGACAGTCTGGAAGTCTGGAGCGCGAGAAGGCTGAGCTGAGAAGGGAGGTTGAGGAGCGCCAGACTCGACTGGATAAGCTGCAGAAGTCCAGCCGAGCCATGTCCGAAGAGCTGCGGACATTGCAGACCACGCACAAGCTTCGACAGGGAAGCATACAATCGTCGCGCTCCTCCCTGGAGTCGCCGCGCGTGACCTCGCCTGCACCGTCGAGGACGGCTGACGGTGCGCCTGTGGCCATGGCTGGAGTTGGGAGCGCGAAAGACGCGGTGGACATGAAGTATCTCCGTACGGTGCTGCTGCAGTTCTTGGGTCAGGAGAAGAAACATCAGATGCAGTTCGTGCCTGTGTTAGGCGAGCTGCTGCATTTTGATAAGTATGCCACTTCGTCCTATGCCTTTATCGGTTTTCATGCTGATTTCAGAACCAGGCAAGAACGGCAGAAATGGGAGGCGGCTATTGCTGCGAGATGAGAGCATAAAGATGTCGTTCGATTGGGCATATTATTCCGCAGCACTGGTGGTTTTGCTAGAGCAGCAACACCCAGGGTTATGGCACGGAAGCGGCAGGTGGCAACTGTACGGAAGACGATCCAGGCATACCGTCGACCGGACAGCGCGTGGTACACGCTGAAGCCAATCCGCATCTGCGGCGCGGTTCCCCATTCCCGGTACTGCGCCGGCTGTCTAGGTGGTTGGAAGCCTGGGGACTGTATGATTTCGTACGACACTGGATGCATGCCATGCTGATGGTCACGCACATTACAGGCATGTATGAGTAGTGAGGACATGGGAAAATATCACGCTCAGAGAACGACGCTGTGGTACGAGAACGGAGACCAGGCGCGTCTGCAAAATATGAAAGTCTAGTTGAACGGCTGCGATGTCAGATAGGCACTGGCATAGTAATCGTGCGAAGCATCGCCACCAACTCTTGCGCCCCGTGCTGACTTCAACCAACAGTTGCCGGCATGCGCATCCACGGTCACCGTCAGATTTGCGTCGTACGTCACAGCAAGGCAGAGCGGGCCCCCGTTCGGATTCCGATTGTAGATGGCACATTGGTCCATGCAACTGAAGAAAGAGTAGACAGTCTTTGCCGCTCTATGTTGGGAGATCATTGTCAGCGCGCATCATCCCGCGTGGGGTTACTTCAATAAGAGCGCCACTTACAGATCTGTGACTTTCCCTGTGCCGTTGCTAGTCGCTCCGCCGCCAGGATAGTCGGCGTAGCACTCCTCGGTGAATTGGTACGACTTGGAAGGGTTGGCCGTGGACGTGTAGGTATCATCTGGCGCGCTGCCGTTGCAGCTAAAGGCCGCTAGACCAGTCGTGCCACTTGTGACTGCCGAGGCCGTTGCTGTGGCCGTTGAAGTCCCGTTGATAGATACGGTCACCGTTCGACTTGGTGGACACCTATGTTGATAAGTTAACGGTGAGCTTGTACGCACAGGGTCTCCTTGAAGCTTACGTTGATGATGACGAGTGATTCTTATAGCTAGTGCTACTGCCTGCAGCGGCGTAGCCAATGCCTATGCCTACTCCCAGGCCAATCAATGCTGCTACAACCGCACCCAGGATCCAATGCCAGGTTGCTCATGGTCTTCCTGTCTGCTGTTCGTGCTGGACCGTAGGCTGGGGTGGCTGAACTGGCTGGTCGGAGTAGTAAGGTGCCGGTTTATGGTCGGTCGGGTACACGCTCTGCATGCTTTCCGGGTTGCGCTCCGATAGAATAGGAGCTTCGTACGCAACTTCCGGCGCGTTGTTGTCCCTGTTGCCTGCCATGTACAGTAAGGGTTGGCTCTTGTTGTCGGAACTCATTTGCTATCGTTGAGGCTTCGGATCAGGCCTGCAAACGTGAACGGCAGACTACGAAGACCATGGCTGTAGACGCCAGGGGTCGAGGAGGAAGCGAGTGGAGATGCTACGCTCACCGGTTTGTAATAGCCCTAGAGCAAGGGAATGACGCCAAGAACGACCTGCCAACCATGGATGTATGCTTCGAAGTGGACTTTGTTGGTCCGCTCCTTCGCGCCACTAGTGCGTCCGTTGGTCCCAAGGGAGGGTACTATAATAGATGCACATAGGGTACGAGCTTCACCAGCTTGGGGTGCTGAACGACTCCTCGATGGCTTGACCCTAGCATACTGCTTTAACCCTTCGTGCTCCTTTCATCTTGAACGATCCGTGCGTGACTGTGCGTCCCACCACGCGTGTCCTGTTGCTCAGCGGATGCATATCCAACAGTGCTGTTATAATGGCCGGTTAGCTGATGGAGAAGAAATATCTCGCGCGTTGCGATTGTTGGCTTTTGCAGGTCATGACAGTGCGGTGGCAGTTCAGACAGCCGCAACTATAACACTTCAACGCTTCCGGATGGCTCCGGGCGGTGTCTTGGTTCTCGACAGCAGATAACAATACTGCGTCCTATGCACGACAGAGTCCCAGATACATCGTATCAAGCAAAGTCTTAGCATACGTAGCAGGTCTGCTAGTAAAAGCATGAATCAGGAGCGGATGGCACGAACAGACGGCGCGGAACACATTGCGACGAAGGCATATTATAACCTCGTTGCTATTCATGAACGAACAAGCTCTATCAAGACTGAGGCCGCCGCCGATCCGTGTTGCTTGCTTAAACAAATCCTAAGACCTTAAGCCCGCAATCCCTAAACCCACGGCAGTGCTGTTGTCCGGACTCGCCTCCCCCGTCCGCTGTCTCTTCGCCGGTGGCGGTGCATCTGGGCCTGCAAAGACTCTCTCCACGTTAGCCTTCCTGACCGCACCGAAGAGTCTTGTCTGCTTCAGACCGCTCGCATTGTTTTGAGCAAGCATTCCACTGCCCTTGAAGCTGTCCCGCTTCGCCTGCTGCTCCTGGCTTGAGCGCAGCATCTGCGAGGCCGCACGCGATGCTTGACTCTCCGTCACCTCGTCAGTAACCTCCATTTCGAGAATGTCTGTTTCGGCCTCGCTGTCATCGTCACGGTCTGTTGCGGATACCGTGCCTTCGTCCTCAGATACTCCTGCTTGTGTGCTGGGGAGGGCCGGCTGTGCATACATATCTCCACCCGGCGTACGCATGGCGCTTGTACGAGGCATAGGCGCTGTTGATGGAACCTTCATTGGGGCCTGACGGCCGGAGGGTGTCTGATACATGGCATAATTGCCGTGCTTCTGCGTGCGTGCTGGAGTAGTAGGTACGCTGGAGATGCCACCTTCATGCTTGCCGTGGCCTCTTCTGGATCGCAACTCTGGGTTTGTCATCTCCGAGGCCTGCAGCAGCACTTCGAGGCCCTGTGAGCGATGCGGTGTGCCGTATACGGAACGAGGCGTGGTGTCGATACGTGCGTCTCCTTCTGCCCGGCTGCGCACTTTGTTGAGATGCTCTCGATTCTCGCGGATGCGCTCCCGCATAAGCGTCACCTTGTCGCTTAAGCTCGCAATTTCGCCCTCTTGGCGAGCTATGACCTTATCCTGTGCAGAATGCTCCCTAGACCACTGGCGATTCGCATCCGAAAGTTGTTGGATCTCAACACACATCCGTTGATAGAGGTCCTTTTGTACCGGGATCATGCCTTCCTGGAGTGGTGACGGCTGGATTGGGGTCGCTGCCACTCTCGCTTGTTCTGCGTTGTGGATGACCTCGTTCTCGTGCTGTGTCATGCGAGCTTCGACCGTCATACGTTCGATGATGGCTGCACTCTCCTGAGCTAACATCCTGTACTGAAGCTTGTGGTGCGCAGCGGTCATCTTGGCGTCGTGTAAAGCCGCTTGCAGTTCGCCGACTTTCTGGCGCAACTCCTCCGCCGATGCTACCGCAAGCTCTTCGGATGACATAGTTGGTGCAAATGCTCCAGTCACGCGTGTTCTTTGCGACTGGCCCATTGTGCCGATGGTGGGCGGCGGCGTTGACATGTGCGATACGGTTGGAGTCGGTGTCCGGGCCTTCCGCTGTAACGAAGCTTGCTGCGTTGTTGGTGGGGGTGTTCTACTGCTCAAAGCATTTTCTACTCTGTCTGTCTGCACTTTCGATACCGCCTCGGTCAGACCAATCGGTATCGTGGTATGTGCAGGCTGAGGGGTTGTAGGCTCTGACGGCAGGAAGGAGTCCAGAAATCCATCTTGCTCAGCCATTCGGGCACAGATGCCTGACACCTGGTAAAGGTACAACAGTGTGTCAAGGAGGCTCTCCCTTACAATCAACCTTGCGCTGTTGCTTGGGGTTGGGACCCTCGTCGGCTTTAGCGTCCTGCCTTCGCCCTTGCTTATGATTCTACGCCGCACCAGAACTTCGGGGGATGTGCGGAAGGCAATCTTCGTGCTTGAGCCTTTCTTGTCAACACTCAATGCTAAGTTATACCAACCACGGCGTCAATACTGTCAGTCGGAGAGGTTGGTAATGTTAGTGTGTGTGGCAGGTCGTCGGGTCGTGCGTTGCGGCTCGGCAACGGTAACTCTATTCGTGGACCCTCACAACGGAGATCAACATTGTTTGCCCTAGTGAAAGCTTGAATGGAACGCTCGACAAAATGGGCAAGTCTGCATCTCCTGACAGAACGTCAAAATTAACGAAGAACAAAGGACTCGCGTAACCTTAGGTAGACCTCAGGCGGACATGCTGTTCGCGCTGTTATTACCGGGTGATCATGTATCCTGATTGAACGTACAGCTGGAGGAGTCTGTCACCAAAACTTTGTAATGGATCCGCCTACGGCAAGCAGGCCTTCTGGTCTACCCAGGCCATGTGGAGGGCTTCCTAAACCCTCTCGCCTCCCGACTCTGCGGACAAAGTCCTCGCAGGTCTTGCTGTCTAAGGCGCCTGAGATACCCGAGAACTACAACCCGACTGCTGCAACCCCTAAGTTGCAAAAGCGTGCATCGACCGCTCTATTCACTCGAACCTCGTCTCCTAGCCCGAGGGAAGTCGCGATGCCAAAGGCTGCGAATGGTGTACGGCAGTCGGTTGTAGCAGTTCCGAAGCCTACCATCAGGCCACCGAGTAATGCACGAGCGCCTGCAACCAGGCCTTTGTCTCGCGGAAACGAGCCGAAGTTGCCACTCGTGACCGCTGCGAAGGCACTTCGTAGCGAGGAAGAAGAGAACCATGACCAGCTTGGCTCACTAGATGATTTCCGCGCTGCCTCCCGGCAAGGTTCTCGAGACGAGATATCTCCGATAGAGTACCAAGAAACCACAGACGCAGAACCTTTCCGGCCTCGAGAACGTGCAAAGTCCAGGCCATCACTGTCGGATCGTACCATCGAGAGCCTTCAGAACCTGCCATCCACGCCGAGGGCCAACCGGAGATCAAGCTTCTTCTCACACTTAGAGTCACCGAGGGGCCTGCCCCCTAGGCCAGCGTCTGCATTATCCAGAAACGGCAGCTCGCACAGTAGGCCTGGCACAAGTGATGGCAATTTCTCTCAGCGGATGAAGGTTGCGTCGCCGGCTAAGAGAATCACGGCTAGCGCGAAACCTGCGTCTAGAACCGTGGATCACCGCGCTACTCTTCCAACTCCGCAGAGGAGAAGTGTGAGTACTTCGTTCACTGCGAAGCTGCAGGCACGTAGAGATGATGTGCCACCAGTACCTAACCTGCCGTCGCATATGAAGCAGGGTACTGTGCCCGCAGCATCACTTCGAGGTCAGACGAACAGCAAGCCTCTAAATGGAAGTAACACCTTGGTAACGCGGACACCACGGTCAAGACCCACCCTCGAAGGCGCCTTCGAGCGTGCAGACGCGAAGGGGCCTTCTCTAAACCGTACACCGATCAAGTCTCAAAAGCCGAGTACCCCTTCCAAAGGTGGAGCACCAAGCTCGTCTGCGGCCCTGCGCGAACAGATCGCTGCGGCGAAGGCAGCAGCTCGGAAGCAGCAAGCCAAGCACGACTCCCCTCAACAAGCTGATTTCGATCATTCTGAAGCATCCAGTCATGCGGACCCTTTCAATCAGGCACACGAAGACAACATGCACATTCTGCGTAACCGCATTAGGACTGCTTGGACCGACGGCAAACTCAACATTGCTGGCATAGATCTCCAGCAGATTCCGGACGAAGTGTTGCGAATGTACGACCCGAAAGTGCTGGAGGACGCGAACATCAACTGGGCCGAAGTCATCGATCTGACGAAGTTGGTGGCGGCTGACAATGAGCTTGCAAGTCTCGGAGACGATGTTTTCCCTGACGGAGCTGCCGCTGAAGACGACGCAAACTCCCCGTTTGGCGGGCTAGAAACGCTTGATTTGCATGGGAATTTACTGCAGTCATTGCCCGTAGGCCTGCGACGCTTGGAGCGCTTGACAACCCTTAGCTTGGCACACAACAAGCTTGAGAACAGTTGCTTGAATGTGATTGTGCAGATTACGACACTTAAAGACCTCCGTCTCGGGCATAATCAGCTATCTGGCCATCTACCGGCTACAGTATCTCGGCTCTCGCAACTCGAGCATTTGGATTTGCAAAGCAATCGTCTGCTGGGACTGCCGGAGTCTCTGCGCGAGCTTTCGATGCTGAAGGTCTTACATGTGTCAAGTAACCAGTTAACCACTGTACCCATGGATGCACTTGAGCAGGTTCCGCTAATTGAACTGGATGTCAGTGGAAATGCTCTCATCGGTTCACTGTTCCCACCCGATTGCAGCTCCGCACACGCTACATTGCGTACGCTGAGCGTTGCCAACAATTCGTTGGCAGCTCTGACTTTCTCGGACGCTTTGGATTTGCCCCGGTTGCAGTCACTGGACGTTACCAACAATCACCTCACAGCGCTGCCGTCTGTGGCGGGGTGGACAGAGCTCGTCACCATTGCTGCAGGCGAGAACAAGATGCAAGAGCTCCCTGAAGGGTTTGTGACCTTGCCCAGTCTACGGACTGCCAATTTTACGAGCAATGAGCTCCGTCTGCTTGACCCTGAGCTCGCTCGCATGGATAACCTGCAGACTCTGATCCTTGCAGCAAACCCACTCCGGGAGAAGAAGTACCTCAGCATGAGCGCTGCAGATATCAAGCACGACTTAATTGGCAAGCTTGAGCCTGAGAGTGTCGAAGATGGCGCGGTAAGTGCGGTGGAAGCTGCCGGCGGGAGTGCCGATGCGACCTCGAAGGCCTTCTCGTGGGCACTGAAAGCTCGTAACGTGCTAGACCTTGCCGGCAAAGTGCTGTCCGACGATATAAACGACGGTCTAGGCTCCTTTCTGCAGAGCAACGAGGTATGGGAGTTACATGTGAACACGAATAGGCTCACGGTTGTTCCTCCTGCACTTTGGCTTGCACAAGACCTTCGCATCTTGGACGTGTCTCACAACACTTTTGGCCCAGACTACCTAGTCTCGGATCTGGAGCTGCCCGCGCTACAGGAGCTGACTGTCAGTCACTGCGGCTTGACAACACTTGAGCCACTTATGAGCCAACTTTCAGCGCCAGCATTGACCAGACTCGACATCACGGCAAACCGTTTGACCGGACCTGTCCCGAAGCTGCGTACTGTATTTCTTTCGCTTGAAACGCTGCTTGCAGGCGAAGCCAAGTTCACTTCCGTCAGCGCCGACGCTATACGCGGCCTGCATACAGTAAATCTGGCGAATAATGATCTCCAAGCGCTGCCGGCGCAGATCGGTTTGCTGTGGGATGAAGGCTTGCGAAACCTTGAGGTCGGCGGCAACGCCTTCCGAGTACCGAGTTATCGAGTTTTGGAGAAGGGCACGGAGGCGACGCTTAGATGGCTTCGTGATAAGCTCCCGGCCATGGTTAGTGCGATTGATGCGGGTGACCAGGAGCCTTATCCTCCGCCACATGGCTAAACCCAGGCACCCAAGCGTCCTGTAGATTTGTAAGTGATGGGAAACAAGCGTCTAGCACACGTTTTCTCGCTCAACATCGTGCGCAAGGCATCAAAGGCCACGAAGCCGCGGACGTTCGCAGGCTAGTCCTGTGAACGCAGTCACTAAACCTCCAGCAGTAGTTATTCGATGACATGTCTGCCCAAGGTGGTCGGGTTCGCAACGGTAGCTACATCTCTATCACAGTGCTGAAAGCGGCCCCTGCAAACAACTTGACAGGTCTCCCACCAAGCAGGAGCCCGGTCAGTATGTGCAACTTCACTCTCACCCTCGTCGAGTCCTGCGGTCACGAGCTTCCAATAACGGACTACTGCGAAGCCGCGCAAGACTCTGTTGAAGCCTTCAAAAGCGCCATTCGAGCCCGGACGATTCTCCATGGCGCCTCCCGCGCCTTGCACGGAGACATTAGGCTGGACCATGTACAGATCGCTGGATACGCCAGTAGCTCGCGAGTATTGCCTTATGCTGCTGAGAGGTTAAGGGGCAAACGGACCTACGGCGGCATTGCTGATGACGCGGCTATTCGAAGGAGAAGATGAGGAGGATCCAAACTTTTTCGGAGCTGAAGAGAGTCGCGGAGGCGGGAATAGGGCAGGCGCTTCAGCCGGACGGTGAAGAAGAGGATAGAGCTGGGATAAGTGAGCAAGGCCATGCCACTGAGTCAAAACAGAAGGTTTTGAAAGGCCGCGTAAATGAAAAGAAGCTTACGGCTTGGCCACTGCAGCGTGCAGCGCTGAAGCGAAAACCACACTCTGCAGAAAAACCAACATAATTGTTCTCCGCTGCAAATTTTGAATTGGCTGTGGGTATATCATGAGAAATCAATGCAAGCTGCCTTAGCGTCAAGCGCGCCAGCCCAACCTGTAAAGGTGACTTTCGCGCATCACTGAATCGTCTGCTTCATGGCCATTTGATCATGCTCGTCAATGTCAATCGCCTCCCATGGATAGTTAATCCACACATCCGGCACCGTCCTCGCGGCCAGATACCGGTTCTCCTCCACCATCGACTTTGGCAGATGGCCCCTCTTCTCTTTGTCCTTGTTGTGCAGGACGAAGATGGAGAACTTCGTGTCCTCTCCTGTCCTGCCTGCCTGCTTCGCCGCCTCCGCCACGTCTTTCTGCAGCTCCTTGACGGCGTACTCGAGCGTCGTCCGCGTGTCATCAACCTCGTCGACTATCAGTACGCTTTTGCCGATTAGATTCGCCATTTCGAGGGAGCGGAGATCTAGCCATTGTGTTCGCGTGACTTTGGTCCCGGGCGCTTCCTCTTGTGTGTCTGTGCCAAGGGATTCGTAAAGGGAGAGGCCGATTGCTTGGATGGGAATGTTGGGTGCGCCGGGCTGTTTGAGGAACGAGCGCAGGATGCGGGCTGGGACGTAGCCGCCGCCGCCAATGGCAATAATGAGGTTGGGCTTGAACTCGGACAGGATGCGAGGCGCGGCATCTTGGCAGAGTTTGTGGACCTGCAAGGCCGTCGAGTCAGGTATATGTAGGCTAATAGGCTTCAAGGTTGCCATACCTGATTGTAAGTAACGTACACCTTCTCAGCCATGATGACGATGTTGGTGATTGTTCACCTGACACTTTGTTAGATCAAAATCAGTCAGTGGCTTGCTTACAGTACGTACCTCCAAGAGGAAGAAGAGAGGGAGTATTCACCTCGCGTGCCTAGACATTTTTGCTCATACTGGCCCAAGCGCAGATATTGCGCATCTAGCCGCCGCTAGCTCGATCCAGCAGTCACGCAGGCCGCGGGCAGAGCCTGCACCGTCACCTTCTGCGACTGACCATCACGACACATTCATCTACGCCTGCTCGTCAATGCCACTTTATGCGACTTCTTGCTGCCGTCTTCGCCCTTAAGACCGACCTCGTCTGCTCGACCGCAGCGACACTGCAAAGACTGTGCCTGTGAGGATCCTTTCCACACTGGTTGCTTTGCGAAAAGCACGATACTTGATGCTATAGAACAATCAGGCTAACCATTCTCTCAACCACACCTTGTGTGTGTCTAGGCAGGGCCAAGTCATCCCGTCGCGGCTTCGAAGTCGGCAGGCCGACTAGATGGCCAGCCCTCGCCGCTCAATCTCTGGCTCGCCCGCACTGTCGGAGGGCGAAGTGCTCAGCGGGGACGAGGAGAAGGCAATTAGCACGCAAACAAATCACCACGATGACGGCAAGGTTAACACGTCCACCAGACCCCATCATGGATCTTCATCTCGCATGCCCCGCACCGGTCTCCAGCAGCCTGGACAGTTCCGTAGTGGAAATGTGCGCAACCCGGTGACGGTCGCGAGAGTGCGTTCTAGGTCGCCGTATCAGAAGGGTAAGTCAAGGTCGAGATCCAGGTCGCCGTATCGAGCGGACAGAGCAGCAGGCAGCGGAAGCGGAGAGAAGAGACGCCGAGACGATGACCATTACGGACCGAAGGCCGGCTCTGACCCGCGCCGCTTCAAGGTGCACTATGAAGAGGGACCTGACTCACGTGGAGGGTTTGCTCCTGGATCTGGACGCTCTCTACTCAACTCTAGTCGCAACGAGACACAGAGGGCGATCCCATCGCACACCAACCAGGCCTCGCGTAGTCGCGGCACATTCCTACGTAAGACGGACCGTGACCGGAGCCGATCGCCTTTCCGCCACGACAAGGCAGGCCATGTGTCAAATGGTCACAACGCATGCGACTCCAACGAAGAAGGTCATACCCACGAGGGCTCCCATGTGCTTGTTCGCGAGCAGCGGCGTGGTAGTATACCATCGCTGACTGAACGAGAGTCAGCTCTGCACTCTTCGCAGGGAAAGGATGATGCTAAGATCGAGTTGTCGTTACCACAGCAGGCTAAGCCGCTCCTGGCAACCCACGCACAGGCAAGGTCAGTCGCACTTAATACAAGTATCAAAGCTGGTACTAATGTAGCCGTCACCAGTCGAGGGCCACCGCAGTCTGCAGCTAGGTCTGCAGGAAACCACGACGACTCGCAGAAAACGCTGTCCGAAGCCGAGATCATCGAGCAACGCCGCAGACGTCGCGAAGCCATCAAGAACAAGCACAGATCACAGCCAGAACTGCTCGTACAAGCACTGGAGAAGACCGTACCGTCCGCGCCAAACACGCCAGCACATGATAGTAGCAGCGCTATGTCTGAGCACCAGTCGCCACCATCAGTGCTTGACTCACCTCAAACACCAAGAACGCCTGCGCGTGACTCTCCGCCAGACTCACCCGCGGCATTTGCGGTGGCTGACGACGAAGAGCTGGCGAACCGCCAACAAGCCGACACCGCAGTGGCAGAAGATGAAGGTCCGTCGGCAGCAGACTATGACCCTAACATGGACATGCAAGAAGATCGACCGGACTTCAAGCGCCCTGCTGTTGATGCACCTGCACAGCAAGCTGATAGCGCTAAGACAGCGCCTACCGAGCCGCAAGCTGCGACGAAGGCAAGCAAAGAATTCGACATGTTCGCTGATGATGACGATGACGATATGTTTGCGCCTGCAGACACCATCTCTAGGCCGGCGATGATGGCAAAGCAGGCCAAAACACTTGATCAGAGCTTGCTCGACAACTGGGACTATCCAGACGGTCACTACCGCATCATACAAGGTGAATTGCTTGATGATCGCTACGCGGTACAACAGCAGATTGGCAAAGGCACGTTCGCAACGGTGGTCTCCGCTGAAGACACTAAGACCGGTCTCACCGTTGCCATCAAGATTGCGGCGAACAATGAGACTATGTACAAGGCTGGACAGAAGGAGATGGACTTCCTCAAACTTCTGAACGACGCCGACCCGGAAGACAAGAAGCACGTCATTCGCCTGCTTCGAAGCTTCGACTTCAAAGGTCACATGTGCATTGTCTTCGAGGCTCTTTCGGCGGACTTACGGTGGGTGCTGAAGAAGTTTGGTCGCAACGTTGGCCTTAACCTCAAAGCTATACGTTCGTACGCACAACAGATGTTCCTCTCGCTTAGCCACATGAAGAAATGCTCAATACTGCACGCGGACCTTAAGCCCGACAACATCCTGGTCAGTGAGAAGCGCAATTTACTGAAAGTTTGCGATCTGGGCACCGCCGCCTTCGTCACAGACACCGAGATCACGCCTTACCTCGTGTCGCGCTTCTACCGCGCACCAGAGGTCATCCTCGGTATGCCCTTCGGCTACGCCATCGACATGTGGTCCATCGGCTGCACGCTCTTCGAGCTATACACCGGGCGTATCCTCTTCCCTGGTGCCGACAACAACCAGATGCTGCGCGTGATCCAGGAATGCCGTGGCAAGATTCCCATCCGCATGCTGAAGCAGGCGAACATGGACCAGCGCAGCAAGCACTTCGACGACAACGCCAACTTCTTTTCGCTCGAACGGGACAAGGTTACGGGAAAGACGTCGATGCGCCAGCTGAACTTTCGAGCAAACGGGGAGCCCGGAAAGGATGTCAAGGCACGTTTGGCAGGGAACGCGAAGGATCTGGGCGCAGCGGAGATCAAGGAGCACATGGCTTTTGTGGACCTGTTAGAGAAGTGTTTGCAGTTGGACCCGGCGAGGAGAATCACGCCAGGGGATGCGTTGAGGCATGGCTTTGTCGCGCATCATGGGCAAGAGGGAGCGAAGGAGGCGAGGAAGGTGGTGCCTGCTATGGGTGTTGGCGTGGGAATGCCGAGGGTGAGGTAGAATCTACCGAAGGCGATGATGGGAGTCAAACCGGCGCATCCGGGAGTGGGCGCGACACTTACTTTTGCGTACGTGCGTTGATTCATGTCACGATCGAAGTACGCCTGATTGCTCGTCTACGCTATACGGTATATCGCTCGGAGACCGCAACGATGAGGACGGCTTGCGCCAATGCGTGGGAGAGCGGCGAAGAGGCATTAGCCATCCGAACTATTACCTGGGTCCGCATGACGCTTCCTTACAGCTTGTTGGAGATATGCGAGAAGCGGCAACGCAGAATTGGCTACTTACTCACCGTACTGTGGCCACTAGGAGAAGATGGCAGCTTGCAGCGCATATAGCTTGCATCGTATAGTAGGAGCTGTACATCCAAATCGCGTTGCAGCTATATGTTGTCGGCATCTGATGGAAGCTAGCAACGGCGGATCGAGATGGGCTGACAATGTCTTGTGCTACCAACGGCACTAACTCCGCTGCACCATCTCGATCTATATCACTTTAGTACCAATGTAGCATGTGGTGGCTTCCGTAGCTCCAAGGACCTGAAGATCTTAGGGTCGAATTTCCACTACCCCTGTTCGATGAAAACGTCCTGAAGCTGAAGCGGTACACGTGAGGTTGATCTCTGCATCGGACAATTGCGATCGTATAATAACGGTGGTGACATGATAGCGCTCTCATTATGCCTAGGCTGGCGCACCGACAGACTATTCGACAGACTACACGTCGATGCAACGCAGCGTATCGCTAGCTGTCCAATACAGTTGGCCGACTGACTGGCTTTGGAAGCGGAACACCATCGTGCCAACAAATGCATCACTCGCTCCGATTCACAGTGCCCTACCAGGTAAATGCCGCAAGCGCTCGCTGTTACTTTGTCCGGTACCTCTGCTACTGCAATGCAAAAGCCAGCCCGAGGATCCCACGTGTCTCAACGGACGTGACTTCCCGCGCTGTAGTACAGGTACGGAGCGGTAGTACTGGGGCGAAGTGCAGATGCATGCAGGCTTGGCGGAATGGGTGGGGAACCTGCGTGTCGAGGTTTGGTGTCGATCACTATTGGCTGCCTCAGCAATTGGGTTGTGGTGCAGGCTGGAAGCTGGGCTGCTGCGCAACGCGCATGCATGCAGCATGATGGTTTGGAGCTGGTACTACCGCAGACTGTTTGGTCTCATCGGACAGAGGCCGATGGTGCAGTTCTTTGGTTCGGCGATCAAGAACGGCGATTTGACGTAGAGTGTATAGTCATCGAGATGATGGTTGGAAAGTTCACTCACTCTTGATAAGGAAAAATTGAGGGAAGCTGATTACTGGTATTTTGTCCGTGGCCCCTCGGCCAGATATTGGAACGGTAATGTATACAAGCCATCAGTGGCATGGCCGTCTTCATGGTACAGCAGTCCTGTATTCCTGGTATAACAGATTTTCTACCCCACGCCCTGGTGGCCCATTTCTATTGACGTCGTCCAGAATTCTTTGAACGCTTCGAGCAAACGTTCCAGGGCCATTTAGTCCAACGCCTGGCCAATCGCTGCAGTTGGGTATCTCATACACGAAAGCTTCCGGGTGGCATCAACACTCTTCTTCACAAAAGCAGCATAGTCATATCGAGGTCTGTAGTCTCATCATAGCGCCATCCATAGTCGTGAATCGAAGTACAAACACAATACATCGTGTCAATCCCAGTAGCAGATATATCCTCCAGCGCCATCGCAAAATTGGTCCGGTCAAACTCAGTATACCGGCAGATTCCAGAAACACCCCGGCCGTGGTACATACAGATTCGGTACAAATTGACCACATCGTGACCATACCGGCATGGCTGGTACACGGCTGGTCTGAACGAAGAACGGAGGTGCAGTCGTTGCAGGTATGGGGCCGGCAGGCAGGTTTGTGTAAGGGCCAATGTGTGGGGTGCATTGACCGGAGCCTGGTGGTGTTAGAGAAGGAGTGCAGATCGTCACCTGCTGGTCCTGCATGGCACCGTAGGTCGGAGGATACTGCAGACCTGGTAGAGGCTCCATAGGCGGGACATCCATGGTGTCAGCTGTGGAAGGTGTTGGTGAAGGGAGCTCAACTGCTTGCCGAATCGGCGAGTAAGGTGGTGTAGGTGGCAAAGATGTCGCGGCAGGGTGATTAGTCAGCCGCGGACAGCGTATAATAAGATCTCGCAGTTCCAGCAAAGTAATCCGGCGTCTAGGGTCGATCTCGAAGATTCGTTGTAGGATGAAGTTCAGCTCGTCAGAAACGGGAAGGATGGATTGCAAAAAGTTGCGATCCCGGAAGAAAGCCTTGAAAGTGGCATCGTCTACTGCAGCACGCTTCCAAGGATTACGGCCACAAGTCAGGTTAACCAAGATCACTCCGAGGGACCATATGTCGTTAGGCGCAGAAGCGTAACAAGAAAACGGCTTCGGATTTGCTTGCTGGCACTCTGTGATTCGGTCAGCGACTGCGCCAGAAGAAGCGGCCTTGTAGACGTACCCGGAGACATGTAGAACGTTGAGCCGCAACCGAAATCGGCTGTGACACGTTCCTGGGTTGCTAATCCAAAATCTGCAAGCTTGACGGTCCAGCCACTGTCCTTAACCAGGATGTTCTCGGGCTTGAGGTCGCGATGGAAGATCCCATTCATATGGCAGTGGTGAACCGCATCCAGAATTTGCAGAAAAACAGACTTGGCCTTGTAATCGTCGCCAATGTAGTGGCCTTCCTCGGTGATCTTTGCGAAGAGATCACCCTCGGGACAGTACTCAAGAACAACAAACGTGCACTCCGGGCTGTCGAGGATCTTTACCATGGACACCACATTGCTGTGCTGGCTGGCCTGATAATGCAATTTGATCTCGCGGTCTTGGAAAGTCCGCTGCCGTGGGTCGAGTCCGGCTTTGTTCAGCGCTTTTACAGCATATTCAACACCAGTTTCAACATCACAGGCTTTGTAGACGGTACCGTATGCACCAATGCCAAGCACGGCAGTGAGTTGGAACCGTCCGGCTAAGATCTGTCCAAGTCTCTCATCTGGACTGCATAGTCCTGTGGGAAACGGCGATGCCGGAGGGGTTGGAAGCATTGTCAACAGGACAGGCCGAAGAAGCTCCACCCGGGCAGGACTCCAACGGAGGTAGAATTCCTACACACTCATGGGTCGACGAGTTGCCTGTCAACACCGTGGAACAGGTGGAATGTCGTGTCGAAAAGTTGAATAACCGCAGGAGCGGGGCTGCGGAAAGGTTTTGGTAGATATCGAATGCTAGTGATGCAGCAAGTTGTAAAAGCGTCCAGTCGTAAAAGTGAGGCGGGATGATCAGCAGTCGCTTGTTGGTGGGTGGATTCGAGAAATAAATGCGGGGCGTAACTGGCTGGTAGAAGCTGAGGCAGTAAGGCACGCAAAGACGTTCGATGACGGACAGTCCACAGGTGTGACACTGCCGGAGTCGCTGGAAGCACAGGGGCCGCCTATGTAGTCGGACGCTGAGACGCAACGCTTTTCGAAAGCGATCGATGTCTGCCTTCTCCTCCTCTCAAGACACCTTTCCATGCAAATTAGCGGCAACCTTCCCCTACCTAAGCTACACGGCACGGGTTGCGTTAGCACTTACAGTGGCCCGTGAACTAGCGCACGCGCGAGAGGGCGGCCGAGCAAGCTCCTCGGCCTGATCAGAGCTCATTTTCCCTGATGAGCATGGACCATCCGTAAGCGCAGCATGGCCAAGCAGTCAACCTTGCGCAGCGTCGTGCGTGGTGGTGGGTGGGTCACTCGTAATTAGAGTGGCGCTTCCGCGCTGTGTCTCTTCGGCAACCTGTCATGGCCCGTGGCCATAGCGTTCCATATTGGTTGCTGTAGCGCACCAAGGAAGGGACGGTGTTCATTTTCTCGCATGGCTTTTGGTAGCATCGATCGTGGACCCGATTTAATTCCAACCGGTTGATGAAGCCCTTGACGAACAGGCCTTGCGCATCAATACCCGTGAACGCGACTCTCCGGCCGTTATCCACGCGCATTTCTCTCAAGCGAGGAAATGCAAGTTCATTGGCCAGTCACCGCATGGCAGGTCTTAATTCAAGCGCAGCGAGGTGTGTCTCCGAAACAAAGGGATACAGGCCGAGCATTACGTGGGTGTGACTCCTCGCCCCAAGAGAGCTTTTTTGCTCAAGCGGTTTCCAGAAGATGGCCCGCATGCAGCTAGTGTCCGTTTCATCATAGCGCTCATCGTGTGCCACGCAATCTATTGGGAGCGGCCGGGATCGCGATGTGATGCGAGCTCTTGGCTTGACGCTCGCTCATGTGGAGACGCACTGACTATCCCTGTGTGCTTTCATTGGCTTGCTCACCTCGCTCTTGCATAAGGCTCCGTTGCCGGGCAATGTCTCGGGTTGGACGAAGAGATGGCATCTTGACGCTTGGACCGCGATGGCGGGGTGGTCTGACAGCGGCTCAGGAGGTTGGCAAGGTGGCGCCAAAGGGCAGTCAAGGTCCTACTTGTTCACTTCGATTTTAGCGAAGGGCCGTGATTGGCGCAAAGCATGTCTGATCTTCAAAGCTTCCGCATCTTGCTTTTGCATTGTCCTGCCGCCTGCGGAAAGCACGTAACTGCTGATTGGCCCACTTCGTAATGCAATCAACATGTCTCCACGATACCGTGCGGAACGGCTGCCTTGCTCTTTCGAATCAGCAAGCTATATTCGCTTGAACAAGGTATACACGCTCGCCGATCGCAACCTGCGTAGGACATGTGACCGTTGTTGCTTGCGATATCCGTTGCTGCTTATTGAACCAATTAAACCGTAGTGCCAAGCTAACGGGACGTTTATGCAGCTCGCTGAGCACTGGCGCTCCACGGATTCGAGTGGAGAAGCTAACAATCCTCGTGTAGCGGGTCGCTATGCTGTGGTGCCAATTACAGACCGACCCTAGGTCCAGACCTTCTCTGGCTGCCGCCGTGACGCAGTTGGAATGATGCCTTGCATAACAGGCGTGCTTCAATGACTGCCTGCTGCATCGGCTCCCGGAGCATGCCACGCCTCGTGGCATCTGGTAGTGTGCAACACATGTCCCGACCGACAGTGCTTTTGCAAGTGAATCAGTTGTTGGTAGTGCAAATAGTAGAGGTGACGCGGAGATACCGACAGTGCGGCAGTCCGTAGGCTACGGAATTACCAGACTTGATGGATATGGTGAGCAACGTAGGCAGCATTTCATGGAGCTTTATTGTATAGGAGTCCGTTCAAGGATCTCTCATACTACAGTACGCTCTCGTTTGTCGCATTGGAGAGGTTCGCGAGTTGCACGTTTCTGGACCCGCACGGCCGCGATTGCTGATGCAACGACTCAGGAGTACGTTCGAAGCATCATGCCCTCAGGTCCGCCACAGAGTAAGCGGGCATTAGCCGCTGCTGGCTTGATTGCAAGCCACAGCACGAGGTCTCTGGGCACCATACCAATGGAAGGCCCACTACGAGCACCGCAGCTCTCCGGACGAGGGCGTTACCCTTGGCGCCTTGGCTGCAGGGCTGCAGCAAGTAGACCAACGGAAAGCTCTTATCGATTGCACTTCGGCTTACCCCCTACTCGTTCGCCAATATTTGCTCAAGCAGTCTCAGTAAGCGCATGGTGGCTTCATTCATTGGCAATGCGACTGCGGTCTGGAAGCTGTCAAGCTGGAAGTATCATCCTCAGCGTGTGTTGCATGCGCCAGTCAGAGGTGTGCGGAACGACATTTGTACCAGAGCAGACAGGTCGTTCACGACAAATGTGTCGTAGTGACTGTTGTCATTGCGGCGTTCCAGCTGGACTGCAAGTCACGGTCTCACAGCCGCGACGCAGAAGCCCCTCAAAGCATGTTCATGTAGATTGGTCGTGGTTAGAGCCTTACACCTGGACGTTCACGGTCTGCTCCAATGCAAGTACGGCCGCCCTGGTGCGCACATCGCACGCACCGGAAGCCAAGTAGACCGCATTGGTGTCATACGTCTATTGTAAACGAACCTCAGGGAAGCCTGCACTGACGCTGTGAGATTGACAGAGCAAGGTGGTTGATGATGACCAGCTTTCGTGGTTTCACCAAGTGCTATTAAACATGCATCCCGGCTTGGTGAATGGGCCCGAGGTGAAGTCGTATATTGGGGAGGATGTCAGAGATGAACAAAAGATCTTGGCTCTTGGCAATGCTGTCTTCACTTCACCCGCTGAACCAACCTCAGTTTTTGATACTGCCTTGCTGTCTGTAGCCTGCGACGGTACTGCTGTTCGTCACACACTGTCCTGCGATGGCTCGCTTGCTTGCTGTCTCAGTGAAATGGCCTCGATGCTTCGACCGCTTCGGCGCTGCAGGTTCAAACTGAGCATCTCGCCCTGCGACAAGCATTCCACTTTTTTCCGCCATATCCGTTGATGGGGACCACGCTGGAGATCGCTGGACGCTCTCGTTGGTTTGAATGGCCGAATGCAGCAGCACCCTTGCGTCCTCGAAGCCCCATGTAGGAGGTCGACCGAGACACGCACAACCCGGAAGCTTAGCCGCTTCATCCAGCTACATCACCAAGGGCTCGTTGGCTCGGTGGAGAGCAGCGGTACTTCGGCCGAGTGTAATGTGTCCAGGTGCTGACGCGGACATGGTCGAATGCGCCAGCGTTACGCGTTTCACTACCCACAGTTCGCAGGTTGCAGTATCGGACCCGCTTCTCCTGGTTTCACACTGCCCAAAAGGCTTGACTCTACGCCGAAAGCTCAATATGGCTTGGCATACATAAATCATCATCGTCAGGCCTCGTATGTTTCCTGAACGTATCTTGTCAGGCAACCTACCTCGAGCCAACATCGTGCTGTGCACATCCTCTCTCTTTCCTAGAGCAGTGATTCGTTCTTCAATCGTTTCCTTCGCTTCTAGCACGAACACAACATTCAAACATACGCTCCTTAGATCACCATCACTCTAAAGATACAACGATGAAGACATACCTTGCTATTGCTGCCCTCGCGCTGGGGGTTAGCGCCCTGCCAATAGAGCCATCCAGCACTTTTCTACAGGGCGGACGCATTCTGCCGACGGGTTCCCTCTGTCGACCGTCCTCCGTGCATTCCAGCAGATTTCCGACTGACGTTCCTGCCTCCGCATCGAACCTCCACCACCACCCAACGGCATCCTTCTCCCACAGCGACCGACCGACCTTTACACGACCCACAAGTCTTTCAACAAGCACGTACAGCTTGGCCTTAGACCGCGACCATTACCGCTCGCACGGAACGGGCTCCCACATCCGCAGTGCTTTCGTGTCACAGACGCTGTTGGTCAGGCAAGCCGAGGTCTCTGATTATGTGGCTACACCATCGGATCCCATTGAGACGGGTCCAACCTTCAGCCTTCCGACAATCACACCCTTCGCTTCCTTCTCCGGCTCTGATGTTAGGCCCAGCGGCAGAACTCGCAGTGCTGCACCAACCTTCCCTGCTCACGATGGCAGATCTGGCTCCGCTAGGCCTGGTGGTTTCGGCAGTGCTGCACATACATTTTCCTTCCACGCACCGCTCGCCAGCGATCATCGTAGCGACCTTGCCGCGCCTACTGGTTCATCTGACGGGTTTCACCCGACATTCACCGGTGCCGCAGCGTCAGACCAGTCTAATCAACACGGCTCCAGCGGCCAGTCGGCGAGCTTCACAGGCTTTCCAATTAGCTCGGATCATCCAGAGGCTACAGCAACCGGCATCCGGAGCTTTAGTGCGTTTGTAAGCCGCACCTTTAGCGACGCTGGGCCAACCTCAACAAGTGCTTAACTCGCAAAATATGACTTGCATGGGACGTTGTGATATCGAGAGACGCAGGGCTTCTAGACGAGTTCGCAATGGGCTACTCTCGAGGCATAGTCTGACACTAGGCCAAAGTCGATGCGCAACCCGCATTGTTATAGAGATTTCAGTATAGACCGTTACTCGTCCCAACAGAAGTTCCTCGATATGTCTGCCATAGCTTGTCCCTTCCGCACCTCTGCAGACTCCTGCCGTCCAGTACGAACACTGACGCCGCTGTTCGTATGCGTTTCGGAGGCCCGAGTCATGGGACCATGAACTTCAGGCTGCATACCATCCTGCTGCTGCTCAACATGCTCCTCGAAGAGTCTCCGCCGAATGCAGATCGGACATTCTTCGTTTTCGGCACTACTTGTGTAGATGTCCTTCCTATGGGCACAGTCCTCGCTGGGTACAGCGGGTGCTGCGACGTTGATCCTACACTGGTCTACGCAACGGCCGCGCATATGGAGGCAGGGTGTCCAGTGTCTGATCAAGACGAGGCACATTGTATTCTTGGGTGGTTGGGTGGTTCGTGTGATTGTATAATGTTCACGCCGTGGCCTATTCCATGATACGGAGTCAGGTCTTTGGGAGCATCGTGTTGCAGTGAAAAGCTGTAGTAACTGCCATGCTTCAGGAAGGACTGGTCACGGCCACTGCATCAGGGTGCTCATCCAGGATCTCTAAGACAGTGGCAACAGTGACCGCGAAGTCTCTCAAGCAGCATCCTGCGCAACAACTCTAACCTCCCTCCTCATTCCCTTCTCCGCCCCTTTCACTTTCACCTCAACCGCAAACACGCCAATATGCTTGATCCTGTCCGCCTCCCCGCCCTCCGCTACCGATACATCAACGAACCTCACGTCGTCCTCCCTCAGCGCCACCGTCTTCGCCTCATCGTTCTCCGCCATCGCTGCTCGCACCGCAACCAAGACGTCGTGTGTGCTCACACTACCATAGATAGCCTGTGGCCCCGTCGGAAGCTTGGGTTTAGCCAGCTCCGCCTTCTGCGCCTGCGCCTGCATCTGCGCCCTCACCGCCATTAACTCTGCGCCAGCCCCATAGCCGTAGCTCCGGGCCGGCTTCTTCGGCTCGGGAAGGACTTCGGGCTCTGGCTCTGGTTCCTTCTCCTCAAGGATGGGTTGGCGGTAGAAGTCCAGTCTCCCCGGGACGAAGATCTCTAGTAGCTCCATACTTCGCTCCGGACTCAGACGAGTCGGGTCGATAATCCTCTTCTGGAACATGCTCGCTTCCTGCTTCTCGGTCGCGCTCATGCCGCCTTTAATGTCGCTCGGTAGATCGAATTGCTTTGCATATTGTCTGGTGCCGAAGTCGTAGTCCCGTTCCATGGGTGCGTTGCTGATCCGTAACGTCTTCAGCTCGGGCATCGTGATGTATTCGGCTATGTGACGCGGGAACCATTCGTTGCGCATGCGGCCATTGGAGATGGGTACGATGGCGCCTGTAGTAGAGTTAGTGTTGATATCTTAGCTGAGTGATAGACGTCCCACCTTTCCGTCCGAATCGCTTGACGTCCCGGAGTAGTCGTACCGGCACAGTGCTGGAAAGGTTGGCCATCTTCTTCTTGCCCCTAACTTGCTGTCTCAATGCCGTCGGCGGTACAGCTGGCTCGCCGAAGACGGACCAGACATAGCTGCGTAGACATGCTGAGCACTGGGGAGACGCGCGAGGGCGTACTGACATCGCCATACTCGGTTTGTGGCTTCGTCAAGAGTGGTTAAGGTCGAGCACGTGCACAGTACATGTAAGTTATTCTCATACAGCTGCTCGGGACGCGGGCCGGCGGGAGATGTACGCACGTGGCGCATCGAGCTGCCGGGTGCATATGTATACAGCTTCAAGCAGTACTTTACTCGCGTCTATTTCTCGTAACATGCAACGATGATTTTCCGGCGGCGTCCGTAACATAGCAACAACCTCTGGACAAGATAGTAGTCACAGACACACGTAAACAGTACAAATGCGCCGCCATCCCGGCACCCACCAGGCCTACACCTTCTACGTGCCGTAACCCAACGCTCACCATCGTCCGACCCGTAGCAACGCACATCCTCGATCATCAACGATTCGGATAACCATCACACACCAACACAACCCATACGGAAGTCAAGGGCGGTCATGCCTCCCGCGTCCAAAACCGACCACCTCCCCTCCTCCCACCCTGCGCAACGCCAACGTCCCAAATCCCCCAACCGCGTACTCGCCGAAGCAGAAGCGCAATGGCTCTTCACCCAAGCCGAGCTGGCCAACACGCCATCAATCCAAGACGGCATGTCCGTTGCCGAAGAGCGCGACACGCGCGCCAAAGGCGTGAACTTCATCGTGCAAGTCGGCATTATGCTCAAACTACCCCAGCTCACCTTGTCCACCGCCGCCATCTTCTTCCAGCGCTTCCTCATGCGCGCGAGCCTGAAGAAGGCAAGGGGCGACATACCGAAGCTGCATCATTACCAAATTGCGGCGACGACGTTGTTTCTCGCGACGAAAGTGGAGGAGAGCTGTCGGAAGATGAAGGAGATGATCCTTGCCTTTTGTCGCGTCGCGCAGAAGAATCCTAATCTGGTGATAGATGAGCAGAGCAAGGATTTCTGGCGGTGGAGGGATTGCGTGCTACATAACGAGGATGTGGTGTTGGAGACGCTTTGCTTTGATTTGACTGTGGAGAGCCCGCATCGGCAGCTGTTCGATATGCTCAAGTTTCATGGCATTGAGCGAAACAAGCGGCTTAGGAATGCAGCGTGGGCATTCGTAACGGACAGCAACAACACGCAATTGTGTCTGCTATGCTCCAGTCGCACCATTGCCGTCGCGGGCCTGTATGCAGCGTGCCGATATTGCGACGTGGCGCTACCCGATGACGGGAAAGGCAGACCGTGGTGGGAGACGCAGCACGTACGGTTAAAGGACGTACGGAAAGCGGTGGAGTACCTATGCTCCAATTACGAGGCGGCTGCGAACAAGATCAATGGCGTCTCGACCGCGGTGCAGGCGCCGGGCTCCGAGGGCGAGCAGAGTATCTACGTAGGTCTTTCCAACAGCCTTGACGGCTCGTCGGATGGCTGGGATAGTACGAGGCTGAAAGAGGAGCAGGCTACATCGCCGTTTGTCCCGCCTGCCGACGACAGCGAGCGGCGGCTCAGTAATGGGAGCTCAGTGGGCGGAGAGAAACGGAGACGTGAGAATGAGCAGGCACCTGCGCTACCTGTTGTCAATGGTGACGCGAAGGAGCGGGCGAACGGCGTACGGCATGACGAAGAGAATAAGAGCAAGCGGCCCAGGCTGGAAGCGGCTGATCTTCCTGACCCTCCTGCTCCTGCTCCGCTGCTTCCGAATGAGGTGGATCCGGAGGGCACGCACGACATGAAGCATGTGGAGGAGAAGATGCGGGTCGAGCATGGCAATGCGGAGTCTGAGGCGGTCAAGGCTGAGGCCGTACCGCCTACTGTACCCGTACTCGACGCATCAACAACGAGGCTGCCAGATGAAGGTAGCGAAGAGGGCGAAGTGGAGGAGTAGTAATGTGCCCAATGTTCCTGTGCGCATAGCGATGGTTTTGGACTCCAAGGATTTCGCCGCATTTGGCTGAAATGGTTCACGCATGGTGTCCGGGGTTGGGGGCATTGGGGAAGGCGTGCTTTCGAACGAGAATGATACCCAATGGTACTGACATTCAAGGCTGGCTGCTCTCGTGCGTGGCGTTCCGGGCGAACCGGCATGGCAGCTTCTTCACAATGGCATTCACTGCCGACGGCTGGTATGTACGATCAAGTGAATTTTAAATTTTGACATATCACGAATCTCGCTTCACCCGCTGCCACAACGAGTGCCTCTAATGTGTCCATTTACGACATCTCATTTATTCAAGCGAGCATATGATGGCACCCGCTCCTGCTCAGCAGGTAGTTCGGCCACGGCACTCCAGTGTTTGTGCACCTTCTCCGGCTTCTCGATCTCGTCAACCATCGCCACGGCCAAGTCCGCGGCAGAGATGCCCAACAAGCGACCTTCGAACGCATTCCCGCCTTCCCCACCCGCCTTGCCCTCCACAGGCGCAAACGGCACTTGATCGATGACTACTTGATACTTACCCGTCCGTGGCCCAGGCATATACTTTCCCGGCGGACTCACAAAACTCCACCTCCAGCTCGTATCAGCCTCGAGGAACATAAAGCCCGCTCGCGCCGCAAGAGGAAGGTCGGGTACCGGGTCCGGTCCCTCAAGCACACCCTTCTCAACCTCCTTGATGACCCTCTTCTGGTCCTCGCTCGCTCGACCCGCTTTGACCGCTGAACGCGCATCACGGTACTCCCGCATCATCTTCGCCACGGGCGAGCCGAAACCAATCCGCTCCTCCATATGGTAGGTAGCTGCTTCGCTATCGGCCGTGGCCTGTCGGTACGCCAGCCAGAATTCCCTGCTGTCCGCTGCAGTTTGGTACGGGTATTCCGGCCCGAGGAACAGGGAGCCAGTGCCGCCGATGGAGATGAAGTAGGTGAGTTGCGCTGCTTTAGCTGCGATTACAAGCCTGCGCGTTGTCTCGACGAAGAGCTCTGGTGGAGATGATTAAGTCATAGTTACATGTTGCGATATCACTAGAAAGCTGGGTAGGCGTACTGTAAACGGTAGGGCTGTAGGGTGGGTTGAATGCGTTGACGACGACGTCGACATCTTTAAAAGTCTCGATCAGTTGGGGAATGGTTGCGCCACTGATATCTAGCTGCAATGGCTTGTAGTGTTCATGTGACCCGAAGGTTTCCGGTTTGCGTGATATGCCGATGACTTCGTGACCGCGGTTGAGCAGTTCGATACAGACAACAGAGCCACCGAAACCGGCTGGACCAATGACGGCGACGCGCATCTTGTTGCTCGTTCGTTCCTCGACTTCTGTGATCGGAGCCTCAGCATGTTAGCGATCAAAGAGACAATAAGATATATGCTTTTAAGCACGCAATAGGAGCATAGACGGTAGTCGCTGAAGTCAATTGCCGAGTCGCTGCCGAGTCAGCTCTCCACTCGTGTCTCCGTCTAGTCGAGGAAAGCAGAGCCCTCTATCGACAGGGTACGCAACGATCAGATAGCGGAGCATGACTTGCAGAGGAATGCGCCTTGATTTTGCAGTGTGTACAAGCAGGAGTTAGGCAGCACTGACACAAGCTCCACGCACCTGAACGCCTCGCTAAGCACATAAGCTGAACCATCGCGCGCATGCCTAGACATCGTCCATCACCTCATAAAACAGTAGATACACCTCCCTTTGCTGACCCAGCACATCACCCGTCTTGCATTCCTTCACTTTCTCATCGCTTATCCGCCACCATCTGTCCGGTACGCGGCGCTTGCGTCCAGACAGACTGACAGCCCCAGCGATACTTCGTTGCCTCTTCGTCCCATTTGAAGCCGGAGCGTCTGCAGGCAGCGGCGGTAATCCCGGCGTTGGTATAGCCTCGATTGGTACGCTTGTTCTCGGCGTCCGTCTTTCATGCATCGCTGCTTGCAACGAGCGTGAGGAAGCAGACGAGCTCGAGGGTGAGTCGAATGTTGATGGAGAAAGTGTTGGTGGTGACTCGGGCGGCGTCGGTGTGGTTTGACTCTCTCCATCTCTCGTAAAGCGCCCGCTCAGACGAGGGCTAGGTGCCGCGGATAATCTTGGGCTCGGAGCTGCACTGGTCCGTGCGCTGTAAATACCTTCCGTACCCATCGATGCCGGCGTGGAGTATGGCGGGTTATTATACTGGCGCCGGAAAGTCTCGTAGTGGCCGCTACTATGAACGCCCTTGTGCGTGACTACCGTGAGTAGACGGTATGTTTTGCGGTCAAGCAGCCCACCTATGGGCAACGTCTCTGGGAAGGCCACCTTAGCCATGTTCTTTGACGAACTAGAATGTGCGTCCCACACGGACCGGTTGAGGTGGATGGCAAGGATGCGCGGGAAGCTAGATATCCTCGTATGTCGGGTGATGCGACGCTTTGGCGTCACTGAGGAGTCAGGTAGCTTGACATCTTTAGGTGGCTTCTCCGGGTCATCTCGCAATGCTGCTTCCAGCTTGATTCTGGCATCCTCTAGCGTCGAGCGCTCATCGGAGGATAGGGTAGCTTTCGTGAGTTGCCTCGCGTTGAGCTGCAGCGCGTGCTCCAAACGGCATCTATCGCAAACGAAGTCGTCGATATGCTCCACCTTTAGCAGGCCATCCAAGCACGCGTTGAGCGACGTCGAAGTTCTGTCGTAGGGTACGTGAAGTGTCAATGTGACGAACGAAGACACCGATGGTTTCGGTTTGAACCGACAGTGCGAGCACTCGACTTGCGACTCGACCTTGCCTAACATTAACGAGTGGCATGGTCAGCGATGTTCAGACAACCATTGTAGATCTACACATTGCTTACCTTCTAGCGGAAAAGGTGCGGACTCCGCGTCGCCTTCGTCTGGATCTGGAGGCTCAGGCGGGCCGGCTCCTATGTCCGGACGCGTGTCCTTCAGTAGTGCGAGCTTACTGTCATGCCGCTGTTCATGAACACTGTCGGCGTGCAACACTTCCTTAAGCTGTGCAGCTCCGTCAGGCTCAAGTGAAAGGTGTTTCCGACGCGCTTTCCTCCTGACTCTACTTGCGGCATGATTCTCGTCTGCAAGTCTCTCAGCAACGAGCTGGAGAAACTCCTGCGCGTCCTGCTGCGATCGGTTGATGCGCGTACGGAAGGACAGCTCAACTACGCGAATGAACGGCTGTGCACTGATCGTTTTCTTCACGATCGGCCGCTCGTTCAGCGCATCCAGGACGTCTTTCAACCCCGCCGTAACTGAGCCTTGCTGCAGACCGAGCAGCTTCCACTCCGGCATCGGCTTGACGCCGCGTTCCTTCTGACGCTGCTCTTCCAAAACAGCCGTAAGATCGTTGTAAAGCTCTGCACCATCTAATTTGCGCCTGTGCATCTCTCGTATCAGATAAAGCCTCAACTCCGGCAAGCCAGCCAGCGCCTGCAGCACGCTGTTGATGAAGCAATCATTGGCCGGGTTGGTCAATCCCACAACGCCCTTCTTCCGACTCGACCGCGAAATGTTGGCCGCTTCATCATCCAGAAAGAAGGTAGGGCCGAAGACATACACCAACGTAATAGCGGCGAGTGAGGCTCCAGCCGCATAAGTTGCAATCGTCAACGGTCGTTCAGGCATATTTCTCGTAGCTCCTCTGCCCGCAATCGCTACGAGGGCCGCTTGACGTTGACTGTGTGCTGCCGTTGTTGCGCCCTCGGTTGATGCGCGCGATGCCGTCCACAAGGCGTCCTTGAGCGCAGTCCAAGTCCAGGCTCCATACTGAGCGAGAAAGGAAGTGAAGCTCTCCACCTTGAAATCCTTACGAAAGCACGAATGTTACTTAGGCGAATGATTCGATGGCTCCACGAGGCTAATGCATGCAGTACAAGCACAGCCGAGGGGAGGTGGAGGCGGCATTGCGGCGGCCTCGGCGGGAGAAGTGAGCAAACTGCCGCCTAAGGCATCAACGTCTGGCAGCCTCACAGGAAGGAAGTTTGCGCTTGAGAGTGAGAGTGCAATAAACGTTCGTCTCAGTACACGCTGAAAACATCAATAAGCCGACCTTGAGCGCGAGTTAGATCATCATCATGCCATCTGGTCAAGGAGGTAAGCGTGTTCCGCAAAGTCATTCAGGTCCTACAGCTCATATCCTATAGCGGGAACGAACCCCATCCACAACAAGAAGCCGAAGAAGGCGACCAAGGAGGAAGACGAGGACGACAAAGCGTACAAGGCAAAGCAAGCAGCGGGTGAGCGTGCATCATGTAACGCGCGGGTCAATCAGGTGTACTGACTTTCTTCACTTTCCCAGATAAGAAGGCACGCGATGAGCTGGCCAAGAAGGCTGCAGGTAGTAAGGGTCCATTAAATACCGGCCAACAGGGCATCAAGAAGAGCGGCAAGAAATGAGCGACAGAGGGCGTGCGACGAGACTACGAGTTGCGACTGTGGTGGCGTAGGATTGAGCGTAGGCGTCTGGAGCAAATCATTAATTGGTCTTCTGCACATCGATCACGCATGCCATTACCTGGCTTCGAGATTCTGCCCGCTAGCCTTGGTTGTAGCCATGTCTTCCGCGACTCCTACGGCCGAGGCGAATTGCAAGGGATGAAGCCGCTCGAGTACATCGTCTGCTTCCTATTGCTGTAGATCAATGTGTGAGTTGGTACACTGTCGCTCGCACGAACGCCATGCGCCTAACAATGTAAGAACGCAGTCAGACACGCCCGCATGATATTGCAAGCCATCCGAATCAAACTGCTCTGCATAGTCACGCGACCTAGCAGCAATTCTTGCCCAGGCCGCCCCCCAATCCACCAGCATTACTGCCTACTTGTACGCCAGATTGTTGTTGCTGCTGTTGCGGTTGTTGTGTGTCCAAGAGCTTCTTCTTGATATCGCTCGCTAGACTGAAGAAGGCCTTCTCGACGTTGATGTTGCTCTTCGCGGAAACCTCCATGAATGGTATGTTGAGCTCATTGGCCAGCTGTTGCCCTTGCTCAGTCGACACGGCTCGCTTTTCCTCCCAATCGCACTTGTTGCCAATGAGGATTTTGTTCACGCCTTCGCTGGCATGCTGCTCGACGTTGGAGAACCAGGTTCGGATGTCTAATGAAGAGAGTCAGTCAACCAGCCGCACACCTGGTGATTGCTGATGCAACCCACTGTTGAAACTCTTCTCATCCGTAACATCGTACACCAACAGGATACCCATCGCACCTCTGTAGTACGCCGTGGTGATGGTCCGGAACCGTTCCTGGCCCGCTGTGTCCCATATCTGCAGCTTCACGCGCTTGCCATCCAGCTCGATCGTCCGGATCTTGAAGTCGATGCCAATAGTTGTAATGAAGGAAGGTGTAAAGGAATCCTCGCTAAATCGTAGCAAACAGCACGACTTGCCCACGCCCGAGTCGCCTATCAACAGTAATTTGATGAGGAAGTCATAGTTCCTTGTGCCGGCCATGATCGCGGCAGCCGGGCAGGTTGTGGGAGTTGCTCCGTTGTCGAATTCGTTGGCCTGTATTTAGTGTGTCACGCTGAAGGGTATACGTCCGCTCTGTGTTGTGTCGAGGGGCTTCGCTGGATCAAGCGCGCGGCTCCGGTTCCAAGTCGCTGGGATGCACTAGATATCCAGAGGAATGGCGAAGGCAACACTTTCGCTTTCGAACGTTCCTCGAGTGCTTTAGGTGGCGCAGGGTTGTGTAAGTGTTGAGGCGCAAGCTTACAGTACAGGGTTCTAAGTGCGATGATGTTTCGGCGGAAGCTCTGGAGGAGCGCCCGCCGAGGGAGGCGTGGCGCTACAGCACACGTGCGTGGACTAGCTCGAGCAGTGTAAAGTCACAGTGTGGACCGCCGATAGTGTCTTCGCGCGGTAGCGTAACGTGGAAGGTGTAGCAGATGTTATAGGGGATGATATCAGACGCTATAGTACGCTAGAGTGAGGTGACTATCTTGGGTATCTTGCTGCCTATACACCGTGCCATCTCTGTCCACCACTTACAATTCCCGCTCACGCCAAATATTTCGAATAGGCCCACCGTATACGGCCTGCCGTCTGCTTCTGCCGTTCAGCGCCAATGCGAACATCAGATAGTTCTTCGGCATCCTCGCTAAACTCCCGGTACAGCTCTCCAGGCATGACCTTCTGCGCGGCCTCTCGAAGCACATGCACTTCGCATAAGAGAAGACCTTGGTCTTTATAGAAAAGCTCGCCATACTCCGTCGGCGTGCTGTTTACCAGTATACGATCGATGTTTCGTAGTTGCCGCAGCAGCTTGCCTTGTTTGCGTGAAGCACTCGACCCACGTCTTTGCGAAAGCGTCGTCCGGACGTAAGCGACAGCGAAATATGTCACCAAGATGCCAGGCGTCAGGCCGACGAATCCGAAGACGAGCTCCTGTGACTTAAGAAGAGAGTCAATGCCACCGATGGCGACCTCCACGTCCACTTTCGTCTTCTGAACCTGAATGAGCAAAGCACGGATGAGGTTGCCTCTCACCGCACCCATGAATGGCGATTTCAGGTCCTTCTCATACGCCTTGAGCACGGGAGTAAGATCGCCTTCTCTGACCCTCGTCCGAATGTCAGTGATTTCAACCTCCGTCAGTTTCGCGCTGTTTCCTGTGGCAGTGGCCGGGTTGTCAATAGCAAAGTCGACCACCATGCGCTCTAAGCTGTCTCTATCCCCTTCAAGCGAGCGCTTCGACATGATGCTAACCTCACTGCCTTCATCGTGGCGGATAGTCTTGATGACTTTGCGTGTAGGCTCGACGACCCAATTGCTCCAGAAGTCGATCACAGTCACACCAAAGTCGCGCACCCACTGCAAGATATCCGCTTTTCGATTGACAAGGATGCGCAGAATAGTGCTCGAAGAGATGATGCCGACAGTCACTGGCAGCCAGTAACGCACGATTACGGACGGTCTACCATGCTCGCGGACAGCAGCCTTCAACGAGGTTTCGTATTCCGGAAGAGCCATGGTCAGCACTCGTGTCAACCGTTCTGCAACGCCTTCCGGCTTGACGGATCCACTGCTCTCAATATCCGCTTCGACTTCAGCACCGTACAATGGGTCGTCGTCAGTCAGCTCAGCGACCGCGGCGTCAAATTTGTCAACAGACGTCTCGCTGTCGTTGACCTTGGCCAGCACAGCCTCCATGAGCGCCACATTGCGCGCGACAGACGCCTTCCAACGGTGCGGACTTGCGGTTGCGCTGATCAGGCTTTCGCTATGTGCGCTCTCATTGGCCAAACCCTCGCCGAGCAACACCCCAAGGGCATTCGCATTCTGCAAACGTACTTTCTTCAACGTTGTCTGCTTCCGCCTGATGTCGCTCCGCAAGCGTGTAACAGGGCTCAACACCTGCCTCTGTATCTCGCCCATACTGCGATCCTGAATCACCTGCCGGACCAACCCATAGAACTCCTGCCATCGCTTTCCAATCGTGTCTTGCGCGTCCTGTCTCGCACCAGTCATAGTGAAGTTACCACCCCGTGCCTTGACATCATCCCATACCTCGCTTGACCAATGCCAGAACTGGAAGGGTGAGATTTGGATGGCATGCAATGCGCTATTCGTGCGTGAGCTCAGCACCGCATCCCAATACCATATGTCATCCGCCAAAGCTACGGTCTGATCCAGTATGCGCTTCAAAACCAGACCGTAGGTCTGAATAGTGGCTTTGGAGACCAGTAGCCATTCAAGTTCTGTCTCGTAAGGCTCCTTGCTCGGTCTGTCATCCTCCGCTATTGCGAGAGGCGCCTCCGCTCTGTCGGACAATGCGGATAAACATAGTGCAATCTGGGCCGGTTGCAGCAGAGCTCGGCTGTCCGATGCGCTTGGTGTCAGGCCTCGTATTGATGTTTGTAAGGCAAGTAACCTCGTTGAAGGCTTGGGTGCGGCTTTAGAGTCGCCGGAGAAGGTAGACACCCGTGAAGCTGTTGGCGATGCTGAGGGTAGATTAGCGAGCTGTACCCGGTCCAGCTGTGCGTCGATTCGACGCACTTGGTCGAGCACGAAGCTCATGGTGGGCAAGGGATGACGGACTTCCGCCTTCAGGACTCAGCGGGACTATGACATATCTGGCCAGAAGTTATCTTGCGGAGGTGGAAACGATGGAGAAGTGCAACAGCCGCAAGCCGCAATGACGTGGTATTCGGGAGCTCCAACGACCTGATCTGACAGCATGCTACCAACAGTGCAGAGGTACAGTAGAGTTCAGGTGACATTAAATTGACATAAATGCTGCCTCCACATATCACAGCGTCTCCAGTACCATACCATGATCTTCTGAAAGGTCGGCGGTCTCAAGCTATCCAGCACAAACGAAGCACTTCCACCTTCCACTCCGCATCAGCCACTCCACGAGCTAACGTTATGCCTCATCAATCGTCTCTACCCGGGCGGCAAAACAGAATCTCGAGCGTTCTCTCGAAAGCGCCTTGGTTGACTCAAGACCTTGCAAAGCCGCCTCCAAGTGGTCTAGGATGCCCATTGCAACCGTTGAGGAGGAGACACTACAGCTGTGCATATGGCTCATCTACCACCCTACTAGTTCTATAATGTTTCAACCTGAGCTCTGTATCAAGGTCCCATGTCAGCATCTTCATGAGCGCGAAGTGCTGCTTCTGTCCATCCTCGAGATCGTACTTGTGGCATTCGCCCACATCCCAAACAGGGCACGTATGTCAAACCCGGAGAACGCATGGCAGAGTCGTGGAGTACGGTATGCACGGGGAGTCACGACGCGAATGGAACTTATCATTCAGTGGAGTTCATGCTTGCCTTACGTCGTCGCAGAAAACCACAAGACAGTCTGGTGGATCGGAGATGGAGGGTCGATGGCCATTGCTAACACTTCCCATGAGACATGAAGCATGCCAGTTTTGCGATGTGTGGTGCAGGCAGCTTCCAAGTACCAACGCATCGGGCAGTATGCAGGCGACGCCGGCTCGCACGGGCGTGTTCGGAGGCATACAGTCTCCTCTGAGCAGTGGACTTTGCAGGAGAGTTCCATGCACGACATGTGAGTGTAAACTACATGTACTATATCCGCCTTACGGTGGCACTGTGGCACGTATTGCTTACGTCAACGTTCAATGATGCTCGTCGGGCTTGGAGCCATCGATGGCCATTCTTCCAAGTTCAGTACTCAAGACTGAGTAACAAGATGATGCTACTCCGAAGTAAACTCGCTAACCCGACAGCCGAACACCTTTTCCATGCGTACACCGGATCATAGCTGAATTCAGCTTAAAGCATGCGACTCCGACCACCCGCAGAGAGCAGAACACAATGCTAACGGTCACTCTATTGCGCCTTCTTAGAGCTTGCCAGCTTACGCTCTCGCCGTCTTTTCGCTGCCTCTGGACCGCTCTCAGTATCGAGCACATAGTCCCACCACCGGAACGAACTCGAGTAGTTTCCGATGAACTTCTCATGATGAGTATCGTGGTGATCCGCGCCGGCCCAGAAAGGCAAGAAGTGGTGCAGACTCCAGGGGAAATCATAGCCGGAGTGCGCATCAATCGCTTGGAACAATCGCAATACGATCCAGATGTACATCGTCAGAATATGTAGGTCCTTAGTGATGGCGCACCATAAAATTGGCGAGCTTACGGTCCCAAGGCCCAGAATCATAACCTCAATTGGCGATGCATACTCAGCAGCAAGACCGAACGGCGCGGAGTACTGGTGATGGATCTTATGGATGTTTTTGTATAGTGGTCCCCAGTGCAGCGCGCGATGGGTCCAATAGTGCCATGTATCTTCCAGGACGAAGAAGATGGCGATTTGGTAGGCCATGGTGAAGATCGACGGAAATGGTACAGTAGTTGACAAGCCGAAGAATTGCGCCAAGGGGTGGAAGAACCAAATCTGCGGCAGCTCGACGGTGAAGTGGCTCAACAGTACCAGCTTGGCGCAATCCCACTGCTCCTTTGCCGAAGGCACCTTCTGCTGTGGGCATCGTCAGCACGAGAGTATCTTCCACCATTCCACCCAACCCAGACTTACACCTTGGATCTTGTACTTGTTCAGCGACGGTATCCGGTCGATGATCATCCACGGTAGACTCCGGCCAAAGTACACAATCTCGTGCATCAAGAAGCTCATGATGCCGGTAGCCAAGACGTCATTGCCAATGAAGGCATACCATGCCGCCCATAATCTCTCGAAGTAGTTGAGCTGGACATTGTATTTCGAAATCTCGGAGAACTCATGCCAATAGGTATTCTGCGTGTGCGGCAGCATAGCATCCGCGATCGAGGTATAGGTGGCGTTATTGCTGTATTGTCACAGTCGTCAGTGTCGATGCATTGGCTACATGCTTCGTTCATCCCATCATGGGTAACAGGTGAGACCTACAACACGTCCATTGTGTACGTCGTAAGAGCCGCCATCTTCCTTGGACGCCGCTATATAACTTGTGTCAAGGACAGTCCAGTGAAAGAACGCTATCACAAGCACACAGAGAAGGAGAGGCGAACGTTCGAAAGTCGAATGTTTAAACGTCTCGCCTTCGAGCTCGAATCGAACCACAATCCCAATCTTTGGTGCCGCTAGCCTCACTAATGCAAAGCTTCCGCCGTCCCTGACAGCGTCAGGGTCAGAGGGGTCTCGCCGAAGCGGGCTGTTAGTCAGCGCCATCTTCGATTCAACGGCGAAGACTGTGGCCGGAACACGGAGAGGCTTTCGAGATCAGGTCGACATGGCGATGCCTTACAAGAATGAGTGAAAGCAATACAATAGCATGCTGGTGTAGCCTTCGTGCTGCATAACCAATCCAAGAAGCTCTACATAGCCCCCATACAACGCCATTCCCTCACCGGCGCACAAATACACGACCACCACAAAGCTGAGTGCAACGCCGATTCATCGTGCTGTATTCGTCAAGTTTATAGGCAGCTTACTTGCACTATGCGAGCAAGCAAGCAAATGCGCCTTGAAGGAGTGACTAAGGAGCATATGAACACTTCGTCATTGCTTTCATTCATGGGCCAAGTCTTGACGGCAGCAAGTCTTCGCACCGTCTGTTGGTCCTGTTGCGCCATGCTCAAATCTGCTCCAACGCTCACCGCTACCGTACCTTCTTGATTTCCGTCGCCCATCCTTCGATCCCGTCACCCTTGCTGCCCACCTCCACCGGGAGCGTAACGCCCTCCATCCCCTTCGTGCCGTCCATGAATGCATGGTTCGACATGCCGCCGGCATTGGCCCGTTCGGCCGGTAAGAGTTCCAGCATGGGTAGTAAGAAGTCAGCAATCCGCTTCGACTCCTCGACACTGAAGTGGTACTTCTCCCGGAGCACGTCGGGTAGCGCCCAGTGGCGAAGTCGGTGGATGTTGCGCAGCTCGCCTTTGCGGTTAAAGATCTCTTGCGACCACTTGCCGGAGATGCAGAGAGACTTAGGGAAGGTGCCGAGGAGTTCGATGATCTGGGCAATGTGGTCATCGTCCTTGCCATACTTGGTGCCGGATTGAGGGTCGAAGAGGTAGTCGCCTGTGATCAGTTCAAAGACCTAGCAACACATCAACCCTGCCAAAACTTCGTCAAGCAGTATTACAATGCTTACCATGCACGCCATACTCCAGACGTCGGTGCTTGCACCCCATTTAGCACCCAAAATCACTTCCGGTGAGCGGTACTGTCGTGTCTGAATGTCGTTCGTAAAGTGATGGCCGACCCAGCATGCGTTGCCGAGATCTGCAATCTTCACTGAAATGATATCGATGCCGTCAGTCTTCTCCAGTTCCTTGGGCTGGACTGCGTGCGAACTGCCAAGGTCCATATCCGAGACGTTGTTCGCAAGTATGTCTCTGCGCCTAGCCATCAGTCACACCTAGATTCGTACGATCACGCGTTGCTTCAGTACTCACGCAGTCTTCTCGCGCTCCTTTTGCGGGTCGTTCCTCTCGCTCGAGGCGTCTGGCGAGCCTGGCTTGATGCCTAAGCTTTCCAGCATTGACTTTGACTCGAGGGATGCACTTGAGCCTGCTGCACCGCTCATCTCAGCGCCGTCCTTACCCGTAGGAGACGCACCGGAGATGGGGCCATTACCTTTGTTTTCGCTCAAGATCCTGTTTAGGCTCTGCGTACTACCTGGGTATTGACCCATGAGATCTGTCTGCGAGAAACTTGCATTCAGTGGGCTCGGTAAGGGCTGGCTGCCGGTGATGAGTGTTCTCCTTCTCCGTCGGCCGTTGCGGTGGTCGTCCTTCTCCTTATTCTCGTCCTTGACGTATGTCTTGACTATTTGCTCAACGTCGCCGATTTCGATGAGCACGTTCTCCGGCTTGAGATCCGTATGAATGATGCCACATTCGCGATGGAGGTAGTCGAGGCCGAGCAGAACCTGCTTAGTGATTTGCTTGACCAACGGCATGGGAATACCGCGGTGGTTCCAGCGCTTGATCAAGCCGAGCAGGTTCTCGCCAAGCACTTCGAACACCATGCAGACGTGCATGCCGTGCGGTCCTTTGTGGTTGAAGGAATCGAGCAGACTCACGACGTGCCGCCTGCCCGGGTGATCCTTGTTCGCCTCGACAACCTTGTTCAGCAGCTTGATCTCGTCCAGCGCAGTCTCCGTGTAGTGCGCCGCCGATCTGACGACCTTCAGGGCTACATGCTTGCCGGTTGTGTTGTCTTTAGACAGCCACACTGTTGAAAAGTGGCCCCAACCCAGCTTCCGCACGACTGTGTACTTGCCATCTTTGTACTGTTCGCCTACTTGTACGGGGTGGTAGCCACCTTTGCAGTAGTCTTCCGAGTCCTCCTCGTCGGCTGTGTTTTCGGTGCCGTCGTCATCGTCGTCGTCGGAGTCGGTGGGCGACTGCTGGAGCTCCTGCCCATATTGCGCTTTCTGATGGTTTAATGGTGAAGAGGTACTCTGCGCACTATACGTGAAGTCATCAATTAGCATGTCGCCCTCTAGCGAGTCCATGCGTGGACTGTGCACGCAGCGGTGTCTCGGGTCTACGTTGAGTATGTAGCGAAGGCGGCGCAGCTTCTCGGCGCAGCGACGGGGTGCTACGTGGATGTTTGCATGGAAGCGCTGGCAGAAGGGTTTCGCGTAACAAGGCCACAGCCCATGGCGGTCACCGTTACCCACCAAAGCCACCAAGCTTACTGACTCTCATTCGTACTCACCTGTACGGGTTCCCGCCGGCTTGCTGCTGCTCGGTAGTGATGATTGGTTTCAAATCCTGCTTTCGCCGCTTTGTCTTGCCGTTCCCACTACTGGCGCTGCCATTGCTCGTCGCCACGCCCGCAACCTGCTTCACCTTGTTGACGGCTGCTTTCTTGATGCTATCCGTGCCATTCATGGTGCGGATGTGCTGTGCGCCTCACGTGATGCGGCGTCGTGCGCGTCGTCAACCAATGCTGGATGGGAAATAGCAGTAGCAGCGTTCAGAAGCAGCTACCGGGTTGCGCGATAGGCGGTGGCGTTTGGCGCATGGGAGCGCTGTGTCTCACCACTCGCCTCGACACGGAACGCCGTTGAATGTCAACATTGAGTTAGACGTTGATGGTATTGCGACTCACTGCGTTCACCACCGTTCACGGAGATGCTGCGGTTATTCTGGCCCGCCAGATCAGGGCATCACCAGCGCTTGGGCCGGTTCCTGCGCTTGCAGCGAATCATGCGAGTCAATGCTGTGGGGGAGCATTCACGGCACAGGCTTGACGATCACCATTCTACCGAAAATAACATCTACGGCTGCCTCTGTCTGCCTACATACACGCGCGTTGTTGAGCAGAACCAAATCGTCGCGTCGTAAGACCTCCTGTGAACAATGGTCGCATAGCACGAATGACCTTATGCTCTGCGAAGCCTGTTGTAGGCTCTCTGAACGGTCGAACTCTGCCCAAACACCGCTGGGAGCCATGAGTGCGTGGCTAAAAGTCCGGAGCTCCCATTGGCTGCATGTAAGTGCGAGCCCGTAGTCAACTGTTCCAGCCGCCAGGAACACTGAACGAGCCTTCGAATGTGCCCACTTTAGAGCACATCAGCATGGTATGCGCCAGTATCGGGCGACAAGCTACGTATACATGCAGTAGTCAAACCGGGGATACCAGCCGCGTAGAAGAGCAATATAAACGCCGCTTAATAGCTTCTTGCTTCCCGATAGTCGGACACATTCACGTTCCAAGCCCGTCTAGTGCGCCTCTAGCATCGCACTCAGCACTACCAACACCTCCTGCGCCCTTCGTTGGAAGCCTTCGCGCAATCAAGGCTGCCAGCGACTGAACCTGTCTGGGTGCCACCTGTTCCGCTCTGCTTTTAAGATCTATCACCCCTGCAAATGCAGAACGTATGTTGCAGGGGCAGGCTTCCAGAGCCCTTGTAGCACGGCTCTCGACAACAAGTCGTTTGTTGGCACGGTGCGATGCTGGGTGGCTCTGGGAACGATGTCATCGTGCTGTAGTCGGTAGAAGCTGCGTACCCGAGTTTGTGGAAGGTGACGACTGGATCAGGGCTTGGAGATATTCAGCTGATTGAGCTGGGAAGATGTCGCAGGCGTTCGATATTTGCGAGTTCTGTGGGAGGTAAGCTTCTGAAAGTGCATTCCGGTTGCGGTGATTTCGCAACGCACGTATTCCTCTGCATTTGCGCCTCGAATACCACTCCCAGCCGGCTCGCCATAATTCCCCGAAGCTCCTTCTCCTTCCTTTTTGACTCCTTCAATGCTGCCCATACGGCCGACGTGGTGTGCAAAGCTCCTGTCTCCTGCCGCACGGCTGCTTCTAGCTCCGTCTCGCAGAATGCCGTAGAAGCCTGGTTCGCAAAGCCGTACGACTGCGTTTTATTGAGCGTGGCGTCGGCGACACTGCAGCGTCCTTCAGTAGCGTGCATCATCCGGAACGTTTGACATAACCTCTTGTGCGGCTGCGACCGCTGTCTCTCCACAACACCTATGTCGTTCCCAAACTTGACTGCTGGACGGCGTGATGGTGATTTCGTTCGAGTTCCAGTGTGGTGGGTGGGAGTAAGGGGGCGTGATGCAGCAGCGACGCTACATCACGCCACGCCCAAAGATCGAAGCCAAGGGTTGGAATATGGTTCCCACGTGACTGCGGCTGCAGCATCGCACTGTTGATGAAGACAAAAGACAGTCAGACTTTCGACAACGTGTGGAAACGCCAACAACGAGGACCGTGCTGTGAGGGTGGCCAAATGGACCAGCGCGCCTTCCAGCTTTATCCGAACACACCAGGATACAGGGGCAACGTCGGGCACTGGCCATAAAAAAGCCATGAGATCTCCTACATCCACTTTGCGTCTGTGATACATCGCATCAGTGATACACCGCATCAACCATCACAATTACCTCGTCGCACACTTCTGAACATGCGCACGTTCTTGCTCCGGTACAAGCCGAGAATGTGTCAGGGTGGAAACGCAGGCGGTCACTCTTCAGGCTCGCTCGCCCTCCAAATATCTTAGTGATGACACACTTGCATGCCTTCAATGCCCAATTCTTCGCTTCGACTTTACAAGCGGCCTCCTGGGAAAGTCCATCTGTAATTTTCCGGAAGGCGGTCATGTTGGACGTGTCTTGGAAGGCTTCAGTACGAGCACGGTGCCATTCTTGACTAGCTTCTGGCGCTTTTCGATAAGTTCCTTGCCGAGCTTGCGCCCTTGTCGTTCCCTTCTCCCCCGGTTTAGGCCTAGGCTTGGGTTTTGTTTCAATTTCGGCTTCGACTATCTCGCCTCGTGTTCTACTACCATGGTTCGAATGTCCTTAAACTAGCCGTCTCTAGAGCATCGACAGCAGACTTTGCGTCTTTTACGAGCGCTTCGCACGGCAGCGGCAGCTTATCTGGTGACCTCTGCTGTACGCAGCACTTCAGGTGCCGATTGCCTTGTCGAGAACCACAGAGAGCTTGAGCAAGTTTACGACATGTTGTGCAGCGATTGCTGCATTGCGAAACAACTGCCGCTCATCGTACGCGGCTCTTAGAGCTCTCCGAGCGCTGAACATGCGCGCTTCAGCATAGTCATGGTGGGTTAGTAGGTACGACATGATTTGCTGTATGTTACGGCGCAATTGGTATCAATGCAATGTTCCACGTATCGTTGCGTCTGTTGCTGACCGTGAAGAAGCCGATGCTAGAGCACGGCAGCCCGCTGTCGAGTTATCTCGAAGTCCAGATTGCATGGCTTCGACTTCTTTGTGGCCTTCCACCTGATCCATTGTCATCGCGTTGTCCAAAGCCTTTGTATATCTTAGGGAGGTGTGCGAACCCCGAGCGAGCATCCTAGTCCACGGGGGTTCAGGCCCCAGATGTAGCATTCAGCCTCGCATGAGCATCTCGCAGCATCCGCTGTCTCTTCTCCTCCACGTAAGACTTCCGGTATTGGTAGTAGAAATATAGCAAAGGAGGTGCCGTGGCCAGCATGGTAAAGAGAATTGTGATATGAATACGATCTTTCCGTGTCAGGCTTCGCGGCAGTGAGTGTGATGTGTGCTGTTGAGGTGCGACAGGCTGTACCTGAGCGGCAATGGGTGCAGTGTGCGGTCGCACAGAAGGTTGTAATGTTTTGTCCGCCTGCAAAGCATATGTCCGACCTGACTGTCGCCGACTAACACCGCACCGCCATTTCAGTGGCCGTGTGGGAGCCCACGGCGCATGACGGACCATCTCTTTGGTTATTACATGCATTTAAGTGCAGTGCAGAAGACGAGAGAAATGCTCTCGTTCGGCGCGAAATATAGAGCTAGAATCACAGCGCACGGACAATGTAGAAGTAAAGAGTGCACGGGCTTTCTATACAGTACGGCATTATTTGTTCCAATGGTTTAAGCGTAGCGACTAGAAATTGCCTGATAATGCCACGCGAAAATTGCGGAGACCACTTGAGAGATGGTCTGATCCAGTTCGCCAAGAACTTGCCGACTTTGACGACAAGTTGGTGCATATGTCGTAGGAGAACCTTACTTAAGTACATCTGCTTCGTCTCCGCCTCATCACGATCGCTTTCTGACCGTCGGCGGTGTTTCCTTGGTCTGCAGCAGCTCACATTTTGTCCGCAGGAGATCTTGATAGCGAAGTCTGCTTCAGCCGGTCGGGGTTGTCGATTCGAGCATGCTATTTCGGTTCCCTGCACTAACTCGCCTTTATCTGCTTGACATTGCTCTTCCGATCTTTGGAACTGCGTCAACTGCAGTCTCGGCTGGAATCGAGCCGCTCGCTTGAGCGCATCGTGCGCTACTCCATGACCAAGTCCCGGGTGCAGTGGCAAGGTGGCCAGCAAGACCATGTAGTAGCACCCTGTTAGAAGGAGTTCCCTCGGACAGCCGCGACCACCTTGTCAGGGATCTTTTTGTCTATGCTCGCACAAGCGTCCAACAACGTGCATGATCGAAGGATCTCATGATGTAGCTGACCGTGCTGTCCAACGTGCGCAATGCAGCTATACCGTCCCCTTGCCATGAACTTCAAGCAAGCAGCTCCCACTGCCCGGTTTACTAACCACGATCGCTTCTTTCAGCTTTTCTTCGGTCATGTCTGGGAAACGCCTCAGGTAGTATTCGTCAACCCACTTGCGCTTCACTTTGTCGACCTTGTCAATCGGCACAAGATGCACTGAGCACCCACCCCAGCCTGCACCCGTCAACCTACTGCCGTACGCCCCAGCAGAGCGCGCGAGCTGGCACAGCTCGTCGAGCTCAGGGCAGGAGTTCTCGAAGAGGTCGCGGCAAGAGTCTTGCGTGTCGTTCATGAGCGCTCCAAGCGCTTTCAGTAGTTCGGCGTTCTCCTTCTCATCCTTTGGTGGATTCGTCGAAAGATGTTCATAAAACTGCAGTACGCGAATCGCCTCGCCGAAGACATGCAACGCTCGCTGCCGCAGCTTGAACCTATCTGCACGTATTGGAAACTTCTTCATGTACTTAGTCTCGATCTCGTCTATGCTCATGCCCAAAATCTCCGAAAGCTGCTGGCGGGTGTAGCCTTCTTCTTGCGGAAGGTAATGGTCAATCTTCTCGACCAGGCTCTGCAGCTGGTCCCGAAATTCGGCCTTGGACACGGTGTGGTTGTTCTTGATACCTTCTTTCTCCTGAAAGTAGGCGTCGTGGAAGCCTCTTAAGCTGACACCAAGCGGACCAGCATCAGATGGTAACTGTTTGATGCCGAAGATTCTAGCCAGCACCAATGCCGCCAGTGTCACCTCGACCACACGAAGGTTGTAGCACACGGGTGCGGTGACATGCTTGTCAGCTGCGACAAACGACTGCGCAATGACGAAGACAAGCGGAGACTTCAACTCTGGAAATGCCACGTTCTTCGCGGACAGCTCAGGAACGAAGGAGACATATAAAGCGGAGCCTTGCAGTGGAAAGACGGATGCGGACTGATCCATGCCTCCAGAGTTCACACCTACTGCGCGTTCGGACACAATGGCAAGTTCGACAAGCTCCTTCTTGTCGATCTTTGCCTCACCGTTTGCTCGCATCACCGCTAAAGCGCTGGAACAAACAAATGCTGCACTGCTCGACAACCCGCCGCCAGATGGTACTGTACCGTCTGCGAGGATGTTCATTCCTACGCTTTGCTGGAAGTCTTTGCGCTTCTTTCGTAATAGCTCGGTTGCGCCGCTTAAACCGGACTTGAAGTAATTTGTCCATTCGAGCGTTGATGAATCAATATGTACGTCGCCAGTGTCTGGAATGTCGAACTCTTTGCTCTCAAACTTCTGTTGGTGAACGTTGGTTAAGCGTACAGTACTTGGGCCCGGTTCCTGATCGTGGACGGAAACGGCCAGCAGTACGTCGGCCTCAATAGCCATTGGAAGCACTTCGTAAAGACAATAGTCGATGTGCTGGCAGCCGTGTCAGCTTGGATGTTTAGTTCCAGACACCATCATCAGAAGATAGTAAGAGACTGTGGCGTAGGCTCCAACTACTGGCATGCCTACCTCGCCGATAATATTTACTCGCCCAGGACTTCGTGAGACGAAGTCGGGCAGCTTCCCATAGCTCTCCTTGAAAGTCTTGATGAGGTTGTTCCATCTTCGAGTCTGACTTTCAACTGCATCTTGAGGGTATATGTCGCTCAGCGACTTGGCTATAGGTACTTCCATCACAGCAAGCCAATGCTTCTGATAAGACGAAGATTTACTCTGTAATACGCTGCCTGATTGCCTGATGAAATTGCTAGGCGAGGAGTAGACGGTCACACCAACAAGAGAAATTGATCTCCGTGGTCATGAACAGATCATTGCGGTAAGTGAGCACATGCGAGCTCCACTCTTCCGAGACGCTGGATTGGAGATCGCCGGGAAGTTGACCCAAAGGGGATGCAAGACGCCGCAAAATGCTGGCATGTGGAGAGACATAACCGACCTCGAGGGCCTTCCACTGTTACACAAGCACAGGCACTATGGGACGAGCATCTATGATTCCAGATTCGGAAGGGATGAAGGGCCTAGAAGCCTAACAGCGAGGGACCTCGAGGACCTCATGTGTTTATAGTGAGAGGAGGCATACCGCAGGCTCGAGGTGGCCTGATATGAGCATTTCCTCCGCCGACACTAAACGTCCTCCTAGATGTTACTCGGAAACCTTCTGCGCAGCTGTTCTCATCTTTCAAAGTACATCGCTTCAGTCGCGTATTCAATTTTGGGGCCGCGGTGAGCCTCTGCCAAGATGAGTGCCACACAATGCGGACGGCTCTGAAGTCGTGACCGTTCGAAACATTTGTCGTCAGCATCCGGCCTGTCTCGGTTCATGTTTGCAATACCTAGACTTGCTCCCATTGTCCTGATGATTCGGTGTCAATCGTTCTACGTAGCGCCATACGTTGCCCACAGCGTCGACATACATCGTTGGCCGTTTAGCTGAATGTGAAGGAGTGTGCTCGCTGGAGTGCAGACACAAGGTTCCGCTTAAGACACGCACGATCGTTGCTGGGTAAGTCATAACCTCGTAGCGGAAGCGTCTACCTCTGCAGTGGAACGTTGTAGGGAAGAGGTAGACTCCACAGCCTTGACAGACGTAGACGTGGTAGAAGCACATCGCTGACCGGGATTCAGGGTTCTCTTAGTCGATAAAAAGATGTCGGGTAATAAGCGGCGCCTTATGGTCGAGGGCGTTCGCGAGTCTCGACACATGATCAAGCGCTGGTCCAATTTTGATGAACGGTTTCAGAGTCTGGTTTGGTAGGCAAATTCTTGGAGAGTGTTGGCGTCTTCGTCTAAACGTCACTTCACACTTCTACTTACCGAAATGCACCAATGAGGCATTCAACAAGGGTTCGCTTCTTGCGTCTCGGCTGATCCCATTGTGCAGCGTACATTGCCATTCACGGCTACCCCAGACGTGAGTGTGTGTATACACATCCGCCAAATATGGCTGCTCGTCCTGTCACTCACAATGCCAATGTGCAAAATGAATGCATTATCGAATAGGTTGAGTCGCATACGCACCGAGGATGATGTCTCAACAAGTGAAAGAGGCCATTCACAGCGCTTGGCGCGCAGTGGGAATACTCGAGACCGTCCGCTCGCTCAAGCATCCGGTCACAGCTCGAACCAAAACACAGCTAGATCGTCAACCGACGCATAGCCATCCAAGCAGCAGCTGCCATGCGGCTCGTAGAGCATCTGCTGCTTACAACCTTTTCTGTGCTCTTCCTCTTTCGCTATGTGCGCACACTGGTCAGCATCGTTACTTTCTGCCTCTACCGCCCAAAGCCAATTCGAGAGAACCCTGCATACCTAAGCGAAGACGTGACGGTCATTGTGCCGACCACATTTAAGTCGGAGACGGAGCTCACGAAATGTCTTCAAAGCGTCACCGCATGCTCGCCTGCGGCGGTGCTTGTCGTGACAGCGAAGGCCAATGTCAGCTTGATAGAACATATCTGCTCACTCAAGTCTTTCAAGAGGGTGCGCGTACTCGATGTCGACAAACTGAACAAGCGTCGACAAATGATTAGAGCGCTGAAGGAAGTCGAAACCGACATCATAGTGTTTGCCGACGACGACGTACTGTGGCCCGAGCAGTATCTGGACTACCTGCTGGCCATTTTTGAGGATCCGAAGACAGGTGCAGGTGGTACTCGGCAGCGGGTTTCGCGGAACCATTCTTTCCTCACAAGCATTTGGAACTTCCTCGGCATCGCATATCTTGAGCGGCGAGTTTGGAACAACATCGCGACCAATGCCATCGATGGCTCGCTGTCCACGCTTTCCGGGAGGACTGCAGCCTATAAAACCGAGATATTGAAGAGCGAAGAGTTCTTCCACTACTTCTTAAACGACCACTGGAGAGGCAGGCCGCTCAACACCGACGATGACAAGTGCCTCACTAGGTACGTCTACTCGCATGGCTGGTCAATCGCCATACAGTGCGACTCCCGCTCCGTCATTGAAACCAACATGGAAGACAGTCCAAAGTATATTGCGCAGTGCCTTCGCTGGGCGCGGGCCCACTGGCGCGGAAACCTTACCGTCATGGAGAATGAGCGGTACTGGTTCACATCGATGTACTGGGGCCTCTATGTCATATACATCGGTCAATTCCAGACTCCGGCGGCGCTCGTGGACGGATCGATTTTCGCACTCCTGTACACATCACTGTCAGCCTACGAAGAGTCTCGCATTGCAGCTTGCGAATGCCTTGCATTGTGGGTCTTTCTCGTCAAGGTCCTCAAGCTGCTTCCGCATTTCTTCCAACATCCACAGGACATGATCTACATACCGGCATCGATCGTATTCAGCTATCTCCATGGTATTATCAACATCTACGCTCTACTCACCCTCACAAAGACGCACTGGGGTTCCCAGGACTTGGATCAGCTGCAGCACGCTCGCGCGACGCGCACGGAAGTTGTCCCGCTGTTGAGGCGTGCGATGCAGGAGACTGAGGCGTACCACGAGCCGACTTTTAGTAAGTTGCGACATTCATGGTTCGTTAGCGAACCTTGCTAACCCTACCACAGGCCGAACAATGGTGGGAGGAGACTACTTCTCCTGCCGTCAAACCGGGCGTGAGTGGCAAGGTCTTTCCGCACATTGATTGCGTAGCATGTGCATGTCGACGGGACCAAATCCTACCGGAGGCAAGCAAACAATGTGGTGAGTAGCAAAAGTGTCTGTGTGTAGCAAACAACAGTGACATTGTCTATGCTCTCACCTCGTTCAAATGCCCGGGAGTTCTATGTGATCTCGCCGCACGTAGTAACATATATTCTTCCCACGCTGAGATGCGGTCGTCTGAACTCCTGTACACAATGACGACTGCGGCAACGAGGAGTGATGCGTTGAGGAAGCAACCCAAGGAGGACGATAGGGTGAAGTTCATTCGTCGAACGCGCCACTTACGCCAAGGCATTCTATGACTTCTCCTTGCGGATCTGGCTCCACACTAGCGTCGCGGCTCCGCCACGCAGCTGCTCCTTTGCACTCTGCAGCTTGACATCCACGCTGGCCTGACACTGCATGGGCGCACCATTGGGGATAAAGCTGGCGCTGAGTGCACATAGCGCTTCACTCTAACACCGTCATGCTCAGCTGTCAGCGATCCGTGAGAATGTATCTGCATACCGGTGTACAGCAAGACAAAGCTACGCCTAGCGTCGGACTGAGACCGTGCACCGCCTGTCACCGCCATTCCATCATATCTATCGCTGGGAAGGCGCTGCAGTATTCTCGTGAGCGGGCCTGCAAGCGTCAGCAGCACAGCTGAGGTGAGTGAGCAAACATTCCTTACAACGTCGCCAGCAGCCATCACGTAATTTCAGGCAGAAGAGAGCGGACCGGTGAACGGTAAAAGAACCTTCTTCCCTTTGACTCATGATTGGGACATACATCAGTCATAACCTAGGCTGGCCACCGGAATGATCACGTGATTCGATCCTGCCTACACAGTGCCGGCCTACCTGCGTATGAGAGAAGATAGAGAGCTCGGTCGCGGTCTCTCGTCTGGCTGGTGCAGCACCAATTCCCATCCTATCCCTTCGCCATCATGGTGCATTCTCGGACCGCAGTCGCCTTGGAAACCTTCGAATACCTGTCCCCTCTCCTGGTAACTGTGTACTTTCTGGTCGCAAAGACCATTGCGGCATGTATTCTTCAAGAGCCGATGAAGACCGCTGGCGATCGTAGCCGACGGTATTTCGCTGCTTGCCTGCTCTTGACGTACCTGGCCGCCATCGTCAGCGAAGGCTTTACCTTGTTTGTTGGGCAAGAGGGCTCCGTTACCACGCAGGCGACTACTGTCAATCTTCTGACGAGCTTCTTGGTGTATGGTGCTCTTACACTCGGCATTCTGGAAAACCAGATGCCGCTCTGGCACCCATACGTTGGCGCTTTCGCGGTAGGCTTCGCGACAGAAGTCTTAATGGCTACGTTACAGACCCTGTCGACATCCGATGGTACCTCAGGATTGCGGATAGTATTGCACATCATTCGAACGCTGGCTCTGCTTGTACTGGCTGTAGTCGGGTCGATATATGTGTTGTATAAACGCCGTTCACGCAGCAGACATCTCGACGAGACTGAACCGCTTCTGGCAAATGGAGCCGACGGCCACGTCTTCAAGTCTTCCTCATCATCAGGATACGGCGTGGATACGAACTCGTCAGCACTGCACTCAGGAGGAGATTTAGAAGACGACGATGATGACATCTCAGTCGCCGCAAGTGATATCGAGGATGCCAAGCTTGATAAGGAGCTTCGAGCACAACAGCGCGCCAGGCTCCAAAAGTCTGGCAACTGGTTCAATTACTTGAAAGACTTCAAGGTCTTCATCCCCATTCTCTGGCCAGGCCGCGATCGAGTCGTGCAAGTATGCATGGCAGCTGTAGCTTGTGTGCTTCTGGCAGAGCGCTTCTTAAACGTGCTAGTCCCAAGGCAGCTTGGCATCTTGACAGAACGCCTGGCTGAGAAGGCGGGTAGTGGCACCATACCATGGCCGGCTCTTCAAGTCTGGCTAGTACTGACATGGCTGCAATCCGGCGTCGGCATATCGCTAATCAAGACGCTCGCCGAGCTTCGCATACAGCAGTTCGCCTACAGGAGCATTGGTACTACCGCTTTCCGGCACATCATGGGTTTGTCGATGAACTTCCACAACGAGAAGAGCTCAGGAGAGCTCATACGCGCAATCGAGCAAGGGCAGAACCTTCAAGGTATGCTGGAATTCGTGGCTTTTGAGGTCGGCCCAATGCTCATTGACCTGACTGTTGCCTTCGTGTACGTGTACACGCTATTTGACGTATACATGTCCCTAATACTCCTGGTCGTCGGTCTCGCATACGTGTGGATTGGAGCGAAGACTACGCAGTGGAGCTTGAAACAGAGAAGGCGGTTTAACAACGCATGGCGCAATGAGGCGAAAGTGCAGAATGAAGCAATCAGCAACTGGCAGACGGTTTCACATTTCAACCGAGGCACCTACGAGTGTGAGCGCTACGGCAATAGTCTGACGGAGTTCAATGCGTCAGAGTGGCGATATTACTTGGCCTATTATGTCGGAGGCGGCGGCCAATCCTCCATTATGCTGATAGGCCGTCTGGCTGCCACCATCCTAGCCGCTTACCGAGTTATCCAAGGTCGAGCGAAAGTCGGCGCCTTCATTACGCTCATTTCTTACTGGCACTCTGTGGAGTCGCCGCTCATGCAAGTCTCGTACTCCATTCGGCGGGTCTCACAGATGCTCACGGATTCGGAGCGCTTACTCCAGCTCCTGTTAACAAAGCCAACCGTCTCTAGTCCGGCCGACGCCCCTAAGTTAGTGGTCAAAGAAGGTGAGGTCGAATTCGATCAGGTCGACTTCGCTTACGACCCGCGTAAGCCTATTCTGCAGAAGGTCAGCTTCAGGGCTAAGGCCGGGGAAACGATTGCCCTTGTTGGGGAGACCGGCGGGGGCAAGTCGACCTTACTCAAACTACTCTACCGCTACTACGACGTTAACAGCGGTTCGATACGCATTGACGGACAGGACATCCGCACAGTGACACTTGATAGCCTGAGAGATTCCTTTGGAATGGTACCACAAGATCCGGCCTTATTCAACGTTACACTTATGGAGAATCTGAAGTACGCACGCCTAGACGCTACCGACGAGGAGGTCATGGAAGCGTGTCGAGCAGCCGCAATCTACGACAAAATCGAAAGCTTTCCAGACAAGTGGAAGTCCACGGTCGGAGAACGCGGTGTCAAACTGTCAGGCGGTGAGCTGCAGCGTGTCGCCATTGCAAGAGCCATTCTGCGGCAACCGAAGATTGTGTTGCTGGACGAGGCGACGAGCATGATCGATGCGGAAACAGAGTCGCTAATTCAGCAAGCGCTAAAGCGGTTGACGGCCGGCCGCACCACCTTCGTTATCGCTCATCGATTGTCGACCATCCAGCATGCAGATCAAATCCTGGTGATCCATGACGGCCAAATCGTTGAGCGAGGAACGCATGAGAGTCTGTTCCAGGAGAATGGCAGATATGTAGCATTATGGTCGAAGCAGCTAAGCAAGGAAGTCAAGGGTGTAAGCGATGCGTTGAGCAGCAAGCGCGCAGATGAGACATAGAGCTCTTCTTGCGGGCAATAAGACAATGAAACAGCGCAAAGTCTATGCATACATTCAGCAAGAACCGATGCTGGGTGAGAGAACGTCTATGAATAAGGAGGACACTGTATCACAACCCAGTGCAGCGACACTAATTCGGCTTCGGCAACTTGACAATCACCGTCAGATGCCGTAACTCTATCTTTAAAGCGGGGTGATTTTTGGAGGTTCTCCATCGCCAAACGCTTAGCCACGACCCCGACTTGTACCCAGCTTTGCCATGACCGTCGACAATGAGATCAAAGGCAGACTCGCCTTAATAACAGGAGCTTCTGGCGGGTACGCAGCACGTTCGCCGTTGCATAGACCGAATGCTTACCTATCAAAGCACAGCATTGGAGCTGCTTGTGCCCACGACTTGCTTGCTCATGGGGTCAATCTCGCTCTGACATATAGCACCAACAAGGACGCCCTCTCAGAGCTGGTCAAACAGCTGAGAGGGCACGATGCAGGATGTCAGGTCTCGAGCCACCATTGTGACGTCGCTAAGGACCAGGATCTGACCAGACTATTTGACGAGGTTGAGCGTGAGCATGGTCGACACCCCGACATTCTAGTCGTGAACGCCGGCTATGGCAAGCGGACGAGCAATATACTAGATATCAGTATTGATGAGTGGGACTACACAATCAATGTAAACCTCAGATCCAGCTTTGTCCTCACCAAGCTCGCCGTACCACATATGCTCGAGCAACACTGGGGCCGCGTGGTCTACATCTCATCAATAGCGGCAGGCGGCACAAGCATTAACGGATGTCACTACAGTGCTAGCAAGGCTGGAGTCCAAGGTCTGTCGAAGAACCTAGCTAGCAAGATGGGTAAGGACGGAGTACGTAACTTGGAACCCTCGTACATTACCGGTTGCGCTTACATTGTGACCTAGATCACTTTCAACGATGTCGCTCCGGCCATGTACGTAAAATGATGCTCATAATGCCTGCCGTAGCTTGCAAGCTCGCGAACGCTAAAGTATTATCGCTCAAAAGGATCACTGGTACAGGAATGATACCGACGGAAGACAACCTCAAAGGTACTCCAGGCGATGTGAAGAACATACCTGTAGGACGGAGCGGGTCGACACAAGAGTGTGCCAACGTGGTGACGATGCTATGTAGGACTGGCTAGTATGTGCAATATCCATGAGTGTTCCGCCTCGCTTGAGTGCATAGGCTAATTGTCCTTCAGCATGACGGGTCAGAGCCTTCTACTCTCCGGAGGCTTGAAGTAGACTGGACCAACACATTACAACTACGTTCGCTTGTTTCTACGCTACAGCTGCTAGCCGTGGCCATATCTATCTCGGCGGATATCTAGCCTCATTGATACCTTGAGGCTAAAGTACAATTGTCCGGACACGGCTTCACTCAACACACGCTGTGATTTCAGTCATAATATCGCGTATATGGTACGGTGCAGCATGCCCTGCAAGCTCATGCCAACCAGTGCATTGTGGACGCGCACATCTCGAGGTGTTATCGCAAGAGGAATGCGGTCGCGCACCTTGAAACACAAAGTAAAGCTGGTGTTTGATGGTGGTCCTTCAGGTCTCCACCTGCACTCCGCGTGCACTATATCCAAAGCGTTACAGCTCGTTTCACTCCGCAGATCTGCTAACCCTACTTGGTCCGTACAGGCTCCGTCGAAGTTTGGACGTCTGCGAAGCTTTCAGCCTGAATTCCTGACCATGCATCTTTTCCAGGGTTTGGGTGCTATATCTCATGCAGCTCCAGTATTCTCCGACCATTGCCTCCAGTCCATGCAAGTCGAGCTTAATACAAGTGTCAAGCTACAGTACTCCATTTCCCATTACTGCCGGAAGCGACTCCGCGCCGGTCACAAGATACCTGTACATGACCACGACGGCATCGGTTAAACGCAGTCAATCTATTATGCTACAACGGCGATGCTCCTATAATTAAGCGTCTATCAGCAAGCCAATGACCAGGCGCCGCGTGCTCACGTCGTATTAGCCATGTTAACGGACAAAGTTATACCGAGAGTGCCCTCAGCGACGCAGCAAACAGTCGTGCAGACCTTGTTTTGCCGGCGAAACGCTATAAAAACCACTGCCTGCCACTTGAAGATGAGTCCTTGAGGAGCATCCAAGCCCAACAAGCACCCACAGCAAACAGCAGGGTATAACCATAGTTCTTGACTACGTTTCCGTCCTTGTTCGCTCAAGGACCCATTAGACAACATGAAGCTCTTCGCCGCTGTAGCGGGCCTCATGGCCATCATGAGCGCCTCCGCCGCTCCCATTGCCGAGGAAGGTGCTTTGGCAGTCCGTGCTCCGGGCAACATGAACTACGTTCAGGTATGACCGTGCACAACTTGACTGATATCCGCGCGCAACTGAGTAATGGCTGCATCAGAATTACAATGGCGCCGCAGCCGGGTTCACTTACAACCTGAACGCTGGTACCTACTCCGTCAAGTGGAGCAATCTGGGTACCGACTTTGTCGTCGGACTGGGCTGGTCCACTGGTGCTGCTCGGTAAGCCACGGTTCCGCACTGTCACCAGCCAGCGTTCTGACCCCAGGATCAGCACCATCACGTACTCTGCCAGTTACTCTGCTTCTGGTTCTGGCTCCTACCTCTCCGTCTACGGTTGGGTGAATTCTCCGCAAGCCGAGTACTACATCGTCGAGGCCTACGGCTCGTACAGTGAGTCCAAGATCCTCTCCAAATTCATGTTCGTTGGCTGACTCGGGTTGAGACCCATGCTCGGGTGCTACTCAGCTCGGTACACTCAGCTCTGATGGCAGCACCTACACCGTGTGTACAGATACGCGCACGAACCAGCCCTCGATCACTGGCACGTCGACTTTCACCCAGTACTGGTCCGTTCGACAGAGCCAGCGGACTTCCGGCAACGTCAACGTTGGAACCCACTTCAACTTCTGGGCCAAGCACGGGTTCGGCTCGTCTTATAACTTCCAGGCATGTGCAAAGTTGAGATTAATATATGTCAGTCTTGCTGACGTTCGCATCAGGTCATGGCTGTTGAAGCGTTCTCCGGCTCCGGCAGTGCTAGCGTTACATGCTCCTAAAGTGGTGACCTAGCGTTGAGAGTAGGAGATGGGCGGGTACGCACACGAGCGTGGGGCAGCTTCAGCGTGTCTGGCACCGAAAAGACAGCAACGGAAACCAAGTTCGAGTGATGTTGTGCGGGGCCGTGCGTATGATTGTTCGGTTGCTTGGTTCCATTGTGAGGAGCCTCTCGAAATGCCAGTCTGCGGGCCTTGGGTATGCCGGTGATGGTTGATAATACGCCTCACAGTGCCAGGCAGTCAGGCAGTCATTTCAAGGATAGGTTGAAGTTCCGTGTCATGGCAATCCTCTCCCTCTGAAACACCACCCCGTTCACTCGTCGTACAGCGGTCCGTGCGCCTCCACTCTGCTGCTGCATGTACACGCGGTCGCTTCTCTGTTTCCACCTCCACTTTGCGGTTGAGTCATAACTCGGACTTGGCTGTACCAGAACCTTCCCTGGAATTTGGCTTCATCAACAGCAGCAATCAGTTTCTTATACTAGACATATAAGGTATTAGGCATTGTGCGGAGGCTCATTAGCCACATTTGGATCAAGCAGTCCCAACTTCGGCTCGATGGCACGCATAAGGGTGGGCGTTGGGCACAGAAGCTCATCATGCACTGGAAACGATCTGATATGAAGGTATACTGGGGCTATGCTACGTCCGGAGGAGGAAATGGAAAGCCCTTCCGCAATGGTCTTGGCAGCTGACCAAGGACGATAAGCTTTCAGACAAAGCTCGGGTAAAGCTTCTGCGTGGACGCCATTCGTCACGGTGCATGGCGCGCTTCCGGACCGGTCTCGATGCCGACCCGACTTCGAAGGTCTTGAGCCACCCGAGGGCTTCGATGGTACCAGTAGTGGGCAGTGTACTACCATAAGGTAGCGGATGGAGACCGTAGACGGTCTGACGTCGCGAGCCAAGAAGGCATGCCGGTGATATACTTAGGCAGCCCAACGCTATGCGCCTCGACCTGCCCGCATTCTGTCGGAAAGTGTTCGATTGCGATGTATTCATGAGCCGCAATTAGTATGGCAGCGAGTGTAGGTGGTAGGGTTGGAGGCAGAAGCATACAGCGCATGAAGCTCGACCACAAGTGATATCCGCGCATACAGCGCATAAAACTCGAGCGCAGGCGGTGCCGAGATTCAGGGCTCCGCGCACACATCATACAATGTCCGAGCACGGGCAATAGCAGTAACTCCGTGCTATCCGCGGTTATAGCGCATAAAGTCAGGGCCCAAGCTATAGCAGAACCTCCGGGCTATCCGCACATACAGCGCATGAAGCTGGAGCGCAAGCAATAGCAAGACATCCGAATCCATCCGCCCAACGCGCCATATAAGGCCAGTTAGGCGGTGTTTGTCGAGCGTGCCATCCTCCTTCTCCCTGTCAGGCGGCAGCGTCAGCAGCAACGGTCATGGCATCCAGCAAACCAAGCATAGCTATTGTTGGGGGAGGAATTTCCGGCGTCGTCTTAACTATTGCGCTGATACGGCGCGGCATCGATGTCCAGCTGTATGAACAAGCCCATGCCTTCGGTAAGATCTATACAGTCCCAGTTGATAGACTTCTGGCTAACGGCCGTCCAGGTGAGATCGGCGCTGGAGTCGCCTTCGGCCCAAACTCTGTGCGGGCAATGGGAGCATGCTCTCCCGACATCACGGAAGCGTTCAATAAGGTGGCGACGCACAACCAGTCACCTGACAAGAAATATGTGTGGTTTGACTTCCAGGATGGCTTCGACAAGAACGCTCCCGTAGGCAAGGAGAAATTGCTGTTCTCCTTGACCAACGATTACGGCGCCAACGCGGTGCATCGGGCACATTTCTTGGACGAGCTAATTAAACTGGTACCGGATGGCATAACACATTTCAACAAGCATCTTGACACCCTCGAGCAGCCTGATGGTGATGGCAAGGTGAAGTTGAAGTTTCATGATGGCACTGAAGCAGAGGCAGATGCTGTGATTGGCTGTGATGGCATCAAGTCTCGGACCAGAGCATGGATGCTTGGAGAGGACCACCCCGGCGCTGCCCCAGTGTACTCGTTCAAGTACGCTTACCGTGGACTTATCCCTATGCAACGAGCAGTGGATGCGCTTGGCGAGGACAATGCGGGAAACAGCAAGATGCATCTTGGTCAGGACGGGCACGTCTTGACCTTCCCGGTCGACGGAGGAAATACCATGAATGTGGTAGCGTTCCACACAACCCGCGAGCAATGGCCAGATGTAAAGCATCTGACAATGCCCAGTAAGAAGGAGCACGTCTACGAAGACTTCAAGGATTTCGGACCTACAGTGCAGAAGATTATTGACATGCTCGAGCCTAACCTGGATTGCTGGGCTATCTTCGATACCGCCGAGCACCCCATGCCGGCATACAACAAGGGCCGAGTGTGTTGTTTGGGCGACGCCGCCCATGCAACCACCCCACATCATGGCGCAGGCGCAGGAATCTGTATCGAAGACGCGGCTGTAATGGCTGAGCTTTTGGCGGACCCGGCTGTCGCAGCGGCAGGCCATAAGGGTTTCCGGGCCGCATTCCAGGCCTTTAGCGATTGTAGGAAGGAGCGGACACAATGGCTCGTGCAGAGTAGTCGGAAAGACGGCGATGTCTACGAGTGGCGTGCGGAGGGCGTGGGAAGAGACGTCGACAAGATTTATGCTGAGTGCAAGGCTAGCAACGACGAGATTTGGAATGGCCAGATTGACGAAATGATTGCAGACGGAAGGCAGAGTCTTGTGACGCTGTTGCATGCGTAAGGCTCGTCTCGCCACGCGGCCGCCATCGTTCAAGCTAGGTTGACGTGACCAGTGTCTGAGATCTTGACCACCACTTTGCCTCGTGCTTTGCCCGTGTTCAGTCTCTCGAATGCTCTCTTGGCGTCATCGAAGGGGAAGACGCTGTCGATATATATCTCATCCGGCGAGAGAGTGCTTTTGGCTTGTTCAAGCCACTCCCTCTTCATGTCAAGGATGATCACATCGTAGCTCTCTCCCAAGCCAAACTGGCCACGTCCCCATCTTATCCACTGCATGGCTGCGTGGTACGCGGCAAAGGGGCCAAGGAAGTCATAGTAAGTGTATGGCCCGCCCATCCATGTCCGACCTGTTTTGTCCCCAACGATTGTCACGTAGCGCTTACTGCTCGGAAGACCAATGCAAGCAGTGCCTCCAACACAATCAATGACTGCGTCCGGTGCGAACTTCTGCACGCTTGACCGAACATTTTGTGATGTGTAATCCACATGCTCATCGGCCTTAAGCGTCGAGAGAACAAAGTCTTTGTTGGCACTAGACGATGTCGAGATGACCTTCCAACCTCGCCTCTTCGCGAGCATGATCGTGTACATGCCTACGGCGCTCGAACCGCCCAGAACTGCAACGCGCTTGCTCGATGTCTCGTCCACAAACTTCGCAACATTTTCTATACATGACTCTGCTGTCAACCACACCAGGCTGATTGCTGCTGCTTGCTCGTGGCTCCATTCCTTGGGCTTCTTGGCTGCGACGGTGTTCGCCATATCGAAGTGTGCGATCTCGGCCAACGCTCCGCCAGCCTCGTTCATAGGCTTTAGCGTCAAGCCGAAGACCTCATCACCTTGAATGAAGCCTGTCCGTCCACCGGCGATGATGGTACCGCTGAAATCGCAGACACAAGTCTTGGGCTTGTTGTAGCCGGGCAGTCTCCATAGAGGTAGATTCATCATCTGGATGTCGACCGGGTTCAGTGCGCATGCATTGATCTTGACCAGCATATGCGCCGTCGTGCCCAAGCCTTTGATATCATTCGCTCGCGGAACCTCGATCGTGCTGAGTTGCAAGCTCGAGGGGTAGCCGGCGGTGTACGTCCATGCTCGTGCTTCTTGGGTCGACATGGCGTCAAGGCGAATGCTGGTGACACAGATCTGTCGACTGAACGGTAGGTGGTTCACAAGGGTAATTTGGCTCGAAGTGAGCAACGCCTATTCGGAGACGACACGCAGGGGCCCAGGGGCAGAGCTCCCGTTACCTTATCGCGGTCGGTGAGTGGACTACATGTACATTATGCAGGTACGATCTCGGTCACGGATCCCCAGCCCGAGGAGCCGTTGCGGGGCTACAGCCATTGTCTGATCAGGTATACTGTCTCTTTCTTTGTCGACAAATTCACGGTCCTTGGGAGACGATAGTGATTAGCAACGCGGAATATATGTCCGGCCGCCTTCGGCACATATGAGATCGACAGTCTCTCCAGCCCTAACGGCTCCGGTATTGTACAGGAGGGATAATTACGGCGGGCGCTGTTGAGAACCTCGGCAGTCTTCTGCCCTAAAAGTCGCCTCGGGCAGTACACAATGAATGTATAGCCTCATTCGACCACGGTAGGTGGTAAATGGTTTGCCAGCCTCTCGGTTTTCGTCGCACAGCATCATTGGCCCGTGAGCGCAACTGTGCTCCCCAATGCCAGACCTTCATCATGACCTCGACCTACCATGGTGCCGCGAATTGCTATCACAACCAGGTCTGGTGGATGTGGAGGAAACAGCTAAGACTTTCCCAGATGGATCGGTGTCAAACAGCATGTTCCACAAAACCCTTTACAGAAACGACGCTATCAAAGCCCACTTAATGTTCCGGCGGCCTTGCACCGAACCTGACTCCGTACGGAGTACCGAAGAGTGCCTACTCATGGCGGTAGGCCGCGATGTTGACGGCATGAGCGGACGCGCCCATGGTGGATTCAACTCGCTGATCCTGGATCAAATGCTCGGCGCCTGTGCACACAACAGCATGCCGAACAAGATACCGCCCGCAACCGCAACCATGACAGTGGACTACAAGGCTCCCATCTCCACCCCTTGTGTCGTGCTTGCCAGGGCTTGGGTGACTGAGGTTACTGGGCGGAAGGTGTGGCTCCGTGGTATCTTGCAGGACGGCGATGGCAAGGTGATGGCTAGCGGGAAGGCTTTATTCATTACCGCGCGGCCAGCATCACTGTGATGTTATGCCAGCTGTGGAGTCGGGCCATCGGATCGGAAGATACGGCCCGTCTATGCATTGCGGTCTTCTGGCCGTGTATCAGAGGCCACATTCCAATCATTGGAAGTACTGTAAGCCCTGTGGAGCCGCAGGACGAGCATAGCACCGGCTGTGTCTCAAACACGCTCCTGCGGCTGGGTACCGAAGCCTCGTGTCTCAATATATGGTGCCAAGCATCCAGGATGATCATTGAACGTGAAGTGTGCGACCTTCCGGAGACGGCATGTGGGCAACTGATCGCACGAAGGTGTATGACGCACATGCGCTGCGTTGCACGGTGCCTATGCTTCGGCCACCCAACGTCCCTGCGGCACTGGCAGGTGATGCTTGCTCCTGGCTGCGAGCATCACGATTCTGGAGAACCCGCTGAGCATCCGGACACGGAAATGAGGGTCGATGGGTTTGTGCAGACTTGTGAGACATTTGTCACTGAATCCGGGGTGGTACTCCCAGTACTGCTGGGGCGTGGTTGTTGGGCATTGATTTGATTGTAAGAGTCGAGGCAAGAAGATCCAGATCTAGACCCCACGCTGGATTCAGGCATGGCGAGAGTTCGCCAGCGCCTGAGATGTATCGTTTGCCCCGACTTTTATGCATCGCGGGAACAAATGCACGAATACCGCAATGTGCGCCCCATGGCGGGTGGTGACTAAGATCTTACAGCCTCCACGGCTCACCGTCGGCAGTCTAGCAGATATGTTACAGAAATGCCACGCTATGCAAACCCACCAGTACCCTCTAAGCATAGAAGTTGACCGTGTCCTTCTTCTTAGCCTGCACTTCAGCGATTGCATCAACGTAATGCTCATGACTGATCTTGTTGTGGCCGGACCTAAGCGCAATCATGCCCGCCTCCACACAGACAGCCTTCAGCTGCGCGCCACCAAATTCGTCCGTACTCCTCGCCAATTCAGCCCAGTTAACACCCTCATCCACAGTCATCTTCCGAGAGTGTATGCGTAGAATCTGCGCGCGGGCTTCCTCATTGGGCAGCGGGAACTCGATTTTGCGATCTAGACGTCCTGATCGGAGTAAAGCCGGATCTAATACGTCGACACGGTTCGTGGCGGCCAGGACTTTGATCCGTTCGTCTGATGCAAAGCCGTCGAGCTGGTTGAGTAGCTCGAGCATGGTGCGTTGCACTTCGCGATCTCCGCTCTTGTCGCTGTCGAATCGCTTGGTGCCTACTGCGTCCAGCTCGTCGATGAAGATGATCGCAGGTGCCTTCTCCTTTGCCAGAGCGAAAGCGTCTCGTACGAGTTTGGCTCCGTCTCCGATGAACATCTGTACCAGTTGCGGTCCGGCGAGCTTGAGGAAGGTGGCTTCAGTCTGCGCTGCACATGCTCGAGCGAGCAGAGTCTTGCCTGTGCCTGGTGGACCGTACATCAACGCACCTATACCGTTGTTGTCAGCTCACTTTCCGAATCAGTGTTCCTACAAGACCGTACCTTTCGGTGCCTTGATGCCAATCTTCTTGAACCTCTCCGCCTCCTTCATGGGCCACACAACCGCCTCTACCAACTCCTCAATCTGCTTGTCCAGCCCACCTACATCCGTGTACTTCTCTGTCGGCTTCTCATCGACTTCCATCGCCTTCACGCGATTGTCGTATTCTGCGGGCAGCGTATCCAGAATGAGGTAGGAATCCTTATTCACACCTATCAGGTCGCCCGGCTTGAGCTTCTCATGATCCACGAGACCGATCAACGGTAGGAAGATGGTCTGACGGGTTGAGGTCTTGATCACGGCCGACTTGCCCACTCGGGTAGCATCGAGATCGATGTTCGCGCCTTCTTCCGCAGCCTCGGCGGTGACGTCCAGGTCGAGGATCTCCACGACATTACCTACGAGATACGGCAGTTGTCTGAAGGGAGGTGTCAGCGGCAACGTCCACATGGCTAAGTTCGCCACAATTTGACAGCTTACCGATTATTGTCGATCTTGTCAATGTTGTCCTTGATCTTTTCATGCATCGCTTGCTTCTCATGCGTTAATCGCTGGAACTCGCTCTTCATGATCCGCATGTCGTTCTCTAGTAATCGTCTCCGCGCTACGATGTCGCGTGTGCTTGAGTTCAGGATTTCGAAGTCGATCATGTCTTCCTCCTTCTCTTCCTCTTTCTTCTCGGCATCCTTCATCTCGGCATCGCCATCAGCGCCGTTCTGCTGCGGCTTCTTGTCCTTGTCGCCTTGGTCATCCTTCTTGCCCTCCTGCTCCATATCATCAAGATCTTCAAGTGTCGACATGGTGGGCTACTGTAGGCTGTTCGTGTGTAGTCCGTGAGGATAGGGATCTGAAGCCGGATGGGCGAGTGTCGATGGAGTTGTGGCGATTGAGTGGTGGAGATGTGTTGTAGTGGTAGAGGTAGCTTGATGGCTTCAGGCGCGCATGCTGGCGACACACTGCTCGGCGATGTTCGCAAAATCCCCGACTGCCGAGCATTTGCCGATGCACGCCTCGTCTTCCTCCTCCGGGCAGCGTTGCTCATGAACGAGCTTCACCATGTCTCATATACTGACAAGGTCGCGATTGCTTCGGCACGTTACTACCCAACGCGTACTTGTGGACAGTGTAAAGTGGTGGCGAAAACTCAGAGGCAAGGACACAACTCGCTCCCATGTAACGGACCGTAAGGTAGACTCTGGTGGAAGGACCAGAGTCAATATCCATAGCTATGTGGAGATTCTCAATGGAAGCCCGTTGCCTGCTCCTTCTCGCAGCGCCTCGCAGTCTGAGCTCGCACCGCCCCAAGTCATAGATGGTGCGCTCTGCATTCTTGCCAGAGGTGAGATGATCAGGGTTCCTGGTCACTGGCTGCGAGACACTTGCGCTTGTGTATGTCAGAAATTCGTTGTTCTCAGCAGTAGATTTGTGAGGCATGGCTGACGCTTGACTGGATGTACTCACAGGAGGAGTGTCGCCACCCCGAGACAGGCCAGCGCAACGTCAACATATTCAGACAGACTATAGCCGGTGTGACTGTGGCAAGTGTAGACGCCTCGCAGTTGCCTGAGAAGGTTACGGTGTACTTTCAAGACGGACACAAGACAACACTCTCGGGTAGGGTTATCTCGAATCGACAGAGCTACGTTGCGAGGGGCTTCCGTGAGGCGATGGTCGATGTTGAGCCGTGGACAGCTAGCATCGCGCAACGGCCGCCAAGCGCGGATTATGAGACCTTGAGCAACGACGACCAGAGCTTTGCACAGCTGCTTCGATTGGTTCGCGTCCATGGCTTCGCATTCGTTGATAACATGCCGTCCACGCCCGAGGCTTCTAAAGCGCTGCTGGAGCAGATCGGTCCTATCCGCCATACCCATTATGGGGGCTTCTACGACTTTACTTCTGACCTCTCCTCCAAGGATACAGCATATACGAGTGAAGCACTTGAACCTCATACAGACAATACCTATTTCACGGACCCCGCAGGCTTGCAGGCACTGCACCTTTTGTCACACACCGGTGGCGAAGGGGGCGAAAGCGTCCTGGTGGATGGCTTCAACGTTGCCAAGCAGCTGTTCGATATGAACAAGGACGCTTACCACGTCTTGAGTGCCACTGGGGTTTACGCGCACGCCAGCGGCAACAAAGGCGTCAGCATACAGCCTGCACAAGCCTTCCCAACGCTTGTCCACAGCGAGGAGTATGCGAAGCTAATTCAGGTTCGGTGGAATAATGCCGACCGTGCCAATGTAGCGGCTTCCTGGGCACGTCTAGACCGGTGGTATAACGCCGCTGCGAAGTTCAACGCTCTCATTAATGATCCAAAGAACCAGTACTGGTTCCAGCTGAAGCCGGGACGCATGCTGCTGTTCGATAATTGGAGGGTGTTGCACGGCCGGGCAGCCTTTACGGGCGAACGAAGGATGTGCGGAGGGTACATCAACCGAGATGACTGGATCTCGAAGTACCGCATGACAAACCTGACGGAAGAGGAGCTGGAGATCTCGACCGTGACTGGCTGAGCTGCATAAGAATGCAAGCAGTCAACTCTCCGTCAGTTTGCAGTTGAGACTCCGTGACCTGCAGCCAGCAAGAACGTCGCAGGCGGTGAGTATCCAAACTCGTGCAGCTTCCACACCACTGCAGCAATACCAGGATGCTTTAGGCCAGGTTTGGCAACGATGTGCGCAATAATCCGGAGCGATTGTCAACCGAGCCGCAGCTACGAGTGCCGAATCAACTTCTCTCCTTTCGCTCTGTAATGGCCAAAGCAGTCCAGCACGACCGCGTCACGGTCAATCGTGTGGTTTGGGAGTAACCGACGGGAAAGTTGTAGATGCACTTTCGAGCCTCCTGCGCAACGCTGAGCAGGAGACTGTCCGGGGTACCCATAGCTCCTTTCAGCTGCCGAAGCACTGCTCGATCCTGTGAAGATGAGTACTGGTCAGATAAAGAAGAATTAGTAGGCTGAATGCAGTGAAGCATCAGTACATGTAGTCCGGTGATCTGCAGGTTCTGACGCTTGCGGGCTCAGGCCTTCCTTCGGTGGCGTAGTGTCACATGTCAAGCTTCCCTACCGGAGCACGAACGAGGGCACTGGCTTCGTATGTGTAGGTGGCACCTGCGCTTACCATCCTGGTTCCTGAGTAGCACGACCTTGCGTTCTGTACCTGGACTGGAACCGTTTCTGGCCCTATATTAAGCCCTAAGGATTCCCCCGCGCGTGTAATTGCTAATCTTGATGGAAGACGGTATACAGCACGGCTGAACCCTAGAGACCAGAACTGTTGGAGGATCGGACTTAATAACTATTCTCATTGAGACGAGCGAACAACACTCGGGTGGAAGCGTGGCTATATATGTAACGGTAAGTTCACACATTTTCTCCAACTGCTTCACAGTCCCATTTCGTACGACTTGATAATGGTCGCTCTCCGTCAACTCATCCTTTCTGCCCTCGCGTCCTTCTCCTCTGCTCAGCATTCACCCCTTGGTTCTGCTTTCGGCATTCCTGGAAATGCCAGCTACGATTATGTCGTCATTGGCGGTGGCACCGCTGGCTTGACGATAGCCACACGACTTGCGCAAGGCGGGCATACCGTCTCCGTAATTGAGGCTGGCGGCTTCTACGAGGTTGAGAATGGGAACCGCTCCGTTGTGCCTGGGCTGCTTGGTCTGCCGAGTAGCCCGTTGGTTGACTGGGGTTTCCTCACAACACCGCAAAGCGGAGCAGACGGGAGATCGATTCCTTATACCCGTGGAAAGTGTCTAGGCGGGAGCTCAGCAAGGAACGCTCTGGGTTATCTGCGACCTACAATCGGCACCATGCAACGCTGGGCGGACGTTGTGGGAGACCCGAGCTTCGTTTGGAACAACACTATCAAATACTTCAAGAAGAGTACCGGCTTCACTCCCCCCAGGCCAGGAGAGGAGAGACCTGCTAATTCCACTGCAACGGACTACGATCTCTCCGCCTTCAGCCCCAATGGGCCTGTACAAGTATCCTTTCCGGCATTCACATTTGCGCTTGGGTCGTGGATATTGGCGGCTGCGGATGCGCTGGGTTTGCCTAGACTCCCTCAAGGTCTTGAAAGTGGGCGGTTGCTGGGTCATACTTGGGTGCCAGTCACAATCGATGCCGAAAACCGCGAAAGGAGCACATCCGAGACAGCTTATCTTGCACTTGGGGAGAAGACGCAACGACTAACAGTCTTCACTCATACTATGGCGAAGCAGATCATATTCCATGGCACGACGGCAACAGGCGTCCGCGCTGAAGCGGCTGGAGTACCCTTTGTCCTGAGTGCAAACAAAGAGGTCATATTATCCGCTGGTGCCTTCCAAAGTCCTCAGGTATGCTGCAGCATGCATTACATGACCACAACCTCACTATGCCGACTGACACTGCAATCACAGCTCCTAATGGTGTCTGGTGTTGGGCCGGCAGACACTCTGATCCAATTCGACATCCATGTGATTGCGAATCGGTCGGGTGTTGGACAGAACATGTGGGACAACCCACTCTTTGCCGTATGCTTGTCACTTTGTTCGGTACGGCGACGAGTCGTGGTCGCTAACAGCGTGAAATGTAGGTCTCTTACGCCTTTGACTTTCAAACCTCAAGCGCTTACCAAAACAACCCTACGCTCTTTGCCGAGGCCGTGGAGCAGTACAATGCCAACCGGAGCGGCTTCCTCACCAATCCGGGCGACGACGTCGTGAGCTTCGAGAAGTTGCTAAATGTCTCTTCCGCCAACTTTAGTGCCAAGGCTCAACGGGATTTGGCAGATTTTCCAGCAGACTGGCCGGATGTCCTTCTTGCCAGCACGCCGGTCTATGCTGGTCCGGGGCTTGCTCCCGACACCGTCAACAATTACGGCTCGTTCGTGATCGGGCTTGAAGCTCCGCTCAGTCGAGGCTACGTTACAATCAACTCGAGCGATGCCAGCATCCCGCCAATCATAAACCCACAATGGCTCACGCATCCCACGGATCAAGAAGTGGCGATCGCCGCCGTGCGACGGATCAGACAGTACGCCGCAACGCCACAGCTTCAGTCTGTGATTCTTGGCGGTAAAGAAGTGTTTCCTGGCTTGAATGTTACGAGCGACGAAGACATCCTTGCTGCTATCCGGAGCGGCCTAGGGACGTACTACCATGCTTCTGTAACCTGTAGAATGGGGATGGCAAACGACAGTATGGCAGTCGTGGACTCCAAGGGTCGCGTTATTGGAGTGAATGCATTGAGGGTCGTGGACGTCAGTGCTATGCCATTCTTGCCGCCTGGGTTGCCTCAAGCGGTGGTGTATATGCTTGCTGAGAAGCAGGCGGAGGACATCTTGACAGGCAGTAGTTAATCTGGGTTAGCCAGTCTGATACTGGCTCTGGGACAAATCACGCATCGTATTGATCGACGCTTCCTGTTTTTGAACTTCTTGCAAGAAGTCTGTTCCGAGTAGGGAGACGGACGTTGTCTAGTGGTCTTAGAAAGCTGACGTTACGCGGCGACCATCGTCCATCAAGCGCTTCAGCATTAACACCTCATGCTTGGTTACAAACACACCGTTACCCGTAGGCCCACCATCTGCTCCCTTCGCGACACTCTCCATCGAGCTATCAAGCGCATCAGCGAGATCGCGCACTTTGCCGCCTTCCCACTCGCCTGCGTCATTCGTCCAGAAGACGCGCTTGATACCGACTGAATGCATGTATGAGATGCAGCGATAGCACGGTCGCGACGCCCGGACGACGTTTGGTGCAAGATTTACTTCTGGTATTGCAATGCGGCTCGGAGATGGCTTGCGATCGATAAGCTCGTCATGCAGTGAGCCAGAAGTGGATGTAGTGGTTGTGGTAGGCAGCGAGCTGACAGATTCGGCCAGCGGCTTTCCAGCCTCGGTGGCGAAAATAACCTCGTTTGCAAGCGGAGACGATGGTGAAACCTCAGCTGCGGCCATTGGGATCCGGACAGTTGGCAGCGTTAGGGTCTCAGTACCGTTCGGTTTGCGCCTGCCGAGGCGGGCGACGTACAGGTCGGCGCCCATCAAACGAGGATGCTTCTTTCGGTCGGACAAGCTTGGCCCTGACTGGGCCTTGGGAAGAAGTATCGGCTCTGGCTGCGGTGGCTCGTTGCACGCAGCCGCACTTGATGTACCGCGCTGGAACTCGTTAGGATTGGAACGACAGCAATCACGAGACACTGACCTTTACGTTGCTTTGTTGGTGCTTGTCCTGCTTTCGTGCTTCAATGCAAGCGTGCCGTGTCATTTCTGTCATAACATTGTGTAGCGCTGATTCGTAACCTCGTGGTATGTCATCCAGCTCTCTAGACGCAGAACCCTGTCCGTGTTGTTGCAGCCCATGGAACTGTTGTGTCTGTTGTCCAGACCGGTTGTGTTGATACTCGTACTGATACACGTCCTTCTGATTTTTCTTTTCCTTCCCTTTCCGCTTCTGATGATGATGATGATGTTTCTCTCCACCCTCTGGCACGTGAAACGCCCCACGCCATTCTTGCTGCACGTGCTGCGCGCCACTCTGCTGCACGTGCTTCCTTAGTGCCAACATTTCCCGCTTCTCCATCTCCGCGTCCGCTTGCTCCTTCAAGCGCTTGCTGTTGTTGTTGTTGCTGTGGCCGTGGTGGTGGAGAGTTTGATTGAGATGAGGCAGCTTCAAAACCGCACCTTTGGACTTGGAGCTTGCCCGAGCCTGCCGTGGCGGTCGCGGTGCTGCAGACGGTCTCGACGTAGCGTTTAAGCACTTCGGCTCGTAGTCGCGCTTTGCGTTTATCACAACCCGGTAGTTTGAAGCACGGTTTTTCGCAGGCGAAGGCGGTAGAGGACAGCGTGGAGGAGGCAGTGAGGGCGGAGTGGATGGCCATCATCTCCGAATGCATGCTGAGTGGAACGTTGGCATGGTGGCCGCCACCGGTGCCCTCAAACGGGAGGAAAGTGGCACTAGAACATCCCTCGGAGATGGGCTGACACTGCTGCTGCTGCTGCTTGTCCCTTCGCTTGTGCTTCTTGAGCTTCTCCTTCACCTCACTCATGGCGGGACCATCTAAGCCGCCATTGGCGATGCCACCGTGCTTGAAGGCGCCGCCGTTGAAGCCAGGGCGATAGTCATTGTAGCCCTGGCCGATGACCTTGCCGCCGCGCACGACGATGCAACCATGGCGGTAGTGGAGCGGAGACTTGGTGGCCTGCTCGAGACACAGCGTGAGGTAGTTGTCGGTCTTCATGTTGCTGTTAGTGTGAGCACTGGGGAAGCTGGAAAGCAAGGAAGCTGCTGACGGTGGCGTACGTAAGATGAGGCGTGATGCGCGTGATCTTGAGTAGCTGGAAGCTTCGTGCGTACTGTGTTCGACTGTGCGTTTGACGCTATGATAACTGGTGTAGAGGAGTCAGATGTTGAACCGCAGCGCATCGACTAACACGTGACATTCGCATGCGAGTCAGGCGGGATGTGGGCTTGATCGTGTCTCCATGATCTATGCCTAACCTCCACTCTCCCACACTAAATACACATGGATATACAGCATGGGACATGCTGATATCTCCCCCTACGGCAGGCCAAGAATGGCTGATTGGTCTTGGGGAATCTACAGGGACGATGTCACTAGAGCGCGACAAACTTGCTCAGTCTCCTTGCTGAGCGCCACGCACAACTTGACATATTGCACATCAATCAGCGCTTCGAGAGAACTGTCTGTGACTAGGATGCCTTATCCTTGTCTACCGGCTTTTCTGGGCCTTCACGAGTCAAAGATAGGAGCATAAGCCGCCACCCGCCTCCTCCGCAGCTCAGCGATGACTTTCCGAGTGAGGTCGCGGTTGCTTATGAAGAACACCGCCTCAGCGTTAACGGCATGGTACATGTCCTCCGCCAGCTCAACCATGTCCGGCCTTCGCCCGTCCTTGCGCGTGTCCCAGATTGTAGCTTCCGGATCCTTTCGCAGCACCGCATCATAGATTGGATCACCGAACACCGTTCTTGGACTCGGTGCCGACCAGATGATGTGTATCTTGGTCTTGGTTACGGTTCCGGCGCCGAAGAGCGCCAGGCACGGTCCAATACCACTCCCAGTAGCCATGACCACGACGCGGCGGAAGACTTGTGCCATTGCAAGAACACCGGTGGCATGAATCCCGCGCATATAGTAGTAAGGTCTGGGCGACTCGATGGTCTTGGCTGTCCAGTCGCCGGCTCGTGAGATGATGGAAGAAAAAGCGCCTTTGTCGCTCTCCTGCAGCGGCGGTATGGCAGCGAAGCCATGCCATTCGTAAAGCGGTGCGTCGGAAATGGCTACACCATGTAACGCGGGAATGCGCTCACGTGGATCGTAGTATATGCGTATGGCATGGTCGGTCAAGCGCTCGGCGCGTACGACGGCGACCTTGCGGAGGAGTAGCCAGGGGTAGATGGCGTGGCAAGAGATGATGATTAGCAGCCAGAAAGCTGGTAGCTGGACCAAGCTTTGACCGATGGTGAGTCCGGATGCTGAGGCTCGGGCTTGGTCTCGTGCGAGAAGGACAAGTGACACCCAGAACAGGGCAATGCCGAACCAGCCTGCCCAACGATGGGCGTTCTCGAAGAGGTCGTGGTACCTGCGACGGACTTGAGGTATCGCTGTCACGACGATTGAGGAGAGGAGTATGGCTAACAGTAAATCGAGGAGCAGTACGCCGACATCGCTGAAGTTGCCGCCAGCGTAGCTCGTCCACAGCGAGCCGGTAAAGACGACGAACCACATCAGGGTGCTCACTGCGGCTCCACTATGTACTCCGCCGTTCTCGTATACCAGAGCGAGTCGCCTGCGGAGCCACAATGGTGCCGAGTGCGGAATTGACCAACAGGTGTGATACATGACGTTCTTCATGTAATCTTGGCGAACCAACACGGCCATGAGCAGGTTGGCCACGGCAGCATTGGCGGCACTTGTCATGGACGGCAGGTGTTTGTCTGAACAAGCGACGACGGCGAGGATGGCGCTCAGATTGGCGCATACGACGAGAGTCCATAGCTGACGGTAAGGAGTCAGAGCGACATACCAGGCGTAGTCGAAGTATAGCCAAGCGAGGCTCTTGAGGGTTCTTCTGGGTTTCTGTTCATGCACTAGGTTGTTGGGGACTACAGCCGTCTCCGTCTTGACGATGCCTTTCTCCAGATCCGTGAATATCATTTCGGGTTGGGAGTGTGCTTCCATTGTGGTTGTGGCTGACGATGCATCTGGGCTACGTGCTACAATCGAGGTGTGGACAATATCTTTTTCAACTGCTTTCACAACAGCGGGATCCATCAAGGTACGTGAATGACACAATTGCGACACTTCGAGTGCAACAGAGGATGGGGCCATTCACGACTTGAAGAGAATGTTTGTCTCACATGGCGGCCCTTCCGGCTCTGCGAAATACTGCCTTAACATCACTGCATGTTGAACACGCTTATGCGCCAGGGCAGACTAAGGCGGTTGGATCATAATGCTCCCCTAGTGGCATACCATTTCGAGTAACTTCCGCGACTCGTGTTGACAGCTGACAGCTTGCATGGCTTTTCGCGCCCTTTCACGGCGCTATACTGTTGTGTGGTGGCCGTGTAGACGATCCTGTGGAGTCCAGCGTACGAAGCTGACGCAGCAAATGGCAGGGCAGCTTCGCCGCCGGACGGCCAGACAATTTGGCACTAGAGTGGTCGTGGCGGCCTTGGCAAGCATCCTCCTGTGGGGGAGCTGAATCCCTCTGCAATCCTCCCTGTGTTTACTGCTCCATCTACTGCACCTCAGCCGAGAAAGGTCCAAAAGGCGTTCATGGACCCGGAGGCTCGGGGCGCCTGAAAGCTGTTCTCGCATCCTGTCAGCCTGCACGATCACTAATTACATGTCAGCAAGAGTGACAGGCGTAACGAGTCCAAGGTAGAGACTGTATTCCACCTGAAATATTGCGGGAGAGACACGAGCGGCACGCGAGCATGCAGCTATGATGAGAAGATAGCGAGCTCGGCTCGGTCTCGCGCTTTGGTTGACACAGGCTTCTTGCATGAAGGCTGAACGGTATTTGTCAATGCATATTCGTTTGACCGGTCGTGACAAGGTTCGCATTGGACGTCTGAAGACCGTACGTCCACAGTCGGCAGTGCTCACGGCCCCAAGCGAGTGGCTTACAGCACGGCTTGTGAAGTCCTACCACATGACTGCGCTGACTGGCCATACCTTGCGCTTTCGTAGGCGCCGATATTGACTTCCCAGGCGTCAGCTATGGAGGCAACGCCGATGCAGATGGATGTAGGTTGTTGTTGGCTAGAACGGGCATCTAAGCTTCGAGGCCTTTGGGCTGTGGAATTGAGGCATATGTCTGTCAACATTGCTCACATGTTAATATGTAATTCTTCAACAGTCTAGCATTCCATTGAAGCTTTCCCGCACGTCTGTAACATCTCGTCTTCGATCTTTACTCTGCTATTAACTGTCAGCGGATATGGACGGGCAGCCAAAGCAACTCGCTTCTTGCGCTGGTGGGCAGGAGGTGAACTCGAGCGGCAATGGTTTTTGTATGGAGCTGACGTCTGGCAAGCCAGCACTACTGAAAGAGACCATCGGAGTGTGCCTTTCCAGGATTGTCCATGAGTACTCCGATCGACCTGCCGTCAAAGTCGGAGCGCTTCGTTTGACGTACCGCGACCTTGATGACCGAACTGATGAGGTTGTCAAGGCGTTGTACAAGCTTGGTCTGTCATCTGGCGATGTCGTCGCAACGACACTTAGCATGAACATCAATCACTTGCTTGTGTGTTAGCCTCGCCGTAAGCATACCATAGCAACTGACACACATCTAGATCATCTACGCGTGCTTCAAGTCTGGGATTGTCTTGGCGCCTTTAAATCCTGGGTACAGTTCAACTCAGGTCGTGGCTGCCTTGCAGCACGTGAAGGCGCGCTGTTGGTTCGTCGGCCATACCATCGCGATTCCCTACAAGCAACCACTCTCCACACAGCCCCTGCGAGATGCCGTGTATGCGGCGCAGTCTGTCGACAATGCTTTGCTGTGCAAGGTTGTCGTTGTCAATGCTACGTCTCCGACAGACTTCCGCGAGCGATGCTGGGAGTTCCAGACCTTGCTGCGATCCGCTGCGGACCAGGCGATCGAGCGCAACTTGAGTCTCGAAGCGGACTCAACAGCAACTCTGCTTTTCACCTCCGGCACCACCTCATCACCCAAGGCTGTTGTGCTGTCACACCACAATATCTTGAATAACGCCAACGTGTGCTCGCACCTCTGGGGCACAACCTCCGAAGACGTCTACATCTCCACAATGCCCCTGTACCACTGTGGAGGCATTGTTTTGGTCCTGCTAGCCGCAATGACTCATGGTGCAATGATCAGCATGCCATGCGAGGCGTTTGATGCTCTTGCCCTGCTTCGCGCGATCAGGGAAGACCGCTGCACAATCTTGTCCGGTGTGCCGACGATGTACATGGCTTGGCTTGACCTACTGTCCTTGCCTGAGTTTGCCAACCACGACTTCTCTCACATTCGTTCCGGCTTCATTGGTGCTTCTCCAATCCTGCCCTCGCTTCGCGAAACGCTCAACCAGCGCCTACACCTCCACGGTGTCGGCAATGCCTATGGGATGACGGAGAGCAGTCCGGTTGCAACAATAGCCCTTGCCTCCCACCCTGAGGAGAAGAAGTGCTCAACGGTAGGGTATACTATACCCCACCAGTCAGTGCGTATTGCAGCCCGAGACAACCCTCATCGTACGCTGGAAGTAGGCGAGAGGGGTGAGATCCTCATTGCCGGCATGGTGATGAGAGGATATCTCGACAACCAGAAGAAGACGGACGAAGCGATCGTTGAAACCGTCGCTGAAGATGGTACAATGACTCGCTGGATGCGAAGCGGTGACGAGGGTATGATGGATGCAGATGGCTTCGTCTCCGTTACTGGACGGATCAAGGGTGAGTGCATGTGTCCTGCTTCATGTAGGTTGACTGCTGACTTTTCGGCACGGACATCATAATCCGTGGCGGCGAAAACATCTACCCAGAGGAGATCGAGGACGTTATGATGCAGTGTGCCGCCGTCAAGTCGGTCTCGGTCGTCGGCCTGAAAGACGAGCGCTATGGCGAAGTCGTTGGCGCTTTTGTTATTCCGCGACCCAATGTCACCGTCTCGCAAAGCAACGATTCCAACAGCGGCGAGGTCGATCTTAGACTAAGTGCTAGTGCTGCACTGTCCGAAGCGGACACAAGCCAAGAGCTGACTGCATCGCAATTACGAGATGTTGTGAGGGCGAAGCTTGCCAAACACATGGTTCCGAAGCACATCTTCTGGGTCGACGAGCTGCCCATGACTTTGACCGGTAAGATCGAGAAGCACAAGCTGCGCGACTGTGGCAACTCGCTCGTAGCACCAACCCAAGCGACGGCCGTGGAAGTGCAGGCGGAGCTCGTAGAGGAGCCGGACTCGGCGGTAGTGGAGCAGGAGCAAAATAATCAACTTGTGCCTGTGGAGACTACTCATCAGCCTGGCAGTGCGAAGGACTGGAAGGGTTCCGGAGAGCCGTGCATCGTGGAGCGTGAGGTCAACGTTCAGCCAGTGCGTCATATAAGGATCTGGGCAGGATGGAGACGTCCTGGGAAAGCATTGCGGAGGCTCATGCTGTTTTCGGCGCGTCGGGAAGTGGTGGTAAAGGCTTGAAGCACAAGCGATATCTGTCAACCACATCTTCGTCCTCAAATTGCGCATGATCTGACAAGCACGGGAAGTCGTCTGTTTGGTGTACTCAGGATTTGCTTGTCGTCAGCCCGCAGCTGACTCTTCATTGAAGCTAAGTTGAAAAACACACTGACGTGACTTCCAGTTCTTCCATCATGTCCAACTACCGTCGGCCTTACAATCCAATAATGCTTCGCGGAATGCTCGCCATAGCTGACCGTCTTCGGCCAGTGGAGAGCCCCACCCTTGAAGGCCCATCTGAGTCGCCTGGAAGCCCTACCAACAGTCTTGCCGGCGATGACCGCGACGATGATCGAGAGTATGAAGACGTGCAAAGCGTCGCGGACCCGAGCCAGAACACAGTGGATGAAGAGGACACCGAACTTCCGTTCGCCCGGCATGCTAGATCTGCGTCTGGAGCTGCGACTTCTTCCAGTCAGCTTTCGCCATCAGAACTGAGTGATCAGAAGGGCACCGAAGAAGACTTTTCGCATAAGGTACGGTTGTTGAGCAGCATTGCAACGGCTTTCCGAATGGTTAAGGAAAGATCGGCCATGATCGTTGAGCAAGTCAAGATGATAGAAGGCATGGCGAGCGAGATGGAGAAGCTTTTAGACTTGTATAACTTCTGAGGGACATAGTGCGAGTGTAGTGACGCTCATGCGCTGCTGTCCGTATGTGATGGTCTTCTCCGGCAGCCCCATATGCTGCATTTATCCTACAGGACCACTGTCCTTGCGATGCTTCTCTTTCAGTTTCTTCTCCGTCTTCATAAATTCTCTGATGCCGACCGGAATGTCAGCGAATAGATCCGCTCCGCCTGCCGTCCCGAAGCTCTCCATGCCGCCCGCAGCGGTCCAATTTGTTTCGCTTCCACCTCCGTCTTCATCCATACTCGTCGCCACGTGCGTGGGCATGCCAGGCTCCTGCGCCATCATACCCGTTGCTTTGCCCTGGCGTCGTTGCTCAAGCAGCTTAGCCCGCGCTTCGGCACTCTTGGCCGCCCATTCCTCCAGCTCATCACGGAACCTGTCCCATACGCAGTTGACACAACCGCTCATGCAACAGTTATCTGGCTCCTCCGGGCGTGGTGGGACGAGAACGCCAGCCACATTGTGACTCTTGGCCTCAATTTCGCGGCGTCTCTCTACAGGCCCGGCAAGCCGTGAGCCGAAGACTACGCGAGCCTTCTCTAGATTCTCCTCCTTAGCCGTCTTCGGCAACTGGTCTGTTGGTAGCGGTGCCGGCGCCGTGCGTGTGCCCGGCTGCACGGCGCGTAACGGAGCATCTAGCAAGTCGGCATAGTAGCCTTCAAAGGGATGCGCCTGCCCTGAGCGAGCACTATCGGCGTAACATCTCTGCAAAGACAGTCCAACATACACTCGCGCTTCCAACCCCTTGCATAGTTTTGGCTTCGCTTGAGCGAGCCTATGCACAGCGCTGCGCATGCTTCATTGCATGATCGTAAAACGGAATGGTAACGTCCAGTCTGGAGATTGCTCGGGAGGCAGTGACAGTGACGTAATTGAAGCCGAACATCTGCCGCTCAATGGACATTGGCGTGCATTCACCCGCCCATATTGTTAATGATCGCGCCAAAGGTGAAAGCCTTGAACGTGCAGTCGAAAAGACACTGCTAGACTACTGTATGTCCGGTAACAGCAGGACACCGCGTGGTCACAACTTCTACCATCGCGCTTAAAGTTAACCGTCTAGTCGAGCGAGCAGGTTCTGTACACACAAGCTGTGAAGGAAGGTGATAGAGCTAGCCCCATCGCTTTCGCGATGCCTCTCCTTACGTTCCCTTGGTAGGCAGCTGGAAAAGTTGAGGCGAACCGACAGCACGACGCTTTTGCCACTGAACACGCCACACTGATTGTGCGGCAATCTAGGTTGGTAGAACCACCACAACCTGCCGATATCTCACACTGCAACAGCCTCTCCTATCGCCTTAGCAAGCCGTCTGTACTCCATCAACAGCTCTTCCACTTCCCCCAGTCTCAAGTCACTGGCACTTGACACTGCGAGGAACCTCTTCTTTGGCGGTTTGATCTTTCTCAACTCCGCTAGGGCTTCCCTAGCGTTTAGGTCATCGCCTGTTGTAGAAACAATACTCTCCTTCGTCCTCTGCTTTTCTAGATTCGGGAATGCCTCGGCCGCATCGTCCATTGAAGGCCGCTCAACGATGTTGTCGAGCTTGTTCGGCTTCTCTACGGTCGGGGAAGGCTGCGCCGAGATATTGCCCGCGCCACGCCCGAAACGTGGAAAGCCGGGTACGCCGAAGCGGTTCAATGGGTTGATGGCATTGAGTATGTTCGCGCTGGTGGACGCTGCTGCCGCAGAATCTTCCTTGGGCTTCTCCTTTGCGGCAACGTCGCTGAAAGCAACGCGCTTCCCGCTACCGGCTGACCGGGTACTATCTACGCTCCGGTCACGCAAAGGCGGTTTCCGGCCTCCGAGAATTTCAAGCATCTTGTTGTCGATCTTGCTTGTTGTGCTTGTCGGATCGTCTAGTGCAGGACTGCTGCGACCACTGATGTTCAATGATTCGTCTTGCTCCTCCAAACTTGGCGAGCTGACCAGCTTGCGAGCTTCCTCAAGCGTCTTAGGTAGAGGCGAGTCGCCTGTGGCTTGCTCTTTGAAGCGGCCAAAGACGAATTGTAGACTATTCTCAAGCGTGCCGTTGATGCTATCGTAGATCTTGTCTGCCGCGTTGAGAAAGTTCTCACGCCCGGCCTCGAGTCTGTCGGCTTGCGCTTGCACCAAGTTCGACAACCGACGTTGATGCATCGCTGGTCGATTGGTCATTGGCGTCGGCGTACGTGGAGATGGAAGAGCCTGTGCAGGGTCGCTGGAGCTGCTGCTGAGCTCAGGCGAAGTGGCTGTAATTGGCGCTACGGTGGGCTTGAGAGCCCGAGCAGCGCTTAGGTGAGTTGGCGGAGACCTCTCAGAGGTAGGTGTCGAGGGCCGGCTGCTCGACTTTGCCGGTCCCTCTGGCAGTTCATCGGCCCGGAGTGATGAGAGATCAACCGTTTCCAGGAATGAGATGGCGGCCTCAAGATTGACCAGACAGTAAGCAGCTTCGCCATCGACCTTGCTCTGGGCACGGAACCGTTGAATGAAGTTAAGGTTGCTGACAACACTGATGCCCTCAGGCGGCGATGTTATTAGCGTGTAAATCAGTGTGGGCAGAATCTCGTCAGCAGAGGATGATGATGGAAAGAGTTCCGAAAGGGTCTCCACAATGCTTTTGTGCGCATCCGTGAGATGTCGCAGTTTGCCAGCCGGATAATGCTCGTCGTCCATGCGCTGCAATGCTTCCCGAGCACTAGCTAGTGATTGGGAGATGTCTTCCTCCTTCTCCGCTGCGGTCTTCCGCACCTCCGCTTTCGCAGGGTCAGAATCCGTGTGTAGCTCTTTCAGGCCGATCCCAACCACGGATAACGCAGCCGTCCGTGAACGTAGCTTCTCGTCTCGTGCCTCGTCGTCCGTGCTCCGGTGCTTGAAGATGCGATCGTATACCTTCTCACACACGCCGCGCTCCACTGCCTCTTCCAAAGCTATTCGCTTGAGCTCAAGCAGACGCCTAGCCTTCTTTCTGTAGGCGACTTCGGAGGCCGTGAGCATCTCACCACCACTTACTGAGCCATCATCGACACGCTTCGCACCAGAACCAGCTCTCGCCCGTCCACTCGGCTTGGACGGCGTGCTTGAGCCCTTGTCTCGTCCAATACGGGATGCTAGGGAAGCAATATGTGTCGCAATGTGCGATGCAGCACGTTCGTAGAAGTCCTGGAATAGCTCAGAGAGCGCATCTGCTGCAAGAGGCTGAGCATGCACCTTTGCGGACAGACTCTCGAGAAAGCGCTCGCTCAAACTCTTGATCTCTATGGGAAGATCGTCAAAGGTGCTTGGGATCTTCAGTTCCGGGTTGGGCGTCACTGCGCCAGAGGGCACATGCTCCTCTTCATCATCATGGTTCTCAAAGACATCGGCCCTCTTTCCCGCCACCTCGGGTGATCCGTCAATATGCCTCGCTTCCGGTATGGCTGGTATACCTGCTTCCTGCAGCGTGCTCGCTCTCTTTCGAGGTGATGTTGCTGACGGAGACGCTGGCATGCGGATAAAGGATTGCGAGCCGTGCAAGCCTGGACGGCTGTCGCTGACGGATCTCTGCGACACGCCGGACATCCTGCCTTGCATGCTGAGCTTCTTCAAGTGTAGCGTGCAGCTAAGATATGCATACGGTTTGCAGATAGGCCGCCTTTTACTATGTCATCCCGCGGCCAACTCGACCAACAACATGAAAGTACCGCCTCCACCAATCAATGCTGAACGGTACCTGCACAAACCAAGCGAGTGGAAGAGACCAGAGCCCAGCTCCACGGTCCTCGGTGGATGCTCACGGCATCCGAAGGCAACAAAGACTGATCGTCTCGTGCGTGGACGTTGCTTCTTCAGCACGAAGTCAACAGCGCCAGCCTCAGCACAACTTGGCGCACATGCTGCGGGGGCGACGATGACGCTGACGCCGGGCCGTTTCCGCTGGTAGGATGTTCCGAGCGCCTATCGTTTGTTGATGCCTTTGGAGCCGCATGTGACCTACATCACGAGTAAGACACTCTATTCACTTTGAACGACGCTTGAGGACGCATGCGATGCTTCATCAACGCTGCTTCAGCTCGAAGGGGCAGGAGCAGCACTCCCAGCGCCATGTTCAGCGGTAGCGCAGTGTTTGCGTGCTTGCTGCTTCTTGCAGGCTTGAGCGATGCGTTCCGTATAAGCAGTCCGCATGAAAGGGCGCAAGAACGAGCAGAGTGGCTCTCGAGGCTGGAGGACAGTCGGCGACTTGCAGACGCTGTTCTACCTCCTCAAGTGCCTATCAATAATGGGCATATTCCAGTAGCCCCAGATCTTGACGAGCGAGTCTTTGTGGGTGAAATGGTGAAGTGGCAAACGGTCCGAGGCTAATAGATCGCATAGACGCTGCGCCATATCTACCATCGAGGAACCCACCAGTACCCCAAGCTTCACCGGTACCAAGATATCGCGCCGGGCGACGAGCTTCGTGTCTCCTACGATGATGGCGAAACATACGAAGCAGCGCCCCAATCATTGCGGGTCAATGTCATGCCAACGAGCATCCAGCGGCTAACAAACCGCAAGCCTGCTGACATCGATCAGCTACTTGCCTATGCGGACATGCACGGTAATGCAGCGACCTTGCCTTACTATGACTGGACAGTAGACAGTGTCGCAGGTCCAAACATTACCAACAAAGGCACAGTCTTGACCTTCGCCAAGATGGCAGCGAACGCGTACGTTCAAGGTCACGCTGGCGGAGAGTGGAAAGATGTCAAAGGCGGCTTCAACTACACCGATGACTTTGGCTGGCAGGCTGATGGTCTTCGTGGCCATATCTTCGCCGATCAGAAGAACAAGACGATCGTGATAGGTCTGAAAGGTACGTCCGTACCTTGGTTCGATAACCCGGCTACGACCGACACGGACTTGGTAAGCTAACCCACGACCCTTCTCTGCTTTAGGTACATCACCAGCTGTCTTCGATGGCGCTGACACTACGGGCAATGATAAGCTAAACGATAACCTCTTCGGATCCTGCTGCTGTGGTCAAGGCGGGCAGATCATGTGGAAACAAGTCTGCGACTGTATGACCTCAGCATATACATGCAACTCAACGTGTTTGGTGAAGTCCTTGCGCGAAAAGGGCCATTACTATCGAGCCGTTAGGGAACTGTATCACAACGTCACCGAGCGATATCCGAATTCCGATGTATGGTTGTCAGGACATTCCTTGGGAGGGGTGGTCAGCTCTTTACTAGGCCTCACGTACGGCTTACCCACTCTCACTTTTGAAGCCTTTCCGGATTCGCTCGCAGCGTCACGCTTGGGTCTTCCAACACCTCCAGGCTACAGGATCGGCTCGCATCAGTCACGCGTCAGCACTGGCATCTACCACTTTGGTCATACTGCCGATCCAATCTACATGGGCACATGCAACGCTGGATCATCCTGGTGCACGATAGGAGGGTACGCTTTCCAGGGTGTCTGTCACACTGGCCATACTTGTATTTACGATACCGTTGGTGATCTTGGCTGGCGTGTAGGCATTGGTACGCACAAGATCTCGAATGTAATCCGGGACGTACTGGAGAAATACGATACGGTACCTGGGTGTCAGCAAGACCTGGACTGCCAGGATTGCTTCAACTGGAAATTCTACGAGAGCAATAGCAGCGAGCCAATCACCACTTCTAGTAGCTCCACCTCATCGACACGAACAAGAACGGAGATATGCAAGACGCCAGGCTGGTGGGGCTGTTTGGATGAGACGACGACGACGACGACCGCAACCACGTCGACCACTAGCAGCTCCTCGACATCCACTTGTAAGACGCCGGGTTGGTTCGGCTGCAAAGACCCTACCACTACTCCGTCATCGTCTTCTACAACCGGAACAACGACCAGTGCAATCCCAGCGCCCTCCATCACCACGACCAGCAGCTTGCCGACCAGCACTGAAACCTGCGAGACACCTGGCTGGTTTGGCTGCAGAGACCCGACGACAGTTGCTGTAGCGCCATCGTCTACCTTCGCGCATACCACACCAGCACCTACCGCCGCACGGCCTAGTCCGTCGAGCTTGCCTTCAACGAAACGGAAAGAATGCGCGGAGCGACATTGGTATGGGTTTTGCAGGTCGTGGGAGTACGAAGAGGCTGTCTCAAAGACTGAGTTATGAATGCTATGGTTATTCTGTTAGGTAAAGGGCGTTCAGTGGAGTGTATACATAGCAAATCGCATATTGAGTATCATGCATCGAGGCATCGGAGAATCTTCGGTGAAGCTGCGCGTCGAGACACGTCTTCCATCTGCACTCTATCAACCAGGCGCAAGCTGTCCCACATCCGTCTCTCATTGTTTACTAACGACTCAATCATAACACCGTCCAACAGCATTTGGCTATCGTGAGTCGACGTAGCCAAGATGCCTACATACTGGCTCTCAGACTCGCAGAGTCCGCCTTCCATCCCTCTGCCTTCCCTATCTATGCCTCGCTAACACCCCTGTAGAAGTAGGCGTAGCCTTCTGTACCGGTGGTAGGTATGCTCGCCGGATTGTTACGTCTCACTTCTTTCTCGATGCTGATAACAGATCAGGTTTCTTCTTCCTCCTCTTCGGCCTCGTACTCTTCTTCGACCGCGCCCTTCTCGCCATGGGCAACATTCTCTTTCTCGTTGGCATCACTCTACTTCTCGGGCCACAACGAACATTCGCTTTCTTCGCACGCAGACAGAAGTGGCGGGGTAGTGCTGCTTTCTGGGCAGGCATCCTGCTTATTCTATTGGGGTGGACGTTGGTGGGTTTTGTGATCGAGGCTTATGGCATATTTGTGCTGTTTGGAGAGTGAGGACCTTTATCCCTCTGTCTTGCGGAAGGTGCAGGGACTGATACAAGTGAATCTAGGTTCTTCAAAACGATAGCAGGATTCGCGTACAACATCCCAGTGGTCGGGCCCTATCTCGCAAGAGCGCTGCAAGTTGCTGGAGACAAGGCGGGTGCGAACGAGCGAGCACACAAAGATCTCCCGGTCTGAAAATGAAAGCGCTACGGTTCCTCACTGATCGCGAGCGAAACGCTGCTTGACTGCACTCAGTGTCGTGTCGAGCGGAGGTGCCGTGGTGGCAGCATTGGTAAAACAATCTCAAAAAGCTAGTCCTGCCATGAGCACCTGACGCCCAGCTGGATATCCGCACCGAAGCAAGACTTTTGCAATCCATGGAACACCGCGCAGATCCCCACCCATGATGATTTAATGCACGCCGTTGGAGACACCGTTTGTAGGCGCGCCATTAGTGCCTTTCGCCGCCGAAGCCTTGCCGAGAACCTGGCGCCGCACCCTCACGGCATCTGCAAGCTGTTCAAGCACTTCGATGGTGGTATCCCAGTCGATACAGGCATCAGTTATGCTCACGCCTCGCTTAAGCGCCTCCAGGCCTCGCCCGTCATTTTTCTGGTTGCCCTCAAAGAGATACGACTCGATCATGACACCGACAATGGCCTCTTGGCCTTCGCGAAGCTGGTCGCCGATCACCTGCGCGACCTTGGGCTGGTTCTTGTGATTCTTCTGGGAGTTGCCTTCCAACGATGTCAGTCCGCATTCGCAATAAGGACGCAGAGATAGCTTACCGTGCGAGCAATCAATCATCATCACCTCCTGCTGACCCTTCTTCCTCAGTGCATCTCGCGTCTTCGCCACACTGTCCTTGTCGAAATTCGTCCCGCTTGTGCCACCTCGCAGGATGACGAAGCAATCCGGGTTGCCCAGAGTCCTCGTAATTGCCGCAAGACCCTGCTTTGTGACACCCATGAAGTGGTGCTTTGCAGCTGCCGCGCCTATCGCATCGACCGCAACGCTCAGCCCGCCATCTGTGCCGTTTTTGAAGCCCATGGGGAAAGACAAGCCGGAAGCCAGTTCACGGTGCAACTGCGACTCCGTTGTCCTTGCACCAATTGCACCCAGAGAGATGAGGTCGGCCAGGAATTGCGGACTGATCGTATCGAGCATTTCGCTCGCAATGGGCATGCCCATGGCGGTCAGATCGCAGAACAGCTTCCTCGACACTCTGAGGCCTTTGTTGATCTGGAAAGTCTCATCGATATCTGGATCGTTGATAAGACCTTTCCAGCCTACTGTCGTCCGTGGCTTCTCGAGGTAGGCACGCATAATAATGAGCAGGTCATCCTGGAGCTTGTCTGCAAGCTCGACGAGGCGCGAGCAGTATTCAACGGCGGCTTCCGGGTCGTGAAGTGAGCATGGCCCGCAGACCACCAGCAAGCGGTCATCACGCTGCTTGACGATCTCAACGGCTTCTTTGCGGCCCTTGAGCACGGTGGGGATGGAGTTGGCAGGCGCAGGCACTTCGGAGGTGAGCAGGGCGGGAGGGATTAGAGGGTCGTAGCCGAGGACTGTTTGGGTCAGTAGGTGCGCCAGTAATGCCTTTCGTAATTGTATCCGTACCGCGAACGTCGTCGCTGACGCCGTGCAGCTGCTCTTCCACAGCCATTGCTCTGAGTCTGGTACGGGTGCGCAAGGACTATGCTTCGTTCCCTACTGCGGGTGTTGAGTAACTCCTAAAACAAAATTACCTCGCTCTTGTTGTGACGTGTGATGATGTGCAGATACTCGGAGTGAAGATTGAAAAGCTCAATGGCACTTAAGAGTGAAGGGTTTCGTGGCGGTGACGCATCGCTTGAGCGAACAATGATCTCCGCCAAAAAATGCACAACGTGCATCGGCCCGCAAGCAAGCATCTCAGGCACCGTGCGTCTTGCACCCGAGTCCCTGCTTCACCACCGATCCAATCACGTCTAGTTGGTGTCACTCAAACTGAGCGCTCTTTGAAAAGCTGCCCTATCGTTCAGAAGCCTTCAAAACTATTCGAAACCTAGATTCTTGATTATCCACTGTTCCTTCGTCGCTGTTAGCTCTGATCTGTCTCCGTCTTACATCTTATTGTTATCCTCGGCGAGCTATCTGGTGCACATGGCCGAGTCGTTATAACGTTTGCGACATGGACTGTGTCTGAGTTTTAGCCGATCAGACATGATAATACGGTCACACCCTTCACACGCATCGAACATTGATCATTTTTTCAACCGCCTCTCGAATGATCTATGCTCGATTAGCAGCCCGACTTGCTCATCGTCGTCGAGACTCTATGCGGCATCCGATCCCATTCGTGTGTTGCGTGGGGAAGTGATTGCAGTCGTACGCGAGTACTAATCGTGAAACCTACAAGCTGCGGCCCCGTACGGCCTCTCTGTGGAATAAAAGCGAATGCTTCTCTAGATCGCCAGTTCCTACGTTCTGGCGGACGTGGCTGCTTACCACCTCGCATGTTCCGTGAGCGGTCCTGTCAAGCAATCGATCTACGTGTCCGATCGGCAGAGTAGAGTTGGCAGCCGGTGCTCGCGTTGTAGCCGCACCACTATACTACTATCTCACGATCTATGCCAACTGTATTTCGCCATTGAATTTTCCTGTACGAGCGCGAGAAGCCAGGCTAAGCCAACTCAAACAGCACGTCGCCAAGCCTGGACAGTGGACAGCCTTTTCACGTTGACGGCGTACTTTGGCCTGCCTAAGGGCGCAGCATGTGCTTCACGGCTGCAAGATTGAGAAGCTAAGCGCTGTGACAGGCGCTTCTTCACTGCAGTGATAGCTAAACCACGCTGTCGTGGCGGCTGTTGCGGGAGTGTGACTAACAATGTATTGGTAGACAGGTGCCGCCAGACTAGGAGTTTGAAAGCTCGACAAGAGCGATGCCAAAGTCAAGGTCGAGCTAAGGCGGAGACGGGAGAAACTCGAGCTTAACGTGCACCATGCAGAGGACGACGCTGTAAGATAGACCGGACCTAAGTGCCTGCTCGGGATGAGTTGGAGCTCGCCAGGGAATCTGGAGTGTCCATTCGATCTAGATCTTGCATCTCCTCGTCCCCTGGCTCTTGGCGCTGATTTGACGCCTGAGCTGGAGTCTCCTCGTTCTGGTAGAGCTTCATGTTAACGAACATCACGTATAGTCCAACGTCGTACGCCAAACGGAAAGCTCCAGCAGCCACGAATGCTATCCAAAATTGGTTATTGCCAGCCAGGATGCCAGTTATGGACGGTCCGGTCATGGCAGCAAGTGTTCGGAGAAGGTTCGTAATTCCCATGACCGCAGTGCGCTCTTCCGGCTTCACTACAGCCGCAATGAACGCTGAGCGAGGCGCTTGATCCATGTTGTTGAGCCCCGCCCGAATCATCAGCAAGATAACGTCAACGACAAAGTTGTTCGGCAGACCAAAGACAAGAACGGCAGCAGAGGATGGTATGTGGGTGAAGACCATCGTGTTGATCAGGCCAATCGTCTTGGCGAGTGGACCCGCAAAGATGGCGGAGATAGCGCCGAGGAAGTAGCTGACTGACGTGACGTCTCCGAGGACAGACTTCGAGGGATGGAACTTCTCATCCAGGTAATAGTTCGTAAGCGAGTAAGGTACCATACCGTCGGCGATAGAGTCTGCGGCTAGCAAGACCCAGAGTTTGTACATTACCCCTCGTGTGGGTGCGGAGATGAGGGACAATTGGCTCGTAAACCACAACCAGTGACGCCTGGGTTGAGAAGCCCCCTCTTTGGGATGAGGCTGGTTTGTTGTTCCGTTGGGTTCACGCTGCTCGTCCAACTCAAGGCTCTCACGTTCATCTTGTGCTACTTGGGCATATGTGGCGTCGTTCTTGTGAATCTCACACGCATCCGTGAGCAGCCAAGCCAGCAGCGCATTGACGAACCCCATGACGGTATAGACCCAGAACAAGGCATGGTAAGCGTCAAGCAGCTCCCAGCCACCAACATTTCGCAGGGCGTGGATAATCCGGCCAGAAGCTTCGCTTCCAATGGCCGATCCAATGGTCGAGCACGTCACGTACCATGCCAAAACGTCTGACCGCGTCTTTGACGACGTGAGCTGCGACAGAACGGATTCTTCAATGGCCCTGAACGGTCCGAAGTCGCCGCCAGTTGCGCTCACAACGCCTATAACTGCGGCAAAAAGAAGGATCCAAAAGTTGTTGAAGACAGCAAAGGTGGCACCGCTTAGTATCATGAGGAACGATCCTCCGAACAGGATATTGCGTCGTCCAACTTTATCAGCGATGAGGGTAAGACCGAGACCGAGAAAGACATCGCCAAGCAGTGTGAGTGTCATGAACAGTCCGATACGGTAGTCAGAGAACTTGAGCTCGGCGAAGAAAAGCGCTACGCATGGCCTCCGTTAGTCCTTGAGATAGGAACATATTGATGCATTGTCACACATTACCCAATATGAGTGAGTTCGTGCCATATGCGAACATACGACACGAGCGTGCAAGGATGATAAGCCAGGCATTTCGACCCGTCTCGTTAATCGAAGACAGACCGAACTCATGGTAGAACCAGACAAATGGCCGAACAATAGCACTCATATCCTGAAGATACGCACGTAGTCATATTGCAAAAGAGTGTAGATGAAAGCTTCAACGAGTGAGGGCCTTCCGAAGCCGGAGCTTCCTGCCGTCGAAGCCGGCTGCTCCATGATCAATGGCTTCATGTTCATTGACCTGTCCTGCATCGAAAGCATCGAAGTATATATCGTCTTTCGGAAGGGCCATCATAGAAGCCATGGTAACAGGGATCTCGACTTGTTGTGCCTTACGTACGGAATCGCATCGAGCTGCGACGATGTGCAAGAGCAGAAAGTTGATGGTCGTCCTGCCAATCTCCTGAGGGCGATCTTCCATCCAATCAGTCGAGCCGCCTCCGCGTGGCAGCCAAGGCTTTAAGGTCGCTTGACCTTCTGACCCTTTTTCTCGGACTCAGGTCGAGAATGAGAATTATATAATGTGAACATGCAGACACTTCACGATGCACGGATTTCCTACAAGGATCGCATAATGCCTCCCTGTTGATATGTTCCGCCGCTATGCATGAGTCTCAGTTTCAGGAAGAGAGTCGCGGCTTATAGCTGTACGACTGTCTGAAGCGCAGAAATCGTCCCACTATTTCTGCAACCTCTTACTTATAGGACGATGCAAATCTACCTCCCACCAATTGAATACGCCATCAATAGGGGCGCCTCAGCCGCGGCCGGCGATTGCCTACCTCAAACGTTCCGTCCGCCAGGGCGTGTCTCCGGGGACGCCTCTTACCATGAAACGGTTGGCGCTCGTACCTGCATTAGCGGGTTTGCGGGTTTCGACCACACAGACCTCGCGCGTTCTGGTCTGCGTCTCTCGTCCTCTCGCAGGCTACGCGCCATAGCATGGACGGTAGGCCACATCTATTGTCGCACTCTCTAACGAAGCCAGTTCGCTTTGATGGCTGTACGAACCAGGATTAGACCACTGTGTCCCATGTCGATGCCCAGAAAACGTAACCTTGCCCGGTCATTCGGAGCAGCACCATACAGGAGGCTCATCGACAATGCTCCGACAGGTGGAGTAGTAAGTCACAGTCCATTGTTTCGGCGGCGGGTCTGTGGTTACGTATAACACCTTTGACTCTCGCTGGCTGATCCGCTCTACTGTAGTCCTCTTTTCTGCATTCCCTCTCTGTCTTTCTTTGCTTGCACAGAGTCTTCTCATTAGCACAGCAGGGTCACTCGTTCCTCCCTGCCTTTCTACACCGTGTTTTCTATCTACTTTACTTACATTCACTGCGTGTGAACCGCTGCCGTGTATCAAGCACGTTAATTATCAGGCAAGATGCGTTACGTTTCAGCAGTGGCTGTTGCCATTGCGGCACAGAAGGTCGCGGCCACTGTAAGTTGTCCCCCTGCAACCATGTGGCAGAGTTCATCGCTATACCAGACATGGCTGACTCCATAAGCAGGGATGGTCGACGGGATCCTTCTCTTGTCCGTCTAACACCAACAACAACTGTTCGACTGCTCAACACAGTGGCTATGACTGGTCTGGCCTTCAATCCGGTTCTTTCAGCTCATATGGTAGCAACAAATTCTCCGGTTTTACCTGCAGCGACTCTGCCAGTAAGCATGGCCCGCTTATGGCGCGAGCATTCCGGGACAAGTGCATCACCGGTAATCTAGACGACAAGCCATCGATGTCCTGTGGGTCTGATGAGAGCTCTTTCTCGATATCTACCTTCCAAATGAGTTCGAGCGAGGACACCAACTTCGATTGTGAATATGGTATGCCGGACGGCTCAACTTGCACAGAGACACATGCCTGCCAGGCCGGTGGGTCCGTGATCCAGAACACGCAATGTGGTGGTGCCACCAGCGTCACATTCAAGCCGGCGGGAGGCAACACAGGCTCGAATTGCTCCATTAGCATCCATTCGGTGGGCTTTAACTGCGGGTCAGCGCCCAGCACCGTGCCGGTCAGCACCCCTACTTCCTCTAGCAGCTACGTATCTGCATCCAGCTCCGTGGTCACAACCAGCTCCGCGGCCTCCATCGTCACCACTTCTAGCGCCCACATTTCGAGCACTCCAGGCGCCAGCAGCTCAAGCGCAAGTTCTTCTATCATGACCGGTTCTTCATCCGTCCCGCAGACGACGTCGGATATCTACTCCACAAGCCGCCCATCCAGCGGGCTGTCAAGCACCCCGACGAGCGTAGCGACTTCGCCTGTGTTGAGCACCTCGTCAGCAGTCACCTCGTCGGCAGTCAGCTCGACATCACCCAGCTCGTCACCACCCAAATCGACACCACTTAGCTCTACGCCACTGACATCGGCCGCTACGTCCTCCGTGAGCACCAGCTCATTCCCGACACTGACCCCACCGTACTCGAGTCTGAATGCCTCCTCTTCGACATTGTCGATGCCTTCGATTCTGACACCAGGCTCTCCTACGAGCTCGCCGGCTACGTCTTCTCCGGTGACGTTCTCTTCGCTTAGTAGCTCAACTCCAATATCTGCTGCCAGCGTTTCCCCATCATCGTTATCAGCATCCAGCATTGCAACCGGTCCCACGACGACAGGTCTCGTCACCTCGTACTCCACCAGCACCATATACACCACGACTTACGATACGATTACGTCGTGTGCGCCTAGTATTACGAACTGTCCTGCGAACAGCACGGTGATCGTGACCAATACTATTGCTATTTCAACAACCATCTGTCCAGTCACTGCAACTGAGACAGGCGCTATTGACTCGACGCCAGCAAGCTCGACCATCATCCCAAGCTCGACCATCATTCCAAGCTCGATCATTATCCCAAGCTCGTCCACTCCAGCAGCTTCTGTCGCGGCTGTAAGCTCTTCGCTATCGACAATCTTGTCGAGTGCCACCATCACATCCTACTCGACAAGCACGATCTACACCACAACGCAGTCAACTATCAGCAGTGCCGGTAGCGTGGTCATAGTCACTGACACGATTGCGATCTCCACCACTGTCTGCCCGGTCACAGCCAGCGCCACTGCCAGCGTGGTGCCGGCAGCAAACGCGACTACGCCAACAAGCTCATCAGCAGCAAACTCAGCCTCGAGCAGCTCGGCTTCTGCTAGCGCATATCCATCGCCAAACTGCCCGGATCTCCTGCCTAAGTGCTTGAACACCTGGCTGCATGAGACCAACTGCACGGATAACACCGACTCTAGCTGTTACTGCGAGGACAACCAATTCATTACGCACGTTATGGGCTGCATCAGCGCCTGGTCTGGTTCCGACAACAGCACAAGCGCAGCCGCAAGCTATCTCCAGGGCATCTGTGCCCCGTACGTGCCTCAAAACCCTGCGATCATCACTGCCTGCCCTTCAAGCATCGTTCCGGCAACGGCAACATCAGTCACCCCTTCCTCATCGACAGTCGATGCTGTCTCGTCGGCTCCCGTGCTACCGTCCACTATCACGGTTTACTCTACGCAGGAGATAACAATCACAAGTTGTGGCCCAGAGGTTACGAACTGCCCAGCTCGTTCGACGGTCATTGCCACGACGTCAGTGCCTGTGTCTACTACGGTCATCACGCCAAGCTCTTCAGCCTACGTTTCATCTTCGTCAGCGGCTGTGGCGCCCGTTTCTTCGGTGCCCGCGATCCCGTCGACTGTCACAATCTACTCCACGCAGGAGGTCACCATCACCTCCTGCGCTCCTGATGTGACCAACTGTCCGGCGCGCTCAACCGTCATTTCTACAACATCAGTGGCTGTTTCGACCACAATCATCACACCGAGCTTTGCGCCATTCACTCCTTCCTCGTCCGTGGTTTCTCCGGTCTCTTCGGCACCAGCTGTCCCATCAACAGTCACCATCTACTCTACGCAAGAGGTAACGGTCACCTCCTGCGGTCCGGAAGTAACCAACTGCCCTGCTCGTTCGACTGTCGTCTCTACGACTATGGTGCCGATCTCCACAAGCATCATTCCCGTTGCGAACATCAGCACGCCCGCACCGTCATCGACCCCAGTCACGACGCCTGCACCTGCTGGTCCGTCGACCGTCATCACATACTCGTCCCAAGTTACCGTGCCGGCAACATACAGCACTGGTGTATCCGCAGGCCTTACAATGGCAAACAGCAGCGTCGTGAGCACCCTGCATACCACCGTGACGGTGCCCCAAGTACAGTTCACAACCTCTACCGTGGTCATCAGCGGGCAGACTAGCCTTTCGACTGGTCTTGGTGCCGGCAGTCCGAGCACGGTCTATGCACCTTCGACGGCGGCTGTACCTGCTGTGACAAGCGCTAGGGCGCCATCCAGCGCTCCAGCTTACTCGACTACGATGGGCACGGCTTACAGCTCGAGCAGACCCTCGTCGGTGGCAACATACAGCCCAACAGTCGTGCCATTCACCGGCGCTGGAACAAAGTCTTTGGGTTCGAGTATGGCTGGTTTGGCACTGGGTGCCATTGCCGCTCTCGCGCTCATGTAGAAGGGTGGCTTAAGTGCCTAATAGTCTCTGTTTCATTGCATATGGTGGGACACTATAATGACGGACATGTTGTGCTCACATCACCGGAGAGCATTAGACCATCTTGTTGATTCCGGCGTTGCAGCTTGGCTCTGCTCGGTAAAGGTCGTTGAACGGCTTGGGTAATGAGTGTAGCATTAGCAACGAGGTACAACTGTTATGCACATAACGCAATCACTTTTAACATGGTCGTGTCAGCCAGCTCGCACCATCTGTGCCACTCTGATCTCAGGTCAGATGCCTTCTCCAAACGCTAGCATCGGCTGTCCCAGTAGCTCAAGCCAAGCACTCAGACTAGGGAACTGTTCTTTCTGTCAATCTAATGCCGTGCCACGACACCCACCACCAATCAATTCTCCATCAAGCTCCTGTACTCGCCATGGTAGCCCTCGTACGTGGCTCTGAACCCGGGATCGCTGACAGTGACGCCGTCACCGCCAGCGGCTGACTTCTCGGCATCGTATTCTGCCAGCCGCATCAGCTTGGCCGCGCGACTGCCTTTGCCCTTGTCAAAGTACTTCCCAAGAAGATCATTGAGCTGAGAATTGCTCAGGGCGTCATCGGCAACACATAGGCGCCCTACCAGAGCGGGTTGGTCCTCGCGAAGTGAGCGGCGTGGCAAGCTACGCTCGTGGAGCAGTATCTCGAGCTCAGCGTTGGTCATGACGCTCCGTGGATTAGATAGCGTCTCCCTCGTGACTTTTGGCTTGGGAGTGGGCTTCTTCTTTCCAGGGGGCGTCCTGGCACCGTCTGACGAGGTCGGGTTGTCATCGGCTGTATCCGCACCACTGCAGAAGAGGTTCTCATCCTGCAGCTCCATGTCTACCGCTCCGCCATCGTTGTCCGTCATCTCCGCTTCATCTTCGTCCGTGAAGTAAATGACGTCTTCATCATCAGCGTTGTCCACAGCGTCGGTTTGGGATGGTGCGACAGAATGGTTGCGACGACGACGTCCTAGTTGCTTGCCACCGGTCAGCTTGGCATAGATCTGGCGCTCAGCCTTCTGACGATCGGTCTGCCACTGCTCCTCGAGCCGAAACTGTGATGTTGCGGCTTTCTTAGCTTCACGAATTGCTATCCTTGCTGCAGCCCTGTCAACCTTGACACGCTCCTTGGCCAACTTAGCGGCCTTCCTCTCGCGCTCCTTGGTCTTTGATATGCGCGCCTTCTCTTGCGCCTCGGCTTTCCTCTCTTTGGCACGACGCTGCTTCTCGATCTCCGTGAGTTGAGCCTTAGTAGTGTGCTGGGCACGGAGAGCCTTTGCTGCTGCGATACGATCCTCCCGCATGCGCTCGCGGCCCTCCTGATCTGGATCTAGCTCAATAGGGAGAAGTGCGTCACCATTCGTAAGCCCCGCGAAGCGCTCACGGCAGGCCTTGCCAGAGTACTTCTTACGCTTGAGGCGCCCTTCGAGGAGCTTGGCGATCTGCGCCCACTTACGATCCTCGAGTCTCTTCAGATCACGCTCGAATTCTTTCTCGGCATGCTTGACAGATTCGTGCAGATGGTGATCCTACCGTTGTCAGCACTGGCAGCAATCCACGGTTGTTAGGTACATACTTCGCCAATATGCCAGTCGCTCAGTTCATCGTCAAGTCTTTCGTTCTCAACTTGCTCGAATAACTTACGCAAGCGAAGCCAACGAGCTCCAATCGATTTGGGAACATAGCGAATGCGGTTCTCCTCGACAAGCTTATCCGCCACATACTCATCCGAGAACCCTTGCTCCTTGAGCGTGATAATGCGGGCATCGTCAGTGTCGTAATCGGTACTAATCGGCTTAGAGATGGCTGCTTTGCCGGTCAAGATGCGACCTTTCTTCTTAGAGCGCTCGCTGTCCGCCGGAGATCCACCACGCTTCAGCATCTGCGGAGTGGTTGGCCGCCTGCTTGTGTATAGATTCCCAAACTATGAGACTCTGTATTAGCGTACCATCGGCCTTGCGGTGAGCGCAGGCAAGCGCAATGTAACAGGGATGGGTCGGCTTACCGGGCTGCTGCGGTCCATCTCAGGCTCATCAGTAGCATATTGACGGCCGCTTAGCACAGAATCACTCCTGCCTAGAAAACGTCAGTGCCATTTGACCCAATCCTGTGCGAACCTGAGAGGGCTGCCTCCCGCCAAAGAGCATGTGGTTCAGTGACGGAAACGGGACGTACCGGCAGACACATTGGGCGCCATGCTGTCGAAGCGGGAACCGGCGTTGGAGCCAGACATGGCGGACTGGGTGCGTCAGCAGTATGGCACTCGTCAGTTGGGCTGTGGCTTGTTCGTGATAGATATGTCGTGGGGGAACGTCGGGTTGGCCACAATCTGCTAAATGTTGTGTTGGGAAAGCCCTACCCAATGTGTCGACGTAGCTATCCTCGGCTGACAAGATCTGGCGAGCCGTATTCACGTCTATGAATCCGATCACGAAGGGCTGTCAACAACTTGCTATGCGCGATAGGCGAGCAGCTGGTGCTCTGAGAGAAGTGCCGCTGAGAGCTGTTATGTTCGAGTCAGGTCGATTTTCGTTCGACAAACGTTATACACACAAAGGTTGGTGTTTGTTGCCCGCATGGTAGAGCAGATCACGAGTTCTAGTAGCACGTGAAAGCGTTCGAAGCAGCCGGCGACAGCCCGGGTTATCGAGGGAAACAGGTTTTCGCCAGTCACTCCTTCCTTTTACAGTGGCAGTACAGACAGAGGGAACAGTCTTTCCTTAGCCGCCCAGGACAACGTCGTCGCTATCGGGTCGCTTGCTTCGAAAGGTAATTAGTTCCAAAGGCAGCAACGACGCTGGCCAAGTGCGAGACAACCGGAACAGTGGCATGGGGGAACGTAACGAATAAGCCATGTACGATTGTTGTACTCTCGGCCGTTCCAGCACCATAGCCAGCGATGAGCTCTCATTGAGCCATTCACGTCTGTGAGGCATTTACGTTTCGGTGTCGCCCGATGGTGAGCAGACACTATCCGAGTGCACAAATTGGATCAGGAGTATTTCCGTACACTCTCAAGTCGGATGCAGGAGACCTCGCAAACACTTGCACGTCGGATCCACGATGCTCGACGTGCGACAGAACAAGACGTGAAGTGAGGTCGAGAGAAGGAAGGCGGCTTCTTGGCATCGCCCGTGACTGTGCCCTCACGTGCATCTGCTCGCCCGTACATCACGCCACCGCCACACACACAACCATCGATCTGCGATGTACAGTGACGTAGGGTTGTTGACGCGCATTTTATGCACCATGGGCGGCACAAGATAGCTACAGGTAGGAAGAGTGTTCTGCTCTGGTTACATCCTCAATCAGGTGCTATCCCTTATTTCATCTCCTGTCATTGTAATAGAAAATGTCTTCCTACTTCTCGCTCCCATCTTTTGCACGGGCGAAGAAGAACAAAGAGCAGCTTGAGAAGACCAACCCGCAGAAGCCAGTGTTGGATGATGAGGATGAGAAGTTCCTGAACAAACAGATCTCGTCAAGCGAAGCGCCGTCAGCGGCAAAGGACGAGCCTCCGACGAAGATCACCGAGGACGGCGAGGAAAAGCCTGCATCCGAGGAGGAAGTTGAGAAGGCTGGCGCAAGTGCGGATCAGGTCATAGTACCCGAAACACAACCAGATATCAAGGATGGCGCGCAAGACGTTAAGCCAGACAGCAAAGCGGACAAGGCTGCAGAGAAGGATGTAGCAGACCCACCAGAACAGGTGCCTGAAGAAAGCTCGGCTCCTGCAGCGAAAGCGACCAAGTCTAAGAAGGATAAGGGTTTTGAGCTACCAAGCCAGGAAGAAGCAGAAGCTGCGACTCGAGGCTTCAACGTCGGCGGCTCAGACAAGGGAGAGAAGGAAGACAGGGGGAACAAGGCACAGAGCGAAGATGGAGACAAGAGGACGTGGGCTTCGTATCTCCCAACTCTCCACGGCGGGAAGAAAGACGCAGCTGGCGAGCAGAAGCCTGACGAACAGTCTAAAGAGGCTGGCAAAGAGCCGGAAGAGCCAAAAGAGGCTGGCAAAGAGCAGAAGGACGGTCAAGTGGGCGAGCACGCTCAGGGCCGTACGTGGGCGGAGTATGCGTCAGCGACTTATTCCGCCTTACCCTCCATACCATCTGTGCCGGCGTCTTGGAAGTCCAAGGATAAAGACAGCAAACCCGAGCCCGTATACAACGAAGACGGCACAATCAACGAGGAGAAGACGCGAGAGAAGGAGGAGCGTGAAGTCTCCGTCTTGCTTGACAACCTTAACATGAGCAGCATTAACAACCGTGTCTTCGCTTTCTCTGGAGAGACGCAAAAGATTTACGAACGCTTCGCTCTGGTCCTGAAAGACACGATCAACGGCGGTCCGACAGCATACGAGGATATGGAAAAGCTCATGCGTGACGCAGGGCCTGAGCTGGAAAAGCAGTTCCAGTCCATGCCTCCTTTCGTGCAGACTCTTGTCAAATCGCTACCAACCAAGCTTGGTACCACGCTCGGACCAGAACTCCTGGCAGCCGCTAGCGAGAAGCCAGGGGCCGATATGCAAGCGCGCATGAAGGCAGCCAGTAAGCAGTCTGGCGGTGACCCAAGCCTCAAGACCGCCGAGTCCAAGCTCGACAAGACCGAGAAGGGCGGCGAGGAGGGCCAGAAGAAGAAGCGTACGATTCCGGGACTGAAGGGCTTGGTAAGTCAACAAGGAGCGGTAGCCAGCATCCTCCGCAACGTCGTTACCTTCCTGCAAACGCGCTTTCCGTTCCTCGCATCGACTACTAATGTGGTCATGTCGCTGGGTGTATTCAGTAAGTCCACATGCTGATCCTGTGAGCGTGGCAGTTGATCGCTAACGGCGCGGCAGTCCTCATGTTCGTTTTCTGGTACTGCCATAAGCGCGGCAAGGAGGCTAGGCTTGCGAAGGAAGCTGCAAAAAAAGATGGAGGGAAGGTCGAAGAAGTTGAAGGCGATGACGATGACATTGAGGTGGACGTCACGGATGAAGAAGGCGAGGATGAGGATGTTGCAGAGGAGGAAGCCGCGACCGGCGAGGCTGAACCCATTGCGGAACAAACGGACAGTGGGGAAGCGGTCGGTGAGAAGACGGAGAAGGCTAAGGAAGAGGTACTGGCGGATCACGAGATGGAGGATAAGCCCGCCGAACGCGACACTACCAAGGCGAAGCAGACGCAATGAGGGACGGGCGGAAGCCGAACACGATGACGCTCAGACTGTCTTCTTGAACGAGACTCAGGCGGGAGGTTACGATGCTCTTATACTTCTTACGGTAATTAACGAGGTCATGTCCTTAGATACCCTTGTACACGCTGTCGGTCTTATCTGACTGCTTGTCCTTAAAGACCTACGTCACTGATTCGTGTCACCCAACGGTCCAGTAATGCACAGTATCAGCGTTCAGTCAGTCCAGACAAGTGACGGATCATTCAAGTGGCGGGTGGGATGACGGCTAGTTGATTCGATTACCTCCAGGTTGACTTTACAATCCAAAGGATGCTATGACGAGCTATAGCACCGTGCATTCAGTTGATGATTGCAACGACTTGATGGTTGCAATGGCTTGATGGTGGTAAGGAGAGCAGACTCCTTCACTACTTGCGCGATGGGGCTACTGGCTCTCGCTGCCAATGCGCCTCAGGTTCGGACAGAGACGGTGTAGGAATACATTATGCAGTAGTGTACATCGAATGTTTGCCAAATGTTTGGCTCCAACTCCCTCTGATGCTATGGGTACATCCATGGCCTTCGTCATGCTCCACCCTGCTGTGTCCCACGTCGGAGATATAAGGCAACCAACGCCGCCCGCTTGCTTTTACCCCGTTCGAAGAGAGCATAAGCCACAGAACAGTCCCTCGCTCCGCGCTTGTTGAAGCAGATTGTAGCTCCAGTTCTCCTCCCCTCTATCTACTTGTCCGACTCTTCCGCTACCGAGCTATCTCATTAGTGTTGAAGCATCGTTGGTGGTCCCAACGGACTCCGCGGCAAGCGTCCTGGTAACATTCCCGGGCCTTGGCTCGGAGCGCTCTGGGCCAGATTCATCAGCATGCTCTGCACTTGGGACGCATTCCTCAACCATGGCAGCTCCCACAGATCCGTCGTTGAGTTCTTTACCAACTCCAGTATCATCACGATGATCCCCCACGGGTGCGGTCTCGGCACTATGAGCCGCTCCATCATGACGCGCATAATCTGTTCTTGTAAGTCTTCCGCCGCTACCGTGAACATGTGCTGTAGCGCAGTCGAGAAGTAGTGCGTGTGCGCGTTGACGTAGCGGACCTGATTGATCATTGCCGATATCAGCTCGTAACGGGCAGCTGGGCGGCTCTCGCGGAGGAGGCGTTCGAGCAAGCGAGCGGGCGGCGCTGCAGATGAGAAGACCGACGAGGACGTTGTAGCTTGTATACCAAGGTAGATGACGAACGCATTCGCGCGTCGTGCATCTGCCGGACCATCTCCCAACGCGAGCGCGTCCAGAATCTTGCTGAAATCATCATTGCTGATGTCGCCACTTTCGTAGACCCTGTCAATGGCATCCTTAATACCGAGCTCTGCCAATAGCACATCCTGGTTACCGTGCACGATAGGTGGCGAACGGATCGTTTCCAGCCTGTTGATCTTCAGACCAGGTGTGAGCGGGTCAGGCTGCTCGATTGGCCTCGGTGCAGCACTGTTGATTATATTGTGCAGCTGCGCCAGACCGTGAGGTATGCTACTGTTCAGCTCGAAGTGGTGCTCAACCAAGAACTCCGGGAAGTCGTGGTGCAGCGTAAGCAAAAACTTAATGACGCCCTTGTAGTAGTCTTGGATCACTGTGGACGCTTCTGGTATGCTGAAGAGCTGCCCGAGGCTCTCAAACAGCGTGCCAAGTATGCCAGCAAAGTGCGCCCACCCGCCGTTGGACCTGCCGGCTCCGCTAAGGAACGAGGTAATGACAAGGCGGTGACTGATAAGAGCTAACCACGGGTACGTGAAGTTGGGGAAGTATCGCGGCTGCAAGAGCAGCAATACTTTGCCGAAAGTTTCTTGGGACATAGCTTGCTGTTCCGCGGGGCTCATCGAGTGTCTCTTGTCATTTAGCTCACAAAGCAGCGATGAGAAAAGTCGGAAATAGATCCTTGAATTCCACCGCTCTCGCTGCTTGTTGTGATGGTCCGCCATCACCATCACAATCAATGCAATGACGCCGCCCAACACACGTGCTTTGTCATGCGGTGCCTCTCCGTTGATCGGACTGTGATAGAGGACGGAGTACGCAACAAGCCTGGCGAACGCGTCGATGTGTACATATGCAGCATCTGGTGTCGCATACGGCGCGTTCGTCACTCGCTCGAAAGCAGAGCCCGCCATTTCTAAGCAGGCGCGGTAGAATACGACGGATTTCTCCGGGTTATCCACGATGTGGAACTTGTTCAATTGCTTCAGGAAAGCAACGTGTCTGTGCTCGGGGATGTCTTTGCGCTGCTGCATGCGAACCCATTCCTCGAAGACGTATTCGATGTGATCCCGCTCGTCATCTTGCGGTGAGCTCGGCACACCGTTCTGTTGTGTAGACTCGAGCTGCAGTCTCGACATGATATCTCGGAGGCTCTCGTTGTCCGGATCTTCCGCGAGCCATTGGCTAATCCCTTCGTAAGTCATGACAAAATCGGTGCGCATCGCAATCGCATTTTCGCTGATCAATGTCTCTTCTAGCAGCTGACGAAGGAAGCCAACAACTGCCGGCCGCTTCTGCTTGAGTGCCTTCGCGGTCCGGATGTCGACATGCTGAAGGTCGACCATACCTTCATTGGCCAAAGCCACCACAGCTATGGCGTTGAAAGCCTTGTCGTCCTCCTGGTTTGCCAAGTACATCATCAGAACCCGGGCTGCATGCGTCGACATCCGGCACAGCTGTGCCATCAAGCGAACAAACACTTCGACCTCAAGACGCTTTTGCGCAGTATGGTAAATAACCGAGAGACAGTGCTCTCCTGCCGCAATCGTAAGTTCATCCCTCTGCACGGAGGAGTCGAGCAGAGCTATGAGCTGCTCGAAGATCCGCCTGATGGCCGTAGCTTCGCCGACTTCGTTGATGGAGTCTTCTTGCGCCTCCTGTGCCGCTTGCTGCAGTTCGTGGAGCAGAGATAATATCCGCCGTCCACTATCTGGCCCGTCACTGTAACCGTTAACCTGGTGTTGGCCCTGCGCGGACTGCATTTGCAAGCGTTGCAGCTGTGGCGTCGGTCTCGGCAGCGCAGGCGCTTCAGCAGGTGTAGGCAGGTTGGGCAGATAAGTGTCAGCTAACATATCCGGCAGCTGTCCTCTCGCATCTTGCGACACACTGTTCGCATGCGTCGTTGGTGTGATCCTTGCCTGACGCCCGAAGTCTTCATACAACCCAAGCTGTTGGCGGTTGAGCCCGTTCGCATTGACACCTTGCGGATCCTGTCTGAACGGCTCCGGAATCAGCTGCGCCCAGCGACTAACGGGCGGGTTGTTGAACAGCTCATTTGGTCTTTGTTCGTTGTGCCGCTCGCGCTCTTCGATTGCTTGCGCAAGCTGCGCATCAATCTCCGCCAGAGAGTGTTCCTCTGCCGCATGCTCAACAAGCCCGCACACAGTGTCGATATTGTCGTTGACGAACATGATGATTTGGCCTTCCGGGAGTGGGTCGTGCACGTTCTGTTGTGCGAAGATACGAATGTTGTTCATGATACTCATGCGGAGAGGCTCCTTGCAGGTGACCAGAGCGAGACTGCCAGACAGCGCCTTCACCACAGTGTGCGCCGAATTGCGCAACTTCTCGACATCGGCCTCGGTAGCGAAGTCTTTTTGGATCAGCTCAGCCGTAGAGATCGCAGCAATGGTAACGGATCGCTCTACCACAGGCGCGATGATCTCATAGATCGCCCGCTGGGCAGCGTTCACGAAGATGCCACGGAGCTGAGGCTGGGTGATGTTGCCGGCGGCTGTAGGGATCTGGAGCATACCGCCAAGATCGGGCAGTGCTTGGATGACCGCTTCGGGTGAGAAGCGCTCGTTCGGCGGCCGCTTCGAAAGCTGCATAAGGTGCATGTCGCCAAAACCATCCGGCCCGCCATCGCCGACGTACGGTTGAAGCAAGTTGTTTTCTGGCATGAGCGGCCTGGCGCGTATGATCTGCAGCGGTTCGATCTTTTTGATGTCTTGGTCCAGATCTTTGCATAAGACCTCGATCTCGAACTTGAGATTGAGCTTTAGGTCAACGGTATTGTAAAGCTCGCTCATCAGACCTAGCAACTCCATAAGCCATGGGTTTGGCGGTCGGAAGACCTTCGACACCCTAGCGTGCCAAAGTGCTTTGCAAGTGAATGGGATAGCGACGAGTAATCGCTGTGTGTCGTGCCCTTCAATCAGCAAATCCTTGAACGAAAGGTTCCTGTGCAAGACCGGCTGATTGCGCGCCAGCGTCAGTGCGCCTAGCCAGCCTGCCAGATTCTTCAGGCTTTGTCGCTCGGGCATCTTCTCCATAGTCGATGGCGCATTGAGCATCCTCGCGCAGCTGACGTATGTCTCTCGCAGCACTTCGGCCCAGAGCATCTTCCGGTCAAACTTCTCCAGCAACTGCAGGTATAGGCTCTGGAAGTTTGGCTGCGACTTGGCGAGCTCTTCGACCAAGTATTTCGCGAACCACTGATGGTGAGTCTCCTCCAGAGTCTCCAAGTCCTTGAACTTCTCGTCCAAATTCCTCATCGAAACGTTGTTCAGGGCAAACATCACCTTGTCCGAAACGTCTTCGTTCGGCTCTTCGTACATCTCTGCTTGCAACGGCGGGTCAGGACGAATGGAGGTGAACGGCGGCGTGGGAGAGTCAGCTGGAAACTCCTCATCTAGCGCCCCGTTGGTGAGCCCATTGACAGTATCTCCATTGAGGCCGGAAGTCTCCTGTTGCAGCTCCTTCAGAACGGCTTCCGCAACGGGTACAACCTGAGTACCTCGCAAGCTTGGTATTTGGGTGATGCGCTCAGCCACGTGTGGCCACTCCTTGAGTCTCGAAGACATGTGGACCATTGCCTGCAACCCGAACTTATACATGGAATCCTCTGGTCCGTACTCCGAGACTGCCTCTAGAATCATAAAAATAGCGGCATGTTCGGCGACACTGGAAGGAATGTGGTATGCTAACAGGCCGCCGAATAAAACTGCAGTTGTTGCGAGTGCCTCCAAAGGATACTCTCCAAAGCAGTTATACTCGTCAAATAGTCCTTGCAGCATGACGGCGAAAAGGTCTTGGTCGGCAGGATCATCCGACTCCTTGAGCACCTTCAGCTCGTTCTTGATGTCGTCCGGAGTGGCTTCCCCGCCGTACATCTTCTTGTAGCGCTCTTGCATCTTCTCATCGGCATCTTCAGGAAGAGCGTGTCCGTTGGCGCAATTGGCTTCCAAGATGGAATCTCGGCGGTCGTTCTCGCCGTAATTGAAGAGGCGTGGATAAGTTTGCAAGCACTGCCGATAGAAAGGGCCGAGCTCTTCTTCTCTCACCAGCTCTGCCAAAAGCATCAGCATAGCGTACACAGTCTTCAGCGACAGCGGCACAGTCGTCGGCGGCACGCGCTCTTTCTGAGTGATTATCTCGTCGTCCAGCTTCGGTCGCATGAAGTCGAATAACGCTTTTGCAAACGGACCATGGCCGAGCTGATGAATGAGCGGCTGCGCCCATTCCACAATATCGTACTGGCCTTTACTATGTGCCAACGCAGCCAAGTCAAGGGCGAAGTTGCTGTGAATGGTGAGCAACAGGTCCAGCCAGCCATGTTCGACTGCATGCTCATGAACAAGTCCGAGTAGCGTGCTGTCCGTCTGATAAAATTCAACAAGCCGTTGCGCTACCCACGTCTTGTCGTGCATCCATAGTGAATGCATCACAAAGTCGTAATTAGGGTGCTGCTTCATGAGGAAGGGATAAAAGAGCTGCTTAAGCGCTTGATCCTGCAATGCGCCCCACGGCTTTGGCACGGCTGATGCGGCGCAAAGGAAGATTGTCATGTTCGGGTTGATGATCGTCTCCGGGATGCTGAGCATCTGTGCTTCGTTATAGGCTTCCTGAGACCGGAAGATCATGACGAACAGAGCTTCAGTGGCGTCGCGCGAGACAAGCGGATACTTGACGGCTTCTGCCGCATATGCCTTGATGCCCTCGGGTGCATCCGCGTAGTCGGCCAGAGTGAAGCATTGTCTAAAGTCTGGTATCTGAGCAACATCAAGCTCTTCCGAGGTCGTGGACAGGAATGCAGTGACGAAGCTGAGTTGGGTGGCTGGGAAGGTCCATTGACCGCCCCAAAGGTGCTGGATGTCGAAGTTCGCGTACTCTCGCGCCAGAGGGAGCAGCGCATTGTACAAGCCGAGGAACTGCTTCTTCGTTACTCGCAAGTGCTCCTTGTCGAAGCCTTGTACGACGTCTGTCCAGTCAATCTTCAGGCCAGCCTTATGCTGCCGTAGGCCTTCCACGAATACGCCTGCATCGTAAGCTTCTCCGTTCTGGCTAATGACCAGAAACAGCAGCGCATTCGCTATTTGCGGGTAGGAGATGTCCCTAGTCTCGACCACGGCGAGCATATCTCTGCAAGCGTCCAGACTTGCGGTGGCACGCGGGCCTGCTCGCTGCACTACTCTGGCAAGCCTACTGTCTGGGAGCTGGAGTAGCTCATTCAGATACATGGCTGCTTCCACTGCAGGTGGCAGTCTGCTGTTCAGCTTCTGATAGTGAACCTTTACTGCGTAGCTCAAGTCCTCCTTTTGCCGCTCGCTCCACTCGTGGGGAGGATCCTGATCAAGACGTTCGATAATCAGCGCTAAGACCTGCGGTGAGACATCGTCGTGAATCGCGCCGGTTGGGCCAGATGGTGGGTTTGCAAGGGTGGAGAGGAAAGGCTGTGTATTGCTCGTCAATATTTGGTCGGCTGTAGAGAGTTGATGTCAGTGTATGTGTCTTTGGCCAAGCTCAATTCATTAAAATACCTCTTGAGCGCAAGTCACCATTGGCAGCTAATCTACACGCTAAGAGCAGTGCAGCCCGCGTGACTTGATCTAGTTGGAAATGGTCGGCAAACGCAGTGAGGTCAATGTCGAGGTCATGCGATCCGAAGGCTGAGGCTATTCTCTCCGCCTGCCGAGGGTCCGTTCTCAACTTCTGAACTTCTTGCTCTAGTAAGCGATATGTCTCCGCATTCGCTTGCGAACTCGCTGGCCTTGGATGGTGTGGGAAGACAAGCGACCAGCTATTGCTTAAAAGCCGTCTGAAGTACGTCTCGAACAGCTCCATGCCGTTTTCATCGAGAAGTTTTCGTATCTTGTCCGCCTGTAAATCGAAGTTGGAGTCCTTGACAGTACTCAACAAGATGTTGAGCTGAGTGAGGAGCAAGCTATTCAACTGCCCGCCTCCGCTGGAGGTAGGCGAGCCAACCGTGGAGCTTGAGAGTGACGGTGAGTGCCGTGCTAGTCGAGCAGCGCCTCCACCGCCACCAAATGCCCCGCCGCTGATTGCTTGGAACGGCGACGACAGACCAGTGAGTGGGGATGCTATTCGAGGGCTAGACGCGCCAGTAGCAGCACGTGAGCGCTGCCCAGGATATGCCGAGCTTGTAGTATATTGACCAGACGCAGATGGTGACTGAAGTGGCTGTGCACTCGTAGCGAATGACTGCCAGCTGTTGCTATACCGGTTGGCGGCCGCTTGATTGTGGGTGAAGGTGGAGTGGGTGGGAGAGAATGGACTCCGCGATATGCTCGGTGTGGGATTATTTGGCCACGTCGGTCCTATAGCGATGGGCGGTAGACCAGTACGATGACTGCTAGACTGTAGGGCAGGCCACGGCGAGTGATGTGATCTCGTGCCTCCTGCTCCGGCGGACGTGGGGCCTGCGCTCTCGGTATTGGGGGGTTTGTGAGGTGAGGAGGAGAGGGGGCGGTTCATTGGTGAAGCGCGCACATCGGATCAACTGCGCGCGCAGACGGCTGCGTGTATGAGTGAGGTGTACGGGCGCGTTAGCAGTCATTGACAGTGTTGATGCCGTTTCTAGTTCATGCGTTCCGATCATGCAGCGGGCTTCACGTCTCCATCGCGGCTTGGCGCTCGGCACACCCCGAGGGAACGGGTGACCGACTGGGGCAGCCTCAGGAAGCTATACGACAACACAGGAACATGGAATGGCCAGTGTTTGGTAGCGCCATGATGTTGATGAGTGCCTATCTCAAGTAAGACGCGGGCGATTACCATGTCCTAAAGACGGTTGCACCAATGCATAGAGATGGTTCCCTCTGCGCATGGCCACCACTAACCACTGGGTATCGTTATGGTCAGAACGTGCCGCTGCGGACCATATTGAAACCCGCGATAGCCGGCACGCGGATCCGACGCCAACTTGTCTATCACAGCAGTCCGTAAGGATTCGCTACTGCGCATCGTACGTGCAAGCGGTTTGCCATGCTCCTGAATCAACTTCTAACAGCAATCCGCAAGTTTATCGACGACCCATCCTTCAACCTCATCCTCAATCTCCTTGTTCCAAAGCTTACTGGCAGCAATGGTCGTTGTGACCATTAGGAGCGCCAACGGAGAGAGTGGGTGGACGGCATGCAGCTTGTGCATCACTAGCTCTGCAGGCCTCCCATCTGTAGCTTGGAGGCAGTGTTGAAGACGATCGCAATACGTTGAGCCATCTCGCCTTTACGCTCTTGCATCAACGCGTTCTCCAGCATGAGGTGCGAGTTTGGCCCTGTAACCAGCCGAGGCGCAAACTCTTCGCTGCGCGTGTAGTCTGCGATGGGAACGAAGTCGAGCCCAGCAACCCCGAGATCCTCAGGAATATAAACGTGGCTGCCTTGGAATCGTCGAATTTCACCAGGTCGGCAAGAAGATCGCAGTTACCGACTGCGGTCAGTGAGACCAAGAAGGGCGTCTCATCCTTTCCTACCTAGATAGTGCAGTCTTCGCCCATCCTGCTAACGTACTGTCAGCGATATTGAAGCAAGCTAACGGGAACGCAGTTTACCTTGGCGGAAGTTCGCTGACTTGTTTTTCATACCGCCTGCGCAGATCATCTTAGACATCATGCTGGATTTTGTCATGATGGTCGTGGACCTCTTGCTCTACTGATCTGACGAGGTCGTCCGTGTCGACAATTCCGTCAACGTCAGCGACGGTGCAACCCCCTTTCTTGCGGCCAATGGATGAGCCGCCTCTGACAGACGTCGTTTGCGGATTTGGTAGAGAGCCACTGGAATCACACCTGCGACGCTTGTGCGAGGAAGTGCTGGGGTGCGTGTCCGCGTCATTGGAACTTCGACCGCTTGACACAGCAGTCTCGGCGCTGTTAGTAGACCGCTTACGCTTTCCTCTGCTCGACGTGGAGATTGAGCGCTGCAGTCTACGCGCTTTGCGTTCACCGGCAATATAATTCTTCCAAAACTTTGGTGTCCCCCATAATTGCAAGTCCTGTTCGAAGGCAATTCGACGGTGCTTCTCCAGCTTAGCTGTTTCGTCATCGGCAGCACACGGTTCGTCCGAGAAGGAAGGCTCGAGGTACTTCCTGTGCGGGTCAATGTCTTGGAGACTACACTCTAGAATCCAGATGCTGAGTACATGATCAATGAAGCTGACCTGCATTGAAGGGACAGTTGGCTTACTACTTTCGCAGGCCAAGCAATATAGCTGCTACTTCGTCACTATGTCGGCGACGGCCAAAGAAGTCTTTCGGAAGGATGTCGTCGCCACATATCAGGATCGGCCATTCTTTGCCCTTGAACATCCAAATGCAGTGACTGCCGATACCTCTGGTCACCATGGTAGTCATTGAACTTGGTAGTAGAAGAAGGCCTCCGTTATTTAGGATTGTTCGTATTGGCGCTCGAAATGAGCAGCACGTTGGGTGAGTAAGGAATGGTCGAAGAGGGACCATAACATCCGAGCTGCTGAGCTCGAGCAGTAATAGACAGGGAGAATCAAATGAAGCGGTAGCAAGTCTGGATGGAGAAGCAACATCGGTAGCAAATGCATAAATGATAACAAGTGAGATACAAGCTCAGTCAAGCCAGTGTCTGAAAGAAGGTAACAAGCCTTGGCGAGAGAAGGAAGTGAAGGGAAATGGTTAGAACGATGAGGAGTAGACATACGGGCGACGTCTATTGTGATGGGCAATGAGGTCGTCAGAGCAAGCAACTGCGTGAACCATATTTGAACATGCGGAACCCCATCTCAACTGAAGCCGCGCAAGCGACATCTTCTTGTAGTATTGAAACCGTGTAGATCTTCCCTAGTCTCAATGGGTGTGGACGACCCTCGATATTGTTTATCTCATCCACATCCTCGCCTACACCACCTTGTCGGCGCAGAGTATCGGCGAACGCGGTACAAGGCAGCGTCCTATATCCGCTTGAAGGTGTGCTTTGCACATGAAAGCGCACTCTCTAGGCCACGCTCGTAATTGGTCCCTTGCATGCGGGACAATGTCCACCGGCTGGCTGCATATGTGCCGCCGATTCCAGTCCCGACCTCCCACCGGGTACCTCTCGTCTCTGCTGCAGTTGTACTTTCCTGCATACACAGGGAACATCTGACTGCTACTGCACAGTGAAGCCTAGACGCACCATCAACGCGGTATCGGTTCGTATTCCCGCAGATATCACACGTCTCTCGGGCGACACTTGCCCGAAGACGAACACAACTCAAACCCCATCTTCCTTCAATTCTCCGGATCGTCCAGTCCAAGCTACAAGATGTGCAGTAGCTCATTGCGAGAACTGACAGTTGAATCAGTATATAACGACCCAACACTTGCAATTGGGGAACCTAATCTATTCGTGAGGCAAGTATTGCTCTACCTTCTCTCTCGTCCACCATGCATCTGCTCTTGTTCACAACTCTCCTCACTTTCTTCTCCTCCGCTCAGGGCCAAGGCATCCTGACCGCCACTCTTCCTTACGGCACCTTCACCGGCGCCTATTCTTCCACGTACAACCTCTCCTACTGGACCAAGATACCCTTTGCCGCCCCTCCCACTGGCGTCAACCGTTTCCGCGCCCCTCAGCCGCCCCTCCCCATCACAAATGGTGTTTATAACAGCACTCAACCCTTTGACTTCTGCCCTCAGCGTACCGTCAATGGGAGCGAAGACTGTCTGTACCTCGGTCTCTACGGCCGTCCCTGGAGTACAGGTCAACCTCTACGCCCAGTAGTGGTAGTCTTCTTTGGCGGAGGATTTATCGAAGGCGGCGGAAGCTTCACCATTCCGCCAGCGGGATATCCGGTGCTGAATGCAAGTGCGAGCAATGACTTCATCTTCGTGTACCCCAATTACCGGGTTAACGCTTTCGGGTTACTGCCCGGGAGGGAAGTGGCGGAGGATGAGGAAAGTGATTTGAATGCTGGATTGCTGGATCAGCAGGCGGCGCTGCAATGGACGCACTATTACATCCAAGCATTTGGTGGAGACCCGAGAAATGTTAGCATCTGGGTGAGTCTACCGTAACCAAGGTATTCCTCCTTTCCACAGGCGTTGTACTGATGTTGGGCAGGGGCAATCCGCCGGCGGTGGTTCGGTAGTAGCGCAAGTCATCGCAAACTCCGGCAACACACAACCACGCCTTTTCACCAAAGCCTTAGCCTTCAGTCCATTCTGGCCGAAGACGTACCGCTACGACGATCCGCAAGCGCAGTCCATCTACGACACCATGGCAAATCTTACCAACTGCACCGGCCCGAATTCCTTGCAGTGTCTGAAGACGGTCGACGTCCAGACGATTCGGACTGCAGCGTTGTATGTCAGCGGAAGTCATACTTACAATACCTCTTCTTACACCTGGGCGCCGGTGATTGACGGGAGCTTTATCGCGGAGCCACTTTCGCTGGCTACGGTGAAGGGCAAGGTGAATATTGACCTAGGCTGGGGCATGTATAACTTACACGAAGGGCAAAACTTTGTTCCTCCTGGGCTGCAGAACGCCATTAACACCGCGTTGGCGGGCTCTCCATCGTACAATAATTCGGAAGCGTCGTTCGAAGCATGGCTGAGAGGATATCTGCCGCAGTTCTCGGGACAGAATCTGAGGACGGTGGAGGCGCTGTATCCCACTACGGGCACGGCGGAGGAGTTGAGCTATAACACAACCTTCGTCCGAGCAGGTTTAATCTACAGGGATACCGTCCTTGCCTGCCCGGCGTTCTGGATGGCCACCGCAAGCCACAAGCATGCTTATGTGGGCGAGTACACAATCAGTCCGGCGACACATGCAAGTGATACGGAATGGGTAAGCATTGGTCACCCTTTCGTCCTCCCAGACTTAGCAGCTTCGTAGTCTGCTAATCGTGTTGTACAGTGGAACCAAGTCAACGCTATACAGCAACAGCAACCCTTCATCTACGACGGGTTTACAGGCGCTTTCGCGAGTTTCTTTCAGACAGGCGATCCGAAGGCGCATAAACTGACCAATGTTTCTGTGGTGGGCGTTCCGGAATATAACGAGACAGGAGAGCAGTTTGTCATTGGCGCCAATGGGTTTGCGAATGTCAGCACGGCCATGTTGGAAGTGAGGTGTGCCTTTTGGAGGAGTGTTGGTGCGCAGATACCGGTCTGACGAGATGAATGTTGGCAACGGTACTACACGACGCTCGGTGGACACTCAAATGGGAGGTGTAGAACAGAGGTAAGGCTCCATGCGACATGCGACAAGTCATTTGCAAACGCGAACTGAATGCACGTGATTGGTCTCGTTTGCTATCTCTCACAAGCTGTGAGTCATAGCCTTGCGCTGCTCCGGTGAATGCAGCAAGCACAATTGCGGCCTCACATTGTCGCGCTTATCGTAAGTAGCAGCGACACAGTATGAGAAGAATAGGTCGCAATGATACTACGTTACCAGGCTGTGGTGCCGATGCGGTAAGGAGGCCACCTGTTGTGTTCTCACGCGACGAAAGTGAAGGAAAGAGAGCGCTTAGCCTATTCCAGCTTGTCAAGCTTGGCGCTGGCGGCTGACTCGCTCGTTCCCGCCGACGGGTATAAAACCGCGGCTTCCCCCAGTAAATTTCGCATTTTTCACTTTGCGAACCGTAAGCCACCTCCTGACATCGCCCCATAGGAAGGCACCCCCCCTCCCGTAGCCGATAATCCAACCAGACTCCCACCCATCTTCGACTCTCCTCATTCTTCAATTCTCCTCTTCACAAGTCGAAGTCAGGCCGACGTTGTGCGATTGGTGCGCGCTCACGGCGCAACTTTGACAAACGTCCTGGGCTTCGCTCACTTCATCATCGTCGACGAAGGCTTTTGCTGGTCAGGCGCCTTCGATCTATTGCGACCTCTTGACTGCTGTGTTCGCGACGGAGAAGACGATTCCGCACCTTCAGCCCGGTTACGGATCATTCACATCCGTCGCTGAGTTCACACAAAACGCGCGTAACAAGCGCGCTCCGACACTTCACTTGCAGTGTTATCATCGTGTCCGCAAGGCAGCATCTCGCGACTGCACTTCTGCCTCAGAAAGGGCTGCAACGTCACAGTAACTCTCTGCTGATTATTCATCACTGCCTGGCCGCTGCCTGAAGACCTTCGGCCCACCATCCACCTTTCGATTGCACATCGGCGGACCGGGATATCAGGTTGGCGCTTGACAAGTAACGTCACGACCCTAGCTGCGGGTCGAGAGCGAGCTCGTCGCGAACATGGATCCGCATAGCGTGACCATGACGCACCCTTCCACGGCTGAGCAGGCGGCGCGGTTCACGGCTCCTATGGCATTATCGTTCGACGAGAAGCAGAACGGGCAAGCATCATCCATTTCTACACTGAATGGAGAAGGCACACAGGGTTCAAGCGCACCGGCTGTCGCAACGCCAGCTGCACCGGGCGCTCAGAACGGAGTGAGCGGCATTGTACCTACTCTTCAGAACATTGTCGCCACAGTGAACCTGGACTGTACGTCGTACTGCTCAGCGTGGTAATGGCTTTGCTTTGTGCTAACGCCTCGCTTAGGCCGCCTTGACCTCAAAACGATCGCGCTTCATGCGCGTAACGCCGAGTACAATCCGAAGCGTTTCGCCGCCGTGATTATGCGCATTCGCGAGCCGAAGACGACTGCCCTGATCTTCGCCTCTGGCAAGATGGTGGTGACTGGTGCGAAGTCAGAGGATGACAGCAAGCTTGCTAGCCGCAAGTACGCGCGCATCATTCAGAAGCTTGGCTTTAACGCCAAGTTTACAGACTTCAAGTATGCCTCGCCGTATGTGACTGCCAGTACGGCCAGTGATGCTGACGCAATTGCCTTTGTAGGATTCAGAATATTGTCGGATCATGCGACATCAAGTTTCCCATCCGTCTCGAGGGTCTGGCTTCGCGCCATCACATGTTCAGCTCTTACGAGCCCGAACTCTTCCCTGGTCTCATCTACCGCATGATGAAGCCAAAAATTGTTCTGCTCATCTTTGTCTCCGGCAAGATAGTTCTTACCGGCGCCAAGGTTCGCGAGGAGATCTATCAGGCTTTTGAGCTCATTTACCCTGTGCTCTCGGACTTCCGCAAAACCTGAGTTCGACCCGCCAACGGCATCCTGTATCAGTATTACAATCGGCTTGTATCAACAACGCTTCTGGAGGTTTGATGCCAATCTCAACGACTACAGAGGTCACCCCGACGGTTCGAGAGTGGCTGTCCGCTTGAACAGAGCAGCATAACGCGAATCACGGCGGCGCTTCATCTCTGCATTGCTTTGACATGCATGGCGCGGTGTTCCCGGAGTTAATAACGACACAACAAAGGCTGGTGGCTTCATTATGACTTTCCAGCCTTCACAACAGATTGCGTCTAAGAATGAGGTACTAGAAAGCGCGACTGCAAAATCAGTGGGCGCTCGGCTGCAAGGCTTTGTCTCAACAGCCTCCAAACAATAGGCGAGAATGACTAGTATATCCAGCGGAAACCGAGTGCGTTTACGCACTCCCCGAGCGGTGCCCCAGCATGCGGTAGAGGGCATTGGCACAGAATGGTAGCGGCTTAGGTAGTGCACCGAATGCCAACTTTAACCATTCATACCGCCGCCCGGTCCGTGCACCGCCTTTTTAGATACCTAGCATCCTTTCCAGTAATGCCCTGACGTAACTGTTCGCTCAGCCGTAATGGTCGTTAGGTCACTTGAGCAATCCACGCTCTGCATTAGGGTGTGAGTAAGTTGTGTGTTGGGGGTAATGGAGACGAAGAAGCACCGACTCAACCTCGAAACCGCTTGCTTCATGAACGAGCTAATTCTTCATCAAGTACCATGCCTTTCTTGCCTCCTCGCCAATCGTCCGTCCAGATGTGATCCTCCTTCCACTTCGCTGATGGCCACGCCCATTTCGCGCGAAGCTCTTTGCCAAGCTCGTCTCTGTCCACACCCTGGATCACGTCCACGATCCTCTCTCCAACCACTGGCAGGAACTTGTAGGCATGGCCACTACCTCCCGTGGCGACAAACAAGTTGCTGTACTTTGGGTGGTAAGAAATCAACCAGTCGCCTTTAGGAGTGTCAGTATACCAGCAGATCCTCGTATATGTCCATGGCCGGTCTGCTAAGCTCGGAATAGTCTTGGCCAAGTACTCTCTGCAAGCTTTGTCGCCTTCTGGTGCAATGTCGAGGTAGGGATCATCTTGCTTTGTCCGCGGTAAGCTAACCGTGATCGTTTCGCCGGACTCGGGACGTTCGGGATGGGGGATGCATGTTGGATTCGCATAGCCATAGCCGTGTCGTGCCACCTTGAGTACGCGGTTCCGTGGCTGGATTATGAACATTCCGTTGCTCTCGCATAATAATGTTGGGTTGCTGCCTAAGCGGTCTTGTTCGGGTTGTGTAAGATCCAGGTATGCTAGTATTTGTCCGGTAGCTGAGGCGATACCACGCAGGTCAATGAGCTTGGGCGTCCACGCGCCTGTCGCGAGTGCAATAAGGTCTGCAGTCAACACTTCGCCGTTGACGAGCTCAACCGCCTCAACCTTGTCTTCACCGAAGCGTAGACGTCTAACCTCTGCCGTCCGGAACTGGACCCTTCCTGTCGCCTCCACCAGCTTCCTCATATGCCTCACTCCCGCCTCTGCGTCAGCCCATCCCGAAGTCCAATTGACATAACCTCGCCTCCCACAGTCGCCACCCATGCTCGCCATGACCCTTTGCACTGCCTCTGGGGTCTCCATAAGCTCGACCTGCCCGCCTGCCTCACGCTTACCCACCCGGAGTCCCAGACGCTTCGTCACGTTCTCGAGAGCGCGGACAAGGTAGTAATGCGCATCCTCGTCGTTGTCGTCCGCGGTCTCGTCCGTGACCAGACAAAGTCCCGCTTCGGTGTACCTACCCTCTGCGCCAAACTCGCCGCGCCATAGCGGCATGCCTTCAGCCATGAGAGCTGCATAGGCTCCATCTGCATAGTCTGGCCGGATTATACGGGACGAGTCTATACTCGAGGCATCAGAGGCTGGAAACTCGAGCCGTTCAATGAGTGTGATCTTTGTATTCCTGAAAGCCGGGCGTTGTGCGAGAGCGTATGCTGTGCTCAGTCCGAATACGCCAGAGCCAACAATAAGAATAGAAGAATGAAGCGGAGCGGTTCCAGTAGCCATGATATCGGTAGATGGAGTAGCTCCCAAGCTATTGATCATTTATGAATACTTATGCGTGAACATTGTTGGAATCAAGAACGGACGCAATGAAGGGCAGACCAGATCAAACAAGATATAGAGTGAGATAGAAGAATGCCGAATATACCTTACCTACCATAGGGCGCGCCGGCGCATACTGAAGGTTCAAGAGCTGCAGTCTGCACAGTGCTTGGCCGAAAGGACGGCTCTACGGAACTGGGTCGGTCTATGCTCGCATGTCCGACTTTCTTTGCTACACCCTCTTCTCTCGCAAGTCTGACCCGGACAATACAGTGCCACAGCTCACAGACGCTCATGTTGCGTCGGGTACAACATCGCCATGTAGTCTATGCACTTAGGCGGACAGGGACCGTCCGTACGTTCACGTCGCGCAAAGCTTTTCAAGCACGAAACGAGAAAGCCGAGCCTATCGACCGGTCTCAGCCCGTTGGCGCACCATTGTCGAGCCTCAACCCGGCAACAAACACGCGGACTCGGACACCTCTCACATTCTGGGTATGGAGTGCCTTTGCGGTAGGCTTCGGCTTCTACGTTTTCCAGCTCGGACTGGCCGTCTCTCAGCCATGCCATAACCCCGACATTGCCGACCTATCTCGACAGAAGGATGTAGCTGCCCGCTACGACTATACCGCTGCGAACTTTGACTCCGAGGTCGGGTTCTCGGAGCTCATCAGCGGCATAAACAGTAAACGCAAGCGCCTGGCGCAGCAATGTAAAGGCAACGTGCTGGAGGTGAGCTGCGGTACAGGTCGGAATCTGGGATACTACGACATCAAGTCCAAGAACGGCGAGGTTCAAAGTCTGAGCTTCATCGATCTGTCACCGCAAATGATTGACGTTTGCCGCAAGAAATGGGATGCGCTCTACCGGAAGCCGATTGAGGCTGGGACGTTGAAGCGTGATCTGAAAGTACGGTTCATGACTGGCTCAGCCTTGGAAGCTATGCCTCTTGCACCAAACGGCAACAAGTACGATACTGTCTTCCAGACCATGGGTCTGTGCAGCACATCAACTCCAGCTGCGCTCCTTGTAAATATGGCCAGGCATCTTGATCTTTCGAAGTCGGAGTCGCGCATCCTGCTTCTAGAACATGGACGAAGCTATCTACCATGGATGAACAGGATCCTTGACAACGCAGCGGAGAAGCATGCTGAGAGGCATGGGTGCTGGTTCAACCGGGAGATTGGCCAGCTGGTGGAGGATGCTGCGAGGCAGACTGGGCTCGAAGTTGTGAACGAGCGTCGCTACCATTTCGGTACGCTGTGGCTGTTCGAACTGAAGCCGACCGACGAGACTGTGAAGCGCGCCGCATCTACGATTGCACAGCCGGACAAAGCAGAGGAGCCGAAAGCGGAGGGTCGTTGGCTCAGCAAGCTTGGCTGGTGGTAAGTCTACTTGACGTCCTCCCAAACTGCACTCACACAACGGAGAACGCGGGCCAAGCAGTCTCGTTTCACTGCGCGACCATCTGCTGCCGCGATACCGCTGGCGTTTACGACCAGAAGCAGCGTCAGTTGCAACCAACTACTATGAACGCCAGACCAATGGTACGTTATAATCTGCCTCCCCCTTCGCCTGCTTTCTCCCTTGATGATAATCGAAGTTCCAATATGTTTCAAGACGGGGCTGATATAACGTTGATGGATAATACTTTTTGCTGATCACTCTCCCAATTCCCGCTAGCTGCACTGCTAATGCCAACCACTCGCCTGCCGCTGACATATATCCCCTTGAACAGATAACATTACGAAGCTTTGATTGTTCGCTCAGCATCCGGCCAATCTGTCTCCGCCTTTCGCGTACAGTGTGCGACGTGCACGCCACGTAGAAGACAGCGACCTTCCGCCGAGCTCTTGACCTTCCTCGGCAAAATCGTGTGGCATTCACGATACCGAGTTGGCCGATTTATTCTGAGCAGCAGTAAGCATGGAGGAGCAGGCTACTGAGGTACGTAAGCCTGTCCACCTTCGCCGGCGTGCTTCTGCTGCTGTGAGAGAGGCATCACCGGAGCGCTGCATCTCGGCTCTGACACTCTCTTGCGCGCCCGCGTCTCGGGTTGATTGTGCACTCGTGGCCTTGGGTGACCACATCGTGAAAGTGAATTGCGGCTAGTCGAGAGGGTGAGGAAGTCAAGAATCATGACTTTGAATGTCGGGCGGTGTGCGGGATTCCCCGCCCTATGGCATGAATTACTCTCACAATGCGAACGTTCCTGAATGGTCAGCAGACGATGGAAGTTGAACGCAGCCATTCGCGGATACGCGTCAGAAGCATTTTTTGTCTCTCTTGGTACATCTACTCAAACAATAAGCGGCGTGCAGTCCAGCCAGCAGACCTTGCGCCTGCCCTTTTTGTTTCAGCTTTGGCCGTCGCTTCCGTAGTTACTCATACAATCGGTTTTCTCCTGAGCGCACCCGAGCTTGCGCTCCCTGACCATTTCCTACTCATACAGTATAGCCCGCCTCAGCCGTATCTCTGACAACCTAATCTGAAAAGGTAGTGTTTCTACAATCTGGTCGAAAACGTGCCGTGCCGCACATACTATTAGTATGCATCGAACATGTCTTCAAGTTCATCCAGCTCAATGTTTTCAGGACTTTCCAAGTTGTCCCAGCTAAGCGCAGCTTCTGACAGCGCCAGGCCTTTCTTCGTAGCACTTAGGTTGAGCGACATGTGTTCAATGATGTCGCCATTACGCTCCAGTTTTCGAGATGAAGCTCCTGTCTCCAGCTGAGGCAGTGATTGTGGCTGAATCACAGGGCTACTGAAGTCCATCGGCAGTTGTGCCAACGGCAGCTTAAGGTGGTCGATGTGGCCGAACAAAGCGGCAGCGTCATCGCTGTTCTTGCGCGCGACAACCTCTTCGCTCTCTTCGATGGATGGACTGGCATCAGCAAAGTCTGGCGCTGCGCCTGGTACAGCATCCGTGTCCTCCATACTGACGTCGAGTTGCTGGCTATTACGACGTAGCAGTGCTTGCTCGTACAGCTGGCTGGCTGTCTGCTTGAAGTCGCGCTCTTCGCGCTCAAGCTGCGGACTTGGAGCGCGCTTTTGATGCGACAGGCTTGACGAGCGAGAGCCACGCGGTACCGAGTTGCGGGCGGAGAAGGATTGGCCCGGCGACGGAGGTTGATTCACACTCTCATCCTCTAGCTCAGGAGATGAGAGGTCGACTTCCGGCGACGGAGACATGGCTGCTCGCTGTCGACTGTAGCGCTCATAGTCTTCCTCGTCCGCGGCTGACGCCGAGGAGAGAGACGGCGAGATAATGCGCTTAGGTTCTGGTATTGGCTCGGCAACCTCCGGAATCGGCTGGTGCGGCGTCGTGGTCAAGTAGAAGTAAAGTCTGCGAGGATGCACGGGTGATAGATCCTTTGCCAGAGGACATGGACTGATGGTCGGCCATGAGCGGTGGAGGTAAGCTGTGAGACGAGACGAGATGAGTGCTGCCGGATTTGCGGATCTGCGCAGGTGGTTAGCACGGCTTGTGTGGGTACTGTTAGTGCTGGCGCCATACTTCTCCACACAGTGCAGGCTCGATGCAAGCACATAAGCAAGCTCCTTAACCAAATGCGGTCGATTGCCGGTCTTCTCCAGCTGCTGAATGGTTGCCACGACGATGTCGTCCTTGATGCCTTCCGTATCGACCTTGTTATTGCCTTCCACTGCAGGTGACGGAGGAGGCGACAGCTCCGTAGCGCGCTTTGGTTTCTCCTCTTTGAACCGAATCGTTGTCACTCGTGGCAAGTCCAGCGTACCAGGTGGCGGCGACGATGAGCCATGCGACCGCTTCCACCTCTTGACCGGAGGTTCATCGCCTTCACCGACGGTACTTGGCGGTGACGGATGAGATATCGCCCGTGAGCGCTTTGGCACGATGATCCCAAGCTCGCTTAGCGATAAAGACTTCCTTCTGGTGTTGTACGGCATGTTGGCTCCTTCCACTGTCGGCGCATAGATCGTGAAGGTATGCGATAATGGTTCGTGGTGGTGGTGGTTGTGTGTTGCGGTTTCCCAAAAATTGTTAGGGAGCTGACGCCGCTTCAGGCAGTTGTTGTCAGACCGGAATGCGGGCAGGACTAGCTACCTTGCATATGCACGCTGCTGGCACCAACGCAAGGTAGTTAGGCGGTGATTCGTCGCTTCGAGTCAAAGATGCATACCAGCCGACGTGCGGTCAGCGCCTTGAAGAAATGGGATATGTCGAGCGGTGATGTAAGTGACGAGGCCACAAAGAGGGCGCGGTTTGCTGTACGCTTCAGGAGGTGTGCGGCGTGTGACGGAAGGGCAAATGTTTAGGCTTCAACGTGGCGGCGCAACGCGGAAGGCCCGTCGAGGTGGCGGCCCAGGAATGTTTCGAGGATGCGGACTTGCTGCGATATTCAGGAGAAGAGACACTGCTTTTGCAGATCATTGTATGATGCCGATGCAGCTCTCCACCGGTGCCAGGACTCAGGAGCGACCTTTTTTCGCACGCGGCCACGGAACGTCTGCGCAGGCCAGTGACCATGCGACGGAGCTAACTTAGCGGCTACTGTGGAGTATGCGGGTTCAAACACCCCAAGCTTCCAGTCATTACGAGGGAAGAGGTAGGCCAACGCCGTTCAGCGAGACAAGCCCTTTCGAGCGACAGCAATTAGACATGATACTGTCGAGTCAGCATCGTCCCCTCTCCACGCTGCAACTAAACACCCAGCATCCATCTACATCTCAACCAGCCTTTCGTCACATTCGACCTCCTCCGGCAGAACCCCTGCTTAGCCATGCCTTAGCGCGTTTCCGGGGAGGTGGCACGCTCGGCGAGTTTGATGCATTCAGCAACCGGCGTCAGGAAGTGATGAGCCAATGGGGCCACGAGGGAGCTGTCGCCGGATTCTGTTCGACATCGGACACAAGGGCGACATGCAAGCCTCGCGCGACGCACACAGAATCACCATTGCCGCGAAAGTGTATAGTGTCGAAGTCGGCAGCTACAAGCATTGAGGCATTGTTGTTCGATGAGACTGAAGCACTCAATGCAATATATTTATACCGATGCTGCTGCTCATAATTTAACATTGAATGCGCTTGACACTGGATCGACATACTGTACGTGATCGCGATGAGGCTCAGGCGCATGCGCAAGGGTGAAAGCTTCTGTATGGCAGAAGTACGTCGCGCTCGGTACCTACTACACATGAACGGCATCTGTTCGGCTGACTGACACTGTGCGCATCGTGCTCATGGTCAAGATGGCTCGTACATGGTGCGCTACAGATCTGGTGTTACCATGAAGGCCCCTTACATTCCAATGGCGTAGCAGTAGGAACGCAAGCCTCTCGTGCCTTGCTCACCATGCGGTCAGTCCAACAACAAGATGCATGACTCGTTCAGGGGTTCGCCAGAGGCTCATTCAGAGAACAGCCTTCGTACAAGTCTTGATCTCGTGAGACGCATGTGCATGCGCAATACTTCTTGCAAAGAGGCAGTCGCTTGCAGCCTTTGTTCAGGACGCCAAAGCGACTATCGCCGCTGAAAGCATCATGTCCGAAAACGGCTTGTTCGCGGCATCTGCAACTGCGCAGTTTGGTATAGGCGCAAAGAGGACAATGTCGTGGTAAGTATTGTTTCGCATACCGTTCAGACCACTTCCACGTACACCTTTCCAACTTCTCGGCCCAGCGAAGATCAGTGCATTGAACACAAACGGACACTATGCGTTTCCTCGCGTCTTTCGCTTTCGCGAGTGTCGCCTTAAGCGCGGCTGCAAAGGAGATAGCTGCGCCAGGTTGGGACAAATATGCCGAAGAGCGCGGCTTTGCTGGTACAGAAGATCCACGAGAGCTCGGCCACGGCGGGCTTGCGGCTCGCGAGGCGGATGCAGAAGCAATTGCGCAATGGGAGAGCGCACACGGTGGCCAAGCAGGAGTCTACAAGCCGTATGGTGGGCATGACGTTCCAGCACACATGGCCCGCCGCGAACCATGGCAGAGTCAGGATCAGTACAGCCATGGCCATCGCGCGCGCTCTATACCAGCGCAGAACGGCCGCTACCAGGCGCGTGGATCCAATCAAGCCCAAGATGAGGCGCAACCGCACGAGATTTTCGGCGCGGATCCTGCACACATCGCTCGCGCTGTGAAGGACACGTGGGATCTGTATACCGGTAAAGCAGCAGACACGGTCAAGCACTTCGCCCGTGAGGCTGGGTTTGTCAATCGGTACGGTACAGAAGAGGGGAGCGAGCACTTCGTACGCCGGGCTTTTGAACCAGTTAAGGAGGATGAGAGGATCTCTGTCGATCGCTATAACGACTACGCTGCTCCGGAAACCGAAGGCAATGAACCATCCGACGGCGAGGAGCAGGCTGAACACGCGACATGGGACCAAGCGCATATCATTGAGCACCAACGTCGCGAAGCCTCACAGTCTCACGACTTCCATGCCGTTGACCGTCAAGGGCTCGGTGCCCGTCCATACCAAGCTCGTGACGTTGAGGGTCGGCCAGCACAGCGGACGAGCTTCAGTAACCGCCTGCACGAAGCGCGGGATCTCGGGGGTGGGTCGAGCGCAGGGCAGCGCGTGGGCTACAGCGTTCGTCCACGCCAGGCTCGCGATGTAGAGATCAAAGCTCAACAACGCATGGGCGTCGGTGTCCGCCCGATCCTTGCTCTTAAGAATGATGGGCCCCCGGGATTTCCTACAGTTGGCAAGTCCGAAGAGCCAAAGAAGACTGGTGGGTGGGCTTTGTGGTAGGCGGCTTCGCATAACGAAGGGTGCGTAGAATGCGTTCGGCGTTAGATATGTGCTGTGCTCCACCAAATTGCTAATTCTTCATTGTCTGACCGTGCCTATGTCATTACATATTTCGGACCCTCTCCGCCCTGCGGTGTCGTCCAGATGATATCCTGATCAGGTACCTTGATATCGCAGGTCTTGCAATGCACGCAGTTCTGTGCGTTGATCTGGAAGCGAACGCCGATGTCCTTGCTCTCGTCTTCAACATACTCATACACGCCGGCTGGACAGAAGCGATTCTCGATGCCTTTGTACTTTGGCCACTCGAGCGCTGCGTGCTTGTCCCAGTCCTTCACTCGCAAATGGCACGGCTGGTCCTCCTCGTGGTTCGTGCCAGTGCGGGAGACCGATGTCAAGATGTCGAATGAGATCTTGCCGTCCGGCTTCGGATACTCAATCTTGCGACATTGATCCGCGGTCTTGGTAGACGCGTGGTCGGGTGGGCCATGCTTGAACGTCCATGGCTCGTAGCCACGAAGCAGGTAAGCTTCTAGTCCAGAGTACAAGATGCCACCGTAAAGTCCCAGAGGCGTGTGGAAAGATGGTCGCATATTCCGCACTTCCTTCAGCTCCTTCCAAATCGAGCTGTTCCTGAGCTTGTCTTCATAGTCATAGAGGAATACTGCGCCTTCGCTGTCTTTCGTCGCGTCAAGCGCGGTATATGCGGCTTCTGCAGCAAGCATACCAGAACGCATGGCAGTGTGCGTTCCTTTGATCTTTGGAACGTTCAAGAAGCCGGCGGTATCGCCAATGAGCGCACCACCAGGGAAAGCACACTTCGGTATTGATTGATATCCGCCTTCATTGAGCGTTCTGGCGCCATAGGATATGCATTTACCACCTTCGAGATAGTGCTTGTATAGCGGGTGATGCTTCATCTTCTGGAATTCGCCGTATGGTGCTAGCCATGGGTTGGGATAGTCCAAACCCACCACGAGTCCAATTGACACGAGGTTTTCGCCGAAGTGGTACATCCAGCCGCCACCGTAGGTATCCATCGGTAACGGGTAACCCATTGAGTGTACCACCAGGCCCTTTTCGAATTTGGCAGGATCGATTTCCCACACCTCCTTTATGCCTAGTCCGTACGTCTGGTGTTGACTGTCCCTTCGGAGATCGAACTTCTTCGTGACTTGCTTCGTCAGACTGCCGTGGCAGCCTTCTGCAAGCAATGTGCACCGCGCGTGGAACTCCATACCTCGCTCAAACGAGTCCTTGGGCTTGCCGTTCCGGCCGATGCCCAGATCGTTGGTCGCCACGCCCTTCACCGAGCCATCTTGGTGATACAGCACCTCTGATGCTGCGAAGCCAGCGTATACCTCAACACCCACTTCCTCCGCTCGCTCACCTAGCCACTTCGTGAACTGATTGAGGCTGATAATGTAATTGCCATGATTGTTCATCTGCGGTGGAGCCGGTATCGGAATACTGCTGTTCTTGGTCAAGAACCTCATCTTGTCCTTGGTCGCAGGCGTGACAGGCTCAAAGCGGTTTGGGTTGTCTTCCGATTTCCAATCCGGTATCAGCTCGTTTAGTGCAGAAGGCTCGACAACATTGCCGGACACAATGTGATCTCCGAGCTCTCCCGCCTTCTCAAGCAGGAGCACTCTGAAGTCCTCGTTGCCGGCTGCATTGGCCAGCTGCTTAAGCTTGATGGCAGCACTGAGGCCTGCCGGGCCGCCACCCACAATGCAGACATCGACTTGATCGCTTTCCCGCTCAATAGTTCTCGGATCGAAGCTATCATCTACTGAAGCAAGCCTCCTCCGCGCTGTACTCGTTATACACCTTCGTTGCCCTGCTGTAATCGTAGCTGGTCTGTAGCCTCGGGAACGGCATTGTGATATTGAAGCACATACAGCGAGATACCTAGGAGCTAGTCGCTCGGTTCGCACCGCTCGGCCACCAACACGCCGCAATGCGGAAGAGCATGCCGCTGAAACGGACATGTTGCACGATGCAGATGGTGAAGGAAATGCGAGGCGTGAGGCGTGAAGAAAGATGCATTGCCAGCCATTCATTAACCGAGGCGTCTTGTCCCCTCGGTCTCCGGCGTCATCGCCCATGCGGAGCCGCCTGGTTGGCTTGGCTTGACAGATGCTGATTCGTGCGGAGTGCACAGACCCTCCCCTTCGATTTGACGTCGCGTTCTGAACCTGACTGAGCTTGCACCCTCAAACCTCCACCTCCACCTCCATTGAGTTGCCACTGTCCCTCCAACGGCTGCAGGACTTGCTGCAGCTCTTCCGCCTCACTCTGAAGGTCGCGCGACGGTCCACTTGGAGCGCGCAGCCAACCAGGCGCACACCGCTCCCTAAGGCGCGCCCTTACTGCACGGCACCACCGTCATCGATCCATCAGCCGCCGACACGATGAGCGACGCGGCGAACGGCACTGGAGCTGTCTCCAACACGAGGCTCTACCTTGGGAACTTGCCCCGCAATGGTACGCTCTTCTTCCCATGGCTGCTTCCGGAAGGATAGTCGCACGCTTCATCTGCCGGTCCACCGCTCATGCGCATGGTCGTGGAGTCTCAGGACTGGCTACTGATGAACCTTCTGTTTTCCCTGATATGCTTTGACGTGCCTGTCGTCGCTGCTGCTGCTGCTGTACATTTCTTTTTGGGACCTGGAGCCGGAGCTGGCTTGGCACCACGCTCACATGGACCTCTGGCATCGCTGACGGGAACCGTGCAATCTAGCTACCAAGGCCGACGTTGAGAACCATTTCAACACCCATGGCACCGGCGAAATCACCGAGATCAAGCTTATGAATGGCTTCGGCTTCATCGAGTACAAGGATGCTATGGATGCGCGCGATGTCGTTCCCGGTAAGTTTTCTATCCTACCCCACAAACCACTTTATCCTGCATTCGCTGCCATGTTAGCGCTTCTCGCCTTATCTTTACTCCCTCGTAACAAATCGCCACGCAGATGATGAAATCGCTAACATAAGCTCCAGCTTTCCGTATGTGAATCCTCCATACCAGCGCTTGTGCGCGGCACCTTACCAGCCCCTCGGGCAGCAACACCTCGCTCCTTGTTTTGCTTTCATGATATGCTCTCGTTTGCTGACATATGCCGATGGCTAGATGGCTCTGAGTTCATGGGTGAGCGCCTGGTGGTCCAGTTCGCACGCGGTGGTAACCGTCCCCGCGACGGTTATAACGATGCGCCCCGCATGGCACCGCGCCCGCGCCGCACCGTTCATCGCATGACAATCACCGGTCTCCCGTTCGAAACCAGTTGGCAGGTCAGCACACCCTTTCCATTGAAATCACGGCTTGCAAATCCATCCGCTTAAGGCGCTGGATTTACTGTTGGCTTTACACCACCAATAACCAGTCTCCAGGAGGTTCAAGCCGTCTGCTGCTGTATCACGTGTGCTCTTTCCCTCAGTCGACTCTTCACCACAAAGCGCATTTTCTTGGCTCTCGCTTACATTCTCTGATCTCTCGCCTGCGTTGTCTACAAGGACCGGACTTACACTCTATCACAGGATCTCAAAGACTTCGCTCGGCAGTCAGGGCTCGATGTCGTCTATAGTGAGGTCGCCCGTGAGCGCGATGCAAGTGGGGGTGGGAAGGGGTAAGCATGCAGCATCAGATCGACAATACGCTAGACGCTAACGCCTACAGCTTTGTCGAGTACGAGACAGCGCAAGACCTCGCTTCGGCGGTCGAGAAGCTCGACAATCATGACTTCAAGGGGTCTACTGTCCGCTGCATCTCAGACGTAAGGCTCCGCCACAAGCGCTCAAAGTTCAGTTGTGCCCAAGCTTACCGTCCACAGCCCCAAGCCGACATCCCGCGTCCCCGTGAGCGCTTCCGCTCGCGCTCCCCTGGTTACCGTGGCCGCGGCTACGGTCCCCCACCGCCGGATGACTACTACTACGATCGTCGCGGGCCGCCGCGTGGCTTCAGCCCTCGTCGTGACGACTACCGTCGTCGCACCCCACCGCCTCGCGGCTACTACGACGACCCGCGCGAGGATCGCTATGGTCCACCCCGTCGCGGCCCACCAGTCGACGATTACCCACCGCCTGCGCGTGGCCGCTACCCCGACGATCGCTACGCTGCTCCACCGCCACCACGTGGTTACACTGAGCCAGATCCGTACATGAACGGTCACGGAAGGGAGCCGTACGGTCGTCCTCCGAGCCCGAGGGGCGGCAGAGGCTACGAGCGTGGTGGATACGAGGCCCGTCCTTACTGGTAATTACCATCCTCTCCTCCTTCGTAGTCTTGGTGGTGCCTTGCGTCGCCAATACTATTGGAGCCTTACTAATTGCTACTAGATCAATCATAGGTCATTCGAACCAGCGCCGTGGGAAGTGCGAAAAGGTTGAGAAAGATTGTTGGGAATTGCTTGTGAAAGGAGTCGCAAGCAGCATTGCATCGGGCTGAAAAGCGTCACTTGTTGGTGGCTGCAGTTGAGCGGTCCTTCAACCAAAGGGCTCCCAGGATGTGGATTCTCCATACGCCCATTGGCCGGTAACAGCGAGCAATCGCGGCAGACACGGCTAATGTTGAGCGCGTTCTTGTATCAAAAAGCAGATTGAGACATACGATACTTGTAATACCGAGTACTCGGTGTCTTCAAGCATACCTTCTCACCAAGGCTGGGCCACATGTCACACAACCTTTGTCTCGATGTCTAACTGCCTTGATCAGCAGGACACGCCACGTCTGTCACTCAGCAGCCTGCTTTGCAGGCAGCTCTTCCAGCCCGCCGATTGTCCGCGAAAGCTCTTCGAAGTCTATGCCTTCGCTTTCAAACGCTGCCTGCACCCTCTTGACAACCTTCTGCTGCGCTTCGATGGTAAAGCTACCGTCCGCATCACGCTCGCTTTCCACAATCTCCATCCACTTGAAGAATAAGCTCTCCTTACCCATCCCCGTGAGCTTGTCCTTGAAAGCTACTACCCTCTTCCGTCTATCCTCAATGACATCGTTCTCCGTCTCCCACTGCCACGCCAGCCATCCAACCCCGTCTTGGTGCACGAGTACCAGCTTGTCCAGGTCGTTGATCTTGACCTCCTTGCGCCTGACCAGCGTGTGTGCATCAAGCATGAGCTGGAAATCTAGGTCCCAGCTCTTGTCCATCATCAAGTAGCCGGTCTTGCTGCGCATGAACTGCTTCTCAATGGCCGGTAGGATCCTGGTTTTGAAGAATGGAGAGTCATCGCCCTGCTTGATACCCTGCATCAAGTCTGATGCATTCCAATTCCGGCTAACCCGCACCACGACCTCTTCTTGGACAAAGCCAATGTTCCAGCGCCACACAACCGGATTGCTAGGTTGCTCCAGGAAGAAGGTCAAAGGCCAAGGCCCGACGAAGCGGAAGAGGAGAAAGTCGAAGAAGAACATAAGCACTCGCCGAAGGAGGATCAATATCTGCTGTCGTCGTGTGGTAGTCTTAGGATCCACCGTAGTCGCCGAAGGGTAACCGAGTAGCGTCTGCACGATTGCCCAGTATGTAGGCAAAGCGGCGTATATCCGCCAAGCGAGCAAGACTGCTATGCTGCCATTCAATATGACTGGTATAAGAAAGATTTGTCTCTTGTAGTCGGGCGGGTGGCGGTCGATGTGCGTGAGGTAGACTTGGGCGGGATCGCATTGCTGCAGGAAGGGGACGAGTGAGGTAGGCGCTTTTGTGAAAGGTGCCGGTATCTGTGAGCTGGACGATGAGGCTTCAAAGCCGACTTGGTTCGAACGCTTGCTGCCTTGCTTGGCTGACATTGTAGTGGATGGAGCGTCTAATTGGCAGTTAGTAGCAGAGGTTGGCGGTGACCGCTATCGAACATGAGGAAAGGAGACGATGCGGCGAGAAGCGGGAGAGAAAGAGTGCGAAGAAGCATGCCTACCTAGTCCATCAACTAATTGCGATGACCAAATGGTTACAGCTCGACACGGCGAAAGTCCGAGCAGTATTGACGAAGGCAGTCGACCAAGGATAGAGATACGCCAGAAACACGCAGTGAAAGTGCGGAGAAGGCGGGACACATTATCCAGGCTGTTGGCATCGCATTGCCAAGTATTGCTCGACTATATAGTACCACATGGCAGCCTTCTCAGACCGTCATCGCAGCCTGTGATCTTGCCGTTTGCCACCGCCTCCGTCCAATGCTAGCTTATAGAGTCGGAGTCCGTAGCCGTGATGCTGAAACTTTGCGCCTCTAGATGCGCCTCGACCACCGAAGACGAAAGAGAAGAGTTAATCATAATACACGGCGACAAGCCCCACCTTTTCAAGCGCCATTACTGCCAGTAAACTCGTCTGGCAGTATGACGCCAGTCCGAACGCCTCAGTGAGCGCCATAATTCGAGCCCCATCCTCCACGCGATCCGTAACCACCGTAGGTCTGGCTGAATCCACCGCCTGCGCCGTACCCGCCATATCCGCCTTGGCCACCCATGCCGGCCGTGCTCTGTCCTTGCTGATGCTGGTGACTGCCGAGTCCGCCTAGGCCGCCATACTGGCTGCCGCCTCCTTGACCCGGGAAGCCTGGATAGCCTCCGAAGCCCGCCGACTGATGACCTTGCATCGAAGGCGGTAAACCAGAGTGCGTCGAGCCAGCCGCGCTGTTAGCAGCCGAACCAGGCCGTCCTGGAGCCGGGGAAGGACCGCTCTTCGAGTCATTGTACGGCTTCAATGAGTCCTCGACTGATCCTGCACCCCCTCCTATCCCGCCTTGCTGCTGTCCGTATCCACTACCACCCTGGTGGCTACCGAAGCCTGAGGCTGAACGTGCGAATGGGTCATTGATGCTACTGCCGCCGAAAGCGCTACTCTGGTGAGCGGAGCCCTGAACTGAGGACCGGCCGTAGTCGTCCAGTCCGCTTCCAGCACCACCAAGACCTGAGCCCATACCGCTCGCGCTTCGCATTGAGCTCTGCTGATTCTGGCTGAAAGCTGCAACGTTGGCAGGAGAAGAGGAGTGCTGGTCGAAGGAAGATTGCGAGCCCATTCCGTAGCCGCCGGGTGCGCCATACATGCCACCGCCTTGCTTGCCCTGGTAACTTCCGCTCCCGCTGCCGCCACCACCACCGCTGCCGCCACCGTAAGCGCCGCCAAGTTGGTGGTTGAAGTTCACGTACTGCTGATATGCTTGAGGGTACGGACTGCTGTAGCCGTGGTGACCGTACGGGTAGCCAGGAGTGTGTCCGTAATTGCCTTGCTGCTGATGGCTGCCGGGGGCCTGGTGCATTGAGTGCTGAGACATTTGCTGAGCATTCGGACCGCCTTGCTGATGCTGCGCACCGCCCATGAGTGGGTTCGGCGTGTTGTGGCCGGAGCCAGGGGCGTCACCGTACCGTGACTGGACCTGCTGAGTAGACGTGTTAGAAGATGATAAGCATACTACGGGGGCACGTGAAGTAAGCAAAGCAGGCTGCTGGCGATTCGTGATGTCCGAAAACAGAACGAGCGGTGCTTCGGCTTGGAGCTGCTCTGGCGTAGCAAGCTTCTCGCAACGCAAGTGCAACGGCACAGAAGGAGCTTTAGCAGCACCCTCGGCGCGTCCATCAGGAGTGGCAGTAAAGGCGGAGAGTCTGGTCAACTTGTGATCCAGCTCTACACGTTCTGTGGCCCGCTCGTCGCTGAGCTTCAAATCCGTGGGCGCTAGCATGACGTTCGCTTTCTGTTGCTGCCGCTCACAATCCAAATAAGGGAGCATTGCAGAACCTACCTGTTGCTGTGCCTGGGCGGCGTAAGCAGATTCATTTGGACCGGTACCGAAGCCGCTCGATGAGCGCTGCTGCGCCATCCCAGTATCCTGCTGACCCTGTCCAAGCTGGCTCCTCGCATCCTGGGGCCCGTAGCTGCTGCCATAGTACTGGTTGTAGGCCTGGCGCTGCTGGTCATTCGAAGTGTAGTACTGAGAGTAGTCGTTTGAAGCAGAGGATAGCCCGCCGAAGCCTCCGTGGCTCTGCTGTTGCGGCTGATGCTGCTGAGGTTGTTGAGACTGCTGAGTGCCGTACTGGTCGTATGAGCTAGGTGGCCCTTGGTGACTAAACGGATCGTACGGTTTCTGCTGCTGTGCGCCGGACTCCTCTTGCATGCCTGGCTGAGCGTAGCGGCCGTATTGGTTGTAATTTGGGTTCATCTGGGCCTGGTCTTGAGTCACGCCAGGCGCCATAGTTGCCTCCTGCATCTGCTGTTGGTTGTGCTGAGATGCTGGAGGTAAGCCTGGGGCCTGCTTCGGAGTCGGCAAGCCTTCTGGTCTTGCTGTTTCCATTGCTTGGCGTGGAGCAGGCGGCAGTGAAGTCCGTGGCTGGGCTGGCGGAGAGTGCTGCAACATCTTCTGCGTCTCTGGTTCCTCCCGATCTTCGTCGACGTCTGGACCCGGCTCGCCGTTGAGTCCCATACTGCCAAATTGCACTGCGGCCCTATCCACAGCATTATGGCCTGGCATGACGACTGCCTCTTGCTGCTCTAGCACACGCTTTTGGAAGCTGGCACTCCTGCCTGCTACACCAGTAGCACGGTAAGCGCTCGCTGCATAGCCGCCCATGGGTGGACGACTGCCAATCGGAGCAGGCTGGCTACCGCTTAGCGGCGTAGCATTGCGCGTGTCCACCGAGCCGACTGTGCTTGCTGCAGTTTGTGTTGCTGGAGCTACCGACGTGTCCGGCAGATGCTCCACGTTTTCTTCCGTCAACGGATCCTGAGAGGGGGTAATGAGCTCGTCTCCATCGGCAATACCGGCCGACGTATGAGTGGGCTCCTCAGAAGCGGTGTCGGCCAGTGGCTCATGGATAGCCGGAGCGGGTGGCAGCGGCTCGGGCTCGGGCTCGTTCTGCTCTTCCACTGCGTCCGCTTGGGTCGGCACGGATTCACCTGATGCTACCAATTCTGCCGGTGGAGGCTGACCCGCAGTTTGGGCTGGCTTGGCCGCTGGCGCTGGCTTACTCTGCGCGAACATGCTGGCCCAGCTTTTCTTTGGACCGCCTTCCGGTATCAGACTGCTCTTCATGCCCTCGGATGCGGCGGCGGGAGTAGACTCTGCGGTCACCACGTTACCCCACGAGCTCTGACCGGCGTCGGCGGCCACCTCCTTCGTTGTGTCTGCGGCTGCGGTGTCCCACCCGCTGTTCACGGTCTCGGTCGTGTTCGGCGCATCCCACGCCGATGACTCTGTGGTCGGTACCGATACGGTTGAGGCTTCCTTTTGAGTGCCGTTAGTGGTCGCGTGACCACCCCTGCCACCGCGCAACCCACCACGACCACGATCGGAGCCTCTGCCGCGACCTCCACGGACGCCCTCAAAGCCGCCTCTTCCACGACCGCCACGCATAGGCGCTTTGTCGCTCGCACCTGCCATGGCTGGCTCCTCCTTCGCTTTCGAGCGGGCGCGGTCCTTCGTCTTCTTCACCTCGGAAAACTGTGAGACATTGCCTTGCGTGATCTTGTCGACGGTGGCTGCTACATCACCGTCGGTCTCTTGCAAGGCGAAGACCAAGTCGACGTCGGTCCAGTCGGGAAACATGTCCTTCAGCATGCCAAGCTCCGAAGCGTACTTTTTCTTCATCTCGCCCAGCTCGCCCTGGTCTTCGAGTAGCTCATCTGCAGGCACATCGTCTGCCGCGTCTGTAGATGTGCCGTTGACGGGCTTTCTGCCGCCGCGCGGTCCGCCTCTGCCAAACCCACCTCGACCTCCTCTCATGGAGCTTCTGCCGCGTGTGGGCGGAGGCCTTGCTTCGACTTCCGACATGGTCGGTGTATGAAGTATGATCCTGCCGTTGCGACCTTGTCAGCGGATGTGACGCAGCCGTAGAAAGGTCAAGCTCCGCGAGATTGTCCGCAGAGTGCAGGCGTTTGATGGGAGAGTGTGGAGGTCAAGCGCAGAAGTCGGAGCGATCAATCAAATTTGGTGACGTTGCCTTGATTAATGGCGGAAGGCAGGGCTGGGACAAGTGACGACGGGCGTGGAATGGTGTAAGAGGGAGGTGATTGTGGTTTGCATGTGACGAGTACGAGCGGCTCGAAAGTGAATGCAAGCGCAGCAGACGCGAGCTGTGCCAAGCCGTCCGTGCGCAATAGACGTCACGTGCGGCTGAGACGGCAACCGTCTGCACATGCATCTCTTACACTACAAATATCGCTTCCTGGAATCAGCGGCAACAAGGTAAACCTTCCTACAATCTCACCAACTTGGAACAGACTGTACATTCTTTCGAGCCCTGCTGTCCGCTTGGATAGTGGCGGAATGCAGTGATGTGCTCAGCACGCGGTGCCAGCGATGTTGGCCACGCTCGCAGTCAACACTGGCACAATGAGAGGCTCAACAGTCTTCCATAGTCTGAGGTCATGGACGTCAAAGCTACATCAACAGCTCCCGCTCAGTCCACGGGAGTCACAACGCTTACTCAACGCCTTAACGACATCTTTCCGTGAGCAACTTGACCATGTGCATCCAACAGGCGCTGGAGGAGACCAGAGTCAGACGAAGACCGCCCATGGTAACGGCAGTCACGCACCGACTACAGCCAGTTCTCGTGGTCTACATTCGTCCGCAGCTTCAGCCGACAAGCATCTGGCCTCCATACTGACGAATCCACTCCTGGCCAAAGGTGCGGCTACTGCTACGAGCGACACAGATCGCGAACTGGCCAAGGCAAAAGCCGAGCTCGAGCGCCATCCAGCCCAGGACCCGATCGCGCTCCTCGAGGAACACCATGAGCGTGGAGCTGCTAGTGTCGCTCTTGCTCGATTGTGCCTCGCCCATTTCGAAGCGTCATTACGACCACTTGAGGTGACTTTGCAGAAGAAACGAGTTGCCGAGGTGCAGCCGGGAAAGCGCATCCTCTGGTGGCTGTGGCGAAGCGATTCGCATCAAACGACAGCCTTCGTCGACGATCTGACGTTCTATGAGCCCCTTGTCAAGGCTGTGGTTCGTGAAGATCTCGAGTCGTACTTGTGGGAATGGCTCCGCATTGATATGAAGCTGGCAGAGGCAGAATGGGTCGACGGCCCACAGAACCGTAGTAATGTTGCCAGTCAAAGCTTCCTTGCCCGAGAACGGCACGGTTTAAGATGGAAGGGAAGGCTACTAAGGACCTTGGTACTTACCAAGCTTGTGCCTCCATACGGCGAGACTCCCAGTCTTAACAACGCTCTGGACTGCTTCTTCCGCGGCATGGATTTGCATGATGGCGGGTGCCACATACCTTTGCAACCAGCCGGTTCGCTCCTTGTTCGCGCGGTCTGTCCAGACCAGTATGCATACGAGCGTGTTGACGTCTCGCGATATGACCGCTTTCGAGCAACCGTCAACAGATGGGCCTCCTCTAATGGAGCGAATCAAATTCAAGGCTCCTCACGACGACGAGTTGCCGCAGGCTTCGATCTCGCGCAGCTGGACCTACACCATCCGGAAGCTCCAAGCCCGAAATCTACGCTTTCAATGTTCAGGTCTACACAAGACTACTCCCAGCCTTCTGCACCGTTACAACTACACTTATTGGTGAATGAAGCGAAGTGGGGCGAGAAATGGCGCTTACCTTGGTATGTGATGGCGGTGAAAGCACTCTACCTCTTACAGCATCAGGGACACTTCGACGATGCACAGTGGCTGCGCGAGCGGATCTCGTCTACGTTTCCGCAGTGGTCCGTATATATGGATAGAGATTTGCTGAGATTCGCAGACGGTCGTGATTTTCGGGGAAGGCCTGCGCCTAGAGGGCATCGCGCTCAGGTTCAAGGCGGCTCTGATGCATTGGACATACGCCTACCGGTAACGACGTTTGCGTGAGGTTAAATCTGAATATTGGGTATCACACGAAGATGCTGCCGACAGGGAAAACTCAAAAAAGCATGCCTAGATCGAGCACCTGCTCACCGAGCACGCTCCTCTCCATTTCGTTCGCGCTTTCGTACACCCATTTGGGTGCCTCAATGTCGCCAAAGTCGACCAATGCGTAGTGGCTGTCCTCGACATCCGGCTCCAAGCTGTACTCGATCTTGCTTTCCATATCCCCAAGAAAGGTGCCGATGACATGCGTGGCCGAGACGCGCATTTTCGGGTCATGTATGACGACGTTGAAACAAGGCTCACGCCTGCTCTCACGAGCCCGCAGCTGCGCCTGGATCTGTGAAAGGCGCAGAAAGCGCTCATAGCGGTCACCGTTGAAGCGGTCGATGAGCTCCAAATCACGGGCATCGAGGGTGTTGAGCGCGATAGGTCGGCAAAGCGCTTGGATCGCGCCATCGTAGTCGCAAGGTACTTTGACCTTACGGAGGGACGGGAAGCGGCCGTTTGCAATGCCTTTGGCGAGGACAGCCGGGCCGGACCCGGCAACGAGAGCATCCCAATGCAAGTACTGGAGCGTTGGAGACTCCAGCTTCACCTCCATTTTGATCGCTTGCATGTCCGGTGACGGCTCGGGCGAGGTGTCTTGGACGAATGTAAACGCTTGCAGCTTCGATAGGTGCGACATAAGTGATTGGATTGTGTGTAATGAGGTCAATTCGAGCCCAATCAGGCTAAGGTGTTCCAAGGAGCACGCTGGCCTCATGTAAGCCAGCTGATCGATCCCTCGGTCGGTCAAGCCTTCCAGATGCTCTAGCCGTAATGATCTCAAGGCAGGTAGAGACAGAAGTGTACCATTGTGGAAATCTCGTCTGCTTAGCTTCGACAGCATCAGATGCTTCAACGAGGGTAGGCGCTGAAGGATCGCTGAGATCGTGCCTAGCCCGAGGCGGAGTGTGGAGTCTGAGCAGAGCACAAGCGTCTCCAGGTGCCGCCAGTCGTCATGGCAGTCGAGTAGGTCTCCAGGATCGAATGCAGGCAGGAGGTCATCACCAAGCTGCGCCCCTTGCAGATTCCATGCATGGGCTTTGAGATTCTGTCTGAGCGCCAAAGGAACGAACAGCTTCGTGCTGACAGTATCACGTACGGAAGGACTGTAACCGCTGAACAACTCGAGATTGTGACAACGGTTAATGATCTCACCAAGCAGGTCGAATGTTGCGCGTCTTTCTATTCCGCCATGGAGGCCGTCGAGCGAGCATGCCAAATCAGCAGTCACGCGTAAGTGCCGTACCATGTAGGCTAAAGGTTGCGACTCCGACAAAGTCCGTAGTAGGAGCTTTAAGCGTGTCCTTGAGCGCTGCATTGACCTAGGTTTCCGCGGTAGCTCTTCGTTGCTGGGGAGCCAGATCTCGCGATACATGTGCTCGCGTGCTACTCGATGCCATCGCTTGTTCGCCAACAAGAGCGCCTTAAGGTCCGTCTGGAAGCCTACAGCGTCCGCTACGTTGCGTATCCGGTGCAGTGTCTCGAGCTGTTCGCATATGCAGTCATAGATCTCGCGCGGTAGGTGCTCAAATAGCCAGCGAGGCAGCGGTTTCGCGTCCACGGGCGGTTTGCGCACTGAGTAAGAGCGGCTCCTGTGCCGATCCAGCTCCCATTGTGTGCGCACAAGATGGGGGGGTATGTCGAAGTGCTGCGTCCCAGGTCGCCGTTCCTGTGGCGTGTTTGGCCATGTGTTGCGCTGCTGAAAGGACACGTTACGGTCAGGCACCTCAGGCCCGGCGGTGGATGGTCGAAGCGGCCGGAGCGTGATGTCGTCGCTCGTGACATGAATCTGTGCATACTTCTGCTTCACAGGCCTGGGAATTGGTCAGACAATCATCCGTTGACGTTTCATACGCGTGACAGGGGTGCGTACCTGAACGGTAGCAACTCCTCATCCTCGGAAGGCGGCGCCTTTCTGGTGCGCGACAGTAAGTTCTTCAAGCTCTTAGACTTCCTCAACGTCGGTGTACGCTTCACATCGGTCGCCATCGTCGCATGACACCCCCAATATACCCTGGCAGCGCGTTCCAACGTCCAATGTTACAGCAAGAGGAAGCAACGGGATGGCCGTTGGAGATGCCCAGAAAACGGGCACCCGGGATAACTCAGGAGTTACCATCACCTAGCACCAACGGCCGTGCGAATCATTCTGCCAAGCATATCGATACCAACCTTAACTGCAGCCGCGGCGCAATGCTCCTGCAATCATCCCCGCCCTAGCTGCGACGAATACCCCTTTTGGGTCGCATTAGACGACCTTGCAGACCGTGCGTGCACCGTTACGAGCCTAGCCTGGCAGTTTCGGCAACGTGAGGTGGACATAGCGTTGGAACCGTCAGAAAAAGCCGACCCGAATCTGACCTCGTAGGAGTCGGGGGCAGTGGGCGCATAAGGCACATTGTTACCGAGTGCCGCCGCGGCGACGCTGAGCGCGAAGGGGTGATCAAGCACTTGTCGCTTTCGGCAGACTTGACCTCCAGCTACGACATCTAATGTTGCTTCTTCGTTAGTGCACTCCGTGAGCATACCTAAGTCTCAGTTCCGCTGCCCCGCGGGGTGGGTACAGAAGGGTTTTGCCTTCACTGTGGGATTGGCAACGGCGCCGTTGGGCCGACGTTGGTGGCGGTCGCGAGATGGTCAACCGATTTGTTGAGTTTCGCATCGCAAAACGGTCAGGTATCACTTGAGAAGACTCGAAAGCTGGCCATGGAATGGATGCGGGGAGGAGGATTGTGATATGCATTAACATTCGTAAAGTCGTTTGAGATCGCGTAGATCTACAAACGTTCAAGGCTTCGCAACTAAACCCGACTCCCAACGCACTAATATTGCAACAAATGGCCATTACTCAACAGCTACCGCAGAAGCCGTACCTTTCTGGAGCAAAGGATTAACATGTTCATCCTTCCATTCGAAGCGGAACTCCTGGCCCAGCTCTTTCTTCACAGCAGCCTTCACCGCCTCGAGCACATTGGCGAAGACACCGAAATTGGCCGGATTGTTCTCATCGTTCTCTCCACCTTGGAAGACGCCGGTACGGACAAGGCATGTATTCCAGCCGTACATATTACCACCAATGATGTCCGAGGCCGGGTTGTCGCCCACCATGTATATATTGGCCGGCAACTTCTCATCGTTGTGGATGATTTCCATCCAGCTTGCAATCACTTCGTCGGCGTACTTGTAGGTCGCTAACTCAGGCTTGCCATAAACCACACGCTCCAGGTCTTCGCCGGTGAGGGCCTTGTACATCGCCTCCAGACCGATACGGAACGTGCCCTGTGACATACGCGGATATGGATGCTCTGTTGGGCAGAGCAGGTCCCCCTGGCTGAAGTAGATGGGGATGCGTTGCGATACCGGATCCTTGGCCATGGTGTGTAAGCGGCCATTCTCCGATCGCAGCAAGTCTACGATGATCTGCATGTCGGTAGCGTAATCTCGGGAGTCTGAAAAGACCATGATGGCGTCAATGTTCATCTTCGAGAAGTCGCGCGGCCGGGAGGTTCGGCGCTCCTCTTCGGTGAACTTGCGGTAGGGTGCGATCGTGGGATCCCAAGCGAGAATGTCGTTCGGAACGACAATGTTCTCAAAGCCGTACGCTTCCGCGACTTCTCGACATCGGTAACCCTCGCCACCAACAACCAGAACTGTATCGTAGTACTCCGACAATGCTCGCATTGGCGTGTGCGACTGAATGAATTGTTCGATGCTAATAGGCTGTTGCAGGATCTTGGACAATTGTTCTACGCGAGCCTGCTCTGGCTTGCCGGAGCCATTGGTCAGGAAGATGTGTGGTATCTTGATCGCGAGCTCGTTGTCGCCGTTCAGGATTTCGAGTACTCTTTTGCCTTCGGGGATCAAGCGATCACCATGGACAAGCACGCCATCAATGTCGAAAACAAAAGCCATGTCTTTAGCCGCGCGAACCTTCTCGCTTGACATATCCTGAACCTGCGATGCCAGAATCTCCCGCGTTGGCTGAATAGGCGGCATGCCAGGTCTTACCGACTTGCCCGTCCGGCCTTCCGCGGAGACAACGGAGGACAGCCGGGACTGCCTCTTCGACCGAGGAATTGGCAGCGATGCACCAAACGAGTTTCGAGAGGCCCGCCGGTCCCTCTGCGAAGGCGAGAGGGATAGCTGATGCATGTACGGCGATGCATCAGCGATACTGGATCGGGTCGCTGGCACTTCGATGGAGTTCGTCATCCCATCCTCGCCGGGGATGGGAAGGGAGCTGCCGTAGCTGTGGCCGAAGCTGTGGCCATTGCTCTCGCTGCTCTTCACGCGGCTCAGGTCTTTCGACTTGATCTGCTGGACCGGCACGCCGAAATCTGAATCGTCGAATGCAGGCATATCCGCAGTCCAGCGCTTCTCTGCAACCACTCTATAAAGTAGGACTCGCTTGCTTCACGTATATGGCGAAGGCACAGATGCAACACCAGACTATTGGTAGGTTTACGCGAAGGGTGACAACAACTTGGGGTCAGTGAAAAGTGGAAAAAGAGCATGAATGTGAATGCCCCCTGGCATATATCGCACGCTTCACTTCAGTACGAGGATTCGACGGGAGCAAAGCTTGCACGAAGACGATAAGGTGTCTCAACCTCGCCCTTCTTGAGCTGGGTGAGCTGGGTGGTCTCCACCGACACGCAAGAGCTTCTCGGAAGTGAGGCCTTCAACGAAACAGAACACTGGAGCCATATGACATCGCCATCGCCGAGTCCGAGCATTGCGAAACCATGCGCTCGGAACCCGGCCCCATTCAGAAAGCTGACCAAGCCAGGCCACGGTGTCGCCTGAACCAATGACCGAGTTCATAGCTGTATCATGAAGGCGGATACTGACCCAGAGGTGGTGGACCTGCAAGTGCAGTCAAGATGGACGGATAAGGCTGCTAACCCTAGCGTGACCCAACTAGATCAGGGATCAAGAGGGTCGCTGTGGATCAAAGCTTGGCAAGACTGACGTACAGCTTCGTTGCCCGTTCCTGAACAAAGACGAGTTTTACTCGTGTACCCACAGCGTAGCCACTCTTCGCACTCAACATCTGGACCCCGGTGATTGTAGAGTTACGATGACGTGGGAACATCCACGAAAGGCGAAGTTGTCGCAAAGGCTGTGCGAGGTAGACGCGAAACTTTCAATGATATCAAACCCGGTGGTAAGCGTAAGTGTATCGCTCCCATTTCATATTCACAATCTCTCCTTGCCGCATACGCGTCTGTCTTAGCAACATGTCCGCAGGCAAGACTTACCAGCTAAACAATGGTGTGAGAATCCCGGCCGTTGGCTTCGGCACCTTCGCCAGCGAGGGTGCAGAGGGTGAGACCTACAAGGCGGTGATGCACGCGTTGAAGGTCGGCTACCGCCATTTGGACTGCGCATGGTTTTATCAGAACGAGTCAGAAGTCGGCGACGCAGTTCATGACTTCCTGAGAGAGCACCCTGGCGTAAACCGCGAAGACATCTTCATATGTACCAAGGTCTGGAATCATCTACACGAGCCGGAGGAGGTCAAGTGGTCGCTAGAAAATTCGCTGGAGAAGTTCAAGCTTGACTATGTCGATCTGTTTCTTATTCACTGGCCGATTGCCGCGGAGAAGGATCTCAATAACATGCCTAAGCTGAACGAAAAGGGTCAGTACGTGATCAAAGATCAGCTCACAAAGGACCAGAGGCCGACTTGGCAAGCGGCGGAGGAGCTATACGCTGCCGGGAAGGCGAAAGCGATTGGTGTTTCCAATTGGACCATTGAGCACCTAGAGGACATGCTTAGCTGGTGCAAGGTCAGACCTGCTGTGAACCAGATCGAAATCCATCCCTTCCTGCCGAGTGATGAGCTGGTAAACTATTGCTTCAAGAATGGCATCATGCCCGAAGCGTATAGTCCGCTTGGATCGCAGAATCAAGTCCCTACTACTGGCGAGAAAGTGAACACCAATCCAACCCTGAACAGAATTGCGGAAAAAGGCGGCAATACATTAGCGCAAGTGCTGATAGCCTGGGGTCTGCGACGAGGCTACGTTGTACTGCCAAAGAGCTCAACACCATCAAGGATCGAGAGCAACTTTAAGACCATCAACCTGAGCGACGAAGATTTCGAGGCGGTCAACCAAGTGGCGAAGGGGCGACATACAAGGTTCGTGAACATGTGCGATACGTTTGGGTACGATGTCTGGCCAGAAGAGTCTGCAGCAGAAGCGGCACGATTGTAGATCGCTCTGGTAAACGGCGTATCAGTGCGTTTTTGAATGAGCGGCAGGCGTATGCGGCGCAGATGTGGGAGCTGAATTAATACTGCTGGCACTTCGTTGTGCTCCCAGAAAGTCGATGCTGCCATGCTACAGTCTCAAAAGGCGAGCTGCCACATGCACTAAGGAACAGTAAACAGACGCCGAGATGGCACAGCTTCGGTGTACGCCAGGAGTATCTGACTCATGATGTAGTCCAGCTGTGACTCCACTTGCTTGTACTCTGATAGCGTATTAGCGTAGTCGAAAGCTCGCGACTCTTTGTACGTCAATGCGTTGGCAAAGCACGACCAAGTCTCTCCGATGTCAGCTCCTCTTCAGGTGAAGGGACGGTTCCCATTGGTGCTTCCATCTTCAATAATGCAAGTCAGAGGAGGCTTGCATATGCCGGTAACGGCCGCCAGACATCGCGCTGCAAGTCGAGATGTGAATCGTAGTTTGTCGGCGCTCTGGCCGAAGGAACCCCAGCTGTACTCATGCGAAAGGCTGCCACATTGAGGGAGAAGGTCTGCTCATTGCCCGTGGAAGTTCTGATAGTTTGTCCTTCAAGTGTTGCACGAATAAAATCGGGCAGGAAGGTGTGTCTGTGGGGCTTTTGCAGAAATTAAGTGGAGTTAGGTCGTGTGCTCAATGTCGATTGACGGAGAGGCGGTAAGCACGGCGCGACGCTTAGCGTGAAGATCCCTGTCAACTTTTCGATGACTTTTGGCTCTGTTTTCCTCCCTCTCTCACAACCTGTCCAGCACCAACCTGCACTTACCAGCGACGAAGCACCCTATAAATCCACACAACCAGACAACACCATTATCCAATACCACCTTCGTCGTCACTATGCCGCAGGCTATCGCTCAGCACTAGATATACCGCTGGAGGTGCCGCCTTGCGCGAGCCTCCAGTCCGGTCACTGCTGAACGAGATACTTCAAACGCACGACAAGAAGATCCATCTCTTCCAGCCATTGCTTGCGAAGTGCCTTGACTCGAACCGCACAGCGATCGCTTTGCAAGCACTGCAACCATCCCAGCTCCGCACAGAGCACGACGACGAAGACTCGGCTTTACCTGCTTATAGTAAGGCCTACATAACGCTACACGCTTACTGCCAAGTTGCCGACAGGCGACAGGAACACTATCCGTTATAGGCCACACCGGCGCGATCAGAAGCTGGTCGGGAACTACGGGTTCAATCTACTACATTACATTGTTCACTACCGCTACCCTAAACAGTAATGGCGGCCCCTACCCGTCATGCAGCCTCCAGCAAGGGCTCACCAGAGGTGTCTGCCAAGCATGGCAAGACACCAATTACAGAATCAACGAGTTCATGCGGCGCACGCCAAGATAATGGCACCTTAGGTAGCGACGAAGCAGCTGAAGGTCCCCAAACTCCGTCGGACGACGAGATGAATGATGACAATGATACTCCGGACGATTTTGCCCTGTCAGGCGCACATAAGGTTCACAAAGGACAGCGTCTGGCAGGGCTGGACAACCCTCCCACCGAACAGACAGTGGCAGGCGCAGTGCGTGACGAAGGTGACGAACCGGATGATGCATATACCGCCGTCGAAGACATTGCAGATTCGGACACGGATGAGCAGCGCGAGAGGGAGGTAGAACGAGATATGGAGAGAGATTTGATTGACGAATTCGAGAGAAGGCATGGCGGTGATGTGGCCGATGATTTCTGGCTCGATGGACCCGTCTACAACAACATCAGCAGTGGAGACCTACCGTCTCATGGTTTGGATGTTCTGACGTTGTCTGGGACATTTGACTTGGATCTGAACGAGGACCCGTTTCTCGGCCTACCATCGAATGACAACCTTTACCGGGAGATGGCGAACGACGCCGAGGACGCACTCAGGGGCTGGGAAGGCAGTGAAGAGTCGACTGAGACGAAGAAGCGAGTTCGCTTCCTCGAGCCGGAGACAAGTTTGTCACGCACTTCCAGCATGAGCAGCTCAGACGACTCGCACGATGCGTTTCCTGACATATTCGATGTGCATGACCGCTCTTTAGTGATGGGTTACGGCAGCACATTGGCTGCCGGTCTTCAGCTAGGCGCTGATCAAGATGATGCCGAGTCGTGCTTCGATTTCGACGGGGAGGGTCCTAGCATGATTCTGGAAGATGATGATGACGAGACAGATTCTGATGAGTACGATAGTGACGGGTCAAGTGGACTGGACTGTATGGCTTTTGTTCCCATGTAATCAATGCTCTTGTACTAACCGAATATTGCAGCCGATGATGAAGGCGACACGACCGATGAAGAAACGGAAGAAGAGATGATGCTCACGCTGCAGCAAATGCGCAGGCGTGCCGCTCTGACTCCGGCGCCAGCACCGTCTCCTAAGACGCCGACGCCGACTCCGACTCCTACTCCTGCCAGCCGATCACTCGGCCGGCGCGCTCACACGACGGACTCACCGGCTGCAGTGCGCGGTGCAAGAGGGCCGAGAATGGGTACTTTCGTCGTTGACAGGACCCGTGCTGCATTGTCCGCCGATGTGACCGGAAAGCGCATCAAGTTGAAGCCACCCGTCCTTCCGACGGAGAGGGAAAGAGCATTCTGGGAGCGTGCCGCCAAGACTGCATCCGTTAGCCGTGGAAGCACGCCTCGATCGGACAACTTTTACACGCACGGTCCGCGTGTTCAGGAAGGCGCACCACAGCCTTTCACAACCCGTATGACACTGGGCTCGATGTTTGGTGGCAACCTCGACATTTTGCGCAATAACGATGCCGCCGGAGTCGGCGCGGAGATGTACCCAGCCGCTTTCGGACGGCGGGGCAGCACGTTGTCAGACATGGTGAACAGCGATGGAGAGTTCGACGACCTGAACATGCAAGACTTCATTGACCTGGGCAACGCATCCGACAGCGAAGAGCCTTCCTCCGCCACAGCGTCGATCATGTCGCCCACTCAATCCGACCTATGCAACTCCTTCTCTTCTCTCGATCCTCGCCGGAACGAGAGCCTTCTCGACCATCTAGATCAAAAGCGCGACCTCGTCGGCGCGTTTCGCCGTAACCAGAACGTCGTGAGGCACGTTAGCTCTTTGCCGTCCCATCCTGCCAAGCGCGCCTCGACGTCAGAGTACAACGCTCTGCAGAAGGGTCGACGCGCCGCAGCGAACACACCCATCACTCCTGCACGCAAGAAGCGTGTTAGTCAAGACCTTACCTCTACCGGAGCCGGCGTCAAGAAGTATGTCGCTCATGCTACCCCTGGTAGACGCCCAGGAAGCCGCGGCAGCTCTTCCGTACATGGCGCGAGTCAGATGCTTAGTACGACCTTGATGTAGGTCGGACTGTCTGGCGCTCACATCGCAAATCGCATTACACCCGCACTCTTAGGAGGTTGGACGGCTTTTCCGTTACCTCTACTTGTTTCAGGGAGTGCTTTGCTTGATCGGATTGGCGTGGCGTTGGTGGCGTTCTCTGTGCACTGGCTCTAGCCAGCCGCGAGCATGCGGTTCTGTGCTGTTCGGTGATACCCCGACCGTTTTCAAAAGTTGTCAAGCTTGTTCGTGCATTTAGAGGGGACGGATTACGGAAGGGCTCGCGGAGGCTATTGGTGGGCGCTGGCGCCGCATAACTCGGCCGCAATGGTGCGGCAATAGACCGCGTAGTGAGTGCAATTATACATGTCCATCAACCACTTCTATCCCACTGCCGTACCAAGCGCGCTCAAAGACTTGTGTGTCCACCACATCCAATCACCTCGATCTGCAGCCGAACTGACCCCGGAAGGGCCGAAACAGACTTGCCCCTGCGTCAAACATGTGGCGTATGCCAAACGGGCCTTTAGCGCCACCGTTTTAGCACCCCGGCCGCGTCAGGCACGCGGCGAGGGACGGCGATCTTGTATCGATCACACGAAGTTTTTGACGTAGTGCATGTGGAGAGCTGAAGCATCCCCAACGACCTCTTCTCTCTATCGCGGCGCGGGTTCGTATTGGTGGGCCTCCCTTCGTTCAAAGCATTGCATTCGGACAGACTATTTTTCTTTGTTCTTTCGTTGACGGTGACTTTCACACATTCACGCATACGGAGCGGTTAATTGCTGGTTTGCTGGGCGCAAAGATCGCCGACCTGATTTGGTTGAAGGACATTCGTTAAGAGGTGGACGGTGACCGCGACGGCGGCGTAAGACGTGATTGCTGGTCAATGATCCCTCGACATTGACCATTACCCACCTACCCGACAGTAGCGCCACCGTTCAGCGCATTCCCAATATGGACGTCCTACTGTCCGAAGCAGCTCACCTTCTGCCCCGCCAAAACAGTCCATCGTCGAGCGGCTCCTCCATCACTTGCACGGACGGCGATACGAACTGCGAGTTCCTGCAACTCATCGCCTCCCCGTTCGCCAGCGACCTCTTCTCCGACGCTTTCTGGGCTTCGCTCGTCACCTCGTTCGGCATCACGGTTGGCATCACCCTCCTCTTTTGCTTCATCAGACCCTACAACAACGTGGTGTATGCTCCGCGAGCGAAGCACGCAGATAGTAAACATGCGCCTCCGCCGGTGGGAAAGGGCTTGTTCGGGTGGATTCCGCCGCTCATACGTACAAGAGAGGCAGAACTGGTGGAGAAGGTTGGCCTCGATGCGGCCATCTTTATGAGATTCTGCCACATGCTGAGAAATATAATGCTCGCCTTGACGATTGTCGGCTGTGGTGTGCTGATACCGGTTTACATTATAGCGGCGCACGGCTCAGCGAAGGGAGTTTCCTTCTTCCTGCGCATCACGCCGCAGTACATGTACGGCTCGCAATATTTCTGGGCGGTGGTGGTGATGGCATACACCTTCGACATCATCATCTGCTTCTTCCTTTGGACGAACTATCGCGCCGTGGCGAAACTGCGAAGGGCATACTTTGAAAGCACCGAGTATCAGCGCAGTCTCCACGCTAGGACCTTGCTCTTGACGGACATTCCGAAACAGATGAGATCCGATGAAGGTATCGTTCAGATCATGGAGAGCGTCAAGGCTACCCATGAAGTGCCCCGCGCGGCCATCGCCCGTAACGTAAAAGACTTGCCTGATCTGGTTGAGGAGCATGAGAAAGCTGTCCGGGAGCTGGAGAAGTACCTAGCGAAGTATTTGCATGACCCGAACAAGCTTCCCGCTAAACGTCCAACATGTAAGGCATCGAAGAACGATAAGAGCTACAAGAAGGGCCAGAAGGTGGATGCAATCGAGTACCTGACGTCCCGGATCAAGGAGCTGGAGATCGAGGTCAAGGAGGTCCGGGAAACAGTCGATAAGCGCAATGCCATGTCGTACGGCTTTGCAAGCTATGAGAGCATCGCGGATGCACACAGTGTGGCGTACGTCTCGCGCAAAGGCGGACCTAAGGGTACGATCCTCCGGCTAGCACCTAAGCCCAACGACCTCGTGTGGAAGAATTTGAAGATGCCGAAAAGCCAACGCAATTGGCAGAATGTCATCAACAACCTCTGGGTCGCCCTGCTAACCGTCGCCTGGGTGGCGCCCAACGTGTTGATTGCGGTGTTCTTGTCCAACTTGACACACCTTGGCCTCGTCTGGCCCGCTTTCAACGAGTCGCTAAAGGCACATCGCAGGTGGTGGGCCGTGGTGCAAGGTGTCGTCGCTCCCGCAATCACTACGGCCTTCTTCTACTTCCTCCCAGCCATCTTCCGGCGGCTGTGCATCAATGCCGGAGACGTCACCAAGACGAGCCGAGAACGGCATGTCATGCACAAGCTCTACTCGTTCTTCGTATTCAACAACTTGGTCGTCTTCTCCCTCTTCTCGGCCGTCTTCGGCTTCATTGCGGCGATTGTGAGCAGCAAAGACAGCAATCTGTGGAACCGGATCGAGTCTCAGCATCCATTTCAACTAATCGTCGGTACGCTATGTCAAGTCTCGCCGTACTGGATCTCGTGGCTTCTGCAGCGGAATCTGGGCGCGGCGGTTGATCTAGGCCAACTGTTTACGCTTGTCTGGGGCTTCGTCTCGCGGAAGTTCTTGTCACCAACACCTCGGGAGCTCATTGAGCGGACTGCGCCGCAACCGTTCGATTACGCCGGTTACTACAATTACTTCCTCTTCTACACGACGGTCGCAGTGTGCTTTGCGCCACTGCAGCCGTTGGTGCTACCAGTCACGGCGTTCTACTTTTGGTTGGATTCGTTCCTGAAGAAGTATCTCATCTTGTACATCTTCATCACGAAGTATGAAAGTGGCGGTGAGTACCTGCTGTATCATTACCTCCGCAAGATTCGGTCCGCTAATAATGTATAGGCATGTTCTGGCGCGCCTTATTCAACCGCATGCTCGTCCTCACGGTACTTGGTAATGTCATTGTCGCCCTTCTCGTCGTAGCTCAAGGTGGATCCAATTGGGCCATGCTCGCCTCTCTCGCTCCGCTGCCATTCCTCATCCTGGGCTTCAAGCTCTACTGCGCACGTGCCTTCGACGATACGATCTACTACTACCAGAAAGGCAAGGCGATGCGTGACTCCGAGCATGCCGCCAACACGGACCTCAAGAAGCGCAAGGGTGATCGCGTCGGTGTGCGCTTCGGCCATCCCGTGCTGTACAAGCCGCTCATCACGCCTATGGTGCACGCAAAGTCTCAGCATCTGCTAAAGCAGATCTACACCGGCCGAACTTCGATGGAGGACAGCGCGGCAGTAGCTGGCGGGTACAGCGATGTTTACATGGGCAGCATGGATGCGAGCAAGCCGGGCAAGCCAGCCGATGGCGCAGCGCCTTTCGAGATCGTGAGCGAGAGCCAGATGGACTTTGAGCATTACAAAAACAGACCGGAATTCAGGGATGAAGCAGGCGGCGACGGTGAACTCTTCGGTCATGCACAAGATATTGTGCGACCTGGTACACCTGGCAGCATAACCACCGTAAACCGGACCGCTACGTGGGCCACTGATGCAAGTCGCAGTCGCAGCGAATCCAGGGAAGCTTTCGGTAGAGACAGAAGCGATTCCCGGGACTCTGAAAGCACTCGCGTTGGTGGCAATGAGACCGAATATCCACGGGGTTATCATCAGACGCCTTCGGCGCTGAGGGACCAGAGCGTGGAAGCCCGTGGTCGATGGGAGGGCGCAGATAACCGGAGTCGAGAGAACCTTGTCGCGAGCGCGGCACGAATGGGAAGGAGTCCGCCACCGCAGCTCGGGACGCCATATGCGCCGACACTCGGAGGCTACGGACCGATACACACACCCACTAGCACGCCGGGAGAGGGAGACGTTGGTGGTGCTGGAGGAGAGAATACGAGTTATGATTACTTTAGGCGCGGGCGGAACTTGTAGTGCACGGTTCCTGCTCAGAGACGCAAGGGGGGACTTTGTGAAGGTTGGGGCGAGTTCGCCAGGCGTACGGTGTTGTGTCGACAGTCGCATGATGGGCGACTCCATGCCTGTACAACGACTACTGTACTCCAGACATAGAGCAGAGAAGCAGACTTTTCCATCTTCAAGCGCCACGCTAATGCAATAACCTTACAACTTTCAGAAGATCGCCCGTAACGCCCATGGCAGTCACTTCGCCGCCGGCGCCGGCACCCTGTATGATCAATGCGTTCGAGCCGTACCGCTTGGTATGGAAGCTGATAATGTTGTCACTGCCCTTTAGCGCTGCGATCGGGTGACTGGCATCAAACTTCTCTAAGCCGACCCTTACGGCTTGGGATGGGGCATCTATGCTACCGACAAATCGTACGACTTTGCCTTCTTTCGCAGCTGACAACTTGAGTTCCTCCATCTGATCGTCAAATTGAGGTAGCTTCTCCAGGAACTCGTCGCCGGAACTGACGGATTCTAGCTCCTTCGGTATAAGTGACTCAACCGGGAAAGAAGTGGGCGACTGCACTTTCAAGCCAGCTATTCGCGCAAGAATCGTGAGTTTCCGCGCGACATCAAGACCGTTGAGGTCGTCTCGCGGGTCAGGCTCGGTATAGCCCAGCTCCTTCGCCTTCTTAACTTCGGCGCTAAACTTGCCACCGCCGCCACCAACAGGCATGAAGGAGTTGAAGAGGAAGCTCATCGTTCCGGAAAAGACGCCTTCGATCTTGGTCACTTCGTCGCCGGTCTCGATGAGCTCCTTTAGCGTGCTGATCACTGGAAGTCCGGCGCCTACTGTCGACTCGTGGAAGACGTAGCCGCACTTTGGTCCGCCGGTGCCATTGGCGGCGGAGGCGAAGATCTGAGACCAGAGGTCGTAGGTGTCGGAGAAGGCTTTCTTGTTGGGTGTCACTATTGAGATGCCCTTACTCAAGATCTTGGGGTACGATGCAGCGATCTCCTGGTCTGAGGTATTGTCGACTAGTATGACCTTGTTTGGTGCTTTGGCGAGGGTGTCTACCGTCTCCCCGAATGGCGGTGCTGCATTGCCGGAATTGTCGAGATTCTGCAGAGCTTGTGATATGTCGAGAGGCGCAAAGTTATCAAAGTACTGCTTCTTGCTTCGCCGAACCAGCACGAGTTCTAGGAGCACGTTTTGCCGTTGCATGCGGGCCCTGAGGTGCTCGAGTTGTCCGAGGAAGGCTTTGCCCACGCCACCCACGCCGACGACGGCTACAAAGATCTTGTTGGAGCCAGACATGGTTGTCACTACGTCTTACCTCACTTCTATGGTCAGTGTTTCCTACTCCACCCTGTTCAAATGTTGCGCACGCGATGAGGGGCAGATTTTTGTTAAGCTTCAACTGCAAGCTGCGGGGTGATTGACCGGCTGCAGGTACCGACGCCATCACGCATTAGCGGCGATCTTGTTGATGGGCCGAGCTCAAGCGATCAAATTCCATTAGCGTGAACGGTAGCGGTCGTGCGATATGGAATCAATATTCGATTGGGACAACAAAAGTCCAACACCTGGTAGTGTTTCGTACCCGACATGCCAGCAAAGGAGACGTCTTTGTATGGTATCGAGAAGCAGCGCAAGCTCGCAGGCGGAAAAGAGATATCTTCCTCCACTAGCCTCTCCTTTACCTCTCAGCTCAGCTCCCTGATCAACTCGGGAGGCTCGGGCGCGAAGTCAGCGACTGGGCGATCCAAGTCGAGAAAGGAAGACATCTTCGCCACTCACAACAGGAACACTGCGAAGCGCGCCAAGCGCGACCTCGAGGACTCATCTGCCGTTGAACAGAAGCACACCCCCAATGGCGAAGTGCTTGACAGTCGGCTATGGGAGCGCAGCAAGAAGAAGATGGAGGAGAAGGCAAGGTTGTATGCTGCGATGAAGCGAGGCGACGTGGAAGATGCGGATGAGCGCTATGCGGTCGACTTTGACCGAAAGTGGGCGGAGACGGAAGAAACGGGCGACGAGGAGCTTGAGGATGGTGAGGACGATGCGGAGGAAGGACCACAGGACATAGTAGAGTATCTGGATGAATTTGGCCGAACACGACAGGGTACAGCGGCAGAAGCTGCGCGGGCTGAGCGCGCAAAGCGTGATACAGAGCAGGCGAAGAATGATGGCTTCACCGCTCGACCGTCTGCGCCTACCAATGTCATTTACGGTGACACGATCCAGCATCAGGCTTTCGACCCAGATGCGCCCATTGCTGCCCAGATGGAAGAGTTGGCGCGGAAACGGGACAAATCGCTCACACCGCCGTCCGAGGAGCATTTCGACTCGAATCGAGAAGTCCGAACGAAAGGCACTGGCTTCTTCCAGTTCAGCGCTGATGCTGAGGAACGCAAGCGGCAGATGGAGAATCTGGAGCGTGAAAGGGCTCAGACGGAAAAGGTGCGACAGGAGAGGGAGGCGAAGCTGGCGGAGCGCAAGAGACAGCTTGAAGCACGGAGAGCAGCGATCAATCAGCGACGAGGCAAGAGGAAGGCGGATGACTTTCTTGAGCAGCTTGGTGAGGAACTCGGGATGCGGCAGAGCCGAGAAGATGCGAGTACCGAAATGACTGAACGGATTGAGGCTGCCGTGCAAGCTGAAGCGGACGAGACGTGAGGTGGCATGCGGGAAGGGCCTTTTCAATGACAATGTGGGCTTCATCTCCTGAACGAACCATTCATACATCGTTCACATCGCTCATAATGGATAGTGAACGACAGCACGGACAGTATGCGGGTCGACAGATAAGGTTGGCTTATCGAAAGCACCCCGCCACAGGCCGAGAGCCGACGATGGCACCAGGAAGCTCAGCTGGCCCAGGCTTGTGTTGCTCGCTGCCTTCACGCCCGTCGCCTGCACCACCAACGCTACCATTCCACCGTCACATCGCTTTCGCGACCATCGAGGATTGCACGTCGTTCTGATCTAGCGCTAGACGCAATCCCACCACCTACACCGCCGCCCACAATGTTCGGCTTCATCGCCGACATCCTCACGTGCGCATCTTCACCATGTCAACATGCAACGGGAACGGGTCGCTAACGACATATAGCTCCATCACGTCCATCCTCTTTCCCATCTTTGCCTCCTACAAAGCCCTGCGCACCTCCGACCCCGCCAACCTCGCCCCATGGCTCATGTACTGGACCACCCTTTCCCTCTTTCTCCTCGTCGAATCACAGCTGTACTTTATCCTCTACTGGATTCCCTTCTACTCCTGGATCCGTCTCGGCCTTCATCTATACCTCGTCTTGCCAGGCATGAAGGGTTCCCAGTTCATCTACCAGACCTACATTCACCCGTTCCTGGAGGAGCACGAGAGGCAGATCGATCGCATGATCAGTGAAGGCCACGAGAAGGCGAGGGCGGCTGGCATGGATGTCGTGAAGAAGGGTGTGGAGTACATCAGAGTGAACATGCTAGGCCAGGAACCGAGGAGGCCTAGTCCGCCGCCAAGCAGGAACGTCAGCTATGCGACACACCTCATCAACCGCTTCAGCATGCCGAGTGCGAGGGAAGGACTTGCGGCGGCAGGGACCAGCGATCTATTCAGTCTGCTCGGCAAGGCCTTGCAGCAGACGACTTATCCAGACGCGCACTCGCGGGAAGACCAAGCGCGAGACCTGGCCAACTCCGGCACTCTCATTCCACCAGATCTTGCTGGTGCTGAGCGCGACGATTTCGTCAACACGCAGCGGGAGCGCCTACGTACGCTTCTGCAGGCCTTCGACGCTGAGGCTTTTTCGTCTGCGGGTGCGGCGACTTCAAGCGCGCAGCCACGCTCAGGCCTGCCTCGGCAGCCATCGTCTCGGAAGTCGTACCTTGCGCCGCAAGAGCCGACGGGAGGCTACATGCACAAGTCACGCTCAGAGTCGGAGTTTGAGGACCTTGGATATGAAACCATGCCTGATCCGGAGCAGTTCAGAGTCTACGACGATCAGGACCCGAAGGCGAGGACGGTGGGCAGGCCATCGAAGGACAGTCCGGCGTGGAGTAACTGGATCTGGGTACGTCGCTTAGATCGTCGTCTTTTCTCGAATTGGTGCTGACGTTGGTAGGGCAACTACGGCGAGAAAGATAGCGCGATCAACACGAAGAAAGATTTGTAGGACCGGAATTGTTCAGTGCATTCTCAATCCTGTATGACATACGGCTGGTTACGTGGGTGGCGCTTGAGAGTGGCGGCGCTGAAGCGCCGGCGCATAAGGGCACAGTAAGCTGGGGCTGGGCATGTAAGGTGGCAGCTATCAATATAACGTATCCACGTAGGCTCTTCGTCTGTACCTGAGCTCGCTGTTCAACCCTACCCTTGTCAATCGTATGTGGTCCGTGCGGTGGCACCACCGTACTGTACCTCCACTCAGGCATTTGAGATTACTGCGAACACAACTTTTCACGGGAGTGAGACACAATGACACTCACATCGTATGCATGAACGACCTGGTATGAGACACTCCTTCGTGAACGAAAGTGCTGTCGGAGATGACCATGCCATGTCTACTTGAACTCATCGTTTCCGTCTGGGGACTGTATCTAGAGATTGAACATTACTGATTGCACACTCTTCACTCACGCAATGTGCATATCTCTCCTTTCGACAGCACATCCGCAATACCCATTCATTCTCCTGAACAACCGTGACGAATTCCTTGACCGCTCAACTGCGGCCCTGCACAGATGGGAGCCGCCCGATAACAAGGTCTTCGGAGGCAGGGACCTTCAACGCAAGGAACAAGGCACCTGGCTCGCTATCACCACACAAGGACGCATTGCGAACCTGACGAACTTCCGAGAGGAAGGCATCGAGGTCTCGAAAGGCAAGAGTCGCGGCCTCCTACCACTCGGTTACGTCACCGCCGTACCGGAAGTGGCCGAGAGCGACGAAGCCTTCATCAAGCAATCACTCGACCTCGGAGTCGACGACATGGGCGGCTTCAGCCTTGTTTTTGGCCAGCTACGTGCGCCAAGGGAGGATGGAAGTCGGCCTGGCCTCTCGATCTTATCGAACCGCACCGCCTCCGTTGACGGCGTGACGAGAATCTGCACGAAGGCAGGCGAGACGCACGGGCTCAGCAACAGTCATTTCGGCGACCGTAGCTGGCCCAAAGTGGTCCAGGGCGAACAGTTTCTGAAGGAAGCTATCCAAGCCAACATTGACCGTGGTGAGGACCAGCAGAAGTTCATCGATGATCTATTCCACATTCTGTCTGTCGATACGTTCCCGCAGGTGCAGCCGGGCGAGCCGTTCGCACTCTATGCCAGGCAGATGCGAAATACGATCTTTGTGCCGCCGGTGCGTGGCAAGTTTGCTGACAATCAGCCGGCGGATCGACTGGCGGCTGCCCGTTTTGATGCGCTTGATCCTCCGAATAATGCTGTGGATCACGGGAGTTACGGGACTAGGCAGCAGAGCGTGGTGTTGGTCGATGGCGAGGGTGTGGTGACGTTCGATGAGAGGACGCTGTATAGAGAAGATGGCAAGCTCAACACGCCTGGAGATGTTGTACAGCGGGTTCGTTTCACTATTGAAGGGTGGAACGACTGATGTGCAACCCGAGGCTGTGAAGGTCGCCCTCTAATACGAGGACGCAGGAGATGGTGGGAACGCTTGCAGGTACTATAGTACAAACCAGCATTGCTGCCGGCATCATGATAAGAAACATGGCCGGTTCCCTCCCGCCATCCGTGGTATCATTCAGCCCATGCGCGAGGCATGAGCCATTAAGTCACAGGCACCCGCAGTGTACTCCAAGCGAAACATAGAGCTTGAGGCTGAAGCGCCAGCCACATCGTGAGAGGCGACGCAGCGTACTCCCAGCGGCTCGTGGAAGCGCGAAGAACGATTTGATGCAGTCGAAAGAGGAGCCTACTCCTCTTCCTCATCATCGTCGACACCCTGCTGCACGAAGTTAGCAGATAGACCACAGGGTCGTGCCCGTACTGGAGACTTACGCTGGTGTAAGCAGCCTTCTCCTCTTCGTACCGCTTCTTGTCAGCGGCAGCCTTGGCCTCGTACGGAGCCTTCTGCTTCTCATTCAAGGCCTTCCACTTCTCGCCAAGAATCTTGCCGACATCACCTGCGAATATCAGTACTTCTTCCAAGAATCACGCGATGCATCAGGAAGACTCACCGAATTTGACACCCGGGTTGTCCTCGCGGATTTTGTCGCGCTGGTCATTGGCGAAGAACATGTAAGCGGACAGGGCGCGCTTGGGCATGTTGGGGTCTGATGGAGAGTCAGCGACTTGACACTAAGCACGAAGATTGGGTGGCGTGGACTTACCCTTCTTCTTCTTGCCGCCCTCTGCCTTTCCGGCAGACTTGGCGCTCTTGCGCGTGGTGGCCTTCTCCTTAGGCATTGTGTCGGTTTGAATGTGTTGAACGAAGGTTTCTGGCGATGCGCAGTCGACGTTAGTCAATTCAGGCCAACAATGCGACCGAGATTGAGATGCGGGCAAGATTGCGCGACGTTGGTGTTGATGTTGCGCGCGTGTTGACAGCGTTGTTGTGATGCAACGCCTCTTCAGCTCGCAGCTGCCGGGCGCAATCACAACCGCTCTCGACCACGTGCAAGCTTGTGAACGGTCACGGTGAGATGGGGAATTACTTACAGAATTGGTATCTGCGTTCGTTGTTTGGTCTGATGAGTTGTGGGCGACTAGAGGTGGAACGGTCAGTCGATGAAGTGAGGTCGATGATGATAACGACACATGAAGTCGTCAGGTGCCATGACGCGACCGCAGAACCAGGCGAAACAAGCGGTAGTCGCGTCGCAAAGACGGGAAAAAGTGCAGGCGGTAAGTGTTGGAAGAGTGGTGTGTTCGCGCCAAAGGCCGTGAAGCTGTGAAGAAACTCCGGGGTCATACTAACCAACTTGTACGGCGATTTGGCTGAGCGGGCTCACTGTAGTGAAGCAAGCAAGAGGACTGTGGCAGCGCAGCGAGGGAAGCGCGGAGACCTAGAGGAAAAGGTCCCCCCGCCACACGCTTGTGACATAAAGACATGGTCGAACTAAGACTTCAGTCTTCACAATATATTGACGTCTCGATATCTTCCTCAACAGCAGATTTAACTATGTCATTTCAGTGCAATACTGTTCCCAGAGAGCGTAAGAGTCATCAACCAGGCTCTTGTGCCGTTGCGGTTGCGTACCAACATATGGACCAACGCGACATGGCGGCCATAAGTCTCACTCCGTTTCTGCCTTTTGTCCACAAGCCGTGCCAGCGTAAACACCGGCTCAATCTCCCGCACCTTTTCGCGCCTTCCTGCTCCCAAGCAACGTGCGCATCATTCGCAGCACGACTCGTCCACTAGCCTTCTCAGCTTCATCAGCTCCTGTTTAGCTGCCCATAAGGCCTTTGACTGCTTTCGTCATCACTGTCTGACAGCGGAAGAAGGCGCCCTCGTGGAGCACTACTTTACTACGAGTAAACGGCTTGCTAACCACCAGTCTTTCACGCCAGCTCGCTTTCTGCGTCCTCTTCTACCATCGGTGCTGTGCAAGACATCATGTGTTCTTCCCGCATGCCCTCGGAGTCATGTGCCTGCCCAGGCTCCTGCCATGTTGAGTTACAGGCCAATGGTCCCTATGTCTAAGCTCCCTGGACCAGTTCGAACCCTTCTTCGAGACTTGATGTCGTTGGTACGAATCTGCGCCATGTGTCCGTACGGAGTCGTGCAGCGGCCTAACCAGATTTGCTGCTAATAACATCCAAACCATGCAGTGATCTGACTGCGGAAACTTCTTCCATCGTGGCGTCCCATTATGCAGTAAGTGCAGCCGTCAAGCCGTGGTAGGCCACTCATACTGGTGGGTCACTGAAATGCCCGTGATGGTGGCGACTGGGGAAGTATGCTCATGACCTTGTAACATGGGCGTCACAGCATGAAGTTTGTGCGGCTGCCTTGTCACGTTCGACAAGCGGCGGCGCTGTAGGCATGGCTTACCTGTAACAACACCAGCTGGTCCAATGCTGATGCTGCAATAGCAGCCAAGTGTGCGGATGCAGTCGTGGACATGGAGGCCTTTAGCCACGAAGCTCTGCATTGCCAGCAGATGCGAGTCCATGCAAATACACCGCCCACTGCTCCAGTTCGGCTTTAGTTCGCTCACGCCACTGCTCAAGCGTTTCTTTTGGATCGTAGTTGCCATGACCGCTGCACTGCCCGTTGCATGCTGCGCAGATAGACGGAAAGCGGGGATCATATGCTTCATTGGCCCACCCATTCGCCACCATCTGGCTTGGATCCGCATTGTACTCCTTGAGCCAGGCCTCGTCGACGGCGCGCGATATACTGGAGTCTTGGCTGGTGACCGGCGCTTGTTGGCCTAGTACGGCGGCATTGTGCGGTTGAAGGGTGCTCTTAAATACTGGCTTCTTCTTCGTGGTTCCAGGGACTGAGGCGGGAAGGCTGAGATTGATGGACTTCAAACCAGCCTCTTCGTTGGCTCTCCGTTCTGCATCGCGAGCCTTAGACGCCGCGTTCGGATCCTTGGTAAGTTGCTTCATCTCCTTAAGGCGCTAGCTGTGGCGTTAATAACAGTTATCCCTTGCGAGACAAGCCAATCTGCAGCGGACGTACCTTCCGATGTTGGTGGTCATAGGAGCCTTCGTGAGCTTCGAAGTCGTTCATTCGAGCGTAGCCCTTCTGACATAGTTCGCCTGGAAGTCCGGTGGTCAGACTAGATTCGTTAAACAGCATGACCTCAGAAGCGACCTACAGAAAAAGGACTTTCGAGCTTCTCGCGCGGACTCTGTGGCCGCCTGCGGCAATGTTTGCCCTCTCTGAACACATGGTTAGTTTGTGAGCCATCAAGTAGAGGGTTGGGCATCGCTTACTGGAGCCATAATGCAGATCACGTCGTGTGCTGTCACTTCTGATGCTGTAGACTGCCAGCGTATTCCTCTGCACGAGTCGATTCAGTCGCGAGTCAAAGGTGACAAGAGTGGGCATGCGTCTACTGATCTCCGCAAATGGATGTTCATGTATGTGCTTGGGTTGAGTGGTGAATGCGCAGCCAATGGAAAGCGAGCGGATTTCACTCCGACCGCTACGACTGTAGATCGCTCCACTCGCTCGAGGCAGATAACAGAGGTTCTCAGTGTAGGAGACTGGGCGCACTGCTCGAGTAGCCGACGTTAAAAGTTAACGGGCAGTACGTCGCAGCGGCAAAAAGAGCACAGATCGAGCACTAGCAACACTACCAGCCTGAACGTGACCATGGCGAGCTACGATAGAGACTCAGGTCTACTCGAGCTAGAGCCATCACCGGTAGAAGACACGCCTCAGGAGATCAAGGATGGATACTTCGGCAGTACAGATGACACCGAGAACCCTGCACAACCGAAGCGATCCGCCACGCTTGGGCTATCACAACACTCTCCTGTCTGGTACCTATCACGGATACAGAAGTATTCAAGCTATGTCTTTACCGCCTTCGGCCTCGCGCACATCACGAACACCTCTATAATACCACTCGTCACACGCAGCGTGCCGGAGAGCGAACGTTATCTGCTTCTGACACGGCCATACTACCAAGGACTGCCGGCCGAGCCATTACTAGTGATCATCCCACTTTGGGCGCATGTGATATCCGGCGTAGCACTGAGGATTGTGCGAAGAAATATAAATGCGCAGCGGTACGGCGGAAAGACAAGCTTTCTCAGCTCGCAGTTCTGGCCAAAAGTATCAGGCATCAGTCAACTGGGTTACCCTTTCGTCTGGCTCCTGGTGGGTCATATCTTCATCAATCGCGCCATACCCAACCAATTTCCTGGTGGTCAGTCGAACGTCAATCTCAGCTATGTCAGCCATGCGTTCGCGAAACATCCAGTAGTCAGTTATGCTGGCTTCACCGCGCTTATTTCCATTGGAGTATCGCACATTACCTGGGGTTGGGCGAAGTGGCTGGGCTGGACGCCGGATCAAGTCACCGCGCAGGGTGGGGAGAGGCAGATGTACAAGAAACGAAGGTGGTATATCATCAACGGCATAACCGCTACAGTGACTGGTTTGTGGATGGCTGGAGGTTTTGGTGTAGTCGGAAAGGGAGGTCTAGCCCCTGGCTACATCGGCAGACTCTACGATCAGATGTACCAGCGCATACCGCTTGTGGGACAGTGGATGTGACGGAGTGATGTCGGATTCAGACTTGCATAGGCTGTAGTGTCATGTTTCGATAGTGTAAGAAATACCCATACCGACTCTGAGGTGGACCGTGCGCATGCAAGAGTCGGCCGGCGCCATCGCATTCTCCCACACATTTGGCTGCCACCAGCCAAATTGGATTTGCTCAACATACATGTCGACCGCCTTCCGCAAGCGGCTGTTGGTCGATATCACCAGACAATGTCCTGTATAGTCCTGTCCAGTCTTCCATCGCCACTTCCGCTCGGCCCTTTGCGGCGCCCATTGTCCTGTCAAGCATTTCATAGTCGCAGTACTGCTTGTGGACGACACCATGTTTCATGCGGCTGCCGCACATCCACGACAGCCGAGAAGTACTCGTCACTATGGGCATACCAGGATTATGGCACCGTCTGGAAGCTGCCAATCTCGTCGATGTTGGGGTTCAGATAGGCGCTTCAGGCGACGATTGTCACACGTATGCGATCATTGACGGTCCAAACTTTGCCCATCATATCTACCAGGAGGTAGAATCGGAACAGCGAGCCAGCAACAGTACTTCATCGAACACGATCGGTCCCCTATCCACCTACGCAGACTATGCAACAAAGGCTATCGAATGGATGGACTGTCTCGAACAGTATGGTGTCCGAATGTGAGTCGACATTGCGCTCTACGCTTGGTGTGACGTATAGACGATCGTAGGACTAACATTGCGTAGCGGAGCAGTCATCTTCGACGGCGCGTTACCCGCTGAGAAGCGGACAACAAGATATAACCGCCTGACAGCATATGCCAAGAACCTAGACGCATACCGGGCACGACATGAACAGGTACTCCTCGGAAAGGTGGGACCGAATGGTGCCGGCCTGCTTCATCAATCACGGCAGAGACTCATCCCTGCCTTCCTTGTTGCTGCAGTTCAGGAAGCACTTGTGAGCAGTCGATACAGTGCCGTGACTTATCTCGTACCTGGAGAAGCCGACCCTTTTTGCGTGGCAGCTGCTAGGGACGCTTGTGAACAGCATCCCGCGCAAAAGGTCGCTATCTTCTCAAACGACTCCGATTTGGTTGTCTACCCTCACGGTAAGTCTACCAGGATTGTGGCGCTGAAGGGACTGTCTTGGAGAAGTGCAGCCGGGCAGAAAGTGCTTCTAGCAGACGTGGTATGGCCCGCTTCCATAGCCGGAAAGCTACACCGCGCAGATGTGACGGAGATCGCATTTCATTTTTACCTGGACCCGCAATGCGGCGTCAATAAGGCAAGATCGCTTGTCGAAAAAGGTAGGACAAAGAAGGATCAACTGTACAGAGACTTCGCGAAGCTCTACTGTCTCCATGGCGAGTCAGAGACTTATGCAACACTCCTCATCGACCAGCGGGAACGACAACTCCTCCAAGCTACAGATGCAAGAGTCAGCGAGCTGATCTGCCAGGTCAAAGACAGTGCGGTCGAAGTTGCGCCACCAGAGGTCGTTATGTCTTTACCGTTTCTCCTAGATGACCCGCTCAGAGCTACAGCATGGAATATTGGCACCCAAGTGCGCCAATATGCTTACGAGATGTTGTTCTCAGCTTTGGGTTATCCACGAGTCGAAGTTTCGGAGTACCGACGGTCACGGACATCCATAGTGAAGGTGCCTATGACGGAGTGGAAGGACATCCCAGGAACCGCACCCCCGCTGAGTCTGGATCCGAGGTCGCTCACTGATGTAGAGACGCTTCCTGTTGTTGACCGATGGAGAATGCACGTTGCTGAAATCATGCTAAGGGATATGCGCGTAGAAGGCATGAGCCGCCCTTCTCTGGACGCTCTCCGCGTCGTACTGCAAGGGCAGCAAACCAGTCAATGGCCAGTCATTCACCTCAGTGCATGCTACCAAGCAGCGTACTACTCCTGGCGTATACTTGCACAAGTTGTACGATATGCGAATTCCGTTAATGGGCGTGAGAGTGATCAAGCGAGCGAAGTAGACCGCAGTGCTCATCTGTCCGAAGATATGCCCAAGCTTGCAGATCTTTTTAGGCCAGACGATGGCACAGATTCAAGGTGGAAGCGGCTGCTCGAACACTTGATCCTTGAGCTTGGTTCAGACTGGAGGCCAGACGAGACGCCGCGGAAGAAGAAGCGCAAGCGCAAGGCCGCGAAAGAGCAGAGAAACGAGCTCGACATAGCCGCCTCGCAAGACGGCATATCCGAAGCCGAAAATGAAGATGCAGGCGGAGGTTCTCTGGCTGGTAACCCGTATGCCGCACTTGCTGGGTGACATTGATAGTAAAGTCAATGCCTATGGAAGGCCTGACCTGATGCATTTTCTGAATCGTGAACACCAACGCCGGGCCGCTAAATAGTAGGTATACAGCCTTCTTACACGTCTTCTCGAAACATACTTCGCCTTTCTGTGGGACTATTGTCCGCGCTTCCGGCCGCGCCCAGGTTGGCGTTGTTCCTGCCATGCGTACCTGCGCTCGACCGCGGGTCTGTCTCTACATGCGGTCGTGGAGAGATGCTGCGCAAGCTCGGCGCCTCATTGTGATCACCAAATGGATTCAACATGCCCTGTCCTCCTTGCTTTGCGCCGCCATGCACTTCCTCATCGTACCTCGCATCGAGCTCCCGTTGTCGTGATCTGCTCCGGCCGCGACCCTCCTCAATGCCACCAATGCCCACTTCACCATAGCCGCCGCCTGCATACGGGCCGTGAGCTGGATCTTGCAGACCCAGCTCCTGCTCCTCATAGTAGCCTCCTGCCTCGTTGTCTACCCGCGCATCCCAAGCTTCATCGGGATCGAGCGGACCGAAACCACGATGGCTTCTATCCGCACCTCTTGCGCCGCCGTAACCGGAGCTCTCATACGCACCGCCAGCCGTGCGCTTGTTGCGCAGAGCGCTGAACTTGTCCGTCACCCAGCCTACGACACCGCTGGGGGCGGGCGTAGGTGCTCGATACGAAGAGTTCTCTCGTCGGTTGCGGGCGAACGGGTTGAGGCTGGGTGGTGGGAGACCTAGCCGGCGTGCCCGGTAATGCGCGTAGCTGCCGAACAGTGAGCCAGAAACATCGAGTGTGGGCGGACGTGATAGAGCTCACAGTATGTAGCCAGCAGCACCAAGCACTACAACAATCACCAACACAACCAAGAAAATACCCCAGCCAGCGGCCATTGCTCTCTTAATGCTGCCTCATGCGCTTGAGCCGGGTGATCCGTAACAGCTGAAGTGATCGATGTGAAGTCGATATTGAGCAAGGCAAGTAGACTGGTTTATTCTGTCCAACAACGGCCAAGGTGGCAGCGCTGTGTATGGGTTGAGATGTGCAACGATATATGCCAATGCGCATCAGGCTGAGCGTCGAGGATGGCTTAGACGGAAGCTCGAAAAGGGAAGGAGCTGGCTTAGTCAATGCTATCCTGGTCGGACGTGACAATGAGTGCAGCGTAGATGCGAGACCCAACTCTATCTCTATATCATGCGTGAAACGATCACCCAGCGTTCTTCGGACTGATCGCTATGTGTGGAAAGGCTTCGCTCTGCGATGATGGGCAATCAACCATCTTCGCCATCAGAACACATTGGCAAGGTTGATGGGCGCCCAGTAAGCTTCACCTACGCCGAGAACGATGGAGTGAGAGAGCTTGCATGGCGGGAGATTGGTAAGAACGTCCCAATCTTACAGCATCTGATCTGATACGAAGCTGATGATCTTTCCATGCCAGAGACCGAGGCGAAGGGTAAGATAGCGAACCAAGACATCATTTCAGCCTTACCGGTTCACGCGCACTTGCCCAACGACTACACCGTGCTGTATGTGAAGCCCAATCCCGCCGCCAAGGACAAGGATGCCTTGAGAACCTCGCCTGTAGTATTTTGCTCACTTGTGCTCACCAAACCACCTCTCGCTTTTGTGCACGACCACCAGCCGCCTGGCGAGGCCTGCTGGCAGCTCCGACAGGACAATGGCCAGCCACCCAACCTTCACATTGTTGTCTCCACCGGGTCCGGCATGGGGCAGGCCGAGAGCGTCTGGGAACTGCTGGTCAAGCCGATGCTCCATCACATCTGTCCAACCGTTCACAACTATAGCCTCCATGTCACCACCTCAGAATGGACCGTCACGGACTTGACACGGGACGTCTTCCTGGCGCAGGCCAATCAACGCGTTTCACAAGCCATCATCTTGCTCAGCGGAGACGGCGGCCTGGTTGATGTTGTTAATGGACTGTATCTGAAGGATCATACCCGCACTTACGTGAAGCCCAATATCGCTCTCTTGCCGCTTGGCACGGGCAACGCTATGGCTCATTCGAGCGGAATCACGAAAGACAATACTTTAGGTCTTAGGAACCTTCTGCAAGGCCACACTAAGGAGTTGCCGCTGTTCCGAGCAAGCTTCTCCCCAGCCGCTCGGCAGCTCGTTAACGAAGGCCGAGACGAGCGGGAGCTGCAGATCATGAACGGCACGCCCATTGTGCACGGAGCCGTGGTCTGTTCGTGGGGACTTCACGCTACTTTGGTGGCCGACAGCGATACGTACGAGTACCGTAAGTTCGGCGCCGAACGCTTTCAGATGGCGGCTAAGGAAGCTCTGTTTCCGGCCGATGGCTCGCCACCGCACGCGTACAGAGGAAAGGTGTCCGTGCTGCGTCCATCGACGGGGAGGTCGCCCATGTGGCAGCCACTTGATAGTGAAGAGCACGCCTACGTCCTCGCTACGTTCGTCTCGCATCTTGAAAAGGGCTTCACCATTAGCCCAGCGGCCAAGCCGCTCGACGGAAAGCTGCGACTAGTGTATTTCAGCACAATGAGCGGGCAAGACGCTATGGAATTGATGACTAAAGCCTACCAAGGCGGCAAGCATGTCGAGGATACGAAGTTGCAGTACGAAGATATAGACGGTCTGCGCATAGATTTCGACGAAGACGACGCGCGGTGGCGAAGGGTATGCGTGGATGGCAAAATCATTAGGATAGAGAGAGGTGGGTGGATGGAGGTCAGAGCAGGCGTGCAGCCGTGTGCCGACCTTATCGTCATGGGATAAGAGCGATGGTCCTGCCAATTACCAATACGTGATATGATTCAACGGTTGCTACCTCCTCTAATGGTGTATACGGACAATCCTAAAATCTTCAACCGCAAGTCAATGCCAACCCTCTTTCTCCTTTAAAATCCAACCCAGTAGATGCCCGTTCACTCAAATGGTGCCAGGCTCTGCGTGAGTACCGCCGGCTGCTCGATCAACATGAGTGGGCCCGCGACGACACTCTCCATGGTCGGGGCTCCCTCCGCGTCTGCAATGACTGCAACAACAAGCCCCTTTCCCGCATCGAAGTTGGGTACTATTGAGGTGTGCATCACCGGATCGTACGGCAAGCTGACATTGAGGAGACCGTGGAAGTACACCATGTAGTAGTCCGTGCCGTTCTTGAAAGTAGGCTGAGAGGTGGGGAAGATGATGTCAATCTCGGTACCGACGGCGCCGGTGCCATTGAAGCTCATGGACGGGAGATGCTGGCCTGGGTCTGGGAACCTACAGATTGATGAGTAGGAGGGTCAGTTATGTCCCGAGCGAGCCGGATGGGAGTATGCATGGCTGTGCTTACGGAGGGTTCTCTGTTGGACAGCTCCCATTGACGACGAAACCGCCCGCGAGCTTCAGGACTTGGTTTGCGTAAGGGGAAATGGTGTCAGCTGGACCGGCGAATGGATCGGTGTTCCAGATGTCAATGAGCGCCCAGGTGTTGTGCCGCGATTCTGTCTGAGCGATGGCGAGAAGGGCTGCTCGAGTGGAGTTTGTCTGCGCTTCTTGAACGAAGCCGGTAAGGAAGGCCATGCTAGTCAACTCTACCAGGACCTGAACGGCAAGCCATTCTTCAGGGCCGGTGAAGTAGAAGTCGTACTTGCAGGGTCCTGGTTTGATCGAGGCATTGCTAATCTCCTAATGATCCGGTCAGGGACCGAGCGCTTGCGCATTGTATAGCCAGGAGGTGGGCAGCCATCCACTTACATCATAAAAGATGTTCAAGTGCCCAGCCTCGTTGTCTCGGATCTCAGTGATGCGATCGTAGGTAGTGTTTGGGTAGCCTAAGGAAGTGAAGCTGCTGACGTTGAACGCTTCGACGCCTTGCTGGTAGAGGGAGAAGACGATCCACTCGGCTGCAAGGAGGTTCTGGAACAATAGATCATCGGCTGCTGGTGCGCCGCTTGAGGTTGGGAGGATGGCGCCTGTAAGACCACCGGGAAACGGAGCGGCTTTGCCGGTGTAACTGTTATATAACGGCGTCTGACCAGGCACGTAATCCGCCCATGGTTGTGCGGCGGGAGCTGCTGTCGTTAGGCAAGCAGCGCAGAGTGCTATTAGCACGATAAAGGGCGTCCTCATCGAAATTCTTTCAGCTTGACAATGGGAAGGTATGAGCGAGTTCCGAATACTGTGACCGAGAGATGCTGGAATTCTGTCTCTGCTGAGAGAAAGAGGGTAGAGGGTCGCATTATATATACTTCCTGTCTCCGGCAAGGAGCATATTGTGTCTCGTAGTCCTTGCCAAAGTGGGAATACACTTCATGTGGCTCGGACACAGATCGAACAGGATGTTGTCGTGGTTGCGACCGGATGTCATGCCGGAGGCACAGGCGTATGGAGATGGTATGATGGGTCCAGTGGACCTGAAGCGTAAGAAAGATCAACAGACTAGTCGCGGCACAGCTCAGTGGTTGGAGTTCAGTACACCCAGAGTCAATCAGCGTTGCAGATGGCCACGAAGGATCACGACGACACAAGAATGGGTCCTAGTCGGGGTTTTGTAAGGCGCAACCACCTCTTGATACAGTTAGCGAAAGCGTTAAGCTCGACTTCCAACAATATTCGAGCGCTGAGAGAAGCGTCCGCTCCTCCCTGATGTGTCCCTAGAGGACGACTTGGATCGACTTGCGTACGTGATGATGTCGAGAGAGTTGTGACCACTGAGCGAGGTCCGGTGTTCTGCCGGCGCCTGTCGGCCCATTTCATGTCATCTTGCTTCTCAACCGGCCCTCCAAACAACGTGCTACACCTTGAACGATGCGGACAACTACTGCACTAGCCCTGCTCTTGGCATTTTTGTGTCATCTGAGTTCCGGTGTCAGCCAGGAGCACACCGTAGACATCTTCGCTTGGCCTGTATCCGCAGTCAAGTCACAGTCCCTAGCCAGAATCTCCTACAACTCCACGGCGGCGACCATCAAGAGCTACACCCCTCTGTCCGTAGCAGACAATGACGACGTTGTAAGAGTCGGCTTCTATCATCCATCAGGGTCATGGTCCGGCATTGCAACCTCTGCATCGAACCTTGCTCCAGGGAGGGACAAGAAGCTTCAATTACACCTCAACAGTGACGGTGAGGTGTACCACCTCGGTTTCAAGACCTTGGAGTATGGCACGAGCAGCAAGACCTCGAACAAGAAGGATGATTTGAGCGTGGAAGTAATGAAGATCAAACCCGGGCCTACTCCGCACTTGAACAAGCCTGTGGTTTTGAACCCAGACGGCACCGTGGGTGACAAGGAACCAGAAAAAACCTTCTTGCAGAAGTAAGTATTGTGCTTGTCGAATGTTCTGTGATACGCGGTGGCTAAGAACAAGCAGGTACTGGTGGGCCATTGCTGGCTTCCTAGTACTGCAGCTCGTTATGAACGGAGCCAAACAGGAGTAAGCTCGCCTGGACTGCAATGAGCGGTCTGGCTGGTAACAATCGCCACCGCTCCGTCTGTCTCAAGTACCTGGCTCGATAATGCTTGAACCGCATACATCCCCATTATAACGAAGTGCCCACTGCGCCGCCTCATGCGAGCCCTAGCATGCTTGGCAACATGCATGCAGGCTTTCCCCTGCTGGCGCTAGAGCACGAGGAAATCACCAGGCTGTGTATCCGCCGTCGATGACTAGGTGGCTTCCAGTCATGAACGAGCTTGCATCAGACAGCATGAAGAGCGCTGCGCCTCTGTACTCGTGCATCTCCGAGATACGTCCCATCATGTTCGCCTCCTCCCAGATCTTCTTGAGACCTGGATCGTCCGCGAAGTTCTTCTCGACCATCTGTGCAACAGCGTCAGTAAAGTCACCTACACTGGGTGGGTCACGGTACGAACTGGGGTCATGATGTTGCCTGGACAAAGCACGTTGACGCGGATCGCCTTCCTTTCGCCGTCGGCAGAAATGATCTTGCCCCACTATTAAGCGGAACGTATTAGCCTTCTGCAATCAATTGCGCATCTGTCAGATCTGTTGCAACATACTTCCATTGCAAGGTTACGTCCAAGCTGGATTACGGCAGCTTTGCTGGAATTGTACACACTTGAGGTGAAACCCTTGTTGGCATTAAGCCCGCTCATCGAGCCGATCAAAACCATGGAACCTGGCGTATTGTACTTCACCATCTGCTTCGCACCTGTCTACTGGTCAACAATCTAATCGCTAACGCAATCTCACGTGCTCACGTACAGCTGACAGCACTCAGGAAGACGCCGCCAAAATTGACGTTCATCATGTTCGGGACCTCATTCGGCGGATACTCCAAAGCCGGCTTCACATACTGTATGCCAGCTGCGGCGATCAGTCCATCGAGTCGCGAATGCTCCTTGGCGATAGCTGACACAACATCATCTACCTCCGCAGCATACTGCACGTCGACCTTGCGGTAGTGGAGAGTTCCTTCGAAGCGATGTGCCAGCCGCTCCTTGGTGTCGAGGAAGCTCTTGGATGGTTCGCTCTGACGGTCAAGACAGTATACATGGCCGCCTGCTTCGACAAGAGCTTCTGCAAGTGTCAGGCCGAGACCTTGCGCACCACCTGTGACGATGAACACTCTATTATCGAGCTATGTTCCGCCGGTCAGCTTCTGGCTTAGAATCTTGTTCGCCTGCCGCATGTACCTCGAACTCCCGGAATCGGTGAGGAGCGTGAACGGTATCTGGATCTGGTAAGCGCTGAGCTATCGCGCTTGGTTTCTTGCGCAGTGTATTCTCTTCTGCCTGCGTGATGGTCGCTAGAGGCCGAGTAACAATAGCGTCCTTAGCCGCAAGACGCGCAGTTTGTTTCACCAATCGGGCAGTTTGAAGAGCTGTCGTGGTGGGGCGAGCTAGTGCTGGTCCTGCACGGGACAGCATCGTGGCTAGCTGGACTGCCAGTTTGCAGAACTGTGTCTGCTTTTCGGCTTCGGAATGTGTCAAAGAAAAGGTCTGGAAGTCCTGACTTGAATGTTCAATCGGTCGGTCACACGGAGCCACTCATCTAATACGTCGGGTGCAGCCAAGGGAAAGTGCGTTCCACGTTGCGGGACAAGGAAGGAGCGAATGCGCCACGTGTGAAAGCAAGCGGGGTTGTCGCTCTGTGTTGTACCACGACGATGATGCATGCCGAGACAAGCACTTCCCAGGAATGTAACGCTTCTACACTGCTATCTTACGCAAATAAGTTGTGATGCTCAACTCCACTCCTCCTCAAGCGTAGAGACATCCAGCACAGCTTCTTCGAGCCAGAAACCGGTCGACCATGGCTTCACTCTCGGCCACCATCCTTCCTGTTTCACCTTACCATAATCGTCTTCGTTTGTCGCACGCATGAGATACGCTCGGCTCGTGGCAAAAGTTGTCTGGAACCTCACCCACTTGTCTGTGCCACATAATATGCTGTCCTCTCCCGCCGGTATGGGCGGTTGAACGATCGTCATATCAAGTGGCATATAGCTGGTCGACAGCGGGAATGCGGGTAGGTAGCTGATGGGCGCGAAGGTAGCTCTGAAAAAGGGCTTCGCGTTGGCATCCTCGGAGTCTGGAGGGTAGACGGAGACAGTGAGCTGTTTGGGTGGCGAGCTACCTTTTGCCACTGGCGGAGCCGAGAACTCGAATCGAGCCAGATGCTTGGGTATGTTCCAGTTCCGCCGGCCGTTGTACGTCGTGTCTTTCTGCGAGACGTAGATGCGAGTCACTCGCAGCTTTGCTTGACCGTCTAGACTGCCACCCTTGACGTTGAAGTTACCAGGAATAATCGCGAGCTCGTCGTATGATCCCACGGGTGTGTCAGAGTAACGCACGACCATGACCATGCCGTAACCGCCTTTGAAGCCAGCGGTTGTGCATGCCGGATGCTCCGCTTCTAACTGATCATAGATATCTACAGGTAGCGGGTTCTGCAGCTGAAGGATCATCCAATAGCTTTCTGCGCGACATTTCCAGGGCGCTGAGGCTTCGAGTGGCAAGTCAGAACCCATGGTGGCATCCAACACGACTGCGTCGAAGGGATTGCATATTTGGACTGGTGACCAGCTGTATAGTATAAGAGCTGGGTATGTGGCGTACTATGGCAGCTGAGCTTCCATGCGGGGCTGCAGCTCGCCAGACATTATTAGAAGCGGCACCTGTCACTGCAGGGTTGCGTGCTGAGAGCGGCGGGAGAAATGCTTGGTTGCGGCCTGCAATTGGTGCCCGGAGCGCCTTCGTACGAGCTTGGCGCTATTGATTCTGTAACCGGCTATTGCTGGTCACGCGCCGTCTCGTAGAGTTCATCGAGATCTTGTTCCCTATACACACGAAACTCATGTCAGTCTTGCTTCGTGTCACGATACCGAGGTGTGCGACGCAAAGTCGAGAATTTCCTTAGTCCTCGTAGACTCACTGTGAGCTCACGTCAGCACGTTAGTCACGAAAGCTTAGCATGCGGATCGACATACCCAAACAAACTTCATTCTCTCGCGTGTGCGCTCAGCGATGATAGGAATGCACTCCTCGAAAGTCTTGTTCAGCATGTCCTCCGTCTGCATCTCGTAAGTGTCTCCTGCCATACGAGAGGTCTTTTGAGTCTTTTGTGCTCGCGGTAGCCGGACGTCCTGATACAGCTGTGCGGTGCTGGCGAGAGAGGCAAAGTGCTTATTCCCAGAGCCCGACAGATGCTCGCTAAGTGCACGGCCTAGTACCCAGCCGTCTTCAATTGCTTGGCCGGCTCCGGCCCCTACACCGAGTGATCGTCAGCCTACAGTTGCCGCAGTGTTGGGACGCTTGTTGCCATACCAAGATGCGGAAGCATAGCATGAGCCGCGTCACCTAGCAACAGGACCTTCCCACCCATGTATTGCCAGCAATCAAGCGGCTCACGGTCCGTAATCTTCCACTTCGACGGCTGCTCCGGCAAAAGACTGATCACCTTCTGGACAACATCGTCGAAACCAGCATAGTCTTCTTCAACGTCTTTCCGGTCGCAGACGCTTGTCCAGCTTTCCTTGACGTCAGCAGTCTCACTTGGTGACTTGGTCACGAAAGCCACAATGTTCAGCTCGGTGTTGCCCGAGATTGGAAACACCAGAAAGTGCTTGTGCTTTGCAAGCCACAAGACGCTGTAGCTTGAAAACGGCCAGGAAGAAGGCGATGGTATCGGGATCACGCCGCGGTAGGCAATCGTACCGGAGAAGATCGGCTTGTCGACGTGAAATTGGTTGCGAATAGGTGAGTGTATGCCATCGCAGGCAATGACTATATCGGCTTCGGCGGTGGTAGAATCCTCGAAGTGAATGCGGACAGCATCGCCAAGATCCTGCAAACCACTCAACAATCACGTTTCAATCAGTACGCAGAATATGCTCCCGTACCTCAACGCGCCTGCAAGACTTCTTTGTATGCAGCGTAGCAGCTTCTCTTGCCTCAACTGTCCCTTTCAGGAGGTCCAGCAACGCTGACCGTGCGCATGGCGCTTGCCGTATGGTCTGATTGTCGTTCACCGGTATAGTAACAACTTCCTCGCTGTTATCGAACCGCCGAAAGGTGATCCATACTCCGGTCCTGTGGCCAGCAATGGCGTTCAGCTTGTCGCCGAAGCCAAGCTTGTGGATCAAACGTGCCGCATTGACACCTAGGCCAACGCCGGCCCCTATCTCCTTGTATTGCGCGGCTTGTTCGTACACATCGATGCGCACAGGCACGCCGGCGGCACTGCAATGATGGTGGATCGCAAGAGTAGCAAATAGACCACCAATTCCTCCTCCAACAACCGCAATGCGAAATGGTTGGGCTTTCGGGACCATCTGGACGGCGAATGTGTAGGAGACGCTTACAGAAGATGGAATCAACTCACGGAGGCCTACTTGTACGCTGTTCCTACGCAGCCGTCTTCAGCTGCACAATTGCCGATCGGTAAGTGCGGCACGTAGGCCGAGCAGACCGTCGCGCAATACATCAATCGCAGGAAGAGGAGGACTGGAAGTCGGCACGCTTTCCATCGGCCATCCTTCCCCGGTGCACTCTCCGCTCTCCACCACCGGCGCCATTGACCCCGCCTTGACATCATTGCAAGCCTCCACCAAAGCTGGTGAGGGAAAGAGACGCCTTTGTCGAGGATGAAAGCTTACGGAGCTGTCTGCGGAAAATCATTTCAGCAGCTATTAGCCGCCAAACCACCGTGTAGCTGGCCGCAAACGTGAGACCCACAGTCAAGTCGAGAGCCTGCACAGGTAAGCTTCCTCTTATGGCTTGGTTTGCCCGACTGTCTTGAAGAGCTTCGTCCATTGCCAATCCCTCCTTTCTTACACACAAGTTTTCCCCTGCCTTTACTCCTCCACAGTCCAGCGTCAGAAGATTATACGCCACAATGTCCAAGTTTCAGCTGAAATGGGGCATTCTTGCCACTGGAGGCATCGCGGAGACTTTCGCGCGGGACCTCTACCCGAACCCAGAGTGCCGTGGCGTCAAGGACATTGAGCATGTTGTGGTGGCAGCTGCCTCGTCCTCTTCCGCCGACCGTGCGCAGAAGTTCTTGAAGGAGGTCCGGGCGCCGGAGTCTGCGAAAGCATATGGCTCGTACGCGGAGATGGTCAAGGACCCCAATGTGGACATCATCTACGTCGCAACACCTCACAGTCACCACTATCAGAACGCCATGCTTTGCTTAGAAGCTGGTAAGAACGTGCTCTGCGAGAAGGCGTTCACGACCAATGCGGCGCAGTGCGAACTTTTAATCAAGAAAGCCAAGGAGAAGAACTTATTCCTAATGGAGGCCGTGTGGACACGCTACTTTCCACTTTCGATCTATGTTCGCGAGGTCATCACTTCTGGGAAGATCGGACCTGTGAGCAGGGCCTACGCAGATCTGAGCCAAACGATGATTCCCGAGAAAACCTTCGATGACGGCCACCGTATGGTAAATCCTGATCTAGCCGGTGGAGCCTTACTTGATCTGGGTATCTACGCGCTCACTTGGATCTTTCAAACCCTGTATACCACGGAGAAGAACCCAAAGCCACCGAAAGTGCTCAGTTTCATGCGCAAGTACAAGCTCGGCACTGACGAGCAGACCACCATGATCTTGGACTTTCCGCCCACAGACAGTAGAGGCGAGGCACATGGCATCGCCACCACCGGTATGCGGACACATGCCGATCCCGACGGTAAAGGCTCAGCTGGACCTGCCATTCGCGTGCAAGGCGAGCTTGGTGAGGTGCAAGTCTTCCACCCGGCGTACAGACCTACGCGCACGAAGCTCGTGCTGAACGACGGAACGGTCGAGGAGAAGCATTGGCCGCAACCTGGTCCTGGAAAGGGCAGCGGCTGGAAGAACGGCTTCGGCGGTGGCTGGCAAGAGGAAGGTGAGGGTCAAGGCATGTTTTGGGAGGCCGACGAATGTGCGTATGCGCTTAGAGACGGTAGAAAAGAAGGCAGGTATGAGAATCTTGAAGAGAGTCTGGTGATCATGAGGGTGATGGATGAGGTGCGGCAGCAGAACGGCATGAAGTTACCGGAAAAGATCGAGACGACGGATTACCCGGTAGAGCTGTGATGAATTGGCTTTCGACTAGAATAGCTGCGGTGATCCTCCGTTCAAACGGACAGTGCAGCTCCAGAGATGCACGTCATTGAATTCATAAGAGTGTGGCGTACATGACTGCTGTCCCATAGAGTAGTTTACATACATGACCTGAACTGAGTTCATCAATTGAGCGCAATACCATCGCTTGACACCGTGGAAATTGTCCACCTTGTGAAGCGGCATGGAGCAGGGCAAGTTGATCGACGGTGTCAATTACAGCGAAGGTCGTAGGCGCTGACGGCCACAGATCACCACAAGGAGGAGGGTATAATGGAGAAGATAACCCACCATCACAAGAAAGAAGGCGAAGAAGCTACGTCGTCCGAGCAGTTGCAGCAGCAGTCTAAGCCACAAAGTGAAGGGAAGAAGCTAGAAGGCAAGATAAAGGACTACTACAAGGAAGATACCCAAGGCGAGCGCGAAGGCTCCGGCAAAGAATATGGCGGTTTGATGTGAATCAAGATGCTCTGACCCGTACGGCGGCGAGACCAGAGATGCGACACAACACCGAGCGGCTCGATGGCCAGCCAAGCTGCTTCGTGCACAGTAGCTTGAAGCAGTCGTGCCGGTAGCCAACACATATGCCTTGAACAATTGTCGTGATGGTCTCCCTCCAATGTCGTGTGTCAACACGTGGCGGCGAGAAGCATTTCGGCGGCAGTTTCCGCCCGCCCAGAGTCTGTGCGCTCAGTTGCGAGCTCCGAGGGCTCCTATTGCTTATGTTGTACTGTGCGCTAGGCGTCGCACTCTTCCGCAGCAACAACCGTGACTCACTGCTGCTGTCGCTTTAAAGATGTGAGTATCATACGGGGTTCATTCGCTTGAAGAATACCGTTTTAGGCAGGTTGTATTGTCTTGTATAGTAGCCCCACGGTGCGAAGATAAGTCGCCAGGCTGCAGCTATCGCTACAGTTATATATCTCCTTTCACGCTTCGGTTTCCCGCCTTGTTGACCTATTTTCCATCTTGTCATGGCCACCGCAGACCTCTTCCGCTCCGAGCGACTTATTTACCGGGCTGCTGACCCAACCGAAAAGGGCGATGATGAAGCCTTCATCTTCAACATGCAGCAGGATTCTGTCTCGTTTCGCCAAGCCAACGGCATGCTTCACGTTCCTCCTACTAAGAAAGGAGTACAAAACTACCTAAAGATGATGGAGGAAGCGCTGCTGGGCGTGATCGTCTGCTTGCCGGCGCCGGACTCGCAGAGCAAACCCATCCCAATTGGCGTGTTTCACCTGAGTAGACTCCCACCGCAGGTGGCACACTGGCGCAATTCCGAGATCGGGATCCAGATTGTGCAGGCTTATCAGGGTCAAGGCTACGGCAGCGAGGTGATCAAGTGGGGACTGCGGTGGGGTTTCGAGATCGCGGGATTGCATAGGATCTCACTCCAGGCGTTTGGGTTCAACGACGGTGCTGTGAGGTTGTATGAGAAGCTAGGTTTCAAGAAGGAGGGTGTTTTCAGGGAGCAGGTATGGCGAGACGGGAGATGGTGGGACGGTATCGCTTTGGGAATCCTCGAGCATGAGTGGAGGGAGGCGCAGGAGAAGAATGGCTGACGTTGAGGGCTCGTAGGCAGCAGGGTCTTCAAGCACCTTGTACACAGCATTAGACATAGTGGGAGTGCGTTCGCTGAACTATCTCTATACAGGCATTTTCAGTTTGTCGGAAGGAATAGAAAGACACCTATGCCGCAGAGCATGAACAATAGCAGTAAGATAACGCCTGCCTACGCCTATCGCTGAGAGAAAGCCGCCCATCATGAATCATAGTCTTTGTTATCAGTCGTGAAGTCGGCCGTGGCTACACCGTGAAGTGGTTCATGTGCCCTGGTACGCGCATCTGACACTTCATGCAGTCGGCTCGATAGCCAATGCTAATGCCACGCCTAGCCTGGCCCATCCCATCCATCTCTCTGTCAACCACGGGTCGTACCGGAGAAACGGAGCCGTTGCTTTGCGCTCCACTCCGTTGCCTCTGCTTCCGCACCATCCCTTCCATAGACATGCCGCCCATAACCTCCAGACCCGGTGATGTCGAGTCAGGTCGCCCATCGAGCTGCAGGCTGCGCGATGCCGGATCGATCGTGATGGATGGCAAATCAGCGGATGGTTCGATATCCATGTCGCTCACACTAAGCATCGACAGTTGCGAGCCTGCTGCCTCTGCTGCAGACGGTGGGGTTGGGACCTCATCCTCGTCGATCGGCGACGGTACCTCTAAGTGATCTGAGTTGTCTACTTGCGGGTGGCGTCGCCGAATGTGCTGCTTGACACCAGTGCGGACTTGCAGCGGCTTTGCTGAGGTCCTTGGGTGAGCGCCGAACGGTGTGGCTACCCGATCACGGCTCTGCACTCGTTCACGCCATGGGCTGCTGCTAAGAGGACCTTTCAATCCGGGAACAAAGCTCTCTTCTGGTGATTGAGAGAACGCGGCGTCTTCCATTTCGACTTCCATGTCATCTGCCGAAGACTGATCGAGGTCTTGCGGGCTGCCAGGCTCCGACATCATTGAAGACTGGTCATCGCTATCGTACTTTGGCTTCTGAGAACTCCCAGTGGGCGTGTCGATGACCGAATCGTGCCATGATCCGGAGGCTGCCGCCGTTGTGGTAGGCCGAGACTTCTTGCTGTAAGGTCCGGTATTCTGCGATGGCTCGTCGTCGGCATCACGTCCTCGTTTAAGGCCCGCTGTAGAGTTGAGAGCAGTGAACATTTTGACAGACTCTGACAGCCTGCTGCAGATATCCTGATTCCAAATTTAGTACACGATCACCCTTGTTATGGCAGATATCGTTCGAGTAACCATCATACTGGCGGTCAGAGAACACCCGCCTTTGACTACACGGGCGTTGTTATTGTATACACCTGCACTATTCACGAGGAAGTTAATCAGATGGGGTCGAGGGGTCTTGCTGGCTGGAACACAGCTTCCGAGCCTGAGGCAGACGCAACAGCACAGCATTCCCTGCATTTAGCATTGTGAGGGCGACAAAGGGTTCCGAGTCCTTCTTTCTTGATGTGTCATTAGAATACTGTATCAAACACGAATAGCGGCTTCCGAGACTGAAGACTCTACCTAGGGGGTTTGCAAACATTCTTTGGCACCGCAACCGTACCATATCACCTGCCTCCACCCCAAAAGCATTTTCGATCTCGAACGCAGGGCGGGCACTCCGACCAACAGCCGGCGTACGGTTTTCTGTGCCTTTCGGACACAGGATGAGTGGCAGCTTCAGCATATTGTTCAACCGAACATCAGCACGACGTACTTGACGGTGCTTTTGCAATGCCTACATGGAGACCCCACGCTGCGCTGCGCTGCGCTGTGTTTTGCCCCACCAATGCCATCATGCATAAGGTACTGCCCCTCGAGATCGTCAGGGTAAGAACACGCTCAACAATTTCTACTGCAAGGTCACGTCGTACCACATGTGCGCTTTCTACACAACTCTCAAATTTTCTCAAAGACCAATGGTCGTTTTACTGCTCGAGATCAATCCGTCTACTGTGAGAGAGTGAAGCAAGCTTTCTTGTCTCCTTCAGTCCGATCAGAGTGAATCCCATCAACAACCCAACAACAACCATAGCACAACTCCAGCACAACACCCTTCGCTGTCAATATGTCACAATCAATGCCATACCGTAACCCGGCACGGCAACAGTCGCGCCAGATGTCCGTCGACCCGCACAACGAAATTCATGTTCGACAAGATCACTACATTGGCATTGATGTCGGAACGGGCTCGGCACGTGCCTGCATTATGAACGAGAGGGGTGACATTGTAGGCCTAGCCAGTGAGAACATTGGCTTGTGGCAGCCAGAGACTGGATACTACGTTGGTCACCCAACGTCTCGGTATTGGTGTACCAGCAGGCTGAAAGTGACTAGGAACAATCAACGACCAACATCTGGCGATGCATCTGCTCCTCCGTCCACCGAGCAATGGCCCAGCATAACGTTGATCCCGCCACAATCCGTGGCATTGGTTTCGATGCGACTTGCTCCCTCGCGGTCTTCTCCCACGACACTGACGAGCCAATCGCTGTAACCGGCCCCAGGTTCGACAACGCAGATGGGAATGACCGCAACGTCATACTTTGGCTGGACCACAGACCGATCGAAGAGACGAAGAAGATCAACGCGACAAACCACAATCTACTACGGTATGTTGGTGGTCAGATGAGCATTGAGATGGAGATCCCGAAAGTGCTGTGGCTCAAGAACAACATGCCAAAGGAGCTGTTCGATCGGTGCAAGTTCTATGACCTGACAGACGCGTTGACACATATCGCGACGGGTAGCGAGACAAGGTCCTTCTGTTCGGTTGTATGCAAGCAAGGATACGTCCCTGTGGGCGTAGACGGCAGTGTGAAGGGTTGGCAGGAAGACTTTTTGACTGAGATCGGGCTGCCAGACCTATGCGAGGATAATTTCAAGCGCATGGGCGGCGTCAATGGGGTGGTACTGTCCCTCCCGAGTGCTGTACGCGCAATGCATCATGACTGACTGCTGCACAGAATGGCCGCTACCTTACGGCCGGTGAGCTGATCGGCACCTTGTCCGAGAAGGCTGCTGCAGACATGGGCTTGCCAACTGGTATTGCTGTCGGCTCCGGAGTTATCGACGCCTACGCCGGCTGGATCGGCACTGTTGGCGCCAAGGTCAACCTCTCCTCTGCGACGCTGAACGCAGGCATGGCGAAGAACGATGTGTCACAAGCTTTTACCCGTCTTGCTGCGGTTGCTGGTACGTCGACATGCCATCTCGCCATGAGCGAAAAGCCGGTCTTCGTGAACGGGGTTTGGGGACCGTACAGGGATGTGCTTATCCCAGACTACTGGCTCGCAGAGGGCGGCCAGTCTGCAACCGGTGAGCTACTGAAGCACGTCATTGAGACGCATCCGGCCTTTCAAGAAGCCATGTCTGTGGCCGAGACCTTCAATGCCAACATCTACGACTACCTGAACGAGCACCTTCGCGAGATGCAGGACAAAGTCCGGGCACCCACCATCTCTTGGCTCGGCCGACACTTTTTCTTCTATGGTGATCTATTCGGCAACCGATCACCCATCGCTGACCCTGAGATGAAGGGCAGTGTGATCGGTTTGTCGTCTGATAAGAGCATCGACGGTCTCGCACTGTACTACTACGCGACAATGGAGTTCATCGCTCTCCAGACACACCAGATCATCGAAGCGATGAACAAGTCCGGTCACATCATCAGTTCCATCTTCATGTCAGGATCACAATGCCAAAACTCAGTGCTCATGGAGCTTATGGCGACCGCCTGCGACATGCCTGTGCTCATTCCGCGATACGTGCATGCCGCGGTGGTGCACGGAGCAGCCATGTTGGGCGCGAAGGCGGCGTCGACGGACAAGGATGGCCATAGTGAGCCGCTATGGAACATCATGGACCGCATGTCGAAGCCTGGCAAGGCTGTATACCCCAACAAGGATGAAGGTGAGAAGAAGCTGCTGCAAGCCAAGTACAAAGTGTTCTTAGAGCAGTGTGACCAGCAGAGGCAGTTCAGGAAGGACGTCGATGAGGCAGTCTCCGGATGGAAGAGGTAGCTGTCTAGCGAAATGGTACTGAGGAACGCCGGCGAGGTACCGTAAATGATACCCGGGGAGCCTTCTGGCTCGCGAAACGCCAGCCATCCATAATCGAACGTGTCTAAAAGCAAAGCACAAAGATAGATCTCCTCAAGGCATGTATGAATCGCATGCCGTTGATTCTCCACAAGACTCGAGCTCTTCTCAATCGGCGCGTGAATGTGGTAGAACGGCTATTGCGGCTTCATCGGCCCCCTCGTAGCGTGCACCACAGCTTACAATCAGCATCGAACGCCAAATGTGATTGGTGTGACATCTCTCCGCCCTCCGCAGAGCCGCATGTTGTGGGGTCGAATGACCCGAGCGCTGGAAATAACGCCGTCTCGTCTGGTCGGCGGAGTGGAGATGGCAGACATGGAAGCTTGCCGCGGCCTTGAGCTAGCATTCTGCGCCACCGCTGTAGCCCATGACTTCTGGTTGTCGGTACGGGTAGGTAGGCGTTGACCTTTCTCATTTGCAGTATCCATCCTCCGTTCCGTCTGCAATTTCTGCTCGGTTGTCTTCGAACCTTAGCCATCCGCTCCACAAGCACCTAGACTAAGATGAATCACGAAAGCAATGATACCCAAGCTGTGAAGCTCACGGGCGAAGAAGTGGCAAAGCACAACAGTCGAGAGTCATGTTGGGTCATTGTACACGGACGGGCGTACGATGTCACAGAGTACGTAGCTTGGCCACTTAAGACGCCGTCGGTGCACTCACTGATCACTTCTCCAGGTTCATGCCAGAGCATCCCGGCGGACCCAAGATTATCCTCAAGTATGCAGGCAAGGATGCGACCGAGGAGTATGATCCAATCCACCCGCCAGATACTCTGGACAAGTTCCTCGACAAGAGCAAGCACCTTGGAGAAGTCGACATGAAGACGGTGGAGAAGGAGGAGCATGCTGAGGACCCAGACGAGATTGAGAGGCAAGAGCGCATTAAGCGCATGCCCATTCTGGAGCAATGTTACAACTTGATGGATTTCGAGCATGTAGCAAGGCGGGTGATGAAGAAGACCGCTTGGGCGTACTACTCCAGCGGCGCCGATGATGAGATCGTAAGCATGCGGAACAGAACGTGTCCTGGTTGTCGTCGGCTAATTGATTGCGCAGACAATGAGAGAGAACCACTCCGCCTATCACAAGATATGGTTCCGACCGAGAGTACTCGTCGATGTGGAGAAGGTCGATACCAGCACGACAATGCTGGGCACGAAGGTCTCAATTCCGTTCTACGTCACAGCAACTGCACTCGGTAAACTAGGCAATCCGGAAGGCGAAGTTGTGTTGACTCGCGGCGCGAAGAAGCACAACGTCATCCAGATGATACCGACCCTCGCCTCCTGCTCCTTTGATGAAATCGTGGATGCCAAACAAGGCGACCAAGTCCAGTGGCTCCAGCTCTACGTCAACAAGAACCGCGAAATCACGAAGCGCATCATTGAGCATGCTGAAAAGCGTGGTTGCAAGGGTCTTTTCATCACGGTAGACGCACCACAACTTGGCCGGAGAGAAAAGGATATGCGGTCAAAATTCTCGGACGTTGGCTCGAATGTCCAGAACACTGGGGGAGACAACGTCGATCGGTCACAGGGCGCTGCGCGAGCAATCTCATCCTTCATCGACCCAAGCTTGAGCTGGAAGGACATTCCGTGGTTTCTGTCCGTGACAAAGATGCCGATCCTTCTCAAGGGTGTACAAAGGGTCGAGGACGTCATTCGAGCCATCTCTGCTGGTGTGCATGGTGTTGTGCTTTCCAACCACGGCGGCCGACAACTGGACTTTGCCCGCTCGGGCATCGAAGTGCTTGCGGAGGTCATGCCGGAGCTTCGACGGCTGGGCTTGGAGAACAAGATTGAGATCTACGTCGATGGCGGTGTGCGGAGAGCGACAGACATCATCAAGGCTCTATGTCTGGGTGCAACCGGTGTCGGTATTGGCAGGCCATTCTTGTTCGCCATGTCCGCTTACGGCTTACCGGGTGTCGATCGTGCAATGCAGCTGTTGAAGGATGAGATGGAGATGAACATGCGGTTGATTGGATGCTCATCGGTGGACCAGCTGGGCCCAGAACTCGTAGACACGACAGGTCTGCGCATGCACACTACAGGAGTTCCGTCGGATACGCTTGGGTTGGCTATCTACGACCCTTTGGTTGGACCGCAGGAGAAAGCGAGACTGTAATACGCTGCGGCGTGTATTGGACGCCTATGGAATAACGTAAGCAAATATTGTCAGTCACTGTATGTAGTTGTTAAGAAACACTTTTCAACCAGCCGGCACTTGTGCCGCCGACGACATCACGAAGTGTGGCCTACGAGTTGGGAGGTAAAGGTGCGATCAGAGATGACATCACGATCCCGACGCACCTTCGAATACAAAGATCTGCTCTTAAATATCCAAAGACTCCTTACATCTACAGACATATCCGACCCGCAAAGGTCAAGCATACGTAGCCATGGCAGCAACCACAGCCAACAACATTCTGATAACTGGGGCCGCGCGTGGCATTGGCAGAGGCCTGTCGAGACTGCTTCTGGAAAAGGGTCACCGCGTATTTTTATTGGATGTTAACCAAGATGAACTTGATCACACAGCGGGCATTCTCTCTGGAACACACAGAAGGGGAGCAGACTTCGAGGCTACCGTATGTGATCTCCGGAAACCATCTGATTTGAGGACAGCTGTGGATGAAGCCCACAAGCTGTTCAATGGCCACCTTGACGTCCTGATAAACAACGCCGCAAACACGAACGGCGTAGGAGGCTCTCATCTTACTGACCTGACTCTGGAGAACTGGAATGCTTCGATCGAGACAAACCTAACCGCACCAATGCTCATGAGCCAAAGCTGTCTCCCTATGCTACAGAGAACGTCCGCAAGGCGTACAGGGGGCTGCATTATCCACATGTCCTCAACTCGAGCGTTCATGAGCGAGCCCAACAACGAGCCGTACTCGGCGACTAAGGCCGGCTTGCTTGGTCTGACGCAATCCATGGCTGTAAGCCTTGCGCCACAGGGTGTCAGGGTCAACGCAGTACTTCCTGGCTGGATCAACGTAACGAATGAGAGTAAGAAGGCTGATGAGAGCGGTCAGTCTTGGGAGGATGGATTGAGCAAAGACGACCACGAGTGGCACCTCACAGGCCGTGTCGGCAAGGTTGAAGACGTACTAAAAGCGGTAGAGTATCTTGTTGATGCTGACTTCGTCTCTGGGGCTGAGCTTGTAGTCGACGGCGGTGTTACTAGAAAGATGGTGTACCCGGAGGAGTAAACGCACCGCTGCTCCGCGCAACGAGCGACGATGTCGACAGAGGTCTAAACACCAAATCTAGCGCACTGGCAACCCTTGGCCCATATCACCACTTCGCCATAGCCTCTACTATCGCGCTTACAATAGCGATCGGCTGCGTTAAGAATGCCTCGTGGCCACCTGCAACTTCAATCACCGTCCAGTCAACGCCGGAATTGTCGATGAACATTTGCTGAGCTTCTGGTGGGAATGTCGTGTCCAGCATCGTCTTCAGGTACACCCTGCGCCCTTTAAGAGCAGCGTCTGTCCACATGGGTTGATATACCGGTGTGTCAAATGGTCTGATGGCGTGCGGTAGGTGCGCTTCGGCCAATTCGGCGGCAAGCCTGGGCTCCGCGTCATTGAAGAGGTATGGCACGATTGGATCAAAGACAAATAGCCCTGGTGACGGCTGGAGAGGTTGTGTTAGAAGCGAACAATGCTCAACACAGCTGGGGGCTACTCACAGTGTTCATCTTGCAAAAAGGAGGCAAAGACCCGCCAAGGTATGCAATCTGACTTTGGCCATGTGGTGCCAGAGCTCCCGAGATATAGATGATGCCAATGATACCACCATGCTTGCCAGAGCTGCTTCGATCCGCTTTGGTCAAGCCGAGACTTGCTCCGGATAGCGACGTCGCTCCGAACGAGTGCGCGAATACGATAATTTCTTTGCCATCGTCGACCAGAGGAAGAAGGTAGCGTTCGAGCAGAAACTGACCGTCCGTCTCTGCGGTGTGAGCCTCTGGATCTTCCGGATTATTACTTGCCAACGAGGCCAATACGGTCGAATATCCCGCTTCTTCAAGCAATGGAACAATCAAGCGATAGCACGACGGCGCGGTCAGTGCACCAGGAATTAAGAGAATGGTAGGCTTTGGCCCAGACATATCTGCTCTTTGAGGCTCAAGCGGACAGCGTAGGAAATCTGCAGAGGTGCCGGCTCGTATTTATCACCACCGTATATCGCACTGTTGTCCATCGGATCTAGGCTGTGTCTGATGCTGACAACGTGGCGCAGTGCGACGCTGACACCGGACACGAACGCGCACTAAGAGCACGGCAACCTAGGACACGGACAGGTTTCTGCATGAAGGAGCTTCGACCTGTTTGGGAGGTTCGTCTTCAAGGCGCCTCGACTCCTATTATGGGAGTGCCAGTACAGTGCCCTTATTCGATCGTGGTAGCATACCGGTGAACTGCGCATTACTCATCATGGCTGTCGCCAAGGCCTGATTGGTCACTAGCCACCAAGCTGTGATTACGTGAACTTCTGTGCTGATGCGCTGACATCGCCGCATGGTAAGCCGAACGGTCAATGACAGCAGTGCTGATAGAGGCTGAGCATGCACGCTGACCGTGTCCACGTTCAGGCTACCAGGGATCTTCCACTTTCAGGCTTTCGGCATCTCCAACTTGCGAGGAGATACTGTACGCGGGGTTGAAGAAATCATTTTGTGTGGCGTCCCGCTTGGTACCTCGACAGCGTCTCCGCCATCTACATTGGACACTCGACGTGGGCACATAGTGTTCTGGTATTGTTGAAAATGTCCCACCGACATGCTGCGCGGGACTGGCTTCAAGCAAATGTCTTTGATCGAGCTGCGGTGCAAGGGAGCTGCTCATGGTCCGGACGCGATCTGTCGATAGATCATCAGCACAGCAGTATAGGCCGCAGATGCTGCTAATATCTCGAAAGGCCTATTGCCAGCCGCAAACCAAGACCAGATGACGAACAATACGGAGAAGCCGGTGACGATAGCGAGTTGGCGGTCATGTTCGTTAACATTATTGAGCCACCAGACCGGTCCGAACAGCATGCCAAGGCCGACGATGAGGATAATGACCGTCGTGAATGTCTCAAGCGCCTTAGCACTCCAATATCTCGCTAGAGGCGTGTCCACGTGGTCTGAACGCTTCCCAGTCCGGAAGAGAAACCTCAAGCAGCGAGTGCGGTCAATCAGCATCGCAAGCGGAGCCTTGGGTCTTGCGACGATTGGGAAAAGATCACCTTGCAACATGTTACCATCCTGGTCGAGGTGATGCTGCTCGTCGGGTTGGATGGCGTCAGGGTATGTCCCAAACCAATGTCTCAGATTTCGACATTGACGCTTCGTTGCAGTTGGCCGAGACCGGATATTGGAGAATGAAGCCACTAGGTCATCTACCAGTACAGTTAGTAGATTGGCTCAGAGGATGCGATCGACTTACTATATTGCTGCAGAAGAGGGACTGATCTCTGTATAATCAGAGTTCGAACCTGACACGGATCCTCTGACAGGCTGCCGGAATCTGCCTTCTCCAACCCCAACGGCTTCTTCATCATGTACTCATCCCAAGCCTGGAGTTTTCGATCGAGGGTTGCGATCTCGTTTTGCAAATGGAGTAAGCAGCGCACTTGCAAGGGCGAGAATCTACGGAGTACGAAAAAATCATGGCCGGATGCCATTTGCTTTGACAACGCCGGATAGCCGTGGTATTGCCAGGAGTACGCTTGCTTCTGTTCATTGGTGAGTAACTTGAAGTCGCTTTCATCCTTCGACGAAACGGGTGGAGGGTCTGGAATCTGCTGTGTACCGAGAAGGCCTTTGACCAACCCTAGTCCGGCGTAACGTCCTGCTTGTTGCGGATGTGCGAATGCTGTGGGCTGAGCGAGCGCGCCTTGCTGCATGATGGACAGCAACTATTAGTTTCACGTTCCTCGCCTTGGCCGCTTTGTGGTTCTTGCCTCACGGCAGCAGAGTCCGTTCAAAGGGCACTTATGTGCTCACGGGAGGCCAGTCAGTCTTCAGTTCGACGTGGTTGTGGCAGTGTCGCGGCTTCTGCGCAGGTGGTGTAAGCCAGCCACAAGCCGAGGCCGCCATGCGGCAGCCAATGCGAGCCGGAAGCCCATCACCATGAATGGACCGGTGAAGCTAGCACTTGCGCCCTGTAAGGCTATCACGTTCTCCGCACTGCGTATAAATGAGGTCGGCTGAGCCAAGCTGGATTGGCGCGTGATATGATGCTTGATTGGCTGCCCAACCGTAAGGCGCTGCATTGGACGTTGCCTTCTTTTGCCTCTTCACAAGAGGGTGGCACCATGTAAGCGAGCAAGTTGTCCCTATGCGCTGGCAGGAGCCTTGTCTTCATCGCTTCAAGTATCATATCTGGCCATTTCCTTTTGGCTGCCTCACCTACGACCAGACGTGCGCACTCCACCGGCCCATGCTCTGAAACCTATCGCAGCGTCCGAAGCGCTTAGACATCGCGTAGCTTCAGTCGAGGCGTCACTGCCTGCTAAGGCAGTCACTTACGGTTTGGATGGACAAGGTCGTGCTGAACCTGAAGCATGCCACACATCTCGCCCGCTTAGCACGAAATGCAGGCCAGAGGCCAGAGGAACCTCTCGAGGCTCGCAGAGGAGAGTCCTTTGACCAAAGCAGGCCAGGATACTTCGTGGTTCACCCGTCACGGAGGAAGGACAAGCACGCAGCGACCTCGCCTCAGTCATCGGAAACGTGCCAGGAGTGCACCTTCTGCCCTAGCTGTGATCCCTTGGGGCCGAATCAGTGGCTATCTTCAGCGCAGAGACAATGCACCACTCATGCTTTGTATATGCGACCTGCCTTGCAAGGCACAGGTCATGCATGCCCGCGCCCACCATCTGAACCTCAATCCCAACCCCAATATTCTTCCTCGCAGTACTCTCCTCCGCCAGCTAACTACGCATATGGTCCACCGCCGCATCTGTACTGGCAACAGCCCCTTACCGTGATGTACACGCACGAGCCAACTCAGTTTCAACCCCAGTTTCAACCCCTGAGGCAACACTACGACGACCAGCAACAGCAAGGGCAGCCCTCTGCTTCTTTCAACGACCCTAGGCAATGGCAACAGCAGACATATCCAAGCCGCTGCCAGAATGTCAACTGCAGCGGCCCACTCGACTCGTGAGTATACCACTCAGCTGCTTCCGTACCACGAGAGACTGACCGCTCCGTAGTAACGGCTCATGTGCATGGAACTGCAGAGGAGCTTGAAGGGATCTGCCGTGTAATGACAGACACTTGGTGCCAAGCGGCCACTGGGTGAATTTATTCTACGAAGCTTGCCGCCAATGGAAATAAAACATGCACTGGGTTTTACCCAGGACAGCTGAGCTGACAGGTCACTCGCTACTCCTCGCGTCATGAGCATTCAGAGCATGAATATGCCCGATCGCGACGCCACACCGTGCTACTATGTGATTGGAGCATCGTCACTTCAGGAACTGTCAACAAGTACCACACCTGCATGGCGGGCATTGGCAGGTCTCACCATCATCATTGATGGCATGGCCGGGAATATCGAGTTACATAGTCACATTGCCTATAACACAACAGTCATTCGCACGGGCGTAATCGAGGCCGCAAGGCCTTGCCTGTTGTTTCTTGGACATACTCTGCCGCCACGAGTGCGACCTGGATCACTCAAGTCTTGATGAGGAATCTAAAGCTTTGAGCAGGCGTCCCTACGGCTGGAGAAGGGATATATCGGGATTCAATTCGCCATAAGTTGCAAAAACGGACTAAAACACGGTATCTCGCAGTATAAGGGTACATGGACGGATGCTCACGTACGACCCGCTTCTTCATAATAGTCTACGTAACCTACAGAACGACGTCATTCAGCTTAGCCTGTGGAGAGGGTCGTCAAGTCCTGTATGATCCTCCGCCAAGCGAGCCTCGCCCAAGGCACTAGCAAGCTCATCCATAGAAGCCACAGCCTCTGTAACGTCGTCGAATGCACGGTCTTAGACTGCTATATCATGCTGGTGTATCTGGACTCCGCATAACCATCTCCGCCCATGGTTGCGAATACCCATATGCCTACAATGCCGCTCGATGCAGCCTCGGTCGATGAGCAGCCTCACCGCTCGGGTAAGCCAGCCGGAGAGGTCTTGTGTCCAGCCTGAGGGGGCTTTGCTATGCCGACCTGGCCGTCGTCCTCCCAACTGTGCTTAGTCGCGGACGCCACCTTAAGCAAGTGGATGTACAGCCCACAAGTGTCGCCTTGGTAGATCGCGTCAGGGCTGTCGAGGTATTTCTCCAAGCGCTTCGAACATGAGTGTCGACTGGGTGAAGCTCACCAGAGTACTCTCCAGAGAGGTGCTGAGCGCTGGGGCGCGGAGTGAGGCCAGTGCCGCAGCAGAAGCGCCAAGGACTGCGTTGACCGGAGAGTGAACAGCTTTGACATCCTCGAGGACGTTTACGTCAAAATGCTGCCAGTCCTCCGTCAGTACGTAAGCATCTGCCCGCTGCCTATGGCTTCTCAAACCAAGCTCCTTCAGGTCCTTGGCCAGAAGGATACCCTCGCCGCAGACCGAAGAGCCACAAGCGGCGTACTGCTCGTCGCTGAGGGCCAGGGTTGTAAATCTCCGCATGATGACCAGATGGCCACAAGGCAGGGTGACGTGTTTCATCGTTTCGCCTTTGCTGCCGTGCAGATCTGCATCCTTGTCAATAATTCTAGCATAGAGGATTCCTAACGCGCTACGAGGCGGTTGCCGACACCAATACGCATTCCAGGATGCCTGCTCAAGGTGCATCGCCACTTCGCTATAGCTCGCGTGCAAGCGATTGCGAACGTGGTAGAACGCTCTGGCGGATGTGCGATGTACCAGATTCGTCAGTACGCGGACCCAACGGAGCTTGCTTCCATGCTTTAGCAGACCGTTACACTCTGTCATGCTTAGCTCGAAGTCCTGAGGCGAATTAGGGCTTTGAGAAGGCGCAGTTAGTCGGAAGCGCCAGACAACTTTGACACTGCCGCTCGCACATTTCAGGCTTAAAACCTCTAGGACGCTCTCTCCGCGCGTGTGTGACAGGGCGTTGATCCGGTACGCATATCCTCCGGTGGTGTTGCTCGTGGTGACAGTGAGAACGGATTACTCGGCTCCCCATCAACCAGGGTGATCGTCGTGGTATCATAGATTCCAAGAAATTGGGAGTTTGGGTGGGGGTCTGGCTCGCTGAGCAAGCAAGGCTGGTTCTTCAAGATGCAGTTGTGCGGCAGAGGACGGCATGAGTTCTCTGACAGGGTACTCCAGTCTCACAGCGCTGTACATTGTTGTTCTGGTGGTATATTGCGAGGATAGTGTGATGCTGCCCATGCGCCGGGCGAGATTGCTAAGGCTGCCCATAGCGTTAGGCAGAATTCTGAAGGTAGAGTAGGCAGACAGTGGATTGTAAAACTTCCAAGGAAGTCCAGGCCGCTGAGCTGAGGTATACGTGCTATAAGATCCATCAGAGTGTTATCCTTTACCAAGTGAACCTGTAGCAAGACAGGCTTCGCATGCTAGTCTAGGCTCAATGCTTGTTCTACCCCTTGGCTGACCAGTCGCTAGCGGTTGGGCATGAATAGAGTGTACCGCCTGTACGGCGCCGTGCAGTGCTGGGTCTTCCGAAAAGCAAAGTGTGGTAAAGAGCATTAGCGATCAGTGGCTTACTGCAGCCCGTAGCCTTCAGGTTAGCCGGCTGACTTCTATCTGCCCATCACAGCACCATTCTCTCCCCCTTCCGCTGGCGCTCTCGGCCTACCATGATCCTACGTCAGGTCGAGGTAAGCCGCGCGAAGCTCTGCAAGCTCGTCGTCTTCGGAGTCGTCCTCTTCACGCTTCCAACTGCTTGAATTGTAAACGCAGTACTCGCCGTGGTAGTGTATGCCAAGGTGCTCATCGCCGTTGTACTGGCAACAGCGAGTAAACATAAATTTCGCCGTCCTCGTCATCCACGTTGTTATGAAATCTGTCCAGCCGGGTGGCCACGGCACATTCGCCACCGTCCGACCTTCCGCATCGATATGAATGTCCGTGGCGATTTTTATGAAGCTAACGCGAAGTCCATGAGCACTGAGTGGGAGCATACAGTTGAGCAACCTACACGCAACTCTGAAACGCTCAAGAACCAGTTTAGTAAGATTGGACCGGGGCAGGACAGATGCTGATCTGTTCAATGAGAGGCGGAGGCGCCAAGGAGTTGTGTGCATGTGCGAGCGCGTGGTAGAGCGTTGCGGTATGGAAGTAGTTCACCTTGTCGGTGATCGTATCTTCTCTGTCTAAGGAAAGCCAGTAGGGCTGCTCTTGAACGTAATCTTTTGCATTTCGGACAGCTTTCTGGAGCTTGGGGTCGTCAACAAGCTCTTTTGCCTGTGAACCCCAGGTGGCTTCGCGCCACAGATGTTCTTCGTTGAGAGCTACCGCGGCTCCATAGTAATGCTGCAGCCTCTCACGGACGTGATAGATTGCTCGATAGTTCATGCGGCTCACGAGACTGTCGAGGGCGGACAGCCATTGGCTTTGATCTTTCATGCTTCTTAGACGGTCGAACTGAGCTCCGGTCATTTCATAATCGGTTGTACTTGCTGTCGACATCGTGTGGAATTTGGTTGTGAGCCTGCAACGGTAGGTATAGTCGGTCGCTCCATCAGCTTTGAGATAGCCAAATACCTTCAGCGACGATTCTCCGGTAGCAGCCGAGAGGACATCCACCGCTGCCAGAAGTGCAGTGTGGGGCTCATGGGTACGGTCTGGAGGCATTGTGCCTGGTATGACGGGCAAGGAGGCCCAGAATGGTGTAACGCGTATGCCGGCCAATTGCTTGACTAGTGGTGGGGCGTGCACGAAAGGCGCGAGCAGTGGAGCCTCCAAATAAGGGAACCATGTTGGGTCCGGGTTCAGATCGCATGCCGGGATTTCGAGACGGAGGAGAGTGGAGCGGCTGTGTGAGGAAGTGGGGAAGGGCATCGTGGCGAACAGTCTGCGGCGTATTCAGATCTAACTCTCGCAGATGCTGAGCAAGAGCCAGGGCGTCCGTCACATCAACTGCCAGCTCCGGGATCATGTTTCGTGACCTTCCAAGTGGGAACGACTTCTGTGCTGCGACCGTGTAAGACTGCCTTCCTTGGGTATGTACTGATGCCGAGTTGGTAGAGAAGCTGCAAGACGTTGACGTGGTCACTGATCGCATGTTTTGCTGCAAACAAAGACATTGTGCGTCATGTGTTGTCAACGAACAAAGAGTGCAACCACGGCGACAATCGAGACCGGACTGCGGCTAGCAAGCACGGAAAGAGCGACCTTGCTGTTGTCAGATGCTCCCATTCTGATCCAGCTCCTACCGTTTCACAAACCACACAGTCACACTGTTCGCATAAGAGGTGACATGTTCACTCCCCAGCTTGGCCGCCGCCGATCTGAGTCTGACAGCGACCTGCTCTAACGAGGGGGTTGCGAGACCCCTTGCCGCCGCGAAGGGTCTGAGGGTATCTGACAGTTAATGGTAGTCTCATATCGTAACGTGCAAGGTTTGCCACCCGTTGCTGACAAAGTGAGACAAGCATCCGCCCATTGCCCCGAGCAATGCATATGCCGTACATACATAGTCCTGAAATGCACTTTCGGAGCCACCAGATGCTGTACGCCGTTCGTAAATGAAGGCAAGAATCTACAGCACGCCGATGTCATGAGGAGTCGCCAACAGTTTGCTGCGGGTCTCGGTCAGCTTCACGTCTGCAAACACCCAAGCGGACGCGCTGCTCACCACAAGCCAGTCCATGCCTTCATTGACACCCCTGCCATCAATTGCCGAGCAGGCCATGATACTCCAGTTCCTGTCCTTCAGCTCACCCAACCTCAGCGCCTCGCTGATCTCACCCGCACCCTTCGCCCCAGGTTGATCCTGCTTATTCGCAAAGACCAGCAGCGCCGCATCCCTGAGCTCTTCTTCCTCAAGCATGCTCCTCAGCTCTCCGCTCGCCGTGTCCAGTCGTTCAATGTCCGTGGAGTCGATCACAAATACCACAGCTGCAGTGTTGGCATAATAGCACCGCCAGTACGGTCGTATGCTAGTCTGTCCACCAAGATCCCATACATTGAAGTTCAGATTCTTGTAGGTGACCGACTCGACGTTGAAGCCAATGGTAGGCACAGTCGTCACTACCTCGCCAATCTTTAGCCGAAAGAGGAGTGTCGTCTTGCCAGCATTGTCAAGGCCGAGGATGAGTATGCGAATTTCTCTCTTGCTCCAGATGAGTTTGGAGAAGGTTGACAGGATCCCGCCCATTCTGTAGGCCACTCAGCTCCGCAAGGGAGCACTCCCGTTCGTTCCACCCAGTCTTGTGAGGTTTGTGGAGCTTTATTGAAGGTTGCTAGGGGGTCGCTTAGTCCTTTACTCCTTACGCGGTGCGCGAGTGTGTTGGAAAGCGAAGAAGCCTCAGCACACGCTCAACATCCAAGCAACGAGCTCTTCCCGCTCTTCTGCAGTGGTATTATGGTACCAGCGATCCTTTCGTAAATGATGCTCATCTTGCCCAGGCAAAATGTCGTCTTTGTGCATTCACCTCGGCGGCCGAATCCGCGGCATAGGCGGCCGACTTCGCCTGTCTCATTTTCTTTCAACCTTCAGTAAACCGAGTACAATACTATCCACTCGTATAGACATCCTCCTCCCAAAATACCCCTGGAAAAGCGAGGGAAAGGACATCATGTTCTCAGGTGGAGCGACCGGGTTACTCCCTGGCGCTCGAGCATCACCACTGTTAATCATCCCAATAAGAGGTACGCCAGCCAGCCTTCTTTGGCTTCCCTAAGACGCGCATAATGATGCACCATTCTTCAAACGATAACTGCCGACGAGCATGCTCGCGTGACGTTCAAACATAATTCAAGCTCAACAGTCTGATCTGCCACTGTCACATCTAGCATTTGTGTGAACCGTTCGTGACCTTAGGCGTTTGCTGACGGATTATACAGTGACATTGATCAGGCGCGAGGCGTATCATAGACACAGCTTTACAGCTTTCTATGTTCATCTACATCTAGGCTTGTCATGGGTATTGCAGCACTATTTCGTGCCGCCTACAAGACTCTCCATCACGCACCGACGCTCTGCAGGCTCTTCACCGCATCTACAATGCTCTCCTCCAGTCCCCGGAATTTGATGCCCAGCGTCTTGATGACCCGCTCATTGTTGAATTTGTACAGTCCTTCCTTCGGGTAGTCACCGCCTGGCGTCGAGCTCGTCGGCAGCTTGTCCTTGTACTCCGGAAAGTTCTTTGCGATGATCTCGGCAATCTCCTTGTTGCTGAAGTAGCCGGCGGTGATGAAAAAGCGCTTGTTCGCCGCGTCTTCCTTCTCCATGGCAAGGACGTGGCACATAGCGAGATCGCGGACGTCGACCCAGATGAAGGTGCCTACGAGTGGTCAGTATCAATCACTCTACGCTCAAGGGGATCCGTAAATTCTACCGGTCGGCGCAATCTCATCTTTGGCTTTGCCCTGGATGATGTCTCTGATGCGCTCGTTGCTGGTGTTTAGGCTATCCAAGCTCTGCAGGTAGTGGATGATCGGGCCAAGCACGAGGGGCGGGCACATCGTTGCGAGCGTGAAGTTCGGCTTCTCCTGCTCAATAAAGTCCCACGCTGAGCGCTCAGCAAAGGTTTTGCTTGCGCGGTAGCCGTTCGCTGGGTTCTCAGTCGCTTGCTGCTCGGTGATTGGGTTCCAGTCTTGTTCGCTGTAAGTGTGGTCCGGCCATGTGCCCTTGAATGGGTTAATGATGCTTGCGAAGGAGCTCGTGATCACCACTCGTTTAACGGTTGGCGCGGACTTCTTGATGCTCTTCAGGATGCCAGTGGTGCCGATCACGGCAGGATCAAGCAGCTCTTTCTGCACGTCTGTGACGTTGAAGTGGAAGGGCGAAGCGGTGTGCACCACGGCCTCAAACGGTGGGTCTGACTTGACGGCATCGTCGAATGCGCCTTCTTTGGCGATATCCTCTACGATGACGAAGTTCAGCTTGTCCTTGTTGTAGGACTTGTGGTTGTCGAGGATCTTCTGGCCCTTAGACGAAGAGCGGACGGTGGTGACGACGCTGTGGCCACGTTCGAGGAGGATGTCGAGGACGTGGGCGGCAATGAAGCCCGAACCGCCAGTAAGTAGGACACGCATATTGGCTGGTATGGTTGTTGTGAAAGATCGGGAAATCTGGTGTTGTTCTAAGTATGAAATGCCACTGCTTCCAACGGTTGAGATGGTATTCTTATAGGGAAGAGACTGCGGTTTTAGGAGATAGCGAAGCATCAAACAAAATGCAGCGTGTGTTTACCCACTCAATGGACCCTACCGTTCATGCATGTCCTCTCGAGCATTTATCCGTGATGTCACCGCAACCAGCAACCTTCTTCTCTCGGCACATCTCAATCTCAAGCGCCTGCGGATGTTGCGGGCAACAACTGCGCTGTTAAATGCTCGCTGACAAGTGATTCACAGCTCGTTTCATGGACATAGGAGATACGGCGATTTTCTCCGTGGATGATGATTCCCTTGACATGCAGAAGTGAAGAAGGTGGCTTCGGAGACATTGGGTAGGGTTGCACTCAACAGGTCAATGCCTAGCAATGAGCACGTGACCGTGTTCTCGGCATAAGCTTACCTCACTCGTTTTACCGATCAAGTTCGGCTCGGCGAGGCGGCATCAAGGCAGCAGGCATTTGGCAACGGGCAGGGATCCACCTATTGCTCGCTCTCAATCGTAGCAGACCCGCTTGAGGTGTGATAGCAGCGTGATGAACTTTGCACCATACCAATCCGACGCTCCGGAAGAGGAGCGCGCAAAGTCGCCTCCTGCTCGATCACCTCACAACACACCACGACCGGACCAGCAATCGCAAGCTCCCCACAACATTAGTAGTGTAGCAGCGGGCGAAGATCCATGGGCCGCAGCTCGGAATCAGCGTCTGCCGCCGCCATCACAGTACTACGATGACGAAGAGGAGGCGGGCGGCTATGAGGACGTCGAATCGCAACGCTTCAGGAACGACTATATCGGCCAGCAAGCATTACAAGGCGGCGGCGTGACGTACAATGGCGGCGGTAACATCTTCGAAACTTCGCTGCGGCTGCCACTTGGGGTAGAAGCAGCGCTTGCCTATATCCTGCTCCCTCCCGCCGGTGGTATGGTGTTACTGCTTATTGAGCACAAGAGCGACTATGTGCGCTTCCACGCATGGCAGTCTGCGCTACTGTTCAGCGCGCTGTTCATGGTACACATCATCTTCAGCTGGACGGCGGTGATTAGCTACATGCTGCTGGCTTGCGACATATTACTGATTTTCTGGCTGGCCTACGGAGCCTGGAGAAACAGTGAGACTCTGGATCGCGTGGAGGTGCCGTTCTTCGGAAGGCTTGCGAGTAGTTTCGTCGACGATGAGTGAGGGTCACTGAGAAGGCGCAACATGTATAAACACAGCATCTTCAAGACTTGGGCGTCTACCTTTCTCGCCGTCTGTGACACCCGGCCAGTCTTGCATGGACACCACCAGGCATTTCCTCGCGGCTGGACACAGTTCCATATCGTCTTGGCCTGGACTGCAATGCTAGGTCACTCCAAGCAGATCTTGAGAGAAAACGAGCGAAGCATGGCCTTGGTCGGCCGTGACTGCAGTACTCGCCGCCGCCCAGCATGCCAATGCGATTCCCACCTGCGACAGGTTGCTCTTCGCACCAAACACTTGGCCGCTCTCAATCATTGGCCAGCCTTAAGCACGCATCGAAGGCTCATCGAATGCATCCAATGCAACGCAGTCGCTTAGTCCAAAATTCAAGACAAGCAACTCGTCACACCAACAGCACATAGCATCATCTTCAGTAACGCTCAACTGTCGCCTTTCCGACCGAACCCCCGCAATGTATTCTCGCATGATTGCCCCGTAACGATGTCATGCCGTGGAGAGCGCTGCACTTCGCAGGTACATGGCTCTTACCGCTGGCGTACCAGACAGAGCGTGGGCGACAAGGTCATCCAAATTAGGTTCGCTTCGGCTCCAATGCTCAAGGAATATTTCTGGCGGCTGCGATCGGTAGACATTGTCGTTGCAACACGCTGCGGTCATGCCAACAAAAGCGGGGGACACCCTGCTTCTCGTACCATTGCTCTGGTCAGAACGAGCATTGATCGACCGTTCCAGAATACCTCTTCTTGCTCGCCCTTGGAAATGACGGGTGTCCAGTCACCCTGCGCTCTCGGTCTGGGAGCTAGTTGTAATATTGCTGTATATGTAGCACCTAGATGAGTGGCTATATCTCCAAGACGCTGGAATGGGAGGTTTAGCCAGGGAGCATGGATTTAGTACCCGTCGTCAGCACCGTACTCATCACCGCCCGCCTCATCGTAATCATCTGCGCCATCGTCGAAATACTGCTCCGCGTTGTAGTCATCAGCGTCGTCATCCTCGTCCTCATCGAAGACGTCGTCCCGTAAACCTTGAGGCCTGTTCTCTTCGTCCTCGTCATCGTTCGCTTCATCCTCTGCATCTTCATTAGCCTCGCCATTGACACCGCGCTCCTCGGCATCTTCGTCAAAGCGCGCCAACTTGTCAAGATTCGTCCGGCGATTCAGCACGAGCTTCTTCCTTGCTGGCTGCTCATCCTCACTAGCATCCGGGTTGTAGCCGATGGTTTCCCAGAGCTCCTTGGGGAAAAGATGTGGGGCTTGCCACTTGCGCTTTTTGGGATCTGCAAGTCGGAAAGTCTTGCGCTCGTACTTCTTGCCGTAAGTAGACTGCTCCTCGAAGGGGTCGAAGTCGGCCGCGGTTCGCTTGTTGCAGAGAATCTTCATCGAACCTGGTGGACCGGAGTAGGCCGGCCCGGCGTGCTTTTCTGCAATGATTTCACGATAGATCTGAACCAGCTTCTTCTCACGATTTGTCGGCGGAGCAGCCTTGGGAACACCACCAGAATACAGCTAGAAAGCTGTTAGTCGGCCTGAGTTCAAGGGGTCACTGGCAAAGTTACCACGCCTGATGACATACTGGGAAGAGATTGCGCGGTGAATCGTTGCCATCCTCGTCTTGATTGGAACCGTAGTTCAAGATCTGTGCCTCAAGTTCCGGATCAACGTCGAATGGCAATTTGTGACCGCCGCCCATCATGCCGCCACGCCCGCCACGAGACATCTTCACGGTTGGTAGAAGGTTGAAGGTAAAGACCTTAATACCTCAGCGCAACGGATAACGGTACAGCTGATGATGTGACATCGAGATAAGATCTGGCATGGTCTAGCTGAATATGCTAACAGTGTACCTCTGCTATCGACGCAGAACGTGGAGTTTTGTGAGGAAGGCACGTTTGCAAGTCACACCAGCAATTTACTGTAAAGTGGGGCCGAGGTCTTCACGAGTCATGCGAATATCAGTGGTCTCTAACACATATCATCTGCAAGGCCCTCGGCTGTTCTGCTTTCGTTCATAGCCGTCGTTGGCATTGCCTGTAGGGAACTAAGAGTGTTGTGCTCACGCTTCCACGGCCAGACTGAGAGTCTCTTCCCTAGAGGCAACAGCTTTTGCTAACGCCTCTAGCGTCGTACAATGCTTCATTGGCCACCCTAGAACTCCATTCAACTGTGTCTGGACGCTATGCACACTCCGTGCCTCGCCTGTCACTTGTAAACAGCACTTTTACTCTCATGCGGCCGGATACACCAGCCTGAACATGTCGTTGAAAATGATGTAGCTGTCCCCATTTCGCTTGAGCTGGAAGGTCTGGCTGTAGCTCATCGGCCGTTGCTCGGCCTCGACCAGCAGTGCTCCTGTGACAAAAACGAGGATGCTGCCTTGCTCGTCGGAGGGTTGAGCGTCGAGCGTGGCCACTTGGTGCTTGACTTGCCGGAACGGGAGCTCCTGTTGCGCATACTATGTCAGTTCGGCTCGAGCTTCGTGAAAGGCACGGGAACCCACCTGCAACTGCGTTATGATGTTTGTGGTGCCTTGGAAGGGCTTCTCTTCCCAAGTGAGCATGGACTGTTCGGTATAGAGGGGAGCGAGCTTCATGCGATCATCGTCGAACGTGTCGTAGTAGAACTGTACGAATTGCTCTACCCCATGTCAGCGTATCCTATACGCCGTCAAGTCTTGGTCGTATGCGTACTCGCGATCTGGCTGAAGTCTACGTGGCAACCAGTTAGCGTTCAACAGCTCATAGCTGCAAAGCATAGCAGACCTACCAGCCATGCTGATGTAGGCGGGGAGGTCGACTTTGGCGTAGACAGTAATTACTATGGTTTGGTAAAGACCGTACGCGGAGGAGATGTTCGTCGCATGCACTGGGCGGTGACGGTGTTGCTTCCGAGCTGTTGATGTTGATCGCTGTCGCTGGTGGTGGGGGCTGTCCGCTGCCACGACTTTTGGCCATGAATGTCCTGTAGTTTCACCCTTCCTACACGAGTTTGAGATCTCCACTTCGACCGATCACCGTTGCGAGATGAGACTAGATTGTCAAGCGTCTATAAGCTTTGCGAAGCTAGTATATTCACATATCAACAACCGTCTGCACCACCTGTAGGCGGCAGACACTAAGCTAATACCAGATTCGGATTGTGCAAGCTTGCCAGACAATCACTAAGATGGTGGGCAAGAAGTCAGGCCGTGCCCTTCTGAGGGAGGAAGGTACGTCTGACAACCTCCTTCCCTTCGATCGCATGATGGGCGTGCCATGTATCGAACCGTTTTCCACGCTTTACCACCGAAGCACTCCGCCGCGCCACTACTTACCCAAGGATGCGCACCTGCATCGTGCATACTAAGCAAACCGCGTAGGACTGGCTCGCACGGACAACAATATGGATTTCACAAATTGGCCACAGGTGAATATGATCAATCAGAAGAACTATTATACGTACGTTGACCCACCCTTCGCAAGTCCAACAACAACCCTGTCGAGCCAAACATCTTCACTTAGCAAACGTCCATCACAATGGTCGGACGCAAAATCTTGGATGACAAGCATGGAGGGAAGAAGCATTTATACGCTCTTAACGTGCAATATGCCCGGAGGTATTGCCTCACTTCTTCGACTGCATCGCCCAATCCCTGCCCCAAGCGATTGATTTCCACGGACTGGTTGCAAAGGCAATGCCGCTGAAAGGGCTACTGACTGATAACGCTCGTAGTGAGTTTCTTAAACGAGACGATCAAGTTCTGGCAATACGGCTCCAGCAGGAAGAACGCCTGAATGCGCGCAAGAAGGCCGCTGTCGACATCGACCGGGCACGGGCTCAAGCTGGACAAGATGGCGAACCCTATGCTGAGCCTGACCCAGACCTTGATGAGGATGTACCCATGGACGACATTGCGGGCGACAATTTCGGCTCGAAAACGATCGTAATCCACGTTGGCAGTCAGAACTTACGGCTTGGTCTGGCTACGGATGCGCTGCCAAAGACTGTCCCTATGGTCATTGCTAAGAAGGCGCAGCGCTCAGAAGCAGATGACAGCGAGCCGAGACCAAAGCGGATCAAACTCGATGACCACGCGCCGTCTGAGGAATGGTTCGGTGACGAGGTGGGTCCTGCAGAGTACGCCACTACTACTGATGCTAACAGCCTTTCAGTTCGCCAAAGAGTACATTGCCATGGCGCAAGACTTCAAGGTTAGCAGGCGGGCTAACAAGCGCCGAGTGCTGCCCAATTCGCGTGAGCTTGTCACGAAGTGGAACTCAACAACGCCACCAGAGACCATACCGGAGCACAGCGATCCGCTTCGCATTGACTGGACTGAGTTGCCAGCCAATGAGAAGGCCGCACCCGACTACATTGTCGGTGCTGCAGCATTACGGATACCGGAGCGGTCACGTCCACGCTATCACTTGTACTGGCCTGTCCGTCACGGCTGGCTGAACGAAAAAGACTACGCGGGCCGAAACATGCTGGAACGCGACTTCTTCCTAATATTGGAGGACAGTATCAAGCACGAGCTCGGCCTTACCCATAGGCGGGAGTGGAGCCAATACAGCTGCGTCTTCGTCATCCCGGACCTCTACGAGAAAGTCATGGTCGGCATGGTGCTGCAAGAGTTCCTGCGCGACTTTGGCTTTCAGCGCGTCTGCTTCATCCAGGAGTCACTTGCTGCTACGTTCGGCGCCGGCTTCGGCATTGCTTGTATTGTCGACATAGGCGCGCAGAAGACTAGCATCTCGTGCGTTGAGGATGGCATGATCATGGAGGAGTCACGCATCAACATGAAGTATGGTGGCTACGACGTGACCGAGACGTTCGTCAAGATGATGCTCTTCGACCGCTTCCACTATGCGGACTTCAACTTGATGCGTCGGCATGACTTTCTGCTGGCCGAGGAACTCAAGGGAGGCTTCACGACAATGAGCGATGAGAACATCAGTGTGCAGATGTACGATTTCCACCTTCGAGCGCACGGTCAAAACACCAGAAAATACACCTTCAAGATCTACGATGAGGGCGTGCTGGCGCCAATGGTAAGTCTAGCTTTGCTCACTCTCGCAAAGCTGCGCTAACCTTTTCATAGGGCTACTTCCGACCCGCAATCTTCGATCATTCGGACAAACTGAGCGGGCGGCATCACCTCATCCCACGCTCAACAGATCTCTACAATGGCCACCCGAATGATCCCCTGTCGAAAGCGCAAATGGCCGTCATCTCTTACGTCAACCAAGCCATTCCCTCCGCCGTGACAGCACCGTCCGCGCAACCAGTGCGACCGCTAGCCACTCCAGTGGCACCGACACCGACTAAGAATCGACCGCTCGGCATCCCATCCCACCTCAACGGCGACAACGACCCAACACCACGCTCTTCACCCGCTGCATCACCTCCTCCAGACGACGGCGGCACGCCACACCCCACCGGCGACGACCTCAACGGCGACGAGATCGGCGAACTCAAAGGAGCGCAGCCAGACACCGAGATCATCGACCGCACTGTCCCAGTCATGCCGCTCGAGCAAGCCATCTTAACCTCAATCCACCACGCTAGCGGCATGGACGAGCGCAAGAGACGTGATCTACTCGGCAGTATCATGCTCATCGGCGGAGCGTCGAAGACGCCTTATTTGGGTCAGTATTTGGAGATGAAGCTGCGTGCTGCACTTCCGCAATACCCAAAGGAGATCCTTGTGGCGCCACCACCACGGGAGCTGGATCCGGCGGTGCTCGTGTGGAAAGGCGGGAGTGTGTTTGGGAAGCTGAGGATGACGAATGATAGCTGGATTAGCCCGTTGGAGTATGATCGGCTGGGTAGCCGGATATTGCACTATAAGTGCATATGGCATTGGTAGATAACGCTAATGAATGAAGCTAGAAAGGTCATGATGCTCAGAGAGACGAGCGAAGTGGTCCCGAACAGAATCACGTGATTTCCAGAAGCTTGAGCGAGCTGAGGATATGGCTGATATCAGACGTGGCCATTTGGCGCCGGTGCCCGCAGACTTTCGCGGGAGAGTAAGGCGTAAGCTTGGTGCGGCGAGCATGGGTGGTCAGAAGGTTGTCGAAGACTATCAAGGATGGCTTGCGATAGAGACTAATCTCCGTTGACTCGAAGAATGCGAACAGCAAGCTCGGACGTAGGTGGAGCATACTGTCGAACACGATATTGCAGCTATGCTACGCTACCTCCGCTTGGTATTAAGAGTACATCATCGCTCGCCCGCTACCATTTTATCTCAATCTCATGCGCCATAGGGGGTGAAAAGCTCAGCGCCTTTTTCGTACGTCCATCATCATGCTGCATGCGCGCTTCGATCCGCAGCTTTCAGAACTTAACCTCATACTGATATCGTGGGTCATACTGTTGTTATGGCTCCGGAGACGAAGCGTGAGCTTCATCCTAGCCAGTTGCCGTTCAGTCGCGTATTGGTCGGGGAGATGCTTTACAACTCAGCCTTGGCGCTGACCGAGCTGGCTGCGGAGCTGGCCGCGGCGGCCGCGTTTACACCGCTCTTGGATGCCTGCTTGCTGGCTGAGGCGGCGGCGGAGGAGGCAGCAGAGGACAGGCTGTAGGCCGAGGAGCTGGCGACGGAAGAGGCAGAGCTCAAGCTGGCCTTGGCCTGGGAGGAAGCCATGCCAAGCTGGTTCATGACGTAGTCGTAATAGCCGCGGAACTGGCCGTAGGCGTCCTGGGTTGCTTGGGCGAAGGTGTTGCCGGCAGACGAGGTGGCGGCACCGAAGTAGCCGGAAGCCGAGGAGGCGACATTGTCACCGGACATCTCGGAGTACTTCTTGCGGGCGAGAGCAACAAGCTCATTGCGCTTGCTGCCTTGCGGGACCTTGACGCCGTTCTTGTCACACCACTCCTTGATCTGGCTGTCGCTCCAGGAGTCCAACAGCTGGTTGGTCAAAGACTGCTGCGCGCCATGGGCGGATGCGGACATGGAGGAGTAGCGGGCAGAGGCCTCCTCGGAAGCGGTCCTGGAGTTGCGGCGAATGGAAGCGATCATCTTGTCGCGGCTGCTCGGTTGCGGGACTGGGACGCCACGCTCGTCGAGCCATTGCTTCAGGTCGGAGTCAGACCAGGATTGGTAAAGCCAGTCACCAGGGTAGTTGAAGGTCTCGCCGGCCTTGTCGGCAGCAGACTGGTAGTTGGAGCGAGCCGTGGAGAGGAGCGAGTCGCGAGTGTTCGGGGTCGGGTTCGGGATGTGGTGGTAGTCAAGGAAAGCCTTGAGCTGGGAGTCGGTCCAGCTTGGGGTGGGTTAGTCCTGGCGCTTTCTGTTTGAGCTCTGTATATTACTCACGAATCAAAGATCCAGTTGGCCACGTTTCCATACGCATCATTGGCGCTGTCCGACGTCTCCTTCCAGTACTTCTGGACTTGGGAGAGGAGGCTGTCCTTGTTCTTCTCCGTGCCCTTCATCACCTGCTGGCCCTGCGAGGTAATGTAGTTGGACAGCTGGTTGGTGTCCCAGCTGTTGTACGGCTTGGCGACATTGTCATCCCAGTTCTTCTGCACAAGGTCCTGCAGGTCCTTGCGGTCGGCGGGTGCCGGGTAGGGGATGTTGTGGTCGGAGAGCCAGCGCTCAAGCTCCGTCTCGTGCCACTTGTTGTATGCTGTACGGGCTCGGCGTCAGTCAGCCCATGTCCTCCACCGCCATGACACCCGCACTGTACGCGAAGATATGACTTTAGGGGATATTGATGGAAGGGTAGTCCTTACCGGTATTGCTGAAGACGTTGGCCGTCGCTGATGCCGCCAAGGCGACGGTGAAGAGTGCGAACCTCATACTGGCAGCTTCAATGAGTTTTGATTAAAGTGCTTTGGTGAGTTGCGTTGAAAGATTACCTCTGTGGCTCGTGAGGGATGTGTTTGAGGTACAGTAGGTTTGGGTGGAAGTGTGGCAGTGAAGGCCGAATTGCAGAGAGCAGGGAAAGAAAACGTGGTTAGCTGCTCAGTATGACGTGGATTGTTTGGTGAGAGGCGGTCATAGCTTCCCCACACTTGTCACCTTCCGAACCCCTCCATCCCCCTTTCACTGAGCCACATCGTCACAATGGAAGATATGGCTTGGCAGAAAGACCCTTCTAGACGCGGTCGCAAACAATATGCCTCAACAGTGAAGCCTATTCTGCACGATTCAGTGGTCGTCCCAGGTTGAGGTGTAGTCCAACATGAGCATTAATATTACAGACTGCCTACATCCGGTGATGCCTGGCCTACGCTACTCCGTTATGGCCAGACGATATCTCGGTCTTTACCTGCCTAGTCCCTCCTACGCATCATTACCGACTGCTCCACCCCGAATCGGCCAGACCACTCGTCAACGCCGCCCAGCTTCTTCGGCTTAACGGCGTCGGAGCAGCATCGGATTCCTCCCCGTGCTTGGGCTTGCCTGTTGCAAGAACAGAGAAAGTCGTCTCTTCCGTCATCATACTCGTATCTCGGCCTTGCATGGAACTCTGTGGACTGTTCTGTCCAAGAGCTCCATGCTGCTGCAAAGCGTGCACCGGCGTTGACCGTCCATTCCTGCTATACCTGTGACGCGTATCTGCATCCTCAAGGCGCAGATCGCATATCGGCCGCCGGTGACGCGTTGGTGAAGCCGTCTCCGCGCCGAGGGGAAGCTGAATACGACGGTGCCGACTGCGCTCGTTCTGGATCGTCAATCGACGTCTCTTTCTCCGTTCCCGTCTCAACTATGCTGGGGTTGCGGACGATCTCCGGCTGCCGCCTTCCGGTGGTCGCGTAGTAATGTGCTTCTTCCCTTCCTGCCGCATGCCTGGATTTGGGTCCACCACCTGAGACCGTGTTGTGGATCGATTGGCATAGTAACACTCCACTCGCGGCGACGCTCACCCATCCTATCCACACAAATACCACTGCTGCTAGCGCTCTGCCGTTTCTCCCGTACTCAAGCTGTGGGCCGGCGTCCTTATGGAACTGACCTAGCAGATACTCCGCTCGAGCAGCACTGACTCCAGTAATGTACGCCCGTCGTGTGCAGGTGATGATAGTCAGTGTGACTGCCGACGCAAGATGGAAGATGACGGATAACGCTGCGCAAATCTGCCACGCCAACCGCACGCTCTTGCTCTCGTATCTCTCTGGCCAGATTAAATCGAAGAAGAATGCGGCGCCGAAGATGAATGCGATGAAAACGCCAGCAAAGATATTGTACGACGCTGCGCCGATGTAGTCATTATTGTAAACATATGCTCGGTGATCGATGGTCTGGATGCGGCGCTGTTGATCAATGTAATCTGTCGGCAAGCGGACAGTCAGCTTCGTTCGTTATGAAGACAATCTTCGACCGCAATACGTACCCGACAGCGCCGCCGTGCCCAGCGATTCGGAGACAACGCAGAAAATGAGCGCGCATTGATATACCACGAATTTCGTTCGCCGCAGGTGGTAGTCTCGATTGCCAAACATATACTTGGAGGCGAACTTGCCCCATCGTATTTCTGCGAGGTCAAGACCCCATATGACCGGCGCCATCACGCTGGCAGGCCGAGATACCCTACTCTTGCTGGGTTGTACTGATAACAGAAAGATGAGGGATGCAGTCAACGAGGTTACCTCACGTTGCACGAGAGATCGAAAGCGAATAGATCAGGCTACGGAACATCAGAAGCAACAAACCTTTTACCACTCCTTCCTACAAGTGGTGCAACCGTAAAGAGCCTGCACTTGCCACTTCGGCAGCTCACGCATGACTGTCAGTGCTGACAAACAACATCATTAGAGTCATGCTGAGATATAAGTGTAGTAGGGTTGGCGGAGAAGCTGCGGTTCGGGTCTTTCGGATGTTCGCAGTCACTGTGCATCCGGTAGGCCTGATAGATCAGCGGGTTGCAAATTTGCAGCGGCTTTGGCTCGTTTGGCGCCACCGATGGGACGTCGAGGCTTTCTCCGGATGAAGGCGGAAATGCTGAAAATGTCGTGGTGAGAGTACGTTACAGCGGCGCACCTGTACACTGAGTGGAGGCGACGAGCTGAGGGTGTGGCACTCCCAAACTCCTTCTACCTACCTTACACATGCATCTTCTCGGCGTGCCGTCGGGGACTCTTCGGCTTCTTTCTCGCTTAGGATCCATTCCGCCCTGACGCTTGACTTCTTCCGGATGCAGTATCGATAAGGGCCAAAAAGTTCCCTCTTTGCGACGCAAAGTCAGAACTGATTCGCAACGCTGAAACCGTTGGTGTGAAGTTGTCTCCAGTCTTCAATAACAGCAACACGCAATCCAACATGTCGAAAGGGAAAGTCTGTCTTGCCTACTCTGGCGGCCTTGACACTAGCTGTATCCTCCGCTACCTGCTCGTAAGTCGCGTGCCCTAACCGCTGCGCATGTTGACTCTGGAGTAACTGACTCAATGACTTTAGGACGAAGGCTATGAAGTGATAGCGTTTATGGCCGATGTTGGCCAAGAGGAAGACTTCGACGCAGCGAAAGAGAAAGCTCTCAAGATCGGCGCCAGTCAATGCTACATCGAGGATCTCCGTCGTGAGTTCATTGAAGAGCTTTGCTACCCTGCCATTGCCTGCAATGCCATCTACGAGAATGTCTACCTACTCGGCACCTCTCTCGCTCGCCCAGTCATTGCGCGCGCGCAGATAGCAGTCGCGCAGAAGGAGGGTTGCTTCGCAGTGAGTCATGGCTGCACCGGCAAAGGCAACGATCAAGTGCGCTTCGAGCTGGCATTCTACGCATTGCAACCCACGATTAAGGTCATTGCGCCTTGGCGTGATCCGGTGTTCTACAACCGATTCAAGGGCAGGAAAGACTTGCTGGACTATGCGGCAGAGAAGGGCATTCCTGTGACGAGCACAAAGAGCAAACCCTGGAGCATGGACGAGAATCTGGCACATTGTAGTTATGAGGCCGGCATTCTCGAGGACCCAAACACCACGCCGCCGGAAGATATGTGGAAGCTCACGGTCGACCCTTTGAAAGCGCCTAACGAACCTGAAGACTTTACGCTCCACTTTCAGAAAGGCTTACCGGTCAAGCTGGAATGCAAGGACGGCGTAAAGACGGATGCAGTGGACGTCTTTCTCACCGCCAACGCCATAGCGAGACGGCACGGTGTTGGCCGCATTGACATTGTCGAAAATCGCTTCATCGGCCTCAAGTCGCGAGGCTGCTACGAGACGCCAGGGCTCACCATGCTACGTGCCGCACATGTCGACCTCGAAGGTCTAGTCATGGACCGGGAGATCAGAGCGCTGCGGGACCAGTTCGTCACCTTCAACTACGCCAAGCTGCTGTACAACGGTCTGTACTTCTCACCCGAGCGTGAGTTCCTCGAAGACTCGATCACAGCCTCGCAGAAGCACGTCAACGGCTCGGTCAGGTGCAGAGCTTTCAAGGGCATGTTCAGTGTGCTTGGCCGATGGTCGGACACTGAGAAGCTGTACGACGAGAGCGAAAGCAGTATGGACGAGATCGGCGACTTCCAGCCTCAAGACACCACGGGCTTCATCAGCGTCAACGCGATCAGGCTGAAGAAGTACGGCAAGGCGAAGGAAGCGAGCGGCGAGTCGCTGGTTAAGCACTGAGTTCGGGTTAGGCATTGGCCTTTGCCTCTGCCGGTACTCTCACACTGCGGGCGCCTGCAGGTTTGGTGATTGCGTTCAAGCGAAAGCGGATACAAAGCCTACATATTCCTCCCACCCGTCACACTGATCGTCTGCCCACTTACGTAGCTGAACAGCGGACTCACCACCGCCAATATCGAGCTTGCCGCTTCCGTCGCCGTGCCCGCCCTTCCAAGTGGAATATCCTTGAAGGCAGCTGCTCCCGATTCTCGTGCCGCCTTCTGTGCCCCTGGAATCCCTAATGCCACTTTCTCGCCGTCGGGCGTGGTCACGAACGCACCCTCTTCCTTCGCAGCCGTCAATCGTGTCAAGATGAAGCCGAACGCGATTGTGTTGGCCCGGACGCCGAACTGAGGGCCCCACTCCTTCGCGATCGTCTTCGTCAGACCTACAACACCCGCTTTGGCAAGCGCGTAGTTGGCTTGACCCGCATTACCGTGCAGACCGGACGTACTCGAGATATTGACAATATTCCTCGGCTCGCCGTCCTTGACGCGAAAGTACGGTGCTGCTGCTCGAATGAGCTTGAAAGGCGCCGTGTTGTGCAGGGCGAGGATGGTATCCCACTGCTTGTCCGTTGTTCGGTGGATCACGCCGTCCCAGGTGTAACCGGCGTTGTTGACGATGATGTGGATCTTGCCGTTGCCGAATTCGGCGGTCTTCTTGACGAGCTCGTTGATGTAGTTGTCATCCAGCATGTCGCCGGGTATGGCGGCGGCTTGGCCACCGGCGGCGTTGATCTCGTCTGCCACTTTCTTGGCCTTCGCAGCGTCAATATCCGAGATGACTACTTTAGCACCCTCGTTGGCGAACAGTCTTGCCGTCTCCGCACCAATGCCCTGACCCGATCCTGTGACAATGGCGACCTGGCCAGCAAGCATGCCCTTGGGGTAGTTCAGGTGGGCAGCAATCTGCTCTACGCGTTTGCTGGCCATGGTGAGGAACAATGTTGCCTTTCCTGAAATCTAAAAAGATGAGAGACTTTACACAACCTACTCTGTCAATACCTACAGTATTCAAAGATCAGCGATGCTTGCAGGATGCTCATATACGGCTATGCGTAGCCGAGCAGACGAGGTGGGTGGAGGCTTGGAAAGAACCTCGGTCCGGACCAATTTCGAGGCGGGAGTGGCCGCTCGGCGTGCCTTTCGCGACTTCAAGTGATACCTATCGTGCTCCTATGTGTACATGTATAGCCCCGCGTCTACATCGTCGTCAAGTCTCTGTCCCACTCGGGCGTTACCGTGCGATATGATTATCGATAGTGGTCATGCGTTGTGTTGCGCCTTTGCTCTTCCGTAGGGATCGACGACGCATGCAGTTCGTCGTCGTCCGCAGCGTCTTGCGTTCCTGCAGAGTCCTGCTCGCCTACTACCTCCAAGCGCGCTGAGTTTTGCTCTCGCCAGCCAGCTGTAGAGGCGGACAACTCCTCCTCCTCTGGAGATACCACGGCAGAACGCGGCACAAGGTCAGTCGCTGTTCTGTTGGTACGCATCTGAATCGAAGGCAGTTCACTCGGACCACTGTTTCTGGCGAGCCGATGCGGTATCATGAATGGACTTGGTGGGGAAGCTGAAAGAACACTCAGACTGGTAGGTGACGTCGGCGATTGCCATGGAGAGTCCCACTGTATCGAATCGTTTTGTGGAGGACTTTGACCTTCTGATCTATCGCTGGGAAGCACAGACGGTGACCGACCGTTATCAGAGGTCAAGTGGCGTTGACCACTGACAAAAGGCTCTTGCCCTTGACTGGAAGGTCCTCGAGCATCGTTCGAAGGGCCTATCCTGTCTCTGGACCTTGTCTGATCTGAGGTGGCAGCTTCTGCCCCGGAATCGGACCTCCACACAGCATCGAAGTCGGTAATGAACCGATTGGCATCTGACAAGCTCGCAAATTCTACGTTCAGGCACTTCACCCGTTCGACCATCTTAGGTGGCGGATCTGGCGTGTCCAGGCTTATGGTGTTCTGCGAGGCTGTGGTACTCACGCTGCTGACCGTTTCCATTGAGGAAGTTGATCTCTGACGGCTTTTCGGCTTGAATAGGGCACGCAAAGGCGGAGTTGCTTGGCCCAGCCTCGTCCGGACGGATGACTCCTCACGCCTCCCTGGTGACGCACCCTCCGCAGGACTTCCTAAATCAAGCCGGACGACTGGATGCCGCTGACGCCCCTCCCTTAGCTTATAGTCGACGACTCTCAGCGGGCTGCGGAACCATTGTACACTGAACTCGTAATGCTTGTCTGAAACCGGAAAGGAGAAAGTACCGCGTGGCGAGCCTCCTCGATTTTGCCACAGTTTCAAGCATAGCTTGAACGCCAGCTCTTGGAAGTGTGATTCAATGGCGTACACATGGAACTCTGACCGCAGACTCATCCCGTGAAGGTCCAAGTGGAAGAAACGGTAGGCCTCTGAGTCGTCCCCAAAGATGTATCGGACCTTGACTGGCCCCTTGGGCTCAACCGGCTTCAGCCCTCGTACTTCCTACGCTTTCTGGAAAGTTACGCAATGCCGTAGCTCGGTATCATCATGGTGCAGTGTGTTGGGCTGACATTTTCGGGGCTGCTCAGGTAGCTGATGCTCGAGTAGGGTTTGCCGGCACTCGTCAAGCCAATACAGCCTTCGCTTTAGAATGCGGTAGCCCACCGCAGATATGGGCTGTTGGTCGTCTACTCGTATCTCAACCCAACAAGCCCGCTGTGTCGCATCCGGGCTTGATTGAACCTGCTCTATGTACCGATACCTGGCAAGGTTCGTATTCTCACCGGCAGGAAGTGTCCGAATGACTGTGTTGGCGTGATCAACCTGAGCATGACTCATAACATCCTCGATTGTCAGACTGCCCAGATTGGAGTCCTGCATATCCATCGCAGCTAGGATCGAGGACATGGTGTTTTGGAAGTTAATATTGAGGTTCTCCCTCTCACGCACGACGCCAATGAGTTCATGACTACCGATTTCGGCGGAACCGAAGCTAGCAGCATTGCGCCTGACAGCATCGTGCCCTTCGAGACGACGGTATCGGTAGCCAATTCTCAGAAGCTCCTGGAAAAGACCTCCGACGATGTTGAATTCGGAGTTGGGGGGTATACAAGGTGTATGTGTTGCTGTGAGTGGCGCCCGTCCACGGTGAGCTACCTGGTTGGTACTAGAAACTGCACTGCTTGATGGGCCGTTGGCTGCTCCGTTCGGCAAATGGCTCGCTGCAGTGTGGGCATGCGTAGGGCTGACTGCAGGTTGCGTATGAGCATCGACGTTGGGCGCTTTAGTTAACAGCAGCTGTGTGTTTTGCAGCACAAGTTCTCCACGGAGCTCGTTCAGTTCCCTGCTGAATAATCATCAATCTTGTTGTCGAATGCGCGAAGAGCCTGCTGGACCACTCTTTCAGGAGAGCGATACCGATCGATTATGGCTTCGTTGTGGCGCAAGTAGTCGAAGCAGTCAGCAACTGTTGCTTGAAGTGCTGAAAGGCTCGTAACACTCTCGCCAAAGTACTGCGCGATCCACTCTTGACGTTTGACGGCAGCTTCCGTGCGGTGAAGTTGACTCTCTAGCTTCACAGAACGTTGCGGAATCTTTCCATCTCCCCAAAATGCTCTACAAAGCGTCCTCAGGTGCCCGATGGCCTCGATGAGCTCGAGGACAGAGAACCCAAGAGGGGCCAACATGCTGATGGGAGCATGCCTTATAACGGTTACAACGTGTTAATATACCGCCAATGACGCAGGATCCGAGCACAATAGATCTCTTGTATTCTACATGGTAAGATGGCTAGGGACCTTGACGCACATGAGATAGCCTACTCCGACATCACAGGCTAGCGAGGTTCTAATGATGAGTCGGCTCTGGATGCAATGTGCCGCGCCCGCAGTAGGCACGCCACGTGCACTGCCACCGCCCGCCAAAGCCCCGGAGCGCGCTCATTCGTCGCCATACTGGAGCCCTTCATGTTCTTTGGAAGTCTTGATTGCGAAACAGCGGCAAAAAGTATTAGACTCCGATACACGATTGCCGACATAGAACTGGGCGACCGTCTGAGACCTCACTGATATATCGGGTGCACGCGGAGCGGCTCACCGGTCGATCAGGCTTCCCTTAGCCTAACTTCAGCCTTGCTCACTGTGTATATGATCTTCCTGGGAATTGCACCACATCATTCTCGATAGCTTGACAACCTTCGCCATGTGCAGCTTGGGTTCAGCCCACATGGAATGTTTCGCACTGAGCTCTCAGACTCTGCTAATACATCCTGCATAGTCCCCTGGAGAGCTTGCTGCCAATTCTACTATAGTCACTAGGCTGCTGCTATAACTCGCAATCTTACTATCCGATATGACAGACTCTGATCACCAAGCCCCCGATCGTCGGAATACGGTCACAGCATTAACATCGGGAAGGAATACAGCGGGCCAAGCTGTCGTTCGCGCTTTGGACGTTGACGTAGTTCTTCCCCTGATGTTGTTGTTTCGTATACTGACGACCGCAGGCGGACGAAAGCACCAAGTATCATAGAATGACCGAGTACATTGACGGCCATGGTCTTAACGGCCAGATACTGAGCGTGGCGGCTAGTGGCTTCTTCACTGACTCCTACAACCTCTTTGCGCCTAACGCCATCCTACCATGCCTGGCGTACATCTACTGGGACGGCACAAGGTTGGGAAGTGAACAGAAAGCGATTGTGCTGAATATTCTTACCCTCACCGGCTCCGCGATGGGCCAAGTGCTGTTCGGCTGTTGGCCGACGTCTTCGGACGCCAGAAGCTGTACGGTGTCGAGCTCGTCATAGTCATCTTCACCACCGTCGGCCTGGCCGGTAGTGCAGTAGGTGTTACCAACATTCTGACAGGGTGGACATCCATGAGTATTACTGCGTGGCTTTACGCTTGAGATTTGTGATGGGCATTGGCATCGGCAAGAGCTTCCGTCTTGACGATTGTTTAACTTACATTGCTACCCCTGTAGGTGCTGAATACCCGCTCAGCGCATGCATCACGTCGGAGTGATCCGCTCGCCATATACGCGGTCCCATGCTCGCCATGGTTTTTCTGATGCAACCTCTCGGTCAGCTAGCGGCGAACGTAGTCGGTCTGTCTGCGCTTGCAGGCCTCAACCGGCACTTCGACTTTCAACACGACGGACCGATCGCAGTACTCGGCATGGACATACTGTGGCGAGTCATCACTGGCGTGGGTGCAATACCCGCAATTGTTGCGATCCTACTCAGATGGTTTATTCCGGAGTCGGGACGCTATACATTCGCTGTCCACCGCAACCAGCCGGGCATCTTGCGGGCGCTGAAGGATACCAAAGGCGTTTATAGGTCGAGTTTCGCTCGGAGCCGAAGCTTGCCGCAAACACAGCCCCAAGGAGAAGCGCGGCTCGGTGACGGTCGCCATGATTCAGCGCTCGGCAACGGCAACGTAAACGGGCAGGTGCCTGCTCAAGCGAGGACAGACATGGACGCTGGGCGTGCCGCACCTTACAGTGGGGACGACTCGTCCGATTATGCTTCTCTTTTTGCGGGTCAGGAAAAGCCCAAGTGGTGGAAGGTGTGGAAGCTTTACACACTTTTCGTACCGCCACCCACCGTTCGTGCCGACATCTGGCAGTATTTCATTACTGAAGGTAACGTCATTCACCTTCTTGGCGTATCGATTTGCTCGTTTGTCGTCGATTTTGCGTAAGTCGAGCGAACAATGCCCACGTATCTACACACCATACTCGCAAGCTAACAGCTTATCCGCAGCTTCTACGGCCTTGGCCTCAACAGTCCGGGCCCCGAGGGCGCACTCTGGTCACACAGTGATCAGAAGAAGCTTCTGTCTCCGTGGCTCAATCAAACCATCGTATCTCCGCCGTGGAGTCTGAACTGCACCACCACTTCGCCGAGCAACTGGCCCGATGGTTTGTTAGGGCTCTTGGACAGTCGATCTAACTTCACAATGCACAATGGATGCGTGGAATCGATGTACGCTGCTGCTAGTAATTACACCCCCTCCTGGCTTGCCAACTCTGCTGCAACCGATACAGCCTGGAGCATCTATAAGGTGCTTTACCAGAACATCACCGAGTCGCTGGTGACTGTGGCGGCATGGTCACTGGCAGGAGGCATCCTCATGGTCTTTCTCATCAACAAGTGGGAACGCAGAGTGATGCTAATCAGCTCCTTCGTCGTTCTCTTCTTCCTACTACTTGCGACTGGGATACTCTTCCGGCTAAAAGCACGAACAAACGCCGAGTACGGTTTGGTCCCCTTATCGATGCTCATCCAACTCGTGTTCAGTCTCGGTCCGAACACCCTGACGTTCGTCATACCAGCGGAGATCTTTCCGACCGAATACCGTTGTACTTGTCACGGAATCGCTGCGGCTTGCGGCAAACTGGGCGCTATAATGGTTCAAGTCGCATACTTGACCTGGGGCAGAGGCTTCCTCTCAACGGTGAACTCTAGGCAGCTGGGTAGTCCTATTGTCATCTTTGCGATTCTCATGCTGGCCGGCGCGGTCTTCGCATGGGCTTGGCTACCCAACATCCAACAATGGGAGAATCTGCTCCCGCCCATTCCAGCGATGGACTCCCGGAACAGTAGCAGAAGCGTAGGAGACGCGCATACCGGTCGCCTCAACGTCGCAGACGCCGAGTATCCAGACGACCATATACCTGCCTCGCCTAGAGTGGACTCGAACACTTTCCACGCCCCAGAAAAGGGTAGGTACGTAACCCGGAGCCTCGAAACGCTTGGGAGAGGCAGACGGGAGCAGGCGCAGTGGGAGAAGACTGGTTTCGTGCCGCGGACCAGGCTCGCCATTGATAGGATACGGAGATGGTTCAATCTTTCGCCTATTGTCCGAACGAAGCCCATCAAGAATGATCATTTTGACACAGCGCACTGAGGGGCGGACGGAGAGCACCGTCCTCCTTGCTTCCTGCTCTAGACAGCTTCTATCATCTACAACTTACTACCCTGCCCCACAAATTGCTCACAAAACGGATAATCGATGAACCCTTCCGGCGCCTCCGGAGTATAAAAGGTTTTCCTATCATACTTCTGCAACGCTATACCCTCCCGTATCCGGAACGGCAGATCCGGGTTACTGATAAAGAACCTACCATAAGCGATGCAGATATTCTCACCCGTATACACTTCACCAACAGCTTTGAGTCCTTTCTCTGCATCAAAGCCGCCGGCGAGTATGATGGGGAGTTCGGAGCCCCAGACTTCGATCAGTTTATCGTTGGTTCCGGTCACGGACTCGAAGATGGCGGTCGGTGCGCTGCCGCCTCCGGTTCGTGATTCAACGAGATGGAGGTAGGCGAGGCCGAGGGCTTTGAGTTCGCGGATGATGTGGGTGAATTGAGGGATCGGGTCTTTCATGTGCATTGATTGGAAGGTCGACCTGATATATGATGTTAGTGCGAGTGGGTGGACTCAGACAGTTGAAGGAGGGAGGCTCACCATGGCGATAACCGCATACCGACTTTCTTCGCATCGCCACCGCATGCTCCGATCACGGCACGAGTCACTTCCAAGCCGAATCGGGCGCGATTCTCAATACTGCCGCCGTATTTGTCCGTTCGGATGTTGCAGACATCTTGCCAGAATTGGTCGACTAAGTAGCCATTGGCACCTGGTCCGATGTCAACAAACAGCTCAATTGAATGAAAACCGGCACCCTCACCATGAATCTCAACCCCATCAAACCCAGCCTTCATCGCATTCCTCGTCGCCCTCGCATACTCCTCCACCCACCCCGGAACCTCCTCCTCCGCAATCGGCACGGGCTCCTCATACTCCGAACTAATCGGAATTCCACTCGAACTAACCACCGGAAACGGACCCTCACGCTGCAGATTCTTCGCGGCTTGCTCTGCGCCCGCCGCCCGTCCCAGCGCCCAGAGTTGGAGATAGATAAACGAACCCTTTGCGTGAACGGCGTCGACTATCTCCTTCCAAGCTTGGACTTGCTCGTCGTTCCAGATGCCGGGGACATTATTGTAGCCTCCCGCTCGCGGAGAGATGAAGGTCGCTTCCGTGATGATCAGGGTGCCGGGGACGGAAGCTCGCTGCTCGTAATACTCCCTTGCGTATTGACTGGGGATGTGGTCCATTGTTGCTCGGAAGCGGGTTAGAGGGGCCATGGTCATGCGGTGCTTCAGGTGGCAGTGGCCCACTTGGAGGGGCTGGAAGAGTCTTGATTCGACCATCTTGTCGTAATGGAGGGGAATTTGTATTGGAAACCGGAGGAGATTACGCGAAGGAGAGAAGATGAAGAGAGCAATACTTTCTTACTTTGATCTGCCGAATACTGTACATTGTTTACAGAACTACTGGTCGGTAGCCATCAATGAGGATGACAAATTGAACCTCGGCATGTCGTGCTCCGATCAATGCACATGTTCACCAATACGGACAGGCAGCATCTCGCACCAACAAATGAAGTCAGGATGCTCACTTCTATCGGCGGAAGCCCACCGCTAGAGGCCGGGGTGATGGTTGGAGTGAGGTGAGCATTGACTCGCCAAGAAGCATCAGGGAGCAGTCGTTGAAACATCAAAGTCACTGAACCTCCGGAACTGGTTCCGTTCTTGCACTCGACTTCTGGCCCCCTCGCGCCATTGATACCTTACGTTTCACCTCATCGCATGCACTTCTCCACAGTCTACTTACGTAGTAGTCCCTGTCACGTGTTCCGCCGCACAATGTCCACCACCGCCGCCACCGCCTCGAAACCAACCCTAAACCCCCGCACCTTTCCCCGCCCTCCCCTCTGCGAGCCCACTGCCCGCCATCTGCAGATCAAGTGGAATGACCACACCATCGCGGAAACAAGCTCCGCCTACTGGGTGCTAGAAACGCATCACCCACCCACCTACTACCTGCCCCCCTCCTCGCTTAAGATTCCACTACAGAAGACGTCTAACAGCTCTTTCTGTGAGTGGAAAGGTCGGGCGACGTACTACGCTGTCCAGAAGCCTGGGGGTGAGAAGGAGGGAGAAGGGGAGGTAGTGAGGAATAGGATATGGAGTTATGAGAGTCCTACTAAAGGGTTTGAGGCGCTTAGGGGGTATTTGAGCTTCTATGCAGGACCGTGGGATTGTTATGTCGATGGGGAGAAGGTGGAGCCGCAGCCGGGGGATTTTTACGGTGGGTGGATGACTAGTGATATTGAGAGGAGTACGGTGAAAGGTGGGCCGGGGACTTGGGGGTGGTAGAGTGCGGGTATGGCAGTACAGCAGATACAGCAGTACAACGGGAAATATTCTGCTTCGGCTGCACTTAATGCCGGTTGCTTGTACACGCCAGACGGTTATGGATGACCGTCTATTTCTTCGCCGAATCCGCCTCCTCGGCCTTCTGCTTGGCCCTCTTCTCCCTCTTCCCTACCAACCGCGCCTCACTTCGGGCATCTCGCAGCTTCCGGTACGCCGCCTCCTCGCTCTCGAAGTCGGCGACCTTGCCCTCCTCGATGGTGAATTTGTTGCTGATGGGGAAGGACTTCTGCGTCTCCTTGACCGCACCTTCGTGCCCAACTTGCTTGGCCGCGTTCATCTCGTCTGCAGTAGCATCTCCAGACTTGGGTGCCTTGGCCTTGCGGGGGAAGAGGACGAGGCGGGCTTTGTAGGCCTTGAGGCGCTCCACGTTGGCTTTGAGTGACTCTTCGCTCAGGTTTTGGCGGCGGGGGTCGACGGAGATGCCGATTGTGGGAGCGAGTTTGCGAGGGATGCCTGCTTCCTGTGACAACCATCATGTTAGCCGAAGCCGTGATGTAAGAATTGGTTGTGATACACACCTTCAACTCCGCGAGCGAGAAGCCGCGACCAGCACGCACACGACGGTTGTACTTGACGGTCGGGCAGCGGATGACGGGTCTCAGCTTGTCGACGGGGCGTGGCGCAAGACGAGCGGCCTTTTCGGCACGAGCGTTGCGACGAGCCTTCTTCTTGCCGGGCTATACATTCGGTATCGTTGTCAGATGGCTGGGTTCATGCACTACAGGCGCCACTGCTCTCAGGGTGTTGGTGGTGGCGGTGAGAGGGGAATTACCTGGTCGAAGTGCACGCGGACACGGCGTTGCCAGTCCTTGCGGAAGTCTACACCCAGTAGGTCAGTTGTGCATGCATATTTTGAACACGGTATTTATCAGGGCATACGGTTGTGGGGGACCTGCTGGTTGTGCTTGAGCGTCATGTTGCCGGTATGCGCTCAATGGAATGCTGCGTTGGTGGGATTGAAGGTGTCGCTGTTCTTCGCTTCGTCGGAAAAAGCTGTGTGGATTTCGCAGGTCTTGGCAAGCTTCGGCGTCGGAAGCGGGACGCGAGACGGGTCGCTAGCGTGGAAACGCGAAGCAAGCGCGGTTTTGGGCACGTCGCGTCTCCCCGCCATTGATTGATTGACAGCTTCAACCTTTACTCGAATTCTACAGAACATTGTCTGGAGAGTTGGCACATCATCTCTAACAATGCCAGTGTCGAGAGCGGAGCGTCTTGCTCAGCTGCGAGCGCTGCGGAAGGCGGGCAAGACGGGCTTTGATGCGTACGAGGTGCAAGAGGCCGACTCCATCTACGAGACGGTGGATGATGAGCAGTACAAGCAGGTCGTTCGCAAAAGACTGGACGAAGATGACTTTGTAGTAGACGACAACGGTGCAGGCTACGCTGATGACGGACGCGAGGATTGGCAAGACCAGCGGGTGGTGTACGAGGATGATGAGAGTGAGGAGGACCTGCCGAAGCAGAGCAAAGCTGGTAAGTTGGTTGCACCCACGCCACATACTGCTCTGTACAGTGACTGACCGCAGCATAGCCAAACGGAAGCGCGAGGACGATGTGGAGCGGCAACAGAAGCTCAATCAAGGCATCAGCAAGTTCTTCAGCGCCAATGCAGCAGCCTCCGCACCAAAACCGAAGCCTGTCCGCACGGCAGAGGACGATGACTTCTTGGCCGGTCTGCTCGGCGAAGTCGATGCGAATGTCCCTTCTCGTGCTCCGTCCTACGGCAAACCGATCAAGAGTAATGATCGGAGGAAGACGAGGGTACTATCTCCGCCGCGAGAAGAATCAGTGCGCTCTTACAAGCGTTTGGCGCCTGAGAATGTCGAGAGCACGCCACCTCATCCCATTGCGGCCGTCGTCAATGATAATGATGACGGCTACTACGTCCACCCGCAAGATGATGATGTTCCCATGAGCGACCCGTTGCCGTCCTCGCCAGCCGCCCAAGCCGGAGAGCGCAAGGAGCAGACGGTCATTAAGAAAGAAGCTGCTGAGGATGACGACGACCTCATGGAAGTCGCCGAAGCCCAGGGTCATGCTGCTATGAAGACCGCCAACGTCAACATCAAGGGTAGCAGACCCGCGCCGAAGATTGTCAAGTCGTCGTATCCGACACCCGACAGCTCTTCGCCGACGCGTGCACCAGAGGATGGCATTGACATGACGGCCATCAACAATGTCACGGAGAAGCTCAATATCCTCAGCAGCTCGTCAAGCGAAGCAGTGAGTGCTGGAAAGATTGCTGCTAAGGACGCACTGGAAGATGACGGTACGCTGCGGTTTTTCTGGACTGACTACACCGAAGTCAATGGCAGCCTGTGTTTGTTCGGCAAGGTGAAGAATCGCACCAAGGGCACTTACGTATCATGCTTCGTCAAGGTCGATAACATCCTCCGCAAGCTGTATTTCCTGCCACGCGAGCACCGTCAGCGGCATGGACGTGACACCTCTGACGAAGTCGAGATGAGTGACGTCTACGAAGAAGTTGATGGGCTCATGACGAAGTTCAAGGTGAACATGCACAAGATCAAGCCATGCTCGAGGAAGTATGCTTTTGAGCTACCGGACATACCGCGAGAAGCGGACTACCTCAAGCTGCTCTATCCATACGACAAGCCAGCCTTACCAATGGGTATGACTGGAGAAACATTCTCCCACGTCTTCGGTACGAACACGGCACTGTTCGAGCAATTCGTGCTGTGGAAGAATATCATGGGCCCTTGCTGGCTCAAGATCGAAGGTGCCGACTTCCAGGCTGTCAACAACGCCTCGTGGTGTAAGTTGGAATTGCAGGTCACGAAGCCTAACGGCATCACCACGGTCGGCGATTCAGACAACCTAGAAGCACCGCCCATGACCTTAATGTCGCTTGCGCTGCGTACGACTATGAACGTCAAGGAGAACAAGAATGAAATACTCGTCGCCAGTGTACGCTTCTACCCAGACGTGCAGCTGACAGACACCACGCCGCCCGAGAAGCTTCCAAGTCGCACCTTCACCTTCATGCGTCCCAACGGCGAGTACCCGCTAGGCTTCAAGCTTGAGGCTGAGAAACACAAGGGTCAGATACTTATGGAGAAGAACGAACCTGCACTGCTCAGCAAATTGCTGGCCATTATTCAGATGCATGATCCCGACGCCTTCGTGGGCCACAAGCTGGACGACGTCGATTACAACGTCCTGCTCACACGAATGCGCGACCGCAAAACGCCCGGCTGGCATCGCATTGGCCGCCTAAAGCGCAGCGACTGGCCGAAGAACGTTGGCAAGGGTGGCGGCAGTTTCTTCGCTGAGCGCCATCTTGCTGCCGGTCGCCTGCTCTGCGATCTTGCGAACGATATGGGCAAGAGCATAATGACTGCCTGCCAGAGCTGGAGTCTCGATGAGATGGTCAAGCTGTATCTTGGAGGCAATCATGTGCGCAAGGAGATCGACAACGACAAAGCGCTCGCCATGGCCGCCACCCGAGAAGGCCTGATGAACTACGTTAAGATGTGCGAGCTGGATACGTACTTCATCGCCGCAATCGCGCTAAAGCGGCAACTCCTGCCCCTGTCGAAGGTTCTGACAAACTTGGCTGGTAACTCCTGGGCCCGAACACTCTCTGGTACGCGCGCTGAGCGGAACGAGTACATCTTGCTGCATGAGTTCTACCGCAATAAGTTCATTTGTCCCGACAAAGTTTACGGCAAAGGCGCGGCAAATAAGAAGCTCGAAGACACTGCGGACAATGGTGATGAGGCCGATGCCGCGGACACGAAGAAGAAGGACAAGTTCAAAGGCGGTCTCGTCTTCGAGCCGGAGAAGGGTCTGTACGACAAGTTCATCCTCGTCATGGACTTCAACTCGCTTTACCCGTCCATTATTCAAGAGTTCAACATCTGCTTCACCACTGTCGACCGGTCAGACATTGGCGCGGACGAAGACAAGGTACCTGAAGTGCCGGAGGACACGGCGAACAAGGGCATCTTGCCGCGTCTGATTCGCACACTCGTCAGCCGGAGACGAGAGGTCAAGAAGTTGATGAAGGACAAGAGCATCTCCGAGGAGCAGCGGCAGACTTGGGACGTGAAGCAGCAGGCCTTGAAGCTCACCGCCAACTCCATGTATGGTTGTTTGGGGTACACCAAGTCGCGCTTCTATGCCCGGCCCCTAGCCGCCTTGACGACGAGCAAAGGTCGTGAGATTCTGCAGTCGACTAAGGAGCTGGCCGAATCTGCGCACGCGTTGCGCGTTATCTATGGTGATACTGATTCGGTTATGGTCAATACGAATAAAGACAATATCCTCGAAGCGATCAAGATGGGCAATGAGTTCAAGAAGGCGGTTAATGAGCGGTATGAGCTGCTGGAGATTGAGATTGACAATATTTTCCGTCGCCTGCTGTTGCATGCGAAGAAGAAGTATGCCGCCATCAATATGGTCGAGGATAATGGGGTGTGGAGGGAGAAGATGGAGGTGAAGGGGTTGGATATGAGGAGGAGAGAGTACTGTCAGCTGTCCAAGGACACCTCTACGTGAGTCCTCATTCCCCACTCTGACTACCCGCAAGTCCCATCTGCTAACGAACATGTATAGGGAACTCCTCAACTACCTCCTTTCCGGCGAAGAACCCGAAAAAGTCGTCTCCCATATCCACGACCACCTTCGCTCGCTAGGCGAGAAGATGCGCTCCAACGCCATTCCCGCCTACAAATACACCATCTACACCCAACTCGGCAAAGCGCCCAAAGAATACCCGAACGCCAACTCCATGCCCTCCGTCCAAGTCGCCCTCAAGCTCATGGCCAAGGGCAAACAAGTCCGCGCTAAAGACGTCATGTCCTTCATCATCTGCGGCTCCAGCGGGGGTTCCGCCGAGAACGCCGCCAAGAATGCTTGTACGTTGGATGAGGTTCTTGCGAAGGATAGTGGACTCGTGCCGGATGTGGAGTACTATCTTCACAAGCAGATTTTGCCTCCCGTGGAGAGATTGTGTGTGCCGATTGAGGGGACGAATGTCAGTTTGTTGGCGGAGTGTTTGGGGTTGGATACGAGTAAGTATCGGCTTAGTGGGGCGAGTAAGACGAGCGAGGGGGGAAGAGGGGATGAGATTACCACGCTGGAGAGTCAGGTGCCGGATCATATTCGGTTCAAGGAGTGTGAGGGGTTGGGGCTGCTGTGTTTGGGGTGTAAGAGACATTTCGAGTTCCGAGGACTGAATCATCAGCAACCCTCCACCAGCACGCCGGAAGAGGAAACGACCCCCATGGCGGTGGTGGCGCACACGGGTCTCACCTGTCCGCGAGAAGACTGCCGAAGGACCATCTCCACCCTTGCGCTCTCGGCGCAACTCGAAGCGCAAATCCGCAGACATACCTCCCGCTACTACGCCGCCTACCTGATCTGCGACGACGCCGCTTGCGGCATCCGGACAAGACAGATGTCCGTCTATGGCCATCGCTGCTTAGGTCCAAAGGGACTTGCGCACGGGTGTTCCGGGCGGATGAGGTTCGAGTATGGGGAGAAGGCGTTGTACAATCAGTTGTTGTTTTTGCAGGGGCTGTTTGACGTGGAGAAGGCGGTGGGAAAATTGGGGGTGAAGGGGGAGGAGGATGAGAAGGTCAAGGTGATGGCTGAGCTGAATAGGGAGAGGTTCGGGGTTTGTCGAGAGGTGGTTAAGGCTTACTTGGATAAGAGTGGGTGGGGGTGGGTTTGTATGGAGGGGTTGTTTGGGTTTGCGCGGAAGTAAAGGGAGATGGTGGGTGAGATATTGGATTGGATATTGGGGTTGCTGGCTAGATATGGTTGGATCGAGACTGAAGCGGTTACCAGATAGCCTCTTCTACGTGCTCCCCGATCGATTATAGTCATCAAGCGTTCCGATAGGGAGTAGGTGAAGGAATCTATACTTTTCCTTTTCCAACGGCCTAGTGCGCTGGCACAAGGTAGGCTGTTGCACGAATGCATTGGCTGCCTGGCGACAAGAGAGTTAATGCCGCTGAAGGCTCTGGCTTGATCAATACATACGCGCTGCCAGCATGGAGATTCAGCTGTACACCTAGCGGCCTAGACAAGAGACGCGTGAGTATTGTAGGTGTGTTACTCCTTACAGAAAACCGTCCATCAGACCGGCGCAACCACGCATGTTCGTTGTACACAGAGTCTACCAAAAAATGCCCTTGTGTCGATTGTCGCGTACACGAGTGAAGTCGAAAGGCGAAGGCTTATTTTAGCCAAAGCACGGACTCTCCGGAGTCTCACCAAAAGTTGTCAGGGTCTGAGCTTAGCAGATCGGATCGTCGGGCCTCAAAAGGGTGTTACAGCTCAAGGAAAGTCACCGCGTGCATCATCCAACCCCCAACAACCTTCTCCCCCTCCCATCCACCACCACCACTCTCGTGTCATTTACCCCTTCATCACACTCCTTCATCTACCCTTTCCATATTCACTTGCCCGCCGCCGCCATGGTTGGCGCACGCCTCCTCCGTCCCGCAGCTCAGCTCCTCCGCTCCTCCACCCCCTCCGCCGCCCTCCCTAGATCTACCCTTCAGTCACACTTCGCCGCGCCGGCGGCCACAGCGTCAAGATGGCGGCGGAGCTACGCAACTCCGGCGGGGAGCAAGGAGATGACGGTGCGAGATGCGCTGAACGAGGCTATGGCGGAGGAGATGGAGAAGAACCCCAAGGTCTTCGTGTTGGGTGAGGAGGTTGCTCAGTACAATGGCGCGTGAGTGTCTCTTCATCCCGAATGCGCTCTCGCAGAATACGTGGGGTCGTGTACTTCAGCTTCGACCCAATGGACACAACGGAGCACGAGAGCAACAAGCAGCAGGAAGATCGAATGCTGACACACACTTCCTATCTAGTTACAAAGTAACAAAAGGGCTCCTGGATCGCTTCGGCGACAAGCGCGTCATCGACAGCCCCATCACCGAGTCCGGCTTCTGCGGTCTCACCGTCGGCGCAGCACTAGCCGGCCTCCACCCCATCTGCGAGTTCATGACCTTCAACTTCGCCATGCAGGCCATTGACCAGATCATCAACTCCGCCGCCAAAACGCACTACATGTCCGGCGGTATCCAGCCCTGCAACATCACCTTCCGTGGTCCCAACGGCTTTGCTGCCGGTGTCGCTGCACAGCACTCACAGGATTACTCGGCGTGGTACGGCTCGATACCGGGCTTGAAGGTCGTTGCGCCGTATTCGTCTGAGGATGCCAAGGGGCTGCTTAAGGCTGCTATTCGGGATCCCAACCCGGTTGTGGTGCTCGAGAACGAGTTGTTGTACGGTCTTTCTTTCCCCATGAGCCAAGAGGCGCAGTCGGACGACTTTGTCCTACCGGTAAGCTTGCATTCCTTGCCAACAACATTTTGTTTGAAGCGCGTGTCTAATGTATGTATTACAGTTCGGCAAAGCCAAGATCGAACGCCAAGGCAAGGACCTAACCATCGTCACCCTCTCCCGCTGCGTTGGCCAATGTCTCGTCGCCGCCGACCAACTCAAGCAAAAGTACGGCGTCGAAGCCGAAGTCATCAACCTCCGCTCCATCAAACCTCTCGATGTCGAAGCCATCGTCAAGTCCGTCAAGAAGACCGGCCACATGATGGCTGTAGAGTCTGGCTTCCCTTCTTTCGGTGTCGGTGCGGAATTGCTGGCCTTGACTGCGGAGTACGCATTCGACTATCTCGAGGCGCCACCGGTCCGCGTGACCGGCGCGGAGGTCCCGACGCCGTATGCGCAAAAGTTGGAGGAGATGAGCTTCCCAACCGAGGGGTTGATTGCGAATTATGCCGCCAAGTTGTTGAGGGTGTAAGGCGTTGACTGAGGATGGTGAGGAAGTAACGGACCGGTGTTGAAGGATATACTGGAAGCCGTCCGCGAGACGGCAAAACGGGCCGGCTCCGGTCGGTGACGAGCATGCAAGCGAGCGTCGTGCGAACAGGCGCAGGGCGGTGTTGTATAACTGAGCGAGTGCCTGTTTTTTGCGCTACTTATTGTGCTGTGTCACTGACTGCTCTTTTCTCGCATCAAGCAAGGTGCAAAAGGTTGATCTGTTCTTTCACCTTTCTCATTTCAATCTTCATTCCTGCTGTAACTTGACAAGAACCATATCGACCGGAGGATAATCGCCCATTGGCTTCCACTTACCCTCGACGAGCCCAGACGCTTCAACAAACTCCCGCGTCTTCAAATAGCCACAATTGCGGGCTATTCAGATCTCTCATCCTTCCTATAACTTAATACGCACTAGCACGACGGGAAAATGATCGCCTATAACCTTCCTTTCCAACTCGACAATTTCAACAAACTCCCGCATCTTCAGGTGGCCGTAATCGCGGGCATTCAAACAAGACGGGCGAGAGCATTCCCAGCGAACTTCCAACGTCCGCCAGGTTTACCCAATCATCCCCGTACGTGTTGCTTTTTTCAGATGGCCTTTCGAGTTCCATCGATGGCCTTCTGATCGAGGGATGGTTTAGCTGGCTCGACACGAAGCCGAGTCGGCAAGGGTGGAGATAGTGATGACGGTAGCTTCCGGGCTGCTGTTAGTGTACGAATCGCGTAGGCAGCACACCGGTGGCATGGCTTTTGCGCACTTGTACCAGTGGTGGTGGCTGGTGCATGGCCCGCTTGAGCCCAATCTGACGGTTCACCAGGCCCGTCTACAGGCATAGGCAGGACCTCAAAACAGGTAAATTGACCGCACGCAGCAACTCAAGCGCTGTTCGTATTCCGCTTCCCGAAGCCGTAAACGGTCACACCTTGCCCGCGGGTCCGCGCGGTCAGGCGTATGAAGTCACTGTCGCTTGAGACGAGGCACAAACTCCAGAGGCGACCCGTGTACAGCAAGTGCATGGCTTTGGTGATCATGGCGCCGTCGGTGGCGGTGTTGCCGGTCGTGTAGGTGAATCGGTGGATTGAGATTATGGAGTAAATGAGTAAATCTTCGCTCAGGTTTTGGTATAGGGGCTGGTCAGTCGCCGTGAATGCGGCGGACACTGGCCGTTCCGTAGTTGGTTACTTCGGCCGTGAGACCGACAATGACTTCGACGGAGATGTTGTCGGCATTGATTAGGGCGGCTAGATTATTTGCGTTGTCGGGCGTCGTGATGGTTGTTCGTAGGATGACAATATGTGTTGTGTACGATGTAAAAAGCGATTGCTTATCGTGTGATGCATCGACCTGCTTTTGGGTGTACGTGATGTGTTCAGCGAGTGATGCCGTGCAGCGAATATGCTTGTTCACCACGCGGGAGCCACGTGGAAGAGGACGATCGGATCCGGATTATCTCGCATTGGCGAAGCCGCACGTTCGCTACCAGCGATGCATTCCACAGGACGCTACCAGTCTTCAGGTCAGCCCTTCATGCATGGTGACGCTTCCAGCTGCCTGCCGCCCGATCGAGTTCAACTATCATCCCGGGGCTGTGGATGGGTGAGTCGTCCCGTCTTCGATGATTTCCAATACATTCAGCCTATATCATGATGAATTCTGTGGCGCCATCTCGTAGTACGACAAATGGCACCCACGTGGCAAGACTGCGCATATGCTGTGGACATTTCCACACGTTAGGCAACCACACACGGACACGCTCGGTCCGTATCAATCACTAAACACTCCAACGACTCGAATGCGCCTCAAGCAAGTCCGTACCGCTCACACGGAACCGACATCACATTTTGCCGATCATCGATCGGCTTTGATCAATGTCAGGAGCGTATCGCCGTCCGCACGATGTGTTCTGTGCGAGAGAGTGCCACCAAGGCTTCATTCGGCGCGGTCTTCCAGTCTTTGTTCCTTCGGCGCCGCACTGCAGGAAGAACGATGATCGCCGTTGACATAGAGGGTAGACGGGTCATTGTCCGCATCATGCCTTGAGCCCCTCCTAGTGGACGAATCTTCGGATTCCTTCAGTAAATGCTACTGGATACCTCTCGTTCAGGAAGCTTCATGATGGCGTGCAGCGAATCACATAATTCACACCAAACCAAGAAGGGCAACACGTGGCTGCGTGAAACAGTGCTGCAGGCACACACCATGGCCGTCTCCGTGTGTGCAGTGATTGTCGTGGCTAATACGTTGTTATTGGTTCTGCTCTCCGGGCGTCCCATGCCGGCAGCGTAGAGGTCACCATTGCCGTCTGACCGAGGCATCCAGCGCATAAAGCTTCGCAGGCTTAATTTAGTCTGCGTGCACGCAGGTTACAAGTATGCTATGAGCGGCACCCGCGCCGCGATGCAGGTGTCCTTGTCGTTTTTGCCTGCTCAATGCTAGACTGAACTCAAAGGTTTGTTGTCATCGGCGTTGGTGGCCTGGAGCGACCTGCGCGACTTGTACTCAATCGACAGCGTACTGTTGCCTCGGGTTGAACGCAGATATGTGTTGTAGCGACCGCTCGTGGGGATGTAAATACTAGGGACCTGGGCACCACCTTGTCCGTACCTACTTCGATCGCCGTGAAGCACCAGTCCGCTATGTTGAGTGGCTTTGCAGCGAACGTTGAACGTCCGTCTCCGCCTCCAACTAATAATCAATCGAGCATGGATATGCAAGTACCACCGTTTCTACGTCACGCCGTCTTCACATCGCAAGCGGACCTTTTCCATTGGATTGAACGAAGCCGCTCATGCAATCTTAAGAAAGTCCGTACGCTGGAGCTCCACCTGACAGACATCGACTTGTCCTCCTTCCTCGAACCCAATTCAGGGGGAGAGCGGAGGTCTCCTGGCGACCTTTGGACATTGTATGAGGACGACCTGAGGAAGCTCGATCACGCCTTACACTTACTCCCTGAGCTGAGCCGTCTGAAGGTGGTACCTCCGGAAGCAGTATATTCCCACTTCGTTCGGAGCCTGTACACTTCATTTCTGGAGATGCTTTCCCATCGATTTTCAGCACTCGAGCTGCGCATTGTAGAAGAGATAAACGAAGCGCAAGATGTCAACCGCACCTCAAGCGAGGTCGATCCTCCGGCGCCTGCGATCGGGCGGAGCGCATCAAAGACAACCTCGACCACATTGAGGGAGTTGCGCAAGCGGAGGACGGCGCACAAGTGCCCGGAAGAACGGAGGATCCAGATGGTTTGCGACAGCAAAGAAAGGAGTATCAGGCGGCCGAGGATGCGAGTCAGAGGCCGATGAAACCAGCGTTCCAAGCCCCGAAAACATATCATCACCTGCGGTTGAAGCTTAAGGACCGTTCTCGCCGTTAACCCCCGATACCCTAGTGTCGGTAGTGCTCGGTTTCTGACTGGGCTGATCATGAAGAGGCAGCTCACCATGCCGTTTGGCAGCTTCGTCACAAAACCTCGCCATCAGGGTATCTTTAAGCGACAAACCATTCGGTCTATGGGTCGTCCAGCGAATGTGCGTCTTGTTGTACACGTTCCGCCACTCCGGATGGTGACGTTGCTTCTTGCATTCTGCGGCGACTTCGTCCATGAAAGCCTGTCGTAGAGAGCGTCAGATTGCGTGAGAGCACGAAGCACATTCGCCACTGCGATTGCATATAGTTGGATGCATAAACGTGCTTACCCAGGTCTTGGCAAAGGTCTTGAACGTAAAGTGACGTTCCACCGCTTGACCGTGGCTGCATGCTTTCCAGCCGTTTTCAAGTAGTCGCTGTGCCTCTCGCGTTACTTGCAGCATGTCGTCGCCTTTCGAGATGGAGAACATCACTTCGGCTTGGCGCGGTGTGGCGATGAATGTTCGCTTATCGGGCGCGAGACTAGAAGTAGTAGTTTGAGCAACAAGTCGTGATATGCTCCGTACTTTAGGAACAATCCTTCGACTCGCCATAAGACGTTGCAGGCAGCCTAGCATGCTGACATTCCCTCGAGCAGGTATGCCACCAACTATGGAACGGGTTCAAGATCTCTACATGTATGCAATAACGAATCAATGTGCACGGACAGCTTCCCTTGCGCACGGACAGCTTCCCATGCCATGCGACTCGACTACTCTGGTAACTGTACAAGCTCGATATTTTACGCATGCTATGCATGCTGATGGCAACAATTGTTGACCGTGTGCGATAGGTGTGTCCGCCATCACCCACGCGCCGCGTGCAACTCCACGCTTGCACAAATTAAGCATTTGGCTTCCTAGCCACCATCAAATACATAGGCGTGAACAGCTTCTCCTTCCCACCCGCCACCAAAGCGTCCGCGGCCTTCGCCAACGAGTCCGCCGTCTTCTGCGTGCCCCTCGGCGCCAAGCTAACCATCTCCAGCGCACCCACAAACCTATGCACTAACCCCCGCCCAACATGCGTCATCCGCACCAGTGTAGGGAAGTCCCAGATGCTCTGCATATACCTCAGTTCTCCGGACAGCGGCCAGTACCACGGATACTCATCGGGCCTGTCCGCAAGGTCCTCGTTCAACTCTAACTCGAAACCTGCGGCCTTCACGGCCTTAAGCGCGACATCGATTTTCTCCATGTTGGAGATACCGTCGCCTTGTTCAATGCCTAGCCGGATCTCGCGTTGGTGTGGATCGTCGTTGTTGTATTTCTCGGTCATCAACCACTCGTATACGCCGAAGACGCCGCCAGGTTTCAGTACGCGAAAGATTTCGCTGTAGATACCCTCGAGGCTCGGTGCGTGGACGGTAGCTTCAATGGCGTAGACAGCGTCGAATGAGTTGTCCGGATATGGCATCTGCATGAAGTCACCCTTGGTGAAGGAGAGCTTGTCCGACAAGCCTTCCCGCTTCGCGTAATTCGTCGCCCGCTCAATCTGGTAGTCGTTATTGTTCAAACCGACGATGTTCGCGCCCGTGAATTTGACAATCTCTCGTGCCGGTCCGCCGACTCCACAGCCAACATCCAACACCCGCATGCCTTCTTGCAGGTTCATCTTCAGCGCCAGATAATGCTCATGCCTCGCAATTGCTTGCCTGAACGGTTCGCCTTTACTGAAGCGGCAGAAGTGAAAGCTGCCTCCCCATCCATACTCGTATAGGTCGGTGGCAAGGTTGTAGTAGTGTCGCGTGAGCGTGGCATACTCGTCTCGCCGGGCTTTGCGCGTTTCTTCCGTCTCGTTGGCGGAGAGCTTATTGTCCCAATGCTTGAAGTATTCGTCGACGGCTTCCTTTTGAGCTTTGTGGTCTTTGCCCATCATCGCCAGGAAGCCCTTGCGCTCCTCGGCCGTCTTGCCATGGAGAGCCCTTTTGAAGGCGGCATCGCGTTCGAGGTCCTGCTTCTCCAGGATGTGCTTGGGTGTTTCAGGGGCAACCATGTTGAATGAAGCAGTGGGGAAGTTTGAGTAGACGGTGAATGACAGAGAGAAGCCTACATATGTCTCTGTGGCAGGATATACAGCACTTGATGGTAGCACCTCAGCTTCGCGATCGAACCATTCGGCCCAACCAAAATCTCGAACGATGGCAACGGCTCATGCTAGGAACAGGCATAGCGTCGTCCTTAGTTGCAGAGACCCTATTGTGGCGCAAAGCACGTCACGTGCGTTGATGTAATAATCAGCTTGGCAGTACCGATTTATGAGCAACTCACTATTGAAAACTGATCTGGAGACTGAATATAACCGCCAGCGCGGACTCAGACCGTAGCAGAAAGCAGTCGCGGAGCAGGGCAGAAGTCGCTTCGACGTTGTTCGTGGCCTAGAGATGCCGCCGCAAATAAAGCAAGACCTGAACCGATCAGGATGGGAGACGACGGATATGCCAAGCGTCTGCGAGCGCTGCCTCCCGGACAACCCATATGTACAGATGCTGAAGGAGGACTACGGTGCCGAATGCAAGCTCTGCACGCGACCATTCACCATCTTCAAATGGAAAGCCGACCGTACATCGCGACAAAAGCGCACCGGTATCTGTTTGACATGTGCGCGGCTGAAGAACTGCTGCCAGTGCTGCATGCTCGATCTGAGCTTCGGTCTACCTATCACCATCCGAGACGCGGCGCTGAAGATGGTGGCCCCGGGGCCGCAAAGCGAGATCAACCGCGAGTACTTTGCGCAGAACAACGAGCGGGAGATCGAGGAAGGGAGAGGGTTGGAAGGGTATAACAAGACGGATGAGAAGGCGAGGGATCTGCTGCGGAGGCTAGCGAGCAGCGAACCGTACTACAAGAAGCAAAGGCGATTAGAAGCGGAAGGCGCTGAGGACGGACAGAAACTCCTCGAAGGCGGCAGCAGCACAGAAGGCGGCCACACCCGTGGCCCAATACGGACAGCAGACAACAAGCGCTCCGCCTACGGTTCATCCTACGGACCTCGAACTAGCACACCAACGTCACGAACGGGCAAACCCGGCGCAAGACCGGGCAAATCCTTCCCATCCGCCGCAGCGCTCCCACCTCAACCACGGGACATCCTCCCGCCGTCCGATCACAACATCACCTCCCTCTTCATCACTGGCGTCGAGGACGATCTCCCCGAACACGAATTGCGTACTCACTTCTCGCAATTCGGCGCCTTACGAAGCGTTGTTTGCTCGCACCGCTCTCACTGCGCGTTTATGAACTACATGGATCGTGCCGGCGCTGAGGCCGCAGCGGCGGCCTGTCAGGGTCGGGCAGTGGTGAAGGGTGTGCCGTTGCGGGTGCAATGGGGTAGGCCGAAGCCGTTGGATAATATGGACAGGGATGTCAGGATGGAGAATGCGAGGGCAGGGAGGAGGGTCGAGGCGGCTGTGAAGGCCGTCACGGGAGCAGCTGGAGGCAGGAAGGCGATTGGTGCGGGGCCGGAGAATGTGGAGGTGCTGGGAGATGTTGCGCCGCCGCCTGGGCAAGGCGAGGTGGAGTACGCTGCCATGGCTGGCGAATGAAACTTGGGGACGTCGACAGGTACTTTGATGATGTTATGTTGCGTACGGTTAGCGAGGCGTCCTGCTGGGCATGTATGTGATTACATTCTGGAGCGCTGACAGACTGTCTTCTGGATGAGGGAAGACAAGTCTCATGCTTCACCACACTCAGAATTCCACAGACAACCTTCAGCTAGTGCCAACAACAGTGTCTCGCAGACTCGATCCGCGAACGGGTCCCACGTTGCTCAGGAAGGCACGATTGGTTGTGCCGTTCACCCCAGCACTGCGCGTGGTACATATGATTATGAGCACATCGACGGACAGCCGTTAGAAGTGGCTTTATATACGATCAGCGATGCGAGTCTGGCATGCATCAAGAGGTACTCAAGGCAGGATGGGATCATTGTTGGTAGATTGACATTGAATATGCGTTCAGAACCACGATGCCTTCAAGGGGTATACAACGCCACGCCAAATGCAGCAGTACTAGAACCCACCTTGTATATACATTACCACCAACGCCACGCTATGCAATTAGCATGCATCGCACACAGTCCAGCAATGTGCTATTAGGTCTTCCACTTGAGCACTTCTCCTGGCTTTATACAGCCTTCCCTCTCCTCACCTTCCCCTGCTCCCTCTTAGACAATGGCTCATCCGGTAAAACCCACCCTCGAATCCTCTTCGCCGCCCTCTTCTCCTTTTGCGACAGCTTCGGCATCCACTCGTCCCTCTTCGGCAGATGATGCTGCCGACTCAACGCACCCGGCGGCCCAACATCCAGCTTCCAGTGATGCTGCCCCTCAAAAGGCTGGTCGCGGGCAAGCATGTGCAGCCACCACAGCGCCAAGCCTGCAGTCATCTTGAGAGTACCGTCTTCACGCAGACCGGACGTGGCGATCTCCACGGGCGTAGCGATTTCCATCATTCCGAAGAGAGGCTTGGCTTCGGTTAACGGGCCGCCAATGCGTATGCAAACGAGCTCAATCTCAGTGATGATAAAGCCATAGCGTGTGCCGTGGTCGCGCATGAAGTAATGCAGCTTAGCGAGGGTTTGTTGATAGCGAACTTTGTCCGTTGCGTCGCCTGAGCGAAGCCCGGAGTTCCATTGGTCGTGAGACTGCACTATGCCGACAACGCGACCACGGCCGTCTCTGTAGATAGTCTTCTCCTTGTCAGACTGGTAGCTTGACACGAACTCAGGCTGCTCGCGGCGAGAACCAGGGGCACATTGGAGGGTGCGCATGGCCATGTGTTTGTCGCCCTGGGTTACCTTGAGCGCCGCGTTGACTTTCACAGCATGGTGGAGTGCACACGCTTCCGCAAGTTGAGGCACAGTTTCGGGAGATGTGGTCACTTTGCGCGGCTGGGTGAGCTGCCGAAGAGTAACCGGCATATGAAGTAGATCCAAGAGGCTTGGCTGCGCGGCGATGGTGGAGACGTTGAAATCGGCCCAGCGCTGGACATTGCGAACATCAAACCAGAAGTAGGGGTGGTCACGAGCCAGCCCGACAGTTCGCTGTGTCAAAGATGGCGTCGGGTTGGGCGCGGTGAGATAATCGAGCAAGGAAGATGTCTCCAGATCCATAGCCGGGCTATACTCGACCTCGACAGATAGCCGGGAAGGGTTCGCTGGCGGGCTGGCTGTTCGTTTGCGCTGTGGGTACGACTGAACGTGGCCACTCGGGAGAGCGATTGGTGCAAGATGACTCATGGCACTCGGTGTCCGTGACATTGGCACACTGTATGTGGCCGGCTGAGGTGTAGGGCTTTGGCGGTATGTAGGATAGCCATACCGGCTGAGCATTGCCGCATCGATGTTTGAGGACGAGTTGTTCCGCGAGTGCATCCCGATATTAGAGGCGGAGACAGAGCGCATGTTGGCGAGCGATGGTCGGACATGGGCACTTGCTCGGTCATTCATCAGGAGGCCATATGGCGAAGGTGATGCAAACGGCGGTGCGTGTGGAATGTGGCCCGGTGGGCTTGCCGACCGTCTCTCGATGGTGGGCTGGTAGGTAGGCAGAGCTTCGCCGAACACCAGAGGTAGGCTATTGGCGGGTAGTGATGTTGTCCGGTTGTGGGCAAAGTAGGATGGTCGAACCGCGGGTTCAATGACTTGATCCTGACATCTGACTCTGGGAAGTAGAGCTGGGCCCGTCTCCCTGAGCTTAAACGGTGACTTTGGGGGCGTAGTCGCATTAGTCGTGACGGTCTCGGGGGACCAGTCGAAGGGAAAGCAGGAGTCGACCGTGCTGGCACTGCCACCAGGGCAGCGTAGCTCGAAGTCATCCATTTCCAATGCGAACGGTGGAGTTGTTTGTCGGTACTCCATGGTTGTGGATATGCGATGTTAACGGGATAACGTGGATTACGTCGTGTGATTAGACACTTAGGTGCGTGGTGCAAACGATGCTCAAGGAGACCAGCTCCGAACGCCCCACCAAGACAGTAGGAAAGACGAGACAGGAAAGAACAAAGGAGACTCGTTAGCCTCGTTACAAGCCCACGCAGAAGATCAGCTCTGTTGGTTGTTTCTATAGAGAAGAGAAAGGACAGGATGGGAGGACAGAGCGGACGTGCCCTCTATATGCGCGCTCCGCAGGTCGCGCGATCACTTACGGCGAGTAAAGCCATAACAGATCTTCATTACGCGAACATAGCGTCAGTGGGGCTTCTGAAACGAACCTGTGAGCAGTGCGGAGTAGTATGCTATGCAGGTACGGTCATCAGATCCGCGGTGCTTGTTTCGGACAAGCAATGGTACTATTTAGGACATCGGCGACCTTCTTGAGGCTTGTGACGCCCGTATTGGATCGGTTTCACGCATCCTCGCGGTCGAAGCCAGTGATCAGGCCTTCTTCGTGTAATGAGAATATCTTCAAAGGATGAGTAGGTCGCGCAGCCACTGGTTGAGGCTCAGAATAGGCCTCTTCAGCAACCGCGGAGCTCGGCGGCTGCTAAGATGAAACGTCTGTGTATACTGTCAATGCGACAGTCGTGGTATGGAGCCTCATCTGCAGGAGGTCCAGTCGGGTCGCCCTCAGATCGCAATGTATGGCGCGTAGAGGAGACCGTGGTTGGGCGCTTAGAAGGTGGAGTTAGAAGTACGAAGCATTGACCGTTATGCCAAGCCAATTCGTTATTGGTCGCGGCAACGACAGCTGCAGAACGACAGACGATGAAACAAGCGAGAGCTGTTTCAGAGATGCAGTATACTGTGAGTCACTCTGCAAGCTCACGAGCATCGAGCACCATGCAATGCACAGGATTGTCATTGTCAAAGCAGTCATGGAGCCAGCAACACGCTAGAAAGGGACTTTGAAAACGCAGATACTTCCCTTCCAGCTCGCAGCAAGCAGGTCTTCCGGTCAATATCTCCAGACCATGAACGTCTGCAGACGCGCGCGATCTGATGCAGCACCAGTCCTCGGCGCAAGTTGAGGTTATGCGGGTATCAGTCCGTCTATCTTTGGCTCAGTGTATGCCACCATCTACACACCATGGAACAGCCGGCTGTACAGCAAGACGCTGCTGTACGGCAAAGGAGACGCTGAGCCATTGCATCTGGAGTAGGTCCCGGAACTATTTCCGAGTTCGAGCAGATAGCAGTATTCTTGCTTTGCCTTCGCAACAGGGTCCCTGTGAAGCCATGTTTAGATACGGAGGCGAACATCGCCGGGCATCGCCCTGTTTTCCGCAGTAGCATGTCAGATACAACGAACGAGTGCAGTATCAGCCTTCATAACAAGCAACTTTTGTCAAAATGTAAGCCTCACGGCAGTTAGGCGCAGGGTCTGGGGACGGCAAGTGAACCGGTTCATCATGTCTTGTTACGTTCAAGGTATCTCTGAGAAGCCTACTCTTCTGCTTCCGGGTGACCCACAGGTACCAGCTTGCCCACAACCAAGTACTTTTCACTGAACCTCTCCTCCCATCCTCTCAGCGCCTCCATCTCTTCTCCGCCGAGGTCCTCCAGCTTGTCCAGCGGACCGTGCAGATCTTCAGTCAACATACTCTCATCGAAGCTACCGCAAGCTAGGCCACGGCTTGCGTCTCTACCAGCGAAGTTGGCATACGGGCCACCGGGTCCATAGAAGTTGCGGCCCGGTGTCACATCGAACACGTTGCCTCGGACGGCTAAGTAGACCGGCTGACTACCCGTGCCGTTGTACGGCATGAGCTTGGGAGGCGTGAAGACCTTGAAGACGGTGGGAGGCGGAGGTTGAGGGATGCTGACTGCAGCGGGCCGTGAGGGACGCAGGCGCATGTACGCAAGGATGAGGAACAGTGAGAAGAGGATAAGGTTGATCGGTGTTGCGATTGTAGCACTGTGCCATATTAGTAGCTTATTGCACGGTATTGCAGTCCCTCATCTAGCCTACACTTGCGCAGCAGGCGGTACCTGCGAGCTGTTCATCGCTGGGGCTTCTGCGAGCTCATCAGTCTGGTCCATTTCATGCTTTGGGTATACTGTACCGGCTCCGGCCGAATCGGTCATGGTGGGATCGAAAGGTGTCTGCTGGTCAACGTCCATTGTGGTACGATAGTGCGACCGATATCTCCGGCGCAGGCTGGATGTCGCAAAGCAACGCGCGATTTACGATTATGTCAGATCACAAGCATCGGCACCCGGTAGCTTGGGAGCCGAGACAAGGAAGGCGATCAAACGGCGGCTAGCGGCCGGTGCTGCATCCTTAGCCAATGCATGGCAAATGAGACGACGTCGTTCACACAAGGTCTTCACAATGCCATAAATCGATTCCTTCGTGGAGCTTTGATATCTGCTTGACAATGCAGATTGATCAAGCGCTTGGCTCTGTCGTGTAATACGCCTGGCGCTCTGCGCGTTATAGTGACGGTATTGATATGTGAGTAAACAAACGATCAAGGCTTGGAAACACTCTGAAACGGTTCCATTACGATCCTCCTCTCAGCGGCCAGCATCACGTAAGTAGATCTAGCATTATCATCCCAGCTTTCTCGATGGCAACAGGAGCAGATGAGAGCTCAAATACGCTACCTGCGCGCCCCGTCTACATTAAGAACAAGCCTGCATCGCAAACACTGCGGGTAGGCGTGCCGATGGCGAGAACATATAACGTACAGCGAGATCCGCCATGGATTAGCAGCAGACTGCCTGACACGCCTTTTGTGCCTTCGGTCTACAGCGATGACAGCTATCTGCCTGCAGAGACTGACGCGCTCTACTCCTCGCCATTAACTGCTAAATCTTCACATCACCCCTCACATCACGCTCACCCGCAGCAACGCGTCACAGACAATGGCCTGTACGCGAGACAGTCGAGGCTGCCAATCTTCAAACAAGTTCGTTCAATTCTTAACAAAGTCCCTCCGATCGTCACGACCGAAATTGCACGCTGGGATGACTTTTCTGGCGAGCAATCAGAAACCGGCAAACCTGCGGAAGCAACCCCCTCTACTTTTGTTCAACCAAACGAGCACATATACGAGGTTCGCAGACGCTTTTCTGACAAGAAGCCGTCGAGAGTGAGAGACCTCTCACCAGTCTCCATTCTGCACGACGACGAAGTGAGGCCGCCTTCGCCGCTTCGGGTGCGAAAAGGCACACATCCACCGATCCACTCACCCGTCTCGCCTATTTCACCCGTATCGCCGGTAGACACGCGGGCGCCAACGCTAATATCGGGTAATGAGCGTTCGCAGCCTGAACCGCGTCAAGCTACATCAATGGTCAAACTCATTAAGCGCAAGCCCACTCCGTCAATGTCGACTGCATTGTCGGAGAATGTCAAGCCTCAGCGTAGCCCATCCGTGGCTAGCAACTGGACCGAGCCACTTGGCGACAATGAGGAGCAGCAAGCGAAGACGCAGAGTCACTTTAGCTGGACTACGGTCGCGCCATCAGAGGCACCCGGCCGGCACTCCAATGCCACTATCACAACACAGAACACGAAGCACGATAGCGCTGAGCCAAGCTTGCAACAGCCGCTCAGCCGGTTCAGTTGGAGCACGGTGAACACCGGCATGACTTCGCACATACGCCCCGGATCCACGCCGCCAAGCCCACTACCTCCGATCCCAGTGAAGTACGCGATGGTGAAAGAAGTACCAGAGACATACAAGCCGCGCGGACTACCTGTTCAGTCAATCCTCTCGCGCCAGAGACCAATACAGCGCCAGGAGAAGGAAGAGTGGACGCCTTCGCCTCAAAACCGCTCACTTGGTGTTGGCGGCACAACACCTCGCTCCATCTCACCACAATCAGCCACTGCAACATCCGCCCGCTCAGCCATACACCCTGCCTTGCGCAAAGAGTCGCCCTTCGCTCGCTCACCCAACATCGCAAACACGTCCACCAAGCGGCTTCCTCTTCCGCCCGAGCTGGCCCAACCGGCACCCGACCTGTCGCGATTGGACAGCCTTTTGGCACAGGAGAAGGATATCCAGCATCAGCGGAGAAACGTGCAGAGATGTATTGCAGAACTGGAAAAGGTTGAGAAGGCGAGTCCGATGGATGTCACTTTTGCGGCGGTCAGGGATATGAAGAAGAAACTTGAAGAGCATCGGAGGCGGTTGGAGGAGGTAATGTTGGAAGAGAGGGAGGTCGGCATCTTGATCAGTAGGGCGAGGAGGAAGGAGGGTGAGGAGGAGGGGTTGTGGGTGCGGAGGGTTACGAGTTGAGAGCGTAATATATTGATGCACTTGGACCATCTTTGGTGGCGATGCGGTGAGTATGCTGGACGCTGGAAACGAGAACGTTCATTATGCACTATTCTTCTGAAGAAGGTTATGATATCTGGCACCTGCGCAGACTTACCATCATGAGTTCGAGGCTCTTTCGCCCTGAAATGTCTTGCAAAGGGAGCCAAGAGAACTAGGCAGATTCTTGCAAACACTATCGAACATGATGACGGTCGTCGAAACGGTCTATACTTCATGTCGTAGCTCGTTGCGCTCTTGGGAGCGGACCAGCGCCAAGGACGCTAGCGTCACCCAGGAAGTTCGGCACAAGTCCATCAGGTACAGCAGCCGGCCTGGTTTCTCTAGCTCGGCGTCTCCGACCGCTGGAGCGCTCGCCTCGTCTCCCTAGATTCGCATCGCCGAAAGCGCTCATCACCACATTAGCCGCATTCTGCACGAAATTATCATTCATGAAATGACCGGCTGCATTTCCCAGGCCCCATGTCTCAATGTTCGCTCGGCGCTGATCTGCTGAGCCGTCTTCTGGATCAAAGAGCGTCGCAAGCTGCATTCGTCGTGCCAGGTCAGCGTCCAGGCGTTCTTGGCGCCTGCGCTGTCGGAGTTCATCCTGATAGGTACGCACTCCAGCTTGCTGAGGCTGACCATCGAGCGCTTGTGCTTGCGCTGGCACTTGAGGTGGCTGCGCGGCTTCGTAGACCCTACGGTATATGATCTGGATGGGCTCCGGTACCCGCATGTCAAGGAGTTGATCAGGATTCGGCATGTTCGTGTAATTGAACCAAGGGCAGTCACAACTCTTCCACTTCGCTCCACAAATCATACAGAACTCCGCCTTGCAGCGGCACGTCATGTGGTTGCAGCCCTCTTTCAACTCGACCATTGCTGAGCAGTCATGGCACCTCTGCCACCCTCTCTCTTTCGCCTGTTCGACTAGCTTCGCGATCTCCGGATCCTGTGGACAATCCTTCGAGCGGTGCATTTTGTTGTTACAGTGCGTGCAGACCTTCGTTCTACACCGCGGACATTGTGCGAACTTTCTGCCGTGCGAGTCTCGATGAATATGTGATGGCTTGATCCACTCGCCGCACTTCGGAGCAACGCAGTATATGCGGTTTTTGGTGTTGTATTCTTGGTACTTGCGGTTCCAGAGCACTTTGAACTTCAGGTCGAACAGCTTGTCCACATGCTTCAGTGGTATGTGGTTATCTGTGCAGCATCGAGGTGGCATATGGGCAGGGTCCTTCACGGACATTTCGAATACTCGCTTTAGACATTCGTGGCACATCCGATGCCCACAGGCCAGTTTCGCGGACTTTTTGTGGGGCACATCATCTGAGCCGCAGGTCAGACACTCTACGACACGAGGCGTAGAAGCGACAGATGGCGAAGACCGTTGGCCCAAGATCGACCCCAGAAGCGTCGTGTCTCGCTTGGAGTCTTTGGGCGCATTCGCTGCTTTGCGTACGTCTAGCGACTCTGGTATGGCTGCTAGCTTTGACGATTTTGTCTTGCTACGTCCTGGGGAAAGTCGGCTGTGTGAGCTTGACGAATGCGACCGCATTAATCGACGTTCGGCAACAACCGAGACACTATCATCGGGCGTCACCTCGGCGTCCAGATCCAGAAGCAGGTTATGTTGACGTCTTGTTGAGGCGCGGCTAGATGACTCTCGTCTTAATGAGTCGTCACGGTTCTCATCAGAACCATCTCCCTCTGCATTAGCCTCATCAGGTCCACAAATAGGTGGCCCACGGTTGTAGACATAGTCCTCTGAAGCGGGACTGTCGACAACGGAGCGTCTCTTGACGTTACTGGCGTCTCCCCCGCTGGCAGTACGATGGGCACCACTTCTGCGCCGCTCAGCTCTACGCCGCTCGGCTCTGGGCCGCTCGATCCTGACTACTGCAGGCTTCGGGAGGGTCAGCGGCAAATCTCGGTCTGCTTTCGGCCTGATGATCTTCTGTCGCTCGGAAGCTGGTCGTGCAAAATATGTAGCTCTCCTTCGTCGCAACTCCTCCACATCAGGCTTCTTGACGGCATCGACGTCCTCCACAACGGACATTCTGTGACGTTGTGACCTGGAGCCTTTGCTCCGAGATGACCGCACAGACAAGCTCGAATGCTTCCGCCGGTTGTCCATGCCAACGGCCGTCATTCTATAAGAGCCGGACGGCTATGTCACGCAAGGCAGGAGAAGAGTGAGCTTCCATCTTCCTGGTGGCGGGATAGTAGCACTAGCATTAGTAGCGTAAACGGCTGCGGAGACGGGCCGCTGCACGCATAGAACCAACGGTCCCGGAGATACCACCTCGGTTTAGAGAGAAAATGTTTGAAGAGCCCACAAGTCTTGCAAACATTGCGGTTAGGCGCGCACATCTGGGACGAGGCAAATCTGGAGCAAGGTTTTCTTCATCTGTTTCTGGCATATCTGGATTGAGGTGTGAGTCGTTGCGCTGCGAAGTAATAGGCGCACCAATGAGACGTCCTTCGCCGTTATAGTCGAGTGTAATTGCGCTCACTCACCTCGTGTGAACCTACATCATGGCTCTACAGCCGGGCGACGTCCGGCCTGATCCAACGTCTGATCTTCACTGGTCCGACTACCGGGGAGCAATCCATGAGATCTTTTCAGCCAATGCGAAAGCCCATCCTGGACGCACTTGTATTGTTGAGACGGCTTCATCGACGACACCAGAGCGAGTGTTCAACTATGCGCAGATCAACGAAGCATCTAACATTCTGGCCCACCATCTCGTCGACCATGGTATCGAGCGAGGTGAGGTTGTTATGGTTTACGCACACCGCGGCGTTGATCTTGTGGTTGCCGTAATGGGCGTCCTCAAAGCAGGAGCTATCTTCAGTGTGATCGATCCCGCTTACCCTGCAGATAGGCAGATCATCTATCTCGACGTTGCGAAGCCGAGAGCGCTAGTAGTGATTGAGAAGGCAACCACAGACGCTGGTCCTCTCTCGTCTAGCGTACGAGACTACATCGACAGGAAGCTGCAGCTCCGCACAACGGTGCCAGCACTTAAGCTTCGTAATGATGGCTCTTTGCAGGGAGGGTTGGGGGCAGGGTCGAATGATTTGCTGTCCGAATCTGTTGCGAAGAAGGCTGATATGCCAGGCGTGGTTGTGGGACCAGACAGCACGCCAACGCTCTCTTTCACTTCAGGCTCTGAAGGCAGACCAAAAGGCGTCAAAGGCCGTCACTTCTCATTAGCGTACTACTTCCCATGGATGGCCAAACGTTTCGGCCTGTCGGAGAAGGATCGCTTTTCCATGCTCAGCGGTATCGCTCACGACCCGATCCAACGCGACATCTTCACTCCCCTATTCTTGGGTGCCAGCCTCATAGTACCGTCGGCGGAGAACATCACCTTTGACAAGCTCGCCAAATGGGCGAGTGACAACGGTATTACAGTGACTCACCTCACGCCGGCCATGGGTCAGATTCTGCTAGGTTCCATGGAGCCAAAAGTGACGAGCCTCCACGGCGCATTCTTCGTCGGCGACGTGCTATTGAAGCGTGATTGTCGAAGACTTCAGCAGCTTGCGCCAAACTGTCGGATTAAGAATATGTACGGTACGACTGAAACGCAACGAGCAGTATCTTTCTACGAGATACCGTCCCTGCAGGAAGATCCGACCTTCTTGGACAAGATGGGAGATGTTATTCCCGCAGGTACGGGTATGCTTGACGTCCAACTTCTTGTGGTAGATCGTGAGAAGAAGGAAAGACAGTGTGAAGTCAAGGAAATCGGAGAGATATATGTTCGAGCCGGTGGGCTTGCTGAGCACTACTTGGGTGATGAGGAGAAATCGCGACAGAAGTTCGTGCCGAATTGGTTCGTCGACCCACAACGATGGATCGAGGAGGACAAAGAGCGGGCTGCCGCCGCCACCAAGCCTCAGCCGTGGCGTCAGTACTACTTCGGTCCCCGAGATCGAATGTACCGTTCTGGCGATCTCGGTCGGTATATGGAAGATGGCAACGTTGAGTGTGTTGGTCGAGCAGATGATCAAGTGAAAATACGTGGCTTCCGCATTGAGCTCGGCGAGATAGATACTCATCTCAGTCAACACCCGCTCATTCGTGAGAACGTGACGTTGGTCAAGCGAGATCACAACGAGGAGCAGATTCTTGTATCGTACTACGTCCCGGAAATGCAGCGATGGCGCGAGTGGTATGCTGAGCACGAGAAACGTATGTCGAACGATCACATGACGAATGGCATCAATGGTACGCTGGACGTACCGAAAAGTATAAGACGGAGAGTGTCAGCGAAGGAAGAGATGGATGTTCCTCAACGGATGCGCATCTTCGAAATGCTGACAATCGACGTGCGGGACCGGCTAAAGCAGAAGTTGCCAGTGTACGCTGTTCCGACGCTCTTCATCCCCATGCTTCGGCTACCACTCACGCCCAATGGCAAGGTTGACCGGCGTGCATTACCGTTTCCTGGTGCTGCAGAGCTATTGGGCGCCATGCCCAAGGCAACCGACGTCGGCGAAAGAACGGAGACGGAAAAGGAACTCGCCAAGATCTGGGCACAGTTTCTTCCAGCGACCGCAGACTCCATGTCTCGAGACGCGTCGTTCTTCGACATGGGCGGCAACAGCATCATGACCGTACAGATCATCCCAAGAATCAATAAGCGGTGGGAGGGCGTCAACGTCCAGCCCAACGTCATGGTGGCCGGCCAGCCTACGCTCAAGTCTGTCGGACGTTATATCGACCGGTCTCTCAACCCAGTTGGCCTGCGTCTCGACGCTACAGCCGGCGAGGAAGAGGAGCAGCAAGCGGAGTTGTATTCGAACGATCTTGCTAAGCAGATTGAGCAGCTTCCGGCATCGATTCCGACCATCTCCTCGGAGTACCCGAGAGTCGCTACCGGAATGAACGTGCTGCTGACGGGTGCTACGGGCTTTCTGGGCGCTTACATACTTCACGACTTGATGATGCGGTCGCCGCCTAACCATGTCTACGCTCATGTCCGAGCACCGTCGCAACAGGAAGCCCAGGAACGTCTTCGGCTCACGTGTACTGCATACGGCTTATGGCAGGATTGGTGGTTGACAGAGGGCGTGCTCGAAGTTGTGCAAGGCGATCTCGAGAAGCCTCACCTAGGCATTAATGAAGAGATGTATGCAAAGATCGCTGAAGACTGCGATCTCATTATTCACAATGGCGCTCGAGTGCATTGGCTGCTACCCTATCAGTCGCTCAAGGCGGCCAATGTTCAGCCCACCATTGAGTGCATCAAGCTGTGTGCGACTGAGAAGCCGAAGAGGCTCGCGTTTGTCAGCTCGACAAGCGCTCTGGACTCCGAGTATTACCTCGAGCAGACTAGGGAAGGCAATAGAGTCTTGGAGTCCGATAATCTGGAGGGCAGTCGTCAAGGCCTTGCTACAGGCTACGGACAGACAAAGTGGGTCTCGGAGAAGGTGATCAATGAAGCCTGCAAGCGCGGTCTTAGCGGCGTCATCGTACGTTCTGGGTACATTCTTGGTGATCCGACAACAGGCATCAGCAATACGGACGACTTCCTCATTCGGATGCTGAAGGGCTGCATTCAGATCGGCTCAAGACCTGATGTCGAGAACACGATCAACATGGTTCCCGTCACGCACGTGGCTCGTTTGATCAGTGCCACTGCTTTTTATGGCACCAAGGGGTCTGTGTCTCACGTCGAAGCGCACCCGCGTCTGACTTTCAACGGATTCCTGGAGACGCTAGAAAAATATGGGTACAGCAGCCCAATAGAGAACTACCAGTCCTGGAGACAGAAGGTTGTCGACTACGTCCAGAGCACCGCCAAGTCGCAAAAGGAAGAGCTCGCTCTTCTTGGATTGTACCACATGGTCACTGGAGATCTGCCAGAGGCCACTATTGCGCCTAACCTTGGTGATCGGAGGGCACAACAGGTGCTAAACGACGATACTCAGCATACCGGTGTTACAACACCGACAGGCGTAACCCAGGCAGCTGTAGGTGCCTATCTAGCTTTTCTGGTGGCGCGAGGCTTCATGCGTGCACCGTCATCGAGCGCTATACCGCTACCAGAGATCCATCTTACGACTTCCCAGAGCGATGCGCTCAACAAAGTCGGCGGGAGAGGCGGCACGACAGCTTAAGAAGGTGTAACATCTTGCAACGTCTGACATCTGCATTTACCCACCACATCAGACACTTCACTTATCCCACATTGAGGCGGTAAGCAAAATAGGCCAACGGCATAATAGCTTAAAGATCCCATGATTGAGTTGGGACATCGTCAGAGTGAAGTTGTTATCCACGTTAGATTGTACATGATCATAATCTACATGCTGTAGAGAGGCTTGTGTAACCCCACTCGTGCAACGCTACTGCTCCTGATAGATGTCGAATGCGCTCTTATATTCGAAGAAGCTAGCCTTGTAGTAGCGTGGCAAAGCCGGGTCCGAGAAGTTGACGTATTGCATCCCGAACCGTATCGAGAAGCCGGAGGCCCACTGTAGGTAGCACAATTAGCAAGCATGCTTGAGACAAGGACTCCACAGAGCGGAACAACGCACCTCGAAATTGTCCACAAAGCTCCACGCCAAGCAACCGATGAGATTGACACCCTCGGACAGCGCGATAAGCATCGCACGCGTGTAGTCGTGATAATAGCTCATCCGCAAGGGGTCGTACAGGATGTCCTGTAACAAGGTCTTGTCTGCCTCGAAAGGCTCAGCAAAACCGAACTCACTGACGACAATCGGCCTGCCGCCCGCCCACGTGTCCGCGATGTAGTTCAAGAACTGTGGAACCCAGTCTGTCGCCTTGTGCAGCCAAGAAGCTCCAGGGTCAGCAGCAGGACCAATGAGCCAGCCTCCATCCGCCGCGCTGTAGGTGTACGATGTATTTGCGCAAGTGGGGTACAGCGGGTTGCTGCTGTTCGCGAGACATGCGTCGATGCCACCATCTGGTGCAAAGTAGAATTGCGAGGTGTACGCGTCGTGAGCGTATATGTCAGCCGAGCCGTTGATCGATTGCATCTCCTGTTGTGTAAGAGGGCGGAGGAAGGAGGCAGTGTAGTTCTTGACGCTTGCTGGGTAGTCGCCAGTCAGGTAGACAGGATCGCTGAACCAACCCTCGTTGAAGTCCCAGGCTCGTTGCACGGCTTGGGCATCCTCGGTGGAGTTGGTGAGTGGGATCTTGTAGCCTCCGTTGTTCTTGTAGGCGATTATTGAGTTCGGCATCATGGATTTGCCGAGATGGTATGCCTGACTGTGCGCAAGGAGGACTGATTGGCCGCAGTAGAACTGCTGGTGCTCGGCTGGTATAGTGAAGTTTTTGAAGTAGTGGGCGGGAAGTGGGTACTGTTGGCAGAAGACGATAGCTGTAAGATTGTTAGACAACTAGCACAGTGTTGCAAACTGGTCATTAGTCTTACGCTCGTTCACCGTGAACCAGTACGTCACACGGTCGCCGAAAGCCGCAAAAGCAACGCTAGCGTACGCTACAAAGTCGTTGACAATGTCCTCGCTCAACCAGCCGCCGTATGTGTCCTGCAGGACCAACGGAGTGTCCCTGCGCAGTGTCAGACGCAGCTTGCGCGTGAGTAGGAAGAACCGATCCGACTTACCAGTGATACAAGGTCACCAGTGGGATGATGTCGTACTCCAGACAAGTGTTAATTACGTCGTTGTAATGATCGATCGCGACTTGATTGACAGGTCCTCGGCCAAACGGCATGATTCGCGACCATGACAAGCTGAATGAGTACGCTTTGACTCCAAGCGCAGCAATCCTAGCGAGGTCTTCTTTGTACAGATAATAGTTGTTATCAACGACATCAGCAGTGTAATTGTTAACTTCATAGTTAGTCACACGGTGCCCGAGCACATCCCAAACACTCGGTCCGCGACCGTCGTCTCTAACGGCTCCTTCGATCTGGAAAGCGGCGCTCGCGACCCCCCATAAGAAGCTCCTGCTGAATGACCACGACTCATTCTTCAACTCCATAGGATACTGCTGCCCTGTGGGGAACGGTGAGTAGTAGAGAGGGGGCGGTGGGATGAGGGAGCTTGCAGGGACAGGCGTGGCGGATACCGTGGTCGTCGTTGCTGCCGAGGTTACCGAGCCTACGAGTAGATCCCACATATCTTCCACGTTCAGTACGAAAGGAGTCGCAAATGCTGTCGGGTTCTCAATGACCGAGCCGGAGTCATTGAGAGTTGTGGTTGGTGGGATGGACTGATTGAAGGTCTGTCGAGGCTCGAGCGCTTGAGCAGCCGCTGCTCCTGCAAGCAGAAAGAGGTAGGGTCGAGACATGGTACGGAGAGAAAGTAGTGATCAACCTGGAGGAAATGGAGGAAGACAAGGAGAGGTATGGCGAAGAGATGGAGAAGTTACACATATCGTACCGTTCCTTTATAGATGCCGGTAGCTCCGCTGGCTATGGCGGGGTGTTCTACCCCGAAGGCGACCTCGTTGCGACCAGCAACCATGGTTGCGTGAAGGAGGAGGTCGAGCATGGATGCGGGGTTTGTTTACTGGACTTTGGCGGCGGACGGTGGCGTTGCGTCCCGCTCCGCGTGCATAAGTCTAGAGCTCGAACGCTGCAATGCTCGATGTTGAGCTTGAAGGGAGTTATATATGAGGCTCATGGCCTCTTCGCCGCTCGATGAAGGCGTAAGCGAACTGCATCTTGGTGGCCATTGATTGATGTAGCTCACTTACCGTTAGGTCTTCGCTCAATTGCGGCAACAGGTCGACCCTAAGGCGATAGAACAACGCGAGAAGGAGATTAACGAGCGCATCCATGCCCAGTATGAGAAGTCGCAACAGCGGCAGGCAGAGCTTGTACGTATATACCATATCTCCGTCCAGAACAATGGTCTGACAATGTATTTTCAGATCGGCATCAATGCCACCAAACCAATAACAATCTCCTCCGTTCGCGTCCTACACGCAACACACACCCGCCATGGCTTTCTGGAACGCATCTTTCACCCTATCCTCTCGCACAACCGGCAGTCAGCATACACCCTCCAAGAAGCGTTACAAGAAGTCGGCAGCGCAGTAGACAAGCTCAATCGGCTCGATATCTTCCAGCAACCCATCTCGACTTACATTGACAAGCCAGACCAAACGGAGCCCTCTAGCACGCCTACCGACCATGCTGTCTTCATCAGCGCCAAAGAACGCGGTCGATACACGATCAAAACTGGCACGGAAGCCGGCACCGCAGAGGGAAGTGCATACATCAACGCGCAGCTACGGAACATTTTCGGCGGCGCAGAGAGTCTGAATGCGAATGCAAGTCTGGGCACGAGGACGCGCAGTGCATACAGCGCCAATTTTGCGACCCCTATTCTTTCTAATCCTGACCTGAAATGGGAGCTTGGTGGCTTGGTAAGTAGCACGCTCAAGCCGTGGGCCTCGCACGAAGAAGTGCTGAAGGGTGGAAACACGCGCATCACTTGGCACCCTAGCCGAACTAGCAGGCATGAGCTCATGTACTCGGGTCTATGGAGGCAGGTTACTGGCTTGGCGGAGAAGGCGAGTGCAACGGTGAGGGCAGACGCCGGTGACAGCTTCAAATCAAGCCTGGCGCATATATGGACCTTGGACACTCGAGATGTGCCAATGATGCCGAGCCGAGGTTTCCTACTCAAGACCAACACGGAAGTGGCAGGTTTAGGGCCTTTGAGAGGAGACGTAGCGTTCGGCAAGTTTCAGCTCGAGTCGCAGGCCGCGATACCGATTCCGATACCGGGTATTCAAGGCGACAGTGGCGTTTCGTTCACGGCAGGTCTTCGAGGCGGACTGCTGTACCCTCTGACACCGGGTGGTCAGCAACAACCAACCAACAGTCGGATTAACGATCGCTTCCAGCTCGGCGGACCGACTGATGTTCGCGGTTTCCGGCTTGGCGGTCTCGGACCACACGACGGTCAAGATGCGGTCGGCGGTGATGTCTTCGCTGCTGGCGGCGCATCTTTACTGTTACCTCTGCCGCGTGTCGGCAAAGACACACCGCTGAGATTGCAGGCTTTTGTCAATGTGGGCCGCCTGCTTGCACTCAAGGGTGCGGGATCCCAGGACAGATCTTCGCAGAGTGAAGGCTCGCAACAACCACAAGGTGACTTAATGGCGACAATGCAGGAATTCACGAAGGAGCTTCCAAGCGCCGCCGCGGGTGTGGGGCTAGTGTACGCACACCCTGCTGCACGCTTCGAGCTGAACTTTAGCCTGCCGCTTGTTGTAAGGAAAGGTGAAGAAGGTAGGAAGGGCTTGAGCTTCGGGGTGGGCTTAGAGTTCTTGTAGCATTACTTTTACAACGGCAGGAGCTTATGCTACGCCTCAACCTCCGACCCTCATACAGACTGCCGAAGCTAATCTACTGTGCGTAACCGCAGTCCATTATTAATTTGAATGAGCATGTTGTATCGTAGGAAATCTCGCGAGGCTCACCCGGAGCTCGTTACACTGCGTGATCATCGTCGCCTCAATAGGGCGCGTTCGTGACGGCGTGAATGTAGGTCGGCGTACACGTCGAATCAGTGCCCATCCAAAAGATCTGTTGCCGTGAAGATTAGCACCTTAACGCTTTCAGACCGAGGAATGGTTGACTGAGATCGAATCTCACCACAGGCTCTCCAAGCGGCCCTTCGCAGATTGTCCAACCCAATTCCTCGCCACCAACCGTGAGCAGGTACCCATTCTTCAGCGCCAAATTACCCGTTGGCTCCGCAGTTGGATCGAACTGCAGCTCTTCACCTTCCGTCAATGGTCCGGTGCTGTTATAGATATACGTGCCGACTCCCTCGATGCCTGGAGCGCTGCTGTGCAAGTCTCCGTCCGTCAGATTAAAGCGTGGTAGGCTTCCGTATCCGGGTGCTATGGTACGCAAGAGATATGTTCGCTGGTTCTCTGGATCAAACAGACTTGTCGCTGAGACGTTGGCGAGGCTGCTGGAGTTTGCTGCGCTTGGACATTGGGTTGTGGTGACGAGGAGGAAGTTGGAGAGTGGTGTGGTTTGTCGCGGGTAAGGGGATGCTGATGTGAAGGAGAAGGCGAGAGCGAAGGTCGCTGTGAAGAGGTTGAGAGCGTGCATCTTTGCGGTGGTTTGAGAGAAGAAAACGAGGGAAAGTAGTTGATGGTGAGACGTCAGCAAAGAGTAAAGAATAAGATGCTGGACAAGGAAAGGCACACCGAAATACAAACCTTTTACGATCACCAGGATGTCCACTGTTGGGTAAAGAGCGGACGCATTATTGACCACTCGTTCGTGTTGTGCGCGTTGATCCTTGCCTGTTCCTTATGGAGGAGCGGGCCTTGTGATCTTCAGGCCCCCTTTTCATCTAAACTCTTATGTTTCTCTTATAGTAGTTGGAACTTCTGACTGGCTTAGAAAGAATACACAAAGGACATTGCCGTGCTTCTGTGTTATGTTCGTATTATGCCCATCGATTGCGGCAAAAGCGCCACCCGCAGTACTGCCGCAGTAAGACGACGCCATCAGAAACGGTAACTATCGGCACGGTGGAGTATGGGCTAAGTGAGCTAGATATATACATTCATGTAGATCTTGGAATCTTCAAGCAAGCCTTTTGGCACTTTCGACATGAAGAAAGATCAATATTCTCTCCGTGAGCTATCGCCTACAAAAACATGGGCAGCGCGCACGACTAAAGCACACATTTCCGTGGGCTGAGAGAACACGCAGAGCGGCTGGTAACTCTTGGTCATGTAAGCTTGCATTAACGCGGTGGGGACCACTGCAAAGGCTGCAGGTAGCATTGCATGCTATCGGTGCTCTGCCGAATATGCCATGGTAGGATCTTGGCGACAATGTGCCAAACTCCGCGACGGAGAAACGCAGTCTCGGGTGTATTTGTTGTTTGCAACTGCCTTCACCGCAGAGTGCTGCTGAATGCCGAAGGCTGGGCGTACTGCGCCGCCCAGCAGACGCCGACGACCTTATGAGATCGGCTTACCGTCACTTTCCCACGCGGCGAAGCGGTCACCGCTGGTGGACAGGTCTCGTGAAAGCATATGGCCTGAGGATGGACGGGAGTTCGACATCCTTGAGTATGCCGATAGACTCACCGATGACAATAAGACCTCAGTCTACGAGGTGAAAGTCTCACGGACGGTGAGAGCGCCGCCGGTAACGAGTTACTCTGGGAGATCGGTCGCTGTCCCTCCGAAGTACATCCATCAGGCGCTGGCATCCATTGACGAGATTAGATTGCCGAACATCTGGCCGGATACTGGCATTGAGACTTCCGTGGTCTGCTTTATCACACATCACAAGCTGCAGGATGCGCCATCATACCAAGCAGTATCTTACACATGGGGTGACACTACCCTTACGAAGGATATAGTCTGCGACAACAAGCGACTGCAGGTTACCGAGAACTGTGAACTGGCGCTGAGAGCGCTGAGGTCTACACAAGACACTGTTTGCGTCTGGATCGATGCCATCTGCATCAACCAGAAGGATGATAGGGAAAGGAGTGAGCAAGTTACGAGGATGGGCGACATCTATCACGCAGCGAACCAAGTCATCATCCATCTACCACCCGCAGATGATTGTTCTACTTTCACAATAGATACCATCCATTCGTACGAGCACCTGGACCGCGGCTCGACAGCTTCAGTGCTACAGTCATATCATAGCGACTTCGACCGGTCTGTCGCGCACTGGCAGAGCCTCTTCAGCCGACGATGGTTCAGTAGAATGTGGGTCTTGCAAGAGATCATCCTGGCGCGTGAACTTACCATCGTTATCGGTACTACGCACGTCCCTTGGTCCATCTTCTCACACTTTTTGAACTTCGAAAGTGTGACGTGGGATGCACGTCTGCGGTTCCGGTACGCTGCGGAGAGGAATGGACTTGACACGCCTTCTTGGCAGGGTGTGAAGTTTGCGTTGCGACTTGCGAGGCGGCCGCTCATTCTTGAGCTCCAAGCCAGGTATAGCTCCGAGTTGTTGGGGCCTTCAAGTGTGTCAAGTGATCCCCTTGGAATGTCGACGTCGCAAAGACCGAGCTTACAGCGTTTTCAGTATAAAAGGTTGCTGGACCTGCTCGTCTCCACTCGCATGTTCCAATGCCAAGACCAACGGGACAGGCTCTACGCAGTGCTGTCACTCTTTCGTCCGCCAACGCCTCCACTGTTACAGCCAAACTACACCAAACCCATCGAAGAAGTGTATGCTGACCTCTCGCTTTGCCTGCTGGAACGTGGCGTCACTGCCGTACTTTCTTTGGCCGGTCTGTGTTACAGTCAACCAAGCTGGTCCATCGATTGGCACGCCATACCAGGCGATACTGTCCTGCGAACGCTGGACGTCCACAACAACCCAGATCTACAATGGCGGGCCGGTCTGGTACCCGGAGCACCTCAGCTCACTCCGGAGCGTAACGGTGTAGCGCTCTCCCTTCGCGGTTTGATCGTTGGCTCCATATCGCAGACGCTTCCGCGCTCGCGCGTCAGAGGCGGTCATAGTGCCTTCCCACATGCGCCTGAATCACACAGGTTGCGGCAGCGGTCAACAATATTACCGGGAAAGGAAAGCCAAAAGCGCTATCACGACTTTTTGAACAATCTGCAAAAGTCATCCGGCACGGCGACGGAGAACAATGACATCGCTTCGCCTGCCGTGATTGGATACGCCAGCCAGATGGTAATCGTGACTTCGGCTGGACATGCAGGTTTGGCTCCGTCCGGGACGAAGCCAGACGATATTGTGTGCGTTTTGCTCGGCTTCAAGGTACCGTTCGTACTTAGCCCTTTGACAAATGGCCGGTGGCACCTTGTTGGCGAGTGCTTAGTCGACGGCATAATGCGTGGTGAAGCGTTGGCCTCGCTGAATTGGCAGAGCGTCAGCTCAGGGAGCCTTGAACCGCCACTGCAGCAATTTATGATTATATGACGACCGATTCACTCGGTGATACCGTATGCGTATGACATATAGTTATGATTGCCCGCTATAGTGTCGCTTGAACAAGTGTCACACGGAGCCTTTTGACTCCAGCAAGCGTGTCAAAAGTATTCGGACTCGACTACTTTCCATGGATGGCCCATGCCGTCTTCTTGCGCACTCCCTTTGAGCGCGGACTCCGAGGTGAGCAAGAGCACCGGCAAGGGATAGATGCCAACCTTGCAGGTTCGCACCCACGAACCCTGCAGCGCCGACTTCTCCCACTGCCACCGCTCGATGTGAGTAGTTTCACCTGTCTTAACCATGCCTTGAACGATATGACCCACCCGTATCAACATCCCACGCGGTCTGGAACCTTGCACGTGTGCCGCGGTGTCTTCCAGCGTCAGAACGATGCAGCAGCGCCTCGCAGGTTCGTCGTTTGATGGAACGGCAATGGGTTCCTCGTCCTTCCATATCTCTTCGTAGTCGGTCTCCTTACCAGTGGCTGGGTTGATCATACGGCCTTTCTCTAGCGTTCGGTCACCAGGCAGTGGCGACATGTCTCCATGATCAAGGATACCTTCGGCGGCTTTTCCGTGATGTCGTGAGTCAATCCAGTGATACCAGGTTGTGTGAGTGTTGTCGGTATCCGGAGAAGCCTGTGTCGACGTAGCAGTGCCTGCAAATGCCCAATCGATTTCTGGATCTTGCCCGCGGGTCCCTTCATCGGTCTTCCGGAGTCGAACGTCCACGAAGCGTTGTTCTCCAGACGTAAGTACGACAGTATTCGTATCTTCGTAGGCTTCATCAGGCAGCCAACGGATAGATTCTCGGAGAGAGATATTTGGTGGCATTGGTGGTTGCTAGTTTCGCCTAAAGGTTGCAAGATCCGGATAAACACTTCACGCACAAGCAAGCCGGATGCGCGGCGAGTCTCCTGTGATATTTCTGTATCTACAATTACTCCATTCAGATATCAGATAGTCTGTATCAACGCTATCGAACTCTAAGATGACTTATACCAGGACCAGCAGGAAGTTGTGGGGTCGCTCACTGTCGCAGTTACAATGGTCAGGAAGTTGCGAGTCATGTAGGATAACGGCCCGAAAGTGGCAGGCACGATAAGGAGCTTGTGGAGGGTGCCCGCGGCCATGATGAGATGAAAGTGTTCAGCAAAGCCTTAGGACTTGCGCAGGCCCTGAAATAAGCTACAAAGAATACCGAATAAGGCTAATGACTACACTAATCACAGTCACTTATCTTCGGTAGACAGCCAGTCTAATTGATCATCATGCTCAGTCGCTTCCTATGCAGCTCCTCTCCATTTAACGCGGTCTGTATAGTTTCCGGCATAGGTGGCACAGGCGGGACGTCAATACCGAACGGATCCGTCGCCTCCTCCGCCGCCGGAGTAGGCGGGACAGGGCTGAGATGATGGCCTTGATACCCTACTTCGTTTGCCGGCATTGACATCGGGCAGCCTGCGCTGACGCTGTTGCGGACGTAGTTCGGCGTACGGTAGACCGGGCTGCTGCTGATCGATGAGACAGAGTTGTTTCGGTGGAATGCTGCAAAGTTGGGCGAGTTTGAGGTGATACTGCCGTTGTGAGTGTCTGGTGGTGTGATTCCTGTGCTGGAGAAGGCGGTGGAAAGGCGGCGGAACATGGCACCGCTGGCGCTTGCGATGCTGTTCGACCGTGACGACTTTTCGGACGGTCTGCCAGGATCACTGGGATCCATCAGAGAGAAGATACCCTTCAAGCCGGTGATGGCGCAGACAACGGAGCCTTTTACAATATCCCAGCTTTCCTCGAGGCGAATGAAGTCGTTTAACTCCTTGTCCTCAAGGCTCTGCAGCTGCTGGAGCACAGTCTCTATTGCATCCGCAATGACGGAGACGCCTGCTATCCAAACGTTCGCAGCAGCTCCCTGGACGTGCGGCGGCTGAGCGTTAATGAGTCCAATGGCAGAAGTCGTTATTTTGTCAATGGCCATGTCTGCCATACTCCGTTGCATGGTAAAGTCGACATGGAGCTTTGACTTGCTGATGTTGGTTTCGCCATCGCGCGTCATGTCTTTCCATCGGTCATACACGTTCTTGAAGGCGTCTTGGTGGACGTAGGCCAGACCAACATTCAGATTGTCCATCGCCGCTATCAAGACGTCGGCTTCGTCGCCACCAATGAGTGCTGCGAGTACCGCGGGGTGATTAGTCCCATCCGACAGAGCCTTCGCTTGCAGAATCTTGAAGAAAGTGAAGACGCCGCTCCGGCTGGCTGTGTGGAGGTTGTGTCTCACGAGTGCTACTCGCTGACTCCAATGGAGCTGCAGCTTCAAGCCGCCCGTACTTCCGATGCTGGACATGGTGGCGTGAAAATTGCCGCGCGTGCTTTGCTGGTCAGTAGGTTTATTGACGCCTAAGTACCGGTCATAAACCAAGCAGTATGTATAAAAGCTAAATACAAGGTACAGCGAGGTGAATGTGGCAAGGAGCGCAATAGGTAGAGAGTGGTTACGGAAGTACACGACCTACTGTTCCATTGTCATGCTTCCAGCATAATGCCGCTTCTGGCTGGTAGCCTACAAAGTACCTGAGTCAAGGTACCTGTTCAATGACAACTCGCTGTTCACTCATGCGTCGCGTGCACCGGGGTGCCAAGATTTGATTTCTTTGTTCGTATCGGCAACATTGTTCAGATACTGCTTGCGGAAGATAGAAGTCCCATAGTGGTTGTGACGTAGGTGAACAAAGAAGCTCCTAAGCATCACAGTCGGCTGTGAGAGTGGGATCGAGGCATGCACGCGTGAGTGACCACCGGAGCCTCCTGGAGTTCTTAGCACACATATTCGTCCTACGTATAGCTCTACGATTGGTGGCAGTACTGAGTTTACAGCCTCGCGACATCTCGAGTACAACCTCCATGCGTGCATACCTGCTAGAGCATGGGCGTTGGGGCAACAGATGCGGTAGCGAGCTGTGTGTGTATGTAAGTAAAAGGAAATGCTCAAGGAAAGCAGATTGTACCTGGAGTGTGCAGGGTCTACACATGAGAGCGGCTCTTAAACCTCAGGCAGCCAAGGCAGCGTCGATGCACTTCATACATTCGGACAGCTTGCGTTATTGGCCTTCAATAGCCATTTCGATCCTCTGGAGGTCCATTATAGGACCGGTGAGGCAGTGCTCCGCACACCACAGTGTCCTGACTTTCATTCTGCGCCTTTGAGCAAGGACAAGCAGCGATAGCGAGCACACAATAACTTTATCGGCGCCATGGCCTCCTACGGCTACCAACCCAATCCGCCTCAACAATCAACCTATGCCGCACAGAATAATCTCAACTTCTACCAATCATCATACGCACAACCGCCCGTCAGCGGCCACACCACACCATTCCAAGCAGCATATGGCGGCGGCGCACAAAGCAGCGCTTATCCACAGCAAGGCGGTTATGGAGCCCCAAGCTCAGCCAACTATGGCTTTGGAGCATTCCCTGGTCAGCCAGGTGCAAGTGGACAGATGGGAACCGGGCAGGGTGGGCTGAGGACGGGCTTGCTGGCAGCGTTTGGTACGGAAGGCTACGAAGGCGAGCCGCCGTTACTGGAGGAGCTCGGGGTGAACTTCGGGCATATCCAAATGAAGGTACGCGCAGTGCTCGCCAGTAGTCATGGAGGTTATGATGCTAACATGCTAGTAGACTCTAACAGTTCTCAACCCGTTGGCACGAATAGATCAGCACATCATGGACGATTCCGATTTGGCAGGCCCCTTCCTCTTTTGCGCCCTTTTCGGTACTTTCCTTCTACTTTCCGGCAAGCTGTGGTTTGGATACGTCTGTGGTCTCGCGGCCTTAGGAGCCTTCAGCCTTAACTTCGTCTTCAGCATGATGTCTCCGCCACTGACGCAGGACGAGATGGCGGCAGCGCAGAACCACCAAGGCGGTCATTACGGGTCAAGCCAACTTAGCTCAACACTAACGCTGGGACGGTCAAGCTCTGTACTGGGATACTGTCTCCTGCCGCTGGTGTTCGCGAGCTTGCTGGGCGTGGTGCTACCGCTGGACAGTATATTGGGTTACTGCTTGGTCAGCCTGGCGATTGCGTGGTGCACTTACTCGAGCTCAGCGATGTTCTGTGTCGTCGGGAGAATGACGAACATGCGAGGCCTAGTGGCGTATCCACTCGCACTGTTTTACGTGGGCTTTGGCATTATGGCGATCTTTAGCAGTAGAGGGACTGGGAGGATGGACGCAATGAAAGCAGGCGCATGAACTTCACTGGACTCACTCAAGCGTGGTGTATCCTACCTACGAGACCAGTCATGGCACACACAGGTCAAGCCGTGCACCAGGTTGCTCCGCCTCTTGCAAATCTCACCGCCGCGTCTACAACACTATGTCTGCATCACTGAGTCCGCGGCACCAAGTAGCATCACCGAGTCCACATCGACGGGTCCACATCTTTGAACCCGCATCACCGCGTCCGCATCCCCAAGTAAGCACGACCAAGTCTGCACAAAGAAACTTGCATCAGCCATGGCAACCCTCGGAAAGCTCTCCGTCGCTGTTTAGCAACCCCGGTGAACGACCGGTCGAGCGCTAACGGCTCCGCAGCTTCATGCCGTGTCCGCATAGGTGGGCGGTCTTGTTGCTGCAGCGATACGCGTCCGCCACGTCCTCCTCAGTCTTGGTGATTTTCTCATCTTCTTTGATGACCTCATGCTGACGTTTTCCTGCGGCGTGCTTGATCTCTGCCCTCTACCTTTGGAATGCGCTTTGCTTTGCATCGATTTCTTCAGCTGTACGACCAGATGGTGGAACGCCTCTAGAAGTTCATCGTCGTCCCAGTCGGTTTCCCTCGCACGCAAGCAGAGGACAATCACCCTGTTGAGCGCAGCCCGAACGTGGCCAGAGCGGCTTAGTCCAAGCGCTTGGTCCATTATCAACATTTGAGCCATCCGGCGACTGGAGGTACTCCCCAGCTATGGGTCCGGCATCAACCTTGCGGGTAAAGTTGAACAGCGGCAACCAGGAGTGGACGTGGCACCACTTGCCCCCAGTCACCCGGGACCGGATGTGTTCTTTCGATCAGGCCTTTGTACCCCACGGCAAAAGCGACCCGAGCCATTCACAAGCCGACTCAACTTCGTGAGCGCTCATGCTGATGACGAAGCGAGCAACTTGGAAGAAGATGGGTAGTGCTTCCATGCGGATCCATTTGGAAGCCCGAAGCAGACTTGGCTCCTTGAACGATATGAAGGAAGCGTTGTACAGTTTCGGAACGCCGTTGAGCTGCTGTGACCGACAACGGTGGCAGCATCCTCGAAGTCCTTGTGAAGAGCGCTATTGAAAACCTGACGGCCGGGACCTGGACCTTGAACAAGCGTGCTCAGCCTGTCCTTCGTGTACCATTTACTGGTGCCTAACGAGCACCGGGATAAGCCGCAGATGTCTGGGGCCAGGACAAGCTCGTAGATCTGGTTGCGCACTTGTGGGGGAGCTTGCGGAGCACGTCCTGGGCCTCCTTTCGAGCAATCTCTCGCCTGGCGGTGCTACTCGTTTTGTCAGTCTACGCACATGTACAGAGCACTAACGGACAGCTCTGCGTGTTTTGGCTTCTTGCGCCTCGCAGCTATGCTTTCAGGTGCCAGCTGTCGTGGCTCCTGCACACCCCGGACACGCTTGCGCTTCCTGGTCAGTGGCGCCATGATGTCGACTGCCGCTGGTCATTGCGCAAGGTGCAGTGTGTTCAGTGGGCGCGTCAAGAATCCGACTCTCGGAACCGAGGGCGGCTTTCTGCAAGTGAGCCTTCCCGCGGCCATGAGAACGGAGCAGGGGCAACGTCACGGCTGCAGCTGCTGCCTAGTTCGTTCACCGGCAACGTCCATGAGTGCTCAGCTAAGCATAGCTCAGCATGAATGACAAGGGGACATATAGCGTGCGTCATAACACACTGTTTTTGGAAGGATACGATCGCATCACTACGTTCTACATCTGCAGCTAGTAATTCCACGTCATAGCAAGACGTGGCCGGCTTCGACGCTGTCAGAATGTTGACCACCTGAGGTTGTCGGTATTTAGGCCCAAACTACAGTGGCCAGCACTCTTACCGGCTTCTAGACCACTCTCGGCCCACGCCGACTACGCAGAAGGCTCACTCTGTCCTCTATGCTGCCGGTTCATCTCTCTGCCTCTCTGCAAGCATCTGACTTGCCCGCCGCGTCTGCATTGTTGCCAGTCGTGGATAAATGTTGCGAATAGGCCGGAAAGTTTGGCTGACATCATCGTCTGCCTCTTGAACGACCTGCTTAGCCCAGCTTAGGATGTCTTGCTCACGTTGGCCGACAACATCCTCCATCCTTCGCTTCTTCTTCTAGGGAAACACACGTTTTCGATTCTCCAGGATAGTGCCAGCAAGCCACTCCTCGAACCTGATGTCCAGCATATCATGGCTCCAGCCTTCCGCGCGAGCCAGCAACCCAGCCGGATAATCTCGTTGACTGCTTGTTCCAAGTGCCGTGGACCGTGTGCTACTAGATGTCTGCTGTAGTATGTCTGATCTTCGTTATTGCATGTCCAGTACCCGTGCGATGACTCCGGAAGCTGCGGCACATACTTGTCCACTTCAAGCCAACTGAAGTCGAAGTCGCAGAACAGGTTCGCCAGTGGCAGCCATGAGTGTATGTCGGTCCAGCTTGTTTTTTGCAGGTGGAAATCAGGCTGGCTGTACGTCCCCTCCGCGTTAGGACGTGCAACCAAGCGGTACCACATGCAAGCGACCTCGAACTTATCGGTAGACATGAAGATTCTGAAGCGATTGTTCTGGAAGAAAAATCGACATGGATTCTTGACGGGTCCAATTCGTGACACGCAACAAGCCAGGCTCTTTGTATAACGTGTAGAGTCCGTCCCAATAAATATAAGGGGACTGGTACTTGGAGCTTCTGGAGTTGCACACTGCCACGGAATACGTTGCTGGAACGAAATTGTTGTTCTGGAAGACCCTCCCAATTTCCGACATTATAGCAGAGTCCTGGGTTTCGACGAGCTCCTTGGCCAAGGCCGCTTTCGTCACCCATGTTGCTTCTGTGGGATGTTGTGCGTAGAGATCCGGTTTAATGACCAGTTCGTAGATTCGATTGCGGATCTCGCCTGGCAGCCTGCGAAACAGGTCCTTAGTTGGTGCTGGCTCGTCATGCGTAGCACTGCTCGCTCAGTCAGCCGCACTGATGCCGAAAGGGAGGTGGAATCAACTACCTCAGCTTCTTGCGTTTCCGGCCACCGCCTTGCTTGGTCACTAGTGGCTGCTCATGATCGACGTCAAGCTTGCGTTTCTTCTTCAGCGACGGCATTTCGTTGACGGGCGTCATGAACTTGAAGGAGGTGTGAGACAATTGCGGTGGTGCGAGCTTGTCTGTCGGCAAGAAGAGGTACGTCTCGCTCAGGAGTGTTAAGAGCTGCCTAAAGTGAGCTTGTGACTCGCATATCACGCGCCATCGATGTCACGAGGCCAGCTCCTGCCTAGTTCGGAGGTGCAGCAAGGCATCAGTCAGAAGATACAATCTGACCAAGACACGGAGCGAAGTACGGAGAAGTCAGCAATGAATATCGGCACTGCAATTTACCTGAGCTCTATCCATCTATCACACTCCGGCAAACGCTCACTACGCACCCAATGTCTTCATCTCCCCTTCCGCCAACTTACCGCCCTCCACCATCCTCTTGACCTCCTCGACAAACACAGCCTTAATCTCCGCATTACCCGTCTTCCCTTGCAATGTCGCCGTCAGCGCCGCAATCTCCTCATTATCCAACTTCAAGATCAACGCATCCACATCGTTAAGCGCGCCATCAATTTGTTGCGGACTTGCCTCGCCATCAGCAAAGTAATTCCCATCCTTCACCGCACCACGAATGACGCGCTTGTTCTTCTTCGCCGCATTCTTCGCGGCCTCCTTAGCCTTCTTGCCTTCCTCCTTGGCCGCCTTCTCATTGGCCTCCTTCTCCTTCGCCGCCCGCTCCTCTTCTTCCTTCTTCCGCTGCGCCTCTTCCTTCGCCGCCTTCTCCGCTGCCTCCCTCTCAAATTTCTTCGCATTCTTCTGCTTCGAAGACTCCTGCCTGAACTTCTTGATCCGCTCGTCCTGCGCCATCACATCATCGATCAACTTCCTCAACCGCGCCGTATCCTCCACCTTGCGCTTCTTGCGGGCATTGTTGTTCTTCTTCTCCATATGCCGAATCTGATCACGGGAGGCAGAGTCATCAGGCACGTCTTCGTCGAGGTACTCAAACGTCCGCCACGAATCGAAGTTATACCAGAAGTTGTAGAAGCCTTCCACTTCTTCGCGAGTGGACTTCTCAGTACCAAGTTGAGGCACGGGTTGCTTCTTGCTGAACCTTGATTCGGCCTCGATGACGGCACCCCAGAGCTTGTAGAAGTTACTGGCTTTCTTCTGCACATCTTTCTTGTTCGGCGGCTCGACCTCGGCAGCCTCGTCTACACTGTCGAACTGCCTGCGCTTCACAGGGTCCATCAGTATCTCCGTCGCCCGCTGAATGCATTTGAAGAACTGATCGCCCTCCTCCTTTCCGCTCGCGGCCTTCTTGTCCGGATGATGCCGTAGCACCTTCTTCCTGTGCGCCTTCTTGATTTGATCCTCGGTCGCTCTCCACCTATACTTGCTCAGACCCATGATAGCGTAGTGGTCTTGCGTCTTCCAGTCCTTGGCTTCCCGCTGCAGCAGCATGGGGTCCTCAGGCTCGGAGATCTCGCCCGGGTCTTCATCTTCGGTCTTCTTGGCGGTGACTGCGGCTTGGATACGCTCGTCCTCGCTGAAGGTGCGGTGGTGGCGCTTGCGGCGGGCATGAGCGAGGAAGTGTGGGCCGAGGGGTTCGATGGTGCGGTTGGTTGGGGCAGAGAGGGAGGAAATGGGCTTGAAATCTTTTTCCGCTGACCAGTCCGAAGGGAGAGGCGGGAGAGATGCAGTTAGCTGAATGGTGGCCATGCTGGCGATGGTGATGGTCAAGACAGTGGGAAGAGAGAAGATGCACTGGCTCGAGATTAATTTCTTGGATTGAGGCCCGTGCATCTCAATGCGGAAAGTGTGCGAGTCAGGCGAGTATCAATCATCCTCCTTTCTTTCGGGCATCGAGTATCAGTCCGTGAGAAGCAACGATGAGTGCCATACCATCCCTCAAGCATTTGGCTTCCAAGACCCTCACGCCTATCGAGACGGCACGAAACCGAGAGGCGGCGCTTGCGACGTATAGACATCTGCTGCGCGCAACGGGCATCGCATTTCGAGGTATACACCCACTTCACCCTCCTACCACAAGGGTAATTGGTGCTTACGCTGTATTTAGATGATGAGAGGACGCTCAAAGCATCCCGTCAACTCGCGCGTGAATCATTCGACAATAGCCGCAAGTGGGAGTCGGGCGGCGGGCAAGCGGCGCAAGCGATCGAGCACGCGCAAGGAGTCGCTAAGATACTGTTAGAGAACGTGGTGCAAGGGCGACAAACAGGCCCAGATCAGTACAAGTTGGGCATCCACGACAAGACGCAACGGGCCGACAATCAGACCGCCACGCAGCTCAAGGGGACGAAGAAAAGCTTCAAGGAGATCAAGAACGCCCAGTTCTAGCGACATCCACTCAAGATGGCCCTCCTCTCGCGCAATGAATCGAAGTGCGGTGGCAATTAAAGCGCGGCAGTCTGACACTGAGCGTTGAGTATGGGCCAGGTTCACGGCAGTCAATGATTTTGGAATATGCACGCAGGTGCCATTTCCGGCCTTGCATGGCCAGCAGTCGGCGGCCTTCACTACTCCTTCACAGTGCCTATACTTCAGAACGTCGACTTCCGCTTGGCAAATAAGATGCTATACTGCATATACTTCTCACCGCAGCCGAACACCATTTGCCGCCAGCCACCATGAGCTTGTCACGTTACTCAATTCACCCGTGCGACCCCTGGTGGCGACCCCATTACCATGGCAGCGGCGGACTCATGTACGGTGGAGGGCCATACGACCGTCAACCACCCTTTCTGCGCGTGTACGGCCGTGCCAGGATGATTGAAGGCCGCAGCTACGCACATCGGTACTCGCCGAGTAAGCTACCATCCTTCCCTTCTGCAAATCAGATCACACGCTGATTAAGTTTTGCGACGCAATAGACGGCCTTAGTCTGCAGATTCCATATCAGAATGCAACGTACGGTTACGACTACGGAGGTCCGCCCAGCTACGCGAGGGTGCCGAACACGGATTGGTGGAGTAGGTCAAGTTGCTGACTTGGGAGTCACTTGCGCACAGTTTCGCTAATGATATGATGATTAGCCGGACACCGATGGGCTACACGGAGTCCCCCGATTTGGCGCGATCCCATCATTAGGATGTGACCATGGATGCGAGGCTGGGCGTGAATCTCCGGAGACATTATGTCCCAGCAACACGGCGTTGGTCAATAGCATACCAAGATACTTGAACGAGAAGATGTTCGGGCTTGCTCACGTGACTCTGGTTGGAATATGATTGCGTTCTTTAGCGTTGGACCTTTAGCGATTCGTATGTGTCGTGGCACGGTCAAGGATCTGCAGCTCTATCGAAAGCTTACTGGCCTAGTATGGATACCAGACACTGCAGACAACAAGTATTGTTCACTACGCTATGGGTTCGGTGGCACAGCATGCCCGTCGAGTCAGAACTCCTTTTGTCTCCGACGTATTTCGGCGCAAACTTGTACCACGAGGAGCAAGGCTCACCCATCCGCGGCTGACCGACGCAGACACTGTAGCCGCGGAATACTAGCCGTCGTGCTTAGACCGCGACCTCTGCTCGATCAAATAGTATCGATTAACCGCCACAAACAGCTGAGTCCTGCCTCGTTGAACGTTGCTAGTCACTGCTGCAAAAAGTCAGCATTTGCTCGTCCCTCAGTCACGGAATCGAGACTTCATTTACTGCTACTAAGCATGACTGGCGTCACGTTAACAACAGGCTCTCTGATGGCAAGCCTCAATGTTTAGCTCCCATCACGACTTCAATAGCTCCGCTAACGCAAGCATAAGATATGGTGCATTACTCCGATACAAGGCCACGAAAACAATACATATAAGCATACCATAGACTACCACGCCCCTTACCTTTACGGCGAACGCCGCTCGTCCCTCTACCCAGGCGATGTCTTCCCGGGCAGCCCCTACGAGCACTGGCACGGAAGTGGCGGACCAAGCTATGGCGGGCACTACGAATACGACCGCTCGGTACACGTGGTCGCGCTTTCAGCAATGCCATTCACTCTGGCATGGGGCGACAAGCAAGGATGTACAATTCGAGTGCGTATCCCACCTTCCGTACACTCTCTCGTGCTGACCTAGGGGCAAGGACAATCTCGGTCTGCAGATCCTGCAGGAGGATCTTGCTGCTCCGCGTAAGTATGGAATGAGTTACGGCGGGCCGCCAATGAAGGAGAGGTGGGAAGAGCGCTGGGGTAAGTCCTGCGCCAGTCGCTCCGATCGTGGGGAATGAGTTGTGTGATTAAGATGTGTAGATGACTACCGACTGCCGCGAGGAGCCCGCTTCTGTGGGTAATGTGTGGGCCAGATCCATACACGGGGATTAACTCACTTACAAGCAGCAAGGCCTGACAGGCTCAAAGGTATTGTCACGGCTGACAGGAGTATGTAGGACCTAACTTGCGACTGCAGATTCCGAGCCGGGGTTTTGACGTACGGTGCCAACTATGGAGGCCATTGGGGATATGATTACAAAGATAGGCACATTTTCGGGGACTACGGTATGTTGACACCGCTCATGACGGCGGGCATTGCGGTGTTTCGATGCTGACAACAGCATATGCCTTGTAGATAGTTACCGAATGCAATGGTCTGGCAGTCCTCCGCCATGGCAAGGAGACTGGTACTGAAGGAAGTCGACAGTCGTGCCGCCAGGTTCAAGTGCCAACCCTCGGCAGGTTCTCAATTGACGTGGCAATCTGAGGAGCAAAGGGCATTCACTTCAAGCATCCAGTTTCTATTGACAGGCTGCGGGAAGAGGACGACATGCCATCTGCGACATGCCAGCGGCACTGGCCAAGTGGACGTTGACAGTAAGCGTTATGATCTAAGCTTGCAGGCGCCGGCTAGTAACCTTTACAACCAGTCTGGACACCAAGCTTGCTAGCATCATATTGCCCTCAGTAGCTAGGCCTCGTAGCCAGCGCAACAATACTGAACTCCACATTACCCTCAGCAGCTTCAACGAACCTTCTGATACCGGCCTGCAAAGCCTTGGGGCTGAGAACGTCTTCATCTTCGTCAAGCGCACCGCGGTCGATCGGACCGCTCCACGCTCCCTCAAGCTCGTACTGATGCCCGTCCTTGCCCTTTACGAAGCTGATAAAATGGTATCCATTCGGTTCGGCCGCAAGTGGGGCTACTGAGTCACCTTTGAAAGCGACCGACATGTGAGCTTTTTCGAGGTCATCGGAACGGTAGAGTACGTCAGCGCGCGGAAGTGGTTTGAGCGGCACGGCCTCGGTGAGAAGCTCGTCAAGCAATGACTTGCTTTGGATGAAACGCTTGGCTGGGCCGTTGCTAACGCTGTGAAGCAGCGCTATCAGTCCGCATGCGTGGCCGATGGTTTGCTTGAACCATATGACGGGTTCTCGGTCGCCACAGCCCTCGTAGGTGAGTTCTTTCGTTCCGCTTTCCATTGCACGGACGCGATGGTAGACGTCTGCCGGCGAGATGAAGATAAGGGCGTGGGCAGGCCGCGGTATGAGCGCGAGCAGGTCTTGATCGTCAATTGAGTACACATCGTAAAAGCCAAGCTCCGGCGAGACACCCAGTTTGTGGACCAATTCGGTGAATACCTCTGGGTTGTTCTCGAGCGGCACAAAGGTCTTCTTGCCGTTCGGGTCAATGTACACGCCGCGCTCATTGCGAGACATCGGATCAACTGGTTGAACGACGCCCGAGTGCTAACTGAACGGTAGCTGATCACCCCAACCTTGAGGACCTGGCATGTGTGCAGGGGTTCACATGTCTGCTGACGATGGCCTGTATCTTGAACGTCGCTGCGTGAACACGCGTGATTAGACGCCTAGCCGCAAGTGTGCCTCAGGCTCCTTGCGAGGCATCTCGCAGCCATGGCAGGAAGCGTTCCCATTCCATCTACCCGAACAGGGAATGTCGGCATAGCGAAAGTAGGGAAACCCCATAGGGTTGGTCGGAGAGGCCTGGTTATCGGTAATTCACCATCCCTATGCTGATGCTCTCGTTTTCGATAATGGTGACTGTTGTGAAGCCGAGGCACAGGCACGCGCCCCTCACTGCACCCATCTCGGTCAATGTTTAGCCACCGGGCTGAGATGCCTTCATGCTGTTCTGTTGACCAGCTCCCTTACTGGAAATAGATCACAGTAACTCAGTTGAAAGCAGTGAGCTGAACACGAAGATGACCTCCGAAGCTTTCAGCCTCTCGCCTACAACGGCAAATCCACCGCAGCGATCAACGATCCTAATCACAGGCGGCGCATCCGGTATTGGTCTGGCAACAGCACTCTTCCTGCACGAGCCTTGCTTCAATAACAACGTTGTCTGTCTTGACCGCGCTTCTTCTCCTCCGCCTGTCAAAGGGCTCAAGGACTCTCCGCGGTTTCTCTACGTGCAGTGCGATGTGACGAACTGGCGGTCACAGCGAGATGGTTTCGCCCAAGCTGCGCAGCACTTTGGCCGTCTTGACTGCGTCTTCGTGAACGCGGGCGTCGCCGAGATGGGTGAGCAGATCTTTACCGATCACCGCGACAGCGACGGCGGGCTCAAGGAGCCGGACCGGCGAACCATTGACATCGACATCCGCGCCGTAGGCGATAGCTTAAAGCTCGCAGTGTACCATCTGCGAAACGACTCCGGTGCGGAGGGTAGCCAGAGAGGATCTGGCAAAGGCCATGGCGGCAGTATCGTGATGACAGCGAGTTTGGCCGGCTATCTTGCGTCCGCAGGCGCGCCTTTGTACTCTGCTGCAAAGCATGGCGTGGTCGGCTACTTGCGAGCGCTCAAAGGTGACTGCGCCAAGGTCGGCATTGCCCTCTCGGTTATTGCTCCAGGTATCACACTGACACCCATCGTGCTTGGCCGGGAAGACGGCCAGAGCATCGAAGATTGGGGCAAGGAAATGGCCGGTCGCGGCGTGCCTATCAACAATGCTGAGACCATCGCGCTAACGGTAGCCCACCTTATGGGCCTCGGCATGAAGGCGAACGGCAGCGGGTACCTTATACAGTCCAACAGAATCCAGGAGATTGAGGGTGGCATTGCCAAGAGCAGAGCGCAGTGGATGGGCAAGGAGATGCTGGACCTGTTCCGCGGCGGCCGCGACGCACCCTTGTTCCCGAATAAGCTTTAGCATCAGACTGTAATGTCACCACCAAACCCAACAGGCCTGCGGCGGGGTTGCCCTTCTTTCGCAGGCTTGTAGGGCGTAATGGCCATGACCTGATATAACCGGCCCATGCCTTGCGGTCCGCGATCAACGAGCCGTTTCCAGCCGCTCTCGATTCGCTTTACCAATTCCGTGAGCTCAGCCTTATCTTGACCCGTACTTCCGCCACGCTCTCGGTCTACAGCTTGCTTGACGAGCTGCGCCGCCCGCTCTTCGATCCCCATGGCTGTGAGGAAACGGCCCTGTTCTACCGGGCCGTGGACTTCGACTCCCGGAGACGCGTTGATGGCGGATTCAGCAAGGGCGAGGAAGTCAACATCAGCCGAGACATCCGTGGTACCTGGCGAAAGGAAAGGTGAGACGCGTCGGTGCTGTTTAATGCCGCGCAGCGAGTTGGCCGGGATTGTTGAAGCAGGGCCGTAGTCGATGATCAACGCTGCACCGGAAGGTTCGCGTTTGAGAAAGGCTTCCTCACTTGGCGCAGAAGACACCGTACGAGCCGTCACCGGTGTGACTGCTGAGCCCTTGGTGGCTTCCTGCGGGTTAAGGCCACCGAGTCGGATGGCGAAGTCGCGAGCATAAGCCTGGCTTTCTGGACTGATTTCAATGGTGGCGCCGTCAATATCCTTCAGCGCCCGATAACGGGCGGATGTCTCAGGCAGGTACATTGAATGCGGCGTCCCTGCCCTAGACTTCGTAAGCTCGAACTCCGGCTCATCCTCTTTCAATCGATGCGGTGGCTTTGGTGAGACGACAAGCTCACGCCATTGATTACCCTGCGATTTCCCACTCGCGCTCCGTCGTGGTACCGCTTCGCTTGCCTTATTCGGCATTGACAGCTCATAGTACTTCGCTCGAACGTCCAAGATGGAGCGCTGTAGTTGCTTTGCGACTTCTTCCCAGTTTAAACCTTGATCTACCCGTAACTGAGCCAACCTTGCAATCTCGTCTTTTGTCCAGCCAGGCGAAGAGGCTGTGGAGTCGACCTGACCCAGAGCTGTGGATTGCGATTGTGCGGCATTGTCAGCTTGTTGTGGGTTTGGTAGCACAGACTGAAACACGTGTATTGGTAAAGCATCAAAGAACTCATGCGCAATGATGAAAGGGGCCTTGTCGGTAGTTCGCGGCACGAAACGTATGTCCTCCGTCCAGATGATCCTGAGGTCTTTGGAGTGTTTGCTTGTACTTTCGAACCCGAGATCGTTCCTAAGTAGCGGTGTATCTCCGCAAAGGAGCTTGTGCTGTGCTAGTCGAAGGTTCTGGCTCGCTTCCACCAAGTACACTGCCTCGATGGCTTTCGCTAAAGGCGGGAAATTGCGTACTGTCTATTTCGAAATCAGCACGCCACATGATGATGCGTATGAGGGAACGTACTCTCAGCACGTCATCCATGAGTGTTCCTCTTCCTGGACCCATCTCCATGAGACAGACGCCTTCAGTCTTTCTGCCCTGAGCGATCCATTCTGCCACGATCCACACCCCGATCAATTCTCCGAAGATCTGGCTAATTTCTGGGGATGTAACGAAGTCGCCTTTCGATCCGAATTGGTCGCTATCTGAGAGTGCGGTTGAGGTGTAGTAGCCGCCCAGATCAGAAGTTAGACATTGGCGCATGTAGGAGGCTACGGGTATTGGTCCGGTTGTCTGATAATCTCCTCAATATTCTCTCTAGTTCATGCCCCCTTTCATACATACTGTAACGGCCTCAGCCAGCTGTTTGGCCAGTGGTGTTGACCACCGGTGGCCGCCTTCTCCTGCGTCCGTCGAATTCCATGTTGCGCCGGAAGCTCTGCAGTGCGATAATCGTATTACCCGGGTGCTTCGTGAATATAATCCGGCTGACCGAGGTACGCAGCTTCTCATCATCAACTACCGAGCCCTCTCTAACTCCAGCATGAGATGTGACAATGGTGAATGAGTGAGAGTTGCGTGATTGAAGATGCGCTAGCAGCTTGGATTCGCGTCACCCCGAATTCTTCCACCTCCGCTCGTCTCCGCACGACTTGACCACAACTCATGGAGAAATGGCATCTCGATGGGCAAGTGCAGCGGACGATGCAGTGGAGGATGCCCGACGCAAGGCGGAGAAGGAGGAGAAGAAGCGATTGAAGGCAGAGAAGCAGCGCAAAGCGGAAGAAGTGAAACGAGCAGCAGAGGCATCCTCGACGGAGACGAATGGTCGGCGACATGATTACGAAGACACAGAGCGACCAGCCAAGCGCCGACGACTGTCATACAGCGGAGACGAGCAGGGCAATGCCACTGAGGAGAGCGAGCGGCATCTCTTGTGTTTCCAACCACCATCATGGCAGCACAGTCGGTCTATCGAGCGGTTCGACATGTTGAATGCCATCGAAGAAGGCAGCTACGGTTTTGTGTCACGTGCACGCGAAGAGTCCACTGGTGAGATCGTCGCTATCAAGAAGCTCAAGCTTGATGCTGTTCGAGACGGTGGCTTTCCAGTAACTGCGCTGCGGGAGATTCAGTGTCTGAACGCGGCCAAGCATCGGCATGTTGTAAACCTCCGCGAGGTAGTGTCTGGAGAGGGCGAAACGCGAAACGACATCTTCCTGGTCATGGAGTTTCTCGAGCATGACCTGAAGACGCTGCAGGAAGACATGGACGAACCGTTTCTACCGTCAGAAATCAAAACCCTACTACTTCAGCTCGGAAGTGCGGTGGAGTTTCTGCATGACCACTGGATTCTCCATCGTGACCTGAAGACCAGCAACATCCTCATGAACAACCGAGGAGAAATCAAGATAGCCGATTTCGGCATGGCACGCTTCGTCGGTGACCCACCGCCTACTAACCTTACCCAGCTTGTCGTTACGCTCTGGTATCGCTCGCCGGAGCTGTTGCTCGGAGCCAAGGAGTATGACCGTAGTGTCGACATGTGGAGTTTAGGCTGCATCTTCGGCGAGCTGCTTACGAAGCAGCCCTTACTGCAAGGGAAGAACGAAGTCGATCAATTGAGCAAGGTGAGTCGGTCCTCCAGCCCGTTCCACGGCTGGGAAGGTCAGATACGCTGTTCGTACCCTCCCATTGACGAGCGCACAGATCTTCGAGCTCTGCGGCATCCCGAGTGAAGACACCTGGCCTGGCTTTAAGCGCTTACCGAATGCTCGTACTCTCCGACTGCCTCCGGCGTCGAAGACCGCACAGGGCAGCATCGTTCGCTCCAAGTTCGCAACGCTGACGAACGCTGGTGTTAAGTTGCTCGATAGCTTACTGTCACTGGATCCGGTGAAGCGACCAAGCGCCAATGCGATGCTTGAGCACCCTTACTTCCGCGAGGATCCAAGACCAAAGCCCACAGCTGTGTTCCCTACGTTTCCATCCAAGGCGGGCCAGGAGAAGCGGCGACGGCATGCTAGTCCGAATGCGCCTGCTCGTGCAGCGGCGCCGGGTTTGCAAGGTGATGTTGATTTCAGCTCGATTTTCAAAGGACGGGAGGAAGAAGAGAAGGGAGGTGGTTTTCACCTAAAGCTCGTATGATCATTAATACTAGCACTGCAAGTCACCCGCAAACTGTGCGTGCATTTATCACCAGAAGCTAAAGCCCCATGGCACTCCATCTGTGGAATCGGATGTTTAGACTGGTACGACACAATACATCTCACCAGAAATGGCCGGCCGGAGCAACGTGCAAAAGGTGCCATTGGGGAGCAAACCTGAAAGGTTGAATGACATGTCGTGCTGTACTCTGAATAACATTGTTCGGCGATCCTACCATTGGTTATCCAGGATCATTGAGATCACGCCTCCTCTTCGTCACTGGCGAACATGTCCTCAGCACGCATCCTCTTAGGACGCGATGGCTTTGGAGCGTTCGGAGCAGCAGGCTCGGGTTTTGCAAGATCTTCGGCACTGGAGTCGCCGACCCCATTAGGCCTTCCTTCAGTGGCCTTAAAAGCGGCGACGTGCGTCTCTTCGGCCGTGTGCTTGTCGGTGACATTTTCCGTCGGCGCCTGGCCAGCATCGCTCATAGCTATATCGCTCGGATCTTCATTCAGTGTACTATTTCCAGTCCACTCTGGCTGCCGCAGCCCACCAAGACTGACAGATTCTGGAGACGCATTCCCTGCCAGCCCGGGATGGTTAACCCGCTTGAACTTCGCCGTCAACTTTGCCTCCTCCGCCTTCTTCTCCTCGACCTTCCGAGCTTCCTCCTCAGCCCGCCTCTCCTCCTCCGTCAGCGGCGGCTCGAAGAAGCTCTTCTTGAACTCCTGATGCACGTCGCTGCTGAACACACTCCACCCTTCCCAAATTCCAAACACTACACCAACCTTGCGCTTCCATTGCTCCGCCCTCATCTTACCCCAGCCAAGATCCTTCTCCATCCTACCAAGGTGGACAAATGTCTTTTGTGCCTTGAAACCTGCCTCGAAGAGTTGACGGTACTTCCACGCGTTCCTTGCGCCTGCCGTGGAAGACGCGGAAAGTATGTCTGAGATAGCGTAGAGCGCGATGAGCTTCGAAGTCGATGGGTCTTCGTCGCGTTTATTCCCGGTGTCCCTCTGCGGTGGCGTGCCGAATCCCAGAGACGGTAGCTCTGCGTCTGGCTCGTACTCGTCTTCCTCATCCGGCACATCATCCTCATCCTCGTACTTTGCCGCCAGGGTAGCAGAGAACGGCTTGGTAATGTTAAGCAGCAGTATGTCGACAATCTCCTCCGCGCCAGTGCCAGCGTGATTGATGGCAAAGTTAGTGATGCGAGCTATGTCTCCTTTTCGAAGTCGAGCGTTGCTGGTCGGCAGTCGCGACAGTAGATGCACCAGTCTCGCTCGCTTGAGCGGTGTAAGATGTTGCTTGTCCTTCGCTTCAAGTGGATCGACTACGTCCCTGTTATCGTTGAACCGACGCGCTGCGCCTTCGTCATCACTTTCCTCATCGCTTGATACATAGTCAATGTCGGTCACAACGTCCGCTAAGCTGGCAAGATCCATGAATGGCAATTGACCGTCTGGTGGACTCCACTCAACGATCACGTCATCGTGAACACGTTCTAAGCCTTTAGCACGCTTCTTGCGGTCGGTCGGGTCCTCGCGTCCCCAAAGGAGGTAGCGGTAATATATCCCAGCCGGACTTCTTGAGTCGTACAAGAATGCGAAGCGCTCATCGTTCTGAACCTCTGGCTTTGCCATAAGCAACGCTTCAAGCTTCATTCCCCGTAATGGTGTCGGTTCGGTAGCTAGCTTCTCGACTAAGATGTGGATAGCGCGCACGGTCTCGATGTCGATCGGTGTGTGTACGCTGACCAGAGCCTCGGGCTGCTTCGGCATGTCATACCAGTCGCGCGCAGGTGAGTCATATGATTCGGGTGGTGCGAATCCTCTATGGTCTTGCGGTGGCGGAGCATTACGCATCGTTGAACGCGCATGCTGCTGCTTTGGCTTCTCTGCACCAAACGGTTCTGATGAAATCGATACACCAGCTGCAGTCATGCTGGGATGCAGCGCAGCGGAAGACAGATGCCTGGAAATTGCGAGGTAGAAGCCGCAGCCAAGGTACTTGTTCCTGAGTGCTGAGACTGCACTGTCGATCTGCGGCGTCGTAGTATCCCTCGCCAGCTGTACGAGCGCGGAGAGCGATCGCTTAGCAGGGAGGCCAGGTCCAGCTGGCGGCTGAAACTGAACGTCATGCACTTCTAGATACCCTTTCAGCAGATTATCCACCCGCTCTCTAGTCGTATCTGGAGGTAGCTGGGCGAGCTGGACGGTCTGTCTCGGAACGGATGACTCTTCACGGTCGTCGTCACGATCCTCGCGATCTCTATAGGGGGACTGTTCCTCTCTGCCCCGGTGGCGAAGGTACGATGCAGACTGCTGCTCACGTCTGGCCTCCTGAGCCTCGCGCATCTCGTCCAATGCGCGTTTCCGTTTCATACTTGGAGGAGGCATTCCAGACGTCCATTCGGAGGTTCGCGGACCACTTCTCGGTCCCGAGGGGAATGGAGCGTGGCCACGGCCGTGCTCGCCATAACCCAATCCTGAGCCCCTGGGTCCAGAGGGTGGGGCACTACTTGGGTAGTCATCTTCTTCATCGGCGAACGAGTCCTGGAAGGCTCTCAGCGCCGCCGCGTTTTCTTCTTCGGCTTTCTGTCGCTTGGCTTCTGCGGCCTGTCTCTCCTTTTCGTAGGTAGACAGCTTCTTTGGAGCCTGGAGTTTGTTGCTCACGTCCGGGAACTCCTTGAGGCTTTCTTCGCTCGCCATGCTTCAGCTTGCTGTGTTAGATGTTGGAGTCCTGCAGTACGGGATGCAGTATAGATACAGTATGTAGAGATGGCGGCCAATGAGAGCGCGATGCGCTCCGTCCGCGCTACTGAACACTAGTAAAGGTTTGCTGACTTATCAGCCTCGGCTCATCAATGTCGATGCCAGCCACAGCGAACACTCGGGATCGATTGTTTCCACCTGACCATAATCCGCAAAGAGCGCTGAGCATATCGAACGGTATTCAGTCAGGAACATGGCCATCCGTGAAGAGCTAATCGAGGGGGCGGTGACATGTGAGCCGCCCGCAACATCTCCTCCAGCGATTGAGCTAACCGCGCCTGTAGTCCTCCAAGACCCCTCAGTATCAACGGCGCCCATTGAACAGAAGATCGCCTTTCTCCGCTCCAAGAATCTCACCCAAGAGGAGATCGATGCTTCACTCGCCCGGACCAGCCAAGTTTCCGCGACATCGACCTCACAGCCTCCGCCCTCAGCATACAACACCCAACAATACCGGCCTCAGTATGGCTACCAACAACCACCGTCTTACTGGAACCAACCACCTCCTGAACTTCCCCGGCGGGACTGGCGTGACTGGTTCATCATGGCGACGGTTGTCGGCGGGGCAGGCTACGCGATGTACTGGACCGCCAAACGCTACGTCTACCCGCTGATAGCTCCTCCGACTCCACCACAACTAGAGGCAGACAAGGCTTCCATCGATACTGCATTTGACAAAGCCTTCGCACTCCTCGATCAGCTGGCGACCGACACGCAAGCACTAAAAGACTCCGAAAAGTCACGCACGGAACGCCTAGATCAAGCCTTGAGTGAGGTGGAGGCTGTGCTAAGCAAAATGAAGGAGGCGAACGAGGCGCGTGAGTTGGAAGCAAGGAGTATGGCTCGCGAACTGCTGGAAGTCAAGGATCAGATTCCCAAGGCTATCGAGCGGGAGAAGAAGGGCACGGAGGAAAAGTTGGAGAGCTTGGTCGGCGAGATGAGGAGCCTGAAGACGCTGGTTGCGAACCGCATGCAGCAGCCTAGCACGCAGCACCAAAGTTATAGCGGGCTCTCACGAGGCCAGCAGAGACCGAGTTCAGGTGTCAATGGTGTGGATGGCTCCTCTTCATCGCCAGCACCGGAGACGAATGGGCATGCGGACGGTGCCAACTCTTCGGACGGTGAGAAAGCGAATGCAGCCTCACCTTCTACACTGCCGGATAGATCGGGCACTAACAGTCCGTTTGGGCGCATGCTGGGCGGTGGGAAGGCGCAGATTCCGGCGTGGCAGTTGGCGGCGAAGAAGAGGAATGAGGAGGCAAAAGCCGAAAGCGGTGCTGAGACGCCGCATGAAGCAACCGTGGAAGAAGTTGCTGCAAGCTCGTAGGATCACAGCTGGTGAGAACGGAGCTACGCAGACCGTACACAAGGTCCGACGTCCTCGACCGCGGCTCCCCGAGAAGCGTCTAATATTGGTCTAGCACTAGGACCATATCCCAAGCTGTCCTTCGATCAGGATCCGTCTCACGCGTGCAACGCGGGTACTCCCAAGAGTTGACGTCGCAAAGCGGCGAATAGAGTGCAGTTGGTGGAACACGAAGGTGCAGGTAAATGGAGCGTTCCAATGGCGAAAACTCAACCGAAAGCACGCAACCAGCTCACGCAGATAAGCTTGCCACACGTACGAGTCAGGGAGTAAGCTCAGCTGTCTCCCAGCCCTTGGCGAGCTCAGTAGAAGCTTGTTGTGTCAGCAGAAGATGGGAATCACCCGTGGATTCTTGGATCACTAAACCCGCATTCGTACTTGGTCACGGCTAGATCGGCTTGCTGAAGCTTCGTCTAAAGGTCTCGGCATTCGGTACATATAACCACGACACAAGCACAGCTTACCGGATCAGCGTTGTGCAGCGAACACCTGCACCCCGCACATCAATACAGCTTTAGAATCCTGAACGCCACTCGCTTGATGCATGGAAGATCGGCATCGTACCATGCAGATGGTGCAAATGGCGTGCTTGTCAGCTCTATGTAAACCTGTGAAACATTGGTATTGTCTTATCGACCTGCCATCACGGTTTCCCAGGCACAGTTCTTTGTTGCGCTCCATCCTCGAATGGCGAGTATGGCGAGACAAGCTGATACCACGGATATAGCTCCCGCGGTCGACAACAACAAGAACGAAAAGGCCACCGCTGCCATCGCCCAGGATGCCGTTCCAGCGACTGTCGGCGGCGACGCCCAAACTGCCGCCCGCACCCAAACCCACATGTCCCTACGCACCGCCCTCCGTACCTACCCTAAAGCCGCGCTTTGGTCCATCCTCTTCTCCAGCACCATTGTCATGCTCGCATACGACACCATCCTGCTCTCCAGTTTCTACGCTTACCCTTCCTTCCAGCAGAAGTACGGTCATTGCACGACTAACGCCAAGGGTGTGACAAAGTGCCAGGTCCCCGCCAAATGGCAGTCAGGACTTTCCAATGGCTCGAACATTGGTGGCATAATTGGATTGTTGATCAATGGTATTCTTGCTGATCGCTTTGGGCATAAGGTTGTCATGCTTGGGGCCTTGGGCAGTATCGTGGCGTTTATCTTTGTTCCATTCTACGCGCCAAATTTGGCTGTGCTTGTCATTGGTGAGGTACGTATCGAAGCTCGCTCAGTGGTTCCCTCAACGGCATGTTGATGGTGCTTTTAGATCCTCTGTGGTATTCCATGGGGTATGTTTCAGGGCCTGACGACGGCGTATGCGTCCGAGGTGGCTCCTGTCGCACTGCGCCATTACCTGACTTCGTACATCAACATCTGCTGGGTGTTTGGACACTTCCTAGGCGCTGGTGTACTCCGCGCTCTACTTTATCGTAAAGACAAGTGGGGCTATAAGATCCCATTTGCGATCCAATGGGTGTGGCCGGTGCCGCTGTTTTTGGGAATTCTACTCGCGCCGCAAAGTCCTTGGTACGAGGGATACTGCAACCGCTGAGCGCACGTTGGCGACTGACTCTCTGTAGGTGGCTGATCCGCAAGAAGCGCCTCGAAGACGCCAAAGCCTCGCTTCGCAGGCTGACCACCCAGCCGACGGAAGCTCAGCTGCAAGACACGCTTGAGCTCATGGTCCGCACGAACGAGATTGAGCAAGAGCTCAAGACCGGCACATCGTACCTCGACTGCTTTCGGGGCGTAGACCTGCGCCGCACTGAGATCGTGATCATGGCGTACATCATTCAGTATCTGCATGGCAATGGATTGGCTGGTTATAGCACATACTTCTTCGAACAAGCTGGCCTGTCCGCGACAAACGCTTTCGACTTGACCATGGGCCAGTATGCCATCGGCTTCTGTGGCACAGTGTGTTCGTGGTTTCTGATGGCAAGGTTCGGTCGACGGACGCTATACCTCACCGGCATGGTACTTTCGATTATCCTTTTGTTCACGATTGGTTTCTTGGCCCTGGCGCCGCCGAAGGACAAAGGTGCCAACTGGGCTACTGGGGCTCTACTTTTAGTGTTCTTCAGCATACACTCAACCTTTATCGGGCCAGTGCTCTACGCTATTGTAGGGGAGATGCCGTCAACCCGCCTGCGTCAGAAGAGCATCGTCATTGCCGCAAGTGCTTGGAGCGTGATGGGGATCATCAACTCGGCGCTAACGCCGTACATGCTAAATCCAACGGCATGGAACTGGCGCGGCAAAGCAGGCTTCTTTTGGGGTTGCTTCTGCATTCTGTCGCTAATCTGGACCTTTTTCAGATTGCCCGAGGTAAGTACATATAGGCCCGCCATCCGTCCCACAGTTCCATTGTACTGACTTGTTCCCACAGGCTAAAGGGCGCACTTATGCGGAGCTTGATGTACTGTTTGGCAACCGTGTCAGTGCGCGCAAGTTCAAGACAACTATTGTTAGTATACCAACGGCCAGCGTCAAGGAGGTCGAGGAGATTGAGGAGTCGCACGAGTTATGATGTGGTAAGAGCAAATACTACAACAAGTTGTCTCCAGCAACATAACAATCAGGTGGCGACTCGTGACTACCTGACGTCGGTGTCGCCGAGTGTCCCTCGTCCACGTGCACTTTAGCCTTCCTGTGGTCCACGACAGTCACCGGGAGACTCGTGCCGAGGTACGAATGTGGAGTTGCTGCTTGTGTCTGGCGGGACATTAACCTTTGACGTCTGATAGTCCATGTTCGCCGGCTCGTGCCGTGGAACTTGGACAGTACATGAATCAGTGACACTGGCGATCTGGAAGCGATGAAGCGGTATCATTGCGAAGCCACAGGTTGCACAGCGTCTTCCAGCAGCCTGGCTACAGGTTCGCGCTATTTAGTCTCACGCTCGAGCATTGTTTCCCAGCGTGCAAGGCGTTCTGCTCTTCCCGACCTGCAATGTCAATGTCTAGGAATCTTTTTTCAGCACAGCTTGCAACGTTCGAAAGCTACCACGCCTACGGTTGCTGATTGCGCCAGTGTTGCGAAACATGCCGAAGCTACTGCGGGCAATCAGGGGAGGTTTGACCTGCATCGGAGGCTAGCAAAGGGGAAGCAGTTCCGATGATGGTGGATCAGCTCTGCTTTGAGAGATTGAGACGATCATGCTATGCTGTACCGTTGAGTTCCAGAGTCATCGCGAGTACTTCTACTCGACCGACGCACCTCAATTACCCGAGGAATACTGCATCTTTGTGGAGACTGACGAGGCTGGAAACCAGCAGCATTGCGCAGATTGTTCGACGAAAAACAACCCAGCGCTTCGGCCCGGAAGCCGACGCTTCTTTGTGCCCCCACAAAGAGCGCAGCACGGAAGAGGCAGATAGGGTTCCCTCGGTCCAGAGCCAGCACTATTCCAACCAGCTCCACCGCGCACTACGCACTGCGCACTACGCACTAACCACCGAGGTGAACGGAGCAACGGTCAAGGGCCCGAGTACGGTGCAGGAGCCTTCACCCTTCACTATCTATCCACTGCTCGACTCCTGTCTGCTTTGCGATTGCGATCAGCCTTTGCGATGGGATGAAGCTGCCCGAGGAAGCCTCTTACTGCAGCACCCGGGCTTGAATGGTCATCATATCTCGTGGACACCTCTAGCGCATACCATCTTCAGTATCCATAGAAGAGATATCGAGCAGGAGCGCGAAGTAGATACACTTCATCTGCAGATAGGAAAGGGCGCTGCGCGGGGCCAACCTGATCTCAATGGCTGTCGTTGGGCATCCCATGAGCCGCAGCCCGTTTCAAGGCGACTCCCACGGTATCAATGGGACGCATATCAAGAGTATACCGATCTTGCCGTCCACAATCGCACCCTCCAGCAGTGGGACGGAGGCAATGGACGTCTCGAAGCCAGAACAGTCCGCTCCGACCGCGAACATGGCGCCACCTGTACTCGGCAGCCCGATCGTAGAGCGGCCCTCCGACACGTTTGCATCACCTCAAGTCGATCAGCATACATCTTCTACTCTACCGGTTGGCGCTGTCGCCGCAGCCCACCAGCCTAAAGTGGTGCAGACTGCTTTCATTCACAAGCTCTACAAGTACGTCGCAGTGCCCATACCAACAATAATCATATTGACAACATGCTAGTATGCTGGAGGATCAGACCATACAACACCTCATATCATGGTCAAATACGAATGAGAGCTTCGTTATGTCGCCATCCTCGGAATTCTCGAAAGTCTTAGCGTATGTCGATCAAATTCTCCTCCACGTGCCAACACATGGCGATGGCGTGCTGATGCAGGTCATTAGTCAGTACTTCAAGCATACAAACATATCATCGTTCGTCAGACAGCTGAACATGTACGGGTTTCACAAAGGTACTCTTTCCGCCCCTGCCAAGCACGCTCTCGGTAGCTAACTGTCCCCACAGTGAGCGATGTCTTCCATACCGGCGCCCCAGATGCTCCTCTATGGGAGTTCAAGCATGGTGCTGGTAACTTCAAGCGAGGCGATCTGGTCGGATTGCGTGAGATCAAACGAAGAGCGTCGAGGCATGCCCTCATTCATCGCGAATCGTTTTCCGCCAACCCGCCTAAAGTTCCGCAGCTGCCACTACCACCACAGCACCCTGGACCGCCCATGGAGCCCATGCCGGACCCGGTCGAAGCGCGCTTGAACATGCTTGAGTGGAATACACAAGACCTGTATGCCAGGCTTACTCGAACCGAAGAGGCATATACTGCCGTGGCCACCAAGTGTGAGGTCCTTCTGGAAGGCCTCACCAAGTGTCACCAATGGAACCAGGAGCTTTCCTCACAGTTGCTCTCATTAGTGCCAGACCCGGACAACCCTGTTCACCGCGACGTCAGCGCCATGCGGCAAGACATCATGCGGCAAGTCGATCAGCTTCGCAACATGGAGGATCCACACGACGCTGGCTTTACCAGCAAGCAATCTTACTTCCATAACACCGCTATGCCGATCGAGCCAACAATGTCAATGTCGCCACGGCAGCGGCCGTTCGACGACTCACGAAGACCATCGCTTCAGGCCTTCGGTCGCCCAAACTCATTCCGAACACCGATTCCGCCCCATCTACAGATCTCTCCTCGTCGCTATGGCTCGATTGGTAACAACGGTGGTGCTTACTCACCTACCTCGACCCGGCCAAACTATCCACTGCCGCCGCCGCCTCCACCACCGCAGCCGCAGCAGCAGCAGCCTCATCCGTTGTCAAACATGACTTCACCACCAGGTAGCCTTCTGCGTCGTCACACATCAGCTGACATCCGCGTACACGGTTGGCCGGGTGGTCAAAACCCGTCGCAGTATAATCAGGGCAACTCGCCTTACGCATCGGGGCAGTCGTCGGCGCAATGGCCTTCGTCTCCGAAAGTAGCACCGCAGCCGGGAGACCAACAGCTGCAGGATGCCCTCGCTCAATATGAGCTTCCGAGAGCGTCAAACACCGGTTCAAGGCAGCCGTCACCACCGCCATCACAAGATTCGGGTGTGCCATCCTTCAGTAGCAGCTTTGGCCACTACGCCAATAGCAACGATGCAGGGTGGCAACTGCCAGGTCCTCGCTACCCCTTCAAGAGTCTTGAGGCACCTGGGGGCCCGAGCAGGCGCAGCAGTATGGCGAGCAACGTGCATTCGCTGCTCAACCCTGCAGACACAGCTGAGCGGGATGACGAAGATGAGGGTCCTGATGAGCGGAAGAGGAAACGACTTCTATGATGAACGGACCGTACGATGTAGGTCTTGTGAGACATGGAAGTGATTCACGATATACTCTTCTTGAATATACTGTTCATGTAGATCATACGCTTGAGCTTGGAGAAATCTTGACGGCACAGTCTGTGTCATTCGTTACGTCTGCATGTTTCCATTTCGAGAACGTTTCTATGTCTGAATTTAACCTCAGCTGCTGCCGTACCTGATGATGTTGATACGAGCTCGGGCACCTGCATGCTTTACTTTGAAAGCTTTGAGCTTCCCATCCATCTCGACGTCTGAGTACTCTCCACACTACATCCTTCTTCCGACGAGCGAATTGACTCAATCCCATATGAAATGAGTGCACTTGACTTGCAGGAAGTCCATGACTTCCTTATTGGCATCGCCGCGAAAGCCGGCGATATGATCACCTCGGCGAACCCAACTGCAGCGGGCTCCGGCACGAAAAAGAACTCTGCCGACCTCGTCACCGAGACCGACCAGGCAGTAGAGAAGATGGTTAGCGCGAGCTTGAGGCAGCGGTTCCCAGCCTTTGAGTGTGCTTCCTCCCGTAGCGGCAAGAATTGAAACCGTAGACTGACCGCTTTACAGCTTCATGGGTGAGGAAACCTACAAGCCTGGCGACAGATTGACAGACAAGCCAACATTCATCGTGGACCCAATCGATGGTACAACAAACTTCTTCCATGGACACCCTTATCTGTGTGTCTCGCTTGGTTTGGCCGTCAATCAGGAGCCGGTGGTTGGCGTTATTTACAACCCTTTCACCAGGACTCTTTACAGCGGGATCAAAGGCAAAGGGTCTTTCTTGACCGACGCTCTACATGACCATGTCCGGCTGCCACTCAAGGAGCCCGAGCCGATGAAGGACTTGAGCCACTGTTTAGTGACGGTCGAATGGGGTAGTGACCGCGATGGCAACGACTACGACGTCAAGGTCGCCACTTTCCGCAAGCTCTGTGCCAGTAAGGAAACTAATGGGGCCATGGTTCATGGCATTCGCAGCTTAGGGAGTGCGGAGCTAAACCTGTGTGCAGTTGCAGCGGGGCACCTGGATGTGTATTGGGAGACTGGGTGCTGGGCGTGGGATGTCTGTGCGGGATGGGTCATCTTGGAGGAAGCGGGCGGGAAGATGGTTGGCGCGCACCAGGGCGATTGGGAGCCGAAAGTGGACCAGCGTCGGTATATGGCTGTGCGTGCTGGTGAGGGCCAGAAGGCCATTATAGAAGAGTTCTGGGGTTGCGTGGAAGGGAGGATTGAGGTTGGCTACGATGCGGTGACATGAGCGTACATAGACAACCTGTTATAGAGATAGAGCATCGAAAGTCTTTCTTCTCATGCCTCACAAACACTTCTCCCGTTTCTGCCAGATGTCGAGCCTGCGTGACTGACACGACTCGCGGCATTCGGGCAGCTAGTTGAGGAGATTTAGAAAAGCAAAAAACCATGCAGGACAAACTCCCTTTCACAGCCTACTCATTTCCCGATCGCTTCAGGATTTTACTAGAATCTTACGCGCACTTTGCCCGTTACCCTCCACCGAAGTGAAGCGAGCTATGCGGACCCTTTTTGAAGGTCTTTAACTGCTAACCTGAAGACGGAGTCAAGACTATTTGTAGCCGATTCAGTTGGTTTGATTAGCAGATCGCTCTTTGCAATCTAAACATATAGGAACAAAAAGCCTTGCCGGAGTTCCGCCGAGTTTACTGGTGCTCCAGCGCAAGACTCGATTTACCTGGCGCTTGACAAAGTGACATCGTGCAACAGTGGCAAAGTGTGCGCGTCGTGTGGTCCCGGGAGCGGCATGATCTCTTCCGGCGGGTATGGCAAGAAGGGCAGCATCAGCCAAACCTCTGTCGCGCAAGCTCCTTCAGCATCTGGACAGTCTTCTCCTCTTTAGCTCGATGCACCGCTAGACGCTCCTCCCTCTCCGCAGCGCGAGCACGCAGCACTTCCTCCTTTCTTATTTCCCGTTCGTTCTTCTGCCGCTCCATTGCCTTGAGCTTAGCTTTGTAGCTATCCAGACCAGCATCACCCATCAGCTCACCCTCTCCCACCTCCGCATCTCCACTCTCTTTGGCATCACGGAATGCGCGATTCGCTGCAGCAGTCTCTCGTTTCCGCTCGATCTGTCTTTCCTTCGAGCCAGGCTGTGCGCGCGGTGCGAGCTCTTTGAGCCGCTCTTTCTGGGCTTTGCGCTCTTGCTGTCGCTCGTTTCGGCGGTCGGTAGCAAGCAATTGCAGATCTTCTTTTACCATCTCTTGTCTCACTTGTAAGTCTTGGAGAGTCGGCACGGCTGGACCTACGGTGTGGCTCAAGCCTGACGGTGGCGCCGGGCCAAGGTCGTCCTCAGCGTCTCCCTCCTCATCTTCACCGGGAGCTCCGTTCACCGGCGGCTCATACGTATTTTGAGTATGGGTTGAGCCTGTTGAATGAAAGAGGCTTGTCCCGGACGCAGCATACCGAGCGTCCGCCCTTCTCTTCGCCTCCGGATCATACCATCCCTTTGAAAGCTCACCGCGATTCCATTTGCCCAGGAAACTTTTCCACCGTCCCTTCAATTCATATTCGTCAAGCCTCTCAATGTCAATACGCTTGTTAATATCGAGGTACTCGGCGAACAATGCCGTGTACGCTGAGAGGTCACGCTTGTGCAGTAGGTGCACACCGAACGGCAGACGGATGTCGTCCGCTGGCGGGCTGCGGTGGTGCTTTGAATGGCGGTATGGCGACCGCGAGCGACGACGCTTCACATCATGATCGTCACGAGGCGACCGTGATCGCTTTGGGAAGGGTCTACGATGTTGTCCGTCGTCTGTAGTCCTCATTATTGGTCGGAAGTGGAGATGGAAGCTGTGGAGTTGGGCGGAGATATCCGTGCGTTTGCGGTCGAAAAGTGAACACTCGATCGATGGACCGCAGTATGAACTTAAGAGCATTCAAACATTCCTACGAGTGAGGGCAAGCTTACTCGCAATCTAGTTGATGAAGGAAGTAAACGAACGAGACCAAGACGCCAACCCCCACCAGCCAACAGTCCACTTAAGTTCATGCTCCGGATAGACTTGGCTTCCTTCATATCGAACAAGCCACTGCAGTCACCTTCCACTTGTGTCCCGGGAGCGAATCGATAGTGCTGTCGAAATCGTTCGGCTCATTGAGGGAATCGCTGATGGCTGCGTCCTGCGTCCATTCTCACGGCCTATGGATGCCACCGCGGCCAGTCATGCTCAACCGTAGGGTCCGAATCGTTTGCTGTGCGGTAACCTTGGTCTGGTCATGGCCGACGATAGCTATCGAGACTGGACGCGTCCGTTTGTTTGAGTCTGAACTCCGGATCGCTGCAGGGCAGACGACTTGCGCAGGCGTCTTGTGGGCTCGGTCTGTGTGGTTGACTTGCGGAATGCTCGTGCTTGACGCTCTCCGTTGCCTCGGATTCGGCCAGTTGGGCATGAAACTGTGCCAACCATTGCGCGGCTTCGCTGTTTTGTTTTGCCATAGTGCTGCGTTTCTGCATGACGAGATGACTTCCAGACGTAGGCAAACTTTAAGAAAGTAGTTGCTGAAATATTCTTATATCCGCACAATAGGAACAACCACACTTACCGTCTGATGCAGCTTGTTGCTGTTATATTGCTGGGAGCGGCCATGGAGGATAAAAATGCCTCATATTCGTGCGAATGCGTGTTGCCATCATAACCAGGATGGTATACAAAGTTGAGCTACTAATTGAGGCATTTGCAGCAACCTTCGTGTCGTAGAGCACGTTGGCTAAAGACTCGTTAGTCTCTGACGACAAGAGCAACCTAGAGTACCAGTTGGAGCTCACAAGGGCAATGCAGAGCTCCCAGCCGTCTGCGCGTGATCAAGAAGCGGAAAAGCGCGCAACAGGCCCACAATGGCAACATAGGTGAAGCTTTTCCGGTAGCTAAGAGTTGTATGAGTGGTGGTCCTCGTTCTTGCTACGCTATTCTGACAGCCACAATTCGTGGGGCCGAGGGGTAGGTTCTTCGGTTGTCGGTGAATCTATGCGTCCTTGGAAACGCTCCCGTGGCGGCGGTCAAGTGAGCCATTTTCACGCGTGCGTATGGCCGCCAATGGCTCCTAGCTTCTGCACTTTCAAGCACAGCCCAGCGCGAATATCGGTTGCATGCCTATACGTGAGGCATTTCGAGCTTGTGGATAACGCAAGAGCAGGGAACCAGCGTAGGTAATGTTCAAGTCCTTACTTACCTCATGAATGCAGCCGCCGGATAGCGCCATGGCGGGTTAGCGCAGCGCTCCCTCTCTCATTGGACGCCAAGCGAGCTCCTGCCACGATGATCGAGAGCATGACGCTTCACAAACCCAAGCCTAGTAGTACTGCTAGTGTTTGTTTAAAGACTTGCATTGTCCACCTGACTGTCGACTGAATCGCCCGACGCAATCGTTATTGTGCCACGTACAACGCTGCCAACTCTTCTTCTGTTATACCGTTACTAAGAACAACGAAAGGTAAGCTCGACAGTTTACCCAGTTCTTGCTCTTATCGGCTGGGCTGGGCTGCAGGGACACGGTACATGTACTGGATGCTGCACCAATGCTGGCCGGGCAAAAGCTGCCGAGGGGTCGAGGAGCAAGCAATGTCGAGCGTAGCAGTAGTGTCCTGCATACGAGCTCACGTTACACCGCTCTCACATCTTTCCATCCTCCCACCACAGTGCCATACAATCATTTGGCCTGCGCTTGCTTAGGCAAGACAGCTACCACCAATCATTCGTAGACCGACCACCTACACAAGACTAACCCTCACAGTAGTTTCCACTTGATCATCTTCATTGACTGATCAACGTACCGCGATGTCTACTCCTCTCGTACCACCACGTCCGAGCCGCAGTCATGCCGGCACAACGGCCGTGAAGCAAGACACACCTCAGATCCCACCTCGCCCGGTCCGCAAGAGCGACCCTTCTCCCGATCGCGACTTTCGCTCGCCGCTCAACTACCTGCCGGGCTCCAATGGCGGCCGCTGGCAGCCACCACATGGTGCTTCCACAGGGCATGACCCCGTCCGCCGTCCGTCCAGCGTAGCAATCCCTTCCGAGGTGGGAGAGGAGGGAATCGAGTACACCAGCTACGATCAACTGCCAGCGGAAGCCAAGGCTACCCAGGCGGCGCCTGCAGCTTCAGAGCAGACCCGAAATGTATCAGCAGACCTGCCCATCCACCAGCCCAAGGCTTCGGTCCCGCACTCGACTGCCAAGAGCCGCATCCAGGGAGTCACGCGTACTGACTCGACGCAGGCCGCAGCGGCGGGCATCGGCAAGGCTCAGCCGGACGATGACGTGCACAAAGGCCCATCCGACACCGGTGCACCGATCAGTCGCGTGACCAGTAGGACGTACGACGACCATCTCAGGAGAGTGCCGTCGACCGAGCCGCAATCACTGCGGCCCCGAGGAAGCTTCAGTCGTCCAGGTTCAAGCTTTCAGAATGGTACTCCGCGGCCACCAAGTGTGCACAGCCAGGACGTTCGCGATGGTATCCCTGAGATTGGGCAGCAGATTCCGCTGTACAAGAACGCAGGTGATGTGCAAGCACCTTCACCGGCTCCGACGCAGTCACAGTTCACGCCCGGTATTGGCTTTTTCAATGACGGCTCGACACGGTCACACCACCGCAAGAGAAGCTCCAGGCAAGAGTTCGGGCCACCTGGCAGCTACGGCTTGCATCACGGTGCCGAGCCGCACGACCAGTTCGAGAGAGATTGGGTCCTCAAGCATCCGGAGGAGGCGGCGAAGGAGGGATATCATCCGTACCTACTGAGACCGGAGACAGCATTGAGCAGCGAACAGCTCAACCGGATTGTTTCCGAGAACCAGGATGTTGGCATGGGTAAGTATCCTCCAGAACTTTGTACTTTGACCCACTAACGTAATTGTCAGGCACCTCTCCAGGCATGGTTGGCACACCGTCGCAAGACATTGCATTCGAAGCTACTGACCAATTTGCCTTCCGTATCAACACACCGAAAGCTTCCCCTGCCCCACTTACAGAGGCCAGCAAGCGTCTTTCCGGTGACCGTCCAGCACCTACCGAGTCTCCACTTCGCAAGTCCAGTTTTCCGTTCCATGAGACGAAACACATGCGCAATGACAAGGCGATCGAAAGCGAAGATGACGAAGTCATTCATGTGGACCCGCCACTGCGGAGAGGCAGCAAAGTCACCGGAGGAGGTGCAATGGACAACACTTTCGACCTTGGCCCGACTGGTGGCAACACCGATGAGCAAGGCGGGTGGATCGACGAGGAAGGGCGCGGCATTCCGATATTGGCTTCTGACGAGGTCATCAAGCGTCCAAGCAGCGCATTCCTGGAACCTGCTGTGGAAGCGTCGCCGGCTGATCGCGACTACGATAGTGACGACATGCCTCCTAGCCGTAGAAGCAGCTTGAAGCCGCTGAGTCGTCCATCGAGCCGACCGAGCAGTATGCATGGATACCACGGCGGTCCACTACATCGCTTCATCTCTCACGAAGAGCACCATGGCTCCGGCATGGGCACCCCACTTGAGGAGATCGAAGAGTACGAACCTTTGTTCCCGGAAGAAGAAGATGGAGAGCGTCAGCCCAAGCGCCAGTTCCGACAGCGACCTGGCCTGGCACAGCACCACTTCCCATCCCAGGACATCTGGGAGGACACGCCGAGCTCTCTGCAATACTCCACCACCGTACAGACTCCTGAGCCACCAGCCGAAAAGATCGCGGCAAGCGGCGGCGCGCCCGGCAAGGTCTTCGAGACGCCGGAGCAGGAAGAAGCGCGCAAAACGAAGAATCCAGCAGGCATGCTCGACGACAGCAAAACCTTTGCCAAGCCACACTTCAAGCCTGGCGTGCTAGAAGAGCAACATTCGGAGAGGCCTGGTGTCCGTCGCTTCCCCAGCCGTGACATCTGGGAAGATACGCCCGACTCGATGCGGCTTGTCACCACCGTCAGCTCGCCACAGATGGAAGAAGTCAGGAGCCCGCCGGAAGACCGACCAACGACTTCGGCTTTGCCGTCTCGGCAGGATGAGGCTGAGGCAAGAAGCACGACCGGCCTGACCCAGCTTATGCGCCCAGGCCTACCGGCTCGGCCGGAGCGTAAGAGTAAGCTGGCGGAAGAGATCAAGCCTGCCATGGACGATGAACGCTCGAAAGAAGTACCTGACCTTGGCACCAATGAAGAGCAAATGCCCGACCGTACCAAGCCGACGATACCTGACAGGCCCAAGCCGACTGTGCCTGCCCGTCCAGCGCGTGCTGCACACGCCGACCAAGCGGAAGGCGAAGCGACAACGAGAGAGGCGCCCACTGATGAAGCCGCGCCGCCGGCATCAGCGCAGAAAGCGAAGCCAGCTGTACCCGCCAGACCGGCAGGAAGCAAGATTGCTGCGATGCAAGGTGCTTTCATGAACGACCTCAATAATCGGCTGAAGCTTGGCCCGCAAGGACCTTCACCCAAAGCCCAAGAGCCTGAGCCGGAGGCTGAATCTGATGCGCCCAAGGAGCCATTGAGTGATGCCAGGAAGGGCAGAGCTAAGGGTCCCGCACGACGCAAGCCCGCCGGCGCTGCAACGGATGCGTCAGGGTTCTCGTTCTCAACACCTACGGTGCTTTGGCAGATCGACGAAAGCGATGAGCTCCACGTCACTGCCATGGAGACTGCAGAGGCCGATATGGAGCCTAATGCAGAGCTCGAGAAGCAGATGTCGGCTAATGAAGCGGCCAACACCCGGGAGCCGACTATGCTGAGTAAGTCAGAGAGCATGAGCAACCAGACCACGGACGTGAATCCGCGCGATGTTCTTGCCGCTGTAGGCGCTCAACCGCTTATAGAAGATACATCGGCTGTGGCGGATGCTCCGGAGGAGCCTACGATGAAGTCGACCGGGGTGCAGACTGGACAGAAGGATTTGTCTATCACGAGTCCGACGGGTGAGACGAGCAAGATGACTGCGTTCCTTGGCGGTGCTCCGCAGGAAGGTAATGTCGTGGTGAAGCATGAGAGCTGAGGCATGGTAGCAGTATCGGATACAGTATGCATAATGCATTTCGCCACAAGCATAGGCGGGCCTTAGTGGCGTCGGTTCCAGGCGTTAGGGGGATACACATTAAGGTCTCAAGATGAGGAGGGTGTTGAGACAGTAACCACTGTCTGTGAAGCCTGTCAACTTCTTCGTACATGCGTTCAGTCCAACCGATCGATCATATGCTGCGCGAAGGATCCCTGCTCGCCTCAACTTCTGGCCATCTAAAGAGTGACTTCAAGGGCAGCTTACTCCGCCGCTCTTCTCAAAACAGCAACTGCATGAACCTGCCACTCGCTACTGAAGATCTACCGCCATGACTTCAGTTGTCGGAAGTGAGAATGCACGCTTGTATGCGCCGCGCGACTGATACGGTCGCAACGGTGACCTTAGTACGGCAAGCACGACCAGAAGTATGCTCCTCGTGGAAGCTGCGTTGATGGGAACGTGCCTTCCTTGTGGTAAGACGCGGTCTATCTCGATCACCGCACCCCTTAGCTTTTACGTAGCTTTTACGATCTCTCTTCCTTGTGTCAATGCCTTAAGCGACTAGCTGAAGCCATCAGGAAAGGAACCTGAAGGCTGTCTCGTTCTTCGCCAACGTCCAAAAAGGCTCTAGCAGTCAGCTAGCATGCAACCACTCACGGCAGCGATACTGCTCGTCCTGACCGGCTCCGCTTCTGGCGAGTCCAATGTTACCGCCACCAGCTTTAGCTCGATCTCGACAGTGAAGCCACTTTCCCTCGTCAGCAGCGGTTTGGGGACAATCACACTGGTAGCGGCGAACTCTACAATTAATCCGGCACCTACTCTACCCACTGATGGAGCTCAGAACTCCCTTCAAGCGAACTCAACAGTCTCATTCACGACCTTGACGCTTGCGGGAGCCGTGACTGTGGCCTCGCTTTCCGATGCGGCAGCTACGCCAACCTGTAGATTCACCGCTCTGCCCGGAGCCTTCAGTCTTCTCACGTCACGCGGTGAAAACGTTGTAATCAGCGACAGCGACAACACGCTCACAGCAACAGGCGACCCGACAGCCTACACGTTCTACATCAACTCTACCTGCGCCGGAAGCATCTGCGATCTCAACCAGCTCGCATACAGCGCAGCATTTCCCGCAGACATTGAGAGGCTCAATAAACTGGCTTGGGTCCGTCCCGGTGGCGGTCCCATCACCTTCTTCGGCGTCGACTTTGCGACAAACGGCTCCATCGGCTGGGAGCGCGTCCTTCTTGACTTCAGTCATTCGGCTTGTGCTGCATTACCGCGGGCGTGGCTGGATCATGACATGAGCGTCCTCGAGCAATGCAGTGCCGAGATATTCATGGCTTACCAAAGAAACGCTAACTGCACAATAGTCGGCCTCAGCGTTGACAACGCTGTGAGTGGGTGAGGGACGGGTACTATTGCTGGCGGAGGACGGTCATTTCAGTTGGATTCTGCAGCAAAGACGCAAATACGGACGCGACCCAAGGTAGAGTCGCTCTACATCCGCCTGCAATCCATCAAAAGCTCCTGGACCGCCTCTTGTCCCTCGCACCTTGCTTTATAGCAGCCCACGAAGCCTCAAACTCCTCAAGAGCGGCGTCCTCCTGCAGCGCCGCAGCTTCTGCGACTCTGTACGCAATGTCGACTTCTGCACGTAGTTGCTTCTGATGCGCACGTAAGCGGTTAGAACACGCTCCCACAATCAGTGTAGCACTAGTGAGAGCCGTACCTGTGAAGAATTTCCACTTGCGACCTTGTTCGCGGTTGCCACGGGCTCGAAGCTCCTTAGACGCGCTTGAAGCCTGCTTGCGGGCGTTATCGGAGCGCTGAAGATTAGCTTGTGCTTCAATGTAAAGGCGGTCTGTCTCTTGTCTGATGATATGCGCCTGCGCAAGGGCCGATTTCAGTTGCTGGTAGGTGGCTGACATAGTCAAGTATAGCATGCTACAATCTTGGTCAACGCAGAGGCCAGAGTGTACGGGTAGACTCAATCGATGCGAAAGCGGACGAGAAGACAAGCGCCCTGTTGCTTCGCACAAAGAAGCCTTTGCACCGTTGTGAGACCGTCAAAGAATCTCCCCAACTGAGCCACGCCAATAACTCCCCAACGTTCTGACAATGCTCAACACAAGTGCGTGGTCAGCTGACCGCTCACACAGCGGACCTACATGACGCTTGGCGAACCCTCACTGACTGCGATAACCTCCTCTTCGACAGCCACCGGCTTTTCTTCAGCAGGCTCCGTGGGTTGAGCTTCCTCCTCCCTTTGTCTCGCATCCTTCGGACAACGCAGACCAAGCACACCCATAACCTGAGCTACAGTGTCAATATCTTTGTCACAGTCCACCCACACGGCTCCGATGAGCGCCTGCACCAAACTCGCCGCATCCGCCGGGTAGTCTTCACCGACTCCATTGCGGAGCCCTCTACCACCGTGCAACTGAACGCAAGCGTCCTCTATCACATGCTTCCTGGTAATGTTCGTGAGATTCACTTTGTCGATCATCTTCTTCAGCCAGGCCTCATGTGCTTCTTGCCGCGTCTGTGGGCCAGGATACCATTGGTCGATTAAGATAGTCTTGATGACGCTGGCGCCCAGCACAGCAAGACGAAGGTTGGCTTCCGGAGGCCGTCGACCGTTTCCCAGCGTGACATCGCTGCCCGGTGGTATCAGCGCTTCGGCCAGGAGGTATGGGTCACTGAAGTGGTAGGCGGCGAACATGTCGAACTTGAGCTCTGGAGCAACGGGCTGTGAGCGAGTAAACAAAGAAGCCATGGTTACTGGACTAGAATCCGTCATTGAGCACGCCGTCTCTCTGAAATATATCAGTCCTCCCAGCGCTTGCTACATCCTCGTCGACAATCATCCAGACATAGAATATGGTCTCAGAAGGGTGTTCACGAGCACAACGGACGTTGATTGTGGTGAAGTAGGCGCAGATAGGAATGTTCGCTCTGTAGCCGCACTGTGCCGGTAGTAAGACACTTAGAGATGAGTATACAAGCCGAATGTGTGAGTAGCAGCGCAAATCGCACTCCAGACGCCGTCGCTTCGTAATAAAACAGATCAGATCAACGCGTCCACGCAAGACAGTCCACCAACTTATGATCGACCAGTCTTCTGCTTTGCAAGCTCTTCTCTCACACTCGCTCCGCTCGCCCGCCACCAGACATCGCCGCCCCATCGCAATAGCCGCTCGCACGCGGCCGTGGGACTGTCAACCGCGGGTCGAACGTCCAGGTAGAAGACAGGTTCGCCCGTTGGCTCTGGAGGACCAGAGTAATAGTCGATCACATAGCGTACCTCTCGCCCCTGACCATCCTGTGCACGTCGCTGCACGTACCAGTCATGTCGGTCAAAGGGCGGGTTATCCGGAAATTGCGAAGGGTACAACCAAGCCATGAAGGAGAGCATTCGTGCTTTTGGTGACGGCTCGTTTGGTCGACCTTCAAAGCGCGACAGCTTGGGCTCAGCCGCGCCCTCGCTTCGGCCTGTCCTGAACTGCTCGAGCAGCATTTGCCGCCTCGCACCCTCCTCTCCTCGCTTGCACAACTCCCAGCCGTGGCTGAGACCCTTACCGAACCTGCTCTCCCAGCCCTTAATCTCCTCCCAGGCGCCCTCGTTCAGAAAATTGTGCACCGCGACCATGGCTTCGACATGCTCGGCAGGCGTATCGGTGTAGCCTTTCCGCAGCATCGCATTATACATCTGCTGCGGTGAAGGATACTCCCAAGTACCTGTTCCATCGCCACGGGGGATCGTAGATACTTCTCTTTCTAAGGGCAGGCCTATAGACTGTGCAGACGACTCTCGCTTGTTGGATATGTTACTTGGCATGTAGTTCAGTGGGTTCAGCTTCGAGATGTATGATGGGGTTGATGATGGGCCGGCGGTATCGCTAGGAGCTGGAGGCGTATATGGACAAGCGCTCGGAGGTTGTGATGGTGATGGCGGTATGGGCGCTGCATCTGCTTTGCGACTTTTGTGCATCGGACATGATGGCTATGCATTGTCAGTGCGCGCCATGCGAACAAATAGCCAGGTTTGACCATACAGGAGGTTGGATGGTGGTTGATGCCGGTAGAGGGTGCGGAGCGGCTGTGTCTGAGGTGATACCTTCTGCCCAGAACCAACCCATGGTGCTGCTATTGCTGTTGTGTATGCGATATCGATGTAGAGGGAGTATGGTGGCAACGGTAATGGCAGAACGCAGTGACGCGAGAAGATGTATTGCGCGGGCCAGCTTCGGATGGTTGGCTTCCGAGGCTAAGCTGGTCGAGGAAGGTACGTACACGCTACATGTACTCGCTCTGGACCATAGATGTACCGTTCTCATCACCTCAGCTTCAGCCGTAAATAATGGCACCGCTCCTTGATTCTACACTGGATGCCGAAGCAGGTCACGATGCCAGACACGTTACTACCATCAAGCCACGGTTTCTCATCATTGGCGCCGGATCGAGAGGTACCGCGTATGCTGCTGCAATCCTACGCTCAAACCTAGGCACTGTGGCTGCGATTGCTGAGCCCGTCGACTTCAAGCGCCAGCAGTTCTTAGACAAGTTCATCTGGAGTCGTAATGAGGCTCAGCCAGGCCAACACTTCAGTGACTGGAACGACTTCGTTTGCTTTGAACTACAGCGACGGAAACATGCAACAGCGGGTCACGTAGGGGTCTCAACCGGCGTCGACGGCGTATTTGTGTGTGTGAAGGACGATCTGCATGCCCAAGCCGTGACAGCTTTGGCACCGCTAGGCCTGCACATCATGTGTGAGAAGCCGTTAGCGACCACACTTGCAGATTGTCTATCCATTCAAAGAACGCTCTCGCAATATCCGCCTCGCATCTTTGCGATCGGGCACGTGTTGAGGTACAGTCCGCACAACATGCTGCTAAGGCATCTACTCCTCCAGCAGCGAGTGATTGGCGATGTTCTTAGCATGGAGCACACAGAGCCAGTTGGATGGTGGCACTTCTCTCACTCTTATGTTCGGGGCCAGTGGAGAAGAGAGAACATAAGTGCGCCCAGTCTTCTCACGAAGAGTTGTCACGATATTGACTTCATCCTATGGATGCTTTCTTCTCCGCCATCAGATGCTACTGAGATGCCTCATCTTCCGACTAACGTTAGTAGCACAGGCAGTTTGAAACAATTCCGCCGTGTCATGAAGCCGAAGACGGCAGGCAGCGCGACCAATTGTCTTTCCTGTTCACTCAGCGAGACTTGCATGTACAGTGCCAAGCGTATATACTACGATAGCCAGCTCGCCAAAGGTAACGCAAAGTGGCCGGTCGAGATTGTCAATCCACAAGTGCCTCATATCCTTGAAACCCGGGGCGCACTGGCAGCAAAGGCAGCACTGTTCGCTACGCTGGCTGAAGACTACGATGAAACCGTTCTGTCTGCCCCAGACATTGAAAGCAGACCTTGGTATGGCCGCTGCGTCTGGGAGAGTGACAATGACGTGTGTGACGATCAAATAGTGACGTTCACTTGGGACGATGCTCTTGTTACTGGGAAGGGAGCAAAGACAGCTACATTCCATATGATAGCCCAGACACTCGCGCAATGTGAGCGTCGCGGAAGGATTTACGGCACAGAGGGTGAGATCAGCTACGACTCGAAATCAATCACCGTGCATGACTTCACCAACGACCACACCGAAGTGTATAATCCGGAAGTACCTGCCAATAGCCATCACGGCGGCGGAGATGATGGCCTCACGGAGATGTTCGTGAGAGCCGTAACCGCTGTGGATAGCGGTAAGATGACCGTTAAACAGGCGCAAAGAGAGTTTATGGGCTGTACGCTTGAAGAGTGCGTGAGAAGCCACGCGGCTGTCTTCGCCGCCGACGAGGCGAGAAGGGAAAGGAAAGTGGTAGACTGGCACGAGTGGTGGACGACAAACGTCGACCAGAACCTTCAGACACCCGGAAATGGTCGGTGAGCCGAGCGCTACTCTGGCATCGACCAATGGTTGCACTGCAAGCCAGACTCGAGCGGCTCCGCGCTTCCAGCAAGCTGATCAGTGGTTCTCCAGGCGCCTGTCGATAACGCCCTTTCGCCGCGCTCATACCAGCAACTTCTTCCCAGCCTCATTCAGCACGGTCGCTGCTCGCTCAACGGCTGATTGCGCGTCTGTCCACCGACCATCCTCAACGGCGTCGCGAATGAATGGAAACGAGCCGAAGCTATGCCGAGCCCACCTTCGTGGGCCGAATACGATATGCTTATACTGGCAACGGCCTGGGACGCCTCCGTGAGGACACGTTTCACTAGGCTCCAGGTCCAGTAACATGGTGTCAAAATGTGCCACACGGTCGTTGTACTCCAGGCGCTGAAAGCCCAGTTGGGTGCTCTCCAGCCCGCCGGTCCCCATGATCTGACCAGTCCAGACATCCTCAAATTGATGGAATATGGAAGCCTTCTGCGACATGTCGCTGAGGGCATCTTTAAGAGGCTGAAGCGTAAATCCAGTTTCAGCCTTGACACCATCTGCACCCGACGATTGCAGTCCGGTCTGTGCTGCGTACAGTTCAACGACATCCTGCTCGAGTGTCTCCGCCCACTGTTGGAGGGCATTCGCATATACGCGCAGGTCGAACGGCACTATCGGACGGTCTGCGATCTCCAGGATGAGTAGCGCCAGCACCTGCGCTAAGGCGCCATGACGCGAAAAAGTGACCGGGTCACCGTATGTCTCCATCCACTCAAGTGTATCGTAACATGAGCCGATGGGGAAATGCTCCTCACCGCTAGCACTTCCATCGCGGAAGCCAACATCAACGGAGGAAGTGCCCGCAATGTCCTGGAACGCAACGTAATCGCCAGTCGCAGCCAACCCTTCAAGCTGCGAAGCTTTAGAATCCCAAGCCTGCTTCAAGCTCCGTGTGTTGTTGGAGTCAGGATCGTTGATGCGATCGAGGACATGTAACAGTGCACGTTGCCACAGAGGAGAACCTGAAGCTCGGAACAAACCACCGGAGACCCCAACATCAATGTTGATGTACGCCATCACGTCTTTGCGTACATCGTCTAGGCTGTCTTCGACATACTCAGTGCTCCCAACAAGGTTATACTCGCCAGCATCCCAGCTCACGAACTCCACACTTCGGAGAGGTCGCCAGCCAAGCGTACGAAGTTCACCGAAAATGCGGACCACCTCCATCATAACAGCCGAGCCAGATCCAGGCTCAGCGGCACCGAAGCACCAAGCGTCTCGGTGATTGCCAACAACGATCTTCTTCTGCTGGGTCTCCAGGCCTTCGATAAGGCCATGCACGTTCCAGATCGGCTGCAAAGAATTCCCGTCATTCAGGTTCTGAAGATGAACGATAGGTACATCTCCATCCGTCTCCGAAGGAGCTGCGCCGGTGTACCAATCCGACGCGAAACCTTCACCAGAAGCTAGAGTCCAAGATGCTGGCACGCTCTCACCGTGACCTTGCAACGCTTTGACCAAGATCTTGGCATCGCGCCACGCCAATGGCAGTGATGGTATGGAGGGGAGACCAGGGTTGCCATCTTTCGGCTCGCGGCCGGCATTGCGCTCACTCGCCCAGCCAGGCGTGAGCGGATCTCCAAGGACCAAGCTGGTCATGCTCACACTACCACGCTGAATCATGTCGTCTGTGGGCTGCCATGTCTTCGCATCTTCGCCACTTCTCATGTCTGAGTAAATGAGCACGCCAACACAGCCAGCCTCTTCGGCGGCCCTGACCTTCACCGAGAAATCGGTTTCTGTGGCACCGTGTCTTACCAAGGCGATGGATCCGTTGGTCACAATAGCATGATCGTGTAGGTAAGCGAAGTCTTCGCGTTTGCCCATGTTGGCGTAGATCAAGTGACCCTCCACATCATCGTTTCTGCTATACCCGTGGAACGCCTCGCTTTGTTGTCGGTTTGTATACACCGCATCTTCCTCCAACGCAGCCGTCCAGCGTTTGTTGTCCGGAGCGACGATGGACAAGCTTCGTTCGCTAGGGTAGTTCAGATATACCTGATATTGCCGCATATTCACCTCGTCGAAGCCACCTTGCTCTGTCCACTGATCCTGCATCCATCTAGCAAGATAAAGATCGCCCTCTGTTCCAGCCACGTGGTCGAAGCCCGTAATGTGAGACAGCATAGATCGAATCTTGTCAGGACTGATATTCTCCTGCACAAAAGCCCGAACAGACTCCGGATCGAAATGCGCCCCCAAGCCATGGCGCATGTTGTTCGGAAACACGTTGAAAGCAAACAGAACGTAGATTACTCCGATCAATGTCAATAATCCGCACAAACGGGCAAAGTTGGGTCCAGACATCCGATAGCGCTCTGGTATCCGAATACGCTCGCTCATCCGAGAGAGCCATGTCCGGGTATCAGGTGTCGCAGAGCTGGATGGAACAGAGCTATAAAGCCGCCAGGAAGGTAATCGAAATGAAGAGAGGGTGGCGCCAATGCTGGATAACTGTTGCGACCATTTCGCGCGACGTAATCTGGTGCGATGATATAGCCTGGGACTTCGGCGAGACGTATCCGGCGCTGTAGGGTCGAGATAGTCCAGCTCCTCTACCTGCCTCCGCTCATCCTCTCCGTGTATCTCGGGTAGTCTAAGCTCTTCATTGTCGTCCTCCTCGCTCCCCAGGCTTGTACGGGCTGACTCTACCGTGGGCGGTTGGTATCTATCATGTGCTTGCCCCAGCAGGCCTTGTCTCTCTGTATAACCGTGATCTCCTTCTTCATCACGGACCACTGAATGTGAAGATGTGGCCTCTTCGTACGAAGGTATTGGGATATTGCTATAGCGCCCAAACCGATATCTTTCGTTGCCCGCCATGACCTGGCTGATGGCTTAGACCGGTACGATGAGTGGAATCATTAGACAGAAATGGTATACGTGCTAACCGTACATAGCGTATCTATACAAACGTGCACAATGATAACGAAGCGTAGATGTTCTACCTCAAAGACCCGCGGCTGCGCCTCCTGCCAACACCACGTCCATGGCGCTGTGGAGAACGGAAGTGATTCCTCGGCATGAGCCGAGAGTCTATACACGCGCTGACATGGCGCGCGTCACTTTTCAGTCTCCAGGGTACCAACGACGGAAAGTGTGATAAGGACGTTGTGAAGTTATGCGGATGCTGCAGCCTTATGCAACATCGCACACAAAGCATGGCCACCTACGACTGTACCGTCAATGCGTGCAGCCACCAGGATCCAGCCGAACACAAGCCAGATGATTCAGCTACGTACTCGCCTTCGATAAGGTATTCACAGGCTTTCAAAGCTCATGTTGACAGACCCAAGCTTCCTTAGATACTGGGCTTGTCTTCTGAAAGATTCATGCGATGATGAGTTATTAGCACAGGTTCCGCCTGAAGGAATGTCGCACAGCTCAAGTGGCCCCGTTGCAAAGCATATCCAATCAAATACAGAGGCGCAAGGTACCAAGAACAGGTCGACGCTGTCGGCCTCAAGCACTATGTCAGAGCCTGCCGAGCGAGAGCAGCTGACGCTTCGTTATACTCTCTCGCGTAGCATGTCGGTCCACTCCAGAATGCGTAGCGCACGTCGATGGTATTGCGGCTGCAGTCGGCAGCTCGAATGCGATTGACGCTCAGAAGGTATACTCAACGGTTACTTTCGTTCGGGAGCCTGAATTGCAACAGAAAGGCGGTCAGCTCCATTTGTGGTCTGGATTTCTCTCATTCCAGTCTCCAGATCGTACGGTCTCTCACAAACCAGTGAGGCTCTTCTGTTAGGCATTGCACATCGAGAGGAGGCAACGTCCTCTACGAAACACTCTTTATCCGTATGACCCATTGTGAGTATCTGGTGCTAATGCTTCGTCACACATCTGCTGCACCGATGGTTCTGGCCAACCGATAGAGCTCCCGTAAGTCACGTTACCCCAGCCGGGTCCTAATAATTCCTGCATGAATGCGTCTTGCTGCCAAGCATCATCACTAACTCCGTTCATGCTTGCCTCAGCAAGGAATAGGTTCGCATTCCCGGGCGAGACATGAAGCTCGCTGGGGGGGTCCTGTAGAGCTGTTGTCGGCATGAAGACACCGTTGCTCTGCCTGAGCGCTGGGGCATTTTCTCCATGCGCTATCACTGGCAGCGAAGACAAGAAGTCCTGGATTGCCGTTCGTGCGCTGCGAGCCTTTGTTGACTCTGTGCCCAAAGCCTCCCACAAGTGACATCCCTCTAGGATCAGTGACCTAAGTTCGGCAAGTTGGATCGCACCTGCTTCGCCGCAACCCTTCCTGCGAACATGCTTCTCGTGTAAGCATAACAGCATCGCTGCAAGGTTGAAGTCGTGAATGTGTTGCTTGAGGAACACCAGGGCAGCCTCGAAGATGCCAGACTGTACAGCCTTGAAGAGCTCAATCTGCAGCCGTAGGACTCCTTCTGCAGCCTTCACACAGCGCTCTTGCTCGGACTGGTAGCCTGCCACGCCCATGAAGCGCTGATACAAGATGCACACAGACTTCAAGTGTGCCATTTCCATGCCATAGCGTCCCGTGAGGAGATCCGGCGCGTCCATGAATGATTCTCCCAGCGGTTTGAATTGCAACTGTGGTGGCAGCTGCTCTCGAGCGTACTGCAAGCGATCATAGAGTCCTGAGACCTCATTTTGGTTGGGCTGATGCACGGCATGCGTGGAGTATATGACGTCGCCGTATATGCTTGAGAGGGTGTTGTACACAATGGAGACTGTGGCTGTCGTTTGATCGCTCATTGGACGTGGTGACGGTAGAGGACTCAGCAGAAGATCCTCATCGGTGTAGTTGGATAGTGGCGCAGTGTCTTGAGGCACGAAATTGATTATAGATACCATTCCGAGCTGATAGCACATCTTGATATCATAAGCTTTAACCGCAGCCCAAACCCGGCGTCTCATCTCGGCCAGCAGGGGGTTTATCTTTGGATTGTGCCGTGGGTCCTTGTGGTATCCACCTTGTGTGCACATCCTAGTAACCATGCCTAACAACATATGCGACTCAAACGTAATGTCGTTTGCGACGATCAGGAGATACTTAATATGAAGCAGAATAGTCTCTATGATGTGAAGCTGCGGCTTCGCATAGTCAGCAAGTACTAAAGCATGTGTCGTAAGCTTACGCAAGTGCTCCGCCTGATTCAGCGTGCCGCTTTCCTTGCCATTTTGTCGGCGGATCTCCGATCCCACAGTGGCAACGGCAAGCATAAGAGCGAGCCAGGCAGGCGAGGTGATCGCAGGCGCAGACCAGAACGCTACATATTCTTCCTGGAACGTGGGCTGGTGTGTAATCAAGCGCAGTGTATCGGGAGCATTCAGCCAAGTCGCAACGGAAACATCCAAGTAAGGCTTTGTAGGAAGGAGGTTGAGCAGTTCGTCAAGTGTATAGGTCTTGGAGTGGCCGAAGGGTATATCAGCTAAAGTCGGACTAGTGGTCATTTGAGTAGGAGTGAAGTCAAATCGTGGTTCACCAGGGCTTGCTTGAGAATCGAAGTATGCCTTGACCTCAGCAATGTCTTCTATAATGGACTCCCAATGTGAAGGGCCCACATACTTCGTGCTGCCTTTGTCGGTAAGACATAGCCTGCCAGTGGCCTGGCTCAAGTCTTCACGGAGATTGTTGACATCGTCCGCCCTACGGTCGTTCTCACCATCCTTGTTGGGTACTGTCACCTCATAGGACAGTTTGGACGGTTCAAGCTGGGCTACGAATGACTCAAGGCGGTCCAACTTCTGCCGCATGTGCGCACGATGTTTTGCGGCGTTGTAGCGGAAACCACGCTCAGTGTACGAGCAGTCCTGCTCTCTGCCACGCTTCAGGCATTGATCGCACGGCGTGCCTCTGTCACATCTTAACTTCGCCACGCGGCAAAGCGTGCAGCTGAGCTGAACACGTTGCGATCGCTTACGATGCGGCTCTTCCTCCATGGCAGACGTTGACAGGATGATGCGCTCCATCACCACATGATCATTGTTACAACTTAGGGTACAGGGCCGCGGCTTCCACGGCATCTTCCGACCCTCTCATTGTGCCTTCGACGAACCTTATGTACGCTCTACAGCTGGACTACTGCGGCAGTACTCTCGCCAGGAGGTATACCAACGTCTGCCTGAAGCTGAGGAGTACAAAAGCATATGGCATCCATCTGCTTGCCATTCCCATAATTGTACAATGCCGTCCCGAAGTTGCGCCAGCCCAGCCGCTCATACAGCCGGATGGCGTTCCGATCTTTGATCAAAGCGAAGAGAACAAGACGCTGACCCTTGCTCGCGCCGTACGACTGCGCCGTTTGCATAAGTGCACTGGCTGCGCCGCAACCGCGGGCGGTAGGGTGAACGAACAGTCTCTCAAGCACAGCGATGGCCTGATTGCCGTAGATTGACCTATGCAATGCGACTGCAAGATCGTCATTGCTAGGACTGCTCACGGCAATGTGACCGACAATACGGCCTTGCTCTTCGGCAACCCAAGCTCGCCATGTGGACTCGCCAGTCAAGAAGGAAACAGCGTTCGCGGTTCCCTGTACGGGATAACCATCTCTTTGGTAAACCAATTCAAGTAGCTCTACGCATTCGTCGACATCACGTGCTGCTCGTTCCCGGACGGTGATCATGGTTGACATTCTGCTCTGCCTCAGCAGGCTTGCAAAGCTATTGGTACGCATAACAATCAGCCATCCGATCGAGGTAAATATTCTGCCTTAGCGCGTTCTCGGATTAGTCACCTAGCGCGGCATCCTTCCTGTTCCAGCAGCCGTCTGATCACCAAGCGGAGAGTAGCATAGCAAAGCTTTCGACTCGTACAAGTAAGCGTACACGTAACATTGCAACATACCTTATTGTTGCCTTCTCTGTGGATCTATCGCACCGGTCACCATGACAGACAAGTATCACGAATGGTCTGTTGCAAGTCGCTACCTTGACCAAGGCGAGGATATCCACTGGTTGGCTGCACGTAAGAGGGCGCGGCTGAAACATTTATTTTGAGCTTGGGGCCACAATCTGACGCGAACCTCACCAACGACACAGCCTCGCGCCCGTCAGCCTCGCCTGGTTGAGTATGATCTCCTCCCGCGGTAAGTTGCACAGGAACCCTTCTTTGATCAAGTCTTTCTTCTGTTCTTAGTGCACCACCTTGGCCCGCACTATGATGCTGTCGTTGCTACTCACCAGCAGCGCTTTGGGAATATGGGCAAGGGTATATGCGTTCGGCGACATGACGCTGGATCCCGAGTACAGAAGCGGCAACCTCACTGCATGCGAGAAAGAATGTTTAGCAGGTCCTGGCTATGTCTCCACATCTTTGTTGTACCAACTGGATTGCACTGGTGGACCACTCGACGACCAATGCTATTGCGGGAATCTCACCGAAAGCCTGAACTATGTTCAGTCATGCACGAGTACAAGCTGCAATAGGAACGCCTCGCAAGTCTACCAGGCCGAGTCCTTCCTGGCACGGTTTTGCACGTCTGCCGCGCAATCAAATGGGTATACGAGCATTTTGAGCGCCACGACAATACATCTTGATCAAGGTAACTGAGTGGCTTGTCTTGAGCTTCTCTAGCGTCTGTAGCTTACAGGATTCTCACAGTGTCCGCTGCGGTGGCAACAGGTTCTGCGTCAGGGCCTACATTGACGTCTGCGGTCACGTCTGCAGCGGCTGCCTCCGTGCCGACTGCGACAGGAACTGGAGGATCCGCAATCGTCACAGGTGCCTCGCCAGGTGCTGCACCATTATCTACGACTGGCATTACTGGTGCATCCGCTGCAACGAGCACTGCAGTCGCCGGCAGCAAGAAGGCCGGCTTGATGAAAAGCGAAAAGGTCGGCATCGGAATTGGGATCGGTTTGGGCGTGCCCCTCATTCTAGGTGGGATTGCTGCATTCTTGGTTTTCTCAAAGCGCCGGAAAAGCCGTGGTGCAGGTGGTCCGTACGACGCAGTCCTCATGAACGAAAAGAGAGGTAACGAGAGCTATGGCAGGGCGATCATGGAGCCACAGGAGCTACGCGCCATGCGCTCGGCAGCACCGTTCTTACCAGCAGCTGCAGCAGGAGATGTCAGTGTAAGTGAAGTACCGTACCAGCCGCCAGTCTCAGCTTCGGCAAAGCAACCGCAGTACAGCGACGTCCGGGTATCAACAGCCGAGGATGATGAAAGCTTGCGATACGAGCACTCACACTCACCTCAGGAGCCGCGAGGTCCACGAGACACGCCGGCGTCTGCGACAATGCCACGTAGTGCTGTGTCAAATCAGCTTTCCGTAGCAACGGGCCACTTTGACGACAGGGATGATGCACCGCACTCACCCATCTCGCCAGTTTCGCCTATCTCGCCTACTGGATCCAGGCCGGCATCGCTAAGGCAAGAAGGCGCGCACCATGATTTATGACCTGATTGAGCAATGCGTGGGCATTTACTGCAGCAAATGAGGAACGAACGATCAGTGTTCACATCATTATTGTCACGAATCTCATTTGTGATGATTACACGGTCAGGTAGGTGTCTCCTTGAAGCTGCTCTGTGATTGTTCTACATCTTGGCGGATGAGCTTGCCATCGCGCCATCGGCAGCGCCACTTTTTATATGGACTTAGTTCGCGACGTTTTCATGACTCCAGCCCATCCCAGGGGTATCAAATTGCTGCCGTACACCGTAGCGCCACGCTACACAGTAATTCGTCGTCTCATCGTGACTTCGCATGCACTCATACCCGGGCGTTTCAGCCTTCGGTTGGTGAAGCGATGGTTTGATACTTCTCCCCAGCGCTTCTGAACAGCTCCTCTTGCGCTCTGATCAGCTGCTCTTCGTTGAGCCCGCTTTGCTCGATCTTGGTTTGCCTTCGCTCGCGTCCCTACAAGTTTATGGAGTTAGACTGCTTGGGCGTCGACATAGCACATCGCAACGGCTACTGCCGACGACTTACACCTTGGGTACTCTTGAATTGCTCCGCCACACTCTGTAACTCAGGTACATACTCTGCGAAGCCGAGCTCCTCGAGAGCCTTGGTGATGTGCTCGCACGCAATAGTCTTCTTGGCGTCCTTCTCCGCAATTTCGTTGGCCTCAGAACTGAGCATGGTGATGAACTCGACGCAGCATTCGATCAGCAGGTCGCGCGTCTCTTTGGCGAAAGTCATTGGCTGAGGAACATCGCCTTGGATCGATGGTGACGAGAGGACTTCGTTTATGATCTTCTGGACGGTCGCTATGGCGTGACGAGTCAGCATACGATCTCTTGCTTGCTTTCTGCTTTTCTCATAGTCTTCGCGGAAGTGAGAGGAGAGGTAGACATGGCCTCTGCTGGTGCGATAAGAGCCCACAGCTCTAGGTTTGCTGGGCATGGTGATAGCAGCGCAGCGTGGTCAATTGTAGTTGCTTGGTTAAATGAGAGAGGTATCATGTATACCTTTGGGTAGCGACAAATCATCGTTCCCTAGGTGACTATGTTAGCAACCCGGTTATGGAAGGCACGAGCAGGCAGCATAGTGAGGAGGGCGCAATGTGCGCGTGTTCACGTACCACCGAATTCCTTGTCAGACATCTCGCTGTAGATAACGGGGAGCCCGAGACAAACAGGGAGAGTCGATTAATGAAGGTGCGTATTGTGTCATTGCATGGTGCAAAGCAGTCCTTGAACAATGTATAGTCGCTTGGTCGAGGATGCAGTGGCTGCGGTGGAACGGGAATGCCAAGCACTGGCACCTTCGATTCGATCATCTCTATCGCACAATTTCCAGAGCTGTCGGGAGGCCAAGATGGCGGCCGAAAAGTCCGCCGCTGATCTGGCAGACATCATATTGAATCGGCAGAATGTAGCTCTAGCGCGCAGCCAACGCATCGTGCAGTCATGGCTGCCTCCCAAAACGGAAGGCACGAAGCCTGTCGATGAGTCTCAGATGGACGATGATTTGGAAGGCATGGACGAGCTGTCGGGCATTGGCTCCAAGCGAAAAGCAGAGGATGACGAGATTGGTATACTTGGTGGTCTCAAGAAGCGGAGGCTCGCCACTAATGACAAGCTGATGGAGCAGCTGCTGGGAAGGAAAGCTGCGGCGGAGCGGAGAAAGACGCTCGAAAAGCAGAAAGGCCAGGGCATGGCGAAATACAAACCGTTAGCTACTCAGCCGAAGAAGGAAGAAGGAGCCGCACGCAAGGTGGACGATGACAACGAGGACGAGGACGACAACAGGGGACGGACCGCGAGCTTCAAGTCGCGCAAGCAGAAGTCCTCCGTTGTACAGGCGTTAGTGCAGACGGCGGAACCTGATGCAGGAAGTGAGAGCTTACAGGCACTTGAGGATGAAGAGAAGGATTCTACCGCGCATGCTCCGAGAGTCTTGCCTACCGTGCCCGCCAAGCGGCAGAAGACAGGCAGTTACCTCGATGAATTGCTCAACAAGAGCGCTACAAAGAAGAAGAAGCACAAGAAGAAAAAAGCAGCTCTGGCACCGAGGCAACACGAGTGCTCTGCCTAGTTACACTGTACAGGTTCGCTTGTCACAACGAAAGTATTCGCAGATGTCCATGCTTGCTTCCTCACTCCCTAACGATCAGACTCGCCATGCCCATACCTGTGCCTATACACATGCTCACGACGCCCATTTCGACACCTTGCCTCTCCATCTCCGGCAACAAAGTCGCCAATTGCCGCCCGCCTGTTGCACCCAAAGGGTGGCCCAACGCGATGGCGCCACCCTTCGGGTTGACCTTCTCGATGTCGATACCAAGCTTTCGGACGCAGTAAATGGCTTGTGAGGCGAATGCTTCATTGATCTCCCAAAGCCCAATATCTGATGTCGAGACGCCAGTGTAGTCGAGCAGTTTCGGGATGGCTAATGCTGGGCCAATACCCATCTCGTCTGGTTTGCAGCCGATGACGGACGTGCCGGCCCATTTACCAATAATGCTGTCTGTGAGACCTAGCTGATTCGCGGTCGAGCGGCGCATGAGTAGGGTTGCTGCGGCGCCATCGGACACTTGTGAGCTGTTACCAGCGGTCGCTGTGCCATCTTCCTTGAAAGCAGGCTTCATCTTCGCCAGGCTCTCGGGTGTGCTGGTTGGCCGGATCCCGTCATCTTTCGTTACTGTGATCTCCTCGGTTGTCTCCGGAACTTCGGGGTTCGGGTGCCACCTCGTTGTCACCGGCACAATCTCCTTGTCAAAGAGGCCTTCCTTCTGGGCCTTGGCGGCTTTCTGATGACTCCGCGCCGCGAACTCGTCTTGTTCCTGCCGTCTGACACCGTACCGTTCCGCAACGTTCTCCGCCGTAAGCCCCATGCTCATGATGCAATCTCGCGCGTCCTTCACCGGGCTCTCCTTCAGCTCTTTCCAGAGTTGTGTGGGAATAGCCCGACTGCCGTAATTCCGCGTCATGCTCTCCATGCCGCCTCCGATGCCGACATCGATCTGTCCTACTGCGATCGCATGCGCTATGCTCGTGATTGCGCTTAAGCCGCTCGAACATGCCCTGTTCACTGTCTGGAAAGCAACGGTCTCAGGGTAGCCGACGTGGACGGCGGCCATTCGGCCTGCTTTTGAGCCACCGAGTTCGGAGAGGACATTGCCGATATGGATGTCTTGTATGAGGCTCGGGTCGAGCTTCGGATTAGCTGCCAGTGTCGCTTTTAGGACGTGGGCGAGGAGTTCGTGGTCATATGCATCTTTGAAGCCTCCTTTCTTCGCTCTCGTCACGGGCGTCCGTAGAGCGGAGAGTATGACAATATCTTGCGGTTGCTTGGAAAGGATATTCTTCGCTCCCTTCTGTATGAACCCAGCCATGCCGTCGATCTGATGGCGTTGGATTGGGTGCTTTTAGTAGTGATATGGCGCTCGCTAATCGAACAGTTTGGCGGAGAGGGAAATTTGGCCGGTGATGAAGTACTTGGCAATGAGAAGGGAGACGAAGATCATAGACAGTACTAGCAGTATGTACAAAACAACAGCAAGGAAAGTTGACCTACGCATCTAGAAAACCGACATGCTCGCCACGCCACAAAGCGACTGTAATTCGGATGTCATATTCGGGAGAGAGCTGCATGGCTTGCGGCTCTGCCTGGCTATGTGGAGTGCATGAAGAGCGGAGCTTTTCGGGAGTGCCTTCCGGCAGACAGAAAAGACTTTCGGGACGGCAAAACCATTAGCCGTGTTCGACTTCACTCTTTCGTTTGTAGGAAAGCCATTGGCTTCGCTTCAGCTACGAAAGGCAGTATGGTTCCATTTGCATCGACAATACCTTGACATACACTTCTGCTAGGAAGACTGTTTGAGAATACGTTCCCATAATTATAGCGTGACTTGAGCATGGCATTGTTGCCATACGAGCTTCCTGCTAGTTTACCGTACGAGGAGCATGACTGACTTGCGAGATACACTGGTTGGGATAGTGGAGAAAGATAAAGGAATTGATGTGAGTTGCGTTAGTACTGAAGCAGCTGCTGCTATAGTGACTCTGCATGCCGCGCGTAACCATTGACGCATTCTGCTCTCCATCCGCCCTAGCTTTTTGTGCTCGACCTGTCTGACACCTCCGTGAATGTGATGCGGCCTCGTATATGACCACAGGAAGCCAAGACTCGCGAAATTCCGCTTCGACTTGCTATGCCGACCTGGACTGCGGACCTCGTGAGCCTCACTTCACTGCTTATTGCGTCAAATCTTTCAAGGCCTAGGAGGGCGGACCAGGTTGTCTCGCTTGCTGGATGTGGTGTGTCGAAGACGCAACTGCCACTTGACCTCGTCTTCGAGCTGTGCTTCCAGCCTGTTCTGAGACACCTTAAGCCTGCATGCTTCCATACCGAGTCTGAGGATTGCATCAATGGCCTCACAAACGCGGACGTAGTGTTGACTGGTGAGCACGAAGATGCTATAACCTTGATTCTTGTAATTGGCAAGATCGAGCAGTGTCTCGCGGTAACTTGCATCGTTCGGGCGCAAAGTGTTACCGGTTTTGACCACGACCGCTCGTGTGGCGCTGGTCCGCAGTAGGTGGGCCAAAACCTTGAGGTCCCTAAGGGTCTCAGAGATCTTGTTGCGGATGAGATGCAAACGGACGTCCTTGAAGATTTCGATGCCTTTCCCACACACTGATGCCATGGCCTGCATACTGAGAAGCCACTTGGACAGCGTTATCCGCTCGTTATCGCAACGAAACTCGAAGATGTTGTTGGGGAGGTATGTCTCCATCGCTTCTCGGCGGATTTGGTGGTTGGTATGCATGATACTTGGCACCTTGCACGCGTAGGACCAGTGACCGAAGCGCTGGATGTTTTCAAAGCGAACGGCATACTCGTAGATGTGGTCACGCATCTCTCTAGGCAAGACTAAGATATCGAATAGCTCCATGTTATCTCCGGTCTTTGGCTGTTCCGGCTCGTTGTCCTCAGTCGGTGGATCAGGGAGAGGGTTGGTGGGGGTAGGGCGATGACGGGCCATCAGCGTCCAGAGTTTCCTCTCACGAACGGCTGGCGGCAGCGAGGCAAGGTTCACGGACTGAATATGGTCAAATGAGCGAACCTGGTTGATGGGTTGCAAATGGTCGTTGGAGAGTCCGTGGAGTAGGAGCATGGTGCCTATCGATGGGTCCACCGGCACCCGCTTATGCGACTGGCGATTGATGACCTGCTCGATGTCATGCAGATGCGGCAGCTTAGTGTGATCGATCCGGTGCTGGCCCAGGAGTCGTGGAGGAGCCACCAGACCCTCAAATGTAGACATGTTGCGCTGATTTTGGTTTACAATGTGCGATGCTTCGCTCAAACGTCGAAAGGGAAAGCTCCGAGCTTGTGCAGAAACTTCTGGCAAACGCGCTATTCCTTGTTTGGGGCGGCGTTGACGAGCGTAGAGATGGCGCAAGAGTCAGATTTATGCAGTGGCTGTTCATTGCTGGCACAGAGTCTGTTCAACGCCGTTTGCGGCGGTGTTGGCGGGCGTGTGGAACCCTAGATGCCTCGCGAACGGCGACAGGATGGAGCTACGGTTCTTCCGACCATTAAAAGATGGACTATAACGCTATCGCCACGCTCGCACGCCATCCGTCGAAGCATTCCCAGCAACTCGTGCTGTAGCCGCATTTGCAGCCCAGCACCTCCTTCTTGTTGTAGTCGTGTATTCATTATACGCGCTGTCTACGACCGGCTGGGCTGTGTGACGCTAAATTTACAGATCTCGAGAGCACCATTTCATCTGAGTATTCATTTTCTTCCCTGTGTGCTCGTTGACAGGGTTTTTGCATGGCGGCTGATTCATGCCGCGCTGCGTCAGTACGTGTCTCATGACTAACACAGCAACGAATGCCCATATACAGAATATTGGGGTAGCTGTCGTGCAAGGACAAGACTGAAGAGAGGGTGGCACGTTGCGAAAAACGGGTACAGTACGATGCAAGCTAGTGATACGATGTGTGAACGCGTTGGAACGCACGGTGAGCTGCAGAAGGTAGCAAGCCTTTTACGGTTTGCCACAGACCATGTCGCTTGGCTACGATGATTTGGTCTGCATCGTACACCCCAGTGTGGTTACAACGCACAATAATGGTACGGAGAGATTTACAAATCTGGAATCTCGCGTATACAGATAGCAATATGTAGGGATGCACCCCAAGACTGTTAGGTACAACACGAATCAATAACGCAGCACGATATCCAACCTTCCTCACCATAGTAGCAACGCAGCACGCTTTTCCAACGCGCTCACCGTAATAGCACTGAATCTTCGTTGGAGTTGTGGCACAACCGTTGGCATCGCAGTTACAACATGGTCCATGCAGCCGGCGGACGGCAAGGCGACGACCAAGTAGACGATGTTTACAGCACCAGCGTAGCCTGCCACTTAGGTGACTTGACCCAGTGCCTCGTGTTCATCTTGAAGCGCACAAGGCAAAGGTTCATTCTGGCCGTGAGCTGTTGCCGGCTCCAGCGCTCGCGCACAGCCTTCTTGCCTAGCTTGATCATGGTGTACATGACATCTTGCATGCGATCGTGGTGCTTTTTGCTGAGACGGGTCCACACCAGCTTGCCCCGGTCATTGGATGAGTTGTATACCCACCCCGGGCCGGGCAGGTTGGCCTCAGCCCTCGACACAGCCTTGAACTGCTTGTCGTATAACAGAAGGGCTAGGTTGCGGGTATGGTTCATGTTCTTGATCGATGCCTCATCGAAGTTGAAACTGACCGTGCGGAAAGGCTGCTTTCTTCCCACCCAACTGATCACGCTGCGGATCCACTTGGTTGTGACGGTCAGATTGTCGAGCTGAGTTTCGATAACGAAGTTGTTCAAGGTGAAGAAGTACTTGAACGCCCTCGGAAGAGAAACGGATCTTGCGACACACCCGGAGCAGGCCGGGCTCACTGTAACAAATTCGGCTGGACCAAGCGTGAACGTGTATCACGGCTGGCGCCATGCTCATGTTCGGCTGACCTGGATTGATTGCTGGATCTTTGATAACAGCGAGCTTGTAAATGTAATTGCTGAGCTCTTCTGGAAGGCCGAGGAGGGAGAGACGAGGCGGGAGCGGCGGTGTTGGCGGCGCGTTCAAAGTCTGATGAATCTCACAGTCAGCCAGGCACGGGAAGATTGCTCGTCTCGAACATAACGGAAGCGTGGGAGGCATGTTGAGAAGGGCGAGAAACTCCAGCTCCGTCATCTCCAAGAGCGACTTGCTTTGTTGCTGCGTCGACAGATATGGCAACGACGTGTACGGGTCCTTTCGAAGTCTCACAATCAGCTAAACATAGGAATATTGACCAATTCGAACATACCGAAAGCGTAGGAGGCATATTGAGGAAGCTGAGAAACTCCGGCTCCGTCATCTCCAGGACCGAGATGCTTGGTTGCTGCATTGGCAAGTACGACAGCGGCGCGCACGGGCCCTGTCGAGTCTCATATTCAGCCAAGCACAGGAAGATCACCCGACACGAGCTTACCATAAGCGTAGGCATTGGTTCGAGAAGGGTGCGAAGCTCCGGCTTCAATGGCTCCAACAGCACTGGCGAATACGAGAGGGGCGCGACGAAAGCCTAAGAAGCACAACTGTCAGCCTATAACAAGAGACATCGGACTTGCCGATCATTTCGGACGTACCGCAGGCATAGTCGACATGTAGTTAAGGTTGATTGGTTCCAGGTCCGTCATCTGGGATAGTGGAGTGTTCGCTAGCTGTATAGCTGGGTACGGCAGCGGCGCGCCCTGAGCCTAAGATGCGCAATTATCAGCCAAAGACAAGATCCAGCGGGCCTATTATTTGCTTCGATCGTACCGGAGATGTCGCCATCACGTTGCCCTTGCTGCTTGCCTTCGAGTAGAGCTACCGATCACACGTCGCTGCTCTCTGCTTGTCTTGTTGGGAGGAGACAGCTGGAAGGATATTCTTCGAACGATGTGTGCGGAAATTTTGCGGCGAAGCCAAGGCCGCTTCGAAAGCCGCGAAATACCTCGTAGCATTAAGCCGGTGTAGCAGAAGCAGTTGTAGGGGACCATACACCAGCATCAAGGGTTCGAAGAGTGCTGTTTCTGTTATGCCTTTGAATTCTTCCTCGGTGTAACCAGACCTCATGGCACCACAACTGCATCGAGAGACGCGTGGCTATGGATTGGGTGGACGCTGAATGAGTGGTCGGAAGCCGCGACTCCCTTGTTGCATGCAGTCCGTGGCAAACAACAGGGTTTTCGTTTCAAGCGGATGCGACGTTAAGCTTAGAACTCTCTGCTCTCGCCAATATCGCAAGTCTCAAACAAGTTCTGCTCCAGGCCTTTCCATTTGAGTGCCTGCTTCAACAGCTTAGGAGGATCCAGCACCTCCTCGCTCGTAAGGACCCAAGTGCCCCAGTGGATGCCCATCGCCCGCTCACACTTTGTATCGACGAATATGTTGACAGAATCGTACGGGTTGGCGTGCATGGGCGACATAATGAAGCGCGGGTCATACGCGCCGATGGGAATCAGACCGAGATCAAACGGACCACGATGCTCACCAATTTGCTTGAAAGCTGGACAGTGAGGCAGGTCTGCATACTTCTCGCTGTAATCAAATTCGTCTGGTGGCAACTCTGGAACAGTCCGATAGCCAGTGTCGCCGCCAAACCATACCTTCTTCCCACCGGAAGCGATAGACCACGATGCCCAGAGCGTATGTGCTTTGTCGAAGGCAGTACGAGCGGAGGTATGCTGGCCTGGCAGGCACCCAATGGTGGCCAGGATATCATCAGGTTTGTTGTCGGGGTCGTTATGCTCTGCAGCTGAAAGCTTAAGTTCCTTTTCTTCCCACCAGTCCATCTCCGTGACATTATCATCGCGGAGGCCCATGTGCTTGAACCATGGTTTATTACCAAGTGGAACGAAGATCCTGGCGCTAGGGTGCTGCTCAACAACTGCCTTGAGAGTCGGATGCGACAAGTGGTCGTAGTGATTATGTGATATGACCACAGCATCGATGTACGGGAGATCCTGGATCTGGCACGGCATCTCTGTGTACCTTTTCGGGCCCATAAAGCTCAGGGGCGAGCACCTGGCTGTGAACACTGGATCGAACAGTACTCTCAGACCGCCTGGAAACTCTACGTAATAGCATGCGTGGCCGAGCCATGTTGCTCTTAAGCGGTCTGTCTCTCTGGTGGGCAGAAACTCCGGCTTTCGGATGGGTACCGTCGGTGGTGTAGTGTCCGGATCTTTCCATTTACCGCTCAGCCGCATATATATGATCTTGCGGAACATGTAGAGCGCACTGCGCTCGGCATATGATGGCCATGGGTTGATGTACCCAACGCCTTTCTTATTATGGTGAGCTTTCGAAGCAACATCGGCCGGGGCAGTCTGCGGTGATGTGGGCGATGAAATTACGGCGTGCAGTAAAGGAGCTGTCATCCCGGACCGTAACTGTGCAGAAGTGCGAAGGCTACGTTTGACGGCAGACGCCCCGAATCTCAAGGACAGTGTTGGCTTTGATACCGTTTGTTGTATGTGCTGCAGTTGAAGGCACACTTGCAGACGCATCGAAGATCTAGAAAAGGGACAGTCCTGGCTCTTACAGCGGTGGAAGAACAGCAGTCAACGAAAGTACCTACCTATCTCCGGTTAGCGAAAGCGATGCGAACGCTCAGGTGAGGTCAACGCCAAGGCCGTCGGAGTCGGAGACGGAGACGGAAGAGAAACGCCATAGGCCGTGCTCCTTCCCGCAACATGATCAGAGTACCATCCATTCAGAAGGCGACACGATGAACGTAGAGTAACCAGACGGCCGAGAGCATCGTGGCAGCTATACGAGCGCGAGCAAGCGATGCGAGGCCTGTCTTTAACACCATCAGCTCCCGTAAGCTGCGTTGATTGGCTTCCGCAGCTGCAGAGCTGGCGCCACCGTGCGGCACAGCCATCAATTGCAGCATCGGCATCCTTCGTCAGCTGAGCGCTCATCCTTCGTGCACTTTCCGGATGTTGAGGTAGTGTAGATATAATTCCTACGGCCGTCGGTATCTTATCGTAAACCAGAAGGGCTCGTCGCACGTTCTCAAGCAGGACTCAGCCCAGATGGCGAAGACTGCAGGCGTTTCGAGCCTACAGAGCGGCTATGCATGGCCTCTCGTGTTGTTCTTGCTTGTGTCGTATGTTGGCTACCGCCTCGTGCAGCATGTTCGGCAGCGTTTCCAACACGAACGCTTCAAGAAGGCACACGGCTGCTATGGCCCCTCCTCGGTTATGGCTACGGATTACTTCGGGCTCACGTTCATGTTCCGAGCACTCAGCGCGCACAATAACAAGCGACTCCTAGACTTCTTCAACAGTTTGTTTCGAAAACATGGCAGAACGTTCATGTTTTACACCGCGAGACGCAACGTGATCTTCACCGACGATCCGGAGAACATCAAGGCGCTCTTGGCGACCAAGTTCGATGACTGGTGAGTGTGCTGCGCCGCTTGTACGTTGGAGGCAGAGTTGACGTCGCATCCAAGGGAGAACAAGACACTTCGCCAGGAAGCCTTTGGCTCGCTGCTCGGAGATGGCATTTTCACGACCGACGGTGCTTTCTGGTCCCACAGTCGTGCTATGCTCAGGCCCACCTTTGAGAAATCTCAAATTACTGACCTGGCTCAGTTTGAAGGTCATGTCAACAAGCTGGTGGCTCGCATACCCGCTGACGGCAAGACTGTCGACTTGCAGTATCTTTTCCACTGCCTTACAATAGACTCATCAACCGAGCTACTCTTCGGCAGCAGCACTGACACACTCGGGGAGAAAGACGAAGAAGCCTTAGACTTCGTGAACCATTTTGAGTACGCCATGGTTGATGGGGCTCTCCGCACTCGAGTCGGCAGGTTGTACAAGCTGTGGCGTCATCCTAAAGCTGAAAAGGCCATCAGCGAGAGCCACAAGTTCGTTGACAAGTACGTCGAGCAGGCTATGAAAATCAAGAACTCTACGCTGGGCTCGATCGGTGAGAAAAAGCATCGGCGCGAAGACGGCAAGTTCGTGTTTCTGGATGAACTCGCCAAGCACGAAGAAGTCGACTCCACCCGAGTCCGCGACGAGTGCCTCAACATTCTCCTAGCAGGACGCGACACGACAGCAAGTCTGCTAAGTGAGCTGTGGTTCGTTCTGGCGCGGGAGCCCGAGGTCTATAAGAAGCTACAAGCCGAAGTCGATGAGTTGCATGGTGAGCTACCGACGTACGAGCAGCTGCGGAATATGAAGTATCTCAAGTACTGCGCGCAAGAAAGTGAGGAGTCGCCCCTTTAACCTATGCCAGCTGTGGAAGCTGACCGTTTTCTAGCTCTACGTCTCTACCCTCCAGTCCCAATGCTTCCGAAGCTTGCTATCAAAGATACCATTCTCCCTCACGGCGGTGGCAAAGACGGCACCGAGCCTCTGTTCTGTGCCAAGGGTACGGTCGCATCGTACAATATGTACAGCATGCACCGCGAGCCCAGTATCTTCGGCCAGGATTCTGAATCCTTCAACCCAGATCGGTGGCTTGACCCCGATCTTCGCCCAAGTTGGGGCTTCCTGCCCTTCGGTGGCGGGCCCAGAGTATGCCTTGGGCAGCAGTATGCGTTGACTGAGACGTACTATGTCACCGTTCGCTTGATGCAGAGCTTTAGGCACATCGAAGCAAGGGACAGTGAGCCGTGGAGGGAGAAACTCGCTGTGACTCTGTGTAGCTGGAACGGGGTGAAGGTTGGTATGTATGTTACGTGAAACCCAGCGGCCGGTGATACCTCGCTCGATGCTGTAATGATAGCGTAGCTTTTAACGATGGCGCTTTCTGGACTAAGGACTGTAGGGAGCCTCTGCACTCGCTTCACACTAAGAGAGCACACGCCGCCTTTGCAGACCGGTTACAGCTTGAACATACGAATACAGGTGACTTGCAGCAGGTAGGGATATGCTTGTTACTGACAGGGTTAACGGACTTGAAGTCACGATTGAACCGCTCTGCTGAATCTTGCACCTTTTCCATTACATCTGACTTTCACTATGACGCTAAAGTAACTCGCAGATGCTCCGGTCAAACAGCTATGTGGCTACCAAGAATGAACGATGATAGACTTCCAAGAACCAGCCTTTCCAAACCTCAGAATTCCGCAAACCCAAGACCGATGGCTCCTACAGCGACGCCAACCGCTGCCAGACCGCTCAAACCAGTTACACGGTCTGCCGCACCTATGTATGTCCCATTTGTCGGCTTCGCCGTGGAGCTATGCGTGGTCGTGGTGGTGGTTGTGCTGTTCTGCATTTCCATAGCACTTGTTATTGTGGTAGTATACAACGAGCTTGTATCCGTCACGAGGGATCCTGTTGGCGTCGGTGCGGCGGCTTCCGTGGTAATGTCACTCGGCATGCTCGCCACTGTCAGCGCGCCGGCTGTCCCTGAAACTTGACTTGTGGCTGTCACTGCGACCTCCGTGGTGGCTGTCACACTCGCCAGAGCCGCCGACGCTCCGGCTCCAGACGCGGAGCCCGCGGCGGTTCCGCAATAAGTGGAAGCAAAAGCGACAACTGCGGCCTGGTCTGCCGGCGAACATGCGCTCTGGATTGCGGCGGTTAGAGACGAGATTACGGTCGGCTTGAAGCAAATGCACTGGGCATCGGACGCGGCGCAGCCGGAAGCTTGGATTGCCGCGAGGAGGGCTGGCTCGGCGCATGCTGGAAGGGCAGCTGGAAGTACCGTGGAGGCGGCAACGCTGCGGAGGGTGACCGCTGCTGGTGAGGCGAAGACTCGTACGGCAGTGAGCACGAATGCTGCGATGAAGAGCTGCATCACGGATGTGGTGTTGTTTGGTGGAGGTCAACTATGCTAACGCTGCCAGAGGAAGTACGGTAGTGATGCAGTGTGAGATAGACGAGAGAAGGGAAGAGAAACAAGTCGGAGAACCTGACTTACTGGTCATTGCATGCTTGCGAGAGTCGTCTCGACAACGCATGCGTCCTCTCAAGATGCGACATGCTGTGCCATTCGTCTGGTCTAATGCAGGATCTGCCTTCCAGCGCTGTTCAAGGCCGGGCGCTCCAGCAACGTCGACATTCCTGCCGCATTCAGATCTGGAATGTGACACCATGGCACGGGCCGCCCTTCGCGGAGGCTGGGAGCGTTCATTGTTCGCAAGCAAGGCCTACAGCTATTACTGGTTGCAACAAAGGTAGCAGAGGACTCCGCAAGTACGACAGCCTGTATGACGCCACTATTTCTCGAACAAAGGATTTCAGGGCAGCCACTTGCGACAACGACGGCAATGGCTTGCTGTGCTATCCGTAGTGATGGAACGGCGAGGCAAAGAAGGACACACGTATTGCCACGGAGCACAATCTACTCAGCAAGACGCCTGATCTTCGCAGACGCACTATAGCTTCTATTGCATATGCGACGCTACCATTTCTGGGTACGGAAAGCATCTGCGGCTGGACCACCATCGAGCAAGGTGGAATGCGCTGACGGAATCTTACCTAGACTTACAATGTCTCTCCCTCCGGGTACGGACATAGATATCCGCCTTGGTCACTCACGTAGGAGATCAACCCAACTACCTCCTTCACAACATGACCATGTCCACAGACGCCTTCCACGGCTCTTCAGTGGACATATACCGGGCAGTAACGAAGATGGCGGAGACGAATCTTCAGACGATGGATCGCAAAGCGAGGCTATTGAGCTGAGAGACAACTTCCTCGGCAGAGTTCATAGTTACTCGAAGCTTATGCATAACCACACCAGGCTTCAACTCGAGTCACCGACAGGAGGAACGCTCCCCAGTTATACGAAGACGATGCATGCTTTCACCCTCAACCAGCTCAATCACCACAGAGTGACAACGACAACGAAAAGCTTGACCGCAAGTCCTTGGTTGGGAAGCGAAAGCAGGCAATCTGCGTTACCCAGCAATGTTTGTCTGTGTTTGAGTAAGCTCAGCCTGGGTGAAGTTCCACGCGGTCCATCAAACACGCCGGAGCACGGGCTAAAGAGTTTCGAGGGCCTTATGGTGAACAGGCGGAGCGTGACTGAACCGGCACCGAGAGGGTTCGCTGTAGTTGTACAGACTCGTGATTTTGCGCTGGTATGATTAGGTATTTGCATTCGACAGGTGGGCTAGTCTAGCTGCCTGAGGGCTTCTCATCTACTTTGTGTAATGATGACCGTGCCATAACTCAATTCGTAAGACCTACTCAGCCTTATGTCCTCTCTGCCTCAGATTCTCCTCGATGACCTGCATCATTTGATTACCCACTTTGTTTGCCTCCTCAAACCTCGGCTCAAAATACCTCTGAATCTTCTCAAACCGCAACCGGTAGGCGTCCATGTACCCTAAGTCAACACACTCACTCCAACCGCGTGCGGCATGCGCAAATTCGAAGTCGTCTGCGCGGAACGATGTATCTTCCAAAGCCGTCTCAATACATTCGTCAAGCAGATCCTTATTGCGGAAAACGTACTCCGTAATTCCAAGCCAGAGACGGAACAAGGGCGTCGAGCAAATCATGTGATCGTAAGGGTTGATGTTCAGCTGCGACCAGCAGTCCACCATGGCCAGAAGCGAAAGGTGATTATTGCGGACACGCTGCGTGGGTTGCGTGCGCAGACTGTAGCGCTCAAGGAGGTCATCTTGCAGCAGAAGCTCCTCGCCGTCTTTGAGTGCTTTGCCGAAGACAGCGGCTCGTGCGGCATAGACGCGCTCGACGAGCTCCTGTCGCTGTCGACCAATCATCAATGTGAAGAGCGCCGTTACGGATTCGGCATACTGTCGGATTTGTTGCTTGGCAGCCGGGTTGAGGATGGCTAAGCCGGCGTAGACGTGCCATTTATTGCTGTATATACGCATCATTAGGTTGATTTTGACGTTTTCAATCCCGCCAACGTAGCGGGGCAGCTCCCAGGGAAATTGATTGTTGGCCTGCCATGCAACACCCATGCTCAGGAAGGCCGCATGAGTGACGGCTTGCGTGTCCGCTGTGATGCGGTCGTGAGCCTCTGCTGATAAGTGTACGGTCCGGGACTTGAAGCATGAGAGTATGCGTTCGACCAACGCTACCGCCTTCGACCCTTCGGAGGTGCGGTGGTTGATGATCACAAGTGGCTGGCCTTTTGGGTCAACGCCAGGCCCATGTAGCGAATGACATGATACGATCTCCGTGTCACTCGGCAGATGCCTCTCGAAAGCTGCAATCTCTGGTGCTTTTGTCGATATTTGTCCGCCGACAACGGCACCAATCTTGGTGGACGGACCGTAAGCGGCGACAACAGCATCAATGTTCTTCGCTTCGACAGCATACATAATCCAATCTGAACTACGAGATACGAGATGTCCGCTGTCAAGAATGGAGACGTTACTCTGCCTACCTTTCAGCACGCGCGTCTACAGCAGGCTTGATTATGACACGGGCCTACATTGTCCGCGTACTCGGCTCTGAGCGCCTCAAGCTTATCGGGAACGTCGCAAGCATGTACTCTGACAGCACGTCAGTGTCGGACAAAGGGCTTGACCTGCAACACAATCAGTATTTGCTCCAGAACGTCAAGGGCAAGTACGAATAGTAGCGGGGGATGCGTGTCAGACAAAATTAATTAGGTAGCTGAGATTTTACATCAGTGACAGCCGCTCGGTCAACCGCTTCGAGATGATGCAGCTGGTGCCAAGACGGCCATACTCGAGCCAAATGCACTCAAGTCATCAGTGCAGCGAGGGAGGAGAAGGTGGCGGTGGGTTCGTACGTACCGTATTGCAGGCTCAAAGGTGAGCGCCTCCCGTAATCTCCTCGGACTCACCTCCATCCAGCCTGACTGATCCTTCTCGCGTACATCCTCCCCATGTCGCCCATGCCGATAATGCCAACTACTGCGTCACACATGGTCGATGTCTGACCAGCTCTGAAGCATGCGTGAGATACGAGCTCCCAAGGAGCACTAACTCCGGGTCTGCTGTCAGTCTCTAGGAGGTTCGCACTTCCTGTGAGTCACACATGACTGCTAGTCTGCGGTGCCATCGAGGATAAAGTTGACGAATGTCGCGAAAATTGGATGCTTCAAGCGAACACGCTCGGACCATACACCCGGCCTTGGCGAAACATTTCGCCGACGAACTTTCAGCCCACACTGAATTTGTTCGCTCGAGATCAACGACACGAGAGCCGACATCCAGTAATCTCTGATAATACAGCAGTCATGGCACCCAAGAGGAAGGTCGAGCGTGGTGCGCAAGAGAACGTTCAATTGGGCCCGCAGGCACGCGAAGGTGCGCCCTCCATCACAACTACCAGTCACTCACGAGCATCAACTGACTAGAACCATACAGGCGAGCTCGTCTTCGGTGTCGCACGTATCTTCGCCTCCTTCAACGACACCTTCGTTCACGTCACCGACCTATCGTACGTCTAAACTCCTCCCAATGAGCCAGCAACAGTCGGGCTTGGCAGGCGATGAGAGATATACATGGCTGCATATGGTTCATAGGCTAACCTGGGTGATTGCCAGTGGCCGCGAAACCATCAGCCGTGTGACTGGTGGTATGAAGGTCAAGGCCGACCGTGACGAGTCCTCTCCATATGCTGCCATGTTGGCGGCGCAGGATGTGGCTCAGCGCTGCAAGGAACTCGGTATCACGGCGCTGCATGTCAAGATTAGGGCTACAGGTGGTATGTATCAAGCGTCGTTTTTGTGCAACCCAATCTCAAATGCTGACATTGTGGCAAGGCAACGGCACCAAGACTCCAGGTCCAGGCGCACAGTCTGCTCTGCGCGCATTGGCTCGTTCCGGCATGAAGATCGGCCGTATCGAGGACGTGACGCCGACTCCTTCCGACAGCACGAGGAGAAAGGGCGGTCGTCGTGGTCGTCGTCTGTGAGCGCTTCGTCGCAAACTGGGCGTTCCTGCTGGGATTGCATGGACGGTGGTGATGGTGATGACTCTGTCGCGGAGAACGGCAACCCTTGCCTGGTCTCCATTGCGCTTTCGCTAGCTGCTCTATAGCTGCATCAATACGTATTAACATCAGTAATATCGTGCCACATCATGCCCTATTTCGTCAGAGCCCGTGTCTGATACTGTGGTGAAGCATATATAATTCGCCGAAACTCCACGCTAACAACGAACGCCCTTCCCTGGGGTTGAGTCTTCACGACTTTACATCGTTTAACAGCCGAGCCGCAACGACGTAGATGAAGATGACACCAGCTAGCACCTTACCCCAATTCCGCCCTAACCACCCATGGCCTGCTTGCCGTGCCGCCTGCCCGCCACCTACCACCGCGGCACCCAGACCTGCTTGACCGGTACTCGCTCTCTGCCGCAATGCAGCGGTCGTCTCCGGCGCACAATGAGATGCAGGCTTTGTCACTAAACTCTGGCCCGTTTGCGGATCGATCCTATTCTCCTCAATCCACTTCCAATTCGCAGCGTCCTCCTCCGCCCACTGCTCTCTAAACCTCTTCCCACCATCCCCAGCCTTGATAGCCCCAAATCCTCTACTATTACTCCCCTGAGTCTGCGCCTGCCCGCTCAACGTCCGGTTCGTACTCCCACCACCCGTACTATTCCACCACCTCGTTCGTGCCGCAAACTCCTTTCTCTGCGCTTCCGTTGCCGAAACAGATCCCGTCGTCATTTCCTCGCTTGTCATGAAGCTCAGCACACCTAGCAAGATCGTCGAGACTTCCCACGCCGGATTGAAACTTTTCGGGTGGAAGTCGGAGATGCTAAGGCAGAGGCGCTCGCTACAGCGGAAGCGGCCGCTGGGAGTGTGCATGCGGATTGCGGGAGGGGCGAAGGGGTAGTCAGAGGGAAAGGTGAGGGTGCCCCAGTACTGGCCGTTGTGGTAGGGCGTATTGGGTGGGCCGGTGAGGATGTAGTGCCATTCGAGGATGTTGGATTCGGAAGGGTGGGCGGTAATGTACTCGACTGGATTGGCAGCGAGGGTTGCGTATTCTTTCGCCAAGCGTTTGTGGGCGGCTTTGGTAGCCATAGCTGTTATACACTATAACGAGTGACTGTTAGAAGCGAGCGCTATGTGAGAATGATGGTGGGCTCGCCCGCAAGTTTGTGCAACGTGTTACAAGTACAGCGCAGAGACCTCGGATGCGGATGGCGTTTGGCTCCTGTGACTGGTCTTGCGGAAATGGTTATATGTGCATGTAAAGTGGTTATGTGGCGCTGAGCGGTTGATGGATCTGCGTGCCTTCTTCAAGCGGCAAGCGTTCCGTAGTGCAGCGGAGTCCTCTACATTGTCACATGATTTTGGGAACATCTTGGACGCCAAAGCACATTGGACGATCGCTTAGAACAACTTTCGGTTTCAGTCAAGGCAATATGAGCAACGTCACCATCAGCGGTAATGTGCATAGACTTTCCGGTTCATGCTACATGGTACCTTTCCCGTCGCATCTCCGTCCGCCGGCTATGCTCTGCAGCTGTTCAATGTGTACACCAAGCTGTGATCAACTACCTTCTCGCCTGTGCTCGGCAGTTGCTCTATGACTGCTCGGTGTCCAGTCGACCATAGATCATGTACCAGCGCTAAGCCGTAACAGGATGCAGACTTTCATGCTTGCTGTCTGTCAGCCTGATGCCGACATCGACTCTGCTGTACAGTGTCATTGAAGAGTGTTTGAGACTACTCGCGCCGGAATGTCAGTGGGTGGGACGTCAAGGCTTGTCACTCCATTCCAGCTTCACACCGTCCTGCGGTCTGACATTACTCGAACAATGCTGCCTGGTCCCACCATCTCCACAAGCTGTACCAAGTGAACAGTTAGCTTTAGCGTTCATTAGGCGCACCTGTTGCGGAAGGGACAGCTCCTCAACGCACCTTTTCATGCCAGCTTAGAAACACACTCATAGCCTGGCCCCCTCCTTCCGCCGCGCCAAAGCTCCGCCCTCCCGCCTGCGAGAAGCCAGTAGCTTGCGGTGTCATGCTCCGGCCATGTACCGAGTTGTTTGTTGTATGCGATGTTCCTTGTGCCATACCCTTGTACAAGTACTTCATCAGGGTGTCACACAGCTCGCTGCCACCTTCTGATTGATACATCCGTTGCAAGAGAGGCGTCATCTCGGTCTGCCGTATCTGCCCCAAGACCTCGGTCACGGTCGAGAGATGTATTTGCTTCCCTTGGTCATCCGCTCCGTAGGGCGCATTCTCCAACGCCCCCCTCAACGCGCCTTCCGCATCGCCGCCTCGGACAAGCTGTCGTATCTGTCCTGACAGTGTTTGTACGTCGGATGTCGAGACTGGTTGTACCGCTGGCGTTAGGGTCGTGAGGTCGAAGTTGTACGCTGACTCTGGATCGAGCGCATCGATGTTGATCGTTCGCCAGTTGATGTTCGACATTGCTCCGTCCTTGTCGCCGATATGCTCGACACAATCTCCAAGCGTAATACTCCTTCCCGGTCCCCGCAGTGGTGCGACTCAGATCTGCGTCAATGCGTCCAGCCACACAAGCGATCCACCTCGTGCCTGCCGATGCAGATGTGGAGTGAATGATGCGAGCAAGCACTATTTCGCCAGCGGTCCAGCATTCCGGGCTAGGGGGATCTGGAAAGCTCGAACCCTAGTGGACGGTGATTGGATCTGGACGATCGTAGCACGCGACCGACGCGCAGGGCGCACGAAACAAGCGATCCGTCGTCGCGCATTGCATTGCAGCCGCGCACGCATATCCAACCTTATCTACAATCGCGGCATGCTTTTGGTGAGCATGCCCCTGAGTTCATGATGCTGGCAACCGCACAACATCCGTCGCTATACGTAAGTTCGAAGAACATTGAAGTGGCATCAGTCGCTTTCACGCTTGGCGCAGTGGGTACGCTGGCGGCGATGGACAAGGTTGGCAACCAGGACGGGACGACACAGGACTCTGGTTCAGGAGGCTCTGCGTATTCGGACCTGAGCGCACTGGAGAACGAAACTGATGAATTCGGCCGAAGAATACTGCAGCATCAACGGGACTTGCAGCGCCTTAACAATGCGATCAAGCCTGGGCAGCGAGCATTCAGACACGCCCGACCGAGACCGCGGAGACTAGCGGAGCGTCTCGATACTGACGAACTGGCAAACCATGTGCAGACTGCGCAGAGCAAAGACAGAGCTCGAAGCGCGGGCAGCGAGGAGCTGGAGCCCCCGCTGAACGTTCCTAGACAGTGGGGTAGGAGAGCTAGAAAGCGACCGGAGTGGCTCAGAGAGAAGGATGCAACGGCCGACGAGGACGGTCTAGCAGCCAACGGGCAAGCTGCACCAGATGCGCGACAGGCGGACGATGATGCGATTTTTCCGCACAGGACAGCGTACACCGGAGATGAAGATTGGGATGCTCTCGCAGACGAGCCGACTGCCTCACTCGAGGACACGCCGCCGTCAATGCGTCGACGCAGGCCGGGGTTAACGCCAACGTCGATGGGACATATGAACACGACACTCAACAGCGATTTCGGCATTGACGACCATGACTTCTCCAGCGCGTCGCTACTCGCCTCTACACCCGCTGTGAATCAACGAGACCGCAAGGTCGACGAGCTGACTCGTAAAGAGATTGAGTCCATCGAGCGTCGTGGTGTCGCAAAGCGCACGCTGGAGCAAATTCTCGAGCAGTCAGCGGTTAAGTCAACAGAGAAGAGGCCTGTGACCGCGCCCTCTCGTGATACTGCACCTCAGCCTAGACGACGACGTAGCCTGATCGCTAACAAGGAGAACATGCCACCCAACGGCGACGTGAATGGCACGTTCAAGGGCGCCGAAACGGTGGGTCTGGTGAATCGCACAGCGGAAGCTGTGAATGTGCAACGACCTCCGCACAAGCGGAACGACTCGTACAACTTGCTTAAGAGACTTGCGCGCGTGTCGAGCTTGTCGCCGAGTCCGGCGAAGCCAAAGGCGGGCGGTGAGCAGGCACCAAGCGCAGACACACGGATGACGAAGAGTACGCCGGAGCTGCCTGCTAAGCCATTCACCTCTGCACAAGATCAACTTGTGGACCTTACTTCACGAAATACTCAGACACTTACAAGGGACGAAGTGCAAGAACTGAGTTCTGCACCAAACGGAAAGCACGAGCCGGCAGCTATGGCGGCGGAAGAGGGTGCGGATGAAATGCCGGAAGGCGAATTGGTAACGCCTGACATCGATGTCACCCCTGCACACGATTATTCAACGCACGACGCGAAAACGCCAGTGGTCACGGGCGCCTGGATTGATACGCCTAAGCCTTTGCCTGATGTGCGGCCGCTGCTGAAGGCTACAGACTCGACCATCATCCGAGCATTCGGCACTCCATCCGGAGCAGCTGCACTCGGTCTAGACGAAGACCCCCTTCCAGAAAATCTCAGACGCGAGTTCAGCGAGCCGATGCACGCGAAGTCGGCGCTCGCGGACGTGCTCAAAGAAGTGAAAGCGCAGAATGATGCGCAATTCGGCGAGACAACCATCCAATCACTCGAGAACATCATCAACCCAAGTGCGGACCCCACCGACCCAACGATGATTACCGACATCACAGAAGCGGTGGACGCCGTGCTCCACGCTGCCGACAGTAAGGCGCCAGCCACTCAAGCAGAGAAAGATCGTCGGCAGGAGCAACTTGCCATTGAGGCAATGAACAAGCATCTTCGCGCAGCACGTACCAGCATCAAGGACGCTGACAATGGCCTGCGCCGTGTTGAGAACAAAATCGACGTCGCGCAGTCTGCCGACGTCCAAGTCTCGACTCCCACTTTTAAAAGAACCATGACGAACGGAAAGCACGGCAAGGCCATCTGTCCGACCTGCGGCGGCAAATATCACACCTCCGTCTGGGCCGCTCTCTGGTCCGAGTTCCAGGAATGTTTCTACACCTGGGATCGTTCCCTACCGTACCGCGTGCGGTTGACCCGGCTTGGCATTGCCGTCGTCCTCTTCCTGCTCTGGTACACCATCGAAAGCGTGCTTTGCCACTACTATTGCTGGCACATGTATGCCGAGTCCATGATTGGCTTCGGTGTTGACCCGGATGCACCTATGTTCCCCTTCGTGATTCCAACGCTCTTGCTCCGACCATTCGAACCGATGTGGCGACCGGTCTGGGAGGCTTTGGCGTGGTGTTTTGGTGTGGCATTCCATTACGCTTTTGGGGACTCTACGTATATGGACACTCATCCTTGGAATGACCTTGACTTGTATGATCTTGATGGTGACATGGAGATTGCGGGAAACACATTGCAATATGGGCGAGGTTGGGCGCAAACTGCGACGGCGTCACTGGTTTCCGAGAGTACACGGGTATTGAGAAGTGCGGTGACTGCAGTGGATGAGGTGGGGAGTATGTGGGATGATGCTGTATTGGGTTAAAAGAAGAATAACGGTCGCTGCTTGTATAACGAGGACAGTCTTGCAGATCCCAGGCGATAATCACTGGTCTTACGTGCATTGCTTACGCTTCATTTGTAGATATCTGAAGTCAAGCGGAACGGATGATCGTCATACGAACAATGTGCGCCTGCTACAGCGCCCACCGATGCGTAGGGGCAGGTACTCTATCAAGCCGTTTCCCCTTTGGAAGCAGTCCCCTCCTGCCTCCGACCCACTTGACACAAACAGAACATAGCTCAAGCGAACATGGATACCACGAAAGCGAGTGACGGCTGCTACAGTCAGGCTTGTAGCAGGTCATTAGCACCGACCCGTCCTTCCTCATCGTCATCGCTTCAACAATCCTCACATTCACTCCAAGCAGAACATACAACCGTATCCGACCGTGCAAGACCTACGCAGACTTTCAAAGTCACCGCCAATATTACACTGAACGTCCTAGGCGCCCGACACCGATACCTTGGCGCACACCTTCCGAACATGCCACCCGCGGACGTCTTTGAAAACAGACTCGAGCGTGGCTATGACGGCGCCAGCTCGCCACCTGTAAGATCATTCATCGCGTATGGCACTAGTAGTGCCAACGCGGCGGTGGGCACGAGCAACGATGTCAAACACAACGACGCCAGACGAGCTGCTGCCGCTGCCGGCTATGCAACCTCCGCGAACAGCGGCGCCATCCCGAATGGTGCCATCGTTGCGCTTCTGCCAGCCGCCAACGAGGACGACTACGACATGCGAGAGGTGGCAGAGTGGCGATCGCAAGAGAACCGTGTCTATCCCAACCACTTCTGCGCTTGGAACTGTTGCTACACACTACCCCCGGAAGTGTCAGATCACAGAACTTGGCGTTCGAATGCTCGTCAAGCAAATGCTTCCCTCAAGCAGCGAAGGGGGCCATCACTTCGACTTCAGTTCCAGAGTCCGCTGCATACGGCGCAGATCGACCACTTGCCAGTCTGCCACGAGCGGTGCTGGCAGGCTGAACTAGCACGTCTGATGCGCGAGAGTGGTGGTAAAGTCGATTGTGCGAGCTTGCCCCTATGCCATCGCACGTGTTACCTCCAGAAGATCTTTAGGGAGCAGCATGACGGATCGTTTAAAGAAGTTGTGCCCTGGGCGAGATCCTTGAAGGAAAGGTGTCGGTGGCACAAGTTTCAGCATTGGGCCACGAGAGAGATCGCAAGTCACGGAGGGTGCTGATGATGCATTTCACGTAACGTACAGTAGCGGACGACGAGCAGCTGAATCTGACCTAAGGAGTGCCTAAATGATTAAGCGTCCATCAATGCTTTGTAAACATTGATTGAGCGACGTGCCTGCCCTGTGCTTCTTATGATGATGTAATTGGTCATAGCTCCCAAGTCTCAGTTACGGTCCAACGAAGTAAGCTCGTAAGGAGCATCGGAAAACAAACCCAAAAGGCTCCAGTACCAATAACCAATAACAACAACACCACCTGCACACACACATCATCACACAGCCATGTCGTTCTTACGTTCAGCCAACACCTCTCTCCTCCGCCCAATTGGCCGCTCCACCCCTCGTTTAGGATACATCTCCCGGCGTGCCGCTTCCCAAGACTACGGCTCCGGTGAGGGCGACCCAACAGCCGAGAAGGGTGCTCAGCTCGGCAAGAACCCGTCGGAGCACCTGGAGCACCCAGGCCCACCAGCGCCATCGACCGGTGGCAGCAACAATGGCAGCCAACAAGGCCAGCAAGGGAGCAGTGGACAGCAGCCGCAGGGCGCGCAGAAGTCGGACGGTAGTGCCGAGCAGCAATCACAGAGAAAAGGTACGCAAGGAGCCCAGCCTAAGATCCTCGCCGATTCGCCACCGCCGTCGGATGAGGCGTCAAAGGATGTTCAAGAGCACAATCGCGATATGGACAAACGGGCTGAGAAAGCGAACGAGAAGGTCAGTGAAGAGGATTACGAGAAAGACAAGGTACCCAAGGGCTTCTGGGGAGGTGAGTTAATGCATATATCGCAAATCGAGTCAATGTAATTGAACTAATGATTCATGTGCAGGTCGTGGTGGCAGAGACAGTGACCCGTGAGGTACGCTACTGTTTTGCGAGAATGCGTTGTTTGACTGTACGATATAATTTCTGAAGGCGTTGCATGCCTTTCGTCCCTTATGCAATGCAGGAAATGTCCATTGCAGACAAGCTAGAACTCCGAGCGCCTTGCTCGCTATTGGGGTATCTCATATTCACTCCACATGCTCCGCCTAAACAATCGACGTAACACGAGAATTTGCACTTGTGTGGTTACAACCGAAGAATAAGTAAAAAATGCCTTCATCGATCCCCGCAATGCAGCTGCGAGCCTTGTGCAATATATCGATTTGTCCAGGGGGTGCCGATTTGCTGCCATGCTGCAGACCTGTTGCGATGTTATGGTTGCAGGAGCTTGCCGAGATCCTGGGTCGCTCATGATTAAACGCTGTCAGAGTCGAGAAAGTCGAGCCTGACACCTCTGCGTGTCATCAAGCCAACCGTGCCGTCGTCGTCGCTCACGTCAGCGACCGGAGCCCGGTTCTCTTCGTCGCTACCGTTCTCGTCGCCTTCAATGTTCAGCAAGTCGAAGCGGTTCGTCATCGTATGCTGTTTTTTCACCGGACCCGGCAGTGGTGCCTTGCCTTTCAGCACCGGCACCGGTAGTGGCACATCACACTCGTCTCGGAAGAACTCCACTTTGCAGCCTTTGTAGGCTGTGCGGCTCATCATGCAGGTTCTGGCGAACAAAGCGTTGTGAACCGAGTTGGTGTAAACATAGGCGTCCCCACTATTAAAGGTAACGCCGATGATGATAAGATTGTGGATGTGATCCATCTCCGCGCGGATCTGTTCCTCTGTGATGCCGTTGCTGACGGCGTTGCGGATAAGGATGTTTCGTGTAGAGCCGCCTAGGATCTTGTTTGATATGTGACCTTTGATTCTGTATTGTCGAGCAGCCCACTCGACTTCGACCTGAAGTGTCTGTCAGCCTACATCTACTCGACAATGGCAGGCATACTTACGCGTTTGGAGTGCAAGTAAATGTCATTGCGTTTAGCCCAAGCCAGAAACTCTGCGGCGCCATCCCAGAACGTTATGGTAGCGCTTCGGTCGGATCGGAGGTTCACGCTCAGAACCTTGCCACCTTTGACGACAGACAGGAGATCTTTGTACGTGGTTCGATCGGAGAGGCCAGAGAAGTAGAGAGTGCGGCGCTCTTGCGGTGCTTGGAGGTTGGGCATATCAGCAGCAAAGTTCATGCCGTCGTCGCCTATGCTGTCATTGTCGCAGAATGCAGCATCATCAGGTACAGTAGACCCTGCAGCACCAAAGCTGACTTGATGCGAAGATGGCGGGATCTTGAGATTGGAAGAGGGGCCATCTCCGTTATGCAACGGTCTACTGCCCAGAGCTAGGTTGATGGGAGGTAGAGATGCGGGCTGCCTCCAAGACATGTCACGATACTGTCCGCTGGCGTTATATTGCGACGACAGTTGGTCATGTAGCAGCATCTGGTCGGGAAATTCATTCGTCCAAGCGTTCATGGCGCTCACCGAATCCTTGCGCTGTACGTTATTGTTTGCGCCAGAGGTGAGAAGATCGAGGGTCTCCCCAGTGATTCCGCCTTGGAATAGAGCATTCTTGAGAAGTTCATACTCGCGAGAGCAACGAAGCTGAGGTTCATTTAGCTCAAATGCATGCCTTCATTATCCCCGTCCTGGACATACAAGGCTGTCATATTCGACTCTGGAGATGGTCACATTCACCGGATCTATACTGTTACGTGTCTGCGCTGAAGTGTGCTAGATACGATGATCTGTCAGTAACCGTACTTAGCTTCCCATTCGATGTCTTTCATACAAAGTCGGCTCTGGGTTAAACGAGCGGTTAGCGCCCGAACTATTGCCAAGGGAGCGGAAGTACGCTGTCACCTGCGAAGCAAAGCATCAAAGTAGGTCTTATCGACCGTCACCTTCTCGGAGGCTGCCATGATCTTGACAGCAACCTCGTCCGTTAGGAGGTGGGTTGTTGTTATAGATCACAAGCAACAACGAGTTCTAGATGCACGTCTGGGAAAGTGACAAGGCCAGCGTTAGCGCGGTCATTTAACGCAGGTGCTTAAATCCGGTCCGTGACTAGTGAAGCCTTGTTTAAGCCGCAATATGGCGCTTCCTAAACTGCACCTATAATCCGAGCGTTCTCCTGCAGTTCACGCGCTCCGTTGGGTTTGATGGACAACAATGCACCGTCGCAAGCCCCAATAACGTCACCAGCAGGTCACGGTAGCAGGGAAGATGCGATCAAGCAGCTTGCTGCAGCCACTGGTGGCGACGGTACCCTTGTCACACAGCTATTGAACAACCCCTTCTTTACGGCAGGCTTCGGCCTTGCTGGATTAGCAGCAGCTGTACGCTATGGATCGCGAGGCTTGGCTCAGGTCGGCAGCCTTCTTCGTCAACGCTTGCTTGTGGACGTAGAGGTCACCCGCCACGACAAAGCTTACGATTGGGTGCTTAACTGGATGATTGCGCATTTCCAGGACCAGCTCCAGCCAACGCAGTCGCGGAAGCACGTCGGGACCATTGAGTACCTTGTGCGCCGCTTCACACCTGGCTTACATCATCTGCAAGTCAGGACTGCGACGCTCAGATCTGCCAATGGAGCAGAACAGACAGCATTCTCCATGGTTCCGGGTCAAGGCAGGCACATTCTCCGGTACAGGAACGCCTTCATCGCCGTCAACCGCGAACGTGTTGGCAAAAGCTTTGACGCAGATGGCAAACCGTTTGAAACGGTCACCTTGACCACGCTGTACCATTACCGATTTGTCTTCGAAGAGCTTTTCCGGGAAGCGCACCTTATGGCTCAGCAAAGCACAGAGGGCAAGACTGTTGTGTTTACTATGCAGAACTTAGGCTGGAAGCCGTCAGGTCAGCCTCGGCGAAGAAGACCTTTCGACTCAGTTGTTCTTGAAGAAGGTCTAGCCGAGAAGATCCTCGGTGACGTGCGCGAGTTCCTTAACACACGAACATGGTATCTTGATCGAGGTATCCCATATCGACGAGGCTACCTCCTGTATGGGCCGCCTGGTACTGGGAAGACGTCCTTCGTACAGGCGCTAGCAGGAAGCCTTGACTTTAACATCGCTATGCTATCGCTCAGCCAGCGAGGGTTGACAGATGATTTGCTAAACAGGCTACTATTAGAGGTGCCACCACGAACGATCGTACTCCTGGAAGACGCAGACGCAGCTTTCAGCAACCGAAGACAGCGCGACGAAGACGGATATACTGGGGCGAATGTGACTTACTCTGGTTTGCTGAACGCGCTTGATGGCGTAGCGAGTGCGGAGGAACGCATCATCTTCATGACGACGAATCATATCGATCGCCTTGATGATGCGTTGATCCGACCTGGTCGTGTAGATATGACGGTCAGGCTTGGCAATGCTACCGAAGGCCAGATGGCACGGCTGTGGGACCGTTTCTACGCTGAACAGGATGCCCACGGAGAAGGCAAGCGACGCTTTTTGAGCAAGGCGATCAACGCTGGCCTGACCGACAATGTAAGCACAGCCGCCTTGCAAGGATTGTTCCTGTACAACAAGGGCGACGTTGAAGGCGCAATCAACATGGTAGACCAGCTTAAACCACAGCAGGCCGGTCGGCCGACTGCTGCGATGACAGCACGGTAGGTTGTATGGTCCTAGCGACCCGCTACAATACTTCGTGATCGTGCTACCAATGGCCCCTCGGTTACAGGGGCTGAAGGAGATTGAACGCTTGTGCATGCGCTCTTCCGCTTGTCTGATCGAGCAGTTGCACCACCTTATCCGTAAACGCTGCCCGGATGTTGTCGTCCACAAACGACGTGCCATGCCCTGACAAATCAAGATTCGAAAGATCCCTGAACGCATTGTTCAGCACCCTATCCAATGCCTTTCTAAACTCCAACAGAAGCTTCGTCGCAAACTGCCGGTCGCTAGCCTGCACAAAGAAAGGCAGCCAGTCATCCATTGACAGCCGAATGCTGTCGCTCATCTGCAGCCTTCCGCCGAACAGGACAGCAGTGAGTGGGCTGACCATTGTAGAGTCCCGCATGAAGATGCACTTGCCATCGTTGCTCTGGCTGAGGCTGCTGAAGGCGAAGAGCGTGCCGGAGCGATGTTTCTTCTCCTTGCGCCCGATGTCGTCGTTCAGAGACGCGGGATGCATAAGCACTCCGTGCTCGTTCGGCGTTCTGTACGAGGACCCTCTCTCGGATACCTTGGCCCCGAGATTAGGGTACAGACCTGCCAAAAGAAGTGCTTGTATTAAGATAGGATTGTCTGAGTTGCGGTTCAGTTCGGCTGATCCGTAGACCGTCTCGCGCTGATGGCTCCCTAATATTCTGGGTATCAGTCCAGTCTCTCCAAGGACTTCTAAGATCTGCCGCGCAGTCTGGTCGATGGTCTTGAAAGCTCCAATGTGAATGTTTCGCTCCACCGCTCGGCGGTAAGCTGAGGGTTGGCCGTCTTGACGCTGTATCGCGCGGATCTCCCTGAAAGCCCTAAGAATGGCTAAATGGTCACTTGAGTGCTCGCCTGCATAAGCACGCCGGACTCGGTTGGCTGCGGCTCGAGGCTCAGCTGCGATCGGATTGATGAAGAGCGAGCGCTCATTTGCTGCTGCGCCGAAAATGAGCATGGGGTCCAGGCATCTAAAGATGACGCCGAGCACAATCATTTTGCCCAGGGTAGGATGCACCGGCAACTTCGAGAGCAAACGCCCAAGCATCGTGAGCCTTTCGTCCCCGGTCAAGGCCTCAATGGCTTGTAAATTGTCTCTTGCAGCTCTTATGGCTTGGGTGGGCGGGGGCTCGATTGCCTGCTCGAGCAATTCTTCCACAGGCTCCTTGAACCTTTGCGCCTTGATTGACAACACGGTCTCCTGCAGATCAACGCGCAGTAGCTCCGGCAAGCCCACAGCCTTCAGAGAGTTGTGTCGCTCCTTCGAATGCAGTGCCCAGTAGTAGCCATCTTGCACACGGCCCGCCCGGCCGGCTCTCTGCTTCGCATTCGATTTGCTCTCCCAGACGCACTGGAGTTTCGTAATGCGTCGGAGTTGGTCATACCTGAGCTCTCGAAGCTTGCCGGTATCCACGACATGCTTGACATCAGTGACCGTAATGGAGGTTTCAGCGATGTTTGTCGATAGAATGATCTTGCGGCATCCTGGTGGTGGTTGTCCAAAGATGGCAGCCTGCTCATCCTTGGGGACCATAGAATGCAGCAAGCAGATGCGGAACTTCAAGGGGTCGCCGAAGTCAAGATCTGCGAAGATAGACTCCAGTAAAGAAGCCTGTGTCTTCAAAATCTCGTCGATGCCGGGAAGGAACGCTAATATTGCACCGTCTTTGGTCGTCTTACAGATGCGTGCGATGACTGCGGCAAGCAGAGCAGTAGGTACTAATGCCTCTTCTTTTTCGGCTGCAGCATTGCCGGCTTCCTCGGCGCCAACGGGGTGCTGCCCGGCCCGTTTCCAGTCGATAACACTGTCAGTCGGCGGCTGCGTATCGACATCCACGGCACTGAATGCCCGCTCCGACTTAAGATACTCCTCGCTTGCCTTGTCCGTGGCAAGGAGTGCGTCAAGCCCAGGTACGTGCTTGTGGAGATCCAGCATCACGTCCTCGAGGTATTGTTCTTGAACGGGGTAGGTTCGTCCGGGCACGGTCAGAGAAGGGCACGGTTTGCCCTCGGTGGAGAAGTAGTTCGCGAAGAGTTCGGTATCGAGCGTCGCAGACATAAGCACCACCTTTGGTGTTGACTTGCCAGCGGCAAGCCGTGCTGCAAGGGCTTTCTTGATTATGATCATTAGGAAATCAATGTTGATGTCACGCTCGTGCACTTCGTCAACCACAAGATGTGATATTGCATCCAACGTGCCATCGGGGTCGTGCTTGAGTTGCTCGAGCAGTATACCCGTCGTGCAGTAGATTATACTTCCGCCGGATTCTGGTAGGCGTTGATCGAACCTAACGTGGTAACCAACCGATTGGCCCAGATCTTCATTACGTTCGACCGCAACACGCTGCGCGACTGAAGTGGCAGCGATTCGGCGAGGCTGCGTGCATACGATATTGCATGATCCTCCCTGGCCGGAGGCGATCTCATGTTCCAATAGGATCTGCGGTACTTGCGTGGTCTTCCCACTACCGGTGGCGCCGACGATAATGCTGTGAGGATGATTCGATACCATCCCAATGACATCTTGCCGATACTGATTCATGGGTAGCGCGGCCTTTGCCGCGTGAAGATTCTGCAGACTTGAATTCTTCTCGAAAGCCTGCTGCTTCTTCACTAGGTGCTTGCTCAAGAAATCGACTTGTTTCCGATCAAGCTGTCTCCGCTTGCGAGGATAGTTTATAGCTGTGACACTGTCGTCTTCTTCAGCAGACAGAGTCTCCCGCGCGTCCGGTAAGCCTGCCTTGCGAGCTTCAACCAAGGCAGTGCGCATGATGTATGCAGACTCTGTGTCGACAGGTAGGTCAATGGCCGACAGCTGTCTGAGAACTTTGCCCTTGTCTCTTCGCAGTCTCCGTTCAAACTCCTGCAACATCGAAGGGTTCTCTCTGCACAAGACTACGGCGGCAACGAGCAGCGCGACAGCCTCCGCCTGCTTCTTCGAGTTCATTGCCACGGTTTGGCCGATCTGTCTTCCATTAATGGTGACCTGGGCAGTTTGACGTGTCACTCCGAGTAACGAGCTTTGCTCATGCTCAATCTCGATCCAAGTACGTGGATTCTCCTGCTTGTAGAAGTCGAAATAGAGCCTCGCAGACTCAGTATTCAGAACACGTGAACTTTGCACGGAGGCATCTGACGGCAGAGACTGTTGTCTTGCCTCAGCTTGCTGCTTGAGGCGAAGTGATGCTGTAATCTCTGCGGTTTGGAGGTTGTCACCGATGCAAGTAGCTTCTATACCTTGCTCCGCCAGCTTGATGGTCACTCTCACCCCAGGCTTTGCGCTGCGACTTTTGCGAGCGAGCCGGCCGAGCCTTGAACGAGAAGGTCTGATTTGTACCTGCTTAATGTCAAACTCTGGCACCAAACCGAAGCCTGCAGCGTAGTTGTATATTTCCACTTTGGCATCCTTCTCTGCAGCCATCACTTCCTTACTTAGCACCGTTGCCTCGGATTCAGCGCCTTGTTCATCCACGAGACGCTCCTGGCCAGGAGCATTGGGCCATAATTCGCGCAGAATGCCTTTCTCATGCATCCGTGTCAGCATAGCAACCCATGCTGCATGTCGGGCACCTGCTTTCGAGGTATCGTTCGCGGAGGTTGTCTCTGAGCATAGATCCGGGACTTCAACCTTCAGTGTGCAGCTCCAGCTTTGTCCACTCGCTTTATAGTCATAGTCACTCTGTAACGCAAGCCCTACACTTATGCAGTGGTTGTGGATTTCACTCTGAATCGACCTCGGATCAAAAAGAGCACTGTTGGCATGAGGGTATTGATCCTTGGTAGGAAAGTTGGGCGGTAGGCGTTGCTTCTCAACAAATGATGCCACAGGATCTGACCTTGCCTTAGCCGCTCTGGGCTGCATCAACTGCCTCAAGATACCGTTGGCGTGCATACGGGCGAGGATCTGCTCCCAGGCTGCGCGTTTCGCTGCCTTCTTCGAGGATCCAGACGCGGTAACCTTGTCACTATAGCCATTGCTTACAGTAAGACTGAGATCGCAGGAATACCAGATTATCTTCTTACTGGTATAACCAGCAGAGAAGGTCTCTGTAGCCTTGCATTTCTGTTTGGCTTGAGAACAGAGTGCATGGACACCTGAAGACATCCGCTCAGGTATGAATAGATCAGCTGGCGCGCCTATGTAGTCACCCGGTGGAGGTAGCACAAGCGATCCTTGACCTTCAAATATCTCTGCAGGCTTCCCCTGGTGTTGGCCTTTGGTCTGCGCTGGTTCAGCGGTCGGGCCCGGCTTAACGTTGAAATGGTACGCCTCCCGCATATCCTTGGCATCCTGATGAGCGACGGTGGCGTACGCACGTCGGTAGGGTTTAGATGCACTACATTGGATTGCATGCTTAGTCCTTGCTTGGAGTGCAGTTGCACGCAGCAAGCTCAGCCGCTCTGCTGCCGCGGCATGGGCGAAGAGATGTAACCGTACGGCAGGCGGGAGCCTTAGCCATACCGACGGAACTGCCATTTTCGTGCATGTCAGTTGCCCCGCCTCGCTCTCGAATTATTATGGCTCTGTCAAAGACACCCTGTCCCAAAGGCTGTTTTTATATACGACGTGGTCGGAAGGCAATCTTGACCTAAGGACGCGATGAGGAACGCGTCGGGACGGAAGTGGATTGCTTCGGCCCGAATCCGCCGAAGGGACGGTGATGTAATCTTCAATACTGCTCGCGTGCTCGACATCAAGTGCCAGTTGTACATTGTTCCTCATTGTTTTCTCTACAACTTCACCCTCGCCAATACCGATACGTTTATCATCTGTCAAGTACCATCAGAATGCCTCGTGACGGTTCAGGAGCGGGAGACAACGCGGTCGAGCAAGGCCAGGACCTCGTCCACGGTGCTGGAGAGAACGATGTTCGTCCCTCCATCGCCTCGATATTGCTCATCTGACTGCTTGCTAATCTAACACGTTAGGCCCCCTCTTCATCCGGGGTAGACCGTTCGTCAAAAGCCGCACCACCTCCAGAAGTCGAAAAGGGCGACTCACTTGAAGGCTTGAACGCCTCAGGCGGAGGAAGCTCGGCAATTGGGCAGGGCAGTGGGAAGGGAGAGAAGGACGTCACGGTCGACAAGATTGCGGAGGAGGCTGGCAAGAAGTGAGTTGCCATGACCACTTGAGCTTCGACGGCTCCGCGAAGGCCGCGCAGCAAGCGCTGTAGCTTCTGCGTCTTGAGCTGGCTGTTGCCGCTGTAGATGCATGCAATGTACGACTCCTCGGAAAGTCATGCGGCATGCGGAAGCCATGTAGACGCAGTCCTAGACCGTGTAGCTCCGACTGTACAGCAAGAGGTAATTACTCACAGATGGCAAATGCATCCATGTATGCGAGAATGCATCGCATCGACAGGTCTTCCCAATGCCGCTTCGGTATACGTAGGCTACGTGTCGCCCAAGCTAAGTCAATCTCGACAGTACCTAGAACGGCTCCATGTTGTAAAGTGTCCGAGACTTGCAGCATTGTTAGTGTACAGTGTTACGCGCATAGGGCCAAGCTCCGCTTGCACCTTCCGTAGCTTGCTGCAATAGTGGCCGAATCCTTCTGTGCTCAACGAGCGTGCCATGAACAGTCAGCATGGCGCGACCGGAGCGGGGAGAGGATGCTGCAGCCCAGCCTTCTACGCTCCACAATCAAACGCCGAAGATGCTCGCTCAGATGCAACCAACTCCACGCTATGCCAAAATCCCAGTATATTCATACATTCAACCAGACCCTGAGGACAACTCCAGGTTTCAGCTCGGTGGCGCCTGGTTCTGCGACTGTGTCTGCTGCTGCTGTGCCTCTTGGAATCTCAGCCGCTGTGCCTGCGTGCAAAACGATTCGTCAGCACACGTACCATCACGACGCCACTTCAATCTCGAAAAAGCTTCGGCTTCCACCCTCTCCGTAGCTCTTCTTCCCTCTCTGCAGCCTCGGCAGCCTCACGTACCTCCAGCTCTATTCGTTCTCGTGCCCTCAGCACTTTGCTCTGCAGGTAAAAGCTACCTCCTTTCTTCGGGTCGTTCATGTCGAATAACCGCTTGAACTGTTCATGCACTCTGTCGAGATTCTGTTGCCCGCCTTTAGGGGGAGAGACGTTGAGTATTCGGCATGCCTCGTCAAGAGTCAGTCCGGAAGAGGAGAGCGTGTTCGCCGATGTCTGGGAGTTATTCGCCGCGGCGTATTTCTGGCAGTAACATTAGTGCTCCATCTGAAATGTCGCAGAATTGTCAAACGTTCAAACAGACGCACTTGTGATGCCGCAGCCTGCTTGTATGCCTCCGCGAACGCTCGCCCGAAGACCCTTGCGCCTGTGAAGACGACTTGCGATATTATACGATGTGCCTGGTCGCCTCGTTAGCTGCTGTTGCCGACAGTATCGCGTGGAAGGAGTCCTTTCGCGGCAGTATACTCACCATTATGTGCGACGAACTGAAACAAATGAGCGATGCTGCGGCGTCGCCTCCAAAATCTCCATCTCAACTTCGGGAAGCGGAAGCGTTGGTGATCTCCCGAGATGCCGATGCCGAATAGGGCCCGTGCGGTTATGACCCTGATCATTCACATGCCTTCGTCTCGTGCTTCGACCCCACCATCCTCATGACTCTAGTCGTGCGTCCAAGAATCAACATCAATCTGTCCGTCGACAAACATGCAGACGGCGAGACAATCATCTCGTGTGCTTGTGTGTAAAGACAGAAGCAAGCGACTTGGGCAAACAGGCAGCAACGGCTGGTCGTGTCACATGCCCGGCTTCACTGCTGTGGAAGAGGCTTGGTTGATATATGGCAGCGTTTGGTATGCACAAGTCACCCGCCCTACACGACGATATGCAGCGGCAGCACTATGGTCCGAGGTCTGAAGGGAAAGTGGCAAAGCTGACGAGGCGCTGTGATGCTGCAGATACGCCTTGGACGACATCGATGACCTCGAACAGTACGCCACCGAGCAAGACGAACGATGGCGCTGCCAACTCCGCCGCTTCTTCTGCCGCAACCCCTCAAGCCACGGTGGCTGCCTTCTCGCCGAATCAGCAGACCGCCGCTACGAAGCGCAACCGCGCATCGGTGCTCATCCATCAGAAAAGTCCGCTCCTCGTCGCAACGCCTCCGCAGGTGACACGGGCGCTAGCGTATAGTCATCCCTTCATCTTACCACTGAACTTCGTTGCCGGCTTGCTATCATGGACAACAGGCGATCCATGGGAAAGCTTTCTATTGCTCTCCGCTTTCTGGTTCATCACCATGTATGGCGACCACGTTGTACGCTGGGCTGGACCGCTTGTGCTGGTCACGGGATTGATATTGGGCATGTATTCGCGACGCTATAGCCCTCTCTCGAGTACTATCTGGAGCGGAGACAAGCCCAAGCGGAAGCCAGCGGATTCAGAGCAGCGGAAGAGTCTCGACGATCTCCTGGAGTCGCTGGAGACATTCACCGGCCGATGCGATGCCCTGCTAGATCCGTTTCTAAGGCTCACTGAGTTCTTGAGCACGCAGTCGACTGCTACATCTGCGACAACAAGGCCAGCGCTCGTATCGTTGTTCTTGCGCATATTGGCAACAATGCCGTTCTGGATCTTGTTGACCCTACCACCACTGCATATTATCACTACTAGGCGTGTGGTTCTAGTCTTTGGCACCATTGGACTGTCGTGGCACAGCCGACCAGCGCGAGTGACACGAACAATCCTATGGCGGAGCCGGTCGGTACGCAGACTGGCCTCACTGGTGACAGGCTTGCGATTTGACGGCGTGGACCATCGACAAGCGGCTGTGCCAACGCTACCACCACGAAGCAAAGCACCTAACACGAGCACATTGTCCGTGGAGAGTGGGAAACCCGGTGTTCGCTTTACATTCACCGTCTATGAAAATCAGCGACGCTGGCTAGGTCTAGGCTGGACAGCTTCTTTATTTGCGTACGAGAGGCAAGCTTGGACAGACGAGCACCTCAGTACATGCCCGGATCCGGAGCATTTTGGGCTGCCTGACACAGAGAGTGACAATGCAGCGTGGCGTTGGGTTTCTGGCAGTGAGTGGCACGTCGAGCGAGCCTTTAGCGGTACCGATAGCCCCTCCAAACGTGCCGACAGCGAACACAATGGTTCTGCCGACGACGTTGGCTGGACTTACTATGACAACAAGTGGCAGAATGGGCAGAAAGCCGATGGCTGGGGACGCTACACTCGCCGCCGCAAATGGATCCGCGATGCCGAGCTCGTCAAAGTCGACGCTACTCCCTCATCTACCATCACTTCCCGCACCAATGCTACTCCATCCAAGAGCTCTACCACGACCACCACCACTCGAACTTCAGCCGAGATCTCCAGCAAGTCTTCTGAATATCACCCAACCCCGACACCCTCCACACCAGTCACAACGCCAAGCCTCGAGAGCACAGCCAAGCGCAAAGCCTGGTTCAGCGGCTCGAGGCCTTCAACGCCAAGACGTGCGACTAATGAGAAGGTTCCTTCTGCTTCCGCTACGAAGAAGTCGCCCGATGCGGCTTCGGGCAAGGCGGGGAGCTTGGGATCAACAAAGTCGAGGGAGCGGGATGGGCCGGATGAGGATCATGTGCAGCGGTATCGGCAGACGGAGTGGGATCGGAGTATTGGGGAGGGAGTTGTGCAGGGGTTGAGTTGATGAGACCACGATTGCATGAGGGAGGACAAGAACGACGTAGTGTTTGAGTTAGCGCGGCGTTGGAGGCACGACAGGAACGTGACCATGAGTATGAAGCATAGCCGGAGCTCCCCCTAGTCCACAGTAACTACACCTTCCTCTTCAACAACCCTTTGAAGAAATCAAACGAATTACTATCACTCTGCAACTCGAACCTCCTCCCCGTGTCCCTCGCTCTCCCCTCCACCACCTCCTCCGCAACCAACAATCCCCAATCCCTCGTAATCCCTTTAATCCTCGCCTTCGCCCCACCCTCCGTCTCCAACATCACCACCTGATCCGTATGCAGCCAACTTGCATAATACCGCTCCTCGAACTGCGCGTCCCAACCGGTGCGGCAGAAACGGGTATACAGCGTCTCGAACTGCGTGAGGATGGAGGCGAGCAGCTTCTCGAGCGTGAAGGCTGGAGTTTTGTGGGCAGAGGCGAGGTGTGAGAGGGAAGTGGTGGGCGAGGCGGTGTTGAGGGCGTTGATGCCGATGCCGACGACGAGGGTGTAGTCGCCGCCGGCGTAGGAGGAGTTGACTAGGATGCCGCCGATTTTGACGTAGTTGTCTCGCTCGCCCTCAGCCTTCTTTGTGCTTGATGATGTGGTGGCCGCGGCGTGGGGGTTGAGTGCGTAGACATCGTTCGGCCACTTTAGCTTGATGGGGAGTCTGTCGTACTCGCCTTTGCGAGCGTACTGCTGTATTCCGGCTACTGTCGCCATGGCGGCGAGGTATTGCACGAAGACTACCGGCGCCGTGGTGTTGGAGAGGGTGAGACTGTGGCGGAGCACGGTGCTGAACATTAGACTGCCTGGGGGTGACACCCAGACGTTACTTCCACGGCCACGGCCGGCCACTTGGGTTGTCGCGGTTGCGGTTAGGCCGGTGGGGAGATGGGAGAGGAGGGTCGGGTTCTTCTCGAGGAGGGTGGAGGTGCTGGTTACCACTTCGCCGTAGAGGAGCGTCTGGCCGAAAGTGGAGTGGGAGTCGTAGGATTTGAGGTGGGAGTAGAAGGCGGAGTGGTTGAAGTAGGGGGTTGCTTTACTGTCGGGGAGACTGTTGTCTTCGTGGAGGACGACGTGTTTGGGGAGGGCATTGTAGTCGGGCAGGCCAGTGTCGTCAGATGAGGAGCCGTCAGCCTGCGTATTGCCGTCTTCGGATTGCGGTGCGGATGGCGGAGGTAAGGCCGCCTTGACCTCTGCCATGCTTAAGCGCCCGGCTTGTTCGAGGATGAAAGTGTCGTTCTCGCCCTTGATCGTGTCACGCTCATCGTCATCTTTCGAGACGATACCGGCTTCATGCCACGAGTGCACCAGCTCGGCGACAAGCGAAGGGTGAGCAGAAGAGAGGTGTAAACGAGAGAGCGACGGTACCGCTTCAGACTCTTGGCTCACTTGCAGACCGAGCTTTGTCAAGCAGGCTTTCATGAAAGCCACGCGATGCTTCTCGTCGGCGACTAGGGCGGAGACTACGCTGGCATAATCGTGGTGGCCGGATGGTTCGTTCGGGTTGAGGTTGGTGCCGGAGAATCTACCGACTGTCAGCGGGCCAACGTGCCAGACATATCGACTAGAGGCATACTCAGGATGTGGTCCAGTCAGTATGGCTCCACCTTCACCGACCTTACAATACACCACCGCAGCCTTACCGGCACCCGATTCCACGTCAAGCTCGTCAGTATAGCTAGCCAGCACTTCCACACCCTTCTCGGCAAACTTCTCCGCATCGACAAACACACCCCCACCATTATAATACACCTTCAAGCGCTCTGGTACAGCAATAGCATTCGTCCACGCTGAGCTGTTAACCACCACCTCCGCCGCTCTTGCGCCAGCCTCAGAATGATAAACAAACCCCCCAAACGCCAGTCCCCTACAACTGCCAGGAAAGAACCTCAACTCCCTCTCCCCCACCACCTCCATCCCCTCCCTTACCCTCCCCACCTCAAACTCACATCGCCCACACCCATAATACCCTCCCGCACAAAGGCCCAGATACGCCCCTCCCGCCTGCACATACTGTTTGATCCGGCGATTACCTTCGCCATTAAAGGAGCGACAGTAGCCCAGGTCCGCACCGCCGGGCATGACGAGGAGTGCGCAGGACGCCTGCCAGGGTTCGCGGAGGAGTTGCTCGGCGGTGATGGGGAGGACGGCGTGGTGCGGGCCCAGCAAGCGGCGCAGGGGGTAGGTGGCGTGGCGGACGGAGGAGAGGGTGCTGCCGGGGCCGGAGTAGATGAGGATATTGGGACGTTTGGGGGTGGCCATACTGGGTGGCGAAGGAAGGAGGTGTGGTCCGTGCGTTGAGATATGACTTTTAGACGACGGAGGGGGTTTGATTGGTTCGAGAGATTTTTGTAAAGCTGGACGGTCACAATGTCAACGACGGAGAGGAAGCAACAGGTCGACGAGGCAACTCAAACCGAGGATGAGCCCGATGAGTGGTACGCTGCTGGCCCAATGGGGTCCGGTCGGTGGAATTGGCTGATATCAACCAGGGACAAGCGGATCTTCAGTACTGGGTGTGCGGGTGGGCCAGAACTCCTAGGTCCACCTTGGAGGAGATTGAAGGCCGCTGAATGCAATCCAGACGAGAACACGAGGCTAAACGACTGCTTCTTCGAGAAGAAAGACTGGAGAGCTTGCAAAGACGAGGTAAGGCGGAATGCGGGAGAATGAAAGATCCGACCTACCTTATCTCTCAGCTGTGGACTACCTTGCGGGACGCTGGGTATGCTTGAGCTGACTGAAATGGCTCAGATGGAGGCGTTCAAGCAATGCTGGAAGCGGCAAGGGAACGAGCGGCGCACAGAGTCGAAGTGAGGAGGCTTGATACCGTCTTATTCAACGGGGTAGCGAGGCAGGAAGTCCTGTAGATAAAATCGCAGCACTCTCCACTCCAACCCGTAGTCTGTACAAGTGAGCGGCCTTGGGTAGAGTAGCAGGTTTCTGCGAAGGTTGCCACTTTATATCGAGCTCGAGTCGTGTGCTCGTTTCATACAGAAATACATATCGCGCACAGACCAGGTGTTCGATGCTCGACCTGAAATGGATCTCCGACTTACATTGTCCGATACATTTGTATGCACGATGAATTGTACAGCCTCCGCAGCGCGCAGCGCTAGTGCCGCCCTATTCGACTGCCTAAGTACATCGAGATGTAGGCCACTACAGCGAAGACCATGCAGACCAGCGACTCGATTCCCCCACCACCGCGCCATTTCCTCCGCGCACCCACGACGGCAGCAAACACAAGCCCAAGCATCATCCACTCCCTCCCCAGTCGCACCACCACCGCCAAGGACCCCTCAACCACCCACAACAGCATCGACCTCACAAAAACCAATCCCCACCCCAACACCCCAACAACGACAAGACCCCGACGAACCCTCCCCCTCCTCCCTCCCCCTGCGCTCCCTAACCGCCGGCCTCTCCGACCCACCCCCGCTCCTCTCCGAGCACGAAAAACAAGTCGACTGGACGCGCTCCTACCACGGCCTCTCCTCCGCCCCCTTCACCGACTCCCAAGCCGCCATCCTGCAACAAGAAATCCAACCCGACGACATCGAGATCAAACCGGACGGGATCATCTATCTCCCCGAGATCAAATACCGGCGGATCCTGAACAAAGCTTTCGGGCCGGGAGGCTGGGGGTTAGCGCCGAGGGGGGAGACGATCGTGACGGGGAAGGTGGTGACGAGGGAGTATGGGCTTGTTTGCGGGGGACGGTACGTATCATCTCATCTATAATCTCACCTCTCTAAGCATCCTTATTTGTCTCTCTCGCTAATGGCAATGGCGTTGGGGTAGGTTGATATCCATCGCCCGCGGCGAACAAGCCTACTTTGACCCCGACGGCATCCCCACGGCGACCGAGGGCTGTAAATCCAACGCCCTGATGCGGTGTTGTAAAGATTTGGGAATAGCGTCGGAATTGTGGGACCCGAGGTTTATTCGGAGGTTTCTGCGGGAGGCGGCAAGGGAGTGTGTGGTGGAGCATGTGGTGACGAGGAAGAGGCGGAAGCATTGGATGCGGGTGGATGATGAGGTGAGGTATCCGTGGAAGGAGGTGAGCGCACAAGCCGCTAGTGGGATGGGAGGTGGGGGAGGAGGAGGAGGGGTAGGAGGGGTTAAGAGGTAAGAGGGGTGAGTGAAGGTGAGGAGTACGATTGCTCTTCTATCTATCTGGGCACAGGTCGGAAGGTCTACGATGCAGTCTGCATCGCCACTCTGCAAAGATCTATTGTCGTTTACATGGCGTGGCTAATGTGCACATACCACCACTCAACGCTACGATGTCAACCACTATCCCGCTCACTCACCCCTCACAACTTCAGATCTTTAACGAAATCCACAATCACCCTGCCCACCTCCTCCGGCGCCTCATAGGTACACCAATGCCCACACTCCAGCACCACCTCCCTCCCCTGCGGCAACCACCCGGCCTGCTTCGCCTCCTCCAGCGTCTCAGGCGGGTTCACCCCATCCCCGCGACACATCACACTCAACACCGGCCTCTCCAGCACCCACTTCTCCCTCCCCACGCGCAGATCCTCCTCCATCTGCACGGACTCGCGGGCAAACGCGTTATACCAGCAGAAACTCGCTTCCCAGTCCTCCGGAGTCTGCAGGTTGGAGTGCCATTCCGAATAGAGTGCTGCGTTTTGAGCGTAAGGCTTCAAAGGCACGTCGGTGGACGATGAGGCGAGGAAATTCTGCATCGCGTCGGGGGTGCAGAAAATGTGTTTCGTCCAGTCTTCCGCGTCGCCATGGAGGACGTGCCAGACGCTGCGGGGGTTGCGGGCGAAGAGGGAGGGTGCGCGGGGGGAGGTGAAGAGGTGGAAGTAGGAGTAGCGGGGGTAGCCGACTTGGTGCGTCGTGAGGGTGTTGAGGGTGTCGATGAGGGTGGCCGGGTCGAGGCGTTGGGAGAGCGGGGGGGCGTACGCGATGCCGATGTGCACGGCGGCGACGCAGAGGGAGGGGTGGAGGTTTTGCAGTTTGAAGATCAGCCAGCAGCCGAAGTCGTGGCCGATGGGCAGGATGGTGGTGACGCCTTCGGCGTGCAGGATTTCGAGGAGGTCTTGCAGCATGAGGCGATAGTTGTAGAGGGGGACGGAGGTGGGTTTGGAGGTCCCGCCGTAGCCGAGCAGGTCGGGGATGATGAGGCGGTGGGGGAGGGGGAGGAGGTGGGGGAGGAGGGGTTGCCAGAGGAGGGCGGAGTCGGGCCAGCCGTGGAGGAGGAGGAGGGCGGGTTGGTTGGGGGCGGTGGTGGTGGTGGTGGTAGGGGTAGGCGAGGTGTAGTAGCGGTAGTGGAGGTTGCGGGTGGTGGTGAGGTGCTTCTCTTGGAGGTGCTCCATGTTTACAGTACAATATCAAGCAGTTGGGATTTATGTGGGTGACGATGAGTACGGGGTGAACGTCTACCTATCCGTTGGCGACCTTGTGCTGTTATATGTATGGGAACTGTTGGGTGGCATTTCTTCATCATTGTGCTCCGATGTAACCTGTCGGCATCGGATGTGGAATATGCATGTATCGTTCACACCTTGGTCAGCTGACTCATCTTTAGCGAGAGGAGGGAGGATGCGGGCTGAAGCAGGAGCGAGATGGACATGGCTTGTAAGAGCAAGAGGGCCGTGTAGCCGTCGGTACAGGCTTTGAGGGCTACTTCTTGTCGCCTTAGATTCGAACACGACATATAAGGTACCTTAGTCAGGCAGATGCCTCCAGTGCCGACCATTGCCCGGCGAGCAACACCCCGCAGTACATTCAGCTGGTGGGTATGTTGGATGCCTTGTTCCAGGCTACCTGAGCATACCTAATGCAGTATCGTGAGTGTTTGACTCGAGATGTCCACACTTTCACCCTCCCCCCATCGTCGAGCAAATGCATGGGAGTTGAAGGGGAGTATTTGACGCGTAACGCGATCATGACGCGAAAGACGCGAGGTGACACCCGTGTCTCAGCGCACGGAGCACGCTGAATGGCTGCCGAACACATGGAGGCCCTGACGCGACTTCCTGATTGGGAAATGTGAACGGCAGACACCCTTGTAAAGTTTTGTGGGACCTGCATCGGCGAGCTGCAGATGCAGAGGCAAGATCCCCTCCTGATCCACATCGAATGTACAGTACATGTACTCCCCCTCCACGCTACATAAGGTACATGTATGTATCGACATTGATTCGGAGGAAAAGCTGCTGCAGCCACCCATCTGCACCTTCTGCAAGCTGCACAACATATCCGCACCTTCTGCATTCTACATATCTGCACCTTCTGCAGTTGTACAGACCTTGCACGTGCGGGCGGCGGCAACAAGCAGCTACTACTTGCTTTTGTGAGAGAGAGAGAGAGAGAGAGGGAGAGGGGCAGGCACCGAACACATCTGCACAGCACAGCACAGCACACACGTCTTGCTGCTGTTACTACTACTACTACTACTACTACTACTACTACTACTACAATTACAATGGCCTCGACGAATGACAGCCGCTACACCCTCTCCGCCCACCCCTTCAACTACTCCCTCTCACCCACCACCAACCTTCCCACCCCACTCCACGACACCCCGCCGCCCTCCCCAGGCTACCGACACATCGCTCGTCCACCCACCCCTGGCGGCGGGCCCTTGAACTCCCACCCTACCACTCCCGACGACGCCGCCGGCTTCTTCCCACCCACACCGGACACTCACCGGCAAGGCAAGGCTCAACAATCATCCCCTCACCTCACCACCAACGCCTACCACCAGCACAAGCAGCCAGAGCACGTCTTCCGCGTCCCCATCTCCCCCGCTTCAGCCACAGCCCCAAGCAGTCAAACAACAACGACCACATCCTCCCCCGAACCCCTTCAACGTCGACCCTCAACCGGCGTCCGCAGACTCCTCAGCATCAGCAGCCTGCGCTCCTCTTTCGGCAGCTCTCGCACCTCGCTGAGCCTACCCCGACGGCAATCCAACGACACGACCCACACCATCAACACTCAAGCGTCAGGTTACTTATACATCAACGGCAACGGTAGTAATGGGAACAGCCTCAAACGCCCCTCCTCCCCAAGCGTGGCATCCTCTTACTCCACGTACCAACCATCCGCCATAGCTTCAGAAGCGCCCGCTCCTCGCCCACAGCTCCGCTCCCGCAAATCCGGTTCTTGGTTCAGGCGGAAGAGCGGGTTGTTCATGCTCAACAACAGCGCCCCCACCACCACCACCAACGATGAGAACACACAGGAGGAAGAAGCAGCACCAACACCACCACCAGCAGATAGGCGAGGAAGCGGCATGTCAGGCATGCTATTGAAATCCGTGGACGAATCTACTCACCAGCAGCAGCAGCAGCTGTATCGCCCCGAGACGCGCGAGAGCAAGCGGCTGAAAGAAGATGACTTCGACTACAACCACCCCTGTCATATCGTACAGCAAGTACAGCAAGTACAGCCCTCGCCCTCCCCACCTATGCTGCCGGAGATTGGGGCGTTGGGGGGAGGGAAGCTGGACGGAGGGGAGTTGGGGTGGGATGAGGGGTTTTTTGCGCGGTAGTATTGTGGGTTTGCTGGGCGAATATGACGAATTTCTTGGGCTGACAAGAGCATGCCTTGGCGTTTGAGAAGCCGTAATGGCTGGTCTTTGAGCGAATGCAACCCTTTTGGCGAATGGTGAGTGTTGAGAGCGTTCTGTATCGGCGCTAGGGGGGTGATGGGTATTTGAGTCGCGGGCCGACGGGTAGCGAAAGGCGTACAGAGATTCAGGGCTCGAGGATGCGGGCGAGTATTCGGCGTGTATTTCTGGAAAGGAAGCGCATATATTGTATAGCGGAAACACACGCCGAGATCCGTACCCAGATCAACACCTACCACCTCCTACCAGTCACACTATTCCCACCAGCTGATATTATGGCGCCTCGCCACATCAATCCCTGTTCACATCATCCCCTAGTCTCCTCTGCTGCTGCTGCTGCTGCTGCTGCTGATGCTGCTGCTACCGGTATTGGAGCTGCTGCCTCCGGAAGAAACCGCCCGGGTCCGCAGCGCAGCCGTGGAACTGTTCATCGACTTCACCAGCTTGCGAACTACGCGCAACAATCCCGTCGTCTGCCTCTCCGTGCCACGCTGCTCACGCTTCACACCGGTGGCAGCGTTGCGGCGATCGCGTGACTCCTGGTAAACGATGCCGCCGCCGCCGCTTTCCCCAACCAGGAAGCGATCGAAATTGCGGCCGAGCACAGATTTGCAAGACAGAAATGGGGGTGCCGGTCTAACCGTGGCATGAAGGATCGTTGTTGATCGTAGCAAAGCGTAAGCTAAGCCTTACGCGCGCGCCTGTTGTCCGCGCTGTATGCTACGTTACGTTTGGGTCCGGAAGACGGGGAAGGGGGGTTGGTAGTGGTAGTCAAAACCGCTTCCCTGCTTCATGTGTTCTGTTCAGCCGCTCTTCTCCTGCCGCGGTCGGGTGGACGTGGGGTCTCGGTGTTATTGGACTCACGGGAGCTGTGCTGGAGCCTGTATGTGGTGGCGGTAATGGTGGTGGGGATTGTAAGTTAGGTATGGGGATTTTTGCAGCGGCGGCGGCGGCTTTCGTGGCATTGGAGGGTTTTGGATGGGTTCGTTGGCGGTGAATTGGGCGGATGGCGTGAGGTAACATGTGCGGACTGCTGGTGAAGGGGATTTGTGGTGTATACTGGCAAGAGGCAAGTGCAAGTCCAAGCGCAAGTCCAAGCGCATGCCTGCATCTGCACTTGCGGTCGGGCTTGCAACCGTGACCCGTGATGGTAAGCTCGTGCTCCCTCTTTCGCACTCATGACGGCAGTCGCCTGCCATTATCGCCATCTGCTAATAGTAGTACTCCCGCTTTCCACGAACTTTGGCTGGTCCTCATTGGACTGGCGGGTTGCTTTTGAAAACGTAATGGGCAATATTATGTGGTTGCTGGGGTGCCGGGGATATGCCAAGTCGAAAAGCGATACAAGGAACCTGCCGCGCGCTGGCTTCGCGCTGTGTTGGTGGATTATGGTGGGAGCTGGAGGGTTTGTGGGCTGTTTGAGACGCTTTGCTTCAGAGATTTGTTGTGCGGTGTGAGTGTCTGGCACCTGGGTCTTGGGGTGTGCTGTCTTGCCAACGGAACCGGTACGCTGGAGCATCCCATACACCAGTCGCGCAGCCGTCAAAACAGGGAAGCATAGTTCGACAAACTCGGTCACTCATGGCCGAAGCGCGCCACTCCCCAACACCACCGCTGCCTCAGCATGCTCAACGGCAGAATCTCTCCCCTACCCAGCTCCACCGTCGTGGGAACGAACAAACATCATCCGAGCGACAGATGCTCCATGTGGTCCATATCCAGCTCGCCCCTCCCTTCTCCGTACATCATTCTGGTGATGTCGGGCAAGTATCTCCATACACCCAAAGAGCTCCGGTAGTCCGTCACTAACCCCGTATTGTTCGTCCGGTGCGGTGCAGTCATTACTGCTTCCCTCAAACATCGCCGCGGAAGGGTCTATTGTGGCGTATTCGCGTGCACATTCCAGGAAGGTGGATCTGGGGATACCTGCGACAGTTTGTTCGGTCAAAGGGTTTATGTCGTCTTGTTCTGCTGACTTGCTGATTCGGCGGATTGGGAAGTGGGAGCCGAGTCGACGCAGCTTGTTTGGAACACTTTGGCTGAACGACCAGATCGATGATTTCCTCCTTGTGCTCTCTGCGGTTCGGGCGCTGTCTTGTCGCTTTTTCTCGTGCTTGTCGTTTGCTACACCGACTACATCGACATGCAAGCTATTTTGCGATATGATCTCCTCCCCATCAGCGTCTTCTTGGTGAGCCAATATAGATGTTCCATCGTCGGTCGACAATCTGAATTCGTCGTCACTGTCATACCCACCGCTATCCGTGCCCTCAAAGCAACTCCGTCCTGGGCTCGAATCACCCAACAACCCTAATCGATTGGACGACCCAGCTTCGGCTACTGTATGCCGCCCTCGATACTGCCCACCCCGTTCCATACCAAGACTACTCTCGCTCGAGAGGAAACTACTGTGCACTCGTTGCAGCATGCCGACTGGTCGCCGTGGCCATCTATCCGTATTTGGCACAGGATTTCGGATCCGAGTCCTCCCTTGGGGTGGGGTTGGCGTAAGCTCACCATTTGCGCAGCCCGTCGTGGATGCAGTATTTGTACTTGGCATCCCTACGCAGCGTTGCGCCTGTCGGCGCTGCTGTAATGACATGGAAATGTCCGGATGCGGTCAGATAGGAAGTAATGTTGTAGTCTGTGCTAATGACAATCGAACATATAAGAGGGCCTCGATGTTGCCGTTTCGTCCTGCTGTTCTGCAAAATCTGCACACATACACCTGTTAGCAAAGCTCACAAAACCACCACTCCCTTCCCAACGCACTGCAACCGACCTTCTTCTACCCTCACAGCACCCAACACCCTTTCCGATACAACAGCGCGTAGACGAAGAAGACACCCTTCAACAACCAGTTGAACCAACCCACAGTCACCATGACCGGCCTTGACAACAAACCCGCCACCGCCTGCCCAGCCCTCGTGAAGACCCTCACCAAGACCCTCGCCAAAGTCACCTCCACCATCACCGCCGCCTTCCCATCCCTAAAGGTCAGGCAAACCGCCCGTCAACAGGGATTCAGGGTCATCGGGTCTGACTGGCCGCCGGTCCGCGCCATGAGCGAGCAGGCAGTGGTCAGCAACCCCGCCGCAACCACCAGTCGAGTCGTTTCTGGTCCGGAGGAAGCGACGTTTGACGGCCATGTTGTGAGATCGACCAGTGTCATCAGCAAGACGACCGGTCTTGTCTGGGTCAAGGCGACTTGTGAGTGTTGCTTTGCAGAGGCTGAGGCGATTGTGAAGGGACGGGGGGAGAGTGCTGCTTCACCCTCACCTGGAGCTTGTTCGTCATGGCCGGAGGCTTGGTGGACGGAAGGCTCAGATCTATCATCGGGTGTAAAGGCTACTACTGCCACGACGACATTGCATATCCCGTGCACGGAGCCGGTGGAGGTACCGGACGACGCTTTGCGCCATGATTCGGTCTTTACTCAGGTCTCCGTGCCTGTCATGAAAAGTGTGCAGCAGCTTGAGCCTGTCGGGGTTCCCAGGGAGATGCTGGAGGGAGCCGCAGGGAAGGGAGAGAGGAAGCGTTATCGACGCTCTAGGTTCGCGGAGACGGGGATGGGAATTACGGAGCCCGTTCGCACTCACTTACAGCCGGTGTCCGAGATGGATTAAACGCCTACAGGTCGAGGGGTAAGTGTGGACGGCATGACGATTCAGCAAATGAAGTCGAAGCTTGAGCGGTCTAAGCAGATGGGCGGGAGTACTTGCACCGCATGGGGTGCATTCTTGGAGTGTTAGCAAGGCGTTTGGGAGATACCCACTGTACGTTTGCAGAAGTATTTCCGACAGCGCCACATATTTACATTGAGCTCGTTGCACCCGTGCATGTGCCTCTTGTTGTCCTTGTCAAGATAGAGGTGGGTAGTAGGATGCCCTTGGAGGAGATGTTGTCGGCCCCCAACCCAACCGTGGCGCCATCGGCGGAGCGCACCGTGCGGCAGGATCTGCATCCCGCTGTCATCGCGCATCACCTCGGCTGCTCATAGCAGTGACAAGAGCTCCAGCTTCATAAACTTCCATCGAGATAGTTGTGAAGCGTCAACACACCATGGCACCGTCAAGGGCCTTCACGACGGCATTCCGCCGGCTGGCCTCCGTATCTACCATCCTCCAACGTCCGCAACACCGCTGTATCTCCGCCTACGGCTATGAACAAGCCAAGGTCCTCGCCATTCAATCCCTAGGCGAGCCCAAAGACGTCCTCCACCTCCACGGCCACTCCATCTCCCCACCCCACGGCGACCTGTTGACCGTACGCTTCCTCGCCTCCCCCATCAACCCAGCAGACATCAACCAGATCCAAGGCGTCTACCCTACGAAACCCACCTTCACCACCGCCCTCGGCACCTCCGATCCGATTGCGGTGGGCGGTAATGAAGGTGTCGCTGAGATCATCGCCGCGGGGTCAGGAGTCAAGGGCATGCAGAAGGGTGATTGGGGGATTATGAAGAAGCAAGGCTTCGGGACTTGGCGGACGCACGCTCAATGCAAGGCCGATGAGCTGATGGTGGTCAAGGACAAGAGTGGTTTGAAGCCGGAGCAAGTAGGAACTGTATCCGTCAATCCGATGACGGCTTACAGGATGCTCAAAGACTTTGTGCGGCTGAAGGAGGGGGAGTGGTTCGTCCAAAACGGGGCCAATTCCGGTGTGGGGCGGGCAGCGATACAGCTGGCAAGACTGTGGGGTTACAAGAGTTTGAACATTGTGCGAAGGCGCGAGCAAGGCATGGCTGAGCTGAAGAAGGACCTGAAGAGTCTTGGCGCAGACGCAGTAGTCACGGATGAGGAGGTCGAGTCGAAAGGCTTCCGAGATCAGGTCAAAGAACTCACAAACGGTGGTCGTGAACCCATCCGCCTAGGCCTCAACTGCGTAGGCGGCTCCCTCGTCAACAGCATGGCCAAGCATCTCGCACCGAGCGCTCATATGGTGACCTACGGCGCCATGAGCAAGCAGCCCGTCTCCCTGCCGACAGGTTTACTTATCTTCAAGGACATCCACTTCGATGGATTCTGGGTGAGCAAGTGGAGCAATGAGAATCCAGAGCAGAAGGAGGCTTGTGTGAGCGAGGTGTTGGATCTGACGAGGCAGGGGAAGTTCAAGGATGTGCCGATGCAGCCGGTGACGTGGGACTATGATACGAAGCAGGACGAGCTTGTGCAGGCGGTACAGGGCACGCTTGAGGGGTTTAGGAGTGGGAAGGGAATTTTTGTGTTTGGGAAGACGTGAAGCTGGGTTTGTGGGAAGGATATAAACTCCACTCCAACAGCAGCCGACATGCGAATCGCCACCATCACGCTATACCAAGTCCGCGTAGCTCCACATCCCTAGGACATCCCGGGTTCCGCAACACTATTACCCAACGGAGCCATCTCCACCACGGCGTGATTCTACCACTCAGCCACGCTACCCTCCATTTCCGCACCACAACCGGTGTCCTCCTCGCAGTCTTCGTCCCCCGCCTCGCCCCAACCTCGTCCACCCGGCCTCCAAGCACTCAAGATATACCACTGAACTGCCTTAACCACATCCCGCCGACCCCGAGACGCTCTAAGCCGCCCCCACTTGGAAACATCAGCATCAGCGCAGATCTCCTTCGAAGCTCATATGGCGATGACATCGACCCAATAGACCCTCGGGCGCTTGGTATCGACTTTCCAAAGCGCAATCATCAAAGCGTGGTACGTGTTGGTATTCGCGCTGGGCTTCGGGAATGGCGTACTGGGAGACTTCGAGCAAGGCATGCGGGGTGCGGGCGGAACTTGGTTGGTGGTGGGATGGTTGGTTTTCATGCCGGCGGCGAAGACGGGCAGGAGTTTGGAGGTGAGGTTGAGGCAGGTGGTTGTCACGGCGTGAGGGGGCGGTGTTAGGCGCGAGGGCTGATGGTATTGCGTGAGTTAGGTGTTGCTTGGGGTGGGGAGTCTACGCGTCGTAGAAATGCTGGATGATCAAAGGGTCCGTGGATCGCGGAAGGCTGGCGCATTCCAACTTCCTCGGCTGTGTCTGTGTACATCACATACTCGTGAATTGTGGATATCGTGGTGACGATGGGAACATGGGTGGCGTCTCTGTGTCCATCGTTGCTAGATTATGCATTATGCTTACGATCGTACACTTTACTCGCACAGGGAGATGAACATCACTGTCAATCGTGAATGATCGTCGAGTATTCGATCGCATAGATCGTTTGCTACCATTCTCGGCCATCTTCCTCGCCGTTGGCTCAGAATCGTAGCAATGTCGAAGAACCGGACTGTCGTATTTGCTGGCGCAGACGCAGCGAATAAGCTAGTAGAAATTTTGCCAGATGTGTAGCATCGCACGAGGAACCGCCAACTGCTATGCTGCAGTGACTGAGCCGTACAATAAGACATCTCGAGTACGCAGTGGGAACGAGAGGGCAACAGTAGGGCACACGAACAAAGACCGAGATCAAGCTCAGGTCATGCATACAGCCGCATCGGCAAGAAGCTACGTACGTCTCCAATGCCTGCTCTCTCTTCGGCCATCAGGCCATCAAGCCAGCAGCCACCATCCGATCAATAGCGTACAAACACGACCGCACAGCCCTAAAAGTTCGACGAGCCGACAGCGCCCAAACTCTGAAACGCACCGGGACCGCCTGGCGCCCTGCCCATGCCCGGAGCCCCAAAAGCAGGACTAGTCTTACTTGGCATAGGACTTCCAATTTCGCCCAACCCAGCGACTCCACGTCCTTGGTCCGGCGTCCGAGCGTCTGGCTCGAATTTGACCGCCAAGCCGTCACCACCCGCCTCGCCCGTCCTCCGCATCGAGAGCTCGCCGCCGCCGTTCTGACTATCTCCCTCCGTTTCGCAGATCTCTTCGATCTCGCGCAGCGTGGGCGGGGCGTCGAGTAAGGGTCGGTTATGCTCGATTTGGCGGAGTAAGATGTTGATGGGGTGGTATCCGTCGCCTTCGCCGCGGGTGGCGTTGCTAAGTTGTTTGCAGGCCTGACAGATGGCCAGGCGGATGGTGAGGGGACGGTTGAGACTGGTGCCGGTGGGGCGGTGTCCGAGGGATGTGGCGCCGCCTATGGGACCGAGTGCGCTGAAGGCACCGTTTGCCGCGAAGGCGGAGGCGTTCTGGGATGAAGGCCAGGCGCTTTGGGTTGGGAGGTTGCCCCAGGACTGCTGGCTGAGGGAGGAGCTTTGACCGAAGGGGAGACTGGGTGTGTGCCAGTTGCTGCCGGGTGCGCCGAAGCTGACGGGTGGTGAGCCGAGACCTCCAAGTGCGCTGAGGCCGCTAAGAGGACCATTTCGTACACCTTGCATTCCAGAGTGCCGACGGCTGTCTGTGGCGTTTGGTAGAGGCTCGTCGTCATCTGCAAGGAGCGCTGAGCTACCGAGGTGCTTCGACAGGTCGTCAATGTCTGTGTTTGAGCCCTTGCGCTCTTGACTACCGGGCTTGACACTACTAGGTCGCTGGATAGGCGCCGGTCGCGCAATTGGCTGGTTAGCGGCAGATTCGAAGCGCTCCTTCTCATTCACAGAAGGCTGCCGCGAGTGGGCCGGCATACCCATCCTAGGCGCATCCGGCCCGGAATGATGCATAGGTGGTTGGCCAATCGCTGACGTGTGAGCGGGCTGCGCATGCTGCTGCCCAAAGCCGGGCGGAGGTTGATTTCCTAAAGGCGCATCGAAAGGGAAGCCCATACCTCTCCCTTGAGGCGGCATCATGCCCGGTGGTGGCGGTGGCATGCCGTTGATACCAGGGCTGAAAGGCATCCGATTCGGTACGCCCATGGGGGGGGCGTGGTGTTGCTGCTGTGGATACATCGGCATGGGGCCACGGTGGCCCACGTTGCCGTGCATTATTGGGCCTTGCGGCCCTGAAAAGCCCGGGAAACCCATTGGTGACATCGTTCCGAAGCCACCTGGGTGTTGCTGCTGATGGTGCATTCCTGGAGGTGGCTGGATTGCTGGGTGAGGCATAGGCGATGTGGCCTGCATTGGATGTTGTGGACCCATATGCTGATTGCTCGGCTTTTGCATGATCGACTTGGGGTGGGTTGCCGGCTGATGCTGAGCTTGGACGCTATTTGGTGACGAGGATTTGCTGGGAGCACTCGACACTTGTGACTGCGATTGCTTTGGCGACGAAGCGTGCGAGCCTTGCTGAGAGGCTTGCCTCTGCTTAGCCGGAGTTGGCGCCTTCGGTATGGCAGGCGTTGCAATCGATGGATGGGGTGAAGAAACACCAGAAGGCGTCTGCTTTGGGTAGACTCCAGGCACCGCCACCATGCCGATCTGCGAAGGTCGCTTCTGGATTTGTGGTGGCTGCTGGGCTTGGGGCGGCTGGGCAGCCTGCTGAGCGCTCTTCTCCCGGTCTTTAGCCTCCTTCTCCGCCTTCGCCTTCGCCTCGCGCTCCTTCTTCTCTTTCTCCTCCTGAGCCTTCTGATCCCGCGCTTCTTTCTCACGGGCCTCACGCTCTTCACGCTCTCGCTTTCGCGCTTCGTCCTTGCGAGACTTCTCCGCCGCTTTCTGCTCTCGCGCCTTACGCTCAGCTTCTTCACGACGTTGCTGCTCCTCCAGTTGCCGACGGGCCTTTTCGGCTTCTTTACGGGTTCGCTCTTCGTCCTGCTTCCGCTTCTCTTCCTCCTTCTTCTTGCGCTGCTCCTCCTTTCGCCTCCTCTGCTCCTCTTGCTTCTTCTCTTCGGCTTCTCGTAACCTCGCCTCCTCCGCAGCCTTCTCGGCGTCTTTGCGAGCCTTCTCCTCCGCCTTAGCTTGCTGCTGCTGCTTCTTCTTTTCCTTCTTCTTCGCCGCATCCCGCTCCTTCTTCGCTTGCCGTTGCGCTGCAAGCTTGTCTTCGTCCTGCAGCTCTTCCAGGAGCCGCGCCTGGCGCTCTGCTGCCACTTTCTCTCGATATGCATTTAGAACTCGCTGCTCAAACATCCTCGCCGCGAAGATTTGGAACATCCGCCTGCCCTCCTGCATTCGCTGCTCCTCGGAAAGACCCTGCAAATGTTAGCGCATTTACATCACCAGTTGCGAACTGAAACCAACTCACGTTCTCGGACTCCTCGTCCATGTCCTCGTCGTAGTCGTCCTGACTGTCATAATCTTCTTCGTCGGTGTATTCGTCGCCACCTGCAGCCAATGGATCCTCGTGGTTGTACGTCGGCTCGGGCGGATACCCACCAGGATGGGTCGGATTGGCCGCCGCATACTCTGCCTCGCTCTCCCGCTGCATGCGCCGCTCGGCCAGTTGCTCCATCATCTCGATGAATTTGCGGCCATCATTCTTCAGCAGATCGTCGGCGACGGTCAGTAGATTGTCTGGTTTACCCTTTAGCCCTTGCTGCAATTTCTCAAGCCAAGGTGTGAGGATACCTTTGACGGTCAGATTCTGGCCGAAATTGAAGAAGTCAGGCACGCCGCCCAAACGAGGCAAATTAACCTCATCCTCGTAGTCATCGTCCTCCTGCGAGTCGTACTCATCTTGCGAATCATACTCTTCTTCCTCCTCATCCTCCGGATCGTCAATGTGCTCGTGTATCTGACTCGTTCTATGCTGGGGTTGGGGTGGCGGCGGCGCCGCAAGAGGGTGCGGTTTGCGATGCTGTAATGGACCAGGCATCAACCCGTCGCTGGATGGCAGGGGCGGCTGATCGTGGTGTGCGTATTGCTCGAGCTCCTCGTAATAGCCCTCGTAAAGCACCTCCAGTTCTTCTTCGATTGCCGTGCGTTTCCTCCCGCAGACAGTGCATGAGCATGAATGCTTCTGCTGCTGCTTCATCTTTCGTAAGACGGCCTCCTTTTCGATCTTTAACAAGGACTTGCGCTCATCCTCGCTAAGACTCAGCCAGAAGTCTTTGATGTTCTGCCGCTCCTGCGCCGTACTCGTGTTCCATATGTTGCCGTGGCTGTGAACGTCCTTGTGACCAGCCGCACGCATCATTGCGGATGCGCCCGCTGGAGGGTTCGGTAAAGGTGGCAGCAAGCTTGGATCGTAACTACCATGATGCCCTACGCTCCCTTTCTTCTTCTTGTTCTTCTTCCTGTCGTGGAGCGAATGGGGAAGGTCCATCCCGTTGGCTCCGGCGTGTGGAGGTATGTATTGATCGTGATACTGCTCGGCCTCCGCGTCGGAGTATTCGTAATCATCTTCGCCGTATCCGAGCGGGTCCTCATCGTAGTCCACATCTACAGGCTGGCCGGCATCGTTCAGAGGGACATGTGACGCAGCTTTCGCCGCTTGTTTGGCTCGCCGCTTCTGCTTCTTGCGATTAACGCCTACAGCACCTTTCGGTGGAGCGGTGATGACGCCGTTGGTGGCTGGCGGAGGTGGTGGAGGTGGTGGTGCTTTCGCGTTTGTCGCCATCCTTGTGGCCGTCAATGTGTATCAGAGGGGCGTCAGCTGGATCTGAGGACGTCACGTGTTAGTGTCCTGCTGACGAAGACCAGTGGATGCGTGCTCGGCGGTGTTGGTGGACGGTCCGGTGTAGTGAAGGCGAGTGGTGTACAGGCCCCACCTGGAGGTTGACCTGCCTTTTACGTCGGGCCTTCTCCGCTGGTCTGCTTGCTTCGCGTCAATTGCGACAGATCCCAGCAAGCAATGACACTTCCTCCAACTTCTGCGCGGCTCATTCGTTGTTAGAGAATTGTTGCAAACGGTGATTGTAGGTCGCGCAGCGGCATCACGAACATGGCCGGCCTTGGTGCGTATTCGGACCGTTCATTCCGGCTGATCTAACACTAACCCTAATCTATATCGGAAGAGGACATACAACCAGACAGTGCATGTATTTGAGCTTCGACACAATGCGTTTTGATGTCGCATCGGCGGATAGCAAGGCAAAGACGAATCGCAGACACATTCAAGGCACAGTCTTATCGCAAGGGAATACCGCCGGAGCTCCCTGGCTTGCGCCGAGTGCAGCCGATAGCTAAATACGACTCTATGCACACCATAGGGCATATTTAGTTACACTCCATCCACGACCTCCTTTGAGCGAGCTAATCCAGTTTCCTGACTGTGTGTCGTTGGCTCAGCCAGTGACGAGCCTCGCTGTTGCATGTGTACCCTGTCACGCAAGCTGTCGTCACTGCCCACGTACAAGGAGTCCTGCGCTCTCAGTACTGCATGTCGCAGGCCAGGCCTGTTGACCGCACCGCCTGCTTCCGAAACGTGCTCAGAGAACTCTTATGGAGCCAAAATCGGCCGCTAACACTGGATGAAATGGCAGCAGGCCGAGCACTCTGTATCGGCATAAAAGGTCTGCATATTCATTTTCCATCTGATATGGTTCGCCCTCGAACCCAGCTCCCATGGTTGCACGTAGGAGCTGTTGCAGATTGCGAATGGTCCGAGTTTCCGCGAGGGTGTATTCCCGAGCTCGCCGACGGGTAGGAGACGCTGCACGCGAGGTCAACAAAGTCCTGTGCGGCACGGTGTTAAGGGTACACTCACGGTCTCTGCCCCGATCGTCGCCTTTACGTTCGATCTAAGGAGCCGTGGGCCCGTCGGCAGACGTCTTTGCAGACAGATCACAATGAAACTGAGCGTGCTGACTGAGGCAGTTAACACACCGAGCCACGTCGAATGCGCCCCACTTGAAAGCGAACTCTGGTTGCGCGATGGTAAGGACGTGGGTCGTAGGCGCGTGGTCGGTACTATGCAAGTAGTGAGGATCATCTGACAGACGCTTGCGTATACGGTGATGCACTGCCATCAGGGCGCGGCCGAGCAGACTCAAGCCCCATACGGCCGGCTTCCTCTCGGACCCCTGCCTTTGCCGTGCTGTATGCCGTTCTTGTCGCAAGCAAAGTCGATCCCGCATGTCGCGTTCGACCGGCTGGTGTGCACGAGCTGATGGCTACCTGTGCCTAGCAATATACGCACGCTCGACGGGACACTGTTCGTACTTGAGGAGATTGGTTGACCAACAACTCCGCTTGGCCCTTTTCGACTTCATCCCGCCGGCCGACGATGTAACTCAAGACTCTCGTCGAGGCAGCCACGTATGTGCCGCTGTCAGAGGTCATAACGGGTTGCCACAAGTTCCGCCAGGGTTGGCTCTGCTGCGCCATTGCAAGTGCCACGGACCTTGACTCGGTCGCAGGCGCTCTGGTTTGGACTTCTCGGAAAAGCGTGCCCTGTCCGCCTGGTACTGCTGCTCAGTACATTTGTAGTACATCCGGTCATCGCCGTACACGGGGCCTTGTGGGAGTTGCCAAACACCAAGGTCTTGAGCTCGTTCTTCGGGTCGAAGCTGTGGAAATAGAGGGCCGGGAGAGTCGGCTCAGGGAACGTGTTCTGGTAATGGGGACTAGCCCGAGCTTGATTGACGAGCAACTGCCGCACGGGGGCTGAGCCCATTGTGAGCGGTTCGAGGGAGCCGGAAGGTTCTGCATAGCGGACATTGTCCGCGTTAGTAGCCCTAGGCGTGGATGTCGACAGCGTAAACTTCTGAAACCTGGTTGATGCCCGGGGGGCCATTATCGTGCCATCAGACCTGCGCTTGATACCACAAGCTGGTGGAGCCGCTGGAGCCGTATTGGAGAAGGTGGCGCTCCGACTTTGCTCTTGCGTCTTTGCTTTATGGAATACTCAATGTCGTCACCCATGAGATCGTTTATGGATGGTCGTCGCTGGTAAGTAATGATGAAGAACTTTCGATTGAGCAAGTATTACGGTTTGACCTTCGAGAAATGTCTCAAAACTGGTGAAAGTTGGTGGTTATGGCGGTGACTGAAGACTGCGCCACCAAAAAGTATAACAGGAACGGAATGATGCTTGCGAGAAGACCTGGTGCAGTGCAATGAGGAATCCAGTGACAGTACACCACATGAGGTTGTTCAGCATGTGAAAAGAAAGGAAGTGTACTTCACTTCGGCTCACTTAGATTCACTGATGGTATATTGCCTAGGTAGACAGAGAACATCTGGCGCGTGCATCAGGTGACCTTACTGACAGCCACATGGCCAACGAAAGGACGCTTGCTATGTCGACCCAAGTCAGTAGTATGGGTTTACTGCAGAGATCGCACTGGGGTTGTATCTTCAGTACATACTGTCCATACTCTGTCTACACCCGGCACACCTTCGCCCGCGGTGAACTGGCATTCTCTGCTCAGCCGTCCTTAGACGTGAGCTCGCTGACTCTGGAGGTCGTAATAAACCGTAGTGATGGTTCACTGTAGGTTGTAATGGTAACTTAGGTGTGGAAATCAATGATTGAAAGCAGCAGCATGGACGCTTAGCTCCGTCTTCCGGACGGTAGTGGCGTCGAGCCTTTCGCACGCAGCGGCAACGAAGGAGAAGCTTCCGGGTCGGCCGTTTCTTCCGGTAGCCTGCTCCACGACTTGAAACAACACGACACGGCATTGGAGTGTTCGTACTACTGCACCTGTTGACCAAGTACCCTCCTTTGGCAACGTTCCTAAAGCCGAAAACGTCCTCAGCAATCAGCGACACACTCCCGGAGACCACTAGGCCAGCAACGTCTCTACATCGTCCATTCTGCCAGTGTGCTTCCAACTCCGGTTGTGGCTACAAGGCCGCATCTAGTCGTACACTGAGGAAGACGGACGCGATTGCGTGAGCGCCTCATCGAGTCCGACAACAACCTCTTCAGAATACAGCCTGCTGGCTTGAGTCTACCAAATGGCTCAACAAGACCAGCAAGTGATAAGAAGGTAGGATACCGCGATATCACGAACTGGCTCAAGGCGCGGGCTGATCGAATCGTACAGAAAGCTGGTCATCATCGGCGACGGTGCCTGCGGCAAGACCAGCTTGCTTTCAGTCTTCACATTAGGCTACTTTCCTACAGTATGTGGCAGCCTTCCTGCAATGATGGGATACTGCACTAATCTGTAGGACAGCGATATGTACCAACAGTCTTCGAGAACTACGTCACGGATTGCCGAGTGGACGGCAAGTCAGTACAGCTTGCGCTGTGGGATACAGCAGGTCAAGAAGATTACGAGCGCCTACGGCCCTTAGCATACAGCCAAGCACATGTCATTCTCATCGCATTCTCCGTGTCGAGTCCCGACTCGTTACACAACATCACAACCAAATGGTTAGCTCATCCGGTACTCTGACAAGTCGCGTGCACCGCTAACCCAATGCGTAGGCACCCGGAAGTCCTAGAACGATGTCCAGGCGTCCCCATAATCCTTGTCGGCTTGAAGAAGGATCTACGTGACGACCCGGTGGCACAGGAAGAAATGCGCAAAAAGAGCGAGAAGTTCCTTACGTATGAAGAAGGCGAGGACGTGCGGAGAAGGATTGGCGCGAAGAAGTACCTTGAGTGCTCTTCGCTAACCGGCGAGGGTGTCGACGATGTCTTCGAGGCGGCTACACGGCAAAGCTTGCTAAGTGGCGACCGGAAAGGGGACAAGGGAGGGTGCTGTGTGATACTGTGAATGGGAAGGATCAAGGTCGGAAGCGCATGATGTTTCTCTATTAGCGGCGATGGCGCAGCGGGCGTCTTGCACGTACTCGGTGTGGAGTTCGACGGCGCTAGTGTATACGGAAGGCGTCAAGCATTGTGAGGAGTTTGACGGTAGTGCTGTTCGGAACATCCAGTCGGAGAAGGACGGTAGCCAGCCAAGGGAACGAATGAGCAATGTGTTTCGACAGCATGTATCACGTTAATCACGTTACAGGAATTCATCTTAGCAGCATCATTTTTTTTTTCTCCAGTAAGACTACATCTACTCTACCTAGTATGTATGTAAGTAATGTGCAGGGTGCCTATTCGCTCCTAGACGAGGGTCGTCGTTGTAGTCCGGAAGAGACTTCATCCGGTACTATCTGACAGAAGGTCTGGGTCATCTCCTTTCACCGCAAGGCGTTGATACATGCGAAACCCGGTGGTATACATAGTGACTTACACAACCTGACCAGTGGGACATGCCTCGAACGAGATGACGACGGTGCATGCCGGTTTGAAGCGCTCCTTCGACCACTTTAGCGACGTCGACGGACGAAAGTCGACGCCTGCATCACATTCCTCCCACGAGACAACGCCGACTTCACGCCAACTTCTTGAGAACAATCAAGCAATCAATGCGACGAAGGTTTGCGATGTATCAACTCAGGACTGGACCCAACTCCCACGTCATGTGGACTTTAGCGGAAACGCGTCCATCGTCCTAATCGGCGTGCGAGGCGTCGGGAAAAGTTCCCTTGGAGTGCTTGCCGCTACTGCCTACGGTCGCCGCCTTGTGGAGACCGAGAAAGTCTTCGCAGAGGCTACTGGGACCAATCCACAAGCTTTCCGGAAATTGCACGGTGTCTCTGAATACCGCAGACGGCACCGCGAAGTGCTCAATCATACGCTGAAGGTGTACGACCAAGGCGCTGTAATCGTATGCAGCTTCCTTGATCTCGAAGATCACGGAGCTGTTCTGCTACGCGACTATGCGAAGAACCATCCCGTTGTTCATATCACGAGGGACGTTGCTGGGATCCAGGCTTATCTACAGGTCTGGAGCTTTGAGCACGTGCAACAACTACTTCAATCGAGTGGACCTCTATTACGATCATGCGCGAACTTCGAGTACTTCAATCTCTCTCATATTAACGCCTCGCCTGAACTATATGGCGGTGACAGCAAGGTGAAGCCAAGCGGGCTGTTCCTGACATTGAAAAGCGCCGAACGGGACTTTCTTCGCTTCCTTAGGAGCGTGATCGGAGAGTATAAACACGCAGCATCGCATTGGACATTGTACCCACTCTCTCAGATTCCGCTGCACGAGCGAGCATACACGCTCTGCTCGCAGGTCACTGTCAGCGATGTCCTGGATGAAGACGTCGATCTGGACGAGGTGGTCGTAGGCGCTGATGCCGTGGAACTGCTCGTTGGATCGAGCTACAGCAAAGGACACAGCCTGGCCGAACTGGATGCACTGAGGGTAGCCGAAGCATTCGCAAGGCTTCGACAAGCGTCCATTCTGCCTATAGTTCTGACCGTCATTGATATGAACGGGCCGCTGCATAGCCCTGTGACTGCCCTTGTGCACTACTCCTTCCGGTTAGCGCCCGACTATTGCACTATACCAGTAGAGTGCGACGGCCAAAAGATCCGCTCTCTAATCAGCAGTAAGGGGCAAACGAAAGTCATAGTAAGCGCGCAAATTGAACCCTTACCAGAGGGCGGGTGGAGCGACCGAGCTGCTTCCGCGTTTCAGAGCCGTATTGCTGGGCTTGGTGCTGATATTGCCAAGGTTACCATGTCCGCTCGGAGTGTGACGGACTGCTGGGCGGTAAACACTTTCAGGGAGAAGGCAAGCTTGAGCAGCACGAAGACAAAGCTCATGGTCTATTTGACCCACAAGGAGGGAAGGCTATCGAGATGCTTCAACCCGATCATGACGCCAATCAAGCCAGCGTCGAGCCGCTTCAAGCGTACTGGCCGAGAAGACGACACGCTGACGGTCAGGGACGTGCTTACTGTCTTCTTTGCGTCTGGCCTCTACAGCCCGTTGCACTTCATGATCTACGGCGCAAGTGTCAGCTTCTCCCTGTCTCCGGCGATGTTCAATGCTGCGTTTGCGGCCTACGGAATGACGCATCAGTACGGTACGCACTCGTCGCCCACTCTGGACGATTTCGAAAAGCTGTCAAAAGAGCACCGCTTCGGTGGCGCAGCTGTAGTGCAACCCTACAAGACTGGCATAGTCCCTTTAATGGACGGCTTGAGCTCACATGCGAAGGCGATCGGCGCTGTCAACACAATCATACCAGTGCGGCAGCTTAACGAAGATGGCTCGATTCCAGACCAAGCTTCTTTGCTGCAGCAGATGAATCGAAGCGGACCCGTGAAGGCGCTTTACGGAGAGAACACGGACTGGATCGGCATTCGTGTCTGCCTCAGACGAGGTCTTTCCCACGCGAACAGTGTTCGACCGCAGACCACAGCTTTGGTGTGCGGCGCCGGTGGGCATGCTCGCAACAGCATCTACGCCATGCTCTCGTGCGGCGTGCGGAATATCTTCATCTGCAACCGGACATTGAGTCGAGCACACGCGCTTGCTGATCATTACAATCAGCTCCTGGAAGAACAAAGCATGGCTGGCCTAGATCCTGAAGACGCCCCGCATAGCCGTGTCAGGGTAATCGAAAGCTTCACAAGCACTTGGCCCAAAAACTTTCGCCAACCTTCTATGATCGTGTCCAGCATACCGACTCAGCTTTCAGACGGATCTCCAATCGACTTTGCACTGCCAGATGCTTGGCTGAGGAGTCCTACAGGTGGCGTAGTGATTGAGCTTGCCTACCATCCGATGGTCACGCCCATTGTACGTCAGATGCGAGCTCTCGCGCGTAGAGGCTGGATCTTTATGGATGGATTCGATGTATTGCCGGAGCAAGCATTCTCACAGTTTGAGTTTCTGACTGGTCGGAGGGCTCCCCAAAAACTGATGAGACAGCAGGTGATCAACCGTTACCGGCAGGAACAGGAGAGCTTGGCCGCGTCAGTCAACATGGATCCAAATCCGCCTGCCACTTGATACCAAAGATACGTGGTGATAGAGTGGCACTGTTCTGGGAAGTTCTATACATCAAACAAGTGCCATGGAGGTCGCAGATCACGGCTAGCTGTGACGTACGAACTGCCGGCTTTCGAAATGCGGAGTCTCTGCAGCTAACAGTTCACGGTGTGGATAGAGTTGTTGGACCCTTATAACGAACAATAATAGAGCCTCACCTCTTGGAATATTTTGTGAGTAGCAATGCCGGACCTGCACTCGCTTCCTTCTGGCTGGCGCCCAGAGCATGCCATCCGCAACAACGGTCCGAATGATCTCGCCCTTGAGCGCTGGAAGCTGCGTGAACTGGCAGAAGGTTGGCCGATGTATCGCGACTACTGCGAGTGGGAGAACCTAGAATCCATCTTCGCACAAGATGCATACATCTACACATCTTGGACGGGCAAGACCCACTTTCAAGACTTCATCAAAGCTTCCAAGGCCGGCATGGACAATGGTGCCTTTATCATGCATCGGTGTCTTGGTGCGACAACGGACATCAATCCGGAGGCGACGCGAGCAGTGACCAAAATGAAAGCCACCATCACTCAGCGCTTTCAAGTTGAGGAAAGCGAAGTCGATGCCGAGTCCGATTGCCGCTTCTGCTTTTTCTGGGAGAAGGGCACCGATACTGTGACAGACATTCCGAAAGGCGAATGGCGAGCGCGCTATGTCCGACATTGGTACGAGAAAGACCATCTTCTGCCGGTGGACCCTAGGAAGGTGCCTGCCATCCAAGACGACCTGCTGAAGGTGTACCCGCCTGGCTATCGGTACGGCGCCGAACCTCACTTCTGACAAGCCTTGCTGACGGTTTGCAGACACCTAGCCTATTGTCAATCGGTTGTGGAAGGCCACAAGGTCATCGTGGACCTGCCTGGTCATCCCAGGGAAGGTGATACTCCAACCGGCAAGGCGCATGATGCGCTGCTCTTCAAGTGCAAGACCTGGGTGGAAGGCGGCAGTATTGACTTCTGAGACGGAGCCCAGTACATGGATGATGGGAGACGGAGCCTGTAGTGAAGCAGGAAATGGACGCATGACGGTGGTAGATGCTCGACGCCTAATCGTTGAGCGGCTCTACGGATGGATCAAAAGCGGACACGGCTTCGCTGTTGCTACATCGCAATAGGCGAAGCGATGACCGTGGACGATTCCGGCATGCTGATTGTACATCACACCAGCCAACATCGCACAATGTATGTATATCTATGCATGGACCCATGCGTTTGGAGCCGGCCTCGCCGAAGCTCTGCCGTCAAGCCGGGTTATGAATGGTCGGCCATGTCCGCTCTGTGTTACCGTCTCTCCAGAGACGCGCTAACCCTTTCCAGTACACGAGATTAAGCAGGGCATGATTAAGCTCGATGACCGTCTTCGGGTAGGCAGCGCTTCAGCCGCGTCATGAGCGACCAACACCGGCACAGGTGACGAAGCGAAGCTGAAGCCATGGATTGATCTAGAATACGTCGGCACTCTCGCTTATCTTTCATATTGCTCGCCAGAAGTCTGGTCGTCTTCAGTCAGCAACGCACGGTAACACATAGCATACATAGGCTGTGCAGGGACGCTACCAATCCCAGGGAACCCGGATGCCAGCACGCCTCTGAACGCGCTATTTAAGCGTCTGGTAAGGCTGAGAACACGGGCAGTGGATGCGGGCTGGAAGCTTGAGTGACGTTAAAACTCGGTGAGGAGGATTGTCGCTGTGCATCAGTCAGCAAGCGAGCGTAAGCGAACCGCAGTGATTGGACGAATGGCCTTTTACGCTTGCTTCCACGATGCTCTTTTCAGCCAACGCTCAACGGCGTGCTGCAATACAGCAAACGGCTTCCACGGACTTCGATCGATCTAGGGTGCCGTGGTCTACATCCATGCTATCTCCATCCTCAGCTCGGCCAATTTGCTCCGCCTTTATGCTCGGTGCTGAAACCATGCCGTGCCTGAAGCGAAATGTTAGCGGGATGCGTGGGTTGGCATGGTTATATACATGCCTGCTCCTGGTCTGCCACCCAGCTATAAGAAAGCAGAGTTGTCTTGTCACTGCAGTGGAGGCCTTATATACGCACTATTCAATTTTGAGACAGACGCTGGGGCTGCTCAGCTGTCAGGTACACGCAAGGCCTCCAATCCCGCCCCTGCTGCTCAACTGAGCGTTTTCCGCAAGCAGTCATCACAGCCAGGACCGTCGCAACGATGCTCGAATTCGTCCATTTGTCCGGTGCCGAGGCGGGCAAGGACCTGCAAACTAGGCGAAAGGTCCGATCTCAAGCTATGAGAGATTTCCGACGTCGCCAGCGTGAAGAACGAGAGTCTCGTTAGTGGTGCTCTTTGCAGGCTGTTTGAGTTTGATGCTGACCACTGCGGCCAGTCAGCAAGAAGGAGCCTACGAAGGGCTCCGTCCCCGCCGTGAAAGGAACAACTCTTGAATGGCACCAGCGCGACCGATCAGTGTCCGTTACGCCCAGCCGTCCGGCACCGAGACCTCGTGCCAAATCTGCAGTCAGCACCGCCGCTCACAAGTCTAAGGCAACATACGTTGGCACAGATGGGATGCTTTCCGTTCCTGCCCAGTATGTGCCCATGCAGCCATCGTTCGAGGACTATTCGTTTGCACCCTTGGCGCAAAGTCCATACTTCGGGCCTTCACGACTTCAACGCGCCCATTCCGACTATTCCTATCCGTCTCCACAGATGGTTGAAGGGCAATTGCACTCGGTACCCAGAAGTCCAGCCAGTTGGGCATCGGAGTTTGAAGATCCTTTTCAGTCCCCAGCGCAGATCGACCAAATGTTCAGCTTCTGCAAGAGCTGTGCGTGCGCCACGATGAGTTTGGCGTTGTGCAACGACTGCGCTGACGGCATCGTTGATAGACTGCCACTGGCTGATGCCTGGGCTTGACGGAGATCATGCACAGAACGTCTTCACACAAGCCTGGTCTAAGTCTTCCAATAGCATGCTGTTGGCGGCTTGCTGTTTGTCATCTGTCGGCCACCTTGATGCTGTGCAGCCCAACAGGCCCAGCGGGCAGTATGAGCTGTACAAGGCAAGGGTGTTGCGCGAAATCAATGCCCGCGTCTGCGCACCAGACACCGCCGTGTCGGGAGAGACGATCGGTGCGCTGACTTTGCTCACATCATTCGAGGTAAACATGACCTATTGATGAGCGCGTTTTAGCTGCTGACGAGGGCACAGATCTCGCGGGGAAGCGAAGACGCGCGAACCCATCTTCAAGGCCTCAATAGCATCTTAAAACTGAAGGGCGCTATCAAAGCTGCCAGAGAAAGCGGGCTCGCAATAATGCTCGAAACGTAAGTCGAACTGTGGCCCGTCACAGCAGGAGTGATACCGTGCTGACCACGTCCTCATAGAATAGATTTATTGCACGCTATCATGTTCAATACTCCTTCAATCGTGTGTCATGACGAAAATCCGGCACCTGCATTTCGACCTGGCGCGGAATGTCTCTCTGGTCTGCTCCCCATTCTCCTGGCGGAACAGGACAGGTATCGCCAAACTCTTAGCAACGAGCAAACTGCACGATCTGAAGGATATTCGAAGTTACTCACTAGTGCAGCCGTCGCGTTCCATGCCATTCTAACAGACGCGGAAGCAGTGGAGCAGGTGTTGCCAAACGATCTGTTGACCCAGGCATGGTGGTGCAACATTGACAAGTTCAGACAAGAATACTTGAACCCCAACGGTCATCGGCGCACCAACCAACATCTGGCGCGGGCTTTCCATCGAAGCATGATACTGTGGTACAATGCTCTGTCCGGGTATCCCTCGAGTCACTCACATAGCATGGTGCATGCGGACGGAATGTTCACTTCGGTCAAGGCGGTAGAAGACTCTAGTTGGAGGGCGACACCCTATCTGGCGCTTTTCATCTTTCTTCATGGTCTCTTCGTCTCCAAAGATGTCAGTCGCAAGAGCTTCTACGTGGCGCATGTAGCGAGAGCCATCTACCAGATGGGCTCACGCGAGTGGAGGCGGGCCCGAGCGTTCGTCTACAGATTTATTGACCTGGTGCGAATTCTGCAGGCTCACACTACATTGCATTCAGTGTCGAACACCTCGGTGCGAAGCGAATTCACACCACCATGGTGGCGAGGCGGAGATCTCACGCGCTTCGGCTCACCTCTCGTTCGGGCGGCAACGGTGAATCCGGCAAGGATGGGCCATGGGTCACTAGCGTATGCTACCGAACCTTCACCGATGTTGCTGTCCCAGTCATTGCCTGCTTCTGAGCTCGTTACTCCCTACCTCGAGATCGACGAGGATCCGTTCGCCAGTCAACCTGCATTCAGCGCTGATGTTATAAGCACTTTGGCGGTCCAGATGGATACCAGCGAAGCTTCCCAGACTTGGTGAAGGGATTATTGTGCAACGAGAGCACATTGAACACTCAGGATTGCTGGGTTTCGAACTCGCTAGACATATACATCAATCAGCATCCGGAATGGGCAAGCCGTTCCACAACTTCATACTGCGACCCAGCTTGTGCATGGCGTCCATTGCGTTCTTTTCACGCAGCTTGCGCGACTCTTCTTCCGTGACGAGCACGAAGTTGTATGTTATCAATTTGCCTCCTTCATTGACACCATACTTCGACGCTTGGTCCTTGTTCACCGTGCCTAAGTCGATCAGCAAGGAGTCCTTAACGCCGAAGACTGCGTCGGAAGTCTCGTAGGGGTCTCCGCGAAGATACAAGGCACTAATTGCCAGTCAGTCAGCCGAGCTTGCAAATCTCGTCGGAGTGCTCTTACGTTATGAGATGGTCATAGCCTTCCTTAGCGAACATGAAGTGCATATGGCTTGGTCGGTAGCAGTGCCTCTTCAGTTGGACCAGCAACTTGCCAACAGGTCCATCATGCGGGATAGGGTACGGTACGGGCACAATAGCCTTAAACCAGAAGACACCCTCCTTGTCGCTGTGCATCACAGCTCGTTGATCCGGCCCCTCTCTGCCAGGGTATTGCACATCATAAAAGCCTTTGCTATCCGTCTCCCATATGTCGATCTTAACGCCTTCGATCGGCTTCCCGTGGGTGTCTTTGATATCACACAGGACTAGACAAGGTTCTCCATCAGGGTCATGGGCGATTTGAGCACCGTTCGGTTCCACTTGTGCTTCATGGGAGTGGAACGGTCCTAAGACTGTGCCTTCTGTGCTTTGTGGTGGCTTCGGGTGGTCAATGCTGTCAACGAGGAGAGAGAGGCCAAGTATATCCGATAGTAAGATGAACTCCTGCATTCCTTGTCAGCATTCAACCATATACCTGTCTCTAGGTACGGGTACTCACCTGCCGAACATCTGTACATATTTGGCCGACTGATGTTAGGAACAGCAACCCAGTCATCCACTCATCGTGGCTTAGTCGTGTCTCTCTTGCAAAGTCATGCAGATGTTGGACCACTCTTTCAAGAATGTATTTGAGTCTTGGATTCGGACAGCGAGAGTTGATGAGCTTAACATTCTCTGTTATGTTATCGATTGTTAGGTTCTTCAGTGGAGGCACATCAACATCAGATGGATCCATGATGGTGAAGATGGGTGAAGAGAGTGAGGGGCGGTAGTCTGGGAGAGGAAAAAGCGCTATACGTTCTGGACCGTGATATGATTCCGCACTTACTCTCGCCCTCAGTGGCCAAGACTGAGAGGCTCATTAATAACAGAATCTGTGTTGTTCATCATACTGGTCGGAATCACCCCGCGATGGAGGAATCCACAAAAACTCTGGTGCACCCCACATTGGTCAGTGCCGGAGCTTCGCTTCGGCTTATGTCTGTCTCGCCTCGTTTCTCTCATCGCCGCTTCCCCATCCTGATACCTTTGCCCGCCACAGTATGTTAGCACGTTCGGGGTGGAACCAATAACACAGATGGCGACAGTCGTGATGCCGTCTATTTCAACACTGCGGTCATGCCCAGCTTCTGCGCAACGAAGTCGAAGGCAGCTGTGTAGCCGAAAACGCCAAGTCCACATATCACACCAACAGCCTTGTCGCTCAGATAGCTGTGATGTCTGAATGGCTCTCGTGCATGGATGTTGCTGGCGTGCACCTCGATGAAGGGTACCTCGATGCCAAGCAAAGCGTCCCGGAGAGCAACGCTCGTGTGTGTCAGACCTCCGGGGTTAATGACGATGAACTTGCACTTGCGGCGGGCCTCATGGAGTCGGTCAATAATGGCTCCCTCGTTGTTAGATTGGAATGCTTCAAGTGTCAAGCCGTAGCTCTCGGTCTGCTTGCGCGCCGCTTCTTCAACATCCTTGAGCGTCGTATGACCGTAAATGTGCGGTTCACGCAACCCGAGCAAGTTGAGATTTGGGCCGTTAATCAGGAGAACTTTGGTAGACATTGTTATGAGCTCTTGTTCCGAGGCTGAGGTGGCCGAAGAAGGCAGTATGGGTACACTGTAATCGAGATGTTGTTCGAAGGTGTGAATCATGAATCTGCACGCTACGGATAAAGAAACAGCCGGCAGAAAAACCTACCTGTACTGGCAATTACATGTACGCATGCGCTATCAACATCACCAGCCTAACTGTAAAGGTGGCGTGATCCGCCTAAAGGGTAGCGGTACAATAAAGTACTATGGTCGGGACAAGGTAGTGTCCTTGACGGTAATGTGAGAGACAATCCTCCCGTTAGCCAATAGCAACCTAGTCCACGCTTAGTTAGGCTTCTCCAGCGTACGTATGAGTGATAAACTGACCTGCCCGCGGCGAAGCTCGATTGTGGGGGTCCAGAGCTGCTGGGTACGTCTAACCAATGCCTCCGTACCCTCTTCGGACTGCGCTCTAGCTCAACCGCTGCCTGCATTGCCCCGGGGATGCAGCGTACGCCGTCGTAACGTCGATATCTGGCTGGCCATCGTCAGAATGCTCGGCGCATTGTATCGAGGTTTCATGAGCCGCAACCCGACGCTCCGGTGCCGTTTCGGCTGTGCAATTTCTTCGTCGATTGCCTGAAGTGCTCATGATAAAGTAACAGTGTGCTGGTAGTACAGCATTTCGCGAGAGCGTCGCATCCATCCGGAGTGGGGCGCTTGTCTGCTTAGACAGGATCTCATTCTGGAGCACCCACGCCGCACTGGAACTGATGCTCCAGATGAGCATCTGTGAGTTGCTGCGGTGGTGGCGGTGCACATTGAAAGTCTGATACCATCCCACGAATTTGCGGGCTAGACAATAGAAGGCGCGAATCGATCGGAGGCTCGGCCTGCCGGTACGCGGGCGAATCATCGTCGAGAAAACCACGCTTCGGTTTCGAGACGTGGTCTTGCTGCACCGCAAACTCATGCGCCTCGTCACGCTGGGGCTCTGACATCGTCATTGTCCCAGATAGCGGTGGCTGTTGCTGTAGGATTGATAGGAGCGGATGGGTCTCGGCGACCAACTTCCTGGTCTCTTCATCCAGCGGCTGCCCGGCTTCCTCGGCTTCTATGACAAGTAACCATTTCCGCTTCAACTTCGACATCGTAGTGGTGCTGCAGACGACGTTGAAACGGTCATGTATTAGCCAGACAAGGTCGTCAAGGTACCGAGTCCTGTTCTTGGAGTCACGTAACCATTCTCTCACTTCCTATGGCTTATCAGCAGGCATGATACTATAATGGCTTAAGGCAAAACACACGAGCTCCTGCTCCGCATTGAGCGTTTTGGGTCTGCCGTTCTTTTTGTTCAGCTCTACGGGTAGATAGGCTGATCCATATTGCTGAAGGCATCGCTTCATGCGATAGATGGAACTTCTTCCCACCTTCAGCTTTCGGTGTATAGTCGTTGGGTCAAAGCCTGCCTCGAGCAGCTCTCTGATCCGAGCCTGCACCTCGGGTGGCTGCTTGCCAGAGCCGGCCATTCTTGCTGCTGGTTACGCTCCTGGCTATCGTGGCTCCAAAAAGCCCGAGAACATCATAGACGGCGGGTGAAGTGGTGGAACGCTGAGACGAAGCGCGAAGGGGACAAAACTCTGTGGTCGGTGATAAGACTTTCGGCCAAAAGTTAACACTTTTCGGCCGGTAACATAGGCTGACGTAAACACGCATTGTTACGGAGGGGAGAAGACAACGAATCGAATGCGTCTTTTTCTATCTTAGTTCAATGCGAGTACACTGACGTACTATTGAGGATAGCGCTCCTTCATTGCATTGGTTCTCTCTCCGCATGCCTCCGTCCGTTGCTCCATCCCCCGGAAGCAACCTTCCATCATCCTGTTCCTTCTCCCATCGGCAAGGTACATAAAGAGCTCGCGATTGTAATTGAGGCATCCAGGCTCCGGATTACAGCCTATTGCGTGCTGTCGACTCACGCTGTGTCCAACCTTCCGTGAGGATCTCACAAGCCTGGTTTTGGGACTTTTGCGATCATGGGTAGATCGCATCTGCGACGCCATGCCAATTGAAGCGAACGGAGCAGGGGACCTGACTAGGGTTCCACGCAAACGCACCTCGGAACTCAACCTTGACGAGCGACAGCCGTCGAAGCGCTCACGGGTTTCGCGAGCGTGCGATCAGTGGTTCGTGGTTCCCGCGATATCTTGAACAGAACCGGAACTGATACGGACCATTGATGAAGCCGTGCAAGTCGCGAACGGTGTGACGGTGAACAACCGTATTGTATTACATGTAGCAGCCAGGGTATGCCTCAAAAGACTTCCTCCACCTACTATAGCTGACAATTATCATCAGCAAGACCATTCCCCATATCATAGGACTTCAGAGATTTGGCTGACGAAAGCGTAGAGCCGGGAGTGCACCTACCATGAGCAGCCCAAGAAGCGCGGTATTCAGCCGAACTATATTCGTACCCTCGAATTGAGCCTGGCATGGGTCTTACGCCACTCCACTCAAGTCGAGCACAGACTTGCTACTGAGCTCGCCAGCCTCGATCCTGGCGACGTACGCCTTACGATAACGGGCAAGGATGCTGCCGCTGTACGCTTCTTCAGCGTTGCTTGGTATTGACTGTGTTGCTGAGTACTCCCATAGGCGGAAGAGCTCCATCAGCAGTGGCGCAATAGCCTCATATCGAGACAGATCGACCAACTGCTGTCCGGAAGGACTGTCGAGTGCCCGTATCCGACTACTACAGAGACACCAGTCTCTCCACAACCATCGGTAAATGTCTCGCAGCAAACACCGGACCCGCAGTCGCACACGAATCTGGCGCACAGTCGACCTGATCTCGAGCTCTACTACCTTGACCCTTCGCTTGGATCACGTCATGAGTAAGTCGAAACACAGTTCGCTTCTGCCTCATGTCATACTAACTCTATCAGCGAGCCCGTTTCAGGACCATCTGTGAGTGAAAGGCCGGAGCTACCAGCAAATGCGTGGACATTCCTCGAGTACTACTTCGCTTTTACCCATTCGTGGTTGCCGATCACTGACAAGCAGGAGATGCTGAAGCTCATGTACGCAATGCCTCTGGAGTCAGAAATATTCGACGGTAAGGCGTTCAAAGCTGGATATGCGGAGCTGTGGAGCATAATGGCGCTTGTCTCTGCTCAATTACAGCATGAAGACATTGACCAGACACAGCGCCTTCGTGAGACCGTGAACAAGATGCTACCTCAGCACTTTCGTGACTATGAGCTGAGTCATGTAAAAGCACTCATCATACTCGCGCTACTAGAAATTTCGGAGTCAGACTGGTTCGCCGCATGGATGCTGATCGGTTCCGCAATACGACTTATCTCGGTCATGCAAGCGGACGATATCTGGTCCGAGAAAGGCGACCCGGACCGTCTCCGGCCAGACGCTAAATCATTATCTCACTCCCAGAAGACTCGGTTAATAGTCGTGCGTATCGCAGCAATAATGGTTGAGAGGATGATTGGATCCGCCTTTAACTTCCCTGGCCACTCGCTGCAAACTGCGACTGACATCGAAACCGCCATCAAGGAAGACGACTCCGAAGAATGGGCGCCGTGGTCTGACCCTTTCGGCGCGCCTGGAGCAATCAAAACACCCAGCAGGCCGTATGAAGCCCTCAATAGAGTGTTGCGTCTAGGCGCGAGCACGGACACTGAGCGATCCCAACAGCTCCGAGACGCCGTCCTTGCCTTGATCCAAAACGCGACCCAAACGACAGCCAGAAAACGACCGCTAGATATTCTGACAGATCTGGAGTCCCAGAAGACTCGATTGGTGCTGGCGAATAACACAGCCGGGACTGTTGTTTCTGAAATCCATGAGTCACCTCGATTACGCATCTCGGATCATATACAAGATCGATTCAATTTCATACCGATTCCTGAGGATCACGGCATCGGCGTGGCAGAAGACCACGCTCTATTCGCTACTGGCGCGGCCGCTGGGCCTTCGGCGTGGGCAGCAGATTCGATGCCGCAAGAACAAGGCTTCATGGCAGCTGCAAACTCTACGAATCGAGCAATGCCCATGATGGATATCTTCGAGGAATTCGCCATGTTAGAGCGGACCGACACTGGTCAGCACCCACAGTTTATGCAAAATCTTGGCTTTGGTCCAGACGTTGACCTTGCTGAGTTCTTTGGCTCGGATATCTACCAGCCGTCAGACCCGCTGCTCGCCTATATGCAGCCACCGTTCTCCACTCGCATGGCGGAACAGCAGCGACAGTCCGGCGCTGAACCAGGCTGAGATAGTTAAATGGTCCAAGAAGGCCGGTTCAGTGACCGCATACGGTCGTTCAATTGTCTAGATCACGAGTATCGCGGCAGGCCTATCAAGCATATCATATCGGTGTGCCCGCAACCTTGAACTGCGGACGGTCAGTGGAAGTATGTTTGAGCGTGCGTTAACGGTAACGTACAGGATGAGCCTCAGTGTTGAAGACGAACTGATTTGCTCCTCGGTGGTTCACTTGATAAACGGCGTCTGCAGCTTGTATCAAGTAAGAGTACTTGAGCACCTTGAGCAAGCATTAGCGAAGTGCCGAACCTGCGACGAACACGGCACTTGCTCACCTCTGCGAAGAAGAACGAATCTTGGAAGTCAAGAAAGCTACCACCGTTGGCGGCATTCACGTTCGAAATCTCGGAATAACCGGAGCCCACGTGCGTCGTACTGTTGATGGCAAGGAAGGCGTTCCATGCCCACTAACGAACCTTGTCAGCAGACGTGATTGATTACGATGAGGTTGGGGGAAGATACTCACGTCTTGATACTTGGTGTCGCCGGTCGCACGGTAGGCATAGTAGAAGCTTTCAATCACCTCCGGCCGCAAGATGTACTGGCTCGAGGTGATGTAGAACCCAGCTTTCTGGTAGAAGGCTTCCTGTCCGGACGGGATTGTCGAGCTATTCCAACCAAAGCCCTCTGGACCGATGCCGGTCAACGTCTGGGTATACGTGTCCTCACAGCCGGACACCAGCGACAGACCGAAGTCTACATATTGCTGCTTCTTCAACACAAGGCCACCGAGGATGAAGTTACCGCCGTCGAAGCACGCCAGGTGGCCGCTGTTCTCGTTCGTCGTCTGGTTGTTGAAGGCTGCCAGCCAGGTAAGGTCTGGACGGGAAGATGGATGCGAAGCGAGGTAGTTGATGGTACTATCGGCGGCCGCAACCCAGCGATCTTTGTAAGTGCCGAACCTGGATGAGTCGTAAACGTACATCTTGATAAGGTATTCGTAGAAGCTGTCGTCTCCGCCATTCCATCCGCCCGATGCATCAGCAAACTGACCGCTAGCTATGTCAACGTTGGTACCGACAAGGCCTGGCCACGGTTGAGCCCACGAAGGTTGTGGGTTGAGCAGGTACGATTCGGCTTTCCTGTAAGCAGCAATAGCAGAATTAGCGTAGTAACCGTGGGTATGGAAACTGATCACGACGTACTGTGCAAGCTGACCGTATTTAGTGTTTCCTGTCAGATCGGACAGGCGTGTCCACTCAAGCACAAGCGTGCCAATGGTGGCAATGCTATTGGTTGTTGAGCCGTCATTGCTGCGGTTGGCCAAGATCAGGTTATTGCTTGGGATCCCAGTCGGTGTGTCGAAGGCGTAGCTCAAATTGTTCGCCAGATTCTGTGCCTGCTGCAACAGCTGGGCGACATTGCCGGTCTCGCGACCCGTCAGACAACTTCCTCGCTAAGGTGAAGGATTGTTCGCAGCTTACATTGTTGGCCATGCCGGAGCAAGGTCCATTCAACAAGTCGTAAGCGCTCAGCATCTGCGGAAAGCATGCCTCAGCATCATCGTTCATACTCTGTGGGTCAAGCAGCGTGCGCTTACCCCAGCCATGTATCTGATCGTCGTCTCGAACAAACTAACCGCCTCGTTCTGGTAGCTGACGCCCCAGTTGATCGTAGGAATGTAGTTGAGGATCACATTGACAATATCGGGCAGATCCATCACAATGGCGGTCGTAATGGCATCTGCAGCGGAGGCGCCCCAGCCGTTGCTACTGTTGTTAGCAGCAGTATCGAGGTGTTGCCGGCGGCACACATACCGCGAATTACTAAAGGAGTTCGAAACGGGATGCAGCTCGTCATTTGGGAAGGCGTATCTGCTCTCGTCAAACCTCGAGCTGTTGTGTGAAGTCCACAAATCGATGCTTACTTCTGGTAACCGTTCCATGCAATCTGGAAGGTCTGCTTTACCGCATCAGCCCGAGAGCTGGCGCTGCTCGTGGAGTCGGTCCGGTGGCCAAGCGTCGTCGGTGCGGCAAAGATACCAGGAAGCACCGCCAAAGCGGTCAAAGAAGTAGCGAAGCGCATGATGGCGGTTGAGATATCAGGGCGAGGAAGACACCAGAATTGACGGAATAATGAGCAGCTTTGCCAGCATAATCTTCTGAGGAGTCCTGCTCATCTTATTCACCTTCTTCCTACTCAAACGCGTCCTGCAATCTACTGTCACGCGCTCCTCCTCGGCCTATGTCCATTGTGGACAAGTCGCTTACGCTCCGCCGAGCTGCAACATCCATCCTGCACGAACTAATGGAAACGATGGTGGAGTCCGCGCAAGTGAACCATACAGTGGACCGTTCGCAGGCATGTGTATACCACATGCGCTCAAGCGAACGCGGTAGCATAGAGATCAACAAGATGGACATCGAACAACCTTCCTGTTCCAGGTTACGTACAAAGAGTTTCATTGCAGTTAGCCAATGACAATTTTTATGGTCGTTCATTGGAGTTGCATCTCCGTGGTAGATCAGTGGAGGAGCTGGACTTCAAGATCCGGTTTACGAAGATCCAGGGATGCGCTAATTGTTATACAGCAGGCACCGCATGACCTGCACACAATGCAGCAGAGAAGGATCGACGTTAGGAGTGGGCTCTTTGTCTTGGCGAGACATTCGCGGGTGAACGTCCGGGGCCGAAGTGTGGGATGTCCGATATACGTGCATTAAATGCGAGCCTTCGTGTGATTATGCGCGTGCCGGGCGCCCTCTCTGCTCGTTGCGCTCGCTGTGTTGCCCAGATACGGCAGAGTGAAATCTTATACAGGAGACTGAGCTCCAGGTACGGTCCACTTCCGCGTATAGGCGTCACCGACTAAGCGGACGCTAATGCATGGCATTTCGAACCCCTCACTCAGATCAATCAGGAATAGTAGTTAAGGTAGTCCTGCTTGGCAAACAAAGCTTCCTGCATGGTGTGGGTATTAGACGGCGACAACAAACAGTGAGCTACTTAGTGAGCAGCCGAATGTTGCAATTAATGTAACGGGTAATTTGCTAGGCAGATCACATGCACAGTCGCCCACACTTGCTCCATCAGCCAATGTCTTATGCATAACGCCAATCCGCCGCGCTACAGCCTGATGCCGTCAATCCCGCCTTGCAAAGCCTTCATGCAGTCATACCTCCAGCATCATCTCGTCGCTATCCAGTAAGCTGTTACTTGCTACGAAGCTGAAGCCGCCGAACGGGTCATTTTCTGAAGGTCTCTCCATAGCCGGCATGTAGTCCTCGGAGTTCCTGCTGCTCCGAGTCACTACTGGACTCAGGGGCAGACCAGTGAAGTCTTTGCTGAAGTTCTCCGCCAGCTCTGGGTCGGTGATCAGAGGCTGTATAGGTGGCTCAAGCTCCCGCTTCTCAAGCTTCTTCCAGTCAATCTTGCGAAAAAAGCGATGAGACTTTAGCGTCTTCAAGTCTTTCGTCGTCGTGCCTCCGAGGCGCTTATGCGGCTCCTTGCGCAGTAGGCGGGTAAGCAGATCTTTCGCATCGGGTCCCAGGAAGTATGGTAACTGTAGCTTTTGCTTGAGGATATTTTGCTGAATCTTAGCATGGTTATTGCCTGAGAAAGGCGGTGAGCCAGTCAGAAGATCAAAGCCAATAGCTCCAAGGCTCCACCAGTCCACTGCAAAGTCATAGCTTTGCCCCTGAACGACTTCTGGTGCCATGTACTCGATAGTGCCGAGGATGCTGTTGGCACGCTCGTCGTCTTCGAGGGCGACTTTGGAAAGGCCAAAGTCAGTAAGCAAGAGATGGCCTTCAGAATCTAGCAGACAGTTCTCCGGCTTCAAATCACGGTAGATGACCCGCACGTTGTGGTGCAAATGTTCGAGGGCGAGCGTCATCTCAGCCATGTAGAAGGCTGCCACCTCCTCGCTAAACATGCGCTCCATGGCCAGGTGGGTGAACAGTTCGCCTCCCTGCGCGTATTCCAAGATGAGGTAGAGCTTCTCGTGATCTTGAAATGCGTAGTACAGCTTCACCACGAACGGGTGACGGTTCACTGATTCCAGGATGTTGCGTTCTGTGCGCGTCTGCTCGATCATGCGCTTGTGCACGGTCAAGCTAGCCTTTTTGAATTGCTTCTGAGCGAACAAGCGTCCCGTGGTCTGCTGCTTGACCAAGTGCACTGTGCCGAAAGCGCCCTTGCCAAGACAGCGCAGAGGCTCGAAGTCTGCGGCGCACATTTTGCGGTAGATAGACTTCGTTCGTAAGCCACCTTCGACAGCCTGAGATGCGAAAAGTGGCGTCTGAGTGCCTGCATCTGGGCTAGCGAAGTCTTCGTCGAGCGGCACATCGTACGTCTCCATCTCCGTCTTGTCGCCGTCACTAGCGCGGGAAGAGGCGGTGCTATCATAAGTGACGGAGTCGTTCGACATAACGTGCACTAGACTAGGTCGTGGCTGTCCGCCTTCGAGTGACAGAGCGTCTAGGCGCGCCTTCAGCGCACTGATGCCGCCTATGCCGGAGCTGGCTGGTCGCATTAGCGGACTACCAGTCGCACCTAGTCGGGGAGTGCCGGCGTAAGACATGTCTGACTCCTCGCCGGCGGAGGCGACTGGCGTTTGGAAGCCTCTTGTCACGCTAGCTGCAGGTGCTGCTGCAGGCATGGCTTTCTTCTTGTTCTTCCTTCGCTTCTTGGCCTTCTCCTTCATCGCCTCATGATCCAGTCGCGGAATTGGTAGCGGCTCGTCCATCATCGCATTCTGCACAGGCCGTTGTGCGGGTGACGCGATCCGCATTGGTGGGGATCGTTGGACTGGAACATCAAGCGCATGGCCGTCGATGTCCATAGCGGGCATTCTGTCGACGTTGTGAAGAGGATGTAACTATCGTGCAAGCGAAGTTAGGCTGTATGATTCCGCAGGATGTTGAGACGTTCACAAGTTATGGATGGTCAATACTCGTTGCGCATTCGCGCTTCTGTTATGCGCAGGTTCGGCAGTCTGCTGTCGTCTTTTCGCCCACGTCTTTCAACGCGGGCCTCCCACAACTAGCCACAGCAGCGATACAAAGCCCGAGTCGGTATAAGAAAGTCCGCTGGCAGACTCTGGAGAGACAGCAACAAGGCCGATTGGCGCGCTGACAAGAGGGGAAAATGCGGTGGTCTTGTAGGAACCCATAGATGATCACTTGTTGTATGTCGAAGATGGTGGTGTCACTGTTGACGAGGTCAGAGTAAACCGAGTCAGATGTGATATCGTCGGTGTTGCTGAAGGCGTGTGGATGCAACGTTGAGTAAAGAGTGGTTGGAGCGCAGAACATCCGGTTTGGGAGAGTCGCGCGCTAAAAGGGACGCCTGGTCGGAGCGTCAGCCGGCGCGTCTTCCGGCGCGTCTCCATTAGTCCCTCCAACTGAATATTGCTACTTCCATCACTCTACAACAATGCCATCCGCAACGACTGGATCGGCTGCGCCGGCTCACAGCTTCGACCAAGACGTGGATGACTTTCTGCGCGACCTTCCCATTGATCGCGACAAGCCTGCAGAAAACCACTACGTGCCGCAGATCAAGGACGTTGACGAAGAAATCAAGGTCCGCAAGAAGCGAGCGCCAAATCCGAAACTTGATGACAATCTACTTCTCTCCAGTAACGGCCTGCCTCGGCTACGGCGCATCGCAAAGTCGAAGCTAAAGTTCAGAGGAAAAGGCCACGAATGCAGCGATATAGGCAGGCTGCTGAACACGTATCAGTTATGGCTGGATGATCTCTACCCAAAGGCGAAGTTCAAGGATGCCCTAGCTATGGTTGAGAAGCTTGGCCACAGCAAGCGTATGCAGGTTACAAGAAAGGCGTGGATCGATGCTACGAAGCCGAACAGACGTGATGACAGTCCCGAGAGGCGAGAGGAATATGCAATGAGCGGCGCACTTGATGGTCCGCCTGCGGGCAACGACCGACAGGTAGAATGCGGGTTTGATTCGTTTGGCGACAAGGACGACCATTTGTCTGAGCACCAGCAGCAAATACAGAGTGGAGACGTTCCCAATGAAGCCGAGCTTGATGACATGATACGCGAGAATTATATCAGCAATCATGCCTCCAACGGCCATTGGGGACGATCGTTCTTGCATAACGATGAGACCAGCGACGATGAGCTCGATGCGTTACTGGCTGAAAATACCGAAGCCGGCAAAGGCGCTTTAGTGAAACGTAGGGATCCACTCCAAGACGATCCAAGCGACGCGGAAGACGATCTGGACGCTCTGCTGGCAGAGCAGAGTTATGTTACTGCGCCCAATGCGGCAAACCGAGCAGACTTGGGTACAGAATCGCGGACGTGCGATGATTTTGCGGATGATGAAGAAGCCATGGCTGGCCTCGGAGGCGAGTGGTAATGAGAGCAAAGCGGGTAGATTGTCTTGACTGTAACGAAATGGCAGTTTTCCCGCGAGTCACCAACCGCCGAATCTCTAGAAGAAGGTTCCAGTTGGACCTAGTACCCACAGCAAGCAGTAAACATGAGCAATCTTGCGGAGCCCAATAAGTACAGTCACCGTTGATGGCATCTCCGGCCACTTTTGACAAAGCATCCATAAGCTATCTTGCTCATGCCTTCGTACAACGTGGCGAACGAGATTCGATCAAGAAGTGGGTGCAGAGGTGTTGAGAAGGGTATGAGCGATTGTGAGTCTCCGCGAAAGGTTTGCCATGCAGACACTATTCGATCGTGAGAGTGGAACAAGGTTATGACAATGACATACGTAACCAGCAGTGCATGTCCTGCCCGCAACGCTATTCTAACGAGGCCGACCTACTCGAGATCGTTATTGTTGGAGCAAGGTGGCTCGGTGTTTGTGGGACCAAGGTCTCGAACGACCTGAAAACGATTTCCGGGGGTGGAAAGCCTCGACGATCGCCTATGTTCCGCACTCCTAAGCGGTGTCCAGCTAAAGAGGCGGGCCTTGCGTTAGGCTAACGTCGTTTTACTACAACTTGCGCAGCTACACACAATATCCGAACGCTCTACAGTCGATCATCCGAAGGCGGCGGACTTACGACCCGGACATGTGTCATATCAGTTGGGCATTGGATAGGGTCAGTGTGTAGTAACACTCAACGGCGGCTGACCTTCGCCATCGATCGAGTAGCGAATGTCTGCTTCTGCTCTGCATGTCTATGATCTAGAAGCGGAAGTGTATACGGGATGCCCGAAGTGAGGTGAGACAACAAGTTGGGGAGTGGGACAAGCCAGACGTCCGTGCGTCATGCCCCCAGCCACATTGCGACTTTCCCCAGCTCGCACTTTCCACCTAAAGCCAACCTCCCAGCAACGCATCGCCGCAACAACCAGCCTTTCAAGTACGCTTCATAGAAAAGGTAAGTATCGCGTCTGTTTCTTGACTGCATCTTTCGTGTGCAAGAGCCATCCAATACAAAAGCTTCCCTCCCATAATTGTAAAACCACACTACACGCTTTCTTGCCTCCCTAACGCGATACGACTCCACGCGTGAAGACCTCAACAACCATCAGAGCAATCCTATTCCTCTCGACCACATACACACTCAAGATGTTGCTCATCCTCCCATCTGCACTGCTTGCATACCTCGCTATCACTGCGCAAGCGCTACCAAGACCGCAACCCGCAGCAACCTACTCTGTGGTGGATGTCGATGGTGGCTCCGCAGACGGAGCATCAGCGGGCTCGCCCACAACTGTGTATCAAACTGTCACTGCATCGCCCGCAGCACAACCAACAATAGAGAACACCGTGACCGTAGTACAAACGCCAAGCACCGCACCGGCAAGCCTCATGGTATCAACAATGGTAACGCCGACTACAATCACCGTCGCGACACCTGTGAGCAGTGTCGAAACAACCTTCATCACACAGCAGACCACAGCGACCATCGTGATGGCTAGCGAGGGGCCAGGCTCTACCGTGACTGTCGAGGCTGCTGCATCCGTGGTAACGATTACACCATCTCTGGTCTTGAGCACTCAGCCAGCTACTACACAAATCATCAACCAGCCAGCTGTGGAATTCACGGTGACACCGATCGCTAGCACCACCGAGCTGCCCGTGCAGACTTCGACATCCTACGATGATGGCATGTGGCACACCTCTTATCCAATAAGGCCTGCCTTCACTGGTGGTGCGTACCGGAACGCAACGAACTCTGCGTGAATGTGAGACAAACGAACAGTAAGGATGACGAGCATGAGCATTTGAATGTATGATGAGCGTTGAAGCATGGTGTATGAGGTATCGATAATGGGATTGATGAGGGAAGCGAGGTCTCCACGACAGCGTTCGACGAGTATCATACGACCGCTCCGCTAGTGCAGCACATGGGCAGAGTCTATAAATGGTAGTAATGCATATAGAGCATAAAGCAATGATTAGCGACGTTTAGAATCGTCATATTCGAGCAGTGAAAAGCTCTGTCAAGCTCGTTGTGTTAATCCATTCCGCACAAGTGCATGAACTTGTTCTACAAGCACGGGAGAATGTTCGTGCCTGAGGCGAGCCACATCGGGCTGCGGCCACGACAAGCGAGGATTGGCGATGGAGAGCATTGATGCTGATGATCCTCGCGCAATTGCAAGCTTCCCTGGATTACATGCTCGACACATTGCGAGAGAGGTGCGAGCAGGCTTGCATGGGTACCTAAGCGAGTGAACGAGCGGGGCATCATGGAGTCGGCGCCTCCTCCAGTGGAGGACCAGGCGCGGCTGTTGGAGGATGCCTTGACGGTGGTGCGCCAGCAGGCCATCATGATGCGGCGATGTCTGGAGACGCCCGGCAAGCTCATGGATGCACTGAAGTGCAGTTCCACGCTTGTTTCCGAACTACGAACCTCAAGCCTGGGACCGAAGCAATACTACGAGCTGTACATGTCCGTCTTCGATGCGCTGCGACATCTTTCCGTATATCTTCGCGATTCGCACCCGACCAACCACCTCGCCGACCTGTATGAGCTTGTCCAGTACGCTGGCAACGTCGTCCCGCGATTGTACCTAATGATCACAGTAGGCACGGTGTATATGGGCATAGAGGATGCGCCGGTCAAGGAGATCATGAAGGACATGATGGAGATGAGCAGAGGAGTACAGCACCCGATCAGAGGCCTCTTCCTGCGCTATTATCTCAGTGGTCAGGCGCGAGACGCGCTACCCACAGGCACGGGAGACGGCCCAGAGGGCAACCTGCAGGACAGCATCAGTTTCATACTGACAAACTTCGTGGAGATGAACAAGTTGTGGGTACGGTTACAACATCAAGGACACTCTCGAGAGCGGGAACAACGAACTAAGGAGCGGCAAGAGCTGCAACTGCTCGTAGGCAGCAATCTCGTTCGCTTGAGTCAGCTAGTCGATCTGGAGAGCTACAAGAGCGTCATACTACAACCGCTTCTGGAGCAAGTAGTGCAGTGTCGGGATGTTCTAGCTCAGGAGTATCTGCTTGAAGTGATCACCCAGGTCTTCCCGGACGAGTTTCACCTGCATACGCTCGATCAATTCCTGTCAGCAACCGCACGGCTCAACCCTCACGTCAATGTCAAGGCTATCATCATTGGGCTCATGGATCGGTTAGCAGCCTACGCTCAACGAGAAGCAGAGGGGCAGTTACCCGAAGACAAGCAGAGACAGGAAGAGGAGTCCGTCTCTGCGCTGCTGGAGAAACTGAAGCTGTCGAAGAAGAGCACGCAGACGGACGGTTCCCAGTCGACGGAGCATGGCCAAGCGAACGGCGAGCCAACCGAGTCGGCTGAAGAAGCTGCCGCTTCGGGCGCGTCCACGGAATCTGTAGACAAGGCCGAGTCTGGGACACAAGTCAACGGTGTCAGCAGCAAGCACAGAGGCATTCCAGACCATGTCAAGCTCTTCGAGATCTTCTATGAGCAAGTCGTGCACATCATCGGCATGCAAAGGTTGCCAATACAGGATATCACGGCGTTGCTTGTCTCGCTTGCTAACCTCGCACTCAACATTTACCCAGAGCGCCTGGACTATGTTGATCAAGTGCTCCATTACGCCTCGAAGGAGGTAGCCCGCTTCCAGAACTCAGCCGACCTACATTCGCAACCTGCACAGTCGAACCTACTCAGCTTGCTTTTAGCGCCTGTGAAAGCGTACTTCTCCCTGTTTACTGCGCTGGCGTTACCTAACTTCTTACCACTTTACCAACAACAAACGTATCCGACGCGACGCTCAGTGGCTGGCGAGGTTGCCAGAAGTCTGTTACGGAACGAGACCAAGATCACGACGACTGAGAACCTCGATGGGGTCTTGTCAATATTGGCCGTACTGATCAAGGAAGGCATGCAGACACCAGCTGGCTACCCTGGCGGACCAGTCCGACGGTCAGCAGCGGAGACCGACGAGACCGTCGAAGAACAAGGCTGGCTAGCACGGATTGTACACCTCATCAAGGGCACAGACAACACGGCTCAATTCCAGCTTCTGCAGAAAGCACGGACAGCTTTCGCTGAGGGCACCGAGCGAACAAAGTACACCGCGCCGGCTCTACTCACGGCGTCTCTCAAACTCGCAAGATCGTTCAAGCGGAGAGAGCACCTCTCAAATGACGACTACGCAACCCAATCTGCTGCCGTGTACAAGTTCGCACACGGCACGCTCTCCTCCCTCTACACGCGAGTTTCAGCAACCGGCGTTCCCGATCTCGTCCTCCGGCTCTTCGTCTCCTGTGGTCAGGTAGCGAGCCAGTGCGAGAACGAAGACATGGCGTACGAGTTCTTCGCGCAAGCGTTTACAGTATACGAGGAGTCAATATCAGATTCACGAAGTCAATTCCAGGCTATCTGCATCATCGCTGGAGCGCTTTCAGGATGCTCGGAGCGCTTTACTCGGGAGAACTACGATACACTGATCACAAAGTGTGCATTGCACGGCAGCAAGCTGCTTAAGAAGCCTGATCAATGTCGGGCTGTATATTTGGCGAGCCATTTGTGGTGGGCGGTGGAGAAGGGGGAGAAGACGGAGGGTGGGACGGAGGTGCGCATCTATCATTGTACCATCGACATAATTGCGCCCGATTCTGACTGCTAACGTACCCTCACAGCCCTACCGCGATGGCAAACGCGTGCTCGAGTGCCTTCAACGCGCTCTTCGCGTGGCCGATGCTTGCATGGACACTGCCGTCTCCGTCGAACTTTTCGTCGAAATCCTGAACCGCTACGTGTATTACTTTGACCAAGAAAACGACGCTGTAACGACGAAGTACCTCAATGGGCTGATCGAGCTGATTCACAGCAACCTCAACACCACTGAGAATGCCTCGGGTCTGGAGAATCCAAGGAGACATTTCCAGCGCACGTTGGAATACGTGGAGAGGAGAGGATATGAGGGAGTCGAGACCAAAGCGAAGAGTTGAGCGCTGACATCTTGTCTATCTCGTCTATCCCTCTAGCGACCGGCGTTGCGGCAGGCGGCTTCGGAAAGGCCAACAAGCCATTAGACGCTCTAATCTCGTGTTCTTGTGCATATAGCGAAGACATTGTACGCGAATAAGACGTGCCGTACATTAAAACTAACATAGTCTCGAGCCGAGATAGTACAGGGTGAAGTGTATGTGAGCAACGTGTCAAATTATCTGGCCAGCTAGCCTTGCCACGCTCGGAGACACTGACACTTGGACGGGCCCACTTTCAGTGACAACGGCACTGACGACAGTTATTCTCTACCTCACAATTGCTCTAGACACCACGAATCTTGGAACTTCAATGTGTAAGCAGCTCTCGCTGCGGCTCTCTAGCGTCTAACCAGGAATGTGAAACATTGCCTTGCCGCAGATGGTTGAGCCGATGCATTCCTTCACCGGTCGCGCAGAAAGTGGCTGTGAGTCGATGCTGCTAAGCTAACCTCCAGCTGGGCCCCCCTCATTGTACCTCCGCCTGCAGCAGGACGGGAGCAAGCAAGCTGATGCCTGAAGCTGCTGTGCGGCCTCTTTCAATCGCACCGCCCGATGCTCGCCTGACTCTTCACAGCCTTTCGAACTGTCTTCACTCGCGCTTCAACAGCGGCTGAGCCATTGTTAAGGGACTAACAGATATCATGCGTGACTCATAGTAGGCCGTTGACATCGAGGAAGACTTCCCAGGCTCATCTCTTTCAAATTGCTGTCGAGCGGACAACACTTGCAATGGCGCAATTTCACACACCAAAATTCGACTTCTCCTTCCCATTGGGCCAACGTGCATACAGAGGCTGTGCAGAACCGTTCCAATGGCAGCTTGAATCGCGCCCAGCGCCTGAGGATGGAGAGCAGCCAAATCGCATGCGCCGGGGACCGTTCGATACGTATGAGCTGGAGACCGAGCTACGCGACAATGTACAGCGAGAGCTTCAGAGCCTGATGGCAGAATCCACACACACTGAATTCCAGGAGCAGTATGACAGGTTGCCAGCGATGGACCTCATTGACGAGTATAACCCGCCTGATCCGAGGAATCGCGGCTTCATGCAGTCTAGCAGTCCATTCTCACTGGGAGATGACGACAGTGTCAACGAGGCCTCCTTTATGGACTGGTACCCATCAGGAAGTGCGACGGTGAGCTTCCCAGGCAATGACGGCGAGACACACTACATCCACAAGATCAACACGTGGTTCATTGAAAAGCGTTGTCCGCTCCTGGCAATGGCTTTCGAAGACGTCCGCTCCGGCTCACAGTTGCATCTCGAGGCATTAACCGGAACGACAGCTTATCCGTTCCTGCGCTTTCTGTACACAGGCTCTTACGCCCTGACCACGGCTTCCGGCGACTGCTTCGAGGATGTCCCAACATCGTTGCTCTTGCACGTGCAGCTTTACCGCCTGGGTGTCATCTTCGACCTGGCTGAGCTTCGTACACAAGCATACGTTAACGTTCTGCGGCAATGTGAGTTCGGCTGCTCTTCGCCAGACAAGCCAATCGATCTTTGTGCGGCAATTCGATTCGTCTACGAGCATCTCGGCAGCCATGAGAAACTGGCCGACGCCATCGTCAACTACTGTGTCGCCTGTTTCCTCCGCCATAGACTGGCAGACAATGCGGATTTTCGAAATCTGGCCTACAACCTTCGCCCTTTTCACCAGGCGCTATGCTGGAACAGTATGCAGCGTGAGTTCGAGAATGAGACCGCGACTGCGATCATTCGTCTGCCGTTCAAAGCGCATACGCCTGAGAAGGTTTGCACGTCTGAAGAGCTTGGAGATGTGATCTTCAGGTTTCACGGAGCCGACGACGAAGTGACACCGGTATTAGAGGCAGCAAATGGTTCTGCATCCCATAAGCGCACCTTGGCGATGAGGCCACAGGCAGCTCTTGCAGTAAAGGGCGCGATCACGGAAGCCTTGGCGAAACGGAAAGCAGTCGATTCTGATATCGCGCCAGAAATTCTCGACGAGCAAATATCTGATCCCGTCTTCAGCGATCAGGATCCGTCGGACAGTGAATATGAACTCGTCGCAGGTCCTGGAGAGGTCGAAGCTATCGATTCCAGTAGCGACTCCGGCACGGACGCAGTGATAGTGGAAGGTGCAAAAGCTGCCTCTCAATCAATTCCTTTGCGGACTCGCTCCAATCTCGAAACGGCACAACATAACCAGCTTACTGCGGAGTCTGATATAGATTCTGAGGATTGGAGTTTGGTCGAAGACCTGTAGACACGCGGCTGGCATTTATTGTAGGGACCGGCTTCGGGAAGTGGGCAAAATCAAGGATATTCAGTAGCAATCGAAGGCGCAGAGAGTCTCGACTTCATTTGGCGTCGGGTGACAAGATCCGCGAGTTGGTACAGATGATGAAGGGACGGTCATGGTACACATGCACGAAGTAATGTAAGCTGTCTATTCTGCGCCACGGCAGCAATGTGCGAGGCGTGCCCAATGCAAAAGTAAACGGTTAAAGCGGCACCACCGGAGCCGATCTAGCTGTCAACCAAAGGCCGGTAGTTTATTCTCAGATCCCGCTAATGTTGCCCTATCTTTAAACTCTACGTTCTTGAGCGCTTAAAGACTCCCGAGTTGTTATGAGTGTGTTACCGAAACATCGATACACCATGTATAGTGCATAGAGATCGCATCTCCTACTTCGAGACGTGGCCATGGTATTGGGCCATCAGCAGCCAAATGATGGCGGCGCGGCAGTCTCCGATGAGCGGACCGAGAGCGGCGTCGCCATTGAAGACAAGACGGCATTGACTTCGCACAATGTGAGCAGCAACAGTTCAGAAGACGGGGAGCGGACCAAGTCTGGGGCTACGAAGCAATCAATATGGCGCCGAGTATACGACACCGTCTACTGGACACCGCCGCGTCTGCGATGGGATCCGTCTTCACCGCCCAAGTTCTCCATGGCTCTCAACATACTGTTCGGTTTCGCTGGAGCGTTCACCGTGGCAAATCTGTATTATAATCATCCTATCCTGAACATCTTGGCTGAGGACTTCGGTGTACCTTATGTCAAGGTGGCAAATATCCCAACTTTAGCGCAGGCTGGCTATGCAACCGGTTTGTTGTTCCTCTGTCCGCTTGGCGACATGCTAGAGAGACGACCTTTCGTGCTGACCTTGGTCTTCTTCACGGCGGCGATGAGTATTGGTTTGGCTGTCACGAAATCGCTCGCCGTCTTCGAGGCAATCCAGTTCATCACGGCCGTATCAACGGTAACGCCGCAGCTTATGCTTCCTCTGGTGGGCGATCTGGCACCACCCAAACGACGAGCCGCCGCCATGTCAATTGTTGTGTCTGGACTTATGCTTGGTATTCTGCTGGCCCGTCTGCTTTCTGGCATCATGACGCAGTACGTGTCCTGGAGGTACGTCTACTGGCTTTCGGTGGCCTTGCAGTTTGCCATCTTCGTGGGACTGTGGGCTTTCATGCCAGATTATCCGGCTACGAACAAGGGGGGCATGAACTACTTTAAGATACTCGCCTCAATTCCAGTCATGGTCGTGAAGCATCCTGTACTCGTGCAAGCGTGCCTAATCTCGCTTTTCACCAGCGCAACGTTTACGAGCTTCTGGACGGTCCTTACCTTTTTGCTTGCGGGCGCGCCATATCACTACGATCCAGTCAAGATTGGCCTCTTTGCGCTTATTGGCATTGCTAGCATGATCTGTGGGCCAATCTACGCCCGCGTGGTCATCGATCGTTTCGTACCTTGGTTCTCTGTCATCCTTGGGATGGGTTGGTGTCTGCTTGGTATTAGTATTGGGACCTACACTGGCACTTTCACCGTCGCTGGACCGGTCATACAGGCGTTTTTCGGTGACTTCGGCATGCAAACGGCACAGATTGCGAATAGGTCAGCCATCTTCGCTGTCGAGCCGAAGGGCCGAAACAGAGTCAACACAGCCTTCATGGTTGCCACCTTCTGCGGGCAGCTTATTGGTACCTCTGCCGGTGCGCATCTTTATGCCAGAGGAGGCTGGATCGCCAGTGGCAGCTATAGTATGGGCAGCATAGGCATGGCCTTGCTGATCACACTTGCACGTGGGCCGTGGGAAGAAGGGTGGGTGGGATGGCATGGCGGTCTCAGCATTTCCAAGAAGTCCAAGAACAGCGCAGACGGCAAGGTAGAGGAGCAGCGGAACGAGCTCAGGCGATTGGACACCAACGAGCAGGTACCTCGGCTGGCGGATGTTGATGTGGAGAAGGCGGAAGGGCATAGAGATCAACATCCACACCACCACGGCACCGACTGCCAGGAAGAAGTAAACGCTACGGACGCAGAGAAGGCGCTCGAGATGCGCGCAGCGGAGGATATCCCTTATGGTGAAACTACTCCAAAGAACGATGCTGCAGAGTTGAGGAAAGACGACAGAACAGAGCCGGTTGCGCCGCAAGAACCGCAAGCTTGATTCGAGCTTTGTACCGACATCCTGCATTTGGCGGCATAGCGTGGTGTTCAAGCGATCTGATCCAGTATAACTTAGACTTCACGAATGGGCGAATCTGTGCAGTCGATGTGTCTAGCATGTGATCACCTAGGCGTCAGTGCATCCTGCATGGCGCTGAAACATCATCCTTGCTGTCCACGCGAGGAGTGTAGGGCTGCAGCTCCCGTGCAGCTTCTCCGCCGCTTTCGTCCAGTCGTCCATGTTGATGATTGTCCGTTACTCACGTAATTCGTCCTTCGTGACTATTCAACTTTCTCGTGCTGTGGGCGAAGACCCTGTTCATGTTCCTGTTCCTGGCGGGCACGAGTCAGTGTAACCCAAACCCACACTTCGGCCGTCTTCCGCGCGCCACACAAACATCCTTGGAGAAGCTAAGGTGGTTGTGCATGTGCATCTTCCCACACTTTGCTACACATTGGTAGACAGGATTGCCTGACGTCGCCGCGAAGCCGTCAATATGGACGCTGCCGGTTTAAGGAGCCGTATCCACAGCATACTCAGTGCTGATGCGGATATCCGCCGGCAGGCAGAGACTGAACTGAAAGCTGTATGTTCGGTGGTGCGCAGGCGAAGATCCAAGCATACATGCTAATGAGGGTGTAGGCCGAAAGTTCGCCAGGCTTCCTGGGCGCATTGCTGGACATCCTAGAGGCGGAGCAGGACAATGGCGTTAGGTTATCCACTGTCGTCTACTTCAAGAACCGCATCAACAAGGGCTGGGGCCTATCGCAGGACGCATCACCCGAGCATGGGATACCAGAGCAAGAGAAGGCCACAGTGAGGGCGCGACTGGTGCCGATCATTGCTACAGCACAGCCCAATGCTCGAGCTCAACTTGTTGTGGCATTGCAAAAGATACTCCACACAGACTTTCCCAAGTAAGCGGAGCAATTAACATCGTATGGCGTGTGTGATGTATAGCTGACCATCTCACCCATTGACGTTAGGCATTGGCCAAACTTCGTCGATATCACCAATAACCTCCTCAACGCGCAAGACGTCCGCTCGGTGTTTGCTGGGTTGCAGTGCTTGCTGGCAATATGTCGGACGTACCGATTCAAGATGGGCGACAACCGCAGCGACTTCGACCAGATTGTAGCAGTCACCTTCCCACACTTGCTGCAAATAGGAAATAGTCTGGTTGCGGAGGAAAGTATAGAGGCCGGCGAGATGCTGCGGACAGTGCTCAAGGCGTACAAGCACGCGATTTACTTTGAGCTGCCGGTGCCGCTCCGGACACAGCAGGAGATGGTGAACTGGTGTACCCTCTTCCTCCGCGTTGTAGGCAAAGAGCCACCAGCCTGCTCCATGGTTGAAGACTTGGACGAGCGAGAATTAAATCACTGGTGGAAGTGTAAGAAGTGGGCATACGTCAACCTGAACCGGCTTTTCGTGCGGTATGGCAACCCTGCGAGCTTGCAAAAAGGCAACGGCGAAGACTATACTCAAGTGGCCAAATCCTTCGTCGACAACTTCGCGCCGGAGATTCTCAAAGGCTACTTGCAGCAGATCGAACGATGGGTGCACAAGCAAGTTTGGCTGAGCAAGCCCTGCTTGTCCCATACTCTGCAATTCATGGACGAATGCGTGAAACCGAAGACAATGTGGGACTGCCTTAGACCACATATGCCCGTCTTGGTTCGTCACCTGATCTTCCCGGTGCTCTGTCAGTCAGATGAGGATCTTGAGCAATTCCACGACGAGCCTGCAGAGTATCTGCACCGAAAGCTCAACTTCTACGAGGAGGCTTCAGCGCCCGACGTTGCTGCCACGAACTTCCTGGTCACACTCACGAAGGCTCGACGGAAACAAACGTTTGAGATTCTAACGTTCATCAACGATATTGTCAACCGGTACGAGGCTGCACCGGACGACCAAAAAGACCCACGGGAGAAGGAGGGCGCTTTGCGGATGATTGGCACTCTTGCCAACGTCATCCTGGGGAAGAAAAGCCCCATTGCAGACCAAGTCGAGTACTTCTTCGTGCGACATGTATTCCCAGAGTTCCGGAGTCCGCACGGCTTCTTGCGCGCACGAGCGTGCGACACGCTTGAGAAGTTCGAGTCTCTCGACTTCAAGGATCCGAACAACCTAACAATTATCTACCGCAACATCCTCGAGTCTATGGCGGATGAATGCCTTCCAGTACGGGTAGAGGCGGCGCTCGCGTTGCAACCGCTCATTCGGCATGACCCAATCCGCCTCATGATGCAGCAGAACATCCCACAGATAATGCAGCAACTCCTCAAGTTAGCGAACGAAGTTGACGTGGACGCGCTTGCCAACGTGATGGAGGACTTTGTCGAAGTCTTTGCGCCTGAGCTGACGCCGTTCGCCGTAGCGCTAAGCGAACAGCTTCGGGATACGTACGTACGGATAGTCAAGGAGCTCATCGAGCGCAACCAGACAAGGGAGTCAGATGAAGGCTACGGCGACTTCCTGGACGACAAGAGCATTACTGCACTTGGCGTGCTCCAGACTATCGGCACACTAATCCTCACCCTAGAAAGCACTCCTGACGTTCTCGCGCACCTGGAAACGATCCTCATGCCAGTCATCACGATTACACTCGAACATAAGCTGTACGACCTGTATAATGAAGTCTTTGAAATCATTGACAGCTGCACGTTTGCCGCCAAGGTCATCACGCCTACCATGTGGAAGGCCTTCGAGCTCATACATGCAACCTTTCGATCAGGAGCGGAGCTCTACCTTGAAGACATGCTGCCCGCGCTGGAGAACTTTGTCAACTATGGCTCACAAGCGCTGCTCGAAAATCGAGCGTACCTTGACGCCATTGTGAATATGGTCCGCACCATTTTTAAGGACGAGAAGGTGGGAGGTGTGGACAGGATATGCGGCTGCAAGCTTGCTGAAATTCTCATGCTCAACTTGCGAGGTGGCATTGATGATAAGGTCCCGGAGTTTATTTCGCTTGCCATGGGAGTACTGACGAACGATGAGCTGAAAGTGAAGTCATACCGGATACACCTTATGGAGATGGTCATCAATGCAGTGTACTACAACCCGCGGCTGTCGCTGAACGTGCTCGAGGCCAACGGATGGACCAACAAGTTCTTCAGTTTCTGGTTCGGCAGCATTGACAGCTTCACGAGGGTGCACGACAAGAAGCTCTCAGTAGGCGCTATTACCGCGCTGCTGACGCTGAGAGGAGACGAAGTACCACACAGCGTGCAACAAGGTTGGCCGAGATTACTGCAAGGTATAGTGCGATTATTCCAAACCTTGCCCGCCGCGTTGAAGAACCGCGAGGAAGCTCAGCGGGAAGAGGACTTCGGCCTCAGTGGTGATTACGATGAAGACGAAGAAGACGAAGGCGCATGGGAAGGAGAAGATTGGCAGGCCGAGGAGGAGGCAGAAACAACTGACGTCAAAGACGAAAGCACGGCCTACCTCGACTTCCTCAGCCAACAAGCGAAGAAGTTCAATGACGCGGTGGGTGAGGACGAAGATGACGACGAGCTCGAAGAAGAGAGTCTACTTGAAACGCCGCTTGATGCCATGGAGCCATATGGCTTGTTCAAGACGGCGCTGCAGGGTAAGTGTGATTCCTTTGCTAGTTCGCAGCACCACGTCTCGCTAACCGTGACCCAGCAATGTCTCAGCAACAACCGCAGCTGTACGCTCAACTCACAAGCGCGCTTGGTCCCGAGGAGCAGCAGATCATCAAAGTCGCGATAGAGAACGCGGACAAGATTGCAGCAGACCAAGCAGCTTTACAGGCGCAAGCGCAAGCGCAAGCACAAGCCGAAGGTGGCGCTGCAGGAGCGGTGCCGCATACGAACGGCACCAGCTGAGTCTACTCAGTCTTGCGATCTTAGCAGTGCATTCGTCCATTGATAGATACCCAATCCTAATGTTCCGCGACGATCGCGTTTATGATGTGGCTCTTTTGAGGTCCAACACAAGCAGCTGACGACAGTGAGCGCCTCAGGGGACGCTCGCCCTCACATGCTGGCTGAATGTCATGCTCCCTGTTCTCAGATTCACCAGCCGCGCCAACAAGGAATCGTAAAACTCGACAGCTCCTCGAGGCAGCGCCCATGCGTTAGGGATGTGACACATCATGCAAGCAGCATTGTAATGTAGAAGTACATACTGGGTTTCGGCGTGTTAGCCGCCATCATATCCAGCGCTCCGTAACGCCCGCTTGCTACCATCGCACATCACACACGCGCCTCGGACCGGATCGATACGGAGCATCCCACCAAAGATAAGGTACATCCCTAATCTCACACAATCATCTGCGCAACACCTTGTCCACCCAGCGTCTTGCTATTGATGAAAGCCTGCCCTCTAATTCCCGCCAACGCATAGAAGATAGCCGCAATAAGGAGCACTACTGCACACGCAATAAGCGACGTCGTGAGCGCAATGATCGAGAGCCATTGGATGATGGAGAGGACGAGATAGATTGCCGCGCGCATATAGTTGGTCTCGAAGCGGCGAATGAAGGCGTCGAAGCCGGCGGAAGTTGGGCAGATTCGTAGTAGGAGCGGTACCTCTATGAAGAGGATGATGAAGGCTGAGACACTGGAGGAAGGGATTAGTGAAGCTGTGCGTGAGAGGGGAGGGGGTGGGACGGACAGGCAGAAGACGCTAAAGAGGATGACCCAGTGGAAGTGGAAGATGTTGGCGATACCCAGCGCGAAGCAGAGGATTACGCAGAGCACGCCGGTCCTGAAGCACGTATTAGTTCGTCCGTATTGGCGTGCTGCATCATCCATACGGACCATTGACCGTATATGCCTAAGAGTCTGTCAGCATATGCTTCCCATGCCTGCGAGACACCCGCTTACTGAAGTTCCGCGACCTGAACTCTTCCGCGAACGTGCCCATGCTTGCTACCCTCCAACTACTCCGAGAATACGCGCGCGGGTGTTTCGGTCTGCTTGGCTGCACTCAGATGTGGTTCAACCTTAGCCGACCGAGTGTTGACAGGCTCTTTCAGCTTTGTTGACAGTCAGGAGATGCTTCGCTTGCGCTGGCTGTCCGCAATTGCTTCACCGGCGCGATGTTGTTGGAAGGTGGTTATCAGAAACAGGGTGTAGCCGGGTTGTATGGTGGAGTTGCGCAATATATGGCAAAGGGACGATGCGAGTGCCTAGAGCTTGCGACACCACCTGCTCACGAGTCGAAAGACAAGGCGACCTTTCCCCAGCTGAAACCATGTTGCCAATTCGGGGCTTGCTCAGGGTCCAATGGCGCGCCACGAGGCCAGTAAGGGTCCGGGAGTGGTGGGAGATGGCCTTCGATGCCTTCATAAGACCACTGTTCGACATCCAGACTGCCGTAACATCTTCAAACACGTAGCGTAGATTTCGCATGATGTTACCCTTGAACTACTATGCTGCAAGCACCCTGCTCCTGATTCATGTTCTATTCTGAAGATTGCGATACATATTTTAGCAGCCCACGGGACAATCGACAAACACTAACTCGCCAAACACACAGGTTCTCGCCAGAATACAGTCACTGCGATGGCGTCGCCAACAGTTACCGCTACAGCCTGCTCTCAGCCACGCAGCGTCGGCGGATCATCATCAACAAGCCGTGCTGGATCATCTCAGCTCAGTACTGACATATAAGCAGCGCTCAGCGTAAGGCGTCGAGAGCTTCATAATGCAGCCGGCAAACATGCATAATGCCGCGACAACTGCTTCTTCCTAGAAAGCTACGCCGCCTTGGATGACTCTTCTGGCTGTCTTGACGGCTTTCGAGCGTTTCCATGATTCGACGCGGGTGTGCAGCGTACCGATGTCCTTCTCATCGGTTTCGACCACTCAATGCACATTGAAGGGCCAGGCGACGTCGAGACGGTCCGAGTGGAACTTGCACCACGTCTGGTGCGCCGTGTTGCCAATTCGCCGAATCTCTGTCTGCGCCGCCAAGCACTGCCAGCAGAACTCATGCTTGCACTTCCGGCAAGTCATGTGATCGCACCCATCCGTCTTTTGGATACGCCAGCCGCAATTGACGCCAGGACACCTCTTGCTCACGGAGTCGAGCATAGCCTCCGTCCTTGCTTCTTCATCACGCGCTTGCTGGCCCGAGGTCCGGTAGTCGTACTGGTCGCACGTCTCGCCGGTGTGCCATGGCACTTTATGCTTGAGACACTGCTTATAGCCGCACGAGGCGCAGTCCATGAAATGGTTGTTCTCGGGATTGAGCTGCCCGCTATCACACTTTGGTCCGAGACACCATGCGAAGTCATCGAGTGCGGACAGTGCGTTCAGAGTGGAGATGCGGTCGTACGCTTGGAATGTTGCCTCAGAGGCCGCGAGCAGCACGTCAGCATACTCCAGAGTTTCAGGGCATTCAGGGCACTTGATGCCATCGGTGCCCTTGGTGTCGAACTCGGATGCCATCCATGACTCAAGGCATCTGAACAGTAGGTTAGAACAGCTCGACCTATGCGTTGACTGAGGGTTTACTCACTCCTTGCAGGTTTGAGGAAGATGCTCGCATCTCGAAGTTGGTGCGCGGGCCGAAAAGTCAAGCGTTTCCTTCTTCTCGCCACAGACGGCACACTCCCTGAAGCGTGCACGTTCAGCAGCAAGCCTTTCCTGCTCTTCGTCTTCTTCCCGGAGTTGCCTCTCCAGCTCTTCGGCGGCCCGTCGGTCTTCCTCCTCTCTTTGAAGCCGAGCTTCCTCCTCCCTCTTGAGTGTTACATAGGCAAACCTCTTGGCCATGGCAACGCACGGATCGTCATCTTCATCCTCCTCATCAACCGCTCGAGCCTTGCCCTTTCCGGCGCATTCCTGCTCATGTAGCTCGGGCAAGGCAACTGCGCTATCCGGAGGGCTCGGCGTGGCCGTGCTGCCCCCTTCACTAGCTGGAGAATAGATGTTTCCGGCATTGTACGCTTTCAAGATCCGACCCAGATCCGCTTCGTCAATTTGGCTCCAGTCGATGTTATTAATTGAAGGAACATCATGAGCCGTACTGAAGGTGCCATGCGAAAGCGACGAGAACCGTGCGTTCTCTGCAGTAGTCGGCGACAGTGCATTGCGCGCCGAAGACGCCTGAGATGATGTCGAGGGTTGGAAAGGGTCGACTTCCGGGGATGGCAATTCAACGCCTTCCAGTCCGTTGGTGTTCACCTTCAAGCCAAATTTTGCCACAGGGCCAGCAACTGGCGACCGCACGCGAAAATGAGCAGGCTTTCCAGCAGAGGACGATTCCGGCTTGGAAACCTTGGCTCGTGATTTGCTGCTCGGAGACACCAAGCTTAACCTTGAGTGAATGATCGATTCGAGTAAAATTGTTTCGAGTTGATCTTCACGGCTTTCTTCGGTTTGACCATGTTCTTGAATGGCGTCCGAGCGAGGTGCTTGCTTGCGTAGCTTGCCGCTTGCTCTTCTGAGCGTCGCATTTGCAGCTGCAACTTTTGGGCTGGCTGCATCTTCTGCTGCTCCCGTGTCTTTCTGCTTCTTGGCAAGGCCGAAAGTGCTAGCGAACTTCTTCAGTGTGGGCATGCTCCCGAACTTGCAAAAGGATGCGTCGTCGCTCCTGCCGATAGACGCTTCAACCAGCGACGTTAACTGTACCGCAGAACGAACGAAGCCAGGCGGTTGCTGGGGGTATTAGTCGTACAAGACGAGTCAAAGTAGTCTTAGCCCAACATAGATGGTCGTGGTCTTGACTCAGCGGCAGTGGTGCAGAGCCTCCCTCAAAGCCGCGCTGTTGGGGAATGAGAGCCTACGGTACGAATGACAGCGAGATTCACCCTGAGGCCGCCATGTGAGCACAAGATGAAACCTACATAGCATCCAAAGAGGTGTAGCTTCCGAAGCTAGGCATAATGTGCTGTCCATTGCAAGGCTGAGGGATTGTAAGCGCGTAACCCAATCACGAGGTGTGGTAAGCGATGCCCCTCCACAAGCAAGGAAATATCAAACACGATGTGAGCGCCGACAAGGGGAAGTACAGCAGTATCCGACGTACAGCCTACATGCGCCGACCGCCAAGAGGCTGAACGTTGGAGCGTGGAATCTCTGACACTGAACACCCTCTACCACTACCACACCGATGTGCTCTCAATCGAAGCTCGAGGACGCCCACGAGTCTCCCACGAGTAGTTCAGGACACATTCGTAGCCTTGCGATGCGAACCTGTCTGGGCGACGATCGTTGGGAAAGCGGCTCAGCCTATTGGCGGAGGCATTGTTCGCTTCGGCCACCTGCACCGCCGCAGACTTTCAAGCTAGAGCTCCGGTGTGTATCCTCAGTCGCAACAGGCGAACTTGACCCTTAGGATACCCTCTTGACTCGATGGTGATGGCACTGACAGTCGAGACATGACGATGTGATCGAGTGTCTATTGCACGAAGGGCGGGAGGAGTAACGTAGTGGAAACCTTGCCAAAACGGACTCGTGCATGGCTCAGCAGGGAGTCCGCATTGTGTTTGGCGCCAAGTGTCGTTGCCCTGCCAGCCGGACTGTTTGCGCGGTAAGCTCTCAACCGTCTTCCTCGGCTTCGATACCGAACACGCGAGCATACATTCCACACTGACAACTTGGGACAACGCTCACCAGACGACATCGTTACTGCCACATCTCTTATAGCACCAATCAGCCAACTGTCACAATCAACACCATCGCCTAAGGCGCAATGCCTGCTGGCGCTGCGGCCTCCGATGGGCCGACAGTATCACTCTCGTGTACGCTTGATTAGACAACGTATTCGCAGCTTAGCTAACAGCCTTGTAGTTGCAAACAACTTCTGGGGCAAGGACGATGCTGGAGTTAACCCTCTCCTTGAGCGCATGCAAAATGCGAAAGTCACCGGCGATGAATTGAAAGCCTTCTACACCGCGCGAGCGCAGATCGAAGAAGAATATGCTCGAAAACTGCTTAACCTCGCGCGCAAGCCGCTGGGATCAAGCGAAGCAGGTACACTTCGTATGTCTCTCGATGTTGTCCGGGGCGAGTTGGAGACTATGGGAAAAGAGCATCAGAACATTGCCGGCAAGATGAAGAGCGAGCTGGAGGAGCCTCTTGCAGCCTTCCATGGCGGTATGAAGGAGCGCAGAAAAATTGTACAGGCCGGTATCGAGAAGCTGCTCAAGGTCAAGACGCAGCAAACGACGACAGTCAACAAGGCGCGCGACCGCTTCGAGCAGGATTGCTTGAAGATCAAGGGCTATCTTGCGCAAGGCCACATGGTGATGGGCCAAGAAGAACGCAAGAACAAGGCCAAGCTCGAAAAGACACAGATCCAGATGTCTGCAAACAGCAACGAGTACGAGCTGGCGGTCAAAGTGCTTGAAGAGACTACCGGCAAATGGAACCGTGAGTGGAAGGCCGCTTGCGACAAATTCCAGGATCTGGAGGAGGAGCGCATTGATTACTTCAAGAGTAGCCTGTGGAACTTCGCCAACATCGCTTCGACGGTCTGCGTCAGTGACGATGCGTCTTGCGAGAAGGTCCGCTTGTCCCTCGAAGACTGCGAGGTTGAGAAGGACATCATGAACTTCATTAAGGAGCGCGGTACCGGCCAAGAAATACCAGATCCGCCCAAGTACATCAACTTCTGTCGCGGCGATGCGGATGACGCGATGTCAAAGGCTGGGTCAGAGGACGGGGACTACTCGGTCGCTCAATTCCAACGCACGATCAACCCAGCCTTCAGGACATCGTCGCCACAGCCCAGTACTTTCGAGTCGCACCATGACCCGGACTCCAGCTTGCGGGACGATATGGGCATTCCTGGTCGCTCGTCCTTACAGGGTGACGAGTCGTTCAATGGTCGCAGCTCGCATGGCAGTGCCGCGCCTCCGCCACTGGCTCCAAGTCAAGCTTCAGCGGCGCCGGATCCGTACGCGAACCCATCTCAAGTTCCACATAATCCGTATCCGGCAGACGGTATGACACAGTTCTGTCGTATGGGTCCGCCTTCCGAACGTAGTTCAATCCCGTCGCCAACGCGTCCCGCCAGTCGTGACAGTCAAGATCATAGCGACTACTCTGCACCAACCTCCTTCTCCAGCATGGAGCCTACCAGCGGCCAGCAGTCGCCGATCAAGCAGTACAATGGCTCGAACATTTCTGGCGTATCCTCAAGTGCGGATGAAATGCAGGTGCAGAAGAAGCAGACCGGTTTCTTCAAGTCGCATAGTCCGTTCCGCCGGCGCAGCAATAAGAGCAAGGAGCCGATACAGCCTACCATGGCCGCTCCTAGTCATCGCAACACATGGACGCCAGCTACTGTCCGAGATACACCTCAGACGAGCCCAATTAAGCCTTTTGGAGTTGGCAACAGAGCAAGCACATGGCAACAGAAGCAGGCTTCACCGACTCCGGATCCGGATCCTGCTGACCCCCGTGCTGAGTACCAGCTGGGAATCGGCAACAATGTGTTCGACGTTGCGTCACCGGACAAGCGTAGCAAGCCGTCATCGAAGAACGACGCGCAGCAAGAGCTCGACCCGATCGCACAAGCACTCGCGGAGCTCAAGGGTGTCGCCAAGCAAGCTTCTGTGCGCCAGTCTGCAGACCGCCATTACGGCATGGCGACTCCAGCGCCCGGTACGCCTGGCTTTGATAGCAGAGGTATGCCCGCGGGTGCTGTACCCACGCCCTTTGCGAACCGAAGCAACGGCGCTACACCACCGCCAGCGTATGACAGTCCGGTCGTTAGTCGACTCGGCGCACCGCAGCCGGCTCATACAAGTAAGGAGATGCAGAGGACGACCGAGCGCTTTGTAAACCAGAAGCGCGACATGTTCAACTCTGGGGTTGCCACGAGGCCTGGCAGTACACTTGGACGCGGACAGGAGGCGCCTCGTGCAGCTTCGCCGCAGCCACTGCGTGCAACTAGCCCAAGACCCTTGATCAACAACGACCAGCGCCAGCAGTCTTACCGAGCTCCGTCCCCCAACCCGTACGCCGGTCAGTCAGCAGCCCGGCCGCGAGCGCAGTCTACAAGCCCGATCAAGCCGCAGCCGAACTATGGTGGATACAATTCCCGCGGCGGGTCGCCAGGCTATCAGATGCCGCGTGCTGCCTCGCCTAACCCGGCTTACGTCCGTCCTGCAGGCAATGCGGTAAACGGAGGGAGTAGCAGACCTACGAGCAGTCGCGGTTCTGACCACGGAGGTGGAGGCGCCATGGTCCTTGCTCCGGCTGGCAACCAAGATCCGTACGCCACTCAGCGTCCTGCTCCCAGAACCCAGGGTCAATTCTCCTACGAAGGCGGTCAAAGCACACAGCAGCTCGCATCCAGAAACCGGGCCCAGAGCGTTGGTACGCAGAGGCAATGCACCAGAGACGGCAAGCCTATTCTTCACTATGGTAAGTCTTGCAGCACATGAACCCATATTTTCCAGTCACTAACAGCTTTGTAGCGCGGGCCATGTACATGTACCAAGCGGCCATTCCTGAGGAACTCTCGTTCGCTAAGGGCGACGTTCTCGCCGTACTACGCCACCAAGATGATGGTTGGTGGGAGGCTGAAGTTTGCGGCAAGGATGACCGTGCTGGACTCGTTCCCAGCAACTACCTAAAAGCCTGCTAGCCGTGGTCTTCACCGAGCATGCGTGGTGGGCAGAAGAGGAGAACATAAGGCCCATGTGTCCACAAGAGGTGGGCATTGCGGCGGGCCATAGATCAAATGTTGGTGTGCAGGCGCAACACGGTGTTGACGTGGGTTCTGATCGCCAAACACCAGGCCAGCGATATATGGTGAGCAAGCGGGAGTCACTGTATACTAAACATTGAAGCGGGTCGCTTTTAAGCGGACGCATGTCCGTGCGAGTAATTACTGTCGCTAGCTTCACACATGGCGTGTCGTTCCTCCGCTTTCTGCACCTTTAAACCTTCCCCAAGTTACGTAAAGCCTGGACTCGATTCACATCTACTCGAGCGACGAAGCTTTAAACGAGTTGAACAATTCGTTTATTGGAACTATTATCCTCACGTTGCGACATCATGGCTTCGGCAACGATAGCAGGTGACCAGCATTTTGGGCCTGTATTCTTCTGGCGCGAGTTCGAAGAGCCATATGGCTTCATGTCACAGTGGTATGAAAGCCCGTTCGAGGTTGACGGCGTCACTTACCTCACAGCGGAAATGTGGATGATGATAGAGAAAGCGAGGCTGTTCGGCGATGAGGTAGCTACGATGGCTACTATGCTTACGCTACACAACGCTGACATTGTGCAGGAGATTGCACAGCAAATGATGCAGACGACCATCCCAGGCGAACATCAAGCGCTCGGGCGGAAGGCTAAGGGTTTCGATAGAAAGAAGTGCGCCATTGCGAGCTCCAATCCAGCTTTGTGGACTGTTAACTGACCATAACATCTACCACTTAGGTGGGATGATCGTAAACCTGCCGTATCGGAAATGGCATTCAAAGCCGGCGACTGATGGCCGTCTCGCAGATAAGTCCCGCATCGTCGAAGAAGGCAACTACCACAAATTCACCAAAAGCAAGAGCAATCCAGATATGCTTCGTATGTTGCTCGACACCGGTGACAGAGAGCTAGTCGAGGTATCTTCCTCGCCCTTCGCTGTTGCTCCGTTCTAGCTGGTACACTAAACTCATTTCTAGTCCAGTCCGGTCGACCGCATATGGGGCGTAGGTTTCGGTGCTGCGAATGCCGAAGAAAATCGCGCCGAGTGGGGCGAGAACAGGCTGGGCAAAGCGATTATGGCTGTGCGTGACCGGTTGAGGCAGGAAGGCCACCGGTAACGGATCGGTTAGATGATTGGATGCATCTTTGTTCCCCAACACCTCGCTAATCGAAGTAATACTGGCGCCAGCGAGTTTCATTCTCGCTGCAGGACAACAGTCAACGCCATGAAAATCAGCATGGCAGTCTTCAGCCACGGGTACTCGCTGAGCAGGATCGTTACATATCCGACCAACGGGATGTAACCGCGCACGCTGCCTATGACGTCCTGCCTTCGATTAAGATATGATTGCCCGCGTGCGTAAAGCTCGGTATCGTCCGCAGCATTGTTGTCGCCCTTGGTCAGTAGCTGTAATGGTGCGCTTCTGCCGTATGCGTCAGCACAGTACCTTCAAACACAACGGTGTTCTTGGCACACACCCTCCGCCGAATCGTTGGATGACCCTGTGTACGATCGGAATGTCCTTGCCTCGCACGTTGTAGACTACCACTTCGCCAACTTGTGTTTCCATGCCACGATTCCAAAGGAACAGTAGGTCACCGCGCTGAAAAGCTGGCTCCATACTTCCCGAGAGAACGACCACGATTGGTGAGGAGGAATTGGTAATCACTGAGAGACCTTTCCATAGCATGAACGCCGTCGAGAGTACTAGTGCAAAGTTGAGAACCTGGGCGGCCAGCTGGCGCGGTTGGAGGTTGGCGATCGAGCCGAGCATTGCGTCTATTCGCGAAAACCTGGCAGGGGCGCACTCAATTCTAGAGTATCATTGCAGATCACTCTTAGCTCCAAGATTATGTAGTGCGCGTCGGAGGACAGGAAGAAAGTCTGAGAACGTTGTGTGTGTTGCTGCATGCAAAGTGTTCTTCCACATCGGAGCGCGAAGCTTGGACCAGGTTAGTGAAGGCTCCCTTTCGCATCCTCACACTGTCTTGTCTCAGTATACCCAGACTTAATATCTCAACACGGAGCCGTAGTAGCGTGTTGCCCGGCACATTTGATCCCCTACCCTCTTACCGTCCATTCACAGCGTGGCAATCTACAAATTCATGCAATAGAATCAGAGGTGTTCGGGCTGGCTCATATGTAGGGTAGCTTCCTTGCACTTTCGTACAAACAGTCCAGACTGTCTCTTCGCTATGTTTCTCCTTTGCACGGCATTCGTCGAACAGGGCAGACTCGGCGCTGTTTACAATGCTCGGACTCTGTACAACCAGAATTGATCATGTTGTAGTGGTTGCAAGTGCAGCATCGTGGGTTTACGAACGAAGTTGGAGCCAAGCGAGTCCAATTTATTGGGTACGAAGACGCTTCGCAAACCAGTCGCTCAAAGGGGGCTAACCCGTGAACGAGTGTAGCGAGACGTCTAAGCTTGCTGTTGTTCTATACACAGTTCACCGTGAATTGGCACATGCAGGAGGTGACGAGTCTCTCGGAAGCCTTCGATCCCCCAATGAACGCCGCGCTAAGTGGACAAGTCGACCGCAATGCACTGTCGTGATTCACCAGAAGGAGCACCACTGCGACCACTGTCAGCTGCTGATCGAATATCAGGTCACCTGGGTTAGACTCACCCCAATGTAATGCTGGCAGAGGTTCTCCAGATTCGTCGCCTCGCTGAGCAGCTTCTCCACTTGTTCGTCAACGTGTAGCTCGATCTCTTTCTTAAAGTCTCGGCCCGTCAACTTTTCCTTCACACGGCTGAGAACCTGCAATGCCCGCGCGTTCTGTACCTCCTTCTCCGCCGGGTCCGGATTCCCGCCGTTGACCTGTGCAATGCTCAACCTACCGCCGCGGTGATAAGAGCCGCCAGGGCGCTCGCCTATGGCACCTGGCTCGCCTCCTATGACGCTGGGCCGACGACCCTCTTGCGGCGCGGGCGCAGCTACCGAGGAGCGGCGCTCGGAGGGGAAAGAAGGTTCAGGCGGGGATTCGCGGGTGCCGAGACGCCACGTGAGGAGAGGATCGTGGATAAAGGCCTCGAGCACGGCCATGAGGGACTCTTTGTTGCCTCTCAGAAGCCTCATGACATGCTCACAGGTCGTCCTGAAGCTGCCCTCAATGTTGCTGACTTCCATTGCGAAGGTCAACATTCTCGTCAGGCGGAAAGGCACTCGTTCAGGGTACTTTTCACGATGCATGGCCACTTCGAAACAGTCGCCGAAGTCGATGTGGATGACCTTACCCGTTATGCGGTCTAGCATGAGGTTGGAAGGATGACGGTCCCCTAGTCCAAGAATGTAGCCTACCATTGACATGACGGCCAGTGAGCGAGTGTAATTCGTGCGTCGATCGAGCCAGGCCTCCGAGCTCTTGCTCTTCAGCCATAGCACTCGGTAGAGATCTTGACCTGTGGTGTTGTCAAGAGCGTACCCAAACACTTCGACCTTCTGCATTAGTGTGAGATTGTCATAATCAGGTGCCATCTGCAGCATTATACGGTGTTCGATGTTGAGCAAGATCTTGCGGCTCTCACGATATTCGCGGATCAGCACATGCAAGGTGTCGCTGTTCGGCACCCAGCCTAGCAGACCGGACTGTGTTGACAGCGGGATTGATGCGTAGCGCTGAATGTTGAGATGCCGCTTAAGACACTCCGGATCAGTCGCCAGCAACGTGTTGACCAGGCCAAACAGTTGCATGACTCGCTCATCTTGTCTGATGTCCTCATGACCTTTCAACAAGAAATCGTACCTGTTGCCGTCGTTTCCGCGCAGGGACAACTTGCGAGGCCTCTGCTTGGACGAGATGACGGTCGCAACTGGATCGAACGACTGAATCCGAACAATAGGCTTCCCGCTCTGGTATGTTCCGGGCACGGCGAGCTGCAAGTCATGCGCATGCTTCAACTCCGGTGAGACGTACTGCAGCTCCAAGCTCATCAATTGCGGCAATTGCCTGGCAATACGCTTGAACACTCCATAGTACAGGTCCCACGCCTGATTGAGGTCGCCGATCTCTTGCGTGGTCTTGTACGCTTCGCAGTAGTCTCTAGCTTCTGCCAGGTCGCGACCAAAGCTCTGGATGAACGATATCTCACGCAGTGTTTCGGGCCCTTTGCGCAGCATCTCGTGCAGCGGCTCGAGGGTAGCGAGCATGCCCTGAATGTCATGGTCGCCGAAGTACAACCGCGAAGCCTCCTCCAACCCTTCATGCCATAGCTCGTGCCACAGCACTGCAATACGAATGAGTTCATGACTGACGAGGCCGGCTTGCTCAACTAAGTCTGGACTGTGCTGACGCATCGCCTCCATAATCCGTGTAGCGAAGCGTGATCGATTGCCGCCGTCTGCCTTCATCGAGACGGTTAGCGGATAGACGAGCGCCTGAGGGTGCGCTCGGCCAACATCAACAAGTAAGTTGTGGATCGCATCCCGGACGATTTTGTTCGGCTGATTGATCCTAGCAATAAGCTGCGGTATCACCTCCAGCCATGTGTCCACGCTCACACTTGCTATACCCTGAGTGACACTGTGCGTAACCTCTTGATGCTTCCCATGCGCAAACCACAGCGTTAGCAGCCGGAGCGTGTCCTGCAAGGAACTGTAGGACGATAGCGCAATGGACTTGAAGAAGCCTTTAATGGCCGGAACAACGTACTCATTGACGGTCTCTCGGGAGATATCAGCCGATTCCCTGTCGGTGTTAGATGTCATCGATGTGACTACCTCGAAGTTCGCCAGCGCCCAAGCGTGCCATGCCTTATACCAGTTCTCATTGTACCGTGTGGCATGCGAGTATGAATATAAAACATCTTGGACATGGTCAGACTCCCAGTCACCGTCATGCAGCTTGATTTGCCAATCTCCCTGCTTCAAGTAGCAGCGTGCGAGCAGTATGCGCCATTCATCAAGCTCTGCCTTCTCTTTAGGCAGAGCAGTTGGATTGGTGGGTCCGAAAGGCGCTTGAACCCCATGAAGTCCATTCATGCCGTTGGCGCCGTTCACAAGCGTGTGGCTGCCGCTTACGATGCCAGCGGAAAGCGCTGCTCCGCGTTCCTCGTACTCACTCTTAAGCCGTCCCGTGAAATCTTTCAGCGCGCTCAATGCGCCTTCGCGGTGGTTATTGCTCCAGAGGAACTTGTAGATTGCGTACTGCACCGGGTACGGCGCTTCATGGACCTTGGTGATGCTGGCAGGCGAGACTATACTGCCTTGTCCACCCAATAGTGAGTTTAAACTCTTCTCCGCCAGACCGGTCCGCTGCGCTTTGCGGCAGATGGATGCGAATTTGATGTACATCTCCGTGTTCTCTTGCGGTGTAATGACAAGCGCGCGGACTTTCATCATACGCTGCCAGACTTCAACGTTCCTCTGACAGCCTTTGAGCCGCTTAGTCCAGGTCTCTCTCATCCGCTCCTGCTTGTCAAGATCGTTGGAGTGCTGCTTGTAAGTGATGATCTCCTCCAGCTCCGCAAGCATCTGCACGCGGACAATTACTCCGTACGCTCGGGTATACGACTCTCCCAGGAGCGCGCTAAGCTCCTGTTCGAGCCCTTCCCGCGCCCTTGTGATGTGCGCATGCGCTTCGTCGAACTGATTGCGGTGTATTGACAGGATGGCGCCAAAGAAGGAGCGGTCGGGCGAGGCTGGCTTCATCACGCCAAGATAGGTGTCCATAACTTCCCACTGTCCCATGCCCCACGCAGCCGCAGCCGCCAACGGTGCTATCGCCTTATGATGCTCATTCGAGGCATTGAGCCACTTGTCCTGCGCGATGGAGGAGAGCGTGTCCCACTCACCAAGAGCATGCAAACAGCGCATCTTTCCCATGATGACATCGAAACCTGCCTTCTCGCCTTCGTCTTTCTCTCGCTTTTGGTAGGCCATCAACGCTTCTTCCCAGCGCTGCAACTTCTCGAACCACGTCTCCTTGAGATCGACCTCGTTGAAGCCTTGCGCCTTACGGAGTATGCCAAAAGCCGCATCAGTCTGCTGCAACTGGTTGTTGATGCTAATGAGTGCCTCGACGGCACTCGCGCTTTGCTCGGCATTGAACTCGAGCTCCTTGTAGTGTAGCGCCTTAGCAAAAGCATGACATTTTGCCGCATATACACCCAGAGTACGGACGTCGATCGGCAAAGCCTTGTCGTCGTGCTCCATGAACTCCGCCAGGTTGAGCAGTATCTGCAAGATCTCTGGTGGGATCTGAGGCGACGTGAGAGCCACCTCGAGTGATCTGACCAGCTCCTCCTGGTACTGGTCGTACAGCTCCGTCCAGCAGCTGACAAACGCGCTGTTAAACAGACTTCGGGCTAAAGGCGGATAGATACTGGCCAACGGCGTGCAAGCCCGAAGAGCCTGTTGCGGCGACTCTTTCAACAGTTCGACTGACAGTCTCCGCATCCACTCTTGCCAGTCCTCCTTCGTCGACTTTTGGCTCGCCTCCCAAGCGTTCTTCAGGTGCTGCTGATTCACAGGAAGCTTCTTCGTAGCGATATCGGCCTGAAACGGGTCGTCATCCTCATCTCCGTAACGCTGGTCTGGGCTAAGATCCTGTGGTAAGGGCTCGTTCTTCCTTAGCTTGTTGACAATCAGCGTGTAAGTGGAGTACTGTATTCGCTGTTGCACCAAAACTTTGTCGATAGTAGGCACGAAGTGCAGGTAATCCGGTCCAAGCTGAAACACGAGAGCACACAATGTCTCCATCGCCGTCTGCCGCAAAGATTGATCACCCGCAGCCAGGACTCTCGACAACGGGTGAATGATCTTGGCTGCAAATTCGGAGATGTTGACTTGCTTGCTCATGCGTCCTATCGTTTCGATAGCAGCCTTTCGGACGTCCCGCGGTCGGGCCCTATCCGTGTCGAACATGCGGACGATTACAGGAATGATCAAGTGCATATACTCCTCTGCGCTGCTGCCGAAAACCAGAAATGCATGCAGCACCCTTTGACAAGCGGACTTGCCGGCTTCAGTCCTGGCGTCTGCATCCAGTACCCCAAGCATGAGTGGAAGCACGCCTGCAAGATAGACCTTGAACTCGCCCTCCAGGCTTCTGGCAACGCTCTCAATGAGTTGAAGCATTGTCGCTTGCAGTCGAACGCCTTTGGACCAGTAGTCGGACACGGCGTGAATGATCACAGGGAGATGGGGGCGAATATGCTGCCGCACAATCTTGACGAGTACGCTGAGCTGACTGAAGTAGCCCTCTAACCTCTCATCAGACGCCTCTCCCAGCACGCTCACTAAACCTGGCACGACCGTGTTGAGGAAGGGCACACACTTCATGCCCATGGTGGCATAGATGTTCATCACAGCCTCTACAACGGCCGAGTGATACTGCTTCAAGGTGTCCTCCTTCAGCATGGCCATCAGCGTGTTGATGACCACCGTTGGATAGTATTCCTCATTGCTCGGCGTAATCCCCTTCATGATAAGCGTGACGTCCGACTCAGCTTCTGCCTCTGCTCTGAGATTCGATTCCGGAGACTCTTCGACCACTTGTTGGTGCTTATACGGGTCCAGAGCACCCAGGATACCCATTAATCTTATGGTCTCGCGTCTGAGCGGCCCTGTTTCTTCGTGCTTCACAATGCCCACGAGTAGGTTGAGCAGCTGCGGGTGATCAATATACGGATCGATGACATAGCCGCTATTACTCGCTAGCTGCCCAAGTGTGCAGAGAGCGGCCTCGCGCTTCTTGTCCGAAGCCAAGTCCTGCAGACTCCGAATGATGATACCCATGAGGTCCGGGATGTACTTCTTCATCTCGTCGCCACCAACGGTAGCTAGATCGCCCAGGGTTCGCAGCGTAGTCGCGGCAACGTCAACATTTGCGTCTTCTGCCTTCGGGAGAAGCACCGTCACCATAGGATCGACATAAGGCTTGATGAGCTTGCTGCTTGCGCTGACCAGATGGCTGATGAGCTGTGCTGACTCGCGCTTGTTGTTCGGGTTGTTGCTGTACTCGATCTCCGTAAGCAATTGTATCAGCACTTTTCGCAGTGACGGGAAGACGTAAGCCGGGTTCACCGATGTTAGCCGGCCAATGATTGTCATGGCCGCCTCGCGGATCGCGAACTTCTCGTCATTCAGCGCGAGAAACAATGTGCGAACATTCTCTGCTTTCGCTAGGTGCCTATCGAAGCGAGTGTCGAGCGAAGCAAGCACTGTCTGCCGGATATCCGGTTGCGGGTCCGCAACGCCAACTGTGAGCAGCTTCTCAATGACATCCGAGACGACTTGGATTGCATGATGACTGGTCTGGTGCACGATCGGATCCCGAACGAAGAGCTGACAGCATGTCAAAGCGGCCGCCTTCCGGATGATGGGGTCGTCGTCATCGACGTAACGGATTGCAACGTCTCGAACAAATTCATTGAGCACATGCCCGCTAAAATCGAACGATCCCAGCGTGTGCAGAGCCAGGGCAACCTCATGGTCCTTGTGATCTTGATGCTGTGGGTCGCGCTGTTCACGCACGTCTTTAGTGTATATCGGAGGTAACCCCTGCCCCTGAGTCGGATGGCCCAGTGTCTGATATGGTCGACCACAGAGGGTCCGACTGAGCAGATCAAGCAGTTTCTCCTGGATCGTTGGCTTCACAGGCGGGATGTAATGCGCCATGTCCACTAATGCTTGCGTCAAGGCATCCGACAAGCCGCATGCGAAGATCGGGTCGAGCAATGCTTCCATGTACTTGCTCAGCGTCTGACCCACGGCGATAGAGATCATGCTAATACACTCAAAGATTGGCGCCTCGTCCGTCAGCTTGCTCCGGTTTTTCACAGAAAGCGCTTCCCGGATGTGGAGAAGGATCGTGTCCAGGTAGGGTGCAATCTGCGACCCCACAGCGTGGGCAATCTTACCGATGGAGACGAAAGCCATGTTCCGTTGCTTCGGATCCTTGAGCAGGGTTTGTAGATGCTGCATTGAACGAGCCAGACAATCACGACAGAACTGCTGAGGTGCGTATGCTGCCAGTATCGGAATGATCTCAACGACGGTGCGCCTGATGGTGGGGTCTTTGTGCTCACGGTAAGACGGCGACAGAATGCGCTCACACACCTCCTTAAAGCGGTTGCCATGCATGAACATGCCACCCTGAATCAGTAGCTCCTTATAAGCCAGGAGTGAGCCGTGAATGCACTCGACGGTCCCTCTTCCGAAGCCTTGTTGAGCGGCTTCGAAGCTCCTCGTTAAGCATGTTTGCCGAGTCTGCTGATCTCTGGCAGCGAGCACCTTAAAGATCTCCCTCATGGTTTCCGCGGACGTCTCACGGATCACGACTTTCTGGTCGCGTAGTCCTTCCCAGAGGTTAACTAGAATCTGCGCGGCCACTTGAAATGTTTGGGGACCGTTGTGACGAGCCATTTCGCGAAGAATAAGAACCGCAGCAAACCTTCTGTTCTCGTTGCGCTCTGACGTAAGCCATTCGAGCGCGTGCCTAACTTCCGCATCGACAAGCTCATTGGACAGAGCGCCACCTGGCGCTGCAAGTCGGCCTAGACACTTCGCTGCGACGACCATAGCACTGGTGTCGCTACCTTCGAGTGTCCGTCTCAGTAAGGTGTTGAATTTCGTGACTTTCAATGCAGCATCGTCTCCCCTGAAGTCGATAAGGGCGTTAAGGGCGTAAAGCCCGCCCGTGCGCTCGTGCGTATCGATGCCGTTTATGACAAGATGGTTGATACGGCGATTGACATCGTCGTAGTATCTTGCAAATTCGGCCGGTAAGAGCTCGCGGAAGGCAGATGTCACCTGCTCGCCCAACCGCGCCGCCGCAGTCTGGCGAGTTGCATCATTACGCGCCTTGAGCTCGGAGAAGATGCCATCCAGATTATCTCTGTACGTTTGTTGAGCCATGACGGCGGACGGCCTGGGACTAAAGGTGGCGTAGCGTTACTGTCCCGCCGTTCATCGCTGCACTTCGTCCTCGCCCATTTGCACCATACTCCGCTCAGGTTTCGCGGATATTTTGACCACCTATTATGAACATTGAAGCTCTGTCAAACCAATCATGGCTGGCCTCTGCGTCGATATCGAAGCATGCAGTCACGCGAGGGCGGGTTCGGCCGTTTGAGCTAGCAGGGGTTGTGCAGATCTTCCGAGGCTAGCGCTGCCAGCAACGGTGTTTATCGGTTGTGTTTACTCCAGACGAGTCGCGTGCGCCAACGACAGCATCATTATCGGCTAAGAGCACAATTGCAACACGACGCCTCCATCACATCGCAGAGAGAAAACACACTAGAAAGCGCCGTTCTGTTCATCCTCAGCCATCGCGATGTCGCAAGAAACAGGACCCTTCTCAGTGCGCCGGCCCCGCGAGGTCTGTCGCACATCGTCCGTCGAGTCCTTATATGTCACATACTGACGATATCAACCACAGACGCTGGGCGTTGTTAGTCACAATGCCTCCGCCATCCCAATGCCAGCATCGGCCATGAAGCGATCAAGCTCCCAGAACAAGGTACAAGCGCCGTACACAACCAACCATGTGCGCACAACCTCCGCCTCACGTATGTCCCTTGCGCCGAACAGGCCCGCGCAGCCTGTATTCCAGCGATCATCTTCTGGCACAAACTTGGCAGATATGGGCTTCTCGACCGTGCAACGTCCAAGCACAGCGAACTTCTTCAACAGCACCGGCGGCAGGAAGAGCTATGCGCCGATCACAAGCACACCTGCGAATCCACTGCAGCTGCAAGACAGCACGCAGCGACGAAGCAGTGTGTACAGCGCCCGGCCTTCCGCAGGCCTCGGTCCAGCCGGGCATCAATCCTTCTTCGCGACCGCACCCCCTCAGAACGGCATCCCCACCGACCCGCGACGCTTACGAGACGCCAATACCCGCTCACAGATAGCTTCAGAGCTGCTCGAGTTTCTCGCGCAACGCAACTTTGAGATGGAGATGAAACACACTCTCACGCACAAAAGCATGAATTCTCCGACGCAGAAAGACTTCAACCTCATCTTCCAGTTTCTGTACCACTGCATCGACCCGTCGTATCGACTCCAGAAGAATATTGACGCCGAGGTTCCGCCTCTGCTGAAACAGCTTCGGTATCCATTTGAGAGGAACATTTCCAAGATGCAGTTAGCGGCTGTGGGTGGGAACAACTGGTCCACCTTTCTCGGCCTGCTGCACTGGATGATGAATTTGGCGAAGATGATGGAGCAATATTCGACGGGTATGTACGACGAGGCATGCACAGAAGCCGGCTACGATGTGAGCTCCGATCGCATTACGTTCCAGTTTCTGTCAGATGCATACAGAGAGTGGCTCTCAATCGAAGACGAAGATGATGATGAGGAGGAGGCAAAACGGCGTATCCAGCCACATATAGACGCCATGGCTGCAAGGTTCGAGCAAGCGAACCAAGCGAATCTGGAGCAGGTTCGGCAGCTTGAAGCGGAGAGCAAGGCGATGCAGGACCAGATCGATGAGCTCGCCAAGTCGACGTTGAAGCAGGCGGAACTGGACGAGATAATCAAGATTCTGGAGGAAGATCGGGAGAAGCTTGAAACGTACAACGCGTCGATGCAAGCGAAAGTGGAAAGATATCTCCAACGTGCCGAGCTACTGCAACAAGAGATCGAGAAGTGCGAAGCCGAAGTGCGAGAGGCGGAAAGCGAGCGCGACGAACTGCAGCGGAGAGTTGACGAGCAAGGCCTGAGCGTGCAGGATATCGACCGGATGAACTCAGAGCGAGAGCGCTTGCAGAGGGGCGTGGAAGCGACGTCTCTGCGACTGGAAGAGGCGAAAGATCGGACGGCGAAGAAGGAGGCCGAGACGGGGGCGAAGCTAGATGAACTGGAGTCTATCGTTCAGCGGTTCAACAGTGTTGGGTATCAGGTTGGCATCATACCCTCTACTGCGGCAAACGCAAGAGGCATCGAGTACGAGATCTCACTTGCACTTATCACCGGCCCGGCCTTCACCACCTCCCAACTGGGCACTTCAGTGATCACCTCCAGCAATGACCGCCTCCTCCTCGACGCTACAACTGGCTACCTCCCCCACCACCTCCTCCCGCCCACAGCAACCTCCCTACAAGCCTCGCGCAAGTCACTCCAAGAGCTCCGCAAGGAGATTTCGGAACGGCGCAGTGTCGCGCTGGAAGAGGACATGGCGAAGCTGGATCTGTTGGACAAGACGAGAGAAGCGTTGGATGATAAGTACGCGGAGCTGGAGACTCTGAGACATAAAGTGAGAGCGGCGCAGGAGGAGTTTGAGAGGAGCAGAGAGATCACCGGAGCGCAGAATATGGCTTCGGATGCGCAGATCGAGCGCATGGAGAAGGAGTTGGCGCGGATGAGGGCTGGATTGGTGGAGAGTGTGCAGGTGATGGAGCAGACGGAGATGAGCACTAATCTTGAGTATGCTTCGCGCTCTGATCGTGAAGACGATGAAGCGATGAGCTAACGGAAGGTGCTTCACAGGTACGAACAACTTACCCTTCGCTCCTCAGCGTTGCGGGAAGATCTGCATACGGAACTGGAGCGGATGTTGAACGAAATTATCCGATTTAAGATCCATGTGCAGACAAGCTTAGAGGGCTATGAGGAGTTCGTTGCGCAGGAGGTGGAGAGGGAAATCGAGGAGGTGGACGTTGCAGGAGCCGAGACGGTGGATGTTAGCGCTGTGGATGGTGAAGTGGAGCGATAATGCGACATGGCCATGATCCTCTGGTGCTTCGACTTCGCAAAGCACGTTGGGATGTGGGTTTGGATGCGGCACGTTGCGATCGTGACCAGGCGCGTTACTCTTGGATGTGATACCCGTGGCAGCGATGAAGCTGTTTGTCGAAGTTTTTAAAGCACTTGATAGTAAATTGTAACGCTGTCGTTAACGATACCCAATGCCATTGTAGCCACTTGATTCGTAAAGCCTGCGTTATGATCTGCATTCGGTCGTCAAAGCAATGCACTTGGCGCCAACGGTTCCGTGTAGTTGTACGAAATCAAGTGGCTGAGGGAGCGCCACGCTGCATCTTCTGAACTTCAAGTCTTCTTACCGGCTTTGCGCTGTTCTAAGATGCATCTGGTTTGGATATCGGGGATTGAGTCCTGAGCGAATAGCGAGGTGGCGTGTCCCAATGCTCTGGTTCGGGATCCGCAGTGTGCCGTAAAACAAGGTCTTTGTGCAGATTCCAGGTCTGGGAATCCGCTACGCGAATGTCACACCTTAGCCCAGCTCCTCCACCACACGAGCCGAGGGCCGCAAACACGGGACGGAGTCGCGCACGATCGCGCCAACCAAATGGCAGACCTAGTAAGCGTCTGATATTGTGTGAAGATGGTATGCTGATGAATCACTTGGAGTTACCACTTGAACATACTATATGCTGACGCCCAAACAGGCACCTGGCTAAACTCCGATAGCTCTTCTACCGAAGCATCTGTCGCCACACCCAGTAACATAACACGGCTCGCCCGAGCCATAAAGCCTTTGAGCAGCGATGGCATCCCTCAGATCGTCTATTATCACTTCGGTGTTGGCGCAGGGGGCGGTGTGGTCGACAAACTCGCAGGCGCCACCGGTGGAGGTCTTGCCGAAATCGTCCGCGAAGGCTACAACTACATCGCAACGAACTGGATCCCCGGCGATGAGATCTACATCTTCGGCTTCTCCAGAGGCGCATACACCGCGCGAGCAATTGCAGGCTTGATTGGTGAGGTGGGTGTCCTGACGAACAAAGGCTTGCCGTACCTTGCGGAGATCTTTCGGGACGTGCAGCACAAGCACGATAAACGTTATGTACCGAAGAACCCTGACATACCTTTCCCGGATAAGCCGAGTGCCCTGGATCCGGCGTACAATCAGGAGTTGCAGCGGAGGCGCTTGACCAGGCTTTATGTTCCTATCAAAGTTATAGGCGTCTTCGACACTGTCGGAAGCCTTGGCTTTCCAAAGATTGGGTGGTTGCAGCGCGCCGGTTTGCAATCGAATGCTATGAGAGAGTTATCCTTCTATGACACGAGCCTCAGCAACTGTATAGAGTATGCTTTTCAGGCCTTGGCGTTGGACGAGCGGCGGTACGCCTTTCAGCCGACACTGTGGGAGAAGTTCGAAGACAACGAGACCGTCCTACGACAAGTCTGGTTCGCGGGGGCGCACGGTAACATCGGCGGAGCATATGAGGATCAGCAAATGGCGACAACAACCCTAGCCTGGATGATGGCGCAGTGTCAACAATTCCTGGATTTTGATGTCGACTACCTCATGGACCAATGGGAAGCCGCAGAGGACTATTACGAAAGACATGACCAAAAAGTAAGACCCTGGGCTTTCGGGAAGACCTTTACCGGGGTTGGTGGCATCTATGCTCTTGGTGGATCAAAAGTCCGGACGCCTGGGCGGTATTGCGCGGTAGATCCTTACAACGGCCGGCAGACGCGCGACCCGTTGATTGATACATGTGAGTACATACATCCGTCTGTCAGAGCGCGCATCAAGCTTGGTGGGCCAGGGTTGGAGGACCGTGGCCGGTACGAGTGCGAAGCCCTACGTGATTGGAAACTGATGATCGAGGCTCGTGACGACGGCGGAAAGTTACCGGACGTCTTCTGGAGGTCAAGAGCTCGGCCTGAAGAAGGGTTCGCGAAGATTCTGCCTGAAGCGCCATTGGCTCAGCTGGAGACTGAGTTGCTCCAATACGACCCAGAGACAAGAGACTACGTACTCAGACCTGCCGGAGTGCGTCAACGGAGGAGCACGCGAGATCGAAGCCGGAGGCGTCCGGCTGACTGAGGCGTACATACCTGAAGTGACGGAGACACCGCGGACTTATGAGCGTCATGGAAGACTCCGTCGAAGCGCATAGGTATTTGTGAGCGCACATGCCTTAAGTCGACGCCGGCCGGAGTGTTGATGAGCAAGCGCTTCGTTGTCATTAGATCGGGGACGCTATGATTAAGCTGCGCTCACTTAGGCTTGGGCTTTCGAATCATGACCGAGCCATTGTCTTGCAACTGCCAGCCGACGCCGCCCTTCACAAGGTCGTGCCAGGCGGCATCGGCTGTCCGTTCGACGAAGGCTTTGTCAGCGTTCAAATAACCGCGACCCAAGCACTTAAGAGAATGCATTCGCATCTGTTCGACAGCAAAGTCGATCAATGAGCGCAAGTATCCGTCCACAAGCCGGCGGGTCCGCCAGAAACGTACCCAGTCGTCGTGTACAAGGGCCGCCAAGACTGTATCTACTCCGCGATCCCGAAGTCCGTACCGGTGTCTAACCTCGAAGGCGTCCGTGAGTTTGTACTGCCGGCATGCGAGATCAAGGATCCGATAGCTCACCAAATCGTGGAGCTCGGTGGACGATAGCGGCGTGACTGTGTGAATATCGTTCAGAAGGTACAGCAATGCAGGCTGGTATGACTCCCAGTGTCGAGTTAGAATGCTGGCCTGCACCATGAAGATGTACGCCCGCTGGGCGAAGTGGTCACGGCGATGGGAGCCTAATATGCCCTCGCGGAGCTTACGCATCGCCATCAAGATATTTGGCATATCATTGTGACGCTCTGTGGCGGACGGCTGTCGTGGACGAGCAGGTCTCTCCTCGTTTCTAGAGTTAAGAGTGAAGTGCGGTGGATTATGTTGAAGCGACAATGCCGCAAAGGCCTTCTCCAGCTCCTCTCCGCCACCGGAAGAGGCGATGAACTTCATATATCGATCCACAATTGTCTGAAAATATGACTCCTGGACCCTGAAATCATGCAGTCTATCATATCGTTAGTTGTCGCGTACTGGAATGAGTAGTGTAGTGTACGATAATACTTTGTTTCGCCTTTCGATGGTAAGCCGAAAACTTCGAAAGGGTCGATATTTGCAGGCTTGAGTCGAGTCCATGCACCAGACGGACCGCGGCGAGGTTGAGGTCGCGCAGATGTAGACATTTTTCTAACATAGGACGTACACCCTCCGCTTAGGCACGCCTCTTACGATCGCTGCGCCATGACAGTCATTGCATACGCCTTCAACTTGCGCCTCTCCGCATAATGTGCCGGTCTAGGTTGATATCATTGTTGGAGGCAATCGCAAGTAGAGTGGGGTCGGTGTGCATGCAGGCTTTGGCCGACATCGAAAACGGGCAGGAACGCTTCGGACCAATACTTTCCACCTCAACGCTTGACTACGGCCGAATATTGACCCATGAGCGATCAATGAATGTGTATTCACTCAACGTAGTACGCGCGGGCGGCGACTTAGTCCTGTACCTCTGCCCTACTTTCTCGTGGTCCGAAGCGACGACAAACACGACTGTAGTGAACAGCATCTGCAGATCGATGTAATAGGGTATCAATTAGATCCTTAGAGTTCGAACTGGACGAGGCTTCGCTCTGCTCACCATGGACGATAAGGTCGATCTGGTAACCAAGGCAGAAATCAAAACGCAGGAGGCCCTGACCGTCCTCTGGAACGACCTGCCAATCTGGCTACAAGACAACCATTATATACATTCGGGCTATAGGCCACAATCTAATTCATACATGAAGTCGGCCGCGAGCCTAGGGTATTTGCACAACGAAAGCGTCAACGTTTGGACCCATTTGCTGGGAGCAATCATTGCCGCGATCGCTGGTACGGTCCTTTGGACGGCTATCAAGCCTCGCTTCAATATGGCAACGAATGACGATGTCAAGGTCTTCGGCTGCTACTTCCTTGGAGCGGTACTATGCTTGGGCATGAGTGCGACCTATCATACCATCTGTAATCACAGCCCGGCCGTTGCAAAGTTTGGCAATCGCTTGGACTACATTGGCATCATCCTGCTCATCTGGGGGAGCTTTATCCCATCAATCTATTACGGGTTTGGTAGCGAACCAGGGCTTGTCAGGCTCTACTGGGCTATGGTATGTCTATATCCTGGCAAGAGTGCTCTTCCTGACCAGCGACAGATCACTTCAATCGGCGTAGGTACTCTCGCTGTCGTCACTTTGCCTAGATTCAGATCACCGGAATTGCGGCCCGTTCGAGCTGCAATGTTCGTGGCAATGGGCTTGAGCGCAGTGTTCCCCGTAATACATGGCGCCTGGAGATATGGTGCAGCGCAAATGGAGAGACAAATGGGTCTCTCGTGGGTCATAAGCCAGGGTGTGCTGTACATAGCTGGTGCAGTCATATATGCCGTACGTCAATACCGCACTTTGACTGCTGTTGGTTGCTGACCTCATAGCAGGCACGGATACCAGAGCGCTTCAAGCCAGGTGCCTTCGACCTTTTCGGCCACTCGCACCAGATCTTCCATGTGCTCGTCCTACTGGCGGCGGCAACTCATCTGGTAGGTTTACTGAAGGCCTTCGACTATGAGCACAGTCACCGCAGCGGACTCTTTGACGCATACAGCAGCGTGCGGGATGTTGGTAGAAAATAGAGAAAGCTGTGCCCTTGCTAGCAGCGCGTGCTTCATCTGGCGACAGCGCTGGTTGAGAACCTGTGCATACCGCTGCAACGCCGTCAAGGGCAACCCCACGGTGCCCACTTAATGCAACTCTCAAAAGTACGTCAAGCTTGCCAAGCTAATGCGGCCTATTACAGCTCCTAAAGCCATATTGGGATGCACACGGTGGCGAAGAGCTGAGATGGCATATGAGTCCACGACGCAATCGCCCCCGAAGCGAACTGTATATGCACGTTAGAGCTGCCGCCACATCGGAAAGATATGCATCTTCGAAGCATTTCCTGCATTGTTCTTGCAGTGGCACCGGGTCGCATGGTGGGGACAGCCAGAAAGCTCCGTCAGATCCGTAAGCCGCAAGATCTTCGGTTACGCCAGGCAAGCAAGATGGCCTACCGAAGAAAAAACGTCGTGCCGCGAAGTGCAGTAGCGACCACTTCACAACCGCCAGTGACGTTTGCTGTCACTTACATAACAGAACGTGGTATGGCGCTCGAAATGTTGTTCAGAACGTGCTTCGGTGGCTTGCTATAGCCAGCCGATGCGGTCAAGCGCATCTCGACGCACGCATCCATTCATTCGTTGATTCCCTTGGCGCGAACTAAACGCAGATCAGGACGCGTATGCTTGCCGCAAGTGCATCATTGGCAGCTCGATCTGGACTTGGCGAGGTGGCTGTTCATGTTGAGATTGATGCGGGTGTCTGCTTCGATGGTTGATGAATAGTAGTACGACTATAGTGAGAAAGCAAGCTGCGTATATTAGCCGACGAGTAACTTGTTCGCCGTGATTGCTCGCTTGCGTGGCGGAAGCGTGGGCTCAACTCTTCAGACGGAACTTTAAATTTAGCGACGTTGACATCTGAAACATACTGGGGTCCCTGCTGCTTGCCGTGGACAATCCAGCGTCTTGCAACTGGCTCTCCACTCCAGCCGCCGGCCATGGCAGAGGCATCATAGCTTGCTGTCGGCCTCCTTCTGACTGATCGTGTGTTTCTTGCTTACGTCCAGTTCTTTGTTAGTAGGGTGGCGGAGTTGTCATGTTGAGTCTGTGAGGCAGCACGGGCTGGAGGCAGCATCTCTTACCCGGCGTGTTGATCTTGACTCGACTCTCCTTAGGGCGTCTCGGAGCCGGGGCAATACTTGGCAAGAGTACATTGTTACCGTTCGCTTTAGGTCTACCACGACAACGACAACGACAACAGTAATGGCACGGTAGTCAGAAAGAGTTGGTTTGTACTGTCAGCGTTAGGGTTCAGGGTGCGTCGAAGCGCTGTGAGTTTGCACAGGCATGGGTTCGGTCGCGACTGAGACCATGAACGGATATGCTATCCAACCGCGCACCTTCGTTGAGCGTGGGAGGAGCGAAGCACCAATACCACCACTTAAGCGAATGGATGTCTCCCCGCTGCCTCGAAATGCAGACTTCCCACGCTCCGCGTCGTACACGTACCTACCGCAGGCGAAACATGGAAGCCCGTACGCCAACCCCGGCGTTGTCACGATCAAGGGCAGCTTTTCCGAGGTAGATCTTATAGCTCCCGCGGATGAACTGGTCGATATATCGCCGCCGGACTCGTCTGGCTGGACGACGCCGGACGAGATAGAACCAAAAGTGTCTGGAGAGCATGCCAAGGAGTTGATCGCTCAATTGCACAAGAGTCCCAAGATTAGTGTCCAGCGCTCGGCGACGGCTGTCGACGATGACTCAAGCAGCGTCCAGTCAACGTCAAGGCGACCCTCACGAGCCTCCAGCGTGGCAGCTACCAGCTTGGAGTCAAATCGGACCGGCTCTACGCAAGCGACTACGCCAGGCTCGGTGACTCCAAAACCACGACCTTCCTTTGCACGACAGATTAGTCGCAAGTCATGGTACAGCACCTCGCAATCTTCTTCGGCGCCGTCACGCTCGCCCTCACCAAAAAAAGATAGCGTTATTGGTGAGCAGAAAGCAATTACGAATGGCGTGACTCCGCCACCTCCTGCGGAGAAGCCCAAACCGAAACGGCGGAAGTCGCTCATACGGAGAAGAGATTCTCTGAAGCTTACGAAAGCGAGCAAGGAGGACAATGCAGAGAAGGATGCACAAGCGCAGTCTGAGACAGAGCGGCCAGTCTCGCGGCGCTCCATGCTTTTGCGAAGAACATCTCGGCCGATTAGTGGCATGTTCTTGAGCGGCAGTAAGGAGAATGTTTCTCCAGCAAATGGAGTGCCTGCTGTACCGGCGATACCGCGTGTGCCATCCCTGCCGAAGTCTTTTTCAACGGACAAGCTGCCGACATATAGATCGAATACGCCACAACCGGGACGTGCTGCACCTATGCCTAGAATGCTGTCTGCAGACCGTATCCCGACTACTGGTCTGACGATACCCATCAGAAAGCGAGACGAGCTCTGGAGTGTCTTTCGCGCTCTCGATGGAGACTACACGAAATTTGCCTCGAAATCGGTTGCCTTCAAGGCTAACGTAGTACGCACCACCCTCCTACCATTCCTACGAACCTACACTACGCATCCTTCGAACAAGACGCTACGACCGGAAGACCTTGATAGACGGGCGAACATTCTCAATAAGTGGTGGACGGGTTTGATCGAAATGCTGCATGGGCGCAATAATCAGTCAATCTCCGGTACAGATCGGCCAGTGATCCTAGATGGCATCTCGGGTATCATGGAGCGACCAGAGTGGAGGTTGGCTCCTTCGCCGTTTAGTCCTATCAGTCAACGGATGAAGGGTACAGCAAGTCCTCGAAGCCGGTCCACGACCTCTCTAAGCTCAGCAACCTCGGAATTCTTAACGGAGTCTGTGCATCAAAACGTGCGCAACATCTTCGTCCAGAATCTGAGCGCGCAAATGGCCTTTGTGGTAGACAAAATGTCGCTGCGCAACGCGTCGGCTAGCCTGGTCATCTTCTGTGGCAAGGCCTGCGCATACGCCTTCATGTTTGTGCCGGGTATGGCGGACGTGCTCACCCGTCTCTGGGATTTGCAGATGGACACGCTCCGGCGAGTACTGGACGGTAACGGCATAGGCAAGTTTGATGATGTGGCGTCAACAACGGAGCTTATAGCGTCCAATTTTCCGCCTGCATTGCACCAACTCGGATTTCATTCTTTGATGAAGTACATGCGCAAGCTGCGGACACCGCCACCTTTACCTCTTGGGACCGCAAACATCGAGTGGTGGGGCCAATGGCTGGAACGCTGGAGTGGCCGCGAAAGTGACCTCTTCTACGTCTTCGTGAAGCATTTTCATATCCTGGCAACTGACTTCCTACCCTCCGAGGCTTCGAAGAAAGAGCGCATGTGTGCCCCTGGCGTTCTGCTGGTGCACGCCCAAATACTAATCAACCTGGATGCGACTATCCACAGAGATGCTACCCAAAGCCAGCAGGACGCAGCTGGTCTGGGCGCACCACCAGCCTTTGACGACGTACTTAGCGGGCCAGATGCGGTCGCCTCCGCGCTCCCTTTGCCTCCCATCAACGCAGTACGAATAATGGCCGAGAACCGGCTTGTAATGTTAATACGCGACTTCTTGTCCGAACGAAGTGCGGAGCACCCAGTGGCGCGCGAGTTCTTTGCAGAGTCCTTCAATGATCTGCTCCATACGACAGCCAAGGGCACCTCACTTTTTGACCATGCCGCTTGTTACACTTTACTGGACTTTTTAGAGGAGGTGCTGGTCATCTTGTCACGGTACGAGCACATCAGTGGGAAGGCCATCATCGACTCGGCATTCTGGCAGTCAGTGTGCAAGAAGATGATCAGCAGTCATAACACCTTGACGGAGATACGGCTGTATGCGTTTCTGTACACCGTTTGGAATACTGTTGTATGCGATTTGGGCCGCAAAAAGAACCTCTGTCTGGGCCTCCTGCTGGACCCGGAGATCTTTGACAGCACCTTCAACCACTGGTGTCCTATGGTGCGGGCCTACTTCATGCGCTTGTTGTGCTGGAGGGTGGGGCGTTACGACGGCTATCCCCAGGAGGTCGATATTGTGATCCTCGAGACGATGCTACAGCGCCTACATGCGAACTGGTCCCATTATCTTTACCTACGCGAAGACGCATCCAAAAGGCGCATGCTGTTGCCACCGACAAATCCTTGCAATCCTGCTCCTGGCCGTCGAATGCTGATCATCCGCACCGACTCGCAGATCGCACCTGGTAACATGTCGTTCCTGTCATTCGACGGCATAGTATCACCGGCGGCGCCCAGCCAGCCTCAGCTACCTGTAAGGCGATTCTCCACGCTCTCACACGTCGTCGAGCAGGACAGCAGGGCAGATGCGCCACGCTCCGCTCCAGAAACGGATCCTGTGTCCACTAGTGAGAAGAGTATTGGTGGGTTCATCCGGAAGATGCTCGGCGGCTCGAGAGCGCGATCCAAATCCCAGGGCCCAGCGCAGACACGGTCTACACCCCAGCAAACACCCAAAGCCGAGCCTCCGCTGCCAAATGGTGGCCTCACACGTTCTGCCACCGTGGAAGATATGCAGAGTATGCGAAGCGGCCGCAGCTCGTTTCAGGCCGAGCCCACTGCTCGGAGTGGCCGCAGCTCAATACAGGCCGAGACTACTGCGAAGCCACCTACTCCCTCTGCTCCCGTCGTGACACAGCACCGCAACTATCTGTTCAAATTCAGCCTCGAGTATCACCACAATAACAAGCATGTACCGGGTCCCATGCGTCTACATCCGCCGAGACTGCCGGCTCCCGCCCAGACGTTTTTGCAGGAGCATTCGAAGGTGGCCTATGCAGCGCTACGCACGGCTCCCACCGAGCCTAACGGCTCGAGCAAGAGCAACGCACGCTACTGCGGCCGCGCATTGGCAGAGTGGACTTTGATTGTGGGTGAGTGCCAGAGCTTCTTCGACCGACGGAAGAACGAGGGCGTGCCGGGCAACAAGTTCGTTGAAACGCCGACTTTGGGCGTGGAAGTCTTCAAGAGGCCTTCTTGAGTGGCGATAGGAGTGAGAACGCAATGGCGAGACATTGTAAATGTACCTGAATGGTGCGAACCTTGGCTTAATGCATGGCGATGGCGTTTGACGGGCTTTGAACGAGACAACTGGCTTTTACTGTTCTAGCTCTTGAGCGTTGCATAATCATGTTGGAGAGACACGGCCAAGGCCGCTTTTGCACTGCTTTTCCGGCGGCACGTACATACAGCATAGAGATGTGGGTAAAATGGCGGCGGACAGAGCTACTCTCATTTGGGAGCAGGTAAGCTCATATATATATGGTAGGCGCTACGGCGCATCCCAACGCACCGAGCGGTTTCATGAGCGTTCTGCTTTCCTACGTGATGCCGTATTGGCTCGGTGATCCGGCCGAGCGCTTACTGGGTCGGGATTGGCTAGTCATGAGTTACTGGTCCTTCGGGGGCTGAGTGCCATGGAAGTAGAGTAGCAAGGCAAAGACGGTCTCACGGCCCCGTGTCTGACGCAGAATCCGCAGGTAGATTCCAACTTGGCGCGCGGATTTCTGTTAGCTTGTTCAGAATATTGGTTGTAGAAGTGCACTAAGCACCATCCACATCGTGTAGCGGCGGGCTGGCTCGAGGACTCCACCACAGCCCACGGTCGCCAGCATCGTCATTGCATATCGGCAGCGACAACGCCGACTCCATCCCGCGCACCTTGAAACCTGCGCGCGCTTGAGCCAGTAACGAGCGTGCGTGCACCCTTCCAGACCTCTTATCTGCAGACTGTGCTTCACGCCTGTGCCTGTCTCGCCTAGAGTCGCGGAACGAGCGTACGGCGACAAAAGCCAACCTACCCTACCCGCATGTCACGGCTCCCGCGCGTTTCAGCAGTATCCGCACGCACATCTTCGCGTGTAAGCTGCTGTGACAGCTAAGTGCTCCACCTCACGTCGCTTAGCTGACCAGGCTCGCAAGCACCGTTACGGAGTGTTGCGTAGGAGCAGCGCAAGGGCGTCGCGGAGCGCTACACTGTGTCGCACCTGGCGGAGGTGCTTGGCCTGAGGTTTGCATGGAAGAGCAGCAGCAGCAACAGTGGGAGCAGGCAAGCAGTACGAGAAGCAGCACCGCCACCACCCCAGCAAACTATGTGCCCACCCCGTCTGCCGACTCGAGGTTGAGCCAGCGCAGCATCTCCGCAGTTGACACTGCCACCACCTCCCCACTAGCCGCGCAGTACGGCGCGTACAACTCGCCCTCAATCGCAACACGTGCGGCTTCCTTGGCCATCTCATCGCCGCCGGCGGATCAGACTATCGCACGCGAAATGGAGTACAATGGCGATATGGACGGGGACATGCGTATGGAAGATGCCGATCCGTACAACACGCAGAAATACGCCCGCCCACCGACGAACCCAGACAGACTGTCCTCACAATACCTCCCGGTACAACAGGACGATGCACAGTCGAGGGCAGCGGCAAGATACTCGCCAATGAACACGTCGCCCACGTCGCCCTACACGTCTAGCCCGCAGCAGCAGGTCGGCGCTAATCACTATACCTCGTATACCCCACAGCAGTCGGCACGACAATCTCCAAGTCGGCAAAACCCGTATAGCTCACCGACGCAGCAAAGATACTATACCTCGCCGCCTTCGTCCGGGCGAGCGAACAACTCGCAGCTGCCGCCCCTACAGCCTAGCATGTCACCGAACTCGTCCTACTACCCGCAGTCCGCGACTCAGCAGCTCAATGCAGTCTTCGGCACCGAACCAAAGTCACCAACAGCACCGCAATTGCAGTCAGGCACGTTCGAAAAGGGTCCGGTACCGCAGTTTACCAAGTGCCATGACGTGGCCGAGCTGCAGCCACGGATAAACCGGCAGCCACCTTTCCGGAGAGCGAACCCAGAGGGCGGCTTCATCAGTCCGCTACAAGCGCTCACATCGCACTTGCCATCCACTTACCGCATCTGCAACCCATCTTTCCAGTATGAGTCTTCGAGAAACCCACGGAGAGTGCTCACGAAGCCCAGCAAAGGCGTGAAGAATGATGGGTACGACAACGAAGACAGTGACTACATTCTCTATGTCAATGACATTCTTGGCTCGGAAGAGACGAACCACAAGAACCGATACCTGATTCTGGATGTGCTAGGGCAGGGCACATTCGGACAGGTCGTGAAATGCCAGAACCTGAAAACGCAGGAAGTGGTGGCGGTGAAGGTGGTGAAGAACAAGACCGCATACTTTAACCAGAGCATGATGGAAGTGTCTGTGCTGGACTTATTGAACGGACGGATGGACAAGAACGACGATCACCACATCCTGCGGCTCAAGGACACCTTCATACACCGGCAACATCTGTGCTTGGTGTTCGAGCTGCTGTCTGTGAACTTGTACGAGCTGATCAAGCAGAATCAGTTCAGAGGTCTGAGCACGACGCTTGTGCGGGTGTTTGCACAGCAGCTGCTCAACGGTCTTTGCTTGTTGAGTAAGGCAAAGCTGATACACTGTGATCTTAAGCCGGAAAATATCTTGCTGAAGAAGTGAGTGCCACCCAAGATACACCTTGTGCAGAAACGCTGACTTGTCTACCAGCCTTGAAAGTCCGATCATCAAGATCATCGACTTCGGGTCGGCGTGTGATGAGCGACAGACGGTGTACACGTACATACAATCGCGCTTCTACCGGTCACCGGAAGTGCTACTAGGCTTGCCCTACTCGGCAGCGATTGACATGTGGTCACTGGGCTGCATCGTCGTCGAACTGTTCCTGGGACTGCCACTCTTCCCGGGCTCGTCAGAGTACAACCAGGTGTCGCGAATCACGGAGATGCTTGGTCTGCCGCCAGCTTGGATGCTGGAGGTGGGCAAGCAGGCCGGCGAATTCTTCGAGAAGAGCCATGATGAGTTTGGACGGAAGTCGTATCGCCTGAAGTCCATGGAGCAGTATTCGAGGGAGCACGGCACGAAAGAGCAGCCGAGCAAGAAGTACTTTTCCTCAACCAGGCTGCCGGAAATCATCCGGAACTATCCGATGCCGCGCAAAGGCATGAAGCAAAACGAGATCGAAAGAGGTACGCTTGCTAGACGTCGAAATGCTGATAGCTGTGCTGATACGGTTACAGAAATGGCCAATCGCGAAGCGTTCATTGACTTCGTGCATGGCTTACTCAACATCAATCCGCTGGAGCGGTGGTCGCCACAGCAAGCGCGCACCCACCCTTTCATCACACAGCAGAAGTTCACCGGCCCTTTCCAGCCTTCAATGAACCTGAAAGTAACGAGCAGATCACCGGCGCCGGGTGTACAGCAGCAACAGCAAGCAGAGGCATTATCCAAGCAAAGGGCAGCTCAGCAGCAGCAACAGCAAGCCGCCGCCGCACAACAGGCCGCAGCATCAGCGTATCACATGAGTCCAGGCTATCCAACAAGTCCACACATTGCCCAGCAACAGCAGGCAGCGCAGGCAGCGCAGGCAGCAGCAATGTATGGGACTATGTACACTCCCAACCCGCAAGGCGCGCCACCACCATACCCGTCAAATCCACCTTCGGCCTACGGCCAGCAGATGCCGATGATCCAACCACCCCAACCAGCGGCGTCCATGAATCCCTATGGCACGCAAACGCAGCCGAATCTCTATGCACAAGCTACGACCCGCGCTGGGCGACAACGGGCGAGCACAATGGACGGGAATGGGATCCCCGCAGCGCTTCAGCGCGTGGTCAGTCATTTGGATCCGAACGCGCCGATTAGATTACAGCCGTCCCCCGCCTATTATCCGCCGCCGCCAGAAGGGCAGGCGACGAGTGAGGTTGGCAATGTGGGTGGTCGACGTAGGACTAGCAGGGGCGCACGACACCCCGATAACCGCAACTTTGTGCGGGTGCTTGAGGATCGGACGCTTGAGGAGGGTTGGAACAGTGGTGGGAATGGCTGGTCGGGCGGTGTGTGAGCGGGAGGGGCAGACTTGATCGCCATACTATGATCGCTGCTGTCCTAAGGCCATGGAATCGGCGGACAGCGCGAGCGACCATTGCAGCACACATACCGCCAGCAAAGGCGACCGACGCTCGTTTACCAAGCAGCAGTCGGTCTGGTGAACCTCGGCAAAGTGGCTCAATCGACAACTTAAAAGAATGTTAAGAATGGGAGGCGGACGCAGAGGGCTTGTGAGACCACGGGTGACGCAGATGACGACGGTTGTAGCGTAGAAAGCACTCAGCTTGCATGGCGGACATACTAGTGATATTTGCGGTGCTTGAGCCAAGCTGGTGGCGGTGAGAATGCCACATGACAGACATAGCAGCAGAGTTACTTTATGAGGTTGGAGACGCAGATGGATACCCCTGTTCTTCAATGTACGAACATTGAAGCCGAGCTACATACTCTACGAGACAATCACAAGCTTCGTTCGGTGCAAATGCTTTCTAACTACATGTCATTCTGGCGTTTACTGCCACTGTCGAAGCCTGCCCGCAGCCGTGCATATAAGCCGCGTTTGTGGCTGAGAGTGTCTGTCTAATGCGGTCCATGGAGCATGAAGATGCGCGAAACTCCGGCGGTGAAGTCCTTTCTGACCTAGATGAGTCGAAGTATGTACGCTTTACTTCATCTGAGTAATCTGAGCCTTCGCCGCCACCGCCGCCTTCTCTAGGATAGGCTTGTTGAGCTCTAGCGAAGGCGTACCCCCACCAGGCGTAGCGACATTCGGCGTCGTGATCGGCAGAATCTCAGTCTTGAGCTCCCGATTCTTCTTCGGCTTCGGATCGGGTGCTAGATGATTCACCAGTGTTAGTTCGCAGGATACAGCTTGGCTGAGCCACCGAAACTGACCCTTATTATTCTCCTGCACATAAAACTTGCGCAACAACATGATCGCTTCCTCCCTGAACAAGCCACCGTAGACGGGATACGGCGGGTCGACGCCGGGATCAGAGTGCACGGTCATCACACCGCCACACCCCCCGAAGCGGTCGTTGAGGCAGCCGAAGTAAACGGCGCGGATGCCGAATTGCCGCAGAGCGGAAGCGCACATGATGCACGGCTCGACGGTGACGTACAGGTCGGTGTCCTTGAGGATGCTTGGGGGATGCTTGGCCATGATCTCGGCCAGGGCGACGAATTCGGCATGGCGGGTGCCCTTTGTATTGAAGTAAGCCGTCGAAATATCCCACGATGCTTGCCATGGCGGAGGATTGGGATTGACGTACATTGAGCGAGGCATTTGTGCCGTTGATACCACGTCCAATGACTTCGCCGTCGTGGACGAAGACGCAGCCTACCGGCGTTTCATCGGAGGAGAGAGCCAGTTCTGCCATCTCGATGGCTTTCCGCATGAAGCCTTCGTGGTACTCGCGGTTGGGGATGGGTCCGAAAACCATCTTGAAATCTTGGATTTTGAGAACGGCGTGTTGACGAGTCTTTCCGGTCTTATTTGACAGGTGTAGAGAGCATCCCGGGGCTGTTTGCGTTTGAGATAATCATGTTTGTCGTGTTGCGGCGGTGAAAGAACGATTTTTGCTTTTCAGTCACGTACGGAAGGCACATGGGAGTTTAGGAAAGACCGAAACACGTCGCGTTGGCGTAGGCTGACGAATGGTTTGGTGAAGCCATTAACACTTGCGTGCTTGCATGCAGGTGACGGAAGTGTATTTTGTTGCCGAACGATGGACGTCTGGACGGAAGCAGAAGTTGTCGGTTGTAATCATACTTAGTGTGCACGGACACTACTACCAAGTGCGAGGCAAGGAGATATATATCTGGCACGTAAAGCATTTGAGTCATAGTCAAACCTTGTGTACATCGAACGCTACACAAGCAGTAGTGCTGCACGCCATAGCGCCACGCCTATCTATGCTCAAAAGACCATACGTCGTACCTACCCACAGTGTCCGTGTTTTGCTCCGGCGCTTGCAATCGTTGCCTCCAAAGCCTTTGCGCCAACTCGTCCAATGTTACCTTACCTCGTGTACCAGAAACCTTACTACAGTCCCAACTCCCGGCGCCTCGTCCATATACAGGCATACACCCGCCCAAACGCCAAATCATAATCATAACATTACCCCTTACAGGCGTCCGTAGGTCACGCGAACCAGGCTCACTGACCCGACTGCCCACTCATCCACTGACAATGACAAGTCCCCGGCACAGTAGCCCGCTCCCCCAACATCTGCTTCCGCCTCGACCCCGCAACGCCCGCACTCTGATACGCACCATATCCTGGGTCCACCTCATCAAGCTGTATAGCAATCACCTGGCTCGTACCAGGATACGTCAACAGCCCGTATCCGCCGTCGTCGAGGATCTGGTATTGCTGGCAGTAAGGCTGCACCGTGTTGCCGGGTAGCCTGCGTTCTTCGATCTTCACGACCTTCGGGTACACGGAGAGTGAGTCGTAGAGCGCGTCCGGGTCGTATTGCCGCTTTTCCTTGTGGTTGTTGTTGCCGTCGTTGCCGTCGTAGCCGTCGTAGTCGTAGCCGCCTTGGGTTTGGTATTGGGCGAGGTGGGTGGCCCAGGAGGCGTAGGCGGAGGGAGGGCCGGTCCAGGTGATGGTGGTGGAAGGGAGCGTGACTTTGGCGGTTATAGGGGCGGTTGTTGCAGGGGATTTTGTGACGGGCGAGGAGATGTTGGTGGGAGTGGGTGTCGGAGTCGCGAGGCTGTATGTGGAAGCAATCGGCTGCTGCACGTAGATGAAGCCTTCCATGAAAGTGTTGTTCCAGACGCAGAACCACGGCTTCTCGCCGGCACTGGCGACCTGCTTTTGCTGCAGCCAACCGGGTGCGAGATCGAGAGCCTGCCGCTTCGTGTTGGATCCTGGTGCTGCGGTTGGAGCGGTAAGCGCAGACTCCGGTACCACGACGACCTTGTCGTAGAACTGCTGGAAGTAGTAGGCAGGTCCATCGCCGGGTGCGTCGTTGTCTTGCACCGTCATGAACGGCGCCCAGAGGGTCTGCATCATGTAATTCTGCGAACCGTAGCTGATGGTCTTGTCGGAGGACGAGTAGGACATATACGCGCCGGTCTGATTGACGTTCGGCGGCCGGACCACAGTGAGCACCGCCGCGGGGTTGCCAGCGAGGTTGCAGGCCCACGCTGCTTGTTGGTTTGATTGCACCAAGCACGCAGCCTGTGCCTCCTGTGGAGTACTGAGGGAGAGCGCGTAGGTGCCAGTCGGTGGCGCGGCGGAGACCGGAGTTGGGATGGCACTAGCATCGTACAACGACGTGCCCCCAGACGTCAAGATCCTAAGTCATGTCAGCATCAACACAGGGTGTTGATCTGCTGTCAGGACTCACTGTTTCTGTTCGTTCTTCTGGTGGTTTAAGAAGCCTCCAATAACTGCCGAAATCACAATTACCATGAAAACCGCTACGCCGACGACGAGCAAAACCCATCCGAGTGGGACACCGCACAACTTGGTCTTCCTCCTCTCTTTCCAGGTCTTCTCCTTCCACGACTTGCTCGTAGACGAGTCTGTCACGAAACTATCATTCCTCGCCTCCGCACTAGCAATCGATGCGGGTCTACCGGCCCGGAGGTTCGACTCATCCGTCATTGACTGAGGTTGTGGCGTCTGTGACGGCTGTATCGGAGTATGCATAAGTGACATGGTAGGATCTGATCCTGCAACAGGCGCTCGACTATGCAAGGCTCGCGGCGCTTCCGGTACTAGCAATGGCATCTTCTCCGGTGCATCCTCCGGGTAGCGAGTATACGGTGGTAGTTGCTCGGTATGGCCATCCTCGCCAATGATGTCTTGCTCCTCTCCCTCAGGACCTCGCCGCCTGTGGTACGTCTGGCCGAGTCCGGTAAAGCCCACAGGAATAGGACTTGCTTCAGTCAGCTCCTCATCATCGTCTTCGGCCACGCCTTGCGGGTACAGCGCATACGGGTGCTGTGGACCGTTTTGCGCAGCCGCAGATTGACCCCGAGGCGCCCTTAATGTGGATTGTGTCGCCATGCTCGGCGTTCGCGGTAATGTCCCTTGCGGATACGCGCCGTATGGATGACTAGGTCCTGCACCCAGTCGAGGAGTAGACGAGCCCGCGAATTGCCTTGACGATGTCGACGATACCGACCTCCTCACATTCTCCGGCTCAAAAGTGAGACGTGGCGCGTGCTCATACCCATCATCCTCCGGACTCGCAAACGGATTCTCTGCGCCCGCCCGAGACTTCCGCATCGAGTTCCTCGCCGTCGCGTGTGAACTCTGTCGCGATATGGGTGACACTGGGCTCGCAGCGTAGTGCGCTGACACGATTCGTACGGGCGGACTTTCTATGCTCGGCCGGCCCTCGCTCTCCGTGTCCTGCGGCGGTCGGTAGCCGTCCACTGGTACATCGAAGTCCTCCACCTCAAACTCATCGTCAAATACATTCGGGTTCTCATGCGTGGGCGTGGCCTCGCCGTCCAGCAATGACCGTCGCTCCATGACGATGCGTGTGTCGACCCTTCCGGCCGGCTACACAGCCCCAAGCCCTCCTTTCTCTCAGCAAAACTGTAAGTCTCCGAGGTCCACTGATTATGCCTTTGTGATAATCCGCTCCGTCAATAATGGTCCAAGAAATGAAAGCAGCGAATGACACGGTCGGAAATGGGGGTGGAGAAGGTGGTGTGGTTGTTGTTGTTGTGCAGAGCAAAGGAGAGATGTGCGTCGGCAGCGTGCTGGGCGGAGTCGTCGGAGCCTTGTCCGGCTTATGCCCTGCTCTTGGCACGCGCTCGGAGCCGTGCTTATCAGTGACTTTACCATTCTCGTGTTGCTACAAGCCTACAGTACAACCACCAATCTCACTCGCGCCGTTATTAGGGCCGCTCTCTAGCTCCTTAATAAGCCCACGGCGGCGTTCCTTCATAGACCGCAGACAACTACAATGCTCTACTTCGCTGGCATTCAACGTCACAACGGCTCGACAAGCAGGCACGTTTCAGCCAAGGAGATCAATGTCCCAATGACGGAATGATATGAATTCAAGCATGTTTCATTCCCGAGCAGGCGTGTCTTTTGTGCGCACGGCATTATACGAGCCATCGGTGCTGTCACAACTCTGACACCATCAGCCACGCTCTCGGCTCTATGTTACTTACCGCTCGGAACGCGCGGAAGAGACTGCTCGAAAATGCGTCATGCTAACCGCGCCGCTGCAGAAGTGAAAAGCACCTTCAAACATGGCCGAGAAGTCTATCAACCGACCTCTCTCTCACGCCCGATGTAGGTATGCACTGTAAAAAAAATGCCGGTCTTGTCCCCTCTTCATTGCTTAACCGCATAACTCCTCCGGAACATATCGTCGATACCAGTCAGGTAGTAAGTACCGGGAAAGATGGTCTCAACACTCCCAACCGGCGTAAAGTTCTTCTTCAAGTGCGCCCGCTCACGCAAATTGCACATCTCATCATACACCTCCGGCGGCACAGTCCTCCGACTCTCCAACCGCTTATGCAAATCCACTTTCTCCCGAATCTCGTCCGTGCTGCCCTTGATACGCAGCGAGAACATTGACGAAGCGAGACCGGAGCCGTAGGAGAAGATGCCTACCCGCTTACCCTGCAGGTCGTCGGAGCTGATGTTGCTGATGAGTGAGACGAGGGAGGAGTAGACCGAGGCGCAGTACATGTTTCCGCACATGGTGGGGACCTCGATGGTTGGTTGGACGCGCTGGGCGAAACGTTTCTTCGAGAGGCCGACGAAGGTTTTTTCCACGGTCTTGTCAGAGATGGATTGGTCGTATGGCATGTCTTTGAGTTCGGTGGGGACGTCTTTGAACAGTGGGTTCTCTGGGTCGGCGAGGTAGTCGTTGTATAGCAGGCGGGCGTAACTCTTGGAGACGAGCTTGCAAGTCGGCGCGTGGAAGCACATGTGGTCGAATCGATCGAGAGGCGTTTCAGGCTCCGCATGCACTCCATTGCTGTGGCCGTTCGCCTGGGACTTGAGCTTCTGCTCGCGAGCGTTGTAGGCCTTGTAGCAGTTGTCCACCGCTTCCGTGTAGCACTTGATCGAGTACTGACCGTCGACGAGCGGGTACTCGCTCGTCAGATCGGCTTTGTAGAAGTCGTAGGCGTGCGTGATGTAACTTCCACGAAGACCCGGCTCGAAGACAAGTGGCGCGTCGGGGCCAACCAGCATAGCAATGCAGCCTGCGCCGCCGGTGGGTCTTGCGGCACCCTTCTTGTACAACGCAATATCTCCCGCAACGACGACTGCATCCCGTCCGTCCCAGCCCGACGACTCGAACCAGTTGATTGTGTTGAACAGCGCGTTCGTGCCGCCGTAGCAAGCATTAACAGTATCTACGCCCTCAACGTTGAAGTTTCCCGACTTCTCGAACAGTTGCATCAGGACACTCTTGACGCTCTTGGACTTGTCGAGCAGAGTTTCCGTGCCCACTTCCAGCCTTCCAATCGAGGCTGGGTCGACGTTGTACTTCTTGAAGAGGGAGGAGAGGGTGGTGAGGGCGATGGAGTACATGTCTTCCCGGTCGTCGCAGAAGCTCATTTTGGTTTGCCCGAGGCCGATGGTGTATTTGCCTTCGCTGACGCCGTCGAACTTTTCCAGGTCGCGTTGGTCGACGCACTGGGTAGCACATCGGTCAGTTCGTAGAACAATAATCGAAGCCAACGATGGCGAACTGGCTTACTTGGCTTGGAAAGTAGAGCTCAATGGCTTTGATGCCAACATTCTGTGGTCGACCCTCCATATTGGCTATGATGGCAGATGTCGAATCGAGGTTCTCCAATGACGGGTGCAGGTCGCGTGCAACTCGGAGACGTTCCACTGGTTGCGGTGAAGCCAGAACAATGTTTGTGTGGGGTGGTCTCGCTGCGACAAAGTATGCCTGCTCTCTACTTATTCTCCAGACAAACCTAGAACACAGAGAGAAAGAGGGATTGATTCTCGAGACGATTGTGCAGAGATGTAGCAAGCAGCAGCAGGAGGAGGAGGAGGAGGAAAAAGGCGAGTGTTATGGTGTCGTAAGGTTGGAATTGCAGCTCTACAAAAGTCTGCCCATCTGCCAAACGCCCGCCGCACCGGTTCCTGCAGATTGCGTCGTTCGATGTCCAGTGGCTAAACTGCGCGCTAAACCCTAAACCCTCCGCCCGCTCGCCCAATCGCGGCAAATACCCTCGCCAACCCTCAACGGTTCAACATGAAGTCGCCTTCGCTTTGCCTCGAAAGTGGCGCTGGATGACCGCACCTCATCGCTTCGTCAGGTTTGTCCACCATCTTGGCGACACACTGAACGATAGTGTAGATACATATACTACGGGCTTGCGACATATGACTTCCATCGTGAGCCCGTCCTTGCTCGCCGCTCGTCGTACTATTGGCCGGCTTTTGATCGCCCGTAAGACGCCACACATAGCAGACGACCTACGGTAACGTGAACACGCTTGAGCACGCGACAATGCTGAGCTTTCCTGCCCGTCAGCTATATGGTAGTCATTTCCGTACAACAGGTTGTAGCGTAGGCTCCGCCACCAGACAAGCGTTCCGGAGACACAGGTTGGTTGTGGCACGTGGAGGTCTGCCTGTCGTTCATAGCACTTCCTGGATGTATCTCTTCCGCTCAAACAGCTACATATATGGTTGTACGCTGGAATTGATCGTCCCAAGGGACACGGACCAGGCGGAGAGAGATGATAGTATGCCTTTGAGAGATTCTTCGACACCATATCGCTTTAAGATAAGCCTGTTACGCCCTCCGTTATGGGCTGGTCGTAATGCACCTTCCGGTTGCCATCGCTGGTACCTTGACGGGGTTTGTTCATCTACTCGCACCGAACGATGGCTGCAATACACTGTGGCGTGGCTAAGCAGCATGCCTTTTTTCTGGATAATTGCCAGGGTATTGTGCACAGCGGCGGCGACTATGGACATACTCATAGGCAACAAAGGAATCGTGACTTACGTAGCAATGAAACACCTCTTCAACATGTTGAAATGTGCGGCTTTCGAAGTGAATGAAGCTGGTGGCTGACGGGAGCTCCCGCGCTATGCGATCGAGTTCCGCCGGCTCCATATGACTTTCAACCGTTCATCCACCATGGCTTCCACACATCCCTCCACACCACGCCGCTGGCGGCGCCGACGACCACGAAATGTCGTCGACGGCGTCGCAGCGTGCGCTCGACTACCTCGAGCAGCTGCCGGGCACCACCTTCACCAAGCTGTACCAACAGCCCTCCACCGCCCTCGCCATCTTCCGCCGCATGCTGCCTCACCTGGCTAAAACACTCGTGATGGCGATGTTGTATATGCCCAAACCCTTCGCCGTCGCCGACGTAGATGTGTGGATCAAGCCCGATGCCGAGGGTCTGCAGGCGAGAGATAGAGCGCTCAGTATCCTGCAGCGCCTGCGCATTCTATTCGACACGCGTGATGAGAAGGATGGCCGTCCGGCGTACAAACTCAGTGATGGTTTTGCGCGCAGTCTGAGGATGGCGCTCACGGGTGGTGGCAATCACCGGTCCTTTGGCGTGCCCAGCAATGCGCCGGATAAACAACCCGTCTCCGGCTCGTACTTGGATGCCTTTGCGCGCCAGCAGTGGGAAGCCATCCTCTACTACGTAGTCGGCAGTGCGCACGCAGGCCTCGGCGGCTCCACGGATGCCATCAGCGCCGGCACAAAGCAACTACTCCAGAAAGGCGAATTCGTCTCAGTCCGTGGCCGCGAAGCACACATCACCCAACGCGGCTTCACATTCCTACTACAAGAGATCAACGCGCAAATATGGACGCTCTTAATCGTCTACCTCGAGGTCTCCGGCGCCTTACACATGGACCCCGTTGACGTCCTATCCTTCCTCTTCACCCTCGGCTCCCTCGAGTTAGGCATCAGCTACAGCACCACCAACCTCACCCCAACCCAACAACAAATGCTCGACGACCTCTCCGACTTCGGCCTCGTCTACCGCCGCAGCAATGACGAAGCCCGCTACTACCCGACCCGCCTTGCTACAACCCTAACAAGCGACGCCCCGGCCCTCCCCAACACCTCCCTAACCTCCACCACAAGCACCACCACCCTCGCCTCCTCTTCAACCGACCCCAGCGCGAGTGCAAACGAAAAGGGCTACATAATCCTCGAGACAAACTACCGCCTCTACGCCTACACCTCCAGCCCCCTACCCATCACAATCCTCTCCCTCTTCGCCACCCTCAAAACCCGCTACCCCAACCTCATTACCGCCAAACTCACCAAATCCTCCATCCAATCCGCCATCGCCTCCGGCATCACAAGCGATCAGATAATAACCTACCTGACCACGCACGCCCACCCCATCTTGCGCCGGCAGAACCCGGTCTTACCACCCACAGTCGTGGATCAGATCAGACTCTGGCAGATCGAGGGCGAGCGGATGACGGCGTGGAAGGGGTTTTTGATCAGGGATGTGGGGACGGCGGAGGAGTACGATAAGGCGGTGCAGTATGCGGATGCGCTGGGGGTGTTGCGGAAGGAGTTTAGGGGGAAGGGGTGGTTTTTTGTGAGTCGGATGGATCAGATGAGTGTTTACTTTCGGGCGCAGGCGGCCAAGAAGAAGGAGGCAATGGCGAGGAGGGAGGCGGAAGGGAAAGGTGCGACGGTGGTGAAGAGGGAGGGTTGAGTGGTTTTGCTGGATTGTGGGTCAGATGCTTCAGGTGCGGGCATAGCGATGGAGTCTGGGTGGGTTAGAGTTCAGGCTCAAAGCGGTTGGTACCAGTAGGTATGAGTGTCTTGGGGCTCATACTTCGTTCCACAACGAACATTCTGCCACTGCTCAAGTTCAGCCAGTCAAGCTACCATTACCCGCTCAAACTTTCACGACATTTCTCCAAACATGCGCCGAGATACTACATATGCTACACGCATTAGACGTTGAACCCTCCAGGCACCGCAGCCTCTCACACATCCGCCACCATCGACTACAGGACCAAACTCCGCCGATGCCTCCCAAAAAGCCGCTCCACAAACGTCCCCTTCCTCCCGTCACCCCACCCCAAACCATTACTCTTTTCTACCACACCTTCACAGACCTCACGCGCCTCCCCACTTACGTCCTGCCGCCCCGACACCGCCACCCTCCTTACCGGCGGCAAATTTACCATCATCGGCCTAGCCAACTCCGCACTCCCCGTCACCGCAGCAAACTGCAACTGAAACACCACAAAACTCTCCCTTGCCTCCTGGCTCGCACACAGACTGTGCAGATACTCCATGGCGCGACGCATGCGGCGGGTGTTGGCTTCAGGGCTGTGCATTTTGTCCGAGTCGGATTTGGAGAGGTGGAGGTTGGTGGCGAGTTCGTCGTTGTGGTAGCGGTCGGTTAGGGCGGCGAAGCGGCCGCACCAGTAGGGGATTGGTTTGGGGGTATAGATGGCTTGGGTGCTGGGATTCGGGGTAGGGTGGTTGGGATTGCTGTTGGGTTTGGGTAGGAACGGGGTTAGTGAGGGAACTTTGTTGGCTGGGCGCGACGACGACACGGCGCTCTTGACTTTGCTGCCGGTAAGAGCTTCGGTGGCCAGTGGTGTTCTTGGCGTTGGCAATAGCACGACTGGCTGGACTTCAGACATGAGTCTCCGCTCCGGAATCTGGCCGTGACGGGACGGACGTCGATTCGTAATGTTCGTCAAGATGGGTTGCGAGTTCCACCTCTGTGCAGGCTGCGGTCTACCTGGAATTGCAGTACGTTCACGCGAAGGGCGGGAAGCAGGGCTGCTGTAAGATAGTTTGGCAGCATGCAGTTTCAGTGGCTTCTGTGGGAGAGGCTGGGTGAAGCCAATGTCATCGACGCAGGCGTCAATGTCTACAACTCCCCATCAGCAAGGACATCTTACGATCGTTGATACTTTTAGGAGACTCCACTTACGCTGGGGTAGCAGTTGCTCGCAGCTGTCACTGCTGGGCGCCCACCCATGTCTGCCGGCATAGTTACGAGACGGCAGCGAAGAGCCGTACAAGTCCTTGTTATCGAACATGGACATTGACGGCAACGGCTTGACGGGACTTAGTGTGAGGTTCTCCTTGAACGCCGTTGCTCTGCCCATGTTTGTGGCGAGGTCGACGTTCAATGGGAGAAGTGGCTCGGTATCAGACCGCTTGGCACGGTTACGGATCAGAGAGGGCTTCATGCTGACTTCTGTTGGAGCAAGCCTCGAGTGGCTGTATTTGCGGTGGGAGACGGGCGGAGACGGCAAGCGCGTCGAAGGCAGCAGAGCGGTGGGCAAACGTGACTGTGACTTCGAAGGCGCCATTGGAGCATTCCGGCGTGCTCGAGTGGGTAGAGGCAGATTGCTGAACGTACGGCTTCGCGGCATCCCGCCTACAGGATCGTCCGGCAGGCAGATGTAGCTGTTCCTTGTGGAAGTATAACTGGGCGCCGGAGGCATAGGAAGAGCGGTGATGCCATCGCCGGTAAGAGTGATGGGGGCGGATGGAGTGGAGCTGGAGTGTGGTTGCAGTGCGGAAGCTGTGTTACTGGCCAGAGACAGAGTGCTGGTGGAGGAGGTCGCGGTGCTGTTACCGGTGGCGTTGTTGGAGCGACGCCGATTGAATGGATTCAGCACTTGAAAGGATGCTATCGAGCTAAGGCGCCGTAGGGAAGTCCGCCGTGAGTCTGGCGGAGCGTCAATGGACTCAATATGACGGGACGGCATGGTGCTACACCGGCAACAGCACCAAGACGAGATCGAAGAGTAATGAACATGCGAACAGACGGAGCGACGAGTGGCAATTGCATTTTCTGGTGCGGTCGGCGAGGTAGTGGCGATTGCTTGGTTTATGCGGAAGGTACGCTTGGTCGGAGCCGCAGTTTCCTTCTTGTATAGGGGAGTGGGAGAGCACCTTCACCAATTGCCTCTGTGCCATCATATGCCTTCAATCTTCCTTCTTACATAATCTCACTCAAAGCTCGGAAGAGCCACTGTGCGAACGCTTACTCCGCCATCGTGTTGTTCTATTCGCCCGTGACGTTACCTCCACAAGCATAAATAGCAGCTTGACACCACCGCAACACAAAGACAACCCAAACCACCCCTTCGAGAGTGCGCATGAGTGCCCGAATAACACGCGTCGTAATAGTTGACACGAATCCCCAGCTCAACCGTTGGGCCATCTTCTTGTTCGCCTGTCTCGAGAACGTGTGTTCTGATTCCGTCGAATGCGTGGACTTGCACTGCTATGGCGAAGAGGAACAGCATGATGCCATGAGCTGTGAGCTGAAGCGAAAGCATGTACATGTTCGCGTGGTTGGATGGGCGGCTGCGGGCTTCGCAGCATCGCTGCAAGTGCCGGGCCTTCATGATCTGCAGGCCGAGATCCTGCAGCAAACGGCACTATGCCGTCTCTCCTTATGTGTAGTTGCCACAGAGCACATGCATCTACGGAGCTCCTACTGGATTTGCTTGTGTAAACCTTCTCAAACGTGGCTGCTTGTCAACCTCGATGTCGCATACGCTGGTTCGTACGGGCACCACCTGATCATTAGACGAAGCCTGTCGCACTTTCTCGACTTCCGGTTATATGTTAGGGGAGAGCTGGTCGTACTTCACGCACATCTCAACGCTCTCGATGCTGGCTTGCAGGAACTTGCGGGCTTCAAGGCCAACCCAAACCTTGGCCATCGACAGATCGCCGGATCGTAGCATGGAGGCGCCGCTCTGAGCGCCAAGCTGTCGCAGGATCGGAAGCGCACTATCGAAAGTCAGCTTAGCATACCACAATACAGCGCACAGTAGCGTAACTCACCCAGAAAACAGGTCAAGGTTAGGATCCAGACTCCGCCCAATACCCTCCAGCAACAATATGCTAAGCACGACATTGACAAAGTCGCCTTCGAGACGGACATGATGCCCGCGAACCATGCTAAGCACCTCGTTGAGGATGTCACCAATCTTAATGTTGCCCAGAGCGAACGTCTTGCTCTTAACCCCAAGAACAAGGTGCTGCATCCTCAGTGCAAACACCTCCTTGTCAATGACGGCTTCCGGCTGCCGACACCGCTCCACCATGAGATGCCCAGCTTTGTACCCATCGAACTCCGCCACCGCTTTAAAGAGGTCGAGGAAATTCTTCCGATTCGTGTCGTTCAGTTCCGTCACTAATCCGGTGTCAATGAAGATGAGCTGGGGTCGGTAGCCTTCCTTATCAATCTGCGCCAGTGTCTCCGTCCACGCGCCCTTCTCGTGGCGATGTGGTCTCAATCGCTCGAGCACATCTTCGGTCACGTCCCGGCTGTTTTCCGGACTAGCCTTTGGCCTGCCGGTGAAGGAATGGATGTTCACTCCAACATCCACCACAGCGGGTTTGTAAAAGCGAACCATGATGTTGCCCGGATGCAAGTCGGCGTGGATGAAATTGTCGATGAGCAGCATGTGCAAAAAAGCATCGAGACCTTCATCCGCGATCTCCTTCTGAAACACGCCACCGCCGTTCTGAAGGAAGTGCTCAAGCGGGATGCCGGTCGCGAACTCTTCCACGAGCACCTGTCGGGTAGTGTACTGGCTGTAAGGATACGGGAACGAGGCTGTCGTGCGGTTGCGGAAGTTCTTGCGGAAGATAGTCAAATTGGCCGACTCGATGCGAAGGTCCAGCTGTAAGCGCATCATCTCGCCGAATTGCTTGACCTCGTCTGGGAAGCTCAGCCACTCCATCGTTGGTATCGCGTTGATTATGTTGGCGAAGAAGCCCATGATGCGCAGGTCACGCCTCACTATGCGCTCGATCTTTGGGTGTAGCACTTTGATCGCTACGTAGCTTGACGGTATGCGTTGTGGTGTGCTCTTCAGTAATGGGTCGACGGTTTTCATGGCTTTCTCCCGTAGAGACTGTGGCTTTCGCAGATCCTCATCGTCCAGCATGGCGAGGTCAGGCTTCAGCTTGGCCTTGTAAACCTGTGCTATCGCACCGACACCCAATGGCTTTTCGTGAAACTCCTCGAATATGTCGTTGAATGGCCTTCCGAATGCCTGCTCTAGTGTCTGCTTGGTGACCTTCAAAGAATGCGCTGGAGCGTTCGAGTGCAAAGCAGACATAATCGAGCACATCTGCTCTGGAAAGATATCCGTCCTACTTGCAGCCCACTGACCCAGTTTGATGAACGCCGCGCCTGCTCGCTCCATCGAGGACACGAGAAAGCCATACCACCACAACGTACCCGACCTCTCATTATCCCTATCGGCCTGCCGCGGCCCAAACCAGATAAGTGGTATTGTCACTAACACCGGCACGAATATAACCACCAAATGTAGGAACCGAAACCCCGTCGCAATGGGTTCCACGATCCATCCGTCCAAGAACTTCCACAACGCTCGTCTCCATTTGCGTGAATGTTTCAATCGGTCCGGAACCCGCTCCTCGAGCTCTTGACGTGACAGCTCTAGCATCTGCTCTTCGTGCGTCTTGCCATGTCTGTCGCTGCCTTCGTCTTCGGCTATGGATACGAAGACTGCGGGACTCAGGGCTGCGGCTAACAGGACGGTACCACCACGTATTGGAGGGGGAGGGCGACGGAAGCCTTGTCGGACGTGATGTAGTATTGATATATTTCTTCTTTGTGCTCCACTACGGAGAGTCTGCTGTAGGTTTCGCGTGATTTGCTGCCGAGGAAGTTCGCTTGCGCAGCGCCAGCATATTCGCCCCAGAAGGAGGGTGGAGCGCATGTTGCGGACAGTCTTAGTCTGGTAATATCAAGAGCGGGCACTCTGTCAGTATACCATATTGTCTATTCCTAGTGGTGGAGCATCAATGTTGGCCTCGAGTGGTACGGAACCGTTGTCGTTGGTTTGTTGATCCGCTGAATGCAGTCCGGGTTCCTTAGGTACGTCATGCAGCTGTCACATGGAAGGGCTCGTATATACACAGTATAGATACAACAACAGCTCCGAGTTGCCGGAGAACAATCGATACGTTCAGTCGTCTTATCGTTTTCATGTCTACTTCTATACTGCAACACCACCAGCGCCTACGCTCAACGATGGAATGCGTCGCAACAAGATCGTGGTGGCTAAAGCCCGAAAGATTCGTCTGCCGCATCACTCACGAGCATTCCAAATTTCCACACCTGCTCCACCTTGAGCGTTCTGTTACCCTCTGCGTCTTCAACCGCATCCAGCACCACCAAGTCGGCGTCGGCATCGGCGTCCAGCGTGCCCTTGACCCCTTTCAAGCCTAGCATCTCCGCCGGCGTCGCGGTCACTGCACGGATGACTTCCGGTATCGACGCGTGAGACCAAGCCCAGAAGTTGCTCACACATTCAATCAGTGTCGCGGAGCTGCCAGCAATGGTGTCTGAGCCCTCTCTCGTCAACAAGTGACCTTTCTTGACCCAGCGGTCATTGTTCGTCCACGGATAAACTCCGTCGGGTAGGCCGGCGGTGTATTGAGCATCTGTGACTAGGATGAAGCCTTCCGGGTGTGCGTTCCATGCGATCTTGACAGTGGTCGGATGAAGGTGAATGCCGTCTGAGATCACGCCGAAGTATGGGCGCTCTCTTCCTTCCGCTTTGCCCAGCACGCCAAAAATGCCCGGGTTGCGGTGGTGTAGTGGTCGCATGGCATTGAAGAGATGCGTGATCATCGTAGCGCCCAGATGGATTGCCTCGCTTGCTTCCTCGTAGCTGGCTTCAGTGTGACCGATAGCGAACCGTATTCCTCGCTTCGTCACCTCTGGTATGCACGTAGAAATGCCATGAATTTCCGGAGCCGCCGTGATCATGGTGACGGGCGATCGTGACTCTTCAGCCGGATGATTCAGATTTCCAGCGCCATAGCACGTCTCAAGGTCTGCGAAGCCGTTGGGCGCCTCCTGCAGGACCTCTAGGCTGTGAATACCGTTCTTCGTCGGTGATATGAAGGGACCTTCACAATGTGCACCAAGCGATTCCGAGCCTTCGAGCGCATTCCGCGAGCCTCCACTTGGTGCCAGATATCTCAACACTTTGTGATACACGTCCGCGTTCTGACTTGGTAGAGTAGGTAGGTAGCTCGTCACGCCTGTACGGACCAAGTGCCTGTTAAATCTCTTCAAGCCCTTCTGGTAGTCAGTCAAGTCCTCCGGCACTGTGGAGAAGTCGAAGCCGAACGCCCCATTGAATTGCACATCTATGAAACCAGGGCAGAGGATCTTATTCTTAAGGTCTATCGTCTCATCGGGTATGACGAAGTGCTCATAGAAGACTTCCTGGCTGCGCAAGATGCGACCGGTCACTGACGATATCCAGAGGTCTTCCTCGACAAGGCGATCTCCCTTCACCAAGCGACCACCGGTGAGGCGAGTGACTCCCGTCCTTGGCCGCTCGGGAGACAGTGCGGTGGGCATGATGACCGTATTTGAAACGGCATCCAGACCCGGGAAGCTTACGTCCGCGAGCAGTGTGTGGATTCTGGCAGGCTGATCGTTTCAGCTCATTGACTCGAAGACGTCCAGTCCGTCAGCAAGCACCGAGCCGGCAAGCGTAGGGTTAAGAGATCGCTATTACATTGACGTGATGAATGTGCGGGACACATCGCGAATGCCCGGACCTGCGCACAGTGTACACCAACCATACATAGTACTGCTTACCTTATCGGCCTGTCAGCCTATCTTATCGTTTCCGTGAAGCTCGTGCCAAAGCTCGACGGGGAGGTTACATTGATTGAGAAGGAGCTGAGCCCGAAAGCAAGAAGCTCCTCGGATACTTCCGGGTTCCGCAATACGAGGCCCGCCAACGCAACCGCACCAGACTGCCACACCATGTCAGCCATGCAGTATACAGCACCGTTTCGGAATCCTAGCCGGCGTTGCATCCGCATACATACAAGCCCGTTGCTGCCGCGACCCTTCGCTGAGCCTACCCACGCCGAGTGAAGCTAGCTAAGCAAGGTAGCATCGCTATGCTACTCCGACCCTCCTGCCGATCCACTGAAGGTAACGCTGCAACATTCAGCTAGCCTCGTGACACCGCGTGGACATCGCGTTGGCAGGCAAGCCTCCAGCGCCTGCCAAAATGGGTAGTCACGGTGCTGCTCCGCTTGACCCAATGTGGGACGATACGGACAGGCTGCTCGGCCAGCTGCTGATGATGGGGTTTGAGGGCACTACTGTTACGCCACAGGTACACTGCATGCTTTTTGGTTTCCGGTGGAAACAACGAGAGTTAGACTGACCGTCGGCGGCTTTTTAAGATCCGCAAACTCATCAGAGAAGATCACCTTGGCTCGATCCTGCTGACAGCCAAGAATCTCAAGTGTAAGCAGTCCCTCTGTCCATATATCCCTTTTTAAACTAACCAGCTCTAGCTGCCGAACAAACTACGCAGCTCGTGCTTGAACTCCAGAAGTGTGCATACGATGCTGGTCATCCCGTGCCTTTGGCCATTGGCCTTGACCAGGAGAATGGCGGTGTCAACTCGCTTTTCGACGAGATTTACATCCGCCAATATCCCTCCGCTATGGGTGTGGCGGCAACTGGATCTCGAGAATTGGCCTTCGAAGTCGCGAAAGCTACGGCAGAAGAGATCTCAGCATGCGGTATCAATCTCATGATGGGTCCGTGTCTGGATGTGTTGACCAATGCACGCAACCAACCCTTAGGCGTCCGCACGACGGGTGATGATCCTCAAGAGGTCTCCTCGTATGGCGTCGCCTTCATGAGAGGCTACAAGGAGGCCGGGCTTGCTTCGATGGGCAAGCACTTCCCTTCGTATGGCAGCTTGGAGTTTTTAGGCTCGGCTTTGGACGTCCCAACTATCACTGAGAGCTTGGAGTCACTGAGTCTGAACGCGCTGGTACCTTTCCGCAATGCCATCAAGGAAGGTTTGGACGCCATGATGGTGGGTGGCTGCGCCATGTCTTCCGCAGGCTTGAATGTAATGCACGCTTGTCTCTCCGAGCAAGTCGTCAATGATCTTCTGCGGAATGATTTGAAGTTCGACGGTGTTGTTATATCTGATTGCTTAGAAATGGAAGCCTTAAGTCATAATATTGGCGTCGGTGGTGGTACGGTCATGGCGATCAATGCTGGCTGCGATGTGGTATTGCTGTGCCGGTCGTTCGTGCACCAGCAGGAAGCAATCCAAGGTCTTAAACTCGGCATCGAGAATGCTATGATAAGCACCGAGCGCCTCCGATCATCACTGCGACGAGTCCTGGACATGAAGGCGAGGAGCACATCGTGGGAGAAGGCGCTGGCTCCGCCCGGCATCGGCCTGCTGTCACAGCTGCAGCCTTCACATACGACTTTATCAACGAGAGCTTACAACTCATCGATTACCGTCGTTCGCGACAAGAACAGGCTTCTTCCGCTGTCGAATATAATGGAGCCTGAAGATGAACTTCTGCTTTTGACTCCTCTTGTGAAGCCGTTAGTCGCATCGGCCGCAGCGCGACAGCTGAGCGAACATGCCACCAGTGACTCGCCCGAGCCAGCACTATGGGAGCGCAGTGCATCTGTTATGAGCGGAGAGCGCGTCTTTCGCGAACTTGGCAGATCACTTGCTCGGCAACGGAGTGGTCGGGTTCTACATACATCATACACCGCAAACGGAGTTCGACCGCAGCATGAGAACCTCATTGGCCGAGCTAGTGCAATCATTATCGTAACCGCCGACGCGAACCGCAACCTGTACCAGCATGGTTTCACGAAGCATGTCTCGATGATATGCAACATGCAATACAAATCCGGGGCGGAAAAGCGAGAGAAGCCGGTGATAGTGGTGGCAGTCAGCTCACCTTATGACTTTGTAATGGACCACACGATCGGCACCTATGTCTGTACATACGACTTCACGGAAACGGCATTGACCTCGTTAGTAAAGGTACTATACGGCGAATGTACGGCAGCTGGAGCCCTGCCCGGCACTCTCAGTCAAAGTCAGAAACTCTCCCAATCGAAGCAGCATTGGCTCGTTGAAGCTTTCAACGAGGAGCGTGACTCAAACGCACTCGACGTCCTCATCAAGTCATCTGTGGACGATAACACACCAGGCCTACACTCTGAGCTCGCAAGCGCAACGTCCAACTCATTCCTCCTCCGGAACCCGGAAGTGCTCGAAGCGCACTTCGTTGTGCGCAACAGTACTACGCAAGCATTGTACGGCTTTTGCACGACGTACTTCTTCAAAGCTACCGGCACTGGCGTTATAGGCGCCGTCTTCGTGGATTCCGGAAGACGGAAGCTGTCGATCGGCCATTCCCTACACAACCGAGCCATACGCACCATGCTGCAGAGAGATGGTGTCAAGCGATTTCAGCTGGGCTCGCGACTGCCCAGTATCTACCTCGGCATACCAACCGGTCATGGGGGTGAACGCAAGCGGCTGCGTTCTTGGTTCGCAAATCTCGGCTGGAACACGGCTTTGAGTCGCTCTGTTTGCAGCATGGTAGCGCGCAACCTGTCTACCTGGACACCGCCGCCAGGCATGGCGAAGAGCTTGCAAAGTGCTGGTGCAGACTTTGATCTTGTCTACGGCTGGGATCATGCTGGTCCAGTACTCGATCACATCAAGACCAATAATCGACAAGGACTCGCGGAAGTCTACAAGATGGCGCTTTCCGACCCTTCAGCCTGCGGCATCATTCGGGCGAAACGGCCAGAGGACGGTTCGCTCGTCGGCACGGTTGTCTTGTACAACATGCAATCGCAGCTCGCGGACTTTGTACCTGGCATGAAGGACATCGGGGAGCTTGCGGGAGGCATCTCCTCTCCCGTCATCAGTCCTGCAGTCGGCGAATACTCTACGCTGCTGCAAGGCCTGATCCTCCTGGGTATGCGGCAGATCAAGCAGCAGGGCTGCAATGCTTGTATACTCGACTATATAGACGGGGATGGCAACTTTGATGGGCTGAGTGCTATGGGATTCAGCGTCCTGCACACGTTCGAGGAAGTCAGTTGCGATGCGGCGACATGGACGATGGTACCGCCGTCGTAAACTAAGGGCGCGCCTTCTTGGATACAATTTTTGCTTTGATACCCAGTCTGCGGTTGATCCGTAGTGATGCGATTACTGATGAGCTGTATAAATGATACCCCTGCTGTCTATCTACATCGTCGAAAGACAATCGCGGGAGTCGGACGGAACAGAGCTGTTCCGGGGAAAAGGCTCGAGGCTCCGCACGCCAGTGAGTGGAGCCGGAGATTGACAGCTCAATTACCTCAAGCAGCTCGCGACCACCTGTCGATCAATCACCGAAGGATCTCGTATCCGACCACAGCGAAACAGCCACTGCTCGTTGCGTTTTCTTCATTCTCCTTGGAGAGGATGTCGCACCAACCCACAGCGCTCTTAGCAAATGCGCGACAACGCAAGATGTCTTTCAAGTCGTCTTGGTGAAGCCAATCCGCGCTCTTCGACCATCGCTCAATGATAAGCCGAGCTTGGAGTCTGCGACGTCGAGCACGAAAGAGATAGATCACAGACGGTATACCGCTAACGGCTGGCTGGGACTGCGTCACAAAGTACTGTGTTTGCGCAATTATTGGAAGAAGCGTAGACGCTGCTTTGGCTTTTGCGCATGGTCTGCATGCTACGCAAGCGTTGACGGTGCGCTGATTCACTGTTGCAAACATGGACAACCTTTCCGGTTTCGACCCGTCTACCATGACCTATCTGCCATCACTAACTCAGCTGAATGTTGGCGGAGCGTCGGATCCATATCAAGAGTTGCTACTCCCGATTGAGCTGCCGGATCATCAATCTACCTATGGATACGCTGTGTGAGACCTGCCGATGCCGAGGTGCCAGTGCACATGAACTGACCCGCTGATAGCAGTGAAGACTTGAATCTGCAATCATTGCAGCCGCAACGGACACCTCAATTGAAGCGATACTCGAGCACCTTCGTAGAGGACCCGTTCTCGGACGTCGTCAGTGCCTTCGAGCCTGTTGGTCAGGAACAGCAAGATACTGAGACGCCGTCGATCGATAGAGATAACAAGCTTCTAAGCTTCTCGCCACCCAGTCTCGACTATGCTCTACTTGATTATTCGTTCCGACGAACAACCATCTCCCTGGCGGCGCAGCTTCATGGCATGTTCTTCTTGGCCGAATCACCTTGGGCTGCCCCGGGCGAGACGCAGCCGCTACCGAACGAACTGACATGCTACCGAAGAAACTTATTCCAAATTACTGGGGACATTACATTGCCGAGGGCGCTCCGGTATATCCTGACAGACCACGGGGAGCAAATACCGATCATCGGACAGGAGCTAACCATCAGTGCAACGGAGTCAACCGAAGGGAATGCAGTGAAGGTCATCTCCGTGCCCTGGAAGACACCAACGAATGGAAACCAGGCGATGATCGATGAGAAGATTGAGCGCGAGCCTCCTACGATCCCGCTGGACTTGATGAGTATGCAGGATGTTGACACAGACTTCGCAAGCATTCCCTTTCAGTGGAAGAGATTGCAGTTCCGGATTGCTACAGCCAACAATGGTCGACGTAAAGAGCTTCAACAACACTTTGTTGTAAGACTCAAGGTGATCGCGACGCTTGCGACGGGCGGCAAGGTCCCAATTTGCGAAGTCCGCTCAGGAGCGATCATTGTACGAGGGCGAAGTCCGCGAAACTTCCAAAGCAGAAAGGACATGCCGTTGAGTGGTGCAGGCCATTCAAGGAAGACATCGAACCTTCCTGGTCAGCTGAACCGAACAGTATCCCGTGAGTCAACTGGCAATAAGATACCTGATGGTCCAACTTCGGCTCCGCTCAAGCAGGAGGTTGCCGGGCCAGCTTCTTTCTTCGACCCCAACGAAGGTACAGCGAACAACGACTTCTATGACTGGAAAGGTCTCGGCCAGGTGCAGCCAGGTGCAATGACTGCTCTACCTCCGGATCCCAGTCCCTTTCAGCGCGGCAACGTATACGCTTCATCCTCGCCAGATCTAACTCGGGTACCCAAGCCGCCACCACCGCCTTCGGCGCCAATCAACCTTTCCCTGGTGGAGGATGATTCGCCGCAGCCTGGCAATAGCACTACGCCACCAGACCAACGAGCTGCGAAGAAGTCACACATACCGACTAGACCACCTTCCTTCTCCCTCAATACGATAAACAGTCCCGATGAAAGTGCTGATTTGCTTTACGAGTATTTCCCGCTTGGCCTGGATGACTGGATGCCGCCGGTAGATGCTGTGTATAGGCCGCACGTGGTCCATCACACCAAGCTGCCGTCTGATCCAAGGGACCCGAAGGCCCCTGTGAAGGGTGCGCGGAGCAAGCGATACTTCAGCGAGGCTGTGAGCTGAGCCATCAATGCGCCTCGGCCAAGGAGCCGACAGACGACCGATTCTGCACAACCTACCTCTTTCCAGTGTGACGAACATTATATCGAGCGCTCGCCGCCACTGATTAGCTGCGCGTTCAGTCCAGGAAGTCGCAAGACGATAGAGCTGTTAAGGGCCCCAGCCAATACCGGCTCGCTGTCCGCCTCGAGCTTTCATGTGACGAACGTCCGTTCTGAATCATACCAAAGGACGCAACGCTCCGAACATATATCCACGCTGCCTTAATTGATGCATCTCGCCAACAGTAGCACATACGATTTCTGTCCGGGACGAGAATAGTCGCACAAGATCAATGGGAGGCAGCGAGCCGAAGTATAACCATACATACAGCATAACAAGTGCTGTGTGGGGCGTTATGCCACAACACCTCTGAAGAAAGACTCAGTATCCACCTCAGGCAGTATTGCTCGGAAACCGAAGGCTTATTTCCCGACTAGCATCCGTCAGCCATAATTACCCTTTCTATGCACTGTACACCGGATTGTTTCCGGGCAACTTCGCAATCGGCCCGTTCAGCCCAATATCTTCGTACGGAGGCTGGACCATCGGGCTCATTGCCGTAGCCACCGGGTCCCGGCCGGTTGGTGAACCAAAGGCGCGCCAAGGGCAGTTGTCGTTCGTGAAGCATTCCGCAAAGCTATCCCGCAACGCCGTCGTGTTCTCCCACCCCATATAGAAGTCACCGTGGAAGCCGTAGCCCGTCGTGTCACCGTTCGCGAAGACAAGAGAGGCTGGGTCCGTAACTCCGTTCAAGGCGAAGCCGAATTCAGCACCAATGTTGATGAGTGCCACAGGGTGAGACGAGGGACACATACCCCCCTGGGTGTTGCCACCGAGTGAGGCATCCGGGTATGCGACGTGCGACTGGTGGTCAGGGGAATCGAGGTTACTGCCATCCCAGCAGCTGGGAAAGCGGACGTGGCCGGACAGCTGGTTGCCGTCAAGCTTAGGCGGCATCCCGTAGACTTCACCGTTGTTGCCGGACTCGAGCAAGATGGCTTGCTGCCATGGGTCGCTCATGTTCTGAGTTCGCCGCAGCGAGTTACCAGCAAGCATTTTCAAGCCAGGCGGGAACGCTCGTGGGTTGCGGGTTCCAACGCACCAGCCGGGAGCGCTGGCGTTATAGTCACAGGTGTAGTTCTCATAGTACGCCGCCTAAAGTATTGACCACGATTGTTAGCGTCATTCCAGACAGATATTTTGGCGTATGTTCGAGAGACTGCGTACCATTCCTGTGAAGGGCAAGAGGTCGAACAGCCCGTCTGAGCGCATATGATATAGTTGAGGAGCCCAGTAACTGCTGTGATCCGTGAACTTGTCGCAGGTGGTCGCATTGCCCTGGAGAGCACCGTATGTGCCATTCATTTGTTGACCGAAGGCTGTTGAGCCAACCGCGGCGTGGACATGGCCGGAAGGCCAGACGCCGGGTGCTAAGATGGGATCGAGGCGGGCTTGAGTAAGAGGGGCGCAGTTGAGCGTCCAGACGCTTGATGCCGTCGTGGAGGAAAGAACGGAAGCCAGCACCACGGTGCCGATAATGAACAACGGAGCCATGACCGGACGACAGAGCTTGACCTGTGACTTGGTTTATGTACCGTGACTGGCGCAGACGGAACTTGAGGAAAGTGGAATGCAGTACGGCATCGTTGTAGGCCATGAGCACGCGATATATATTCCTTCATCTTCGCCACGTCGGCTGACTTTGCCAGATCCAACCTCTCCTTTGCCATGCGGTGCTCCTGCAAAGAACATCATGGAAAGCGTACTCCTGCATATTAACGGTATTGGCGCCACAGAACGTTGTGATCAAACCTACCTGCAGTCTGGGAGAAGTCGGGCTTGCATACGCCCCCGTGCAAGTCCAAACACCAGCGGCTCCCATACTGAAAGCATACGTCAAGGCGTATGAGACAATCTCCAGGTAATACCGGGCGGCTACGAGCGATGAAACGTGCAACACGTGGTACGTGAAGATGAAAGGAGTCGGGATGAGACAAAAGGGAAGCGGCGGGCTTGGCGTTTATGCAGGTCTCATATCAGTCGCCTCGGTCGTGTGGCTCCCTTCCACAACGCAGAGCTTAGCGTAAAGACTCAATCAGGAGACTAGCTGCTCATGCTCTAGGATACTCATCAATCCACGCCACATTTCCGAAAGCGCCCGAGAAAGGATACTGAAACACCAGCGCTGGGGTGCTGTATGGTGCATACTCCTTGGGTGTCATTTCGATTGTGACATTGCTCGCTGCTTCGCGGGCGGTAAGGTTGAAGCCTGGGCCGAAGTCATGAAACTCCGCCATAGTGGTGTCTGCAAGCCGTCATCAGCGTTGCCATTCTCCATACACGTCTGTGGATGGGCTTACTGAAGTTGACACGCGGATCTGAACTACTCCACTCAATATATCCGTTTGGCTGGATGCTATCGTCCAGGTAACTCAAAGCGAAGATAGACCGGTGCTGTGCATTCCACGGGCGGCCCAAAGCGCATTCGTGGGTGATATTAAGGGTGCTATTGGCTTTGGCTACGTGGCTCTTGTAGATATAGGCACCGTACTTATTCTCGAACGTCGTGTTGGTGCCTTTCCACGCTGTGATGCCGCCCCCGCAGCCACGAAGTTGAATCTCCGATTCGGTAACCCAGAGGGTGCCGAAGCCGTAGACGAAGTCTGTCTGCCCGCCGACAATGCAGGAATACATGTAGGCGGACCCTAGCTTGCCGATATAGACCTTGCACTTCGTCAGCGAATATGTGGTCAAAGCAGGCTACACAAGCGTACCGTGTCCTGATAGCTGAGAAATTGCGTGTAGTAGAAGCCAGTGTTAGCGTAGCTGACACTCACTGCCAAGCTCGGGCCAGCGGAGTACGGTAAGTAGTCGTTGATGAAGTTCAGATTGTACGTGCGGAAGTCTAGATTCCCAAACGGCGTGCCAGGCGGGACAGGATTGCCAGTAGGTCCGGAGCCAGTGGTTGAGGCGTTAAAAGTGGGAGCGACCGTGAGCACGCTGGTATAGGCATTGTCGTAAGTTCCAGTCGTTGCTGTACCAGTTGCGTTGTGCCAGATTATGTTAACCACGTTATAGCTAGCATCGTTTGGGGAGCTGGTTTGACCGAGCAACGTAAGGGGCCCTTGACGTGTCACATTGACCTGTTCGGTATAGTTGCCCGGCAATATCAGGATCGTTGCTGGATTCGTCGTATTGCCCAAGCTCAGCACGGCGGACTGTACACTCGTGAACTTTTGCCCAAGGCCAACAAGCAGAGTTCCGACAGGGCACCCGCTGAGAGGGTTGCGGGTGGGTGCTTGACAAGCCCGGCGGTCGTAGGCCTGAACAAATGAGATTGAAAAAAGGCAGAAAGTCAAGATTGACCTCAACAACAACGTTGAGTATGCCATCTTGTCTGAGATCGAGAGATTTTACGTACAGAAGACTTTACAATCGCAAGAAAAGCCTACCTTTTGAAGTCCTTGAATGGCGCGTGGGCCATTACCGAGTCGACGAAGCCATGATCAGAACAGTATTGCGTTCTCTCGCTTTCATGAACCGATTGTACGTAGCGAAGAGTGCAGCATGATGTGCCGGTATGAGGGGAAAGTAGGAGGAGGAGAGGCTTCGCTGTCGCCAAATCCACCAATCAACGTGGGATCATGCAATGACGCTCATCACGTGCTGTACGCCGGAAAGCCTCGGCATTCGCCGCTTTCGATGTCTATAACCAATTGCGCTACCATCTTCTCTTCAGGCACCGCAGTGATCAAGTCGGCAAGCATAGCAATGGCGTCTTCTAGGAATATACTGCGCTGCGAACGTATCTTGGAGCGCTCAAGGCATGCTTGGCAACCTCTGCGGCACACAGCATCGCAACGACGGAGCTTATATTCACATACGCCACTCTATCTCGATTTCCTGGCACCATCATGGCGGCAACCGGAAGCAACAATGCGGCGCACCTTGCCCCTTTCAAGCGATCGACCAAGAAGCTTGTGTCAGCGCAAAACATTCAGTACCGCCGTAACACGACAAGCACAAGCTATCCAGAATCCACGGAAGGATGACTCCGGCGACGAGATGATCATCAACATCTCCCCTCGCGCTTCCCATCGGTTACGGGCAATCGCTCAGAAGGACGAGAATCCAGATCTCGCGCTTCGTGTGAGCGTGGAGTCTGGCGGCTGTCATGGCTTTCAATACCTCATGAGCCTGGTCAATTTGTCGGACGTGGATGCTGCGGAAGACACGGTGTTTGAGAATGAGCAAGAAGGGAGCGGGTACAAGCCGAAAGTGGTGATGGATGAGCCGAGTCTGGAACTGCTGAAGGGCAGCACGATTGACTATACGATGGAGTTGATTGGGAGTCAGTTCAAGGTCACGGGTATTCCTGGAGCGAAGAGTAGCTGCGGGTGTGGGACGAGCTTTGATATTGCGTGAAGTACCTGGCGTAGAGGAGTCTGTTTTGTTAGCGATCAATTCGGCGTGGCGTTGGTGGCATGGGCTATCCGCCCCCTCCCGACCTGTTTGCATTCTTACGCTTCCTCGAGTGGTCATGTCGCTCTTCAGCATACATGCACAATTGCTTTACATCACACGAACTTGCCATCCTCGAAAGACTCGAGCACAGTCGCTCAGGCTGATCGCATATGATTGGCTGGATCAATGCAAGTGAGCCGTGTCCCTGACCCCACGTCGCTATGGCGGGGTGCTCTGCAGGATGATGTACTGTTTGTTGAGCTTCTTCGTCACTGACCGAAAAGTTTCCTAGATACATCGTGACTTCGGAGCATTGAGTGGTCTCTACCATAGTTTCCAGCCTCAAACCTAACACCAGCAGAACTGAGAAGCCTTGAATACTTCCCTTAACAACACAATCAACAAGTCGCCCAGCATGAGCGTCAGGACAGTCGAGACCAAGCCATACACGGACCAGAAGCCGGGAACGTAAGGACAATCCGCGTTCGCTAAGAATGGGTGCTTTAGGACCGCAAATGCTGACTTCCACTCCTCAGATCCGGTCTTCGTAAGAAGGTCAAAGTCTTCCAGAAGGAGAATTACTCGGAGAACTTCGTCGCCTCAATCATTCAGTCTATACCTGAAGGTGCCGAGGGTGCCTTCCTCGTGATTGGCGGTGATGGCCGGTACTGGAATCCGGAGGTCATGCAGATGATTGCAAAGATCGGTGCAGCATACGGCGTCAAGAAGCTCCTGATCGGTCAGGATGGCATCATGTCCACACCAGCAGCGTCACACCTGATACGGATACACAAGGCCACGGGTGGTATCCTTCTCACAGCCAGCCACAACCCTGGTGGACCCGATGAGGACTTTGGCATCAAATATAACCTGGCCAACGGCGCACCTGCACCGGAGAGTGTGACGAACAAGATCTTCGAGGTGTCGAAGTCGATCACATCATACAAGATCGCAGACATCCCGGAAGTCGACCTATCGAAGATCGGCACCCAGAAGGTCGGCCCTCTGGAGGTGGAGATTGTGCACAGCACCAAGGACTACCTAGACATGCTCAAGGACATCTTCGACTTCGACCTCATCAAGTCCTTCCTCTCCGAGCACAAGGACTTCAAGATCCTCTTCGACGGCCTCTCCGGTGTGACTGGCAGCTACGGCGTTGACATCTTCGAGCACGAGCTTGGCCAGAAGGGAAGCACGCAAAACTGCATTCCCAAGCCTGACTTCGGCGGCCACCACCCGGATCCCAACCTTGTCTACGCGCACTCGCTCGTCGAAGCAGTGGACAAGAACGGCGTGCACTTCGGTGCTGCTTCTGACGGCGATGGTGATCGCAACATGATCTACGGCGCAAACTCCTTCGTCTCCCCGGGCGACTCCCTCGCCATCATTGCCGAATACGCGACAGACTACATTCCCTATTTCAAGAAGCAAGGTCTCTACGGCCTCGCACGCTCAATGCCAACCTCCGGAGCCATCGACCTGGTCGCGCAAAAGAAGGGCGTCAAGTCGTACGAAGTGCCGACAGGCTGGAAATTCTTCTGCGGTCTGTTCGATGCCGACAAGATGAACATCTGTGGTGAAGAGTCCTTCGGCACGGGATCCAACCATATCCGGGAGAAGGACGGCCTGTGGGCGGTAGTCGCGTGGTTAAACATTATCGCGGGCGTGGGCAAGAAAACCAACACCACCCCCTCCATCAAGTCGATTCAGCACGAGTTTTGGCAGAAGTATGGCCGTACCTTTTTCACGCGCTACGATTACGAGGGTTGCGAGTCCGAGGGTGCGAACAAGGTGATTGCGCACATGAAGGAGCTGATTGGGCCTAAGAAGAGCGAGTTCGTCGGCTCTTCGGTCTCTGGTAGAAAGGTGCAGGAGGCGGATGACTTCTCGTACACTGATCTTGATGGCAGTGTGAGCAAGAACCAGGGTATCTACGTAAAGTTCGACGACGGGAGCAGGATTGTAGTGAGGTTGTCGGGTACTGGAAGTAGCGGCGCGACGATAAGGTTGTACATTGAGAAGCATGAGACGGATCAGAGTAAGTATGAGCTGGATGCGCAGGACTACCTGAAGGACAACGTGAAGATGGCGGTGGAGCTGTTGAAGTTGCAGGAGTATGTTGGCAGGACGGAGCCGGATGTGAAGACCTGAAGGCATGTGGGTTGACGCAGCAAAGTGTGCAGTGAGTGGCAGATGAAATGATGCATGATCAAAAGCAAGCGAGCAACCTTAGGTGTGCCTGGTTGTGTAGATGAAGATAGCGTAGGCACCGTCCATCATACCATCAACTAGCATCCAGCGCTGCGCAAGCTTTTCCAGTTCGCTCTGCAATGCCATCACCTTCCACAACTACGTCTTTGACTTGTCGCTTTTGGAGGGACTTTCAATCGAAAACTCCGCGGTCCATAAGCTCTCCCACGCCGCTTTGCTTTTCACCGGCGTCTTGACCGGCGACTGTGTTGGCGACCGAGGCTCCAGGTGGCGCTGAAGGGACCGTATGGACTTGGAAGGCGACTTTGACCGTTGCCGCGCTTTGCTCGGAGACGCCGATGCAGTCCGCGTCGCAGCAGCTCGAGACTCGGGCCTCAAAGGCGACAACTTCCGCACCTGCCAATGCTCAAGTCAATAACCTGCCCTCTCAAGGGCCCCAGAGAAGGTCATGCCGCACCTGTTCCGCCGGCGGCTGGGCGTCGTCGTGAATGTTGTCCTCGATGACGCCCAGCCCACCACCGCCGACGCCAGCGCCTGGTGGCGGTCTTAGGGAAGCTTGACTCTCACTTCTGGATCTTACCGCCACGTCACCCACAACCGGACTTCCACCGCCGCCGGCAATGGTCGGGACCAGCGCACCGACAACGCCCTTCTTGCTATTCGAGGAGCTACGCCTGCTGTCCAGACTCTTGCCCAGCACTTTGCTGGCATCTTCGCCCTTGCTGCTCCGCTTGATCCGTATACTGCCCTTAGCATCTACGTTCGCGGCTGCGACAGTGCTTTTACCCAGGCCAGGCGTACTTGGCGCGATGCCGGCACTGCTGCCGCCCATTGTACGTTCTTCGATGGCATGGACCATCCACCAAGTGAGTCCGTCGGAGAGATCAAACGGGTTGTCGTTATTGTCCATGGAAGTGATGGAGCTCCCACCGTCTGTCGTCGCGGCCGTGGTGTTGGAGCGGCTGAGGTCGACCACTTTCTGCTCCACCCGCTGGATTCGCGCCACGATGAAGTCTCGACTTCCCAACCTCATGCCTTCCCTCTCCGCCAAGAAGTAATGCGGACATCCCACGTTGAACGCGGCCCAGGCACCCTTCGCTTGTCCCCTTGTCGGTAAGAACAACGCCAAGTCGCCCTCCTTAAAGTCCCGCACTGCAATCTTGGCGTGCGACTCGGACTTGAGTTTGAGACTGCGCTCTTTGTACGCATCGGCACGCTTCGTTGATTCTTTGGACTCTTTGGCGTACTTTTTGGCGGTGTACTCATAGTCACGGAGACGCTTGTGAATCTGGTCGCAAAAGTAGTCGAGATTGAAGCGGGAAATGGCGGCCAGGAAAGCTTCGAACCTGGCGCTCTCATCCTCGGGCGATTGAGCATCGGTCCAGTGGATATCTGGAAGCTCTGTGTGGTCGGCGCCTGAGGACTTGCGCGTGGGCGGCGGTGAGGTGAGCGACACTGTGCGGCTAAAGTCACCAGGACCAGAAGGTAGTGTGGTATCGGCTATGGTGGTGCTCGCCGCCATCTTTGATGCCCGCTCGATAATCATTGCGCCGTCCTCGGAGTAGCTTAGAGCGAGCCCAAACTGCTCGACCAGCCTTCTTAAACGCGCGTTCTGACTCCACAGTCGTTGGCTCAATTCTTTTGCACGTTCAGCTCGCTTATGAAGCCTCTCCACGGCCGCCTCAGCCGAGGTATGGTACGCTTTGTGCTTCTTCTGCATACGCATGAGCTCAATGTCCAGGCTGTTAACGTGTGACTTAGCCTCTGCGAGCTCAGAAGCGAGCTTGCCGGCGCGAGCCTCTTCTTCGGCGACACGTTGACGGAGCACCTCAGAGCCGGTCTCGCCTTCTGCAAACTTCTCTCGTAGCGTGCGAATCTGGTCTTGCTCATCGCGCAACTGTTGCTCAAGCGAGTGAGCCTTCGCTTGCTCGGCTGCCAGCGACTCTTGCGTTCTCCGAACGTGCTCGTCGCTCTCGTTCTGCTTCTCAGCCACTTTCGCAAGCTCTATCGCCTGTCGTTCGTTGCTCGTCCACAGACTCTCGTTCTCGCTCTTCGCGAAAGCAACTGCGTCGGCCAGATCTTTGACATGCGCCGCAGACTTTCTGGCCAATTCCTCAAGCGCAGCAGCAAGCGCCGCAAGCCCTTCCGGCGGTCCGCTGGAGACAAGATGACTGTGTGCAGCGGCAAGCAACTGCAACTGCTCAGCATGGTCATCCTGCTGCTTTTGTTTCTCGATCCGCATCTGCCTGGCCTCCTCCACAGCAGCTGCTCTCGCGCTCTCCACCGACGCTAACTGCCTTTCCAACGCATTCCGGGCGGCTTGCTCTGTAGCAGCCGACGCAGCGTGACCCGAAGCATCTTCCTTCAGCCTCGCGACCTCCGCCTGCAACGCTGCGAGCTTTACATCGATGCCACTTCGCTCATCATCCCGAGAGCCCATCAGACGATCCATATCATTCTCGAGCTCCTCAACCCTTTCTTTGGCCTCGCCGAGCTCGCGCTCGAGGATCCTACGCTCGCTCGCGAACTCACGCTGTTGGGCTTCCATGTTCTCCATCAGGTCTTTCTTTGTGGAAATAGCCTCTTCCACTTGCTTCTGCGTCTCCGCATCAGAGTTTTTGCGTGTCGCGGCTTCGTCACGGTGGGCTTGTAGTTCAGCCTCGAGATCCACCACGCGGCGGGCGAGCTTCTTATCCTCAAGTGCTTGCGCCGTGGATGATAGACGGCGCTGCTTGAGAGAATTGTCACGGAGAAGCTCTCCCGATGGCAGATGTGTGGGAAATGTCGGCGAGATGTTGCGATCAGGCGTCCCGGTGGACGGCGAGAACATATCGCCCGTGCTAGCTCGACTGGTCTGGCTCTGGCGATGCAAGAGATCCTCGAGCTTACGCACGCGGCTTTTCTGCGCTCGCAAGTCTTCCTCAAGCCGCCCATTGCTTTCCCGCAGAACCTTGTGCTGCTCGTCGCCACGCAGAAGCAAAGACGTGTCGCCGAATGCAGCCTCGTGCATGCTCCCATTCTTGAACGCTCGAGCATGCTTGATCTGCTTGCGTGTGGGCTTGTCAAGGTCCTTGACCGCTTGGTTCAGCTCCTCCGTGACCTCGCCAGGTCCATAGACGCGCAAAACTGAATTGAGATACTCTTGCAACTCCTCACGAGTGACCGTTGGCCAGCTCCCGCCCTCATTCTGCAGACTTAATTCAATGCCGAGCACGTTGCTTTGCAAGGCGCCGACATCCGCGACATCTTCGACCGAACGTACCCACTTCTTCCGTCGCTTGTCCTCCTCTTCTTGGTAGGTCGCAACCTCTTCTTGCAACGTTGCGGAGTCGCGCCGCATCTTCGCAGCCCACTCACGCCGCCGAACGGACTCCACCAGCAGTTGGCCATATACGGAAGGTAGACGTGAAATGACGGCTACGGTAGAAAAGACCTGCTGGTCATCCTCTGACACGCCCAGATTCTTCGCATCGTCAACTAGATCCTTAAGCCGGGTTTCCACTCGAGAAAGCGTGCGCATGTGCTCCATGGCTGTCTCTGCGGCCGTGTCCTTTTGCTGCTTGGAGCGCTGCACCAAGTCGTTCATCTCGGTGCAGTACTCGCCAAGCGTTGGTATGTGATTACGCGTTGCTTGAAGTGCTAGTTTGGAAGCACTGCTTATTGACTGTGCGTTACGCGACAACGACTGGACATGCTCGAAGTCCGAGGCCATTCTCGTTGCCACCAGCTTGATTTCCTCGAACAACTGGCTCGGCTCTTGGCTGCTGTGCGCCGGGCTTCTGCCACCGATTTGCTCTACCGCTTGAAGCAGCTCCCCGCTGTCTTTCTGTATGGTGTCTAGTTCATTGCGCATGTTGCCCACACGATCTGCCAAACCCTGCATGATCGAACGAGTCACGCCCGCCGCTTTAGCCATGGCCGTAGAATCCACGAAACCCTGCAGCGTCGTCATGTTGCCCTGAAGCGAAGTCCTACGACTTGCCGGTGTCGCACCCTGGATAAACCGTCCGAACTCGACCCGCGCAGGCACGGCCCTTAGATCGTCCAAGTGCTGCTCCCAATTGCCGATATGCGCATCCTGCTCCTGCAACAACTCTTCCGCCCACGTCTCCGCCGCCAGGTATTTCTGCTCAGCGCTCTTGACATGTTGTTGCAGACTTACGACAGCAACACCCAAGCTCCGCTCTATAATAGCTTGTTCGTCCTGATACCGCTCCACCTGCTTGGCTCGTGATTCGCACCCGTTAAGCAGGCCACTAGCCCAGCTCTTCCGCAGGCGGAACAGATTCTGCCATGCTTGCAGATCATTCTGATTCGCGATCGCGTCTGGCGCAGTGCCGGGATGGAAGTCGGTGGGTGTAGGACTCGTAGGTTCTGCGCCTGCACTCTTCGCGCTCAGACGACCCGCGTCGAAGACGAAGATCTCATCGTCGGTGGCAAGATTCTGTGCTTTGACCTGCTTGCCACGCCCCGTTAGCAAGATCAGGTTCTCCTTGAGGACGCCGGTCTGCTGGGCGATCCATAGCCGCAGCGCCTTGTCATCCGCGTAGACGGCTGTGTCGTCGAGGAAGAGTCGCTGGCCGGTATGCCCGATATAGACGGACAGCGACATACGCGGCGCCTGATAATGGCGCAAACGAGAGGAGTATGAAGAACGACTCGGGTGCAGATCTTTAACGGAGGCAGCAAGACTGTCTTGTCTCAGTAGACTTGATGGTGGCTGCAGCGTGACACTGCTCGGCTCACCACCCTTGTCTTGCCTCCCTCGCGCCGAGCCGTGGACGTTTCGATCCACCAACCTTCTTTACTCGCACGAAATGCTGCTAGCCAAGTCGACACTTCTGTTGATACTGCATGTCGGTATCGGTGAACATACCGCCTGGAGTAAGTCACAGGTGCAGGAGTATGTAGAAGATCTGGCGCAGGTAGATCAGACGAATAAGCCTTATATACTTGTTGTTGCCAGACGCTCCTCTAAGGCAGGCTGCCCGAGCACCCACTCTGATCATCCTGTCATTACGCATTACTTATCACTGTTCATCCCGGGACAAACATACTTCATCATAACTACTGCCTTCTTCCGGTTGTGGATCCATTAAGCAACGAAGTGCACTTGTCTATGGGGCTGGCAGCACTGTGCTGAATTCTGCCAGTCACTGAATCTTGACCTCCTCTTCCGAGCAACATGTCTAAGGTCGATGTATTCACAGCAGCCTACGCTAGAGACAGGGATGCCAATGACCCTCTCAGTTACCTGCGCGAAAAGTTCGTAATACCCAGCAAGTCCTCGTTGGCGAGCAAGAGTCTGCATTCGCCCGTCCCTCCCGCAGATGAAAGGGACAATGAGCCAAGCATCTACCTCTGCGGCAACTCGCTCGGGCTTCAGCCTGCCTTGACGAGGGCTTACATGCAGCAGTACCTCGACACATGGGCGACCAAGGGCGTCTATGGCCACTTCAAGGAAGTCGAGGGTTCAAACCTCGTACCATGGTTGCATGTTGACAGCGACTGCGTGCCCGAGATGGCAAAGATCGTTGGGGCGTTGCAGTCGGAAGTTGCGATCATGCAAACGTTGACTGCGAATCTGCATTTGATGATGGCGAGCTTTTTCAAGCCGACGAAGGAAAGGTGGAAAATTATCTTGGAGGGCAAGGCGTTTCCGAGCGATCATGTACGTCTCTTCGTGGTTCGGCAAAAGAAGGGCAAAGAGAGCTGATGCGGTCAACAGTACGCCATTGAGTCTCACATTCGCCACCACGGCCTTGAACCAGCAGATAGTATGGTGCTTATCGAACCGGACAAGAGGGATTCACATATTATATCAACCAACCACATCCTCTCCAGAATCGATCAGCACGCCTCAGAAACGGCGCTACTCTTACTGCCAGGCATCCAATTCTACACAGGCCAGTACTTCGACATGCCCACCATCACCGCCCACGCCCAACGCCACGGCATCATCGTAGGCTGGGACCTTGCTCACGCGGTCGGCAACGTGCCACTTCATCTCCACGACTGGAACGTCGACTTCGCGGCCTGGTGTACGTACAAGTACCTCAACTGCGGACCCGGAGCCATTGGCGGCGCGTTTGTGCATGAACGACATGGTCGTGTTACTGAGCATCCTCCCATAGAGCCAAACGGTGAGCCCAGCTTTGACTACCACCCTCGACTGTCCGGGTGGTGGGGAAGCTCCAAATCGTCACGGTTCGCAATGACGAATCGTTTCCATCCCATTCCCGGCGCTGCCGGGTTCCAACTCAGCAATCCTTCCGTCGCCGATACTGCGGCGGTGAAGGCTAGTCTCGACACGTTTCAGCTGACAGATATGAAGGCGCTGAGAGAGAGGAGTCTGCAGCTCACTAAGTATCTTGAGGACCTTCTCGATATGCTCACCACGGAGCAAGAACGAAGATTCGAGCGAAGGTGTTTTAGTATCATCACGCCGCGCGACCTTGCCCAACGGGGTGCGCAGCTGAGTCTACTCCTTCAGCCGGGGTTACTGGATCCGGTCATGGAGAGTCTGGAGGCTGCGGCTGTGGTGGTGGATGAGCGACGACCAGATGTCATCAGAGTTGCTCCGGCGCCACTTTACAACACGTATGCGGACGTGTATCTGTTCGTGAAAGCGTTCCGTCTCGCTTGTGAGGACGCTGTTACTGGAAAAACGTCGGTTGCGGACGGTGAGCCGACTGTCATGGCCGAAGGTGGAAGGGGTGAGAAGGGCTGGAGCGAGGTTAAGTGATTCAGCCTCATGATCGTTGGTAATACAATTATGGTACAAATATACAACGGACGCTGCATGCTATCGTCGCGATGTCCAGCTCATCCAGGTTTTGCTGCTGGACAAGGAGTCAATGGTAAGTTGCGCTTGTTGGTCCAATGGTCCGCCGAGTGGTCGTGCCACCTCCTCTATCCTCTCGGCTTGTCTTCGGTGTGAATCGACAGTTTCCTGTACAGCTTGCAGCACGCTTCTGTCGTGCCGTTGGCCCTTGGGCTCATCCGCCACCTGGCTTGTAGTCGCCGACACCTGCGGTGTCACACTGTTTGCAGATAATGCACCTGCACCTGCACCTAATCTCCCACCCTTTTGCTCCTCCTTCTCCGCCCCACTAAACAACCAGCCTGTGGTTCGCTTCAGTATACCCGGCTGATTCCGCTTCGCCTCCGCCGCCTCCATCGCCGCCCGCTCCCGGTTGATCAACAACGTCTGGTCTTCCGACGCACGTCCTGCTTTCTGCGCTTCAATAGCCATCGCCAAATCTCTCGCACTCTCCGCCTGCTTCTCCGCTAACCACTCATTCCTCCGTCTCCGGTTATGCAGCAGCATGTCGGTGATACCCGCAGCGGCCACGCATGCTGACACGACTGTTAGACCTATGAGGGAGGTTGCGGTAACTCGGTGAACGCGGTCGGCCCATATCCGGCCCACGCGGACAGTGGTGTCGAAGGCGGTTTCTGTGCCTCGTTTCGCGGCCTGGGAAGCGGCGCGCAGACGTGCGATCTTTTGTTGAGGTGTCTCATTGGGAGGTGCAGAGCCGAAGTTGATGGTCGTGCCGGCTTTCGGTGGAGGAGGTACCGAAGGGGGTGCAGTCGTGTTGAAGGAGGTGGAGCTGGAGGCGTAGGGGCCGGTTGCTGTGAAGCGAGTTGCGTCTGAGGGCGAGCGGGCCATCACGAGCAAGCTATCCAACTGGCTCTTCAGCTTTAATGGTCCTTGAAGCTTTGCCACAAGAGGAGAGGTTGATGTTGTCGAATGGCTTTCCACTGCCGGTAACTTTTTGCTGGCTTTCGATGATGGATGTCCGCACGAGCCACTGGCCCAAGCGCTCTCCCGGTTCGCCGATATCTTGCAGGATATGCAGTGGACTTCGCACCTCACGTATCCGATCCCCACAACTCTCCCATGCGTCCTTCCGCTTGCGTTGCGACCTCCTGGCCGAGTGAGGTACTGTGCTGTGCTGCTTACGCATCACGAATTGTGGTAATATGGCGGGCAATGCGGTAGCCAGTACGCCAGACCTACAGGAGATTCTTGCCACGCTCGCACAGTTTGTGCATCCCAATGGGAGTTCACAGACTGGCGGAAGCACGCTTCAATCCACGCCTGCCGCATATGATAATGCTGCAACGTACAGTGCTGTTGTTGACGCTGCTCCACCGCAAATCGAGCGCAGGGCACCCGACCCGAGACTGCGGCCACAAAGTCGAACAATGACTGCGTCGCCCAAGCCTATGATCGATCCTGCAGCCATCACAACATGGCAGGAGGGTCTACGTTGCGTCACAAAGATCGCCGCGCAAAACTCGCAGTTCGCAGTAAGCATACGCAGAGTAAGCTGTTCTCTCTTTACCGCTTCCGTGCCTTGAAGAACCCATTGACATGACGCAGATGATAGACAACCAGCGCCAGAACGAGATAAGATGGTATTCGGAACGACAGACGCTGAAGCAAGTGCAAGCACAGAGGGTGCCAAACGCCACGAAGAATAGGGTCTCATCCGCTCAACCTGCTACGCCCTCGGAGGAGACAAAGCAGGCCGAGCTTACGTCGTTCGATCGCAAGATCTACGACGCGCAGGTATCGATGGAGGAAGCGATGGCGACCGAACTGAAAGGATTGGGCGTGCCTTTCTTCGGAACCGACCACCACCTGGTGGTATTGGATGGAATCGATGTGACGGCGGTTGACCTGCCGGAGGGTCATCCCAAGTGGAGTCCACTGGTGACGGAGAGCGAATTGACGGCGTTGAAGAGGAAGATGGTCACGCATTTGGAAGACTTGTACCGAGATTGAGCGGCATGCTGCTCCTTGCTACATCGCACCCAACCGATTTCACCTCTGCTAGCTGTCGCAGGTTGTGCGTGACACATTTCGGATGCCTTTCCGGTGCCAATCTGTTCTTCATTTCCGTCCTCGTTATCCATATATCGTTGTGTCAGGTGTCGCTCGACGCTCGTAGACCAAAGAAGCTAGCTCTAACCGTTGCCACGGTATATTTAGGCCGACAAGGATGAGCTGCAGGGTGAGCGTGGAAGTGTGGGGAAGCGGCGAGTGAGCGAATCGGAAGCCTCTACGCACAGACGCTCCTTCGTGTTTTCACGACTCGTCCGTTCTCCGTTTCAACTCATCAACGGCCATTGTCAGCTTCACCTTACCTTCGCTACAGGACGTTCGTTCGCTTCATTAACAGGCAGTTGCGACTGTACATATTATCCCGCAACTCTGGGTCCAACGCCAAGACCGTTCTGAAGAGTAGGGGGCCAGCACATTCCAGTCGTCGCGATGCGGCCCACATCCTCCCTCTCCACCTTCTGCCTCCTCGCCGCCGCAGCGTCAGCCTTCAAGGCACCCCTTGCCCACGAAATCGGCGCCATCCTTCCCCGCCAGACAACGTCGTACGACCTCTCTTTCTCGGAGCAACCGCAAGGCAACACCGCCACTACCGCAGCAACAAGCAACAACGCCGCCGCCACCGGCACACAAACAGCCAAAAACAATGGCACCACCACCACCGCCATCGATCCGCGCTTACCGGCCGGAGGCCTGTCAATGATCACGCCGAATGTGTACACCACACAGTACTACAAGATTAGCGACTACATCACCTTCGCCTGGAACTACACCTCCCTCTCCGTCACCCCCTCCGCCGTAGACATCTTAGCCTCCTGCGCGTCGAATTCGGCGACGTACACCATCGCGTTGAACCAAACCATCACAGCCGCTACACAGGCAGTAACATGGGATACGAACGACTTCCAGGCCAGCGCCTCTACCACACTGCTTACGGGCAAGTACACGCTGATCATACACGATGCGGCGAAGGATGTTAGTGCAACGCCTGCAGCGGGGTATCTAGGGACGTATCAGCAGTTCACGTTTGGCATGTACGATCCTCAGCCGTATGTGAGTATCCAAGATGGGTGGCAGTGCGTAACGTGCAAGAAGAGCGCGGCTTTTAGTACGGTGGAGAAGCAGACAATGGGGTTCGTGTTGGGCGCTGTGGCCATGACGATTGTCAGCTTCACTTGGTTTGCGGGGGTTGCCGGGTTGTGGTAAACAGCACTGATGTATTGTGTGTGGTTTATGCTTGCATAGCGAAGGGTGGCCGGCGTTCAGTGATTTGGGCCGCTGGACACACGATACAGTATGTCACGTCATATATGGACTCAAAAGTGTGGAGGAGTCAGGCCGGTGTTGTTGAGAAGGTTCTCTGGCGTTTGCTTCGGCGCGAGGTGGGCTATATACGTAACGTCTAATGACACACACATGCACGGTAACCGCTTCAGCGGCTCCCATGAATGCTCGTATCGACTCAAACTCATGTAGGATCGACCGACAATCTTGCAAGCTCCGAAGGATGCGAGATGTGACATAAACTTAGCTCATGCACGGCAATCGCTGCAGCACGTCCCGCGACAATAGAGTCTGCTCATGTTGTATGATCCTCCTCGGTGCGTTGCGTTGAGATGACGCTCAGCAGGTTGCTCCACCTCACCCATCTCTGGACGCGCTCACCCCGTGTCAAGCTGCTCTGAATGCTGATTTGTCACCAACTGTGATTGCGATTGCAATATTGACTAGCCGTGCCGCCTTGCTGCAATTGGCTTCCTCACTCGCAGCCGCCTTGACATGCTTGCGGCTCAACGTCTTCAAGCATTTGGAGGCTCCAAAGCCGCCATGGCGGCCGCGCTACTTTCGCTGTTGGTAGGGTCAACTGGCCGTGAATGAGACAACCAAGAGAATATCTCTCGACTGACCTACCTCTGGCTTGGCATCATCACCACACTGGTGCCCAGGGCCACTGGGTCGGGCGCCACGTTGTCTTATACGGCATCTCGGGCACATATATCGACGTCTCCGGTTTGCCACTTTCTAAGCGAGCGTAGCGGTCTGCGGTAGGTCCCAAGCCGAGGAGTGGCCATGCTTGCTTTGTAGCTCCACGGTTTGGGGTGCAGCACCGTGCGGCTGGGTCGAGCTCCAATGGAAATGGTTCGGTCGAGTATCTGGTGCACAGCTGCGAAGAAGATATTGCTGTTTTGCTTGGGCGATGAATGCCACCACTGAATCTTGTGAAGCCAAAGAACAGCTCGCAGCCTAGCGACTATTCGATAGAACGAGCAAGCTGCCACGTGTACGGGGAACGCAGTTGTTATTCACGTCAAAGAACGCTAGCGAAATACGACCCTTGCTGTGGGGCCACACAAACCGCGCACCTCAGCATCAACATTGCTCATTCCAGCAGTCTCGCGAATTAGCGCCCTGTTCTGCACCACTTGCGCACATTGTAAGATATCCTGTGAGGCGCTTTCGGGTCTACGGTGCAAGTCCCAGACTACAAGCTCTGTTGTCTAGCCGTGGCTGATAGACTTGCAAAAGTATATCCCTAGAAGCCAAGAGTCAGCAATATACAGTGAAGATATCTTCGTCTCCATTTAATTCTGCCCGCAATATCTTCTACTCGCGCATACGTCGTCACGTCCCCGTGCCACGGTACGACAACAATCTACACAACCGCCGAGGTGCCGCCCGATTCATCAACTTGGGCTACCGGGTCATCGATGACTACGGCCGAGGCATCACTATCGGAAGTGGCCCAGACGGCAGCCGTTATCTGGACGTTGGCGAGGATCCGCTCGTAGCACTCAACGAGCGGATAGCTAGGCAAGCAGATGCAGGCCGGCAGCGAACCGATCCCGCCGGTCGTCCACTTGGTCTTTTGCCTCGGGAGCTCACCGACTACGGGGCTGAACGTAAGCGCCGATGGACTGCAAGATCATGAACTGTGATCACCCTGTTCATTTCGGAGGCACGGAGAAAGGTGAGTCGCCTCGCAGTCCGTTCACATTCACCGTTATTCGGTGAATATTGGGTTGGGTGATTCTGCGAGAGAAAGGGATTAATGGTGAGTAGGCAGCTCGGCTTCGAAGGGGTGAAGCCGGAACACAAGGGTGTCAAGGAGCCCTCGAAGAAGCGGAAAATCGACGAAGACGGCAAGAACAGGGAAGATGGCCCCGGCGCTGCTGGTGAGGTCGCTTCGTAAGCGCGCCTCGTTGATGTTAGGATGGATATTGCACCGTGCACTGTCCAGGCTGGTGGTATGAGCGACGGCGTTGGGTCTACCGCTTTGACCATGGGCTGCACGGTGCTGGTAGCATTGGTTTATGCATGAGGATTGTCATCGCCAGCGTACAAGTACGATGCCCCCGACCTTATTCCACTGTTATTAGCAATGCTATGGGTGACTAGTAGCCAACGATGCAGCCACCGATCTGGGAAGCGCTATAGGAACATTGTAGTCTGGTGTGACAGACTGTTAAGGAAAGCTCGAAGTAGAAATGCAGTCGAATGCTGGGGCCTTAGGCAACAAATGCACGTGATATTGGTGTTCCAGTTCCGAGGCGCGGATCTCCAGTGACGTACCAGCATATTCGCGTGTCGGTATCCTCATTGTTGATTTTAGGGGATGATTTGGGAAGAGTCGGTGTATACATTCTCAAGCCAAGCTTCGCATCTACCTCACTGCTGTGCGAAACGCTCGCTCAGAAACGTGCAGAGGTACTTGTCAAGCACTTCCGCTCCGTAGCAGCTCCCAAGACCGGTACAACGGATACGCTTGAGATGCAGCACGTGGACAGATGAGATAAACGACGAACGATGACTTGAAGGCTCACTGCCACTAAGTGACTGCTTCGGAGTCACGCACACAATTAACGCGACGCTGTCTACGGCCCTCACTGAGCACTGCACCCACCACCGACCGCCAGCCGTACTGACTACTGCTGAGCTTCCTGCTTTCACGACCGCAAGATGCCTTGCTTCAAAGGCCTTGCGGTCAGTATCCACGCGGAAGGGCCACTCCCAGAACACGCAGTTCAGAGACAAACACGAGCATCACGCATATCCTCATACATCCCAGTCCCACCAGCCAAGGTTCCCCCCGGCTCCGTGACCGGCAAGCCCGAACAAGCAAAGTTCGCCATATCCATCACTCTGCTGACGCCTGGACTTAATGTGCCCTACTCAACCCCGGATCCAACACCAGAGGAGCCGTATCCGCGGCCAAGAGTGGTAGGCGGTCTGCCAGGTTACACCGCAGACAGAGGGAAGTACGGACCGCCCGTCCAACCTTACATTCCGCGGACATCGAACCCGAACGAGACTATCGCGGCATACATCTACTTTGACGGACGGCAAAAAGAAGAAGTAGCGACGTTATTACGGCGCGGCGAGGAGACTTGGGTCAACTCGAGATGGGTCAGCGTGCCGGAGTCTGAAGGCGGCGGTCTAGCTGAGCGCGAATTCTTGTTCAGAGAAGTGGGGCTGGAGCGGTGGCTGAACGGACTAGATCTGGAAGGCAGCAAAGACAAGGCCGAGCGGTTAGAGAGGAGGCAGAGGCGGTTGGAGAAAAAGCGGCGGAAGAAGAGGGAGGACATGAACAGTGAAGACGAAGATGAAACGAATGGTGGCTTCAAGCGCTTCGACCGTAACGGCGTCCTCCGGTACGGCGGTGAGAATGGCTCGCCGGTGGAAGATTTGGAGGAGCAGAGCGGGCTGTTCTCGTCAAACTCGGATTCAGAAGATGAGCCACCGCAACCGGAAGCGGCGGGCCAGATCAAGGTGGCGCTCTTCCGTGTGCTCGCTAGCGGTGAGATCAAGCGCGGAGAGTACTCGCCGCAGTTCGGTGCGCACGATGATGACGAAAGCGGAGAGCAGAACGGCATGGCCAACGGCGACGGCGAGAATGTCGATCACACTACGAGCTTCGCCAAGCCAAAGACACTGGATCCTAAGAGCATCAGCACGCAAACCGTGACAGGGCTAGACCCGCCCGAAGCACCGTATGCAGTGTTCACATTCTTTTACAGAGGCGAGAAGCAGCTACAGAAGATGGGCATCTTGCAGAACCCAGAAGCAGAGAAGAAGCCAGTAGTGACCAAGCGAAAACCATCAGGACCGGACTTCTCCAAGCTCGGACCGCTGAAGGCTGGAGGCACTGTCGGCTTCTCAGGCTACCGTGAGTCAACAGCCAAGCGGAAGAACAAGCCCGTGGATGGCGACGCCATGGACAGCGACGCTGACGACGAGGACGACGAGCGCTTACCGAAAGGTGAGCCGGAGGTTGAGGTCAAGGATGAGAATGGTCGACTGCTGTCACCCGAGGATGCGAAACGTCAGCGGGAACTTGCGGAGGGTGTGCAGAAGATCAAGGTATGTCTCACAACAGAGCTTGCAAAGCCCCCTTTTGCTAACACTCGTACAGCTCAAGCGCCAGCACTCAGCGGAACCGATAGGCGAGCCCTCATCAACCCGAAAATCACCTCACATCAAGTCTGAAGAGTCACCATCAGCAGGCACGCCACAATCCGTCAACTCAACCTCCGCCAACGCTGGCACGCCTCCCGAAAGCCTTTCACCCACTCACATCGAGCCCGTGGCCGAGTCCATCGCCAGCCCCTACAAGCGTCAAAGATCCAGCCTACCCGGTCTGGGCACGCTTGGCCATCTCGGCTCAAATACGAACGGCGTCTTCTCAGCCTTACCAGAGCCTGGCTTGAAGCCGAACGACGAGCAGCAGCAGCGCGCGGCATCAACGCCGGAAGTCAAAGTCGAGGCGAAGATGGAGGATGAAGAGGAGCTGTGACTGCGCCTTTTCTCTTCTAAGGTTGATTACAAAGCGGGCTAACGGAGATTCTGTGAAGAAGCAGGGTACGAAGTCAAACTCCGACGGATGAGGTGCATCGAGACGAACCTATAACGCCCAGTAAAGGTAGAAGGACCACTACCTTTGGAGCATTGCCGAAGCCTCCACGCCGTCGTCGAAAGGCATTCCTAGGTAGATCGCACCATTCGGATGTTCTGGGACTTCGTCACGGGCGCTCACTGCTACCTTCGCTTGTGGAGGGCAAGGAGCAGCAAAGGCGGTTGAGGTTACCGTCGCCTTTCCCATTCACGTTTACCATGGGAGAGTCTCCCATTAGGGAAACTGAGGTGGACATGGATGCGGACGCGGATGGGGTTGTGCCAAGAGAATGAGCACACGCTGCAAGATCAAAAGAGAGAGAGAGAGCTTTCTTATGTGGTTTCGAGTGTCTACAAACAATACCTTTGCCTGCGTTACTTGGGTAGGAACAAGCATCAAGGCTGCCATGTCAGCATCGCTTTCGCTTGGGCACGGGAATGGGGGATAGCGTTGGCGAAGACAGTGTGAGGCGCTCTGCTCCAACGAGAGGATGTGTTGTAGCATAAACTTGTCCAGTCATCATAGGTCAGCTCGTTCATCAGCACACTGTGCGTGTGATTGTATGTTTTGCCCTCTCATTCGCTCCGTTCTCTTATGTTGAAGTGTTCCAGAACCGGTCAAAGCGGATGTAGGCGGCCGCGCAACCCGCATTGCTTTCACGACTTCAACGTGCATGAAGTGTGCATCTCTCACCACAACCCCGCCCAGCTTCGAGCATATGGTCGTACATACAGTATCGCAGGCAGCGGCCGTAGCATCGACTTAGGCAATTATGGCCGCCGACTCTGCTGCAGACCTAGAGCCGGTGGCGAACACCACCGCCCGACTTAAGACTCTGCTTGAACGAGCCAGAGAGGTGAAGCCGGAAGCCTCCATCGACCCGCCGTTACGCACGTCGGACCTTCTGCCCGAGATCAATGCACTCCACGACGGTGTTGATGCGCGATATGATCAGGCCTACAAGGTCAATGTTGTGGAAACGGCTGCTCGTGGAATCTTCTATGGCTTGCTAAACTCTACGCCTATTGAGAAGCCTACTTTTGTCGAGATCTGGAATTTACTGGACGTTCTGGCCTCGTGCGGCGACCAAGGTGTGTGCGCGTCCGAACTGGTCTGCTACCTGATCGAGGAGTTACTGGACAGCCAAACCACGGCTGGATGCCGCATAGTCTTCGATTACCTGGAGTCAAGGCGAGAGCGACTCGCGGCGAAGGATTTCCACAAGAAGAATCTTATCTTCCTGCGGTCGTGCAACGAGCTGCTCAAAAGGTTGAGTCGCGCCGAAGATGCTATCTTCTGTGGGAGGGTATTCTTCTTCCTCTTCCAGACGTTTCCGCTTGGCGACAAGAGCTCCGTCAACCTGCGTGGCGAGTTCCACAATGAAAACGTCACGAAGTTTGCAGTCCCGGACGAGCATGGAGAAAAGATGGAAGTCGATGAAAAGGCAGGTGGTGCCGTCACGGTCAAGGCAGAAACGCCTCAACCACCAACTAAGCCTGCCGGAAAGGGCGCACCGCTAAAGAGTCCTCACAAGGTCCCGGCAGAGGTAGTGCTGTCAACTGGCGAACTCTATCCTATCTTTTGGCGACTGCAGCAGGATTTCTCGGAACCAACGCGCTTGTTCGCTCCGGTGCAGTTTAAGACCTTCAAGGATGGCCTAAGCCACACCCTAACGAAGTTCAAGAAAACGCCTACGGTTGTCCAGACCAAAGCCACGGAGACTGACAAACGAGGCGTCAAGCGAAAGCTGGGCGAAGAAGGTATGGACGACGAAGCATCAAAACACTTCGTCGACAACTACAACCCAAAGTATCTGACGAGCCGCGATCTCTTCGATCTCGAATTGAGTGATCTAGCCTTTCAGCGGCATATCCTGGTGCAAGCTTTGATACTCATAGACTTCCTTATCTCCCTGACGGATAAGGCGAAGAAGAAGCTTGCGGTGCCCGAGGTCAACAATAAGTCACTGCTCTACAGTTTCACCATTGTCGAAGAGGATGCGAAATGGTGCCGAGACACTCGGCAAGCCATCACGGACTACCTGCGCGCCACACCCACTTTCGAAGAAGGCCGCTTCTACCACCGCATGGTCGAAACGGTTTTGGCGCGAGACAAAAATTGGGTACGGTGGAAGCTCGAGAGCTGTCCATCCATCGTTAGAGATCCGGTTTCAACCGAGCAAATCTTGGATGCTCGCAGGACTGCACGCAACGTTGCCCGTCCGCGTAAGGTACCGCAAAGGCCAATGGGTGCCATTGATCTCTCCTTCCTTGCCGAGGGACATGGTGGCGGGTTGGAAGCACTTAAAGATCCTTCGCGGTACACTGCGCCGTCGGTTGAGGAGCTGATCGAGGGAGTAAAGGCCGATCAGCTGGATCTGGAGATGGCTATGGATGATGCGGAGAAGGAGAGCATACAGAATGCCATCACCAACAAGACGTGGCGCGTTTTGAGACAAGTACGGGAGAGCGATCTGAATCTGCTCAACAAAGTCAACCCTGAAAAAGGTATTGAGTCGCTTTTTGAGCCGGCGAAGGACAGTTCTGCGGAGATGCATGAAGACACTATTGTTTCAGCGGAACTCGACGGAGCGGGACATGTGGTGGCGGCGGACAACCCTACCGTCGTGGTCTCAGAGAGCCAAGTGGCCGGAGCCGGTGCAAATGCGGAGCCTGCAGACGCTCAAGCAGGTGTTGAAGTTCATGAGAACGGCGCTGAGGGTGGAACAACGACATAACAGTGTTCTTTCGGACGATTTTCGAAACGACTTTCGACAGAACTCCGGGCAAACGAACAGCACGATGGTCAAGAATGGTCGCTTGTGCAGACACTTCGTTGCGACCGGCCACTGCTCCAATGGCGCACTTTGCGGGTTGCAATGCAGCCGCGACATGCGCAACTCCGTCACCGAGGCCATTGAATCTGGTGCGCGCAGGCAGTCTGGAAGGCTGCAGGGCAATGGCCGGGTAAATGCAATGCGCTGATCGACACACTGCAGTCAGGTACGCATTCGGAAAGATGTCAATCGCTCGCATGAGTGGGAGGAGAGCAGCACCGCCTGTGCTGATCTCTGTTAAGCGAGGTACTGTACAGCAACAGAATGAAGCCCAGCAAGGTCGAGTGCAAATAATCTCGCCCAGAAAACGCGACTGTTCGTCTACAGAGTTTCAGCGCCATCTTCATGCTAGGAATTTCCACCATTGAAAGTTAGATGCCGGTGTCTGTGCGCATGTGGCGTGTGTCCCGCTGTCGACCTTGAAAACGCCACTCACAGATTCGACGATCAACACTTACTGCATCTGCGAGGCGAGGACAATCTGACGCCATGAATGTTTGACCACCTGAGGATGTCTGTTTCCTGCTCCGGTTATTCTTCCATGTGAGGCAGCGGAGCGAGCCGTACGACAGCCATTGCGTTCCGTTTCGCGTGGAGAGATCCTGGGCGCTGATCATAACCCTTCAAATCTCGGTGACGTTGAAAAGGTTCCTCCTGCAGCAGACATCGCAGTAGCCGCAACAAGCCAAAACGCCTCGCATGCGATTTCATAACCTCCAATACTTCACAGCTCGTGCAGCACAGGTCTAGCGGGCGGCAGCAGCACTCCATCTGCCGCGACGTCAAGTGCGGGACGGCTTGTTTCGGATAGGAGGACGAACGAGGCCGCTTAAGGGAACGATTGTCTTCCACGTGAAGCCATGCCTTTCTCGCGTGCCCGGCTGTTACTGTACGTCGATCCGGACAGGGGCATGACGACTTCAGCGTTGCTCGGCTTGTGCCTTATGGCAATTCCCAAGTGACCCATGCTGTACCAATCTCACGGCATAACTTGCTCCCCTCATACAGCCGAGCCATATGGCGTGTGCCCTGCTTCTCCAGCCACCCCGAGCAGATGCGCAGCATGTTCAAGGACATGCATCGAGCAAAAGACGTCAATTTATGCTTAATCGGACTGTCAGCAAAGTCCAACAATATGCCAAATCATGCGTCGGAAAGGCAGAAGCCACCGATCACTTTGTTCCAGACTCTCGCCTAAGCGATCTCAGACAGCTAGATCTCAAGTCTCCAAAGCTCCGACCCAGCAGGATCTGTGACAAGCCAGCTTTACTGTGATTAGCCAACTCTCCTTGGCGGTGCGGGTGCCATTGCAGGGGTGTCAAGCGGTAGGTGCCGTTCTTTCAAGTCCTAGCAGCATCAAATGAGCACGCGAGATTGTACGGACTTCGAAAATGGTCAACGCGAGACAACATCATATAGTTGTGATGGTCGCATAACAGCGGCTTGACAATCTTCCGTCCAACTTTTCAAGGTAAGCTCTCTGGTCGCCGTGCAAAGCTATGCTAAGCTTCGGCGCACGCAACTTCTGGCCACATTGCTCTCGTACGGGGTTGCAATGCTTGCTAACCTGCATCATCAACTGGAGCTTGCCCGACATGAGCAGGGTGACCGTTACGACGCCCCGCAAGTGGCACTGCCCGTGCCCTCTCACATCCTGGCTGACACTAACCGGCCCACGCAGCCGACCATTTCAAGACGTTGTGCTCTGTATCAGGGTCCCACCATCAGTACCCTCCCGGGCCCGGACGGCGGCTACTGCATGTCTAGCCCTGCCCGAAGGGCCTGGTCTGCACAATGTCTGTGAGTTACCTCTTCGGATCACTTCTGAACTCCGCAACATCTACCATTTCTATGTGAAGGTGGGCGTATACTTCTGGCCTCGCAAAGCGCACCGGTGCAATCAGCATCCACCCCGCCAGTCTCTTGCGGTGCTTCTCGTGAGTTGCATATCCTAGGGCTCACGAGGTCCAGCTTAGCCGTACGCCGGTCATTTGACCGCCGGCTCTTTTCAGCAGATCATTGCTACCGGCACAAGAGAGGAGTTTCCACCCACAACTTCTGATGTTCAAGACAACAGCGCTTCCCTAACCGGAGACCACAGCCTGGAACTTATTAAAATTGCAACTCACGACCGAGGGACACTCGACCATAGTGTCTAGGTGCAGGACTATACATATTACTTGGAGCTGGTTTGCTTGTCGGGGTAGGCCGAGGATCTACTTTGCCCATTCGACGGTGTACGTTCTGCGCGGGGACGTCCAATGCATTGAGGTTCTTCGACACAGCATATTGACGAGCAGGCCTCGTATGCAACAATTGTCCCATTCCGGACTCTCGCCAATCGCATAGTCAGCGGTCGTTTTCGACCGGCGAAGCGTATTCGGCTCACTGTAACTACGTCGCATTTTGTATCGATTGGTACACTGCACACTAGCTATTCGCCAGGGCTGCCTAGAGGATCGTGGTCAGGCGGATTGGCTCGAGTTGGGCGCCAGGTCCTACAAGAAACGGGGAAGCGTCCCTGGAGCAATTGGATTGACATTGTCACTCCAGCGGTGAGCCACGAGCGATACAGCTCTAACGGCCTTTCGGCAGACTCTGTGAGCTTTGGTGGTTACGACTCAAGCGTCTACGGCTTGCTGACTGCTTTCTCTGATTGTTGAGGTGTCGGCTGCCGCGTGTAGCCCCAGAAGCAACACGGGCGCGAACAACGACCACCCACTCAACTACACATCAGGTCTCTATCTGGGTTGGCGGCTCAGCAAATGCCCGAAGTCAAGGTTAGGATTCCGCTCTCGCCGCCAGATTCTCCGCGCATGTCGGGAGCGAACGTAACGCGAAGTGAGCATTTCTGGCCCACCCAAACGCTTCCAGTCGACAGTCAGAGCCCTATCTCCGAGACGCTGCTCTTCGATGAAGTTCGAACACATGCACAGTCGCTCAACGCCCGGCAGATACAAATGAGACCGAGCCGGCCGTCTCTGCGCACGCACAGAAGCTTTCCCTATACAAGCGGGCTCACACAGAACCCCGTCGCACAAGACGAGAAAACAGTAACAAACGCGCTGCTATTCGAAGACGTTCACGATCAATCTGTGACACTTGGGCAACCTCTGCCAACACTGGGCTTACCAGGCCTGCCGCAAGCGACATACGGAGGTTCTGCGCCGACCAGCCCACAAGCGCGACTGACGTCGACCTCTCCGAAAGAGCCATTGCCTGGTGCGGACCATGACTATGAAGACACAGAGCTTGACCCTGCTGAGCAAGATGACGGTGAGATCAGACCGCCGATGACCGCCGCAGAGTTAAGGGCACACAAGCGCAAGATGAAGCGCTTTCGGTGAGTGCGTCATGCATTGACGCTTCGATTGGCCGTACACGCTAACACTCAGTGTAGCCTCACGCATAATCAGACGCGGTTCTTGATGAGTGAGTTTGCAAGACAGCCACATCCTGACGCTGCGCATCGCGAGCGGCTTTCACGCGAGATACCAGGCCTAAGTCCGCGTCAGGTACAGGTCTGGTTTCAGAACAGGTCAGTATCAGAGTGTACGCTTGTTGGCATGACTGACACCGCTCGCAGACGAGCGAAGCTGAAGCGGCTTAACACAGATGATCGTGAGCGCATGTTGCGCTCCAGAGCATTGCCAGTCAACTTCGACATGACTCAAGCTCTACATTCACCCTTCACCTCTCAACAGTCTCCGAACGCCGCTTTTGTTGGCCTGCCAATGCTACCGCCAATCTTGCGTCCGGCCTTCGGCAATGCGGTGGGAACTGGGCCCTTAGCGGTAGATACATCAGGTCATATTTCCGCTTGCAATGCATACGATCAGCATGGACCGCAATACTCGTCATCATTCAGTACGACTCCTGCACTAGCCGCGCTCGCCTTTACGCCGCCGCAATCTGCAACCGATCTAATATCGCCTGGGACAACTCTCAGCAACGCTGCTATTTTCAACATGACAATGCAAAGCAGTACCCGAAGCCCGACGTATGGGACGCTTGTAAGCGTGCCTTCAACGTATGGTTTTCAGCACTCACAAGCGTCATGGCAAAGCATACCTGAAGAAATGGGACACTCACAAAGCGCGACGGCCGGTCCTCAATTACGTTCAAGCACATCGTATCCGGAGATTGGCTTGGGAGAGATGTCGCAAGGTCCATCACTTGGACGAGCGGCCTCGGTACCAAATCGTTTTGCGACACTTCACGAAGGGCATGAGATGCAGCGAAACTTCGCAGACACTGTGGTCACTCCTGAGCCGATCGGTCTCGGCTTCTCTTGTACGCTTGACCACAGCTATCCTACTTACTCCTCAATGCTGATATCCGCCGCCAGACATGCATACTCCACATTGGCCGAATGTCGACCGACAACAACCCCACCAATATCACCGGCCGCAACCCAATGCCTTGCCGCGTGAAGCCACTCAACCTAGCGACTCACCACAGAGTCGACGTAAGAGCAGTCTCTTGGTGAAACCGACGTTGACGCCGACTCTATACGAGCACTTTGAGCCATCTCAGCTTGCAATTCCCGATTCACATTACCAGGAGTCGAGTAGCTTTACGGCACACGGCACCCCAAGACCTGCAGGCATATTCCGACCGCCCGACTCTCGTACTCCAGCTGGCCCGCGTGCGAGCTTCGCGCCGACACCAACTCATCCATATCACTTTCTTGGTTTCAGCGATGCGGACGACAGGAATGATAGTTTACGACGGTGATGTGTTGCGCTGTCTGAAGGATCGGGAAACACACACAACGGTTGCCTTCCACGACGACTCAAAAGTATTCTGCATTTACTGTAGCGAAACATACCCTAGCATCAGCGTAACGAGCATGTATACTAAGAACAGGTAGGGTCAGTGGACGCAGTGAACGACATACACTTTCTCATTTAGCCTCATTCTAGCGGGCTTCTCGAAAAGCGCCACAGCCGTTGAGTTTCCGAGATAGGCAAACTGCTGTGGCGCAAAGGGTCAATCATTGTGCAACATTGAGTGAGACAATGCAGCCCAACAGGCGGATGAAATCAGGCCAATATCTCCCACTACATCGGTATAAGCGCTACAATTGGGCAGAAACCCATGGCCGCCCGAACGGCTCGAGTGGCAACGTGAATGGTACCAATCGGTGACGACCATGCCACGTTTGCCTGCTCATTTGACTGAACAACAACCAACGAAGCTCGTGCCAAATGAAGAGCTCCTCCACGATGGAACAGATCCAATGTTCAAAGCATGTCAGTGAACGATGCTCGAGCACATCTACAATGTAGTGGGTGATCTGGCTTGCGCTTCGCGAGATTCCGTAAGCTTCATGCTTCTCGCCCAATCGGTAGAAGGGTTCGCAGACGCTGCTCCTCGGTTTGCTGCACGACACTGGAGCGTGCCGTCAAGCCGCTGTTTGAACACGGGGAGTAGCTGTGAGTCATTCGTGGGCTGCGCCCGTTGACAGTTACTGGTCAATGAATGAACGAGTCTGATGGCAGGTTGCTGCGAGGAATGCTAGGTTGTAGCGAGCTTTTCGTCACGTCTTGCTCACATCCTCGAATGTCATATGAATCAGAGGCATTAATGACTCCTCGGACACTTGATTGCTTAAGGTACTCTGAAGCTGCAATGCTAACTCCGGTGAGGGTCAATGAAAGAGGGAGTAAGCTCGGTAATGCCCATGCATGCCCTGCAACGTCAGATGCAGCCACTTGATGAGGGTTGTAGTAATGCAAATTACCAGAGATGCAACTGTTCAGATATAGCTAATCGTATGCGTTTTCTCCGGTGGATTGCGGGCACGAGAAACACGTAGTATATGGGCGTGAGCGAAATGGAAGCGTCGCACGCGAGCAAGGCGATGATTTAACTCCTGGGTGGAGATGCCAAGGCCGAAACGGGTCGCTGGAAGGGATCCGTCAAGCCAAAATTTAGTTGCGCCTTCGTCGTCGAACTCCTCTCTCCATCACAACCTCAGAAGCCTTTCTTCTGTCGCGTGTCTGTCCATAACATCGACAGACACTTTCCCCCTTGTCCTTCTCGCGTTCCACGCAGAAGTTCGACTCACCACCAAACACCCGGCACCGCCTCTGCTCGTCACTTCGGTTACGCAGCAGTTCGGCACGCCCTTTTTGCCAGCACCCGCTGCGACAGCATTTGCGTGCGCTCTCCCCTCCGCCGCATCAGCGACAACCATCTCCCCGTGGCGCTCAGATTTGATATCTGGAGTTGCCGTCCTGTCATATTAAATTAAGAACGACCGCTCTTCGCACACCACACGGACTCGCCGCGCTTTCACGCACTTCGACCTTCTAATGACAAGCGCGATATCTCCGAGCGCCCCATCCATCCACAACAACAGCGCCACCAACGCAGCGAGCAACGCTTCCGGTACGACATCACCGCTTCCAGGAGCTGTGCCGGCACAGCTGCCTGTAAGGTCGTACGCCAACGCTACAAAGACGGCGTCCACAGCCCCGCCCGCTGCGGCAGGAGCCTCCGCGCAGAATGCAAAGTCGACTGAGCCTCCGGTGAACGGGGCGAACCCGATGGCGCATGGAGGCTCTCAGCCGAACGGAATATCCGCAGATCACGGCCGCAAGCCATCCGTAGTGATCAATGCATCAGGCGCCAGCGGCACCATTCCGAATGGTGGTCCAGTCGGTCAGAATGGCCGACCGCCCATCAGCTTTGGCGCCATGGGCACGTCGCCGCTCCCACAGCACAGCGTGCCATACCAGTCACAGACATCGTCCCTTCCCGCGCCGAGCAGAGACCCGCGTGTCATCTCACCCGCACACTCTCCGTCTCCCATCCCGCAGCCCCAGGCTAGCGGCGGTCGGCCCCCTTCCGGATTACAGAATACGACTAATGGCATGACCTTCGGTCAACTTGGTGGCGAGAGCGACCAGGTAAGGATGCTTGCTCTGCGTAATCGTTGTGTCGACACTACAGCTGACTCTGAGGCTCAGTTCCGTCAGGGTCAAGTGCCTCTAGGCCCTGGCAACGTGCCTTCACTGCACGAGCGTAGGACCTCGTCTCAGTCAATGCAGAGCGACATAAGCAACACGAACATGGCAGCAATGAACAGGCCGTTCATCCCACCTACTGGACGTGGTCGGGGCTTCCCCCAGCAAGCGTACGGTGGCAACATGCCTTCGCCAAGCATGAACTACCGATCACTTCAGGGTCAGCAAGGTCCGCGCCCCAACATGCCGGCACAGTTTCAGCCGCAAGGCTCACCATTCGCCGGTCAAAGAAGTCAAAGTCCGGCTATGCCACACCAGCGGCCGAACATGCCGCCTTACGGCTATCCGCCGAATATGAACCCACAACATGTATTTTTACCCCTCCCTTATTTGAGTTCGTTAGCTTCGCGTTCAGCTTCGGCGAGCTCTCTGCGACATGTTAGCTCGTCGAGCGATCGCAGGGACAGTGTTGTGCAGCACGCAATTAGCGCGGCTGCTGCCAGACCTGCTCCGGAAGCTTGTCCAACGGATGTTATAGATGACCATACTCTGACTTTATCCCAGGCACAGATGTATCCAGGCTACGATGCGTATGGTGGGTTCTACAACTCCTACCCCTACGGCCAGTACCCTGGTCAGCCGCCGCAAAGCCCACGACCGCCATACCCAAGTCCCTACAGCGTGCCGCCACAGTCCATGGGCTCGTCGTACAACCCACCGGATATGTCACGCAGCGCCTCGCAGTCGTCGCAACGTCCTCCGTCAAGTATGGGTCAGCCGCAAACACCGTCGTTGCCGAACCAAATGCCGGGTCAGACTCCTCAGCAGACGCCAGCTCCATCATCTGGCAACTTCGTCCGCCCGAAGAAGACCAACGCCATCAAGATCACGGATGCGCAAGGTAACGAGGTCAACTTTAACAAGGCGCCGCCAACTCCCAGCCAAGCTGCACCACAAACTCCTGTTATCGTGTCCACCCCGAACGCGCCAACGCCGCCACCACGTGCTCCGAGTACACAGCACATCCGTACGGAAAGCAAGACTGCAAAGTCCTCCGAAGAGACGAAGAACGCTTTCCAGGAGCAGGTTAAGCGTCAGATGGAGGAGCAGAAGCGCAAGTTGGCGGAAGATGAGGCTTCGAAGGCCAAAGCCGTGCAGGACGATGCCGATGCCAAGGAGAAGGAGCGGCAAGAAGCCGATGCAAAGGCGAAGGCAAAGGAGCAGGAAGAAGCTGATGCCAAGGCGAAGGTGAAGGAGCAAGAAGAAGCTGATGCTAAGGCGAAGGAGCAGCAGGAAGCCGATGCTAAGGCGAAGGAGCTCCAGGAAGCCGATGCTAAGGCGAAGGAGCTCCAGGAAGCTGATGCAAAGGCGAAGGAGCGTCGAGAGGCTGAAGCCGCAGCAGAAAACCAGATCAAAGAAGCTGCGCTTGAGGCAGAGAAAGCTGCCGCCATCGCCGCGGACGACAAGCGAGGCGAAGAGGATGCAAAGGCTGTGGAGAGCGCGGCAGGCAAAGACGATGGCGAGAAGACCGAGAAGGAAGAGACCGAAGAGGAGCGTTTCGAGCGCGAGATTGCTGAGATGGAAGCCGCCGAACTTGAGCGAGAAGAGCGTGAGCGTGCGTTCGAAGAGAAGAGGCAGAAAGAAAAGGCCGAGATCGCTGCTCGCCAAGCGGAGCTTGACAAGAAAAAGGACGAAGACTTGAAGCGTCAAGAACGCGAGGCTGAGGAGCGGGAAGAGGCACGTGAGCGCGAGCGAGAGTCTGAGCGTGAACAGAAGTCTGCAGAGCCTGATGACGCGTCGAAGGCCATGTTTGCTTCGCTCAAGAAGCCTACCGTTGGTCCAGGTGCCGATAGTGGCGCAGAGACCCCAACGATCTCCGAGAAGGACGAGGAGGACGAAGAGGCGCCCTCTGAAGGGCCTGCGACACCTGGTGAACAGGATGCCATGCCACCTCCTTCACAACCGGCGAGCAAAGGCACCGCTCCTCAGAAGTCGCGGCCAGCAGCCCTTAAATTGGAGATAAGCAAACGTGTCGAGCCTGCGGAACCCACGCCTGGCATGCAAGCTCTGAAGTCTGCGCGCTTCCTGACAATTAAGGAAGAAGCACGGTATCCGGAAGGCATCCGTTCGCCAAACCCGGCTCTCAACCATGGTGGTGCTTCGAAGAGCCGTGCTTACGATCGCAACTTCTTGATGCAGTTCCAGACTGTGTTCAAGGAAAAGCCATCGGTCGACTGGGACCAGAAGATCAAGGAGACGTTAGGCCCAAGCGACGAGCCAGCATCTGCACGTGCAGGTTCTGCACGTACGCCTGCTGGCATGAACAGTCGCCAGCTGTCTGGCAGACCGGCCCAGCAGCCTATGGCTAACTTTGGCGGCCCCATGGGCAACTTCGGTGGCGCTGCAAGAGGTACTACCTCTGAGCAGCGTTTCGCCGCTGCGGCCGGTACGGGTGGTCGTCCGGCTGGCTTGCCCAACATGCCTGCGCAAATGGGTCGCATGCCAAGCAATCTCGGCGTTGGGGCTTCGGGCATGGCTGCGGGAAGGCCTAACACCGTTCAAATGGGCGGTATGGGTATGCCCCAATCACCAAGACAGCCGAGCGGTAGAGGTGGCAGGGGTCCAAGCAAGCGTGGCGACCGTACGATGAGCAAGAAAGAGGAAGCCGACATGGCGGCCAAGATGCCACTCACCGCTCACATGGATATTACCCCCCTGCAAAAATCGACGAGTGGTTGGACCGCTACCAGCATTGGTCGGCCCTCGATGGCTGGCCCAGATCTAAGCGGCCATATGGCGCCTGACATGGTGCAGCGTAAGGTGAAGTCCAATCTCAACAAGATGACGCCAGACAACTTCGAGAAGATTTCCGATCAGATCTTGGAGATTGCGCATCAGTCGAAGAACGAGACCGATGGCCGGACGCTACGCCAGGTCATTCAGCTCACGTTCGAGAAGGCCTGCGACGAGTCTCACTGGGCTGGCATGTACGCCAAATTCTGTGCTAAGATGCTTACCACCATGAGCACTGACATCCAAGACGAGACGATCAAGGACAAGAACGGCAACCCGGTCGTTGGCGGTGCGCTCTTCCGCAAGTATTTGCTCAACCGTTGTCAGGAAGAGTTCGAGCGCGGTTGGCAAGCTAATCTGCCTGATAAGCCGGAAGGTGAGAGCGCAGAAGTCAAGCTGCTTTCAGACGAGTACTATGTCGCCGCTGCGGCCAAGCGTCGTGGCCTGGGTCTTATCCAGTTCATCGGACAACTCTATAAGCTTAGGATGCTTACGATCAAGATCATGCACGAGTGCGTCATGCGTCTGCTCAACTTCGAAGGCGAGCCGGATGAAGCTACCGTGGAGAACCTGACTACACTCCTCAAGGCCGTGGGGTCTACCATGGACCAGGATGAGCAAGGTCAGGGCTTGATGAATGCGTACTTCCAGCGCATTGAGGACGCCTTTGTTAAGAGCGACAAGTTGGCCAGCCGGCCGCGCTTCATGATCATGGATTTGATAGACCTGCGGAAAGCGGGCTGGAGGGGTAAGGGCGACACGAAGGGTCCGAAGACTATTGATGAGATTCACGCTGAAGCTGCTGCCGCTCAAGCCAAGGCTGAGCAGGAGAGGGCGAGGTTGAGTCAGCGTGGCGGGCCTGGTGGCGGCGGCGGCGGCGGCAGGATGGGTCAGGGTCGTGGCGATGCCCGACAGTTCTCTGGCGGCGGCATGCCGCCTCCAGTTGATGTCAACAGGACGACTGTCGGTATGGACGATCTACGGAGGCTGCAGCAGCGCAACGCTTCGAGCCGTCAAGCCGGTGGTAGCCTTGGGCCGGGTGGCAGCCTCGGGCCTGGCGGTGGCTTAGGTCCGTCTGCGCTCAGCGGCCGCGGTGGCAGCAGACGCGGCAACCTTGGCCCGCCGGCGTCGGGTAACACAACGCGGACGAACACGCCACCAGTGGAGAAGAAGGAGGAGCCAGCAGCGGCGCAGAATACATTTAGGTAAATCCCTCTGGTCCGCAGCTCGTACGTTGATCGTGCTAACAGCGCTGCAGTGCTCTAGCATCCCTCGACGCATCAGGTGACGACGCTCCCTCGACAGCCGGAGACGCAAACTCGCCGCCAGCAGCTCGCAACCGGTCCAAGTCTCCACTGGCGGCTGAGCGAACGGACGACGCCTCATAGGACACCTATTGAGATACCCTGTACTATTTCACGGCTGTATTTGATACCATCCGCGCTTCGAGCCGCGCCTTTCACTTCTAATACCATGCATGGGTTCGGGGAGATAGAGCTAGGGATGCATCTGCGAGGATTGCTTGATCTATGTGCCAAAAGTATGCTGATGGGGGGACTGGCGTATGGCGCTGAGAGTGGCACAGGCGTGCTTCCTGCGTGCGTGGTTTGGAGCACAGAAACTTCGAACATTCGAGTTTTGTGTTGTGCTGCACATCTTACCTGGGCGGGGCGGAAGGGTGGGCTAGAGGGAGGAGAGTGGTAGTCGAAGAAAGCGAACTTCAGTGCGTGTGACCTTGCTTCACGGCATCGAGGTCAGCGTTGCGGTGGTTGGATGCAGAAAGTGTGCTACTATAAGAGCGAACCGGCGGCTGCTTTAGGAAGGCGGTGGCGGCTCGAGACAGATGCTAAAGGCGCGTCAAGGCGCTCGTCACGCGAGTGTGTATATTGGCTCTTTAATAAACAAGATGTTTCCCAAGATGCTTCCTACGTCTCAAGGTGTTCCACAGACAGCCGGACGTTGCGAGGTTTCCGCGATATCGGTTTGGCAACATGATTCACATGAGGTCACGGTTCAACAGCAGAGAGCCATATTGGAAAGATGTTCGCGACTTGATTAGAATGACATTACTTAGACCTCAATCTTCGCATGGCGGAAGTACTTCATACCAACCCAAGCGACCGTAATCCACACCCACACTACCACACCGGTGAGCACGATCAACGCCGGGTAATAGCCTACAATTGGCAGTGTGGGATCGTCTTCCAGCTCTGGCGGCGCATAAGGCTTGTTGCCGACGTCCCAGGCCCAGCTCCAGATATCGAGACATGAGCCCATGCCCACGGTGAAGGTGAGCCAAGTTACGAAAAGGATGACCCATCCCCAGTACTCCGTCTCGGTGTAGTCATGAGGAGGTGGTGAAGGCGGATAGACGCTTGAGCTGCTGATCGTGTGGGATAGAGGAGAGCGCTTGTTGCGGGACGTCGTTCGGCGCTGCGGTAAGGACAGCTCGGATTCATCGGGGAAGTAGCTAGTGGCCGTGGATGATGTAGGCTTCGGAAGACTTGCGCCACTCTGGACCGGAAAGCTCTTAGCTGGGCGGTCGAAAGTGAGCACATCGTCATCGTCCGTCGTCGAGATGTAGCTGGCTTGGCTTGTTGGGCTTCTGATGTCCAGCGGACTGCTCAGTTCACTTGCGGATGAGGCTGGATCACAATGGTGTGATTGGTGCTCTGTGACCAGCGTCAAGCGAGCAGCGGTCACTGCTGCAGAGTCAGACCAACCGCTGTCGCTGCTGCTTGGTACTATTGATTGCTCGTAGCTGAACTTTCGCTCACCATCGTTGGGAGAGTCCGCTTGCAGATAGGCGCGAGAGGACTCAAAGTCACCTCGCCGTGCGGTCGATGGAATCACTAGGGAAGCCTCGCTGGGCATCGCCTGGTGCAGTGGTAACCTGGACAGCGGGCTCTTAGCCGAGACACTGTTCTTGCGGTCTCTGCCCTCGGACGAAAGCCTTCTGCCGCTCAAGAGCGCTGTCTTCCTCAACGACCCTTTCCGCTTGCGCGTCTTGTTTGGCAGAAGCGCAAACACCAAGGCACTCTCAAGTTTGGGTGACGTTGGTGAAGTAATTGGCGGCTCATCATCGATGCTTTTCCGGCTCTTAGTTCTCCTTGGGCTCCTTGAGCTCTTCGGGCTCTTCGGCGGTTTCATTTCCTTTTCACGCGAGGGCGGACGTCCATCTTCGCTCCCGCCACGTAGGAAGTTCAGTCTTTGCAATATGCTCCCCGGAACCGTGCGCTTATGACTTCTCGGCGAATCTGCCAAGCTTGGTGCAGTTGGCGAGGTCGGCGCAGACGCAGACGGAGAGCTCCACGGCAATCTCATTCCTTCCGGCGAAGTGTCACCATCATCGTTCCATGAGTCTTGTCTATGCGGCCGCAGTACACCGCTGACGGTCTTGCGGCGTTGCGAAGCGTCACGGCGGTCGCCGCTGCCACCGCGAGAGCCGTCTTCCATAGCCCGCGAAAAGCAGGCCCATGGGGGGCGTAACGGTACGGTTGTCAAATGATCAACCGCCACTGACTGCAGGCGGTATCATATTGAGTCTGCTACGGCGGGCTTATTACCATGGTGCTGCACTGGTGATGGATGGGAAACATGTCGCATACCAAGCACGTTTGTGTAACCTCGACGTGGTGACATTGACCTATAATATGAAACCCTAACCCTTCATGCCTCGCTCGTCTAAACCTTCGTAGCACCCCTTCACGCTGCGTCGAGTACATACCCATCCGTCTTCCGGGCCTGGAGATGGCTAGGGTTTGACTGCTGGTCTGCTGGCATGGCTTCGCCGTCACAGGTGCCTCGTGCACCGCAAACACCACCTCATGACGAAGGTACTTCTCTCCGCCAAATATCGAACGGGCTTGGTGTGAATGGCATCGAGAATTCTCCGCCCGTTATCACGACTGATTTTGACTACGACATCCAGAAAGGTCTTACCGATTCACCTGACAAGGCGCGTGACAGTAGTACGAGGGAGGCAACAGCTATGCTCTCACCCACCAGCGCTACCTTTTCTGCGAACAGTCTGAGTCCGCAACGTGGCTTCCATAGCCCATTCACGCCTCAAACAGGAAGCACAGATGGCAGCTTTCTACCTGCCGAGCCCGATGGCGAAGATGCCAAGAACCCCTTCAGCTTCCAGACCGTACCGTACGTCGCCGGCACAGGGAACGCCAAAAACGAAGCACTTGGTCGTCGCAAAGGCCACAAGTACCGCCACTCGTCGATCCATGCCTCGCACATGGACACCATCTTCCAGCCTCCCCCAGCGAGAAGGACGCCATTGAGCGTACCATCTTCCCTTCCAATGCCTACGCGAAAGGAGATGTGGGCGAGCATGACGTCTAACCAGACTGCCCGACTTTTCTGGTGTGTCTGCCACTTCATCATTGCTGGCTTCGTGCAGTTCTCCGGCGCTGGCTCGTTAGCAATGACAGCGCTCTCTCGTCTCTTGCTGTTCGATGCAGCTGGGGCCACGGTGTGTGTGTTAGTGGATGTTATGAGCAACTTCGAAGTCTGGGAGCGGAGCTCGATCAAGCACCCTTTTGGCCTTGAGCGCGTTGACGTGCTGGCTGGTTTCGGGTTGGCTGTGTTCATCGCCTTCATGGGCTTGGATATCGTCTCACATGGAATACAACATAGCCTGGAGAACATTGGCCACCATGAGTCACATTCGCCGCATTCCCACGAGCGTGCTTCTACTGCATCCGTGAATGTCAGTTCGTTGCTGTCTATTACAAGCACCTTGGCCTCCGCGGTCTTGCTGAAGAATCATGTCCGCATAGGACGAGCAATGCGCGTGGAGCTCATCGCAGGTTGGGGCAGGATATTCGGCAATCCCTCTCACTTCCTCACGCTCTCAACGTCCGTCATGCTTCTTACACTACCTTTCCTTAGCGAGAACGCCTTCACTGCTTGCGACCTCGTCTTCGCATTTTCCGTCGCTTCACTCATGATAGCACTAGGCGTGAGGCTCGGCACCGCGCTGGCTTCCATGCTGTTGATGTCTTACAAGCCGGCCTCGCAGGACAAGCGCGCAGTCAGAGAAGTAATCAGCGAGATCGAGACTGATCCGGGTATTAGCGCCGTGGAGGAGGCGCGCTTCTGGCAGGTACACTACGGGTGCTGCATGGCGAACTTAAAGCTGCGCTATCGTAATGCTGCGAGCGGCTATGGAGACGAAATGACGAGGATAAGACAACGCATTATGAGCCTCATCCGGCAGCGCTTGGGGGAGCCCAGAGGCTTGCGATGGGAAATCAGCGTGCAGATGGCCGCTGAGAAGGACTAGCTTCCATAGGGTCAACTTGACATTTGCATCCTCTCCATTCACCTCAATGTATGATCTTTCCCGTGTCGCCTGTGTCTTCCACCGGGATACTCCGAGGCAACGATAGAAGCGTGCTATTGTGGACTTGCGCGATGTACGATATTTTGTTATTCATTCAGGCGAAGGTGGCGTAGCTGACCATTGGAACACGCGCAGGGAAAAGCGCGTCGACCTCGGTTGCAGCATATTTGGTGGCACGATCAACACAAGGAAGCCGACGGCAACACAAGGCAGGTGAATGATGCGACAAGTCGAGAGACAGAAGTGCTTTGCTACCCTCCCAACTGAGCCAGTATCCGCAATCACTTGCTTACTGCAGGTTTTCTTTCATTGTATCGTGGTCGAGACGTCGACGATGACGTTCTTGTATCTGGCATAACTCTACCGGCTGCGCAACATTCCGGGTAGGTAGTTCTCCATTCGCGTTTAACACCATTTTAAACCCTTTGCCTCTCACAACATCACCCAACATGGATTCAGGACTCGGTCTCGTTAAATTCCTGTTCCCTCAGATCCCGAGTCTCGCAAACGCTGCCGTGTGGCATACATTAGGTCTAACTGAGACATCGTCCAAATGGGACCTTCGGACAACCATCACTATTCATGTCCTTCGGAATATGATGAAGGGTGGTGGGAGCAAACCGTCACCCGTTGGCAAAGTGCAGGCGCAGACTTTGAAGGATCCGGGTGTCAAAGGGAAGATATGGGTCGCGCGGGCAACAATCAAGGCCCCAAAGTCCGAGGATGAGTCGCTACGGGACGCAGTATTCAAGGCGATCGACGACATGAAGGAGAGTGAGGTGCAGTATACGAAGCCAGAGCTTGTGGATACAGAGGTTGAGTGGACAGGCTTCAGAGAAAACGCTGGAAAAGACGAACCGTTACCACAGATTAGCGAGGAAGAGAAGTACAAGCGCATGATGGCTGAACCGACAAGAAAAAGTGATACGACGCTGCTTTACTTCCACGGAGGCGCCTACTATCTTTGCGACCCAGCAACCCACAGGATGCTCTGTAGTCGACTAGCGAAGGAAACCAACGGTCGAGTCTGCAGCGTACGGTACCGACTAGCACCTCAAGCTGCTTTCCCGGCACAGCTTCTCGACGCCTTCATGATGTACCTGTCCCTACTTTACCCGCCTCCGGAATCACTACACGAACCTGTACCGGCCAAGCACATTGTCCTTTCCGGAGATAGCGCCGGTGGCAATCTCAGTTTCGCCCTCTTACAACTTCTACTTCAGCTTCACCGAACAAGTGACAACCCTACCGTACGCTTCCATGGCAAAGATGTCAAAGTACCGCTACCGGCCGGTGTATGTGCAAACTCCGGATGGTTCGATATATGCCGAGCACAGCCGTCACTGATCGAGAACGCCAAATATGACTACTTACCTGTACCGGACCACGACGATTCGGTCTCCCGTTTCCCGTCTGACAACGTTTGGCCCACCGATCCACCTCGAGGCGACATCTTCTGTGATCTCAGCTTGCTCGATCATCCACTCACATCTGTCGTAGGCGCAGACAGCTGGAAAGGAGCCCCGCCGCTTTGGTTGTGTACGGGCCAGGAGTGCCTGACAGACGAAGACTGCATCGTCGCGTCACGAGCCGCTTCCCAAGGGGTGACCGTGCAATTCGAGCAATACGAGGCGATGCCGCATTGTTTCGCCATGCTCTTCCCTTTCGTGCCAACTGCGGACAGATGCCTGCGGAGTTGGGGTGACTTCTGCCGACGATGTGTGGAAGAGCCGCAAAGCGTCAAGACTAATGGCACGTTCATACACGCCAAGACCGGCAAGGAAGATGTTATCGATGTATTGAAGCTTCAGTGTCCTACCTTTGTGCAGGCAAAGGAATACATGCGGGATGCGAAAGTACGAAGGTTGAAGGGGTATGAAGGTGAAGGGAAGACAATGCCTAAGCCTTCATTATGATGGAATGTTACTAGCATAGCGATCGAATGGTGTTTTGGAAATAATAATTCAACGCCCAAACGTCAGACTTGTGCATGAATTTTAAATTTACAAGTTGTTCATTGACTAGTTTACACTTCAGATCGTCTCAATGTGCGTTGACAGTATGCATTCATCGGCCTGTGCGGATGTTGCTAGTACCATCCTCTGGACCCGGGAGTCCTTCTTCGTCGCCAGGCTCCTGATAAGTGCCAGCCTTCTTTGTTGCACCGCGAGTGCGCTCATTGATGATATTGTTTTGGTTGATGGCCTCGGTGTCATCCTTGGCTGGAAGCTCGTTAGTCTTTCGAACCAATTTAACGTGCTGTGTAGAATGCGTACCGAGCTGCTCATCTGAGTCGGCGGTTGCCGGATCGATTGGATCTTCAACGCCGGCCTCGTCCTTCTGAACTGGGATGGGGCCTTCCTTCTGCCCCGTGCGGGAAACGTAGTCGTTATCGGTAGCAATGCCGGTCGGCGCATCACCGTCGTCTCTTGCAGAAGTGGACATATTGGCTATTCACGTTGGTTTAACAGGCGTGGAGTGGTAGAATCGGGGTGTTGTAGAGGTGTGACAAAGTACGACGTGGAAATGCAGTAGCGCACAGATAATGTAGGCCTACCACACCAGCCACAGGATTGGACTGCCAATGCAGGACGTCACCGGGAGTCGCATGTCATGATGATGTAAAGGACCAGGGCGCCGTCCTGATGGCATGGCTGGTTCGGGAGAAGCGTAAGACCCAGCCGAGAGTGTATTGGAGCACCGGCCTATAGGGCATCAGGTATCACGCGCGAGGCTAAAGCATCTCCGATGATGTGCGCTGTACCTGCATCATCTGCAGGCGGATGGGCAGGCTCGACGGCTGGTGAGGATTGATCGCATGAGCAGAAGCTGGGGTGCAGGAAGACGAGAAGTGATCGATCCCGCTAAAGCCAGGGTCAAGAGATCTGAGTGCACAGTGAGATCTTGTACATCGACGCTAATGCAACCACTTCCAGGTTTAACGTCCGTTTGGACAAGAGGGACGGTAACGTGGAGACTTCGCGTTTGGATGAAGCGAGGATGATGACATCGAGATAGAGAAAGTAGGGGTCTGCTTCGGAGCACTGACTCTTGACAGTGGCACGGGGCCTGGAAAGCGTAACGTGTCACATGGTCGCGTGAACGTAGAAGCTTACTGTACATAGCTAATATACATAGTGAACAGCAAGGCGCCCATTACCGGGTATCATATTCCAATATGAAATGTAGTGCAGGTCGTATGCCCTCAGGTGCGAAATGGTCCGGGCCCAGAAAGTCGAAGCAGCATTACGCCCACCATCTCCTTTCCTCCCGATTACCGTGACGTCCAGAAGGAATGTGCTATTCGTCGTCGTTGGCTGTGGCCTTTTTGGGACGCCCTGTGCCCTTCTTCGCTTTCGGCGGCTCCTTATCAGGGTCTGCAAGGTCAACGCTAGCATCAGCACCCTTCGCACTCTTCTTGGCCTTGGACTTTGCGACTGTCGGTTTCGCAACCGGAGCGGCCCCGTCCTCGTCTTCGCGTTCCGCAGCAGCCTTTGGCTTTCTACCGCGAGGCTTCTTGACGACCGGCTCCGGCTCGTCAACTTCGAGAGTAGCGTCGCTGCGGGCAGCCTTGGACTTCCTTGACTTCTTGGTCGGCGGAGCGGCATCTGCGTCGCCGTCTTCGTCCTTGGTAGCAATCTTCTTAGCGGCCTTTTTGGCAGCCTGTTTCTTCGGCGCAGGCTCTTCGTCCTCAAGATCCTCGTCGTCGGCCTCTTTGCGGCCGCGCTTCTTGCTTGCCTTTGCCTTCGAAGGCGTGTCGTCTGCCTCATCCTCATCGTCTCCCTTATAGCGCAGGGTTAGTACGTGCCAGTAATGATCTTGATGGATGCACTTACCTTCTTCTTCTTTGGCGTTTTGACGTACATGCCCCTACGCTTGCCCCCAGTATAGCGATTGCATTCGGCGTCCTGACCAATGCATTAGTAATGTAATCAGACGTAAGAGCAGCGAAGACGTACGCCATTCCAGTCATCGTCATCGACATGACCCTGCTCGAACGCACGACGGACCTTGTCCTTGACATCGTCAGGCAGCTCCTCAAAGCCGTCGACGCGGTCCATGTCGCCATCGGAGGTGTCCTTCCAGTTGTGGATCACTTCCGGCGTGACACAGCCCCTGCCATATATCAGCGATGCGTGGAAAGCACAAGCTAGACGCCGGTAGACAAACCAGTGCCTCCACTTCCAGCTTTGGTGCTCATTGATCGTAACGAAAACGCCTTGCCGAATTTCGCCCTTGTTGATCTTGACACCTTCCTTCTTGCATTTCGTGGCTTGGCAACCAGCGCGACCGCCGGACGCAATCTCTGTACGATTTAGCGAATAGCGAAACAGGATCTCCAGAAGAGTACACACCGATGCGGTACGCCATGCTGTTGATGTGGCGTATTTCAGTGACGGAGTGAAGATGCGTGCAAGGCCCGTGTCCTTCTTGAACACTGGTTTACTGCTTGTGAGTCTTGCTAAATGTTTATAAGATTCTCTGTGTGCCTTCGTAACGTGAACTGTGTTGGTTAAAAGGTAAATGCATTCGCATGCGTTTGTATTGAGGTGGAGTACATCTTAGAGCTCCGGCAGGCTGCAATACGGAAGCCCACCTCACGCGAAGCACGGGAGAAGCCGGGGCGCGTTCATTCACCTCACACTCTCGATCTACAATCTCGTCCCACATTTGCTAATTAATCTCAGCTTTCTAACATAAAGGAGACCATCCTCGGCGCACATTTTGTGCAGCTCATGCTAAGATGTGGTCTCGTTTTGCACGCTCCTCAATGCCCGCGTGTGCAGGCTTCGCCACTTCGCGGGATCTGGACGCCAGCGCCTGTCCGCAATGCAACGACCTTCCTCAACGGCGGCATCAACGATGGGGCTCCATCGGAATCACCAGTATCCATGCTTGTAGCGCATGCAAACCGAGCTAAGGGTGCTCAAGCCGATGTCCTGGTCCGCCATCTTGCCGCAAGTTTGCCACCATCACTTCGACAACCTGGTGACAGCCATTCGAATGCTCTCTCGGGTGCGCGCGACATTGCGAAATTACTGCTTGCTGCCCAGCGCAACGAGAAAGGAAACAGGCGCATCGATGTACTCGCACACCTCGGTATGGTCCGGCGCCGATGGAGGGCTGTCATATGGCTTGTCAAACATGTAATCGAGCATCTGGGTTCGAAACCAGGTTCTGGACATCTCACGGCCCCCGCTCCTTGGAAGTCAAGCTGGCATGATTCCATCAGCGAGGTCACACTAGGCGCGATCGAGCTTCCGCATCATGAGGACATGAGCGGTCGATTCAACAATGCGGCCGCAACCCTGCCAGCCGCAGAGACATCTTTGTTACCCGAGTACGCTACAGCAATGGCGCCGGAGGCAGATTCTCGTACTGATGCCACGCTCCTCCACGCGTTCCTTGGTCTTGTTTGGCGAAGCATAGGTGCTATGACTGTCCAATGCGCTGATGGCACTATGGAGCCGGGTGTACTCGAGATCATCGCGTACTTACATCATCGAGGATTCATGCCGACATCTATCTACAATCGCAAGCCGACGAATGATGCAACGGCCATACAGCAACCGCCTACATTGCACCTTCTGTCGTCTCGCATACTTACTTCTCTGTCGGATGCCGCATGGCGGGCTCACGAAAAGCTCGTTGTAGAAGAGGCCAAGGCGAAGGGCGGTGCATACTCACCTTTAGGTCCTGAAGTACCAGGCTCGGTATGGAAGGTTAACGTGGCTGGCCTCCGGACCGAAATATGGCTGGAGTTGATCCTGTGGTCCTGTCTTCATGGTGGGTGGGTGCTTGAGGGTATGGACATCCTTGCGCTTCTTTGCAAGCAGCAGTCATGGAAGCCACTTGCCTGGCGGTCACTGATCCACAACGACGCTGATGCACATGAAGACTGGGGTAAGATCAGTGCGTTCTTCAGCTCCAAGACGCAGGCTGCAATGGAGCTGCGTGGCGTTGGCAACCTTGACGTGAGCCGCACCGTCAGCAGCGAGGTTGTACTGGCGTACATCGATGCGCTTCTGGTCCATGCCGGAGCCGGCGGCGTTGAGCAGAGTGTTAGACCTAGTGCCGTGCTGGATCCACTTCTTCTGCTGCGCAGATTTCTGCACCGCTCTACACTTGGCCAGAGCGACGAATACTGGAATGCAGTAGTGCTGCGCTTTGTAGAGTCCCGGCCAGAGTATATCTATTCTGGAGCCAGCTTGGTGCCTCTGTGGCAGCTTGTGCTGCCTCTACAGGACGCAAAGGAGGTGGAAAGAACCGCAAAGCTGCCGTTAGGAGTCTATGACGGTAGCGCTATCATTCTTGGGCTGGCGCACCAGGCACTTTACTTACGCATTCGGACCGGCGACTTACAAGGCGCCCTCAGGATCTTCAAGTCGCTTCAAACGTACACCGATTTCAACAAGAGAAGAGCTGTTCAAGACTTCTTCACAAATGCTCGTGAACGTCTACGAAACTTGTCAGATCATGAGGAGCGATTCACAAGTAATTACAGCGGTTTCGAGTCGCCCCTACATAACCTGGGGCTCCCTCCCTCCATCATGGGCCCATTTCTCGAACTTGTAACAGATGCCAAAGCATATGACTTTGGCCGCTGGCTCCTTTCCTCCGATGACGTTGACGGACCTGTGATCGCAGAAGCCTCATACAACGAACCGCTGCTGGCGCCTGCACTCCTGCGATTTGCAGTAGAAACAAGTGACAAAGACTTGCTTGCGAAGCTTCTTCGATTGCGCTCGCTTGCGCCCGCGGGGAGCCGTGAAAGTATCACCACGGATCATGGCATCCTGCAGTCATTCTTCGACGCTCAAGTGCGATTGCGACGCTGGGAAGCCGCAGCCGGGACTCTCCGACAATGCATAGAGAGCAGCGACGCCACTTGGAACATTCTCAACCTTGCGACCTTAGCGAGGGTTATGCTAACACTGCGAAAGAACAGTCTTGAGACCAAAGGCTCTGATGATCTGACTTCTGCATCCAAGCTCTTTTCTGAGATGCTCAGGGGTGCGTACAATCGACAAGGAAACCAAAAGAAGAGGCGCGACGGAGACAGGCAGAAGACACTCGTTTTGGCTCTCTCTGCTATTGACGGCTACTGGGCTGAATTCTGCAAACCTTTTCTGGACGTTCTACAGCAGAGACGGGTACACATGAACTTCAGCCTCATCACGATAGCCTTCAACACGTTGCTGGAAGGTGTAGTGGAGAATTACGGCGCCGTCGCTGCGCGGAGATGGCTCGGATTATTCTGGCCTCATTCTGTTCGCAAGGCACAAGCGCAGGAAGCCGCGCGACGAAGAGGTGATGCTGGCTCACATGATCAAGGTCAATCTCCTCTACGGTTGCTGCAAACCGTTGCGGCTCAACGGACGTTGATCCCGCTGCCCAACCGACCTGCAAGGACCGTTGCCATGTACGGCGGCGTGCAGCCAAATATTACAACGATACGCATAATTCTCCGCAGAGCCATCCAAGACCTCAAAGTGATGTCTCCACGGCAGAAGACCGCAGCCGAGACCGGGGGACAGATGGACTCACTTTCCGCCGGCACGATGCGCATCGCAGAAGGTGACAAGGGCGAAGCAAAGGCGATTGATACCTCTCCTTCCGGCATGGTGGTCTGGTGTGTGAACCGCTTTAGAGAGCTTGGACTGCGCAACCGAGATATCAATGAAGAGCTCAGCGCCGAGTTATCGACAGCTGAGTTAGAGAGCATGCAGAAGCAGGTTCCTCGTTGGTTGGAGAGGCCTGATGATGACCACGTGGATGTTCAAGGCTCTAATCAGGATCTGGACGAACAGAATGATGCAAATGACGAAGTGTCGCAACATGACAGAGACGAGAGCAATAAGCGAAATGCGGGTGGAAGCCAGACCGAAGAGCACGGCACCTGATATAGCCGAAGCTGGATCGATGCACTTTCACGGGTGCAGTGGGTGTGCCTCAGCACATAGGGCTTCATGGCCAATTTAAGTGGCTCTGAGTACTACTGCGAGCTTCACGAACCATATATACACGCTTCGCCGCCTCCTCGTCATACGGCTTATCCCAGCCAAAGTCCCTCATATCAGCCTTGAGCGTGCGGACTTGGCGGAACCCGAAGCGCTCGTACAACCCCAGGCCTGCCGGGGTGGACTCCAGGCACATCATCACCCCGTGCTTGTCCGCCTGCTCACAGCCCCATGCGAGAAGCTTTGCGCCTGCGCCGCGACGCTGTTGTGTTGGATTTGTGACCAGGATGTCGAGTACTTTGCGAGCATGTCAGCTGAATACAGTCCATCGGGGACGGTTGGATTAGCGTGCTGTACATACATATATAAGCCTTGCCGGCCAAATTCTCCCGTCTCCACTCCTCCCATTCGATCTTAAACCACTGCCTCAATCCCCAGTTGCCGCCCTTGGGCCAGTTTGCCGGTGGCTGCTCGTTCGGATCTGAAAGCCGTGCTATGGCGGTCTTGTTCGAATCAAGAGAGAAGGTCCACTCCGAGACCGCTACGATGTTGCCCGTCTCGTCGTCTACTGCCTTCATGAAACGGCACTCATCGTCACGGAAACTGATGGTCTTGCGCTCGTTGTAGAATGCGTAGAGGTCATCTTGATATGGCATTGGGAACAGCATTGGCATTCGTGGGTGCGATCTGAAAGCTTCCAGTTCGATTTTTACGAAGCTGGGGATGTCCGCCTCGAGGAGGGGGAGGATGGTTATGGCCATTGTTAGGTCCCTTGAGCAGTATGCTGCCTTGATGTCGTTGCAGCGGAGATCTCATGTTCATCCTCAATGCTACTTATAGTCATATGTTCGTAGTGGGTCAAGCCCGCGGTGACTCAAACCGTCCATTGAAGGTTTATCGTCGAGACCTGCATTGGAACGCGCCCTTCCAATACTGAGTCGTACTTTTCGTCAGCACTCGCTCATTGAACCCAGCCAACTATCGCAGTTAAAGATACTAGTCAGTGTTTGAGAAGAGTACCCGCTAACGGACGAAGTGTTCGGTACGGCTCCGATGTGTTGTTTGCGATCTACCACAGTATGCTGTGACATCGTCGTTGTCACTGCCAACGGAAGTTACATGCAACAACTTCCAGCAGAAATACGATAGATGTTCTTATCATGCACATTGTGGAAGACGCCTAGGACCACGAGTGCTGGTCCTTACACCACTGCAGCCGTAAGCGTGGGCTGGAGTATAACATCAACGCATGATTGAGTGCAGTCGGTGAATCGACGGTGTAGCGTGCAATTTCAAAGGTGAATCTCATCTCATGGACATAACACAAAGACACAAAGTGCTCTCCCTCACACAACAGTTCGCTATGCCCAGTGCATGCACCTCTCCTCCGTGAACCCCTACCCTACGCCCACCATGCGCCCATCCCTTCCCTCCCGCGGCATGGCGCCATCCTACCAACATCTATGCAGCATCGCAAGAAGCAATCCCACCCTCTCCACCATCGACAAGGAACACAAAGAAGCTAACCTGGTCAACGAGGCAGCCGAAGCAGACCGGTTTTATGATCTGGGCCAGTTCCACAAGTGCGCGCAGAAATGCTACTAGGTTCTCAATGCTCGGCCGGCAGAGGCGATTGAGGCGAGGTGTCATATGTATTTGGCGACGGAGACGGCGGGGCCAAAGCAAGCGGAGGGCAGAGCGTAGGTGAAGTGCCGTTTCGGCGAGGTGTGGGAAAGAATGTTGCTGACTGGGGTTTCCACTTAGGTATCACGCGAACGAGGCCATCGCTGCGTGGAACACGGTCATATCGCGAACCGGGGCCTCTTGGTACCCTATTGACGAGGCGAAGCGGAGCGAACCGGGGCCTCTTGGTATCCTATTGACGAGGCGAAGCGGAGATTGGAGGCTGCTGAGGATTTGCTTGCGAGGGCGGAGGAGCAGGTGTGGGAGGTGTCAGTGACGTCGTGCGACCAAGCTGCTGCCGGCGAGCGTCCGTCGTCCAACCAGGCTCCAGCTGGGTCGGATGATGGCGCGCAAAGCTGAGACTCAAGTCCGATGGCGAGCAGCTGCGCGGCGAATAGTTACAGTACCGCTGTTTGCTGATAGAGTCGCCTGCTGACGATCATCGAACGCCGTCCGTAATTTAATTGATGCGAAGATCAATGTGAACCCCGGCGCCAACTCCCACTGCTGGCTAAAATTCATACCCAATCCAGCATTGTTAGCGGCACCGTAACCAGCATACCCTTCTCGTTGACAGGCACGTGCTTCCTTCTACCTCTGCGCCACCTTGACAATATCGCGCTCAGCCGGGTTATACCGCAGCAACTTCTCAATTAGGTCGACGTGTGTGAGCACCATGCGGCGGCAACAATATCTGTTCAAGCCCAGCGCATCCATCGCCTCGCCGTCCGGCATCGGCTCTGAGTCGGGATCATCCTCATTCGCACTGATGAGCTTGACATAGCGCTCGTAGAGGTCCGCGATGACCTGAAGAGTGTCTCGTTAGTGGCTGGATTGGCGCAAGTCAAGGTGAGTGCGGTGGACATACCTTGCCGCAGGAGAAGCAGCGGATGGGGATGATCATCTCGACAGACTGTTGAGACTCTGTCTTCTGATACCGCGAGACTATGCGCGTGTTGAGCTAAGAGCTAAGAGTATTGCAGAAGCAGTGGAGGAAATGTGTGTGAGCGGGAGCGCGGCCGCCTTCGGCCGCGCAAAAAGTTTCCGACGCTTCACACTTCAGCATATCGATTTGCATGTCGCGGGTACAGCGTACACTGCCACATCGATCCTCCATAATGGGCGAAAAAATTACACAGGACACCAGTAAGAAGCGCAAGGCGCTGTCTGACGGGAATGCTGAAACTGGCGCGAAGAGATTTCGCCGCAATGGAGGAACCATGCCGGAGGAGCAACGCAATATTCCACAGTCCAGTCCGCTGGATAATGATGCAGACGGGGAGAACGCTTCACGGGCAACCAGGAGAAAGAGAAAGAAGTTTGATAAGGATCCCGCGCCAGAAGTCAGAGAGTGGAGGCTGGAGCAGAAAAGGCTGAAGAAAGCTCGGGCAAAAGAGCAAAGGCGGGAGGGGAACAGAGGAGCTGGAAAGGGTGCAGCTGCAGGAGTGGCAAGTCAAACAGAGACGCACATTGCGCCTGGTCAAGAGTTCGATATTAATCTACAGAAGCCTCAGAAAGGCGAACAAGCTGCCGATAAGCGGCTGCGACCAGAGCAGAAGAAGGCGTGGAGAAAAGCTGAAGGAGCTGGAGTTGCAAGTAGCACGGCAGCCCCTCCTGAAGGCTCTCGTACAAATGACGGCGCAAAGACCGAGAGTGCCGCGATCTCTTCAGGGGAGGCGAAGAAGCCAAGGAAGCGACGACCGAAGCATCAGTTCCGAGCGACGGAGGTAGAGCAGCAAACAAATGCAATCACTGCGCAAGAAAACCCCTCGAACGCACTTCAGCCAATGGTAGACGAGGAGGAAGCCGCGCGCAGACAGCTTCGACGAGAGAAGAAGAAGGCTCGCAGACGGGCGGACAAGCATGAGCACGCTGAGCCTGCAGCTGATGCAGAGTCCAACCATCACATTGAGGTGGCTGACTCTGACGCATTGGAACAGCAGGACGACGATACCGACGATGAGGCTGAGGGTACTGCAGACTTCGATCGTGAGGTCGACATGCTTGACAGGGACGCACTAACACGGCAAGACGACACTGAGGCCCGGAAGCTGGGACTCACGGTCGCTACAAAATCTAGCTGGACACTGTCAGCACCTACTGGGGGCCGCTTTGTGCAGTGCGATCCAATCTTTGCCACTGAGCTTTCTACCGGCGAGCAGGTCTTGCTCACGGCGACTGCGCAGGAAGTGCAAGTCTTGTCCGTGGAGACGTCGTTGCCTATCCGGACATGTTCCATCCCCAACAACCAGAGTGTGGTCTCCCTTACCCTAAGAGAAGCGAGTCCCGGATCGGTCTATTGCCTGCTCCGCAACGGTGAGGTTGTCGTCTGGCAATGGACATCTGATGCGGCAGAGCTAGCTACCATTCCCGGTCCGGGCAAGGTTGTGGCTATGGCTGATGCTTTAGATGACGCGCTGTTTTGCCTCCACAACGCCGATGGTACTTTGCGCATCACGAGACGTCGCGAAGTTTGGTACCAGACGCGCATGCAGCTGACTGACCTGCTCGTCACGGGCGAATCGGACTTTGTCATCGCCTATGGGCCGTCTGCAGTACTCCTTGGAGCCAAGACAAGATCTGACTATGTCTGGATCGAAGTGCCGATTGGTGGCACAATCACCTGCCTCGACGCTCGACTGACGCACTCCAATGAGAGCGGCAAGAAGAAGCGTCAAGCCCACCTCAGCCTCGCCATCGGTAAAAGCGACGGCCAAATCCACGTTTACGAGGATGTCACATCCCTCTTCGCACCGCAAGCCCAGGCCACCCTCCCCCCGCCACGTATCCTGCACTGGCACCGAGAAGCTGTGTCTTCCGTCAAGTTTTCACGGGATGGCAACTACCTCGTCTCGGGTGGGAAAGAAACGGTGCTTGTGCTATGGCAGCTACAGACGGGTGTCCAGCAGTATCTACCCCATCTGACGAGCGAGATTGAACGCATCGTGGTCAGCCCGAAAGGTGACAGATATGCGGTGCAACTCGGCGACAACTCAATCATCGTCCTCAGCACGAGCGAGCTGAAGCCGGTTGCGCATTTCGCGGGACTGCAGTTGGCCGGCTCTTCGCTCTCCACCACGACGGCACTGTCCATCATCTCCAAGCATGCAGCTGCTGACCGCAAAGCCACCGCTGCAACAATCCATCCTCAGCGGCCACACCAACTCCTCCTCACCGTCCCCGCCACCCGCCCAAAGACCGCAACCGAAGCCGCCACAGCCCGCCCTTTCCTCCAAACCTTCGACCTCCGCGCCTCCCGCAGCCTCATGCGCCAAGCGCTCACTCGCAACAACGTCACAGACGTCAACATCGGTCCGGAGAAGACCGCCATCGCTTCTCCCGACGTCGCGTACTTGGCTGTCAGTCACGACGGTCAGTGGCTGGCTACGGTAGATGAGTGGATGCCGCCGGCCTCGGACTTGGAGTACCTTTGCGATACGCCTGGTGGTGTGGAGCCAGAGAGGTGGATGAGGAGGGAAGTGTACTTGAAGTTTTGGAAGTGGGATCAAGGGCAGGGGATGTGGAGTCTCTCCGCACGAATCGACGCGCCGCATGCCCGTGCGGATGGACGGTTACAGGGGGCCGGGAAGGTGTTGGGCTTGCTCGCTGATCCGGTCACTGTCGGCTTCATCACGCTTGGGGAAGACAGCCGCGTCAGGATGTGGAGGCCTCGAAGGCGGGTGAAGAAGGGCGCTGTGAGTAAGGTTGAGGGGGAAGAATTGGAGGTTACGGAGTGGATTTGCAGGCAGGTGGTCGAACTGCCCGCGACGGAAGCGCGACGTGCGGACTCCCCGCTGGATACGTTCGAGGTGCCTGCCCCTCATCAAGCATGTCTGGCGTGGGCGAAGGATGGGTCTTTGTTGGCTATTTCGCTGAGCTTCCGCGACACAGCAGCTACGCCGGCGCTGGTCCATTTCGTCAATGCTGCTACGGGAAAGCTCGTGACTTCGACATCCGGCCTCGCGCCTGGCGAAGTCGAAGCGATCGGGATTCTCGACCGTTACATTGTCGTCGTGTCGAGCGGCAGTATCAATGTCTGGGATTTAATTACGAATATCCTGACGCATCGCTTCAACATCACGTCTGGCCGGCCATCGCTCGCTGTCAACCATAAGGACGGCACGTTTGCGGTAGCGGTGCGTTCGCAGGTTGTTGTCTATCGACCTAGAAATACGCAGGCGCTGGCTCGAGAAGATTGCGGACAGGATATTGCCGCTATCCTGCCTAAAGAGGATACTGGTGGGTATACGCTGCTTTTCGACGATGCTACCGTGCGGACGCTATTGTACATGGGTGCAGGTCCACGACTGACGGAACTGAAGTATGCTTCCGAGGACGCGCCACTCCTGATCGAGGACGTCCCTGAAGCTGCAGATGAGGCTTCGGATGTGGAGATGACTGAGGTTCTTGCTCTGCCGGCTCCTGATGATAGAAGACGGCAGCAAGGGTTCGTCCTTGAGGAGACGGAGGATGATCGGCCAGTTGTCAGGCCGGAACAGCTGGCGAGCATATTTGATGTCGGGCAGAGCTTCGCCATGCCGCCCATCAGGGACATGTTCGCCGCGGTTATGGAGTTGTACGGACGTAAACCTCTATCCAGGTTTGTAAGGGAGGAGGTGGCGTAGCTCATATAGCTTCCGCAACACGGTCATCCGTGATCTCATTCCCATGGCCAGACAACGGTCACATATCATTCATTCATTCGTTTGTGATTGCACTCATCGCCTCTTCTTCCCAACAACCTTCGTAAACCCATCCTCGTCCACCTCCGGCTCCGCCTTCTCCTTCACAACCACAGGCGCCACATGCGGCACTGCGTCTTCAGGAGCATCCATATCCACATCCCCCTCGTCATCCACCCCATCCCAACCCCCCTCCTCCCCCTCCTCTCCATCCCCATCTTCATCCTGAACCCCATTATCCACAACGGCAAACTCCATCTTCACGCGCCCTCGATTCCGCCACCGCCCCTCCAACTCCCTCAACGCCTCCAACCCACCCCTCCCATCATCCTCCTCCCCCAACTTCCTCCTCAACCCCAGTATCCCCCTCGCAACTTCCACTTCACTCTCGTCCTCAACGTTGCAATCAAACTCATCCTGCATCACTTGCAGCAAGAACACTTCGAGATCCTCGTGATCCGTGTCCGGGGCTGAGCTAAGGAAGTCCGAGACGGCGCCGGCGAACCAGTCCTTTTTGTCGGAGCTATCCGGGCCGCCCCAGGAGTTTTGGACGGCCATGTGCAGGGCGGGCCAGAGGGAGAGGGCGTACCAGATTCCGGCGTCGAGGGCGGATTGGAGTTGCTGGGGTGTTGGGGGAAGGGGGACGCCGTTGGAGGGTTCGGGGGCGGGGGCAGGACTGGGTCCGGGAGCGTCTTGGGTGGACATGGTGGCGGTGGTGGTGGAGAGGGTGCTGGGGTTGTGTATAGTGGGAGGGTGTGAGAGTGGGAGATGCTGGCGCAAAGTGCTCGATAGGGAAATTCTTTGGGGGTGGATGAGGTCATATTGACGGGTTTCCATCGGCATTTGATTGACATCCCTGCCCCGCTGTCAATCAAAGTGCAATGCCATGGCTAAACTCCGTCACTATCTCCATATCCATGATGCTCTCTCCACCACACACCTTTTAACAACCACAATGGCACTCTCCCCCTCCCACCCTCTCCCCCTCCACACAACCAGGTTAAAATGGCAGTCCACTCCCGCGTGGCCGCCGTGACAGGCGCGAACAAAGGCATCGGCCTCGCCATCGTCCGCAACCTCGCCCTCCAATACCCAACGTCCCCCATGAAATCCGGACCATTCCTGATCTACCTCACCGCCCGCTCGCCCGAAAAGGGCGCGGAAGCAGTCAAAACCCTCCACAACGACCCGCAATTGAAACGAGCCAAAGTCCTGGCCCAAGACGGGGGCGACACGACAATAACCTACCACTCCCTCGACATAAGCGCGACGAAAAGTATCCAAGATTTCGCTTCCTTCCTTCGCAAAGAACATCCGGAGGGAATCGACATCGTGGTAAACAACGCCGGTATTTCATTCCCACCAGTAACACTTCCCCCGAACAAGCCAAGAACAGAAGTGCTAACTCCAGGCTTGTGATGGCGGAAACAGGCATCGCGCTCCAAGGCTTCGACGCCAACATCGTCAAACAAACCCTGGAAACGAATTACTACGGCACGCTGGAAGCAACGCAAGACCTCCTCCCCCTGATCCGCCAAGGAGGGCGACTGGTAAACGTGACCTCCATGTCGGGCAAACTCAACAAATACTCCCCCGCCATCCGCTCCGCCTTCCTCTCCGCCGCCGAAACCTCCGTGGCGGCCTGCACGGCACTGATGGAGCAATTCCGGCACGCGGTGGAGGAAGGGAGGGAGAAGGAGGCCGGGTTTCCGTCGGCGGCGTACGCGGTTAGTAAGGCGGGGGAGACGGCGTATACCAAGGTTTTTGCGCGGGAGGAGGAAGGGAGGGGGAGGGGCGTGTTGGTGAATGCGTGTTGTCCCGGGTACGTCAAGACGGATATGACGAGGGGGGGTGGGGCGAAGACGGTGGATCAGGGGGCGCAGACGCCGGTGTTGTTGGCGTTGGGGGAGATTGGGGGGCGGAGTGGGGGGTTTTGGCAGGATGAGAGGGAGATTGAGTGGTGATGCAGGTCTGTTTGAGAGCTGAGCGGATGATGTGGTGTGTTGTACGATGATGGGCGGAGATGTATGTACAGTATCGCCGTTATGCCTTCAGCCGCGCGCTTTGGAGGTCTTCCTGCGCGTCTTTGATGAGGAAACTAGTCGAACTGTCAGCATGCACAACAACACTACAAAATCCCAACATTGAACAGGAGGAATAGGCGGAAGGATGACATACTTATACCACCACACCGTCGGCCCGACAGTCCCCAAATGCCACAACGCATGCGCATCCACCATCCCCCACCACGGCGGGAAATCGAACAACTCCAAACTCATCGCCAACACAATCCACGCCACGATCAACCCGGGCCAGGCGGCCCACAGTCTGCCCACTTTCCGAAACCGGGTGATGGAGAAGCTGGTCCAGAGGATATTTTGCAGGATTCCGATGACGACGTTGGCGGCCATGTTGTAGGTGTAGTCGAAGCGGATGAAGGTCAGGTAGAAGATGTGGGCGAGGTAAAGAGTCGTGCACAGGAGGGTCCAGAGGCGGAGGAGGGTGCTGCTGTTGTTGTTGGTGGGGTTGGAGGTGTTGATGTTGGAGTGGGAGGAGGAAGAGGGGTTGGCTTGGTCGAGCCGGAAGATGCGGATGGGAGTGTAGTAGAGGCCGTACATCACGCTCGCGCCCGCGGCGAAGTAATCCAATTTCTCGGTTACGTTGAAGTCGCGCGTATGGAAGATCATGCTGAATGTCCAACTTGCCAGGCCGATGTAGCCGAAGTAGAGGTAGTATTTCCGTAACTTATACGAGGCCGGGATGGAGTCTTTGAGGCGGGAGAGGCCGTAGAGGTGGGCGAGCAGGTTGAGGAGGGAGAAGAGGACGGAGGCGGGCTCTTGCATGCCGAGGAAGCGGTAGAAGGGCCATTTGCCGTGGTATTGGAGGATGGGCTCGAGGTATGGCGGGTCACGGGTCAGGCGGGCGGTGGTGGTGATGTGTTGGCAGGTGTAGTCGCATTCGGCGGGGCAGGTCCAGAGGAGGAGCTGGTGGTGGAGGGCTGGAATATATATATCTCTCATTTAGTCTGGGGTTGGTGTGGTGATGCTGATGGGCGGGCGCATACGTATACTCAACCCATCGTCGCCGCAATTGACGGCTATGCAGTCCTATACGCAACCACGTATCGCATCAACCCACACATCCTCCCTCTTACCCTCCCTCCACCTCAATGGTACGGTATGGTATGGGATGGGTATATGTGAACGTACAGCAAGACAACTCCGAAACTCCGGCAAGCGATCGCCGACACTCGCACCCGCGCCGCCCCACCACAGGGTGAACCACAGAAAGGGCAAGAGGCAGGCGCGGTGGGGGTGTTGGTAGAGCATCACGCATGTCTGGGTGGAGTAGGGCCAGATGATCGGCGCATTCGCTCGGTCCTCACGCCGTCGTACCACCAGCGATGCCGCTCGGGCGGTCAGGGAAAGGGAAGGGGAAGGCGCGGCCGTGGAGTTGGTGATGCCGAGTTCGAGGAGTCGGGGAAGGAGCGACGGCAGGTTAGACATATATGTATATTTACTACATCTTGTATCGAATCTACAGCGACAACGTGACGGCGACGAGATGGTGGGGAGTGGAGTGGGCACGCGATAGTGTCGCTGCTAAGCGGTAGCTCGCTCGCTACCCAGTTGCTTGCAGCGACATCGAGCTCATGTGTGCCGTGTGGCTGACATCCTCCCGCGATCCAATCATTTATCCGGTTAAAGTACCGTAATTGATTAGGAGTTGTTCCTGCATCTTCCCCGCCATTCGCTTAAGCTGCACGAGTGACCGTTCATTATGTTGTCTCTACTACGAGGTCATAAGGATGCTATAACTGACTATCCCACCCAATCCAATCAAACATCGCGTCTCCCAGGAAGTCATTCGTGTTAAAGCCGAACCCGGCCTGAGCGCTCAAATCGCCGCTGTCAAGTGATTGCGAATTCAGCAGCGTATCCCACAACGCAGCATCTTCCGTGGAAAGGTAAGGTGCGGCCAACAATGCATCGTCCTGATGAGACAGAGACAGAGACTGCGGTGTTGGTATGCCTATCTCTCCGGCAGCACCGCCACCGCCGCTTGGTCTCTCCCGAACCACCGACCGCGCGTGCTTGACAATGACTTCGGCGATGCGCTCGAGTTTCGCGGCGAGCGAGTTGCGGACGCTCATTTTCTTCAGAAAGGGAGGAAGACGCTCCATCGCCTGTAGAATTGCTTGATTGTCGTTGGAGACTCCCTGACTGCTCGAGATGACTTCCCCAAAGCACACCAACAACGGCGTGAACGGGCAGCACACCAATTGCCACACGATGCCGTTGAAGGGTTCTTCGGAGTCGGAGACCAGCTCATCTAGTTTATTCAACATCCGCTTGGAAGCCTCGATGCATTGGCCCCTCAGTCTCGCCGAAGACCGAGTGAGTAAAACACGAATATAATCGATCTGAAACCGGAGGCTGCGAAGACCCAGATCAATCGATGCAACACCTTGCGCGTCTAGGATCGGTTTCTCGGCCTTCGCGGCCGCCTCGAGCACCTACACCGACCACCATTAACCATCAACCACTTTACCTGCGCACTTGAGAGCTTGATAACAACTCACCTCCATACTCTCCCCGTACCACCCCTCCAGCTCCTCACACGCCTCGTCAATCCCCTCCTCCCTCGTCTCCGCATCATAAAGCACATACCAGAAATCGCCGAGCAGCCGCGACAACCCCATGATGCGATGCAAGAAATGCGCCCCGAACAACACCGGCGTGCCTTGAAACGTCGAATGCGGCTTAAACGCCACCAATTCATCGAGTCTCGGCAACGGAATCTCCCTCCCCATCGCGCGATGAAAGACGGGCGGGCGTCCGAACACGAGCGCGAGGCCTTTGTCGAGGATATTGAGATGCCAGAACATCATCGTGCGTCGCTTCCGGGTCCGTTCGTCCAGCCGTCGGTGGGTGATGCCGAGCGCTTGCAGCATGCGGCACGCGGTTGTCGCGAGCATCCAGCAGAGGGACGGCGTCGTGAATTCCTCCACGTGACTCGACAGTAACGTCAATGCCTGGATGTTCGTCTCGCTCGGTTCCAGCAGCGTTCGCACGTCGTTCAGCGCGAGCCAGAGGTTACACCGTAATTTCGCCTTGACATCTTCATTCCCCGGGTCGGTGGAGGAGACCATGCTCATGACGATACTGTAGAACATGACCAACCACGCGCGATCCTTCACCTCCTGCGGCTTTGCCGCTTTCAGACGTTCCAGCACTTCCGGAGGAGCGGGTTGGAAAAGGGGATGTCCTCGGTTTAGCGTCGACTCGAATGTCTCCGTCCACGCCACCGCGCGGTCTTCGAAGGGGAAGAATTTCTTCACGCTTACGTCCGGGCCCGCGGCGTCGTGCCAGACTGCCGCGCAGGCGTCAGACAGAGACGTCAACGCGGTGAGCGAGTTCTGATCCGAAGAGTCACCGGCGAGATGGTGGAGGCGGTCGGTGGTTCCGTCGATGTCGAGGGTTAGGTGGGATTGGAGACTTTGGTGATCGGTGCTTTTGTTGACGTCCGGATTGGATCTGTTGCTGGGTGGTGTGGTCGTGGTGTTTTTGTTGTTGTTGTTGTTGGTATCGTCGGAGAGGGCATCGTGCTTTCGTTTGCGGTGCCGACGGATGACGCCCGTGCGGGAGTAGGTGCAGGCTGCGGAGTCGGTTTGGCAACGTTTGCAGCCGGCGCGGAGGCGGTCGCAGGCGATCTGCGGAGAACACAGTCAACATGGTGATGTTATGATTGGCAAGGGGTCCGGGTATCCCACTTTACGAGACTGGCATCGGTCGCACTGTAGGAATCGTTAGGGTATGTTTGGGTTGTTGTTGTAGCGATGGTGGTGTGACTTACCGCATATGCGGCGTGCTCGGTGTCCATCACACAAGATAGACTATTGCAACGACACGGTGAATGAAATGATGAACTGCAAACAACAACATAATGGTGACGGTGAAGATACGGGAGGATGGAGGTTACAGATGTAACAACGATCTTCACGACGGAAGTTAGACGGACGGGACTTACGGAGCTTTCCCTCGCTAAATCCCGCCGCAGATAAGTTCCGTGGATGCGCCGGGGCTTATGGAGAGCCCAACATTTGGAAGACCGAAGTAGCTGTATATAATGTCCATGTCTTGCTCTCTTCAATGTTAGTCTCCATCCCACGACATCCCCACCCATACTGGCAATCTCAAACGCCCGCCATCACAACCCACAAAAGCCACACTCCGCAAATCTTGAAGCTTCAACCATGACACCACCTACCACAACCACAACGACACCACAACCACCCATCGCCATCGTAGGCGCCGGCCCCAGCGGCCTCATCCTCGCGCGCCTGCTCGAAAACGCTGGGATCGCGTACACGGTCTTCGATCGCGACGCCTCCGCCTCCTCCTCCGGCGGCCAAGGCGGCACCCTCGACATCCACGTCGCCGACGGGCAACAAGCGCTCAAAGAAGCGGGCCTGATCTCCCAATTCCGCGCCCGTGCCCGCGGGGACTCGCCCACGATCATGATGGACAAGACTGGAAAGGTCTTTCTCGACTCTGCCATGTTTGCTTCGCAGGAGGTGGAGGGCGAGAAGGCGCATGCGGATCGGCCGGAGATTGATCGGAGGGATTTGAGGGATTTGCTGTTGGGGTCGATTCCGGAGGGGAGGGTGAGGTGGGGGGTTCGGGTGCAGGAGGTTTTTCGGGGGCAGGATGGGTTGATGGGGATTCGGTTTGTGGATGGGCGTGTGGAGGCTGGGTTTCGGCTGGTGGTCGGGGCGGATGGGGCTTGGTCGAAGGTGAGGCGTTTGGTGAGTTGGATGTTCACTCTTCGCTGTGCATATGCTGTTGTGCTGATGCACGGAGCAGGTCACGTCCGCAAAGCCGCAGTACTCTGGCTTTCACTTCCTGACAACAATCATCAAACCCAGCAATCCATACCACTCGGCTGCTGCATCTGTGGCTGGCAAGGGCATGAACATGATGTGCGCGCATGAGAAGCAGGTCGTGATGGTGAAGCTCGGCGATGAATCCTACTACGTCGGCGTGGCAATGGCGCTTCCAGAGTCATGGCGACAGGAAAATGCCGACTTGCTTGCGAACCCGTCGCAACTTGGAGCAGCTTTGGTCCGGGATTACCTGGCGGACTGGCCACAAGCGCAGAAAGATGTGGTCGGGCACGCGGACGAACAGTTCAGGCCTTGGCCACTGTACGCAATGCCGACAGAGTCTTTGTCGTGGGAGACCGTTCCGGGTGTCGCGTTGGTCGGAGATGCGGCGCATCTGACGTAAGTGTCCAGCATAAAAGACTTTGTGGAGACTTCCTCCGGCTAACCTGCAGCGCAGCACACCTTTCGTGGGCGAAGGCGTGAACTGCGCCATGTACGACAGCCTGCAACTCGCGCAACAGATCGTGAAGCACGGCGTAGACGATCTCACCGCAGCGGTGGCGGCGTACGAGAAGGAGATGTTTCCTCGCGGCATCGATCTCATCCAACGGAGTGCGAAGAGTGGTGAATTGCTCTTCGCTCCCGATGCGCCGAGGGGATGGTTAAAGCACCATGTCGGCATTGAGGTCGACTAAGCGTTCTCTCGGTTTGACGTTTAGCATCGTCTGTGGTTTCAGGTGGCGCAACGAATAATGATGATGCTTGGCCAGCATCTGTATCATAGATAGACCTTGCATCCACGGCGTTGCGTCAGTAATCAGCTCCTCTTACTCCCCATCTCCCACCCCATATCATCATCATCCCACTCCTCACCCGAGCCGCCTACCTTCCGTCCAACCAAAATGCCGGTCGCAGTGAGTCCCACGGCAACCAAAAACCAACTTTCAAACCACCCCTCCACAAACCGGCCCTCGAGCGGCGCCCCCAACGCCTCACTAATCACGCCCCCAACTTCCTCCGGCAAGTTACTCCGCAGCAGTAGCGCAGAACTGATGACATATGTCCCCGCAATCTGACTGATGACCAGCGGTAAGCTTGTCTGAGCATGCTGTAGCAGTCCTGGTGCGAAACGTGAGAAGAGACGGAAGGTCTGCAGGACGGCGTTGAAGGAGGCGAGGAGCATGAAGCCGGAGAGTAGGAACGAAAACTGCCGAGACCAAGCTGCGCGGTCGAGATTGCTGTCCCAATGAGTGGTCAATAGTGCGAGGATATTGTTAATTGGATCGCTCGTGGCGAAGGAGTGCGTGGGCTGCCACCACCGGCGCAAGCTGGAGAGGGATGTGGCGAGGATGCGGTAGGCGCAGTAGATGGCGAATGCCGTGTTGCCAACCGAAAGCGCTGTGCCGACGCTGGTTCGCGAGCGCGCTTGCTCTGCGTGGCGTTGCCGGAGCGTGGCCAGGGAGGAGGACAGGTTGAAGCGCATCGTTTCCAGACCCGAGACTTCCATCTGCAAGGCCTTGAGCTCCTGGACGTCACTGTTTCCGCCGCGGAATTGGCCAACTACTCGGCCCAAGAAGCCTGATTGCTCGGAAGCGGATGAAGCTTCGGAGACCTTACGCTGAAGCGCGCGGAGGCGACTCTGCTTGGCTTGCAGCATTTCCTCCGTCGCGGCGAGACCGGCTTGCTTGCGGGAGATTTCGGCATCGCGGACGGGACGGTGCCGGACGCCGAAGGTCTGCCAGAGAGAGGATACCGCCGCAAAGCCGGCTAGGGAGCCCATGAGCGAGATGCCGATGATGCCGACACGCTCGAGACAGGCTTCTGTGAAGGCGTGCTCGCGTTCAATATGCGTATTGGTACTATGCAGTCGGTCTCGGAGGATGGAGGTTTGGGGGATGTACCAGAACAGCACAAGCCAGGTGGCGAAGAGTGCGGCTTGCAGAGCTAGCAGGATTCTTGGCTTCGTCCGGCGCGTGGAGGTGGTATCATTTGGCGTGCCCAAGATCGTCCTGGCTAGTCCATGGATTTCCAGGGCTGGTGTGATAAGGACGCTTAAGAGCAAGAGCGAGCTTAACGTGAGTCGCAAAGCCAGGCCGCGCGCAGCTGGATTCAGCGTGTTCGAGATCTCGCACAGGATCAGCTCAACGAGCACAGTAGACAGTCCAATGCTCGCGGAGAAGACAAGCGAGGCGAGCTTCTGCGCCGAAGGCCTCACCAATCGTTCGCGCAGCTTGTACGTAGAAGGCTTGAAGGTGTCCTTGTTGAAGACCGGCAACCCTACCTTCTGCGTCTCGTCGCCTGCCAGGCGCGGGAAGAGTCGCTGCTGCGCGATTGCACTCGCTGCGATCCATGTCAAGAGGAAGGGTAGGCTAGACAGGATGATTGTCGAGGCGGGCACGGAGTCGAGCCGTCTCTGGAGCTGATGCAGCCTGTAGCCATCGGACTCGTTCGTCGATAGCATCAGAGAGGCCAATGGATCCACGGGACCCTCCCGGATGAGTACTGAAGGATATGCTGCACCGTCCGATGTAGGGCGCGTGGAGTCGCAAGCCTGGGATCCGCGCGACCCCTAGTGGTTGCTTTCAGGGAGATTGGTGTGAAGTGGGTCCCGTTCGCATCTCAATCTTGCGCCGCGCCGCACATGACATCGTGGTCAGCGGTGATGGTGGTTGATGGTTGCATCAGACGATGGCCACGTAGGAGACCACACGCGACTGGCGCCTCGAGTCTTTGATGCACGAACGTTTCGTTCGCTGCACGTGGCTTGCGCAGGGTAAGATGGCATGGCGGGGAAAGTGATGGCATTGGCGAGAAGGCGTCTTGCCTCTCACCATCACATGCACTTCGCTCTCAGCAACACACGCTGGTTTCGGTTTGGAACTCTCAGACATACGTACACCGTCGACAGTGGCATGAAGACGAGGAGGGTACAAGATACGTGCCGTCAGCATCACCACCTTCGAAGCTCGATCGCATAAGAACCGTAGACGAATCACATGCCAATTCCGTTAAGATCCTTCGCCTAAGTCTAGTAAACCTTTTGGTCTATCACCCAGCAATGGCATCGCCTTCGCCTCGCTCCTCACCAGCTCCCCACGCCAGACTCTCCGACAACACCAACTCCGCCAAATCCAGCGCCTCCTTCATCCCACCCTGGCGACGACCAGCTCTGACCGTCACCGGCACTCCCAGCTCAGCGGACCGCCGTCCAAGCGTCCAGTTCGTTCCCAATGTCAAGGAGCTAGCTGTTGGCAGCTCCTCACGATCCAGCAGCGCGAGACCGAGTACCCGTAAATCCTCACTGTTCAACGTTCCGGGCAACGCAGAGGGCAGACGGCTTAGTAGCCCGCCTCCACCTGCACACTTCAGCCCGCGAGTCAGCTTTGATACCTTCAGCAATCCATCCGCCAGTGACTTCAGCTTGACGCTGAATCGCAAGCACAGGGAGTACGCATACACGAAGCGGTCACGGACGTTCTTAGTAGGGACGGATACGAATGAATACAGTGACACAGCTCTTGAGTGGTTGATCGACGAGCTGGTTGACGATGGGGATGAGATTGTGTGTCTGCGCGTGGTGGAGAAGGACAGCAGAGAAGCGCTGAAGTGGTCTGGCGGACAAGGCGAGAAGGGTTACCGAGCAGAAGCCGAACGCTTCTTGGACGCCATTCAGCGCAAGAACACCGAAGACAAAGCCATCAACCTCGTCCTCGAGTTCAGCATAGGGCGCGTGCAAGAAACTATACAACAGATGATCCGGATCTACGAACCAGCCATGCTCGTAGTTGGGACTCGCGGGAGGAGTCTGACGGGCTACTCGAGCTTGCTGTCTTCCGGTTCAGTCAGCAAATACTGCCTGCAGTACTCACCCGTCCCTGTCATAGTCGTCCGACCGAGCAGCAAGCGCGAGGCGAAGAAGCGGAAACGGCTCATGGATCCCGCGCGCACCGGTTACCGCGATATCCTGGACAAGAGCGAAGACGCTCCGAGAGGCACAGGCGGACATTTGCTTGACGAACGCAACAGGTCTAAGGTTCGGAGCAGTGATCTTGGGTTACTTGGCGAGCTGGGAAGCACAGGTGACCCGGATGAAGAGGCTCGGAAAGTGGCGGAAGCGATTGGGTACAGACCTGGTCGTACTTCCATTGGCGGAGACAGTGCTGCAAGAGGCAGCTCGCTTACGAGAGTCGTATCAGGTCAGAGCAATGCGTCGGGGAGAAGTACAGATGACTTGTTATCGCCCAACGGACGCGTACTCAAGTCGCCCGAGCTGCGGGACCTGGATAGTCCGATCGGCTCGGACGATGAAGCAGAAGAAGCGGAGGATCCGGATGAGGATGTGGGACGGTTGCAGGAGAGCTTGAGGCCCGAGGATGAGGCGGCTATGCTGGCTTATGAGCGCGCGCAGGCGGTTATGGAGGAGGAGCGGAAGGAGGCGGAGGCGAGGGCTGGCAGGGAGAGGGAGAGGGCGGAGCGGTCAGCGAGTCGAGGTCGTGGAGGTGCGAGTCGGGGGAGGCAGAGCCATGAAGAGGGCGGGGGAGCTGCGGTGCTGGGTTTGTTGGCTCAGCTGGACAGGGGGATTAAGTGAGGGTGTCTGTATGTAGTGCTATCATTGGTCTGTGTGCAGCCATCAGTGCCTCGGCTTAATGATTTGCCGGCAGCCGGGATCATTGCGATGTCACTCGCATTGGATGCAACTTCCCAAGTCTCTCCCGACCGATTGGGAAATTGAAGGATGTCAGGAAGAGCGTTACCGTTCGTGAGATCAGTGTGGGAGTACGCATGCCGCGAAATACGTGTCGAGGAGAGTCTAAGCTGAGGCAAAGATAGATCGTTCAGAGCGAACTCTGGTCTGGAACCGAGGTGCGATCGGTGTTCTACGTACATGTACTAAGATCGCTCAGTAGCTGAGAAAATGGCAGGCTTGTCGATGGTGTGCGTAGTACACCGTATCGACCTCCCGTCGACTTCCGGCCGTGAGACTGACCCAGGCTTGTTAAACTAGATCCGAGTAACCGCCGCGCGACCCGGTGTCGTCAACTTCGAACTGGACATCGAGAAGCAGCACACTGTACGCTTTCCAACCTCTGTTGAACGATGAAACCCGTTTTGATGGGAAACCTCAGAACCGCCTGAACATCCTCCATGGCGGCACACTGGCCTGTATGGTCGACCTAGGCGGATCCCTCGCCGTGGCTTCACGGGGCCTCTTCGCAACGGGCGTGTCCACCGATCTTAATGGTAACAAACCCCTCTACCCCTTGATCCTCAAACATCCGCAAAGACTGACCGAGTACAAGTGACCTATCTCAGTTCGGGCGGCAAAGTAGGCGACCTGATCCGAGCCGAAGTGACTTGCGATAAATTCGGCAAGACGCTCGCGTATACCTCCATTCGCTTTATGAACGCTAAGGATGAACTGGTTGCCAGGGGGAGTCATACGAAGTATACGCCTTACTTCTAACATGGATGATGGTTATGGAATGCTAACGGTGCGCAACAGGTACGTTGCGCTCGCGTGGAAAGATTCACAGAATATCACCGATGAGCTTTCTCCGCCACCGCAGAAGGCATCGTAATATCGACCTAGAATACTACAAGTAGGCAGCAGTAGCTGCTTCTCAGTACTGTATACAATATGTTACAAGCAGCGACATGGGGTATCTAGATGCAGAAATGCAGCAAGCCGCGCTAAGCAATGCCGACAACATTCTCCTGATCGGCCTCGTCAACATCGTCCATGGCCTCTTCCGCTTCTTCACCCTCTCCATCCTCTTCCAGCCCGCCAACAGTTGTCGCAGCCGGCGGCAGCATCTCAGCACCCTCCTTCAACGCCTTAATCTTCGCTTGCGTCATTTCATAGACATACTGCCCCAAATGCTCCACCCCGCTCATCTCTACCGACTCCACGTCATCCTCCAACAGCCTGGTAGTCGGATACATTTCGTTCGCCACGACGGCCAGCCTCTCAGGCTTCGCGAGTAACGCTCCGAAAGCCTCTCTAAGCTCAAGACTCGACTCGAAGACCTCCCGTCGACCAAGAACATACAAGCCCAACCTCGCCCGCGACAGCGCCACGGTCAAACGTCTGAGATCGCGCATAAACCCTACCCCTTTGGTCCGCACCAGACTCAATATGACATAATCATTCTGCTCACCCTGGTACTTGTCCACCGTCCCCACCCACCCAGGCATACCAAACAACCTCCCCGCCACACCCGCACCTTTGCACCGATGCGCCAACACATCCCTCACCAACGCCCTTTGCCCCGCATACGCGCACAGAATACTGATCTTCTCCGCCGGATACCCGAGCAAGCGCATATACTGAAACAACGCCACCGCGTACTCAGCCTCGCCAAGGTTCTGGAAGAAATGCGGGCTTGGCTCCGTTTCGCCACGGCCTTTGTAGTCCGGTACGGAGATGAATTGGTATTCGTGCCGGAGCCCTGCGTTGGCACGCACAAACTCCGGCGCGGTCGTCGTGAAGGAGAGGTTGGTGAGGTGGGGGTACCGCCACATGACCAGCTGCGCCAGACTCGGTCGGCTGCGGCCTTGCGCGTCGAGGATGGTGTGCGGGACGCCCAGCCTGATGAGTCGTTGAAATAGACTCTGCTCCATCCCCGCGTAGTCACGGTATGCTGCGTTCTGGATCACTGGCGCGTTTTGCAGGTGATCTCCGACTAAGATCAGTCTCTGCAAGCCTCCAGTCTCTTTCCTTCCTTGTAGCACCATCGGTACGAAGGCCTCAATCTCCACCATCTGCGCCGCCTCTTCCACCACCACGTTGTCAAATCCAACACCCAACCGCGTCATCTCCCGCCACCGCATAGCCGCGTACGTGGCTGTCATCGCCACGATCCTTGCCTCACTGACGAGCAGGTAGTCCATCTTATCTCTCTGGTGCCGCAGGATCTCCAGAGGTCGCATCTCAGCCACCTCCTCGAACATCTTGTCCATATGCCGCTCACAACCTCTCACAATCTCTATCAACTCCTCGCTGCTCGAGGCGGGTGAGAAGAGAGGATGCGGCGCGCTCGTGAAATACGCGTGGAAAGGGAAGGCTTCCACAATCCCTTCGCCGGCCGCAACAGCATCCCAGAATCTCTTCCACAGTGGCCGCATAATCACTTCGGCGAAGTAGCTTGCAGTCTCGCAGCTACCACCATGCGCTCCCACCGCCCCGATAGAGTCGGCCAGCCTTTGTACCTCCATCAATAATCCTGCCGTCCTTTCCACAAACCCCTCGAGCCTTCCCAGCTTACCCGCCTCCGCTTCAGACTTATCTCCGACCTCACCGTGGCCTAGACGTAGCAAATGTCGCTCATCAACGTGTCGTGAACCGATCTTGGCGAAGACTTGATCCAACGCCTGATTCGAATGCGCAATGACCAGCGTTCTCTGGCGCGGAAAGTTGCGGTAAACGTTTGCGATGATCTGCGTGGTGACGTCCGTCTTACCTGTTCCTGGAGGTCCAAGAATGAGAGTCAAGCCCGGCTGAGTGCCAGAGGTAATAGCTTCGATCTGACGCGGGGTGAAGCGGACACCACTACCAGTCCGCCTTCTGCGGCTGGGGGAATACGGTCCCGTAGTCGGCGGCTTGTACGTCGTGACCTTCACCGTCTCCGCGGTAGCAGATGGCGCAGGCTCCGGTCCATCCGGCTGATCATGACGGCGTTTCTTCGCTCGTGGGACCGTGGTATTGGCTGCTTGCGTAGAAGCCGTTGTCTCAAGGATATACGGAGGTGGAAAACTGCCCTCCATTCCCGGGTCGACTTCAACTCTCTTCCCTTCGAGCCCTTCGATTAGATGCTGCCAGTCTAGGAATGTATCACCGTAATCCACCCTCGCCACCCGGTTGGGCAAGCGCTTATAAGCCGCCGCACTCGGGTCGCCAAAGCCCAGAAACACATCCCGCAGCCAATCCGGTACGGGCACGTCTTGTGTCAGAGTCAGCTGCTTGATGTTGTCCAGCACGGCCTTGAAGGTATTCTCCCGCGCTCTCCGACGGAGAATCACGTTGATTGATTCCAGTACGTCGCCCTTGCCAGCATCTGCACGTTCCTTGTCGCGCTTGTACGCCGCGCCGTCCAGGCGCAGCAAGAGACGGCGTTGCCGAGGCCGAGCGAAGCCATCGATTTGATCTGCGGCCTCATGTTCGCGGCGAAGGACGCGGCCATTGTCGTCAAGCACGCTGATGACTTCCGCGCAGCGGAGGACTTTCACGCCTGCTTTTTCCGCCGCAGATTGCAAGTGACCATGAGCTGCATGTCCGTTCGTTAGAGATCTGTCATTGACAGCAGGTGGCTGCACGTCTAGCAGAAAGACCACGTCGCCTTCCTTGAAGCTTTCCCATTCCCGCCTCAGACCCGGCTGCAACCGACTTACGTCCAGCAAAACCTCCACTCGCACCTCGGCAGGCATCTCCTCGCCCACCCTTGGAGGTACAGTCTCGATTATGGCGGGTTTAGAGATGGGTATCGCCATCCTGGAGAACCCGTCAAAGCGAACCTGGCCGCCTCCTATGCGAAGCTGCAGCCGCTTGATGGTATCCTCAATGTGTTGGCGGACGACGCTGAAAGCTTCAGCGCGGTACAGCATGAAAGAGCGGTAGAGGAAGTCGCCTAGACTCAGATACTGCAGGTTCAACTTTGGGATGGGGAGAGGGTGCGAGCCAGTGTAGTTATCCGCGCGCAGAAGGATAGGGTCGTAGAGAGAACTTTCGGTGGGTAGGACTGGAGCGGCGCTGACGGTGGAAGTATACATCGCTTTGTGCTCGATGACGGTAGCAATGAGATCGTTGAAGAAGGTTCGATCGAGGATGATGTTGGATCTCTCTGGATATGTGGTTCGAAGGTCAAGGTGAGACGTGAGCTCGATGAGCTCAGCATCGTTCAGCACCTTCAGATGTGAGAGTAGCTCCTCCCTTTGGGCTAGCGAGCCATAATTGGATAGTACGAGAATCTTAAGCTTCTCCGGGTGAAGCTTGAGCGCCACGTTCTGCAGTCGCGCAATACGCGCGTTATGCGCTTCGTCGTGCTCCTGTTGGCTAAGCTGCTTGCCGTTATGATCGTCGATTGGAAAGTACATGTAGTGGTGCAACAGCTGATGCATCTCCCGAAGCAACGCGGCATCGTCGCCGTCCTGGTACAAGGGTGATAGAAGAGCCGCAGATTGCAAGTTCAAGTCCTGAAGAAGAGCATTCACGTATCGTCTCGTTGGAAGCTGGGCCAGCAGATCGCACATGAGCTCAAGAAAGCGTTCACAGAACTGTAGATTGTCGCGCCTCTGATCTGCCGAAGTATCTGAATCGTAAAGCTTGTCAATGCAATGCAGAACAAGTGTGTACAGCCAGCTCCTCTCGAAGCGCAGCTTGGCCTGCCCTGCTACATCTGCGTTTTCCAACCGCTTGGTCGCGGCCCGCCACGCCTTCTGCAATTGCGTACTCTTGTTCAGGCGCTCCTGGCGTGACTCGTCGCTGTGCAGATCCTGCCATATACCAATAGACACCAAAGGCTGGCACTCCCTTCGGACAAGCGCATCGTCCAGACTCTGGAAGGCATTGACTAGGAAGCTAAGCAGATGCGTTCGCAGACCCATCGACAGGCTGGAATCGAGACTCCAATGCGTGACTCTTCTGAAGAAACTGGAGAACTCATCTGGTCGGTCGGCGAACAGTGACCAGGCGGGCAGCTTCTCTTGTCGCTTGATGTTGACCAGCAATGCGATGAGGAGGACGTGGTGATTCGAGCTATCGTCACTGTAGCTCGGCCAGAGGTAGCGTTCGAGTGCTTGTAGCTGTTCGAGCAGGAGGAGCGCGTATGGCGCATTCGCATCGCTCTCTACCGCGTCCCATAGCCCTTGAAGTGTCTCTGGGAGGACTTTGCTCGGTTTGCTCGTCAACCACTGTTTCCGCGCAACTTGCGCAAGAGGGTGATCGCCCACAAGGTCGGCGGTCGTCGGGCGAGACATGATGAACTCCTCATCGTCGAGCCATTGCACTTGATACAAGATCCAGTTCGAGCACGCGACTCATGCAGTACAAAAGTTCCTAGACGTCGCGCTCGAGCCTTGCAAACATCGATTGGCTGGAGTGCACGGCCGCTTGCGGCTGGCTGCAGAAGCGAGCCCATTCACTCACGGTTGCGGGCTTCTGTTGGCGCTGTCCGAAGAGCACATAATGGAGGACGAGTTGCGCGACCCGTAAGCTTCTTCTGTCATGAAACCTACAACAAACAACAACGCGGCCACTGACCAGGGCCACATCCCGCCTTGCTTTGCCTATTTCGTTGATTCAACGCTTGCATACCGGAAGACTCGGCCGAATTGGTCGATCGCTTCGCAGGACCCTGCGAAAGCTTGGGTCCCTTATCTACACGCTAACTGTGTTACCATGTCACCTTTTCATGCATCCTCTCATCATAGCGTAGTAGGGCCAGAAGCTGTGGCTTCTGCGGATTCGAAAGGTTTACGAAGCTGAGTATTCATTTCCTTGTCTCATATCGCTACAATACCTCCTCATCTACCGGCCGGTCATCCCGTGCACCTCATGCTTCCCAGGACCTTTTTCTGGCGACCCACTAACTCAAGAGCATCAAATTGAGAATATCAGACTTGTCCGTAACGGCATAGCGCAGAGGTAGCCCTTGCACCATGGCATCGAACGATCCAGGCTTCGCGCAGGCCGCAGCGCCGGCTGTCGACCCAACAAAAGGCATGGTCGAAGCGGGCAAAGAGGGTTTGGTCGAAGAGGAAAGGCTAGTTGCGCCGGACCAGTTCGACGAACGCTACGAAACCAGCAAAATGGAGATTTGGGCTTACTATAGCTACTACATAGGCAACAACGGCCTCACCCTGTTCAACTTCGCGCCGACAGCAGCACAGAACCTTTTGTATCAGCAGGCGGAAGCTGTCGGAGGGCCGGACAATGAGTACTTGTTCTTTGCTGGTCAAAATAGAACGATCAACAGTATTATCTTACTGTGCAACGGAATCAGCTTCGCAATCCAGATTGTCATCTTCTTGTTGCTAGGCTCGTACGCCGACTTCGGAACATTTCGTCCAAACATCCTCATCGTCCTATCCATCATTGCTTGGGGTATTGGTTTTGGCTGGTTGGGCGTACATACAGTGGACAAATGGCAGACTGGCTTGGGACTGTACATCGTTGGATTAATCGCGTACCAGCTCTGCCTCACCTACTGGACTGCGGCATTCCCAGGCTTGGCCAGGAACACCAGGATCATGCGGGAGAAAGCTCAGCAATATGAGGAAGGCCAGATCTCGAGGGTAGAGTATGATTTCACGGACAGCATGAAGCGCAATGAGCTCAGCAACGTGGCTTTCTATACCCAGTCCGTAGGCGAGATCTTCATCCTTGCGATTATCGTGGGCGTTATGTTTGGCCTGCACGTCAACGCGAGCACGGCGAACAACAACTGGGGTCTTTCCGTGCTGATCGCGTTCGCCTCCGGTGTGTGGCTGCTTCTCGCAATCCCATGGTTCGTGCTTGAAAAGCGTCGTCCAGGGCAGGATCCCGGGATGAACATTGTCATTGCTGGCTTTTGGCAGCTTTACCGCGCAGCCACCCAAATCTGGCAGCTGAAGCAGAGCTTATTCTACCTGATCGGCTACTTTCTGCTGGGCGACTCGCTCAATACGACGGTCACGGTGATTGCGACTTTGCAGAACGAGATCGTAGCGTACAATACGCTGCAGTTGACTTACCTGCTCCTCGTCGGTATTGCGGCACAGGCAGTTGGCATTTGGGCCTTTTGGACCATTCAGAAGCGATACGGGCTTTCCACGAAGACGATGTTCAATGCTGTGGCGGTTGGCATCATTCTGCTTGATGGTTGGGGCATGATTGGGATATGGACGAACCGCTTTGGTTTCCACAATACCTGGGAAGGTGAGTATCGCTCAACAGGCTTGAAGAGGCATGTGGCTGATCTGCAACAGTCTGGGTCTACCAGGTCTTCTACGGCCTTGCCGTATGTCCGTGGTACAGCTACTCGCAGACGGTAAGCATCGGATCCGCGTCTTGACGTTGACAGAGAGGCTCAGTGCTTACAATCGCTAGATGATATCCGAAGTCACGCCCCGCGGAAAAGAGTTCCTATTCTTCAGTCTCTTCAGCATCATCGGCAAGACATCCTCGTTCATCGGACCCTTGGTGTCCAGCGCCATCATCGATAGGAGTGGGAACAACTCCACGCCATTTTATTTCCTCTTCGCGCTAAGCGTGGTCAGCTTCGCGTTCTTACTCTTCTTCGTCGACGTTGCGAAGAGCCGTGTCGAGCAAGCGCAGTTTCTCGAGCGGGAGCGGGCGGCAAAGGATAAGATGCGAAGCGAAGAGAGCTTGTAGCGCACAGTTCGTGCTTGAATTCGACGGCATGCTCCTGCAAACGCGGCACGATGCCATCAACTCCCACACAGAGCCCTCCGAAGTTCGCTGTAGTACTGCTACTCGAAATGGGCGATTTCGCGATTCCAGCAGATCTCGTGTTGCTTACTGCGTTCGTCCGTCCGAGGCTTGACGCGCTGAGGAATAGCGTATAACCCGAGCACGGGACAACGAGCCATCGTCGATGCATACGAGAGGAATCGTGCCTTACGCTCTTGGCGGATTTGGTGGACTTGGCGGACGCCTCATGGACGGTGATGAAGTGAGGTATGTGTGACCATATAAGTGACGTGCGAGTGATGCTTGCGAGTGAGGTCGAGATGGTCCGACCTACGCCGAGTCCTCCTTCAGATGTCTCATTTGGGGACGCAGTTCGCGTTTCTCGCGTTCTTGCCTTCTGCGAGAGTTGTGCACGCCACAAACGTCACTACACTACGGCAACCGATCGTGAGACTGATGCCCTTTGCACCGAACGTCCTGCAAAACAGTCGCACTCCACACCTTATTGAACTCCTTGCAGATCCCATGCGAGTGCTTCCCCGGCTAACACGGGAGCACCGACACTGACTGTCCGCTCATTACGCCGCTGGCGCAGTATTTACACGCTCGTGCATGGCTTGTATAGGGACATCCTTGGCCTCGAGGCCATCCAGACCCATCGTAGGCGTATCTGGGGTGCGCTCATGCATCGAGTCGGGAACAAGTTCGGGTGTAATCTGACGCACCAAGCTCGGCTTTGGCGGCGCAAGAAACGCCTTCGATGCTGTCGGACTCTTCGGGCTGTCTAGCTTCTCGAGGACGGAATCGCGCTTCTTCAGGACGAGTTCTGGAGATTCTAGCGCTTGACCGAAGCCTTGCGAGTTGGCGACCTGCTCGATTGACTTGAAGTACTAGGACACGTTAGCGTTTCCCACGAACAACACGACATATTGCTTACCTTGACAGTTTTGACTTGCAGCTCAAGCGTTGCGTCTTCGTCGACCACGATCATGGCATGCGGATGCATCTGTAAGGCCGACAAAGTCCACATATGCGAGATGCCCCCTTCGATACATTTCTGCAACGCTAGTGCCTTGTGCGCGCCAGTAATGATGATTAACACCTCTCGTGCCTATCGAGCCATCAGTCAAGTCCACGAAAATACATCCCGTCTTAAGACTAACGTCCATGACCGTCTGCACGCCAACCGTTAGCGCCATCTTAGGCACTTTGTTGAGGTCGTTACCGAAGAATCTCGAGTTCGCAATGATCGTGTCATAGGCCAACGTCTTCACTCGCGTCCTGCTGCGCAAGCTCGAGCCAGGCTCGTTGAATGCAATATGTCCGTCCGGGCCAATACCACCCAAGAAGAGTTCAATGCCGCCCGCACGCTTGATCTTCTCCTCGTATGCTATGCATTCTTCTTCCAGGTCCGGTGCGTTGCCGTTTAATATGTTGATGTTCGCGGGATCTACGTCGACATGGCTAAAGAAGTGCTTGTACATGAAGGAGTGGTAGCTCTCTGGATGCTCTCGCGCAATGCCGACGTACTCGTCCTGATCGCATTCAGTGGCCGCAAGGCACAAGCGCCGCCTAAGAGACTGACCATGTTGAACGTGACGACGTTCTTGAACGAGGTATCGCCATTCTTGTGCGCTGCAACCAGGTTCTTGTAGATGCCTTCGGGGGAGGAACCTGTTGGCAGGCCCAGAACGAACGGCTTCTCCGGAGTTGGCGCGAAGGACTTGATTCGGCCTTACAAGCAATTAGCGGTGTTCCCTGTTGAGCGCAGTGAGTCCTACTGATGATGTAGTCGGCTATGTATTGTGAAGCAGTCGCTTTGTCGTCTCGAATGATGAGTCTCCTAATGGTTGTTTAGCCCGAGCTGCTCCGCTCCCAGTAGCTGACACCCTTACATGTTGACTTCCTAGATGGACGCGAAGTCGCAGGAGCTGGGGATTGACTCGACGCCTGAAGCAGAAAACTCGAAGTGAACCGATCGCGTGAATGAGCGCAAACCTACCTTGGTGCCTTGAGGCTCGCTGAAGTTCTGCGCAACTACCAATGACGTTACACCTACAGATGTACACATGTAACATCGAGCTGACTGCGCGGTGGATCAACAGGCACCATCCGCCCTCGCACGTTGCAGTCAGCTTTCCCTATCAGCTAGAGCAGGCCAAGCATGCTGTGTGAGCTACAGCTCCCGAGGCGACGTGGTGGGGACCGGGAGGCTGCATGCAAGGCATTGTTCCCGAGTGCTATCACGCGACAATGTGGGTCCATACATGAGAGCTGGACCTCATCTCACCAGAGTACGACGTCTTGATAGAAGCGTTACATGTGGGCACAAAGACTCAAGAGGAGCTGCACTACATGCGTCACACGTGGCCTCTTGGCCTTGGACTTGGAAGTGGACACGCCCGCCCGCTGAATGCGGAGAAGGGTCAAAGTCAAATCCTTCTCGTATATCAACACTTGTACTCCATACCGTTTCATGTGGTTTCTAGGGTTGGACGGCCTGGCTGGAAAGGCTCTTGAAACGAAGCTTCAGCGTTGCATCAACCGGACGCCAACAAGGCCAATGTAAGCCACCAGTGAGAGTGGTGAGTAGAGTAGCAGGCCTTTGCCAAAGATAAGCACCTGCAGCCATTCCGCAAAAGCTGTCCAATCACGAGCGTGCATATTTGGCGCTAGCGCGACCCCCTCCACCCCTACGACGGTCTTACGGATTCAAGAGAGTCGTGAATCTCTCATGTCACCCTCACTACCCTTATTCACCTCGTATCGCATTTCACATCGCTTCTAGCCTCCAGTAAGGACATTACTGTCAGTATTCTTCAAGCTCCACCACGTTACGAGCATTAACCGACCCGACAGATTTGAGAGGAGGCACGCGACAGTTACTGACAGCATGTCGGGTGTCGACGAGGTGGCTGAGAAGGCCGTGCCCACCGGGAATGTTTCGACGAGCCCGAATCAGTCAGTCGATGTCGGTGACGTTGAGCTCCCCAGAGGCTGGATGTATCGCTCGCCCAAGATCGGCTCAATCAAGCTGCCATGGTACGCCTCGCCGGAGTCGCAGTTGATTCTGGTCGCCTTCGTGTGCTTTCTGTGTCCAGGTATGCGTTAATGAGCGAGTCTCCCGATTTATGGGATGATGCTTATCAGAATTCAGGAATGTTCAACGCCGTCAATGGACTCGGCGGCGGAGGCCAGGTCGACGCACACGCCAGCAACGACTCGAACACCGCTCTCTATGCCACCTTCTCCGTAATTGGCTTCTTTGCGGGTACCATCACCAACGCACTCGGCATCAAGATCGCCCTGTCCTTCGGCGGCCTCGGCTACACCATCTACGTCGCATCGTAAGTACAGCAATGTATGATCCCATCCAGGTTATCTGAGACATAGCTGACCGTCCTACCAATCAAGGTACCTCTCATACAATCACTCCGGGAACTATGGATTCATCGTCTTCGCAGGCTTCTTCCTCGGGTGCTGTGCTGGCATTCTGTGGGCCGCCCAAGGCGCGATCATGATGTCGTAAGTACCTTGTAGTAACGTAGAGGTTACTGTCAAGGTGATTGCTCCAAATTAACATGGTATCTACAGATACCCGCCAGAAAATTTCAAGGGACGCTATATAGCCTGGTTTTGGATCATCTTCAACCTGGGTGCCGTCATTGGTAGCTTGGTAAGGGAGTATTACATTGAGTCCAGATCACTGCTGACTCTGTCAAGGTTCCTCTTGGTCAGAATATCCACGTCAACACCAATAGCACGGTCACCGACGGCACATATATTGGCTTCATTGTACTCACATTCTGCGGCGCACTCTTGGCGTTTGCTCTTGTGGATGCCAAACACGTGGTCCGTAGGGACGGCTCCAAAGTCATATTGATGCAACATCCAACTTGGAAGACCGAGATCTTTGGGCTCTGGGAAACTCTCATTAGCGACCCGTACGTGGTACTGCTGTGGCCGATGTTCTTCGCATCGAACTGGTTCTACACCTATCAGTTCAACGACGTCAACCTCGCGCAATTCAACACGCGGACTCGCGCTCTCAACAGCTGCCTGTACTGGACCTCCCAGCTCATCGGCGCCAGCGTTTTCGGTTTCGCCTTGGATATCACCTACTTCAAGCGAACCACTCGGGCGAAGATAGCCTGGGCTGCGCTCTTCGTTCTCACTTTCGTAATCTGGGGCGGAGGCTATGCCTTCCAGACGGGCTATACCCGCGCCGAAGTTAGCGAGAAGACCTACGTCAAGATGGACTGGACCTCGAAGGGCTATGGTGGCCCGGTTGTATTATATATGGCATATGGATTCTACGACGCTGCCTGGCAGACTTGCGTCTACTGGTAAGTGACAGTCGTCGGGCAGGACCTCCTTCGCATCATGCTAACTCTGGCATTAGGTTCATGGGCGCCTTATCGAACAACAGCCGCAAGCTTGCCAACTTCGCGGGCTTTTACAAAGGTATCCAATCAGCTGGCGCGGCTATCTTTTGGCGCCTTGACGGCTTGCCCAATGCGCCGCCATACATGAACCTTCTCGCTTCATGCTGGGCGCTCCTTGCTGGATCGCTGCTTATTGCCGCTCCTGTGATGATTCTCAAGATCAAAGACACCACGCCGATTGAACAGGACCTCAAGTTCTCCGACGAGACTATCGACGATGTTGTCGCGCACAAGGGTGTAGCTCCAGGCGCTCCCGGGAGCGAGAAGATCTAGCCGCACTACGACTGGTTGGATTGAGACGTGGAGCCTCATTAGGAAGGCATTAAGGCCTCTCAACGGACAGGATGCGAACAGCGTATCTTTAACGACAACGTAGCCTTAAGGGCATTTATAGATTCAGGGAATGTCAACCTAGCAATGGCAACGATGTATAACGGCCGCAACGTAGCGTCTGTATAACCAAAGCATGTCGAGAGACTTCTGCAGTGATGTGCTGCATCGCCTATGTCATATCTCGTCGATGTTCCGTGCAACTACTCGTAAATCTTCTTCGTCGTACAATTTAGCACACCTGAAGGCAGCCATGGCTCAGGGAGGAAGCCACGCATGCCCGGGTCAAAGCTCCGCCGATCCCACGAAGCATCGGCCGAGGCCCCGCATGGTGTATCTTTCTTCGATGCAACGTCGAATCTACGACAGCGTAATGTAACGGCCCGCACCTCTCTACTGTATGCGGCTCGAAAGGCTCTGGGGACGCCAAAGTGCTGCTACTGCTGCTCGGCGCCATGCGGCAGCCACCACTTGCACGTAGGCGGACCCTCAACCGCCACCTCTGCGTTCTGTATGGATCGCCTTCTTATGCAACACCACTGCTTACAGCCGAGTTCCGTAACCGTGAACGTTGAGTTCCTCAAGGAAGTGCTTGTGCGACCGAGTATAACCTTCCCTTAATGCATTTGGATTCTGTACCTTCCGCATATGGACAGGTTCGAATGACAGACACTGCTGGGAACCGCACATTTTGCCAGAATGGATGGAGGACCAATAGACGGCGAGGCATTGGACACATCCATCTCGTAGGAAGTATTGCGATCGCTCGAAGAAGTATTCGCTCTGTAGGACCTGCGTAAGGATACGGAGTTCGACTCTATACATTCCCTGGCTTACTGTTCCCCTACCTTCACTGGACCTATAGGGCACGAGACAGAGTTCCCACAGAAGCCACCGGCCCTGGTTTCTACCTCACAAACCCGACAGCGGTGCGATATGAGTGTTGTGGTTGCCTCTGCGTTGCAATTCTTCCGTCCAAGAGTCACGAGTAGACGGAAACGGCCGTATCATGTGGTTCAGCGTGGGTATGAGAAGAGCATGGACGACTTCAAAGCAGAGGTGCAGCGCCTTTTGCAGGTTCCGACAGACGCCCGGCAGCTTCAGCAGATGTCTCACGATCTGCAAGCGGAATACCAGGAAAGACTGCAAACATGTGTCATCTCGATGCTGCCGTCATACCAACATACGTTACCGACCGGAAGAGAACAAGGCGACTTTCTGGCTCTCGATGTCGGAGGGTCAACGTTCAGGCTTGCGGTAATTCGACTGACTGGGAAGCGGAACGGGGAAGACGACTTGCAGGTCCGACGGATACGCAGCTTCGTCATTGACAAGAGTGTACGGGACCTGAAAGGTCAAGCCTTCTTTGATTGGATGGCCGAACGGATAGGCGAGATGCTGGCGGAGTACAATCACATCCAGGGCACCTCGAACGCAAGGTTACAGATGGGTTTGGCATGGTCGTTTCCGGTCGAGCAGACTTCACCACGCACCGGCAAACTGCTTGCCATGGGGAAGGGATTCTGCGCCACTCACGGCGTTGAAGGGCAAGATCTGAGTGAGCTCATCATGCGCTCCTGCAGAGCACGCCATCTGAATGTGGACCTGATGGCTATCGTGAACGATGGCGCAGCGACACTGCTTGCGCAGGCGTATCGAAACCCGTCAACACGGATGTCGCTCATTCTTGGGACAGGCACCAACGCGGCCGTCATATTGCCGGTTACGGCCATAGGTGGCGGCAAGTGGGGCGAGAGACCGGACAGCTGGCATGCTGCCGCCAAGCAGGTCTTGGTGAATACGGAGCTCAGCATGTTCGGGAAAAGGATCTTTCCACGGACGAGATGGGACGACGAGCTCAATAACAAACACATGCTTCCCGACTTTCAACCACTGGAGTACCTCGTTGCCGGACGCTATCTGGGTGAGATTGCGCGCTTGATACTCGTTGAGGCGGTCACTACCGTCGGTTTGTTCGACGGTCAAATGCCAGCGAAACTAAGCGAGCCTTATTCGCTCGAGGCCCGGACGCTGGCCGCTTTCCAGGACGACTCGTCACCGGACCTCAGTAAAGCGTGTTCTACATTCATACACGAGCACTCCATGCCATCGCCACCATCGATAAGTGAACTTACTTTTATTCGGGAGATCGCAGGGCTGGTCTCCCACCGTGCGGCAACCTACTTAGCGACTGCGCTGCATGCACTTTGGACACTGCGCCTGGTTGCTGAGGGCTTAGATGCAGGCTCAGTGGACCACGTTACCATCGCGTGCAATGGAACGATCATACAGAAGTACCCGGCCTTCCATCAATGCTGTCAGCGGCAGCTGGATGAGCTATGTGAGTTGTCTGGGGCGGCTAAAGGAGCAGCGAGTCTGGAGATGGCACCGGAAAGCTCCATCTTTGGCGCGGCAGTAGCAGCATGTTGCATCAATGACTCGGAAGCTCGCACCTGAGTGAACGTTTGCCGCAAACAGATAGCACCTCGGGGCCGATGGAGCAGATGCGGTCACGTATCGGTCGAACGATAATCACGAGGAGTACAGGTAGACCTGGAGCGTTGGATCATAGACCTTATGATAGAGTAGTCCTCATTGGGCATACCCGATGTCAGCATAGCGCATGGGGCAAGGGAGGTCCGGCCGGCAGGCTACCAATGTTACATTGCATATACAGGAGCACTAGTGCTACCACACGTGGTAGTGGAGCGTGATAACCCTAAGCATTGACAGTATTTCGGAGGCCAGAAGGCCTTCTTGATCTGATGCGCCTACAGTTGCTGTTTCATGTCTACATCTCATTATTTAGTGTCATGGTGGACAAGTTGCTTATTATGCTACCGTTAACCCGTGGTACGGTGTCATCTAAGCCTTCCAAGTGGGATATGGCCCGTGGAAGTCGTCTCCAGGGTAGCCGTGATGACCACCGTTGCTACCACCCCACCAATTCCATGGCCAACCTGGTGCACCGGATGTGGCAGATGCAGCAGCTGGGGAAGACGGCACCGCATTGCTAGGTGTACTGGCTGCTGCAGGCGTCGTTGATATTACGGTGCTGCTCGTATGCGAAGCCGATGTGGAAGTTGACGACGCTGCAGTGCCGGAACTGACTGGTCGTGTCGAGGATGCAGAAGGTGAGGCACTTGCAGAGCTGGATGTTCTTATCGACGATGCGGAGGCTGCAGCACTTACAGAGCTCGCTGGTCGTGTTGACGATGCAGAGACTGTACCGCTTGCAGAGCTGGCTGGTCTTGTCGACGATGCGGAGGACGTAGCAGATACGCCCGTGCTGCTCGCGCGAGACGAGGAACCCAGTACAGACGATGCTGCTACGCTCCCTGACGAGCTGATGCGAGACGTGGACAACGTTGTAGCGGTAAGAACGCTGCTGGTCGTAGCTCGCGAGCTTGATGCCGCCGTGGAGCTGCTGATGACAGGCGTAGAGGTAACTGAGCGAGAGGTCGACGGCGCAGCAATAGAAGTACCATTGCTGCTAATGTTCACTTGCGGACCATGCTCCTTATACAGTGTTGCACTGTCGATTACTGAACCGTTCTTAGAAGCGATGAAGTCTTGCGTCATGTGGGTTGCATTATGAAATGTGAGCCTCGACCAGCCATAATCTCGATCATCAGCGAATTGTGCATACGTATCGAAAGGTCTAACGAGGGTGTCGAGACCGTCGTAGTGGCCCGCAGCGCCGTTTGTGATATACCAGGGATATTTCGGGTTGTTGAGGCCTGCAGGATCAGATTTATTGGCGTACATCGGCAGGTTCCTCTGGTAAGCGTGGACGTGTCCAGAGAGCACCAAGTCAACACTGTAGTTGAGGAAGATGGGCTCGAAAACCTGCGAGCAGTTCCAGCAGCGAGAGGAGTTGGCGACGCTGACATACCACGGCCTGTGGCCCGCAGCGACGATCCACGGAGTCAAGCTTCGATTGACAGCTGCTAGATCAGCCATAAGCCATTGAGTCTGCTGGTTCATGTAGCCGAAAGGACCAGAGTTCTCGCCACCGCTTCCTCCGGGCTCGTCGGGTGCAACGAATCCGTGGCCGAGATCCGTCTCGGTATCAAAGTGAACGAAGTGCACCATCCCTACGTCGTACGAGAACCAAAAGTTGCCCAAACCGCCGGAAACGTCAGAGGGCATCCGGAAATGGTTGCGGTAGCCGGTGAAGTTGGTCTGACCGGGCATGCAGATATCGACGCCATACCTAACAATCGATGGGTAGAACGGTCAGCTATGCTTCAAGTCATCATGATGGAATGTACACATCACTCCGCTTACGTTGTGTTCGTGCCCTTGTTGGTCGCTCCTCCGTTGTCACAATTCGCTTCGTGGTTGCCTGGTGCGACCATGTACGGCTTGTAAGCGGTGACAGGTGCCAGCTCCTCGTAGAAGTCGTTCAAGATCCGCTCGTACACTTGGGCACCCTGTTCGACCGTAGTGTTGGGAAGATAGCCACCGATCTCCTCTTTGAGCCAGTAATCAGCATACGCGAGATCTCCGGCATGGAGAAGGAAGTCGTATTGCGACTTGAACTGCCTCAGAGACTGTATGGTGTTCACCTCGCCCGGCTGAAGAGGGTTGGCAGCACCGCTCCCCACGACTTCCGAAAGGCCGTCGCGGCCCATCGTGCCGAGATCCACCTATAACCACGAGTATTAGCGGAGCAATCATCAGATAGCGAGCAAGACCTATGCTATCTAGTAACCCACCACGACGGCTGCTACGTAAGGCGTGTGGTCGCCCGCGACGCGAGGTGTTTTGAACGAGAAGGGCGACACCACGTTCTGCCATTGAGGCTGGTAATAGTAAAGAGTATTCGGCTGGAGGCCAGTCAATCGGACGTGGTTGTTGTACGTCGTTGACGTTTGGTAGGTTATTGAGACGTTCGAGGAGGCGACGCGGTTAAGCGAGGTCGCGTTGGTGCCGTAGTATACGGTGGGATTTGTTATCTGCGCATAAGTGTTCCAGCTAACATACATGGCATTTGGACCACTGTATGCCAGGCGCACTTGTTGGGGTGTAGTCTGGTCAATAGGTTGCACAGTGGCCAGCTGGGCAGCTGCGAAGCCAGCGCCCGCGACGAGCAGAGCCCACGTTTTCGTCATGTCGAATGCAGAGCTATATGTGAAGCAAAGCAGAAAGAGATGGAAGCTGAGGTTACGGAACTGTCTTATTACCTTGCAAGCATGAGGAGGTGCTACGTGATCCTGCACCGGACAGAAGACCTTCGCATTAGCGCGTACCTTGAGCGAGGAACAGCAATGGCAGCTTGACGGAGGCACTCGGTAGCGCGTCGTGATGTATCCCACGTGCACCGGTCTCTCGAGCTGGTTCAAAGATGCATTTCTTTTGCTGGAAGAGAGACAGAACCGCCGGCACAAGCTTGCAGATTTTCTTGAACCCTGCCGAGCAAGCTTCGAAGCCGGCCTCGTTGATTGGCTGATGGATGCAGGTACAGCACCAAGCATGTCACTCAAGCCTACGAACTGGGTGAAGCGTGGGGGGCTTAGGATTTGCTTGTGTTAGGTTAGGCAGGGCCTCCGCTTGAGGCATGACGGACATGGCTGCGAAAGATTGATCGTTAGGCGGAACACAAACGCCGTGCTCGAATTGCAACTTGCCAGTCTGAATGGCTAAACAACCATGAGAGTATAGGCATTGAATGCCTTCACGACCCATGCTATTGTGCAGTGGAGTACAGCATAGAGGTGGCAATCTGCTCGTTGCCACGCCACGCTTTCACTGACTCCGCCAACGCCTCGCTTTAAATCAACTTCCCGTGCACGCAAAGACCCCTTGCCATCAAACACCGGAGTAAGGCCTCATATTCTCGAACGAGCCCTCACCACGACCGCTGTCCCCCGCCGCTGGACCCACCGGCTTCCTACTGGCGCTATCCGACCGCTTGCCATAGGGATTGGTGGCGTTCCCCGACATCTGCTGCATGTCCAACGGCGATGTAGGCGCAATACGGGGCAGTCGCGCCGAGAAATTTGAACCTTGCGAGATCTGATTGCGGATAGGAGGCTGATACGCCGAAGGCGAGTTCGAGAAGCCAGTACTCTGGTAGCCGGTCACGGATGGCTGCGCGTAATCTGCTGAGCCCACACCGGACGGCTCGGAAATGGTAGGCACGGAGGGTACCTGCAAACCGCGGGAAGACTCCGGGTATAGCTTGCGCTTGCCTTTTGTGCTTTGCCGATGTAGCAAGCCTTTGACTTCTTCGATCTCTTGCTGGTCTATGCTTGGACGCTCACCAAGCGTACTATCATCGTCCTCCCGCCCTGACGTCCATGCCTGATCGCGTGATGGGTCTATCGCGGGGTTGCGAGACGCCAGGTCACCAACGACCTTATTGTCATGAGTAGACAAGCCCGCAGCACCTGATCTGCCACTTGCGGTGAGACTGACGGTATTCTCAGAGTCTGTCATCTTCTTGGTCGGCACCAAGCGAGCGTCTTTCCTAGCCTTCGCCGCCGCCGCAACACTCTGCTTTGCCTGCTCATCCGAAACGGACACGTTATACGCCGGATTAGCCGCACTTCCTTGAGGATCACATCCACCGCCAGGCGGGTAGATAGGGACGGTTTTCAGCGCCGACACAAGTGCGCACATGAATTTTGTGCGCCTGGCTTGCCGGACGCTCTCATTTGCCCAGTTACTCTTGTGTTTGATTTCGACCTGCAGCTGCAGCTTGGACTGATCAGATGCGCCGAGGATGCCGACCTCAATGACCGGCTGGAAGTCTCTGCTGTTGTCTTTGTCCGTGACGAAGTTGATCAGTTCGTTTCTCAATATCTGCACGTCATCGAAGGTCGTGCCAAAGTCGACGTCGATTTCTAGCTGTTCGCTCATGGCCTTGCTGCGGGAGATGTTCTCAATCCACAGTGTGTTAAGGACAATGTTCGGTATTTGCACCGTCCGGCCGATGTTGGCGCCATTAGTTCTGCGGAAAACGCTGAAGAGGAGACTGATGTGCTCGACCACCATTTGATCCGCGTTGATATAGATGCGGTCTCCGACGTCGTAGGGGTGCTTGACGAAGACGAAGATGGAGCTACCGAGAACCTCCTGGCATGTCGTTGCGAAGACGAAAGACAATGACAGAAGGGCCGTGCCCGCGGTCGCCAGCGTCGTTACGAAGCTTCTGTTCAAGAAGGCTATGAAGGTGAAAACCACTGCAACAAGCACGACAGCGCCGAACAGACCGTCTAGGACGTTGATTGCCTGATCCACGTCGTGCATCGATCTGGCAATGGCTTTGCGCTCCCGTGCGTATTCTGTCACCATGAGGACCATCTCGTCCAGCGAAATGTCTCCATTGCCATCCTGGTCGAGAGCTGCGAACGCTTCTTCAGCCTCTGTCCTTCGGTCCGGGCCAAGCACGTCCAGAAGGTCGTCTTGGCGGAGTTCCTCATTGCCTTCAACCACCAAAGACGTCCAGATACGCTTCGCCAGCGCCTCGGCGGCAGCCGGTCTCTCTAGGGCCTGGACAACAATAGAGTGTGCGCCATTGGGGTCAAATATATGCTTGCCAGTAACTTCATGCGCGACTTGTCCGAAGGCCGATGTGAGCTTGTCACCGTACCTACCAATGTCGTGAAGGACACGCATTGGCGTTCCGGAGCCGGACCTCGCATGGCGGCGACCCTTGCCATTCAGACCTAGAGTAGCGAGCTGGTCTGAAATGGTGTAGTCTTCCTCGGCAAACTCATTGCAATAGGACGGAAACAGTGTCCTGGAGGCTTCGTACAACAAGCTCAGCAAATAGATGTTGCGCTTCGATTCTTTGATCCGGAAATGAAACTGTTTCCGATGATAGTCGATTGAGATGAGCTGGATAATGGTCTTCTCACTCAGGTAAATGAGCGACGCTACTGTGGCAGCGCCCAGAATCTCCTGAACAATCACCTCCCAGGGTCTGAGGCTAGAGTTCGGCACGTCCGGATTCTTAGTCATGACTGGCACGAACGTAGCCAGAGATGCCACTGCCCAGCCTACAAGGCTGAGCGGTATTTCCAAAGCGCGCAAGACCAGCGAATACTTGCGGACACCCGAGGAGACGAACCCAGCAAAAATCTCGAAGAGATTCGGTAGGCAGTGAGCCACAATCTTCGACGCCCATAAAGAGGCCCAGACCACCTCCACCCATACGAAGAACCACAGTATCCTCACGCCGCCGATCTTTGCGTGTGGTGCGGCTGTCGCTCCGATCACGATAGGGACCGCAATGCATGCTGCCACGGGTAGCACGTAGAGCAAATACCGTATGATAGCACTCGAATCTCTGACCTTTTTGTACATCCGTCCCATCATGTTGATCGTATCTTCTTCGCCGTCGTACCCAACATGACCGGTCCTGGCCTTGTTAGGATCTTGCTGCCGCCGACGGCCCCTGAATAGTGGCCGCCTCTCTTTGTTCGGAGAGTCATCGCTTGTAGACGGTCTCAAAGGGGTAATGCTTTGATGTCCAATCGTGGCTTCACGGCCGTTTGCTGGCACATTCTCCAAAGGAATGTCAATCGTAGCGTCGTTCGAGTCGGCCATGTTGCTTTGGTGCGTAATCGGTATTGGATGGAAACCGTGACGGGAGAAGTGTGCTCGTCTAGGCGAGTTCTGTGAACGTAGAGACATTTTGTTCAGTCACGGGAAGGAGAGTGAAGCGACGAACGCGGTGGAATGTAGGAGAGCTTCAGTGACTGGCGGACACTGGGCTTGCTCCCAGTCGAACTGCTTGATCGACGGTCCTGAAACGACCGTAATCTCGGTCACGATGGAAGAGATCAGTGAACTGCGATAAAGAAGAGAACAATGTGAAAGTCCCGCCGCTGTTACCGTGCGTCTACGCTCCCTACCCACTGACAATCCCACCAGCCGTGAATACGAAGTGAAGCACGATTGCTGCATCAAAATTCGAAGCACTCCGCACGGTTGCGTAGATCGGCGCCACTGATGCACGGCTTCTGCAGGACGAAGCCGCTAAGGACGCCACAACGTTTGCTTGACGCGGCAACAAGCGCAGGACATCCAGCTAAGGCAGGGACAGTATTTGATTGAGATATTCACCAATCCATGGTCAGTTGAAAGATGAGCGCACAATGGTTCACGCTTCGTATTTATTGCGGGATATGAACTGTACTGTACGTTGGTTATCTGGCTATAAGAAAGCACACCAGCCGATGTACATGCCTGCCAGATTCGCAGAACTGGTAGCCTCCTGGATTAGCACATCAACGTAGCCTTCCACGCCCAGCGGTACGTTCTCGCCTGTATACAAGCCTTTGAGCTTCGCACCGACACTGTCTAGAATCTCCTGCGGCGTGTTCGGCACGCCTACCATCGCGTCTCGCTTCTTCTTCACGAAGTCGGTGGTCGGGTCGTGCAAAAATGTTTCCAGCACCGTCATCAGGGTATCCTTGTTCTGCCGCAGCAACGCCAGCGTGAGCTCGCTCGACCTCCTAAAAGGGCCCTCATAGCCGTAAGCACCCATTGCATCGACCATGTTGTGCGTAAGGCGGAAAGGTACCAGCTCGGGCTTGTCGAAAGTCTTGCCTTTGTCGAACAAACAGTTGAAGTCTACATGGAACACGCCTCCTGTACCCTCCTCAAGCAAGATGTTCTCGCCGTGACGATCACCCAACCCGAGCATGTGGCCCGTCATCGACATCACCGCAGCCGACCGAGCATAGCGTAAGCGAGCCGTGAACCATGTCTCTGGGTCTGGGTAGGTCTCGGTGAACCACTCGTGCAAGACAGCTGGGAACTGGGAAAGCACATCATCGGTAAAGATGTGGGCATTCTCAGGGCCCTTCACCGAATCCAATCTTTCTCGGATCTTGTTGTAATCCACCCGCACGCCTTTGCGTGAGTACAGGTTCAGCAGGATGTCGCGTAGAGGCTTGATGCCTTCCACCCACTCAAGCGTACCAGATTCTTCGCTGAGTGGCGTGACAGCATAGGTCTTTATATATAGTCGCCGCTTGCTGCTCTCCGGGTCCCGCTTAAGTGCGCGGTTGATGATGCCGTTGAAGTCCATCAGACGCTGATCCTTCCGCAAGTCGTCCTTGGGTTTGCAGAGCAGGCCATACATCTTTCCGTCTGAGCCCCGAACTGTCACCTTCTTCGGTCTCTGAAGAGAGCTGAGGACCAGAACATCGTCCGAAAAGCCTTGAATAGTGATCTTTTCTTGTGCGAAGGCTTTCTGACGTCGAATGGTGTTTACATCTCCGACGGTGGGCAAGTTTGCGGACAGCGTTGCCTCCAGGGGCACCACAAGCGGGATAGGCGCCAATTTTGTGTTGAACATGAGATCTCGCGAAAGGCTCACGCGTGTCCGACGACTTTCGACAGGCTGCTCGCAGGCTTGTAGTAGTGCATCGGACAGCTTCTGACTGTGCACGATTAAAGCCTTGATGTCCAATCCGTCGCCTTTCCCCTGCTTTCTGGAGTCTTTCAGCTTATTCAGTAGCTCTTCCGCCCGTGCAGCCCTCGTACGGTCTGTCGCCTTGACCACAGGCAGCACATACCACATTGCTTGGCTTGGGTGTGCATTGATGATCCTAGTCATGCAGTTGCATAGCTGCTTCCAGACTTCCTGATGCGGGTGACTGATGCGGGAGAGCATTTGTGGGAGTGCTGTGTAGAAGACATAAGGTGGAATGCGCTCGTAGTATTTCTGAAATTGTCTGTTGACGGCCTGCAGAGCTTTAGTCCGTCTGTCCGAGAGCTCCTGATCCTTGGCTGGGAGTTTCGACAGCGCCTCCATGCCCAGGTCTAACCAGAGAGTAAGGACCTTCGGTATAGTCTCGTGCCAGTACTTGTTGCCAAATGGTATTGATCGCATGAGATTCTCGATTACAGACTTTGTCATTTCGCCGCTCTGGAAGTTTGGAGATTGCTTGCTCTTTGCTAGTCCCCTTTCTACCTCAAGTAGCTTCTGATAGTGCTTGCCAAGATAATAGTGGCCCTTCTCCCACTTCTGAAAAGTCTTCGCGGCATATTGGTACCGCTCAGTCATGTCTTTTGCTTGGCTTTGGCCAGAAGCGTCAAGCCACTTAGCGAGCTGGAGGTACGCTTTACCAGCGGTCAGACTTTGCGGCGGGCCATTACTTGTGGCCACGCTGTTCTCGGGAGTCTCATCTGCGGCACTTTCAAATATGCCAGTGTTTATGGACGCTTCAAGTGCTTGTATGGCTTGCCGTTGGTGGTTGTCGTGCCACAACAGCCGCGCTTCCTCCAGCTTCGCTGCCTGATCTCCACATGAAGAAGCTTGTATCACAGCGTTATAGGCAGTACGAGTGTTGCCCGCCTTACGTGCCAAACGGGCTGTGGTCAACCATAATGCTCCAGTCTCCGGCCTGGTGAAAGTGTTGTCGCGCACGCGCATAAGTGCACGCCTAACACCAAGAAGATACTGCTTCTCGGCATTGTAGGATCCAAGAGCAGCTAAGCGCCTGTCGCCATGTTCAAGGAACCGGTTGCGTATCTGCTCATCACAACTGCTAATCGCTTCGATCTCGTACAACGTATGGAGCTTGAAGAGATCTGTGTGGGACGCTTGCACTGAGTTTGTGGATGATTCTGTCATTGACTGCACGATGGCGGTGCGCATCAGACGTAAGTGGCCTAGCAGCGATTCATCGTCGGCAGCAGAAGCTGCCGCCACCAGACGACCAATGCCAGTGCTCAGCTGACGCGGGTCCTTGTCCGATATATCTTCTAGGCATGCCCTAAGACGCATTAGGTCTCCGACCATCCATGACGATTCAACGGTCAGCGGCACTAATTCATGGCGATGGGGTGCCTTCGACCCTTCCGTGAACGCCTGCGTATACCGCAGTAGAGGCGCATACTGTCCGGTCTCCCGGAAGCAATGCAGCAGGCTCATTTGGAGTCGAGTGTTATCCGGCATTTCTGCCAAACGAGTCTCGTACCAGACCGACGCTGCCGTCCATCTTCCGGCTTTGACGTGCTGCATCGTCTGTTGATCCTCAGTCAGAAACGTAAGATGCGTCCCGAGTCCTTCAAGTCCATCCGGCTCGTCGATGCAAGCGTAGATGCTATGTAGCCTCTCATACGCTTCTTCGTCTTCCTGTGATAGTCGCGTGGAAGGAATCAACGCACGTTGCTGACGGATAAATTGCTCCCAGTGGAACAACGCACGAGCGTACGAGCCGCAGTCCACGGCCCGAGTTGCCAGAGACTCTGCAGGAACGGAAGCCAAAAACCGCTCTATCTCCTCTATCTGCGCAATGTCTGTGGCCTCGTCGAAGTCGGTGGGCGAAGGGTGACCGGTCTTGTAGGCCTCTGCTCTGGTCTGTGCGAGGATTTTCTTCTTCTCCTGTAGCCAATTCGCCATGTAGTCGAGGATGCTGAAGACAGACTCCGCGCTCTGCTTGACGTACTCGGCCTGCGTACCGGCTACGGGTTGGCATTTCAGGACAGCAAGTATTTCCGCACGAATGTCGCTAATGTCGGCTACAGTGCCGCCTAATACCACATTCAAGGCGGCGTATGGTAATATGAAGCTCGCGATAGCGAGGTCATTGTTCCGCACCAGACGAGCGATCAGCGGGAAGATCATCTTAGCGTTGTCGCCCTTGGCCCGCCACATGAGGTCGTACACTAAGGAGCGAAGCCAGCTGCCATAGTCGTTCACAGGCGAGAAGCTAGGATACAGCCGCTTGACTGGATTCTCGATCTGGTTGAAGACCATGTAGGCAGAGCTCAAGAACGGTGTGAGAGTTATACGGACATTCTCCGGTAATGCTAACCATCGTTGCTGTGCCGCCGGAAGTTGCGATGAACGTGTCCTTGCGGCAACCTCGCTCGTGAAACCGCAGAACTTTAATAGCTCTTGCATGACGAAAGCCAGGAAACCCTGAGCACGCGAGTTGGTCACGGATCTGAAAGCCTTAACGAGGACTTGCTCGAGGAAAGTCAGGACCCAGTCGACGGCTTCAGTGGCTTTGCCGAAGTTCGAGAGCAGCATGACCTGCTTGCGGCGATTGATTGCTTCAACGCGGTTCGGGTCCGGACAGCCGATGATACCCAACGCTTTGCCGCACAATTCAGCAACATCGACCTCCGCTTGGGCATGTCTGGTGGTGACGTCCAGCAAGGCTCGGAAGAGATCAGACAGTACTTGTACAGGCTGCTCGCTCGCTGCGGCGTCCAGTATGAACTCCTGGTTATCCGTTAAAAATGGTACCAATTCCTGTAGGGCCTGGTGTACTACAACCGAGCTCTCTTCCCTGAGGCGGGATACAAATGCGCGGCAGCGACTCTCGGCGCTTCCGAGATCTTGCAGTCGCTCTATCTCCGCTCCGAATTTCGATAGCAGGGGAATTGCGCGGAGGGAAGGGAGTTGCTCAACGCTGTCGTGCATAACCTGGTTGTGAGTGTTTATTAGACCACCGATGCAGTCGTGGATAGCAGCGTGTATCGACCCTGGCAATCGTGACCAATGTTTTGCAACGAGCGCGAAAGTCTGGTTTAGCATAGTAGCTATGTCATCAACTTCTATTACAGCCAACAGATCTAGCCAAGCCGAGAAGGCGACGTCGCGAAGATATGCATGTTCCATAGCAGACTGGAGAGACGCTCTAAGCTGCGGAAGCGCCGTGCTAACGTGCTTTTTGGCCAGGTGGATGAGGTCACTGATGGCCTTCAAAGCGCGTAATCGCTCAGCGGTGGTCTCAGCCGCTTGTGGTCCGTCGAGCAGTTGCGAGAAATGCGCCATTATGCCAAGCACATGTGCCTCAAGAAACCCATACAGGGCCTTGTTGCCCTTTCCATGATTCTTTGACTGACCTGGACGGCGATCAGTCATGCATGCGAAGACTTGTATCGCGCGATAGAGGCGCGACTTGCGGCTCTCCGATGCATCTGCGGAGCGCTTGAGCAGTTCGCAAGCCACGAGGACCAGATCAATTCTCACAAGATCAGCAATGTCACAGCCCTCAAAGTCCGAAGAGACAGCAGCCAAGGTTTGGACGGTAAACTCCTCAGGATCGTCCACTGGCTGTGTGAGCAACAGAGCAAGTATACCAGCCAAGTTCTGCTTTGGGTGCATGCAGAGTTCCTTCACGGATCCGCTCTCCCGCGTCCTGGCGATCCTGCGCAGAATATCTTTCTTCCCAGCCAGTACCAGAGCGGGCACGGTGTCTTGCTGCGTTACCATGAGGAAGCGGTCCAAGTCCATGTTAAGCAAGTCACACACCTGCTGTACCCTCTGTGGGCGGTTGAACAAATCTTGTACGATCGACACTGCGACACTGCTCCAGTATGGTTTGAAAATTGCCTCTCGGCTTTGCATCATAGCAGCTGCGACTCTCTCAACCTCTTCGAAAGCTGTCGCCGCGACAAGAGAGTTCGGATGTCCAAGGTACTCACTTAAACGGAGGAGGGCCAGGTTACGCTCACGATCACCGCACACGACGGCAATCTGTCCCCAGGCCGGAATCAGGGTCTCATGCTCGCTCGTCTCTTCGCGGTCTGACAACGTTCGCAAGTACTCTACAGCGGTGTGTCTATTCCGCTGCAGAAGCTCCTGTGACAGGTCAGAGTGGAGAAACATTGGCAAGCACTGACCGGCAGCGATGCGTAATTCTCGAAGCGAGCTGTGCAACGATGCCAGAATATGCTGTCCTATTGGGCCTTCGGCAAGATCAAGCAGACCTGGCTCCTTGATCTGTCGAATGCAGACCTGTATCACCGCAACGCTCAGCACACGTGGCTGCAAAGTATCCTTGAAGGAAGGTAGCTTGATGATCTTGGCTGCGAGCTGCAAGATGCACACTGGACCTTTTGGTGCCAATTCCGCAAGATTCTTCCACACTTGGCATTGCTCGTCCTCGGTAAGCTCGCCGTACTTGAGACTGTCTCTGCTGCACAAAGCGTCCACATCTTCAGTTTCCGCTCCAGCCAGAAGCTTACTGACGTCGACCAGAGGATTGCCAGATGCCTTAGAAGCTTCGCCGTTGTTTAGTTTCCTGCGCTTCCTGCGGCGTGATGTAGAGGCATGCGATTGCGTAACGTCGCCGAGCTCCTCGAGGAGGCGCTGAAGCTCGCCGTCCGCCATTGTATTATCCTGTCGAAAAGCGTCACGAAGCTGTACAACATGGTCTGGTAACTCCGCGTCCGGCACAATATGCGACAGCCAAACGGCCACTGCAATGCGAAGATCATCGTGCAGGTGCTTAAACTTGTCTTCCATGGCGAGCGTTTGTACAGTTGGCAGTAAGGACTCATTAACCTGATAGTCACAATTCCGCAATGTAGCCATCAATGCGGCGGCGGAGTCCTTTTGCACCGCTACCGAAGCAGTGCTCGAGTTGATGCTAGACAACAATCGTTGCAGCACTGATAACCCGCCCGTTGAGCGCAGCAGGAGCTTCAAAGCGAAGTCCCATTGATGGCCTCTTACCAGCGCAGGCTGTAGCTTCCAGAGTAGTATTTCTAGACGCATATAAACGTCACTTCGCCATGTCTGACCGAAGCTTGTGAGTTGAGACAGAGTCAATCCTAGCATAAACGCATGTAGATGGCTGTCAATGATGCATTGATAACCTTGAGGTAGGACGACAGCAGACTCGGCTGGTGTCCAGAGCTCCGAGATGATGGTGTGAGACGGGACACTTAGCTGGAAATGCTCCGTTCGACTTGTGGAACGCTCCACCGCGGTGATGGCACTGTCAACAATATCTCGACACACACGCTGCAGCACCTCTGCACTCCGCCACAGCTCCGTCGAAGCCGCAACGATACGTATGGCGAATTCCAGTAGGGAGAACACAGGAACATCTTCACATCTAGGTCTGCCGCAAATGGCAGCCAGCCTTGCGAACAGCGGCAGGCAAAGTAGAGGCCCATCGTCACTAATAGGCGTGAACAGCGTCTGAGGCTGATGCTTGATGGTCTTCTCAATAATGGCCACAGTATCTCTGGCTTGGGCAATCAGCTCGTTCCAGTCCGCGAACGGGTTGTTGGCCGTTAAGGGACCTAGGCCAGCCTCAGCGCAGACACTGATAAGCTTAACGTTAACGTGCACATCAGTCTCTTGTGCAGCGTTCGGGTTGTGCAGAAGTTGCTGCAGCAAGTACTGCAGATGCTTGGCGGCCTGGTCTCCATCGCCATCCCCACGCTGCTGAGCTGCTGGCCGGCCATGGTTATGTACAATCTGTGCCGCAAGAGTCGATGGCGGCGGAGCTACTCCATTTAGCTCAGAGGCCCGTCGAGCCATCGCGCCATCCTGAAGAAACACTCGAAGAGGGTTTGCATGTGGGCCTTCGTGAAACAGAGATGTTGAAGTGGACATCGAAGCTGCGGCGGCGCGTTTCGGAGGACGCGCGCTGTCACGTGACGTGCATCTTCTCTTCACCCCCAATAGCACGACATCAGTACAAAATGCAAGTGCCGACAACGAATTTAACGATGCTTTAGCACACAATCCAACCATCATGGCAATCTTTCAAGCCAAGAAGTTTCGCCCTAGTTCTTACAACTCCACGGTCGCCGCTCGCTACCGCGCCGCCTTGGCCAAGCATCCTTTTGCCCTGTTTGGTCTACCCTTCATGATGACAATGGTACTGGGCTCCTTCTTCCTGACTCCAGCGACCGCATTGAGATACGAGCGGCACGACAAGAAGGTCCGGCAAATGTCTGAAGAGGAGGCGCTGGGCATCGGCAAGGATCGGAGGAGGATTGATCTGGCGGAAGAGTACTATGTAAGGCAGCAACATCGCGAGGAGGTGTACCTGGTCGAAGCTGACAAAGTGATAGAAATTGGCCGCCAAAGACCTTGATAATTGGGAGCAAAAACGTGTGAAACGGTTACCGGGCGAGCATGACGGCATACTGTGAAGCGTTCACGGTTCATGAACATTTCACAAGCTCCTACAGGACTCTCGGCAGCTGGTATACTCACAATGACCTTGGGATTCGGTGTCACAAGCTGGAAAAGACGTGAGCATTCGAGATCGGTTAGCGAGACGCCTGGCGCATTTCACGAAGCCAGCATTACAGTGGAGAGATGTGCAACAAGAGGAGTTTTTGAGCTTCAAGATACTGGAGTAGACAGGACTTGCACCTTACACCACGCTTCACGCTCCGCCGAAAGCCGAACGCTGTCCGTCATCATCATCACATCACGTCAACACCTAGTTCGCCACCCCATTACTCTTCGCGGAACCATTACCAAGGGCCACTGGGCTGCCAGTGACCGCAGGACTGCCGGGCATGGGTGTCCTGCAAGCCTTGGGCCTGCCGCTTAGAGTGTCAACCACATCTATCAGGCCCATCCAGAACTCATCCTTGGGTCTCCGATCCTTCCAATCGGTCTCGTCCTTCTCGATCTTCTCCATGGCTGAGAATTTGACCCGTGCGCCACGAATGCCAATAACACTCGCGCTCATCGGATCGTTTGCGATCTCGTCTTTGCTCTTACCATAGAAGCTTTCCAGATACTGGAGCGACTTCACGCCGAAACGGACGGCACGCACGCGGTCCATTGGCGAGGGTGTGCCGCCTTGTTGGACATGGCCAGGCACGGCAAAGCGAGAGTCAAAGCGACCGCCCGACTCCTCCTTGATGATGTTGGCGACCACCTCGGTCGTGTAAGTGCTGCTGGCCTTCTCATTGCGAAGGATGATCTTACCGGACCTCGCATGGCCCTTGTCTTGAGCGAACTGGTCCTTGAGGAACTTGATGTCCTCCACAAGCATGTTCAGGTGAATGCCTTCCTCGGGCGTATAGACCGCAACCGCGCCAATGCTGAGGCCGGCAATGGTGGCTATATACCCTGAGGCACCTCCTTGGGTCTCGACTACGAACACCCGCCGCCGACTGGCGCTAGCAGACTGCTTGATGGCATCACAGTAGTCGATGAGGGCGTTAAGGCACGTGTCGGAGCCGATGCTGTATTCTGTGCCCGGGACGTTGTTGGAGACCGTGGCTGGTAGGACGACCATTGGTATCTTGAAGGCGTCGAAATCCCTTCGTGCTTTCCGAAGCTCTGACACCGCCGTGAAGGCCTCGAACCCGCCGACTACGAAAAGAGCATCAATCTTGTACTTGTCGAAGCAGTACGCCGTCTTCTCCATGTCTTCAGACGGCAGGCCACGGTTCGTGCCAATCTCGGAGCCACCACGCGAAGCCCAGCTTTCTGCATCAAGCCAGTCGAGCTCCCTGACACTACCAAGCGGCTTGTCATCGTGGTGTCGGCAAAGACCGGGAAAGCCGTTGTATAGCGCTACAGGTGTGTGGCCCTTAACCAGACAATATGCGACCGCAGCTCTCGTCGCTGCGTTCATGCCACCTGCTGGTGCGCCGACATGGATGATGCCTACGCGCATGCGCTTCTCTTTAGGTAGCAGCATGTTCTCTGCTTTGTCAGTTGCCGTCGTGATGTTGAAGGCCTCGAGAAACTCTTCGAACTCCGCGTCCCTGCCCCTCATAGCAGCAGCAAAGTCACGCTTCTCGATGTTGGCGGCAACCTCCTTGGTTTTTGCGATTGCGTCCAGGAGCGGCTTGCGCACGATCTTGTTCTCCACTATGCAGATGACTGGGGATGGTGTCTCTGGCGTGCTTTCCAACACAGCATTGACCGCCTCCACACCTTGCAGCGTTGCAAGCATGCGATCATAGCAGCAGGGTGGACCACCACGTTGCACATGTCCAAGCGTAGTGACTCTCGTATCAAGTCCTACTTTCTGCGACAGCAAGTCTTTCACCATGCCGGCCGTGACAGGGTTGAGTTGTCTGTCATGCGCTCCTTCTGCCACCACAATGATTGTCTTCCGCTTGCCCATCTCACGGTGTTTCTTCACGATACTAAACATCTCTGCCTCCCAATTCTCGCTCGGTGGCTTTTCTGGGATGAAAATAAAGTCCGCTCCACAGCTTACGCCAGCCATGAGAGCCAGCCAACCACAGTGTCTGCCCATGACCTCGATAACGAAAGCGCGCTGATGTGAAAAGGCCGTCGCATCGATGTAATCAATTGCTTGACATATTCGCTGTAGCGAGCTGTAGCACCCTATCGTCGCATCTGTGCCGCTAAGATCATTGTCAATCGAGCCCACCAAGCCCACGATATTCAGGTGTCTATGAGACTTGACCTCCTCTTTCGTCCTCTTGCCTGTTGACACGAGCTCGTCCATCAGGCTCGGCCACTCTGCTCGGAATTTGTCTGCTCCAGTCAAGCTGCCGTCACCACCGCACACTACTAGTGCATCGATGCCCTTCTCAATCATGTTGTTTGCGGCTGTCAGCCTGCCCGCTCGCTCCATGAACGCCTTACATCGTGCTGTACCGATCAATGTGCCGCCTTCAGAGATCCACCCCCGTACATCTTCCCAGCTCATTTCCTTGATCATGTTCCCGCCGTCCACCAGACCTTGGTAGCCCTCATAAACCGCATATGCTGTACATTCTGACGCCAGTGTCTGGCGCACAACTGCTCTGACAGCCGCACTCATACCTGGAGAGTCGCCTCCAGAAGTCAAGATCGCTATGCGCTTCTTGCCCGTAGGCATCGCTGGCGGTGTTAGATGCACCTCTGCCATCCTGGGCAGACACCTATGCTGATGCTTGATGACACCGGTGCTTCGAGAAGGAGAGGTTGCTAGGCAGAAGCTGCGGAAGGCGTGCTTGCCAGGAGCTGCGGAGCGTCGAGCTCCTTGCAGGCTCTTTGTACGATTCGCAGTGAATACTGGAGGCTATCTGAGGAGCAGCTTCAGTGCCCCACGTCACAGTCGTGGAGCTGGTCAGAACACAATCGATAAGCGGTCGTACTTCGGTCGATGGTGGGCAGAGCTATTACATGTATCTTGCCCGGTGATGGTGCCGACTCTCGCATTCCTGTACCAGGTTACTGCAAGTACGATGTGGTAGCAATTACAAGAAGCAATGCAGCCGTCCAGGGGCCTCACCGACACCGCCCTGCGGTAAGCTCAGACCACCGGAACATTGTCCCTCGGCCACTCGGGACGAAAGAGTTGTGATTGTGCAGATGGGGAAAGTTTCTAGATGGTTGTGAAGCCTTGCGTCCTTTCCAGATCACGTCAAACGAACAGTATATGCCGCAGACACACAAGCATGGTCCGGCGTGCACACACTGGCTAGGACAACAAGGATACCGGACTTGGTCCACAATTGAATGAGAGTGAGCTATCTGTGTTACTGGTATAGGCTCATGCCGGTTGTGAGACTTAGGAGCCCGGCCGCTGTGGTCTTCGCCGCGATCCCCGTCATAACTTCGGACTCTTTAGCAAAATCATCACCACCCTCTCCCTCTACCCGACCAGTTCTTTGCATGCTTCCAGCAATGACTGATTTGGATTTGAAGAGTCTCCTGAAGCCCAATTTATCTTCTTGGTTGGGGAGCTGAGAGCCAAAGATCCAGTTTCACTGTTGACGGTGATCCAAATCGCGGCTTCTGCACCTTCGGCACTTGTGCTCTTTGTAAGTAACGCTTCTCGAATATTGCACTTCCAGCCTTCTCCTAGGGCCGGATACAGCAAGTCCGCAAGCACAGATGCCAGCACCTCATCGAAGGCTTGCCGGGCCTCTAAAAAGCTGTCGAAGCGATACGCTTGCTTGTGGAACGGTCCGTCGAGAGAGTACAGTGTTCCAAACCTACTAGCGAGTGTAGTCTCCAGCTTGAGCACTACTTGTTCAGAATCCCTCAAACTGAGAGTGATCTGTGATAGCCATGGCTTCATGAGTGCAGCCATCAAAGCTTCTGAAGTAACAGCATCTTCCAAGGTTGGTGGTTGGAAGCTTGCGCGCTCAACTTCGTGTGCAACCTTCGCTCCGGTGAGCAGACTCTGGGCGCATGTTACAAGACTGTTGACCTGGCCGATGGCTGTGTCGTGTAACATGAATGCCATGAGGGGCCGTAGTATACGTAGAACCGCGCGCTCTTCTTTGTTCCCAGAGAGAGGAAGCGGTATTTCTTGTCGTTTCTGCAACCGGTCACGGTGCGCTTGAGATAGCAAGAGTCGCGCAGCGATAGATATTGCATGAGCCAAATATGTCTGCCGTTCATCCGGTGATGGCGGAGTGTCCGCCTCGTCCAGCGAAATGAGCTCGAAACGGCATTCTACCAGGCCCTCGGCGGTCGGCTGAGATTTGAAGCTGACCGCTTGGCCCTCTACATTCACTCCCAGTGAAGCCAAGGAACGGCTTTCCCGGACGATCTCGTGGTACAATTCCTCGTCGAAAAGGCCATCACGAGCGTATCGTATGCGGGCTTCCAGTGCGGTCTCTCCGCCCTCGGCAAGGGTAGGGATCGGGGAGGTACCCACTACAGCTCCGCCGCGCCTCAATTGCACCCGTAAAGCCTTCGGCTTGACGCCGATGCCACGATCGAGGGCGACGCCTCCATCTGGGCCAGGATTAAGCCCGGCCACGCCTCGCCTGGAGAAGTCCGGTGCACTTTCGCTGAAGCCGAATGTCACGCCGAGACGCCGCTGTTGTCCAGGTAGACGGCAGACGTTCCAGCCCTTGTCAGCGATGGACAGCACTTCCGACCAGTACTGCGTTTCCTTGCGGACGTTGTCCTCCAGTCTGTTGGCAGCCGCGAGCAAGCTGTTAGCGCTGTTCTGTAAACTTTCCATACGAACCTTGGTAGACAGGAGTTCATCTTGTGTCTCTCGTGCCCTGTCTTTGGGCATATTCTGCCAGAGATCGATACCTAGCGTGCCGACTGGGATCTCATTCTTTAATGCCGGCGAAATTGTGGAAGCAGCTTGCTTGTTGTCTTTCGACAACAGTAGAGACACAAAGTCCAGTGCCAGCATGACATCGTTGTGTGCAGCGTCCAGATGCTGCAGCATGTCATACTTCGCCTTGTACAAGTCCTCGCGCGTAGCCGGCTTCGCGATGGACGGAGCCGCATCGCGCTGCCCTTCTACTGCCTCGTCATCCTCGCTCTCACTCAGCTCAAGCGCACCTTCTGCTGCTACCTCTTCCTGCAGTGAAGCTTCGGTAATGTTGCGGAAATGGCCGCGCTCGACACTAACACGCCCAAGCACCTCCTTCAGCGAGCCGCCTTGTGGAGGGTTGCGAGGCCATGGTCTAAATGCCAGAGATGCCATTGCCGCATATTCCTCATCATGATACAATCCTTTAAGCCACCCAGCTGATGTGACGCAAAGCACCAGCTCGCTTGTCGGGAGCGGACAGATAGTTGGTGTTTCATGCAGTCAATGGCGACGTGGACCGTGCGTCTGCATGTGGTTTGAGAACCGATCGTCAACCGCGGGCTCAAGTCACTGCATTTCCCACAAGATGTAGCATTATATAGCTTTCGCGGCAGCGACCGCTTGAGGTCTCTACAGTCATGACAACGAGATACCGTGTTGAATGTAGGTAGACATCTAACCAAGCCAAAGAACGGCAAGCTGATAGAGTTATACAGACGCGCTTAAGGTATGCTTAAGGAAGGAAGCATATTCGACTAGTGTACTGAATCTAGCGACCAGACTCACCGCCGTGATCAGTTCATCGAATGGATCAAAGGTCTCCTCGCTGTTCCGTTCGTACTGCTTTCGCAGCCGACCGCAATATACGAGAATGACAAGTCTACCGTCAACGCCATGGCAGCTAATGCCCACGTACGCTACGCCCAGATCATGCATGACGTCGAGGAGCTGATTCTGGACCACATCAAGCAACAGAAGACCGGCGGGATCTCTAAGCTCAAACTCCTGGTGCCGTCAGTAGGTGTCTTCTTCACGCCGTTACCCCTGCAAGATGCCTTCATCCACCAGGACCAGAAACGTTTCATCAGCTCCAGACGCTTCGTGGCTCCCAGCTTCAACGACATTCGTCTTATACTCAACACGGCACAGGTCATGTCATTGGTCCGGAACAGTAGGCTTGAACTCGTGACGTTTGACGGAGACGTCACGCTCTACGATGACGGCGAATCGCTGACTCCTGACAACCCTTGCATCCCAAGGATACTGGAGCTTCTAAGGAAAGGCACTCGCATCGGGATCGTAACAGCCGCAGGTTACACGGAGGCAGAAAAGTACTACGAGCGACTTTACGGCCTGCTGGACGCTCTGGCAACCAGCGAAATGTCTCACAAGTGCGAGCATCATCTCGTAGTGATGGGCGGTGAGAGCAATTTTCTGTTCACATACACGCCTCAGTCCCCTTGCAAGCTGCAAGCGGTGTCACAGACTGACTGGCAACTACCGGAGATGGGTGACTGGACTGAGGAGAATGTCACCGCGCTGCTCGATGTTGCCGAAGCGGCACTAAAAGACTGCGTGCAGTGCATGCAACTCCCTGTCTCTGTGCTGCGCAAGAAGCGCGCCGTTGGTATCTTCCCTAGTAAGGGCATCCGACTGGCTCGGGAGCAGCTTGAAGAGACCGTTCTTGTAAGTGGAGCGATATGTACATCCGTTGTAACTGTCGTAGCTGACGCTTCAACCAATCAACCCTTAGGTCGTTCAACGCATTCTTGAGATGTCCGCAGCCGGCCGTCGTATCCCATTCTGTGCCTTCAACGGTGGCAACGACGTTTTCGTCGACATTGGCGACAAGTCGTGGGGTGTGATGGCATGTCAGAGGTACTTTGGCGGCATCGAAGGTGGAAAGAGTTTGCACGTCGGTGATCAGTTCCTGTCCGCTGGGGCAAATGACTTCAAGGCACGACTTGCATGCACCACCGCATGGATCGCAAACCCAAGGGAGACGTGCAATCTGCTTGATGAGATCCAGGACACGGGCGCTGAGCGGTAGTACTGGGCCTCGTATCGTTGTTGGTGCGAAGCTCAACCGCTGCCCTTTGCTCTCGCCATAGGGCCCCAGTTCTCGCGCGGGTTCTGCTGATAGCGAACCATCCTCTTGCCAGGCTTGTCTCGGCCAAGCGCTTCGTCAAAGACCACTTTCATGCGTTTCGGATCCTGCTGCGACTGCTTAGCGTGCTCGTCTACCACCCCATCTCCCTCCGCATCACCGTTCGCCTCCGGCGCTGACTTCCTGTCTGCCTGCATAATCCTCCAGCCAGCCTGTGTCTCAGTCAGAGCCCCTTCCCTGATGGGATGTTTCTGTCGGACCCATTCTCGCATGATCTCCCAGATGACCGGCCATGGCGCGTCAGTCTTGATACTGCCAGGCTTGCAATGGCTTCTTGTCGCGCGGTAGCCGGCATGCCGGAGCGCTCCCTTAACAGCTGCCTCCGGTGGCGCAATGCAATGTATGACTTTCGCCAGGTTTGAGGGGATGAAGAAGAAGGGGTGCGTGTCAACTGTCTCGGGTGGCGTTTTGGAAAGGAGCCGAGCGCCTTCTCCAGTATCAGTCGTCTTCCACAGCGTTTCTGCTTCTGGAAAGACCACCAGCTCCTCGAGCGTTGTGTCTAGCATACCCTCCAGCCTCTGCTTGGTCTTATAGACTTCCTCGTCTGCTGCTCTGGCATCCTTCAGCACGGTCTGCACAAATGCACCGTTGTGCAGTGGGCCGGCCCACATGGGTCCGGCAACGTGCATCTTGTTGCCACAATGTTCGCATAGGCGATCCGAACTCGGGGCCTGCGCGATCGAGTGCTTGAAGTTGAACGTTGGGTTGTTCTCTTGCCTTTTGTCGTTCTTGCCGGTTTGTCGAACGTTGCGCCCAAGCATCTGCGCACACCATGATCCGCATCCGGAGTCACAGCCGTAGACAAGCATGGTTTTACCAGCGAGGAACTTCACATCCGCGGCTGACTTGACCACCCTGACAAACACGCGGACGTAGAAGTCAATACTGAGAGACAGAAGCGGCTCGATCGCGAGGCCATACTTTGCCGCAGTGGAGGCAATTGAATGAAGAATCAGACGAAGCCCACCCTCATGCGAATGAGGACCTTTGATCGGCATGCCTCCATAGAGCGAATATGTCTTCTCTGAGTAGCCGCACGAAGCGAATACGCCGGAGTCCGTGCATGTAACACAAAGCAAGCCGCCGTCATTGAGCGCCTGCAGCGCCGCGTCGATGAATGGAGCTGCGGTGCCGTATGGATCAAGGTCGATGACATCGTACTTGCCGTTGACGTGATTTGGTCCATGGCTGTTCGCAGAAGGGAAGGCTACCTGATACATATAGCCGATTGCGTTACCCAGGTTCACCGTGATCGTGTCAGTAAGCTTGTTATGCTCAACGTTCGTGCGGATGCTCTTTACAGCATTGCGGTCCATATCATTTGCAGTAATGCCAGTGGCGAAAGGTATCTCGGAAGCATAGCGAAGCGCACGGAGACCGGTAGCAGACAGTGCGTCGAGAATGCGAAACCTGGGCTTTCGCGGTTGCTGCCCGTTGCGATGCTTGTCCGGAGCAGTGTTGGTCGTCGTTTGCTGTTCGGCATGATCATTCAAGTTGCTACTGTCCGCGCCTCGCCTTCCGGGCTCTCGTTCAGCAGACGCGCCAGGATCTTGACGACCATTTGCGGTTGTACTTTGCAGTAAGCCACCTTGAGTATGGTCGGCAGCGAGGTCGCCAATAGTGACAGAAGTAGATATGGTCTCCTCTTCTGCGGCATTCGTAGGCCCGCTGTCGATCTTTCTGACTTTCGCGTAGGTGCCATCTTCCTCAGCGTCTGCATCAAGCACCTCGCTCTTGCGCTTCTGTCCGTTTGCAACATCGCCGCCCTCCGCACTTAGTCCTCTAACTATCTTACCATCTAGGTATACGCCACCGTCCTCGTTATCGGCCTTGCCATCCATAACAGCTCCGGTTCCAGCCTGCACGTTCGGCAAAGTCGCCTCCGCTTGCCCCAAACCTGCACCTTCTTCCGTACGCAGCTCATCACCTTCTCCTCTCCTCTCCACCCCAGCCTTCTTCACCCTCTTCCTCTCCTTCTTCGCCAGAAGCTTCTCGCCCCTAGATTCATGTTTCACGCGACTCCTCTCCACAAAATCCTGCCCAAAAGCCTTGATCGCAAGCACGCTCAGATCGCGGTTGAACTGCTGTATGGGATTATAGAAAACATTCTGCGGTAGCTCACTACTGCTGCCGTCTGCACATTTTGCGCGCGTCAGCCGTGTTGAACTGGCTGCTGCGCCTGGAAGAGGCAGAGAGATATGGAGGACGCTCACCTGCTTTTGACTTGGCCTGTGGATCAACAGAAGTGCGAGTATTCGGAGGTATGAGGATGTAGGCTAGACCTTCTCTCACAGTGTCATATGTCTTCCCGTCGTGCTCTACAGTTTGGCCGGGTTTTGGAGTTGCTGATAATGGTACAGCTGCGCTACCCGCCATCGTTCTGATGGCGCATAGTCGGTTGGGCAGGATGACAGTCTGGGACAAACAGAGTCTCGTGACGATGCCTGTGCAGGTGGGTCTCAGAATAGGTAGTCTAGGCATTCAGCTACACAATGTACGAATGAAGGGAGCGAGCTTTCAATAAATGAATTTTGAGTTTAGCGCTGAGGTGTCGTCTGGCAAGCAATTTTTGACCAAACCATCTAGACCACTTCAACTCTTAATTAATCATATTACATTCTATACTCTCACATAATTGCACGAGTAAAATTTGAATTTGGTGATTAATGTTCCATTATATGGTCATATTAATTTCTAATCGTGACTACTTTGACACTGCGAGCTACGCTGCTCGTGATCTCTCTTCCACAACCCGTCGTGCTGGGCCGTGGGTATCGTTACATATCTCTCGACATACAAATTCATCCACCGATAATGGTGTACACAACACTTAACCGGCTTGGTAGATACCAAGAGCAACGACATGCGGGTTGATCATGGTTCTAATATCTAGTCAGTAAGATTCATCAACACCAACAGAGGGGCAAACTTACAGGTTGAACGGCGTCAAGAACAAGTCAGTGTCCGTGAGGGCAACGAACATGGTGTCGTTAACGATCGGTGCACCGCCCTGGTAAACAGTACCGTTGGGCTGGTAGGTGTAACCAGTGTTCGGGCCAGTGACAGTGAGGGGCGTGTAGGTCAAGTTGAGCTGAGCGACCCAAGCGACGAAAGCTGGGGCGCCAGCAACACTACCCTTGGCTGTGACGTAGCTGTTGTTGGGGCCGACAAGCTGACCTGGTGCATCCCACTCGAAAAGGACCTGCCTTCCCGGGAAAGAAAGCGGCTCGGAGCGGTTGTGCGCGATTGCCGGGCCACAGCCGAAGCCGGTTGCGTTGACGTTAATGCAGCTCTGGTTCTGAGGCGGGATAGTGGCTGGGCTGGAAGTGCGGTTGTCAACACGCTCCCAGGCGGCAGTGTCGTTAGGCGAGAAGCGGTTGGGATTGGGCTGGTTCACAACGTGAAGCGCCGGGAAGTTCTGCCAAGCGAGACGAGTGGTGTTGGCCGGGCAAGAGCTGATGTAAGGAGCGAGGTAAGTCCAGGCCCACGACTGAGGAATACCGGTCTCAAACCAGACTGGCATTGGGTGCATACCCATCAATTGACGGAAAATCAATTCCTGGCGAGCCTCGGTGGCGATCGACTGAGAAAGAAGCTGGCCAACCTCACGGGAGTCGAGGTGGTTGATGAAGCCCCAAACACCAGACTCACCCCAGCGAGTGAGAATTTGGCTGTAGTCCAAGAACTCACGGACGTTGGTGAACGGATAGTTGTATGTGCACTGCGGCGGGGCAGACTGGCCGAGCATGTTGGACAGGAGGGTAGCGTGGCCCTGCTCCTGCTGACCCATGAACTGAATGAGAGAGACTTCCTCGGGCGTAACACCGGCAGCGGCCCAGTCAGCCGCGCTGAAAGTGGCAATAGCGTTGTTGAAGAGATCAAGCTCGATCCACTCCTGGTAGAGACCAAGGGTAATCGACTCGTAGTCGAAGTCACTCTCAACCATGTAGCGCGGGAGAGTGCCATTGGTACCGAGACCACCCTTTGGCATGTATGGGATCGGCTCTTGGTTCTGCAACAGGCCGTTGGGGTTGTAGTAGGTGGCGGTCGGGTTTGGCGGCAGAGTGGCGATAGTCAGGTTCGCTGGGGTATTCGACACGGCGCCAGTGGTTGTCGCCGAACCACTGAAGGGACCGTGCGAGGTCGAGCCAGTGGGAAGCGAGGTCCGCAGAGTGCCTGGAGAGTAAAGTCCAGTGCTTGGGGCTGGGGTGCGGATTGCAGAGATCTGCGAGTCCGGACCAAACACAGTGGGGATGGTCGTCAACGACGTCGGCGTGTAGGATGCGAACGTTGCTGCGGCGTTGGTGTAACCAGCGACGTTGCCACTCTGGTTGGCGGCCACTGAAGGCGCAGTCGTGGCCGCAGCGGCGGCACCACTGGTCACAGTGGTAGAGCTGGCACGGCTCGAGGAGGCAGCGGCAGCGGCGGCACTGCTTGCAGCCGAAGTTGCTGCTGCTGCTGCGCCAGGACCTACCAACCCAGTTGGGTGCGTCGAGAAGGTCGACCAGGCATCGGCGAAGATTGAGTAGACGGCCCACTCACTGACTTGCGCGGCTGGTGCAGCGGCAGCGAGGCCGCTGAGCAGCGCGGTCGAAAGAACAGTCTTGCCGTACATCTTGCTGGCGGTACTCTAGCAGATGTTGGGCTTGAAGAAAAGGAAACCAACTGTGAGAACAGCGTGAGCTTAGACTATATGCAAGGCGGCCTTTTGCATTACGAAACGGTCTCGTCAAGCTCTGCAGGTGTGCGCACTGGCCGTCGTCATTGATCGGGAGCTACCCGACTGATGCTCCAGTGACTTCATAAGGTACCTTAGTAACCGTAAGTGGCAATGGCGCGCACGTTTTGTCTCGAAAAACATCCGTACTGTCGGCACTCCTGCCGGCTCGCTGGTGGTTAACCTCCTTTGGACGTAGTCAAGCGCGCCATCGTCGCGTTCGTCTTGCTATCGTACACAGGCACGCCGATTGCGGCGCTGATACCGGGTCTAGCAAACCGAATGTCATTGGTCGCACGGCGTTGAGCCCGGTGCCCTCTAAGAGTAGACTGGCACTATCACTTTATCGGCCTCTTGCGCCAGGCTCGCCACTGTAAAGGGCAACTTGGCATTCACAAAGCAGGATGTGAAACGGAAGCGAGATGTCGATGACCGATGTATGACGCTGCATTGACGGGTAGGTTTGTGAGACATCTCCGTGCGGCTCAGCGGCGTGCAGTAGCGCTCAAACTTCCCCGGAAATCGACAAGGGCACACGCAGCCGACGGCCGACGGCCGACACCCGCCACCTTCTTTTCCGTAAGCGACTTCAGATGTGTATGCTGTTAAGATGTAGGCTCTGCGTCCTCGTAAATATGGATATGGACAGCTGTCGAGAACACCGCGTAACACTCGTGAGCATCTTGCCATATTTGCCGTCATGACAAATCCGAGACAACACCGAAATGAGATGGCATGCAATGCACAGCGATCCGTTCGCCAGGTGCCGCTAGATCATCTTCAGCTGCACGTCGGTGGGGCGGAAACCGCTGGTGACATGCAGAGCCGAGGCACCGCAGATACCGGAGGGTTGGAACCATTCATATTGCCACGCAGACTCAGCGTACATTACTGTAGCTGATGAAATTCACTTGGGCTGTCGCTCTTGTTAAACAGGTGGTGCTACACATGCTACGGTTCGACTTCGCTGGCGGATTTACTACGGCTCGACTATGAGCACGTTGATCGCCTCTCCAAGTTCATGGAGCGTGAGACACGAAGGTGGATATGGTGCTACCGCGCTTTGACCAGATCGAGCATCACAACTGGTTCGTTCGTGGAAGAGTCTAGCAATAAATCGCGTCGCCAGAAGAGTCGGTGAGCACGGTCCATCCAAGTCTTGTAGCTCAAGCGCAAGCGTAAGCGCAAACGTCGAGATAAGCCCAAATTGCTGCTCATACCAAGAGATTCCGACGTTGACAGTAGTTTGCGGACTACGCGAGGACCATGCAGCCGACACGTTGTGATCGCAATGTGAAACTTGAGACCGCTTAGCGATATTGCGGCGCCCTCTTTCTGCCTCTGACGATTCCATGATCATGCACTCTCACCAGTTCCCATCCGCCTGGGAAATGGTCGTCTTGCCGCGACACCTTGGCGATCCCGAGACCACCCGCCAGCCCAATATCGCTATCACCCTGACGTGAGCAGTGCGTGGGTATGACTGTAGAAACTCCTCTCAGGATCACGTTTGACTGGTTACACTCGCTCCAGCCGCGACTCTTCCAGGCTACTTCAATTGATTGGGATACTGACTGTACCCGTGACTTCGGTATCTGTGTCGTCGGAATTGATTATAGAGGAATTTACTAGCGGAGCGTCCGAACAATTCCCTCACGGTCGCCAGTCAGCGGCATGGACAAAATGATGTGTTGATGACTGCCTATATTATGAATCGCCACTGTAAGTCGATAGTTGGGAAACAACAAGATGAAGACTGAGCCTCGCAATTCTGAGCTTTCGCCAGTATAAAGAGACCTTATTGCAGGCAGTGCAGTCGTTGTGAAGTTGGTAAGACAAGCCAGAGGAAGGCTGCGAAACGCCGGGCGGTGAGGCCAACGGCAAAAGTGTTTGATCAAAGCTCGGAAGTAGACCAAACATGACCTTGACCAAGGTGAGCAGTTTTGGGCTAAGTGAGGTTTGCAAGACGCGCTGCTTTTGCTTCAGCCATTTGGTGGTTGGGTCGTGGCACGTGATTGCGGCCGAGGTAGCCTCGTTAAAGTCTGATCATTTTCATATCCACTTGCTTTCTCTTCACGCCCTAGCGATGACCACGCTCCGAAACATGTTCGACGGTCATTTGCCAGCTTACTCGTCCGCATTGACATCAACCTCCGTCTTGGTCCACTTACGAGCTGGAACCTTACGTCTGAAAAGAATGTCAATCTCGCGGTAAGACCGGCCCCTCATCTCTGGCAGGTAAAGGTAGGCCAGGACGAAACAGATGAACCCTGTAGCACCCCAGACGTAGCCGCACTTGCCACCGAGATTGCCGCCTTGAGGGTTGAGCATGTAGGAGGCGACTAATCAATGTCAGTCTTGGCCATGAAACAGGAGTAACAATAGATGGACGACTTACGGAAGATGCAAGGGAACTCGACGATGTAGTATGCCGCACGACCCATACCGGTTGTCAAAGGCCTCAAACGGATAGCTGAAGTCTCTCCGATGATAACCCATGAGGCGGGCGCAGGGCCGAGGGTGAAGCCGACGGAAACGATCAGGCCTAGAGACGCCTGCGCCAACGAAGCTGAAGTGCTCTTCCCGACTGAAGCCGCGATGCCTAGAGCGACCAGGAAGCAGGTGTTGATGAGCGAGCCCCACACGTAGATGGTGCGTCGGCCCATGACGGTAGTGAGGATCCAGGAGAGCATGACGAAGATCATTTGGAGGGCGGAGGTGATCAACCCCAATGCGAATGCGAGGTTGTTTGAGATGCCAGCCTCTGCGGACAAAGTCAGCGTCTGCATTGCCTCGAGAGACAGATTTGTGTATCAACGTACGTTCGAAGAAGTACACGGCCTGGTTAGCGATCAAGTTGCCAGTGAGATTCTGCGCCGCGTAGACACCACAGACAATAAGCGTGCGTCGAAGGTCAGTGCCCTTGAATAGTTCGAGGTGATTGGGCGATTTGTCGGTCTTCTCAAGTTCGATGACACGCCGCATCATGGCCACAGTCTCGCTCGCATTAACTTGTGTCTTGCGTCCAAGACGCGCAACCGATTTTGCCGCCTGCTCGAGCTTTCCTTTCCGTACAAGCCAGTACCTGACAGAACGAGAGAGTCAGCAGGGTGTCAACTGACGTGGATGTCGTAGCAGTCAATTCACGTACGGGCTTTCTGGCGCAAGGAACATGAGAATTATGAGTGGTGTTGGGAACATCCATTGAAGCGCGATTGGGATCCTAATTGGCTCATTAGCTGAGGTCATCGGGTTGAAACATCGTACGTACTTGTATGCATCAGGAGTGAGCAGAGTGTTGTAACGGTATGTCACGGCACCAACGATGATCGACCCGATAGCCTAATAGTGCCCGTTAGCCACATCTTCAAGGATCGGTCAAGAACTTGCGATACGCACCCAGAACATTTGCAACATCTGGGTAGCCGGCGCTCGTAGCTTGATGGGCACAATCTCAGAGCAGTAAGCAGGTGCGTTGGCGATGAAAATACCCCACGGAATGCCCTCGAGGATTTGCGCAGCGAAGATGACCTCGATAGACTCGGCGAAGTAGAAGACGAAGATGAAGCAGTTGAGGAGCATAAGACCAAGGATGGTGGCCCAGCGGTATCCGATTGCACTGGTCAAAGGGCCAGCAAGGAACACGCCGACCAGTGCACCAAGCTGGCCTGAGACTTGAAGTGACGATTGCCACTTGTAGGCGACGACGTAGCCACCGGAAGTTGTTGCGGTAGGGTCAGGAATGCCGAAACGGGTAGTGAAGGCAGGGAGGCCGAGAAAGTTGCCGATGAGGAAAACACAGTATGACTCCATGATCTGACCGGACGAATCAGTCGCGTGTACGTTGACGAGCAACAACAGCCATAGCAGCTTACAATGGTCGAAGACATGACAAACGCCCAGAAGGTGGCCATCGGGTAAGCTCGCACCGCCTCGATCACGGTCATGTTGTGCTACAGTGGAACCGTTAGCGATGCTTGAAAAAGCGAACGAGCTCATGCCCTTCAATTGCGCACCTCAGCATTTTCTGCTTCGATGGCATCCGCCTTGTAATCGGCGACACCCTTCTTCTCGTCCATGGCCATGGTGTAGTCGTCCATCTCGACGTGAGCCGCTCGGCTCTTGTCGTCAAGTGGATCCATGATAGCTGTCGTTGCCCTTCACTCAGACAAGAATGGCTCACTGACTGTACGGAGGAAGGGAGGGAAGAGAGACGCGATAGCAGAGGGGAGACGCTCAAGATCAGCGTAAGCAGGTCAGGCCTCGAGCTCTTTATCAAAGGGTATTGCAGCGGAGACCCCATCCTCGCGGTGGATGCAACACCCACAGTCCAATCGTAAAGCTGGGCCCCCACATCCCGACCACATTGCGCCCCGCAACCAAGCTTCAAAAGGTGCGCCACGTGAGCCTAGCCGGAATGTTGGACGAATCATGGACAAGCACTGTAAAATGGCTTGGAGTGCTTCGTGCTCCCGCTTGGGGCACTTGTGGGGGCAGTCCACCGGAACGACCTCGACTCCAGCGGGTTTTTGTTCAAATCACATGGCCAGAAAAGCTTGGATCTCATTCTTCCACGAGTCAGAACTCTCTTGGTTGATGGCCGGCCGGTCGTTCCTAGTCCCGCGTGTTTTATCCGGGGAGAAGCTTAAATACCACGCCGTCGTCTCGTCGTGTGAGAGGTGTCTGTGGGGCCGGTTGACTTCGCGGTATCGCAATCAGCGAGAGGCGTCTCCTCCACTTCTGGTCGTCCGCGGATAGTCTTCGGAAGATCGTTACGGCAATGTGCGGAACGCGAGGACATGGGCTCGTGGCATCTGTGGTCGTACGCATGATCCCAGAGCGGGTGAGTAGGTTGTAGGTGCTATCTCCAGCTGGAGTCTAAGCTCTCCACTACTGTCCAATGGACCATTGTTGTATGCGCCCTGTCCGCGTTACGAGCGGTCAGCGGTGCCGAACGCCGCGAAGGAGCACTTACAGTGCAGATGACTGCCCCTCCTCAGTCTAGCACATGCATACGGCTCCTAATACTCCGAGGGCCGGAACCGCGCATACACTAATAGCGCTGACCAGGACGTACAGTCAATCGTCGGATTCCATGAGGTTGTGATCCAACACATGTCTGTGGGAGACGGTTGTCGCGAGAACATGTTGGCGAACCGGCATCCACTATGTCTCGTGCATAGTCTGTCGCTCGTTTTGGTAGCGTAAATCAGCGTGATGCGTGTCCAACCTACTCTGGGTGAACGATCCCCGGACCGTGGGAGTCCGGTGGATCTGCGTAGGAGTCCAGACTCTCCTCCAGCGCAAAATCATCTTTGATGGCGTATCAGCCATTCATCATTTTGCAATAGGCTCGCTTGACGCTGTCGTATGAGCGTACGTAACGCAAAACAGTCTTCCCATCTTGCAGCCCCGGAAGCACTCGCTATTGACGCAGCTACCGTGCGCACGCTGACCTCCGCGATGGCTCGTACATGCTCGCAAAATCGAGCTTGCCGCAGATGCATCGTCTCAATGTCATTGACTGATTTCGGCACGTAGCGCTTGAACGGTCATCGGTACGTCCCTGCCTCGCAACTTGGACTGCTCACTCTGCACAAACCCATCCATGCTTCGCAGCGCCACAACGAGAAAGCCCAGCTCCTCACGGCCGACGTCAAATACCTCCCACCATTCGATCTCGGGTAGATTGACGCCAATCTCTCGTGCAGCCAGGTAGATGCTCGCCGTAGCAAGCGCACAAGGTTGATGGGTAAGGTACAGCAATTGCGGACTCAGCAGCGCGGTGTTCAATTGGGCGAATGTTCGCTTTGCCAGAAGCGCGCCGTCTGCAGTCCTGAACACATCAAGAGCCTGGAGGTAATTGATACTCAGAGCGTACGGCAGCGCGACATGTATATTGAAGCCAAGCGTGCGGAGAACCTTTGCTTCGTTGGCGTACAGACAGTCGCGCTGTTGCTCGTACGAACCTTCCGACAAGTGCCAGTCCGGTAATGTCTTCGGATTTGTTGACGCAGAAGCACCGTACTCCCCTCGAAGGCTGCGCACGAAAGCGAAGACCGTAAGCAACTGTCTGGGGCTGATGGAGTGTCGAGATGGTTTGGCGACGAGGTACACCGTCGCTGCAGCTACATCCTGAGCTGGGATCAGAACTGTACACCAACATACGACAGTCTAGCAGATCGCATACCTCGGCGTCACAATCAAGCATACTACCTCCATCGGCGCCAGTCCAGAATCGCTGCAATACAACTACCGATTGCGCAATGAGCTCCTGAGGCAAGCGTAGGAAAATACCAGCAATGAGCATCATGCGCGTCGTTTGGTATCGGACAGAGTCCTCGAGATCTCTCGGAATGCCATCCAGCTGCGACGCTGATGTCTCGAGTTGGCGCGAAGAGACAGTAGAATGCACCAAATGCGATGCTTCGCGAATGGTCTTGCGAGCCATACTGTCAAATTTTGTTAGGTCAATCTCGTATCGTTAATCGTCTGCGTAGTTGCCCTGACAGCCTCTCAATCATGCGTGATGAAACGTACGGGCCGGTCACGTCGTAAGCCTGTTAGATATATGCTCGACCTTATCTGGAGGATACTGAAGCTTGGTGGTAGAAGCGTACTGAGAATGCCTCAGGCCACAATTATCGCATTGAACAGCTGCACCCGGAAGCATACACCTCCACGTTACCCTCAAGCTCCGTCCCCAGTCAAGAGCCACGCCTGCATTGCTTCCCACCGCTCCTCCTATCCCTCTCGCTCCCTTCCCGACCGCCCTCCATGGCCTCCTCAAACAAGAAATACACCGTCCTCCTCCCCACCTACAACGAACGGCGCAACCTCCCCATCATAGTGCACCTCCTCGCCTCCACCTTCACCACCGCCAACCTCGAGTGGGAAATCATCATCGTCGACGACGCCTCCCCCGACGGCACCCAAACCATCGCCAACCAACTCATCAAAGCCTACAACACCACCACCACCAACAACCCGCAAAAGTCCAAATCCTCGTCCGGCGAACGCATCAAACTCAAACCCCGCGCCGGAAAACTCGGCCTCGGCACCGCCTACGTCCACGGCCTGCAATTCGCCACGGGCAACTTCGTCATCATCATGGACGCCGACTTCTCCCACCACCCCAAATTCCTGCCCACCATGATCCGCAAGCAAGCGGAAGCGGACTACGACATCGTGACCGGCACGCGCTACGCCGGGGCCGGCGGGGTCTACGGCTGGGACTTGAAGCGGAAACTCGTCTCGCGCGGCGCGAACTTGGTCGCGGATACGGTGCTGCGGCCCGGGGTGAGTGACTTGACGGGGAGCTTTCGGTTGTATAAGCGGGAGGTGCTGGAGAAGGTGATTCGGGCGACGGAGAGTAAGGGGTATTCTTTCCAGATGGAGTTGATGGTGCGGGCGAAGGCGATGGGGTGCAGGGTGGCGGAGGTGCCGATTACGTTTGTCGATCGCGTGTTTGGGGAGAGTAAGTTGGGCGGGGAGGAGATTGCGGAGTATTTGCGTGGGGTGTTTGGGTTGTGGTATAAAGTGTAAGATGTAATCATGTGTGGAGTGAACTCTGAGAGGAGTGTTTTGTAGTGGGCTTTGAGAGGGTTATAGCGAGGCGTCTGGGTAGAGAAAGTGGGTATAGGCGCATGAAGGACGAAGGTCTCTTGAAGAAGGCTTTGGACGTCAGACAGGGGTTCATTCAGTGGCACCACGACAGATAGTCAACCGCCATCTACTCCATCCGCATCCGCTTCGAAACAGTACCGCTGCACACCCCATTTTGCATCCACAAAATCAACCAACTCAATCAAATCCCTACACGCCCCCAACCGTCTCCTCTCCAGCTTCCCAAAGCCCTTCATCCGCCCCGTCATCTCACTCACATGATGCAACACCAACGGGAACGGAATCGGACACCTCACCGCCCATCCCAGAAACCTCTGCACGCACTCCACCGGGGTCCCGCCAACGCCCGAGTGGGAAAACATAGCTGGGTTCTCTAGAATCCCCCGCGCAGCCATCACGCCGTCCGCGCCTGTCTTTGCGGCGATGGTCGTGACGTCGGAAAGGGTATACGCGTCCCCATTCACGACCACCGGAATGGAAACGGGGATACGTTCGCGTAAAGTGCGTATAGCGCCGTAATCCGGCGGCGTAGACGACCGTTGACTTCGCGTGCGACCGTGGATGGTGATGAACGTCGGCTCCGCTTTCGCCACTTCATCCAGCCAGGCAACAGTTTTCGATAAGTCCGCGTGGATTCGGATCTTGACGCTCACGCTTTTGCTTGGACCGAGTCGGGCGCGCGCGGCACGGATCATGTTGGCTACGAGGGTGGGTGAGGACATGAGTGAGCAGCCGATTCCTTCCTTCAGGGCCCAGGATTGCGGGCAGCCGCAGTTGAGGTCTACGCCGTCGACCCAGGGCGCGATGAGTTCTGCGGCGCGCGCGAATTCGGTGGGGTCGGAGCTGGCGAATTGGGCGATGAGGGCGTGTTGTTGTTGGCTTCCGTGGGAAATGCGTGTGGATTGCCTTTCGAGGGGCGAAGTGGCGAAGTCGCTGTCCCGTGCAATGGGGCTGCGGATGAATTCATGGGCGAGGATCATGGGGGTGTAGATTATGTCTACGTTGTAGGAGTGGAGGAGGAGGCGGAAGGGGAGTTTGCTGTAGCGGACCATGGGGGCGGAGACTGTGGGAGATGAAGTATGGGGTTAATGCGGGAGGTAGAAGGTAGGAGATGGTGGAAGTAGATGCCTACCATGTAGTGGTCGACCTTGTTCGCGAGCGGTTGTGAAGAGGTCCATGACTTGGCAAGAGGATGTGAAGGATTCTTGGGTTGGGCCATTGGGAGACAGGGTAAGACTTTGCAGTGTGGACGGTAATGAGTCTACCTGGGCAACAGCCCGTGATCCTGCGTGCCGACCGTCGCTATCACCGTCGCCATAATGCTCGTTCCCATTCGCTATAACGGTGGACATGATCGCGTGTTCATGGTGGCGAGGGACTGCTTGCTCACATTGAATCCGGCGCATCCGCTTACGCTTAGGCTTTGCTATGTGTAGCCAATTCGGCGTCTGTAAGGAAGACTTGTCCACTACGACCTTCTCTCCGAACCTGCAAGAGGCTCTGCTGTCGTGGTTATTGGAGAATGGAGTGGAAGAAGGTGCATGTGTTGATGCATCGGCGAATCAGCGCCTTCCGGGCAACGGTCCGTGATGCGGTCATAGCTGGCGTTTATACTGAGATAAAATAAGCTTACATGTACCTTACCTTACTCGATGCGACCGACCATCACGGTATCTCGTCGGTGTCACTCCCCTCAACCCCCGACCCTCAACCATTTATCGCGCCAGTTGACTCATCACCCATTGGCAGTCGTGCATCATCGTTCATCGTTCATTGTCTCTCACGAGCGCGCTTTCCCGCAATAGATCCTTGTCGCGACCATCGCTTCCTTCTTTAGCCGGGAACGGCAGTCGCAACGGACTCTTACGCGACACGCGATCACCCTCTCACGCGGTCATCTCTTATCGTCGTCTCACCATTACACCTTCCTTCCTCGGCAGTAGGGATTAGTCTGCCCTGCCGATCCACTCTTGTCATCAACGTCGCGTTCCCACCCGCCATAATCGTAGTCAGAGCGAAGATGGCAGTTCCTCCGGCAGCGGTCAGGTCGACGGACCGCAACGATCGTGAGATTGTCACCAACCTCTCCCTCGGTCTCAAGAGGCGCGTCGTCCCACCCACACCATCCCCTGCGCTTGACCACCCCACTAATAACTAAGTACTTCAGACCTCTCTACACCTCCTGCAACCAGCACTCCCACCCCCCAGCGCACACCGAACGCCAAGAGAACCGCTTCCTCTGCCTCAACGCCCTCCCCAGAATGCCCTCTCCCTCCCCCTCCCGCTCCCCCTCCCGACACCACGGCGAACCGAGCCCCTTCCTGCGCCTCCCCGCCGAACTCCGCCTCCAAATCTACTCCCTCCTCCTCCTCCCCCGCCAGGCAACCGACCTCCTCCCCTCCTACGAAAAAGTCCACTCCTCCACCCAAGACTACTTCGACTACGACAAAAAACAACACGGCACCGACCTCCCCCTCACCGCCAACCTCACCCACCCCCACCTCCTCATCCGCACCCTCGACCCGGACCGCTACACCCACCGCTACCCCTCCCACCGGCCCCACCCCTTACGAACATCCTACAGCGTGCGCTGCGACCGCTTCCGCTCCGCCTGCAAATCCACCACCTACCACTGCGTCAACACGCCCCGCATCGAAGACCAACTCGCCATCATGCGCACCTCGCAACGCATCCACGCCGAATGCGCCGACCTGCTGTACTCACATTACACCTTCGACTTCGACACCCACGTCGAAGCCATCGTCCCATTCCTCTCCGACCTCACCCCCTTCGCCCGCTCCCGACTCCAATCAATCCGCCTCGTCAAACGCGCGCTCGCTTACGAAAAGGAATTCGACCGCTGCGAGTGGTCTAACGCTCTCCGCTACCTGACCGCGCAGTCCTCAGGCATCCACCTCCGTCGACTTGAATTGGGGGTGGTGGCCGGTCGACCAGGGGAGAATGGCTGGGATCGCGTACCACAGTATTCGGCGGAGTATTTCCGCACGATGAAGGATAGTGGGGAGGAGGCCGGGTGGATGCAGTATCTGTTCGAGTTTCGCGGGTTGAGGGAGTTGGAGGTCAAGGCCATTGTGGAGCATTGTCCCCCCACGACGAATAGTGAGGCGATTGCTAAGTATGTCCGCTTTTCGGCCAGTGTGGAGGGGGGGTTTAGGGAGTTTTTGAGGGGGCAGTTGGTCGCTGTGCATGCGTGAGAAAGCTCGATTGAATGACTGAATGGAGCTAAAATGGGGGATGTTCTTGCTGTGTGTTGTATGGGGTGCGTGCGTGTTTGTGATGAAGCGTGGGCGTTGGTGGGCTTTTCTGCGCCTGGCGCTTTTGCGTGACTTGAATGCGCCCGGTATGGAACGGGGGATGCGTACACTCTACTCGTTATGTAACATGCATCTCTCATCATTGAGGAACGGATAGAAGAGCTTCCGAGCGCAGGTTCGATCACTCAGGCTCATCACACCTCCATGCTTACACACCCTCTTGTAAAGCGCGCAAAAATTTGTTTCTGTTCGTCGCTGCGGCATGGAAACGCGCAACCCGCGACATGGACACGAACATGAACATGAACAGGCTTCAAGTCACGCTTTGTTCCTCCGCATATGACCGCGTATTTCCCTCGCGACTATATATCCACGCGGGGAATGGACTTACGAGAGGACTGTCCCCTTCGTGAAAGAACCTTTGTTCGCAAAGGTACGGTACGTACGGGGTTAGCGAGTGAATCTCTCGTGCAGCCAGCTCCAGCTCGGTGGCCCGTTTTGGGAATTGATGAGGTGGGAGGAGGGGATGGGGAACGTTCGTCCTGGTCGGATTCAAGTTTAGGTTCAGGTTTTAGATCAAGTTCCACTGACAGTGACGATCAAGTGTCGAGAGCTTTAAAAATGCAGACGTGTTATGTTTGTTCTGCTCTATATATCCGAACCCTCCTTCTATCGCGTACACATAAAGCCATGATCTTCGTACAGCTGGAATATTTCCTGACGCTCCCGCAGGCTTCGTCGTGAGCCAATGTACATTCTTACTTGGGGGGCCCTGGGAAGTCATTCGTCCTCCTCGTTCGTCGTTACTTCGGAAAAGCCGCGAACCAGCCGCAGCTCAAAGACCCAGGTCAAAGCCCAAGTCCGTCCTTGCCTCCCCCTGCCGCCCGCGTCTGTAGGAGGTGGTTAGAAGTGCACGACATCCCGGGCGTGACTCCTCTTCACACTCCCACTCCCGCCCGCCGCCTCCTCATTCTTGACATCCTCAAACGTAGTAGCGATCAAGTAAGCGATCCAATCCAAGATCTCCTTCAACGTCCATCCCCCGCGATATTCACCACTCACCCCCGAACCCGAGTCCGACGGACTCGCCACGCTGGTGCCGTTGGCCAACACGGAGGGGATCGCAGTGGGCGCTGCACCAGTCGGCTGAGCATCCGTGGGGAGGGCTGAGGTGAGGTTTGCGATGAGGGAGCTGATGAGTGGGTTTATGGAGGCGGAGGGGATGACTGAAGTGAGAGCTGAGGTTGGCACGTCGAGGGCGGAGGTCAGGTTGGCGAGGGCGGAGGAGTAGACGGGGGCGAGGGAGACGGTCGGGGCGGTGACGGCGGCGGTGGGTGTAGTGGTGGTGGTGTTGAAGGTTGCGGTGGGGTCGGCGAGGGTGTTGTTTGCGGTGGCGGCAGCGACGAGGGTGCTGTTTAGCGGGCTTGGTGTGGCGGATGAGGCGGGGAAGATGGTTGACGAGAGCGTCTCGGTGATGGTGATGTAGATTGTTGAGTGGAGAGCAGTTGTGCCGGTTGCGGCGGGCTATTGACATTGGTCAGATTCCACCGAAGCGCTTGCCTCTTAACCTAGCTGTTGACTTACCAGCGTGCTGTTGGAGGCCTGGGTAGCGTTTACCACGAAGGTGTTGGAAGAAATTGGTGCACCGGTCGCTGTCGGACCCACAGCAAACACATCGGTGCTGTTGGTACCGTTGATAGCCTGGACAACGACCGTCGCGGTGATCGTCGCACTCGTCATCGACACAGATGGGACAGCGGTATCGTTCGCTGAAGCCGTCACGGTAGAGTTGATAGGGCCTGAGGCGGTCGTTAGGCTACCTGTTGCGACCGGCGCTACTGTAAAGTTTCCCGTTGATGTGCTGTTAGGGAAGAAAGGATCGCCTGTGGCGCTTGGAGCTCCAGAGAAGCCAGTGCCAACACTGGCGCTTGCTGCAGAGACGGAAACGTTCGACACTGAGCTGGGGCTGCCGCTTGCGGTGGCTAGGACGGTGACAGTACTGTTCGGCGAGCCATATCCGGTCGGTAGGCCAGAAACGCCTGTGACCGCGGCTGCAGCGACGGAAGTCAAGTTTGCCGTGCTATTTGACGTGCTGTTTGGCGAGACGTAGCCAGTAGGCAAGGCAGACACTCCCGTCGCCGCGGCGGTAGTAGCCAGAGTGACGTTTGAAGTGCTGTTTGCGTAGAAGTAGCCGGTCGGCGAGCCAGACACGCCCGTCGCGGCCGCGGCAGCTGCTGAAGTACCGTTTGAAGTGCTATTTGCTGACACGTAGCCGGTTGGTGCGCCAGACACGCCCGTTGCTGTGGCGGCAGCAAACGAAGTGACGTTTGAGATCGGGAAGAAAGGCAAGCTAGATGTCACGGTCTGGGATCCCGTAGCAGTCGGGTCGGCCGCAGAGGTGGCATCGCCGCTGCGCAAGGTGACGGTGGACGTTACCGTCTCAGTCTTCGTCTCGGTCTTCGTCTCGGTCCTCGTTTGCGTGATCGTTTCTGTGACGACCGAAATGTCGCTGGGAAGGGGAGCAGCCGTGACCTAATCTTGTTAGCGACGTCTTATTATGCATTGAACGGGATTCAACATACCGTGACTAGCACGGAGCTGGTAACCTCCACAGTACTCGTAGAAGTCGGAACATCGTTCTGGTAAATCGGAGCTACCGACAGTGTCGTGGTCGCAGTTGAGTATACGGTCCTGGTGATGACGACTTCGCAAAACTCCGACGTCTGCGCTGCGACGAGCGTGAGCATGGCCGCGAGGGCACTGATCGCGAACTTCATGATGAACTGTCTTTCTTGCAAATGAACGTAATGAATGTGAAGACCGGCCTGAGCTCACTGTAAAGAATGACTGGTTTAAGGAAAGTGATGCTCTCAGAGCCGAAAGAGTGTGGTAGCTGTGTAGCTGAAGCCTGTTGCCTGAAGGAATCGAGGTGAAAGAGGGAGCTGGAATTTACTATATGCCCATACTGAAGCATTACCCTACCATGCTCGAGTCTTGGAGACCGCCTTCGCGATTCAGTTCGTCCTCGAGACCGGGACCCGCAAACTGTTGCGGGTTGCGGCCTTGAAGCATACTGCATCCTGATCACACCGCGAGCCGCACGAATGAGGTCGAGCAAGTGGTGTCTGGGCAAGGAGAACTTGCCGCTGCGGAGTCACGGAGTGTGTGGGCCTCGCTCCTGGTGATTTCGATTTGTCTGTGGGTGAGGGACCAAGTGGAGGCGTTGATGTAGCAGATGCGTTTCACTATAGGGGTTGATAACGGACAGTCTAACCAGAAGAGGAACGTCCAAGACTTTCATCGAACCTTACGCCGGAAAGACGCCGATCTCACAACACCGCTACCTCGATAGCGGGAGAAGAACACAGGGTGGACCCTAATACAGCACCATGGACAAGGTAGCTTGGAGACACTATACTGCTGACCTGACCGGGCTTGAAAGTGTGAAGGACGTGCGGTCAAAGCAGTCTAGAGTCAGGGCAAGATCAACCGTGTCACGGAGACACTGGAAAGATTGCTACATCTGCAATCCCACCACACTTCCACCGGCAATACAATACATGCGCTACTCGTCTAACGCGTGCGCCCGCATGCCTATCATGAGCACTTACAAAGCCAGACGACTTTGCACATTGACGCCAAACATCGCAGGATCCAATTGATGTGCGAAACCCTACTTTGTCCTATGCGTCGCGCTCAAAACATGAGAGATTCAGTCAGCGGCGCAGATAATGTAGGTTCATACTCGCGACAGTCGTCTGACAGCTCTTCCAAATCAAGCCTGTCCAGCAGAGCCTGCGACATCGCGGCATGCTGGGCGAGACGGATCTTCCAGTCAACCGTTGCAAAACCCGTACTCTGGTGACAGCATTGCATCAGCTTGGACTTCCTCAGTTTCCGGCCTAACCTGGTATTTTCGCTCTCTCTCTCCAGTCTTCCTCTCCCGGTGCGTGGCTGTTCTTCGCTTCAGGCACCCTCTTGCGCTAGCTCCGGAGCTCGGTCTCGGGTATAACGTAGGCCTGGGCTTCTTAAATCACAGCAGTATCTGGGGTTAAGTTACTGGTCAGTACAATGAAGCTCGGCCAGGCGGCGTTCTCAACATGTTGACTGCCATTGATGGTGTGAATGGTGAGGCTGCGCAGCGTGCCAAAAAGCTGCAGAGGATTGAGTACCGGATTCCTTCGCAGCAGGGCCAGGTGGCTTGCCAATGTGTTACCAACCCACTGAACCTCCAAAGTACTCACCGCATGGTCGTTGTGGCGAAAAGCACAATTGGAACGGGCTGTGGTTCAACTTTGCGAAAGCTCTTCCGGGGCAAGCACCGTGAACATGAGAAACGGGTGCCAATTTCACGAATGACTCCCATGTGCTGACACTTCGCAAGGAAGCCTGGCCACTGCACCGCGAGCAAGTTGGCTCTTTGCGCCAGAGTTGGTCAGTAGTCGCCACACTTGTTTCCCAATACCTGGATGCGAGCACCCAATGCCCGAATTAGACCACATTCCTACCGTACAGTGTGTCTCTGGCCTCTGTGAAGACCTGCTGGCTCGTCGCCAGAACCTGAGGGGAGCAGATCTCGCCGGCTGGTGACTTTGTATATCCGGTTGCGTAGCTTAGGATGAAGGTCCATAAAGCATAACTGGCCTCTCTCCATGGCTTGTCGGCTTCACAAAGTGCGTGCACATGGTCCTCTTGGGACGGCGCGTCGGTGACAGCTCCAGTATCGCATCCTGGAGGAATGCTTCTGCTGCGTGCGAGGAACGCAAGATATGCGGCGCTCTTGTTCCGATAGTTCACCATGACTTGCTCCGCTAACGGACAGATCGAACGCTATCAATCGTGCTGACTTACGACAAACACGGCGGATGTAGACACACTTGCTCAAAGGGTCGTGATGCAGCACGTTTGCTTGCTCTTTATCCTTATCTTGAGATGCAATCGCTTGCGACCTATAGACTAAGAACACCGGAGCATATTCCCAATCAACGAAGGGGATATTGTGCGACTGACAAGGCAGCAGAATCACCCCTGCCGACTAAGAGGAGCGCGGAGCACAATCAGTATTAACAGAGTTGATAAAGAAAGATGACAATGATCTTGGCCGTTCATTGTCGTTTAGAGTCTGCCCTATGTGACCGTGCAGTCCGAAAGCCACTGTCGCTGTCTCATCGCCCACCTTTTCGGAATAGACGCAACAGCTTTCTCCGATAGATAAACCGCCCGGAGGCTCGTGTGGCTTGGTCTGTTGCTGAAAGGTCGGGTTGCATAACAGCAACAAGGCAAGCGCCTCCGTGTAATCCTTGAAACCCGCTACTCTGTCAGACCGGGTGAGGCGAGCTTGCCAGCAAGTCTCAGATACATCGCATGTCTCGAGTCCGTTGCTTGATCGGTGCTTCCGGTCCCATAGCGCAAGCAATGGCGTCCCAACGGCCCTCATTCTCCATGTCTGATATAGGCTCGCTTTTCAGCATTCGATCACGTCGTTGTTGTAGTCGCCACTTATACATAGGCTTGACATGAGCAATGTATGTATAACCCGACAAGCAGTCTTTCAACACAGCAGGGAATCATTGGCAGTCATGTTGGCATCCACATAACACTGGGTACATGCAGTCATCGGACGACTTCGTTGGCTTGATATGTGCTATCACGACTTCAATATGCCTTTGAAAATTGTCGATATGTAGTACCCAATACGGTCCCGTGCTATATTCCACCTCTTCTAAGAAGGGAAGAGGAACCGGTAAGGTTCGTTTCGCTAGTATAGCGATGAGGTTTTGGTTAGACCAGGCATGTTCTGCTTGCTTCCACTCTTCCGGCTCGTTATTCAGTCCAAAAGGTCATATGGGGCTGCCTTGTTGGACCTCCACCGTTCTAGCAAAAGAACACATTGTCGCCCGGACTCTTCTACTTATCAATGCTGTGCCCACTCTCGGAATCGAACCGAGGATCTTGTCATATCCAACGATAACGCTAGATCGCATCGTTTACGAGTGACACTAGAAATTGATTAATAACACCTTCACGCCATCAAAGTGAGTGATGACAAACCGCTGTACCACTAAGCCAAGCGGGCGTGCAAATCTCGCCGCTCAACAATGAGCGGTTTGAATAGTTTAAGCTACGATATAAAATATGTACAATAAAAATATCGTGCCGTAGTCGAGCCGATCATTGTGTGGGAATCAATCCTGCGTATCAGCTTGCCAGCACAATGCTTACTCCCATACAGATATATATAGGACTTTTCATTCCATGGTGGACGAAAATTGTGCATAGATGTTTCATACCATAAGACGCACAGGAGTACAACTATCGCCGTAACGACTCGAGACGTATTTGCAGAACTGCCAGTAGCAAAACCCCCGGGACTCGCTAACCACTTCCTCGAAAGCTTCACCACAGATATTCCGAGTACCGTAGCCCGCTCAATCATACATCTTCTTAACATCCACACCCATAATGCCACCCAAAGCCGCAATCCGCGGCACTGCCGTCGGACGACCTGCACAACAACGTGGCAATTACGCCAGCCAGATCTTCAACGAGCTTACCAGCCCCGAGAACCGAAGCGTGGTCACGGCGGTGACTTTCTTTGCTGTATGCATTCTCAGCATGCTGCGGAACAAACGTTGTACTGATAGAAGACCTAGGCCGGCGTTGCGTTCCTACATAGCAGCTGGAGCGAGATTCTCCTACCTCCGTAAGCTCCTGTCGTGTTGGTGTGATAACGATGCAGGAGCTAATTGCATGCGCAGCCTCTAAACCGAGCACTTGACGGCAAGGAGATGTACATTTGCTCGCGGTACGAAGCCGGCGGGCCTGTAAGATAGTTGTGGACAGCATAGCAAGGCGTAGTGGTGTAGAAAGTGTAGCTCGGGAGCACCTCAAATGCAGCAGGGAGGCCGGGCTATGGTTGACGGTATAAGGTCTCTTGAAGCACATCGTGCCCGAACCCGAAGGACTATGGGTGCCCTGGGGACAACAGCCGCCAAAGAAGTGCTGGCAGAGCAGGCAACAACCACAGCATCTGTTAAGCAGTATTAGCTGGCGACCAGCTTCGACATTAATATCAGTTCTACTCCTAACCGCCTCGCTAATCTCAATAAGCCTTTCCATATCCATATCTAACGCCAGAAACCAAACGCTAACATCGTGTAAGACTGTAAGGACGACACCGCCAGCGCTCCGAGGGTATCATGCTATCATAGGCGAAACAATTGTTGCGCCTTTAGCACCGCCGCGAACGCACGAGTCACTAACACCTCCCTGAAACAAAGGTCGAAAATCACAGTATAGCCTCAACAGCGCCCATGCCAGGTACGTCGAAGTCAGGAAGGTCCGGCCAGTTGCCTAGCCCGGCAGGGTCACCGCCAATGCGCACCCACGTCGCATTCGACGGGACATTGTTGCCATCAAGCAGAAACATCTGGAACCAGCTTGGCGGACACACATTTGCATTCGGCGGCGCGGTGACGGTGCATATCGTACCCGAACACCTTGTCGTAGGGAAATATGTTCGCTGACCCATAGAATTGCCGTGAGTTGAAGAGACGGCACCAAGCAAGCTAACACGATAGCCGGACGTGTCGACTGTAGCCCGACTGGTAAGGTTGCCGATCGACCAGCTGCTGTTGCTGCTTCGTTGACCAGACGGCGTTATCGAGAAAGTGACTGACTGGCCATACGACCAGTCGAGATTCGAGAGGTTGAAAGACGGCCTGGGTGCGCCGGAGAGAAGATACGGCGGCATGAAGACCTCATTACGGTACTCTTGCGGTGCGAATGCACGCACGTCTTCCGGATCGGAGCCGGAGACGAGTACGCGGCCATCATCGAGCAACACAGCTTCGGAATGGTAGAGGCGTGCTACTGTCGTGTTCGCCATTACCGTCATGCGGAAGTTGACCGGCTTACTTGGGTCATACAGCACAGCGTTGTAGTTCGGTTCTGTGGCGAGACCGAACCCGGCACGACCTTGCTGCGCGCCGTTGAGGATGAGGTATGTCCCGTCTGGCAAAGCAGTCATGCATGGCATTATGCGCTTCGATGGCATGCGCTCGATTGTCCAGTTGGCGTTTGGCTGGTCTGGCGCAATTGACACGCAATTGTCGAGTGCGATTTCCGGTCCAGGCACCGAGCCACCGCAGATCACTACCCGCAGATAGTCGTTGTACGGCGCATACTGCGGCATAAGCATCATTACGCCGGAGAACTGATACGTGCGGGCTCCTAGAAAGTTGTTGACGGCTCCAGGCATGTTTGGGAGGACCTGCTTTGTTTGTAGTGACACCGGATCCAGAATGCGAGCCTCGTTGTCGTAGCCGACGAAGATTCCACCAGAGGGTAGAACGGCCAGGAAAGGGTATAGATTGTTCTTATCCGTCCGGTCGAGGTAGTCGCAATAAATGACCTCGCCAGATGGACTGGGTAGCACCTCCAGCGTTGGCACGGCGGCACCGTTCGAGCCAACTTCGCCACCCATGACAAGGATGCTGCCGTTCGCCATGGTCATGGCAGTGGGATACCACCGACCATTGAGCAGCGAGAGCTCCGCACCGTTCTCTTGCCAATCATTAACACCCGCAACACCAGGCTTGCCATCTGGCCAGTACAGACGGATGCCATACGTCGCTTCGTTTGCCCAACCTCCGATGTTAATCTGCCGACCGACCTTGTCCGGCAAGGTCAGTGATGCGGAGCAGAAGATGTCGCTCTTGACGTGCATTGGTCGCCATGCAGCGGTGAAGTCGTCAAGTAGTGACAGATCGAGCTCGTAAGCTCCCGTGCCGTTGTTGGCAGGCGAAGTGCCAAATTTCTCAAGGTACGTGACCTTGCCATTACGAGCTGGAGCCGTGACCAAAGGGATGACTGGGCCACCAATGAGGAACTCGTATGCACCAGCTGCGACTCCAGAAGCGAAGTCCCAGTCGTACATCGTGCTATTCCAGGTGTAGTACGACAACCTTGAAGGACCGCCGCAAATGTGCCCGCCGTTACCGTCTTGATTGCCACTGCACACCATGTTGCATTCACTCTCCGGTTGCAGGGTCGCGCCAGCGTCGATGACATTCTGAACATCTCCGCAATAGCACTGCTGGCCATACTCAGTACCAGCAGCATTGTAGCCAAAAAGTGCGCATTGCTCGAGGCACGCAGTGTTGGTATTGTTGGTCTCCCATACGATCTCGTACGGCAGAGAGCGGTTGTCATCAGCGTCCGACAAGCAGCCCATGTATGTCCACTGTCCAGGGAGGTTGCCGCTCTGTGTAGACGGATTGATGTAGGCGGTCATGTTCCCTACTGTGTATACGCTTAGGATGCTGCCAGCACCACAGATCTCACCTTTGTTGCCAGCGCAAGCCATGCTGCAGGAAGATTCCGGAGCTCTCGACGGGCTGTTGCGAATGTAGTTATCGCAGAAGCACTGGTGTGAATACTCCATTGCGGCAATTGTGTAGCCCAGGTCTGAGCATTGCTGAATGCATGACTCCACCGTCATAGTATCGTTGTCCGGCATTTGATTCGAGAATGCGCGACCGCCGTTACCCTCCGTGTAGCAGCCCTGGTATTTGAAGGGGGCGATGGCGGAGGCATTGACCGAAATGTTTGGAGTCTGAGTAGCCACGGCATTATCGTTGCCACCGTTGTTATCGTTGTCGCTGCCAGATGTAGCTGTGCCGGTAGCTGAAGAGCTAGTAGACGTCGCTGGAAGCGCAGAGGCGTTGTACTGATAGACGTTAAGTCTGTCCGGTCCGCCGCACATCTCATTAACGGTACCCGCACATGCCATGTTACAGCCAGCTCCACCGTCTACAGCAGGCCCACCATAATTCTGAGGAGTGTTGTCACAGTAGCCTGCGCTTGTCAGTCGCCACGCCATGAAACCATTGCAAGTGACGTGCACGTACATTCAGAGCCATATTCGACCCCAGCAAGAACATACCCAGCCTTCCTGCAAGCAGCAGTGCAAGACTTGATGTCTACATTGGTAATCCCATATTGCTGGTTATTGAGTGTTCTACTCCCGACCGTGTCGTTCCAACAACCAACGCTGTACCATCCGGTAAGCTGGTAGGCGCTGAGGCCGTTTGGGCCACCGCAAATTTCGTTCGGGTCACCGCTGCATACCTACTTTAGTTAAAAACCAAGTTGTATAAGCCACTGTGGATTGGGGGGCTCTCACCATGTTGCACCTTCCGTCGGTGACCAACGCTGCGTAATTCTGAATGGCATTATCGCAGTAGCATTCTCCTCCGTACTCAGTCCCAGCAAAGGTGTACCCTGCTTTCGCGCACGCACTTGTGCACTCTTCGATGGTCATGGAGTCTAAGTACTGGGCATTCGATAGCGTCCTTGCACCGACGGAGTCATTGAAGCATCCCAGAGAAGCCCATCCTGCTGGTGGAGGAGGCGTCTTTGACACTGGCTTCACAGCTGGAATGGCGCTTCCCGCGGCATAAAGGTTCAAGCGGTTGCCTGCCCCGCAGAACTCAGAGCTATTGGCAGCGCATAGCATGTTGCAGTCCGTCAAAGAGGTGTTGCTTGCAGAACTTGACAGGAAGTCGTCGCAGTAGCTTCACCCAGTCAGCTCGAGTTTACACCACCTTATCCTATCCATGTGGGTCCCGAACGCTTACCACTCATCCGCGTACTCAACACCAGCAAGAGTGTATCCTGCGCTAGCGCAGGCGGCCGTACACGCATCAACGGTCATGTTGCTGCTCCCGCCCTCGACTTGCGTGGAATGGCTCAAACTTCGGATGCCACCATCTGTCCAGCATCCGAAGGAGGTCCAGCCTGGAGGACCAGGGTTCACAAACGGTCCTTGGGGAGTGGGCTCATTCGCATAGTAGACGGTGAGCAGATTGCCACCGCCGCACGCTTCCGATACGTTATATGCACATCCCATGGAGCAGCTGGAGTCTGATTGTCGGCTCGCCGTAGATACGAGTGCATCCCCACAGTAGCACTCGTCGGTATATCTGCGGATACAAAGATGATCAGCTTGGTAATTGCGCACAGCCGGAGCCCGACAAGCTTACTCGGTGCCAGCATAGACATATCCTCTACCCTGACAGAATGAAACACATGCTGATGCATTCATATTAGTCGCATCCGCATAGCTCGAGCCAGCCAAGGTTCTGCCATTGCCGTTGACATTATCGTCCCAACATCCAACGTACGTCCAATTGCCTGGTAGTGATGCATTTGAGGCAGGACTCAGGGTTCGTTTGATTAAAAAGGCATTCGCAGAAAAAATGCTGTGTAGTGAGAAAAGGACTGTAGCAACGGTGTAAAATCGAAGGACAAGGTGCGCCATTGATGCTCGACGACTGTTCCGATGACATGAGATAGAAAACGGAGGTCGAGTAGCACTAGAATGCCGAAGCAGTAGTTACCAATCTTTGTACACTTACTCAGGCCAAGGTGTCAATCCCAACTACAAGGGTTATGTGGCAAACCGTTGTTGACTGCGAGTCCCCAAGCCTTGAGCTGAGTCGGACCCTCAGCATACGGCCGATGCGACGTGTACCGGACAGACTGTGTGGGTATCTCGCTTGAGGATTCAAAGGTGGGTGTGGTCTGCTGCAAATGCCGACGAGGCCGGTCACGCCTCTACGAGGCAGAACTGGTCCGGGCACCCTTTCGTGGCGAGAGCAGTTACACGGACGGTATTGGGAAGCAGTTAAATTTGCTCATTTGATTGGTTTCCTTGCGGAGCTTCTTCGAAGCGAACAGATAGGTTACGAGCCGAGCTAAGGTGAACAGTCCGATGCGAGACATACTCCGGTGCTCAGCGCCATGAATGAGGGTCCAGGTGACGGTACCGTTGTTCGTTTGCATGCTCCGCAGTCTCATGGTCAATGCCACTTCCACTGAACACGCTGCTCGGAGTCAGTTAGCGACTCCTCTAGAAGACAATTCCACGGCACGCGATTCTAGTGTGAAGTCAGATGAATGGTTCGGTGGAGCACGCTAGTAAACGCAAAGTGCCACTCATGACTGCGTGCCTCTTTCGGCACGATTCTCGGAACGGACCATGCAGCACCGACGGGGCACCTAAGACAGATCTAACACTGACGGTGCCGTTCACCAGCGTTCAGCTGGCGTGCCTCTGCATGACACTTGTTCGAATGCAGAGGTGTGTTGCCGTAGTACGGACTCTATCGCGGACAAGACATTCATGCAGTCGACAGCATATGGTTTATGCATATGGCGCCAACCTTTATTGCACCTCATCCATTACACCTCTACAAGCAAGGGGGCCACCGGCCAGTTGCTAGCCAATGCTGCAGTACGAACTGGGACTGCGATATGGTGGAGGAAAGCGCCAACATAAGCGCCAACATATTTTCCGAAATCGCTTAGTCAAGTCCATCGTTAAATCGTTCTACAGGCACAAGAGGCAATTGATCCTTGTCCTTCAGCCATTGTATACATGATAAAGAACACCCCGCATGCGCCAAGCGCCATTCGCATCGTGAACGTCTTCCAAAAGCCGGTAAGCCTAACACTTGCCCTCTTTGTACATCTTCACACTCTGTACAGTCATGCCTCGCTTGTCACCCTCTCCCCAAGTCGGTAGCCAAACATCCTTAGCCTTCCAGAACTCTAAAGGCGCCGTCAATGCAGCGTCTCCCCATGGCTTGTTGCCAACACCGTCTACAAAGTAGCCGTTCGTGCCACCTACTGCGACGTTCAATATGAGGAAGAATGACTGATCGAAGGGAGTGTTGGGTGCGGAAGATGAAGTCCATGGGTCGGCAAGTGCAGACTTATTGACGATAGTCTCGCCAAATCTGAAGAGGCCGTCAGTACAAGCCGTATGAACGGGGGGTATCAGGGTGATTAACTCACTTGCCGCGGTTCCACATGCTCGAAGCGGAGTTGAACTTCAGGAAGAAGACTTGAAGCAGCCTGCTGTCAATATACATGAAGAGGTACTTCTCGGTCCACTCCAGACCATAGACGTGGAAGGCTTCGGAGTAGTCCGTCTGAGATATGGTCAGTATATAACACGCAAGTGCATACAGCCGCTCACACATACTCTCTTCAAGGTATGCTTTCCGGATGTCCTCCAGAAAGCATCAGTTCCTGGTGTTGGGCCCCAATGCAGGGTTGAGCCTACAGAATCACGGCCGTCGGTGTAGTTGACCGGACTATTGCCTTTGCTCTCTGCGATATCGATCTCGCCGGACTGCGGCCACGGGCCGTAGACACTGTCTTCAGGCATCATCCAAATGGCTGGCCATAGCCAGTCTCCTTGCGGCATCTTGGCAGTGACCTCCACGCGTCCGTACTTCAACGTCTTCTTGCCCTGAGTTGACAAGCGAGCACTTCGGACAGGGTTGACAATGTCGCCTGAAGTAGAGTTGCTACGAATCGAGCACATAGTATAGTCCTGACTGGTGCATGTTCCGGCGGTTGTCAGATTAAGCACGTAGCCGTCTAGGATCTGTGCTGGCGTGATATCCGTCGTTTCTGTGGTAAGAGTTGGCACGATGTGTAAGCCCTCCGCGTCTGTGTATGCATTCTTAGCGTCGGTGGTCGTCCACTCAAAGGAGCCAGAACCGAAGCCTCCTCGCTGTATCTCGTAACTCCATGTCGCGGGATCGATGGTATGGAAGTCATCTTCGAGGAACAGGCAGAACTCGACACTCGTCAGCAACACTACGGATCATTGGTCGGCATCTGACAGCTCACCTCGCCCGTTGACACGTTGATGTACTCGAATGCACAGATGGCGGCCCCAAGAACCACCCCGAGCGCAATACTACCCCAGAAAATCCCTCGCTCTATCTTCTTGCGCCGGTAGTTCGGGTCTTCTTTGCCTTGCAACCATGGCTTTTCGTCGTACTCTCCAGCCTTCAGACGAGCGCTCTGGAACTTCCGTCGTCTCGACACATATGATTGGGTCTGCGCTTGTGGGGAGTACCGGCCGTGCTCTGCTTTCTCGCTCAATGTTTCTCTGGATGCGTGTGGCGTTGCGAAGGGGTTCGGGGTGAAGCCAGTCACTTGAGGATTTCCATCGGGGCCTCCCTCGGCCTGCGGCTCGTCCGTAGCCGGCGTGGTGCCCGCTGCCTTTTTATTTTTCTTTGTGAAGAGACCCATGACTTTGTAGGGGGTGGAAAAATCAAAGTGAATGTTGAGGGAATCAAGACGAGGGAATTGGAGTACAAAGAGAAGGATCCGGACGATGATATTACGTCGTTCTGAAGCCGTTTATTGAGTGCAGAGCTGGCTTACCGCTCAGCGGCTCCTGTCTGGCCGCTGCGATACCGAAGGAAAGACATAAGCAACCTACTGCGACCATTGCAGTCTGGGCTCGTTGACACCGACGCTTCGGTTAATGGTGCTCAGCTCGGTCGTTCAGATGATGCCACTGGCTATCGGAAAGTGCGCGCGCCTCAAGACATTGATTCAGATTATTCGGACCGTACATTCGTTGGCAGAAACGGTGTTACCGCATGCGGCATGAAGAACTTCCAAAGCTACCGCATAACTTCCGAGGTGGAGAGCGATGCCGCAAAGTCCTTCGTACTCCAAGCGAGTGCCGAGAGCTCGTGTATAGCCTTTCGGCGGTGTGGTCTTGAGTTCGAACATGTCGCAGATGCAGTACCAACGGAGAATTCACATACGCGCCTTGCTTCCCGTTGACTCAGGCACGGATACACTGTAATTGGCTGTGCGTCGGGGATGCTAGCATCATAGTCAAGCCTCGGTCCGGCGAAAACGTGGAATCATAGAAGGCAGACGGAACCAGCCGTGAGCATGGATCCCATGATAGCCCTTGTCCTGCGACTTCACCCCATGGTCGCCAGCAGTCTCCGTGATTTTCATCGTCCCGCCCATTCGGTGCAGAAAGAAGCTTGCTGGGCCCGTTCCCGTGCAAGATCTTTGGTAGCTCCTCGTTCCAAAGTATGCCCGGCATATTTTGAATGGAGTCTTGGGAGCCATGCACCTGGACGAAAGGCGCTCTCATGGTGGCTGCGTGGCCTTACCTGTGTAACTAAGGCCGTAAATTCTCCCGAGCAGAGGCTTCCTTCCAGCTTCTACTCTACAGTACCTTCGTGCCGCGCACGCGTAAGACGAGAGCCTGTTGACCCTGCAGAAAGCTAATCGCCAAAACGGCAGCCGTTGCACTTCAGTGCATCTGCGTCCAGTAGGTTTCCGCATGACCAGGTGTATGGTGCTGAGCACTGTACTACTCAGCCACTGCGCCAAGCCATATGGCCACAAAGCATTACCACGACCGGGTTCGGAGCCCATCAAACGGACACTACACCGATTTGGTATGTGCTAGTTCCAGCGAAGAAGCTCCATGGATGCATGCACCGTGCAGCTGCCTTCTGCATGCCAAAGGGTCGTACAGTCTTTCTTGGCTCCCCTCCGATTACAGGGCTGACTCTGTGCACCGAGCTGTACGTGCGTTGCCCAACTACCGAAGCGACACCGCCAAAGGCTTCTGCTTCCGTGCTAGGACGCTTGTAGCGAGCTACTGCACCCGCCGTTGTGGGCTCTCAGTGAAACGGCACTGCCTCCAAGTCCGGCTTGCTGTCGAGTTTGTCATCACAGTCTGTAAGGGCCAAGCGACGTACGCCATGCATGTGACCGGCACCATGGCTGCGGCGGAGAGTAACCACGCTTACAGCGATCTCGCCTAGTGCACCGAGGTAAAGCATTCACCGAAGGTCCTGACGAACGTTGTTTCGGCCGTTCTACGCCTTCGGGACGACATACTCGGTTGACTTTGGCAAACGTAGACCAGCCGCGGTAATACCGCCAGCAACAGCCAAGCCTTGATTTGAAGGTCCACGGTGCGCCATGTTTATATACTGACCGCCTTGCCATGCCACCTCGTCGCTATAGCCACCACACTCATTCATTCAGTACAACATTCGCTCACTGCTACCCATTGCATCAAGTGGTCGCTCATTCGTTATGGCGAACAACTACGACGCTAGGGTGCCGTCTGCCTACGAACAGGAAGCGGGTATCGACTACCCCAAGCCAACGCTGAGCAAGCATCACAGCCCAGCATCCAGCATTCTTTCATCCGATGCTCGTAATGGCAAACATGGAGTCATGGCGAAGTGTGAGTAAATGAGAACCACAGAGATGTTTACCGACTGCTCATAATGCCACAGATCTATATAAGCAAGTTGCCAACAATCAGTGGTTTGAGCCGATGGAGGATGATATCGGCAACAAGGTCCACAGCCTCAACGTCGATCGCGGCGTGGTCATCCAACGAGATGACGGAGCATACCTCACTTACCCTCCTCAGCTTAACGAGCAGGTCCTTGAGGCTGTTCTCCGTCTGGACGTGCCTATTGCTTTCACCATGTCTTCTGAAGTTACGCACACCCTCCTGCGTCAGACAACGCCTGAACAGACGCAAGTTGGCGATCCACGTTCCGGCGTTACCCTGCCAGTGGTCGACTCTGTGGAAAGTCTAGCTTCGGGACGAGTCCAAGTCCCACGTGAAGGCTTCATCTGTCTTTGCAGGAAGGAGCAATTCGTTCTTGTCTGGGGAAGCACGGTCGAGTCCATACTGGTCCAGGGTAACGATATCGAGACATGGTTGGTTGGCCTAGTTTGGGGTTCCCAGGCGCCAGTGGTTGCCAGTCCGCCCAGAGTTGCGAGTCCTTTCAGTCAACGGTCCCTCAACGTGTCACCCCCGCCACCGCAACCATACCCTACACCGATACCTGGTTTCACCCCATCACCAACGGGTTTTCGTGCCAGCTCCACAGGCACACCGGAATGGAATGAGAAGTACGATGTAATTCGAACCGCTATTGCTCGAGAAGAGATGGGCGACAAGGCGTACGATCCAGAAAGAGACGGCAAAGAAGCACCAAAGCGACCACTTGTCCTCGTGCACGCGCTGTGTATTGGTCTAGCTATGGTCCTGGTAGTGGTCGTGGAGATGGCTTGCATAGCGAAACTTCTAACCGAAGCCCGACTCGACGGCAGCTACATGCGTTTCGCCTTGCTGGTCACGGTCCCGATCTTCGCTTGCTTCTCGCTCTTCTTCATGATCGTCATCACCGGATCTCTCTTCCAGCTCTTCGGCCCGCTCTCAGCAGTCCAGGAGAACAGCATGTTTTACTCTGCCAAAGCGCCCAAGCCAGACAGGTACAAGGATTACGAACTCCCTCACGTTACAATCCAGATGCCCGTCTACAAGGAAGGCTTGAAGGGTGTCATTATGCCTACCATCGAGTCTTGCATGGCCGCTGTCCGCTTCTACGAGGCGCGGGGCGGTACGGCTTCGATCTTCGTCAACGACGATGGTATGCAGCTTGTGAAGCCAGAGCTGGCTGAGGCCCGACAAGCCTACTATGAGCTGCACAACATTGGCTGGTGCAGCCGTCCACCACACTGCACACAAGAAGGTCCCAAGCACTTCCTCCGCAAGGGCAAATTCAAGAAGGCATCGAACATGAACTACTGCCTTGATTTTGCGGGCCGTGTTGAAGACGATTGGCTGGCTCGAATTGAAGCCGAGTGCGAGAAGCGCGGATGCACGCAAGATCAGCTAACCATTCAGGAGGAAGAGGAGCTTTACGACCAGGCCCGCGAGGCACAGCTTGAGAAAGATGGTGGCCGTACCTGGGCTGCCGGCAACGTGCGCATGGGAGAGGTCATCCTTATCATTGACTCGGACACCCGTGTTCCGGAGGACTGCCTGCTTTATGGTGCACTCGAGATGTGAGTTCACTGTCATTTTCGAGGCTTACTTGGCAGTCGACTGACTTGTGATGCAGGCATGAGAGCCCTGAGGTTGCGCTGTTACAACATTCTTCCGGCATTCTGCAAGTCGTCAACAATGTTTTCGAGAACGGCATCACCTACTTCGTAAGTCAATCTTGCGATCTTCTGTCTTCAGCCCTCACTGACAATTGGCATCCAGACAAACCTCATCTACACGTCCATCCAGTTCGCCGTCGGAAGCGGCGACTGCGCTCCCTTCGTCGGCCACAACACCTTCATCCGATGGAAAGCCATTCAGTCCGTCAGCTGGGAAGAAGATGGCATGACGAAGTTCTGGTCCGACTCCCACGTCTCCGAAGACTTCGATGTCTCGCTTCGCTTACAGATTGCTGGCTTTGTTGTGCGCCTTGCCACCTACCACAACGGCGGGTTCAAGGAAGGTGTATCCCTTACCGTCTACGACGAGCTAGCGCGATGGGAGAAGTACGCATACGGCTGCAACGAGCTTGTATTCCATCCGCTCCGCTACTGGCCAACGCGAGGACCCATCACGCCGCTCTTCTGGAAGTTCTTGCGCAGCAACATCAAGCCGACAAGCAAGATGACCATCATTGCTTACATCTTCACTTACTACGCCATCGCATCGGCCATACCACTGACTCTGGCGAACTACTTGATTGTGGGACTGTTCACGGACAACATCGATCAGTTCTACATCACTTCCTGGAAGATCTTCGTTGGTATGGCGGCCGTTTTCAACGTGCTTTCACCACTCGCATACGCCATGCTTCGGCATCGCCTGGGTCAGAAGACCTTCTTCCTCTGCCTGTGGGAAACAATCAAGTGGACGCCAATGTTCTTGCTATTCTTCGGCGGCATCTCCTTCCATTTGCTGCAAGCACTGCTCTGCCACGCGTTCAGCATTAACATGGAGTGGACGACCACGGCAAAGGAGCTGGAGGCGTCGGGCTTCCGCATTGGGTTGGACAGGATCGTGAGGGATTTCAAGTGGATGTACGCTTTCATGCTGCCTTTGTGTGCTGGGATGATATATTTGGCTACCGCGGCACCAAGAGGCTGGTCGATCACGGACTTTGCGGCCATTGTGCCCTTGGCGAACCAGGTCGGTTGTCATGCGCTTTTGCCTTTCGCCTTGGGTCTGTTTTAGGCTTTGCAGCGTTGTGCTTGGGATGACAGGGACATGATGTGTTTTTTTGCAGCGTTACGAGCTTGGTGTTGGTCAGGAGACTTGTTGCTAGCTTTCGGAACGAACGCATATCTCACATACCTCGTCTACGCTTCCCGAACTCATACCATGCTGGCATTTGAGTCTGAGAGTACCTTAAAAAGTAAGATTTGATTCAAGGAGTCTATGAGTTGCTACCATGATGGTGATGGTCCACCAAATCAAGTGAGATGCTTAATGAAAGTGGGTGAGACTGAAAGTCAAGCGGAAAGGGAGCCGCTGGTGTTATCGATAGGAGCAAAGCATCGAGCAGAAGTTCCTCCCAAAAAGTTTCGGGCATCGTGGACAAGCGCATTGACCTGTCGAGCGTGGCGCCGGTGACATGGACACTGATGGCGCAGATGGACATATCTACAAGAGGCAGAAGCTCAGCAATGGACATGCGGCACCGCAGCGAAAAATTGGAACATCGCGACTCTTTGCGCCGTACCGAACTATAGGCCTCGTCTCTCCGACCACAGTACCTTTCACCGCCGTACCCTTGGGCAAGACAACATTCCAGATCACGACTTCTGTCGGCCGTAGCCTACAGACGTACGATCTCCGGAGAGGACTGAACCTTGTCTTTATCACGAGGCCGCAGACTCCGGGGCCGATCACAGCAAGCATAGCCTGGAAGGACAAGCTGTTCGCCGCTTGGTGCGACGGAGGCGGACATGCAAGCGGAGTATGGGTGTTCAAGCGAGGTAAGAGGGAGACCGAATTGGAAGTACCGAGAGGCTGGCGGCAGCAAGTTTCAGCGCTGTGCTGTTTCGGTGGATGGATCATTGGCGTCTGCGAGACCACATTGCTTGTCTGGAAGGCTACAACATACGAGCTATACACTACGTTGCAAGGCGTATCACCTGTTTCATACACAAAATGCGTTGCCGCCCTGCCTACCTTCCTCAACAAGATTGTGGTAGGCAAGGAAGATGGCATCGCTGAGATCTGGAACGTCTCTAGTGGGAAGCTCGTGTATACCATCCTACCACCCGCTACAACCTACGGTGCAGTGACGGCATTAGCACCAACTCCTGCGCTGTCTCTCGTGGCAATAGCATATGAGAAGGGACCGCTGCTGATCCAGGATGTGCACGCCGACCAAACAGTGCTTCAGCTCAATGCTCCGGCTGGCGCACCCATTACGTCCATTTCCTTCCGCTCTGATGGTTTAGGTGCCGGCGAGGATGGGCAGAAGGCTGGTGTAATGGCCACAGCCTCGACATCGTCCGGTGACGTTACGCTCTGGGACCTGAACGAGGGAGGTCGGAAGGCGGGCGTGCTACGCTCAGCGCATGCAGATCCTACCCCAGACTCCCAAGGTGGTGTCAGCAAGGTCGAGTTTTTGCCCGGTCAGCATACGCTTGTGAGTAGCGGACTTGACAACAGCCTCAAGACATGGGTGTTCGACCAAACCATATTCTCCCCAATTCCTCGCATCCTTCACCAGCGTTGTGGTCACGGTGCGCCTATCACAACGCTCGAGTTCCTTCCTTCTGCATCAGATGGAAGTGACGATGTCGGAAAGTGGCTGATGTCAGCCAGTCGCGATCGCAGTCTGTGGGCTTGGTCATTGCGTCGGGACGGTCAAAGCACGGAGATTAGCCAAGGCGCTGTACAGTCTAAGGCCAAGAAACAAGGCCTACTGTCAGGCAGCAACCGAGATAGCTTACAAGATCTGAAGTGTCCGCCTATCACCGCCATGGCGTGCAGTTTGAACAGAGACGGCGGCATCGGTGCATTACCCGGGAGACATCCCATCTGGCAAAACGCCAAGGGCAAGAATGTCGATGCTGAAGTGTCGTCTATGACCGGCTGGGAGAGCGTAGTAACTGCACACGAGGATGACAACAAGGCCCGAACATGGTTTTGGGGTCGTAAACGGGCAGGCCGCTGGGCATTCCCTACGTCTGACGAGAGCCCTGTGACCTCTGTAGGAGTGTCACCTTGTGGCACCTTCGCTGTCATTGGGTCCAAGTCGGGTGGCATTGACATGTTCAACCTGCAATCTGGCATGCACCGCCAGCGCTTTCCGGCACGACTCTCTCCGCAGCAAGCAAAGCAATTGAAGCTCGATATGCTCAAGCACGGCTTGGAGGAAGAACGAAGCAAAGACGGCAAGAAGATCTTCTATCGTGGACAAGGCAAGCATGCATCCGCAGTCGTTGGCTTGGAGATCGACAGCCTCAACAAGACCGTGGTGTCTGCGGGCACGGACGGTCGAGTGAAAATCTGGGACTTTACCACTGGGCTCCTACAGCGAGAGCTTGATTGGTCGACCTACACATCCATCAAAGCGATGCGCTTCCACCGGCCTTCGAACCTCGCTGCATTCGCTTGCACTGATGGATGCGTCCGCGTTGTAGACATTGCAACGCAAAGGCTGATTCGCGAGCTCTGGCCTACACGTCCATTGCTGCCTGAGCTCACACCCTCCACCTACGCCATCTCCGACTTTGCATTCTCGCCGAGCGGCAATTGGCTCGCTGCCTCATTAGGACCGCTCATCGTACTGTGGGACCTGCCTACTGGTCACTTGGTCGACGCTTTCAAGCTGAAGGCGGCTTGTACAAGTCTGGCGTTTTCGCCAACGAGCGAATTCCTCGCCATTGCGACAGCGGACAGCGTGGGTATGGACGTATGGACTAACAAAGCTTTGTTTATGCATGTGTCGACCAGGCACATCCCCGCAGACGAGCTTGTTAGCATCCTGGCCGCAGACTATGCGCAAGCGCCGACGGCAAGCGGTGAAGGAGGCCGCGACCTCGTCGCTACCAGTACGGATGAGGCGGATGAGGAAGCGGAGGATGTACTGCTTGACATGCTGGATGCAGAGGCTAGTGTCGACCAGTTGTCGTCAGATCTCCTGTCACTTTCGCTGGTGCCGAAGTCGCGATGGCAGAATCTGATGCATCTTGACCTCATTCGCGTACGCAACAAGCCGGTCGAGCCACCCAAGAAGCCGGAGAAAGCGCCCTTCTTCCTGCCTTCACTGCAGGACGGCCAAGTTGCCGCGGTGGGACAGCAGAATGCACAAGCTACGACGGTGACTGCAGTTGAACTGCAGAAAGAGCGGTCTAGAATGCTCAAGCTCACCCAAGAGGGCGGTAGAAGCACCTTTGCGAGGCTCCTACAGGAAGCTGCAGATACACAAAGTCACGGGCCGCTTCTTGAACATCTAAAGAACCTGAGCCCAGCTGCGGCCGACATGGAGCTTCGTTCGATAAGCGTTGAGGGTGACGAGATGGTAATCTTTATCCAGGCACTGACCTGGCTCATGCGGGAGAGGAGAGACTTTGAGCTTGGCCAAGCATGGATGGCTGTCTTTCTCCGCTTGCATGGCGAACTTGTAGGCAATGTCCCCGAGCTCACAGTCGCCATAGAACACTGGCGGGATGCACTTGATGAGGAGAAGAGGCGCGTAGCTAAGCTTAGCACTTACTGCAACGGTGTCGTTGGGTACCTACGAGCAGCAAGAGTCTAGTGGTGGTTCAGTGTTCAATAGCGGGCATCTAGCTCGTCCAGATCTTCAGCGCATTCCTCTTCCTCATCTGTCTCGTCGTCAGTCTCAGTGAGTGCTTCGTTGCGGGACAGAGCACTACTGCCGGCGATCATTCGTTTGCCACCGTCGTCTTCGGAGTAAAGTTCACCATTTAGCTCATGAAGCGACGCTCGGCTCAAACTTGCGCGTAAGTTCTCACTGTCATGAACTCCAAGTAATGCTGCTTGATCCGGAGTGAGCTCAACTATCTGCGGTGCATACTCGCCCGTCTCGTCATCTTCGTCGAAGGCTGTAGTTTCCACCTGTACCTGTTCGCCGTCTTCTAGGTCGAGGACGCCAAACTTGGCAAACGAGCCTCCCAGTTGCCAGCCGTGCTCCGTGCGAAGGTAGTCTTCTAGGTCGTCGAGCTCATCCACCACGTACTGAGTCTCGATTCCAGCCAGGCCTCGTAGGCCTTTGCGGAAGCGTACCAAAAGACTTTTAAGCAACGATCCTCCTTCGTCTGCAAGATCGATCAAACCAGTGTCTGCGACCTTGCAATGCTGCAGTTGCAGCGTCAACGCTTTGATGGCTTCAACGAAGAGCAGCGAGGTGGTGTCTGCTGCCACTGCGGAGCGACAGGTGAAGAGTAACCCTAGGATGCGCTTCCACTGTTCAAGGCAGGAAAAGTTGTTTAGGGTGAGGACCATGAGAAAGCAGAACTGCATTTCGCCGACAATGTCAAGCAAGTCTCCGCAGTTTGCCTTGATGATGTCGTTCAGCGCCCATGATCGGTCCTGGGCGGCGTCTGTACGTTCGCGCCCGACAGCGCCTTCCCGCCATGTCTGCTTGAGATCGATCGGTAAAAACGTGAGTTCCTTTTCCGCCTCAAGATTCAAGTCAGCGGCATGCAGGCCAGGGATAGCCTCAAGGTCACGTTTTGCCGAGCTTCCTGAACTGAGCGACCAGGTATTGTCGTCACCGTGGGTAATCCTTGCCAACAGCCTGTCCGTGATGCGTGAGGTAAGTTTCGGCCAGTCCACCAGCTCCTCCTGAGCGTCGTCATCGGTAATCGTGCCGGTAGACTGTCGATACGGCGTCAGACCTTCGCGCCATATCTGGCCAAGATTTGCGCGCCACCGAAACTGTTCAGCTTGGTCCGTAACAGTCTGGAGAGATTCAGAATCTTGGCGCCACCGCGCAACATTCAAGTGTGGGCCAGGAGCGTGAGATTGTTCTACACTGAACCATATGCCGTGTCGCTCGGAGAAAGCTATGCTTGAGCTGACGAACGTGAAATGCAATCCTGGTGGTATATTCTTGACGCCTTTGAAACGTGGTGTAGTGGTGAACGACAGCAGATCGATACCAGCCAGTGCCTTCTCGGGCAAGTCCAGCAGTAAAAGTGCTGAGGTGTCTGTTGTGTCCATCAGCGATATTTGCGATGTAAGACGACGAAAACTGCGGACTTAAGTGGGGGAAGGTACGAGTTCGCCCGCGAAACGCCACGCTATACGGTTCGAGTACTTCATCCTTTTTGCGAGGATTTCAATATTATTGTAAGAAGGGAGGAAGACATGCTACTGATCCCGCTACATGCACTTTCAGCCGCTAGATGGTGTTGGGAAGCTGTTCCAGGCCAAGACCAAAGCTTCGCCAGCTTCCTCCCAGTCATGGCTTCCTCCCACTTTACTAAACCTCATCACAGGCTGGTTGTTCCTTCACTGGCTCGCTATCGGCTACAGCATCCTTTGGCGCCGTCACTCGTCCTGAATCTTTGCGACGCGTACTCATTTGCAATGCTTATCGAGGTTGTGAGAATGCCGGCCGCAGGTAATATCCCTCGTCTCTTGGTAGCGGCCAGAGCTGACAACGAAAAGATGGGACAGTATTAGACGCGAAAGTCTGCAAGTAAGTGTTCATTAATGCACGAAAGATGACCTTAGCTTAACGGGATATACCGTCTCACGCCGCATGCCGCGTTTCCTCACCACAGTTGCAAACCAGTATGTGCACACGGATGGTCATTAAGTAGTGCGCTTTCTCCAAGACATTGGTATTGAATACGTGGCAGGCTCCGAGCCACCTCAACCGCTGAGCCGGCGAACGTGCGCTGAGCGATGGCGGGGACTGCTCAAGCTCAAGTGGCACACCAATCAGTGCAGAATTGAGGTTCATGCGGACTGAAGTAATGTCAATGATTCGCATTGCCGCAAGCCTCTGCTTCAAGGAGGGCATGGCGAAGGCCACGAGCTGATCATCTACCAATGCATACGGCACAACATCGCACTGAAGATGCATGGCACGAGCTAGGTAACGAAGATCCTGCCGCAGTCATCAGAAGCTAGAGCTCGAAAGGCGCGGTGGCTGCAGCCAGAGCGCGTACTTCTGTTCAGCGTGGGCTCAGTGTTGCTCCAAACAGGGAGGAGCCATTGCAAAGGACGATCGCGTTTATGAGTAGCTTGACGGGTAGAACTGTGTCAGCGCAGAGGGACCGTATCGAGGGTCGCGACACAGTACCATGTATACACACCAGCCTTGGCAGGATCGTTGCTACCACAAATCAAGATCAGGTCGCCATGCCTTGCAATGACCTAGAGACTCGGAGTAGTTGTCGTAAGTATCGTACGTCGCAGCGGCGATGTATTCGTGCAAAGCGATACTGGGTTCTTCTCAAAGGGTGTGATGACTGATCGGGCACAGCAAGCGGGAAGCGAAGGATGGAGTCGTCTGTGATACACTGCTATAAGATCTTGTGGTTACTGCCGCTGCACGTCTTGACAAGGCTTTGTTCCATTAAGACGTTGTCCAAATGACACCTGTTCAACGCAAATTGCATAAAAGTAGTAAGGAAATATGGAGGCATGCTGAGGGACCCTTTCAGAGCCGCAAAAGCTCTTATTGCATCACATCTAACATCTGTTGCGGGAGGTCAGAATTTTGCTCATGCAGCAGGTCAGCGTCACAGTACATGGCCTGAATTCGGTCTCTATTGATCTTGAGTGTGACTCTTTTCACCTTTCGGGATGAGGTAGGCAGTAATCTATTATTTTGTCCTCCACCAGGTAGTGTCTGTCGCGTGAACAGAGCTAGATAGTGACTGAACCGACAGTACTGTAAGAGAGCAGGGTGAATGCCAAGCCTGACATCGAGCACGGCCGCGCTTTCCCCTTCCGGACCTAGCGTTCGCAAAAAAGTTGACCAGATCCTTTTCCGCGCCTGCCCTGCCTTTCTGAACACGTTCTACTTCTACATCATCCTGTCACAACACGTCGCTCATCCTCCTGGCTTACTCTCTACAACGACGTTTAAGCTCACATAGCGACACGACATACCCGGCTGCACGACACTGACCAGCTAAGCTGATATCACTCATTCCAAGATGAGCTACGGCGGCAGCAGTTACGGAGGCGGAGGAGGGTATGGCTCTCGCGGCGGCAGCGGCGGTGGCGGCGGCGGTTACAGTAATGGATACTCCAACGGCAACGGGTACGGCAGCCATGACAGCCGCGATTATGGCTCGCGCGGTGACTATTCCAATGGGTAAGCCCAAAGGTGTAGGCTCGCTTGTGCTTTCTTGCGTCCAGTCATTCCTATCATCATGTCAGATTGACATCTTGTGCATCCACTAACACCCATTCGCAGCTACTCGAACTCAAACGGCTACTCAAACGGCACTAACGGTTCTTACGGCGGCGGCGGCGGCGGCGGATACGGGGGCTCCAACTCCTACGGCGGTGGCGGCGACAAGATGTCCAGCCTTGGTGCTGGACTCAAGACTCAAACCTGGGATCTGAATGCTATGCCGAAGTTTGAAAAGTCGTTCTACAAAGAGGATCCTGCCGTGGCTGCACGCTCACAAGCCGAGGTCGATGCATTCCGCAGAGAACACCAAATTACGGTACAAGGTCGCGACGTGCCGAAGCCGGTGGAGACCTTCGACGAGGCTGGCTTCCCGGGATACGTCATGAACGAAGTCAAGGCGCAAGGTTTCTCAAAGCCCACCGCGATCCAATCTCAAGGCTGGCCCATGGCTCTCTCCGGTCGTGATGTCGTCGGTATTGCCGAGACCGGGTCTGGGAAGACGCTCACCTACTGCTTACCCGCCATCGTCCACATTAATGCTCAGCCACTTCTTGCACAGGGTGACGGTCCGATTGTCCTCATCCTAGCACCTACCCGTGAGCTAGCCGTTCAGATCCAGGAAGAAGTCAGCAAATTCGGAAAGTCCTCAAGGATACGAAACACCTGTGTCTATGGCGGTGTTCCGAAAGGTGGACAGATCCGCGACCTCGCTAGGGGCGTTGAAGTGTGCATCGCCACACCTGGACGTTTGATCGACATGCTCGAGTCAGGCAAGACCAACCTCCGTCGTGTAACTTACCTGGTGCTTGATGAGGCGGACCGCATGCTCGACATGGGTTTCGAGCCGCAGATCCGCAAAATTATCGGCCAGATCAGACCTGATCGTCAGACCTGCATGTGGTCCGCTACCTGGCCGAAGGAGGTTCGCCAGCTGGCCTCAGACTATCAAACAAACTTCATTCAAGTCAATGTCGGCTCGCACGATCTGCACGCTAACATGCGCATCACGCAAATCGTTGAGATCGTGTCGGATTTCGAGAAGCGCGAGCGCATGCAGAAGCACCTTGAGCGCATCATGGAGGACAAGAACAACAAGATTCTCATCTTCACCGGCACAAAGCGTGTCGCTGACGATATTACTCGCTTCCTTCGTCAAGACGGATGGCCAGCGCTTTCGATTCACGGCGACAAGCAGCAGAACGAGCGCGACTGGGTTCTCAATGAATTCAAGACGGGCAAGAGCCCAATCATGGTTGCCACCGATGTGGCTTCCCGTGGCATCGGTATGATTGCTGAACAACCCCCCTGCACGTACACACTCCGCACCTCCCCCCCCTTGCTTAATTTGGCTCTCTCCTTCCGCCCTTTCACCCACTACCACGCCATATCACCGTTATTCCTATTACACATCTCTTTGTCTCCGTTTGTCAGAGCAGATCTGTCTGTCATGAGCTGCACTCCGCACGCTTGACGTGCACACATAACCACGTGTCTAGGGCTGTTCATGTTCCTCTGTTCTTTACAGGGTCCTCGAAGACTTCATAACGGTGGGGCGCGTCTAGATGTGCTTCACTGTCACCCTCCGTTTCTCTGCAACTCGTCTTTGACCGTCAGAGAAGCGGATACTATGAGTCTTCAAGAGATTACGTTGCGTTAGTTTGCGAGAGCTGCGCGCGTCATCAAAGGATCCGTGACTGGAGAATCGTCCACGGCCCGTGACATTGGCTTGTAAATGTGTGCGCCTTGAGCGCTGAGCTGGTTCTCCGACTGTTTGCAATCGCGGACATGTCCACGCCGCCCGCTGAGTGTCGCAGAATGGCGCACCAAGCAGATCTTGCTCGCATCCGGCAAAGGATGGCTGTAGCCTCTCATGCTCACCTGTCCCGTTACAATAGCACGTCTTTACTAACTTTGAGTGCGTCTAAAGACGTCAAGGACATTACGCATGTGTTCAACTACGACTACCCGAACAACTCGGAGGACTACGTCCACCGTATTGGGCGTACAGGGCGTGCCGGCCGCATGGGCACTGCCATCACCATGTTCACTACTGACAGTAAGTAGCGCGCGGCACATTCCATAACAGCCTCTTCGCTAACTCGAATTGGCAGACTCCAAGCAGGCTCGTGACCTAGTGAGCGTTCTTTCTCAGGCTAAGCAGGAGATCGATCCGCGTCTCGCTGAGATGGCTCGCTACGGCGGCGGCGGTGGCGGAGGAGGAGGCCGTGGGTACGGTGGCGGTCGCGGAGGTGGCCGTGGTGGTGGTCGTGGCGGCTGGACTGGCAGCAACACGGCACCAATCGGTGGAAGCCGTCGGTGGTGAGGCTCTGGCGAGCCACAAAGCTGAAGCCAACACAAGTGACCAAAGCTGGCACGGAGCGTTTTAAAAATAATGGCGTTCGTTAACGGTACACTCGGCAGCTGTCAGTGGGACATGATATCGAGGAGGAGTTACTCATGCGAGGCATTGCGACGGCAGGAAAACTTGGCAGGAAAGGCAGTTGCGGCGACGTATAGATTGCTTTTCAATAGATTGCTTTCCAATAATGGCATGATAGACGTGGGAGCGCTCAGGAATTGAGCGCTCATAGGCATTCATAACGCGTTCTTGTTTCTTGCTTCCGAAGTAGTTCAGAAGTGTCAATCTCCGCGGAATGTTACCAGTTGTTGTTAGAAGATCATTGCTTCCTCCACCACTGTACGCAAATCCGGCAGGTCGATCATAACAGGAGTTCGCAGCTCCTTTCAGCGGATCGCACCGGCAACAGCTTACAGGACGATCGAAACCGTGGTACGAGTCATGGACACCAAAACTGAGAGCACATCAGTGGCTGATCGGCTCGAAATAGGTGGGGATATGTTGCTTTTGCTGCTCCTCTTCAGTTCAACGCAGAATCTTCGGTTGTGGTGACCCATCGGTGTCTGGGCTCCACCTTCAGCCCTCCGACTCACTGGATTTTGTGTGTCTTTCGGTCCCTTCACGCGTCATGACCATTCACGAAGTGATGCCCGTCTTAGGTTACATCACAGTGTACCAAGTGTCGTAAGCATAGCTGCATGGGGCATGGGTATACTATGTGGTATTGCCGGGGTTTCCCGTACTTGCAGCCACCAGGCTCACGTAGACGGATAAACAGTGCGCAAGCATGGGGATATGCGGACCCTAACCGGACGTACGGTCAGACTACGGCGCTTTGTTGGGCGCAAGATGGATCGCCCGCGTATCACGTCTTCCTCAAGTGGCTCGCTACCGGTCTTGCATGCTGTCGTCCCAGTTTCAGACTGGCTCGGCTACATGCAATGTCTCATGCACGGAACATTGAACGACGGTACGGACGTTGTTATGTCCCAATATCTTGAGCTCATGAACTCGCGTACATGCCACCAAAGAGGGAGCGCAACAGTGTGGGATGCATGACGGTCAACCCAAGCGACAACCCCGGTACTGCTTCACGGCAAATGTCACGTAATTTGAGTTCCGTTCCGTGCAGCAGAGCAGACAAGCGTGCCCACCTATGAGAGAGCATTTCGAGTTAGAAGTGGTAGATGAGCAAAGCAAAGTCTGGAGTCCCAAGTATAGCGACTCACGGCCCTCCAGAGACAGGAAGTTGATATAAGAAAGAGACGAGACCAGGCTACGATAGACTACGACGAGACGGCTCTGTGGTACCTGATCCTGAAGCACCCAGGCGGCGCGCTTGCATCTTTGCACAAGCCGTAAATGTCCCTAGCGCAGCAAGTGTGTTTGACTAAGCCTAGATGCTAGTTTCGCCTTGTCTACCGTTTAGCACCAGCCGAAGCAACAGATGGCTGCGAGCTTCGCCTTCTGGAGGCACGTATGAAGGACAGCGCGGATTCTTTGAGGACTTCATCTCAACTCGAAGCCGTCATTGGGAGCACAGGCCGCTTACGTGGACGGGAATACATCCGAACTCGTACCTTCAGCCGGTCATGAGGCACACTCTCCCGGCACGATCCTCACACGACACGGTTGTCGTATGAAAATGTGCTCAGCAAACAGCTACACCGCGCTTCGGGATAGTCTACACTCTCGCGTACTTTGTCCAGTCGTGGCATATCCAGTTAGACAGCCGAGGCAAGTCTCGAAATGACCGTTTAATTGGCTGAATCCGTCGTAGAGTGGCGTATGCGATGCTTTGGTGACGACGCTGCAATGCTTGTTGCATGCACGTCTGACGTTGCTGTTCGCACCCGCCTGATCACACACGCATCGTAGCTATGTGTAGAGATGAAGCAACAAATCAGGCGAACGATACTTGTGTAATTCTCGTGAAGTGTCGGCTAGACCGTGAGCAGGTGGTATGGAGGAGAGTCGGGACACGACTCAGGTGCCGTGAATTACGCCAAGAATCTGTTGTTGATCACCTCCAACTCGGGGCCGCAGTTGCCGAGCTTCTTTTAGAACCCACACCAACGTTCGCGCCAATCCTCCTCGTGCACTAGCTCGATCTCTTGCCCGCTAGTGTTGAGAGCCTCACGGACCGTCCTGCAAGCTTGCCCGACAACACTACAGTACTCACAACCACGATTGCGGAGGACTCCGCGGCCATCAGGCCACAGCCGCCACGCTGCCCCTGCAGTCTGGCTGTACTGCAAAGCGATCATCATAATTCATCCAGGACTACATCACCTGGACCGCAGGAACAACAACATTGGCCCTCACCCACATCGTAAAGTCGCCAGATTCAGCTGCTAGCGCGCAACGCGGTGACTCCCGGGTTGTCACCGATTCCTGGAAAGGCACGAGGTGATAACTCGCGTAGCGAAAGCACGTGAGGCTCGTTAAAGAAGCCGCGAATCACCAGACGGAGAGACTGAGTTGCAATACATCCACGGCCGGTACGCAGAGCAACGCTGCGGATACTGCTACAGTAACGAGTTCCTGCTCACCGCTTCCAATCCAGTGGAGGTGGCCTCTTCGGAGATTGACACGCTGCGAGAAGCTGCCAAGCCGGCGAAAACTCTGCGGCCGGAATTTGCCAGCCAACTGTGCAGGCCTGCAGGTTCGTAGAACTCTATTCGTCACCCTGTCGCCCGTGATCATTTCGCGTGCTGAAGTCGACGTGCCGTCATCTGACAAGCTCCGAGAAGCTTGACCCAAACTCTCCTGCAACACTGCTCTCGCCTCGTTGGCTCGTGGCGTCAGTTGTATCTTTAACCAATTGCCTGCAGGGCAGAAGTTGCTGGCCAGGCATCGTCTACCCGCGGCCGGCAGCTAAAAGGATCGTCGGGTTCCGCTGCAATTACCTCACCGTCTCCATCTGCTCGCACGCACCATACCGGGCCCTGGCACAAGACCGCGTAAAAAGCAGGGCAAAGTGCGCCACCCCAACATCGACCACGCTTGGTAGTTTACGCTACGCTACTCCGGAGTATTTCCACTAGCACCGCCTTCAAGCCCGCCCTACCTTTCCACTTGCATCGCTTCTGCACAGCTTCTAGGCTAAATATGCCCGGCGTGTCTATGGCATAACTGAGCTGGAACGACCCACACACGTTAAAAGAAGATTCTGCGCTACTCTTCCATCGTCGCGCTAGAACTGCCGTGGACTTCGCCTGACGCTGGCCTGCACATCATCCGTGCTGAAAGAGCCGAGGATCGCGCTATCCTCCCGTCAAAACAACAGTTCCCTCCGACCGTCGATTCGGCGGGCACTTGTACCGACCGGCGCGCTGTCAGCGGTGCTTGGGTTTGGAGCCACTTGCGTTACATTCTACCTATCCTTTGTGGGCGTAGTATGTCCACGGGCTATACCGCGTCAGCACATCAACACAACAACGATCCCTCGCTAAGCGCGATTCTGGCAACGCACTTGCACCACGACAGCGCTCGATCAATGGATGGTAGACAGCCCGAGTATCCGCAGTCAGGTTTGAGCTCTCCATACGTCCCGTACAACGGGCACCAGTCTGAAGGGTCATCTGCAGATCAAGCATCTGCTGTGCAGTACCAGACGGCTCAACAAGACTACAAGTCTTCGAACTTCTCGTCGTCAGCGACACCGAACTCCGACTACGGCCTGCCGCAGTCGGCGCGATCTGGTTCGTTCCCAGAATACATACAACGCTCGTACGCAGACGGCCAGCAAGCCCGCTACCCACCGACAGCGCAAGGTGCGCACGCCGGTATGGCGCAAACGTCAAGTCCGTCCCAGCATATGCCTGATGGCACGCCGACCAATGGTCACGCGCCCCACAACAATAGTTCTAACGGAAATGTACCAATAGACCCTTCGATCGCGCAGTCAAGTCCTACCTACCCTCCGCATGGGTATTCGCCGTATCCACCTCAGAATGAGATGCCACAGTATGCTGGGCAGCCGATGTATGCAAGACCTGAATGGGCGGGTCACTATCCACAGCCGATGGGCTACGGTCACTCGCCTGCGACAACAGGCGGCGCAGCGCCAAACATGGTCGCGCATGTAGCTAGGCCTCCGGCGGTAAGTGGCATGCTACCAGCTGCACGCGCACTGTGGCATTCTGACGTGTCACAGGGCGGTCATCCTTTGTCGACTGTTTATTCTTTCGTGCCGATTCCCGGAGCGCAGCAACACAAGCGGCCTCGAAGGCGCTACGAGGAGATCGAGCGCATGTATAAATGCGGATGGAACGGGTGCGAGAAAGCGTACGGCACGTTGAACCACTTGAATGCGCACGTGACTATGCAGTCGCACGGCCCGAAACGTACACCAGAGGGTAAGGTTCAGCCATCTGTAACACTCACGCGTGATATTCACAAATCCTCCGTTCGCACGTGCGATCAGCCGAGTGATGTCGTGTTACGAGCACTTATCATATTAGGGAATTTCGCGCGGACGCTAGAATTAGGGCGAGCGATGCTTAAGCTTAGCGCGAGACAAGCTTGTCCTTGTACGCGTATGCACATGGACCTTGCATGAAGGCTGACGAAGTTCATTCGCAGAATTCAAAGAGATCCGCAAGGAATGGAAGGCGAAGAAGAAGGAGGAGGAGAATCAGCGTAAGCAAGACGAGGAACGCCAGCGCCAGGAAGCTGCTCGGAACGGTCAAGATGCGGCTCAAGCCCAAGGTCCGCCACCACAGTACGCGCAGCAACACATGATGCCGCCACAAATGGGAGGCCCTCAGCTGCCGCCTATTGGGTATCAGCAAGCTGCCGCCCAGCCCGGCCAGTACGCTCAGCCTCAGCAAGTCGATGGTGCACCGCAATACGCACCTCAGAGCCAGATGTACGGTGGCCAAGGGTATCCACAGAGTCCGTACGCTCCGGGTGGGTTGCAATACCAGCAACGTGCGTGAGTCCGCGAGCATCATATGTTTCCATTCCACCGCTGACAGTGTCACAGACAATGAGCATCCTCCTCCCCCAGGATACCAGCAACAGTAACTGGTCTTCGGCTCAACCGCTAATGGAGTTGGACGCCACATCGCACGGTAAAGTCTCTTCCGGTACTACATTGTGGAGGCTCGAGCAAGGTCTGCATCTGCGTGGAGCATCGCATTCTGGGTGGCAAGCGATTTGATTTGATTTCCCATTGTTGGAGTTTTCACAGCCGGTGTATATCCGCTCGCCGGCGGCATAGCGAGCTACCGATACGACGTGACGGCTGCGCACATACAGAGACGCATGTCTGACGGCCTGTCCGGTTCATATACCACAAGCGGCTCGGGACTGGCAGCGGAGGCGGAAGGAAGCTCCGAAGGGGTGGTCAAACTTAGGAGAGCTTTCTCTCAGCGAGTTTGGGCGCCATTATTGTAGCTATTCGCACCCTTTTCCCGATGCTCGTTGGTGTAGCCAGTACCACTGTAACTGTACGATTAGGTACAATCATCTCACAATTCAGAGGCTTTGGTTTGAAGCTGTATTCACACTTCCCAAACTTACTTCTCGAAGAGAGTATATAAATGAAATTAGTATCACAGTAGCCCAACGAGCGCCTATAGACTGCGATCCCAATCATCACCACTCACGCTAGCAAGTTCCAGCAACCGCACACTATCCCTGTCTACACGCTGCACGCCGGTGCGCTCTCTTAGCTCGATCTGAACAACGTGCGACTAGTGCAAGGCTACCGATCAACTGCCGTGAGATAAAGTACATCTTAGCGCTTATGACAAAGGTTACACGGCGCAAGTGGCAAAGACCGTCGTGCCTGGCGTGACGAAGCACCGGAACACAAGCTTTGGAAGCGTCAGGCAAGCGGGATAACGACGCTTGCCAGACCAGGCATGGTTTCTCAGGGTGCGCCAGCCATAGAAACTTGTTCGTTTGCAGTTTCACATGGTGAGCATCGCCGTCCAGGGTATAGATTGCATTGACATCCAATGAGTGGCGGGCGGGACTCTTACAAGGTTTCGTAGAAAGGCTGTGGATATGACGAGGTGAAGTTGGTCTTTATCACCGCCAGCGTTCTGCGTTTAGACGCAGGGTAATCCCCCCGAGGACCTAATTCTACCTGCTTTGTGACACAGTCTACATCACCGTGGACCGCCCGAGGCTTCTCTCACCACATCCCATCATCTTCCGCCGTGGTTATGGCTCGCAGATTCAACTTGAAGAGCCCCGCGCGCACTCGAGGTCAGTACACGTTTGCTCACGCGCTGAAAGACAAGGCTCTGGTGAGAATCCGACATGCCGAAAGCTGACCGTCGTGGCTTTTGACGAGAGTGCTTGATAATAGAACTCACTCCGCGCGAGCGGCGAAGGGTGAAGCAAAGTATCTTGATCGGCACCCCGGTGACCTTGCGTCCCTATCAATCATATAGCCGAGCTGTAGCGTCTGTGGACGTGGCCTCGTTGTAGAGCTCCAGCATCACAAAGGCGGCGAGACAAGGCGAAAGCGTAGGGCAGTTGTTTGCCGCGATACGGAGCAGGCTACTGCCGCAAGACGGCACAGCGTCTTCGCCAAGCGCAAGGCTGACATACTCTTCCCCCTCTGCTCCGCGCATCGCGAACTGTCTTACCAAGTCTTCTTCGCATGGTTCAACAAAAGGAGATAGCTCATCGATGCCTTGCTGAGATGTTGACTACACTTCGACAAGCTACGTCAGCGCCCTCGTCGGTCGTACGGAGTGGTAGATGTGATCTGGCTGTTCGACCTCGAGATTCGGTGCCTCTGATCCTCCCGAAGCTGTTGTTGCCGTTAGCAGTGCTCCCTGTACCGCAATCATCAACGCCAGCGCTGCCGAAGGCATGCTACCCCCAAGGATCAGAGCCTTCAATATCTTGTAAGGACCGTTCCGTTACGCAAAAGAGCTGTATTGGAACGCGGCACTGAAGGGTGAAATCGACGTCTTCAACAGCAGACGATTCGCTCGCATTGGAAAGACAATCAACAGCAGTCGGTAGCAGTCTTGCCAGGAAGAGCTGCAGCAGTTGGGAATGAAAGGCTGACATGGGGTGAAGGACTGTTTAGATGTGTTACAAGAGCCGTGTCACCGTGGCCGTACTAACGAGCAACATAGTCCATCCTTCTTCATCGATCTATGTGCCGAAATGTGTGCCGAACTGTGTTCGAATACATCGACATATTCCCCCCTTGCGCGGCGCCCAGCATTGTCGAAGGTGCTGCGCTTGCCAGTGCTCTCCATTATATTGCTTAATGACGACGAAGATCAAGCGGAGCCGGCCATATCCCAGAAGCCGCACTCCATCTGAGCCGCGTTCACACTGTCAGTGATTTCACAACGACAACAAGACAACCAACTGACTGACCTTGGTGGCATGGACAAAGATTGCGACGAGCTCCTCTATTCTGCTCGGAGACTGCTTCACGGCATGCTTCTCAATCAAAGCTGCAGACACCGTCAATAAAGGCTGTTGAAAGCGTAAGCTTCTGCTTACCGCTACCCTTTTCTACCGCGGCAGAGTAGTCTTCCGCAACATAATTGTTGATCCACGTGAGGTACTTGTTTGGTTCTTTGGGTGGGTTGGCGACCTGAATCTCATGCAGTCTTCGTGCGATCATGCCATATCCGAGTAGACAGGGCAGCAGGCTAACCTGCAGTGCGAGCCACTCTTCGGATTGTCCGATATCGAGGACGTAACGGGTGTACGCAGTGCATGCTGCTCGCCATCAGCAATCATCCGCACAACGCTTGCTTGGTCAACATCGTACCTTGACTCTCCTCACACTGCTCCATCATCTCTTGCGTCAAGCCGAAGTCTTCACATTCGGTAATATGCAGGTTGATCTCATGGCGGATGTGAGTGACGATTGTTGCCGCCTGCAATATTGTTAGAAGCAGATTCACGCAAGCCGAGACAGACCTACTCCGGCGATGTCGTCTAGCGTCTTCGCTTTGTATCCCGCCAGTGCGTTCGCTCTTGCAAACTGGATCTGGGTAAGTCAGCAAACGTCTTCATTGCCTGAGCTATGATGCTGACAAGGTAAAGGTAGTCCTGTATCATGTAGTGTTTATAACTCTCCCGAGGCAACGTGCCATCACCCATACGCTCCACGAATTCGTGATGGGTATACTCGTGCCATGCCGGCTTGACATCCTCCCTGTCCAGAAGATACTCAACGAAGCGCCCGCTGTCCCGAGTCAGATTGTAACCAAGCCAGAAGTGCAACAAGTACTCACGGTGCAAACGGCAAGATCTGGATGGAGTGAAAATGATTCAGCGGCCCCGAGCCCTGTCCGAGGTGGACACTCGTTGCAATTCCAGCCTCGACGAACCTACAAGCAGCGCGTACGGCTTTCGTAATGCTAAAGCCTTGCGCGATGTTGCATGCAACTGCGGCTGCAATTCGCTTAGCATTCAGACTACCGCATGAGACTTGACTACTCACATGCAAGTGAACAGCCAGTGCCATGAGTGTTGGGAGACCTCTGATAAGCAAGCTCGAACACTTCTTCCACGCCATCACCAAGTAGTACATTGACGACGAGCTTCCTCTCATCCTCAGATCTGGCCACCTTACGATCGGATGTCAACGCAAGATGACCGCCTTTGATTAGTACATACTTCGGCCCGAGCTTGTGTACGGCATGTGCGAGCTGCTTGAGTCCGTCCAGGTCGACAATTTCAATGGCTGGCTCTCCAGCTTCTCTGAGCATCAAGTTGGCCTCTGGAATGTTAGGCGTGACAATGTATGTCCTCGGTAAGAGCTGTTCGCACAAAACACGAACAGCGTTCTCGGGAAGGAGTGATGCACCGCTCGTCGCTACCATGACCGGATCAACGACAGAGTACTTGATGCCGTATCTTTGTATCGATTCGGCAACGACAGATACTGTGCCTGCCGAAGCAAGCATGCCTAGCCAAGGCTTAGTGTGGTAGCATGATCACAGGACGAGGTAGAGTACCTGTTTTAACTACATCAACCCCAATGTCGTCTATACAAGCATCGATCTGCTTCTGCACGAAGCCTGATGGAGTCTCATGGATGCCATACACACCCTGTGTGTTCTGAGCAGTCAAGGCCGAGGTAGCGGTCATAGCATAGCAGCCATGAACGGCGCAAACGCGCTGATCCGCCTCAAGGCCTCTAGAGCTGCGTTAGCGCCGTGGCACCCTTTCTTGGTATAATTCGCTTCACTCACGCTCCTCCAGAGCTATCCGAGCCCGCAACGATCAGTATTCGCTTCATTGTCCTACCCTGCTCCATGTTGAGACGCTCTTGCAGTTTACCGATATGCCTAGGCTTGACGTCATTGTGCGCTTGACTGTGGACCTCCAAGTTTGTACCACGAACTCAAGAGCATTTGACAGACAACCCTGTGCTTTTACTCAGAGTCACTGCCATCAAATTCCGGAACGTCTGGATCTGCAGCGGTGTCAGCGTCTACTTCTCTTCACTACTTCACTTTGCTGTCACGGTACCTCGGAGCGGCTGATACTCGAACCGGCCGTTCACTTTATGGGCAATAGCCTCGCGTAATATCTCCTGGCCCTCTTCAGAGATTATCGAATCTGGTTGTGCCATCTCAATCGAGAGCACCAAGCCTTCGTTGCCGGCCCCAAGTTGCTCTATGAAGCCCAGTATTCCATCTACGGTGAATCTGGTAAGACCAGCGAACGTCATGGTAGTCAGCTTTCTCAGCTGGGCTACGCTGGCGAGTGCCATATCGGAGATTCCGTATCCACCGACGCTGAACGACTCTAGCTGTGGCAATGCTCGAGCAAGTAAAGCTACATGGTCATCGCTAATATAGTCTGATATGCGGTGAAGGTTCAGATCGCGGAGATGGACGAGTGAGCAAAACGTATTCATTAAAATCTCCATATCGTCGCGAGTAACCGGTTCTGGTTCAGCGCGTAGCGTGAGGCTGTGCAGGCTCGACTGCCGACCCAAAGCCCTGTGGAAGTCGTGATGATCTTTGACCACATACATCAAGTCTTCTTTCGCCGTTATAGCGAGGCTGCGGAGCTTGACATTGCTGTTGAGCAGGACCGGAAGCAGTAGATCAGGCGCTGAGATGATGCTGGTAAATTGCACTTCGGTGAGAGCATCACACTGCTTTAGCCATTCGACAATCTCGACAAAGACGTCATTCTGTGTGGTCTTAAGATCTACCGAAGTCCTTAGAGCTGCGATCTCCAATATCCGCATTCGCGTGCAGCTCTGAAGAAGTCCTAGTGCCAGAATTCCGTCTTCTTCGAGTGCAAGCTTGAGCGACACCAGGCTCCTGCCGTGGTTGTTCAACGCCAGACAGGTCTCTGGGCCTATTTGGCTGAGGCTGATATTCTCAAACGCGATCAAAGTGTCCGGAGGTAAGCCAGAAACGAAAGCCGCAATGCACTGGTCCGAATGCTCGCCAGAGGAGTGGTGCATGCGCAACTGGTTCAGCTTCGGGCAGTGCACATGCAGCAGGTTGCGGAGGCTTTCGTCTGCGAGAGCCTTACCGTCCCACAATTCCAGTTCGAGCAGATGTCCAAGCCTTGATGCCCACAGCGGTAGTGCGCTTGACAAGACATCAGAAGTACTGGGCTCTGATATACTCTCTAGAAGCGGCGCATGCTGTGTTAGCTGGTCGCCGACTTCGAGAAGGATTCGCTTGATGTCCAGTCGGACAAAGCGGTGCTTTCCGGTGGTCTGGTAGGTGTAATGAAAACGACCCAACGGACCAGCGAAGAAGTGCTTCGCGACTTTGGTCTTGAACTTGGCCTCGTCCATCCGGTCAAGTAGGTCAGACAGATCTCGAAGATCGAGGACTCGCAGGTGACGGCAGTAAGGATACAGTGTCCCGCCGAGTGCTGATAGAATAAGGGTACGCCACAGTATCGACCATCGCATCACCACGAGATCCTGCTCCGGAAACGACAGATTGTCGCTACCGCCACCTTTGAGAGGCGACCGCTCGCCCAGGCTGATGCTACATGACCGTTAGACAAGTGCGTTGCGTAAGCGAATCGAACGTACCGATAGAGAGCAGCGATCGCGCCAGCTTTAGCAATGTGTTTGCTGCTCGCTATGCAGTTGGAGAGGGTATCATAGTCTGCCCGTGCAGCCAACTCTTCGCACAGGAGATGGAATAGGTCCGCTGGGAGAGCGAGCTCGGCATGTTCAGTAGCCATCGCGCTTGCTTAACTATCATACACCTACTCGTGCTTCCGCGTCAAGATTGCCGTGTGAGTGATGTCTGAAAGGGTTTGCTAGCTCGTCCGCGATGTTGCGCATCTGTTGATACTTCGCGATAAAGTGACGTCGGAGCATCAAGCTTTCACAACGCGTTCCTTTGCAAAGCCAACTACACCTCGTCAACAACATGCCTTTCCGCGGTAATGACGGCCATACTGAGCTTCTCGCTTACGCCAGACGCGACTAACCGTATGTATGACGCGCTGTGTGCCTTGCAAAGTTCGGCGAGTACGTGTCAATCGAGGCGAAGAGTGGGAAGGCAGGTCTCCTCAATACCCTTTCCACATCCTTGAACACGACCTGTTTCTTACCTGGTGACAGCTCACTATCACCAGCCTTAATCTCTCACGAACAGCATACGCAGCATTTGCGCTAGATTCGAAGGTCTTCTTCATCGACTACAAGTTCGTTGGCACGCGCGATGCCAAGGGCGGCGACTGTATTACGTGTCAACTATTGAACAAGGCATTGCAATCTGTGTTCAAGGGCCGAGCGAACGACTCCAGAGGCCGGGAGCCTCTGATCGAACGTTGCGATGTCACTGTCGATGAGCAGTTGGAGAAGGCAGAGTGCCGATTGACTGTGAAGATGTTATGCAAGCACGGTACGGCTAGTTGGGATACGCCACTTCTTTGTGTATATTGACGGGCAGCAGGCATGGCAAAGACGTACCGCTTGACCTACGAATCTGTTGAAGTCATGCACGCTCTCTTCGATCGCTCAGCAGCGAAGCAAGGCTGGCGTATCTCTTCAAAAGTACTGAGAGAATACATTGAGTTCTTCGGCTCGAAAACCGAGCAACTGGACCTGCTGGCTCAGGCCGGTAAGGTCATATTCACGAGCTTCACCGAAAAGATCCCGGAAAGCAAGGGTAAGCTGTTTCGGAACTCCTTCCCTGAGCCTGCTACTGATACCCTCCGGAGAAGCGCTCAGGCAGCCGCTTGAAACAGCCATAACCCTTCACATAGAAGACTTTGAGGATTTCCACATGCAGCAGGACATCCATATTGTTATCAGTGTCAAAGACTTCAAAGCCATCGTTACCCATTCAGAGACACTCCGGGGTGCAATTTCGGCCCGCTTCTCCTTCCCAGGCCGCCCTCTGCAATTCAGCTACCAAAACTTTGGCATGCATGCTGAGTTCACACTCATGACCAGCGGTGACGGCCGTGCTGCACCCTTCACGCCAGATCCGAAGTTTGTCACTACCCGCAGCCCCTCAAGGCAGCCGTCCATAACACCTCAGCTCCAGGCCGGCAGTCGAGCGACTTCCGCTATGCCGCCACCTCCACGTCCGCTAACGAAAATGGGTCCGTCAAGCCAGATACAAAGTCAGCGCGTGTCGTTGAAAGGTCGTTCACGACAGCCTTCCGTCGCAGAGTCAAACGCGGAGTCGGAAAGCCTGTTTATCCCAGCCGACAAAGAAGACCAGACGTGGGATCCTCCAAACTACGATCATGATGAGCCAGATGAGATGCTTGGCTGGGATGCTAGTGGCGACCATCTGGACGGCAGCTTCCATGCTACGTTCCGCGATAGCGGTGCCGAAGGCAGAGCACCACAGCGGTCCAGTGTGACAACATCTGCCAGTCAGGTTGGGCTGGAGCCGACACAACGGCTGTCGCAGGTGAGTCAGCCGCGCCGTACTTGTGAAGTACAATATCGCTGACTTTTTTCAGCTCCACGGTATGTTCGATTGAACATGTGAGTACTGGTTCAGCTCATCCATATCTGCCGCTCTGCAACTCGGCATCATGCGTTGTGATGAAGCTTGTGGCGCAACCAGCAAACAGGCCTCCTATGGGCTCCAACACGTCCAGCACATTGAAGTGACCGCTGACGTCGCCTCGCTCATCGGTAGGCTCTCCGCAATTGCCATGTTCCCCCCACCCCCAAGCTAATACTTTGCCACCTTTAGTCAGTGCCAGGCAATGCTCGCTACCAGCGGCAATGGCTTCGACGAATGGGAGGTCTGACGGCGGGAGCTGACCATGATCATCTCTGCCAAAGCCGCGTAGCTTGCCATGCTCGCCCAGAATGAACACACTACCCCACGACGCCGCGATGTCTTTCCAGCCTGACACTGCAGACGGCAGGTTTGTTTTCAGCCCGAAGCGATCACGCTTGTTTAAGCCAATGACTCGCAGCTTGCCTGACGCTCGAGTGCCCACTACAAAGGTAAAGTCCTTACCGCAGACCGCTTTCGCCACTCCGAAAGGCAATCCTTCGATCTTCCTTGGCGACCACACATCCTTAGCCGGCTCACCCAACTGACCTTGCCCACCTTTACCCCATCCCCAGACGTCGCCATTAGACATTACAGCAACAGTATGCGCCATACCTGACGCAATCTGCACCACTTCCGTTCCCATAGGCGGAAACTCTTCAATGGCACAAGGATTCAATGAGTCGGTCCTACCCTCTCCCAACCCCAGCTCCCCATGCAATCCCTCACCACAAACCTTCACTCGTCCATCGGAGCAGAGACAGATGCTCGCTTTCCACGTCGCGCTTACCTGCTTCACGTGCAGTCTCTGCCGGACTTCGTCAGCGCTATGCTGGACGAAGAGCGGATGTCCACCTTTGATCTTGTCTAGAGCTTCAAACGAAGTTGGATAACCACATTGTGCTTGAGCATTATCGCCGTAGCCTTCTGTTGTTCCGGAGGCGTAGAGAAGGATCGTGTGATTTCCGCCACATGCGATTTGCTTGATGGGAGTTCTTGAGTGTGCCGGGAAAAGTGTCGGAACGGAAAGGTCCTGGATGTGGCCTAGGCATAGTTGGCCTGCGCCATTAGAGCCTAGAGCATAGAACGACATAGTGGCGCTAAGTTGATCATCTCATGTATAATAACGTTGCGATCACGATCACACCAGAGTCGGCGTTGATTTTCATTGCATCGCTGACAGCAATACCGTTGCCGATCCGCCAGAGCCAGCAACTTTCGCAGTAGTTTTACAAGCGCGTATTCACTGATGCGGCAGGAGATCTCGATGTCGACTACACTTCACATCCAATATGGAAGGACCCGAGGCAAGATGATGCGGGTGCAGAAAGATGTCGCTGAGTCGTCTGACAAGACGGACCATTGCGCAGCGGATCTTGCCGACCCCGGACGCGCAAAGCACGAGACGGCATGCTGAGATGACATGGATATGCATGCTATCTCTTTGCTAACAGCTTGCGGAGCAATCAATCTAGGCTGCAGTAATAATACATCGGGCAAATACCTTCGTGGGAAGTCATAAGCAACCGTTGGCCCTAGATCGTCCATATCAATCGCCGCTACAACAATGAAGATCCTCTACATCGGCGTCCTGCGCAACGAAGACCAACCCGCTGTAGAACTCTGCGCCGAGCGCGACCTATCCGCATACTCTCGCTTCACCCGTACCGCCGTTAGCGAGTTCATGACTTTGTTCTCAAAGACTGTAGCGGAGACTACGAAGCCTGGCCAGCGACAGGATGTGGAGGAGCAATCCTACACATTTCACGCCTACGCGCGATCAGAGGGCGTGGCAGGCATCATAATAAGTGATGCGGAGTACCCGAAATTGGTGGCGCATCAACTGCTTGGGAAGATCTTGGACGAGTTCCTCGCTCGGTATCCGAAGAGTGCATGGCAGACTGGGAAAGAGTGTCCGTTTCCGGCCTTGAAGGAGTATATCGTCAAATATCAGGATCCGGCGCAGGCCGATAGTATTATGAAGGTATATCGGAAATTCGGTCCGGCGAGGACGAAGGTGGTGTACGGCGGTGCTAACGATATCGGTAGCTCCAGCGAGAACTCGACGAGACGAAGATCATACTGCACAAGACCCTCGAAGCTGCGCTAGGGCGAGGCGTGAAAGTTAGTGACCTGGTGGAGAAGTCCGACGGGTTAAGCTCACAGTCAAAGATGTTCTACAAGACATCCAAAAAGCAAAATTCGTGTTGTACGGTCATGTAGGTAATTCGAGAAGCGGGGCGAATTGGGCTGCATCTACAGGCGTCTTGGAGTACGGTGCGTGGCTCGGTGGGAAAGCATTGTATCGATCGCTTTTTGCTATTTTGCAACAGACAGAGCGAGAAACCATACCTAGATCATCGACAGATGGCCCCTTTGGGTAGACCTTCGCAGTATTCAAACAGGGTATCGCATAGAATCGAATCATATCCACAAATGCGAGCGGCTCAGCTCAGTGCTTCCTGCGTCAAACAACGTGACCTTCTGTCGCTGTGGCACGCTCAGAACAGGGTTTTCTTGTTCATCTCCCTCGCCGCCATGATGAACATGGAGAAGCAGCACGACACGCTTACCAGCCACGTCAAGGTCCTGGCCGCGTATGGTACGAGATCCTGGAAGATGTATACATGGTTGTACACAAACCTGTAAAACCATCGGCATTAGCATCATGTCTTCCGGGATTCTTGTCATTACAAGTTACGCGAGGGCTGAAGAACTCACCTTGCAAGCACGTAACCTCCCGCCAGTGCATTCATCCACCCGGCTCCAACGCCGGCCGTGTTCCCAGCCACGACCGCCGCCGCGAACAAGCCCAAGTTCTCCAAGTTGTTGCTGGACGCTGCCTCGCCCCTCAAGATGCGAAGCTTGGTCTTGCTGTCGAGTGACTGGTCTTTGTCGAGACTACGTGTGTGCTCGCGCGGGTTGACCAGGTCCGGTTGCTTTTTCGTGGCTTCTTGGTAAGTGCTTACGGCGTAGAAGTGCGGAAGAATGGAGAGAATCCATGCGACAGGAACGAGGTAGTAAGAGAGGTTGTCGTGGGTCAGAGAGGGCAGGTAAGAAGCCATAATGCACAAGGGGCCAGGTGTACCTGGCGATGGGTGGGTGATGGATAGAGAGCTCGAAACGTAGTGCGGCGGGTGGGGAGGGAGATTAGATGCTTTCTTTGATTCACTACATGTACCGGCGATAGATACAATTGCAGATTAAGTTTGGCAGCGATCCTGTGATTGGTAATGCTGTCCTCCCGAATCGGAAGTTATGTGGGGCTCCAGTGGCCGCATTGGTTGCGAGACTCAAAAATCCATTTACACATTGTGCCTCGAACAATGGAGACGGACTTGGCGGACGAAGACATGCGTATAGAGCCGACACGGGCCAAGCAGTTGGCAGACAATCTCCTGTCTGTGACGAATCGTATCGAGAAGGTCGCCGGCGGCCGCAAGGTGAATGGCTTAAGACACAGATCGATGGCAATGCAAGCTCACGATACGAGGTCCGCCTAGTCGCAGTATCGAAGCTCAAGCCCGCCAACGATATCCTCGCCCTCCACCAAGGACCGCATGCGCACCATGACTTTGGCGAGAACTACGCCCAAGAGCTGACCGAGAAGGCGGCGCTGCTGCCGAAGTCAGTGCGATGGCACATGATTGGTGCGTTGCAAACAAACAAGTGCAAGCCGCTGGCGGAGCAAGTCCCAAACTTGTTCTGTGTCAGCAGCGTTGACACGGCCAAGAAGGCGGACGCACTTGAGAAAGGCCGTGGGGCCATTGTTGAGAAGCAGGGTTTGCAGAGCCAGCTGCGAGTGCTGGTGCAGGTCAACACCTCTGGAGAGGCGGAGAAGAGCGGCGTTGAGCCCGATCAGGCTGCTGAGTTGTGTCGACACATTCGGGACGACTGTCGGAACCTGAAATTGGCTGGCTTGATGACAATCGGCGCCATCGCGCGCAGTCAGGCGGCAGATTCGCAGGACGCTATCAACGAGGACTTCTTCACGCTACGGGAAACGCGAGACAACGTGGCAAAGGAACTCGGTATCGAGCCTAGCCAGCTCGAACTCAGTATGGGCATGAGCTCCGACTTTGAATCTGCAATCGCTCAAGGTAGTGATGAGGTGCGGATAGGCACAACGATCTTTGGTGATAGACCGGCCAAGAAAGATGCCGAGTTGACAGTTCGACACCACGAGTGAGAAGGCTTGAGCACCAGCCAGAGCTCAGACTACATACTACGAGTGGCTGTTTTGATCAAGGTGCCTCTATCGCCTCCCGGCAATGCTCATCTGAGCAGAAGCCTTGAGGCTTTTGACAACTTAGAATCAGTGGGAAGCAGGATCTCGACAACGAGTTGCAGTCTCTGTACGGTCAACTCCCGCCGTCCAATGCACGAGCATGTAGAGTTCGCGAGGAAGGTGCTGGTAAGGCTTTCCATATCAACACTCACCCCACCTTATCGAGCACTGACTGGCGAGGTGGCAGGATATTGCAAGATGTTCAAACGAATTCCCCTCAAGCGGCATCTGCCTGCTTTCAATCTCCCAGAGTACAATAGCTCATTCAACTAGCTCCATAGCCTGCAGACTCTCTAAAAACTCTTCCTCCCTACTTGGTGCCTTATACTGGCCACTTCCAATTTGGCTTCATCCGGGTTGGCTTGTGACCAAGTTTCCGGATCCGATCATACCGCAGCCGCAGTGTGCACCAGCCCTGGGCGACCTAGCGACCCTACGCCACACCCGATGGAAGAGACTTGGCCGACCAAGAGACAGTACTTGTGGTGGGATGCTTGTGCATGCACACCGAGTAGTGTCAGGCAGTCAGCTTGTCCCTGTATGTCTGAGGGCAGGAGCTGACACTCAGGTGGAACACTTGCGCATCTTCGCGACAATTTGTCCATCAACTGCAGCAATGTACTCCCGCCATTCGCGAATCGTTCTTGACTGACCATCTGGGGTGGTCAGCATAGCGTTGGTGCGCTCCACGTGTCGTTTCCAGTGGCACAGAATATATAATTCCAGCCGACCGATCAGAATAATAATCCTCCTCCAGAGCCATCGGACAAGGTACCACCGACGCCAGAAGCTAGAAGAAAGCACGTAATGCCTGATTTCCTCTCCGCTACAACCAATCTGCTCGAAAACCATTATGGACAATATGCCAAGACGATAATCATTCTGAGGTAGTTCCAGTGCTCTTGCAAGTGCAGCCCATAAATGCATTTCTTCCGTTTGTTGGTCGCTGCTGGTGCTGGGTGCAAGTGTATTTAGTTCTCGACACTCTCTCAGACTCTGGGCAAGCGCGAAGATGAATAAGTCGGTCATAGGCAGCTCGTAATCAGGAACTATGCATGTACTGCAGACGCCAAGGAAGGCAAATACCTTGTCCCGAACCTCTTGGCAACGTTGCTCGGAGAAGGATACCAAAGCATGAGGCAGCGAAAGCGATCGACGGGCCGCAGCATTGTCGTGCAGAGTAGCCCTCAGTACGAGGTAATTGCCACACATCAAACCTAGATCCAGATTTCTAGTGTTGCTGTTCCACAAGGTCTGGGCCATTGGCATTATGATATCGCCACCGAATCCCGACATATGCTTCTTCACGGCAGCATGAAATACCGCGTTGTCTACAGTCAAGTTTCCCAGTCTCAGCGTCACCTGCTGAGCGAGTAAGTATTCCGGCACAGTCCAGACTCGCCTCCAGTACTTGTTGTCTACGAGGAAAACCACGACCAATCCCATCAGTCGATGTTCTTCAGCTGTAGAGTGTCCGCTTCCGTCCGCTGAAGGGCGCTCACGCAGAGCTGCCGGCTCGAAAGTCCGGTGCCAGATGCTCCTGAGCTCTTTAGGGCAAGCACTACCATCTCCGAGCCATACGACCACCTCCTGCGCGGATTTATATATTTCGCCCATCAAAGTAACCTGCATACCGCGCTCCTCGATATTGCCTTGATCAATACAAATTGCGTCGATGAAGATCGGTAGGGCGGTCTGCTCAGCGTCTAGCATGGTTTCAAGGAATGTGTACAGATTCCAGCGCACGTTCAAAAATTGGCCATTGACGGAGACTCGCCAGATAGGCCTGCCATTGCCCCAGACGTACGACAATGCTCTGTACTTCGGACGTGTCTCAAGAGACACGACATCCAAGAAATACAATGGATCGCCATCATCCACTGACCCGAGACGGAGGACTCGGAACTCTCGCTTCTTAGGGTCTAAGGGATGGTATTCGAAGGTCACAGGAAGCAGTGTGACCGCGGCCTCGGCTTGTTCCCACCAAGATTCCCGTGCATAGCTTTGGCCCGGTTGCGTAAACGCTGCCCATTTGTTGAACCACTGGCGCAACGACACCATCATACTGTATCGTCTCTTTCGTTCGGAGACCATATCCGCCAATGAACGTCGGTCTGTAATCAAGGAAGGGTGAGTACTTTCAAGGGTAAGTTGGTCTCAGCATACTATTGGCAGAAGAAAACCAGCGATGAGGCCGATCGACTTGGTGTAGCTTCATAATTAGGCAAGCAGGTGCAAGGCTCGACCACGCCGTCTACTACCAGGGCGGCAAAGGCTGAGATTAGACCGGGACATGCGAGGCCAGTCAGCACATACAGTGTCCCACCATGTTCGACCGGCACGCCGTGTCTTAATTGCCTCCCTCCCCCCTAACCAAGCCTTAGAGTTAAGACAGACAAACACGAGGACCATGCAGGCCATGTCACATACCCCTGGTCACTCGACGTACCCTTGCAGTCTCTTGCATCGGGACGCTGTGGCTGCAGTGGCCGTGCCAGGATAACAAGCGGCCCTTGGTACGGGGGGAGACTGCAGGTTAAGAAACACTACTCGTCCAAAGCACCGAGCAAACAAGCTCGAGGATACATTACCTCCATACATCTATTGTCTACTAGGACCGCTCCGTTGTAGGTACGGGCAGCCCCCGCTTAATCATGCGGACAGCAACACCTAATGTGTACCTTCCGGGTCGGAGCGCAACTCTAGCGTGGCGCTTAATTATTCCATGCAATATTTCGTTCCGACAGCTGCTCGTCCTACTTAGTAGTTCTCTCGGTTGCGCTTCACTCGTCCATTGTGTGAACTCACAGCTGTTCGTTTCGTTGTGGAAAACAAAGGCGGTGGCTTACGCGCTCAACACTGTTCACCTGAGCAGCTTGACTCCCAACTGCATCGCTTGTCGGCTGGTATTCTTGCTTGCCTAAGTTTAATCAATATCAGATGTCAAAGGGAACCTGCATGCTCGGTCCCGATGCGACGATTCTGGACGGGAAAAGGATGCTCTCCTAGAATCGCAGGGGCGTTCTCTTGGTCTCAGGCGGCATCGCTTGTGACCAACAGCCGCCATGTTGCACTCGCCTCGCAAGCGCCGGAAAGTCCACGCAACAAACGGGCAGCCTTTGTTGTTGCCACTTCCACCACCGTCCGCAATATGTATCAGCACGAAACATTTCCTCCGTGTGACGCCACTGCTTCCTCGTCCGGGGCCGCCGTCTGGGAGGCGAGATGTCGGCAGCGCATACCACTGGCTTAGAGACGTCGCTAAGCCGAACAAACCGGCCAGACCCGGTGTTGAGTACAGCTTTCCGCAGGTGGCCTACTGCTTCCATGCGTAGTATGCTGAAGGCAGCGATAACGTCAAGCTTCGTACGGGCATACTCTCTGGGGACTCACGGGACTGTAGGAAGTTGTGTGCATGAAGAGGACAGGGTATTTGATACCTGATCGTGAGGACATCCGGCGCTCTGTAATCGATGTAGAGGCACGGGCGCTTTTTGGCCTTTTGAGCTCTTCCGCATGAGCTTACATGCGGGCACCTCCAGCTTAAACATAGCCTTGTAGGCTAGGTACCCAGTCACCACTTGACGGCTTCGGCGTAGACGAAGCCGGCAGGTAAGGCTTAGAGTAGGGGCTTCGCGTCGCCTCTAAGACGGATCTCTGTTTGTTTCCCAGCACGGTACGGTACCGTAGCGACATGCCTGTTGATCCGACATAGTGTCTGCAGACGGCATCGTTCGGCAATATCTTTTGAACGCCGAGAAGGTGATTCAGTCGCTAGCTGAGGCCTCGGTATTGTAGATTCATGGTAGAGATCTAGGACCTGGAGATGTAGTATTGGAAGAAGAAAGAGCGGCAGCAAGGGATACAGACCTCTGACTAATCGGCCGGACCGCTTAGTAGAAACACATGCCTTTTGAGAAGACCTCTACGAAGTCCCTGTGCCGGGTCGTATCGCTACTCAGGTACGCATGACTTTGGCCGCTTACGCAGTTGGAGCCTATCTCACACGGGGCCCTTCGTAGACTTTCGGGGCACTAATGAGTGACAGGCGCTTACCTTCTGGCGCTCCGACACTGAGGTCCCCTTGTGAAGGTGCCGCACCTACCCGAACCCTTATTGTATTACGACGGTATGCGAACCGTTAGGGGTACCATGATAGGACTGTAGCCAAGGGGCGATTGTAACAGTAAGCTTCACTAAATGTTGTGCTGTCCCATTACAAGCATGCTGCTGCTTGCTCTTCCTCAACAATCGGCGACCCTGCAGAGACTGCCTTCCTTTTGAATACTTTGGACGGATTATGAAAGCAGCTGCAATGGCTGCCAGTTCACCTCCGAGTATCACCGAATTGGTCCATGAAAGCGCTCTCGCCGAGTGCTAGAAGTCAGCATCGAGGGCCACGGCCTGACACCGACCTCGAGTTCTATTGTCCTGAAGCGTAGCACGCCGTTGAGACCGTCCCGATCAGCGTACAGCACTGCCAGAAACACAAAGCCACATCATGCGCGTCAATTGCGAGGTTTGCAAGGCAATCAGTAAGCAGCTTGGCGGAGAGAGCATCAGCCAGTACAACTGGTACGGACTCTGCACGACCGCTCTTCATGAACATACCAGGGTCGCCGAAATTGTCACTCGCTACGCGACGTGGCTTCAAGTCATGACGGTCTGGCTCCTCATGCAAGACGTCTGTATCATCCGGAGAATCGAACATTTACTGCCGGTTCCGGAACTCGCAAGATACTGGAGAACAACGATGAAAGGGAGCTGCTTAGTACCTACCATCAACTTAAGATCTACGCGTATGCCATGCTGTGCAGTGTGTCCAACAGACCTAGTTTGATAAATGTGGGTCTGGTAATCTCACTTGCTACAAGCCGTAGTCAGTATGTCTCGTAGCTGGTCGAGAATTCTGTAGCTGCCAAGTCTGGTAGTCCCCGTTGTGTAGGGTATACACTATAGCGAGTCACAGATATCAGGGTGTTAGAAGGCTGGAGCTGCTCTCAAAGCCGGATGCGAATGATTCGGCTACGGGTCGGCAGATTTTGCCATTGAAGTGATATACTGGCGCTCATGAGCGTGATCGTTCGGTACAATGCTAAGAAGGCTGTCTGCGAGTTTCCGAAGTCCGCAGTAAGAACGACCGGAGTGTGGACTGACAGCGCTGAGATGTAGGCATCGTCGATAACCTCCATTGTTAGCTTGCTCAGCACCATCGAGCTATCAGTATCGACCATATTCGAGGGAGAAGATCACATATAGGCATTGAGAAGCTGCAATTAGAAGGCTTGCAGTTTAAAGTGTGCCATACACGTTCGTTAAGCGCCCCTTCCACCTACTGACTGACTCGTCATCCTTTTCACGTCTTCGAAACCAGCAGCCCGGGTTAAGGACCTCGCGGTTTGCGATATGATGCAGCAGCATGTCGTAATGTGTGACTCAAAGGAAGCTAAAGGGAACCAGGACCTCGACAACGGACGTCTGCGGCAAGGCGCCGGGTTTAAGCTAAGTCGCGGCTAAATCGTGGCCTTATCAATGCAGTATATATTGTTCAAACTTTGACTAACCATCATCTGGGCGCTTGGTCTAGGGGTATGATTTTCGCTTCGCATCCCATTGCGTAACCTGTGAAAGGTCGTGGGTTCAATTCCCACAGCGTCCATAGCTATGCTTTTACTTTTGTAAGCCTCTTTTTCCTTACATAAGAGTATCATCGATGTATTTTTGGCTGCTGAAGGGCACTCGTGTCTCTCTTACTTTTATCGTACCGAGTCAGTCGCCGGTCGACGCTTTCATGGCCGCTTGGGGAGTCAGAAACTGCTGGAGAGACATTTAATACCATGGCTGCGGCAGCATGCTGATTTGAGGGCCTCACTGGGATATACCCCGTGTAGCAGGATATGCCGGGCCTGCGGAGGGCTTCCAGCCTTTTCCCAGTTGGGCAGAAACTACTGCCTTCAAACTAGCCTCACAAATTCCAACCATCAACGCCACGCTGAAGCATCCATTCGCGGCTTTCGACCTCCACGCCTGCCCATGGGATTGAAACTCTAGTAAGTCCTTGCCAGATTCCGCAAGTACCAATCTACCAGTCTCCGACCAACCTTGGCCTCCGACACGTGAATCATATCCCCTTGCATCGCGTAGTCAAGATCGCTCGAATTGACAACATCACCTTCCAGCAATGGACCCTCACTATGCCGTACCTGCCTTGACCGCTGCTTATTAACCAGCAACCAACTCCGCAGCGTATCCGCATCCACCTCCAAGAACCCGGCCAGCTTCGTCAGGTCCATGGTCGTGTACAGCTTGAGGTAGCTGCGCACGGTCGGCGAGTACATGTTGTTCTTCACCTCCTCCATGAAGATCGACAGCTGGTGCTCTACGGGATCGATGTTCAGGTGCGGCTGGTCGAAGTCTGGTGGCGTTGGTGAAATGAACTTGGGACAAGCTGCCCTGAAAAGCTCCTCGAAGATCGGAAGCGCCTCCGGCCCACCGCGCTGCATCCGCGTCAACTGCTCGCCGTACTTCTCTCTCAGCGCAGTGTGGATCGTGTCGTCCAGCCTCTGAGGGTAGAAGGCCACACATATTGCCACAAGCGCGTACATCTGGTCGTTCTTCTTCGTGATGCTATCGTATTGTGCGCCCTTTTGGAAGTTCTTCGTCCGGCTGACGTAGATCAGAATGTGGTTGAACGATCTCAATGCGTCAGCATAGCGATGCATCATCATGTAGCTGAAGCCGATGTAGTAGTAGGTGGTGAAGTTAGCCGCCATGACACGAGCGAACATTGCCTTCTTGTTAAGTTCGATGTCGTCGAGTGTCTTGAGCGCTAGGCTGAAATCACCCAGCAGACAGTGCACACGCAGCAGGCCGATGATGGAGAAGTAGCCGAGCATTTGGTAGAGACTTCGTGAGCCGTACTCGCCAGCGTACGGTGCAGGATCTTCGCCACGTTTCCGTGCGGCGAGCTGTTCGCTGATTTGCGAGCGCTGTATGAGAGAGTAGAGAACGTTGAGGACGGAATAGCAGCCCCATGTGTTCGGGTTCTCTCGTAGTACGGCTATCTCATCCTCGTTGACCTGTGTTGTTGTTTGATTGAAGGCGAGCCGTTGGCGGAAGGAGCAGAAGGAGTTAAACTGGTAGATGAACTCATCGATAACATCCCACGCCCAGTAGTACTGCAAGAAGTCAGTATGATCACCTTGGACGTCCCAAAACATTGTATGTCCTCACCGAAGGCACCTCAATGTCCACTGGTCCTTCACTGTTTAATATGAAGTGAAACAGGTTGCAGTAACTGTCATAGCTCTGGATCTTTGTTTCAATGGTTGCTTGGTACTCCAAGGGCGTGGCTGCAGCCTGTAATTGCGCTTGGAGATCTTGTGGCCCTCCACCTACGGACATGTGCTGATCCAGGTCGTAATCTTCGCCATCCCTATAGCCTACCTGCTCGCGGTAGTCGTTCGCTAGAGCCTCCTCTTCCACATCGGAGTCGTCATCAATAGGCCGCTCCGGCGCACCTTGCTGGTATGTTGGCGCCTGTCTGACAGACATGGTCGCTGCGTCTGGAGGCGATCGAGGTCTTGAGTTGGTGCACCTGATCAGCTTCTTGTTCCACGTCCTCGTGGTCGCGCCTGGAAATTGTTCGCTAGCGCGGAATCGCTGCCGTGGGGCTGAAATCTTGGCGTGACTCTTGGACTGCGTGCCTTCTCTGGTGGGGTACCGATCGATTTTCGGATCCCAACGGATGTGCTGTCTTGGTCACTGCATCACTTGCATAGTCCAAGCTATTGGACGTTGGATTGCCACTTGTTGTCCTTACCTGGACAAAAGAAATACCTAAGATGGCAGAACACCCTGGCGCTGGGCCGGAGCCGGAGCCTCCGGTCCATGAGCGGCCGCAATCTAACAAGACAGCACCGGTATACAAGGTGGCCGTCATTCAACTACATCCCAAGGTGACCACGAGAGCTTTAGCGACAATGAAACTTGGCTGAGGCGACGTACAGCCCATGCAGATGGAAGTCAACTTCCAAAAAGCAGCCAACTATATCCGCAACGCTGCCAAAGTGGGTACGCAACTTGCGGTTCTACCGGAGTACCATCTCCTGAACTGGCTACCTCAGGATGCGAAATTCAAGGAAGCTTGTGGCCATTGGGAAACCTACCTCAACAAGTACCGTGAGCTAGCCAAGGAATGCAATATTAATATTGTCCCTGGCACCATTGTCGAGCTCCACGATGCTGGTACCGACGAGGAACGATTGGAGAATGTTGCCTACTTCATCACGAACGTCGGCGAGATTGCTGGAAAGTATGTGAAGAAGAATCTCTGGGGTTCTATTGAACGGCTACATCTTACCTCCTCGTCAATGGACCCTCACCCAGTTTTTGATACACCGCTAGGCAAAGTGGGTATGCTTATCTGCTGGGACCTTGCCTTTCCTGAAGCATTTCGAGAGATGATCTCCAAGGGAGCAATGATCATTATTATACCGACATTCTGGACCTTAACGGACTGCTCGAAAGCTGGGCTTGCTATCAATCCGGTTGCAGAAGGGTTGTTCCTGGATAGTATGCTAACGGCAAGGTGCTTCGAGAACACTTGCGGTAAGCCTTGCGGCACGCTGGGAGAGATACGGCGACTGACAACAACCACAGCCATCATCTTTGCCAACGCAGGCGGACCGCCCGGAAAGGGCTATGCTGGCTTGTCACAAGTTTGCGTACCGTATGCTGGCGCCATCACGAGACTAGGCAGCTGCGCAGAAGGCATGGCGATTGTTGATCTTGACATGAAGATAGTGGAGGACGCAGAAGATAACTACCAGGTGAGAGCTGATCTTGCAAGGAGTGACTGGCATTATGAGTACAGGCACAATAAGACAGATGCTAAGCTATGAGCCAACTATCCTATCTTCCCGGCCGAGAAATGTCTCACCCCTTACCGTATTTGTGCTGTTGAGCAAGACCTTTGTCAGATGCGGCGTCTACGAAGCCAGTTGAGCATCCTCTTCGCCTGCCTCCCAGGCCAACAGCGCCGCAGGCCCGTACCGTCGCGTGAGTCGTCCACCACAGTGGCACCGAACGGAGTCTCCATATGTCTTTTGGTCGTTGTTTTGGCCGCCTGTCGTTCTACTGAGCTCACGGAGTCAGGCGATGGCGGCAGCGGCTTGTTTCGCCACTCTGCAACGACGACCGGGACGGTATACTCCTTGACCTCGAAACTGGAAGCTGACGACTTTGGCGTTGGCGGCAACGGCCTGTTAGCATACCTCTCAATCTCTTCCGCGCTCGGTGGGATGAAGATGCCAGTCCTGCCGCCTCTGTACCTAGAGTCAGCGCCGCCCCTTCGAGATTGCAGACTGGCGAACGAACCGCGTCCAGGCTTGCTGTGGACTGCTTGTTGCGCACTCTCAGCGTGGACTGATGGCAGTTGGTGGAACGCATCATTGATTGGTGAGACGATAGTGTAAGCGGAAGCTGCGTTGCTAGGCACTGCTAAGACACTGTTTGCTTTAGTACGCTGAGTTGCGTAGCGTCGCCCGACTGGCGTGTTGTGCATCGCGAGTGGCATGGTACGGCCGCTGTGGTGACCGTAGTCCATTTCCCTCGCGGCGTGCGCAACGTTGAGTGAAGAAGTGCTGATGCCTCAATTGAATTCTGGTAGATACTTGACTGAGGTCAATCGATGCAGATCAAGCTACGCGGGCGGACCGAGGAGGACTGATCGCCTATGGTTCTTATACCAGATCATTACTGCGCAGTTCTCAGTGATGGTAATACCCGAAGCAGTGTGCATTGCATTGTCTGTGTCTTTGTCCTGCGACTATGCTGCGAGCCCGGTCTCATTGTCACTCGGCAATGACCGAACAATGCACTTGTTGGAATTGGGACGCCAGTCCTGCGAGCTCACAATAAGCCAGAGGGGTTCGTACGGAATGCAATTGATCACGGCTATCCACCGGTCGCGCAGATCCTAGGTACCTCCAATATACACCTCGGTGTTGAATACAGTATTCAGGTAGTTCTTCGCTCGCATGCAAACCTCACCACTGAATGTGTTCTTGTACTCACACACCATGTCTCGAACCTCTCTCCAAAGTTCGTGTTCGACGTCAAAGCCAAAGAACGCAAGAGCACTCTCCTTGTCGTGATGCCAAATGCGCCGCTGCTTTAAATCGCTATCATAAACAGTCGTCCAGCTGTTCTCGAAGAATACAGTCTGCGGGTCAATCTTTGGGAAGTTCACGTGCATGAAGAAGGCGCGAGGGTAGGCTCTTGTTATGTTTGTCCGGAAGTCTGTGATATTGGAGACGAAGGACCGGTGGTAACCAGGCATCTTCGAAGCATCGAGGTCTTCCGCGGGATCGAACTGCGCCATAGCACTGCCTCTCCACTCTCCTGCCTTGGACTTGTACCCGAGCGCGAAGACTTTGTGGTCCACAGACGACATCGGCTTACCAAGAGCAATGGCTGACCAGAGGAAAGTCTCTTTGTCGCCCTCACCCGGCGCGCCCTGTGACTGCAGTGGGTAGTAGAAGCCTGGTCCGTAATAATTATAGTACGCGGCCAGAAGTATCGATGCTTCATGTAGCCGCTTAGAGTACAAGATCTCGCCAGCCTCCGTACTGGGTCGGTCGGTAAGCGCTGGGGGTGGGATACCGGCAATCTGAAAAAAGAGTGGCGATTCCGATGGATACCAGAAGTCCGGCCACAACACCAGACCGGTACCGGTGAAGGGAGGTTTGTCAAACAGTACGTTGGGGTCGTAAACGGGAAAGCAATCCGAGTCTAGCATCAGCACCTCTTCAAAGGATGAGAACAAGATCGCCATAATCTTTAGCTGATAGTTCTCAATGCTGCCTTGGTCGGCGCCAAAGATGTCCGTGAGGAGCAGACACTTTGCGTTCAATTTGGGCATGATGTGTCCGCAGAGGTCGTCGTCAAACTCCGACTTATCCTTGAGGAAGATCTCCACCGGCAGCTTCGACCCAGTGCGCCGTAGCATTCGGATGGAAACCAAGGCGTTGCGTAAATACGAGCCGCCAGCAGTTGTTACGATGCCTCTCGTGCCTTTCTTGTACGGCAATGAGTAGTTCCGGGTTTGTATATGACTGACGAAAGACTTGTGGGCGCTCGTAAGCTCCCGCAATTGATCGTCTGTCATATTCAGTAGATCGGGCCGCTCCCGCGTGACCTCTGGGTCCCAGAAGATGGCAAGATCGATCCCTTCCGGGTGTACCAGAGGGCCGCATTTCGGGCCACAATCAGTTAGATCTTGGTAAAAGCGATGCCAGAACTCGCGTTGCTGCGTCAGGAAAGGTGACCCAGTAAGGTCGGAGATGAGCTCTTTGTAGGTGTCTAATTTGTCCAGGTGCAATGCTTCTATCTGCTTCCGTTGATGCACGCCGTACATCAGCAGTGCCAGTGCGAGGATTGCCGCCACAATCACCATGCGCCGGAAGTCGCGCTTCATCATAGCGACCATGTTGCTTTCCAGAGTTTGCGGTAATCAACATATAAAGATGCTTGCGCGATGCTTGTCGTTGGACACCTTGTTACAGGCCATCATTAACAACGCGCCGTGTGTAAGTGTAGGTGCTGAAGATTTCCCCTTTCCACCTGACTCGGGAGCATGCTGTCGCTACGAGCTGTTACAATGAATGAACAAGGGAGGTCGCCAAGAGCCACGGTGGGATGGGCTGAGGTCTCGACAATGCGCGGCTCAGCTGACGTCGAGCACCGCGATACGAAAATGTGTAGCGCCCTTGACCTTCTCTGGCATAGCTCCGCCGGCCAAGAGTCAGATCTTTGAGCTTCTTTGGCCAAGGCTCCCTCCCATTGATCAGGAATCAGTAGCACACGGAACGGCGACCTTTGTCTCAGGACCCACATAGGCACCGGATCAAGGTGCGAAAGTTTCACTTGTTCCGGCGCGAACCAGCCCGGTACAAACGAAGCAAGTCGTGTGAAGAAGTGTCAGCAAACGGTGGCTCACGTGGCTTACGCGAAACTCACCGAGCTCGGGCATCTATGTCTCGCGGGATGCGGCAACTCATGACCTTCCTCATTCGGCCTCAACTCTACCGTGGTTCAATACACCCCCTGCTTACTCATGGAAGTTATTGAAAGGCAAAGTCGACCTCACCGTCAACAACAAGACTGAATTATTGCCGAACGCAAGGCGCCATCTCAGATTCACCTAATCTGTGTCCTTCATCGCGAGTGAGTCTCTTGGAGGGCGTCGAACACTTACCCATGATCTCATCAGTGGAAGAACCGGCCGATCGCCGCAGCCACAGATTCCCTATCTCGGCGCGAGCTTCTGGCCTTCGAGACGTACTATGAGCTACTGATAGCAGCCAAAATCTCCAAGGGATGGCGCATGCTTGATAGAGCGGACGAATGGCAGTCGTTCACACCATGCAAGATGAGGTTGCAAAGTAGGTACCGCAGGATCTTCGCAAAGTACCGTTTGCGTGGCAGCAGATATGGCTCTTGCTGCTCTGTTTATCTTATGGGACTCTCTCGCTTTCAGTCCATCACTCGCAAATTTCTTTGAGCAATCGACATTTTGCAGTTGATCCTAGTAGTTCACCAAATATGGCGGAGAAGACCGAGCACGAACACAAGCAAGACATTGATGAGTACGAGTGGCCACCTGGGACCATCCGAATCGAATTGCTACGTCCCACCACGAAAGGATCCAATATCATCCTTCAGCCACGGCCCACAGACGACCCGAATGATCCTCTGGTACTAGTAAACCATCTCAACAGGGATGGATACTGAGCTAACACTATCCGCACAGAACTGGCCCAAAAAACAGAAGTGGTGGAATTTTGGCCTTACTTGCTTCTATACACTCATGGTCTTTGCGTTCATCGATGCAGCAACGCCAACATGGGGACCCATGGCAGATGAGCTAGGCTTCAGTACCGAAATCCTGAACGACAGCTATGCCGTGGGATGCGGCACTCTTTGCATTGGCGCCTTCATCCTGATCCCATTTGCATTGAAGTATGGCCGCCGACCGCTCTATATCGTGAGCACCATCGTGCAGTTCGCTCTCTGCATATGGGCTGCCAGGATCTACAAGACCGTTGACCTGATGATGGTCAACGTTTGGCAGTGTTTTCTCGGCGCTATCGCAGAGGTCATTGTGCAGATGACGGTGGCAGACGTCTTCTTCGTGCACGAGCGCGGTATGATGAACAGCATCTACATCTGGGTACAGAATCTTGGCGGCTACTTAGCGCCATTGGCCGCCGGTTACATTACGGTCGGACAAGGCTGGAGATGGGTCTGGTGGTGGTGCGCCATCTTCTTCGGCCTTTTGTTTCTCGTGGACCTGTTCACGTATGAGGAGACGAAGTTCGATCACATCAAGGCATCCGCATCCGTACCTACGGAGCTTCTAGAACAAGCACGAACCCACACCTCGGAGACTGTACGTGAGAAGAATGAGAAAGACATCACACCTGCTGTTCCGGACGTGGATATCGAGGTCGGAACGATATCAGAAGCCGCCGCACGTAAGCTTAGCGTCGTCCAGGTCAACCCATCGATCCCGCGCAAGACCTACTGGCAGAAACTTGCGTTCACCACCTCCTCGCCCGGTGACTGGGGCTTGTTCTTCCGTCACAGCTACCAACCGCTGCAAATCCTGTTCACGATTCCGGCAGTCGGCTACATGTCACTCGTCTATGGTGTCATGCTGGCGTGGTCGACCGTCATGACCGTGACACTCTCCACCTGGATGCTGGGTCCCCCGTGGAACTTCACCGCCGCCCAGATCGGTCTGATGAGTCTGCCACCCTTCATTGGCAACACTCTCGGTGTCTTGATCTGCGGGCCCATGAGCGATCGGACCATCTTATGGCTTTCCAAGCGCAACAATGGCGTCTTCGAGCCGGAAATGCGCTTGTGGGTCATGGCACCATTCGTACCTTTCCTCCCGTTGGGAGCGTTTCTGTACGGCTATGGCTTGAATAACGGCTGGTCGTGGCCGGTTATTGCCGTGTCTTACGCCATATCTGCCTTCGGGTCCGCGCCCATCAGCAGTATTGCACTGACGTACATCACCGACTCTTACACGGAGGTGAGTGCACACGCTCTTTGGGCTTTCTCGCTTCATGAGACGAATGCTGACTGTGCGTCTAGATTGTCGGTGACGCTCTTGTTGGCGTCACATTCACTCGCAACGCTCTTGCCACCATCTTCGTCTTCGCACTCTCGCCATGGATCGAGGGCGTAGGCATGGCAAATGTGTACGTGACGATCGGTGTGATTGGCATTGCTGTGCTACTGTTCGTGTTCGTGTTCATTTGGAAGGGTAAGACCTTCCGGCGCATGACCGCTAAGCGATATAGGTATTATGCAGAGCGACAGTTCGGAGCAAGGACAGTCTGAGAGATATAGCAGTGATGGTGGGGTGGTACAACGTGCATTCCTAGCCAATCTCGTTCAGGGTCGTGCCTTCACTGGACTGTTCATCATCTTCTCCGACAACTCCGCCCATCCTGTGTCGTTTTCTACAAGCGCCTTCTCCCTCATCTCGCTAAGCACCTCAGCGCGGTCGATGCGACCTAAGCGGCGCCTGGTTCAATCCATTGCTGCACCCGCTGAAAAATGGTTGGGCTCAGTCAGGGCAGTAGTGAAGTCGTCAACGTACGCTTGAGGCAGGCTGCCTGGGACGTTGACCTCTTCCGCGACATACTTCTAGCGAAGTAGTGGGTCGAGCAGCTTGCAGATTGTGAACAGCTTTCGCAGGGCCCAGTTCGAGTAAAATGGTGACACTTTCCGTTCGTGTCGTTGAGCATAATGGCATGCAGGATGCGACGGTCCAGCGGACGGGGATTCTACAGCATAATGCACAGATGCTTCATCTGTATGAAGTTGTGAAGCATGACGAGGCATCTACATTCATGGATATGATGGTCATTTATGTTCCGAGCTGTTCATATGGCAATACCCACGGGTGCACGGGTGGACTGAAAGTCGCTCACGCAGCACTAGGACGAGCAAATATGCTCACGGTCAGGTAGAATGTAAAACACATCCGGCTGAAGTAGACCGAGTTCGCCTCGGTGTGGATATGCTTGTTGGCAAGGAGAGGTTCCATTGCGTCCATTATTATGCGGTACTGTTGCTATTCGTTCTCTCGAAGTCTGCGGTCAAGCATGATTGCGCTCTCAATCTCTAGGGTTCCGAGTCAGTTATCTCGTATGTAGCTCTCCATATGCGAACCAGCAATGATCTCGTCATGCATCGACTGGCTATCTGAGGACAGCTTCGCCGCGAGCAGCTCTTCGTAGCTCCTGTCGCGGATTTACACGCTTGAAAATGAAAGCACAGGGTGTGAGGTGCGTGCGAAGTCTCACCTCACGCGGCGCGTGTAAGAACGACGGTTGGGAGTCTGGCCTGGCCAAGGTTTAGCTTTTCTCGCACGCTTGGCAGACACACCTGACGCGACTGTTTTCTGCTTGCGGCTGGACGGTCTCAACACGTGGCAGTGCTGGCGCGTTTGGAGTGCTGAGTTGCGGCAGACTTGGAGTGCTCGTTGACGGTTTGGACGTCTTGCCTTGCTTGGCCCGCTGCTTCTTCAAGACCATCGTGCGCGACAGGTGTGGTGACGCTACGCTTATTTAATGTGCCATCGAGGTTGGAAGTCATGTTTGCATCGTGCCGTTATCGGTGACCTCCACTGCCTAACGCCACCTCCTCTTAGTTGTCGCAGAAGCCTACAATGCTTTCGAACTCCCTCAGCCCTCCGTGCCCCGTTGGTCCTCCTCATCCTCCTCCTCATCACTGCTCTCCTCCTCCAGCACGATCTTCCTCAGGACACTCTTGTCAAACAAATCGATCACAAACCGATACTGCGGAATGCGATAAGCATGACTAGCCAAAACCACCATCGCTTTCCTAAACAACGCTGGCTTTTTGAACCCATCCGCCTTCTTATGCTTGTACCCATTGAGCTCCGCCAATGCCTTGTTCGTGAGCACCGTATTGCCGAGCTTGACGATCGAGTTCAGGATCCCCGCGTTCGTCGGATCCTCATCGTTAACTGACCCTCTGCGGCTGCGGATCATGCGCGCCGCTTGCATTCCAGTGGCGCCGTCGGTCGGAGGTTGAATCGTGAAGAGCTTGCCGAAGTCAAGCGGCAACACGTACCCGAGACTCTCGCCCATGACATTCGTAGTGCCATCCCATCCATATTCCGCCAGAATCTCCTGTCCATGCAGGCTCCGCGAAATCAAGCCCAGGACGAAGAAAGCCGTCCCACGCAGCGTGAGCACTTGGGAGCTCTCAGCAATCTGCACAATATACCTGACCACATCCGTGCGCTCGAGAAACGGGGCACCGAGTTCCATCGAGCCTACATTTCCCACCGCCCACAGACACCCCTTTACCTTCACGATCGTCTCCGCATCTTCATCCTCCACGGCAAAGTCCTGGATCGTCGCAGCAAACTCCTCGAAATGCCCCTTCGCCTTTAATAGCTCACATCCTTCCGTCGTGCGCGTTAGCTCGCGGTAGAAGTGCGGCGGCACGAAGCCAAAATCCTGCGGCACCAGGCCTTCATCCTGCGGTTGTTGCGGTTTGTCCGGTGATTCTGAAAGTGCACGTGCTAGTGAGGCCTCAACAATGGTCACATAGGTGTCGTTACGGCCTAAGAACCAGTCGTCCATCTCCTTGGTAATATAATCCAGCCCATCGAGATAATGGTACCCAACCGAAGTGGACAAAAAGCGCAGTAGAAGCGGCGCGCCAATCTCGCCTAGATGGTCGAGAGCGGGTCGGCACTTGACGACAAATTCTAGCGAGGTGATGCCGTTGCAGGCTTCTTCCAGGATCTTGATGGCGACTGCGCAAACTTCGATTTCGGGATCGTACAGTTGGCCGACGAGGAGTTTAATTGCCCATTCCGCTGCGCCTCCACTTGCCTCGCTGGTATTGATCGGCATCATTGCGTACTTCCTCAAGATCCTCGTGGCAGAGATCCGCATCGCCTTGGAGCTGGCGACCATCGCCTTCGAAAGGATGATGCGTGGGTGGCTGTCGAGCGTGTAGTCCATGTTCGAGAGCAACGCACGGATGAGGTCGTCTCGCTTCTGAAGGTCGACGATGTGGTAGAAGATGTTGATGATCTTCCACCGCTCCAGGATCTGCATGCCTTTGCTGTCACTGCACATGGTGCCAAGCATGGCAAAGTAGCCGCTCACGAGGGTCTCAGCCATGCGGTCGGGTGAGAACAGAGGTGCTGCGGAAGTGAGGCCGCTCATTGGATCTTGTTGTGCCAAGCACTCTCCGATTTGTGGTACGAGCTTGTTGCTCTCAAGGTATCGGACACCTTCCGCGGTCTGCAGCAGCAAGCTCAGCAGCGCGCATGCGGTTCGTACATAACGCTGGTTGGCTTTCGTATTGGCTGCCTCCGAAAAGCGGTATTTGAAAGGTCGTAAGAAACCCAGCAAGCGATGGACGAACTTTGTTGTGATCATAGCCTCCTGCAAGCGCTTTGGATTTACCATCGGACCCTCGATCAACTCCATTATGAGCGACCAGTCCCACTTGGTGTAGTTGACAGTACTCAGTATCTGCGTGTCGATCATCTTCGCCCGAAATTGTGCTTCATCCATTACCGCAGCAAGCTGAGACCTGGAAGCAGCGCGGCTTCGCGCCCCTGATGCGTCTTCGCTAGTCTTGGCTTCAGGTCCTTGCCCGGCTGTGGAGCGATACAGTGTGCGATTGATGCTATCGACTTGGTACACCGTTGCAACTGCCTGAAAGCGATCTTCACTGTCGAACTTCGTGGCGAGATCGAACAGGCCAGGCAGAGCTTGTAGCTTGAAGCTCCACGTTGATGGTAAAAGATCACTTGCCAGGCGCAAGACTTCCGCAATGAGCAGGCTTGTACGGCGTCGGAGAGGCTGCGACGGAGCGTCGCTCTCCGCGTTCATGAGCCCCTTCAGCAGGCCTTGACGGAGTAACACAGCCAGCGACACCGCGGTGAAATGCTGGACCAAGCTGCGCTTCTGCGTCTCTCCACCAGTGCGCCGTAGCGGGACCTGCTCCTGGTGCTCGTTCCGCAGGTTCGTCACCCGTCCATAAGTGGTCAATCTCCGCCCACCAATGAAGGAAGACGACCATGACGGCGATTTGATCCGGAGTATGGTTATTAGCAGATCCAACACGGCCGTCCGCACGGGGAGGCTAGTGATGTATAGCGAAGAGACTATCGATCGTACAGGTAGGAAGTCGTGCATTGACAACGCCATCAAACCTGACCAGCTTTTGAAGAGGCCTGCAACCACTCTGGTGCTGGCTCTAAGCTTCTCTTCATGCGCGTGATTCAATGACGGCTCGGTGAAGGACGCGAAAGCGGTGCTGAACTCAAAGCCGGACTTGAGGAGTCCGCGCCTTGCAGGCAAGTCCATCAAATGCAGGAAAGGGTCGATTAGGGTCTCGGGTGCAAAGTAGACGCCGCTGCCCATCGCTTCCGAGAGTGCGCTCAGCCCACCGGCATTGACGACCATCATCGGGTGTCGGAGTAGCATCTCCGCCAGGGTAAGGATGGCGATCCCGCGTAGTTGGTCGTCTGCATGATCCGCCACTGCCACCACAATGCGTACCACTGCCGGATGGATCTCAAGCGCACCGTCTTTGACATCCAGGAAGGCCCGGATGAATTTCAGTGCTTGCTCTCGCTCGACACGCGCTTTGCTTTCTTTCACCAACGACAAGATGACGAGGTAGTCTGTTTGCAAAGCTCGAATAGTCTGTAGCGATTTGCGGTCCGTGACTGCATACCGCATGACGCGGTAACCGGCAGCAACAACTTCCCGGCTGTCACTTAGCAGCATCATCTGCATACGCAGGCCAAAGATTGACCATGCCAGGTCATACTTGAGTGTGTGATGTCGTTTGAACAGGTCGACCAGATCGTTAGCTTGTCCTACGTAGTAGTCCGAGGGCATACCCTCCGACTCCAGCGCCTGCAAAATCTCGGCCAGGATGTAAGTGGGCGACTCAAGGTCGGCATCATGACCATCTGCATCATCTTCATTTGGGTGCTCTTCCAGTTGCGACGGAGACACGCCTTGCGGAGATCTGAAGATTTGCGATAATCGTCCTTTTGGACTTAGCGGTGCCTGGTGCTGCTGTTGCTGTTGCTGTTGCTGTTGTTGCTGCTGCTCCTTGCTGCGTTGGATCTCGGCTTGAAGGTCTGACTGCAGCTGAGCAATTTTCCGAGTAGAAGCATGCAGCTCCACTTCCACCACCTTGCGCTGGTCCCGAGCTTGCTTCGCATTCTTGTTGTTCAGCGCCTCAAGCAAGTTCTCCGTGCCGACCTTGATCTTCATCTCCTTGTCTATCCGATCCCGGTACTCCGCCTGCCGCTGCTCAGATGAGGTAAGCCCACCACCATCATCAAATCCGCCGTAGCTAGCGAACTCCGGTCTGTACAAATCAAGCCTTGAAGTGGAAGTCTTCAGATCCGGCGCGAGCGATCCGGCTATGTTCATCGACCGGCCATATGATTGCGTCGGCTTGGCGGTGGTGAAGCTGGCGGCGGGGAGGGAGCGGCCATCTTTGCCCGCTTTCGAGGGCTGCAGGAGGCCTTCACTGCTATTGGAGTGGGCATTGCTCGTGAAGGGAGCGGCAGGGCGAGGATTCGGCGTCATCTAAGCCCGATGTCACCCCGGGCATTTCCGTCATTGAGATGCTGAACGCGGCCTCCTGCGATGTCGAAGTGCATCAGGATGTGATGTCGCGGTTGCAGCATGGGGAAATGGACGACACCGCACTCTCGACTACGCTAGCATAGCAAGGTATGCGTGTTCACGGTGCCGCACACGTGATTAGTGGGTCTACGCGATGGAAAATGCACCGTTTTATATCTCGTCGTCGTCCATGCATTTGACTACATATATAGGTACTCTACTAGAACTCCCACATCGACCCCACGCATTCTTGACGTCTGTGCGCGGGAGGCGCTTGTGGCGCTCCACTCCAAGGCACGCCAATGGCTTCGCTCTGCGTCTTGTCGCATGACTATGCGCCTTCGCCCTCCCACCTCATACCAACACATCGGACTTGTCATGCGCTGCTTCAGTGATACGAAGACAATACCTGACAGATGATACAAATGACAAACGCTCACGTGAAGGACCCTCGACAGTCTGCTCACTGATCGGCGAGCTCCGATTATGCAGGAACAGCAGTCGAGCTCAAGCATTGGCCTGTGATACACTCGCCCTTCGGGTCCGCCCTTCATTCACCAGCAGTTCGCCGTTATCTCTTCGATAAGACCTTGCCATTGCTTTTATATATGTAGATATCAGATCATTCTGTTTGCCCTCTTCTGCCAGAAAGAATAAACAACGCACCTTCGAACGTCCCAGCCATACCTGCCACCCTTTCATTACAACCAAATCTACTTGTCGGAAGCATCCCATCTTCTCTACTGTGCTCAAACAATACCCTCTACTACGTACTACATTGATAATGGCCTCCCTAAGCTACGCCCGCTACGGCAAGGACAACGTCCGGGTCTACAAGGTCCACCGCTCCCCCACCAACCCATCGCAGCAAGATGTCACCGAAATGACCGTCTGCACCCTCCTCGAAGGCGACATCGCCGCCTCCTGGACACACTCCGACAACCGCAACATTGTCGCCACCGATACGCAAAAGCAAACCGTCTATGTCATGGCTAAATTGCACCCGGTCAACCCGCCCGAACTCTTCGCTAGCATCCTGGGCCAACACTTCCTCGACCAGTACGATCATATCAGTGCGGCGCACGTGACTATTACGGTGCATAAGTGGACACGAATGCAGCTAGATGGGCAAGCGCATCCGCATAGCTTTGTTAGGGATGGCGAGGAGAAGAGGACGGTTGAGGCTGTTGCGCGGAGAGGGCAGGGTATCAGCATTCGTTCCGGCATCACTGGCCTCCTCGTGCTCAAGTCCACTGGCTCGCAGTTCTGGGGCTTCCATCGCGACGAATACACACGGTTACCGGAGACGTGGGACCGCATCCTCTCGACCGAGGTAGAAGCCGGCTGGCGCTGGCGCAACTTTAGTGATCTGGAGGATGTGAAGAAGGATGTTGAAGCCTTCGATAAGGCGTTCAAGGACGTCACAAAGATTACACTGGAGACGTTTGCGAAGGAGAATAGTCCGAGTGTGCAGAACACCATGTATCTGATGTCGGAGCAGATCCTTGCAGCGGCACCGAGGGTGGAGAGTGTGGAGTACAGTTTGCCGAACAAGCATTACTTCGAGATTGGTAAGCTCTTCCACTCAATATCTTGTAAGGCTTCATCATGCTGATTTGATTGGTAGACATGACCTGGTTCAATGGCCTGAAGAACACAGGCAAGGACGCCGAGGTCTACGCGCCACAGAGCGATCCGAATGGTCTCATCCAGTGCACGGTGACCAGGAAGGGCGTCGCATCGAAATTGTAAGATGACTGCCATTGAATTTGTATTGGCGTTCAAGCGTGCGAGTAGTAACGCAGATAGACCTGAATGAACACCCATTTCAACGCCATCGCTATGCTTGAAACCTTATCGCTCGTCCACCGTGCAAAGCCAATGTTATCAAGGCGGAGTTGCTGGATGTCGGAACGCGGCTTGCACTTCTGGCGCCTGCGCTATGCTGTCCCGTAGATCCAGTTGGAGTAGATTCTGCTTATAAGGATGCCGCTCTCCCTCAAAGCCTGCAATCCAGTCAGCACTCTCACCCCCTCCCTTCAATATGATCCTGCCTGATCTGGCAGTACGTAGGGACACTCACACTTAAGCCTCGCCATCCGATCATCCCTCAACCGATTCTTCGGTAACATCCCTCTAACTGCCCTCCTCAACACCTCACCACCCCCCCACTTGGCCATCACCTTCTCCATCGTCATCTCCTTCAGACTGCCCGGACGAGTGGTATGACTATAGTACTTCTTCTGCTGCATTTTCTTGCCTGTAGCATACAGCTGCGAGCAATTGGTCACGACGACATAATCGCCGCAGTCGGTGGAGGGATCGTAGATGGGTTTGTGCTTGCCCATGAGCGTGATGGCGATGGCTGTCGCGAGGCGGCCGAAGGGTCGGGGGGTGACGGAGAGGTCGACGTGGTGCCATGGGCGGGTGTAGGCTAGGCGCGTCTATGGGAGTGGGTGCGTTAGTACGTGCGTGCGGTGGTGGATGGCCGGTTGTGGGTGGTGCTGCAACTGACCTGGCCTACAAACTGCGACATCGTGAGGCGAGAGTGCCCTTGCGGGCTTCAGACTCTATACTGCTTCGTTTGTACGGCTTGCAATGCAGGTCGCGGTTCAGAAGAGGAGGCACGAGACCTCGAATGCCAAGACTCGGGAGTGTGAAGCTTTCGCCGTAGACGAGTCAGTGTCAATTGTTGCTGTGGAAGTATCGGCCACACTTGAGTCACCGAGGCTTGGATTGCAAATCAGCAACCGCGGCAGCAGATTTGACGTCGATGCTGCACTGTCCTGACCATGTCCTGCACAATCAACCTTGATGGTCATGCAAGTTCGGTGACGGCGGCGGACTACACACCACCATGACTCGATTGCCAGACTTCGAGACAACGTTTGCCGTCCCACTTAGCTGTGAGGAATGCATTAAGGATGTCTCGACTTCGTTATATAAACTGAACGGTAAGCCGACAGGTTTCTTAGCAGTAAGAGCTTCGTTAAGTAACATCAATGAAGGCATCTCCAACGTCTCGGCCGATCTTAAGTCGCAACTCATCTCCATAACCGGCAATGCACCACCTTCAGCCATCGTAACCGCTATTCAAGACACAGGCCGCGATGCTATTCTACGAGGCTCAGGCAGGGCCGAAAGCGCCGCCGTCTGTATCCTGGAAACTCACTCCACATCCGTCCAAGACCACGTGCGAGGTCTTGTCCGGATGGTGCAGGTCGCACCCAGCATGACTCTATTGGACGTAACGCTCCGAGGAGTCAGCCCGGGTAGTTACAACGTCACCATCCGGGAAGCCGGCGACATCAGCCAGGGCGCAGCTTCGACCGGCCGTATTTGGGACTTGCTGCAATCAAAGCAGACGTCGCCACCTCGGCCCGCGAAAGGCGTGTTGGGCACGCTCGAAGTCGGTCAATCTGGTCTCGGATCTGTCTTCCTTGACAAGCCGTTGCAGATATGGGAGCTGATCGGGAGGTCCATCGTGGTGAGTCGCCGGCAAGACAACTTCGACCGTGAGGATCCTGACACGCTGGTCGGCGTGGTTGCGAGAAGTGCGGGTGTATGGGATAATGACAAGACGGTATGTAGTTGCAGTGGGAAGACGGTTTGGGAGGAGAGGAAGGAGCAGACTGCGAAGGGTATGCTGTAGTGATAAGGATTGACACGAATCAGAACTTGTGGTGCCCACACCCTCGTAGTTTCGACTAGGATCCGGCGTTGAGGCAGCCGGCCGTTCCATGACATATATCGCGATGAAGAATCGTTCAGTAGGTCTGCACAGAAGGACAACTATACGAACTTATCCCTGACAATGTCGAAATTGTTAAAGATCCCTTTCGGAAACCATGTTTGCCAGTTTTGACTGCAGCCAAAAGGCTCGTAAGCGCGATCTTTCAACAGGTAGACAACTTTGCCTGGTTTTGACGATGGATACAGACGTCCAGCCAGACTTCACAGCGCGTACCTGTTGAAGCACGCGACGTGGTTGTCAAACAGTACCTCGACGCGCTAGTCTCTGCTCTTGTATGCCTTTAGCACCATATATTGCAGCATATTGTGTGCCCCCATCGACGGCACTAGATCTGTCAGCTGCATCGCATGACGACAGCCAGCCATGCGAACCATCTGCGGCGCTTCAGCAGCATCAACTGTTTCTACCGGGCTGTGTCCTTACAAGACACTTCAAAGAACGACCATGACTCAGTAACCTCTTGTACGGAGTGTAGTAAGCTTCAACCTGCGCAACTCAAATGTACACGTCCCATAATCCACGTAGGCGTCTTGAAGGCCTTTTAATCGTCTATCCGGAATTATATGCCGTGAGTTATAGCTGATCCGGACGAGCGGCGGGGATGGCTGCCGCCGGTCGCCGATCTAGGGCGAGTCCCGAGTCATTTCGTAGAGTCCAGACCATCGGGTTGAACAATCTATTTTCCTGAACAGCGTTGTTTTCTGCCACAGCCGTGCATATATCGCCACAGCCTCGTATTGGACCTTTCCGAAGCAGGAAAGGCATCGAGAGAGCAGTAACGGAGTCTGATCCACCTGCGCGACGTGTATCTGGCACACAAGCCTTCCGCGATGCGCACGATCGGTGGGTAGAGTCATGCCTCCACCATGCCCAATCGATCGATGACGGCCGCATCTTCACGACCACCATTGCGGCTAGAGCACAGGTAAAACCGGGCGAAAAGGCGTTGACTGCATTCATTAATGTGTGCACTTATACATATCGGGCATTCTTTCTCCGACTCCACCCTGCCGCAGCGTACTCTATGTGACTGTCAGCGATCAGTGCTCTGTCTCTCTACCACTCCCATACTGCATGATCGCGCCCACCAACCCAACCGTTTTACGCCCATCTAACCTTCATGATCGATGACAGGACTTGCACCTCCCAAACACGCATATTTATTGATTTGAATATCGGAGTCGGCATATCGAACTTTCTCCCTCCGACTACCGTAGACGTCATCGAAAATCCGTCAGGCACGAGACGAACAACAACAACGGTTAACATTAAGGGAGATGCTCAACAGGCTGCAGAGTGGTATACCAAATTGGATCTGAGATAGACAATTGATGGGTTGCTGGCGGAGACCGCGAGTCGAGGCACGCCTATGAACTTGCTATTAACAGCTGAACAGCCCTCGACATTAGGACGGGAGAGGCAGTTTGGTCTGGAACAGGCAACAGCAGGCTTGATGAGCGAAGATGCTCGTTCGACGGAGAAGTCGGAAAGCAGTGGCCTAGATCCGCATGAGGATGCGCGAGCGCTGGTGCGCTTGATACAGTGCGCACAATGCTCGAGGCCATACCGGACACCAGTCACGCTGCCTTGTGGACGCTCGCTATGTCGAGAATGTCTGCCGCAGACTCACGAGCGGGAAAACATATCGTATCCGGACTTACCGGGGCGCAAGCAGGGCTATCAGTGCCCTTACGTTGAGTGCCAAGATGAGCACCCTGTATCGGACTGCAGTATCGATGTTACTTTGACGAAAGTGATGGACTCGATTGCTGAAATCGTTGCGAAACATGCCTCTACTGTTCGTGGAACGTTGACGTTTACCGAGGAAGTCGCGCACGACGAAGCCATCAGCATGTCCACGGAGAAGCCACCTACGCGTCAAACATACGGCGGACGGTTGATGGCTACATATCTACTCGCCGCTCAGGGACAGCTTGCGTACAACGCTGACCTTCTCTATCAATCCATTTCCGATCAAGTAGAAAGCGAACGTGGCCTGGATAACAAGCTGGTCAAGGAGCTGCTAGAGACTACTCACCGGGAAGTAGACTGCCAGGTTTGCTACAACCTCATGCTTGACCCTGTGACAACCACTTGTGGACACACTTTGTGCCGGAAATGTCTAGCCCGGGTATTGGATCATTCGTTCCACTGCCCGGTGTGTCGCAGAGGGCTTGCCGTACCGACATCGCTGCAAAATCAACCCAGCAACAAGACCTTGGTGGATCTTCTGAATGGGCTCTGTCCTGATGCGGTTGCCGCGCGCGTGCAAGCTGTCTCGCTCGAAGACCAGCCGGGCGAAGGAGAGCTTGATACGCCGCTATTCGTCTGCACCTCCGCGTTCCCAGGCCAACCCACCTTCTTGAGGATCTTCGAGCCAAGATATCGATTGATGCTTCGCCGGTGTCTGCTGGGAAACAGGGAGTTCGGCATGCTAATGTACAACCGCTATCACGAACCGCAAGGCGAGCTGGGCACGGTACCTTTCTACCAGTATGGCACTATGCTGCAGGTTCTCCACTGCCAAACACTGCCGGACGGTCAGAGCTTGATTGAGAGTCGCGGCGTCTACAGATTCCGTGTCAAGTCTCATGGGTTGCTCGATGGCTATACAGTAGGCAGTGTGGAGCGCTTCGAGGACGTCTCTCTTGCAGAGGAGGAACGTTTAGAGGCGGAGGAGACATCGCAACCTCCGCCGGCGGACGAGACCGACATGCACGCTGTGATCAGCCGCATGCCGACTCAAGACCTACTCGCGCTCGGTCGTGAGTTCGTCTATCGGATGCAAGCTCGGAGCGCATCCTGGCTCGCACAACGGGTGCTGGACACCTACGGCCAACCTCCAGAAGACGCAGCGTTGTTCCCATACTGGTTTGCGAGCGTGCTGCCCATCGCCGATGAGGAGAAGTACAAGCTCATGGGTACAACCACTGTTCGAGAAAGACTCAAGATCACGGCGTCATGGATCCGTCGGATCGAGTCACAACGATGGTGAGTCTACCAGTTCCCTTACGCTTCGGCTGACTCCGATCAAACGATCCATGCAAAGCCCCAGCGCTTCTGCTGACTGCAAACGTGCTCGAAAGGGACAGCGACTGACGCACTTGTCAGGTACCAAAGTAACGCATGTCGCATCTTATGACTATCTCTGCATTACGTGGCCCCGATGGTGTTCCTGATCTTCGCGTTCCTGCTGCACTTTATGCGTTCAGCTACTGCATAGTGCATTCCCTTTACATTGTCCCAGGAGATTGGTTATGTGTTTCGCTCAGCGATCATGGCGCCGGTGTTGGTTGATTTGATCAGGATATATCCAAGAGTATCTATTATGATACCTGCACTTTCAGGTGCATGCATGTTGGGATGCGGAGTTCTGGCTTCCGCTTGGAGTAGCAGCATGGGGGATGAGCTATGTCAATAGAGTTTGACATACCTTTTCTATATGGTCAGATGCAACGAGCGTTCGCAGAAGGCCAACCGATATGCCATCCGAACAGTAACTGCATTGATGAAGCTGGACTGAACGCGATCAATAGATCATCAATCTCCCTGAGGCGTGCATTCAGCGCGTAGAGCGCCTACGGGAGGCACAGCACTCATTGCTTAATGTCCCAACCGCAAATCACTCAGGCTGAACAACAGCCACTATCACCGTAGCGATCGAAGAATCACCACGTATGCGGTGACGGCACAAGGTCATATCGACTTGGCATAGGCGTTAGCTGTCTTACATCCCTTATCGCACTGCCAACGTGGGTGGACACGTTCGACTGACTCAAACAGACTTCCAATGTTATCCTTCTGCCAACCGGTACCCATTCTCTAGACGGCGAAAAGGTATGGCAACAAATTGCAGGCCTCAGGTAAGCGCCCGCGGCGCATAAGGGCAGTCCATGCACGAGGATTAGCTGCAGGGGACGGCTTTCCGGGCAGGAGGGCATGCTAGTGGGGACCGAGCCGGAGGGCTGGAAGCGGTCCCTGTGATGCATTTGGCTGCGAGCATTCTCGTCACCAAATGTCCATACATTAGGCGCGCATCGCTCCCTCCCTCTGTGCCTCTGTGACAACCCCGTAGCTTTCTGGTATGAAACATCAGCTCCCTCGTATCCTTGTCACTGTATGCATCTCATGAATCTGCAAGTTCCCGTCCAGATTCGGTCGACAACAATGCGATAGCAGGTGCAGGTACAAGCTAGACGAGAGCGTTTCCCGAGCTCGGCAACAACTTCACCAAGCGTTGCGATCACGGAGTAATAATCGATTGCACGCTTTGCCATGTCGCTCAAGCAAGAGATTGAGACCTGGGTCGCGGCGTTGGCTGCGTACGACAACACTGAGTTCGACGCTTCCTTGAAGTGCTTCCAGCAAATCGCGGACACCTCGAAGATCCTGTTCAACATTGGCGTGATCAATGCGACCCTTGGACAACATGCGCAAGCTGTCGACTGTTACCAGAGGGCGGTCCAGCTCGACCAGTATCTGGCCGTCGCCTACTTCCAGCAGGGTGTGAGCAACTTCTTGATGGGTGATTTTGAAGAGGCGTTGGCCAACTTCAACGACACCTTGCTGTATCTGCGCGGTAACAACAACATCGACTATGAGCAGCTGGGACTGAAATTCAAGCTGTATTCTTGTCAGGTATTGTTCAATCGGGGCTTGTGTTACATCTATCTGCAGCAGAAGGATGTGGGTATGCAAGATTTGATCTATGCCGCGAAGGAGAAGATGGTGCCAGACCACGATGTGATCGACGAGGCGATCAAGGAGCAGGCTGAAGGCTACACAGTCTTCTCGATACCGATGGGCATCCTCTACCGGCCGAATGAGGCCAAGGTCAAGAATTTGAAGACGAAGGATTATTTGGGCAAGGCGAGGCTGGTGGCTGCGCAAGATTCGCAGAACGTGGACTCGCGACGTGCCGCTCTCGCTGCGATGGCGCGCGATGACCGACCCGGGGAGAAGCTCTCGTATGGCGCTTTGAACCTCGTCCGACCGGATCTCAGAAGTCGTGGCAGTCGCCAGCAGTCTGCGCCGCCGCTCAACCGCAACGTCTTCCCTCCCACGCCTCCACCAGAGCCGGACCATCGACCAGAATCTGCTCACGAGCGAGACATGCACAAGCACCGCTCCGCTGAAAGCTCAACCTCCACCAGCTCCAGCTCGAAGCAAGCTCGAACATCTGCGAAGCCACTGCGCTTAGACCTGGGTGCTGCGGCGTTTGAGCAGTCGGTCAGCCCAGAGAAGCCGCGCCCGGGCAACAAACGAGCTGAGTCCGAACGGCCAACCGCGCGACGTCTGCGCAGCGATGAGTCTAGTCGAAGGAAATCTGATCGTACGGATCAGCGCGACATCCCTGAAGTACACGTACAAGAAGACCCGATCGAAGCATACAGCGAGCAAGCCAGCGCACCTCAACGACCTCCAAACCAACGCGCCCGCTCCAGCGCCCATGCGCTCAATTACCTGCCCATCTCAGAAGAAGACGAAGGCGATGAGAGCCACAACGTTGCCGACGAACCACTCGCCTTCGAGATCGTCCCGCCGAAGTCCAGCAGTCACCACCGACATCGATCTCAGTCACGGCGACCGCCGCCTCCCGAACTGCGCAACATCCGCATCAAGGTGCACGTCGCCGACGATACCCGCTATGTGATGGCTAAGCCTAGCGTCACATACTTCGAGTTCACGGAGCAGATACGGACGAAGTTCTCGCTCACGAATCGCTTCAAGCTGAAGATGAAGGATGAAGAGGGAGACCTGGTCACGATAGGGGATCAAGATGATCTTGACCATGCTGTTACAGTCTGTGGGGCAGCGGCTGCGAAAGAAAGAGTAGAAATGGGTAAGATGGACATGTGGCTGCAGGAGATATAGGTGCGTCTCGTTGTATATTTTGTTTCGAAAGATGAGACCCCATTGCGACCGCCATGATTGAAGCGTTTTTGCATAAGCACGAGTTGCGCGTACTAGAAGATGTCCAGTAGCAGCATTGCATTCAAGCCTTACCTACCAAAGTCCAATCTCGCTGTCGATTTCACTTTGCAGTGGAAGACATACCATGTCCCTCACGCGCGTACCCCGAGTGCGTGAGAGAATCATATCTGGGAAAGCCGAGCAACAAACCGCAGGAGGAGGCAGTGTCAGGTGCGCATCGCTTTCGCAATCGCAATGAATCTGATTGCTCCAGTACATGTACACGCTCACAGGCAGTTCCGTTTGTGCCGCACGATACGAGCAGCGCCCGACGCAGTACTGCAGGATGAATACTGCACTGCCTTCCTCCTGCGAAACGCATGCGCTGTTTCACAAGAGGCATGTGTTCGCGGAGAGACTGTTGACGGTCACGCTGTCAGCTCGTTGCAGCTCCGCCTCTGCAATAGGGCTGACGGTGAGCTGACAACATTGTTCCGATTCCGCTGCAAAGTGGTCAGTCGACGACATCACTCCAGCAAGCAGAGATCATTGCATCACAGCGTCGACATCAGGCCGCATGCGGAGAGATGGGAGCGAAGGACGCGGTACGGACGAAAGAGCGAGCAGCACGAAGTTTGCGGAAGACAGGGAACGACGATCACGCCTTGGAAGCATCCCCCGGATGCTCGGAGTTTGGGGGCACGGAGCATGCGAGCATGTGGTCAGCAAGGGCATGAAACCGTGCCGCGTTTGATCCGAGTGCTTGGTCAGGCAACCATTGCGGGGGATTGTTTGATGATCGTCTAAGCGTCCTTCGATTATGGAGCAGCCGAGAGCGGTGAAGTCACGATTGTTGTAGCATCATGTGCTTGTGTGCACAGGAGTGTGAGGTAGCTGCCAGTACCCTTGGCTAATGGATGTTCTTCAAGGCATTATGAAGAAAAAGTAGAGTGGTAAGAGTGAGCAGATAGTACTTTTGATCAAGTTTGGTTCATGGATTATCAAATGTTAGGTGTCCTCAACCTCGGTGAGCGAGGGAGAAGCTGCCGACAATGACCTCCAATACAGTACATTTTGTCCATGAGATGAGATGCATCTTTGATGCCCATTGTTCCAATCCAATACCTTGCTTCGCTCATTGCTCGCTCGCTAGAACGCTCAGACGACAACAGATTCGAAGACTATCAATGCCTCAGTAGGCAGCGATGAGCGGTGCCTGCTGTTGTTGTGCATGTTGCATGATGTAGTCTTCAAGACCTCGTTGCGTCTTCGTGTCGTAGAAAGCTGTTGTCGTGATGGCTTGTCGCGTCTTTTCGTCGAGTTGGAACTCTTGCGACTCTGGTGATGATGGCATCTCATCCTCCGACTCGCTCTCATCGTCGTCAACAAGCTCAGGTGGAGAGTGCCTTGATGGTGATCGTCGCAACGCAAGACCCTCGTCCTCCTCCTCGTCGTAGTCGCTGTCATCCTCGACAATTGCTGACTCGAGCTCAACCGGTGGTTGCTTGGCCCTGCCGACGGGAATGTTGAAGATCTCAGCATCGTCGTCAATTTCGTACTCGGCATCCGAGTCGCTGTCGGAGTCTTCCTCCTCGTCCTCCTCCATGATCGTGTCGACTTGGTCAACCCAGGTGATGTGCTTGGGCTCCTCGGTCTTGTTGGCCTTGGAGACGGACTGGTGGAACCAAGCCTCCTGTGCTCGCTCAGCATCTTGGAGCTCGGCCATCAAGTTGTCGAGAAGGTTGGCGTGTCCGACGAGTCGTCGAAGGTTGTGGTCTGCCCGACCAGCCTCACGACCAAGCTTAGACCTGGCCGTGGAGGCAACGTAGTAAGTCTGAGTAAGAGACATCCTTTGCTTCTTGGCTGGTGGTGATGTCGGGGATGTTTGACGAGTAATGTTTGCTGCGAATGGCTCGAACTGAACTTGGAGTCTAAGGTGGGACGGCATTGTGGTTATATGCCCGGATGATGAGTCAAGCTGTTGATATGGCACAATAATCGTTGCCTGAGTCACACTGGCCAATGGGAGTGTGGGGTCGAAGTAGGCTTGAGCTTTGTTCGAGAAGTCGAAAGCGTTCGATGCTTGTTGTTGTTGTTGTGAGTTGTCGTTGTGAGTTATTGTGATCTTGGTTGTTTGTTGTGTTGAGATTGCTGAGCATGAGGAGAAAGACCTGAGATCGTGAGGAATCCACGTCGTATTTGTGCTCAGCTGCCTCAGCATGCCATGATCCATAATCCGAAAGCTCCGTCCAGCAAAAATGCGTAAGCCCGTTCCCGCACCACGGCCAAAGCGAGCAGACCGCATCCGAAGCTAGTAGAGGGCCCCTGTCATGGTGTGAACGTAACCACCGCTTAAGGCCGACTGCTGTAAGCAGCCAATCACAACCTCTGCGCAACTAATCACCGAAGCACCCGATTGCGACCGGAACGCTTCTGCCCTCAATCCGCCCTACGGCGCTGATGTTGTCCCTGGCCTGTCGATTACTGTACACTGCTCTGTTTCACGCCCTGAGTCACTTGCCCAGCGGGGAAGCTTCTGCGTTGCTTTGCAATTGTATCTCTCCGTTGCATGCACGCTGTGACTACGCGATGATTCATCGTTGGCGTGCTCTGCAATCCTCTCACAAGGCATTGTTCAGCACTGTCACAAGATGCGGGTGTTGCCTGGGCATTGCATCGTCGAAGCCTCAGACCACGTCAATAGCCACGAATCCTCTCTCCTGAGACTCGTCAATTGTGGAGTGGCCGTAGTTCAGGCAGCCGAATTCGACCACCGTTCGTCGCTCTCGTGCGTTTTGCATACAATGTGGAGCCACGAAACAGGTACGACGCTGTGCGAAACGTCCAATGGCTTCACTCGTCAATAGTATTGCCTAGTGCACTGCCCGCCAAGCTGCTGCGGATGAGTGGCTTTCTATCGCCGGCTTGGTACTGTATGCATGCACGTCAAGGTTCTCGCATCCGTTCCTGGAAGGATCGCATAGGTGTCCGTAAGGCGTAAACATTCTGCGGGAGCATCTACGGCTTACCGCCGTCGTAAACTCCTCTGCCCACAGTCAGTCTCGGATAGAGTTTGGCTGCGGGATGCAACATAAGCATGATGATGTGCATGGTAGTTTCGGCCGTTCGGATGCTGGATGTGCTTGCGGCCGAACGAGAGACGGTGACTGAACGCATGACAACCGATCCGTCTTCTTCTGTACCAGCTTCCACTGTGTGTCTACTACGTGACGATTGATGCACTCATGATCATCTCCTACCGACTGACTGCCAATATCGTGCACTAGTCCCACACCGTGTGCTATCTGCTTCGCAGCGTGGAGGTTTAGTAGAGCCTCCATTCTGACTCGACATCTCACGGCCACAACTTCTGTCCCTACCTCTCCGTCCGGCGCAATGTTAACTCCGCCGGCCACAAAGTCGCCGTATAGAAATCAATCGCTTCCGCAGACATTGTGAGGCCAGATGCTTTCGAGTGACGAGAACATGATGCGTCGAAGCACTGCGCACTATCGTCTCTCACCTGCAAGTGGCCTTCTAACTCCGCTATGCGCCTGTTATGGACACAGAGTAGGATGCGCCGGCATTGTTACTTCGCTGCTTTAATCCGAACACCTTCTGCTCACTCGCGCAATGCAACGTTTTAAGACCTCCCAATACTGTGGATTTCAGCATTGGATGCAGCCTACAGGGCTGCCCGAATTGCTCCTCAATGGCTCGTTCGATCCTGGCGAGAATGGAACAGAAGCACCGCCCAATCCTCGTCTCATAGGGCTGCTGACATTCAGATAGCAGGGGTTCCAGATTGGGCAGTGGGTTAGCGAGCCTTGACACAGGGCTGACAAACATTCCCACGTCGCTTGGCCGAATTATATGCGTCGGTAGGCCGTCCGCTTGCTCAGCAATTCAATGCGACGGTGGGATCACGAAGCCTAGAGACGCATACTGAACATTGCCATCAGCACATGTCAGCGCCAGTCTGCACACTCAGAAGCTACCGTCAATTGTCTCTCAACATCCGCTTACGGAGTAAATTCCCAGCACGTCCGGCCTGCTGTCATCTGCGGCATGCTAACGAGGTTTCAAAAGGGGTAATATTGCACCTTGCTGTCAAATCTGCCATGCAAGGTAAAGACACTTGCAGCACAGCAACTAACACTCTTATGTGCCCCTGAACACTACAAGCGCCGCAAGAAGGTGGCTGTTCCCGCTTCGTTTAGCCTTCAATGTGGGCAACGACAGAGTGAGCACTCCGTGGCTGCAGTCATTCCGTTGAAACATAGATTTCCAAAACAGACGTATAGTGGCCTTGTTGTGGTGTGCTAACCGCCATCAACCTGAGCAATAAGTTTCATTCCGGGCACGGAAGCGTGCTGAAACTGAATCCATTCCTACGAGCTGACCGCTACTTACTTCGGCTGCCAACGATTCCATATCCGCAGGTCTAGACCCTCGTATACAACGAGGCCGTTGGATCAATTGATTGGATGTCTCGGCAAACTGACCGGTCTTCCGGACACAAGCGCTACGATGCGGCTACAAGCCTGACGTGAGATTGTACCATTAATGATAGACGAGCGCTAGAAGGTACGCGGCACTGTCCCTGAAAGTAGGAGTCCAAAGAGTGCAAAACATTACATGTTTATGGCAGCATGAAGTAGGTTTACCATCTCATACTCAGGTGCCGCCAGTCTTATTGATGAATAACGGCCCAAAAGGCGGAGTGAACAGCAGTCAAACGGCATCGACTGTAGCGTGACCCATAGCATTCACAAGAATTTTCGCCCAAAGAGGCGGCAGCTGGTGTCCGTCTTTCCAAGTCTCCGGCATTCATGCCATCACCCCAACGCGTCAATGCCAATGGTCTAACCTTCAAGACCCGTCCTGTCGCCTCTCGCCGTTGGCATGATGACATAGGCTTCGCCCTCGACACAAACAAGACCGCCGGGTTTCCCTTAGCGCCAGCTATCCAAGCCGGAGCTTGCGAGACGGCGCGATGAGCTTCGCAGCCAATACTCATGATGTCTCTCGATCCGCGAGGAAGTACGACGCTCTCCAGCTCTACGGCATCCGGCACGTCGCAGTCCGTAGGGCCCGTCTCGATAGGAAGTCGTCCAGGAAGTGCTGGCAACTGAGGCTGAACGTCGTCAGCGACATGGACTAAGAGTGGACGGCCACCCTGATTTCCGCACATGGCGGTTGGGTAATGTATATCTTTCTCAGTCGCGCTGTAAAGCAAGGGTCTATCCAGGTCGTGCGCACCTCGCACCGCAGAGGTTCCGGGAAGCGGCGCTCCTGATTGCGAACCTCGTCGAAGAAGTCGTACATTGCAACCATTGGGTACTGAATTTCGTGGTCACGGTCCGAAGCCAGTGGTGAGTCGTTGAGACAATGCGTGACTGCGCAGTCTTGACAGTCCGGCCTGTACTCCCACTTATGATATCCCAGCAGAGTGTGGCATTGCGCCGCGTCGGTGTGCAGAACATCGCCTTCTTCATTGACGTGACTGGAGAGAGTGGAGTAGCATGGCGCCATGCTTGCGAGACTTTGCTGCATGTCATGAGTTTTTTGGACGTTAAAGTACGTCAGTATTTACTTGTAAAGCTCACGGGTAAGCTCTCGATTCGGTTCGGTGTCCCTTCATTCTCGCTCATGATTCGGAAGCTGCCGTTTACCGTTACCGCAGCTGTATGGCGCGTTACTGCGTACTAGTACCGCACCGTTAACACCTGAGGTGGGTCAAGATGCTGATCTGGATACGGGTCTTGCGATGCGGAGTGTTTGCGTATCGATTCCTATCCCGGTCTCAACTTCATCGCAGGAGGTGACCCTATCGAACATCGAGCGGACGCCCAGCGATCAATGGGGTGTTCATGTATCGATCAGATGCCCAACCATCGAACATCGGCACTAAGATCTTCATCCTCCATCATCTCCGCCATCACCTTGCCCGTCCCAAGCGAGTGACTAATCCCCCACGGCCCATGCCCGGCAGCCACATAGACGCCGCCCTGAGGCGCGGCCCTCGTGTCGATACCGCCACCCAGCTCTTCATCAGGTATGCGCGCCAGTATCGGCGTGCCTCGCCTCGTCACCGGCCGGAAACACAACCCTTCCCGCAGGATTTGTAGGTCACTCACATCTGTGCCGTCTTGACCAAGCAAGCGCTCCGACACTGCTTTCAGTTCGGCAATAGACTCTGCGCTTATCTTCGCGTCTGTCGCGAGCTCCGGTAGTGGCATCGAGGCGTCGTTAAGGCCAGCGACATAGATCTCACCGCCGATACGGCTGAACACTTCCGGACTGAAGCCGTCTTGCTGCGTCGTGAAGATAGCATGACAACCTCCTGCTTCGTGCTGCTCGGTCCACCGCGGGCTCTTGACGACGAGACTGTGACCGGCAAGCGAGCTGATGGGCAAGTCTAACGTGGAAGACGGAAACAATGTTTCGAAGACCCGAGCTGACCAAGCTCCAGCGGTAATCAGCAGCCGCGTGCAAGGCAATTTGAGCTCCGCGCCGGTGTCATGCCGTATCCGAACTGCAGAGAGCTCGCCCGCCCCGTCTCGGCTGACCCTTATTGGGCGGGCGGGATGATGTAGCCTGACACCTTTCAGTAAGCTTTGCTTTAGCAGGAAGTGGGACAGCCGCAAAGGGTCAGCTTGAGCAACACTCTCATCCTCGCTGATGAGCTCCACCTTATCACCGCGCCGCCTTGTCAACCATGCAGGCCCGACTTGGTTGCCCGCAAATTCATGTGTACCCGCCGCATCCGCCCTGCTTCCACCGTCCCGTAGCCAGTCATCGCCTCTTGCTGTGCCTCGGTAGTTGCTCTGTGCAAGAGATGTGCCCGTACTGCGACTGTAGCCCCACTGCTTCTTCCCGTCGTGCTGAGCTGCGAGCTCTTTGTGAAGCTGGAAAGAGAGTGCGCCGAGGGACGCTGTAGGCGGTCCGAACCCTGCCGCATGTGGTGAGCACTGAATCGCCTTCAGCTCCGCCTGATGCTCGCACACGTACAGTCCGACGCTAAGAAGCCAGCTGCCCTGCCACTTGCACTCGCAAAGAGCTCTGGAGAGGCTTCGACCAGGTGTATGGTATCCGGCTTAGTGTTACCGGAATGCGAAAGATAGTATGCGGTAGCGCATCCAACAATGCCGGCACCAATGATCACAGTACTCTGCAACTCGGCCGGGTTGGTATAGGTAGAGAAGATGCGGTTCAGCTCGTGCATGTCTGCGCCTATTTGTCCATTCATCTTGCTCGTCTTGGACCAGGTGACTGCTGTTATTCGGATGCTGGCCCGAAAGGGAGGAAGAGAGCTGCTACGTGAGAATGAGATCCGACAACAGGAGAATAAGAGAGGTATGGATGGAAACATGGAAGCATCAGATCGTCTATCCTTACAAGTGCCATTAGGAGCTAGGCCTTATGACAATGCAAAACCCCTCGAATTGACGCAGGTGGAGTAGGTGGGGTATTGCTGATGCATGACTAGCGAACCTTTTCCTTTGCTCTTTCGCCCACGTGCAGATTGTAGGAAAGTGTTTAAAAAGAGATGGTGTCAACGAAAGTGGTCATACTGACCGGTGCCTCACGAGGCATTGGCCTGGCGATCGCACATTACCTGCTCCAGCGATCGCACCAACTTGTGGTGCTCTCGCGAAGCGAAGGGCCTCTGCGCGAATTGGAGAAGCAGTACATGGGCCAAGTAGCGGTCTTAGTCGGCGACTTGGCTGATCTGTCACTCGGCAAAAAGGCTGTTAGCCTAGCCATCGAGCGATTCGAGCGCCTCGACGCAGTGATCGTAAACCATGGCGTACTGGATCCTGTCCAGCGTGTGAGCGCCAGTACTGTGGAGGCTTGGCGCGCTGCGTTTGATGTCAATTTCTTCTCGGCTGTTGCACTGTCGCAGGCTGCTCTCCCGAAGCTTCGTGACAGCAAAGGCACCATCATATTCACCTCTTCTGGCGCAGCGACGAATGACTACCCCACGTGGGGCGCCTATGGTGCGAGTAAAGCAGCGTTGAACCACCTTGCTGCGACCCTGGCAAGCGAAGAGAAAGCCGTGACATCTATGGCGATTCGGCCGGGTGTGGTGGACACAGAGATGCAGCGCGACATCCGGGAACGGCACTTTGGCACGATGGAGGACCGAGATAGGGCACGATTCGGGAAATTGAGTGATAAGAGCAAACTTCTCAAGCCTGAGCAGCCTGGACATGTAATGGCAAAGCTGGTGTTGGAGCCGCCCAAAGATCTGAACGGGAAGTTCCTAAGTTGGGATAGTGAAGAGCTGAAGGCGTACCAGGAGTGAAAGGCAATCTGAACATCGTGGTAATGTGGGGAGCCTACCAAATGCATCAAGTTAGCACGTGGGTCGTGCCTGAGTGTCAGTAGAATTGAACAGCGTGGCGGAGGCGGATCAGTTGAAAGATGAAAAGCATACATTTTACTCAGCATTCGGCATGGAGCCTTCAGGCTTAGCATGGAATGTCTTGTTACATCATGTGTGATGATAGTAATGGATGATAGACGTACCGCAGATCTGGGCAAGGGCGTTTGTGTCTAGAAGCCGTCAGCCACAGTCCAGAGACATTTCGTGCTGTGAGGCTCCGGGTGAGACAAGGCAGGAAGTCAGGTAATCGAACCAAGTTTGTTCGTCATTGATAGATCGGTATTTGATAGTACATTGTTTTGCTCATCAGCGTATCCCTGGTATGAACTGCAGATTAGAAGGGTAGACTGACCACTACAATTAGTTCTTGTGAGCACATCACAGTCCATCGGTGGATTGAATATCTTGAGCCCTGATATAGAATTAGCGACTGCTCGGTCAATTCTGTCGGTAGATGCAGAAGGAATTGTTTTAGGATCAGCCAGCGGTTTGGCGCCGCGAGTCAATCACCACATGAGGGTATGATAGGGGCGACAACTTGTCATCATGGAAAGGTCAAGAGAAGGGCCTGGACGGGCTTACCTCATGTTTGTGGACTCGCTCGCGGGAATGCAACGACGCGTTTGATGAACGCTTTGCACGCGAAAAAGATGACTTTCTAGCATCGGGAGAACCCGGCTACTGCGGCAAGAACCGTTCGCTAGTTGGTTCCAGCCGGCGAGCTCGCGGGAGCTTCACGACAACTGCTCGCTGCGAACTGTCTCCGCCATTAGCCCTACACCTCATTTACTCACCTCCGCTGCCATGTTCAAGCTCGCTTGCAGAAGGCAGTTTGCCTCTGCGCTGAAGAGCGCGACAGTACGCCCACAATTACTTGCACGCAGTCTGCAAGCAGCTAATCGCAAAGCAGGAAACCCGCCAACCCCTCGTCCAACAACGCCGCAACCTCTCCATTCACGAGTACCGCTCAGCTCAACTCCTCGCCCAGTATGGCATCGGCGTGCCGAAAGGTGATGTAGCCCACAATGCGCGCGAAGCCGAAGCAGTCGCCAAGACCATTGAGGGAGATGACATGGTGATCAAGGCGCAAGTTCTCGCCGGTGGACGTGGCAAGGGTCACTTCGACAATGGCTTCAAGGGCGGCGTGCGCATTGTCTACAGTCCGCGCGAGGCGGGCATTCTAGCAGAGCAGATGATCGGGCACAAGCTCATCACCAAGCAGACGGGCGAGCGGGGTCGAATCTGCAACAGCGTCTACATCGTGGAGCGCAAGTTCGCAAGGAGAGAGTTCTACCTGGCCGTGTTGATGGATCGGCAAAGCCAGGCGCCGGTCATTGTGGCCAGCAGTCAGGGTGGTATGGATATTGAGACGGTCGCGAAGGAAAACCCCGACGCTATTATCACGACCAAAGTCAATATCCACGAGGGCGTGACGGATCAGATGGCAGAGGGCGTTGCACGTGAGCTCGGCTTCAGCGAGCAGTGCATTGGACAGGCGAAAGACACTATTCAGAAGCTCTACAAGATCTTCATGGAGAAGGACGCCACGCAAATCGAGATCAATCCGCTGTCAGAGACGTCAGACCACCAGGTACTCTGCATGGACGCCAAGCTCAACTTCGACGACAACGCCGACTTCCGACAAGAAGAGATTTTCTCATGGCGTGACACTTCGCAAGAGGACGCAGACGAGGTCAAGGCGGCCAAAGCCGGTCTCAATTTCATCAAGCTAGACGGCGATATTGGCTGCTTGGTCAACGGTGCCGGTCTTGCTATGGCTACCATGGACATCATCAAGCTCAATGGCGGTCAGCCAGCCAACTTCTTGGACGTGGGAGGCGGTGCGACGCCGGAGGCTATCAAGCTGGCTTTCGAACTCATCACGAGCGATCCGAAGGTCACCGCCATTTTCGTCAATATCTTCGGTGGTATCGTGCGTTGCGATGCAATTGCCAAGGGCCTGATTCAGGTGGTGGAGCAGATGAATTTGCGGACGCCGGTTATTGCGCGGTTGCAGGGCACGAACATGGAGCAGGCGCACAAGCTGGTGAGTCCTAGCTACACAAGCTGACAAAGAGAAACAGAGCTGACTATCACTCTCAGATCAACGAGTCCGGCCTGAAGATCTTCTCCATCGATGACCTAGCAACAGCGGCAGAGAAGAGTGTGCAGTTCTCGAAGGTCGTGAAGATGGCGAGAGATATCGACGTCGGCGTGGAGTTCACCTTGGGCATCTAGAGCGCGAAGCGTGCGATTCTTCATCATGCGTAAGCGACTCCGGCGTTCGATTGCGGCATCCTGTATACCTCGAATGTTCTCTACAAGCGATAGATCTGTATGCATGCTTGTTACTTGTCACCCGCCGGATCAGCAAGTCAAATAGGTCCCGGTGTGAATGCTCATTGTTGAGTGGGACACCGGTATCGTTGCATCTAGCGCGCCTTCCTTGACCGTCAACGCAGCTTCCCTGACAACGTCACTAGCAGCGCCTTGGCGCAGCAAACCAACATCCGCAGCTCTGTAAAGCTCGCCCTTCACCACCGACATCTAACGCATCCAAAGACTCCCTCGTGCCCCAATGTCGAGGAAGGCGAAGCGGAGCAAGGCGGCTAAGGCAGCGTCAAGCATGTCGACTCCGCCTACAGCGCTAAAGATGGAGCCACAAACCACCGTGTCCCAAGGGGTTGAGTGTGGTTGTGAAGCATGCAAGAAAGGACACGCAATCGCTGGAGAGGACTCCCACTCGCTTTTTCTGCGCCTTCCGCGCGAGGTGAGCGATGCAAGACCTCGCCTTTGCTGTTGACGCTGACCCAAAGCCTAGGATTCGCGACAGAATCTACGAGGAAATTCTCGTTGTCAGGTTAGATCCGGAAACCAGCGCTTGTACGAGGACATGAAGGCTACCAAGCCACGGTCCGACAACGAGGTTTATGCTCGCAATCATGGCCTGAATGGTCTGATTAACGCTCTGGTGGCATGGCCGGAAATCGCGCCCAGGCCAGAGACCGACCCGTTCTCCAGTCGTAAGGAGCGCTCTAGGTTTGCTCCTGACGAACAAACAAATACATAACGAGGCGAACGCCGTGTTTTCGGCCGTAACATCTTCCCCATCACCCGTGGGCGTGGACATCTCGGCATTTTTTGGCGCTGCAACCGCAAATGCGAGCCGCTGGATGAACCTTGCACTGTCAAGCTTCACAATGTCAAACGCATCAAGCATCTCCACGTCACGGTCGCCAATATCCGCTCGACTGACAGAGCCGCTGCGCGTGCGATCGACGCGGCCCTTCTGCAGGAACGCCTCGCAAAAATGGTGGCGTACTTCAAGCACATTGGACTCAAGCTCAAAACACTCCGAATCGCCTGCTACAGTGCTTTTGAGGGCCAGATTGATAGCGTGCGAGAAGCCCTCAAAGACGTACTAATTCCCGGCCTTCCCGAGCGTCGCATACTTATAAAGGACCGCCACGGCGGAGTCTTTGACATGTCACGCGCCGAAGCCCAGAGTCGCTTGTTCGCACATTGCGACATCCTAGATTCTTTTCGTCAATGGAAGCATGCTGCTGAAGAAGTCGAGATCGTTGGTGACCCTCCGCAGGCGCACATCAGCGAGCTAACCACACTACTTACATCCGAGGTACAGTATCCAGGCCCGAACGGACGAAAGTCAGGAGGCTCTGCCTGCCAAAATGGAGCATCAGATTCCAGGGTAAATTATCAACTCACATTTCGTGATCTGAGAGATAAGATGTTGGCGAAGGGCTATATGGACGCTGTAGAATTTGCGGAGGCGGAGATGTAGGCGCCCGCTCTGTCACAAAATCTCAAGGTGCCCCTAGACATGGTGTACCCCGCCGCCAAGGAGATGAGCCTCGAGAAGCTGAGGGAGTGGGGTATCTTCGAGGACGGTGATAAGGCCTACGGCAGCCCTTTGAAGTCGGCGGCATCGCCATGATGGACGGCAAACTAGTCTTCGGTCCAGTACGGCCACCGCATATGCTTCAATAGCAGCACTCGGATGCTGGATCATAGGGAGTAGCGAATGCATGAGAGCACGCAAAAATCAGTTTTTGCAGAGAGGCCGCAGAAGACAGTAGACCGCTCTATTGCTCCCAGGTTTTGGAAATGGGAGGACGTTGCCTCTGCTCACAGGATGGACCCATGTGGACAGTACAACCATTATGCTTCTGTCACCATTGACTTATAATTTTGGGGCAAACACTCCGCCTCTGCTTCTTGGGTCCACGGCAAAGCGTTTCAGTGTTGACAATGTCGTGGAAAAAGGCAAGGCCAACTTCAATACACGCATGGGAACGGCCCGCTCCAGCCGCTAATTAAGCGCCGACGTGACTTCCTCTTTGGTTTGCGTCGCAATTGCGGGCATTCATATTAATGCTAAATTGGAACGCAGGACGAGACGGTTCGTGAATGAATTAGAGCCTCAATGGTGATATGGGCTCGCCTGGGGAACCGATATTACCCCCAACAGCCCGTAAGCGGCTACACATCACACCCTTCAATCCAACTCTGTATGATCGCTTCGTCCCGCCTACTCTCCAACCATTAGCATCCGATATCTCCTTTCATACTGTTCAGACTTTCCCCGATCGAGGATACGGCTACGTCGAGTTGCCCGCCATGGAGGCGGACAAGCTGAGGAAGAAACTCAATGGAACAACGCTGAAAGGCACCAAGGTGCGGATTGAGGAGGCTAAGCCGGAGAAGAAGCGCAAAGCGAACGCGGAGGCGGATAATGCGGCGGAAGACGTACCAGTCAAGGAGAGAAAACGAAAGAAGACGGAGGATGGCGTACTACCTGGGCATCAGTTAGAAGGGGGCAGGAGGGTGAAGAGAGGGTGGACGGAAGATGGTGCGGCGAAGAAAAAGAAGGCGAACAAGGATGATGCAGGTATTGAGAGTAGACGGGTGCGCTTCAAGACTACCGTGCCACCGAATGCGCTCCCGGTGAGTGACAGGCCGAAGAAGGTAAAGGACAAGAAGAAAGCTTCTGCTGGGGAGACCAAGGCTGTCGTGGAAGAGTTCGCAAAGACTCGGAAGGCTGCGGAGATGCCTGACCAATCAAATAATGCCAAACGCACAGCCAGCTTCGAGGATGGCAAAGGTTGGGTTGACGAGGATGGCGATGTTGTGGAGGCTGCACCCAAGTCAAGTCGACCGAAGCGGCGGCGAAAGGACATCGTTGAAGATGCCGATGTCGCTGAACCAATACTTGCACCGGAAAATGGTGCGATGCAGAGAGACGTGCAGATACACGATGATGCCGCCCACGAGACTGCGGATTCGCAGGCGGATACGGTAGCGCCACTTCCAGCTGCAAGAGTCGATGAAGATACAGCGACGTCCAACGGCGTGCAAAGAGAGTCAAGCGAACAAGCACAGGCACTCGATCGAGACACACTAACAACAGAAGCTGTCAATGCTACTAAAGAAGTTCACCCGCTCGAAGCTCTCTTCAAACGCTCCGTACCGACGCCAGAAAGTGTGACCAAGCCAAAACCTGCTCCTATAGACACATCTTTCTCGTTCTTCGATCCCGAAGACGTCAATGACGACGACGCCGAAGGCACAGAACCGAATCCAATTCCGCCGCAGACACCATTCACGCAACAGGACATGGAGTGGCGAAGTATACGCTCTGCAGCACCTACTCCGGATACCGCTGCTATTGGCAAGCGCTTTAGCTTCGCGATGGCTGATAGGGATGATGGTGACGATGGTGATGAAGACGATGAAGACGATGAAGACGATGTGATTGACGAAGGTAATGCTGACAGAGGTGGAGACCGTGGTGACGCTGCAACAGGAGGTGGGATGCTGGACTCGAAAGGCTCTCCTCGTGAGGTGCAAAATGGTGGACGCGAAGAGAGCGAGTTCCGTAAGTGGTTCTTCGACAACCGCGGGGATCTGAACAGAGGGTGGAAGAAGCGGAGACGGGAGGAGAGGAAGCAAAAGCGGCAGCGCGAGAACAGGCGGCTCAATCGTAGGGTGGTTTAGCAGGCGAGTATACAAATGCTTCGCTTGCCGAACGTTCTTTCACGCTTGGACGTGCTTGTCGCTAATTGTGATCATCAACCGAACGACTTCTCAGCCGACAGTGATTTGGTTGCCTGCGTCATGTCGGAGGCGGCACGTGAATCTGGTACCTTGAACCACCCTCACTTCACAGTCTTTAGCCGAGTACTGTGTTAGCTCCCCAAGGGCCTCTAAATCATTGAACCTTCACGACAATAGCTGCACACCATCCCATTGACAGTAACATTGGATCTGCAGCTTCCTTAGCCACGATACGACTACCGTCCGCTGCTGTCTGGAGGAATGCCGCTAAAAGTACTTTACTGACTGTACCAGAGCAGTGAGCCTCTGGTTGTCCGTACCTGGTGGAACAGGCAGCCATCTTGAACGAGCAGACTTCTCCTACGGGCGATACGATCAAGATCGAGATGGATGTCCGGCATCCAATTTCGCGTTATCACTCACATCACGGCTTCAATGCCAAACTGGCCGCAGCTGAGGGCAACCGCCATCTGCGTGCTAGCCAGCAGAAGATGGTCCGCTATCTTGCCCTGGCGCTGGCTCTCTCAATTATCTCGCTGGTCCTCTCAGTGGCACTTACGGCACACTACGGAATTGCCATTCAGTATCAGGGCTCGGACCATCTTCTCGTTGCATGGATCACAGTTTCTGCCGCACTGGTTTGGTTCGCAGGGCTGATGCTTTTCTACAGCATAAGGCGGCAATCGAAAGTCAGAAGCCTGATAGCGGCTGTAGCGGAGCGTGAAAACGAGCAGGAGTTGCAACCTAGGCGTCCGAGGACCAACTCCATGGTCGATGCTGATGGTATGCTCCATCGAGTTCGGGCGAAGGGAAGCATGTACTAACCAGCTTTGATCAGGTACCACCGCACCTTCGCTTGAGCGCCTGTCCTTCGCCATTGGCTCACCGTTCCGTACGCAACTTGATCTTTGAGACCCGCCTAGCTTGTAAAACAATGCTGACATTCTGTCTGCCCATGCCAGCAATCGCACATATAAACGCTCGGGGCCGCAACGTGAGCCAAGAGGCTACATATGGTTCTGCGCCTGCACCAGCAGTTCCTCAACAACTACCTTCACCATACCGGGGCAGCCAGGGATCCTACGCCACTTCGCCAAAATCATCCATTAGTGGACTCACAACCCTCTTCACCGCGCACATCATCCCAGACTCTCCGCTGCAACACCCTGAGCCCCTTGCCAGCGCCCCTGTCAGATCTCCACCCTTCTCCCAGGTAGCTTCGCCACGGATCCCGCCACCAGCCTTCACCCGCCACCGCAACGAACATATTCGTCTCTCATATGACAGCTCACACTATTCGCCAAAGTCCCGTGCGAGTCTGAGCAGCATCACCGAGATCACAGAACGCATGGCCGAAGATCCCTTCAGCGGTCCCAACGAGCTGCGTTCGGTCTCGAAGATCGATCTCACAGACTGGCAGAGGGTGTCAGTGAAGGCGGTGGAGGTTGATGTGGTTAAGCCGGTGCAGCCTATGGTGCAGGTTATGCGGGATGATGGTGTTAAGATGTTGAGGGATGCTAGTTTCAGGAGGGTTGGCCAGGCTATGTAAGGTGGCAAGGGCTAGTCGCGGGCAGCGGTGAGTGAAGTCATCCATGCAGAGGATGACAGTAATAGTAATAATGATGGATACACGAAATCGCTGGGTTAGAATGGCGATTCGATATCCGGTAGCATGGTGACCTGACGCTGGTATGCGATGAAGTCGCTTGGGTTACTGTAAAAGCATGCTTGCGATGGGCAATAGACTGAGAGCGATATGCGGCAAGAGCACAGCAGTCATGGCATGGATAGCGAGACACAAACAGTGCGTATCCTACACTACCAGTCATCCCTTCTTAGCGCTCACAGCCTGACGAAGATGTCTTATTGTTCTACCGGCGCACCGCCACCAGCAACGGCATGCCCTGCTCTCCCCATCCGCTCAATGTTGCTCAGCAACCTACTTTTGCCAGCACCGCCACTGACACTGCGATTCAGAGCTGCCGGCCCGCCGATCCTGCTTGCACCGCTACCAGCAGCAGCACCTGGTGCTCGAAGTCCGGAAGGCCGACTGATACTCTTGCGGAAATCCTCCACCACGCTCATTGCGCTGCCAGCAGCTGCTGCACCCGAATCGGCTTGGAGCGTGAGCATCTCGTCCACGGCGGCGACGAGGTCGCCCTTCTCGATGCGCTCTTGCTGTAGCTCGCGTTGAAGCTGATCCTGCTGCTGGTGGGATATCCGGAGCTCGGTCTGTAAGCGGATGAGACTGGCTTTCTGCTCTTCCAGCGCCGCTTTGAGTTCCGCGTCGCGCCCTACACCCGAGATCGTGGTTGACGAAGCGGCCACTCTCGCGTTGAGCAACTCCTCGTTCTGCCGTTCCGCTTCCGCCAGGCGCATCTGAAGATCACCGCACTTCTTCTCCGACCTAGCTTCATAGCTCTTCTTCAGCGTTGCCACCTTGCGCTCATGCTTCTCCTTGTACACCGCGTGTAACTCGCGGCTGACCGCCTCGATCTTCGCATCTATCTGCGCAGCCACAAGCCGCTGGACTCGCTCCTCGACTACGCCGGCATCGCCGTCCCCAGCATCACCACACGCGCTTAGCGCCTCCGCAAACCTCTCTTCCGCCCTCACAGCTCTGGCCTCCATCGTCTCCACCCGCTTGTCGCCATCCTCGACCTTACGCACGAGCTCCTCGCGCTCAGATTCAACTCTCAATACCTCTTCTTTCACGCTTTTCAGCACATTCTCCACCTCCAGCCCTCGCCTCTCCCAGCCCGCCTTCTCCTCCTCCACCTGCTCGCGCCGACACTTCTCCTCCCGCATCGTCTCTTGTGCTTCGCCAACGCGTCTCTCGGCATCACTGATTGCGCGCTTGAGGCTCTCGACTTCGGCTTCACGACCGCTAAGCGTAGCTTTCAGGCTGCTAATCTGCGAGAGGTAGGATGACTTCAGGCTCTCGAGCTCGCGGACTGTGATCGTCGGAATGGAGCGTGGTGTGGGTGCAGGAGGCAATTCGAAGTCGAGAAGGTTCAATATGCTGCTCGGTTTGCTTGGCGTAGCGTAGCTGCTAGGCCGGGATGGCTTGTGAGGCGAGCGCTGGTTATTGATGTACTGGAGAAGGTTGGACTCGGTGGCGGACTTAGCTGCCGACGAAGGGCGGTAGCTATTGACCGACTCCATCTGTTGTGTGAAGTCGATCAGGAAGCTGGTCGTGCCGTCTTGGTTGAGGGTACCGGGCGTCTTCTGTCGGCGTGGCGTCGGAGATGGTGATCGCGACGGAGATGGTCGCTTGCGGCTTGACCTTGGCGTGGTTGCTCCGTGTCTGTTAGGGACGTGCCCGATGTCGCCTTGTTTGGTCGGACTCTGCCCGAGTCTGGCAAAGACCGTCATTTCTGGGATCTGTGAGAAAGTGCTAAAGCAGGTGTCATCGATGTTGGCATCCTCATTGTCCTGAATGTGCTCGTTGATGAGGTTCTGCTTGCTCTGCGAGTGCTCTGGAACAGGAGGGGGTGTTGAGCGACTGTACGAATCCGCACGGCTCAGCGGACGAGGTGTGTTGACAGCGCTTCGTATGCTCTTTATTGGCGACCTCTTAGGCGTATGCTTCCGGGTGGACGGCGGTGGCATCAGATCTGAATCAGTGCTGGTTGTTCGCGGCATTGCAGGCCTCGGCTCCGGAGTGGCAGGCTTGAGCGCTTCGCATTGCGGTGATGATGGCTTTTGTGGTGAAGCAAAGACCCTCTTCAAGGTTGCCGTGGGCTCGTCGGGTTGTATATTCTCCTTGTCGTACACAGGCTCGCCGTCGGCATATAGATCTACACCTCTATCGGGAGACGTAAGTACAAGCTCTTCTGCAATGCTGTCGACCGTCGTTGGCTGCCATTGCTTGCTTGGGCTTCTGCTCTGACTGTCAACCTCCGTCACGAACGGCGAGCTCGGCGGTCCGTCAATGTCGAGTATGCTGAATTCAGCCTCCATCGCCACAAGTCTACAAATGCTACGGGTTGGTTGCTTAATGTCTGCGTGGAATCACATCTATGGTGTAAAGCAAGTGGTGTTTTGACATGCACACAAACAAGCGTTGCTATAGCGGAACAGTCGGCCCGTCTAGCGGAGTTTGCGGCCGCGGCTACACTCATCCTATGCTATACGCGCACAGAAACATGCGTCTCCCCGCCTCAAGGCAGCGCCATCCAACCATGCGAGTCAACATATCGCGCACTACTAACGGAGTATGGCCAGCTTTTGTATCGATCCTCTGTGCGGCGAACATAACAGTCCTGCACCTGACTCTACGCGGCCGCAGTAGATGCCTTTGGCGCGGCACCCGTCCACCGGAGCTATGCGGACAAGCTCATACGAGCCAGACTCCCTAGAGTCACTCCAAGATGTGATTAGATGGATTGATTCACAGTAAGCTCCACATCAGTGCCGCGGCATCAGGAGCGTCAGACCCTCGTTTTGAGAGCGATGGGCAAGTCGATAATGGCATTTCGAGGAGTTTGTAGCAGTCGCGTAATATGGTCATGTCACCCACATGCCAGATTGCCATTAGCAATGCCCTGTACTTGTTGGTGCTCCTCTTATCTCGTTGTTGAACACGAAGCTTGTTGACCATTGCGCAACGAATATGAGCGTAACGCATTCTATGCTGACGCCTGCATTATATCGCCCACAGTAGTCTTGGTTGACCAGTTTTCATTTGTGTTAGTAGCAAAGGTAGCTTCATCGTGTTTAGGGCAGCCGTCATCTTCATTTTAGATTGGGGCGAATACTGACGCGAGACCCATACTCAACATCCTCCTCCAGACACTTGACCCTTCGCGTCTTGCACTGACGAAGATGGCGCAGCCAAGGAGGTAAGGGAGTCTCAAGTCAAGCCCACCAGGAGAAGTATACGTGCTCGGCAGAACATCGGGGACATATCCAGGACCATAACAGTCACTTATCGCGCCGCAGCTCTTTCAGGGAAGTAGCTTACCAAATCATCGTCTGGCGTACCGTGCTTCGGCAGGTTCGTCACTAAGGCCGTAGTGGCCCGACTTCCCTTTTGCCGTTGCATTGTTCGAAGCTGCACCGTCCACGATGGCAATCTTACGATGGCAATACCTTTTGATCTTTCTGGCCTACTTCTCCATTACCCATGCGGCCAGTAAGCAGCGCCAGAATCTCCGCTCACCCTCGATACTGACAACATCTAGCCCCCACATCCTTCTGCAAGTGTACCTGTTACAGCAATAGCACCATCATCCCGCTGGACGATACCAAGCCGGGCGCAGACGGTACCGCGGCAATTGGTCGGACCTGCAATGACTGCAACAAGCAGTTCTGCCTGGATTACCACCTTCCTATCTGCCAAGGAGCTACCGAGGACGACGTCTTCACTACATGCTTTCAGCGCGACAGCAGGAAGGACGAAGCTGTCGTCTTCATCTTCATCTTCGCCACGGGCGGACTGCTCATCTGGGCCGCAATCAAGCCTTGGGTAGAGAAGTGGAGAGAGAACGCCGGAGCGGGCGGAAGCACAAGATACGCTCCCGTTGGAAGCGACGAGAGAGGTACTGGACGGTAATACGATCTTCACTATCTTCGTTCAAACGACCTGATCACCTAACTATTACCCTTCGCGAGTTCATGTGGTGTGTGTCGCATACAGCATATGCGGGTGCTGTCCTTCAAACGCGCATCCAACGCCGAATGCTACTCAAGCTTATCAAACCAATCGACATCTCAAAGTAGGATCCATGCTACCGCAAAGCACAGCAGGAACGCCACCGCTGCGCCCACCATGCTCTCCGCACTAGGCATCTTCACATTACCCGCAGCTCCTGAGCCTAGGCCATGGCCGATACTGCTGGTCGCCGCTGCCGTGAAACCTCCAAGAAAGCTGTTCGTGCTACCTCGCGGCGGTACAGCGGTGGCGCTTGGTCTGATCTCATTGGTGGTACTCTTCGACGTAGGCAGCTCGCTAGGGAGAGTCTTCGACGTGACGGACACGCTGGAGGTCATTTTCGAGGCTATCACGCTCATGCTGAATGTCGAGATGTCAAGATGAGGCTCCGTGTAAATGGAAGTGTTATTGATCATTGGGTTCAGCTCGGTGGTGTTGGTGATGACAAGAGTCTGCGTGGGATTGAGCGGATTCGTCACCGTGGAAAGAAAAACCGTGCTCGTGGAGGCGGCGTCAGAGGCTGAGGAGACGCTCTGAGTCGACTCGGTTACTGGCGGAGGCGGCGCGTACGTGACGAACGCCTGGACGCATGCGATGGTACCGCTGGCGCTGGTGCACGCCGACACTGGATATTCCGCCATCAAGGTAGAACTCTCGGTCACGACCGTAGTGACATAAACGACGCTTACTACTTCGGTTGCGGTCGAGGATGTTGAGGACTGGTCATTCTGACGGCGGAGGAGGTCACGTCTTAATGGGATTTCCGGCTCGAACGCAAGCTCATGGCCGGTTGTGTATGGCTGCAGTTTCATACCAAGCAGCAGATCGACTACTTGTTGCCAGCCTTGGGAAAGCTCCGACGCTGCGTCCTCCATGTAGTCGAGTGGCGTGTCTAAAGTCGCAGCAAGATTGCCAGAGTCGGAAGCTGGAAGACCACCAAGAGCAGCCGGCGACATAGTGCTCGCTTCCGAAAGCACGATCCGCTCAACCAGGCACAGCTGGACGATATTGCACTCGTCACAAGTGCATGCTGGCGTATAGCGATAGATCTCGGCCCCCTGAACATCGACAAAATGGCAGAACAGGTCGGAGCCCTCAAACGTCAAAACACCACCGCAGACCGCCCACGCACCAGCTCCCTTTCCGGTGGTTGGGATGTCGTCGCTGAACATCAACTGATTGTTTACGGCGATGTAACCGACCTTGTCGTCCTGGTCGTACAAAATGCCGTTGGAAATGTGGACAAGATTGGCGCTGAGTGTTGTGTGAACGGTCGGCTTGACCAACCGATGTTCGCCTTGGCCTACAGGCAGTATAGCCATCGCGAACGAGCTTGGTTCGGTGTAGACGCAGCCCAACTCCGGATAAAGCGGCCTGACGGTCTCAGTGGCAGGCAGCCTGCCATTACCTGCCGGTACCGAAACGAGCGCCGAAGCAGAAGCGACCGAGGAGCTTAACCAAGGCGAGACTGAAGCAGACTCAGCCATGATCAGATCTCTCGCTCCGAGACGTCCGGCGCCGAAGGTCGACACCAGAGTCTCGGAGCCGTGAACACTCGTCACTTCAGTGGAGTCATCTTCGCGGGAGTTGAAGCAAGAAACATAGCCCGGAAAGCTCACAACGCAGCTTGGCGGTAGGACGCAAATACCTTTACTGGCACAGTACGGACCCTCGGCCATGGGCTCAGCGGGGACTGCGTTGGTAATGACTCTCTGCGACAGGACATCATACATTGTCTGCGTGATCTTGGCGGTGTTGGTCGTGGAGGCTGAGCGCAACTCAATAATACCGTTGAACCAAGTTCCTGTGGTGTATCCGATAGTCTCGGTCCAGCGGGACTTGGTGATTGGGGCGTTGGCATCATGTGTTCGTGTTGTAGTGCCGAACAAGGAGGATGTGACTGCGCTGGTCGTGGCAGACTTTAGCGATCCGTCGCTCGTCACTTGGCTGCCCAAGACGGTGGAGGCGGCTAGCGCAGTAGCGACCAGCGCGGCGCGCATCGTGCTGCGCTTTGTCTCTTTGTTTACGACCTTCGAGGTGTTTGCCGTTACTCAGTCAGCGAGAGCCCCGGGTGTCACAGCTGCTAGCGACAGTGTAACCTTGCACGAGTCACAGGAATGATGCGGAAGCGAGAGTGGTCCATCAAATGTGGGTGTTGCATCAATGACACGGTGAATGCGGTTGTTGATGCTGAAGTCGCGATTGTTTGGCGGAGGGTCCAAGCTTGGCCAACTTTATCTGAATGGGGAAAGCACGAAGCAGATGTGGAAATCAACAATGCGTTTAGGACTACGCCGAAGTCAATGCATTCATGGTACTAATCGTCTCGCATAGCAATCATAGAAGCCGCAGGGTGAAATGCCGCCAGTTCTAGCCCTTAGCATCCGTCGCCGCCCACTCCGGTTCCCACTGACAGTGATACGCTCACAATCGCTGCCAGTCTCTGCCGTTCTCTGCCGTGATTTGGCGTGATACCTTCTTACACCTTCGTGGTCTCCGCCTTCTCATGCGCAGTCTCCTTGCTCGCCGACGTCTCGTCCGGGTTCTTCGCACAAGTGGTGCAAGCGCATTTGCCCGGTTCACAGGGACACACGCCCTCTGCACCACCGCAGTTGCACTTCGTGCGGTTACCCTCCACGTTGTGCATGTTCATGCTCTCTGGGTTCTTGCCCGACTTCAGCGAAGCCAGGTGCTTCGCCTCATTATGCACGTCCAACACCTGCTTCTGGCCCTGGTCGTAAAATGAACGCAGCTTCTGGCCGGTGGGCGTGTTGGTAGCCTTCTCGAAGTAGGAGTTCAGGCCACGCCAGTACGAGTTCGCGGTGGCGGTGATGCCGTACTTCTGGTCCACAGCCGCTGCACGGTCAGTCGCCTTGTACTTCTGGTCGAATTGTGACAGGGCAGTGCTAAAGCGTTGGCTGATGCCATGCTGTTGGTCCATCGCCAGGGCACGCTGGATCACGGAGTCAGAAAGCACGTAGCCGTGGGCGAGGTACTCGGCAGCGATGCGCGAACGCGGCTTGTCCTCCTGGGCGATGTCATCATGACTCTCGTCGCTAGAAGCGCCTGCGGTCCTACCACCGGCGATCTGGTCGAGCGAAGCGGCCGAGGAGACGTGGACCTGAGCTGGCCCGAGCTGGGTGTTGTCGAGGAGAAGGGCGGTCTTAGCGGCGGTCTCCTTCTCGAAGGTCACGGTCGCGGATTGGTTGGCGCCTTGCTCGCCATGCTCGGGGGTGACGGAGAGGGATTGGATCTTGCCGCTGTTGAGCCCAGTTAGTAGGTCCTAGCAGGGCTTCTCCACCAAGGTAGGTTTATGCTTACCAAAAGCTGAAGAAGTCACGGACTTCCTTCTCACTCGTCTGCGAGCTGATGCCCTTCACGTGGACAGTGGAGTTCGACATGCTGCTTGTTGTTTGACTTTGTGTTGGCTATAGTATCTTGTTTCGTTGCGAGGAAGCGTTGGTATAACGAGATTTATGTGATGCGGTAATTCTGCGTTTTCGCATTCACAAGATGCAGCTGTCGCAGACACGACGCAAGGGTTGTGTTTGCCGACGTCACTGTGGCTGTGGCGGGGCAGGTGCGCCACGAGGCCCCTTGGCCAGGCCTTCATGTATGCGTAGAGCTTCAAGTCTGCCCGTGCATCACTGCTGTCCTTTTCACTGTCTACAAGCTCACAAGACACAGCGTTCAGTCAGACATTTTGAACGGGACCGAGGGGCTATGGCGTCGAGCCATCGCCCGTTACACGCGCAGGCTCTGAGCTAGGCGTGTTGACGCCATATAAAACGCTCATCTATCATCATCTCCTGCCACGAGCTTGACGGTACGTTGGGTAGATACCGCCATAGGCCTCGTAATACCATATACGAGGGACATGGCCAGTGAGAAGGCTCGATACATGCTGCTGCACTCGCTGCGGCAAAGTATCCAGCAAGACTGTGCTTCAGCAAGACGAAAGAGAGCAGTCATACGTGTCTTTGTCAAACTGGAACGTCCGAGCCAGCATTCTTCGAGTAGTCACATTCGGCTCATGGCTCGAGAGTGGGTAGAGAGAGAACCCTATCAGGTAGTATTGCTTCTTGGCGCATGTGGTATCATTAATGCTGCATTAACCGCCCCCAGATCCCCATCCCTATCTCCATATCATGGTTAGCTTGCTTCGATCAAAGCCAAAGATATAGCAGCTCGTTTCCATGAACGAAGCAGCGTACGCGTGTTCCAGCTGATTTGACCGGATACAGCGCTAAGTGGTTCACCTCTTCAGAAGAACATCTACCTTCAGCTGCCGTGATACTCCGGCTCGGATGACTCTCCAGCGTGGATGGATCCGCCTCAATTACACACTCACACCAGCAAGCCGATCGCGCCGGCGATCGCGCACGACAGCATGCATAGCGCGCGACCTATCCTGGTTGTCAGCTTCTGAGCTATCGAAGAATCGGATATGGCCACCAACCGATGTTAAACGCCTTCCAAGTCTTCTGCTGTGCGCGCAGCTCCTTGTGGCTCTTCTCGTCATCCTGATCCCTCTCCAGATTCATCGACATCTTCTTCATCACCGTATTGATGGGCGCCATGATGCCAAGCGCATACGCAGTGGTGGCGACACCAAAAGCGGTGGCCGCGCCCACGTACGGCAGCTTCATGGCAGCTTCTCGGCTCGTCTTTCGATTGAGATAGCAGGTGACGGTCAAGACCAGGTTCGCGAGCGTGTAAGTTGCATTCAGGCGTGGGAAGAAGATCTCGCTGGCGTGGAGCAGCCACCGCAACTGCTTGCCCTGGAGACCACTCGGCACTTCTTCCATTTCGAGCATCGGCATCGTCAGTGGAGTTTGCAAGCCGGAAGCGCCTACAGGCGTAAGTACGATAATGAGACGCCGACGCTGTTGGGCCTACCGAAGTTGGTTGCAGCCGTCACTACCGCGAACACCTGCAGCGGTGTCATCCACCATAGTTGTCCAGTCGACGCCATTCCGTTTGGAAGCCTTGCGCTCAAAGTGGTGGGTACCGCGGAACGTCAGCAGGACGATGTACTCGCAACGATGCAGACAGGGATGCAGCGCAAATGCAATCAAGGCAGGAAGCGAGGGAAGTCGACCTGAGTTCGGGTGACACGCGGGTAGGGCAAGAAAGCAGAAACGGGGTTAGAAGGATGGAGAGAGTACAGGGTAGAGTACCTATGCAGAAGCCTGCAGGCTCCTGCTCCGCATTGTGCGCTCACGATAGATAGCCCTCAAACTGGTTGTCGCAACCTGGGCGACTCGGTCGTCGTAATCGGCACTCTAACGCAAGCCATGTCAGCCGTTGCAGCTTCTACGATGATGTTTGGCTCCACATGTGTCGTGGATACTGCTGCCGCTTGTGCCGATTTGCCTCAATGCAGTAGATGGCGGGGTTCGTCGAACAAAGAACTCAACCGATGGCACCGGGGGATGCAGTGTGACCAGGACAGGTCGGTGCTCACGCAGGGCGATTAAATGTATGGCGGTGTAACTCAGCGAGGTACTTCAGTTACCGAAGGGTATTCCTCTTCAGTCGTGACAAGCATTGTGCCAAGAGCACGCTGTGAGCTTCTCTTTCCTTCGCGCTATAGCTCTGTTGCGATAGAACCAATCGGAAGACGGAGAGTATCTTAGGCTCTTTGCATTTGCTGCAAGCGAGTCAGTAGCGTTGTTGGAAGTGGAGGGTACATAGGCTAGCCCATCAGCGCCAAGACTGATTGGGTGACCAACGAGGACTTGATCTACGAAAGCACAAGATCTTATCATCAATAGATGCCGAGAACCGATCAGATGGGACCACGTTGTTTGGCAGCCAACGGCGCGGGTTCGCCATCGTCCCGCTAGCCAATCTTCCTCCCTTGTGATTTGTCTCCTCTATGCCACTGACAAGACAATTGAGAAGCCATGGAGTGAAGCTGCGGACATTATCCTTCATTGCTAAAGTGACAGACAAAAGTGTTGGTATGCGATACATTGTTTCTGACCTCTGTCGCACCTTGCAGGAAAGCCTCACGGAGGAGCTAAAATCAGCCGAAATGTGCGAATACCCTACAACGGCCTTCCAAGCGCACCTTGAGACGACACTCTAGATGGATGACCATGGCCTTGCAAGGCATTCAATACTAGCTCCAGCAGCATAAAGGTTTTAAGCCGTGAGAGCTCGAGTCCATTCATCTGGACATGACATGCATGTGAGAATACCACATAGTGCCACAACTCACTGATCGTTCATACATCTCGTCCAGATATAGATTTACAGTATTTCGAACGCCCGTACACCCGCTAATTCCAACACTGCAAGTCGCTTGCACGCGAAAGTTCAAAGTTCACCTAACAACAGATATACTCCCCCTCGGCGCCGCGCTCGGCCCCGCCTTGGTCGGATGCTCCCTCAAATCCACCCCCGGCTGCGGGCCAAACACCCTCCTCATCTCCTTACACACCCTCAAATAATGCTCCCGAACTCCAGGAGTAGGCTTCCACGGATTCGGCGCCTTGTCCCAGCCATGCGGCACGCCCTCGATCAAATGATAGTTGACATGTTTGTTCAACGGTTCACTCGTCAAGCGTTTCCGGAACGCCTCGCCCTCGTCGAGTAGCATGTCCCACTCGCACGTATTCATTATGATTTCGTCGGGTAGGGCGTTTTTGAGTAGTGCGGTGGGCGCTACGCCCGGGCTGAGGTAGGGGGAGTCGAGTTCGATGGTGTGAGGGGGGTGCAGGTAGGATTCGTCGAAGAGGTCGGTGAAGAGGGCGGGGAGTTCTTGGTCCTTGCGGAGGGTGGTTGCGCGGCGCTGTTCGCGGGTGCGGGTGTAATCTAGGGAGGGGTACCAGGGGATTATGGCGCGGATGTGGACGTCGGGGATGTCGCGGGATTTGGTGACGGTGGTGTTGGGTTTCTTGGCTGGAGTGGGTGTTACGGTTGGCGGTGGCGAGTCGGCTGGGTCGAGGACTTCGATGTTGCCGTTGTCTGGTGCGACTTGTGTAGTACTGCTCGAGGCAGATGGCTGGACGTGTCTTTTGGATCGTTGGCCTTGCTGGGGAGTGGATTCTGTGGGATTGGCTTCCGGCTCGTCGCGGAGAAAGCCCGTCTGCTCGTCGTACAACCTGAGGGGTACAGTGAAAGCCATATTGCCACCAGAAGAAAAACCGGAGATGGCAATCTTCTCCCGGTCAATGCCGAGTTCTGCTGCGTGCTCATGCATCCATAGAACAGCATCCACGCCGTCTTCGACAGCAGTCGGAAATGGGCACTCGGGCGCCAGACGGTAGTCGACGCTCACCACCACCGCATTGCACTCATCCACAACTGTGCCGCACCATCTCGCATCGTCCGTCGCAGTGCCAAGCGTGAAGCCTCCGCCGTGGAAGTTGATGACCACCGCGTAACCACCCCACCTCCGCCCACTCATGCTTCGTCGCCGGATGTGCTGGTTGACGGTGCTCAACGCCATGCTGACCCTCCTCTTCGACTTGGTCGTGAGATCCTCTTCATCCTGCTCCTCGATCTCGTCCCGGAACTTTGGCTTGTCCATCCACAGCTGCTTCTGCGTCGCGTAGTCTCTCGGCACGTAGAAGTACAGCGTCACTGTGCCCTTTGTGCCGGAAATGGTTGTTGGTATTTGCCGGGTGAAGCTCGGTTTCGGTGGTCGTGGCGGCGCGAGTTTGTGAAATAGCATGCCCAGGCCCATCAGGAAGCGCCACATGGTTGCTTGCAGATGCAGCACCCATCGCGGTCGTGGTGCTTGAGCTTTCTGCTTCGCCGTTCGACTTTCTGGTGATTCCATGTTGTGTACAGATAGTAGAATATCGTTCCTGTCGCTGCTACCAGCGTTGCCGGCGTTGTGGGCCATTGTGGTGTGCCTTTCCAGGCGGAGCTTCCACGGGTTGATCAATGACTGGTTGCCCGTCTGTTGGATCGTTGCTTCGAGAGGGTGTCGAAGACCAGAGATCGGAGCCTGAGGTAATCGAGTCGAGTATGAACAGAAGGTTTACAATAACAACAACAACAGTCTGGGTTATGATTGCTATAGACTGCTATCTCGACGTATCCACTCCGCCGCAGCGATGTCTCAAGCCCCACGTGCTTGTCTCACCATTGAAAGACGGACAATGCACGATGACGATCAACAACGTGGCTGACGCATGCAGCCGAGCTTCCGAAGCCTCGTGGTCCGCAGGGTGAGTAGGTTAGTATCAATGTGCATATTGAGTATATACCAGGCGTGCTTCTTTGGTAACCATAGGTGGTTACAAGACGCCACGCTGGGAACAAGAGTCCCCGGCGGATGTAAGGTATGCTTTCTTACAGGAACCCAATCCAACTAAACCACTATACAACACCCTACACTTTCCCCTACCATCAATGCAGCACGCTCCAACAACAGCCATTAGTCCGTCCAAACTTCCTACACCCGCGTATCCTCGAAATCGAACCCCCCGCGCTCAAAGGACAAATCCCCGATTACCGGAGGAGCGCCAAACTTAGTCACCGGCGCTTCCTTCTCCGTCGCCGCCGACTCAGCCTTTAACAACTCCTTACTCCTCTTCCGATCCATGATCCCACCACCACCCACCGGCGTCGTGCTCCTCGCCGGATCCTTGACCGGAATCTGCGGCGGAGTCTGCTGCCGCAACGCCATCGGCCTCCGCGCCACCACCGTCGGGATGACCACATTCGCGTTGGGCGGCAGGTCGATGGGCGTCATGGCGCGGTTGGCGACTTCCTCCGCGTGTGACAGTTTCGGCGACGGCGTCCTTGATGCATGCGCCACGGCGGGCATGTGCGGTGGTTGGGTGTATTCCGCCGCTCCGAACCCAGCACTCGGGTCGTAGACGGTATGTCGTAGCTTGAACGGCGCGGCTTTGGTCGCATCTGTCGCTTCGCCTGGCTTCGTCAACGCCGTCATGTCTGGTGATGCTTTTTCGGATGGACTTGTTGAGCTGGCACCTGTTGGCGAGACGCCTGCTCTTGGGTCGTAGACTGGGTTGCGGATCTTGAATGGAACGGGTTTGTCGTTGTCGATGGGTGTTACGGGTGACCCATCAACGCCGTCCACGGCGCCGTCGGTATTGGGTGGTGTGGTGAATAGGCCATCGGGCTGTGTGCGTAGCTTAAGCTTGGACGTTTTGGACGAATGTCCTTGCTCTTCCGGCGCGATGGGTGACGGCGGAGTTTCATCCGTAGAAGTACTGGGTGGCACTGTGTTCTCAGGCAAGGCCGCCGCAAGAGGTGAAGGGACCGTCATGGGCTTCTTCGCTTTCCGGCCCGGGAATGGTTGCAGCGGCATACCATCCGCCCCGATCTTGCCCAATACAGACGACCTGTTATCGAACACCGCGCCGTGGCTTCGGAAAGAAGGCGCGACAGGTGAAATAGTGGCCGGCTCTTCGACTGGACTTATCTCCTCTTCCGCCTGAGCTATGCGCACGCCAGGGAAGCCTGCCGCGGGCCCATATATCGTCGGCGTGATGGCAGACACGGGCTCCGCCTCCTTCTCCTGTGGCTCAAGCTCATTGGGCATGGCGTGCTCGTTCGCTGGTGTCGGCATTTCCACAGGCGCTATGCTCGACCCTTCGCCATTCATCGACACTTGCGACGACGGCATCCGAGTCTCATTGCTATCCAAGGTGGCAACGCTGGGATTACTGTGACCCGTCTGCTTCAGCTTAAAAGGATATGCGCTGATATTGTTGTGTGGCCGACTTCCGCCTGGCTCGAGATACGTGTTCTGGCTTCCTGGAACTTGCAAACTCTGTGGCGCCAGCGAGCCCGTGGTAGGGATATTGCCGTTCATCGATCTGTCCGTCGGTATTAGCCCGTCGTCGGACATGAAACTGCCTGACCGGATACTAGGTGAGATGCGGGGCCCAGCTTGTCCAGTATCAGTGACTTGTCGGTAAGGGCTCCGCGGCCTCTCCCGCGCAACCTCCCGTTGCGACCGGGCATTAGAGAACACACTCGTAGTACTGGTCCGTCGCTGCTTCCTCAACACCTTCTCCTTCGCCGTTCCGTCTGGGTCTCCGCCTGGTTGGTCACCTCCCGTTAATGCAGTCTCAGCCTTCGCATCCGGTAGCGCCGAAGTCCTCGCTCGCGACTCAGCCTCCTTCTCCATCTTCTCCTCCCGTTCCAGCGTGCTCTCATCGTGGGAGCTACCCCAGCCACTCCACATCGCGAGACCCCAGCTCCGCCCACGCTTCTTCTCCTCCGGCACAATACCCTTCCGCCTTCTACGCACCAGAGCCGTCAGTGGAGGCGACTCGCCAGGGATCTCATCATATCCTAACGCGACCTCTTTGGCGCGCTTCTTCTGCAATTTCTTCTCCTCATTAGCGTACCGAGTGTGATTCTCGGTCTTCTTAGCGAGCCATTTACGGACTGGACCAGGTTTGATGGCACCGATAGTTGCTGGATCCAAGGCGAGACATGCAATCTCGGCCTGTGGCACCATTGGGTAGATGACACCGTGGCGAGTGACCCGCTGCCGGATCATGTGATCCCTGAAGGGCGGAATAGGATCGCCCGCGTGGCCTACGGCACCTACCTCTTTGCCTGGATCGTCAACCGGACTAGCTTTCGTCTTCGTCTTCTTCCGCTTCAGCTTGTTAGCAGAGTCCTTCGTATCCTCGCCGTCATCTTCAGGCCCGGAAGAGATGACGGAGATGGCATCGTCGTCCTGTATATCAATGCCTTTCTGCTGCGCATGCGCCAAGGCCCATGCGCCAAACTGCGCAACGGAACGGTACATGTACTTTGCGGGCCGCGTGAAGGACAGCGTATGCGGCACGTGGCACAGGTCTTCCCACACCTGCAACTGCACGTCTGTGGGCGGATAGCGGTTCAGGATTTCTCGTCTAGGGTCATACTCGTCCAGCACGGCGTCTGCGGGAGGGAAAGCCTTGGGATTTGCGGCTTTGTGCGCAAGGTAGATCTGTTCGTCGCGAACCAGTTCTGCGCCGCCAACTTGTATCAGCATTGGTGGGAGGCCGCCAAGCGAAGGCTGCTGGACCGGTGAGACGAGTGGGTGCGTGAGCAGATCGTTAGGCGCATAGAGCTGGATCTGTTCCTTTATCTCGACAACTTTGCCATCCACTGCAAGAGTCAAGCTTTCACCGAAGCCTGGCAACGGGTTGTCGAGCGAGCTCTTCTTTTTCGGCATCGATTCGGCGTCCTCGTCGTTAGGCCTGTTGTTGATGCTCTTCAGACCAAGCCCTGCCGTTGCCGGTAGCTCCACCGCACCTTCATGTCGCTCATTCCACTTCTCCTTCAGACCTTGTAGCCGCTTGTCCGAGTCTATCGGCGGCGGAGGCCAGGCCATTGATGGTAGATGGTGAAAGCCATGCGGTGGGATGTAATCGCCGGCACCATCTCCGGCGCATGACGGGAACGAATGTGTCAAGTCAACCCACGGACTAAGCAGTACCGTGCCTGCTGGTAACGCACAGCCTTGGTCTCGCAGAACGACCAGCAAGCTCACCACCATTGCAGCTCCGGCAGAGTCGCCCATGATCAGTATCTGCTGAGGTCGGAAGTGTTCGAGCAGATAGAAGTACGTTGCAATGCAGTCCATCAGCCCGCAAGGGAACGGAAACTGCGGTGCCACCCTATACCTCGGTGCGAGCACTCTGGCCTTTAACTTCCGCGCATGCCGCTGCATCTGGTAGCGATGCTCGTCCACTGAGCCAAAGTAATACGCTCCGCCGTGCACATACAGTATGCATCTGTCACACTTCGTCCCTGCCCGCTTGCGCTCATTGAAGTCCTTCTTCATCTCGATCCACTCCGCTTTGAGCGGACTCTCCGGCCGTCGCCATTGCCACCACGTACCGCCACCGACCTTCTCGATGCCATTGGGACCGAGCTGTGACCGTATCACCCTTGCTGCTCGTTCCAGAAACTGCGGCGCGATCTCGTTGTTGTACGTCCGCACCCAGGTTGGTGCGGGCACCCATTGTGAGGTGAACTGTTGTAGGTCCTCGACTGTATGCTTGGAGGAATAGTCCAGAAACTCCCGGATGAGGCGCAGGCCCTCGTGGTAAGATATATGCGCGGTCGGCTTCTGCTTGAGCGGTGCGCGGTTGAGGTAGTGGGAGAAGTATGTTTCTATCACCGAGGGTGTGATTGCTGACACTACGCCGAGTGTGCTGAGAGGCATTCTTTGGTACCTTAATATAATATGCGTCCTTGTGTTGCGTATGCTAAATTATACTTCGCTCTCACGGTAGGCCTACTGTTCTTTCCCTATTACCCTCTGCACCATTCGCGAACTCCTGAAACCTACAACAATATATCCATTAGAAACGATACTCTATCCAGACGACACTGTAGAATGGCTGTCAAAGCGGATATCTAGCGTATGGAAGCTTCATGTTGCCCTCGGGCCACTCGTAAGGGGCTCGAACGAGATGACATCCGAAACCTAGTCACGTCAACAACCCCTGCGAGCAGATCTGGGGTACAGATGGAGTCAAAGCTTCTCAATGAAAGCTTGCGTGCGCGATTGGCTAAAACGCTTCATCAAGCCTCGACCATGTGGCTGAGTTTAGATGGCCTCCTGTTTCACGTACATGTACATTAAACGAGCCGGCGGACTCTGCTGCTACGCATACAGGCTACGACTCTGGACGTCAGCGATTGTTGCAAATATTTCGTAGTCTCTCAGTTGCGCTCGATAATGGTATTTTCAGGTCGGGACAACAGTCCCAGCTGCTCGGGCCCAGATCGAACATGGTAAGCATCTCCCGTGCTGATGTGTCGAGCGCAATGGAACTGCATGCCACAATACTGTCCGGTCTCGGACAGCCGGCAGGCAGAGTAACATGTCTCACAACAACGCGTTGCGACATGGTTGTCAATATTGTATCCTTTTTCTTTAAGGGCGCCTTGCTGCTTGTCTGCCTTTCAAATTGACCGCACGATCTCTATGAAGCTCGTCTTCCAAATGTGGATGAGCTGCTGCTCTTCATACGACTCTCGAAAACGGCAACGGGGATGCTAGTGACCGTGGGTGACAACAATGGAGCCGCGGACAATGCAGGTAACCGAACCAATAAACGAAGAAACATGGTGGCTCAGGCTGCCGAGCGGGCCTGGGATGGTGAACACGCAAGAGTTCACGCCGTGTTTTGCAGCCTTCGATCCAAAGCACCAAACCCCTTAACCATTTGCTTGACTGACTCCATGTATTTACGTGTTATGGTGCAACGACCCACGTGCACCAGCAGCGGCTGACTGGCAGCCGTGCATGTACCCACAGTGGCTTTGGCCGTCCGGTTTCGATGGCGTTTCGCATGCCTACCTGGGTCCATACGAACCGTGATCATATCAACAAACGTCTACCGCTCCGGTAAGCATTGAGCATTACCAAACGCTGAACCTCCTTCGCATTGTGCACTTCTTGCCGGCGTACTCTAGCCCTGAACCCTGGCGACGCAGGCAAGCGGTCAAGCTTCTCAGGAGGTACTGGCAACGTTAGAGCTATTCAATCGCATCTTGCACAATCTATTGCCCAGAGAGCTCGCCACTCTTATGACAGTGTGTCGCCACTCGGAGAAGACGATCTTGTCGTCAGACTTTTGTGCATTCGGACGGCTTCGTTGCAGTCGACGCATTCGATATTCGATTCTGAAATGTATGCGAAAGCTAAAGAGCTTGGCATTGTTACGCTGTCAGCTACAGGGGGGCGTAAGAAGCATGAGGATGGGCAACCGACCGCGCATTTCATGTCATGAGTGCGAGTTGGAATGGCGGGAATGCCTAAATCTGTCTCGCCTCGTTGTATGTCCGCTCGACGACTTGTGAGTGTTTATGGCTTTGGATGAGGACGATGTCAACTTGAGTCCAAAGTCTTCATGATCACGAGTATGGATGGTCAAGGCCGACGGTAGAGTAGGATGTTATGTTGATGTCTTGTTGTACGACGTACCCTTCCTAGCTAGCATCTACTTCGCTATGAGGCTATTACAGAACACCGGTTGAGGTCCGTAGAAGTGCTTCCAAACGACTTCATAAGCACCTGTAGTATCAACGCCTTCTGCTGCACCGCCAACGTCATAGCCATCATGAGTATGACCACAGCTTCCACTCTCTCCTCGATGAGTACAAAGCAGCGTCATCCAATGTTCGCCAAGCACTAGCATCGAGTAGGTTCGTCTTCATTGTGGCAAAACATGTGGCATAATAGACGTGTTGATTTCAGTGTGGTTATAGTAGAGCGGTGCGACGGATGACTTGAAGGTGGGCTCGCCATGCTTGAGTGCACAACAATTAGGACTGACTACGCATCGGTAGTCTGCCCCGTCGGTTGCCGCCACGACTGGATCCTGTTTGTCGCTTAGATTGACTGTCTGAAGTAATGCTGACCAAGCCAGATGGTGTTGGCAACGCCCTCCAGGTCGATGTCGACGTTCGTCCAGTTGGAAGGTGGTGCATGTCCGTTGTCGGCTGTGCTACATGGATCTTGGGACGATACTAGCGTTTGACGAATACGGGATCGAGCCGATCATAAGCTTCGAGACGTTCTCGAGAGTCGATGCGACAGCGTAACAAATTGTTCATAATGTTCTTATAAGAGATCGGATATGGTCGCTTCGAAGGATGGAGTACGGTCGAGGAGACGCAGGCGCCAACCTCCACGACTTGCACGGACCTGAGCAATGGCCAAGCCCATGCCACTGGCAGCGCTATTGTAATGTCAGCTGAGGTGAACGGCCTTTTGATGTTATCCACGGCCGTGAGCGCCATGATAGCATATGGTGACTGGTGCGACGGACGACAGAGAGAAAGTGTGACTCACCCAGTGATTACAACGCTTTGGGTAGTTTTGGTAGACGCTGCCATGGCACACGGCGAGCAACCTTGAGCAGGCGATGGTAGTTGAACGGACCGATCCTGTTGTGCTGTACCGGAAGCGCGAAGCACATCCATGCTGCGCCGAAGGCGCTCACACTTGCGTACACCGCAGCGCCGCGATAAAGCGTCTGGTTCATGTTGACTTGGAGTAGTGTTTGAGTGGTATCGATAACTGAGTAGTTGATCTTAATCGAGCTGTTCGCACGTGCAGGATATGGCGGATATGGCGGGTATGGCAGAGTAGAGAGGGTCAGCCCAGTTGGCAGCTAGCTTCGCAGGAAAAGAAAAGGAAAGAGGAGCAGCAAGGAGGAATGGCAGGCCCTTAACAGTTGCCAGTGTGACCCGCGCCCCATGCCGCGCAATTCACAACCTTCCCCGCTCATATGCGTCTCAGACTGGCACTCAATACTTGTCTGCTTGCAGGCAGTCAGGGTCTGGAGTATCGAAGTAGTGATACGTACCGCAAGGAAGCGGATGTGGTTGGATGCGGTTGGAGGAGGGAGCAGCGCTGATCACTGAAGACGGTTAGCTCGGCGTTCGGACTGGGGTAGCGAAACGTGGAGGAGCTGCGGGGAAGCGGCGCTCGAGCCATATAGATCAGGTGATTGTGCTCCAAGCGGCAAATCATCCAGAAATAGCCGAACCTCTAGTCTTCTTCCACCTGCTATCGAGGCGGAGGAGCTGCAGCCCCACCTCGCAGTTTACCATTTTGCGGCTCTGCGCTCTCCACCAGGAGTTGCCTCTTATTCCCCGAAGACAATGGTCTGGGCCAAAGCCCATCAAGCTTCGGTTAACGTCGCAGACCCCGCCTGTCTGCTGCACTCCTTCGCCTCTCCACATCTGGAGGGTTTGTGCCTGACATGCCTTCTTCTGTCTCTACCTCGGCCATAGCGAGTTTGAGACGCTGCTGTGTCATCTGTTGTTTTACTATCATCTGCAAACGATTTTGAAGGTCGTCTAAATCACATTGTACGGTGTGGTGAAGTACAGAGCATTTCACACATCCCATTGCTGCTGTTATCGTTGGTCTTGCTATCTCATACGTCGTGGGCCACTTAAGCGAAGACTACTCACAGCCGCGATATGATTATTCGGTCTTCACTTCCCGACATTGACATCCCGAAGGTTGACATTCTCACTCACCTATTCCCCGAAGGCAAGCCAGTCTCCGACGAACCAGTCTGGTACGACGCCGCAAACCCACAGCTCCATTTGAGCCCGCGGCAGCTGTTGTCATGGGTGAAACGACTCGCACTCGGCCTCGACAGGCTCGGCGTGCAACAAGGCGATATCGTGATGATCTACACGCCAAACAGTATCTGGGTGCCCGTAGCTTATCTCGGAATCGTTGGCAGCAGCCGAGCGTTCAGCGCTGCTAACCCCATTTATACCGTGCCGGAAGTGACCCATCAGCTGAAGAACACTGGTGCAGTATGCATCCTTGCACATCCTACGATGATCAAGAACGCTGTTGCCGCGGCGAAGGAAGCGTGTCTGCCAAAGGAGCGGATATTTCAGTTCGATGACAAGCCATGTGCGCCTCTAGATGGCGTGAGGGACTGGCGTGAGATGGTTGCCTCTGCAGAAGATGCAGAGTCATATGAATGGAAGAAGCTACGGGGCGAAGAAGCTGTCAATACCGTTGCAACGATCAACTACAGTTCCGGCACAACTGGTCTTCCCAAAGGCGTCTGTGTCTCCCATCACAATTTAATAGCGAACCTTGAGCAGACCATTGCAGTTCGGTGGCCGGATCTCAATGTTAATGCGGGCGAGAGACCGAAGGAGAGATGGGTGGGCTTCCTGCCGCTTTATCACGCATACGGACAGCTTTATGTAAACCTCATGGCGACGAAAACGAACATTCCAGTCTTCGTGATGAAGCAGTTTGTGTATACGGACTTTCTCCAGGTCATCCAAGACCACAAGATCACCCACTTACAAGTCGCTCCACCAATACTGATTATGCTCGAGAAGCGCCCGGAGACGGCGAAGTATGACCTGCGGAGCCTTCAGCATATCCTCTGCGGAGCCGCACCTCTGTCGCGGGAACTGCAGAATCAGATCTCCAAACGGTTCAATGTGACCGTCTGTCAAGGCTGGGGTAAGCATCACTCGGAAAGCGTTTGCTTTGGAATGACATTCGCTAACTGTCATTGTTGCGCTGCAGGTATGACAGAAGTAACCTGCGGCTCGATAATTCAGCGATATCCTTCCGATACCGGGACAGTCGGGGAGTTGCTCCCGAGCACTGAATGCAAGCTTCTCGATGACGACGGCAAGGAAGTCGGTTACGACAGCCCAGGTGAGATGTATATTCGCGCCCCGAACGTCTGTCTGCGATATTTCAAGAACGAGGCGGCGACGAAGGAGAGTCTGACTTCTGATGGTTGGCTGAAGACTGGTGACGTCGCTATTGTCAACAGAGAGGGTTTCTTCTGGATCGTGGACCGGAAGAAGGAGGTACGTCTACCACTCCCGGGTAATGGCGGACGACGCTTGCTAATGTCTGCCCACAGCTCATAAAGGTAAACGCGCTTCAAGTCGCACCAGCGGAACTTGAGGCCGTCCTCCTCGAGCACGACGATATCGCCGACGCTGCCGTGGTGGGTATCACCCTTCACGGCGAAGAATGGCCGAGAGCGTACGTAGCGTTGAAGGAGCACGCGCAAGGCAAGCTCGGCGAGAAAGAGATTCAGCAGTGGATGAAGAGCCGAGTTGCCAAGCATAAGAATCTTGTTGGGGGCGTGGCGTTTGTGGACGAAGTGCCTAAGTTGGCATCTGGAAAGATCCAGAGAAAGGTTATGCGGGAGTGGGCGAAGCGGGATGCTGTGGCGATGGAGGAGCGAGTAGGGTCTGATATTAGGGCGCGGTTGTAGAGTTCTCCAGCATCTTTGGGACTGATCAACCTCTTCCGGTATTCATCGCAATAGAAAATCCGCCGCCCTCGTTGGAGTGCGGGCGCGTTTCCGGAAGGTCAATCGTAGCTGCGAGCAGCGGACAGTGTAGGACCTGAAGTTTAGACTCGGTCATGCAAATGTATGTACGACTTCACTTCGTCAGTGGATGCTACCCAAACCGTTTTCTATGCTTTCTCCATAGTAGCTCGATCTCCCTACGATACACCCTCGCTTCCGTTTCGCTCGCTTGCCTGACCTCATCAATGTAGATGGTGCAGATCGAAGATGGCTGGGTGGTTACGAGCAAGGCACGATCAGCACCAAAGAGAGTTGAGCGGAGAGTGATATGTGGAGTGTGAGACACTTGAGAGAGCCCGTTGCCGTATAAGTTCAAGCACAAGTCTGCCTGGCTGCTGCTATTGTCCGCTCGTCGTCGCAGTCAGCCTGTGTACTGAGAGCTGTGGTGGACAGTTCAGGCATCCTCACAGCTTAGTCCCAGGTGCATCGCGCAGTCCTCCGCGAGCCCGCGCTGTATCACTAGAACAACGGTTACAGCGCAAGGGTGTACAGACCGCCATTGTACTACGAACTGATCAGGGGGCGTTTTCTGTCTCAGTCGCGTACTATCGATCCTCCACGCGCCATCCACTCCGCCATCGCTTGTTTGCCCGACATCCCAATGAAAGCCGACCCGTTAGCGTCGTCCGTATACAGCGTTGTCCGTACTGCGCCCGTCTCTCGTAGCAGCTCCCATCCAGTGATCTCCGCATTAGCATTGGCGTGAAGGGAGCCGATATAGATTGCGGTCTCGTAGTCAGCATGCGCTTCAGGGCAGTGATCATTGTGCGCTGCACTGTCTTTGGAGATGGAACGGAGGAGGTCGCCCACCCGTATGCCATTCTCCGCAGTCACCTGCAGCGCCCAGCCCCCTCTCAAATGCCAGTATGAGCAATACCTACGAAGGCGGATCTGATTCACTCTCGGCTGGAAGGCCTGCATCTGCACCCAGTCTACGTCTGGTAGTAGACCGTCTTTGAGGTGCGCAAACTCCTTCTTGTGGGCGGCGGAACTGGCTACAGTAGATGCCCGTGGCCCGAGTGGGAGAGTTTCGGTAACAATGCCGGCTCGAATAAGCAATGGGTTCAAGATGGGGGCGCGGAGGGGATGCATAACATGGCCTGAGGCGGCCCGCCACTGTCGTGCAGCTTTGGCTCGCCCATTTGCAATTGGAGGATGGTCCAAGAGCACGTGTTGCGCGAAGGTTTCTTCATCCAGCACGTCGAAGCGTAGTACTCTGCGTATTGTACGCGATCGCCCAGTCACTGCCCGCCATTCTGTGCAGACAGCTTGCGAGTGAAGGATGTCGTATAGTGGCAGATGGAGCAGGATGTTCTCGAGTAGCTCGTATGTTTGGAGGACCTTGTCGCAGGCCGCCATGATGAGCCGGAGTTGTAGTTCCTGGTTCCTGCTATTAACCGGCCGGTGATGTGAGTTGGTGCTTCGGTGAGGAATTTTGCGAATACTTGAGGCTGGCGTACGTACCAGTCAAGTCATTGTCAAACGGACGAACGGCGTGAATATGTCGAATACGGAAGGCGCGCAAGTGGGCCAAGGCAGGTACGACTCTCTCACTCACGCCCACTCGCACCGACCGCCGACCCTTCGGAATACTGAACCAGAGAGCGACAAGGAGCATCATGTGCCATCGCCCTCTCCATTCTCACCATCATCCTCATCGTCTTCATCTAATAAGTCACCGCCTCCCTGGCTCGGCAAACGCGCAGGGAACCAGCCATAGGTGCCAAAGTCAACAGTTCGCTCGCCTAAATTACCGCGGCCGACTTCCACGCCTTCCTGGACGAGCGCTGCTTCTTGTCTTGCGGTGCCACTACCTCTGCATTGTCATATCAGAGGTGTATTCGTAACCGCGAACCTGCATTGATTCCGAGCCTACCTCGGACTGATAGTCCCTTTAGCATTGACCACACGCTGCCACGGAACGGTGTCACCGTTGTAGCGAGCATCAGGCTGGTCACTTGCGGACGGGAGGTGCTTGAGACAGACGCCCACTTGCCGCGGTCGTTCAGGGTAGCCCAACAATAGTGCTATATGTCCGTATGAAGTGACTCTGCCGGGCGGTATTCCCTGCACTGCACGGTACACGGCGGAGAACCACGCCTTTGCCTCGTCCGAGCGCCGCAAGGCCGCCTTATCCACTGGCATGTCTGCTGTACGCCTCGAGCTGTGAGTGCTGAGTGCATTCGCATTACGCGGTCAATGTTGCGGTTGCTCTTAGCTCGCGAGATTGAGTCACTAGGGTGCATAAAGCGTGTCATTAGCGCGTCGCGGGCACTTCCGCATCACATGACGCTATGTTCCAGGTCAAGGTCCACAACTTCATCCCATGTTTTACTATTCAATTACGCCAACATGCCTCTCGCCGACTACCTCGCCAGCAGATACCTCTCGACAGATCAAAAGTCATCCAAAAAGCGCAAACGGAAAGACGTAAGCAACGGCCTAACAATAGCTGAAGACGATCCCAACGACTGGACCAAACCCAAAGGCGAGAACGACGAGGATGACGACGCCCCAATACTCATAAACGGCACCCTTGCCAGCGGTCTGAACAAACCGACCAAGAAATCGAAATGGCTTAAAGTCGGCACCGCCGCACCTACGAACGCCGAACAAGCAGCCGCCGATGCCATTCTCGCAGACGCACGAGCAGACTCCGCGAAACGTGCGGCCCAGGACGAAGATGCACCTGCGATTGTAGGAGAGGATGGCGAGGAGTACGATGGCCCGACCATGGCGTCAGGCGCCTCGGCCGGCTTGCAGACGGCGGAGCAAGTGACTGCGGCGCTGAGGCGGAAGGAGAAAGCTGAGCGCAAACGGATGAAGGAGGAAGGGTTGGATCCGGATGGCAAAGCAAAGGAGACCATCTACCGTGATGCGAGCGGGCGGATTATCAATGTTGCTATGAAGCGGGCGGAGTTGCGGGTGAAGGCTGAGGAAGAGGAGCGGAAGAAGGCGGAGGAACTTGAGAGTCGGAAGGGCGATGTGCAACGGAGGGAGAAGGAGGAGAGGAAGAGGGAGTTGGAAGATGCGAAGGTGATGGGTGTGGCGAGGTATGCGGATGATGCTAAGTTGAATGATGAGCTGAAGGAGCGGGAGAGGTGGAATGATCCTATGGCGCGGTTGATTGAGAGTAAGAAGAGTAGTAAGACTGGTGGTAGTGGTGGGAAGAGCAAGGGAGGGGGTAAGACGTACCAGGGCGCTTTCGAGCCGAATCGGTATGGCGTTCGTCCCGGGTGGAGGTGGGATGGTGTGGATCGCGGGAATGGGTTTGAGAGGAAGTGGTTTGCTGCGAGGAATAAGCGGAAGGATCGGGAGGAGTTGGAGTATCATTGGCAGATGGATGAGTAATGAATGAATGAGCGACGACATGGGCAGGCATTTAGCATCATAATGGTCAAGGTAGGTCTTTTCAAAGGCATGGTCTACGGCGGCATACATCTGTCAGCCCTGTTAGCACATTATAAATCTCCCGACCCAGTAGGAAGTTGACGTTTACTACACGCTTCCCAAAGCACAATTCGTGGTCATGGGATGTTATCGACCCCCCCAAGCAGCTCATACGCCTGCCTGCTGTGTAGGGCTGGAAGTGAGGGCAAGCTCGATCGGAATATCACGCTACAACACCTTCACTCCTCAACCGCTCCACCTCACTCCCACTCATCCCCAACATCTCCCCCAGAATCTCCTCCGTATGCTGTCCCAGCGTCGGCGGCGGGGTGCGGATACTCGGCGTGGAGTCGGAAAACTTGACAGGCGGACTCAACAGCTTCACCGGCCCGCAAGACGGATGGTCGATCTCGGTGACCATGTTTCTCGCTTTCGCTACGCGCAAACGTCAGTCATGCACATCACACCCTCAACCATGCTGGCGAGTTGGGATACTGACTATGCTCGTGCTCCAACGTCGCCTTCACATCATTGATAGCCGCATACGGCATCCCGCTCCCCTCCAACACCTCCAACCACTCCTGCGTCGTCTTCGTACTCGTTACCTCCTCCACTAATCTCTCCAGCTCATCCCGGTTCTTCACCCGATCCGCATTCGTCAGGAACCGTGGATCAGAAATCCACTCCTTCTTCCCCAACCGCTCGCACATGACGCCGTACAACCGGTCGTTCCCGCCTCCCAACATGATGTCACCGTCACTGGTTTTGAAACCTTTGTACGGCACAATGGAAGGGTGAGCAGTACCCCAGCGGCCTGAGTCCGGTTTGCCGGAGATGAGGCAGGAGGAGGCTATGTTAGCGAGAGAAGCGATCTGGCAGTCTGCGAGGGAGACGTCGAGGTGCTGGCCGCGACCGGTTTTGGCGCGGGCGAGGAGGGCGGCCATGACGGAGTTGGAGGTGTAGAGGCCGGTTGTCAGGTCGGTGATTGCTACGCCGACCTTGGCGGGAGGGCCGTCACGGTGGCCTGTTATGTGCATTAGGCCCATTTCGCTGTGAAAACTATGAGCTTCGGCTATGACAGCAAGAATAGGGAGAATGACGGTGTGCTTACGCCTCGACCATGACATCGTAGCCGGCGCGATTGCTGTACGGTCCTGTCTGGCCATAGCCGGTGATGCTTGCGTAGATGAGGCCTGGATTGACTTTTGCCACGCTCTGGTAGTCCATGCCGTACTTTTTGAGAGCGCCTGGAAGGTAGTTCTCCACGAGGACATCACAGTCTTTCGCTAGCTTGTGGAGGATCTTGACGCCGGACTTGTGTTGAAAGGATAGGCCTAGGGATTTTTTGTTGCGGTTGACCTAACGAAGGTTACTTAGTGTCGAAAGGTGATCGAAATGGGAGGTCACCTACGGCTAGGAAGTAAGCACTCTCGCCAGAGCCTTGTTTGCCACTCTGTTCGGTATATGAAGCATATGGTGGTCCCCAAGCTCGAGTGTCGTCGCCGCGGGTAGGATGTTCGATCTTGATGATCTCAGCTCTGGTAGTGATCAGCTAGAAACCAGATGCGTTCGTCGACCGGTCGATGCCGTACACATTGCTCGTACCCTAAATCGCCCAGTATCTGCGTGCAATATGGCTACGCTAGTTGTAAGTGAAAAATGCCAACTACGGATCGTTGATCGACGGTACGCACACCAGCGAGCACTCTCGTCATGTCCAGTACTTTGATGCCCGCCAGAGGCAACTTCGATGTGTCTACATTGCCATTGACCGGCGTGGCGAGACATCGTTTCTGTGGGCGTGAGACGGCGTAGACTGCATGCCTCACTACTCGTGAGCTTGCCGTTGTGGTGAACATATCTGCTAAAGGCTTTTAGACGGCTACTCTGTGAAGACTGGCTAAAAGCAACTATGTCTCCATCGATGCCGCATGATCTACGGCCTACGCTTCAGTGGCTTGCAATGTTATGTATGCAGAGAACGCTGTTGTTCAATGCCCTTCCAAATGCTCGGCTCAACCAGCCGACCTCGCTCGCCTCGGTCCTCGGCGCCGCATGATGCAGATCCACTGCACAACCGCACCTCTTCCAATACAACAATCGCCGCACTTCTGCATAGCGACGAGATGTTCACGGGCATCGTTGAAACGATAGGCAGTACGTCGCGCCCAACTCCTCCACCTCCAAGTCCGCCACCGCGCTGACGCCATCATCGACCAGCCGTCTCCCACCTCATCCAGCACGATGACTCCTCCAGCGGCGGCGGAGGCACCTCCCTGACCATCTCCGACTGCGCCGCAATTCTGGACGATTGCCACTTGGGCGACAGCATAAGCATCAACGGCACTTGCCTTACCGTGACCGAATTCGGCAAGAATGAGTTCAAGGTCGGCGTTTCGCCTGAAACGCTGCGGAGAACGAATCTCGGCTCGCTGAAGGAGGGTAGTCGAGTCAACCTCGAGCGAGCCGTGAGCGCCAGTACGCGCATGGGCGGGCACTTCGTACAGGGTCATGTGGACACTATCGCCACGATCGCGGAGACTAGAGAGGATGGGAACGCGATTACGTTCCGGTTGCAGCCGAGGGAGAAGGCCGTGCTGCGTTATATCGTGGAGAAAGGATATGTCACGCTAGATGGGGCTTCCTTGACCGTGACGGCGGTGAATGATGATGAGGAGGGGTGGTGGGAGGTGATGCTTATTGCGTATACGCAGGAGAAGGTGGTGATGGGCAAGAAGCGGAAGGGTGAGGATGTCAATGTGGAGGTGGATATGGTGGGGAAGTATGTTGAGAAGAGTGTGGCGGCGTACTTTGAGGGGAGTCAGGGTAGTGGTGGCGCGATGCTGGAGAAGATGGTGCAGAGGCTGGTCGACGAGCGGTTACAAGCAAAAGGCACATGAAGGGTTCGTCGCCTACTTTCTGATACAACCTAATGGCCGTACCAAATCTGATTCGTTGAATGTGCTCTATAACCAGCAGTGCCAGTATTGCTTCGTGGAAAGAAGTTGCCACTTGGTCAAGCACATGTTACCACAACCCACAACCAATTGAAACCGACCTCCTTCTTTACGCTTCCTTTTCTACACTGATGTATCACTACACAAGCATTGTTACACTGCTCAAAGCAAACGCTGTCGTATTGTACAGGGGTATCACGTCAGCCCGCCAAACGCTCATGAAACGCCCGCTAATGCTTCCACTCATAATCCACGCTCCTTAAGCAAGTACATTGGCGTCGCTGTATTTGGCCGTTCGTGCAAGGATCAGCCAGATTCCCCCTTTACAGATGCACCTCAGGTGCCCGTTAAAAGTACAAATCAGAACAAAATATCCAAAATGAAAAGTAGACGTCGACACGTTAAGGTTCGTGCCGTCGTAGGCTTCGAGCCGTTAGTCGTCATCCTCGCTGTCAGAGGAGAAATAAGAGTACAGCTGCGGATCTTCGGTTACGATGCCCTGTCGCTCGTCATGTGCTCGCTGGAAGTAACTCATGAAGCCCTCTTTGAACACCATGCCGCGTCGCTTCTCCCGTCGCCGCGATAGCTTGTCATATATTTGCTGTTCGTCGTGTGCCGGTGCTGTTGGCTCCTCTAACTGTCGTGGTTGATGTTGGGACGCCTTGTGCATGTCATATTTACCGAAGCTGCCCAAGATAGTATCCCGCACGCCCGCCATTCGGATGATCTCGGGTGCTGGGGAAGTCATAGTGGTTTGTGCCATCATTAAGCCGAGTCCAGACATTCCCGATGGCTGTAGCATATTGATTGTGCTTGGATCGTCAGTCGTCATTGGCGAGGCGGTAGGCGGCGTTATTGTATGCTGAACAACTGCAGGAATTGAGATTTTGGGCACGCCGGCACTGCCCACGCCCTTGCGAACGGTCAGCATCTCGATTCCCGGTTCGCTTGAGACATGTAACTCGTCGTCAGGTATGCTGGGTAGTGGTATAGCTGCACGTTCTGTTCTTTTGCCAACATTAAGAACCGTACCCAACAGCTTCTTCGCTTTCTCCTTGGGTGTCTCCGAAAGCTCTTCCGGGGCCAAGGGTGCGGTGGTGTTCAGTTCGGGCGCCAGCTCCGCACGCTCGTTCTCTGGGCCGAAGAGCGCAACAAGGGTGGCGTCGCTGATGGAGGCCGATGCATCCGATGCCGAAGCTAGTAGCTGTGTGATAGGTCTCGCATGCTGCGGCGAGCGCTGCTCTTGTTGCATCGCTCGGTGCTGATACGCAATCCTTGTAGGGGTGTACCTCCTTCGATGATCTGCTGTAGCGCGTGCGTCTCCCTCCGCATGGGTGACGCTGCCCAACGAGGGAGGTCTCTTGGCATTAGTGGGAAAGTACACCGCGCCAAGAGGTGTGGATATGGCTCCCATCGGAGCTGGTTGGTAGCGAGCGGGCCCATGCTCGCTGTCCTGTAAAGGTGGCGAAGAGCCGTGACGAGCATACTCGTGATCCATCTCATCCATAACCCACTTGAACGCACCTGTGGTCTCCGGAGGCGTTTGAATGTCTCCAGAAATGCTGGTGTCATTATGCAGCGGAGCATGTGGAGGCTTCGAGGGGACGCCATGGTTTGCATTCGTTCCGTGCCATAGTTGCGTTCGTGACCTAGCGCCGGGATCTTGGCGTTGATGGTTCGACATCATGCCTTGTGAATGATTTACTTCGTCAGGAGTATAAGAGGCTATCGACGCTGACGGGAGAGCTCCATTGTTGTTAGTGGCTGGTGCGGAGTAATAGCCATCCGAAATGGAGAAGTCGGAAAACTCTGGACGATTGTTTGAGTTGGATCCTTGGACAAGCTTGCCGAGAGTACCATACGGCACGTCTTCGGTCCGCTCATACTGCTTCACGGTAACATCAGAAGGCGCAGCAGGAGTACACCGCCGTGGTCGGTCACAGCCACCGGGTACCCTGGCCTTGGCGGGCAGTCCCTTCGCCTCGAGTGGCCGCATTAACGGCGAGCCTTCGCTTACTCCTCGGGTCATGTGAGGGTGAGTGGACACACGAGCAGGTTGCTGAGTCTGCAATACGTGGTCCAGCGCGAGTAGCGGAGTCAGCACTGTGTCCAGAAACTCTGGTATACTGGTGAAGCCAAGAGAGGTTAGGGCCTTTTCAGTCTCTGGAGTTGATATGAGCGCATCCAATCCGTAAACCAGAGCGGCGCGCTGCCGTGCAGCCTCGTCAGCAACAACAAGACCCCACTCCAATCGATCAGCCATCTCCATGGCAGTCAGCGGATCAATGGGAAGGCGTGTGACATTCGTCCAGGCATTGCTTGGGAGATTGTGGTCGTTGCACCATTGCACAACGGCCTTATGCATGCCGGAGTGCTTCTCACCAGGATCCATGCCTTCCTGTAACAAGGTACGAAGCCTCTGCCGATGATCGCACACTTTCAGCGTGGCGCGTAAAGCGCGGCATTCACTGCCAATACACCACCGTACGTACTCCGAAGCTTTCGAGAAGATTCTGTCATTGAAGCAACTGGTGAACCGGGTCTTGCAAGGTAAGTTCAGTTGGTTGACTGAGCAGGCTGGTTGATGATGTTCCTTATTGTGGAGCATCGCTTGTCGAGGATTTGGGGAGAGGTAGTAGCAGCCAGAGCACTCGAAGAGAACCAAGCGGGTTGCGAGAGCCGGATCCTTGGAAGGGGGTGAACTATTGCCGAGGGATCGACAGGTCTGCAGATGTTTTTCCAAGGTGCCCGAATCTGATCGCGACAGGCTATTGCCGCAACGCTCACAGGCGTACTCATGGTAGACTTTCGGGGGGCGCTGTAGCTTGGAAGAGGACTGTGCGTGTGCTTGCGGATGAGATGGATGGTATGGTAGCGGAGCGTTCGGAGCCAAGGCGACCGCTGTGTACGGCGGATAGTAGGCTGGCGAGCCAGCAGGCTGAGAGTAGCTGGATAGCTGCGAGTCGCACCTGCCATAACGAGATGAAGCAAGTGAGGATGAGCGACTTGGCGAAGCGATGAAGTTTGGTCGCTCATGATAACTTGTGGCGCTGGAAGCTAGAGACCCTCTCCCATCGACCGCCGGAGAGCTTAGGTACCAGCTCTGGTAGCTGCTGGCATCCGAGTAGGAGCCTGGGGAGACTGTGCGGCGATGTTAGGGTGTCTGTATGTAAAGCAGCCAGCATCGTTCGTAAGCTTACCGGATGCCGACTCCATTGTCTTGTAGTCTGGTAACACCAGGCAAGTTACATCCGCCACATATGTCCGGAGAGGTGCATCTTAGTGCCACCGGTGAGCACTGGACACCTGTTCCACAGCATAGTCAAGCAGTAGCTGGGAGTTCGATGCTTGCACGCTACAGAACACGAGTCCATAGAGAGTGCCTGATAAGCAATGCATGCGAGACTCCTAACTTCCACAGATGTACCTCATGATGAGAAAGTAGGTGCAGCATGCCAGCCACACCGGTGACGCTGCTGACGCAACAGTGGTCGCCTGCACGGAAGAGTAGCATTAAGTACTAGGCTGATGTGGTGGCATTGGAAGGCGACGGTCGACAAGGATCACCCCGGTCAGAAACCTTGCGTGTACGCCTTACGGTTCCTACCGAGGATTCAGACTGCCAGTGCTTGAATCGCTCCAACGTTCTAGCGCAGGTACAGACGGCCGTTAGGGCGATCCAGGTTCCGGGCCGGCGATGGCCACGCGACGAATGAAACATCCGCCGCGCATTCACTTCGTCAGAGCTAGCCCCTTTAGCCTTGCTGATCGTTCGCCGAGACTCAGGGCGGTGTGTTAAAGGGAACGTACATGCAAACACTCACGCTCCCTCTTTGAACCGAAGAGTACAGGCGCTCTTTCCCGCCCTGGACACGTAGCCACTCAATGTTGAGCTTGGGAATCGAAGCATGGATGCGCCACGGTTACGCATTTCCCGGACAGCCTCCGTTCACAAGAGACTGATCCCGAGCCGGCAGGCATCAAGTCTAACAAAGTATAAGGCTGCGTGCTGGCTGCGATGCTGCGCTCTTGATCGCTACGCATGCTTCGGCTTTATCTCCGTAATACTCTGCAGGTGGCATTTCTAAGACATTGTATCTACACAATGCATCCTTTGCTCTTCTATGCAGCCATCCTGCGCCGACCGCAGCGCTTGTTACAGTTGGTGTAGCATGGCACAATACTGCCACCGCCCGCTGGAACTGCACTGCCTCCAGGTCACGGATCGTCACGGCGACCAGTCTTCAACCGACGGCAGCTTCTTCTATTAGACACAGCGCAATGTATCCCGGTCCGCGGTGACGTCTACAGTCCCGTGCGAAGTGCCCAGAGACTGCCTAATCACAAGAGCAAGTTATCACTTCGATGGACCCACATGTAGTCCGACCGGAACGGGGACAATAATACTATTGAGTTTCTCCAGTCCCATATGCGATTCAGCGTGCCAACACAAGCGAGCATACCAATATCGACCAAAGCACCAGCGACAAACTTTCCACAAGCACGCTCCCTTCAAGCTCGAACCACTCCCGACACCATGCCTAACCAGCCCTTTGTTGCAGCGAGAATTGCCACTGCCGTGCCTACAACAGTATACTTACCTACCTGGTACGACCCTTCGCATGTCACAACCGGCTCCGACTTGATTACAGAGCCCAATGTCACCTCCGCCCGAAACAGCACTAGTACCTCTGCTCTTCAAGTACGAGCCGATAGCCAAGGCGCCGACGCCTCTACCATCATACAATCCGTAAGCAACCGCTTCGACATCACTTTGAATGTTGTCAAGGTTGTCATGTACATTTGTTAACTGACCAAGCTCGCTGAGATTGTAAGTGCTCTTCGCTCCAGGCGGGCAGAAAATCTAAAAGCTGCAAGGTCCTCGCTACTCTGGATAATATGTGCCTCGAGGTATAACGCTTGAGCCGCCTCGCGGCGTCGGATTGGACTATGTCGTTGGCTCGATGACACTAAAGCGATGGGTTAGGAAACTTATGACGATGAGTAAGGGTAGCGGTGAAGCGTCCGACAACATGGTGCAGAGGCTGGTCGAGGAGCGGTTACCGGCGACAGCGACATAATTGACTTGTCTACAACTTCTGACGCATTCTCATAAACTCGACTGCTACCTGTAAGCTATGTATATAGACGAACACGGCTTTCGCACAAACCATTCTTCCTTAACCGAGTAGCATACAACATCCGAAGGTGAAACCGCGTGCAAAGGAACGCTTACGACGCAAAGGAGGGGTATCTACCAAAGAGCCAAACCAACGCCACATGCCCGAACCGTGGAGTTTGTATGTCGCACATGGTCCTTTGCTGCTGACATCGCCAACCCCGTGCTAAAACAGTAATCGAGATCGTACGGTAACATTTCACTTCACAACAAAGGAGAGCCATCGCTCGCTCACCACTTGATGGAGCGGCCATGAGGATTGAGTTCATGAGAAGCATAGAGCAACCATTGGGGAGTCGTGCGGTCGTGAAGAAGAGTCGCATCACTTGTAAGTGTCATTGCAAGAAGATCAAAAGGAGGTCGGCTCATCTTGTTCCTGGTGTTCGTGTTCGTGGTCGTGTTCGTGTTGCTTGCCTTCCACTGCATACTGGACGAAAGCTGCGTCAGAGGCGTGGAAGACCCTGCCTTGACGTCTTTGACATGTGCTCTGTTTCTGCTGCTGTTGCTGTGTATGACACTTCTCTGCGTCTGTCGTCTGGGCTTCACCGCTCGAAGGCTTGGCTTGCTGGCCTGCAAGAACGATATTGCGAGGCACAAGAGTAAGGATTCCGGTGATCCGGACGTACTCCGGATCATGGATCGGGATGCCGGCTTCTTTCATTTGGACGCGCCTCTTCTGCATATCGAGTACGCTGCGTGCGGTGACTCCAGCCGGTAAGTAGTGATTAGCTGGGGTCATCGAACCGGGTATCATCAAAGAAGGGAGGTGGTCTTGCAACTCGGTCTCGGTTGGATGCTCGTCAACATGCGTGAACACGCCTGGAAGCCTGATACGTGCAATTCGGGTCAAAGTCGTGGGAGGCAGGTCGGGGCTAACAGCAGGCGGGTTGGTGTAGCCAGCATCACATTCTTCGTTGATGGCGCTGCTTGAGAGGCAGGCCCGAGTGCCGTCGACTATCTTCGCACGTGGGTCGATCAAGCTGCCAAGTGCCTTTTTAACCTTCTGAATTGGCGTTTTTGGGCGGTCAGCAATGCCTATGCGACTTGACGAGGCAGCAAATGGAGGCGGTAACGGCTGGGTGACATGGAATTGCGCAGGCAGCGCTTCATTATCCAGAATAGCTGGTTCCGTGCAGGACTGCGGAGGGGCCAGTGAGCCATCGGCCGAGAGCAAAGCGGAACTGGGACCACTGCACAAGGGGCGAGCATCTCCGTAACGGACCTCGACTCCAACGCTTTGGCTTGTTGCAATTGAGATTGGTTCAGTTGCAAAGCTAGGCGCTGCGCACTAATCTTCGGTGGCGTGATCTTGCGGCGACGCTCCCGCACGGGACGAGCTTGGTCATCTGGGTGGATAGCACTGTGAAAAGAGGGTGGTCGTTTCTGATTGCTGATCAATCGGCTTGTGGATGCTTGTGATAGGTCCCAATGCTGATCAGTCCTGTCGAGGTACGGTCGGAGGGCGGCCGTGGCGTGACCAGGTCCTTCTCCTCCGGCGATCCGATCTATTGCCCACCTGAACGCGCCAAGTGTTCCTGGTGCCTTGATAATTACGCCGGGATGCTTCTCGGAGGAAATAGTGGTCGTTGGGGGAACGTGTTGAGTCAGCAACTGTTCTGAGGCGGCATAGGCCTGCCTAGGCATATCCGCCTGGGAAGGAACAATGCAGTGTACACTTTGAAGAGGCAGGCCAGTAGACGTGGATGTGGTCAGAGACCTGTTCGTGGCCTCTCGGAAGTCATATTCTGCAGGTGCAGGGCTCTGGAGAACGTTGCGAACTTCGGAGCCGCTCCCGAAGCCTGACGGAGTGTGGGAATCTGCCACCGCCGGTGCTGTGCCAGTCGGCGGCCCAGTACGGTCAAGTTGAAGCAAAGGCATGAGAGCGGCGTCCAGCATTTCGGTAAGGGTTGAGAATCCCAGAATGCGAAGCGCTCTCTGCGTTTGTAAGCAGGAGACAACGGAATCTATCCCAGTCTTATCAAGGACTAATTGGCGCTGGCCTTCGGTGTCAGCGACTAGTCCCCATTCTAGCTTGTCTGCCAATGTTTGAGCGGATGTTGAGTGGCGAACTGTGATTGCCCCTCCCCAAGCTATAATGGGAAGTTCTGTGATGCGCTGCCAAGAGTCGGTTGGGATACGGTGATCTTGGCACTACTGCAGCACGGCTTTGAAGACACCGGTATGGTTGTCGCCCATTGGATCTCTATCCCTACCGTCCTGCAGCAAGGTGCGAAGCCTGAGGCGGTGGTCACAGTGGGTCACTTCGCAAACGTCGGACGCCAAGCGCACGTTGCGACATTCCTTCCCAATGCACCACTTCACATACTTGTCGAAGCTGTCAAAGATGTTGTTGTTAAAGCAGCTGGCAAAGCGCCGCTTGCCAGGTAAGTCGAGCTTGAGGTACGGAGCGGAGCTATTATGAGCATTTTGGTTGTGAAGTATAGCCTGCCGATGATTTGGCAACAATCTGAAGCAGACAGAGCACTCATAGGCAAGCAAGCCTCGGCCCAGACAGGTGCATGTCGTCAGGTGTTCGGTGTATGCGGCTGTGGTCGACCTTCCCATTCCCCTACCGCAGTGTTCACAGAGATACTCATGATGAGTTCGCCTACTGCTCGCGACTGAGGATGAGCGACTTGGATTGGACGCTATGCTCAATTGCTCCGTGAAGGAGGTAAGACTGGAGGCCAATGACGCTCGAGGGTCGGAAGAGGGCGACTGCCGGCCGTAGCTGCCAGCGCTGGAATACGAGTCTCGGAAATGATCTTCGCCGTATCAGCAGGTACTTTGGTATGGTGGGAAGGGTAGACTACAGGCTGTGTCCATCGCGCAGCCGGTACGGTGGCGATGGTGGCCAAATAGAAGCGGCGGTGGTAGCAGGAGGTGGCAGGCTTGGACAATGCAAACGCAATCGCTGAAAAGCGGTATTGCTGTACTACTGAATGATTGTATGTAAGCGAGGTGAATGAGGGACTTTCGAACGGAGTGCTACAAGACAGAATGGCAGCAATAACAATTACACGCAGAACAAAATAAGTTCATCGAGCAGAGCGAAGATTGGCAGTCAAGCCATTAACGATGCTTGTACTGTAGTTACGTGAAAGGCTACCCCGCAACGGCCCAGGTCACTTAGAAGCCTTGCGGGAGTCGTTACGCCCTTTGTCGTGTTTCACCCTAGCCGCCCGCAGATTCTGAAACACGTAGCGTCTATGGCTGATGCTCCGCACTAATAGAGCGCCTGCGCTGTTTGTGCAGACAGTGACGAGCATTGCGAAGCAACGTACGCGTTGGCGCTGACAGAGTCTGGGACTGTTTGGTCGTCCATGAGCGCTGCCGTCTGCGGTGCCGTGGAAGAGACAGCGAGAAGTTGCGAGCCACATAATACCAAGCGTATGACTGCGCTTGCTGTGGAAGTCCGAGCCTGCGAGGCACTTGGTGACTGTGGCGCGTCGTTAACAACAGTTGCCTCTCGAGCTTTTCATATGGCAGAGTCGACCCACGCTGCGACCGACGCTCTCCGCCGACAGGCTAATGCAGGTACTGCCGAGTCGCGTGGCCCACTACGGTGAACCACGTCAGGTCGCAGCTGTCGGCGGTCCAATCAACGGCTCGGAGGTACCTGTGGTTGGATAGCAAGCACTGACATGGACTTTATGAAATCCACCGCGTCTTGAACAGGTGATGTCTCCGTCGCGCGCAAATCGGACAGATAGTGCATTTCACCCCTCCCATCTAACAGGACCGAAGAAGGGTGTATATGAAGGCTCTACTTCCTGAGCAGTTCGCCTTTGGCTTCATGACAAAACGTCCCACACTTCTTTCATGCGGTTCCTTGCTGCATAACTCATTGAATATCACACTCGTTTATCCATTACCCTTTACCAAACAGCATGCATATGACCGTACTCGGCATCGCCGCGGCGCTGGCAACGTCCTCTCACGCCAGCACTGCATCCCATCTCGCTTTGCCGACCCAAACGAGCGCCTTTACGCTGACGGTGGGCATCGAGGCCTGCGCCGATCGCAACTGGAACGCATCGAGGCTGTCTCGAAGCAGTGCTTTCCAGACGCTCACCGTCGCTCGGTCATCACCAGACAACCTCGAGTATGTGGCCGTAGACACGGCCACGAACATTCATTCCTATGCAACGAGCGTAGTAAGACATGAAACAACGACGACTTCAACTGCGAGTGCTTCAAGACATCACCGAGCTACAGAATGGCTGACTTGCAAGCAGCTCGATTGCGTTCGAACTATCACCACCAGCGCCAGCATTACGGACAGCATCGCTTGGCCAACTACCCTTGCTGGCAGCCCAACCATGACTACCTTGTCCACGGCTACAACACGATCGACGCTCGCTCATCGTGAATCGTCAGTGCTCTCAAGTCAAGTCGCCAGTCCAATCATTAGCGAGCTCGAGCCAGGCAGGTCTATCACCACGGCCCATGCCCCTAACCCCACCGTGCCCACCGACGCACCGCAGATGACGACGGTCACTCTTACTACAAATGTTGGCAACACCTACACCATTAGCACCAACTCGTTTGATTTGGTCCAATCCACAAGCACGGAAAACAGCCTTGCTACCCCCCCTCCCACCATCATCAACCTGATGCTCACCATCACGGTGACCGCGCCCACGCTCACGCAAGCGAACCTTATGTGCGCCTGTCCGCACATCATCTCAGGCTGCATCACCGCAGCCGTACCTACCGACACCGGAAGCAGCTCTAACCCATCGGGTGTCTTGAACAACGTGAACAAGATGGAGCTCAACATCCTCGATCACATTGAAGCGTTTGGTCACGCCCTCCACATCCTACTCGACGCTGTGAAGATCTACTGCGATGTACGCCAGCTCATCCGACTGGCCGAGATTGCTGGCATTCTTCGCCCAAACAACGATCGACAAGCCCGAGTGTAGATCCCTACGCTGCTCACACCTGCTGGTGCGGACAAGACTTACAGCCTCACCCTATCGGGGTACAACACATTCTGCACGGGCTTACGGATGATGACGAATCATGCTCATGTTGTTGGCACGCAGCGTGTGAATTTGGACCGGTCTTCGCTTCGAATTACGGGACGTTACGTGTTCTTCTTCTTCTTCTAATTCAGTACTTTAGATAGCAGCATGATGATTTTGCCCGACACTCCTATTGCCTATTGCACGGTCGCGAAGCTGTGCAAGTACTGCTCCACAAAAAGCAACTGCCATCTGGTTAAGTACGCCTTAGTAGAGCTATTCGAACGACTCCGCCCCCTTGTTTACGCTCCTACTGCTAACGTTGATGTGTGTTCACAGATAATTACAGGCAAGAATTATATAGTTAAATTGTCTACGATACCTTCTCCACCCGACATAGGTTGTCTCTACTTCACTAAAAGCCACCAATGGCGTACTGTGCGTTCGTCGCAAGGGAATGCACCTGCATAAGGCGTGGCAACGCGATTGATACGGTAGACATATATCTTTCGAACTTTCTGCGTGAGAGACACTATTCTCTGTTGTCACAGTACAAAGCGGAAGGTCATCGCTCTATTATCCGGTCCACTCAAAACACTCCACCAACGCCTCGCTAACATTGTGCATCATTCACAAAAGTGCGCGTCTCAACCGTGAGGTCTCTGCTCACCAGGTAGGCATAACTAATAAGCATGGAGTCAGGCGAGCCAGTCGCCGACAATGAGGGTGGAAGCCAGCGTTCGGTAAAGTGACAATAAATTCGCCCCTCGTGGTTGTTCCCGAACCACCGATCATCATGAGGTCAGCTCACTCAGTGGCGGTTCAATAATAACAGCGGCGTCCTGCGCCTGCCCGTTCAGTGCCTGCTGGACGGATTCGGCGGCAGAAGGGTCAAAGAACCTGCCTTGCCGCTTCTGCTTCTGCCGTCTCTCCTCTACCACTTCGTGAGACTCTGCCACCGGTACCTGCGGTGTCAGCTGCTCGCGAAGCCGTTGTTGCTGCCGCCAGTGTTCAATATTGTAAGCGAAGGTTGTAAGGATGCTGGTGATGCGCATGAGTTCGAGATTGGTGCTTACGACGCCGGCGGCGATCAGCTCTCGGCGCGTCCTTTGCATTCTTGGGATGTCGTTCTTGTCCACTCCAGGCGGGAGTAAGCGATCGACTATTTCAGACCACTCGGCGAAGGTCAAAGAGGGAACTTGAGGCTCAGGTTGCATCTCAGACGAAAGGCGTAGTTCCGCCTGGACAACATCACCGCCTTGAGAAGAAGAGGCTGCGCAACATGCGCGGTCGGAAATGTTGTTACAAGTCTGTTGGGTTGCATTGGGTTTGATTGGCAAGGACGATGATGCACCAGGCATCAAGATCTCGCCGAAAAGTGCTGTCGGCCTCTGTGGAGGCGCTGCGGATGCATCGGGTGGATAGACATGCGCAGTCTTGGTCTCCACGGCAGAAGTCATGGCTGGTTCATTGCCAGGAGCCTCCGGCTTGGTGACGGCGGGTAGCTCCTCGAAGTGATAGGCATTCGAGACGCCTAGAAATGCACTACGGTTGCGCAATTGGGAGGTGCTGCTTATCGCAAACCCCTGATGCGGATGTGCGAGAGGTCGTGCTGATTCTTCGTCGCCTTGTGTTATTGCTTGATGCTGCGAAAGGTGCAGTCGCGCCATTTCGGGAGGTGTGGTACTTCGTCCGTGGTCCGGAATGGCTCGAGCGAAGCTATCCGGATGATCTTTGCTTGCTAAGGAGGGTGGCCTCTTTGTCTTGCGCTGGGTCATAGCGACATCTGGTTCATATTGTGTCGTGACTATGTGGACTGGTTGCGAGACAGCGCGGTTCGGATCCACATGTTCGTAGACCGTCGACTGGAAAGCTGCGTCTTGGGTAGGGTGGTATAGTTGGTGCTCTTGGCTGGTGTACCAACCGTTGAACACATGAGCGGCAGTGGCATTGTTGCTCTCCACGGTGCGCTCGAATGTGGAGGCGTTGTAAGGTTGCAAGGTGGAAGCCAATATAGCACCTTGGTGAAACGGAGCAACACTCGCAGTACGACGCCACTCGCCACGATGTTCAGCCGAAGGGCCCGCGAATGGCAGAACGTCAGCTTCTGAGACCTGCGCTGATGGTCGTCCAGCCCCCCCAGCAAATAAGGCGGGATACTGCGGCAGCAGTGCATCAATTGGCGCACCATAGTACTCCGTGCTGTTTTGAGCGCATGCTATAAGCGAGACGAAGTCGGTGGCCTTCGGAGTATAGAGCTTAATAAGTGGCGTCAGTATCGTGTCCAGCATCTCTTGGAGAATCTGAAAGCCCAGAGTCTTCAAAGCTCTCGCGGTGTCTGGTGTGGAAATGATTGAGGGCATGCCATACTGTTGGAGGGCTTGCCACTGCTCTTCTTCCGTGGTAACAACCAGTCCCCAATCCAGTTTGTCAGCCAGCGCTTGAGCAGAAGTTGGACGGCCATGCTGAGTCCATCCGGTGACGGGGACTCTGACAATACTCTGCCATGCGTCGAGCTCGAGATCGTGAGCAGTACACCACTCGATAACAGCTCTGTGAACGCCCGTATGCCCACTCACGTCATCTCTGCCTTCCTGCAGTAGAGTCTTGAGCCTGAGACGGTGATCACTTTGCATCGATCGTCGCTTGGCGCGACATTCTTTACCTATGCTCCACTTGACCCACTCGTCAATACTGTAGAAGATCTTGTCTCTGAAACAGCTCGTGAACGCTCTCCTACCAGGAAGGCGAAGCTCCACGATGGCCGGGACACCTTTGTGCGTGGCTTTCCTGTGCTGCGCCGCCTGCGCATGGTTTGGGAAGAGTCGAAAGCAAGCAGAACACTCATAAGCCAATTCACCCTTGCCAAGAGACGGACAGGCTTTAAGATGTTCGCGCAAGGTGAGACTGGCGGACCGCGTGAAAGTTGCTCCGCAATGCTCACATACACATGCTGGAGAGTCCGTCGATAACCCGGGTGACGCTTCCTGGCGCACTCGTGACAGCGGATGCGCTGGATTGAGTGGCAAAGGTGCGATCGGAGCTGGTAGACTCGGTCCGTCCTGCTGACGCAGTGTGGTCGGTGGCGCGCCGGTTGTCAAGCATCTCTCAGTCGATAGCGATCCATATCGCGTTATTGGGAGAGAAGCTACCGAGGAGCAGCGGCTGAGAGGGGGAGTCTGGCACGCAGACTCGCTATATGTTGTAATGCACGAAGCTAAAGAGTCTCGCGGCTGGCTACTAGGCGAGGATGATCGCCAACCGGAGTAGCTGCTTCCACTGGCGTACGATGCTCGGAGATGGTCTGGCCTGCCTTAGCCCAGATATCCTCTTCACCACAAACAGCGAACCCTCAGTATCTCACCTTGAGCGTCCATCGCATTCTGAACCGTGCCGGATCTGCATTACAGGTACGCACCGAAAATATCACCTGCCTTCGCCGGCATCTAGCGTGGCATGGAGTTGATTGAACCGCTGCCCAGCAGCGACAATATGACAAAGGTTGCAGGATGAGCGTGACGAATACAATGAGTGATTAAAAGAGTGAAGAATGTATCTGGATAAGGCTGACGTCGCATCATTGCGCAGAACGCAGCCTCCACGACACGCTCAGAGCTTCTGCAAGTCACGAGACCCCAGGCCCTTGGCTCTGCTGCAGGTACCGCAATGCGGGCAGGGCGTGCGACAGGCTCTCTGACCAAGCAAAAGGCGACAAGGCGATTCCGGAAGCTGATTGGCGTTTTGTTCTCCATCCTCTCCGTTCGGTTCTCTCTCACGCTGCACTAAAACAACACGTTCTCTTTCACGCTGCACTAAAACAACAGATGCCTTCCTCCCTTTCTCCTCAAAAGTACAGGCACTCTGGGTCGAGCGACGAATGTCGAAGATGGACAGCGACACCTGTAGCGGATGAAACTGTGCTCAGTAGAAGTGCAAGCGACCCGGCTGAGTGCTCACTGCAGGTAGGACTCTCCTTGAGTTACTCTCCCTTCTTCCTCCTCTGCAAGACTCGACTTTCCCTTCAGTCTACTCAGGACGTTTGTTTCTCCATACATTGCCGGCAGAACATGCGTTCGCATCTCGTTGACCTTGCGAGCTTCGCGCTGGCCGCATCAGGCACCACAACACGCACCTTGTGGAGCAATTATACCACGGTCCAGATGTATAGTGTCGTCTCACCATCCACACTCACACTGACTACAAGTGACTGGACAAGTAAAGCGTGTTCAGGGCTCGGCAGCCCATCCCAACGGATGGCGACTTTCACGGCAGCGAGCGACCTTCCCGAGGCCAGTCTTGGTACCCGCTTCGATCCCCAACCTCGAAAAAGCACCAATCGCGCCATCACAACGGTAAGGATTCCCTCAGACAATCTCTATCAACGTTAAATGCTGATATGCCCCAGGGTCGCACTCCCAGTTGTTCTGACACATCTACTACATGCTCCACAGCCAATACGTGGCCGGCCGTGTCCAGCAGCAATGGGAGCAGCACCGCAGTGTCTCAACGATTGGGAGTCTCCACAGCCGGTACTGGAGCACCCGACGCCAGCGTCAACCGAAGCCCTGATCCCAAAGAACCAAACAGCGCTCAGGCTACCGCGAGATATACCTTCATTCTCGACATCGCTATCGATCGGAACGTCGGCCTTGGGATTTTAGAGCCATTTGCGTCAGACGGACTGACTCCTCCATCTGCTATACCTACTCCGCCGGCATACAGTATGGCACTCACCGTTACCGTGGCAGTACCCACGCCAACGTCCTCCACTATCCTCTACGGCTGCGCGCCGGTCACCTCCGCCTCTACACGGTCAAGCACTGAACTACCTGATATTTTGGATCGAGTCGGCCAGTGGGAGATCGATATCTACGCCATCTTTGAAGTCGTGCTCAAGGCTTTCGAAATGATCCTAGACCTGGTGAGGATCATCTTGGACATCCGCCAGCTCGTCAAACTAGCTGAGATTGTGGGCATTCTTCGCCCTAGGAGGGTTGAAGTCTAGGGGTTCGAAGGTCATTGCTATTGGGGATGATGCTTGCTATTGCGGCACGACGCCTGATGTTACATTCGCGGAGCTGATGTGTCATATCGCTGGCTTCACGAACAGCTGTGAGGGATCCTGATGCGGACGATGACGAAGTTGGTTGGAGATGTTGTGATATGCGTAGCTTGAACCCAGCCTTTCACTTTTGCGGATGTGTATCCATAGTATATAGATCACAAAGCTCAGTTTATCGAGAGCCTCCCTAACCGACTTTCTTCCGTGATTGAAATTGCTTGGCGGTAATGCCCGGAGTTTTGATATAGCCGCAGACCCTCCATACCTTAGCCGCTGTTGATGGCATCGCATTGAGACCCGTCTCGAGGACATCAGACTTTGAAGCCATGCCTCCATCATCAAGCGTGCGCCTTCTCTGTGCATTTGCTTTTCAAGTCCGCCGCTCCGCTTCTGACACACTGCAGACATAGTCCCTCGCAGATGCTCTCGATTTCCTCAGCGAGCGTCCAGAATTTGGCCGCCTGCACCTCCATCATGGTGCCCGTATGATCGCACGACGGGTTTTCTCTCCATACTGTGCCTACCTTCTTGACTGTTGTAATTAGGGAGGAGATATTCTTTCCCTCTAGATCGAAGCTCGGCGGCCAGTGTCGCACTTGGAAAACAGTACATATGTTGTCGTAGTAGCTTACATCATGGTTGTTGCAAGCCTTTGCGTGCGAGCAATGCGGTGCGCCAAACAGCATAATGTCACGTGCTAGCTTTCTTTGAGCTGCTGTACGCTTCTCTTCCATGGCAACTGATAATGGGTCAGTATTGATGCTGGACGGAGCAACAAGTCGTGACCTACGAAGCGCGGTGACCGGCAGCGCATGCGAGCCATTACTCTTATGCAAGTCAGAGTAGGGTTCATTGCACCTTGTGATCAGGCGCCTGGTTGCTATGGTGAAGGCTCGACCATGATCGAGCATGTATGCTGCAGCGGCGATGTTTCCCAGATGCGCCAAGCCGCCGTAGTGTGAATCCAGGTAGCCGAGCAAAAGTGCTTGCGTGTGAAGGGTGAGAGGCTCAGTGCAAGCATATTTATCGATCACGACTGCGAGCTGATGAATGCGGGCCGACTGTGGGTTCTTGACTAGTCGGGTGATGACCGTTCCAATGGTTTTGTTGTGCAGGAGGTGGCAAATATCCGACATGGCTTCACTGTTGTCTCCTTGGAGCGTGACCTCTTTCGGCTCGTCAGTGGTACCTTCGCTCTGCCCTTCGGCGAAGTGCGGTCCAAGTAAGGCGGCAAATACCGGTGAGGCAGCCCGTAGCACTGCTGAGGACAGCCCTAGCGCGATGTCTGGTGGTCTGCCAATGCGCAAGACGACATCATACTCTTCCGTGACGCGGACAATTGTCAGTCCTGTTTTGGTCGTCGTATCCATGTCGAGCTGTTCCGGCACTCCATTCGTGGCCATGGTTAAATGTCTTCACTGCTTTTATACTGGCGAGCTCGTTGTGTTGCTCGTACGAGCGATGTGAGATGCCCAAAACACTGCGCAACAACACACGCACGGACCGTGAGGACTAGTTCACTTGTGAAACTTATCCCTCGTCAGTGACGCGAGCGAAACACTATGTGTTTACCACCTGAAGGGCTCGCTTCACGCAGACAATGCAGTCTGTTGCCATCGCAATTTCACGCACAACATAGGTCATCCATTCCCACCATTCAGCCCAGCAGTCGCCGCCCGCGGATCGACTTGGTGAAAGTGCGAGAACACGCCATAGCGGTCCTCCTCGTCCACCAACCAGTGCAAATCCTCCGACGCTCTTGGCAGCGTACTCATCAGTCCATAGCCAGGCCGCGGGTAGTTCGGTGGGTGGCCGTCAGGCACAGGAAATTCGACGCGCGGAGCAGGCGGAGCTGCGTACTGAGCGCCTGCACTTGCCTGCTGCGACGCCGCTCTCGGCATATTAGACTGAGTGTAAGATGATGTCGTAGGGTGAGCTTGTGCTGGAGCCGGATGTGCGTGGCCATTGGCCCCTGGCTGTACGCTCGATGTTGAGCGGACGTGGAAGTTGGGCGCGAAAAGTGGCAAATCAGGATGCAGCGTGGTCGCTTTCGTGAGCAGAGTAACGAGCATGCCCTGCGGTAAGCTGGCAAAGTAGCGTTGTCTCTGCAAAATGGTTAGCCAATCCACAACGTCCCGTCTGTGGCCAAGCTCACCTGCTCCACCGAAGCGCCACCCGCAGCAACAAAGTCCGCGATCTCGGATTCGGGCACAGGCAGCACGCGTTCCTGCTCACACTGCTTACAATACCACTCCTTGTCAACCTCGTCAATGACCGACGGGTCGATTGGCGGATGATGACAAAAGCGGTGGTATGGCGTATTGCACCCGTCACAGAACACAATCATATTGCTCGCTGGACTTGTGCCGCGCAGGCATACCTTGCAGACCGCAGATTCAGGGTTACGTCTATAGGTGCGCTTACGCTTGTTGGATGTAATGGGCGAGGGTGCGGGTGGCGGCGGCACAAAACTGCTGGGCTTTTGTATCGAGCGTCCGGACTTTGTCTTAGTAGCCATAGGTGTATAGACCTCGCTGCTGTCGGAGTCGCCATCCTCGCGGTCTTCACGTTTGCGCTTGCCACCTCTGCCGCCTCCGCGGCCACGGCCTCTCGGTCGACCGCGGGTGCTGCCTCGTGATGCTGTGAGTGGTGTCGCTGTGTTGTTGTGCGACTCTGCTTTGACTTCTGCGTCACGTTGCTCGCCCTCATCTAGCTGGCCGGGCGGTTTGGCAGTGGCAGCGTCTGTGTAAGATACATGGGTTGGCACTGAGAGGGTTCCATGCGGCGCGGTGAGCTGCGGTAGCCCGGAGTTTGAGCCGGGTCCCACTCTCTCAGATGCCTCTGGTGTGACCGCCTCCGCTGCATCAGCCGGCGGTGGGTCGGAGAGTCCAGAAGAAGAGGATTGCCCTGCTTCGGCGTTCAAAGCTAGGTGAACGGCATGCGCTGCCATTGGCAAGACCTTGTCGCGCGCAACTGGCTCACATATCGGACTTACAGTCGTGTCACGTCGATCTTGAAGGCGCAGGAATGCATACCAGTGGTCGGGGGACTGGACGATGAAGTCCCATTGAAGTTCGGTTATACGGTCCGAATTGGCAGACGCATCCGAGCTTTTGCCGACGAGCCAGTCATTCGAGGCGGTCTTGAAACAGTCTACTACATACATGTACCATACATGTCAATCCCAGCTGGAGGAAGCATGCTCGACGACATATACAGCAGCCTACATTTCGCTGTCGCGACTGGCTACATAGCCGAAGCTTTCTCGACCATATACTGATGATGCCTGCAACTCCCTTCACGCATGCTGAGTTCGGCAGCCACTTAACTTTTTCCTCCCAGCTTTGCAACAGTCAATGCACAGTCCTAGTTCTACAGCCCCAAGCACTTTAGATGTCATGTCTGATAGCTTCTTTTGCGTGGGGAAACAGTAGGTGCGGCAGCCGCATTGCGAACTACCGCAATCAGGGATATCGTCGCAGATTGGCAGTTCAAGCATGCGCAAGTCCAGGTAAGATCCCACCAGGCTTTCCTTGGTCATGTCGAAAGGGGACAACCCATTGGCATCCATAGTCTCGTGCATTGATGCAACGTAACGCTGTGACTTCGGGCACTTTGGGGCCGACTTGCAAGGGGCTTTCAACAAAGCGCTCATTTCGCGAATGAGCTGCATCTGAGCGCAGAACCGTCGGTTTTCCAGCTCTACTGCTAGACATCAGCTCAAGCACTCGTTCCCGGCTTTGTATGACAACATACACCAGAGATGCTCGGGCACTTGCTGCGTCACGTCAGATTGTCCGAACTGTTTGTATGGTCTGCTGTAACGTTTGACAGCGTCTTGTGTGTACTGCTCGAACAAGTGAGGATGGTCAAGGATGTAACTGGCGTTGATCAAGTCGCCCAATTCCTCGAAGGATCCATGTGTCGCCACACGCTTGGGGAATATGGACTCGAGGGACATCTGAAGTGCGCGAACGCAGTCGTACTTGTCCGCTACGATGGCCAGTCCAAGTAGTTCCTTGCCAGGCAGCGCCGTCTTGGGTACAGCGAAGCGCATGTGAAGGATCTCCAGCATCGTTCGCATGACTTTCGGATCGTCGTCCGGAAGTGCAATATCTTTGAGTGCCGCAATGTCTGCACCCTCTCGGAATGCAGGCCCCAGTAGGGTCGCGAACACCTTTGACACCAGGGCCAGCGGCGCCTTGGAGACCTTGACTCTCACGGCGGTTTCTTCCGGTCCGACGGTCAAGATCACGTCGCCGCCAAGATCGATCAGGGCTACCGGGAGTGAAGGCGGAGGTTGTTGTGGAGATGAGCTCAGGTCAACGAGCGAAGAGGCCCTATGGTGCGTGACTGGCGTTGCGGGAGGGAGCATAGTGATGTGCTCGAAAGCTGAAGAGCGGGCGAGGAGCCTCGCATTCGGGTTAGGTTGCATCTTGTGTCTTCGTGGTCTCTGGACGCACTTGATGATCACGTCAGAGGGAGATGTCAAGGAGATGCGCTGTCGTGGGGTTCAAAGCTGAACGCAGTTGAATGGGAAGGCGCGCTCGGTACAGGCAGCAGCGCTGTTAGCACGCGTTTCTTCCGCGCAACGCAAACGCGCCGCATCTCAGACCATCACCGGACCACAGCCATACGGGCAAGTCAGCACCCAGCGCATGATCACTGGTACTCGTTCTCCTCATACGCCTCGGCCTCGTATCTCCGAAGCGCTTCCTGATATTCCTGTTCGTCACCCTCAACGTCCAGATTCTCATCCGCGAACGCATTCTCATTGTCCCATCCAGCGTACTCCTCATCCAGCTCCTGCTCGGAGCGCATGTCAAACTCCCGATCATCATCTTCCACTTCGTCTTGCTCCTCCTCCACCGCCTCATCGTCTCCCGCGCCCGTCTGGTCTTGTGTGGGTGGCGGCGACAGTGGTTGCCCGCCTTTATCTGCCACAGCAGGACTTCCCACCGCGGCGCCGCGACCCACCGCCTGCTGTGTAGGTTGCGGCGACTGCAAACCGAACGACACAGTCCTTGCCTGCGGCACTGGCGTCGCCGACTCCCTTTCCGCACCAAGCCGCACCGACGATGCCACGCTCCCCGCCCTCTCACGTCCACTCGAGCTCGGCACCTCACTGCTCGCCCGACTCCGACTCGATGCGCTCGCAGGTGAGTTGTTCAGGTTATACACTCGCTTCAAACTGTCGTAGTCCACGTACTTCGAGAAGTTCTTGTCGGCCCGCTTCTCCAGCATGGCCCTGGCGGCGTCTGCGGGCGTCTCAATAGGCGTCTCGGCGTCCTCAAGCACAGAGCGGTCACCAATCCTTGAGTGCTTCTTACGCTGCTTGCCACCTTTACCAGCAGCGCGCTTTTGCTTGGCTTTGTCCGCGGCGGTCTCCTTGGCCAAGCGCTGGAGAAGCTCTTTTTCGTGTTGAGCGCGGAGCCAGTCTTCATTGTGGGCAACCCAGATGCTCTCTTTGATCGCTTGTTCCTCATCACTCAGCTTGCACATCATGATCTCCGGGTCGTTGTCGAGCATAGAGAGATCGTCCTCCACATCGGCGGGTGGTTCAGCCTCTGACGGGCTCGCCGCTGAAGTGACATTCTGCGCCTCTTGGCGCTGGTTGGTCTGCTCACCCTGCCGTGCAAGTTCAGCCTCCGCTGTTCGCTTGGCACGCAAGCCCGCCGCATCTATTTCTTCTTGACTCTTTTCCTTCTCCGCTGCCTCCAATGCGGCTTGGAAGTCGTCGTCATCGATGATCTGCTCAATGGCCTTCTCTATCTCCTGCTCAGTTAACATCTCTTCCTCAGACAACGATACAGCGGGAGTTGGCTGCTTCTTAGGACGGCCCCTGCGCTTCTTCGGCGGCTCCTCGCCGTTAGTCTGCGGTGTTTCTCCCGTGAGCGCAGGGTCGATATTCCGCGGCAGTGCTGGGATGGCAAATCCATCCGAATCGTAGCGCGGCTGTTGCTGAGTTGGTGGCGATGTTGGTTGCGGACCACTAGTACGCTGTCGCTTACGGCGACGATCGTCCTCGCCGCCCGTCTCGGAAGCTTCCGGCGTCAATGAAGGTTCGCGTGAGCTGTGTTCCTCCTCCTCGCCATCGGATAGAACAATGGGTTCTTGGTTCGGAATCTGGCGATCAACAGTGCCTCGTGCCATCGACTCTCGTTCAGCAGTCGCGCGTGCCTCATTATTCTCCTGCCGCTTCCGCTTCTTCTCCTCGAACTTCTCCTTATTGAGCTGAGAGTACATCAGCGCAGGTGGGTCATGCTGACTCTTCATACGCCAACCAGACTCTCGAAACTGATCAACACTTAGTGTCGATGCCTTGGTGCGCCGAAACTCTTCGATACGCTTGGCAATGGTCATGTCCGCAACCTTCGCGACATAGACGACTTCCCTAACCGACCGCCGGAAATTGTTCATGCGGGCTGCGAGGATGATACATGCACCGCAAATCCCGGCAGGGTGGCGACCAGTCACCATCCAGTCACGGTTCATACGCTTGAGAATCTTGACGGCGTCTTCGGCGACATCCCTAGTTCTTGTGCCAAACTCCAGCTTTCGACAATATTTTTGAATAAGTGGCTCGACATCGACCAGCTGCTGGATAGGCAGGTTCTCCTTGTGGTAGCACAGGTCTTTGCACAAATTCTTGTAGACCTCGCCAAGACGGAAGACGTTGATGTGAAAGATGTCCGCAATGTCCATCAGTAATACACTATTCTGCGGGTTCTTCCGGCATGCAGCGAATAAGCAGGCGCCCACCACCTCGTCTGTGCTGCGACCGGAGGTGAAGTTCAAGCGAGCCGCCAAGCCGAACAACCGCTGTGCCTGAATGGAGTAATCGTCCGTGATGTTCAGACGAGGGCAGATCGAGGCCAATGTGCGACGAGCTTTGTTCTCAGCTTCCTGGGTGCTGTTTCGCTCGCCGCCCACTCCGCCGATGCGACGGAATGCTTTTGGGCCAAAGGTACGCGCATGACGGGCGTTTTCGCCAATAAAACCACCCTGGACCGTGGCAGCACCGCGAGCGTCCTCTTCGAAGGTGACATCTGCAACGATATTTACGTCGGCGAGTTGGGTACCGCAGCTGAGACAGATCTTCATGCCATCTTCGTCTTTGATATCCGGATCGTCGCAGCACTTGGCTTGCGGCTGCTTCTGTTGAGGCTTGAACTTTGAGAGACGACCGGCTGGTTGAGTGAGCGTGGCGAGACGCCTTCTTGGCGCCGCAGCTGGAGCTGCCATACTGGTAGCGAGTGACTTCTGGTCTGACTACCAGTGCAAATATTGGTGTTGCTATGATTCAAGCATAGTCGCAAGGAGTGGGCACTTTTCCTCAACCGGACTTCGGAGTTGTACTGTCATCATATGCTCGGGCTGGATCCCACCATTAACAGATGAGTCGGCTGCAGCTATCGCCAATCGAGACGATGTTGCTACTGTGACTGTGTCAGAAGCGAAGTTCAGCCGAAGGAGTGGTCGGAATTTGCAAGAAACGAACGGCGGATTCGGTGGGCTGGCGGAGTGTCGAATTTGAGCTTCGACTCGGCCCCGCAATTTGAGTCAGCCCCGCCTGTGGCACCTGACTGTCACACTGAAACAACCTCACTTTCCGATCAATCGAGGTAATGGCTTGATAATGGGAGTACAATTGGCATAACATCAGATGCGCTATACAGACCCGAGATTCTCTGTACAGGGTATCGTTTCCTCGCAATGCATCGAGCAATGACTTTTCCGACTCCGTCAGCGCCTCAGTCAAGTCCAGTATTCCAGCGCCATGTTCGTAGTTGAAACACGGTATCGGTCAGACTGGGCATTTGCGTTGTATCGTGATCATAAGGTGGACGCACTCATACAGGATACGGCTGACTCAGTCGATCTTGCATCACCTTCATCAGTAAAGGTGGCACAGCCTCATCCGTCGCCCGGATTGTGAGTCGGTACATCTGTCACAAGCACAGCCGGTCAGCGGAATTTTCCTCACTCACCACGATCGTAAGCGACTCACCTTGTTGCCCTCATTTGGCTCCAGCCTCACAAGACAGCCAAACTTCCCCGCCCCAGTATGCAATACAGTCGCGCCCACAAAGTTTCTCGGATTGGGATCGACACCATCCAGGATACCCCACTTAAAGCCCTCCAGCACCCTCCTTGTGCTCTCCGTACTGACGTCGAACCCTTCGAAGATTCTTTGCGATTCGTGAGGTGGCCCACCAATCTGTTTCCACCGCTTAAAGAAGTCGTCTGCACTCAGCACAGCGCCTTCCATCAACTTATGCAGCACCACGGGTAGCTGCAGCGTCAAAGCCTGCAATGAGCCAGCCATCCAGCTCACCCGCACGGTAGGAGGTTCCGCGAAGATGCCGCGCGCTTCGAACATCACCATCTGCTGTGTCTGCGCTCCGGATTGCACGGCTGTGTCTGGTATGCCCTTGATGTCGATCTTGAGGTTCTCGCTGGTGGTGTGGAAGGTCGTAGTGAAAGATTGAATCTGTGTCGAAGACTTGTTGGTGAAGTACAAGATAACGCAGCCCACCTCGGCACGGTACTCGGAGCGCAAGCCAATCTGGAGTTGCAGATCTTCGTACAGCACGCCTTCAGGCCGTACAAGCAGCCGTGTGTAGCCAGGCTCCCAGTCAGGAGATAGGTGTGATGCACTCGCGAGGTTCGGCCCATTGCTCGCAGATGAGAGATCTAGACCTGCCAGCTCTTCGATGGGCGACTTCACCGGTCCGCCGTTTGTATACGTGCCATTAGGACCGATTAGGCCACCGTTTGCCTCAACTCCATTGATCCCAGCAGGCGGACCAGAGAAGTTGCGCTTGAGCGTCAGACTCCGATCAACGCCATCCTTTGCAGCCAACCCTTCTTTCGCCGTTACAGACCACGTCCGTTTGTCGCCTGCTGCATTCTGTTTCTTATCCAGCCTTGACAGCAGAGCGCTCGTCCGTTCCGGGAACGGTGGCATCTCATCGCACACGGTCCGCAAAAGCTCGTCCGTCTCCATTGTCGCCATCGCCAAGAATTCACACGCTCGCTGTTGCAACTCCGAGTCCAGGCTGTGACTGTACATCCGGAACGCTTGTAGTAACTGCGGTTTGATCTCCGGAAACAGATTGACAAATTTGACGAAAGCGCTCAATATCATTGCGCGTGTGTTAGGCGAGCAAGCATTGAATTTGCCCTGTAAAGCCATGAACTGCTCGATTGGACTGCAGCCCTTGTTATCTGCGATCAGATGGCCGAACTCGCCGAGTATATAGCTTCCGATCTTAACGAGAGTCTCGTGGCAATGGTCCGCCTGACAGTACTTGAGTATCATCTGTGCGGCATACACTTGCAGCTCATCGTTGTTCGTCACGATTTGTATGATGCGCTGCCAGACTTCGTCGCTCACATGGTCGCCTGCCATTGAGATGAGTCGCATCGAAATGTCAACATACCATTTCACGTCCGTAGCGTACTTCTCCGTGAGGATGGCAATCTTCAGGACCATTTCCTCACGAATAGCGTAGTCGGCCGTTTGCAGGTACTTGAGTAGCTCATGGACAATCTTCTGCGAGTTGGTCGAGTCGCACATGCTGTACAAGAGGTCAAGACCTTGTCTTCGCACCGTGATATCGCGATCTCGCAGGGAGGATATGATAATGTCTTGATGCTTCTTAATCGGATCGAGAGTCTCGGCGCGCACGGCGAGATGGGTCATTGCTTCGAGGCCGAGATACCGGACATTAGTCTCGCGGGAGCCGATGAACTTGCCCAGCTTGGTGGAGATCGAAAGCATCAGGTCGCGCTCGGTGTCGAGATGGATGATGAGGTTGATGGCTTCGAAAAGGACGGCATTTTGAGCGTTGTTCTGCTGTACGTTCTTCGGCATTTCCAGAGCGCTGTCAAGGATGGCTTGCAGGGAGTCGCGTATGAGCTGGCGGACGTGCGTGTCTTCGGATGGTGTGAAGTACTGGAGCAGACGGAGCAGCTTGACTTGCAGCCACGGACATGGCACCTTGTAGTAAACGTAATCGCCGGAGTACTCTTGATCGACCACAATCTTTCGTAGCCGTACTGCGGCTTTGGTGTAGCTGCCCTTGTATGTCTCCGGGTTGTCCTGCGCCAGCGCCATGATCAAGGACGTCACTGATAGCGCCACGCCCATGTCCGGATCGTCCATGATAGCAATGATGCGCTCGTTCCACTCCGGCTGCACAATGCTGGGCACTTTGCGGTATAGCCGGAGGAGCGTCAACGCCGCCTTCTTCTTGACAAACGGCTTGGACGTCGGACTGATGAGCAGGCGGTGCACGTCCATGCACAATGCCTCTCCCATCTCCTTGCTGCCCACGTTCGCAATTGCATGTAGCGCCAGGCAGTTGTTGAGCTCGTTGTGATCCCCCAAGTCCTTCCGTAAGCTGTTCACCACGAGATGTAGCAGCTCATGTTGCTCATGCAGGAACAGCGTTACGGCCAGGTAGCCGATCTGCTTCTCCGAGTATTTGTTCGCCGAGATGAGGTTGACAGCTTCGAGGTGACCGAAATCGACATTCCACCCTAGTATGTAAATGTATAGCAGCTTGCACACGTACTTCTTCTTGTCGTAGCCGGTCAAGTTGCCCTTCTTGAACTGCTGCCGAATGTTTGCCAGCTCTTTGTTGATGCGCTTCTCTTCCAGCTCTCGTGCCCGCGCATTGCGAAGGTCGGCTATGAAGGAGACGAGACCGCGCATGGTGTTGTCTTTGCTCCCTCCGGCTGCGCCGCGAAAGACGGCGGCCGCTGCCTGCGCCATGGCGGGCGGCGACCTCGCAGAGTCCTTCCAATGCCCTCCTTGTCTTCAAGAGATCTGACAGTGTCGTGCTGGTATTTCTTTCCCGCGGCCCGAGTCTATTGATGATCTTGGGACTCCGTTATATGATTGGGGGTGATCAACGGTGTTGTCTCTACATGGAGAGTTAGGCGCAGTCACTATGGGACATGATTGACGAAGACGTTATCGTAACGGAGAGTCAGTATGGTATAATGGTGGAGTGGTTAATTGGTGATGGATGCTACATAAGTGTACTGGACTGCAAGATGGAAGCCAGCCAGCCCGCAAGCTCCGGATCTGGTGTCGATCTGCGTGCACCAGGCGGCTGAATCCACCAAGGTAGTCGTAGCGAAAGCAGACTTCAGGCCTACAAATGCCCCTCCATGACAAGAGATCAAATGGCAGTTGGTCGTGGACGGATTCATATCGCATTGTTTCGAAGTCAGCTGTAATAGCGACTATCTACTTCTTCTTCGTCCGGCCTCATCAAGCTGACACCGTACGCCCACCCACAACACCCTATGCAGCAACGTTCATCATTCGACACCACAATATAGGCGCAGAAATGGCCTCGAGACTCTTGACTGAGCACATACCCCACGTAATATCACCGCTTTGTGAATGCTTTACGGAGCCTTCGTGGTAAACTGAAAATGCCGGGTTAGCACTGGGCTCATTCTCTGGTTGCCGCTGACTGGAAGATTTAACTTACATCGGTCTCGAGTTCTGAAGACTGACCGGCCTCGCTGCCGCCGCATGTGCAGGAGTCTGAGCATGTTGTCAGCACTGAGCATACCTCGAACGTACAGTAGAACCGGGGGATCTCACCGCTGGACCGCTTTCCGCATGCGCACTTAGCCCCAGAGGGCGCGCTGTTCTCGACATTGGAGCGCGAGCAGGTGCAAGCACCCGCAGGACGCTGGTCTTCACACCGTTGTCAGCGACCCTGGGCTCCCCGAGCATGGCACTGAGCAGCGAATGTGTTGATACTTACTGCACGAGCAGCGTGCTCCCGCAAGCTGGAAAACGTAGGTCAACACCTGACCCTTCTCAAACAGGCCTGAAATACGCACCTTGTTCTCTGTCTGCGCCTTCTCACAGTTACAGTGCATAGCTGCCTGCTTGCCACAGCTGCACTTGGCCTATGCGGACAGGAGTGAGCAATAAAGCTGGCAGCTATCCTTTCAATACTAGCTCACCTCCTTCGCGCAAATACATCTGATCTAATTGTCAGCCTCGGGGACATTCAGCAGGGATTTGGAGCGTTACATACCCTCCCTCACGTCCACAGCACGTTGCTGGAATCGCAGCAGTCGCAGTAGCCATGTCGATATCTGCTGGTGCTGTTGACGCTTCGGTTGGTTCTTCTCACTATCGACGATGATGACTTGCTGATGGTAGCGGTCCAAATGTCGAGCAGAGTATTTGTTGAAGGAGAAGGTTGGGGAAAGCGAGAAAGCCTCGCCTTTATCCTGCTTCTGCCGATATCAATCTGTATCTGATCCGTCGTCAGGCGACTCAGAACGAGCAACGTTGGCCAATCATGGATCGCCTGGCTGCTGCCGAAACAAAGCCGACAGCCCCGCGTCATCGGCACCACGACACGTGACCGGCAGCATCAATACCATGCTTTGGTTTAACCGACGGATGAAGAAGTACATGAACACTTTATGCACTATGCGCCGAGGGCGCTTAATGGTCTACTTAAGTATGGATACAATGTTCGACGTGGTCGTCGCCATGGCGAGACTGATACATGTAGGGTTCTGTATGACTCTTCGTGTCATCTGCGAACACAGCCGCCCAGTTCTACCATAGCCATACCATTAACATGTATTCGTAGCGATATAAAACCCTCGAACAGTGAAGCCAAGCGCTACGATGCACAACCAAGACTACTTCGGTGTCGATGCTTTCCGGCGGTGCAGCATACTACTTCCGCAGCTCAGCCAGCGCAGCGTTCAGCGATACAAGCTGCTCCTGCAACTGCTTCCTTGTTTCCACGATGTCCGACTTTTCTCCTGCGATCCGCTGAAGCTCCTCATCGCTGTACATGGCGACGCTCTGTGGTGAGAAGGCTGCTGGCAGGTGCCGCAGAAGGTGGCGCTCGATGACCTGCTTGCAGACATTGTCGACGAAAGTCTTCCGTGCGGTCTGGAAAGGCGGAATCAGGTCAGCTTGTGAACGGCCAGATACTTATGGCCGAACCAATAGAATTGACACAGACCTTGTAGTAAGAGTCCAACTCATCTAAAGCTTGACTGCAGGCCTGCTCCACCATATCGACCTGGATATCCTGGGAGCCGGCGCTCAGAGTTTCGTCGTCCATGCCGTCAGTAATTGCGGCCGGTTCGACCACATCATCAGCGCCTCCTTCGAATCCTCCTAATAATTTCTTCTTCGAAGCACGGTTCCGTTTGGAGCGTGACTTTTGCACATTGTCGGTGTAATAGTGGTTGTATGTGATTGGCTGTTGTTGCTCCTCGTCAGCCCACAGGCGCGTTAGTTCCTCCTCAGCTGCTGACTTGCTCTTGTCCAGAGCAATGTCGATAATTTCCTTGATCTCGGCCATTACGTGCCCTTCTACTTTCAGATACTTGATTGCTTTGCCGACGAAGGTGACCACGTAACCGTAGACACGCTCGACGTGCTCGGTAGCGAAAGGCAGCCAACGTTTCGACTGCTGGTGAAAAAGCTCAGTGCCGAGTGCGTGGTTGGTGTGACCAGGAAGCTCGCGACCGCGAGATGTAAGATACACCTAGAATGACACCGTGAGTAGGAATGGGCATTCTGCAAGCTTTTCAAAGATTTACCTTCTTCACCCAGTCGCGCAGACCAGCTTCGTTGACGACTCGCTGGCCGTTTTCTGAAACGAACTCGGTTTCACCAGATACATCCTCCAGATCGAGGGTCTTCCGCGAGTCCATCGGCAATACAGGCGGCCCATCCGACGCTTGGGCCGTGGACAGCTTGCTGCGCTTGGATGGTCGTGCGCTTGGTGAGTTCGTAACATATCGCGTGTTGTCGATTTTCACCGTTTCACCATATTTCCTCATGCGGTCTGCGAACTTCGTGTTGAGGTCGTGAACTACAGCGCGGAGTCTTGATGCGGGGATTTCCGCTCCCGGGGTGTCGTTCGCGAAGAACGGTGCTGAACTTGTATGGTAGTCGCCACCCAGAGCTGCATTAGCGAGACTGTGAAACTGCATCGCTATGTCCGAAAGGAAGAAACGGATATGAGCCGTCGTCGGTCGCTCTGGCGGTAACGAGCTGATACGGCTTTCGGCATCCCTAATCGCAGCCCTGATCTCTTCTTTGACCTTAGGCAGCTCCTTCTCGATATGCTGCTCCAACAGTGATTGCATGGCAAGCTTCAGCCTGTCGATGCCGACACGACTGTAGTCTAGCTTTTGCTCTGCCCACGGAGACGCTCGGAAGTAGCGCAGCTCGTTCTCGGCGCGTTGAGGTTGAGTAATGCCGCCTTCGCGCTCCTTTGGTGTCGGGTTTTTGAGCATGTAGAAGCCGAGCTGGAGCTTGGTCGTATCTTGGTTCTTGGCAAGCGCGGCGATCCTCCTCTCAGCGCCGATATTGATGAGGTCCGGCTTGGTGATGATGCCGACTGTGCGCTGTCCAACGACGTCGTACTGCTTGGACTTCTTAATGATACTCTGGTTGGCGATATCATTGCTTGCTTGAACGACCGCGAGGATGATAATGCGTGGCTTTGCGACGTATGAGTCCACCATCCTCTGGACTGTCTCAACATCGGCTTCAGTTTGCTCCTCGCTGGCGACGGATATGATGCCCGGCAAGTCTACGATGCTTAGGTGAAGTCCAGATGGACTGCAGCGTATTGAGTAAAACCCGTCAGCATTGTCTCGTAGAGTACTAGACCGATGTGCAACAGTGACGTACCCAATGACTTTGATGCGGAGCACATCTTCAGTGAAGGACGGGCCAGTGTCATTATCGCCGTAGCCACGAAGGCCCATGAGGGTACCAGCCTTTGCAATGACATCGGGAAGGTCATCGAAGCCTTTGATGGTACGGTGAAAAGCCTGGAGCTTTAATTTATCCTTGTCGTCACGTAGGCTGTGCGGTATGATGGTAGCAGTGACGAGGAGGGCGCCTTCAGCATGCTCTAGAATGACTTCGGTCGCAAATTTTGTGCAAACTCCCTCTGGAGAAGAGAAGGGTCAGCATACCGCCGGATCAAGCAATTGAGGTTTGCATACCATCACGCGGAAATGGGATTCCCGTCACGCCTTCCAGCACCGAACTCTTGCCGGCAGACTGGTCACCGCAGACTACCAGCTGGGGCAAGTCTATATTGTCGCTGATGCCATGGGCACGTAGATTTGAGATCTGTCTGAGTCTGTGAATTGACTTCGACGACTGCAGTCCGGTGAGCTCGCCGCCCGTAGCGCCAGCTTTGTCGTCGGTCATAGTGGTGATGTGGGTGCCTGGCAGTAGCAGTGCAGTGCGAGAACGACACTGTGCTCTATGGAAGCTGAGGCGGAGGTGCTGTAGAAAGAAAGATGCCACTAGTCCGTAAGAGCAATGACCTGGATTTCGAACAAGTTGGAGGTTTTGAACGGGGGCCTCGTTGATGAACAGGCGTCTTGCAGCTACTGCAACGGAGGCTGACTGCCTTCACGTCATCACTCACCACTTACAATCTTGTGAATGCCCCGGATTGGTCCTTGTTCGCCATCAAACAACCTTACGCGTTTGGGCCGCACCTTCCTACCTGAGTTGCCACGCAGGAGGCAGGCACGTTGCCACGACCATGCGCTCTAACATTCCGGCTTTGTTGAAACCTGCAGAAACCTGTCAATAGTTTCACGAGACTCATGTTCGCGGCTCGACACTACGCCACTCCGGCAAGTTCCCTGCCAGGAGGTAAGAGTGTTCGATAGGCACGGCATTCGTGGCAACACACGGCATGTCTTTAACCGAACACGTCCACGGGAGCCAAGTGAACGTACCAACCGGCTGCATACCGATGGCCAGGTGCCTTTGTCACCACGCCAACGGCGAGCTTTGTAGCCGGGTCACCAGTGCATATTTACACTTCGCTCCCTGTCGTGTCTATTTGCTGGGCGATGTCATTTGCATGTGGTACAGGTATTTGAAGGCCGGAACGCGTTGACAAAGTTTGCCTGCGCGCATCGCGCGATGGTCAATTGCTATAGCAGAAACCAGTGGCAGATAGTGGGCTAAGCACTCCGCGCAATTGTGCAGGTTGCCGACCGACCATCCGCACGTCGGTCACACATCGGTTGTTCGCTTGTTCGCATGGGCGACAAGCGAGACTATCGTCCATTCAGACCAGACGCGTGCCACAGCGACATGTATCATGTGAACATAGATGTCGCAAAGACGATCGTGGTACAGACTGGAGTGAAGTGAAGTGAAAAGCAGAAGCAATGTTTCGTCCTCTAGCTTGGCACATTCGCTAGCGTAAAAACTCCCCAAGCCAATCAGCTTCACAGTCGCAGGCCACCGAAACATCAGAATGATCGCTTGAAACACTCATTACCCGTTATTTCATGAGAGGACGACGTCAGGCTTGAGGCAGTTACGTCTTACGTAGCAGAGGCAATCCAAGCCTACTCCCGATGTGCATTGTATGCGCATCACCTGAACTCCAGCCTCCGCACCGGACTCCCTTGCCCATCAATCTGCCCATACCCGCCACTCGGCTGTGGCTCGAACCCCATCTGAGGAGCCGTTTGCCACGGCGTCCCCGCATAGAACCCACCGACATCCTGTCCACTAAAGCTGCGCTGCGGAGTCGGCGGCGGCGGCGGCTGGTAGTAGCCCTGGAAATGCTGCGGCGGCAGGGCGGAAGTTTCAGTCTTGCGGAAGAAGCCACTGCGGTTCTACGTTAGCGTGGATCTCCGGTGAAGGTGTGGGATGATAGTACGTACAAGGCGAAGTTGCTAATTGCAAAACACCCAAACACCAGTATGAACGTGAAGAACATGGCTTTGTAGCTGATTGGCTCAAGGAAGCTGTTGAAGATCTCCGCGAAGGTATGTGCGGACACCTTCGCTCTTCCGACCTTCGACGCATCGCGATTCATGCACCTTGCCCAGTTCTCGCACACAGTCTCCATAGCGGGGACGCGTGTGGCACGGTCACAGCGATTGGCCGTGTACTGTTCGGCGCACGCGGCCATCTCCGCCATGATGTCGGCCATGGCTTCGTGGGCTTTCTTGTCGATGTCGCCTTGCACCGCAGACCAGATGGAGTATATGGCGTAGGCGCAGCATAGCAGGAGAAAGATGTTGAAGAGGAGTTGGGCGTAGAAGGAGAGAATGTGCGGGACGGTGGGGTGGCGTTCGATGAAGGTGTAGAAAGTGGAGAGCCAGTGTTCTTTTGGCGGAGCTTGCTGTGTCTCTGGCAGTGGTTGGGATTGCGAGCTGGTCTTGCGCGGGCTGGCAATGCGTTGATCATCTTCCGTTTCGGACACGCTATGTCTTCGCTTCCGACTCTCTTTGCGCGTGACATCGCGTTTGCGTCGCTTTTCGATGCGCCGGTCTGTTACTGCGTAGTGGTCTGCCCTCGGGATCTCACCGCGGCCGGGGCTGTAGAGCTTGTTCTTAGCCTTCGTCCATTGTGTACCCAGCCAGCTCTCCCGCCGATCCATGTCTGGCCTCTCCTTGACAGGGCTATGCCGCTCGGCACCTGGTAGTACAGGTAGAGCGGCCATTTCTAGCCTTCTCGACGGACTTCGCAGCTTGTTCTGATCGGGCGTCGCATCGCTGTCGTCGTTCTGCTCCGGCGATCTTGGTGTCTCTCCCGCAGATGAGTCGTCGAAGTCCGCGCTAGGTTTGCGCGGAGTATTGTACAGCGCGTTGAATGCAGGCGGCGCTGGTAGTGGCTTTGATGGCGATGCCAGCTGGTTCCTTTGCGACTTGGTCGGTGAGTCGAAGGCGCTGTGGGTACGCTTCTTCGATGAGGGTGGGAATCGCTGCGGGTTCTGAGAGATCTGAGCGAAGGGTGAGCGGCCGTCGAGGGGACCGGTGCCGTTCTGAAACTCGAAGTCCATCGGTGACTCGTGATGATAGCGGGACATGACTGCGCGGATGCTGTCTGGAATGTAAAGGAAAGCCTATGCGCTTCTGATCGTGGTGAGAGTTCGTTTGAGGATTAGGCGGGCAGTTTTGACGTGGCCCGTGCCATCAACAAAGTGTTGGCGCAGTGACAGAACTGTGTTTCAGAAGGAGCAAGCTCCATTCCACTCACACTTCCTTCCGCTCACGTTTACACTCACGCTCACGTATGAACGAAGCGGCAACAGACTGATGAAGCCTCCGCCGCTTGCATGAATCTGTCGGAATACACAGACTGGTGTAAGTTATGTCTACGCTATACTCTTAGCACTCTCGTAGACCTCTTGGCTCCGTTAGTAAGCAAGGCGGTATGCTCGAACAGGAACATTGCCGCCAACACCTGTCCTGTAGCGTGTACATACATATGTGGTAATTGCCAGTACGTGGGATGAGGTTTGAGAAGTGCTCGACAGTGAAGCCCTCTCAACATCATGTCAAGCTCCACGCAATGGCACGCCGCCAACGGCGCAAGTCTACCAGACAATACGTCTAAACCATTCGTCGTCACTGCGCCGCCGAAGACTGATATCTGGCGACCCAATCCGGCCGAAGACGTCTTCACAGCTCCAAACATCTACACCACGATCCAACCTTTCACTTTCCAGAAACTCTCTGTCACCGTTTCTGCCGTCTGGCAAACTCGCTACGACCAAGGCGGCTTCCTCCTCGCCTTCCCTCGCTCAGATGGACCCTGGCGCTGGATCAAAGCCGGCATCGAGTTCGAGAAGGGTGCCCCTTGCCTCGGCGTAGTCGGTACTGACCGCTTCTCGGACTGGAGTCTGAACCCTATGCAGCCTGGTAAGGTTCAGGCCACATTTGAGGCAGTAAGGGAAGGAACAACGTTGTGGGTGTATGCTACTGTAGGTGATGCTCATCCTGTAAGGCAGCCGCTAAGGGAAATCAAATGGGCGTTTCTTGACAGCGAGGAAGGCAAGGGGGAGCTGAGGGTGGGCGTTTATGCTGCGAAGCCTACGCCTGAGGAAGGCGATGCTGAGAAGGGACTTGACGTGAGCTTTAGCAATCTGGCTGTTGAGACTACCTCCTAAGCACGCTACTGCTGGGCTATACTAATAGGAGTGGGGAGATAAAATGTGAGTGCACCTTCTCCCTTCATCTGGCGCAGCTACTGACCTCAGCTTCTCGAACACTGCAGCTTCTATACGGGCAGTGTCAAATGTTCCTACCTTGTCAAGCTCGCCTTCCCAATCTGCCTTGCTGACACGCCGCACACTTCGTCCACGGGTCTTCCGTGCGCATTCGTGGCGGCATCAAACCATCAACAGATATACATTGTATCTCACTCGCTAGGACACCAGCAGCTCATCTGCATCTTCCACCTGCATCGCTACCCACAGGTTGTCTGCTCTTGACGACTCTCTCATGCCTCTCGCCATATTCCTCCTAATTATTATCCCGTCTGCCGTCCTGCTTCTCGGCTGGTTCACCGGCTACGCATTCGCGAACAGCACCACCGCCGGAGAAGGTCACCTTTGAGCTACCGCCAAATGCTCCGATCCTCTTCGCGGTCCCGGTATCTGACTGTCCGAGCGTAACCGGCGTCTCTCCAGCACGACGAACGCTGCCACCGAGTCGGCACGCGCTGCGTAAGAGAGAATTGCAGGAGCTTGGCATCGGGAGCTGCTACTGCTTACACATCGGACGCCCTACAACTCTAGAGGTTACTGAATGTTAATGCTTCTACTGCTGTCGGCCGTCTAGAGAATCGTTCTAATCGCTATTAGCGTGGGCTTACCGCTCTCCGTTACCGCGAGTGCGGTTGCTGCAAGTCTTTGGCACAAGCTACGCCGCAGACACAGGGCTTCTGCTGGAGAAAAGCGAGCTTGGGCTTGAGACCTATTGGCGGTGCACTCCTGACGCTTCTGGATCTCGCGGCTGGGGCATTGGTCGGCTGCTCGTGGTTCTTCCTGCTTTCGCCTTCCATTGGTTTGCTGCCACGGGATTGACAGCTTCTGTCGCCGTCTGCGTGAGTGATACTAGTCTGCCCCGTAGATGGACCTGGGGAGTCTTGCTGCCATTGTCGCATTAGGCATTGCAGGACTTGTCGCGCTTGCTTTCGCCTTCGTCGGCCGCCGCAGGTCAAGGACGACAGCATCTTGACTATACACCAGAGTCTCGGCGCTCATCCTGCACACACGAAACAGTCACCGTTTGCTCGGAAGCGGTGGCGACGGAGAAGTGGATGTTCAGTCCGCCAACGAGCGCAGCAAAACCACAAGCTCAAGCTCCGACGACATTCTGGAGACCGGTCGCAAGACTTCATCGACGAAAGCGAGGACTCCTCTGCAGTTTCAACGACCTGATACATTTCGGCTGCTAGAGTGGTGACACACGTGCGCACAAACTGCACAGAGCCCCTGGCCGTCATCAGCGCCGTGTTGAGTACCAGCCGAATACATGTTGTCGCACTTCATTATACTCCACGTTATTGGACCGATTGTAGTCGGAGGAGTGCTCTTCATCGTCGTATGTCTGAAGGGTGTCTACCGAAAGGTTCGAACAGGGCATTTCCGTCGCCAGTGGAAGCCACACTTCTATTCAGAGAAGGAGGCTCAGAACCAGACAAAGAGGACGGACCATTGCTCGACTTGCTCATGCCAGGCACTTTGAACGCGCTAGATCTTGCTGGCGATCCCGGCAATCTGGGGTCGCGAGAAGTGGTCAATCTCACGGCGGAGGTGGAAGACCAACACCACGATGCAAGATCTCGGCGACTTCGTAGTTCGGACCCTTCTCATGTCGGTGATCTGGCACACGGTCGGGCTAATGTTCGAGCATATCAGGCGGGGATGCAGCAGCATGTACCGCTGGTGGCGACAGAGGCGAGCGGAAAGGAACGCTCGTCGCTGGCAACCACCTCCGTACAGCAAAGACCCTCCCACCCTCTAGGTCATTTACTTACGGACATTCGCACCGACCGTTCGCTTCAATCAACATTGCGCTTGCCACGAGATCGCACCATCAGTGAACGGTCTGCGTCTTTAGATCCAGCCGCGAGAGTGAGCCCACCGATTGGCTTTTCAGCGTTGACGCCGACCAACACCATGACCGAACGAGCCCAGTCTCTCGGCCTAGATACCACAGAGCTGCCAGAAGCGGCTGACTGGAGCGAACAGACGCCAGCGCTTCTAGGCGCAGTTGACGAGCACCTCATGCGGTATGTAGACGATCTGCCTGTCGTACTGGAAGGGGATGAAACTGAGGAGTTCTCATCCTCTCCTCGAGCCAGCTTTCCTCCGCCACGACCAGATGGCATAACCCAAATTCTGGCTTTGACAGACCGTTCGCACCCTGGCGGTGATCGAAGCTTCCAAAAGCGCTCCTTGTCCATGCCCTCGAAGCCGCTCAAGAGTGCGCTTGTCACGCCGCCTAGCAGCCCGCCGGAACACAACAGAGGCAGGAGGAAGAGAGCCCACTTCCGAGACGATTCCACTGAGCCTGACCCAGTGCTTCGACGGACAACAACAGCGCCACCGGAGCTTGGCGAAGGCGTCACATCGGAAGTCAATACTACAGGCTCTGCCGGTCTGGGACCGGGGCAAATCGAGAGTGGAACACCCTGTGACGAAGTGGACGCTAAGGACGCCGCTGGGCGGCGGTGGAAGCTTGTTGTCAAGATGATGGTCGACGAGGTCAAGCGAGTGGAGGGTGCACGCTGTGACAGCGCTCCAGACCCTCTTATACTGGAGGTCGAGGACGACGCCGAGGAGAGTACGGAGACCGAGCACGATACTCACGGCTTTGAGCTCGAGCACGATGATCAGGAGGATGAAGATGATGTCGCTGAATTTCCGGACGACGAACCGAACAATGACGACGCAGCCACAGAGTCCGAATCTGACGAAACGATCGCAAGCGACAGTGGCGAAGAATACCACGATGCCGCGTCCGGAGACGGTGACTTGACCCCGACATTCGAGCAAGATGATTTTACAGAGAGCAAGCCGACTCTGACTGTTCACACCGAGATCGAATCCGAGCCTTCTGCCACTGCTGTTAATAGACATGTTCGACGAAGCACCGACGATGGACCCGTAGGCCTGTCGGTCGATCAGCAAGCGGACAACGATCGCTACTCTGTGGAGTTCATCATGCCCATCATTGGCGAGACGAAAGGCCTAGAGGGAGCCAGCTCACGGCCACAGCTTGCATCTCAGCAACGTATCGCTGCGCCATCCTTAGCAGGTCGACGAGTCTCAGAGTCTGGACTGAGCGGACATGTTGTGAGAGGGGACGGTCAACCACGCCGCCGGGCTTCGTCCATGACCGACTTTCAGCAGTTGAAAGAGCGACTCAAACTGCATCCCTTCTCTGTCAAGGCAACACCCGCAGACTGCGCCATTAGTGCTTGTAGTGTTCGCGTGGCAACGCCACCAAGGCTGAACACTGTCTATGAGCATTCTGGTGGCTGCTATCTGCCGTTTTCGCAGAGGGAAAGCGCTATCAGAACAGCGCAGACTGTCACTTCGGCATCGAGCATGTACCGGATGGTCTGGGAGGAGCCTGCTTGGGAAAGTCCGGAGAGCGATACGGCGGTAATCGAGCAGCCATTCAGAATCGATGCTGCGGACGATCCAAACGCTCTGCAAGCTCATGTGCAAATGCCGAGTCCGATTGGCAAGGCAAAGGCCAAGCTTGCCGCATGGTCGTGGGCTCGCGAGAGAGGCCATGACGAGCATGATGATTCCCGGCTGATATCTCTGCTGTCGCTCGACATCGACGCGCGTAGACACGCCTTAGAGTCCAGCCCATCTGGAGAGCATCCACTTGCTCCGCCAAACACCGCCACCTCGTCTGCTCGCCACTCTGGCCCGCACACACCGCATGACCTGGAAGCCGACGACCGGGTCGAAGAAGAAGAGACGAACGAGGAAGTAGAAGACGACAGTCCAGTCGAGCTGCGCTTCCGCTCGGACTTCCATCGCATACGCTCCATGTCCGCGCCGGCGATGCAAGACTACCTGACCGCCCCCACAGTTCCGCGCACCAACTTACCCACCCTGCACCTGCCCGACTCGCCCGAGCGTTTTGGCGGACTGCCCCGGCATCTCTCGAACCTCGCCGAGATGGACGAGCACTTCCGCTCTCATCGCGACTCGCTGGACGTTTACCACCAACGCATGCGGGGCGAGGAGCGCGTGAACCAGCTTCTGGCCAACAGCAAGGACTCCTTCGTGCTCGCGAAGAGCAAGTACGAGGCCAAGTATCCGGGTTCGACCAGTGCCGCAAAGGGCCACATTCAGTGGAGTCGGTATGGAGGGTTAAGTCCGATTATGGATGCGAGTCCACCGGACGCGAGGAAAGTAGCTGCTGAGAAGGGGTTGTCGAGGCTTGATGAGGCTTCGAGGCGGCTAAAGAAAGATGTGGCCAAGGACAAGGAGGATGACGCACAGAAGGAAGACGAGGGCCAGCAGAAGTGGTACAAAGCGGTGTACAGAAGAGATGAGGATGGAATGCTGGTACTGAAGCTGCTGGGTGAGGAAGCTTCGCCCTGAGATGAACCTAAAACACTGTACCTATTTTTCGGTAGCGTACTGTCAGCAGCTTGATTACTGCCCGCGCTCTCGCCCAAACGCCTCGCTAAAGATGCCGTCCGCGCGTGTGTACTTTGTCAATCAACCTCCACGCCCTTCTTCTTCAGATCCTCCCGCGCTTCCTGTATTTGCTTCATGAGCTCCTCGTACGCGTCCGGGCAGTCGTTGAAGGTGAGCACGCCGTAGCCCAGCTTGGCCAGGAGGTAGGCCCCGAATGTGACTAGTGCCCAGAAGGGGAGCTACGCACGGTCAGCCATGCATGCGCCGCTTGGCGCGAGATCGCTGGGACGTACAACAGGTATGATATCGTCTGCGATCTTCTTGGGTAAGGGTGCGAGGCCGAGGAACGCTACCATATATACCTGGACCCATGTTAGCGAAGATGATAGTTGAGGTGTCCGTGGTGGCGTGGCATACGGAGGCGACCAAAAGGCCAATCGAGAGAGTCTGTTGCGCTCGTGTCATTGTGGTGGTAAGGCTGACCCGTTGACAGTCAGATTTGTCGTATGGAAACGTGCGATCTATCGAGAACAGATGGGTGTGGTTGGCCGTCGGGCTCGAGGAGACGTAGACTGGAGCCTGAGGCCGCAATCTTGTCTCACTTCACGCAAGCACAACATTGGAGATGCATTTGCTTCCGTGAGCAGCCGTTGTCACTTGCAAGCATCTACAGGATGTGACAGCCTTGCGTGCCACGAAATGTATCAGCATGGAGACCCACGTGGACCTGGCAGCCATCGAAGGCGCTCTGGCACAGTTGCGGCTCTCGACCGACAACGCCCCGGATGTGAACCGCTCAATCGTGACTCTAGCCGCCGGCAGCAAGGCGAACGAAGAGGTAAGGCGACGACTGGCGGACCCAAAAATCCTGCCGAGACTTGTCGAGGTCGTGGAGTGCAGTCTCAACGACTCGCTCGAAGTTACGACCGACGCACTCCGTTGTATCGGCAATGCGTGCATTGACAACGAAGCCGCCAGATCTCGTATCGCTGATCTTGGCGTTGGATGGGCGAGGCAATGCTTGCAGCAGGGCGACGTGGAGTTGGGATGGCTTGCTGCACAGGTCCTGCATAACATTTGCTTTGACTACGTTCCAGCGCAGCGGGCGTGCGTAGTGGCCAAGATACATCATGACCTGATCTCGCTATGTACATTACCAGGAATCTTGAAGTCTGCCGATGTCAGCATGATCCTCGACTTACTCTTCGACCTTACTGGTGACGGTGTTCTGGACGCAGAATCCGTGTGGCGGGATGTACCGCATCATATCATAACTGGCCTACTGTCGTTGCCACATTATCACATCACGCATGTGTCCGTGGACGACTTCGCCACCATCGTAGAGGTATGCCTGACCTTACTTAGAGTTGCGACGGTGCAAACGCACATTGTCGCTAACAAGCTGGTCGACAATGTCTGGCGCTTATTTGTCGACATCGAACGTCAATTGGACGGTCTAGCGGCGAATGATGCTATGATAGCGGAGCAAAGAGAGCTGCTTCAGCCCCTTTCATCGAGTGTGCTGTGGTGCTCGAGCGACATTGCTGCGAACCCGGAGTTTTCTGTGAACTACAAGCGCGATGATCCGTTCGTTGAGGCACTCATTGTGCTTGTTGCGGCTGTTCGAGAAGCGGACGGCTTGGTATCGACCGCCGTATCTGCGCACGACACCCAAGTGTTACCGCTGTTTTCGGAAGCATTCATCGAACAGGGAGCCCCTACGAGCCAAGTTCTAAGCCTTGGAGGCTGGCGCGAGCTTGCTGCGGCCTGCCAGATACTTGGTAATTGGATCTGGAAGGTGTCGGTCAGCGAAATTGAACCATTAGTGCTGACTCGTAACGTCCACATGGGGCTGTGGTCAGCACTCCGCTTCCGGCTGATCTCGACAGACAGTCCGGGCAGCTCAATGAACGACGAGATCATCCATTCAATAGCTGGTTTCCTACTGCAGCTGTGCCGCGGTGGCGCCAAGGTATGCGAGATGATGGTGGAGCATGTGGATGCAAATGATGCACTTGCGGCATTGTGTCACTCTCAGACACCGCAGCTGAAGCAAGATGGCGTTCGGCTGATGCAGGCGCTGGGTAAAGGTTCGATGTCGGCTCGGGAGAAGCTCCGTGATGTCATATCATCGTTGGAGACTCCGGACGAGACCAGCAATGCGCTGCAGATGGAGTAAGCAAGTAGAGCGACGATGGCAGAAGCGGAAGGCACGTTCATCTCGCCTCCATGTGATATGGGGTACGGCCACGTAGAGTATGAACGTCGACACAAACTTGCGAATCGGGATTCGCATTGATAGAAAGATCAAGGCAGCTTTCAAACGGCCGAAAGATTATTCCGCTCGAGTGATGACTTTACCAAAGCATCTCTACATTGGTGATCGGTGCTATATCGTCATAGTGGCCATGCTCAATCCCATCCTCCGACAACGTCATGGGCCGTCGATGCCAGTACCTCAGAAACCGCTGGGCAGCCAACTCAGTGCAGAAGCCCAGGATGTAGACTAGCTGCGGAGATCTTCTCGTTTCCTCTACATGGTCGCCAGAGGTTGCCGCAAGTTCGCTTGCATCAGGCGCCGGTACCTTCTTGCGTCCACGCCGGAACTCCACTTCCTCAATTCCAGCCTGTTCCTGTTCCGTGCGTGAGTCGCCCCTCGCCACAGCCCCGGCTTTCGGACTATGCCTATCCCTAGTGGTGGCAGGGTTGGTTGGTTCCCATTTCGTGATCCTGGGTACGTTGTCATCCCCACCAGACCAGGGTAGCGAGCGGTCTTTAGCAGTCTCCACGAGGACATGGCGGATGGCAGGGACCTGAAGCTGCGGTCCCTCCAGCGTCAAGCGCACTTCGAAAGGCATCCTGTCAGGGCGCCTCACAAGTGCTTTGTAGCCCTGGTGCTTGACTAGACTGTCCATCGCCGGCGTCATCGGGTGCGACAGCATCCTCAGGTCCATCTTCTGACTCGCTGGTACGAGGGTGAAGGCTTGCAGGACAGCGTGAGCGTCCATGCCTAGCACTTTATACCCAGGAGGTGGCGGGATCTGCGATGCGGTGGAAGTAGGCGTCTGTTGCGCCACAATCTGAAACATCCTGGAGACGTGACCTTGGTAGGTGAAGGCGCTCAGTCGGTTCTTGAAGAGGAGATAATAGTAGTTGCCCTGTTCGAGTGTGGCTAAATCTCGACCCGGTAGCACCTTGATGATGTCGCCTTGTTCGAGCATCCAGCCTTCCATGTGCTGGCCTTGCGGGACGAGGCGGCGGAAGTCCTCTTCCACAAGGTTCTTGCTCGCGTTACGGAGAACCAGGACAGTGATCTCGGGAGAGAGTTCATCTTGACGTCGGATCTCACGTTCAAGTTGCGGCATCATTGGTCGATCGTGGAAGATGTTGTGATCTGAGCGAGTCATGCGTTTTGGCATGTTTGGACTTTCCAGGGGTAATCGAGGAATTTCTCGGGGTGGACGCTCTTCGTCGCCTGCATCCTTCTTCGTTTTTGGGAAGAGCTGCTCGGCAAGGGAGAGTGCGCCATTGTTTGGACCGACTTTGATACGCTTCACGCCGTGATGATCGGGCGGGCCATTCCCACCTCCTCCGACTCCCCTACGCCGCCGACCGTCATTGCTGGCATGCCGTAGCGTGATCCGACTACATTGGAAGCGGTGTCCGCTAGCGACGCGCCTCCTCAGCAGCGTCCTTACGAGCATGTATTGTTTCAAATACGGTAGAGGGCGGGGGGGCGGCAAGGAGTTGAAGTTAATGCAGCCTCAAGAGTCAATGCCATTGATCATTGAGGCTTATATCTTGAACTTCGTGCCGTGAGACGCTATCTGCCGCGTGTTGCTCATGCATTGAGGGAAATCGGTGTAACCTACTCGACTTTATCACCCTCGTGCGAAGCTTCCATCCTCAGCGTGGCCATAGTGGCGTAGAAACTCTGTATGGATGGTATATCGGCGGTCATGCTCAAAGTCACTGAGCCTGAGTTGAGAATTGACCAATCAGAAGCGTGCATACACCTTTGCATGAGACGCACCTTCCCTCTTCACTCGATCTCAGATCTGGCAAGCACATGCACTTCCACTCCACACAGGCGTGACACGTCTATATGCGCCGGCTGCTCGCACTCACGTAAGTCGTTGAGGCCATCAACATGCCTCTGCTACATCCTCTTCGCATGCACCCCCCTAACAGCGAACAGGACGGGGAAGTGATGGATAGCGGCAGCTTCGTCGTCAGAACGCTGTTGCCGGCAGGCAGTCTCGAGGGTGCTTTCCGGGTCCATCTGACACCTGACAGTCTAGACAAGCTGGACCTGAAGGTTGGCGAGATTTGCCACGTCGATGGCGAGAATGGATCGATCGGGTATGGAATTGCGTGGCGCGCCACCGACAAGATGGGTACTGCGCCCAAGCTTAAGCCTGCGAAGATGACCGACACCATGCGGACTGCTTTCGGGTTCAAAGAAGGCTCACACGTCAGCATCTCGAAGACGAAACAGCAGATTGCTCCTGCTACCCGGATCATCTTAAGCGACGTGACACCGACAGAGTATGCGAATGATCCCACGGATGACGACGACAGGTGGGGTGTGCGTGCTCACTTTCTACTGTCCGAATGCGAGGCCATTGCGGTGGGGACGACGTTCGATGTGAGTGCGAAGAGGGCGCGTAGGAAGCGCTTCTTCATCGATCACATTGAATGTCCCACCGTACCAGACGGACCCGGGCTGTTCAGTTGCCTCGGAAGGACAGAAGTCATCATAAGCACGGATTCTGCCAACATTATCGGTGAGGCAACGCTGTCGAATGAGGACCAAGTGCACTCCGTCTTCGACATTAGCCGGATCGGTGGACTTGTCGAGCAGGCCAAGCAGCTTAACGAGCGCTTGGATTGGCTGCTCGAGAGGGCTTCAAGCAAACCACGGCACATCTTACTACATGGGTACGAAGGCACGGGCAAGAGCCTGTTGCTCAACTCTATCCACACAATCAGTGACTGCAGGGTGACACGACTCGTGCCGGAAGGCACGATAGCGAAGACACAATCACACATCCAGACTGTTTTCGAGAATGCTGTAGCGAAGCAGCCGAGCATCATTCTGATCGACGACGCTGACGAAATGCTTGCGCCCGACAACAAAGCGGTCGCTCTCACTCTTGGTACAGAAATGGATAAGCTTAGAGACTCCGATGCTGTCCTTGTGATCGGCGCCGCACGTTCTCCGGGTGCGCTTCACAGTAAGCTGCATGACCGCAATCGCTTCTCCGTGCTGATTGAGCTCACGATACCCGACATGCGCGCTCGGCGTGAAATCATACAGCTCCTTCTCAAGCAGCCTGACCACCGCGAGAATACGCTCGGGGCTACTGTAGCATCGAAGACGCACGGCTTTACTGGGCGAGACCTTGCGTTCCTGGTTGATGACGCGAAAGATCTCGCTCACAGGCGTCGGCGGGCAGAGCAAGACCGGGAAGACTGGGTTGATGTCCATGCCCGCGGATTTGCGCAAGAAGGGACTCCCCTCACCAGCCAAGTCGACGGCTCTCTGCACAGTCAAGCTACGACGCAAGTGGAACAGGCGCCGCTTGCGAATGGCCATGCAGTCAGATCAGAAGTCACGTTTGACGACTTCGCACTTGCCCTCAAGACTGCCAAGCCAAGCGCTCTACGTGAGCTCTTCTTCGAAACGCCCAACATCAAGTGGTCGGACATTGGCGGGTCTGATGCCATCCGTGAGCGGTTCGACGTGGCGATAGGGAGACCGCTTCATCACGCCGACGTGCTGGCCGAATACCGCATCAAACCTGCAAAGGGCATCTTACTCTACGGTCCGCCTGGGTGCTCGAAGACCATGACCGCTCAAGCCGTGGCGACGATGTACGATCTCAACTTCATCGCCATCAAAGGCGCCGAGTTGATCAGCATGTACGTGGGCGAATCGGAGCGCTCGCTACGAGAGATCTTCCGAAAGGCGAAGCAAGCGGCACCTTGCATCATCTTCTTCGACGAGATTGATGCCATAGGCTCTCAGCGAGAGGGAGATGGTCACAAGGGTAAGCCGAGCGACCCCCACCTCAAACTGTTCGAGACACAGCTAAGTCTTCCTCACTGCCATAGGCCTCAACGTTGTGACAACCTTGTTGACGGAGATGGACGGCTTCGAAACCCTCCGCGACGTGATTGTGCTTGCCGCGACGAACAAACCGCACATCCTTGACCCAGCTCTTCTCCGGCCGGGGCGCTTCGATACGTACGTCTACGTCGGACCGCCTAACGACCTCGCCCGAAAGCAAATCCTGGAGATGTCGCTGCTAACCGCCTCTGGAGCGTCCCTAGCGCCTGCCGCCGATGTGGAGGAGCTGGTGGGCGCTACGGCTGGGTATAGCGGCGCGGAGATTGTGAGGATGTGTAATATTGCCAAGATGAGCGCGGTTGATGCTCTTATAGCCTCCGGCCAGGAGCAGAGGAGTACGGAGGCGAGTGGTAGTGTGAGTGCGGAGCAGCTGCGGAGCGCGTTGAGGGAGGTGCCGAGGGGGATCACGAGGGAGATGTTGGAGGAGTATGAACGGTTTGCTAGTCGATGAGTGATAGCCGTGTATTTGAAGGCAGATTGAAGGGGAGGTGTCGAACTATAGATGAATAGTCCTGCTATGTAGCGGAAGACCAAGAAGACCGATGGCGGCTGCACTGAGGCGGTTGACGGGTCGGTAGCAGGGTCCCTCAAGAGCGCAGTGCGTCCTCCAAGAACACCAACACCATGCCGCTCATGGTATCTTTCAGCGTGACTTTGGAAGAGTAGGAAGGTGACGGTGTAGGGCTCCATTGCCTTCGATCCCGGAAGCGTCCTGCATGCTTTTGAACCACACCCGGACGTCTTATGGTATCTTCTTCTGAACCGGACCATGAAGGAGGGATGGTCGCACCGCAAGCATCTTACTCTTTGTCGACTCAAGAAAGCACAGAATTTGGTACTGCGCGCTCACTCGTAAGAACCGACATTGGGCTACTTAATGCCTATACGTCGCTCTTGCAGAGACATCTGAGCGAACGGGATGCAGGAGCAGGATGTGTTAGGACCGCCGTGAGAGAGTTGATGTTAAGATTGGCCAAGGTGCGACTGATTCATTGATCAAACATCTTCTCAGATTGATCGCCACGATGCTACATCTGCGGCCTGCCCGGCATGAGCTCACGGGTATGGGTATGAATATGGACATCCCTCAGACCCACAACCAGAACTTTTGCACTATCACCAACCGCGTCGCCTGAGCATCGCTCCCTCTGCGCCCCCTTCAACGCCCCGGCCCTCATTTATACCATGCCTCGTATCGTCGTGAAATGCCTCCTCCACCACCTCCCCCCTCACCCCATCCCTGAGTGGCAACTTCACCAAATGGTGAACTTATCCAACCCGCCCCTCCCATCCGGCGGATCCTTCGGCCCCCGCCTCAACCCCATCGCCATCTCCTCCGCCTTGCGCCTGGCTCTGACCACAAGGAACTATTTGCAAAAAAGAGTCAGGTTAGCACACCTGCCTCCCCAACAACAGAAGTACTCACCAAGCATGACACAACCCAAAAAGTCGAAAGCGAAAACTAAGCCGAAGGGGAGGGTACGAAATACGAAACTTCCCCCTCAAACCGAAGTGGTGGTGGTGGTAGCAGGAGGAACATCAGCACTCTTCTCCCCCTCGCTTACCGGCTCAATCATCTGCCCACTCAAATTACTAATCACACTCATCACACTGCCGACCATATCATCAACATCATACGCCTCGGCCGCCTCGCCGTAAACCCGCACCGCGTCCTCCGTCCCACTCGCACGAACGAAACATCGTCCATCGCGGTATTTCTTCACGATATTGTCAAGCTCAATCTGCACCTGCGGCGGAGATTGGAGTCGTCTTTCCGCTGTGCCGGGGACGGTTTGGTACATCCCCCTATCCCGCACGTTGACTTTGCCGAGTTTGTTGGGGAACTCTTTGTACGTCCCCAACCAATCCGCGACGGTCCATTCTTTGTGCGCGAGCACGACTTCGACGAGGAGGAGGTCGGAGAGGGCGTCGCCTACTGTTTGGTTGATGAGGTCGCATAACGCTTTGAGCGTGTCGAGCGCGGTGAGTTGGGCGGGGGATTGCGGGTCGTGCTTGCGGATCGTCTTAAGAGCTCGCTCGCTGAACAGCACCGTCCCGTGCCCGTTTGCTTCGAAGTAGACGCCGATGTCCGCTTGCGCGGCGACATGGTGCAGGTGTTTGACGCCCGTGGGCGTGCATTCGACTTTGAGTTTGAGGACCTGCTCGACGTACTTTGTGGCGGCGCCATTGGCGTAGGCGGTTTGCACGACTTTGAGAGTGATGTCGTTGTCGAGGCCGGCTTTGCGTACGAGGTCGCCGATGAAGGAGGCGGCGAGGGTGGCGATGCGGTCGCCGTCTAGCAGGCGGAACACCTTGCCTTCTTCGTTGAAGAAGTAGACGAGGCGGTCCGCATCGCCATCGAGGGCGCAGTAGCGGTCGAGGGGTTTGCCGTCGAAGCCTTCGAAGCCGCGTTGTTGTGTTTTCACCCAGTCGGCGCCGGCGCGGTTGTTGAGTTTGTCTGGGTTCTCGATTTGGTCGTTGATGATGTTGATGGTAAGCTTGTCTTTGGGGAGGTGCTTGATAAGCTCTTTCAACTTCGGTGCTCCGACACCGTTAGCGCAGTCGACGGTGACGGCACCGTTGGGCTTGGCGAACTCCATGGCGCGGTTGAAGGCTTCGGCCAGCTTCTTGTAGTAGCCTTCCTCCGACACCTCGCCGTATGGGTATTGTGAGTTGACGGTGTTGGTGGCACGGACGAGGTAGTGTAGCTGTGGGGTGGTAGCGTAGCCATAGTCGATGTATGGTGTCTTGACCGCATCCAGTGCCGCAGTAAGCGCCTTGACGAGCGTAGCACCCGACGGCCGTGTGTCTCTCGCGAAGATGACCTTTGACGGTGCGCTACGATCCACCTTGAGCTTGTTGATGCAGTGCATATAGCCATTCCTGAGCTTCTCTGGATCCCTCGCGTTGGCCAAACCCGCGGCATACCACTCCCAGTCGACATTCAGCATGTCGCCCATCGGATCGACCAACTTCACTCCGTTGTCCTCCGCCGGGTTGTGGGAAGCGGTGATCATCACGCCGATAGTGTTACCATTGCACTTCTTGGAGCGGAGGGAGGCGAGGAGGCCGACGGTGAACATGATGGAGGGGAGGAGGTCGGCGCGCATACGGAAGCCCGCGGTGCCATAGGTGAAGTCCCGGTCGGGAAGCTGGCGAGGGAAGGATGCCGCTGCCTTTTCAATCGCCACGAACTCGGCCTCTTCCGCATTGTAGGCCATGATGCCTGTACAAGTACTGTATAGCGTAGATATGGTGAGGGTTCACTGCTACAGCAAATCAGTGACTCATCATCGGTGTATGCACGAAGATGTGGTCCAGCAGCAGTGGCAGTCGGCGAGCAGGAGGAGGAGGAGGAGGAGGAGGTAGTGGTGGTGATGGCGGTGGTGGTGGTGGTGGTAGTGGGTGGGTGTCAGTAGGAGAAATGAGTTGTAGGTGAGTAGTGGGTGAATGGTATGGAGAATGTGTGAATGAGTGACTTTGTGTTGGAATCAGCAGCGGCTGAAAAGGTGCAATGCTGCTGTGCCCCGCCAAACCCTGTCAGGCACGAAAGACCCTGCAGCTGCGGGGAGAGCGGAGAGTCGGCCAGCGCCGACGGGACGCGCCGCTGCATGCTCCCAATGGGGAAGGCACCGCAATGCGTAACGTCCGTATATCAGCAAGAGTGGGCATCTCCACGATCATCATTCACGATGAAGGCACCCTCAACAGCGCTTCTGAAAGCCTTCTCGCCTTTATGGCAACCACCAACACCAACATGGACGGCGAAGGGATGCTTAGCGCAGCAATGCGCAGGCTTTTCCTCATCGGCGCATCGCATGGCGCGGGATAGCAGTAAGAAGAACCTACGTCCCAAGACGGACATGAGAATCAGTACGTCAAGCGAACAGCATAAGTCGAGACTACAGTGGGAAGACTGACACGCAACAGCCGTCATCCGCTACCATCTCCAACACCCTAAAACCCCTCGACCTCTGCGCTTCTCACGGTAAGCCATATCCCAAACCAACCCCTAAATTCCACACCACACCACACACAGCACACAGCTAACAGCAGTGTACGATAATAGCAACCGCGCCCTCCGCCACTGGACCATCCACCGCGCCTGGCAACTCTACCAATCCAAACTTCGCCAACGTCGCGAACTGGAACTGGAACGGCAATACAACAGCATGAACGCCGCTTGCGAGGCTTTACGCCTTGTCGACGGGCATGGCTTGACGGCGGAAGATCGAGAAAGGATTGGCGAGGCGGCAGTGGAGGGTGGGAAGGAGACGGGGAGGCTGTTTCGCATTGCCATGCGGAAGGAGGGGATTTGGGATGGGGTGCCTATCGAGTATGCGAGGATACAGACCGAGACGCCGGGGAGGGAGGGGTGGAATCATGGCTGGACGCGATGAAGCAGTCTGATCAACTGGCAGGTGTTTGAGGTGTTTCGCAATGCTTGGTCGGCAGGTGATGTGGTGTATCACGCTTGTATTACCTGTACGACTCTATACCGAACGCTTCACGCTTCTACATCTGTTACGCACTGCCTGTGAACTAGAGGCAATATCATGCCTTCGCCGTCCCAACCATTTCCTCGAGCGACAACTTGAGCTCCTCCACCACCCGCTCCGCCTCACTTAGCCCGAGCATCTCCTCCGCACAAAACAAACCCACGTCTAGCGCTCCATTCACGACCGCCACTTCCAGATCGAGCGAGTAGTGATACGCCCTCCCGTCTCCCAGCGTTCGCAGCTCGTTCGGCATCTCCATCTCCCCATCTCCCGCCGGCTCAGTAACACGGCTGTAACCCTCTCCACTACGCCTCCCATCCAACTCCGTAATGACAACACCGTCATTATCCGTACCCTCCGTGCTGCGGCTCTCCGGCAACTTGAGGAAGTTCACAAACGTATCGACCCCTTCAACGCCCGTCCACTCCTCAATCTCCCACAACCCCACGGCAGCATTCTGCGCCGTGCCAACCTCGCCCAGATCTTCTTGTATCTGCTTGGCAAGCTTAAGGACCGGTCGTACACTCGGCGCCCGCACGCGCAAGGGCACGAGATTCAGCGTTGGTGCTGCGAGGCGGTCGAGGTCGGGGAGGTGGGAGCGGTTGGAGAGGTAGATGCCTAGCATTACGTCTTCTGGCTGCGAAGCCGCTGGCGCCGCTGTGATCTGGGTGGCGGCAAGAACGGCGTAGATCTTTGCGTAGGCGGCGAAGAGGAGGGATTGGAGGGTTATGTCTTCTTTCCGGGTGAGCTGCTCCAATTCGTTGACGTCGGCGAGTAGAGCGGGCTTGAAGAGTTCCACTCTCCTCTGCTGACCTCTCGATTTCGGCTGCTGGAGGGTCAGGGGTTGGAGGTTGCGGAGGTATTGCGACCAGAATGCTTGTCGGGCTGTCTGCGCCTCGGGCGTCAGTGATAGAGCGAGGAAGTCTTCGTACTTCGTCTGTGAGATCGCGCGCCCACGCTCAGAAATCAGTGCTCTAAAGTCGTCGGTTAGAAGGGGTAGAGATACGGCGTCGTATAATGCGTGGTGGATGTGAAGATCCAGCCGCCATTCTTCGCCGCCACCATCGCTGTGTTTACGAGCAGCACTTCGCAGGGTAACCATGGGCTGCGGTGACGGAGTGTTATTGCTGGAATTGTGCTCTCCAGTGAAGAAGCTTGCAGGCGGGCTCTTGAGTACAACTTGCAGCACTGGGATGTGCTTGTCGCTCGTGGCGCAGAAGGCCGTCCGAAGGATTGCGTGTCGTGCAACCACACCCTCCCAGGCCTTGCGAAGCTGGTCTTCGTCGACAGCGGCCTTGATATGGTAGCTGAAGGTCGGGTAGAACAGCTGCCCGCCCGTCCCGCGCCAGGCATTTAGCGTATAAACCTGTCCGGGCGTAGCTGGCAGTAAGCCTTCCACATTCTCTTGGTCGATTTGGGCCTGCTTGAGCAGCGATGGGATGTCATACTGTCGCAACGCTGTCGAAATGATCTCCGAAGCCGGCGTGCGGGAGGTGGTGGGCTCAGGTTCCCTCCCTGCCGCGGCAAGCTCGGCCATCTTCACGAGCGTCCTGGCACGGATGAGCTGGCTCACGGAAAGCGAGATGCCCTGCTTACGCAGCAATGATGCGACCTTGATTGCCGAGATGGAGTCGATACCGATGCTTTGTATACTTGTTGATGGCGTTACGCTTTCGCCGGGCACCTTTGCCACTTTACCCAGCACTTCGCGGATCTGCAGGGCGGTGTGGGATAGAAGACCGTCTCTGCTATGCTGCTTTGTTTCTGAGACGTTGCCGTTAGTGTTGTCATCTCCAAGGTGAGATGTTAAAGTTATGCCCGGCAGGTCACAGATTAGCACTTCATCCTCGCTGAAATCCACGGTCGGCTTCTCCGGTTCCCTCAAGATCGAATTCAGAACTTTGTCGAGCCTTTGAAGCAACTGCCTCGTGCCTGCAGCATCGAGCGCGTCGTCCTTACACGCAGCGCGCAGTTCTAGCTTGGTACCGACCATCTCCATCTCGACCGCTACCGGGTACTCAACGCTCGACGTCCCACCAACAGAGTCGTACAGCGGCTCGGGTCCTGCTTCTGAGGACTCCGGACGATGCTGGTAGATGAATAGAGTGTCGACTAGGCCATCTTGTCGCTCGTTGCTTCCATCGGCGCAGACATTCTGTATCATGCGCAACGGTGTCCGCTGATACGGCCGGATATCGTTCATCACATCTTGCATATACCGCAGCATTTCCAGCCTTGTACCATGGAGGGCGGCCCTGACGGGGACGTTGTTCATAGCTGGGAACATGACCTGTTCAGCAGCCTCGCTGTCTCTGCACGCAAGTACGCCGCCAAATACGACGTCGAGGCTACGAGTGAAGTGTGCCAGCAGAAGAGACCAGCATGTCTGAGCGAGCGTTTGCATGGACACGCCTTGTCCTTTGCAAAATGAGCGGATCTCGTTCGCCGTAAGCGAAGAGGTCCGCTCGACACGGTGCACAGTAGAAGTGGCGATTGCTGACTTTCTTGCTGGAAAGGCCGTTGATGTTACGCCGGACAAAGCAGCGGTCCAAAAGTCTCGTGCCCCGTCATTGGTTGCTGCTAGGGCCTCTTCAATGAGGTCGTCGTATGCTGGTCTTGCAGCAAGTTGTCCACTATACGCTTGCTGTACGTCTTCGTGCAGCAGTGCGAGACTGTGCCCGTCGTACTGCGCATGTGACAGCGACACAACAAGGTAGCGTTCAGAGGCGCATTTGACGAACGTGAGCCTGGTCGGCGTAACTTGGGGGAAGCTTGATCTCACTTCTGCAGTGATTGACCGAACCCGGTCTTCCATTTCCGACTCAGCAGATAGAGAGACTTCCGTAATTGGGACTGTCTCTTGCACTACTTGAGCGAACGTGGCCGAGATGTCAGCAGAGCTTACCGGATGGAAAGCAGTCCGTAAGATTGGGGAGGCTTTGATGACTTCCAGCCATGCCTCCTTGAGCTTTGGTAGGTCGACGCCAGGTCTCAGCTTTAGGACGTCGTGGTTATAGTAGTTTCCGAACTCCGAGCGCAGCATGTCCGCGATGAGAGCTTCTTGATGTGGTGTTGCTGGCAGAATCCGCGCCACAGAAGTATCCGACACCACGGATGGCAGAGCATCCTGTAGCTGTTGCGAAAGCGTATCCAGCCTGCTGTCTGTAGGGGTTGTCGCATGTATCGGGCTCGCTACTTCAACGAGCTCCATCATCCCAGCAATGGTTTGACTTCGCAAGATCTGGCTGACCGATAGCGCGAGGCCCAGCTTCCTGACTCTCGAGGCAAGCTTCACGGCGTCGATACTGTCGAGACCGAGACTGAATATGCTGGTATGCTCCTTGATATTCGATGCGTCAGCACCAGCGGTCTGCGCAATGGCATTTCTGAGGGCGACAGCCTTCTCCGACCAGCGGAAAGTACCGTTCACATTGGTCATATTCGCAGGCGCTGGAGCCGATACGGCACCCTCGGCGTGTTGGGCGATCTGAAAACGTTCGGTAATCCGCTGCTGCGGAGCTTCTGCCGCACTACTCAAAGCGCTTTCGAAGCTTCGTATAAGTGCCGCCAAGTCGGCCTGCTGAGCGACATTGCTTCGGGCGACGGAGACGATTGAGAGGCTCCCATCGGATTGCAGGCTAATTTCGACTGCGAGCGGATACTGTGCCCTCGGTGGCTGCTCGACTTCTGTCCACAGCTCCTCGTTTGGTGCTACAGACGCTTTCTGTCGGTGGTGGAAGACGAAAAGGACGTCGAACATCGGATCAGACGCTGACCTGCCGCACCATTTGCGGATGTCTCTGAGCGACGAGTGCTGAAAGGGGAGGGTGGCAACGTTAGACTGGTGGCAGCGGTTAATGAGATCTTGCCAGCTATCTCCAGCTTGGATTCCAATCGCAGTCGGCAAAGTGTTAAAGAGTGGCCCGATGACCCGATCAGCTTTCTCAAATGGTATGCTCCGCCCCGAAACAACGTGACCGTAAGTGCGAGCTGTGAAGTGCTGCTGTAACGCCACCTCAAAGCAGGCTTGGACGACTGATAGGTGCGAGACACCTAAGCCCTTGCGCAGAGTGTCAATCGAGCCGTTCGGCTCAAAACGTAGACTGCTCGAGGCAGCTGTCTGTTGGTCCCATTCATGTACAACAGGAAGAGGGTTGAGGACAAGCATTGGTGCTCGCTGTTGCCAGAATGCCTTTGCTTCTGGCAGTGGACATAGTGGACCATAAGGCAGTACATCCGTGAATCGTGGGCCGGAATCAAGGATCTCCCCGTGTTTGTAGGCTTCCGCAAGCTTCTCAAACAACAGATCCCAAGAGATCCCGTCATATATCGCATGATGAGCGTATACCGTCAAAGTGTGTGCATCGTTGCTCGTTGCGAGACAAACCCGGACAGGTTGCAGAATGTCTTCGTTGTTGGCATCGAGCCACAGTTCTCTTTGCTCCGCGAAGCTATCTTCAGTGTTCGGTGACTGGCTTTCCGTGGAAAACCAAGGCACCTCCACGTCTCTAATGACAACTTGCGCGAAGCCATCATCAGTACGAACGAATCTTGTTCTTAGGAGTTGCACCTCAGAAGCCAAGCGGTTGAAAGCTGCCTGAAGTCTTTGTGGGTCAGCCTTGACCAGAAGATATCGGAATTCGTTGAAATATGGCCTCTCGACAGCATTCGTTGATTCGTACAGGAGTCCAGCCTGGAGTGGAGTACAGGGGCTGACTACCTCAACCTGGTTAAGGGCGACGCATGCCTTTGCAGCCGCAGCATTTCGGTAGCGTTGAGAGAATGCGGCTATGGAGAGCCGGGCTTGTCTGACAAGGCTGCGTTCCTTGCTGTCGCCACTATTATCAGAGACGAGGCTTTTGGCGAGGGAGCTAACAGTCGGGTTCTGCATGACCCTGGTGACGGTCGCACCGTGTAGACCTCTCCGCTTCAGCAAGCTCGTGAACGTGATAGCAGAGACGGATGAAAGGCCGACAGAGAAGAAGTTCGATTCTCGTTTCAGCACATCGATGTTGACAGACAGCATGTCTGCAATGACATGGCAGATTGTGTTCTCGCGGTCGTTCATCGGTGCGGTTTGCTGGTTCGTTGTATACAGAGATTGGAGGTCTTCCATGGTGAGCGAATTGAAAAATGACCCAAGGCGCTTCGTATCAATCTTGTTGTTGACGGTCAAGGGCAGACCACTGACCGGTAGTATGTGGGTTGGCACCATATAGCCAGGAAGACTACGCTTGCACGTCTCACTGGCCGTGCGAACGAGTGATTTGGCGATGTCGGACGTGACAAGTTCGAGGGCCTGAGACCGCGACTGGGAAGAGAGCGTTACGAAAGACACCAGGGTTTGCTTCCTACCACCCTCGTCCTTGACGACCATTGACACAACGTCTTCGAGCTCATGCGATGAGCCGCTGATGGTATTATCGATTTCGGAGATCTCTAGTCGCTGTCCGCGGAGCTTCGCCTGCGTATCCTTTCTGCCTATGAAAGCGAACGATCTAAGGACACGACGAGCAAGGTCAGCCATGTGTCACAAAGGAGCTACATATAGCTGCTGCTTACCCATCTGACAGAAGCCTGACCAAATCTCCAGTGCGGTACATGCGCTCACCGTGGCGTTCCATGAAAGGGAAGGCTTTCGCAGTGAGGTCCGGTCGGTTGAGGTATCCTTTTCCAACGAGCTTGCCTGAAACGCACAGCTCGCCAACAGCGCCACGCAAGACAGGCTGATCCCCATCGGGCTCCAATACGTATGCGCCTACGTTAGCGAATTGCTTCCCAATGTTGGATGGTTTTGCATCGGGTCCGATAAAAGTGTTCATTGTCACCCCGATGGTAGCTTCTGTCGGTCCATATCCGTTGCAGACGGTGAAGTACGGGCCCCATTCGTCAATGATCTCTTGCTTGAGCGCCTCCCCTCCAGTGATGAAAACCCCGCCGTGCAAGCTAGGTACGTCATGCGGATGCACAAGACGAGCAAGAGACGGAGTGAGATCGATGTGTGTAATGCTAAGGCTATCGATGAACCCTGGAATATCTTCCAGTACCAGGTCCCGTGGTGCACCAACCACTGTGATGCCAACGCTCCAGCTCCAGAACTGTTCCAGGACCTGCACGTCAAACCAGTATGAAGCGAACTGCAGCCATCGGGATGAGATTGTCCAGTGGCCGGCGAACAGGCGCGAGAAGGCCTGCATAGCCTCAACAGCATTCTCGTGGCTGAGAAGAACGCCTTTTGGGGTGCCTACAAATCGATAGATAGGAGGGTCAGCTATGTCTCGGTGAACTCGGAATGGCACCTCGCATCGCTCCACTCACCGGTGGTTCCTGAGGTATACAGGCAGTAGCAAGTCGAATCAGCCTGTACGTCAGCAGCGTCTACTGCGTGACCCGGATACTCATCGAGTATCGTCTCACTAAGACGTATGACAGGTGCGACACTCTCGCCCGCGGGTGCGGTGGGCAGCTCGTCGTTAGGACCGACGAGTAGAATGGCCGTACGGGAATCTCCCAAGATGAACCGCTGCCGCGCAACCGGCAACTCTGGGTCGATGGCTAAGAACGCGCAACCCGCTTTGAGAATACCCACGAAAGCAAACGAAGCTTCCGGACATTTCGTCATACTCACCGCCACGATGTCACCAGTCCCTGCGCCATTGTTTCTTAGTAGGTGAGCCACCTGGTTGCTGCGCTGCTGGAGCTGTCTATAAGTCCAACGTCTTCGCTGCGTCAGCGTGCTATGCAAAGAGTCAACGAACTCGAGTGCTAAACGCTCGGGATACTGCTGGGCACTGATGTCAAGGTACTCATGTAAGAGTTTGACGTTGGTTGCTAGGCACGGTTCTCTGGCGGGGTTGATTGACCAGAGCTGGTTGGACACGTTGCTGTGAAAGCCGGTGACTATGCGTTGCAGAAGCATGTCATATTGCTGTAGCATGAGGTTGCCTTGAGCAGCTGGTACCCTTCGACCGTGGGTGGTAAGCCGCAGCGATATAGAGTCGTCCGGGAGAGTTTCGAGTTCCAGTGATGCGGCATAATCTACAGCAGCAGATTCTCTGATCAGCGGCCAGTCGAAATCACTTATACTTGCGATCCGTTTCTGATAGACAAAGACTGTGTCGAACAAGCTTCGTCCAGGATCACCAGCCAGTCGCTGAAGCTCGTCTAAAGCTACGGGACGGTGACGATAAATGCGAGCGTTGTAGGCCACCATGCTCTGAACGAGCTCCGCTGGAGATGAAGATGTAGGGTATACGACAGGTAAAGTTGTTAAGCTTGGGAAGGCGGTAGCCTGATCGCTGGTTGGAGCACGATTGGAGAGTACGGTACCGAAGACAACGCCCGTTTCACCCGTATATGCCTGGAGCAGTATCGCCCAAGCGGCCTGACCGATAGCTTGAACCGTAGCGTTGTTGTCTTTGCAGTATCGCTCGACTGCTGGAAGCGGCAGCATGCTAGTTCGACTCACGGACTGTATCCGCGCTGCTGTGTTTGACACATGATTGAGATCAGGAAACCTGACAATGCTGCATTACTGTTAGTACGCAACGTGGACTATGAGGGATAACTTACCGGGCATCATGCAATGTCGCTCGCCAGAAAGTATCCAGTTCCTGCTTCATTTCTGCGCTACGAAGTGCTTGAGTAAGTAGCCGATCGAAGCTCAGCTCGTTCCCGATATTGTCGCCTTTCATGGCATACTGCAGATCGGCCAGCAGGTAGCGCAGGCCTTCGGCGTCGTACAAAGCATGATGCAGCGACAGCAGCATTGTCCGGTGCATCATCTCAACTCGAACGCGCCAGGGTGGAAGGCGGATATTCTGACAGATGCTGCTTGCTACCCGACCTTCAACATCTTTGATGCTGTCGTCAGCGGTCATGTCACTAATGGGAAGCGACACAGCACCGACAGCCCACGTGAGCGCGAGGAAGGGGACTGACGCCTCGTTGATGGTGCCGAAGCCGGTTCGTAGTATCTGATGTCTTCGCATGACTTGGGCCCAGGCGCTCTTCAGCTCTTCCATGGTTACTGTGTGGGGTATGCGGTAAGCCACGTGGTTGACATATAGTGCACCATCGCTGCTGATAGACTGGGCGAGCATGCCAGCTTGAGCTGGGGTGCAGGGACGTATCGCTTGTATTGTGGAACCTTGCGTCCGTAATGCGTTGATTACCGCGGAGCGATGGCGGCGGTCGAAGGCAGTGAGGTCGACTGCTTGGTCGTTCGCATGCCTGGTGCCAGCACGTCTTGACACCACGGCAGCAAGCGCGGTTGGCGTGACATTCTCGATGACGTTAGATGCATGAGCGTTGTACCCACGCTTTCGAAGTTGAGCCGCGACCTGTGCAGCATTGAGGCTGTCGAGGCCAAGTTGGTACATGGTGGTTTTCTTCGAGATACGCTGTGCCGGCGTCTTGCTGATCAATGCGAAGACCTCGCGGACGTCGAGCTCTGCAGCAGTCCAGTCATCGCCAAGTTGTTCAGTGTCTCCCGAATTGCCGTTGTGAGCACAATTCGCTACTGTCGCAAGCTTCCCAGCTACACCCCAGCTGTGTGCAGCTTCGTGGCGAACGAGTTCAGCCAATGGATGGGCGAGGCAGGCTGATAAGACCTTGTCGAAGGCTTCAAGCAGTAGAGGCGCAAGGCTTGAAGACACTCGGGACGGGAGGTAGTGCAGACGCAGCACATATCTGTCGGCCTCCGGCAGAATCTCGAGCACGAGCGGCATGCCCATAGATCCCTCTTCATGTGATTGAGTCCAAACGCGACAGTTCAAGTCATTGTGCGGCGGCTGTAGTAAAAGCATTGAGTCGAACAGATGCATTTCTGGTGCGTCGGAGAGTGCTTGTATGCGGCGAAGGGCAGTCAGTTGGTGCCGCGTGTCTGCTAGGTTCTGACCGTGGAGACTCCTGATGAGTTCCAGATAAGTTCGAAATTGCGAAGTCCGTACCCGCATTGGTACCGTGTTGAAACACGGCAAAACAAGACGTTCGACACCAGGAACTGGGACGCTTCGTCCACTGACCACATTTCCAAAGCAGACGTCACCGGACGACTGCGCGAGCGAGAGAACGCATGTCCACGCGGCCTGGAAGATGCTGAGTGTTGTGGTGGCTTGGCGCTTGCTGAAGTTACGTAGCATATCTAGTGTGCTACTTGCTTCGCACTGCTTCGTTTCTTCGAAGTCAGAGCTGCCCTCGTCGAGGCGAGGGAACGGTTGAGGCCTATAAGAGACGACCCGCTCGGCCCAGTACTTGAGTGCATCTTGCTGGTTGTCGCGAATGCCCGCCGCAAGGAAAGGCTCAGCTGAGACGGGTGGCGGTAGCGTGTCGCCGTGGTACGACGCCTGCACTTCGCTAAGCAGGACCGCCATGGACTCACCATCGTAGATTGCATGCAGCATCCGCAGCGTGAGAAGACTCTGTTCGTCTGTTTGGACGACCTCGAGAACAATTGGTCGGCTATGGCTCAATCGAAGGCTTTCAGCGCCCCGTGTGATGTTCGGACCGTTACTGCTTATGGCTGCTCCGCACCCGGATCGGTGTATGGGCAGGTTGTGGGCCTCGAGAATAACCTGTGCATAAGGGTAGTCGGCGGAATCTGTCTCTACGAACACAGTACGTAGAATATCATGGCGTGCAACCATTTCGTGCCAGCAATCCAGGAGGCGATCCAAATCCCCATAAACCGCGAACGTTGTCGTGTTGCAGTAAGCATCAGGAGACCTTGATGTTCCCACGGATAGCATGGCTTCCTGAAGCGGTGTACATGGTAATATGCGCTTGACGTTCTGTCCTGTGGCATGATGCTGTGCTTTGATTTTCGCTGCGAAGTCTTCCGAGAATACGTTAAGAGAAGTGTCGCCATTTACCTGCAAGTTCTCATTTTGGCAGCCAGAAACATGCGCGACAAGGCGAGCAATGCTCGAATGGCGCATAACTGCATCAATGCCAACCGTACGACGGAAATGACTACTCACCTTCTTCGCGAACGCAATAGCATGCAGAGAGTTGAGACCGTACGTAAAGAAAGATGTGCTCTTTGTTATGCTCTGACGCTGCAGGCCCAGCGTGCCAGCCAGTAAAGTTGCCGCCGTGTCTTCTGCTTCGCTCCAGTCCGCATCGGGTGTTGTCGCATCATTTTGTTGGTTAGAGAATTGATGCCGGACATTGTCGGGAATCTCAGAGAGCAGACGTTGCAGCAAGCGACGGTCGAGCTTGCCCTGCGCCGTGTGCGGCATCGCGCTGATTGCTATGATAAAGCGCGGGATCATGTAAGATGGCAGCGCATCTTCAGCAACACCGAACAGATGAGCCGTCTCTCCTGCGTAGTTTTCGAGGATTACTGTGTTCTGACCGCTGGCGGCTTGCGGGACGTAGAAGGAAACCAGCGCTTGGTCGGATGCGACCTCATTGTGCATCAGCATAGTTGTGCAGTCTGAAACTCCAGAGTCGCGAAGTATGACGGCGCTGATCTCGCCGAGCTCGATACGGTGGCCTCGGACCTATGCACATGTAGTCAGTATGAGCACGATCAGCCAAAGAAGAAGGGAGTGATTTGGCCGTCCAGGTTCCGAATGAATTGAGAATCACGGATAGAAGCCTTGCAGCGAGCTGACTCCGATCGTCTGATGTTATCAACGTACCCTGCGTCCGTATTAGCACGACATGTCTAGGCTCACTAAGGCGCAAGCCATACTTGACTTGATCATCCAGTCTTCCTGCGATCAACAGCGTTCCATCATGTAATATCCTGCCGATGTCTCCGCTGCGGTATATCCGGCCAAAACGAGAGTGACACAACAGCTTCGCAGCATTCAGATCTGGCATGTTCAGGTACCCAGTAAAGACTTGTTCTCCACCAAATGCGAGTTCACCTACCGAGCCCGCAGGCAGTAAGGTGAATGTTTTGTTTGGTGCAATCACGAAAGCTGAGGTGTTCCGAAGCGCAGGACCGACGTTGCCGATTGCGTGCTCCTTGGACATATCCATTAGCACGGAACAGATGTTCGTGGTCTCTGAAGGGCCGTAGCCCTGATGGAGGCCATTGCCCGCCCACTGAGTGCGTACGGCTTCCGTGACCGCTTCACCTGCCGTGACCAGAAATCTGACTGTCGGTACGAGGGTAGGACGTATCAAAGCAGCGACTGTAGGAGTCAGGGACAGATGTGTTATGCCAAAGGCACGGATACTCATTTCGAGATCACTGAATAGCACCAGCTTAGTAGCGGAGCACAAACACATGCCTGTGCTAAAACTGAAGAAGATCTCGAAGACGCTCACATCGAATGCTTGCGAGCATGCCTGCAGCAAACGATCTCCCTCTTTAACCGGATACAGCTCAGCAAGCGCAGAGAGATTGCTGTCTAGGTTGTCAAATGTTACGCACACACCCTTCGGCGATCCTGTGCTTCCGGACGTGAATACAACATACGCGACATTGCTGCCAACGTATGGAAGGTCCAGGTTAGTGGTGTCATAGCCTACAATGTCGACATCGTCCAGCATGACTATGCCGACATCACCAACAGTGCGTATTTTGCTTTCGGTGCCGCTGTCGCAGATACACATCTTCGACGCTGTCTGACTCAAGATGCTTTCAAGCCTTGATTGCGGAGTATCTGGCAGTAAAGGTACGTAGCCAGCACCAGCTTTTAGTGTTGCCGTGATACTGACATAGAGATCGAGTGACTTCTCCATACAGATACAGACAAGATCGCCTTGTGCCACGCCAAGTGCGCGGAGATGGCGAGCGAATTGGTTCACCTTGTTGTTGAAGTCTTGGTAGCTGAGGGTGACTGTCTTCAAGCGGCCTTCGACGATGTGAGTAGCGAAGTGCAGGGCTCGATTTTGTGGCGAGAGATCGACCTGCCGCTCAACGGCCGAGACCACACCACCTACCCTGGTGCATGTACTGGGTGAATGGTTCGATGCGGATAGCAACTCGAGGTCTAAAGCCTCCTGCAATCCTGCGACCGCAGTCTCTGGAGCCTGCACAATTCTCTCGACAAGACGGTCAAGTTGACGTAGAAGGAGGTGAACCTGCTCTTGTGGTAGATGACTCTCCTGGTATGTTACCCGCGCGACGATCCTGTCTGGAAGAGGTTCAAGCTCAAGAACGAGGTTAAACTCGTGTCGGTCAGTGGAAGCAACTTCACGCATCAGTAGATCATTCGGGTCTAGCATGAGGCTAGTTTCCTGCCAGACGAACAGAACGTCGAAGAGGACAGTGTCTGGTGCACAACCAGCGGCCCGTTTAATATCCACGAGTGGAGTCAGTGAGTGCAGCTGCATGGCTCTGTTGGCGTTCTGCACCGCCCGGAGAAGCTCGCGACAAGTTTGCACGCTCGAGATGTCGACCCGAAAAGGTAGTGTGGTCAAGAGCGGGCCAACGATGCGTTCGATTCCAGTAACAGCATGATGACGACCCGAGAAGACGACGCCAAAGATCGCATCCGAGCTCCCGGACAGGGAGGCCATAAGGTAAGACCATGCTGCCTGGAAAACGGTGGGCAAGCTCACCCCAGAAACTTTCATTCTCGATCTGGCTGCAGTCACGTCAAGCTGCATGTTGCGTGAGAGTTTCTGCAAGCCAGGCGGGACAATCCACGGATTGAGGTTCGGAATGGGCGTGATGGTGAAATCTTGCAGGTGTTGCTGCCAGAAACCGCCGCATTGTTGAAGCAGTGCCCCAGCGCTGGATTTAGCGTAGAGTTCACTGATCTGTTGAAAGGGCGGCACGGGAGGAGGTTCGCGCCCACGTAGCAAGTCAGTCAGATCTGACTTCAGGACATCGATAGACCATTGGTCGTAAAGAGCGTGATGGATGCAAAGATTCAAACATACAGAGTGGGAGCCCTCGCGTAATCGAAATAGCAGAGGTCGCAGAAAGTCCGGCAGGCCTCCTGAGACAGATCCAGATTTTGAGACGTCGCCTACCCTGATCTGCCTCTCATGAAGCGTTTTCCAGATAATGATTGCATGGCCATTGTTCGCACCGTCGACATCAACGAAGCCAGCCCGGAGCAGTGGGTGGTGAGTAGACAGCAGAATTAAGGCCGATTTCAGCGAGTTCAAGGAGATACTGCTTCGGATTTCGAAGGAGACATCATTGAAGTACGTTGTGGAAGTGCGCGCGGTCTCCGTCAACATAGCGTGCTGTATTGGCGTACACCGCCATATGTCCTCAATATCTTCCCGAAGATGAGTGATGCTTGGGTTCTCCAGCACCTTAGCGCAGAATTGCTTGAAGGCGGCTGTCTCGTTGTCGGCCTCGGACGCTTGGTCATGTCTGACGGCGGTAGACTTGGCCTGCTCCAAGATATTATCGAGCTCGCGAATGCTGTGAGCTTGAAGTACGATGCTGGCATCAGCGTGCGGAAAGCCTTGCTGGCGTAGCTGGGCAGCGATGCGGATCGCGGAGAGTGAATCGAGACCAACAGTAGGTAGGTCCGTATCTGCGTTGATGTGCGCTGCTAGTGATCGATCCAGTATTCGAGCAAGCCGCTGCTGTGCCGGGCTCAGCGTGTTGACTTGGTTCGTATGGCTTTGCCTGAGGTCTTGATATTGCTTGATTAATGTTGGCCGATCGATCTTTCCAGACGGAAGATACGGAAGCTCGTTAAGTAGTATGACATCTCTGGGGAGCATAAATGCTGGCATCCACTTCTTGCACGTTTCTTGTATGTCAAAGACTGTCAGTGTTGCTGCGGACCGTACACAAAAAGCGACAAGAGTGCCATCCACCACTTCTGCAACGGCGCTCTTACACCCGGCGGTCTGCGCAGCCGCATACTCGACTTCACCGAGTTCAATGCGCTGCGGTGTTGTCAGCGAAGCTCGCAGCTCAGAAACAGAAGTGACCACTTACCTGACCTCGCAGCTTCACCTGGCCGCTTGATATACGGCCTAAGCATTCTAACCAGCCACTTTCATGCAAGCGAGCACGGTCTCCAGTACGGTAAAGGCGGCCGTATTTTGGGTGATCGACAAATGCTGCTTTCGTCTGCTCATCGCGGTGAAGATAGCCATCAGCAAGTTGGTAACCTCCCACAGCTAATTCGCCCTCTTCACCGACTTCCACAAGCTCCAGAGGAGCGTTAGCAGCCTCTGGTTTTGCGGGTTTAACGATGAACGCAGACACAGTGTCTAGAGGCACACCGATATCGCCGACCGTCATATTCTTCGCACAAGCTGGTCGCAGCGTGCAGTGAATGGTAGCTTCTGTAGGTCCGTACATGCCATAAAGCAGGCTAGGCTGACCATCATTCCCACCAAACTCCTCTATGACGGACCTTTTGAGCATCTCTCCGATGGTGAGAAGAAGCTTGAGGTTAGGTACACTGCTCCGGTTGTGCAGCAAGCTGCTTGCCACCGAGGGCGTCAATTCTGCCGCATCCACATTAAGAGCGTTCATGATGCCGGGAAGATCGTTCAGCAATGCTTTTCGGTCGCACGACACAATGGTGCCGCCTCGATAGAAAGGAAAGAATATCTCGAAAACGCTGACATCGAAGGTGGGATTCGCGAACTGGAGAAAGCGACTGAAGGCAGGGATGTGCGGGTCGTGCGCAAGCAGGGCCTGACTGGCTGCTCGATGAGATATTACCACGCCCTTCGGAGTACCAGTCGATCCTGAAGTGTACCTACATCGAACAATAAGCACGGTGTAGGTGAGAGCGCGGCTCGAGTACTTACATAATGTAAGCGGCGTTCGCCGGGTCAATGTCGGTAGGCCACTGGGACGTAATGTGGTTGGGGGTTGAGTTGTCGACGGCAATAACCTCAATGCCTTCAATCGCAGGCAGTCTAGATCGCGATGCTGAGGTGGTCAAGATGATCTTTGCCTCCACATCCCGCAAAATAAAGCGTAGACGTTCCTCGGGTGCATCCAGAGGCAATGGGCAAAACGCATAGCCTGCCTTGAGTGTGGCAAGCTGGGAGATGTAGAGATCCGGACATTGCTGCATGTAGATGGGTATAATGGGACGACTGGTAGCGTACGTCTGCGTATGCTCGTGCAGAGCGAGAAGCTCCGACGCCAATGCGTCGGAGCGAGACTGCAGACATGAGTAGGTCACGACTTCCTGGCGTGCATCGGCATCTGTGAAGTCGATAGCAATGCTCCCGGGTTGGCCCTTGACCAGATGGTGAAGCAACTGCGGGCCTGCAAGCAGTCGTGGAGTCCCGTTCAAAACCGACAGCCTTTCAGCCATTGTAATAACTTGATGCCTCGGTGTTGCACAATATGGCAGTATGTTCACTTACGCCCTGGAGAAGCATGACGGTGTCATGGTGGATATGCCTTGATGGGGATACGCCGTTTTTTGAGCAGAATCTTCATCACGGCCTCACCTCACAAACGCTGAAACTGTTCAGTGATTACTCAGTTGTTCCGGGAACGTATTGCTCCAGCTAGGTTCTCCAACTCGGCTACAACACCGCATACGTGACCTGTCATCCGCCTGGAAGAATGAAGATGGTGGAATTCTGGGCACGGACCATAACGCACAACTCCGACCCTTCAAGCGGCAAGTTTAAACGACGTAATGGACTCCGCATTTCCTTCTAACATCCGCCAGCAGAGACAGCCACTCCCAAAGACTTCGCGGAACCTACGAAAGCGCTGCAACCGTACCCTGGCGGCATTCCCGATACTACTGCACCATCAACGGGGCCTGCAACACAACCCTGCCATCTACCAGGCGACTCTGTTGAATGACAATGGCGATCTTCGCTAACGAGCACCCTTTAGGCGCGGAATATGCCCCTACAGTTTAGCAGCGATATCGGAGGTACTACTGTTCGATGCCGTGGAGAAATTTGTGGGGACCCACGTCAAACTCTGGCAACGTACACATGGCCCTTTCTATTGGATATGACGATCTGCGAGACTTCTTCGCCCAGTCCGCCCCTCACAAAGCTGATGCTGATCTATTATCGATCCATCTGATTAGATTGCTTGGCGCCAATAGCAACAGCCGCCTCCAGCCCGGATGGTTTACGACGGCGCAAAGCGACATCATGAATCCGTAAAATCTGACGACAACTCTGTATGACACTGCGTTTGGCCCACTTCCTTTGCTTCCTAGCCGGCGATCTTCGTGACATGTTGGACCGCCTCTTCATCTTTTGAGGAAATGATCGGCTACAGTGCTTATGGTGAAGATGGGTACCATATTCGAACGGACCTCGGTAGCCTCTCGCTGTCGCTCACGTTCTGGTTCTTCCTGGTGAGATGTTCAAGCGAGTAAATTGTAAGTTGTGCCTAGTAAGGCTTTCAATATCTCGTACGAGAACTCTTTCGACGTGCGCTCGGTCTCCCCTCACAAGCAATCGTGGCTAGAAGCTGGTCTGCGTTAGGGAAAGATGGGCGACCCTGTGCTTCATAATTCTTACCAGGGCAGTGTGTCAGCCATCGACAAAGACGCAGACAGCAGCGCTCCAAACCAACTCGACGGAATCGACGCAGACGGCACTATCGGCAGGCCATCCGTGAGTGGTGAACAACCCTTCGAAGACAGCACGCTTGATCCAGCGCACCCGCGCGAATGGTACGCCGTCATCATCTCTTACTCCGGCAGACTGTACAAGCAACTGCTCGGGCTCAACCCTTTCCAGACCTCATACCTTGGTCTTTACTTGTTGCTGGATTCGCAATGGGACAAGGTCCTAGCCGCCTCAGCAGTACTATTTGCTATTGCTGCGGGGTTTCCATTACCGCTTATTGGTGTGGTGTTTGGAAAACTCATCAACAATTTCCCACCTCCAGAAGATGAATTACGGACAAGGATTGCTCAGCTTCTTGGTATTGCAGCTGCCTATTTCACGCTTACGGCGCTATATGCCACACTATTCGGCTTCATTGGGGAGAAGATTGCATTGCGTTCCAGGTTACGGCTTTTCGACTGCTTATTGCATCTTGACCAGGCCTACTTGGACACACATAGCGTTGACTTCAATGGACTGCTCACAGAGAAGATTGACTCGATTCATGCCGGAACCTCCGAGAAGGCCGGAATCTTCATACAAACCCTCTCCTACTTCGTCGCGGCCTTTGTGGTTGGTTTCATTCTCAGCCCGAAACTTGCTGGCATTCTACTTGCCGCTGTGTTCCCGCTTTTGGCGCTTACGGTCACAGTAACCTCACGATATGGGAAAAGGTTCTCATGTCGAGCCGCAGAGCATGCCGAGGCTGCAAACAGCATTGTGGAGTCCGCGCTGCGGGCTGTGAAAACGGTACAGGCATTCGCCATGACGAATAGTGTCTGCGAAACGCACTCAAACCATTTACGACGGAAGCTGGAGGCAAGTATACGTCATGCCTTGATTGCAGCGACCCAAGTAGGCGTCATCTACTTCATTGTATACTCGGTCAATGGGCTTGCGTTCTACCTAGGCAGCAACATGGCGGCTTCGGGTCAGGAAAGCGGTAACGCCGGCACCGTGTTCGCTGTAGTCTTCCTGATCCTGGACAGCTCGCTGGTTGTGACACAGTTCGCACCGCTCCTCGTCGTTTTCGCAAACGCCGCTGCTGCACAAGAAACAATATGTACGCTTGCAGACGCATCTACGAAGAAAGAGGCTCCAAGCCTAACCAAGAGTATCCCTAATACTAGTCATGGGATTGGTGTATACCTCGAGGACGTTGAGTTTGCATATCCGGCGAGGCCCGATATCGATGCCCTTCGCCATCTGAGTCTCAGCATCAACCCCGGAACTTTCAACGCTTTTGTAGGACTATCTGGAGGCGGGAAGTCGACGCTGGTATCATTGCTCAGTAGCGTTTACTCCTATCGCGGCAGTATTCGCCTTGGTAGTGAGGAGCTTCGCTGTCTGGTAAGCGGAGTGATGTTCAGGTACTGCCAATGACTAAGACACAGCTGACCCGCGGACATGCGATGGGGTAGGACAAACAAAAGCTACGAGCGCAAATGGCTGTCGTAGAACAAGAGAGTGTCCTTTTCTCCGGTACTGTTCACGATAATATCTGCCACGGACTTCGACACCAGGATCTTTCGGACGCTGAGAAGGCATGTCGCGTGCAACAGGCGATTTCGGACGCTAACTTGGACTTCATTGCCACCCTCCCCAAAGGCGTCGACACGAGTCTTTCGGACGACGTGGAGCTGTCCGGAGGCCAGCGCCAACGCATTTGCCTTGCTCGAGCGTTAGCGAGAAGACCCGCGTTGCTGGTCCTAGATGAACCCACATCCGCACTAGATGCTTACAGCGAGGGACTCATCGTGGCAGCGGCTAAGAGAGCTGCTGCTTCTGGCACAACAGTAATTATGATCGCACATCGACTATCTACAGTACTTGACGTCGACCATGTTTTCGTACTCGGAGAAGGTCGGGTCATAGAGTCCGGTCCGCCCAGCCAGCTCGCTGAAAGCAAAGGTGTCTTCCATAGTCTCCTGGAAGCTCAGGGTGCCGATGTTAGCCGCAACGAGGACTCCCACGGGAAAGAAGACGCTCGGTATGCGAAGAGTCTTGCATGTAGCACGGCAAGTCTCAGCGACACCGAGAAGGCGGAAGATGATTTCACCAATCCCACCGAGCAGATACAGGGCAGTCAATCGAGCCGCTCACACGCTCTCAGAGCCATGTTAGCCCATATGAAGCCGGAGGGATGGCTCATTATGCTCGGCATACTGGCCTCTTTCATTAGTGGTGGCTTGTTACTGGGCGAGGCCATTATCTTCGGCAACCTTGTTGAGTTGCTGAACCGGTCATTCACGGCCCCTTCCTTCGAAAAAGAGGCCCACTTCTACTGTCTAATGTTCTTCGTTGTCGGCTGCATTGCACTTGTGTCCTGGATTGGAAGTGGTACAGCTTTCGGTATAGCTTCCTCCCGAAGCATTGGGTAAGCAGAACGATGTGTATAGCCTTGCGGTTGTCTGGAACATTGCTGACCCATGTACCATCATCCTATAGCCGCATGCAGAGACGACTGTTCGGCCAGATGCTGAGCTTCGATATGGCTTGGTTCGCAGAGCCCGGTCGCGGCGTTCACGATCTTATGGGTGCGTTCACGAAGGACACCGGCGATCTGAGCTGCTTGTCTGGCACTGCCCTTGGGACCATCGTCACGACCACCACGTCCATGGTTGGTGGCATGATCTTGGCTCTGGCGGTAGCCTGGAAGATTGCTATCGTCCTCATGGCCGCTGTGCCTGTTATGTTGGGCGCAGGGTTCCTTCGCATACGAATGCTGGTTTCCGCAGATACACGTCGTCGGCAAGCATATCAAAGCGCAACATGTCTTGCCGCCGAGGCCTGCACCAAGCGGAAGACAGTGACCCTATACAGTCTCGAAGGATACATGCAACAAGAGTACAGAGCTGCATTACACCGTCCACTGAAGAATGCACGCCTGTTCACGGTCTGGTCGAACATCTTACTAGCTGCGTCCTTCGCTATCACATACTTTGTGTACGCACTAGCCTACTGGTGGGGCGCTCGCCTAGTCCGGAACGGCGAGTACACCGAGAAGGCATTCTTCACCGTCCTGCCTGCGCTGCTCTTCTCCGCTCAATCTTCGGGTCAGCTTTTCAGCTTGTCGCCGGAGATTGCTCGTGCAAAAGCTGCCGCTACAAGCGTATTCAAGCTGCTGAGCTATGAGCCTCACATCCTGGCAGATCAAAAGTCGAGCGGACCTGTTCCAGGATCTTTCGCTTCCACGTCGTCGCTGAGTCTTGAGGAAAAGACGGGAACCAATCCGAAGATAGCATTCCACGAAGTATCCTTTACTTACCCAGGCGGCGATAAACCAGCACTGCGCAGTCTCAGCCTCGACATACACAAAGGCAGCTTCGTTGGACTTGTCGGGCCGTCTGGCGCAGGAAAGTCATCCACGCTGACATTGATTGAACGCTTCTACGATCCAAGCAGTGGCGGCATTGCGGTTGACGGCGTTGATCTCCGAAACATGGACGCGCAGCAGCTACGAGACCGTGTCGGATTGGTATCACAGGAGCCAGATTTACTACCAGGTAAGCATAGCAATTTGTCAATCCCTCCATGACTGTCTGAAACTCGGCTGACCACGCTACCCACCAATCTGTAGGCTCCATAGCTTACAATATCCGGCTGGGAGCCACTCAAGACCAACAAGTGTCCGACACAGAGATAGCGGAAGTGTGTAGGCAGTGCGGGTTACATGAGTTCATCACGAGCCTGCCGGAAGCCTACAACACGGAATGCGGTTCCGGTGCCTCTTCGAAGCTGTCCGGCGGGCAAAAGCAAAGAGTCGCATTGGCGCGGGCACTCATACGTGACCCCGAGATCCTGCTGCTTGACGAATCAACATCAGCTTTGGACGCGCATAGTGAGCAGTTAATCCAGAGAACGCTGGCCGAAGCATCCACTGGGCGGACGACGGTAGCTGTGGCACATCGTCTAGCGACAATCAAGCACGCCGACAGGATTTACGTCTTCGATGATGGACAAGTGGTCGAGCACGGCACGCATGCGGAGCTCGTCGAGCTTGGAGGGCTGTACGCGAGCATGGCAAAAGCGCAGTCTTTGGTATGAGCGCACCAATAACCTAGCTAGCCCAGCGTCAAAAGCGATTGCATTGTACTTCACACGCGATATCACCACTACGCGTTTCACTGCCGTGCGCACTCCTTTCTTGGATTTAGTCTCTCTGTGCACACCTACGCCGTAGAGTTAGAACAGCTTGGCATTAGTGTTAGCGAGAGACCACTTTCTATGTATTGCGACACCTCTGCCGAGCCTCGACTCCACTCACATGCCCGACTCTCACCGATGTCGCTGCTGTCGATCTTCAGTCTCGGCAATCTAATCAGATCCGTTAACTTTCCTGCAACGTCACCGATGGAGTCCTCAACGAAGCGTTTGTAAAATCTGACTGGCACAGCTGTGCTCCACTTCGGCAGGACTTGCCAGCAACGATCCCACCTCTTCTCTGGGAGACGTACGCCGCGCCGCTGATGATACCTCGGATCTGATTAGATAGCCGCTAATGTAAACCGAAAACGGATGATACACCGGCGACATCACTCGGTTGTACGATTGATTTGTCGAGGAGCCAGCGCTATGTTGTCTGACGACATTGAGCTTGTGTGACAACAATTGTAACCAAGGCATGCAGTCCCCATCAGGATGCTTTCTGCGCTGTCGGACTCCCCTGCCGGTTTCGCTCGAGAAAGGAGGCTGTCATTGCGGAAAGAAATTGAAGCTGCAGAGCTGTTTGTTCGTGTTGATTTCACTTAAGGACAAACAACGTATACGGACAAATTGACTCCGGTCCGCCACTACGACACCATCTTTTCAGTACGACCATGTCGCCCCATGCTGTGTCTGTTAATGGCCATAGAGCTTCCCATCAGTACACAAACGGCAGTACCCATGAGAACGCCAATGACGGGCAACAGGTATTGCCGTCACTACTTAAGAGCGCCAAGGACGTGGACGATGTGCATGATCTGATATGTGTCGGCTTTGGCCCAGCTTCTCTGGCGATTGCTGTTGCACTCCACGATGCGTTGGAGGAAGGCAGTCCAGAGTTGCGGACGAGTCGACCTCGAGTGAAGTTTTTGGAGCGACAAGAACGATTCGCATGGCATGCCGGCATGCTCCTTCCAGGAGCGAAGATGCAAATCAGCTTCATCAAAGACCTGGCAAGCCTACGGAATCCGAGGAGTCGCTTTACATTCCTAAACTACCTTCACGAAAAGGGACGACTTGTTAAGTTTAGCAATCTTGGCACTTTCCTTCCTCAGCGCATTGAATACGAAGACTACATGCGGTGGTGCGCGAGTCATTTCGAAGACGTTGTCGACTATGGTCAGGCCGTGCAATCCATACGACCCGGAAGCACAAATCCCGTCACGGGCCAGGTCGACACTTTCGATGTCGTTGTCAAGAGTCTCCGGTTCGGAGAAGTATATACCCTACGGACGAAGCACGTCGTCATCGCAGTGGGCGGTAAGCCAAACATGCCAGAGTGCTTCCCACCGCAGCATCCTCGCATCATCCACTCATCGCAGTATGCCACCAATATCGACTCGATATGTCCTCGAGATCAACAGCCGCGATCAATAGCAGTCATTGGCGCTGGTCAGTCTGCGGCTGAAGTGTTCGATAATCTCTCTACCAAGTTCCCAAATGCCAAATCGTACTTGGTTATTCGAGGTGCGGCACTCCGACCGAGCGATGACTCTCCGTTCGTCAATGAGATCTTCGACCCCAGCCGTGTGGACGACATCTACGGACAGGCAGCGAAGATCCGGGCTGAGCAGCTTGAACGAGATAGGGGCACCAATTACGGGGTGGTGCGCCTGGAACTTCTAGACCACATTTACAGCAGGCTGTATTCGTATGACGTTCAATACGGTCATGACGATGTGAAGTGGCCGCAGCGCATCCTCAACCACCGCACGTTAACTGCTGTCGAAGACTCTGATCTTGACGGAAGACCTGTCCTTACACTCCGCATCCGCAACGATTCCGGCGAGTATTGCAAGTTTAAGCAACCGAAGGAGGAATCGTTGACGGTTGATCTTGTCATCGTGGCGAGCGGCTACCGAAGGGATGCTCACGAATATATGCTCAAGGACCTTAGACATCTGATGCCGAAGGGCGGTGACGCTTATGAGACGTGGAACGTTCGGCGAGATTACAGCGTTCAGTTTGGCAAGCACACCGTGCAGGATGACGCCGGAATCTGGCTGCAGGGATGCAACGAACAGACACACGGTCTGGCTGACAGTCTGCTCAGCATCCTAGCCGTACGTGGTGGCGAGATGGTGCACTCGATCTTCGGCGAGCTCAGCAACTGAGGTCGTATATCCTTGCAACAAGCCCCGGGAGGTCTTTGACGCTCTCGCGGTTCACATTGTACCCTGTGAAGTACGCTTGTATCGCAACCCACGAATTGGAAGCCGTGGTTTGTCTTGCTTCCCAGCAAACACTTTACACTGTCTGATCTCGCATCGCTCTGGGGTGTCCGTCTCTGGCAAGTATCTCATATGCAAAGGTCAACTTGCTACCTTCATTTTCCGCCTTCCTACCTCCGCATTTGAGACGTACCGTGATGTTAGCACAGCTCCACCGCTCCGGACGTCAATGGATACCCAAGACACACAAGCATTCGCCGGAGATTTCGGCACGGCGGACAATCTCGCCCAGGATCGTACGGAATTGCAACCAGAAGCTCCTCGTTCAATGCAGGAGAGGAGAGGTTTCAGCCAGTGGCGCGATGCTATCAACTCGCCCATTGACTTGTCATTCGACCTGGCTTTTTATCCTACCAATTGGATGCTTCGGCCTAGGAGCGATGCTGTCAGTGCGTCAAGATACATGCATTCAGTTAACGAATCACGTCCGCTACCGAAGCTGTGAGCCACCGGTCTTGTACTTCAAGGAAGCTTGTCTCATGCTTTGTTACCAAAGTCTCTGTAATGCAGCAACGCCAGCCTGAGTTACATGGAAGGTGGGGCGCTCGTCGTACTTCCCTCCTCTGAAACCGCAAACACCCTTCTCATTTGCAAATCGGCTCTTACCGGCGATCACTTCTTCAACCTCAGACAGGCCGCACGAGAACCACGGTATTCGCTCTGCGACTCTGCCAGCCAACAACAACATGTCCACCAGCGTTGCAATGGAGAAAGCGCTCGATGTCAACGAGCTTCTTGAGCTCATGCTCGCCTCTCTGGATGTGCGAACGTTCGTCTTCGCCGCTGCCCTCGTCTGTCACCGCTGGCATGCCATGACTAAGCGGATCATTACCTCAAACAGCGTGATGCGCACGCAAGAAGCTCTTCCTACAACCGTGCAAAGACATTTCCGAGATCCTTGAGCCGAACAATTCCCTTTCAAGGATCGCAACCGGTACGTCGAGTACGAACCCTACCGCGGACTGAGTGAGAGCCAGCTTGACCCTTCGCTCGTGCTACCGGATCCATGGTTTTATAAGAGGAGCTTCTTCACCACCGGTGCAGGCATCCTGGAGATGCTTCAAAGGCAGGAGCAAGGGTGCAATTTGCGCCGCGACACGCTGCTCTCGCAACCTCCGGTTGCTGAAGATCTCTGGCACGCCAAATTCGGGAGGAGTGAACGTGCCTTCACAAGCCGCCACGGGCCAGCGAACGAAGGGGACGTGAAGGGCATCTTCACCAATGGCAGGACGATCGCAACGGCACGAGAGGCGACAAGGGTGCTGGAGAAGGTGATGCTCGAGCATTGGGGCAAGGCAGTGGACTGCGACGGCACTACTTTGCATGTCCCAGGCAAGAAGATTGGGCGGGCGGAACTGAACGAGCGCTTGCGGACTGCTGGTCGAGGTGCGGCGAGTGGCAGCACCGACCGGGCAGCGTGATGGGGTGGTAGCGGGGAGAAGGATGTGAACCCGCCGTGATCGTAAGCAGGGCGTGCTTGTGCCAGCCGAGCAGCTTGAGTGGGCAGGGCTGCAGAGGCGTATGCGCGCTGATGTGTACGCTGACTGTCGATAACAGTGACGTCGGGTCGCCGTGATGGTGCGGACACGAATCATGGCTCGTGGTGGGAGGGATGCAAACAGTGTATTTAAACCACTGCTGGCTTTACATTAGCCGAACAAGACCTCGATCCGCTTCTCCCAATGCTTATCGGCCGACACTGAGATCGGATTTCAGATACGTATACATGCGAGTTTAGGAAGACGTCTGCCGCTAGTCGCTATCCTCGTCATCCGCAATCACAATCCGCCCTCGGATACTGCTCCGTAGTGGTTTCGTAACAGGCACATCATCTTCATCCTCCTCGTCCTGGTCCAGCGTATTACGCTCTTTGTCTCCAAGTCCAATCGTTCTCCCGCCATGACGCAAACCTGCCGCAACATTCCCATTCACCTCAGCCAACGCCCGGGGTCCGGTCGTCTTCTCCGCAGCCGTGGGAGAAGTAGAAAACGTCTCTTCCTTTTCCTCTCCCTCTGCATCATCCTCACTGACATCCTCGGCCTCAGATGATGACTCGGTAACAGCCCTACGCTTAGACAGCTTGGTAATGACATCCTCGTCCCCAACGGCGTCCCCCACGTCCATATCCACGTTGGATGCATCGGAATCACTTTCCTCCTCAAACGGTAGCGTCTTCCTCTTCTTCTTCAGCACCATCTCCGCCTCCGCATCCCCTTCACGCATCCGACTCTCATCCTCCTCACCAATCCCACTCTCGTCTTCATTTCCACTCTCCTCATCCACCGCCCTCTTCCTCTTCCCCATCGCCTCCCCTCCTGTCGTCTTCTTCTTCTTCTTCTCCGTCTCCCTCGTTAGCGCACCGTTGATAACACCCTTCGTAGCCTTCCTTCTCTCCTCCTCCAACCGGAAGAATTCCGCATCCGCCTCACTATCACTCTCATCATCGCTCTTCGTGACGTAAAGCGCACTCTTGATTTTGCCCTGCCTTTCTTGCTCCTTCTTGCTCCGCTCCGCCGCCTTGGCGTCTACTTCGGCTTCGGTAAGCTCCGTGCGGTTGCGCTTGGTGAGGCGACGGCGCTTGGGCACTCTTTCGTCGTCTTTTTGGCGAGGAGAGCGGAGGTTGGGCGGAAAGAGCGCCTCCGCCTCGTCTCCGGAGGAGGCAGAGTCGTCGTCTGAGTACGTGTTCGCGGTTCTCCTGACGACAGCGACGGCAGAGGAGGACAGATTCCTCACCATATCTGCCGCCGCCCTCCCCTCCTCCCCAAACCCGGTCGGCGGATCAAACTCGGTCTTGGCGATCGCTTCCACCCCCTCTCTCAGCCGCTGCGTCGAAAGTTCAGCCGGGAAAAGCCACGTCCCGTCCACATCATCGCTCGCGCCTAACCTTTCCAGTCCGAGCGTGGCGAGTAACAGACGCAGATGCTTGTCCTTGAACAATTGCGTCTTCCGCTCCTCCGTGTCTGGGATGAGGAAAATGGGCGGGGGCGGTGGGCGCTCGGTCCCTGCTCCCTCGTCGACCGCAGAATTGATATCCTCCCAAGCCGTCCGCTCCTGCACCGCTCGCTCCATCTCCTTCTTAACCCACTGCACTGCATCGGCTTTTCCTTGCTCCAGCAGAAGGGTAACAGCCACGGGTACCTTCATCACCTCGCTCACGCCCGCTTTGAACCCTAGCTGAGCAGGCGGTCTCGGCGCCCTTCTCTCCACCGTTCGCTCAATACCGTTTTGCAGGTAATACACGCTCGCCGGAATCTTGCTGAACAGCATCTCTACCACACACATCTCCTTCCACCCCTCACCCTCTGTTTCCTTCTCCATCCACCTCACACACCGCCTGAACACCTGCCGGACCAGCGTGTCCCAGTCCTGGAACGCCGGGCTCTCTGTGCTCAAACCCCCGGGTCCCTTTACAAGTTTGTGTAGTAGAAGTAGGATGTCGACTCGGAAGAGCAAGATCGCGAGGTCATGTTTGAACGCCAGCCGGTAGAGATAGCGATGACACCGTTTCAGCTGCTCCGGCGTAAGATCGGCATGGTATTGGAGCAGAGCGAGGAATGTGTTGAGGCACGGTTGGGTGAGGAGTTTGGAGCTGAAGCGGGCAAAGTCGAATCTGCGCTCTGTTGCGGTCAGTTGAGCTTCGCGAGCGTCTTCGTTATCGGCTTCTTGGTCGTCTTCGTTGGGCATGACACCGGCTTTCCGTGCTTTCTTCCGCGCCCTCCGCTTCGACTGGATTTGCAGCTCGGCGTTCTGTTTGCTGTACCTTTCCAGCATCCGGACGAAGACGTGTACGCATTCCGTTACTGCGTCGAGGTAGGGTAGGCCTTGGTTGTTGTAACTTCGCAATATCTGTACGATGCGATCGTGGGTGGCTTCGTGGTAGAATATGCGATTTTGGATGTTCTCTGCGATCTCTTGGTCTTCTTCATCTGGACTTTCACTCATATCGTGGACTGTTAGGAGGATGGAGGTGAAGGCCAAGAGCGTGGTGTGCAAGTCTAGCCAGGACTTTTCGTCAAGGTAACGCTGCATGCTTCGGCTGATCAGGGCGAAGGTGTGGTCGTCGAGGACGGCGGCGATGTAGGCGTATGTGCTCTCTTCTCCTGCAGAGGTCGGAGGAGGTGTGAACGTGGTTGCTGTCCGACGTGCGCGTTCGGCGGCCAGAAACCAGGAGATGAGGTAGAAGTAGTGGCGCTGGTGGGTAGGGCTTATACGGTCCGCTTCACTTGCAATAGCTTTTCGGAGGCCGGAGAAGAGAGGGTTGAAGCCTGAGTCGAGGAAGTCCTCGACGAAGCTGCGGAGGTGCTTCCGTGCCGTCTCCGTCAGATCAATGCGTTGGCAAAAGTCGGCCTGTCTGAGCTCTTCAAGACCCGCATGTTTGCCGTGATGCTTGGGCTTGTTCCACTTCTTGCTCGCGTCCATTATCTGCAGGGTGGCATCACCGTTCGTGATGCTCGTCTGGCCCGTGACTGTACTTAGCTTCTCGTCTCCGCGCTTGACCCAAAGCATCGTGCCGAAGCGGTTGTGGCGGGAAGGAGCGTGTTTCCGATAGCTTTTGTGCATGTCGCGCTCCTTCTGCATCAGCATTCGGAGTTCGTCGGCTTCGTGGTGTTGAACTTGCTCATCGTGCATGAAGAGCTTCTTCGGGTCGATGCCTTTCAACAAATGGAAAAGGATCTCGAGCAAGACAACATCCTCATCCTGGAAGTCGTCCGATGCGCCGGAGCCAATCGTAAGCAGTAAGTTCAAGACGTCCTGTTCATGGAAGACGTCGATCGTGGACGAGCGGCTGATCTCGTTCTCGTCGCCTTGCGAGGGTAGCATCTGCGGTTGGGTGATCATGGCCACATTACGGAAGAGATACATGACCAGCTTAATGATACCTTCGTCCCGCTTACTCCGCTCTCGGCGTGGTTGTGTCATGGACGGCAACGCCACTCGGACAGCCGTCCGTAAGATGGCGGCGTGCTCATAGTGCAGGACGGCGCGCTTGTACCCAACCTGTGCGAGTTGCAGATACGGCAGATGCCGGTGATGGTTCACCGTCGCCTTCTCATCTTCCAGGTCCAAGGGCCACGTCAAGGGTACGAGCAGCTGTATACACGCCAGCGCCAGCTTGCCTCTCAGCTTGTTGTCCGTCGCCGTCTCGGGCCATAATGCCAGTATCTCGAGCAGATCGCCTTGCACCAGGTTGGCTTCAGCGAGGCACCGCTTGACATCGTATCGGTTGAGCTTCTCGTCGTACTATAACGCACTTTCAGCCTTGAACATCGTATACATCTACCATTTGTGGATATCATACCAATCGCAGCCATCTCAAGATATCGTTCAGCGCCGCCAGCGCATCGTCGCCAATGCTGTATGTATCATCGTACGCCGAGCTGCCTCCCACCACATTGACGAGCGAGTAAACGTATGCGCGCACTTCCGGATCGACCGTTTCGCTCTTCTCCCACAACTCCATCGCCCTGTCGTCAATGTCGTCGCCAACTCATATTCATCGTCTGCTTGACGGGGATCAAATCTACGGAAGACGCGTCGACGCGGAGCGCGTTTGAGCCGAAAGGCGGGGGTGGGGCCCGAAGAAGATATCAATCAATGCTCCAATACAGCTTCAATCAATATTGCAGTGCAGCTTCAATCAAACAGGGGTCTTGCTAAAGCCACAACGCGTGCACCAACGCTGTGAACGCGTTGAAGTTCGTCCTTTAATCAACGAAGAACCGCTCACACCAAACGATCGCTTCACCAACAGTTTTGCCAACATGTCCGACGACGACGAGTCTCCCTCAGCGTACACAAACACCCATCGCGCATTTCTCCAGGTCCTCCTCTCCCGCCAATGCCTGACCTACGCTGAAGCCAAACCACTCATCTCCACCATCGAAACCGCTTCCAACCCCGCCCGTCCAACGCTGCCGGAAGACGTCTCCCAGGAAGACTTCACGAACTACATCGACGCCCTCAACACCGCCATCTCACCCTTCGATCTCGAGATCAGGAGTACGAGACATCAGGTCACGAGGGAGCGGGTATGGGCGCTCGTGAATACGAGTAGTGATGCCCTCACGCAGATGAGTACGACTTTCAGTGCGGAGGAGATGGGGTTTGTGAAGAGGGTTCTGGATGCGATGTTCGACACGAATAACACGAGGGAGAAGGAGGTGATGGCAGTCAGTTCGACGCAGGCTTTGAGGTTGTGTAAACCTGGTGCAGCGAACGCGGATGAGAGGAGGAGAGATTCGGGGAATGATGAGGTGATGCAGGCTATGGCGAAGGACAACGGGGTTACAATGTCGCAGGCGGAGAGGGTTCTTGAGTTGTTGGTGGAGCAAGGCTGGTTCGAATTGAGTGGACGAGGGTACTACTCTCTTTCTCCCAGGACGCTGATGGAACTCCGCGGCTGGCTGGTGGACACTTACAATGAGCCCGCCGACGAGAACGATGACGAGGACGACGATGACGAGGGTGAGAGGCAGCTTATCAAGTTCTGTGCTGCGTGCCGAGAGATCGTCACAGTAGGCCAGCGATGTCCGGACCTGGACTGTAACGCACGAGCGCACGATCACTGCGTGAGAAATCTGTTCCGTGCGCAGGGAGGGAGAGAGCAGTGTCCGGTTTGCAAAGTGGCGTGGAGAGATGCGCTGCCTGTGGGCGAGAGTGCGGCGAAGTGTGGGAGAAGGACGACGAACGGGTCGCGTGGTGGAGACAACAGGAGAGGCGGCGGTGGTAGAACGCTAAATGGCATGGTGGATGAGGAGAGTGAGGCTGAAGAGGGTGCCGAAGAGGTCTGAATGGCTATGGTTGGGCGTGTTTTTCAGAGCGAGGCGTCCGGCGCTGAAATGTTCGGCGTGGTCGATTTGTTCGAATCATGATACCCTGCTATTTGCAGCGGCTCACCGTATCCTCACCAGTAAGCATATACCACAGCCACGCACAAAGCGCACCGCGAAGCGTTCCGTTGCGCCGTCGCCGCAGAATGCAACCTGTCCGCACCGCACCATGTCCCTCTTCTCCCTCTGACAATTTCCCCGCTCATCTGTACGACTTCTGGTAGCGCGCACGCGCACCCGGACCGCCAAACTTCTTCGGCTCACACCGGCGGTTGTCGGCCACGAGGAGGGTACGGTCGTAGGCGACGAGTGCTTGCTTGAGCTGGTTCTTGCTGTGCTCGTCGATGTATTTCTGGTAGTATGCCACCTATACCAATGCGTTAGACAGAGTGCTAGTCGCAATCATGTGGAGAGGCTGGTCGCTTGATTGTTGCGAAACGTACAATGCTCTTTGCGATCGCCTGGCGGATGGCGTAGACTTGCGAGGTGTGACCACCACCGCGTACGCGGACGCGGATGTCGACATCGGCTGTGTATCACAGACTGTCAGCACACGCCTCTTCTTTTCGCTACCCTCTTCTCTTCGCCGTCCTTGTCCCGCATAACCCATCACTCCTTCATGTCATCCTACGCCCACCGCATCTCCACCTTCACCACCTTTTGCTCTTGCCCTCCCCATCTGTTCACACCCAGCCGTAGGAAGACATACCAAACTTGTCCGGGCCGAGAATGAGCACCGGCTCATACACCTTGAACCTCAGAATCTGCGGCTCAACGAGCGAGAGCGGCTTGCCGTTGACTCGGATCAGACCCTTTCCTTGCCTGCAGTGCGCGACGGCGGTGGCGGTCTTCTTCTTGCCGAAGCATTGCACGCTTTGAGGAGCCGACATGGTGGCGGCTGTGAAGCGTGTTGATGCGTCGTCGGTGGAGTTGTAGGGTAGTGGTGGTTGTTGCTGGCGCTGTTGTGTGTCGTGTGCGATTCGCTGGGCTTGGCAGCAGATTTCGGCCGGGAGAAGCCGCGGTGTCAGCTTGCCAAGACTTCGAGCCCCGGAAGCCGGGAGCCGCCGCTCCGAGAGCTGATGATGGCTCGTGCTTTCGAGATGCGAGTCGCACTGAGCATACTGTTGGTATTATTCACGACTAAGTCTTCCCGAATAGTATCGGCGAGTGACGAGCGCGAGATGCGATGGCGCCCATCACCACCGCCTCCAACGAAGAAACTCATGCCGCCCTCCTCGACGCCCTCGACATGCAAAAAGTGCCCAAACCCTTCCGTAACCCCCATTACCGCGCACCACAACGCCGCAACAAGAACCTCAAGCAAATCCTTTCCGAAGCCCAGCGCGCTCAGCAGAGTGTCCTGAACACACAGCAAAACTCTGGCGCAGTGACTCCCCAAACCACTGTAGAAGGCGACCCGGCATCCGCAAGCTTGAACCCTAACCCAGCGCAAGGGAGCCAGGACCTCAACCGTCTGGTACTGGAGAAGAACGCCCAGCAAAGCAACGGCACTGGCGCCGCTGCGACGTTGAGCGTGGGTCTACCTACTTCGTCAACGGGACCCAGCGTAACATATACGAGCATCCAAGCTGCGCCGAGCAAGAAGCCCAAGAAGAAGTACTGCGATATCACGGGCTTGCCCACGACGTATACGGATCCGAAGACGGGCTTGAATTACTACAATGCGGAGATGTTCAAGGTCGTGAGGGGTTTGTCTACGGGTCAGATACAGGAGTACTTGGCGTTGAGGAACGCGAATACGGTCTTGAAGTGAAAGGCTGTCAACCAAGCATGGCCGCGAACCACTCATCTAGAGACCGCATGATAGTGCAAGTTACACTTGACCCACTGGCAGATACACTACTGTGAGAGGCAGGAAGGACCCATATTGAGTGTCTGCGCACATGAGAACTAGCGCGAGAATTGCCGGTGAAGGTTTCGAGTACCGAGGGGTAGTAGAAAGGTGGTACAGGATGATTAACGACTTCTGACGGAATAGGCGCAGATGGCCTATTATAAGGCACTAGTCGCGCCCGCAAGTTCCAACAGAGACGGTGGGAACAGCGCAAGTCGAGAGTGAAGGGTCGAGATAGATTGAGCGGAGAAAACCAGGCATGTCCGAGCGGTGACTGCGGAATGCAGTCGGAGTCGAAGAGGTGAGCGAGTCGAGATAAGGGGACAGCAGAGTCGGTGATGAGCTCGCAAATCGGCATTGCAATGGAGATGAGCAGGGCTGCGAACGACACCCAAATGGTAGTCGCTACTCCGTGCACTGCAGTCCACTTGTTGCAAGACGAAAATTGGTCGGTTGCATTACTGAGTGTTACAGTTCGTCCGTATCTTGTAAGACCAACCATAGTCAAGCCCCCTCCACCCACACCAAACCTTTACGGCCCGGTGCTCAAGAGGGCGCTCCGGCTTAATTGTGATCCAGAGTTGCTTGCTCTGCGCCTGTGTGACAGTGTACCGTAGGCTTATCAGGAGTGAAGCGGACAGTTACAGCTTTCGTTTAAGGAAGGTTCTGTTGCCAAGGCGTTCTTGGTCGTGTATAGATATGCCTCATGGCTTAGGAGGATTGCGGGCATCGTGCAACACCCCATTATTGCTATCGAAGGAGCTGGAAAGTGCCCAGCTCATGCTGCATGCTGACATGCCGGCATGAACCGTAAGTCAAGAGTGTAAGTCTATGCTTGTTGAGGGTCAAACACCGCATTTATACCGGCAGAACTACTGCGCTTGTCGTATGCCATATGAGGTTGTGGCGTATGATAGCTCATCGCTGTGTTTGCGCAAACTGTCTTGGAGACACTGACTGAACTTTTGGCCGGCATTCGGGCGGAGGATCTCGGCTTGGCATTCACCTTGATGATGACCGTCTCGACGAAAATGCGCTCTCCGTCTCCGCCTTCTGCTGTACTTCCGATGTCTGCACCGATTCGAAAGCTTTGTCGCTCAGCATCATAGCCGCGTATACTGCATAGCGGACAAAATGGAGGCAATGCCCCCAGTTCGCCTCCGAATGTTGATGGCTCGGACGATAACGGACGAACAAAGCTTCCACTCTTGCGTCATGCGCTTCGCTGATAGACGAGAAGAGAAGGTGAGTATTGCGTTCTCGTATTGTTATATTACATTTTTCTCTGCTGCTTCGAAAACGTGGACAAGCTGGCAACCAACATCAATATGGCGGACGTCGAGTATATGGTCGCCCCAAAAGCACCGCCCGCGCTTCACATCCCAGAGTCGAAGTCTACCGTGAAAGTGTCATGCATCGATAGGTAAGGTAGGCCGTCGATGAAACAGCTTGTTAATCACCACGCTTAAACCGCACAGTACATCTCGTCTCCGGTTACCCATGGGAATCTTTTTGCAACCGGACTACAAAGGCCACCCCGACCTTCTCGGACCTTGCTTTTCCTTCCTGATCGAACATCCAAACCGAAAGCCCATCCTCTTCGACCTCGGTGTCCGCAAGGACTGGGACGTCCTACCTTCAGCCCCCAAATGGAAGGAACTTGGCTGGACGATTGAGGTCGAGAAAGACGTCGCCACCATTCTGACCGAGAACGGTATCGATGTCAAAGGCGGTGCGATCGAGACCATCATCTGGTCCCACCATCACTGGGATCATGTTGGAGATGCATCGACCTTCCCGGGGTCTACAGGATTGGTTGTTGGACCAGGTTTCATGGAAGCGCATACACCTGGCTACCCCAAGCGGAAAGATTCGACCCTGATGGAGACAGACTTTGAAGGCCGCAATGTTCGCGAGATCAACTTTGAAAAAGAAGGCACCGGTTCGAAGATCGGCCGCTATAATGCCGTTGACTACTTCGGCGACGGCAGCTTTTACCTGTTAGACACACCCGGTCACAGCGTTGGTCACATGTGCGGCCTTGCTCGCACAACCGCTGATCCTCCGACCTTCATCTTCATGGGCGGCGACGCCTCACATCACGGTGGCGAGTTCAGGCCGACCGAGTACACGCCGCTCCCAAAAGAGCTGACGCCCGCTCCGCCTCGTCGACGCGGCCAGGGAATCTGTCCCGGCCATCTTCTGGAGCAGGTCAACCCGCATGGGTCCTCGACTCGTCCATTCTACTACGTCACCAGCATGCTCAGTCATGACAAAGAGGTAGCGGACTGGACAATCGACGGACTGGGCGAGTTTGATGCGCATGAGAATGTTCTGCTGCTGCTCGCGCATGACGATGCTGTTGTGGATCCGGCGCAGTTTGATTTCTATCCGAAACCACTGAATGATTGGCACGAGAAGGGGATTGGGAAGAAAGTGAAGTGGTTGTTTCTGGGTGATTTCGAGCAGGCGGCGAAGGCGAAGGAGAGGGGTGAGGACGCTTTTACTTGGGGCAAGTATCCATAACTCTATTGGTCATAATAACGATTTCTGAGGACATGCCCCAAATTCAATGTGCATTCGTGAATTGTGATACGTTGAACGCACCTGCGGCGCGATAGATCAGGTTCATGTACCTGCCGTGTGAATGGTTGGAAAAGCTAAAAGCCTGTGCGCAGGCAACATTGCTCTGAACGCCCTTCAAGCACCTCTCTCCAGTTATTACTTCATCGATATCAAGTTGACGCCATTTTCGGCGACATTTGCGCATTGTCGAGATGGAGAATGCGAAAGTGAAGGCCATATTCGGCGACATTTGCGCATTGTCGAGATGGAGAATGCGAAAGTGAAGGCTCTCGCTATCTCAGAGCTTGTCGATAATATACTCGTACACCTTGCCACGAAACAACTCTACACAGTACAGCGAGTCAGCAAGTCGTTCCGCAACGCCGTTATGGAGTCTGCCATGACCAGCGCAGAATGTGCCGATTCATTGAGCCGGCAGCCAGCAAGCATCTGGCGCAAGTCAATGATTTGCTGGCCGGAAAGACAAGGCTCACAACACTGCAATACATCGTCTTCAACTTGGTGCCGGAAAAGGATCCCAACATGCTTCTCGTCGCCGCTCGTAGGAGGAACGCTTTGAGGCATCAGAATGAGTATACCAGGAGCAAACACCAGTCGTGGCGTAAGACGAAAGTGGTATCGATGACCATCCAGCTTAAGGTCGTTTTCGAAGGGTGGATTGACATCGCGTACTCAGTGCGCGCCCGTGAGCCCTTCAGACTTTTCCGAATAGAAAGAAAGACGTGGAACAGCGATGAATTAACATTGGGCGTTCTTGCGGACTGGCTCACCAACCACAACGGTGTTATGCAAAGCGAGCACATCGTGAGTGCTGAGACGCCTGCCGAGCAATAGGCTGAGAACTACGAGGATAGATATTTTCACGAGTGAATCGACGCCCTCGTTGACTATGTGATGGACGACGGGCAGTAACCAAGAGAGTGGAACAGTGTGGGCGAGTAGTGCAATGTCTAGGGGGAAGGCACGCTCGCATGTGATGAGCTGGAGCCGAGGCTGATCATTTGCGCTTTCCCCGTTCAAGCGCCATGCGCAATGGGCCCGTGATACACCAACAATCAGTGTTGATAGACATTCTCGTCAATACTAGACGACTGCCATACACTCAAGTATAGAGTAACAGACATGTCACACCCCAACCGCAAGCATTCTGTTGCCTCTTCCAATAGTAGCGCCGCGAAACGACCGATCGACCCCATCACGCGAACTGCACTTCGATACTCGCTCAGCTCCCGTGAGTATGAGCTCCTTCACCAGTATATCATATCGCGAGCCCCGACGCCGGTACAAAAGCGCACTCCCGATCCCAAGCGATACGAGAAGATCACGGAGAGCAGCACAGAGAACGGCGACTACAACATCGCAGCGTTACGGGCAGCACTTCGCGTGTTCGTTGCGGCTTACGTTGGGCTGAAGGGGTGGGAGACGCTTACGGAGAAGCTGGCAAGTCGAGCACAACGGCCACCAAAGGCAGCGACATCGAAGCCTCGCTATGCCAATGCGAGGATCGCGTTATCTTTCTCCACGATACTGCTCTTCCACCGGCTGCTGAACCGCTTCTTCCGCCATCTACGGAGTGCGCTGCTCGAAGAGAACGCAGCTTCTTTTCGCAAGCGCAATCCGAGAGTGACAAAGCTACTCACTTCAGTGTACACACCCTCCGTAGGTGCTTCCCTAGCCGGCCTACTCCTTGGCATATCACCCGCCGACCAGCTCCGGATGACGATAGCTATCTACGTCTTTACTCGGTCTCTGGAGTCCAGCTACAACGCACTTGACGAGGGAGGCTTCATCTGGAGCAAAGACGAGACCGGCAAGCCGCGCAAGCCGTGGTGGTTCGGCAGCTGGCTACTTATGCCTTTTGCCTGCGGTCAGCTGCTGCACGCTTTCGTCTTCGACCGAGAATGCTTTCCGGAAAGCTACGGGCGCTTCATTCTCGCGCGATCGCCGGAGTACGTTCAGCTGCGACCCAAAGGCCATGTAGCGGAAGGCAAGCCATGGCCAACGACTTTCGACATAGTCGATGCGTTGGCCGAGCTCAGCAATCTCCGCTGGCCGCCTTTCGTCTCGCCAATCCTCTTCCCACAAGCGAAGTCACCGCTGCCATCAGGAATGGCACTGTCAAAGGTCAGGCCCATTACAGCACCCGCACACCCCGGCACTCTTCACACGTCTTGCGCTCTCCTTCACCCTCAAGATCCTAGTTGCGGACGCGTCTACCTGAAGTACTGGATTGCTGCCTTCCCTACGATGACGAAGTACTTCACTCTCATCTACGGCGCTTTCGCCTTACTAGCGTACAAGAAGCTACTAAACAGCCCCATTCCATTCGTGAACCGGCTTGCGGCGCGCATCCTCCGGATTAGTTTGTTCATCACCGGCGCAATCGGGACAAGCTGGGCTAGTATCTGCCTCTTCTCAAACATCTTCCCACGTACTCTTCTACCAACTCAACGGTGGTTCCTGGGTGGCTTTCTAGGCGGGCTATGGGCTTTCATTGCACGAAGGGACGAAGGAAGTACTTTCACCTACAGTGCAAGACTGTCGATCGACAGTCTGTACAAAGTCGGGAAGAAGCGCGGCTGGTGGCGAGGTGTTAAGAATGGCGATGTCTTGCTCTTCGCGGCGGGCTTGGCACTGCTAAACGTGGTCTATGAGAAGCGCCCCGGTGCGATTGATAGCGCAGTAGGGAGGAAGGGTATTAGTGCATTGAGGGGAGAAGGGTGGGTTGATGTGCTTGAGAAGAAGGGGAAGGATCAGGCAAGCGAACGGTTTACGCAAGATGGAGATGTGGATGCGGCGAAGGATGCATGAGTGATCTGCTTGAACATTGGGAGCCTGTTTCCACGCGCCTAACGTTCAGCACAGCTTTGGGAGACCGCAGCGGTGTCTGACACAGTACCGCCATCCCTCTTCTGAGATTTGAGCGCGCTGCGCGAGAGACTGAGTCGCGAACGCGTTCACGCTACTATTATTGACGTCTTTCCGGCTCTTTGCGTCCCGACTTTGAAGCATAGATACAACAGCAATGCTGCAGGCTTAATAACGAGCCGTCGGCCGAGCATGTGCTAAAGCTTCCGAAGATGTCGCTTTGTCACGTGTTCGGCCGAGCAATCCCCCAATGGCTGCACTTCAACCTTTCTAGAGGTCCATCTCGACGGGCAACTTCACGGAAGGCCGGACCTATGGCTATCCGTCAGTTGACGTCGCTGGCTCTTTGTCACGACGTATATGTATCTTCGAACGCTTCGCCAACGACGTGCATCTCCCGAAGTAAGCGGTGAGCAACTCGACAAACAAAACCAACAACTCACGTGACGAACGATGGCGCATCGACACGACATGGAGACGAGCGATACAAGAGGTGCCCATCATCTTGCAGGCAAACACATCATAGTCGCCGGTGCTGGTGTCGCTGGTCTAGCATTCGTGCGCGCACTTGCTCGCAGCTGGCCGTCTGATATCGACCCACCACGGGTCTCGCTGTACGAGCGAGATGACCGCACAATCCCGCCTGAGAGGTGGGGCTACTCACTGGGTATGCGTAGCGACAAAGCGTCTGGCGGTCTACAGGCACTGCGAAAGCTCGGCCTTCTAGACGAGACAATCCAAGCCAGCAGTGCAGTACTCAATCCGAGTTGCCACTTCCAGCTTCGAGATGCTCGTTGGCGAACGTTCTTCAACAAGACGAGTCCACGAGTGCCTCCGGATGGTCTTCCCATTGACAGATTCCGCGTCGCCAGAAGCAAGCTGCGGCAAGTCCTAGTGGATGGCTTGCCGAAGAGTGCAGACGCGCACTGGCGAGTAGCTTGCGAGTCAGCAGTGCGACTGGACGACGGCAGGATACAAGTCCCGCTCAGTGATGGCTCCGTTGACACTTGCGATCTGCTGATAGTATCGGACGGAGCCAACAGCAAGATTAGAGCTGCCCTCCGACCTCACGACAAGCTGAGCTTCGCCGGCGCCGTCATCATATCAGCGATCTCGAGCTTCCCGAAGCACAGTGTACCAAAGGAAGTACGAGAGGGCTCTGGACCCGTTGTCAGCGGCGAAGGCACCAACTTGATAACTTTCCCGATCGACGAGACGAGTGTGTCATGGTCGGTCACCTACCGAGCAGCTCAGCCTCGACCAGAAATGTACGGTAAAGAGGCAGAGGCCGCTCAGGGCGAGCTACTCAACGAGGCGCAATCCCGTGGACACGCCTACGCGGACCCGTTCAGCCAAATTATTAATGCTTCCAACCCATCCACGCTGAAGGTATTCAATGCGATGGTGAAGGAGCCAATAACCCATATGGAGATCTCAACCAACCCAGTCGTATACATCGGTGACAGTAATCATGCTGCCAGTCCTTTCGCCGGTAAGTTGCTGCTTCTCAACTCAGTCGTGTTCGCGTGCATGTGGGTCCGGACGTACTGACGATTATACGCAGGCAACGGAGCCAACTTGGCACTCATGGACGGCGTCGAGTTGGCTGAAGCGCTTCTCAGTGCTTCAGACATCGAATCTGCCGTGACCGCATTTGATGCGATAGCCGTTCCCAGAGCCAAAGGCATATGCAAGTCAGCCGGGTTCATGATACGGGCATTACACTCGACTGGATGGGAACTGTGGTTCTGGATGACGTTTCTAGGATTGCTGAACGTGGTCTTACAGGGGTTGGGTCGGTGATCGTTCTTCGCAGATGCGCAGTATAGCGACGCTGCTAACAATCACCACTCTGAGACACAGTACCGGACCTCCTTGATAGTAATGCAGTTGATGGCACACGATAATTACTTAGTCTTGCACGTGGCCGGGCGGCTCCACTCTTGGCCTGTTCGAACTCGTCTCAGCCATGCGACTCTGATTGTCCAGCTCCTTAACCTCAAACAGGCCGTGCGGCTTCCGGTGGCCTTCGACTTCGTGAATCGCTGGTTCGGCGACGGCCATCTCCGAGGGGCGAGATGATGTTGCCGGCTGCGGCGGCGCTGCTGGTCTTGCGCGGTGTCCTCAGCGCAACAACACTTGTGTGACAGCCCGTGCGAGCAGCTGGAAGCCCACTACAGCAGCTATAGGGATGCCAGCAATCACTGCGGGGGAGGGTCCTCCTGGGATATCGGTGCCGCTGACGAGAGAGCAGTCTGGACTGTCGCTGACGCCGGTGTTGTAGCAAATGAACGTAACGATGTGGCAGTGGTTCGAGAAGCAGCGCTAGTCGCAGCCTGGTTAGAATTGGCATACACCTCATGGAAGCGAAGGGTGGGTTACTGTGTTCGCTTCGTGACCATCTATTGGGTGAGCGTACACTTGCGCATTCGATACGCTTGCTCTTGGAGACGAACTAGAGCTTTACGTCCGATCCAATCTCCCTCCCTACTCGCGCTCGGACCAGATGCGAGAAAGCTTCCTCACAAAACCACCTTGCTATCGCGTCTGCTTGACAGTCTTATAGCATCGAAACTCCCCCGAGCTGAATCCGGATAATCTCGGCTGGGTCCGCAGAGGAGACGCCGAAGGCTGCAGATGTGATGACCAGCCTGAGTATCACATTAGCGTCGAGAACAACCAAGGTATGACGGTAGGCGAAATCAAGGACGCGGTGCGACAGAACCCGCCGCTCGATCGCCGGCGATATATCTACGAGGTGCTAATGGTCATGTCAAGACCGTGTTGTGGAGCAGTCTCGTTGCGTTGCGTGCGCCCGGGGTGAGCTTGGTGGATGTTTTTGGTTGTCGATGGCGTGCGGCAGAAAGTTTCTAGCCGGGAATGGTGGCCAGTAAGGAGGCCGATGTACTTTGGAGGCGTGCCCCGGCGGACAGTGTCGGCGTGGACATGGGTGTGTTGCACCTGTCGGTCCATCGCGCAGTCGAACGTATAGCCGCTACATTGTGCTCAAGCAATAGTTGGCCATGTCCGCCTTCTGAGTTTGAGGTCGCACGCAACACCTTCTCCTTCCGGTGAGGTGACACCACCTAGAGGCCTGTCGTTCTCAACCTGCCGTTCTCAGCCTGCGGTAACGGTGCACCCACTGGCCGCACCAGTCCAAGACGGTATCATTTTGCTTTCCGACCAATCCGCCCGGCCTATCTTGAGGCCCGCAAGTGTACTTTTTGCGAAGCAATACTTTCTCAAGGCTTCAGTGAGATCCAGAAATCGATTTTAATAATGAGGCGTGGCCCAGTGGATTACCTCGGCCGTTTGCGATTTGAATGCCACCAAGACTTACAGTACTTCGTGATGGATGTGCTCTTCAATACTTATAGAACCCTCTCCCACTTTTCTTGCCCAACCACCCCGCCTGCACCATTAACCTCAAGCGAACAGCAGGCCGGTACTTGCTGTCCCCTAATTGCCCATGCAACACCTCCATGATACTCAAGCACGTATCCAATCCGATGAAGTCTGCAAGTTGTAAGGGACCCATGGGCACATTCGTTCCGTTCTTCATAATCCCATCTATACTCTCTTCGTCTCCCACGCCGGTCTCGAGACAGATGATTGCTTCGTTGATGTACGGCATTAGGATGCGGTTTGCGAGGAAGCCGGGCGAGTCGGCGGAGACGGAGGGAATCTTGCCCATTGCGCGGCAGAAGGCCAGGGCGGTCGCGAGCGTGGTGGGGGAGGTTTGCAAGGCGGAGATGATTTCTACGCCTTTTTGGACGGGGACGGGGTTCATGAAGTGCGTGCTTATGACCCTGCTGGCTGCGCTCAAGTCGGTGGCGTTGTCGGGTGGGCAAGTTGCGCGGGCGAGGAGGGTGATGGAGATGGAGGAGGTATTGGTCGCTAGCACTGCGTGCGGTGGGCAGACCTGGGCTAATTGGGTGAAGATGGACCTTTTAAGGTCGACAATCTCGGGCACGGCTTCAATGACCATGTCCACATCACCCAGGTCATCCATCTTGGTGGTCGGGGTGAGACGGGAGCGGGTGGCATCGGCGTCGGATTGGGAGATCCTGTCCTTGCTGACGTCTTTGGAGAGGAGTTTGTCCGCAAACGCCAAACCTTTGTCGAGGCTCTTCTGGGAGTTGTCGACGACGACGACGGGCACTTTGGCCATGCGGGAGGCGACGAGGGCGATGCCGAGACCCATCTGGCCCGCGCCCACCACCCCGAGCTTCTTCACCTCCGCTGCTTGAGCTTCCGCCAATGTTCGCTGCGAGAGGCTGAAGGCGCGGCATTGTTGGCACACGTAGCGGCCCGAAGCCCGTAAAGCGGTGCGGGAGGTGAGAGCGGTGGACATTGTGGGTGGCGGTGTAGAATCTGGGAGGAGGTGGTGGAGGAGGAGGAGGAGGAGGATGTGGAGGAGGAGGAAGAGCAAGAGTGTTCGTTCAATGCTCGCTCGGCATTAAGCCTTCCCTCAGCCGAACCGAGGCATGTGAAGATGGGTCCAAGCGCCCAGTCGCGTCTAACTGCACGTGTATACGTGCCTCCTCTGTCTTACATCTTCACATCGCTTCACCTATTCATCCACATTCACGTGACCATGGTAGAGCTACACCTCGTCCCCATCCTTCCTCCGAGTCGTTAACACTGACAGTACTACCAGGAGAGCCCACACGAGCACCAGCAGAGTCTCCTGCTCTCACGCATCATCACGAATGTGGTATGCGTTGCCTTATCATATAGATGGATAAGCATGGACATAAAGCTGACTTCCAAGTAGGAAAAACTCAACGAGGCGATCATGCTGCTGAACAATAGCTTGCAGGCACGTACCCAGGTCTGCTCACCGTCGATTTGGACATGACTCGCTGACACGGTGTTTCAGGAGATCAACGTGCAGAACATGAATGTCGAGCTGGTCGCCCAGATGTTCAAGAACTACCAATCGAACGTTCTGTTCCATCTCGAAGGTATGCCGCCGAGGAGCTTTCATGGCACGTCGCTGATGGTGCGTAGCAACGGATAGTCTGAAGGAACCCTCGTAGCGTGTGCCAAGAACTTGAATGCACTTAAGACATGGATGCGATATACCCTGACCATTCGAGGGAGCATCACGACTGCATGATACGCGCTTTGAGGTGCCACGACCCTCAGAATCCATAAAACCTGGCCTCCCGGATTCTCCAAGCTACGACCAACCTGCCGGTATAAACCACAGCGCGGTCATCCCGGTCTCGGATCTCGCAGCCGCTCAACTCCTAGTCCTTTACTGCCCGTTTCTCGCAGGCATGAGGAACTGAAATGAGTCCCGCTCTCCCGCACATTGTGGGAGGCATCTGGGCAGAGACTAGGGGCTCGGGATCCGCAACGTACGGATGACTTAGGACCCTCCCTGCGGTGCACTTGGTTACCTGAAGCTATGCATGCATCTGGCACAATGTTGCAGTCATTCAACGCAGGCTCTGCGGCAACACGGGAGGCAAGCATTGAATAGCAAGGTGTAAATCACTCTTAGTTGTTCCGGCGAGCTGGACTCGTTTGTCAACTTCCCATGCCATCAATCATCCCCTTGCTTTATCGGCCGTGGACTACTCATTCTGGGTGGAGAGATGCGGCTGACTTCAAGGATGGCAGGAGAAACCGGGTCGGACAAAATCCCGTGATGGGTGTCAAGCAAACAGCGTTTTGCTCCTCGTTCGAAACGATGTCAGCTCAATATGAGCTACCACAACTCCATCGCTAAATGTCAGACCGCTTCGATTCTACTCAACGCCCTCATGACCACCGTCTCCATCCCTCAAGGAAACGCATTCCCAAGGTGGTGCTCCTTCAGGTACTCCCCACCCTTCTCCAACCACTCCTCCCTACTCACAAACGCTCCCCTCCTCTCCACCTGCCCCGCCCACCTCGCCGCACCTTTCCAAGCATCCAACACCGGATCCCTCGCCCTCCTCACCCTCAAAGCCACATCCACAGGCAAGACAGCCTGCAACTCACTCCTCAACCTCTCCTCGAAGTTCTGGAACAGCGCATACCCCCCGGTCACGAAGACGTCCTTGAGGATGTCGTTGCGAGCAGGATGGCTCGCCAGTCGAAGAGGATCTGTGAGAATGTCCTCGGCAATCTCGACAATGCCTGCTTGGTCTAGTCCGGCAATCTCGGGGTGGAAGATAACTTCCGGTACGCGGATGCGTTCGACATTAAGATGGAGTTGAGCAGACTCTCGTGCACTTTCGGAGTCGTAGGAGTAGGGACCGTGGTGGAAGGCGTGGTGGAGGCTGCGTGTCCAGTCTCGTCTTCGCTCTTCCAGACTCTCCTCCGTGAAGTTCGGGTCGTATTGAAGGAGCTGCTTTTCAATCTCCTTCAACTGCGCACCGTAGTCCTCTCCCTCCTCCTCCGCGTCATCGTCATCATTGTCTTTGCCTGCTTGGATCTCACGGTAAATGGCCCAATCCGCATCATCCGCGCCGAATCCATCATCGTCCGCATTCTGGCCCCGTCTCCGCTTCCGTCCAAACGGCGTGTCACTCGCTAGGTTAGCAATATGCTTCATCCGCATCTGACTCGCCTGACTCTTCCGGTTCCCCAACTCCGCCTTCAAACGATCCCTATCCTTGATTCTCTGAATAGTACCGGCCCTCGCAGCCCTCCGTTCAGCGACCCAAGCATCGAGGTCCGTTTCGCGGCGTATGTCATCCAGACGTTGGAGTTCGGCTTGCCGCAGTTTCTCAGCCTCCTTCTCCGCCTTCGCTCGAGCCCTTGCATCGTGATTACTCTTGAGCAACCTCTGCGCCTTCTTCGCCTTGAGTCCCTCTTCGTCCAAGTCCTCATCCTTCACATCAAGCAAAGGATACGTAGGCGGCTCCTCGCTCTCCTCCTCCAAATCACCTACATCCTTATTCCGCTGTCGGCGGATACTCTTCTCCATCTCCTTTATCCTTCTCTCCAACGCAGCTTCGTCCCGGAACTCTTCCTCCTCCAGCATAGATCTCGCTTCCTTCTTGTTCGGCGCCTCCTGCACGCGAAGTTGCAGGTCCTTGAAGTACTCCAGTTCTTGCTCCTTCCGGACGAGCTTCTCCAGCCGCATCTTGGCCGCTTGCTCCTGCAGGCGCCGTCCTGACTCGCGTTTGCGCTCTTCGGCTATGCGGAGCTCCTCTTCCGTCTTCTGTATGACCTCTTTTTCTTGGTAGGGGAGTTGGACAAGGTGGTCGCGCGCTTCTAGCCCCGTCCAATCGAGCATCCGCTGCATCTCTGCGTCATAATCGAGGCTGATGTAACAATGCTGCCGGACAAGGTCTTCGATCTGGGTATCTGTTACTTTGCCCGTCGTGAGGAGTCCTGGGTATTTGGTTCTGAGAAGGCGGGTAAGTAAGTCGGCGCAGTTGGCTCGGCCCCAGTCCAGGCGTGTTGCTTGGCCCAGCAATGGCTGCTGATTGACGACTGGGATAAGATGAGTGCTGGTGTTCGCACTGCTGACTATGAGGCCTGTGTTGCCGCCGTTATAGTTGTAGCTGAACAGAGCGTCGACCCCATATGCCACGCTTGGGACATTGTAGAGTTCGAAAAGCAGCTCGCTCATGACCTTGCGCGTATATCCCGTATTGGCCAACGGCTCCGTCATGACCACCGGCCGATCTACAACCCCATCCCTTCCATCCACGCCCAGCTTCACGAAGATGTAATCCAGAATACCTTCCTGAACGTCCCAATTGTTGACCACATTACTACCCGGCTCATACAGACTCTTCGCCTGGCCCCTTGCGGTGCCATCAAAGTAGATCTCGCTACCAATGAAACACAGCCGTCGGTTCAGTTTGCGGTCCGTATAGCGGGCCATGAGCGGTGGGAACTGCAGTCGCGGGGAGGCGTCGGTCTGCCAGCCGGCGCGGACGGAGGAGGAGCCATTGTCGATAACTATGGCGGTGGCACCAATGCTGGTGCGGTAGGTGGAGGTGGAAGTGGGTAGTTGGCCGGTGTAGGGCGGATCGGAGAGGAGATATGGTGTTGAGGGCGGGGGTTTGGGGGTGTTGCGCGCGGTGGAGGTGGAGATGGGGATGGTGCGAGTGAAGTGTGGCATTGTGAGTGTCGCTATGAGTGGCGATGAGGCATTTCGATGTGAGCTGTCATCCTTTAAACGGGCTAAGGAGGTGAACGCATTTGGGAACGGAATGCGACACTTACGCACGCGAGCTCTCACTGGAGCACAATCACTTCTACGCACGGGCCACATCGCCATATCACATGTTCAGACACGTGTGACACTGAAATGGGTACGGACACGATAGGCTCGTTGAAGTGCAAGGGCACGACTTGCCCCTTGACCTGAGCTTGGTCCATTGCTCTCTACTGCGGCTTTTTCTTCGCACCATCATCCACCACCCTTGGCGGCGCTGGCACCTCCACCTCCTCAATCCCCCACTCCATACCGATATAGCTATCACTCACCACCAATGCCTTCACCCTCCGCTCAATGTCGCTATCCGGCAATTTGATGAGACTCCTAGTTGAAGGTTTGCTGACGTTCCCGCCTCTGCTCTTTTCCGGAGACGGCCAGCTAACCCGTTTCAAAGCCAGAACATCCCCCTTCGCCATATCCGAGACGATGATGAAGTAACCCTCCGTCTGCGGCTTTGGGTATCGCGGGGCGTATACACGATACGCCGGGTCTTGTACAGCATTGACTCGGCTAAGGTTGACGGTCAGTCCTAGCGCATTAACCTCGGAGACACTGACTCGAAGTTGAGGCAGCTGGCTGAGAGCCTTAAACACCCGCGCATGAGAAGCGCGCGGTAACCCAAGTTGCTCCAGCGTCCTCGCCATGGCATCTCTCGGCATCGTCGTCGCCTCGACAAGCGTCTTCGGCACAGCGCTCGCATCTTCGATCCGCTTCTTCTCTTTCTCACTCTCGACACCAGCGAAGATGGCAAGTGGACCGTCCTCTGGCCAGCGCGCAGACTTGACGCACTGCAAAAGCGTCATCATTTGGCGGCAGCTTTGCAAATACCCCATCTCCGTCAGCACATCGATGCTAGCTTGGATGATACGGATCGCCTGATCAAGCACAGAATTTTGATCACCAACATAGTCGCTAATGGGCAGATCGATGCGCGAGAAATGCGCCTGTAGCAGCAGGAATGCTTTGACATGCGGATCCCACATCGGTAATCCAAAGCTCTCCGCTTTGAGCGGAAGATTGTTCGACAGCTCCGCGTTGATGAGATCTTCGTTGTGGCGGACAGGGAGCTCATCGTATTCGGTTGCTCTGCACATCCAGGCAAGGACGTCTGAGAAGGAGGCGGCTGGCTTGGCGAACTTGGTAAGCATCCGGATGGTCTTATGAGCAAGGTAGTAATAACTCATGATCTTGCCTAATGGCGTGGGATCGACGTCACCGTTGCTGTGGATAAGGAGACACTGAGACTCTGCCAGCTCGGATAAGGACTTGTCGACCATCTCGATCATGTAGTCATTGGCAGCTTGCTGAGCGGTCACGCTATTGTTCTCTTCCGGTGAGATCTCCAGCCCGTAAAAGGAAGGATTCTTGTGCAGCCTTCGGAAAAAGAAAGTCCAGGTTAAGTAATCCAGCGCATCCTGCTTGGTTGCAATGGTCTCCGCCGACACTTCTGCACCTAAATGGTTGTCCAAAACGTTGTGCAGAGACGACTCGACCGGAAATCCTGTATGCAGGAAGTGTTTGTAGAAGGCCTTCTTCGACTCCTGCGTGAAGATGCGCGCAATACCGGATGTATCAAACTGCGGTCTGCCAGCACGACCAAGCATTTGCAGCACATCCGTCAGATCCATGTCCTTGTAACCTTCAATCTTCGCGTCGAAGAATTGAGTGCCCTTGACCACGACCAGATGCGCCGGCAAGTTGACACCCCAGGCAAGCGTACTAGTAGCGACAAGGATTTGGATCTTATTGTTGGCAAACAACTCTTCAGCCAGCTGTCTGTCGGACTCGACCAGACCTGCATGATGCAAGCCGATGCCAAAGCTCAGCGCCTCGCGCAACGCTTCGTCTTTGACCCGATCCAGGTTCAGCGCAAGGTCGTCTTCCGACATCCGCACAAAGCGTCGTGGGTTATCCTCCATGCCGCAAAAGTTAATGAGATCCCGCGCGGTCAGCCTTGTCTGCCTTCTACTCGCCACAAACACAATGACCGGCTTGTCCGGAGAATGAGATTTGATGGCAAGGAAGGTTGGCCGATTCATACTCTGCATGAGCGGGCAGAATCCACGCTGCTGTGGAAAGCCGTCGATGTAGATCTCCAGCGGTACTGGACGTACGGAGTGTCGGAAGTTAAACAGTCCCTCTTTGACGCCGAGCCAGTTCGCCAGGTCCATGGCATTGGCGCAAGCGGTCGACATGCCCACCAGCCGGACCGAGCCTTTCTTCTGCGAGGCGATGTAGTTCATACGGCTTACGATGATCTCAAGAATGGGTCCACGGTCACCTCCGAGTAGATGTATTTCGTCGATGATGACGAGGCTGACTTGCTGGACGTAGCTTCGCGTCTGCCAGCTGCGACTGATACCGTCCCACTTCTCTGGCGTGGTGACGATGATGTCGGCGTCTCTGATGGTACGAGTGTCAGGCGTATTGTCACCAGTCAGCTCGACCAGCTTCAGGCCCATCTGCCTTGTCAGCCTCTTGTTCCAGTCTTGCACTCGCTCGCGCACTAGCGCCTTCATGGGTGCGATGTAGACCACTTTGCTGCCGGGCTGCTCTCGGAAAGCCCACCACATCGCCAGCTCTGCCGCAATGGTCTTGCCGGAGCCCGTGGGCGAGCCAAGCAGTACATTTGCTGATGTGTGGTACATGCAGTGGAAAAGCTGCGTCTGCATTGGATTGAAGAATTGGAAACGCTGACCATAAATCTCCTCCAACATTGGGTTCTTTAATGCTTTGATGGGCAAAGGTTGCAGGTTTAGCAGGTCAGTGTACACGCTCTCGGTATCCGGTCGAATGAGATGCTGGAATGACACTGCCGTCACCGTTTCGGCGCCTAGCCACCGATCACTGACTGCCCGTACGTAGATCTGGCTTGGTAGCGGATCCGACAGCGGTATGGTGAAGTTGAGCTCGTGGTCATCGTACAGCTTTCTGCGGCTGAGAATGAAGTACTCATGATGATAGATTTCGCTAGTCTCAGAGTTCTCGACCCACACCCAGTAGCTTTCACTCTTGCCGTGATGGCGGTCGTTCCAGCGGAAATCTGGCGTGATGAACAGCTTAACGCGGAGAACGTCGCGGTTTAGTGGCGCGATCTCCGCTTCCACGGTCAAGGTTGGAAAGTTGTCCAGTAGCTTTGCAATCGTTACCCCCATCTTCTGATTGTGCACAAGACTTCCGATCTCCGCGGCCTCCATGTCGCGCAAAGAGTCGATCGACCCAGTAGAACCCTTCTCATCCAGCTGTCGTAGGACCGCTTGAGGTAGGTCGAACTGCCGGAACGGATGCTCGTATGGCCACACCCTCTTCTCAATGCTTTTGCACATACTCAAAAGCACCAAACACTGATAGCCCCACCGTCGATTCAGCGCAATCATGAACAGTGCCCTACAGATCCTCGCAGCATTCTGAGCGACGTACGCCGTGTCACTAACAAGCGTGAAGTCTTCGAGATGTGCTTGCGAAATGTAAGACTGCAATAGTACGTTTGTCTTGCCCTGCTGCGAACCGATTCCGCCATCGATGTCACAAGGCGCTGCTTCGTCTTTGAGGCGCACGAGTTCCTTTTGCTCCGTCTCGCGGGACTGGATGTTGTCGAATTCGCCAGACATGGAGATCATTTTGAGGATGTCCGCTTCGGTGGCACGTGGCTGCATCATGGTATTGAAGATCTCGATGCTGGTTTGCAAAACGTAGAATTGACTTGCAATGCGCCCAACGTCCTTGGCGCGCAATTCCTCGGTGGTCTCGTTGAAGATGATCATCTGACTCTGCTGCAGCACTCGTGCGGCCTTGACGATAAGTTCACGCCGCCGCTGGACCAGGTTCGGATCGTTCTGAATCTCGGCCCAGTCGATACCGTATGCGATCGGATTGCGCCGCATGCGGACGAAGAGGTAGCTGTAGCCTAGCCAAGTGATGGCTTCAGGCACGCTTGTGACCGTACCGAGCGCAATTTCGGCGTTAAGATTGTCGACCATCTTCCGGCTGAATTGCGACTCGATCGGCTGTTGTTGCGTAACAGCGGCCAGATAGTGCTGCAGCTTGTCTTGGGTGGTCAATATGATGCCTATGCCAGTATCTTGGAACTGAGGCCGGCCAGCTCGACCAAAGATCTGCAGCACGTCCAGGATACCGAGGTCGACGAATTTGCCGGCTTCGGCGCTGTACAACTGCGTGCCCTTGATGACGACCGCCGCCGCAGGAAGGTTTACACCCCACGCCAGTGTAGCTGTACAGCATAGGACTTGCAGTACGCCCTCCGCGAAAAGACGTTCGATGAGGTTGCGGTCGGAACGTGGCATGCCGGCGTGATGCGTGCCCAGACCCTTGGCAACCAGCTCACGGATCTCGCGACCCTTCGATTGCTTCACATCCCTCACGGCATTGGCATATCCTTCATGCCCACTTGGGTCGAAAAGATCTTGCAAGCCTTCCTCTTGCGCCTTATCAAGTAGTAGCCTTGCTGTTTTGACAGTGTCTTTTCGGCTATGCACGAATACCATAACTTGATGACCTTGCTCCACCTGCTCCTTGACCTTCTCGAAGGCGGTATTGTCGAGATTCTCCCTGCTGGGCTTCGAGCCAGGCTTGCCCTTCACGCCAATGAAGTGCTGCTCTAGCGGCACGGGACGGAATGACTGGTCGAAGTAGAAAAGGCCGGCCATGCGATTCACCTTTAAGAAGTCCGCCACGTCGATATAGTTTGGCAAAGTGGCGCTTAACCCGACAATGCGGATGAGCGATTGTGTGCTCTCCACCTGTCGCTCAGTCCTCGCCACCAACGACTCAAGCACGGCACCCCGCTCATCGTGCAGCATGTGGACTTCGTCAATGATCAGCAAGCGCACCTTTTGCACTAACTCAGTATCGCCGGTGCTCTTCCGGGTCACAACATCCCACTTCTCCGGCGTGGTAACAATGATCTGCGTTTGGACAATCTCCGCCTTCGTGAGCTGCATGTCGCCGGTCAACTCTCGCACTTGGATGCCAAGCCAAGCAAGCCTCCTGCCTAGCTTCTCGGTAATCTCAGCAGCGAGCGCTTTCATCGGCGCGACGTAGACGATCTTGAAGTCATCTGTGTGCACGGCAAATTCAGTGGCATCAGGGTGCTCCACTGGACTGGGGTGTATATTCTTCGCCACAGTGTTTAGAATAGTAAGCATAGCTGCGTCCGTCTTACCCGCACCGGTAGGAGCGCAGATAAGCATATTCTCACTCGTCTGATATGCTACAGGGTAAACCAGGCTTTGCATGCGGTTGAGCGCCTTGTAGCCTTTGAACGTGCGTTTACACAAGCCGTCCAACTCGTCAATCTGAACGAGCTTCTGATGCTTACCGAGCGTGCCGACTTTGGCAGCGGGAATACTGTACTCTTCATACTTCTCGCGTTCTATTCTCTCACTCCCCATCGGTAGCAGATAGCGTTTGCCTTGTGAGGAGAGTGTATTGCCTGCATCATGAGAACGGTAAACGTGAGGATACTGCTCACCAGCGCGGTTTTGAGCAGCGGCAAGTGTGGCGGTTTTATGCTCAAGGTCTGCCTGGCGAAGCCGCGCATCTCTCTCAGCCCTCGACAGAAGACCTGAAGGAGGTTCGCCTGATTGCGCTAGAAGCTGTTTGCGGTGGCGAATGATGTCCGACACCAGATCGAGCTCGTGAAAGCCAAGAATATCCGCAAGAGTCATCTGCAGCTCCTCGTCGCTACTATCTGAAGCCAGCACAGCCGCAATGTGATCCCGCAATCCGTCTGCGTCAAGACCGCTTCCGTTGCTGGACGCCTCGATACATTTCTGCTTCAGCCAGTCGGGCGTTCCGATGCTGGTCGTTGTCGGACCGAAACCGTTGACGAGCGGCGCTTGCGGCTCCACACTCTCTTCGCTGTATTGGTCTTCATCGTTATCGTCGCTAATGAGGTCCCATATATCATCAAGGGGAGAGGATGTCGATAGGTCGTCATCGTCAAGGTCGAAGTCTGTCGGTGGCTTGTAGCCTCCCTCTTCGCGGTTCATCTGCGGCAGATTGAGGGCGGCAATTGCAGCTCGCATGGCCGCCAGTTGCTCCAGCCATTGTGAGGCCGCTTCATCTGTTGACGGTAACATCGTTGTGCAGTGAGTCTATGTGGTAAGTGTCCATTAGCAATGATCGGAAGATAAGTTTGAAGGTTGTTAGAGCGACAAGTTCCAACCCTAACCCTGCCGACAGAGCCATCATATATACAATGCCATACCATACCTTGATTCAATGCGAGTTTCCTTCCCGATGTGAACCGCTTCATACTCGTTCTACGCAGTGCTGTCAGACGCGCAAGACCGACCACTCTATCTCAGCTACTCCGTGATTGTCGCCGGCCGCCAACGGTAGGTTTGTCAGTCCTCTTTGCCTCTTCTCGTCGGCTTCATTCGCTACGCTCCATAACAATGCCAGAAACGCGCTCAATGGAGCCCCTGGTCTGGATCGATTGTGAGATGACAGGTCTTGCCGTGGAGCACGACACTATCATGTCTCTCGCTTGCTTTATCACAGATTCGCAATTGAACATGCTGGATGATACGGGCTACGAAGCGATCATCCACCACTCTCCGGCTCAGATGGACGCCATGGGTGACTGGTGCACAAAGCATCACGGTGACAGCGGTTTGACCAGGGCTTGCTTGGATTCCGAGGTCACCGCAGCGAATGCTGCTAACCAGCTCTTGGCGTACGTAAAGAAGTACGTTCCGGAGCCGCGAAAAGCGCTCTTGGCCGGCAACAGCGTGCATGCGGACAGATCGTTTCTGGCGAAGGAACCATGGGGCAAGGTGTTGAAGCATCTGCATCACCGGATTTTGGATGTTAGTACGATTAAAGAGGGTGCGAGAAGGTGGGCATCGCAGGACGTGCTGAAGGGAAGTCCGCAGAAGGCGGGTAAGCACGAGGCTAAGGCGGATATTCTGGAGAGTATCGAGGAGGCGAGGTACTATAAAAGGATGTTCTTTGAGAAGCAAGGTGAGGACAGTGGTGGGAGGTCTGTATGAAGAGAACCCGGTGTCGTGCGAGTAGCGACCAGCACGGAAGCGAGGGTGACAATGTCTCTAGCAACATTGTTAGATTACGAACTGCCGTTGAGGATGATATACTCGGCCGCGCTGCACGATATTCTTACCCACAAACAAGGCCGAATTCGAGGCCTGGGTGTCCCACAAGCCTCTCAGACAGGTTTGCGCGTCTTTGTCAGCGCCGTACGCGTCCAGGGCCACCGCCTGGCAGTGCTTCGTCCGCTCACAGGAATCCACACCCAGGGCACTCAGAGTGCGAGAGACAGTGCCCGGGACACCTCTTTCACGGCAGCCTGCGTGGCGGGCGCGGCAGATTGCGGAGTAGGCACAGAGGGCTGAGGCGCAGCAGGAGGAGGAAGAGGAGGTGGTGCAGGAGGAGAAGGCGGTTGCAACCGTCCAGCTTTATGCTGGAAACCATGCTTTCAGCACGACAGCCTTGGCCTTCTCTCGCTCAGCCCGGTCACGTTCGGTCGCCAGTGACTTTTCGGCGCTCGTCAGTACCACATGCCTTCGATCATTGATCGAATGCTGATTCATGGAACAGACATGTCGGGTGTCCAGACATCTCACTCTCCGCTCTCGATTTCTTCCTCCAGACAGTAGTCGAGCCAGTTGTGATAGGCTGGAGCAAAGCCAACAAGCCCCCTGATATGCTCACTGATACCCTTTGAAGGACGGCCGTGGACGCTTTACGCTCGAAAGGCCTAATGGTCCCTCAGCATATCATGATTCATTAGGATATTGCAGAGGGACTGTATGCAGATGCCTTCTCCAACGCCGTGTCAAGCGACACGAAGCTGATGGAAGTGATTCTGCACCGTAGCCACAGGAGCCTTACTACACACAGCTCAGCCGCAGCCAGAACTATGCAAGTATCACTGCGAAACTCAGCCGTAGCCAGAGTTATGCGCGTAACACCGTGCGGAACTTAACCGTAGCCAAAGCCATGCGCGTATCATGTGCGGAACTTAGCCGTAGTCAAGACTCTGCATTCATCAGAGAAGCTCTTGCTGCAGTTGTAGAAGTTCGTCTGTTGAGGCGTGCAGCTGCTGCATTGCAAGCACCTCCTCCTGCAGATGGCGGCGTTCAGCCTCTATCACCTACGAGGCAAGGCTCTCCCACCGCGTACGGTAGGCCGCAATGCGTTGCTTCCCGCTCTGAACATTCTGTCGAAATGGACCCGTGCAGAGGGCGGCATGTTGCCATGCTAGCCATTCACGGACCTTTGGCTGAGAGTTCGATTCAATTGAGCGACCAGCTTCAACACCGTTGAATCCCTTTCCGGTCTCGACGTAAGCCTGCGCAAGGACGGAGATAGTTATCTCTCCAACTGCCGCATCCGGGAGGTCGAAACACAGACAAACACTGTTGCCGTGCATCATACACAAATCACAAAGAGTAGAGTCCGACTTCGTGACAATCTCGAAGAGACCCATTACCAGATTAGAGTTCGTATGCTCAAAGTGGTTGTCGAGGCGTTTCGCACAGTCAAGGGCATAGCCAACATCCCTCAGGACGAAGGGTAGCCGTTGAGTAGGCGCAAGATGTTTGGTGTGACCCCTTAGAGTCGTCACCAACGTCTTGATTGCCTTAGGGTTGGCGATAGTTAGATACCGACGTGCCCCCTCTCGGGCAAGCTTTACCTCAACCGGAGTCAGTTTCGCCTTGACCTCATCGATACGAACAGCTTCTTTCACCGCAGCGGAATCAGCGTTCTTCGTATCAAGATATCGGTTAACAGCGTCCAGGATCCGATGCATATGCTCAACTGTCGGCGAGCGGCCGAACCTGTCGGAGAAATCCAGGACGTATATGCCTGGTTTCTTGCCTTGAGCTTCGTTCTGAGCCAGCACACTCGCGAGTGGTGGATCGATATGCCTCCAGCGCTCGACTCCACATTCAAGGATAGCCTGCAGAAGGATGGGAGGCATGGTTGTGAGCAATTCAAGTGCGTAATCATGGAATTCCTCAAAGCTCCGGTCTCTGAGGGCAGAATGGTCTTTCGCAGCATCCCAGACCTGCCGTAGCAAGGCCCAATAATCGAATCCGAAAGAGGTCCGGTAAGGATTTCTGCGGCAATGTCAAGATTCTTGACGTAATTCGCAGATCCTTCAAGTGCATTGTGCTATGCGCTCTGTCGCTAGCACGCCAGTGCTGTCAAATAGCCTACGGAACTTATTGTCAGTATCGTGGGCCGCAACCCCCGAGTCCTCCAAATTCTAGTCGCCCGCAGGTGCCTATTGCACAAGATGCAGACCTAGTCTGTTTTACTTGCAGTCTTGCGGGTCACCACTGAAAGCAGTGCGAGAACATCTGCGAATTTTGCGGATGCGCGCACCACCGCCAGCAGTGCCCTATTGCGTGGAAGGCATACAATGTCTCCGCGAACGAACAACTGGACGTCAAGCGGAAGGCATATGAGAATGTCAAACGCGTGGCACAGTTGACTAACTACGCTGCTAACTACTAAGCGCAACGTCTTACAGCGCTCAAGGGCCCGATGACGGCCGTGGACATACGCGTCGATCATCCCGAGGACCTCAACGCTCGCTTCCGAGCTGCTGCAGCAGTTGCCTCCAAGGAGGCAGCTTCGCAACGGCATTCGCAGCCGCTTGGAGTTCTCGGCAAAACGTCCTGGGCTGAGGTGCCAGAGTGCCGAAAGGCTCTCGAGGGCTTCAACAAAGCACAGAGGACAGAGCTTACCCAGCTCTGGAACAAGCAGTTCCGGAAGGAAGAGTCCTGGGACAAGCACCCGGCGCTAAAGCAAGCGCTTCAGAGCGCGGGCAAATGGCCACTTCCGGGTCACGACGGCGACACGGATATGTGATGTGCTACGGTGATCACTATTCTATGAAGTCTGGTATGGAACCTTTGTTGATCGACTACGGTGAGCATCAGGAGTTTCATTTGCGGAGGGGACCTACGGGTACCCTTCAGGTTTTTCACCAGATACCGCCCACAGAGCAATTGGGGGGTGCTGGAGAAGACTACAGCAGCCTGCGCTCCGAAGGTCCCAAGCCACTCGGCAAGCTTGCGGTAGCCGTACAAGATCCGCGCACTGCTGCGTAGTAACCCCGTAACCGGTTACGAGCGTTCAGCGAGCACCATTCGGTCCCACCACTCGTCGCTCTTTCTCGCCGCTCTCCGTCTCTCGCCGCTCTCCGTCTCTCGCCGCTCTCCGTCTCTCGCCGCTCTCCGTCCCTCGCCGCTCTCTTTCTCCCTCTCCGCTCTCTTTCTCTCCCTCTCCGCTCTCTGTCTCTCTCGCCGCTCTCCGTCTCTCTCCGCTCTCTGTCACTCGCCGCTGTCTCTCTCTCACCACCGCTCTCTCGCCACCGCTCTCTCGCCACCGCTCTCTCGCCACCGCTCTCTCGCCACCGCTCTCTCGCCACCGCTCTCTCGCCACCGCTCTCTCGCCACCGCTCTCTCGCCACCGCTCTCTCGCCACCGCTCTCTCGCCACCGCTCTCTCGCCACCGCTCTCTCGCCACCGCTCACTCTCGCCGGTCGCTCTCGCCGGTCTTTCGACCAGACCTGCCTGCAAACAAGCCAAGCAAGACGAACTTCTCGGCTTGGCTGGCTTGCTCGGAACGAACCCTAGGCTTGGCTTGCTCGCCAGCAACTTGAGTCTCCCAGCTTGCTTGCAAGCCGGCTTGTTCGTAATCAACTCTGCTCTCGCCGCTCGTGTTCGCCAGTCGCCTCCACCGGGCACGTCCACCGCACGCCTTTACCGCTCGATTCCACCGCACGCCTTTACCGCTCGCCTTTACCGCTCGACTCTTCGCGGGCAGGCGTAGCAAGCCCGGAGCGAGCAGAGCGAGTCGTTACTGCCTAGCTCAGTATTGCTGCCAGCCCAAGCGTCGTCGCCAGAACAATTACTGCTTGAGCAACCATAACCATGCGTCCAGGCTAGCCTCCCGCGCCGCAGTAGACTGCACGTACTAGCGCAGCGCCGGAGAGGACTCAGAGAGCACACCAAGCGTGCACGCGCGCTACACGAAGACTAGAGGGCACCCGCAACCCGTTCGAGTTGCAAGGAGGGTGTCGAATGCCCGACTGACGACGTCAGAGGTTCCAGAGGCATCGGGCACAGGCATGGGAGGTAGAGGCGGCAGCCGTAACCCGTTCCGAATGTTCCAAAGCCGTCGTGTTGCCCGTTGACCGTGCCGGATAGTCGGGGATCGTCAGGTAAGCGCAGAGTGTAACGGGAGCCGTCGGACGTGTCGTCGCCGTCGTGGGCGTGAGGCCGGCCCACCAGGCCGGCCGGGTGCGGGTGCGGGTGCGGGTGCGGGTGCGGGTGCGGGTGCGGGTGCGGGTGCGGGTGCGGGTGCGGGTGCGGGTTAGGGTTAGGGTTAGGGTTAGGGTTAGGGTTAGGGTTAGGGTTAGGGTTAGGGTTAGGGTTAGGGTTAGGGTTAGGG